TCCAGATGAAAGCCAGGTTCGTACAGCCTGCAGCTGGATGTTGGAACAACAAAAAAGGCGATAGCGAACCTCGTCAGGAGCTAAAACGGTCGTCGAAGGCACCGATGCGGTGGCAGCCGAGTCGCGGTGCAAACAGGTGATTGCAATAATGCCACTATAATTGAGCAGACCACTCGTCTGCGGCTTCGGTAGAAGTGCTGTCCACGTTTTTACCAATCTGTGCCAACACACCACGTTGGCGCTCCTGCTCCTCCGCACGCACACTGCAACTCGACATATAATTCGACGGAGCTGTTCCACCTCCTGGTACAAATGGAGTGTACTGATCTCTCGCAGAGTGACGACAAGGAGAAGCCCTCGTCTCGACGACGTCGAGGACTTCAGTAGCGACCCCGTCCTTTTGATCAGATCGATACTGTGGCCATCTCTTGCCGCGCAACGCCTCTTTTTCCGCCTTCCTGGTGTCATTCCGTAGTTATTTCCGGAACTAGAAGCACAATGGCGTAGCACCCTGTAGCAAGCTCTGTAGACGCAGCTGTGCCAACGGAACCACAAAAAACGGCTAATCCTCAGTAAAGATAACGTCCCCACCCGCCCATAGTCAGGATGCCGATGCGAACTCCGCAACACAAAACTAGAATTCGAAAGTGTTGCGGTGCACCCACGGCGAACTTGAAATTGTAGCAAAGTGGTGGCTAGCGAGTCTAGACGGATCACAGACCCACACTCAGCGTCTCAACAGCCTCCTGGTTAGAGCATTTAACATCACCTCGCCCAACGTGACCACCAGGAAAGAAAACCAGTCATGAAGAGCCGTATCATGACAAACATCCTGAGAATGCAGATTTGCAGCACGGGGACGATTTTAGTCAGGATACTAGCCCCAGAGTAGCTACTGATGGGCACGTCGTGCTGTGGTGGCACCTCCAAACCATCTCTAACAGGTGCGCGACGCAGTGATTTTTGTATTTTCCCCGTGCTGCTCGAGGGACGACCAACGCCGACGACCCTGATATATCGCAAGAAAAAACTGTTTCACTCTGAACCTCTGATGCAGAGGGCGCAAGAACGCAGGAATCCTTGTCTTGCTTCACAAGCTTACTTGATGCAAGACAGTGGAGCTTTTTCGTTAGGGACATCGCATATCAATTTGATAATTCCTGTTCGGTTTATTCATGTCCTTACAATCAATGAACTTGCGGTGCGGTTGAAATCCTACAACGCGTGAAACGCGTTTTTCGTACAATAAGATAGCGGGGAAGAGGAATATCGTTCCGAGATCGTCCTCTCCGTTCACCCCACAGCCTCCGCGTCTCCAAGATCGTCTACTTCCGAAGAAAGCCCGTCCGAAGAAAGCAGCAGCTTGCGGGGACGGACGGCGCGTTATCGCCTCTTCCGGATACCTCCACCCCTCTGCCCAACATCTTAATATCTCCAATGAGAATACGTCCAGGTCGGGAGAAATTCAGCATTTTAATTTTTTGCTGGCAGCAACATGCACAGAAGTTATATATTATTTTACAACATGACCCATACTGTAAATGTCTGTGTTGTATTAAGCCCGAGCACCATGGTCGTCTCTTTGAGTACATCTTGATCCGTATTGTGCTGCAGGAGAACGAGAAACTACGCCTTTTCCGCTTTAGCACAAATTAGACTCCTTTTGCTGCTCAGGGTGTACTACAGATTTTGTTTTTTGAGTTGTCCAATAGCAGCATCACAGGTTAGTTGCGCTCTTGCAGACCCCGACATATTTGCAATGCGTATGATCTTAGTGGGTGGAGGTACTATCCTGTGTAAAAGCAACGTGTCTTGCAAATTTTGCGCCCAGTGCATTTTCCGCGCAGTGCGACGAGAAGGAGGGTCATCCATGACGAATGCCAACGATTGAAATACCCTAGCCCGGAACAAGCCGGTTGCTCCACAACTAGCAAAAAGTCTACTCTCGCACTCGCTAAAGAATTTCTATAACCTTCCCTCTCGGCTCCTGCTAATATAACACGATATTCATCTTACCACAACGAAATGTAATGTGGCACTACCTCCATATCAAAGCGCATGTCCATCTTGCTCGCATCGCGCATGCAGGGCCGTACCACGACAACGACACTTTCCAATCCGAATCCAGAGAGTGATGTGGTAGAGGTAGGAACCAGGTACCCTTGGACCAGGTACCCTTGGACCAGGTACCCTTGGACCAGGTACCCTGGGACCAGGTACCCGGGACCAGGTACCCTGGGACCAGGTACCCTGGGACCGGGTACCCTGGGACCAGGTACCCGGATGTGGGCACCCGGACCGGAGATGCGGATACCCGGGTGTGGGCACCTTTTCAACTTTGAGTTGAAAAAAAAAAGTCACACGAAAACTCAAGCGGTTTCACGTCTGGACGTCCACACCTGGGCACCGGCTGCCCGCATCTCCGTCCCCGGGTTCCCGGATGTGGGCACCCGGTACGCAGATGTAGATGGCCGGATATGGGTAGCGGTGCCCGCATGTGGGCACCCGGTGCCCAGATGTGGATATCGGCTGTGGCTTTGGGCGCCTGGTGCCTAAATGTGAGTACCAGGATGTGAGCACCTCGCGCCCGCCGGATGTGGGAGCCCACCTCTTCAACTTTAGCTAGCAGAAAGTGACGCGAAAAGTCAAGCGCTTTCACATCTGGATATCCACATCGGGGCACCGGGTGCCCACATCTCCGGACCCGGGTGCCCGGCGAGGGGCACCCGGTGCGCAGATGTGGATGCCCGGATGTGGGTACCGGTCCGGGTGCCCACGTCCGGATACCCGGATGTGGGCACCCGGTACCCAGACGCGAATGCCCGGACGTGGGCCCCCCGTACCTCTTCTCATAGGGTGCCCAGCCCTTGTAGGCACCCACGGAACATGGTACCCCGGTCCGCCGTTTTTAAAGCCGGGGGAGGCCGCTTCTTTCTTCATGCTAAATGATACAGCGCAACCCAGTACGCCGCTCTGGCCGCCCGGGAGCGAGCACCCTGGTACGCGAAAAACGAACCCACCCACCAAACTGTCAACCCGAGCGCCGCTGGTCAAGCATGGCAACCTTCCAGACCCAGACAAGTTTGCAGCGCAGACATACTCGGCAGCGCAGACTACTGCGACGGAGTGTGTCGATTTTGGTTTTCGCGACAACGACACTTTCCAATCCGACAACGACACTTTCGGGCCGTACCACGACAACGACACTTTCCAATCCGAATCCAGACGGCAGGGGGGCTAGATGTGTCTGGCCCCACGAGCGCCCTCCGCCGGATTTTGTTGCCGGGGGCTTGCTCCTACGCTCGGCCTCCGCCTTTCGAAACAATATCGCGACCCAAATCCCCAAGGGCTTTCGGCCTTTCCGCCGTTTATCGGAAATACTCCGGGCGCGTGCCGCGGTGCCGCCTTTATGCGGGCCGGGCCCGCCCGAGGTGGGTCGGGCCGGGGCCCACCGCGGCAGGGCCTAGCGAATTCCCCTGCCGAAGCCGGGAAGCGAAGGCGAAACATTTGGGGGCCTGTTTGGGGGGCATCATTCGCCGCGGTTTCGCGCTTTTTTGGGGGGCATCTTTACCCCCTTCCGGGGGCCTTTCCGGAGGGGGCCTAGCCGCCGCGGCTTTTCCGGGCGGGCCTGTTCCACCTTTGGCCGCCTGGGCAGCCGCGCGGCCCCCCAAAGGCATCGGGGGGCGCTTGGGCCCGCGAAAGGCATACTGCCACTTTTAGCCGCCCGCCACATAAATCAAAAGGCCGCCCCGGGGTCTCCCGCCTGAATTCTCCGGGGGCCCACGGCCGGGGCTGGGGGTGGGGGTTTCGCAAAAAGAGCGCGCTATGGGCTAGCCGGGTGGGCAGGGCCCGGCACGCGCGATCCGGCGGGCCATTGTCGAGCCGCCGCAACCAGTTCACCACGGCTGCCCTGCTAGGGCCCTGGGCAAGGCTGCTGGCCCGGCCTGCCCAACTACGCACAGGAGGAAAGATTGTTAGCCCATGACAGAACGCACGCCGGCGCGCGCTCGCCCCCTGCTTGTAGTGGCGGGGGCGGGGGCGCGGCGGCCTCGGCTTGTATTCGTGGCGGCCCTGGCTTTCTTCCGGGGCCTACACCTCTTGCCCATGCTTCGGCTTCGGCTTTCGGCCTTCCGCTCGGTGGGGCGAGCGTACGGCGGCCCCGCCCCCCATGGTGCGCGCCCGTGGTGGCGCCCTGCGTAAGATCCTTGGCGACAAGCAGCGCCGCGGCGTCCCAACTTTAAGGGGCGCTGCCTCTGTGATTGGCCACGGAGCCATCGGGTGCGTCTGTGTGCCCGCAACCACAGAGGGGGCGGCGGCAAGTCCCTCGCCAGGGAGGCGGCGCGCCAAATCCCTGGGAAAGCGAAAACGCGCCCTGATGTGGCGCGGCATCGTCGGCGTCTTGGCAAGCTGTTCCCGGCCTCGGTTTGCTCTCAGTGTGGCAGCTTGGCGGGGCGCGGGCACCTACAACACTCAGGACCGTGCTCCCAGTTGCACCTGGGGAGGCCGCGGCGCCTGGCTAACAGCGAAGGCCCCGCGGCGGGCCCGCGAAAAAGTGGGGCTCGGAGGAGCTGGGCACGGCCGGCCACCAAGCTGACAGAAACACGCCTTGCAGGAATGGGGCGCGATGTCTTCGAGTGTTGCCGGGCTGCTCGGATCCCCACTCGTGATGGGGAAAAAATTTCACATCAAAATTTTCAGCATACTTGAGAAAAGCGCACCTGACGCCGCCATATGCAAGGCCATACCACGACAACGACACTTTCCAATCCGAATCCAGAGAGTGATGTAGCGGCTCAACATACCTTCGCAACCACCAGTGCCAAATGCAAATCGTGCCCCCCTCTTCCAAAAGCCGAGCCTTCGAAGACGGCCATCCTTTTGCACCCTCGTCTGGCACTGGGAGGGGTAGGGAACGACAACGACATGCTGCAAAAGGTGCATTTCTAGCACACACCACGCAACGGGAACGTTTGATGTACACAGGATAGTACAACTGGTGCTCCCTGTATGCAACGGAAAAAGTGCTACAGTTAGATCACACTGTGTTGCAGGCAACGCAAGACATGATCCCACCACATAATAAGTATGTGTAGCAGCCTAGTGGTGCTACTAGCTTCACACATGTAGTTGATTTCCCTTGTGATCTCTGAATTTTCCTTGCAAGTTTATTTCTCATTCTCTCACTCTGGTGTGATACAAACTTGCTAAGGGTACCACACATGATGTCCTCGTGTAAGTGTATATACTTTTTTCTTGGGATACCCCGCTGGTGATTCTGCGGACCGAGGGGTAACATCCAACCGGGTCTTTTCCGTCCCCCTATCAAAGAAAAAAAGTTCGTCACGATCACTCATGCGCATTTTTGCAATTGTTTGTCATGCGTAAAAATGCATCACAGCCAAACTTCATTAAGGATTTCCCTAGTGTTTCTGCAATATAAGGAAAGTTTGTGATGATTTGTAATGCAAAACCTGCAAGTTAGTGACTGTGACAAACTTTTTTCTCTCCATACCCCCGGCTCATTTGCTACTCAAGGGGCAGACGAGCTCGTGTGTCCGCTGTAAATATGTCTGGGTCTAGAACAAACTCCTGATGCTGAGGGGCGACAATTGAGCATGCCCTCGAGCTCGGTGTGGGTGTCGTGTTGAATACAGCTGCGCTGCATGACAAACTTTTTTCAAGATGATGCTCATCATGCTTTTATTTTGTTTGCTACGCATCACGAGGAACTGTTTTATATTCATTAATTTTGCATATCGAAATAAAAGCGACCGCGCTCCGCCTCCTTCTATCTTTTGTTCTTCTTGGTCAACTACATGCAAAACAGCTTTCTAGTCTGCAAGACAGGTTCCAATTTTCCTCACCCAGACAAGTATGCAGAGGATACACTGCCTGACTTGGCTGCAAAAGCGCCACTTGCTGCTATGGATTGCAAAAATGTCTGGGTCTGGATGAAGCTTGTGATGCTAAAATGTGGATGATGGAAACAGTTCCGAATGTAACACAGCATGACGACTTTTCAGAACGCTTTCTCATAGGAAGGCCGCGTGAGAAACTGCGTTTTTGCGTGTACGAAAGAGGCTGCGACTTTTGTTGGCTATGACATACCGATTTCCTAGGTATGGAGAGCTAGCATTACAAGTTGCAACCTTCCAGACCCAGACATTTATTTTTGCATTTGATACTGCTGATCTACTGCAAAAGCGCCGCGTCCTGCTTGCACGCAGAGGTGGCGGATTTCAAAGCCCTCCTGGTCTTAAAAAACAAGCTGAAGCTTGCTTGTTCCTCTTCACGTCAGTGCCAGTTGCTCCGTTCGTACAACTTCCCGCACGCGGATGGTGACGGAGGCTGCCGCGTGATGTCGTGTAGGCTTCATTGACCACTTCTCAAACTTCCTTCGGACCTTCGGCCATGACACGACAGCAATGTTGAATGGCGCCTGTGGCCAGCTTGTTGTAGTCGGTCTGCACATACATGTACTTTTTAAATCCCTCGATTAGTAGTTCCACTCCACTGAACCAAACACGTAGATCATCGGAAGACTAGCTGCAGCTAGGCCTTAGGTCGTTGCACCACTCAAATACAACTTGGATGACAAGGGGAATGAACACGATGCCGATGCTGGTGAGCTGGGTATATAAAAAGAAGATGAAGAACGCAAACACTCCGAACACATGAGGGCCCTCGGGCTCGGGCGTCGGCTCTGCATGAGAGTAGAGAATGACGTAGAGACATAAATGGAGCATACTTCATATCCATGTTGTTCCTCAAAGAACATACAAGCAGGAGGGAAGACCAGCACGACAACGTCGCATCTACATGTTGTTCATCTACCATCTTCGTGCTGTAGTGTAGTTTGCGCACTCTGTGGAGTAAGGTCGGCGTGCCGTTCAAGACTGCTGCCGCCCTCTCAACAAAGCAGCCAAAAGCAAAACGCCGACCCCCTTCCGTAAGTATCCAGTTCCGGACGGCCAGTCCAATATTCAATAAGCGTGCTTGTTGCTACGATACACTTGCTTCCCGACACGTCACTAAATTCCTATTCCAAGAAAATTTTCATCAGCCTAGTCCGAGCAGCAAAGCATGAATTTGAATTGCAAGCTGCCACGTGGCAATTACAAATCAAAAACAAAATCATCATCATGTCCAGATCCGCTCCTGGGCCACACGATTTTGAAGACGGCAATAAATGAGTTAGTAAATTCAAATTCCGCTACTCGCATGTGGATGAAATGGCGGTGAAATCAGTGCAATAAAGAATGAATATGGCCAATTACTGCACTGCAATGCAGTTCGGCGACGTTTCGCGTTCTATTCTCCTTCGTTCCTGCCTTGTGGGTCCAACTGTATCTGTTGTCCTTGTTGCGAGAAAATAAATAACTCCCATTGGCACCAAAAATCATCCTGATATTAAGTCATGCTCATGACTGCAGGCCGCAGTTTCTTGGGCGACAGCAAAGCTTGATTTCGGAATGATACGAGAGGTCAACAATTTCGGTCGGTATCCCTTTGCGACCTTTTTCTTGAGATTCCATCAAGGTGTAACATCTTCAGGTCGGTGCCCTGCTGATTTAAAAGAGAGCAAAAACTTGCGAAGTCCCACCTTGGCGAAGAACGCGCACCACCCTTGTCGTGTGAAGATGAGTGCCACCTTCTTTAATATTCCCTCGGTGTTCCGAGACTTCCTTGCCGCCCAATCTTTAATTTCTTTCCCGAGCCACGTCTCGCTCTCGTCCCTCCTGTGGTGCTACTGCTAGCACCACCAAATGCCTTTCCCTCTTTGGACGCCGGGGGGACATACTTCTAGCCAAGATTCTTTCCTGTAGACCGCGTTCCAGAAGGAGCCTGCGACCCCCTGTCTTCCTTCCGAAAACGTCGCGTCGTGCAGTTTGCGGTCGATTTCGAGAATCTGTTCTTCGCGGTCTACTGCACCCGAAGATCCGTCAGTTTCTTTCTCCGTCAGCACTTGATGACGCACCACCGGCGCAAGCACTTCCGCAAGAAAAACGCGCTCACCGTCGCGCTCGTGGCCCGCCCGCCTGCGGTCGTTGCCTCGCGTTGTCTCAAAGCTCCGGTCAAGGAGGAAGAAGAGCACCCGCTGCGTGAGGTGCACAATCAAAGTTTCTCGAAGTTGCTTCGGATCCCCCTCGGGCCACTCGAGCGTCGCGAAATCCGCAGAAGGGGTTGCAGCCAACACCTCCCGCGCGCAGGGTGTCAGTTGCCGGCATTCTCTGAAATAAACAGAGTTCCCAAAGGAGTCGAAGCCGGTAAAACCGGCTTTTGTAGTTGTCGCCCGAAAATCATATGGACTATCATTAAACCCTGCCAGCGGTGGTGCAAGCTCAAATTGCTGACCATGATGAACAACTACCTTCTCGGACGAAATAGTACCAGTGCTCGAGGACGAGGACTGAAAACTCGCACCTCTCGCCGGAGCTTCGGCAGAAGAAGCTGAGTGAGCGTGATGCTCATGCACGTCGCGGCCGGAACGGCACCTCCCCTTCCCTCCCTTGCGCATCAGCTTGTATTGCCGGTGGAGTACCGGACAGAAAAGAGCTAGCATGATGTCACATCCTTGAAAGTGAGAGTGAAGCCACTTGCTGCACAGTATATGTAGATGTATAATAAGTCTTGGAGGACTTTTTGAAATCACTATCACGCTACTTAACGGCATTAGCGTGATTTCAAGACATACCAAGGAGAGGACAGAGAGAGAGAAACTGTGAAGCGTGGCGTGCCATTTCAGGTCCAAAAGCAGGAGATATTAAGCATAAGCTTTTTACTATCACTAGACTAATAAACTCGTCACAACTCGCATGACATAGAGACAGACATCACGCCGTCGAATTTTCTGTACGATAGAAAGAGGAAGAACCACCTCTGGCAAATACCACGTACCTATCAGATTCAGAACGTCCATGCGAGGCTCGTCTCCTTCGACGTAAAGTCGGATGAGGGCAATCCGTAGCTTCTTCATCCACAAGGGCACCCAGTACTGCTGTATTGTAGCATCAGGGTCAAAAACGTCAAACGTGGGCTCTTGCATGCGGCCGGGCGGGGTCAGAACCTCACACGATAGAAAACACGACGATGCCGGTGCTGTAATATCCTACAGAAATAAACTACAGCCCCGCGGCTCAGTGTAAAATATCACATCAGAATACCGTTGGTACTGCAATTTTTGGCATAATTTCTCCTGTGAAAATGGCACATGCCCCGGTCGGAAGAGCGGTTGAACTTCCCCTGATTCCGAATGTACAGGGGCACTAAGAGTGATGCAATTATATTTGTGGCATCTGCACAAACATGACAATTTCTTTTGATGCCCTCCCATCTGCTCGACAACACAAATTTTTTTGATGCCCTTACCATGTATAGGCAAATTGCATATATTTCGCGTCAAAAGGAGCGTCCATCGCAGATTTTTTATTTGGCGACGCTTACATCTGGTCGATAGAGCAAACATTTTCTGACCTGGGTGTAATTAGTCTTCTGTAGGATCATACGCTTGTTCTTGCGCAGGCGCAGCTGGCACCGATGCTCTACTTGGGGTCGTGCCAGTGGCGTCCCCTCCTGATGCTGGAGGACGGGCTGCAACCGTTGGTGGCAACTGGTAAAAACCGCACGACGTCGACGGCCGTCGTGGATCGTCCGGGCTGCGAGGTGAAGAGGGTGAGGGTGTTTGGATGAACGTACCAGTATCATCGTCCATTTTATGTTCTCCATGATCTGCTGCTTCCAAAGGCGGAGGAGGCTGCTGCTGCGCGCAAAAATGGTCGACGCAGTCCACGATCTTGACGCTCCCGTTCTGGAATTGCGCCATGTAGTCCGCCCGGCCGCTGGGGTCCGCTAGAGCTTTAACACCCGTTAGCATGAGAAGTGGTGAATTTGTAGTAAATTTTGCATGCCAAATTGCAGATGAGTCCGCCGGGACATTGTCCCTCTTGGCCCTGTTCTGGGAAGTAGAAGGCCCTGCACCGCGCAGCAGCCGCGGGCTTTTGTGCAGTGGGCAGCCAGAGGACATGGCCCGGGCGCCGTTCTTTGGGCAGATTTTTGCGCCTCCGCGTTCCCGCAGAAGAGCACTGCAGCAGCGGCGGCAAAGACGCCAGAAATAAAGGCTGCGAAGCGCATACAACTAAGCAAGAAGGCAGGCAAGGACGAAAGGACCCGGCCGAGAGCTTTGACGCATTTTCCCGGCAGGCATGTGAAATCATCTTGCGGCATTTTCAGCAGAATACAGACGGGCTTAGGGCAACAGAGGACTCCGCTTTTTCCCCCTTTGCGTTCCTTCTCATGGCCTATCTGTGCACTTTTTTGAGCACTTTTCTGCGCTAAAGTTTGCTTATCACGGTCGAAAATGGGCGCCCGGTGAATTTTGGGGTGAATTTTGAAAAGGGCGCCGGTGAATTTTGGCCTCCGGCTCCTTTTCAAAATTCGCTAGCGTGTGAGAAACTCCGGGTTTGGGGGCTTTAAAAAAGTGTCGCAAAAACAAAAAGCCTCAAAATTCACCAAGAGAATTCTTGACCTGAGAGCCACGTCGAAAAAGACTTGCTCCGGGGGCAAAAACACGCCTGGGGAGTTGTAAGCCGAGCACACCAGGCCAAGCAAGCTAGTGCCCGTAGCCGAGTCGTGCCTTCCCTTCCACCAGAGGGGGCTACTCCCAGATATCCAATTCCAAGCCACAACCACAACTCGTGAGAGCGCACGTGTTGAACTAGTGCCCCTGTGTTCAGGCGTCGCCCTCCCTCCCGACCATTCCGGAGAGGAACTTCTGAGGCAGACGCGCAGATGAACAAGAGCCCCACGATCCACCTTCTTTGGTTACATACGCACTACACAGCCCGGCGAGCCCCCGCAAGACCACCTCGTCTTTCGGTGCTGCAAGCGCCACCACGCGACGAGCAGCCCTTCACGCTCTGTGGGATGCTTGGGCTCGTGTCCATACGTAGCGCACTTTTCTTTTAAGTAAATGCAAGTCATGCAATACAAATTCACCCTTCTGTACGCTAACGACCGTCCAAGGCGTAACCCCTTCTGGAATTGCGCCATGTAGTCCGCCCGGCCGCTGGGGTCCGCGATCGACGGCATGATTGGGGGGCTAACTACGTCAAGATCAACTTCTTGGGCGGCGCTGTCAGAAGAACTCGACACCGGTCCTCCCCGTGGTCGTTCCACACCACGACCTGAGCGCACAGAGGGTTCTTGATCTGGTCGGCGCCTTGGTGAGAATACATGTTGCCCACGCGGGCTCTCTTCCTCGTACAACCGCACACCGCCGGGCAAACCGGGGTCCAACGAAATACTCAGTCCGCGAGTCGTATCATTTTTGGGCGAAATCATGTAGACCAGTGGTGGTCCTCGAACAATGAAGTCTCTCCATGCTCCTGTCAAAATAAAAACTCCCCCCTCCCCATATCAAAACGGAGATTTGCGTAGCATGGTTATCAAGTGAGTAGTCATGCTAGAAGGCAAAAGATGCAGACTGTCGTGCTGGATGGCGTCGGAAAGCCTTGCGTCTTGCTTCAGCGTGACAGGAGGCAACTCCACTGGAAGTGGGAAACAGCATGACCAATTGCCTGCAAAACAGGCCAAGACTGCGTCTCTTGTTGGCCTTCTAGCGAAGATACATACAAGTCGATTGGTGTAGTACGCAAAGAGAGCATCACAAATGTCCTTCTCGATATGGGTAGGGGGGATAATTTTTCTTTACAATACATGCCCGGCTTTCATCATGCCCCTGCTGCTGCGGCGACCGCGATGAGCAGCTCGCGGAGCTCTCCATACCGGGCGACGAACCCGGTGGTCCTGTGCTGGCGGCGCCGGGCGACGGATCAGCTCCGGGTGGTGACTCAGGACCTGAGTCGTGGTCAAAAAGGGGCCGCTTTCCTCCTTCTTCTGGATCTGGGATATTTGTGGTATAATTATTCGCTGTCCCTCCGTGACAATCATTTGCCGGCAACGTCGGGGGTCGGGGCTCTTCTAAACTCGAGCTGTACATGCGCACAGCTCCGACCCGCCAAATGCAGCTGCATAATAGCGGAGTAATTCTCTTTCGGCAGAGCCACGACATCTTCGATCTTAGGGTTACAGACGGTGATGTAGAAGATGCTGTTTCGGATTCAACAAAAAAAATGCGTATCAAGAAACAAACTGAAGTGGTACTTTATTTGGAGCTGGTAACGACAAACGAACGGCGCGATTGTGCAATAAGAATAAACAAATTTGATTTCAAACTAAAAACCACAATGAAGTCTAACTGGAGCTAGACGCAATCGATTTTCTTGGACAATCGCCACCAGCGTGACGCAGGTCTTGCATGGATGTGACACCGAGCCTCTTAGTGAAATAAAAATTGAGATTATATTTATGCAGCCCCCTGCAAAGTATATAAGAGCACCGATCTTCTAGAAGACGTGTTAGGTTCCGCTGTCAGTTAGGTTGCGGTGCGTCGCAGTGCCGTTGAAGCCTCGTAACTATCATTAACCTTTAGTATTCATATTGTCCGTTCTGCCGAATACGACAGAAATCGGTTTCTCAAGCAAACTCTAAGCAAGTAGGAAGTGAATAGGAGACAAGATCTGTTGGAAATTGCCGAGGCAGACAGCCGGACCACGACCACCGACCCCGCTGCTCAGAAAATGATTTGTTAATGCGGTGGTGCGGGTTCTCCATACGTCTATCACGGAGTGAGATCTTTTCTGGTGAAGTTTGTTTGTTTGTTGTGACTGATCTATCATGTGGAACCTGTTGAAGTTTTTCCTTTAGCCTCACGTCGTTAGCGCTGCTTTATCTTTAACAAAAAACACACGCTGGCTAAGCGACTTGTGGCTTAGACCCGAGGAGAAGGCGCCGCTGCTTAAAAAGTGAAATTTGCGTTTCATTTTCTCTCGATGAATTTTCAGGCACCTCGTCTTCAGTCCACCTGTCGCCAGCTCTTTGCGAGTCCGTGTCCTTGGCCATTGAGCTTCATACATCAACATCGTAAGTTGGTCCTGACGTTGCATGCTGGTCTTCACGCTGCAGCACCGTGCCCACGCAGGCCTTTCCCTATTCCGCGAAGCAGCCCCGGTTAAGTAAGCACGTCCCCACCAAGCTGCGCAGCTTCCTGGTGCGGACGAGCCCGAACCTGTCAGGAAGGTTGTAGCTGTACCTTCGCAGTGGCTCCTGTGCTGTCCGTTCCCCGCTCTTCAGTTCCTCGTCCCGTTCGTTCGTATAATCTGCTCGCGCTCGTCGTCGCGACGGCGCTTGTCCTCCTTTCTAACATTGCTCCATAGGCGGTCGCCAGCATATGAACGGACAAACTCCGAAAAGGTAACATAAATACGGCGAAACGATTCGAGGAGTTGCAGCATGGCCCCGAAATGGGTCGAGAATTTGACAGTTCTCGACTTGGGTCATTCGAGATTTTGGGACGGTGCAAAAAAAACGACTCGAGATTTTGCGCAGGTGCCTCTGAATCGATTCGAGAATTTGAAGGGGAGCAAAAAAAACGACTCGAGATTTCGCGAAGGTGTCTCTTGAGTCGAGTCGATTTCTGCGAGAACGGGCAAGTGGAGAAGCGCTTGTGGGGCCTTCTGGGTGTCGCAAAAGGCGTCCCGGCCGCAGTATGCGCGGGGCCCCCGAGTGCCCGAACAAATGGCCCGGCCGGAACCATTCGAGGGCCCGAAGTGGCCCCGGCCGGGGTGCTTCGGGTTTTTGAGAGGCTTCGGCCGCCTTTTTTTGTTGAGAATCTATCTCGGAGGAGCAGCCCGGCCGCGGCAACGAACTGTCTGTTGCCTGCCTTTCTAACATTGCTCCATCGGCGGTCGCCAGCACGAACTCACCGACAACGCACCGAGGTAACTCACCGACATTGCTCCATCGCCGCCCTGGTACCGACAACGTGAGGCTTTGCCTGCTCCAAAATCTCATGCCCTTGTGGCCAAGGGCATGAGATTCCGGGCTCCGAAGCCTCATGCTCTGGTGCCGAGGGCATGAGATTTTGCCTGCTCCAAAATCTTACGCCCTTGTGGCCAAGGGCATGAGATTCCGGGCTCCGAAATCTCAGCGCTCGATATTAATAACCTTCCCCCGACGGGTTCACGCCTGTGACGCCTGCCGCCGCCACCCCATCTCGACCTTCCTCTGCCGGAACCGTTTTGCTGCCCTACTCGAGCACCGTGCCACAAAAGCCACACCAATCCCCTGCGTGTGCTGCTTCTGCTCTACCCCGGTTCCCCTGCAGGGGATGGCCGGACGTGCTGCGTGCCAGCATTGTGATGCCATGGGCAGGCAAGTACGACGCTCATCCCCCTAGCCTGCTGGCCCCACAGTCGGCGCGGCCGTTGGACTTGGGAGGGCAGTCATGCCATAGCTTCGCAATTCGGTAGCTTTGTATTTGTTTTATACGATAGGAAGCAACCTGCGGCGCGCTGAAAAACAAAAAACAAGTTGCCTGGGTATCTTTCGGGCCGGCAACCTCCCGGCGTGGATATCTGCGGCCTCACGCTCTCCGTCTTGTCCAGGACAAGAACCCACTTCCGGAAGGCCCTCGGCTTTGCATTTTGTCCTTTTTGGCGCAGCCGCTGGCCCGGCGGCTTCCACGATGCGCATGCTCCTCGATTTCCCTGCTAATCTTTTGCGGTTTTTTAAAAGTGCCCACACAACACATGATCACTCACCCTGTGTTTTTTTTTGCTATGGTAGGCGATGGCACAAAAATTAATTCCATCACTACGCGCGCATCGTAAACATTTCACAGGACTAACATCAGACAATGTCAGGCAAACTGCGGTTTTCGTTTCTCTGGGTAACATTGCTCCATAGGCGGTCGCCAGCACGAACTCCAATACAGAGAGCGCGAACAAAAAACACTCATCGGTTCTTTTTGGTAAGATGTAAGATGGCTGCGGTCGGTGTCAGTATCCATCGTGACTGGAGCGCGCAGAAGTGACGTAGAATTCGGTTTCAAGTTACACGACGAGGTTCATCTCATGATCGGTCACTGAGAGTCACTGAGAGTCACTGAGAGTCACTGAGAGTTCTTTACATCGCGCCTGCACCCAGCGCGCGTTTTGATCTGGGGAAGATGTTTTGAGCTGTCGACGAGTCCATCGAATTCCAGTGACGAATTTAACGTTTTCCGCGTGGGCCGCACAACGGTATTTCCTGTGCTCCGTACATCGAGTTCCAGCGACGAATTTATTGTCTTCCGCATCTGCCGCACAGCGATAAATTCCGCAGCCGCCAAGAAACGCTGACGCCTGTTCCGTTGCGGGCGGTGAAACTTCTATTCAGCAAAGAAGCCTCCGCCGACTTCCCCCAGCAAAAGCCTCTACTCATCAACAAAGAAATGCGGCAACAAAGAAGATGGCGCAGTCCATAATTGTCGCAAGTCTAGATGAAGCTGAAGCCCTGCTACAAAGCATCGACGGCGCTCAGCCTTTTACATGGATCAAGGGTAACAACCAGTCGCTCCCGTTTGACGACGACCCAAGCACCGGTGAGAAAAGGCGAAGGATCTTTGAGTACATCGCTGAAGATGGGGCTACGGCTGCAGTGCAGGTCGACTATAGTGCGTTCAACGTTGATTACTCGGCGTTCAACCAGCAGCAACAAAAGCAGAAACCTAGTGGAGCAAAAGCAGGCGAACAGCAGCACTCGTCCAAGAAAGCAATCTCCAATGGCACTCCTCCGCCCACTACCTCTTCATCGCCCAATGACGACGAGGACGACGGTGCCACAGATTTTGCGACGCTGGACTACGATACGCTGTTTCTGAAAATCCTCACTCAGAACGTGAAGGCCGCGCAGCTCTCGGAGGGGCACCAGGATGCCTACAGACATGCCGATGGGTATGACATCGTTTTCCAGACCGAGACAAATTTGCTACGTTCCGCTGACCGCCTTGCATACAAGAAGTTGCTTCCCGATGAAGCGCAGCCGGCACCAGAAGATGACGCTGCTCAAGGGGTAAAAAGAATAACTTCATAACATTGCTCCATAGGCGGTCGCCAGCACGAACTCCAATACAGCGATTGATCGCCGAACTACAATACAGAGATCGCTCAAACCGCTCGAGCCCGACTTGGTGAACCTCGCCAAAAGCCGTGCCGATAATCGGCTCGCAAGTGCTTCGCCCCCAAGTGCCGCGGATGTGATCTCGCCGCAAGACCGGATCAACCCGACCATGCGTTGTTCCGCTCGATTATCCATGTAGTCTTTCAAAAAGACCACTACTTCAGATCCTGCTAAACCTGCCCCCGGACGTCCTTTTTTTCGTCTGTGCAGCGATACCACAAGCGACCCGCGCCGTATTCTTGGCTTTCATATTCATCGTGGTGTCCTCGATTTTTGTCTTTGCTCTTTGTCTTTCCTTCGCACAATTTTTATATGATAGGGACGCGCTGGGTGTCGGCGTTCGACTTCGAGTTCGTGTTCGCCTGCGTTGGATTATGCGTATGCTCGCTCAGGCTAATTCAGATGTGGCAGTCAGCACCGCGTTGTTCGGCTTCTCCTTGGTCGTCGTCACGCCCAATTACAACCAGTTCAGGCAACGACTAGTCATTGTCGCCGTGCCGCCCCAGCTACTTACAACTTCTTGCGCGAAGATGAGCAGTAGATCTTCGACACCGGGGTGAACAACTACCTACTTACTTACACCATTTTCTTCTTTTTTGCGTCGTCCAGAGAGCACGAGCACCACCTCGTCGACTACGTAAAGTCATTAATTTCAGGGGCACGACCTCCGCTCCTCGTCTGAGCCAGCCCTGCTTCCGTATTGGTATAATTGCATTCGTATTCCAAATCCAATCCATAGATCCGCCATCATTCGGTCAGAGCCCCGCAGTCACCTGAAATTTAGGAGCGCCCAGCCGGCCGCGGCGACATACACGGCGCCAGCAGCTGCGGTGACCGCCTGCACCGTCGTTTGAGCCAGCGCTAGCGTTTCACACAGAAAAGGACTACACCCATAGTACTTAAGTATCTCCATCCTTTGAAAAATGATTGTTGCAGCTTATCGCGCAGCACGCGCCACTCTGCCTTGCATGTTCCGCAAGATAAACGTATTTGGTCAGTACACATCGCCACCTCGTAATGAGCTATCATCATCATCATCATCATCATGTAGTGGACACCCGCACCGAGCGCCACAGGTCAAGGATCCCCTCTCCGGTGGGTGGGCGAGGAAGCACTTTCGGCCTGGGCCTGCAAGTTGCGTTTAGCATGACAAGGAAGTGCCGCCATAATCGCGGTTCTCCCATTTTCTATACATAGATGAACATGAGGTACAATTTATATATATCGCAACAGAAATACACTTTTTTTGTTTATTCCTGGCATGGGTACGGGTACTTTTCTTTGGATATCGCGGATTTATGGTGGTGGTCGTGGTGGTGGTCGTGGTGATGATCGGCTCCGTGTCACATGCAAATATGTCTTGGTCTGGAAAGTCAAAGTTGGAACTGGTGCTGGCAATGCTGGTTATATATTCCTCAGAAATTTGTATTGCATGAGACCAACAGAAGTCGCAGCCTCTGTTGTGATGCAAAGCCGCAGTTTCTAATGCGGACTGCGCATGAGAAAGCTTTCTACACACTTCTTTTCTTATGCTGGGCTGCATGCGAAAGTGTTTCAATCGTCCACAGTTCAGCATCACAAGTTTCCAGAGCCAGACACATTTGCACTGAATACTCCGGAACGATCTGCCCCACCTCAACGCCCGGCACCCCGGTCGCAGTGACGGCTGCGTTGTATGACAATGCCCAACTCCCGCCCCTCTGATGCCGGAACGGCAACACAAGCAACGGCAGAAATGGGCGTTCCGCGTGACGAACCTACATACGGACTGTAGTACTGTTTCAGGTTTCGAAATTTGTCATGCAAACAGTGCTTCAACGCAAGTGGTGGATTCGGTATTTATTTCCATCACAAAAAATGAGGGGGAGGGGGAGTTGTGCACCGTCATACATTGATGTCGTTTTTCAGAACCTCCGCACGATCGGCGCTCAGCCCTGTCTCGCTAGGCCAGAACGTTTCCAGAAGCGCAAAGTCGTCGACACTCCCGCGCAGAGCGAAGGCAAAGTTCAACGTGAGAAACATATTCTCTCGGCGCCCCCGTGTTGTTTGTTCCACAGCGCTGGAAGGGGCAACTACCCCCACCGCGTACTTTATGCACATGAAAAGAAACGCCTCCTGAAGAACAAGAAACGCCTTGGTGATATAAAGAATCTTGATCTTCATCCCAATAAGGTACACAGACTGGGCAACGACCGGAGCAGAAAAGCACATCAGACTGGTCCATCAGCAGCATGGGAGGAAAGTCGGAACAGGACCAATCAGGCAGTGTCGTGCAAATTCGAACATTTTTCTGCATGTGCCAGCAACACAAATCGAAATCCTTGATGCATAACAGCAAAAAAAAAATCCGTGTCGCGAAAAGGCAGCCACGCGGTCCTGCTTTGATTCAACTACAGAGTCTGAGGCTGCAAAATGTGCCTTAGTCATTCAGAATCTCTCTCATGCAAGAGAGAGAGAGAGAGAGAGAGCGAGAGCAGGTCCGGTAGTTGGAATAAACTTTCCACTCCAGCAGGCACATTTCGCATGTCGGAGGGCGGGGCACTTTTCATTTCGATACGTTGCCTGCGGTCTCCTTTATTATGCGCGTCGAAGAGCTCGGGCAGCAGCAGCAAACCCGGTGGTGGAGTTGTTGTTGTGATGAGTTGCGCAGAAACGACGGACAGAACTGGATTCTCCAGGTCGGAAATGGTCAAATTGGAAAGCCCCGACTGCTGCAGGAATGCTAGCGTGCCGTCCGCCATGGAACTTAGCAGGTCCGGGTCTTGCACCAGTTCCGTTTGGTCGACGGTGTCGCTCACGGTCAAAATTTCCACGAATTGCCGCGGCGCGAGCCCTGGAGTCGTGGTCGTGGTCGTTGTCGTCGTGTCTTCCGCGCACCCCACAAAGTCTACCTCGGCCCCCGCGTCCGGGCAGAACAGGCGCGGGGCTTCGCCAGTGTACTGGGTCGTGTTGCACACTCTATCCCACAGAAAAAAGCAGGCAGGGTATATTGGTATTGGTATTGGTATTTGTAATGCAACAATAAACACACAGAAAGTTGTAGATCTGCCATGGGCGGCACCATAGCATTCTGTTTCGGATGACCATGCGTGTATTCATGATTTTCATTTTTCTTTTTGCATATACGAGTATGACCTGCCTGCTTTTTTCTGTGCGATACACTGCACCCACTACCGCGAGCGCGTCCGAGCCGTTCATCGGCGGCAGCATACTATCGCTGGCCAGGAGCTGCTTCCAGTCCACACCTTCCACGTCGAGCCGGTCGCTTAGATACGAGTCCCCCCCGGGTTCCGTGCACCCCTGCTGGCAACACCCCAACAGGCAGCTCGCCGTTGGAAAACTGCCGTTTGCTAGCGCTTCGGCTTCCGAAAGGGCGATGCAGTAAGTATCCGGAAGTCTGCTGATATAGTACGCGTGGTCTGTCTGGTTCGGGGTGGGGCAGGTCACGCCCGCACATGTCGGGTAGCAGCTTTGCTCGCCACGGGAAGGCCAGCCGGACCGCAGTCGATAGTTGGCGTCGCAGCTTTTGCAGTATTCCGCTTCGTGCGCAACGCAAAACCCGGAGGTCTCCAGCTCGCCGTTGTGGCAAACGCACACGGTGGTCGTCGTCGTAGTTGTCGTCGTGGTCGTGTTCTCACCACACCCGACAAACTCCACCGCACTTCCGGCGGCGGGGCAAAAAAACCGCGGCGGGTCTCCCGTATACTTCGTTTCATTGCAAACGGCCCCCGCGAAGGCCAGGGCCGCGCCCTCGTTCATGGGCGGCAGCATGGCATCGGCGGCAAGCATCTGCGTCCAATTCACTGAGGTCGTGTCCACCCTCCTGCGCAGGTTCGAGTCACCGGCTGGCTCGGTGCAGCCCTGCTGGCAACATCCGGAAAGGCACCCGCTTTCCGGATAGGTCCCCTCGGCGAGCGCAGCTGCCTCCGGCAGCCCCAGGCAGTAGGTATCGCCCAACCGGCTGATGTAGTACGCTTTGTCAGTGATATTCGGGGTCGGGCACGTGACGCCGCTGCAGACCGGATAACAACTCTCTTCCCCCCGAGAGGGCCAGCCGCTCCGGAGGCGATAATGTTCGTCACAACTCTTGCAGTATTCGGCCTCGTGCCCAACACAAAACCCCAAAGTCTCAAGCTCGCCATTGTGGCAGACACAAACGGTGGTGGTGGTCGTTGTGGTGGTAGTCGTGGTATTGTCAGCGCACCCAACAAATTGGATCTGGCCCCCGGCGGCAGGACAAAAAAACCGCGGCGGGTCACCAGTGAACTGCGCCCCGTCACAGACAGCCCCTGCAAAGGCGATCGCGTTGCCGCTGGAGACAGGAGGAAGCATTGCGTCACTAGCTAGCGTCTGAGTCCAGTTTACTGCCGCAGTATCCACCCTGTGATATAAAAAAAAGTCGTTTTTTCGCAACCAAAAACTAGTACTCTGTTTGTCAGCATCAGTTTTAAGGCATTTCAAGCAGATTTACTTCACCATCCAAGTCAAGGCCAAAAAAAAAGACTCAAAGCACTCACATACCTCTTTTCCAGCTCTGAGTCCGCAGCAGGCTCAGTGCACCCTTGCTGGCAGCAGCCGGCAAGACAGCTGGCCTCTGGAAAAACGCCTTCCTGCAGAGCTTCTGATTGGGAAAGGCCAATGCAGTAGGTGTCACCCAGCCTGCTTATGTAGTATGCGCTGTCCGTGAGGTTTGGCGTCGGACAAGTAACTCCCTCGCAAATGGGATGGCATCCATGTTCACCGGTCTCGGGCCAGTCCATTCGCAGGCGATAATGTTCGTCGCAACTCTTGCAGTATTCCGCCTCGTGCCCAACACAGAACCCCGAAGTCTCAAGCTCGCCATTGTGGCAGACACAAACGGTGGTAGTAGTCGTTGTGGTGGTAGAGGTAGTCGTGGTATCGTCAGCGCACCCAACAAATTGGATCTGGCCCCCGGCGGCAGGACAAAAAAACCGCGGCGAATCACCAGTGAACTGCGCCCCGTCACAGACAGCCCCTGCAAAGGCGATCGCGTTGCCGCTGGAGACAGGAGGAAGCATTGCGTCACTAGCTAGCGTCTGAGTCCAGTTTACTGCCGCAGTATCCACCCTGTGATATAAAAAAAAGTCGCTTTTTCGCAACCAAAAACTAGTATTCTGTTTGTCAGCATCAGGTTTAAGGCATTTCAAGCAGATTTACTTCACCATCCAAGTCAAGGCCAAAAAAAAGACTCAAAGCACTCACATACCTCTTTTCCAGCTCTGAGTCCGCAGCAGGCTTAGTGCACCCTTGCTGGCAGCAGCCGGCAAGACAGCTGGCCTCTGGAAAAACGCCTTCCTGCAGAGCTTCTGATTGGGAAAGGCCAATGCAGTAGGTGTCACCCAGCCTGCTTATGTAGTATGCGCTGTCCGTGAGGTTTGGCGTTGGACAAGTAACTCCCTCGCATATGGGATGGCATCCATGTTCACCGGTCTCGGGCCAGTCCATTCGCAGGCGATAACTCTCGTCACAACTCTTGCAGTATTCCGCCTCGTGCCCAACACAGAACCCCGAAGTCTCAAGCTCCCCATTGTGGCAGACACAAACGGTGGTGGTGGTCGTTGTGGTGGAAGTCGTGGTATTGTCAGCGCACCCAACAAATTGGATCTGGCCCCCGGCGGCAGGACAAAAAAACCGCGGCGGGTCACCAGTGAACTGCGCCCCGTCACAGACAGCCCCTGCAAAGGCGATCGCGTTGCCGCTGGAGACAGGGGGAAGCATTGCGTCACTAGCTAGCGTCTGAGTCCAGTTTACTGCCGCAGTATCCACCCTGTGATATAAAAAAAAGTCGCTTTTTCGCAACCAAAAACTAGTATTCTGTTTGTCAGCATCAGTTTTAAGGCATTTCAAGCAGATTTACTTCACCATCCAAGTCAAGGCCAAAAAAAAAGACTCAAAGCACTCACATACCTCTTTTCCAGCTCTGAGTCCGCAGCAGGCTCAGTGCACCCTTGCTGGCAGCAGCCGGCAAAACAGCTGGCCTCCGGAAAAACGCCTTCCTGCAGAGCTTCTGCCTGGGAAAGGCCAATGCAGTAGGTGTCACCCAGCCTGCTTATGTAGTATGCGCTGTCCGTGAGGTTTGGCGTCGGACAAGTAACTCCCTCGCAAATGGGATGGCATCCATGTTCACCGGTCTCGGGCCAGTCCATTCGCAGGCGATAATGTTCGTCACAACTCTTGCAGTACTCCGCCTCGTGCCCAACACAGAACCCCGAAGTCTCAAGCTCGCCATTGTGGCAGACACAAACGGTTGTAGTCGTAGTGGTCGCATCGCGCAAAAATACTGCATGGTCACCATATACTATTTACAGTGCCTTTTTCTGTTACGTCTCTATTCGTCGGCTTTCCGCCTCCGTGGCGTCGTTTGAGCAAACACCTCGCATGCCAGACCAAATTCGCTTCCAAAATGCGTATGCAAAAGAAACGAAGACCTTCTATACACACTCTACAAAAAAACATTACACAATGCCAATGCGTCCCTCTGCATTTCAAGAAGATCACGGTGACACTAGCGATTTTTCTTTTTGCGGATAGGTTGTAGTTGTCGTGGTGTTTTCCGCACATCCAACAAATAACACCTCGCTCCCCGCCGTTGGGTATCATGACAAAAGCTATTCTCTTCTCGAACTTTCAATGGAGTATTTGGAATTTCCCACGTCAAATGCTTATTTGCGTCCGGACGAAGCCAAACATTTTAAGTGCGATTCGAAATCGACGCAAGGGCAAGTCAGACCGCGGTTTTCACTGCGTGGTACCTACTTGCTCCACGTATGAATGAGAATACGCTTTCAAGACGCAAACTCCTTCATCTCCATAAGGGGCAATAAAACTTCGGAGTGTGGAATCAGAATGACACAAGTGAGTCGCATTATTTTCTTTACAACTTCGCTTACGACTTAGCACCACACTTCGTAGACGTTGCTAATCGTCGCACGAAAATGCCCACGAACTTTCATGTGACGGCACAAAAATTAAAACTCGGTGCAAATTAATGCATCTTCATGCAAATTAAGTTGCGACCGTAGTGAGCTCCTTTCACTTTACACACAGAGCGACTCGGCCAATTCGCGATGAGCCAGAGCAAAAGAAAATGTGTGTGCAGGAGCTTAATTGCGATTCATTGTGACGAATGTTCTCGTGTGATATGGAACGCTTCCCGTGTACTGCGTATCATTGCAGACGGCTCCAGCGAAAGGGATTGCTTCGTCGACGTGCCATTAACACGAAAACTACTGTCGCTCAGCTTTAGTTTTGAAGATGCACAATTATAAGCATAGATGATACAAATTGAGCATGAGAAGGCGTCTTGCGTCTGCGACTGTAAAAGAAAGACTTCATCGTCAACAAGCTAGAAATAGGATGTGACATCAGTAGCAAAGTGGATACTTACGCAGAAAGCAGCTACGTACTCACACGCGACTCCTGTATTAAACTCCTTTACAAGCAAGTGACATTCTGCCAAATGGAAGCCGTCACGGTTACTATTCTGGCTGCAGCGCCAATCATTCAAATCATGCAAGTCCGCATTTTTGAAAGCACCAGGTGAGAAAGCGTCAATGTGCTGGTAGAATGACGAGCGCACGCTTCTTAGTTGTGCCATGTGCATAGTACATTACTCATCTTCAAGCATTTGATGCACAGCCGCGGGGCATCTGCGACTGGGAGCAAGAGGAAAAACCTTATCAGGACTGCTGCGACACCTGGCGTTTCCACCTTGTGCTTTTCGCAAAGCCACCAGCAGTTTTCGTTTATTGCTTTCCTCTCTACTTCATAAAGCCATGGGTGGAAGCATACTGTCGCCCGTGAGAAGCTGGTGCCAGCTGAGTCCCGAAACATCCACTCGTTTTCGAAGATCGGATTGTGCGTCCGGTTCTTTGCACCCCTGGCGGCAGCATCCCGCTCGGCAGCCGGCTACCGGAAACTATCAAATGTAAAAATGTCTGGGTCTGGAAACTTGTGATGCTGGGTGGCGTCTCATGATGAGGCCAGAAATGCTGGCTCAGCATCACAAGTTTCTGAGCTTCTAGGTGTTGCCTATTCTGCATGACAAACTGCGTTTCTGCATCACAGAAAAATGGAGCTCTTGGGTAACTTGCATGACAGATTTAAGAGTCATGCCAGACAAGCATGACAAACATGCATTCTTCCAGACCCAGACATTTTTACATTTGATAGAAACACGCCGGGCGCAAGAGCGTCGGCAGCGGAAATGCTCATGCAGTACGTATCCTCTAGTCTGCATCCAGAGTAAAAACGTCCCCACCTGATAGTCATGTCAGATTCGCATACACAAGCCAAAAAAATTCTGGCTGTGTGCTGCGCATGACATAGTACACAGACTGTGCTAAAACTGCGGCAAAACTTCGCGCGCCAGATGGTTCATTGTGCAAGAAGACTTTCCTATGGGTCTGTGGTGTAGTCATGGTTTTGGTTATTCTTATTTCGTGCAATCAAGTTCCTTCTATATCTTGTTTCAAGCAGCATAACAAATTCTCAGATATTGACATCGGCGAGCGCTTCGCATGGAGTCCTCCTCTTCCCGCATGAGGAACAATTTGCATTTGGTTTTGGGCACGGCACTTTAGTCGTAGATCCAGACTTGCATGACAAAAAATATTGGGTGAGGGCGTCGTTTTATTTACACAGGATATTCTGCTCACATAGTAAGACCCATCCGAGGGATCCGGTGCGAGGCAGGTCGCCCCCCCGCACGTGGGGAAGCAGCTTTTCTGCCCGTCAGCTGGCCAATTCTCCCGGAGGCGATAGTTGTCGTGGCAGCTGCTACAGTATTCCGCGAGCTGCCCTGGGCAGGTGCCCGTGCTCTCCAGATCCCCGTTGTGGCAGATGCAGACCGTGGTACTGGTAGTGGTGCTCGTGGATGTGGTGGTGGACGTCGTTGTGGTGCTCATACACGTTCCAACAAGCTGTTTCTGTTGTGGTTTCTATTTTTCTCAAAATGCCGCGCCGGCCTCTGAAACGCACTCGCAGAAAGCCGCCCCCGCCCCGTTCGATCAATACTAGCAACCGCGTCCACGACCTTCTCGATAGTGTAGTTGCAGCTGAAGATGTCTGTACAAATACATGTACATCTCTCGGAACCTACAAAACCGCAAGCGGTGGCCCAGTTCGTTCGGAGAAATTCGGTTGGGTTGATCTTGTTGAGGGGTTGCGGAAAGCAGGGGTTGCGGGATCATAGGGTAGGGCGGGCTACTTGAGAGGCGGGCAGCTTGCGAGCGGTGGTTCGTGTGAGGGCCAGCTGTGAGAGATCGGTGGCTGCGAGCAGGCCGGTCGCTCCCGAACGCCGCGCCTGCGGAATAGATCTGGCAGCAACAAACATTTGACGGCGGCGGCGATTTTTTTTTAGGCGTACTATGGCTCGCAGTGGACTTTGAAATTGTAAAAAGATAAAGAACATCAAGGGTGCATTTTGAAAAAGCGAGAACGCCTGCTACAGAAACAGATTTTTGGACGCTCATAGTCGTGCTCGTGGACGTCGTTGTCGTTGTGCTCGTCACGGCCTCGTCGCATCCGAGGAACTGTACCTCGCTCCCCGCCGCCGGACAGAAGAACTTGGGCGCGTCGCCGTGCCACACCGTTTCATTGCACACCGCACCCGAAAACGTCATCGCCCCGTTGCTGCTCATGGGCGGCACCATGTCCTGCTTTGTCAGGAGATCCTTCCACTCGATGGCACTCACGTCCACCTTCCGCAACAGGTCCGAGGATGCTGCCGGGGCCGTGCAGCCCTGCAGACAACACGAAGCCCTGCACGCCGTCACGGGAAACGCCCCGGCCGCGAGCGCCTCCGCCTCCGAGAGGTTATCACAAAAGGTATCAGCGAGACGGCTGATGTAGTACGAACCGTCGCTGACATCCGGGGCCAGACAATCAGCTCCCCCGCACGTGGGGTAGCAACTTCGCTGGCCCGCAGTTGGCCAGTCCACCCGCAGTCGGTACGTGGTGTCGCAGCTCTTGCAGTATTGCGCATCGATTCCCAGGCACAGACCACTGGCGTCTATGGCCTTCTCAAGTAGTTAGTACATTCCCGACCGCTCCTGCATGAATTTGGGATGCTAAAACAACCGCGCCGTGGTCTGTCCCCTCGTCCATTATCGCTACGGAAGCAAGCGGCCTCCGCAGGCGCTGGAAAGGAATTGTAGCAAACGTGAAAGGATGGACCGTGCGTGGCTTACATAATTACTTAGTTACAGATGATTCGGTGCGTTCTATACCCTATTTAGCGCGTCGAGAACTTGCTACGCGAAGAAACTTGATCGTGTGCAGTGTGCTAGTGCAGCTCCTGCGTGACGATTTCATGCAACAGTTAAGCATGTAACGTTTGAGAATCTCATAGTTTCCACGTCTCCGTTGTGGCAAACGCAGGGCGTCGTGGTGGTCGTGGTCGTGGTGGTACTCTCTGCACAGCCAACGAACGCAACTTCAGCACCCGCACTGGGGCAGTAAAACGCAGGAGTGGCACCGGTGTATTTTGTCTCGTCGCACTGGGCGCCGGCAACTGCGATCGCGTCGCTGCTGTTCATACCAGGAAGCATATCGTCGCCCGCTAGCGGCTGCGCCCAATCAATGGCAGTTGTGTCCACCCTCTCCTCAAGCTCAGACGCAGGGGCCGGCGCAGTGCATCCTTTCTGGCAACACGCGTGCACGCACCCTACTTCCGGAAAAGTGCTTTCCTTGAGCGCGTCTACGGTGGAAAGGCCGCTACACTCGGTACTGTTTGACTTCCTTATGTAATAAGCCTGGTCCGGTGCATTTGGCGCTGCGCAGGTAACGCCTGCACAGGTGGGGTAACAGCTTGTCTCGCCCGTCGCCGGATAGTCCACTTTCCGGACGTAGTTCGCGTCGCACTCCTTGCAATGCTGCGCTTCGTGGTGCGCGCACTGTCCTGAAGTCTCAAGCACCCCGTTGTGGCACACGCACACTGTGGTGGTGGTGGTCGTAGTCGTCGTGGTCGTGGTGGTTGACGTAGTGGTAGTGGTGGTCGTAGTAGTCGTGGTAGTCGTGGTGGTACTCTCTGCACAGCCAACGAACGCAACTTCAGCACCCGCACTGGGGCAGTAAAACGCAGGAGTGGCACCGGTGTATTTTGTCTCGTCGCACTGGGCGCCGGCAACTGCGATCGCGTCGCTGCTGTTCATACCAGGAAGCATATCGTCGCCCGCTAGCGGCTGCGCCCAATCAATGGCAGTTGTGTCCACCCTCTCCTCAAGCTCAGACGCAGGGGCCGGCGCAGTGCATCCTTTCTGGCAACACGCGTGCACGCACCCTACTTCCGGAAAAGTGCTTTCCTTGAGCGCGTCTACGGTGGAAAGGCCGCTACACTCGGTACTGTTTGACTTCCTTATGTAATAAGCCTGGTCCGGTGCATTTGGCGCTGCGCAGGTAACGCCTGCACAGGTGGGGTAACAGCTTGTCTCGCCCGTCGCCGGATAGTCCACTTTCCGGACGTAGTTCGCGTCGCACTCCTTGCAATGCTGCGCTTCGTGGTGCGCGCACTGTCCTGAAGTCTCAAGCACCCCGTTGTGGCACACGCACACTGTGGTGGTGGTGGTCGTAGTCGTCGTGGTCGTGGTGGTTGACGTAGTGGTAGTGGTGGTCGTAGTAGTCGTGGTAGTCGTGGTGGTACTCTCTGCACAGCCAACGAACGCAACTTCAGCACCCGCACTGGGGCAGTAAAACGCAGGAGTGGCACCGGTGTATTTTGTCTCGTCGCACTGGGCGCCGGCAACTGCGATCGCGTCGCTGCTGTTCATACCAGGAAGCATATCGTCGCCCGCTAGCGGCTGCGCCCAATCAATGGCAGTTGTGTCCACCCTCTCCTCAAGCTCAGACGCAGGGGCCGGCGCAGTGCATCCTTTCTGGCAACACGCGTGCACGCACCCTACTTCCGGAAAAGTGCTTTCCTTGAGCGCGTCTACGGTGGAAAGGCCGCTACACTCGGTACTGTTTGACTTCCTTATGTAATAAGCCTGGTCCGGTGCATTTGGCGCTGCGCAGGTAACGCCTGCACAGGTGGGGTAACAGCTTGTCTCGCCCGTCGCCGGATAGTCCACTTTCCGGACGTAGTTCGCGTCGCACTCCTTGCAATGCTGCGCTTCGTGGTGCGCGCACTGTCCTGAAGTCTCAAGCACCCCGTTGTGGCACACGCACACTGTGGTGGTGGTGGTCGTAGTCGTCGTGGTCGTGGTGGTTGACGTAGTGGTAGTGGTGGTCGTAGTAGTCGTGGTAGTCGTGGTGGTACTCTCTGCACAGCCAACGAACGCAACTTCAGCACCCGCACTGGGGCAGTAAAACGCAGGAGTGGCACCGGTGTATTTTGTCTCGTCGCACTGGGCGCCGGCAACTGCGATCGCGTCGCTGCTGTTCATACCAGGAAGCATATCGTCGCCCGCTAGCGGCTGCGCCCAATCAATGGCAGTTGTGTCCACCCTCTCCTCAAGCTCAGACGCAGGGGCCGGCGCAGTGCATCCTTTCTGGCAACACGCGTGCACGCACCCTACTTCCGGAAAAGTGCTTTCCTTGAGCGCGTCTACGGTGGAAAGGCCGCTACACTCGGTACTGTTTGACTTCCTTATGTAATAAGCCTGGTCCGGTGCATTTGGCGCTGCGCAGGTAACGCCTGCACAGGTGGGGTAACAGCTTGTCTCGCCCGTCGCCGGATAGTCCACTTTCCGGACGTAGTTCGCGTCGCACTCCTTGCAATGCTGCGCTTCGTGGTGCGCGCACTGTCCTGAAGTCTCAAGCACCCCGTTGTGGCACACGCACACTGTGGTGGTGGTGGTCGTAGTCGTCGTGGTCGTGGTGGTTGACGTAGTGGTAGTGGTGGTCGTAGTAGTCGTGGTAGTCGTGGTGGTACTCTCTGCACAGCCAACGAACGCAACTTCAGCACCCGCACTGGGGCAGTAAAACGCAGGAGTGGCACCGGTGTATTTTGTCTCGTCGCACTGGGCGCCGGCAACTGCGATCGCGTCGCTGCTGTTCATACCAGGAAGCATATCGTCGCCCGCTAGCGGCTGCGCCCAATCAATGGCAGTTGTGTCCACCCTCTCCTCAAGCTCAGACGCAGGGGCCGGCGCAGTGCATCCTTTCTGGCAACACGCGTGCACGCACCCTACTTCCGGAAAAGTGCTTTCCTTGAGCGCGTCTACGGTGGAAAGGCCGCTACACTCGGTACTGGTTGACTTCCTTATGTAATAAGCCTGGTCCGTTGCATTTGGCGCTGCGCAGGTAACGCCTGCACAGGTGGGGTAACAGCTTGTCTCGCCCGTCGCCGGATAATCCACTTTCCGGACGTAATTCGCGTCGCACTCCTTGCAATGCTGCGCTTCGTGGTGCGCGCACTGCCCTGAAGTCTCAAGCACCCCGTTGTGGCACACGCACACTGTGGTCGTATCAGTTGTTGTCGAGTCAGTGCCACGAACGCAGTGCAGCGACTGCGGTATCAACAAACTGAGCAGTCCAAGCAGCACAAGTGAGGAACAACGGCCTCGGATATTGAAACTCTGCGTCAACAGACGACGCGAATGCCCCCAGCAACCACTTCGCGGCGCACCTGAACCGCGTATCGAAAAGACAAAAAAACTTTTCGGCAAAAATCCCACGACGCATGCGCGTCTTTTTGCATACTTACGGAGGTAGTTTGTATACTTTATTTTCGACATACATGTTTTTGAAAGTACAATCCCTTGGTCGCTACGATTGGAGTTCGACGATGGTCCAAATCCTTTATGTTTACCATTTCCGTTCGACAGGAGTCTTTAATCCTTCATGGAAGCGGAAATACTTTCCGTAATCCAGCAGAAAGTAGTGCAAGACGAAACCTCCAAGAAGGAATCCCGCGTATTAAATGCGGCTTATGTATGGAAAAGGGCTTATGTGCAAAACCTCCGTGAGTGCCACTTCTACAGAGTTCTAGGTTGTCTTTTCCAGCATAGCAGCACATCCGCAAATATCCGCAGCGCCATGCACCATCTGTGTCGTCAGGTACAATTTGGGAAAATGCTCCTGCGGTCGGGTCCCAGGGTGAAAAATACGGCGAACACTACGGACCTCGTGCTAGTAGTGCTGGTAGAAAGATACTTACTCCAAGAGGCAGGGCGAAGGGCGCAGTCAAAATCTTCTGTCAGCGTATCACAGCACTCGAAAACGCTGATATTTCCGTGCAGCAGCCCGGCCGCAGCTCTCGTCGGTATTAAAATGTCACGCCGATGAAAAGATACTGCGTAGTACACGCGACCACCGTTCTGCTCGACGAGTAAGAAAAAGGCTGTGGCTGAGCAAACGCTGCCGCTGCGTTACGAAACGACACTGACTCCCTGCTGGTCCCAGCAGCATCAGTTGTACATCATCAAGTGGGTCATTATGTTCGAAAGAGCTGTGACGCAGTCCAAACAGAAACATCTTGCGGTGACAATTGTAAACAGGCTGATAATATCGTCGATCTGGTAGTACATACAACTACCGGTCCGATGGTGTACAACGCGCGTACTTAATGCAGCTGACGAAAGGTTGCCGCCTCCAGGTGGGAACTGATGGGCCCATCGGGGCTTCGGATTCATGCTCGGAGACTACTTACCGTGACGCTGAGCGTTCCTGTTGCACTTGCAACGAGGCACAGACCTGTACTATGGAAGATCAAGAGATCATAGGTGCATGCAAACCGAACAGTTTTCCCAGCACCCCCCTGCGCAGCGTCAAGCGGTCCCGTGACGCTCATCCGTCTATAACCTTCGACCGCTTGGTCTTGGTGCTAGCTCACCGGTGGTATCCATTTGCCATTCAGTTCTTTGGACTGCGCAGTCAAGACAACAACGACGTGGACAAAAATCTATCCATGTAGCTGCCACATCATGATTTGATTTTGAAATGTCCACATAGCAAGCAAGCGTATTATAGCAAAGATATATTCAAATCATGGAGATACTTACCTGTATACCGTATTCTGTATTCTTATTCTACATGTAATCATATTAAATCAAGCCTACTTCTTGGAAGACGGTGTGCACGTGTAGTGCATCATACCTAGATTGTATAATATCTCGAGTGTCCTAGTAGCACCATCAGGGCTTTTTCATTCTTGTTCTGCAGTCCAAATTCGGTCGAGTTTTAACTTGTCGAAGCCGCGCAGAGCGATGAAGAATAACCCGCGCAATCAGCGGCGAGAATTTCAACATAATAAAAATAGATTTTAGACTTGACATTCTTGTTTTCCTGGCGACCGCGACTTCAAAAATTTTGATTTTACACAGAATATTTTCGATATTTTTTCCCCCTACCTAGTCTAAGCATCCCAACAACCATGTACTCATCTTCATGGACATGCCACGACAACGCGGAGCTTTGTATCTTGATTGAATTGCGGCGGTCGTTCAGGCTTTCTTTGGGCTTGTACCGATTGGTGGGGTTGTCGTAGCACTGCTCTGCAGCATATCCAAATGAAGAATCTCCCCTTCGCAGACTCCTATTTCCTTACGCAAACAGCACCTGTGCTGCGCAAGGGGATTCCACGCATGTTCATCTACATGGCTCGTTGAGGTCTGCAGTAGTGCAGCTGCGAAGAATTGGTCTCTTGTAGAGGCACACGTGTTTTTACAGATGACCGCCAGAAAAATCTATAACTCCTTGCGTACATAAATCCAGCATCATAACTTCCTTTTTGAGTACTTACGTATGGGCAAGTGGGAGGATTTTTCCTTACGATACTGCACTGTTGTGAAGGTCTGACTGAAACGCGTCGTCAAGCCTTCTGCTTTTTCCTCCACAACGTCTGCTTTGTCCAGAACAGACACCGCTAGGTCATGTCCCCGTTGTCCAAACCTTCCCACGAAAACGTCTTTGCTTTCGCCGCTGTCCACTAGGTGTCGCACTACGTCTTTGGCCTCCTGGACGGTCTGCACCTTCTGAAACCTCTCACTGTGGTCCATAATGACGGTAAGCTCGTCGGTACTCAGCTTTTGAGTCGAGAGTCTGGCAGACGCTTCCTCTGCGGCAATCTGTTCTATCAGGTCGGTCATGCCCGGCAGGCCCCGTTGCAGTTCTTCTTCCGTTAGTTGCTTCACTTTGTAGGTGCCTCGAACTTTCAGCGCAATACCGGTCCAGATCGGAATGATCACGCACACGAAGACGGCCATAATCGCAATTGCGTGCAGGTGCACCGGTATGCAACCGGGCGACCACGACAGCTCTTTGTGCTGCGACCTGCACTTCTGCTCCGATAAGCGAGAGCTCAAGAAAACCAAATGCATTTCGAACTGCGGTGCATAGTCTCATCTGCTACCTACTTACTTTTCAACAACTATGTCTATTCACGGTTCTGTAGCAGGTACGTGGCTACTAGTTGGAGATCTGTTGTAGCCACAAATCAGCATCATTTGAGTAAGGGAAGGATGCATTTCTGTTCATGATATGTCATGTTCGCCAACATAAGCCACCACGTTAGGTTGCTCTGTCCTACCTGAATCACGGGACGACCGGGCTCCGGTACAACAGTCGGATACCCTGTGTAAAAACGTTCCGCCAATCCCAGACTTGTATGTAATGCAGCTGCACATTTGCACGTCGAACGTGTGCACTTACTTACTTACTTAATTTCGTCCTGCAATCGTCAAGATAGACAAGTGACTCTGCTGCAGCACCGGCGTGCTGCTCCCCGGTCGGCACTACATAATAAATTGCAGGCTGACGCCTGTCATGCGCAAGCGCAACTCGCAAAAGTTCTGCATTAGTGTAGCAGAGGCAGAGCTCCCATCCTGATTATGGGGCGGATACACTGTTACACAAGGTATCGGAAAGAACCGATCTACCGGTCGCTGCTTCATGATATACCAACGACCCGGCGTGTCCATCGAATCATAATACAGCTGCGTCGCTGCCTATCAAACAGGAAAAGTTCGTTCTTACGATCACTCATCAACGATCTTGCACCACAACAACGTCTGTGCTGCATCAAAAGGCACCACGGTCCTACTTAATTAATACGTATTTTCGTTTTCGTTTTTCCTTGTTGTGTTTGTGCGACCTGCAAAATTACTAGTGACCCCCCCGACGAACTTTTTCCTCTCCATACTACCACTGCTATGACCAAAATAGTCGCGTACCACGCGACTTCGAGCTGCGGTTGCGGATGTGTTTTTTCGTGATTTACCCATGCGAACATGATAAACGTCTGAGTGCTATTGCTGTCAGTGTCACCAGATTCTTTTAGATTAACCTCTGAGTGTGAACAACCAAGGAAGGCGAGATGACATCAAGCTCAACGACAATACGGAGGCACATATGATTTCGTTGGAGCATTAGACCCACTGAAACACAAAACAAAAATTGATTGGTATACTATAATGACGAGTACTATTTGCTTAAGGTATACCAGATACAGTCCTTTCATGTTGAAGTCGTAGTAGACAAGGAAGATCCAAAGGTCGCGCTTCCACCCGCTTCCCCCCGCATTCTTCTTCTTTTTCTTGTGGCTCCCGTTCGCGCGAAGCCGTGAATCCTCCTCGCGAGCAAGCTGCTCCTCCGCAGCGCGAGCCTTGCGGCACTTATTCCCTTGCAAAACGTCACCACTTCCTTCATTGCCATGATGCACATCTCACCATATTGATGAAATTCGCGAGGGAGCACAGGAACACATGCATGTGACCTCTGGAAGAAAAACGTGCACGCGTGCGCACCTCATGTGGCCCCACAGAAGACACGAGCTTCCGGTCATCGTCCTCGGGCGAGGTCTTTGGTAGAAGTATTGAAAAGGCTTCCTTCGCCACTGTGATGCCTAGTTTCGATTTCCTTCCGAGCCAGAGATTCCCACGCAATGCAACCAAAACCGCGGAGATCACACTTCAAACGTACCGCCCAGATTGAAATTTGCGTCAAAACAAATCATAGAAACTTGTTTCGTTTCGCAGGGTGGAAGTAAGCGGTGGCCCTCTTGACAGGGCAGGGCTCCTCTGCCCCATTACCCCATGTGCACAAAACATACCTGATGGCAGTGTGAGCGCTGAACAAACTGGACGCGAGCATAAGTCACATACAAACCTTTTTCACCATCTAAATCTCACTTGCTTCATCTTTTGGTGGCAAGCCCAAGCATCTCTTAGCCAACCACTGGGCCGAATAAGTATGCAACTCGGCTGGTGCTTCGGATATGTTGGAATGGGAACGTTTTCACACAGGGTAGCACTCTTGGCGTAGCCAGTCAATGTCAATAACGGTATACTTGTCCGCTACAAGAGCCTTCGCCAGGACCAGCAGCATACTGGAGAGGTATACCCACACCCCAAACGAAGCCACGGTGTGGAACTCGCTTTCCCTTGCACGGTAGCGGTCGTCTTCGTGAAACATCACCTGTAGGTATCACAGTACAAAAACAGAGAACTACTCGCACTGGTTTGTCAAGTGTCGTCCTTGTTCGTGGTTCTTCCCTTCGATGTGAAAATACGCTAGGCCGATGTTGTAAATTAACTCAGAGCTTTATCTATATAGCATCAATCTCATCTAAAGCACGCGCCGGCTTGAACCAGACCTCACAAGACCACGGTCGAAGCGAACCCGTACTTGTTTTGATTTTGTTTGCACGAGCAGGAGCAACTACGTGAGCTGTACGCTCTGCACACACAGGACAAAAGCAGGAGCGTTGCTCGTGGCGAAGAAGTTCCCAGGGATAGCGCATACACCCCATACGCATACCAGCAGAACACAAATTGCACCAGGCACACGGCAAGAAAGCACAGCAAGTATGCGAAGGCCACTCCAAAGACTCGGATGATGAACGCGCACATCATCCCGCAACAGCCACCTGCGCCTTCGTCACTGCTGTCCGAACTACTAATGGTGCCGCGCGCACTCCGTGCGGATGATCCCTCGTCGCTTCTTGCGGCGAGAACGTCAAAACCTCCACTGGAGTAAATTTCTGCATCCGCCGCTTCTCCCTCACCAGCCTCGGCCTGTGCTCGTTTGTTTCGCTTGTTGTTGAGATCTCCTGCTGACTCAATGTCCAACCGATCGACGTCAGCTTTCAGCTCTGTTGCGACTTTAACTAGGTCCTCGACCTCTTCTTCGATTTCGTCGAGTTCTGGCACAGCAGCCTCGCCTTCCCCCTCCGCAATCGCCGGTCCACTTTCTTTACAAAGGTGAAAAACTGCTCATACTCTATAACAAGAACTGTGTTCCAAGCAGCTAGAAGCGGCCATACCCACGGGGATGATGAAATCACTCCCGAGTGTCAGTTGTACTTGCTTCCATGCGTAGTAGCGCTCCATAAAAAAGATGCATTTGCGGTGCCATGCCCAGCTCTAACTCCGTCGAGCTCTTATGTGACGTTATTTCCGATAATCTGCTGCCACGAAGCAAGCCTTCATGTTTTCAAGAACTAAGCCGCAGCGCTACCCCTAGTACGGTAGGGGCCCTACCGCTGCTTCTTGCGCATTAGAGTACGACATGGCAGTCTCGGTCGGTCCAGCTACCTACGTCGTGTGCACACGGCTCTGCTCTGCATCGCAATCATGGACGCCATTGCAGAAAAGCAGGCCCGCCTCGAGGCCGCCCTCACGATCAATCTTAATCTAGAGCGGAGAGAAGATTTTTCACCTGCGAAAGTAAGCTTATTTGCCTTTGACGACAGGACGACGTTCAGGTTGTTCACTTCGTCCGGATCTTGCTCTCCGGGGCCGGCAAATGACAGCTTAGCTTTGCTGAGTTGGGCCGCGGCTTCGGCCCGTGCGCGTTTCTTGATCTCTTTCTGGAGACGTTTTGTGCGCTGCTCGAGCTCCTTTGCAGGATCTTCGTCCTCCTCCTTCGAAATCACATCCCTGATGCAAGGTTCCAATCGTGCTCGACAGAAAACTTCTAGCGTCTGCATGCGCACGAACTAATATTTCACGGTCCATCCAAAGCTTTACAACGTCCTCGATCAACATGAAAAAAGGCAACACCTCCACGGAACCTCCTCGCCGACAAAGAAATGCTCATAACAAGTACTGTCCTGAACTTACAATTGGACGAGTAGCAGGTCCTCCTCTAACTGATACATATTTATGTATCGAAAACTAGTTGTAGTTTGTTGAATGTTCTTCTACGATTGTGGAGCCTGTCTGCGTGACATAAAACGACAGAGACTGCAACACGGCACTCCCGAGCGTCTTATCAAATGTAAAAATGTCTGGGTCTGGAAAAGTGGAGCTTGTAATGCGTGTCATGCATTCCTGGAAAATCTGTGTTGCATGAGCAGCAAAAGAGAGGCTTTCTTTGTCATGCAAGAACGCAATTTGCAATGCGTGCTAGGCATCAGAAGGCCTCTCAAAAACTTGTCATGCTTGGCTGCCATTGGAAGCGCTTCAATCATGCGCAATTCAGCATCACAAGTTTCCAGACCCAGACATTTTTACAATCCATACGTCTCAGCCATGCGCAACTGGATCGCGAGGGTGTCCGAGCCCGAGAAGACGAAGTTGACGAAGCCCCCCTTGTACCGCGTCTGCACGTCCCCCAGTGGGCCTAAGGCAAACTGCCCCTTGTGCTCGGGATACACGTCCAGGTCGGCCTCCTCAAAGCCCTCCATGTCCATCCCGAGCGACTGCATCTGCGAGAGACCCTCTACGTACTTGAAGAATGCCGTTGCTGCGGGTGGTGCGGCTTCTCCGAAAGCCGGCGTGGCAGAGGCTGGCGCTGGCAAAGTAGCCTCACCAGCGCGAGGAGGACCCCCTGGCTCAGGAGGAGGAGGTGCAGGAACTTCTACATCAGAATCCTTTACTACATCGGCCGCAGCTCGTTTCCTTGCTGGGCGTCCATCCGAGAGCAATGGAACTCGCTCTGCGCTCGCACCAGCTTCGCCAAACACCGCATCTTCATCGTCATCCTCTGGCTCTGCGCGCGCTCGTGCATCCTCATAGTTTCCATTACTTGTCCGACCGCTCGAGAGTGCACTGTCTGCAGATCTTACAAAACCGAAAACAATCTTCGACATACAAAAACTGAAGAGAATCGATAAGCTGTGGTCGAATCTCCATACTCAAAATAGCTACCCGCCAAGCCGGAGAAAAACAAATCTTCATTAGGAATGAGTTTCAGCACGAATGAAATCAAATTGGGCGAGTGAACGGCTTCAAATTTTGAAAATTCGAATTTAAGTTTCAAATCTGCAACTGCATACTTAAGCAGAAAATTCTTGCATGACAAAGATATTTTCAGGGCGATAGAACCGCTCTCTAGTACTGAAAAAAACCGCTGCTCCGCTGCGACAGCGTCGTCCTTGTCCGATGCGACTTGCTGTGCGAACGTCGGGGGAACAGCAATTGATTTTCTGTCCCCGTCGCCACCTGTGATGCTGGGTCCACCCTTGACGAAGGTAGTGCTACTCAAACTCGACCGGTCAACATCACCAGCTGTGCCGGGGACGACAATTGTGTTTGGGACGGATGTGGAGAGGTTTGATGTTGACGTGTCGACCGCTCCTAACGGTTCCGCGGGGGCAGCACCGGCGGCGCCAGTGGGTGCAGCACCGGCGGGGTAGATCGACGGGCCAAGCGGATTGTTGGCATTGTGTGCGAAATCGCCACTGGACGTAGTACCTACAGCACCGGTACCACCCGTATTGGTATCTGCTGGATTCTTGCTCTGCAAAAAGCTCGCCTGGTCGCCACCATCCGCATCTCCCGTGCCAGCCTGGCCGGGACTAGGTTTGCGTTTTGGGAGGTTCGCAGTCAGGCTCGGGCTCGGATCATCCATTTTAAGCCCCGCCGCATCGGCATCATTCACCCGCCCACATTTTTCCTTACGCCCCACAAAAGAAAGAACCTCATAAAGAACCTCAACCTCCTCACATCAGAAAACCAAGGGAAGAACCAAAGCCGCGCAAGACGAATGCGTCTGTCACTTTTCGCTTCATCTGTCGGCTCTTTCTCAACATCTAAATTCCGTGTGGTTGCATGCTCAACTTTCCAATCGCATTGACTTGGCGTCCCTCGAATTCCTCTCCTCGCCCTGCCACACATCTTTGTCGTAAGTCGACTATTCCAATACAAAAGCTGTACTAGCGGTTTTTGACAAGAACCTACTAGCAGCGCACAAATCCATGACTCCGCATGGATTATACTTTGTAGCTGTACCAAGCAGCGACACGACTCGTGGAACACATATTTGGCCAACTCTTGCCATCGATGTCAGATTTTAAATCCGTTTATTTCAAGCGCACAAACGCTCGCAATTTGTGTATGACGCCATAAATAGAGAGCACAAAGTCGCTAATACTTCCTGTTAGTCACACCTGGTGGTCGCTTGTTTTCTTCTTTTGAAAGAGAGCGGCTTCCGCACCCCGGACCAAAAGCTGCTCTGCTCTTCAATTTCCGGGCCGCGACCGGGTCCTTGGCCCAGCCCACTTGCAGTTTCGCCACTGGATTGCGCAAGATTGGAAGTGGTCGGTCCAGCACTTTTACCTTCCACCTGGGCTTCGTCGCCTTCCACTTTCCCCCCTGCCGCGCCGTCGGCGGTACTCGGACAGCTGTTGCTTCCAATCGCATCTCCCTGTTCGGGGGCAGTCCTCTTGTTCATCCGCTGCGCCAATGGTGCGGCTTCTACAGTCCTCGTGAGGCCACTTGTGCAACTTTTCCGCCTCTCCTCGCCTAGACAAAAATCGTCCTCGCCCAGCTGCCCCGCGTGACGCAGAGCCGCATCGAATTCGGCAGCCATCGTGTCCCGCAATTCGCACGGAATCCCACTGATTTGGTCCGGCTTCTGGTGCAGAAACTTCCGCACGTCGGGCAATATAGCGCTGGGACAAAAATTCTCGGTCACCGCGATAGTATCGTCCTCGAGGTTGACCACGGCGTGCCACCATCCCTTCGGCACGAATACGAGCTCGCCGGCACGACACACGCCCTCGCGTGGGCCACCACAACTTCGTCCTGGCTGCGAACAGGAAACACCACCCCACGACCCGTCCGCGCCGCGAGGTCCTCGCACAGGCGGTTTAGTGGAAATATCGCTCGACATCATCGTAGTGCCCTGTCCGGAAGATGATGAGGAGGTGCAAAGCCCGGCGCCGGTTTGCGCTGCAACCTTGTTGCTGCTGGTGGTCCTTCCCGCCTGGTATAACTCCTCGAATTCCCGGTAGAAATTGATGAGCCACTCCATCAGACTCACAGGCTGGCAAACCTCCGCGCCATCGGTAGATTGCTTCACCCCGGGAGGCTCCACGTGCGGTGGCAAGAAAAACCACTTTTTGGCTCCGGAAAGAACCAGGTTCACGGCAGAGGTAAGATTGGGATCCTTGTGCCACTTGCTTCCAGACCGCGCATTGCCAACCAGAAGCCAGCGGTTATCGGGTCGGTAACAACGCCGCGGACCTGAGGAGGAAAGTTTCCTGCAATTGCTTGTGGATGTGGTCTCCCCCTGATTATAATTTTCGTTAGAAGTACACGCGTGCCGTGTATCCATTTCCGTGGCGAAGCTGCACGGTTTCTCACCTTCTAACACGTCAAATAGGTCGGTCCACAGGTGCGGCGGCGGCGGCCTTTGGTCATCGCAATCTTCTCGTCCTGCTGCGCTTTCCGAAGTTACTGCCATATCGCGCAGATATTTGCCGGACGCCGCTCGGCTGAGCTGCGGGCATTTGCGATTCAGATGCTTGTCAAACACAAATAGCGGTGTCTCGTCCGAGGTGACGGTCTTTGCGTAGCAACGCCACTGCCTCAGCGTCATTTGCACCCCGCCACAGATGAAAGTTTGCTCAGCGTGCCTGGCAAAGAAATCCTCCTTCGAAAACACGTTTCCCTTCGTGTCCGTGGAGTTATTTGTCGTCGTGGCGCATTCTTCTACAAGAACAGCATCTCTGTTGTAGTCGTGCGCGTCGCGGATAAGTTCCACCGGACAGTCTTCCAGAACAAAGGGCTCGCTACACTCAAAGTGCTCCCGACGCACGTCGCAGTACCGTATGCGCCGCAGCGTTTGCTTTGCGATCCACTCAGGCCGCATCTCCAGCGACGCGCAAAAGTACGGCTGATACAGGAGATCTGAAAACAGTGGCTGCCCTGCGAATCTTCGTTCCAGCGGAAGCGCAGGAACTGGAGTGGCAGTCGCCGCCGCCGTGCTGGCAGGAGAAGGCGGAGTCGAAGTGCAGCCGGAGGCCTTTTCATCTATATCGGCACAGACGCAGCTGTCGTCGGGTTGAGCGACCACTGCCGAAGCACCCTTTGTCCTTTTCACAATTGTGTCGCGCCAGGTCCGGCCCCACTGATTGCTTTCCGGCCACGCGGTCCGCAAGTTTTTCGCTTTGCCATGATGCGTTGCCGCATCTTTCTTCGCTTTCCTCGTCACTACGGGCGCCGCGCTTTTCACGTCATTTCGGCTGTTCAGCCGGTTGAGCTCAGCGTGACCAAACTGACGCCAAGGCTCGTCATTGGCGTGCACGTACTGATAAAGCACGCTTGAGGCGGGTGCCAACGCGGTCGCGAGGTCTGGCAAGGCCAGAAACTCCAGGACATGGCTCAGCAACACCTCCTCGGGTAGCCGGCCAAGGAAAGGCCCGAGCCCCGCACGCTTTCGGAGGCGATAACTTTTCCCGCCGTCCTCCAGAAAAAACGCGTTGCCAGCCGGCTGGACGTTGCACCGGTTCGTCACTGAGACGCTTGCATCCAACTCGTGACCACCCTCGTGTGATGCTTCACCGTCTGACAGCCCCACGCCTACATCGTCCGCAGCGGGGGCCTGCTCCCCTGATGGAAACGCCATTTGCTCTTCGATGCTCGACTCAGAAGATGTCCCTCAAGGAGAGTTAGAATGTCGTGTCGCTGTGAAGATGCTTGTAGTTTGCTGTTGAAGGAGTCGATAGTACACCTATTTGATCATCAAATATCATCTGTAATGTCTACATTTCTCCAAAAAAGTATTTGAGCATCAAATGTCTACTCTACGTATCTCGGTCGAGCGACTGCAACACGCACGACAGTGATTAACATACAGTGTTCCACCTTCACCAAAGGATTCCCTGTTGAAGCATCGCCTGCAAATTATCGACACACTCCGTGTGTCCTAGATCGAAGATGATCCAGTGTCTTTCTTGGATCCTTTGACCTCTTCCACTATGTTAATACTCTGTCGGGTGGATCGCAGCTCATTTAAAGATCCATTTAGATCTGATTGATTTGCAGATTGAAACACAGTCTACTATTCTGCTTTGCTCAGAGGGTGTTTTTTGCACGTATGCAGTTTTGGGACCTAGGGCAGGAGACAGCTATAGCTTCAGAACCCGACGCATCTTTCTGTTTCTATGTCTTGTACATACGCTCAGTACATTTCGATGGACCGTTTGACCTTGCGCGAGCTTAGAACCAGTGAACCAAGCGTGAAGACAAGAAGGCAAAAAACGCAAACCGCACGGTTTTCTTTCACGCCCTCCACGGAGTAGCGGCGCTTCGATCTTTGAACGAGGAAATTGGCTACTGGCCTGATGAATTGCTGCTCCTTGTTGAACATGCGTGCGCACACATTCAGCATGTATGACTCAATTCACACTCATGGCGGGGACGAGAATGCTTTTCAGAGGCCGTAATCATGGTTCGAAACTTCAATTGCAATGCATCTGAAAAAGTGAAGAGCTGACATCTTACACAGGGTACTTTTCATCCTGCAGAAGCAGAAGCACGGCTGGCTATGTAGTAGGTGAAGTGGATCCGTCCCCGAGCCGGCGGCCTGTCCCACCAAAAAGTTGATTGTTCGGGTTCTTTTTGGCGTGCACTCCTCACTGCCACGACTGCTCCGCCGTGTCGTTTGCTTCCTCCGCGGCTGCGGGTGTACTGCCGTCGGACGACCACGGAAAACTGCTGAACCAGGATGGCTGGTCGTCTCCTTGCGCGCCGCCGGCAGCTGCGCCTGTGGTTGTTCCTAGTTGATCCTGCTCTCCTTGTTCTCGTCGTCGGTCCTCACGCTCGCGGCACTCGGGGCAGAGGATATCGCTGTGGCTTTCGACCGCGTCGCAAATCCCGTCACTGGCCGCTGCCCCCGCCACACTGCCGCCGATGGCGCCGGTGATGGCGCCCGTGAGGGCCCCAAACAGCGTGCCGACGCCCGGAAAGATCGCCGTTCCCACAGCCGCACCCGCCATCGAACCGCCGTAGGACGTCGCTAGAGACCCGCTGATGGCGGCCCCCGTGCGCCACCCCTCCCGGTGCTCCACCGCTTTTGGCAGCTGTCGGCCGCACCGCGCACACACCTTCCGCGTCTCGGTCACCGTCACCTGCCGCTCCACCGTCACGTACCGCGGGCCGCTACTGTCGTCTGAAGAATACATGCTATGACGTGCGTGGAATAAAGAGCTTGGGGTGAGGGCTTTCTTTACAGCTATTTACATTCTGGCTTGGGCTTCGCTAGAACGTAGTACAGGGGCTGCAGCTATCTGCAGATTTCTTTTCTTTCGAGAGGGGAAGAAGCACAGCGTGTATTTGAGATTGCTTACTGGGAGGTCGCTGTCGTAATTTTTTGTAAGCAGCCCAAAGTTCAGCGAATTTTTCTCACAGAAACAGCTGCTGCCCTTGCTCCGCAGAGGAGCACCATGGACACAGTAGAACCGCAATTGCTACGTCTACGAGCCTATGGATTCGGGATCGGTGAAGCCAGGGGATCGATTCCTATTTGCAGCAATTCGAATTTGCAGGCCGGAGATCTACTTTCGAGTTCTTTGATCCCGATGACCTTGACCGAATCAAAACAACTTTTAGCCCGATCATCCTCGGGACTCCGCTACTCCTTAAGGATCTGTCGCGGTTTCGTGTTGTGCGAACACATGCCACCTGCATTAGGCCGATATCACAATTAAAAGTGAGGCACTGGCACAACGCGCATGCTCATTTACTCTCTTTCGGTCTCGATGAGCTTTTGTACAGGCACTGGTGAAACCAAAACAATGATCTCCACCATCAAGAGGCGGCTCGTCTCACCAAACTTGTATACACAAGGAAGCGCTTTAGGGCGTACAAAATTCGCAAGAGCTTGAGCCTATATCTTGATAAAAATCACGATTCGTCGGTGGCACACGCGAACGCGCACCTCCGTCATATCAACATATAAACTTTTCTTTGAAAACAACAAATCAAATATTCGATCGGAAGGCAACTAAACGAAGTGGATGGCGCGTCTCTGAAAATGTTGGAAACTGTGAAGAATAAGATAACATGTAAACACATGTAGAAACACAAAAAAATGCGAAAAGTCAAACAGATACAAAAAATCTTTCCAAACTGGTGTATTATCGCCTGTGGTTTCCGGCCACTGACTCCAAACAAGAAAATGCAAACTCATACTCACGTTCTGTCAAACAACAAAAAAGAGAAAAAAGTCATAGGTACGTACTGATACTAGTCAAACAAAAAATGCTGATGCAAAGAAAGAGAAATGCGTAAACTATGTTGTTAATCAAACAAAGCATAAACCGAACAAACTGTCCATGAGAACTCTAATTTTTCGTCTGCCCTCCTGCTTGGCGCGGCCCCACCCAACCGCTACGAAGAAAACATCTTGGAAATTGCGCGTCTCCTAGCCGTACTTCTCATCGTCTCTGACGTTCAGACACAGCGATTATAGCCGTATCTCCTCACTTGCTCGTACTTTTCTCCTCGTTTTTGCCGTACCGAGCAGCGCGCTTCTGTTTCAGGTGGATCAGTTTGTCGGTGAGCTCGGCCATGCGCGACCGGTCGTCGTGCCACTTTCGGTACGTGACCAGCATTCGCTCCTTCAAATACGGGTTCTGGTTGTTACCTTTAGTGTGTGTTGGTAACTCATCAAATTCGTGCTAGTACATATTCTCAATATTTGAAAACTGCAACTAGCTGCCACAGCACGCAGTCACTATCTTTGTGCCTATAGAAGAAACTGCAACAGGGGGAGGCACGCAATAGCAAGAAACAACTGTGAGAACACTATAAATACAGTAGGTGTTGAACGCCCCTTCCGGCCAGAACTGAGTTTTGTCTTCGGCGTTCGGTGGTAGTTTCATGCCATAGAGCTGCTCGATCTGCTCGTGATGCACTTCGTTGAACGCCGGCTGGCACTTTTCGACCCGCAGAAAAAACGAGTTGTCCTTCCGCATCACGCCCAGTGGGATGCCTTGCTCCGCAGTGAAGGTGATGAGCTTATGCAGATGAAAAAAGGCCATAGTAATGCTGCGAGTGCTGCACTGCTTCAAATTGCAAACCGGTACGATCTCTCTACGTTTCTTATTCTTTTTCTTTCCATTCTCAGACACATTAATTGATGCCTCTCCCTGGTCGTGGTCCTCTCTCCTAGGCGGAAATGAGGAAGAATGCCAAAGACAATGGTGCAACTACTGGCTCTGGGCCCGGCTGTGCCGTTGTGCTAAAAAAATGCAGTCGATTGTTGCATGCAGCAAATTCATCTTGCAGGACCCGCAGCTGTCTATAACTTTTTTATCCCATGATAACTTCCGAGCGCCATCTTCAGGGACTTCGGTCCTACAGTTGGGCACGGGTCTGCTCGCCATTCCTTTGTGTAGGTTTTTGTTTTCTTTTTTTTGGAAACTGATGAGTGTTAGTGGACTTGAGAACACTCGCACACACTTACACACGCTTGCTCCACTGTGCTCGTTATCAACAGCAATTCGATGAATTCTCTCAATTGCAAGTAAGCAAGCAAGTGACGCAAGTCTCTTGCTGCGTTACATCCTGTAGGTTCAATTCATCCAAATTCATCACATTCATATGGACCAATCGGGTCCAGAGTCAAGTGGCAAAACAGCATGGGAGTCCACTCCTCAACCTGCTCAGATTGGTGCTCGACCCTGGCGGGAGTCAAGTCCCCCAGGGTGACCACTCTGAACGTCTGGACCGAGCTGAGTCCATTCATTTCACTACGATCCTGATGGCTTTGCCTTCGTAGTATTTGGGGGATTCGCGGAACATGGTGAAGAGTTTCCTTTAGGATCTAGATAGATTCTGACCATTTCCCTAAGGATCTAGCTAGTTCAGGTCATTCAGAGCTGTCATTTCATTGGGAACAGGCGTCATTTGGGGCGATCGTGTTACGTGTGTGCGGGATCGATTTCCATGACCAACACCCCTCCTCAATCGCTGCGGCGGTGGTGCTAATCTGGATAGCGTCCTACCACACTCCCCTCCTGAGCGCGCTGTGGTGAACTAGCTATCCCCTCTAGAAACCAAAATAAATCGAATAAGTATAGCCTACTTTAGCCTTGCCCTTGTGATTCCCCTCTATAAACGTGTCTAAATCATCCTCATCGTCAGAGGAGTCACAAATAAAAGACTTAGGGTCGGGGTTATCAATATGGTGCAAGAGTAAGCGTCTCTGCGGCACACTACACTCGAGCTTCGTGAGACCGTCTGCCTTCATTAGGTAGGTCGGGCAGAACATGATCTGGCTCGCTGCGTCTCTCACGCGGAGATATCGCAGTGCGTAGTGCCTCGATTTCGGTTTGTTGTCTGTGCTCTTAGCTGTAGTTATCGCGGACTGGTTGTCGATCCACAATATGGCATCATCCAGGGAGGGAGATAAGCCATTCTGCTTTTCCACCATGACAGTGGGTAGAGGTTTGAAGAACTCTGTAAAGTCATTCTGCTCGCTCAGCACAATAGTGTCGGAAGCAGCTATATACTCCGCCTCCGCCGTGGAGTACGCCCTCACGGTCTGCCGGTTGCTACGCCAACAGATCGGGAAGCCGCGGAAGTACATAATGCTACCACTAGTGCTTCGCATGGTCTTGCAACAGTTCGCAAAACTAGCATCCGAAAACAGATTCACATCAGGCAAGTCTCTCCCGTCGGGCAGTAGCTTGCTGTAGATTCTGTTGAATTCTTCCTCAATTTCCGGACTATACGACAGACCCTGCTCTTTCGTTGTCAATAGATACTTCAAAATCTTCTTACAGGCGTTTACGACAGGCCGAGTCGCCGGCTTGCCTACGTATCTCGCGACAGTGGCAACCGGGACAACAATGTCTACCCTGCAGGTGGTTGCAGCCCACTGCAGAGAGCCAACGACCTCTCGAAGGGGAAAACCTGCAATAACTTTAGCTCCTTCAACTTCTTTAGCGAGTTCAGACTCATCGAAGTTTGGCGAGTGGACCGGCTTGCCCGCTTCTGAGACGTTGAATTTCTTACAAATCTTGGATATGTACTCTGACATCACGATCCTGACGGCTCGTAGATTCCAGCTGTAGTACACTACTGACCCTAGGAAGTCAAACTTCTTGGACACAGAGTTAAACTCCGGAACAAGCTCGACGTCGATCATGCGCCCCCTGACGTGGTGCAAGATCTCCGCAAGTTCTCCAGCCAACTCGGACCCAGTCGGAGGACCTGTGTTAAGATTATCGTCGACATACACTGCCAACTTCAGAAACTTCCCAGGGAGTTCCAAGCTCGGTTTCTTCCACAGACCTGGCGCAGAGGGACAGGGTTCCCAACCTAGCTTGGTCAGTACTTCCCCATACTTCTTATACCAGAGCCTGGGGGCGTCTTTCAAGCCGTAAAGCGCTTTCTTGAGCTTGACGATCTCCACGCCGTGCTTCTTCGCCCAGATGGGTGGCAAGCGGCAGAAGACGTCGCGATCAAGTAAGGCACTGAGAAACGCACTATCAAGGTCGAACGGGATCACATCATCACCGTCTGCGGCTGCACCGGCTAGAAGTAACCTGTTAGCGGCATGGGACACAACAGGAGCGAAAGTGTCCAGCTCGCCCGAACGATCAAGATTACCGAGTGCTACTGCTCGCGCTTTCTTCGTACCGTCACGCTTCTCGGTAAGAAGGATAGCAATAGGCAAAACCTGTTTTGCGGTCGCTAGCTCCTCGTCAGTAGCTGGCTCCCACACTTTACAGGCTTCAAGTCTACAATCTTCCTTGTTGGTTGCTGCGTTCCATTCGACTGAGTCTTTGCAACGAGCAGGATCCAACTTGGCCGATGTAGTCAAATAACACTGGACGTCGAGGAATTCCTCACCTTCCTCTCGATCATCCTGTGCTGCTATTGCTGCGGCAAACGCACTCGCGTCCTTCTTCAGTGCGTCGAGCTCTTTTCGTGTACGTCTCACGCGCTTTCTCTTGTCCTTTCTCCCCTTGGGACGGCCACGACCTCGCGGCTTGGAGGTGCGGTTGCCAGCCACAATCCTTGCCGGAGACGGGCTCGCCTTTCTTGGACTAGATAAGCTGCTGTGAGTGGGGTGATCGTCCAGATTCCCCTCCTCAGGTTTAACACCTTCAGGCTCGGGATCTATCTGGCCCGGATCATCTTCCCTATCCAAACTCTCAATCACTAACGTCTCAGGACCGTCAGGCTGCCTACTAGCGTGCTCCGAGACATCCACCCCCAGCCGACGCACAGCCCCGATTTCAGGACCGACGCACGGGAGAGATGGCGCACACGACGCTCCACTAGGTAGGGCCTCGATTGCGTCACACTCGACATAGATACCTTTCGAGTTAGGAACTAGGTCCTCAATATTCTTCACGAGGCACTCCTCACGGAACTTGACGTCGATGGTAGAATACTCTATCCAACGATGTCCCGCGGCGGACCGGCCGTCCATGACATACGTCCCAACCCGCCAGCCCGAAGACTTAGGACAAAGGCCGAGAAATACACCACGACGAAATGGCGCGGCCAGCTTTGGAGCTACCACTGCTACTCCCCCCTCAGGAGCTTCATGAACTTCGCCTTTCTTGACTTGTTCACGAAAATAAACGAGACAACCAAAACGCCTTAGCATCCTTGTGCCAACTTTGGAACTATTTCTTCCAGTTCTCTCATCCAAAATCTCTGCAGGAGTCTTTCCGTCGTACTCAGGCATTTTGCTATACTTATGCGGAAGGCGGTCCCAGCATGCTGCAGCGTACTCGACCGAGTAGCACCACAGACGCTTGTCCACGTTCACCAACATCGCACGCACAGCGCCGAATATGGTCCGCATAAAGCGTTCGCAGGTTCCGCTCTGCTCTGGGTTGTAGGGAACCGTAGGAGCATCACCGACCCGCAGCGATTGCATGACCTTGGTCATGGAGTCACTGCCCAGAACTGGCTCACTGTCCCTACGGACGAACCACACCACTTTGTCCTCGAGGGTCAAAGCGTAGCTCTGGCGAATGCCTTTTATCACTTCTTCCAAAACCTCAACGCAGTCGCTTTTCAGCTTAAGAGGGACACAGAAACACTTCTTGATGGCATCACAGATGACCACAAGCACGCAGGTGCGTGACCGAATCGATACAGGTTTAATACCTACCGCGAAGTCCATCGCGAGTAGTTTCAATGGCTCAGGTTTGTAATTACTAGTGTCTCGCTCTTTTGCGTGAGAGCTTCTCGCGCCTTTCGCTTTGTCGCATTCAGGGCACTGGACATTCAGACCATCTACATGAAAGTGTCCGAATCCTCTATGTTGTTCTAGACGCGTAAGGTGACAACTAGCAATACTTTCTTCGATTGTAATGCATGCAATATCCTCCGCGGTGTCTCTAGTCGCCTGACCCCGGAGGCCCATCACGAAAAGATCACACCCAAGGACTGGGAGGGTCAACCTCTCGTGGTTCTTGATTGGTAGCATCTGACCGGATTCCCTGTTGACTAAGGAACCGCCAGAGCTGTTGTAGTTCAGATCCCACCCACGATCACTGAGATTGTCCTCACCGAGCCACGGAAGAATACGATCAATATCTCTTGGCAAGTGTTTGAAGTAGACGCCATAGGGCAAACCTAGAGCGTTTTCCTTCAGTTTTCCTACAAAACCATCACGAGCCCCGGCCGTGCCGCTGATGCGACAGACGTTGCTCGAGATGTCAATAAAATCCGATTTGTGTCTAGATAAATACTTGTTTGCACATGAATCGACCAAGCTCACTTCGTCCTTGGTCTGTGCAGTAAAACAGCTAGAAGAATCTACATCGAAATCTTCTAAATTCTCGAAATTTAGCATACAACTACCATACTCCGAGATATAGACACCTCCTTCATCTTGTCAGGCTGGTCCTTGCCAGACCCAACCATCCTGCTTTCCACCGGCTCCCTGCCCTTGATTCTGGTTGTTCGTCTGATTCTGGTTCACCGGCGGACACCACTGCGGCTGCTGGTTTCCCCAGGCACCACCCCACTGACCTTTCCCTTGATTGTTAGGATTCCAGCGGCAACGGTCCGCCTTATGGTTTTCCTTGCCACAGATCCAGCATTTGGGTTTGGTCACAGTGTTGTAGGGAGTGCTCTGGTTCCGACCAGTCTCACCACCTTTCTGGCCACTTCCGCCCTTGGCGTTAGCTTTCGGGGGCAGGCCATGGGCAGCCAAGACACTCGCTTCGGTCTGCTTGCGTAATTTGGCTTTCATGCGTTTCAAGGCTTTCGCCGAGAACACCTTGCCAGAAGCAGCATTCTGACCATCATCAGCGGAGTCCGGCTCCTCATCATCAACATCTTTCTGACCTTCTTCTTCTTCGTCTTTTCCTCAACGACCGGGAAAGCCTTGCCGAAGGACGGACTCTCGATCTTGTAGGAACCTTCCTTGACCAGCTGCGCGAGCTTCTTCTCGAGACGGTCGCCGATCTGCTGGAGGGTGATGTGATCGGACTCGTCCACGCAGCGGTCGATGGTCTGGCGGAAGGCCGACGCAAACATCTTGGGCAACTTGTCCAGAGTGTTCTTCACATGATGATCTTCGACCGGACGCCCGGGCTCCGGGACGTAGACACTCGGCGCCATCTCCATCAAGTCGTGGATCTGGGCCAGGAACGTCGGAGCATCCTTCGGCGCGTCGCGGTTGTCGAAGTGCATGGCGTCGATCAAGGACGTCTTGATGTGCTGCTGGTCACGGGAGGCAACATTGAAGCGACCAACATCACGAATACGCATGAACAACTGCGCAGCGTCGTCGTTGATGTAGTGCTGACTGTTGACCCACGTGGACACGGACCCGGTACACGACTTGTAGATGGCATCCTTCAGGTCGCGCCACTTCTCCCGGATCGCGTTGTTGGCAGCATTGGCCGCCTGCGGAATCCCCGGAGGGTTACCAGCAAGACGATTATCCCAATACTCCTGGAGTCCGAGGCGAGAAACCTCGTTCGTGACCCCGCGACGCCAGACACGCCAGTCCTGCGCGCTGGACAACTTCTCCACCAGCTTTGCCTCTTGGCCCATTATTTCAAATAAACTTATCTGACTAGAAGAGCCAGTTTGAGTCTCAAGGCGTAGCGTAGTGTTAGTGGACTTGAGAACACTCGCACACACTTACACACGTTTGCTCCACTGTGCTCGTTATCAACAGCATTTCTATGAATTCTCTCAATTGCAAGTAAGCAAGCAAGTGACGCAAGTCTCTTGCTGCGTTTCATCCTGTAGGTTCAATTCATCCAAATTCATCACATTCATATGGACCAATCGGGTTCAGAGTCAAGTAGCCAAAACAGCATGGGAGTCCACTCCTCAACCTGCTCAGATTGGTGCTCGACCCTGGCGGGAGTCAAGTCCCCCAGGGTGACCATTCTGAACGTCTGGACCGAGCTGAGTCCATTCATTTCACTACGATCCTGACGGCTTTGCCTTCGTAGTATTTGGGGGATTCGCGGAACATGGTGAAGAGATTCCTTTAGGATCTAGATAGATTCTGACCATTTCCCTAAGGATCTAGATAGTTCAGGCTATTCAGATCTGTCATTTCATTGGGAACAGGCGTCATTTGGGGCGATCGTGTGTGCGGGATCGATTTCCATGACCAACAATGAGAAAAATAGTCTTTTGGGAGCATTGCTATAGAAGTACTTATGTGCTTTTCCAATTCATTTCGCTGAAATCTACTACCGCGATATATTTATATACCAGATTTCCATTCGGAAATCGATCGTCGTCCACTTCCGGTTCCGTGTAGTAACCGTAATATTCGTCGGTTAGTATGGAAAAAGGCATTCATTCCACCACGTATCACGCCCAGGCAACGACAGATCATTTTCGATGCGTCTTTCTTGTACGAAATATCCTTTTTGTAGGCGATGATAATTGCTCTGATCGCAGCCAAAAACCACAACATTGTGTGTGGCTCTAAGTTTTTGAGTAGCACAACTTGATACTGCCTCCACTCATCAATGCACGACACGGAGCATGCTGTACAAAGCTTCTTTGGGTGTGGTGGTGGTGTGCTTTTCTCCTGTCGTAGCTGAACTGCTGTCACTGTACACGGGGTCACTGGAGTATCAACTGCAAGCACGTCTGGGTCTAGAAATAAGTTGTGACGCTAAATAGATGAATGAAAATCTGACTCCCGTGCGCACCCACGCATAAGAAATTTCTGAGTCGTTTCGTAGTGCGTAAGCGTAACCGCAACCCTCATGAGTGCATGACAAAGAGGCAGCGCTTTTCAATAACGCACCACAAAGTAAAAGCTCAGGGGCATCGGCATGTTGCGGCTTCAGCATTAAAATCTGGCAACTTGAACTTTCCCGACCCAGTCGTGATTGCAACGCATATGTAGACTGTGGTTGACATCTCGTAGCTTGGCTGCCGGTAAGCGTCATGCTCCGGATAGCTGTAGACGGGCGGGTTTGAATTTTCCTGCTTCGATTCTCCTGCGAATGCGCTGCGACCACAACGAGATTCGATCCAACATTTGGAAAAGGTGTGGATTGCGCAATCTCGGCTTTCATCTCAGTACGGACTTTCGTAATCTTTATCTTACTTGTTGGACAATCGCGTCCTCATGGTCTCATGCTGATCACATAAGTATAAAGAAAAATGCTTCTAGTACCCATGATGCTGGTAAAAATGGTGCGGCCCCACGCCGGACGACGATGAGGACGAAGTAGTATGGTAGGAAAAAGCCTTTCACAAGCAATATGCTGCGCATGCGTTCGGTTTTTCTTTTTTTGCATCAGAAAAGAACTTCTCTGCATGCAAATCAATGCCTGATGCAGAACCCTTAAAGCTGTACGTGAAAGAATTATACTTATGGGAATCGCCAGGCAATTCGCCTTCTGTTCCCAGCATCTATACAGTTGTCCTAAAAATTTGTAAGAACAAAGGCATCTTGTCGTGTGAGAAATTTTTCCTCTGCAGTACGCACTGGGATGAAAGTAGTAGTCTTTTGCGTCCCGGGTCGGTCTGCTTGATCGTCTCTTTCCGTTCCCGTTGCCGCCCTCGAACTGATCGGAGCTATGCCGAGCAAAATTGAAGCCTCTCAGGTAGTTGTATCCTTTCTCCAGCACGTTTTGGTGATACAAACGCGGCACCATGTGTGCTTACGGAAAGAGAAAAGTGCATGGATACTGTGACACTAACTAGCCAGAGCCTTGGCTTTGGTCGTGCTGTTCCTGTGGATAGTAGCTTGGGTTTGTGTAGTTGTTGTGATGGTACGGTATCTGCTGCAGCTGCTCTGGGTGGCTGTAGGGCCGAGTCTTCGCCACGTTACCTGAGTTCAAAATTCCAACATTGACTTTCAATCGCTTCTGATGCACGCAGATGTTGTACCTATGCACAGCAGTATGAGAAGTGCCGCTTGGCTCCGCGAAACTAGCAAAAATGCCTGAGTGAATATAATAGATACCCTTGCGCTTCTGCAAGCACGGCACGCGAAACATTGTCCCAAGAGAGTCTGGCGGTGGGTCCCAGTTTTGCGTGGCCAGATCAACGAAATCAAATTGCAAAACTTCGTTGACAGTCACCGAGCGGATAGCTTCCTCTTTTGGACCGTGACCGTTCTCCTTCTCCTGCAGTACAAGAAACGCATGAAAAAAACCAACAGCAAAGACGAATAGTCGATCAAAAGATTTTGTACACTTGTGGTCAGTGAGAGTGAGTACTGGCTAGTTATCAATTTTGAATTTTGTACAGTCGTAAAACAAGAACGATTTTTATCCAAATGAAAATTTCAACGCGTGCTACAAAAAGTCAATGCTACAAAAAAAGATACAGGTTTCAGTGACCATCCACTTCTGTTGCACAACAACATTCGCTTCAAAAAACACCCTACAAAAATTTCAGAGTAGGAAACGACATGGTTGGAAAATCAGACTCGAAATCACGAAAGTCAAATAACCCGTGGAATTATTTTCGGATACGCGGCGCGTAGGAATGAAATGAAATCGCCTCAAATGCTTGCACGTCAGAATATGACGAAAACCCTGACAACGATACTTTTATTTTCACGAGAGTGACGACCACGACATGCGATTTCTTCTTATTGCGATTCGCAAAAGGGAAATGGAATGATCCAAATTCACGCGAAAATTGATGCGTCACAACGAATTGCGCACCCTGCGACGACAAGAAGCAAGTTCTACCTGCGCGACAAAAGCGCTGTGAAAAATATTACATCTTGCATCCGTGTACGACCCAACAAAGACTGGAATTCTAAGCTTGCATTCACAGTGGCAGGACCGTATTTGCAAATAGCAGAAACGCATCGCGACGCTTGTCTTTCATCGGAATGAGAGGCATCAAAGACAATCACGATCGACTACATGTCCCTAGGTTGATCGATGCTTCAGATCTACGTGCTTCTGCATTGAACCTGAGTTATATCCATCGACATGCTTCTTCTCGTCTTTTTGATATTATAATGAAGTCCGAAAAAGACCTGAAAGATCGAAGGCATGAACACCTTACATGACCGTACTTAGTTGCCTTTTCTGTTTGCGCGTACTCCTCGTCTGCAAGAATCAGACACGACACGCTTGCTCTTTTCTGTGAGTGTGAGTAGAAACTGCGATCCCACCTTCTGCTTCGACGTAATAAAGCTCCAAGGTACTATTTGCGTTTGAAATGCCAGCTGGTTCGATTTCCCGCGGGGAGTCCCACCACCGCCTTCTTCTACCGCACGACATCTCCCCCAGGTAGCGGGCCAACTGCGACTGAATGTTGTAAGGAAACCAATCAGTACCACTACCAAACCAAAACCATCATATCAAACTGAAGAAAGTCAAAGAAGAATAAAATTTTACACGGTTATCCCGAGGTTGTAGGTAAAACTGAAGCTATTGATGAAAAGACTCCTTTCATTCTGCTACCCGCTAATTGGGCAGACTGATTAAGTTGTTGACATAGTGCAAGTTCTTGACGCGAAAACTCATGAGTATCTGATTGTAAATAGGAATTTGCGGAAACCAATATGTAAGCCAGGAAATTACTTGTGTTTGTAATTGCGCAAGATATTTCTCGTGGTCATATCGAAAGTGGATGGCTCTTTCAGGATCAGGTCAAGTAGAAGTTCATCTCGCTGTTATTTTCGTAAGCATTTATTTGACTTTTGTGCTCGCTGTAAGAGTAAGTTTCGTTGAATTCAGAATGTAATAAGCAAGGTTTGTCTAATATTCAGATTCAGTTTCGTACTTTGGATTTATTGCTTTCTTTGATATGAAAATCAAAGCCACAGATACAGTTTCATTTTTGATGGTGCAGCCAGTGCTTCCTCTTCACACGTCGAGAGATGTGAGCATGGCGCAGCCGCGCTTGACCCAATGCTTGGCCTCGTGCGTCTCTTGAATGGGCACGCGCATAGGCGTATGCATTGCAACTATCTCCGGGTCTCGAAACTTGGCATGCTAGTTTGTGAAAGGTGGGCGCACTGCAATGGATGCGTAGCCGAGCACGACAAGTTTTTGACCTCCAATGTGTTTCGTTTCCCGAATGGAAAACTGCGTTCTTGTATGACATTCCACAGGCTTTCTTTCTGGTTATGCATCACAGAGTTAAAAATCTGCTGTGAAATGCATGACAAACTTCCACTCTTCCAGACCCAAACATGTTTGCAATGCATAAGGCATGACGAAGTTGGTACTGTGACCGGTTGTCGACAGGACGCCTCTGCGGGTGCTGATCTTGTAGACCGGACAAGAGTAAAAGCGGAACTCGTGCAGCTCGTCCTTTTTGCAGGGCGTGATGTGCACCATCGGCACGGACGTGAACAGCACTTTAGGCTCCGATTCCGCCAGCGCCCACTCGTCCCAGTCCCATCTCGCTCCCTCCAGGAATAGCCCATATGTATACACGCCGTCGGCTGTAAGTGTTGCCAGACAGAGCATTAGCGCAGTTCAATCATCTGTCTGTCTTTGTGCGTAGACAATTGAAAATGAAATGGACACTGGCGTTGGCATCACAAGTCAAAGCAACATCAGAAAAACACAATTTCTCATGGAAAAGTTCATGCAATGTTCATCTGTACTTAAATTCATGTGCTCCTACCTCGTGAAGAAGTAAAAATCATATAAAATTACCAGGTGGCTTCGTTGGTTTTTGCTCCTTTGGGTAGTAGAAATCGAAGATCAGGGTGTCGATGGGGATTGTGTATTTTCGAGCAAAGTTCTGCGACGCGCCGGTGGTGAAAGCCTGCGTGAAGAAAATGCCGGAGATCCAGAAGAGCGCCGGCTTCCCGCGGTCGATCCAGTTCTGGTAGAATTTGAGGCGCTCGAGGAGGTCGCTCACGTACCCTCCCAGCGGCTTCAGCGAGGGATACGAGGACGCGAGCCACATCACCGGCGTCTTCCCATCGAACATGTTGAAGAACGCCTCCTCCAGCTGCGCGCTGAGCAGCGCCAGACCCTTCAGCGCTTTCAGAATCTCCTTCAGGGACTCCCGAATCACGTTGGTCAACTTGTTGTACCTGGTCACCTCCTGGAACAGGACCGTGTTCATACTTTCCTCGTACATGACCGGGTACTTCTCCTGGACGGCCGGGATGTTCCACGGCTTCGGCAACCGTGCCAAAATGTCGTTGGCCACCTCCCGCACCAAGTCCTCCGGACCCGCGCCGCCGCCCCCAGAGGCCTGTCCGACGGTCTTCAGCAGATCAGACATCATCTGATACGTTTCCCCTTGCTCCTTGGTCAAATTCGCGTTCTCGTGGAACCCAAATACGCCCGGTGGTGTCACTGGTGTTGAGAGTACAATGTGATTTTCATTTTTCGAAGTAAGTCTGCAGCGAAAAACGCGCACAAGTGGCTACGCTCTGTTATACAGAGGTCGGAAATCAAAGTGCTAGAGACGCGCTGTGCAAGTTTCCTTATGGAGGTTATGCACAGAAACCACATAAGCAACAGCGAGCGAGAACCAACTGAGAGAGTGCTTTCATCTATTATACTTGCGGAATATTTTAGCAAGGCAGTTATGTCTGCTTGTGCGAGAATCAAATAAAGTATCTACCCAATGGCAAAGACTTGATGTGTGCCAGTACACCGTCAAACTCCTCGTCTTCTGTCAGTGGGTACAGGGGCTCACCGGCCATGCGGTACTCCCCATCAAAGATGGTTTCGTCAAAGTAGTCCCGTAAAAGGGTCATGATCAGAATTCGATCATTCCCGTCGGTAACCCTGCCCCCGTAGTTGCACTCGCCCGTCATGTAGGTTATTGCCTAGATACAGGAGTGTTTTAGTCTTTTTCAGCAACATGGAACGTGATGCAGATTCTGATTCGTCATTTGCTTTTTACAAAATTGATGACTTAAGACGCAGCGACAAGTACAAACAACAATGAATACGCTGTCTCAATAAATAAGCCCTTGCTACTTACAAGTACAAATAACATAATAAACGGAGAAAAATCAGAATGCATTGTGTGTACCTTGAACGGCATCTTCTCTTGTTCGTCTATGAACATCTTGAGCTGCATGACTGAGATGCGCAAGTCGTTTTCTGTAAATTCGTAGGGAATGTTCCATCCGAGAGGGCCGAAAAGTTTCCGCTCCTGATCCATATCCTGCGAAAAAGTGTACTAGTAGTTGCTGCAAGTGGATTACTATGAGTATCTATGACATACCAGGACCCTAATCGGACCGTACCACCAGTAGAAACCCTGGCCCTGCAACATGCAAACCTAAGCCTGACGTGTATTCTGGTATGGCCAGCTCACGGTCACGACCACAGCGCCCTGGATAAATATACCGTCGCCTCTTGGAAGTAGAGAGACAAGAACTCTACTCCGAGCGGAGGACTCCTAGTACCACTGACTAGTACGACTCTTTTTACTCGACTTAGATGACTGCGTGGAAGAAGCAGAGACCGTAGAGCAGGCGCTTGAATTCCCGAGGTTTCTTGCACCCGTCAAAGAAGTCCGGATCTGAGATCGGGTTCATGAGGTACGACCCGGTGAGGTTGGATCGCAGTCCCTTGGGTGCTTCGTTCGTCATTTTCAGCCCGTTCTGCAAGATTGCCACCGGGAACTGGTTTGATGGGTACGAGGTGAGCCACAACCGGTATTCCTTGTGCAGCTTCCGCGCGTCCTGCTGGTCCAGCATCTTATCCAGTTTGGGCATCCAACTGGTGGCCAAGTGGCAGTTCTGCAGCAACACCCAGCCGCCGTCCTTCTTTCCGTCCGCCATCAGCTTCTCGGCCTTGGGCCCCTGCCCCTGCCCCAGCGAGATCGCCTGGATCTCCTTGCCCTTCTCCAGCGCAAACTTGTCCAGTGCCGCTTTCGGGTCACTGCCGGGCGACAGCACAAACACCAGCGGAATGCCGTTGCTGCTGTCCGCGAAACTCCCGGCCAAGTCAAAGGGCGGCGGGTTCACGAAATCCTCGCCCAGCTTGCCGGCGACGTACAGCATAATCGCGGGCACGAGCCGATCTGGCCGGAAGGCGCGCAGAAACATCAGCTCCTCAAAGTCGTCAAACCCCTCCAGGGTTTTTGGCGCGAGCGCACGCAATTTCTGTCGTATCATTGATATTGTGTTGACGTTGACACACAGACACTGTCGCTCAAAATTGCGAACGAGATACGATTCTTCGATGAAAAATCATCGATGCGTTCTTGAATCTTGATACGAGGGCTCCGTGCGATTGAAATAGATCGATGCTGAATGATGCACAATGAATTATATACTATTTCCAGCTGTGCTATAAAGGAACGGAGACGGAAAAAATGTTGAAACATGAAAGGAGATACATTTAATGGATCTGTATCGTCGTAGGCTTGTTTCATCAGTTCCAGCTCCTCGGTAAACTTCGTGTCGACGCCTTCAAATTTCTCTGCAACCTTTCCCAGCTTGAAGACCTCTGCCCAAGTTCTCACAGGAATCCAAGATGCCGGCATCTCAGGCGGCTGCTCCATACTCACGCCGCCGGTCAACAGATATCGATAGTTTGACATGTCTATTATGCCATCCGCCAAAAACAGTCGTGCGCACAGAAGGAACGAAAACAGCAACTTGTGCCTGTAAAAATTATCGACCAAGTCCATCATGCGCAGCTTGAAGATTGCAAGCACCCCAGATAGCTTTAGCTACACCCTCGAGGACATCTTCGCACAGCACTGACTAACACTCATCTTCAGTAACGTGGATGCAGCAACTTCTACGCACCACGACCACCCGGCCTACTATTAATTATAGCTTCCAATGAACAATAGTTCGAAGCTGGTACTACAACGACTACTGCTATTAGCTTACCTTTCAAACAGACTGCGGCAAATGTTGCGGTAGAGGTTGAGGCGAAAGAAGTCGTTGATGTTGAAGATGTATGCATTGCAAATATGTCTGGGTCTGGAAGTTTGGAACTTGTAATGCTAGCCTTCCATATCTAGGAAATCTGTATTGCATAACCAACAAAAGTCGCAGCCTCTTTTGTACATGCAGCAAACACGCAGTTTCTCATGCGGATTGCCTATGAGAAAGCGTTCTGGAGGAAAGTTGTCATGCTAAATTGCAGTCGGAACTGTTTCCATCATCCACATTTTAGCATCACAGGTTTCCAGACCCAGACATATTTTCATTTGATAAGATGCGCTGGTCCAGCTCCGAGGCTTTTTCGGCGCGCTCGATGGAGTTGAGGAACAAAGCCGTGTAGAAGGGCAGGGAGTACTGGTACATGGGATCGATGTTCGCCAAGTCCTGGATACAGAAGAACATCACGCTGGCTTTGAAGGCCACCGGCACGTAGGTCACGCGCGCCTCGTCGATCTTGATCTCCGTGGCGGCGCCCACCTCCTGCTTGGCGGCGATGTCGTTGGCGATCACCTTGGACTCCTTCAGAATGTTGATGGCGGACTCGTCCTCCAGAATGTTGCCCTGGGACTCCGACAACACGCGCAGGATCTCGTTCTCGCAGTCCTCCAGCGCTTTCTTGTTCGCCGCGCCCTCCAGCACCAGTTTTTCCTTTTCCTCCGCCAGGTCGGGCCGCTCCTCCTTCACCACGAAGTTGAGAATCTGGTCCTGCAGCCCCACCAGCGTGATCATGAAGTTCAGCAGCGTCACCTTCACGGCCACGTCAGGGAGGTAGTGCGGATTCCGCAGCTTCGTGGTCATGTAGAAGAAAAAGTCCTTGGAGTACTCGATAATGGACTCCCCGAGCTTGATCATGGTCATGCCGCCCTTCTTGAAGGTCTGCTTCAGCAGGACCGGCTCCACGGCGGGATCCGTATCCTCCCCGACGTTCTCAATCAGGAAGGGGTTCCCGAACTGGATGCTGGTCTCCAGTTTTCGCAGGTAGTCGCCGTCGGTGAACTTGGCCACCGCAATTTTGCGGTCGGCCTCCATCTTCTTGATCCACTTGTTGGCCTGCCCCTGCGGGTCGATGCACAGAGGCCACCGCCGGGCTTTGTCTAAAATGATCGCGTTCTCGATGGAAAAGGAGTCGTTGGGCAGCCCGCAGATGGTCCAGTTCCGGATCTTCACCGGCTGGCCGAGGATGCCCTGCAGCGAAAACGTCTCGCTGCCCGGGATTTCCTTGCCCTTCGTGATCGTCGCCCAGTTCAGTACCGCCTCCTCTCGGAACTCCGGCGTGAAGGCGCCCAGGTAGGCAATCAAACCCGAAGAGACGATCACGTCCCCCGTCAAGTTCACGTAGTCGTCGGCCAGGATCGCGCTGCTTGCGGTCCACCGCGTTTTCTCGCCGCCGAGGGAAGAGATCAACTGCTCCGCGCGCTCCAGCTTTTTCTGACACAGATCCACCTGGTACGCCAGGTCGTCCTGCTCCTGCTTCAACCCATTCAGTTGATTTTCCAAAGCCGTTAACTTGTCCTATCCTGAGTAAAAACGTACCCACACCATAGTCAAGATGGGGAATCGGCTAGACAAATCCACAAGTTTTGGCTGTTTTGCATGACAAATTTGGATTCGTAGTGTAGTGCTGTTTGAGCTAGCTCAGCAGCATCACAGATCTAGCATACCATGCTGATTGGAGCATGACAAATTGCAAAACACGACTAGAAAATGCTTCTCATGGGGCTCCGCATGAGAAACATTTTCAGCATGCAGATTTGCATTACAACTCTGGTGTGGGTACGTTTTTACTCAGGATATGTCCACGATCTTCTTCAGTTCCGCCTGTTTCACCTCCAACTTGGCCATCACCGCTGCATACTCTCCTTCCGCAACTGCGAGCTTCGCTTTTTTCGGGGCAATCTGTGTTTGTTTTTCCGAGGAAGTAAGATGAAGATTCCGACCGTTTCGCCAAGACAAAAAAGACTGTGAATAGTGCATAGCATTCAAGAACTAAAGAGACCTTCCAAGTTTTCCAGTGGCGAGAATGGAAGAACTGGAACAACTTCCAGCAACATTCTATCTAGATAGCAGCCATCAATTGAAAAATCATCACGCACAGGCAACAAGAAAGACACAATGTCGACACGGGACGCACCGTTCGCGCTTGAGAAAGTTCAGGTTGCGCAAGCAGGAGCTGAGTGAGTACTAGTACTCTTTACTTACTTAATCATGAAATACGTCCTTTGCCACACGATCGTAAGTCACCATGGCCCGCACCCACATACATATCCCTGTGGCAGCCTTGGACACCTTCTCGAGCCGTGCGACCTGAAAGTCCTCGTCATCGATCATGGTGGCCACTTTTGCGACGATCTTGGGATCCATATTGTCCTTGTCGTATACGCGAAGACTCTCCAAAAATTTCGTGTCCTATGCATCTGAAAGACGTGAAGTAGCACCTGCGACCCTTTTTTCCGTTGCCCTTACTTACCACAAAAACATTGAAAATAAAGCAACTGTAACTCTAACTCTTGGAGTTTCATCAACTTTCAAGCGCTCCACAAAAAACAAAAGCTGAGCGACCTCAGGAGAGAGACGCATTCAGATTCGCTTTCACTCGCATCCTCTGCGGCATGACAAAAACAAAGGCATGACACAACGACAAATTGAGGTGGTCAGTGCACATTCGTTTCCGAAGGTTGTAATGTTTTCTTTCGGACCTTCTATCGATGTGAGTGCATTGGTGCACGCCAGCGTCAACGAATCTCAGGGTACAAACAGGTGCTTCATCTGTGCTCATTCTGATAGGTCGGAAATCATCTTCACGATGCTGGGCCAGAAGTTCATCACCATCTTTCCGTCGGGACCCGGTTCCCTCACAGCAGCAATGCCCTTCATGATACACACCGCCGTAAGAACCAGCTTCACTGGCGACGGAGGGTTCTTCATGGCCTTGATCTCTGTGATATCTTTCTGCGTCAACGTATCCAACGCCTTGAGGGCACCTGAGAGAGTGTGAGTGAGAGTGATGGGACCAATACGCAAAAGTAACAAGAGCAAGCTTTATTATTCCATACTTTTTGAAGCTACAAGCTCGACCGCCGGGGTGCACGGACGAAGACGAACAAAAACCCCGCACTTTTGCAAATGAAGCAAGGCAAAGTGCATCGTCAGCTCCTTGATTCTTGTGTTGCGGAAGTTTGTATTTGTTTGAGTTCATCTTCATTATACATTTAGGATTTAGTGGACGCTGCAGTCAAAATATTTTTCGTAAAACAATGCGCGTCGTATTTTCGAAATGGATACTTACTGTTCAGCGCTGGCATAGCTTCAGCCAGTCCCGCCTCGCACTCGACCTTGATAGCGTTTGAAGCTTCTGCGGCCTCGTTCGCGACCGCTTCGTCGGCGGCCACCACCACCTTAACCTTCTCGGCGTCTTCGGTCTCTTTCGCCACCACTATGACAGTGCACAACTCCCCGTCCCCCTCATTGATTTGTATACAGCATGAACATCGATACAAGTGTCAGGGTCAGCTCAGCTCAGCACGAATGCAGGTTTTGCATGACAAATTTGCACTGGATTGTAGTGCTATTTGAGCTACCAGAAGTCGTCATGCAAACAGTGCTACAAGAGGCAAAGGGTGGCTACTTGGGAATTTTGCGTGACAAAGGACGGGCACAAGGAGTTGTGCACTGTCATAACCACGATCATGAGCTCACCCACCTCCTTGTTCTTCTTGATCAGCTGGGGCTGCAGTGCAATCAGCTCCTGCTTCATGCCCTCCACCGAGCCCTCCGTCTGCACCAGTTTGGTCAGCCCCACGTCGTACTTGCTTTTCAGGTCGGAAACCTCCTTGCGCTTCTCGTTCAGAAGGGTCTTGAAGGTGGCGATCAACTCCAGGAAGGATGTGGGCGTGGCGTAGTACATGCGCTTCAGCTCGTCCTTGAAGCGCACGGCGAGCTTGGTGGATTCCGAGTGGAACACCGAGCACATCTCGACGCAGGACTCGCACGTCTTCTCGTCCATCTGTTCCTCCTTCAAGAATCGGGTCGCAACCGCGATTATGGATTGCAAAAGTGTCTGGGTCTGAAAACTTGTGATGCAAGTCCGTGATCTGTAATGCGCCGCCAAGCATGACAAGTTTTTTCGTGCTTTTGTGATGCGTATTTCGCATGAGAAAATGCGCTTTTGCATGACAGGCAAGAGAACCTCTTGGTGGCCACGCAATACAGAGTGCAGAGTCATGCCAGACTAGCATGACAAATCTCGCAATCTTCCAGACCCAGACATATTTGCATTGGATAGCGATCAGTGCGTCCGCCGGCCACTCCGTGTACCAGTCGATCACGCAGCAGTTCACCAAGCTGGGAAACTGGCGCAGCCGCGCCCGCCAGGAGTCCCCGATGGGCGAGAAGCAAAGCACGACCTTCATCAGGGTGCGGACCCGCGAGATGAAGTAGGCGTACAGCTCCGCCGGCGCGCCGGACAGGCATTTTCCCTCCTGTTTCGCGGCGGGGCGGACCAGCTCGCACAGGTTCATGCGCTCGTCGGCCGCGAACAGGTTGGGCACCTCGCCGGAGTTCAGCAGGTTGTTGATATCCTCCACGAAACCCTCGTCTTTGATCTGCGAGTCCGTGAACAGGAACACCGTGGATTCGCCCTTTCCGCCTGCGTTCGTCAGGAGTTTTTTGATGTCCTCCCGGAACGCAATGATGTCGTAGCCCTTTGCGATCTCGATCTGGAAGATGGTGTAATCCGCCAGGAAGGACGCCAACTTCGTGCACGACTGGCGCCCGGAACCCCCCACACCGACCAGAAGGGCGTTGCCACCGGGCGTCCGAACCACCCGCGCAACCCGCGACAAGTGCTCCAGCATGTACAAGAAGCATACCTGGACAAGTATCAAGTATTCAGGATACGTTTGCAAAGTCATACGACCTCCACTTGAGGGTTTTTTTTACCCAACCACAGCATACGCTCTCCTTGCATCGCCAACAAAAACTAAAACAGTTCCGTAGCATGATCTCTGTTCCTGAAAAAAAAGTGGAAAAGCAGGTTGGTATGAAACACAAGAGTACGTAGACAGATTTGATACCAAGTTCATTTTGTTGGTGGTCATGTTGTTGTATTCGTCTAGGTGTGCCTCGACCGTGTCTTGTAGCTGCTGGAAATCCATGCACTCCCGGTAGGGTCGCTTGGGTGCGGCCGGGGGTGAGAGCATGTCGCCGAAGATGAGGTACCGGAGTTCCGCGATGGTGTTCACCTTGTTGTCCTTGTTCATATCGTAGGGCTTCATCACCTCGTCAAAGCCCTTCCCGAAGGACCGCTTCGTGATTTCCCGGATCTCATCCAGCATCAGCTTTCGGTCCTCCTCAAATACCAAGCGGTCGCCCAGGATCCGCCAGCACTCGTGCACCCACAGCCGGATACTGCGGTTGCCCGCATCCTCCCCGAAACCGTCCTTGTCCATTTGCAGGAAACCCAGGATGATCTTCGAAAAATCGCGCAAGTTGAACGTGTAGTGCACCTTCAGCGGCGTCGGCAGCAGCTGCGAAACCGCCGCTTTGTACATCTCCAGCGTGCCCAACACGATCTTCTTTGCATTCCCAGTAACCTCGCCGGGGTACCTTGGCAAGTTTTGAAAACATCTTCAGAGGAACGAGCCTTAGATAGAAAACAAGCAGGACCCTGTAAATTATCTCAGCCTGCATTCGTGCAGCAGGCAGCAGCTTCCGAGGAAGCTCAAAAAAAAAACCGCAACTCAATCTGAAGACTTTGACCACAACTAACAAGTGGATACAGATACGACGAGACAACTATAAAATTAAAAGCTGATCTTAACAATAACAGGTTCCTGATGACATGTAACAATTGAAGCACAAAAATGTGTGCAACAAGTTGTACCCCTCCATGCCGAACTTCCAGTCGACGATGGTTTGGAAGATCTTGGACATGTTCTCGTCGTCCAGGTTCGGGAACCCGATGAGCACGAAGTGGCTGGCGAACCTGGGCGTGATGAAGGTGCGGCCGCCGCCGGGCAGCCCCATGGCGGCGAACATGATGCAGTCGACGATGCCGCGGAAGGGATGCGTCGCGTCCTTGCGGTCGTACCACCCGCCGAAGGGCGCGTACGCGATCTTGTCGATCATCTGCCGCAGGATCTCGATCGGCGGCTGCGCCCCGTACTTCTCCTTCACCGGCATGTTCTATCACAGGAAAAAGTGTTAACGTTAGGAACGGAATCTGTGATGCCGAAATGCATCAGAAAGGTGGCGAATAAATTTGCATTACATAGCATGCATGCTAGGCAAAATTTCTCATGAGTGACTGCAATCTGTGAAATAACTCGTTAACGTTCACACTTTTTTCTTCGATATGTTCAGGTCGTCGATCATGATCAGCGCCTTGCGGTTCATCGCCGGGCCGAACACGCCCTTGCGGCGGCGGTCCAGCTTGCCGTCGATCAGGTCCTGCACCTGCGCGCACCGGGACTTGGCGGAAAACCCGACGAAGATGGGCATGTAGCTGTCCTTGTCCATGGCGAGGAGCTGCTGCTCCATGTAGGCCGTCTTGCCCGTCCCGGTGGGGCCGCAGAAGAGCAGCTTGATCTCGTGCGCGATGCAGTGGCGGATGATGTGCTGGTAGCGGATGCTGTCCGTGGTCTGGATCAGCAGCGTGTGTGCCTGCGCGGTGTTGGGAATCTGCTGGTCCGGCACGGTCTCGGTCCAGTTCTTCCAGTTCAGGGAGTCCGTATGGAAGTGCCAGAATCGAAATTGACAAAATCGAAAAATTTGTGATGCACAAAATCGAAACCAGTTGAAGCCTCAGTTTTCAAGTGGCGCATGACAAATTTCGGGAGCACAAAAATCCAGTTTGTCATGCTGTTCGGGCAAAGCAGACTGCTCCTGTCATGCTACTCCGGCAGCACATCGTCCTCCTCTACACAGGCTTACAATCGGTCTCATTTGCCTGCTCTCCAACACAGGCCACGCGTGCCCTACATTTTATTACGCATTGCAAGTTTTTCGATTTTGTCGATTTCGATTCTGACAGTCTCATAGTCCGGGTCCCACATGTAGTCGAACACCACCCCGCGGTCTATCAAATGTAAAAATGTCTGGGTCTGGAAGAATACAAACTCGCGATGCGCATTTCAGGACACAGAAAAATCTTTCATGCATATGTAGCAAAAGCTGCTCAGTTTCTGCCACCAAAATGGGGGATTTGTCATGCGGATTTGGCATTGCGAAAGTTTCTCGAAAACTGTGATGCTAGAGCTACCATACCAGACCTTCTGTGTCATGCCAAAACAGCATGACTCTTCCAGACCCAGACATATTTGCATTTGATACGGTCCGGGATAGGCGGGTTCACCTTCTTGAACGCCTTCGCGTCGTCCACCTGGTTCGCCAGCAGCTTCTGCAAAAACTTGCTGAACAGTGGCTTCGACTCATCCTGAGGAAAAACGTACCCACTGCAGAGTTGTCGTGGATGTTTGTCGTCACACAGTTTTTTTGCATCTGCAGGAACAGGTGTCGTGTCAAAAATGCTGCACCTGCCCACGAGAGGCACTTCTAGTCCTCGTCGTTTGTTTTGAGCATTTGTCATTATCAGTATGCTGCAAAAAGGATGTAACTCATATTAATTCATACAAACAAAAGCCCCTGGCCACACAAAAACGGCAAGAAATTTCAAGACGCGCGCGCGTATAACTAGTTCCTTCAAGTGCTGGATTTGCATGTGCAGACTGGAACGATTGTATTTCCCGAACGTTTCTACAGCGCTGGTACGTTTCGACTCAGGATACGACTCCGTGTTGCACGCGGCGCCGCAGGAAAAAGTGATGGCGAAGATCGCGTAGCAATCGATCATGGTGATGATGTTCTTGGACGCGATCTCGGTCGCCGAGATGTTGCCCTCGTTTTTCACGAAGTTTTCGTGCTCCAGCGCGTCGCGGATCAGCGACATGTAGAGCAGCAGGAAGGACTGAACCAGGTTCTGGTCCAACGAGGGCGAGACCACCTGGCACTGGGCCTTCACGTACCGGATGCAGGGGCCAAGCAGCCAGTTGGTCATCTCTACCACCTCCGACTGCTCCGCGTCGGTCAAAAAGTCGGGCAGCCCCGTGGCGATAAACTTGTCCACCAGGTGCTGGAACCCCATCAGGTGCGGCTCGCAGTACACCATCCCGTTGCGCGAAATGGTCGCCGGAGACGCCACCTCCACGTCCATCGGCTCGATCACGATCCGCATGTTCGGGCTCATCGCGATAATCTCCCCGGAGGTGAGGCACAGCTTCTTGTTCTCGTCCATCACCGTGTTCATGTCCTCGATCCAGATCGCGTCGACCGGTCCGTCGAACACCAACCATTTCCGTTCCTCGGTCTGGTTGCGCGCGAACTCCCGGAACAGCACTGGCACGACGCCGTCGGTCCACTCGTGGGAAACTTCGTCAAAGCACCCGTACAGGTCCCTCGGTGGAATACTCTTCGCATTCAGGCGCACTTGATGCACGATCTCCCCCGGGTGCATGTCTCCGCTATTGGCCAAGTCCGTTAGAGCCTTTTGCAGGCTCAACACCTGGTGACGGGGTGTGATTCATGAAAATCAATGTCGATGTAATCATGCGGCGGCAAATCCAAATGCGAATCAATCGCAACGACGTAGAGCCAATGCGTCGCAAATACAAAGGATGCAGCTTCTTTAACTGCGGGCATTGCTTCTTCATTGATTGATCATAGTGCTAGTGATGAATACTGATAATATGCGTCTTTATTTGTGGAGCCTAAAAATGGGCGCCATGAAACTTTGCATCCCGCAGTACAATGGCAACAATCAACTGCAAAAGCAAAATCCTTTCGTGAAAATTTTTACTTACAACTCGTAATTTTTCACTGTTGCTCCAAATATTTTCGGACACGACTTCGAAGTCGCTCTAATCCAGGCACTTCCCAGTACTATCTATGTATTCTAGTTGTCTTCGGTTCCATCTCTGAAAATTTTCTATGCCGAGAAAGATTATGTTCGCCGAAACAAATTTGTACCTGTGTCGTCTTTCCGGAGTAGGGCAACCCAACGATCATGAGAGAGTGCCGCACGATGTGGGTCTCATAGAACTGCACGACTTTGGTCAAGAAGTATTCGTCCGGCTTGCACGCGTCCTTCTGCAAATGGAATGACACGGCGTCGATGAGTTTGCTGTAGTCGGGCTGAGGCAGCACCACCCCGGGGAAGAGATCGGACTTGATCCCCCCAAAGAGGGGTACGTCGAAAGCCAGAAACTTCGCCAAGTTGACGTCGTTAATGGACTGCAACATGAGCACCGACTCGCTCTCGCCGGCCCGCTTTCGCTTCAGATTTCCCGCGGCGACCAGCACCGAGAACACCGCGCGCATGCCGTAATCGTAGTGCACCTGCGAGGAGAGCTGTTCGGAGCACAGCTTGTAGGTCGTCACGATCTTCTGCGCCAGCGACCGGGAATCCTCGTACCCGTAGGCGTAGAGCTTGATCTCCGCAATCATCGCGTAATCCGGCACCATCATCGCCACCGTGCGGAACAGCGCCTTCAGGTTGTCCGGAAGTTCCGCACGCCCGGCGTAACCGGGGTTCATCGTGATGAACGAGTTGGCGGTCCACTTGCAGGGTAAGTACGTGCCCTCGAAGTCAAAGTGCGTCTTCCGCGCCTTGATCGCGTTCTGGATACTCATGATCTGCTGCGCAACCACGGAGAGCACCTCGACGTCGATGCGGTTAAACTCATCGAAGCACGCCCAGCCCCCGGAGGCCGCGAGCCCCTTGAAGAATTTCCCCATCGCGATGTAGTCCAACCCGTCGGAGCAGTTGAACACGACGCAGAACCGCGCGAGCGCCTTTGCCAAATCCTTGACGGTCTCGGTCTTCCCGGTTCCGGCCGGCCCCTCGGGCGCCGCACCGTACCCCAGGTGGAGGGCGCCGCAGCACGTCCGGTAGCAGCGATCCGTCAGCGGGGTGACCACCAGACGCGAGCTGTTCCCTAGGTACTCGTAGGCGTAGCCCAAATGCGAGTTGGAGATGCGCACGAAGATGTCGGGCCGGTCCCCCTTATCCGCGTTCGGCTCCGCAAAGTATCGCAGTTGGACCAGCCAGTCAAAATCGTTGCTGCTCGCGATCCCCATCTCGTGCAGTTGGTCCACCGTGTCCTGGTTGTGCACATAAATGACGATCAGCGCCTCCAGCGTGCAACGCACCACCTTCGGCACCTCCCCACGCACCAAATCAATGATCTCCCGTAGGGTGTCCTTCATCTTCACACCGTAGCCGACGAAGAACTCGTTACCCACATCGTCCAACCCGTTCTGGATGTCCAGCGTCCAGTACATATTAAACACGCCGATCACCGTCATACCTGAAACGTTTTTTGTCAGTTGTGAATGGAGCAATGCATGGATTTGCGAACAAGGTTCTTTGGATGAGTAGTACTTCTGGTCGCATGAAAAAATCGATGGATTTTACCTGGCCAGAGCTGCAGCCATTCGGAGAACTTTTTGGTCGGGTAGTCGTCCTTACTGGCAAAGGTGACCGCTCGGATGGCCGTGTTCATGGCGTCCTCGAGTTCCACCAGCCACACCTCGACGTTGCCCCGGGCTTTTGCGGGCTCGACCATGAAGGGTTTCAGCTTGCCCGTCACATCCCCTACGCCGGCCTTGTCCTCGTGCTTCTGCAGGGGAATATGGCTTGCTCAGATGTTACAATCTCAAACGTTACAACAGAGTCTGGAATTTGTCCTGCATGAACAGCATGAGTACCATACAGAGACTTGGGCTTTTCGCAATACAAATTTTGTCAGATTCTCATGGGATTTGGGGCTCCGAAACTTGTCATGCGCGCTCCTTTGGGAGTAAGCCAGATGCTGCGGATTTTGCAACACAAATTCCAAATTCTAATGTAACGTTTGAGATTGTAACACCTGAGCGAGTTATAGGGAACGATTTCCTTTTCCGTCGCGACCATCTGCGTGATGCGCTTCTTCTCGTCGAAGGTGAGCGACTGGATGCCCTCGAAGCACTTTTTCAAGTGCGGCTGAATGCGCGTGGGGTCCTTGGTCTCGGACAAGATCTCCAGCAAGTTGTCGTTGGACAGGAAAAAGAACCTCGGGAAGTAGAGCCGCTTCGTCTCCAGGTAGTCGTTGAGCCCCTTCTGGACGTCCTCCAGCTTCTGGTGGCAGTCGTTCAACCGGTCCAGCAGCCCCTCAATGCGGAACACCGTGGTGGCGGGCGGGTCCGCCAGGCACTCCTCCATCATCTCGCGCCACGTGCGGTCCACGTCGCGAAACTTCTTGCCCTCCACGGGCATCTGCTTCATGATGTCCTCCGAGCTGAAGATCGGCTCCAGGTACAGCCACACGGACTGCACCTTGAGCCAGATGTCGATGATGTCCTGCACCGTGATCAGGAACTCCTCCCAGTCCTTCATGCGCTCCGCGAAAAACTTCGCGAACGGCGAGCCTTTCATGGTCTGCACCTTGATGATGTGGTCGTCCAGCAGCCCCTGCACCGCCTCCACCGTGGTCCCCGCGAGGATGTAGGTCCCCGTGTCCTTCCACGGCTTGAACTCCGCGATGAGCGGCGCCCACTCCTCCTCCTGCGTGTCCAGCGACTTCTCGATCTGGAACTCCTTGGACGCCGACTCGCTGATGTCCTCCAAATCCTTTGCGTGCTTCTCGATGTCCATGTCCAGCACCCGGGTGAGAGTGAACGAGTTGTCCGGCTCGATCTGGAAGCCCACGATCCCGGAGATCTTCTCCCAGTGCCGCTCCTTGAGCCCCTTGTTGCAGAGCGCCGTGAGCACGGGCACCTTCTCCTTGAAGTGGTCCAGCTCCTCCTTGATCTTTTTGGCCACCTCGAAGGGGCCCTCTGCCTTCTGGTCGCCGTCCTTGAACAGGGCCTGCAGCTTGTAGGCCGTGCGCCACATCTTGGCGGCGTCGCTCTCCGCGGTCTCGGCGTCGATGGAGAACAGGGGGCCCTTGAACCACTGCTGGTACTGCTTGTTGTGGTCCCGGCAGGTCAGCCACAGGTTCTCGAACGGCTCCAGCTTCCCCTTCATGGTGCCCAGGAGCTCGAACTCGGTGATGTCCCACCCCAGCATCTCCTCCTTGTTCGCGATCTCCTCCGCCTTCTCGTCCACCTGTACGAAGAGGTCCTTCACCATCTGGATCTTCTCCAGGTACTCGTCGCACTGCCGGATGTTGCCGTAGTCCTTGAACTTTTCAACCTTCTTGTCCACGGACTCGAGCCACTCCTGAAACTTGGTCCGCTCCCGCAGGAACGCGTCCTCGATGTTGTCGCGCTCGTTGTCCAGCTCCTGCTGCCGCTCGTTCAGGCGGTCGGTGTACTTGATCCACCGGCTGGAGTCGAACAGCGCCTTGTGGTCCTTCTCCGACATGGGCGCCTCCAGCGTGGCCACCAGGTTGGTCCACTCCCGAATGTCCGCGTACTCCTGCAACAGCAGTGGCACGTCCGTGCGGCGGAACTCGTCCAGGTCGGTCTCGATCTCGACCAGCCCCTCCTCCGTGGTGGCCTTGCGCGACAGCCGGCTCTCGATGTACTCGAACCGCTTGTAGAGCCGGTGGTTGCGGTCCGTGATCTTGCTCACCATGCTCTCCAGCACCAGGTCGATGCAGCTCTTGCAGGACTGGCACAGCAAGTCGTTGATCTCGCGGCAGTCCAGCGTGACCATGCGCATGCGGATCAGCGACGGGAAGTGCGTCTGCATATGCTCCATGGCGTCCCGCAGTTTCGTCACGTACTCCTCGTAGTCCTCTCGCGACTTGCGCTCAGGCTCTTTGACCTTCTTTTTGTCCTTTTCCTTCCCCGTGTCCTTCTTCTTCGCCGCCAGGTCGGCCTCGAAGAAGAAGCCCTGGAGCTCCATGTCCACAAAGGGTTGCGAGACGCGCTGCTGCTCGCCCAGGAGGAAGAGGTAGTCGTCGTACAGGTGCAGCGCCTCCCGCACGTTTGAGAGGTTCATGCTGATGGTTTGCTCGATCTCCTGGAATTGCTTTTGGATGTCGGTCTCCTGCTCTTTCACGGGCCACAGACACCTCTCCTCGGGGCTCTCCGCGATCTGGTTGTCCGGCCGCTGCATGGTGTTCAGACACACCACCATCTCCCGGAACACGCGGAGCAGCTTCTCCTGCACGGACTCGAGCGGATTGCGAAACTTGATGGCGTCGCCTTTGGCGTCCGCCGTCAGCTTGTTGATCAGAAAAGATTCCTCCCACTTATCCTGGTCGGTCAGCGCCAGCACCTCATTCACCGTCAGCGGCTTGCTCCCGCCGAACCGCGAGATAAAAGCCACGTAGTCCTCCAGCGACCGCTGAATTACGTGGCGCAGCTGCAAGGAGCACAGCACCGCGATGCTGTCGTGGAAGAGCTCGAGCTTGGTGGTGATGGTGCTGGGTGTAGCACCAGTCGCGTCCTCCGTCCCGTCGCCGCTGTTGAGGAGTGCCAGGTGCGGGTGGCCCATGGATTTTTCGTCCAGCTCCGGGTTGTTCTCGATTTCCTCGCGCACAATTTGCAGGACCCGCAGGTTCCACTCCTCCGCAAACCGCTTCACGGTTAAGTCCCGGAACCGCTCTTGCTGCAGGCGGAACGCCTCGATGTCTCCTAGGGCGCCACGCTTAGGCAGGTCGGCGAGACACAGGTCTACGTAGTCCAGGTGGAACACCTCTAAAAGCTCTTTGGCGGCCTGCGTGTTGCCCACGAACACGTCGAGCAGCTGCATGCGCTCCAGCTCTTCCCACTCGGAGAGCAGGTTCTTGCCCGTGGCTTCGTCGACGCCGAAGCTGGAGGCAATCTCGAGTGGGAAGCGAACCTCGCCCCAGGGCGAGACCAGCTCGGGGAAAATCAACACCGCGGTGCGCTGCCGCGTGGACTCGTCCAGAAAGCAGTAATTGCACACGGCTTTTTTGCACCCCTGGTAGTATTCCGCTATCAGCTCGTCGCGCATTTGCTTGACCACGCGCGGCGCCGTGCCCTGCAGCAACTGATCGCCAACCAGAAGGTTTACGTTATCGAACCATTGCTTGTTGTACGGGGCTATTGTTTCCGTCGGCACCGCGTTCACGTAGTGCTGGTAGCGGACCAGGGTTCCCAGAAAATCCTTGCGCGTCAGTATTACAGTGAAAAGTGCCCCCCACCCCTCAAATTGCAAAAATTTGTGATGCGAAGTTTCCAAATTTGTTTCAGCAAAATTTGTGATGCGAAGTTTCCAAATGAAAACTTTTTGTCATGCATGAAAGGAGTACGAATCTTTCTGATGCAGAGTCTAGGCGTGTATCGCATCGCTTGCATAACAAGCGCCGCTCTTGCTGGGGTCTTTTGCAATACAAATTTTCGCCATTCACGATTGGAAACCTGTGATGCTGATTGGTGCAAGAGGGCGAATGTTTCATTTGGAAAGGTTTGCAATGCAAATGCTTTCAAGTTCGGGGGTGGGGGCATTTTTCATTCTGATAGTCAGCAGCTCGGCTTCGTCCACCTGCTCGGCAATGGGGGACCCCTCCTCGATGAAGAGCCCGAGCTGCTTATCCTGAGTAAAAACGTACCCACCCCAGAGTTGTAATGCAGATCTGCAAGCACAAGAGCGCTTGTAATGCGCATCCCCATGAGAAGAATTTCCAATCGTGTTTTGGAACTTGTAATGCTATAAACAGGATAAGGAGATGGATTTGTGATGCGGCTTCCCTTGCTAAACTGCACTACACTACAGCCTGCAATTTGTCATGCGCGGTTCCCAAAACTTCAAGGTTTGTGTTGCAAAATCCCCATCTTGACTCTGGGGTGGGGACGTTTTTACTCAGAATACTGCTTCTCCCAGTACTGCTGGCTCTCGTCGTTCCGCAGAAACGTTTGGTGAATGGTGGCGAAATTTTTCTCGAGGTCGTGCTGGGCCATATTTTTTGCTCGGTCGACCCGCCACTCCAGCGAGGACGACGAGATGTCGGGATTGCGCTCGGGGTCTAGTTTGAGCAGCCCGGCTAGGGGACTGTAGTGGATACCTATGTTCCCACTTATCGCGCCCTTCTCGAGCTCGTCCCGGATGGGGGCGCAACGCGTCCGGCTAAACACGTCCAGGAGCGGCGGAAACAGATGGCTCGCGCTCGCTACCTGCTTCATTTTTGGCGCCTCCTCCGGGAATGATGTGTTCTCGAGCACCCGCTGGGGCAGATCGCCCATGGACCGCGTCACCTCGTCCTTGGTGAGGAGTGCTGGCAAGATTGTTGACGACGTCGTAGACCTGATAAAACCAATGAAGCAATTTTGAAAAAAACGCACAAACGGGTACTACACCCATAATTCCAAGTTGGTTTCTTATCCGAATCCGGCACATAAAAACACAAAAGCATTTCTTTTACTAAAAATCCGTACCACACAGAGAGGATGAGTCCGTCGCTCTTTCTCAAGTTATTCATGCGTAGAGAGAAACCATGCGTGCGTTAACAGAGATTTGAGGTACAACAACACGTAAAAATATACAATTCAAAATAGCTAAAAATTACCCTTTTCCGCCGTCCTTGTCGGCAGAGGGGCTGGTAGCGTCATCTGGTGGTGGTGCTGGCACGAAAGACGCCACCGATTTCTTTGTTAGGGAAGATTGCACCTGAAACTTTGGCCTGGAAAGGAAATCATAGGGCTCAAACGTGAGCTTGCGCGACTCGTCGCACTTCAGCTTTCCCAGAGGTGCCAAATCGAGAAAGACCGTGGCGTAGGAGTTGCACGCCCAACCTATGGTCTCCAGCACGTGGTCGTGGACGAGATCGATGAAATCCGAGGGCAACTCGATATGCACAAAGAAAAAACTGTGTTGATCGTGTAAAACTTTTTTGAAGCGAGTAGCACCAACGCTGCGTTTGCTTTATGGAGCAAGAAACAAATAGAATCGTCACACAGGGCTAGTGCGTCAAACTCAAGTTCTTCGCGCAGAGATGTCCGCATGACAAGCCTGTACAGCTGTGTTGCAAGAACGTGATCCATGTTATTTTGCAAAAATGCAAAGATACTTACAACGTTTCCACTCAGTTTTCACTCGTCAGTTTTTTCCTTGGATACTCGTGCAGCAGCTTGTACACTTTACTTCTCTGGTACTTCATCACCGGTCCCCCGCTGATCAACTGCCCCTCGCGAAAGGTATGGTCCTCGCTGAAGCTGGGTCGGTCGAAGATCAAGTCGCAGGTGCTGGGCACCGGAGCGCCGGACGAGGATGACGCGCCCTGCATGTGGAGAAACGTACCCACGTGAGGCACCGCCAGTGCGGCGCCGCTCCCCTGAAGGTCGTGACAAACCTGCGTCCATACCGCCAGAAAAATCCGGTACACGTTCTCCGCGGTGGTGAGGGCGACGAGCTCCACCTCCTTCTCTGGTGCGTGCTGGTCCGCGTAGATTTGTGCCAACGTTCGGCGCCCGATCTCCTCGAGATAGGTGTCCGTCCGGAACGGCTTTGGCCGCAGCTGCCCCACCTTCCGCAACCCGGACCCGGAAGAGCTGCTGCCGCCCGTCTGAAACATAGTCTGTTCTTCACTATCGGAAAATCTTCCTAGAAGAAGAAGTACTGTAGGTCGTATGTCTTCATGTTCATCCCTTGGATCAATAATTATCTCGAGACCCTCCCATCATTCCCCGAAAAAAAACGGACCCTGACGACGAGCGAGCGACACGCCCCGCCCGAAGTCGGTTGGTCCTACTATATACGAGCTGGCAATTATGAAATCAAATTCTTGAATTAAATGGAGAGCGCAAAGAAAACACGCTCCGCGCAGACTGGCAAGGCCGGCTACGATCCGTACGACACTCACGACGATTTTTTTGAAAACGATATCACAGAGCGAGAAGAGCAGTTCTTCTCTCATACGATAGCAAATACGTCGTCACTGCGAGGTTTACTCAGTAGAAAATCACACCGCTGAGAAGAGGTACTTAACTTTCAGAGCATACTTTCTTGTTCTTCAGGATAAAGATGCCTCTACTCAACTCCTCTTTTTACGAGCACCTGCAACGATACGAATTGAATTGCTCTCCACGAGAGGATACCCTGGTCGCTAGACCTGCAGCTCGAGAAGGACGTACCCCACACCTAGTAGCCTAGACATAGCCACGAAAACGAGCTAGAGGACACAAGATATTGCCACAAACAACTTCGCACTCTTTTGCACCTTCTCCTGGCTCATTCAGGTGTATTCAAGATACGCTTGTGAGGCAAGTAAAAACGAATGTGCGCCATTTTGCATAGCTACTAAATGCAACGACAGAAACAAAATGAGTGCGGTCACGGCAGTTGTAATTTTCTTGGAAATAACTCACAGCTCAGCAAAGGCGATAATATATTAGGAGTGGTGAGTATACAGTTTTTTCTGTTCACAGATGAGTGAAGTTTCATTCACGGCATAGGCCTACCGAGAATGGAGTTTGACATAAAAACTTCGACAATGAAGCCAACACGCTAGGGGAAAGGAAGAAACACCGCCTCGGCTCTCGCTGCCAGGGATATCATCGATCCGTGCGCCCAGAATGTTGTATCATAGATGCAACCAGAAAGGAGCAGTAAGTCGCGTACACTCGGTCTTTACAGATTACTTCACAAAAAGAGCACTCGATAATTTTCGCGTTCCTTGAGGTATTTGAAATTCTGAAAATCATACCGCACGGGGCGTCCGAGATTGAAGTAATCCGGTCGACTCGGGTTGGGCCACTCGTCCAGTCCGAGTTGGATGCACTGCGTCTTTTCCCGATCATTGTACAAGCCAAACTCCGCAAAGCCCTTGTGCTGCACCCTCAGACAGACCTCGTGCGAGCGCAGCGGATCCGCTTGGTCTTCCCGTCGGGTGCTGGACGTGAGACCTGGTCTATGCAGTGCAAAAATTTCTTGTTATTCCCAACGCGCAAAAGCAAAAGTAAGCAGGAACACGCAAAAAATAAAACAACGACGCCAGGCGTGTTAGTTAGCATGGGTGGGGTCAGTGGCTTTTAATCCTTGATAGATTCTATGACCACGGGCCGGCGAAGGTGAACATATCGGCGCTCTGGTCCTCAATGAATGCTTTCTCTTTTTTCGCACTACATTTTCTTGCTTTGTTCTGTGCCGAGAACTTTTCTGCAACTTTTGCACAGCATAAAAGTCGTAGTCCAGCAGATTCGGATCGTCCACTCGTTTGCACTGCAAGGAGAGGTAGGAGTTTGTTTTTGCAACCGAATACTTCTCAAGTTGCATTTGGTACCGCATCCGGAGGGGCTCCATTCCCGGTATCGTTTTTTTCTTCGCGTCACTCAGCTGCTTTTTCAGCTGTCGTATGCGGTACTCGAGAAAGGGTGTGTACGCTTGCGAGAGTCTCTTCTGAAGCGGGTGTGCGGCCGCGGGATGTCCTACATGACAGCACTTGAACCAGGCCCCGCGGTCCTTCTCGTGCACGAAGGTGACGCCCTGAAACGCGGGCCGCATCTTGTTCATCACACTGGCCAGTAGCGTTTTCTGCGCGGCCAGGCTGCTGACGTCCTGCGCATTTTGTGCTCCTTCCAAGTAGTACTCGTTCAAACACTCGCGGTCGGTGGGCAGCTGCTCGACAAGCCGACGCTTGTGCCACAGGGACCTAATATTCGCGCACAGGTCAAATTTCTTGCTCAGCCAACGACGGAGCACTGTGCGTGTGTGTTGCGGGAGCTTCTCCAGTGGCCCCGTGTCGCCGCTCTGAAACGCCTGCTTCAGCTCTGGCGGCGGAGAACAATCGAGGTAAAAAGACGTGAAAAAACGCATCGTGCTACTTTGTCCTTTTGCTTTTCCAAACTTGCGCAGACAGACAATCCAAATCACGAAGCCCCATTCTCATGTGTAAGAAGAAACGAACGCGATGTGCCTCTGTCCATACATGGTCACGAAGTTATTTGAGCACTTGTTCTTCCTATAATCTACGAGATTAAGAAGAGCAACCTACTTCTGGATACTTACGGACGCCACGACGAAAGCGAAAAACGAAAGCACCACGAACGGCTTTACACTCTCCCTCGGACCCAGCATCACGACGGCGATTTTAATTGCAATCGCAAATGCGGCTGTTCTCATATGCTTCTTTTGCGAACAAAAGACCTCTCCTCGAAGACGAATGAGTGCTCGAATGTGGCACCGGAACAACGGGGGACCAAGGTCCGGTGAACACAGTAGGCCGCCCCCGTGCTGCAGCGGCCATCAGGTGGCTTCGTAAGCGTCTTCTCTTTGCGCCTTCTCTTACTTCGAACTGCAGTTCTAGGGTTCGGACGAGCAAGGGAGACATACTACAACACGGCTCTTTCTTAATCGCGCCTGCCACCTGCGTATTATTTCTTTATTTGTCTCGTCTCCCTGGCGGAAAATGACCTGGCAGCGCGAGCTTTGGAAGTCGTTGCGTTTTTTTGACACAATATCGGCTGGTGGCGGCGGCCCCGATCGGTAGGGGGTACCTACACGACTTCATGAGGCCGCACGGCCAGCCAACCGTAGACTGAAGGTTGCATTTTTTGCACATTATCCTTTCCTTAAAAATTATTGTTCGGCATTTTGTCATCCTCCATATCGACGGTTTGTTTACTAGAGGGTAGTATAAATAAATGTATGTAACGAGGTTCGCAGGTGGAGAGGCCAGCAGGTATTTTCATCTTCGGTCGAGCGAGGTACTTTCCACTCCCTGTATTTGGTACAGCATGTAGTTGGCGGAAGATTCGGCTTCAGCGATGGCAACTACTCGACCCAAAATCCTGCATCAGAAGCAGGGTACGGAGCACAGCTGCTCTTCCTGTGCTAGGAGTTTACGCTTTTTGACACTGCAATCAGTAGTTCAATCTTTCGCGGATCGATTTAAGACTTTTCTTTAGTGCGGTAGATAAAAAGTAAAACGATGTCGGTTGTAAGTATGCTGTAGATTCATCAGATTTAGGAAAGACAAATGCTCTGCTTATATTTGCCGTTTTAGAAGAAGCGGACACGAGCCACTATATGATAACAAGTTCGATTTGATGTCCGTGACGGAGGACTGTGGAGGACTGCATGAGAACAATTCGCTTCCTGCTCCTGCCCTCGCAGCTTCGGTTGAGATAAAGAATTCTAGCCTTTCGTGACGACCTTAAAGCCGAACGACGGAGTTTTTAGCATAGACTTGCTGTCTTTCACGTCGACGCACGTTGCCATCAGCAAACTGAGGTTCGGCGAAAAGTCCTTCTTCAGACAGCACTGCACCTGCCCAGCTTGATTTGTCCGCACGCGCAGCTGGTGTTGCTTGTCGTACTGGTGGCACACACCCAGCGACAATGGCATTGCACCTGAATAAAGATTGATCATGCAGATGCACACCCGCGGCCACGTCGTTCTCCTTTATCCTTTCATCGGGTTCGTTCTCATTTTTAGATGATACATAGATTGCAGAATAGCTTCCAGCTCAAACTTTTAGATACCTACAGCGAGAATGAAAATTTGATTTTTTTACCCTTGTCTCCACCAAGGGACGCGACAACTTCCATCACGGCGGTGGTTTTTGCGTCGATCGCGACGGAGTGATTCAAAGTAGCCTTCTTCTTCGAGCCGACGGCAAGAACCGTGGTACCGGCGGGGCTCGCGTACGAGCAGCCGAGGTTGTACCCGAACAGGGCCGGATTCAGGTCCATCATGTTGCACTGGAATAAAATATTTCTTTCGATCTTGAACAACTTGATTGATAGGAAGTCATGTAACACAACTTTCATGCTGTCATGCATCTGGCACTGGCCAAAAAGTTAGTACACACATGATGAAAACAGTCATTAATTTAGATGTTCATCGCCCTGCAGCTAGGGTCATCAACATACATCATTTTGTTCTTCTTCTATCATCATAATGTTATAGTCCAGGTTTCCTTTCAGAAAGATCTGGATATCAGTCACACAAACAAGAAGTATCCAAAACCTTGAAGTCCGCAGCAACCTTGAGGCCTGCGAGCACATCCTTTGCGTCGTAGAGACAGGATGTTTTCAACAGGCCCGTGCCGGCGTTGCCCTTTAGGTTCAGTGAGAGCGGTCCGCTTGCGATGTCTGTTCCGCAAACGTAGTAGGGTAATGGCTCGCCCTTCTCTTCATACCTGTATGGCGCGCTTAAAGTCGCGTTTTTAAAAGTCATAGTTTTTTTTTTTGAAAGGTGGCGCAAAAACTGGGCACGCGGGTAGTTCAGTTAAATGCCGGCAGGCGAAACGCCGCACGCCTTGCCTTGGGTGTGTCGCCAAGAAATCTTTGCCATGCGCCAGAATTGGCACCGTCGGGAGGCTGGACGCCGCGACGCTACTGCCGCCTTTAGCAAGCTTGCCAGCAAGTGCACGCGATCCATTTTCACATCTCGCCGCATCCCCGGAAGTGAAGCAACACTCGTAGCGCAAGGCCGCGGGCGCTGCGCCTGTTGCCTCAGCTTGCATCGCTGCGACCCCACAACGGCGCCACCACGCTGGCCTCCCAACCAGCCGCAACAACAGACCTAGTGACCGCGCCACCCCTCGCGCCTCTACTATTTTGGTCGCCTTCCAACCACGGCAAGGCCATTGCCGCGCCTCTCCGCCGAGACAGGCTGCTGCCACGCGTGCGGTGTTTTCCCTGTTGCGGCGTGGCCCCTGTGGTCTAGCATCGGAGGCGCGGCCCCAAGGCTAGGCCGCCCCAAAATCCTTCCGAACCGCCCCGCCCGCCCGAACCAGCCAGGGCCGCCGGCCTAAAAAGCCCCCCTTCAAGCCCCGGCTCGCCAGCGCCCCAAATTGGGCGCCCATTCGAAGCGCCATTCTGAAGCCCTCTCATTGGGGCCGCTTTCGGAGGCCTTTTGGGCAACCCTTGGTGGGCCACAATGGCGGCCCGGATGGCCTCCGGATCACCCCCCCTGGATTTCATGCAATCCCGAGCTAACTAGGCCCCCCAAGGAGGCCTCTGAAGAGGCCTCCGGAATGGGGTCGGCGGAGGTTGCCCCGGAAGGACACCAGCGAAGGTCGTCGGGGCCACATAATCTCGGGCCCCGGGTCGATTGGGGTGGCTTGCTGGCTTATTGGTCTTCCGCCGGTTGCTTGGCGGCATTCGGAATATTCGCCGAACGGAAGGCGCCGCCGCTACTTGGCGCAGCCGGGCTGTGCGCTTCCTGTTTAAAGGGTGTCGCCGCCGTGGCCTTCTGCGGCCCGCCACGAAGGGGCCGGCCTCGCCTTGCCGGCGCGCCTGGCTCATGAGGCGGCCGCGAAGCGCATCTTGCCGGTGGGGCGCGTGGCGGCATTGGTATCCGCCCTCATGCAGGCCGCAGCGCCCCGGCTGACAAGCAGAACCAAGCTGAGCGGCGCATGAGGGGCGGCCGGGCCTTGCCTCGGTGGGACTACATGTAAGCGCGCCAGATTGTGGCGGGGCTCGGCTATTAAGCCGCGACGCGTCGCCTTTCCTTTGCTCAGAACTTTGGGCGGCGGGGGGAGGCGAAGCGGACCCGGGGTTTTCGAAATTGCATCGCGGAATGCGCCACGAAGGATCGCGGCGAGGCATTCTTTTGCGCGCCGTCCGAATTGCCTTCCTGGGGCCCAGTGCTATCGCATTTATGCGCGCCAGCTCGGGCGACCCTATTCTCATATCGGCAGGGCATTAAAATCGGCGGCAGTGCCTGAAGACTAGCAAAAAAAAAAAACTATGACTTTTGAAAACGCGACTTTAAGCGCGCCATAACCTGCAGAGTAGGTGCACAAGTCGTGCCGATCGAGATCATCAATCTGGACCACACAACACGGTAAAAATGCCGAAATCTTCGAAATTGTCACTCGAAAAAATCTATGCAAAAATGGGAATGACCATAAAAAAACTTCGTATACTTGGTGAAGAGGAAGAAGCCCGGGCAGTACTTAACCTTGCAGAACAAGTCCCACTTGCCCGTACCCTTCTTGTATCGGGCTATCCTGAGGAAAAACGTACCCACACCAGAGTTGTCATGCAAATCTGCATGCTGAAAATGTTTCTCATGCGGAACTCCATGAGAAGCATTTTCTAGTCGTGTTTTGCAATTTGTCATGCTCCAATCAGCATGGTATGCTAGATCTGTGATGCTGCTGAGCTAGCTCAAACAGCACTACACTACGAATCCAAATTTGTCATGCAAAACAGCCAAAACTTGTGGATTTGTCTAGCCGATTCCCCATCTTGACTCTGGTGTGGGTACGTTTTTACTCAGGATACGGGCGGTGAGTTCCTTATCGTCGTACTTACAGCTGATTTTGTCTACTACGTCCGTGGTCTTGAACGTGTAAGTGGAAGACCCAAACTTCAAACCTGAGGTAGTTGTTTGTGTTTCGTACGCTTGCACTGCTCCAAAGCCAGCAAGCTCCAGCAAGGTGTACTAGCCTAATCGCAGCACGCAATAAACGGTATTTACGTAATCAACATGCAGCTCAGGCATCCATTTCTTTGTGTAATACATTATAGATTGAGATTCTATGTATTGTACATGGTTCGGGAAAGGCGAGCCCCTTCTTGACGGCTGGATAGCCCTCCAGGACGGTCTTCTTGTCCTTGAACAAGCTCTTGAAGAGCGAGCCTTTGTAGACACCACCGGTCGTGTCCGTTTCACTGAAGCTGACGTTCGGCCCGTTCATTTTTGCAAGGTGCGACTTACAAGTTAGAAATAGAGTACCACGATGAGCACTGTCGAGACTCTTTCTTCTCAACAAAAATTCTCGTCTGCCCGTTCTGTTTGTGGAAACAAATCGAAACTACAGTAACTGACGCTCTGCAAATAAAAACTTGAGTAGCAACAGGTCCTTCAGGCTTTAATACGGACACCCCAAACGAATCAACTAGGATGATCTACAACTCAGCTGATTTTTACTAATCCGACTGGAGGTCATACCACACGAAAAGTTCTTCACTTTCACACCAAATCCTCTTTGCTTTCGGTCCGGGTAGATAATTTTCCTGAAAAATCTATGGTTACAATAAACGATGTTTCGATACACACACAAAACTATCACTCGGGGATGGGGTCGTGAAAAAGTCTCACACTACACTCACCCTGTCATGTCATCAAGAATTCGAAGCACTTTGATCGCAAGATAAAAACGCTTTGAGCAGTACCTACCGAAACTCGGTCTCGTCGACTCTAGATCCGTCAGCACCTCCAATTTGTCTCTGTCAATCTATCGTTGTCAACATCCGCATAAGCTAGGAAATAAGCTAGAAGGAACACGAATCCGGCATCCTCAACTGTCATGCCACTATCAAAAAATGGCGGTTTTTTTTTTCCGTTCTGTAGTTCTCCACCAGGGTACAATACACAGCTCGAGGATGTTTTTAGGATACAACGAAAATAACACGTGTAGTTCTTACATCTACACAGCCATGGAGGTTGAGTCTGTTTTCATAGGTGTGTACTAAAAATTCCGTGGCAGAATAAATTCGCGCGGCCCGACTTTGGGCACCGAACGGGGACGAGGCGAGCGATGCAACTTTGCATCGCGCACTGTCCCGTGCCTGTCTTTCAAAGCCGAAAGGAGAGCGCCGTCACTTCTAGCAACAGTAAAATAAAATGTCTTCCACCCTGCTGGGTGATCAATCGGTCTGCTGTTCGTGGAACGATTTACTCCCGAACCGCGATTCTCTGCTCAACATCCATAGTCTTTTCATTTGAGGCGACATCGTTGCTGCCTGTATGTCAGCGATCCCGCGAAATTCAAAGGTAGTTATGTTCTCGCGTAGACCGACAACTACCGGGCAGTCGGGGCGGGGTGAGACACGTTCTTCGGGCGGGGTACGTAGAAAGTCCAGAGGAGGAGGTGGCGGACGAAGCTCCATGATCCGGAATCAATCTGGAACGTTTTGTCTTCATCCGCCTCCGAAGAAGATGAAGAAGCATATAGCATTTACGATTCAAGGTGAACACAGGTCGTCCCTGCGTCGTCGATCAAAACTTCGAGGCGCGGTCGCGTAATCACGCCGCTGGCATTCCCTTCTGAGACGCAGAAATGATCTGCAGAATTGCGGACCCCACGACCACGAACAGAAAAAAGGCCAACACCAGAGGGCCGACCCGAAATTATCCTGAGTAAAAACGTACCCCCACCAGAGTCAGGATGGGGATTTTGCAACACAAACCCGGGAGTTTTGTGAGTCACGCATGACAAGTTGCGCTATGCAGTGTTGTGCAGGTTAGCAAGTGCAGCCGCATCACAGATTCATCGGCTCATCCTGTTCACAGCATCACAAATTCCAAAACACGATTGGAAATGGCTGTCATGGGGATGCGCATTACAAGTCTTCTTGTCTTTGCAAATCTGCATTACAACTCTGGTGTGGGTACGTTTTTACTCAGGATAGAAATCCGCTCTTACTCTTCTCGCGATCGGACGTCGCCACGTTTCCCCGGTGCCGGATGTTCCGCGCGAACCTGCAAATTTTATTTGGTAGGGAATTTCTTCGAGTAGATATTTGGGCGGAATAGATCAAAAATAGATTGGCCGCCAAGCTACGAGCATAGCGCGGCGCCTGGAAAAAAGATTGCTCCGGCCCGCGAAAGTTGGCCCAAACACCACGGCACTCTCTTACCTGGGCTGCCAGGTTTTGGGGCCAGGTAAGAGAGCAACGCGGTGCTTGGGATGCGAAAACGTCCAGGCCTGAGGAGGTGGCCAGAGGAAAAAGACACTCTTGAAGCACAAGCGCCATGCTGTGCTCTTACCTGGGCCTCCAGACTTTGAGGCCCGGTAAGAGCATAGCATTGCGATTGGAAGGAAAAAAGACCGCATCGCCCCAAAAAAAGTTGGCCCAAACACCACGGCACTCTCTTACCTGGCCTGGCAAATTTTTGGGCCAGGTAAGAGAGCAGCGTGGTGCTTGGGATGCGAAAATGTCCTGGCCTGAGGAGGTGGCCAGGAGAAAGAGACACTTTTTTTAGCACAACACGGACGTCGCCACGTTTCCCCGGTGCCGGATGTTCCGTGCGAACCTGCAAATTTTTATTTACACTTTCAATTCTAGGGTTAGTATGTATCTTCGGACACTACATCATAGGCGTAAAACAAAAAAAACGCACAATACTGGTCGGATTTCAGCTTGGTCTTGCGAGTGGCGGTCATTTTTTCCTTTGGGTTCGAGCGGTTGCAAAGATTTGCAAAATATCGAAGCCCGGATCGGATTTCGGTTAGTGTTTTTACTTAAGACAAAATGCTATTCTACAATAAAAGCGTTCGTGTCGATTCGATATTTCAAAAACAAAATTCAGAAAAAAGAACCGCTGTCATCGCGTCAATGTTGCACGAAAAAGAATAAGGCAAGATTGCAAAAAGACGTGATCAAAAATTTCGCAGCGCTTTGCTATTGCAATAAGTGTGCAGATCTTGCTTTTGTTCTTCGGCTTTCTTCTTTATCATAAAGTTTGGTGAACAATGCCATAATCAATGCTAAACCAACGATGTAGCGCCAACGAGGCTGTCGGATTCTCATTAGATCAGGATAGGTACCCATTTGCGGTGACGTGAGAAAGTGGTTCTTGAGGCATGGGTGAGTTTCGAGATGTTTTACATCTTTGTGGTTGTTCTTTGGCTTTGCAAGCGGAGAGCATAAATATCACAATGAAATATCATCAATATTTTCCGAGCGGGCATGTTGATTTTTACTACTAGCTGCAGCCAATGCATCAGTCTCCCACCAACAACTAGAGCGGGTGCTACGTACATTAGCCGAAAAACCCTCCGTTTATTTCAACAGAGCCTGTTCCGATAATTTGTAGCTCGTGCCGTCAAAATCCAAAAAGCTCGACAGCGTGTGCAGTTCTATCCAACCAAAAAAGCGCTCGATTTCATGCAATTTCAATTATTTTGTTCAGCCGTACTGCAAACAAGAGGGCGCGGAAGAATGCACGAAGCAGACAAAACCTGCGCTTTTTTGGTGTGATAGAGTACTCGGTCAGGTCTGATTCCGTCAAGGCATACTGGACGTTGTCTCCTCGGTTCAGGAAAATTTTCAAGAAACCGTGAATGCGGTTCAGCGGCAGCGTCTGGTAGTTTTTGAGCATGGTTCGAATGAACTTCTGCATCATGCGGTCCAGATCGGAATCTGGTGCTACCTTGCGGTCCTTGCCTCTTCCCGTTTTCGTGCCAGCTCCGGCCTGTCTCGCCGCGTGGTCCAGACAACTTTCTGACCCGGCCTCCTGCGATGCAGCCGCCAGGACTTTTTGGGCGACCGAGGGCGGCACCAACGGCGGGAGCAGGCATTTGAGGTTTTGTCGAGTTGCACCGTTCACACGACCAATCTTGTTCGCAATGTTGGTACACCTTGTGGTCTCGTCCAGCGCCGCAGCAACAATCCGTGTACTCGTCTCGCCGAGCTGCCCTTCTTTCTCGGCACAACTTCTAGAAGACGCATCTCTGGGGTCAACATTCAGCACAAATCGTTGCTCCCCTGGCCGCCCAGAGGCTGCTGCACCTGCTGCCGGTCCTGGGGAAACGAGCAGCAGGAGCTGCTGGGAAACCCAGAACTGCAGTGCGTCAAGGACGTGATTCGCGAAGTCTCTGCTCTGTACCTCGCTTTTCCCCGAAATAAACCGGTTGTCTGCATCCACCTCGCCCGCGAGCTCCGCCAAGGACCACTCTCGCCGGCGAGTGGGCGCATCCGCGGTGTCCTCCGAGAACTTCTCCACAACCGCGGCCTGCAAGGGCGTGACCTGGCGAAACACACGGGACACGCCCGCCACTTCGAGCTCGAGGTCCACGGCGCCGCAGGCCTTAAACCAGTGGAGGCGACGGGTGCTGCGGATGTGCACGTAGCGCTCCGAAAACCGGTCCAGCGCACATTGCAAGGTGGGAGGCAGGTGAAAATCGCCGACTTCCGGCTCCTCGGTGAAGGCGTCCTGGGGCCAAAAGTGGTGCGACACCAACGTCGGCTGTATCACCTCTAGCGGCAGGATGTTAAAGGTCATGTCCTTCTCCGCCATACTGGCGGCCGTCGCTCCCGCGCCGGGTCCGCTACCCAGGATGTTAATGCTTCTGATCTTTCCGCCCGGAAAAACAGCCCCCGCTGCAGGACTACCGAACGACCGCAGCATACTGGACATCGTTGGCCCCACATGTTGCTCGTCCTCCACCACAGGGACGCATAGATTTTCTGCATCTGCTCCTGAGACGAGGACGCCGGGCACCAGCGGCGTCAACCCGGACGAATCCACTTCCATATTGGTATTGTTCCCCTGTGGATGTTGAACCAGATCGTCTCCCCGGTCCCCGAACAGCGCATCCCCGCCGACGTTGGATAGTAGTGACATATCAGCACTTACTGCATACAATTCCTGCGTCTGCGCTGGTTCTGCAACTTGACTAGCTAACTCTGCTGCCTCACGCTTGCCCTGCACATGGTGATACATGCGTCGCGAGTCCTGCATGTCGGCCAGCATTACCTCCGCGGACTGCAACGCCGCTTCCCCGAACCGAGTCTTCAGCAGCTCCAGGTTCTGTCGCTCCAGTGTCACTTCGTACGGTTGCCAAGAGGACCCCGAATCGGTTCTCGCTGCCGCTGCACCAACACCGAGGTCGGAAGCGAGGTGAGGAACAGAATCTTGTTGTTCTGGTCGTCCTCGTCCCCCGACTACGCCGAAATCCTCGTCGGAGGTGGGATCATCCTCATTATTTCTGGTCTTCCTCAACTGCCTTGTCGACCGGGAAAGTTTTTGCGGCAACAGCCGGTCAGACAGCATTCTTTGGTACTCGCGCACAAAGGTTTCTTTCGTGCCGTAAATAGACACCAACAGGAAGATGAGGTCCTGTCTGCGCTGGGTTGGGGAAGCTTTTCGCGCCGTCGCCAATTGGTCCAGTGGCTCCGGTTCCCACGAGTCAGGGTCCTGTTCTTCCTCCGATATTCCCTGAAAATCAAACATCCCCACACATAACTATTTGCACGACAAAACAAAGCCGACTTGCAGTTGCTTCCATGTTTTGTATGACACATTGGATGGCGATGGTTAAATTTCGGGGAATATCCGAGAATTCGTAGTCATGGCCCGGGTTCCCTTCTTCCAGATCGGATTCTGCGGCCCCACCCCCTGCGACGGCGTCGCCCAGCGCCGTCTCCGACATCAGCGTGTCGGTGCGTTGCAGGCTGCCTGTTCCGTTGCCTTGAGGCACCTCTTGGTCCACTCCCGCGGGCCATCCATTTGCTTCACCGCCCGCGAACCCCGGCCGCTGCGCCGAAGCACCAGGAGGAAAGGATGACGAAAATAGGTGGTGCGCAGGACCGCCGCCGCCACCTGGCTGCGAAGTTGCAGCCTGCTGCTGCAGAAGTTCCGCCTGCAGGGAACTTCCTTCCTCGGTGAGGGCAGACACCACGCAGCGAACAGTGTCCGGACGTTGTTGCAGATACGCCCGAATGGGTGCGGAAACGGCATCCAAAAGCAGCGCCGAGGACTTCGGTGAAGGGTCAATTTGCTTCAGCGCCTTCACGATTTTGCAGTAGGCCATTATGATGCGTTTCGTTTCGACGCCCGCTATCAGAAGCCGCTTTGCGCAACCTTCCCGCAGGTGCGCTACCAGCTTCGGCCGGTAGCAGTCCGCATACACACTGCGTAAATCCAACAGTGCGGGCTCCGAATCCGGGTAAAACTTTACAACCAAGTCGAAACTCTGAGCGCAGCGCTCCGCGGCAAAGGCGTCAACGAAAAACTCTGTGATTTCCTGACTCATCTGGTGCCAATTGACCTCCACGTCGCAGGTCTGGGGCGCGAAACTAGATGGCGGCGCGGCTCCAGCAAACGGACCTAAACCGTGGCACAGCCTGAGCCACGGGAGGACAACCAGGTAGAACCACCTTGCACACCGATCCAGTAGACGTTCCTCAAAGTTCTCATCGCAATCATGCACCAGACGGCGTTTCACTTGCTTTTTGACGGCGTGAAGAAGACTGGCGCGCCACAGGTCTTCTATGCCAAGTTGGCGGAAGCACACTCCCAGCTCGTGCACAAGACGGATCAAACTGCAGTCTTGCTCGTGTGGCGTCTCCAACACCTGCATATCTTCGTCTTCGTGATATGCGACGCAACTCAGTCAGCTGGTGAAATCCATACCAAAAACAAAAGAAGATGTTACGACTACACCGGCTTGGGATTGGGCAACGAACCAAAAATACAGGTTGACCTACAGCAGATCATGCGCAATTTCTTTTCTTTTCGTACAAGAGCCGCACTACCCGGCACGAAGTTCTGTACTCGATCGAAGGTCTGCATCAAAGTGGTACCAACCACAGCGACGATGGTCTGCGTGCCTTACAGACGAAAGGTGTACGAAGTTGTAGCCTTCGACTTCCTCTCCGCCGACTTCCGCCAGCAGATGCGCGTGAAGCCCGCGAGATTCCGGTAGCAGCGCCAGTGCACGGCGACACATGGGCGCTTCAACATCGACGCCGGCGCTGACCCACCACCATTCGTGCTCGTTTTGGCGCTTGGAAAAAAAGTTGCTACCTCCGTGACCCTGCAGTAATTGTTGTCTCTCCACAACCGGTAGGTCGAAGAACTTCTCAGTGGCACCCTCGATATCGTGCGACAAGGTTTCAGCCACGCCTACGAGACCGGCAAGTACCTGACGAAATACTTGCTGCACTCGCCGTTCTATCAGTTGCGAAGCAGAGGAATCTCCAAGTGCAGCTGCAGCATGTAATCGCTGTAACGCCCGACAACACCGCTGCGCATACGACACGATCACCTGCGTCTTTTGCAGCAGAGACGCCCTGCAGCTTGATGGAAATCCGGCGAGGTAGTCATCAGCAGCATCAATTTCTCCGGTTTCTCTCTGCGTGTACTGTACCGACGCTAGATCTGACAGCAACACTCGCTCGACGCGCCGCAGAAATTTACGCTCGATCAGCATTGCCAGTCTTTCATCTCGAGCAGGCACAAGCTGTTGTATCGCCATCGTGGAGTCTGTGTCGCTTTCCGACAAACCGAGCGCCGCAACTTTCTGATAGGGCCCATAGGCCCGCGCGAAGGTATCACAGTCCATGTTTTAGTCGGCTCACTCTAGTACGACACGATACAAGTAACTATCAGTCAACAAGACCAGGTTGTTCTTAGATAAGTAGAAAAAGCGATACTGCAACAGAAGCGGTCACGACGGAAAAAACAAGTGCAGATTGGTCTACAATGTGTCACCACCGTTCGGCGGATCTCGATACTCTATTGATCAGGGCGTCGCGCTTTGCTCTTTTCTTCAAGCATCATCATTTCGATTATCAACTCGATAATGTCTACTGCTTTAGATACAACTTTATGTCACACCGACGGCGACGTGCGAGAGCGGCTTCATGTTCATCCATTATTCAACGAGAAATGAATCGACCTGACTGCAATCAGCGGTGGGTTGATCGGACTCACAGTAGGGGCAAGACGTGATCAATCTGTTTCTGATCGCTACGCCTGCAGTGAGAGAGCACATACACTACATCACCGATCGTTCGCCTTTCACGACGAACACATGTCTGTGCCTAGTTGCGCACTCGTCAGGAGGGCGCGCCTCTTCACAACGAAGTGTGCTCGTGGAAAAAAATCACCACTTACTGTCGCTTCCCTTTCCACATGATACGCGACCGCGCGCAGACTCTCTCTCCCTGGGCACAAACATGTTTGCTACTTCGGCTTCGCCAAACTATTATACAATGATTTTGCCTACCAACGAAAACGCCAAACACAATTATTTAAAAAAATGGTGCCAAACTATCTGCTTCAAATTGTATGCAAAGAAAAAACACATCGCTTTCGCTGAAGTATCCCTTTTCACATCATTTGTGCGAGAGCAATTGCAGCAGGAATCAGACCACCACAGCACTTTTCAGGCGAAACCAAGAATGTTCTCGCGCCGCGAGACAATGCACCGGTATCAAGAAACGACTTGTCATGCAAAAAGGACTCCACGACAGCGATGGTCTTTTTCTTCTCCGCAACTTAGGTGCCAATTTCAACAAACGACGCAAGCCTGTGCTCTCGAGAGATTTCTACTGTGCAGTCGCAGCTAATCACTTCGTGCTGTAGAAAGGAAGATGCGAAAGTGAAACAATTAAATCGTACAAGATTTGTGAAAAACAAGTAGCTGTAGCTCATGATTTTGATTGATGTGCACTAAAACTTCTCGAATGAATCACGTATGCCGACGGTGGTAAGTTAGTCCGCCTCGCGGAGTGGTTTCCTTACACGGCCTCATCGCCATCGCACGGAACGATCTTGTAGGACTGGAAGTTTTCGAAACCCGCCGGGGCACCTTCGGCGCCGGGCAGCAAGCTCTCGCACGTGTCCGGGGGCTTAGAGGTGTCACAGGCCCCGATTTCGACCGTTTTGTAGTCTTCGCAATCATTCAGCAGGTAGACAATGGCCTTCATACCTGGTGTAAAATCAAATGCGTCCTTAGTATTCATGTATGCACCATGCGTTGAAAGGGCAAAAGGATCAACCAGCGCTCTGTATCACACACACTAGCTGTCGCTCTTTCATCCTCTTCATCCGTTATGCGAACAAAATTCATTGCAACCCGGCGGCCCTCATAAACAATGGAAATAGTAAGTACTCGTCCCACACACCTCGATCCGCGGTTCGGTCTTGGACGCTACTGTCTCCGGCGGAATGGCGATGCACGTGCTCGTATTGACTGCAAATATGTCTAGGTCTGAACGACAAGGCCGTGCATATTTTTAGATCACCACTTAGATCCAGAGCGTCTGGAACGTTTATTGTAAAACCTTTTTACAAGTTTCGCTCATGCCTCTTGCTGCCTACCCCACATGCGAACTCGGCTATCTGCCCAGCAAGAAATAGCGATGAACCATCGGCGCTCATGCAACAAAAAATTTAAATTTTCATTTTGCATGATTTTGTGTGCATAAGATTGCATGTTTCCAAACCTAGACATATTTACAATGCTTAGTCCGCTACCCCGCCCGCGGAGCGGCCAAAAACCTCTTTATCGGAAAACTTCACCTGTCGAGTTGGTAAATAGCATGCAAATGCACTACACACACGAAGGAAGGATGCTTGCGTGAGACCACAATTTGCAGCATTTACCAACACAGTTTACAGACCAAAATCAACAAGTGGTACCGACGGATCGAACTTCTGCCGCAAATTCAATCCCGATGCGACACCGGCGAGGAGCGCGACTTTACGCATCATCTTTTCTAGCAAAACACTGAGCTGCGATAAGTGGGATAGGGATCTCTAATCGGACAAAGAAGTGCACATTCCTGCGATACGTCGAGATCTCAAGCACACGGCATATGGCACAAGCACAAAAGAAAAAAAGAAAAACCAAGAATGATCTGAGAAAAGCAAATCAGTAAGCACAAACGAAAGTCAAAGAATGGGAACAACGCCTGTGGACGCCAACATGGTTGATCATATTGTTTTTTCAGGCTGCGACACGATCTTCCGGCTTCCAACGAAGCAGGAGTGGATCTTTTCACAAGCGCACCACGCTTACATCAGGATGGAACACGCCACATCAGGTCGCTGAACCGAACAACCAGGCAGGGAGTCAATAAAGGTACACGGACGTGGTCGCTTTCAGGCATTTCCCACCCAGCGACGTACTGTCTCTTGGGCTTTCAGTTGGAAACACAAACAGCATAGCTGGGTGCTAATTTACTTCCAGGGCATCGCCGTCATCTATCTCTTCCGCAAATTTCTTTTCTCGGAGCTCCTCAGCGCGTCGCCTTGCCAAGCTGGAAATTTCCATCTCGCCCCGAACGTCTTTGCTCGCCCGCTGCATGTAGGCTCGCCGGAAAAGTAAGGGCAGCTTAGTTTATTTGGTATCACATTTATTTTTGAAATTCAATTTGCTCCCCTCTGCATGTAGGTGCTACAGCGACAAGGGAATGGCGCGCTGGCGGTGCAGAGCAAAGAACTGCCTTGTTATGCACCATCAAACTGCTATCCTTGTGCAGGTGCCGTGCGATTTTGATTCTATGCAGTGCAATAACGATTTCAACCCTAAGCGTTGAATCCAAATTGAGTACTCATAGAGGCAAGACGCAATCGAAGAGGTTCCGATGAGCACAACGTGAACGTTTGCAAATTTCGGTACCAACACAACTGCGAAAGCGAGTACTAGTTGCGCAGCAAGAGGGGCTGATCCGCCTTCCCGGCTTTCGGCTTCCGCCTGCAGATGTGCCACATGGTCCATGCTCCTTCTACTGTTGTCGTGATTTTCTTGATCAAGTGCGAGCTTATACACGAAGCGACTGCGCGGAAGATTCAGGAACCACGACAGGGAATTGAGATCATTAGCACCTCGATCTAAACAAAAACAGCATAGTAGTTTATTTTTCGTGGACAAATATTTTCTTTACTCCCAGCACATAAAATCCACGAGCATGGCGGTTTCTACAACTACTTTCGCCCCAATATACGCTTTTTCACCCCACTTGCGACCGCGAAAATTCGATTCAAAGCAACCACTGACCATGCATCTCGACCTTTGTCGCGTTCCTACTCTTAGGCAGGCACACGACGGCCACGTCACAGAGACATGCAGCAGACAAAGCATAAGTACCCAACGACAAGCCTATTTGCTCCTGGTCGACGAGGCCGCGTCGGCGCCGATTGACTTTCCTTCTATACTACTATTTCGTCACAGGGATCTACCTGCCGAAGAGGACCAGATCACGAACACATTTCCAAAGTGCGCCAGCTCCAAACCCGCTTGGCAACACAGTATCAACATTTCGACGATGGATGGTCCTGCTCGTGTGTACTCAGCGTTCGATGCCGCAATGGCCATTATGTGACACAGTACTATTTATACATTCATGTTCGTTCGCTTTGGCGGTGGTTGCTGTGCGATATCATTTCACTTTACAGAAGAAATGCAGCCTCCGTAATCTCACCCCAATTTGTGTGCTGTGCCTCCTTGATCTTGGGCAGAAAGTCCAGCGCCAGACTACTCCGCGGACCCGCGAATTTACGCAGCAAAATACGATACCGGTCCCGTCCGTATTCTACGAAAGGGGAATCCACACCCGCTAGGGCCCTCGACACTGAAGAAAAATTTTTATTTGAGGTGATAAAATGCTGCACAACAAGCATGGTACCATTTCACTGTTTAAGCACAAACACTTTCGCTGCACTATGTCTTTCGTCCCCAGCAGGGGAATACACAACTTCCAAGCAGAACATCATCCGGTCTATACCTGCCAGGAACGCTTCTTCGTAACTGTTTTCGCACTGCTTCAGCTCCTCAGTAAAGGAGCTCTGCGCAGAAGGCGCTTCGTTCTGCTTGTAGAAAAAGAACAAGGCCTCGAGGATGCGCCGGAGCAGTACACTCACCACGTTCCAGTGCGCAAACTTCTGTCGCTCGTATGGTAGCGCGCCCAAAATCATAGCAGCTGGGGCGATCTTGTAGATATACCTGTTTTATAATTCGTCTACATTCTAGGACTGCATGTCTTTGTTTCGCAGCTTTTAAATGATCATTGAGGCGGCATCGTACCACAAAAAAATGGCGCAACGCGAACGCCATATGGAAATCTCAAGCAGGATGACAGCAAAAAACGAACGCAATACAGGTGTTCGAGAGCGAGCTCGAGCCGCACGGGATTGTGCTGCCACAAATCGAGCGCAACGTGGATGAAGCGCAGCGGTAGCGCAAATTTGGCAAACACATCCCGGTGGATCTCCATCAGTTTTGTGGCGTGCGTGGGCGTTTTGCTCCCCTTGGCCAGGAAACAGTAGCACAGCATGTCGAAGAGCTCTTCCTTGGTCCACCGCTCCGCGCTCGCCTGCTGACTCGAATCGATCGCGAATCCCCGCTGCACGAAAGCCCGGTACTTTCCCCCACTCTCGTCCGGTCGCGCGCTCTTGCGCGTGCCGATCAACTTCAAAAAGGTCTTCTCCAGTAATTCCGGATTCGCAGCCTTGATCTGGATCAGCTCGTGCAATTTCTGGTACTCCCCGCACGGCGGGCACGCGTCTGGCCGCTTCGCCCAGTCTGCTACCGTAAAGGGATTCACCACGTCCACGTCGTGGGGCAAGTAATTAAGCAGCACCTGTTGATCGAAAATATTCGTATCATGCGAAGAATGAATGAATGATTTACCCAACTGACGGGGTTTGTTTTAAGAGGGCTGACTACTGTTCATCATAATCATACATTGGGATAAGCATCTTGCTTGTACCTCTTAGGTAGGAAGTAGAAGCTGTAGAAACGTCGCCGAGATATAGGTGCTTACTTGCATCCGACTGCACGAGTCGCGCAGCTGCTGGCAGCATACCGCATAAGTAGCGCCGTTTGATGCAGAAAGCGGGTCCTAAAAACAGAAGAAGTGATACAAAAGACACAAGCCCGCGGCCGCGTCATAGACATAGTCAGCATGTAGCATAAGATTTTCACTCTTCAGAGTGCAAGCGCGGGGCCTGCGCTCCGACTGAGCGATAAGAAGAAGTGCTCATCAGGATGATCTTTTCGGCTTCGCTTTCATACTTCGCTGCTGACCACCAGGCACAAGCATCTTAATATACTCGTCACCAGGCTGACTGACAACACTTTCGATCTGTAAAGTAAAATACCCTTCGTCGATCGGCGTCGAGAATAGCAGCCACCTCCTTTTTGAAGCTCATGCGCACCACCTGCTGCAGTACGTTTGTGGCAAAGATTTCCGCCTGACTCGGTTTTTCCGGCGTGCCCCGGCCACAGAGATCGAGCGCCTTCAACAGGATGCGCGACCTTGTCTCGAGCTCGCCCTGCGAGCAGTGGAATCCGAGCAGCTCCACGAGGCGGTCGCGTATTTCCAAATCGGCGTCCCTCAGCAGCAGTAACCGCACCACCATGTCCTGGAAAACCTCCTCGCAGGGCGCCTGCAGCTCAAACAGAATTTCGAGCATCTTGTAGTACAGAATGGTTGCGTTCAGCGGTGGGAAAGGCAGGGAGCACAGCGCCGTCTTCAGGATGGTGAACACCAGGACCATGTCTTCCTGCACGGACCCGCCGAGCAGGGACATGCGCAGCAGGTTCTGCACGCACAGCACCAAATCCTCCTCAAAGTTCTGGATATGCAAGAAAAAAACTGTGTAAGTGTAACTCTGTGATGCAGAAAATGCAAAACAGTTACACTTGTCATGCTGGAAGTGCGTCATAGGCTACTATCATGCGCGTCTCCACGTACTAGCTGCGCATGACAAGTTTTCCCTGTAATGCAAAGCGAATTTGTGATGCTGGTCTTCCTACAGAGTTACACCTACACAGTTTTTTTCCTGGATACTGGATGACCGGCAAGTAGTACACCTCCTCGGCGAAAAACTGCGCCACCTCGGACGCGGCTTTTTGGAATTCGGTCGTGCGCCCGAACTCGCTGTGGCCCGCGTCCCCCTCGATCTCGTGGAACATCAGACGCTCCTTGTCAAACACCGCCTGCATGGGCAGCCACAGGGGCACCTGGAAGTGCCGCATGCGCTCCAGCATGCCGCCCTTGCCGCTCGCCTTCTTCATCGCCGTGATAATGGGCAGCGGGCCCCAGGGCACTGCCTTCTTGAATTTGTCGTACTCGATCAGAGGCCGCCGCAACGGATCGGGGGAGGCAGCCAGGTGCTGTTTCTCGACCAGTGTCGTGTACAGAAACTCCAGCTTCGACTGCAGTTCGAGGACTCTATCACCTTGCACGATACTAGTTGTACTCCCGTGTTGGGCAGTGGAACTGCTGCTGCCGCCCTGCTGCTGCAGCGGCGACAGCAGACAGTCCAGCTTCTTGACCCGCGGGATTTTGTCCTTCACCTTCTCCAGGATCGCCTGGATGTCGGCCTCGTTCTTCTCCTGCAGCGCCTTCGTCAGGTGCGCAATCGACAACAAGCACGCGTACACGGGGAACTGGACTCCGTGGTAATTCGAAGAAGTAGAAGAGCGACTGCTCGCATCACCTGCCGAAGATCCTCGTCCAGCAGCGGCAGCAGGACCGCTTTCCCCGCCGACATGTTGAAGTAGATCCTGGTTATTTGAGGATGTTTTCAGCAGTTCGGCCTCCTCCTCAAATGCGAGGTCGAGAATGCGGTTCAGCGTTTTGAAGTACTCCTCGTCCTGCAGCACCTTGCAGGACACCAGTTCCGCGAAAAACTTGAGCAACACGGTGACGTCGGCGAAATTGCCCGTGTAGAGCGCGACCTGCAGCCCAAAAAAGCACTTGTCGAACCAGTCCTTGACAAAGAGTTGCTGCTTTCCCTGGTTGTGGATCAGGCCCAACAGCGTGGCATACACGTGGCTTTTGTGGCTCAGCTTCCGCACACAGTCGTACATCACCTCGAGCAGTTCGCGGGACACCTGCTCGAGTGAGTCCTCGATCCGCCCATAAAACTCCTTCAGCCGCGAGGCATCGAACTTGGCCTCGTCGCCGAGGCCGATCACCTGCTCTCGCAACTTCTGCCGTGCCTGGTCCATCCTTCCGCAGGGTAAGGTGGGATAAATGCTTCTGTGGTATATCTATGGAACAAACGGAAGATCCTCTACTTACATGTCCTGAAAACTAACGTAGGGTCATAACGTGCGGAAGAGGAGGTGAGACGGAAACCAGAATGGTAAAAGGGGTAAGAAAGATATGTCTAGTAAAACGCTACTTCATCGTGTGGGGTGTGCTGAAGACGGGGCGATGTTGCTTAATATTGGAAGAGAGCGCCGTCGCTCGCCTTGTCTTTAGTCACTTGTGCCAATCATAGTACAGAATTGATTCGCTGGAAAATCGCTGAAAAAGAAAAACATTGTAAAATTTAAAAATTGATGTAAAAAGTGGTTGAGAAGCAGTTCACGTCGACAATCGAAGTCGCGTCGTTCTGATCACACTTTTGCGTTTGACGATCTGGAGCTTGACGATTGTGTGACGGTCGTTAGGAAAAGCACAACAAAAAGATACTTTCGATGCTGATCGATAGAAGCGACAACGGCATAATTTCGATCAGGGGATACAAGTGTGCAGCCGATCATGCGCGAGCATCTGCCGTAAAATTGCTTCTGAATCTGATCTGTGTCAACTACAAAATCCTAGGTCAATAATGATCCGGAGAAATTACGGTAGCGGTATTTGCCTGCACGCCTTGCGATCATCATCATATTGATTCATTGACACAGGTGGTGTTTTGCGATCACAGCATCCGGTGCAAATCAAGAACATACTGCTTTCGGATCAGAGTACGTGAGCATGCCGCCCCTGCAGCAAAGGAGCACTATGCGCTTGGTTATCGATCTTGGTCATGCCGCTCGCGATGATGACGTCTAAAAAAGCAAGTAGTCCGGCTTAGCGCCTCATGATTCTGCCACGGCTACAACCGCAGCCACCTCAACACTTACGCCGCGAGGAAGACTGCCGCTACCAACGGCGAATCGCGAATGGGCTCCGATCTCTGCCCCGAAGAGGTCGCACAGCATGTCGCTGCACCCATTAATCACCTGCCAGTCAGCTAGTATTGATTCCGCAACAATGAAAGCATACTAGCCAAACAGAGCAACAAAACACGAGAGTGTGAGTGAGTGAAACAAAATCTATAGGTAAATCATTCTCAGCACAGATACAGCGCCTAGTACTACAGCGCCTAGTACTAGCAGTAATTGTCCTCCAAGCAGTCGTACTAAATTCATACCTTAGGGTGGTCACCAAACAGCGGCTCGCCGTTCACAAACCCTTGGACGTTAAGAAAGGCTTTGATTTTTCCCAGGTCCCCGCCAGGACAAGCAAGTTTCAGATTTCGCAGAAGTGTATCAAATGTAAAAATGTCTGGGTCTGGAAACTTGTGATGCATGTCAGTAAACAGAAAGCGCCTTGTAATGCACCGCCAAGCATGACAGATTTTCTCGTGGCTCTCTGTTGCGTATTCCGCATGAGAAACATCATTTTTGCATGACAGACAAGAGGAGGTCTTCGTGGCCACGCAATACAGAATTCACAGTCATGCCAAACCAGCATGAGAAATCTCGAAATCTTCCAGACCCAGACATTTTTGCAATCCATAAAGTGACACGCAGCACAGCCGGGCGGCGACCTGCGCCAGCTCAAGGGAGACTTCTTATTGAGAGGAAAAATCTCCCCTCCCCATATTGAAAACGCATCCGTTTGAAAATTTGTGATGCAGATTTGAGGTCACAAATCCTGTCTGTGTTGCGGGAAGGCAAAGCCAGAGAGTCCGCCGCATTATGCCGGCGGTTTGTGATGCTGTTGGGCTTACAGAGCCGACATCTGTCATGCTAGTCCCCTACGTCAGAACCTCTCGATCCAGGCTCGGCATATGCCTGCAGTCCTCTCCAGCAAGACAGACCTGATTTGTGTACGCAAATCCAGCATCACAAACTTCGTTTCGATATGGGGAGGGGGGATTTTTCCCCTTGATACTTCTGCGCCGACCTTCCCACAGACAAACTGCGTGTGGTCGGCAGGAGCAGTGAGGCCCTTGGCGCTGGCTTTTGCCTCGTCCTGGATCAGCTCGGACCCCGTTAGGATTTCGGGAATTCGTCCGGAGATGTAAACCACATCACCATGTCGGCGAAACGGCAGGAAGTTACCACCGGGCTTCGAAATGGAAGTTTGAATGCAGCGCAAAAAACTTGTGTCTGCGCGGTGTTCCGCTGGTAGTAATGAATCACACATGCACCATGGCTGCTAGGTTATTTTATGCAAAATTTTTTATAATTTCTCTAGTACTGCAGTTTCTCTTTAGGAAGCAAAGAAAAACGGCAGGCGCATGCGTGGTTCGTTGCTCCTCAGAAACCCGGCGCGACGACACCTGTTTCTATACATCTTCGTAATCGGCAGGACAATGCCGTACTCGTCGAGTAGGCGTTGCTCCGGCGCAGAAAGAGCCATTATCTGATTTCAAGTACGTCGTAGTTGCAGAAGTTCACGACCGGCAACAAGTCGCAGCTACTGATACTCCAAAAATGAAAGAACTACATCGCCGGGCAGATAGTTGCAAACACACGGGCACGAAAAAGCCGACGTCGGCATCATCACTGTTGAAATGAGCGACCGAACTGCCGGCGTGTCCACAGTGAATAATTTGATGCGAGTCGACGAAAAGTAGCGAAACGGACATAAGTGGTGTACATTCTTGCTGTAGTACAAGCACGAACGCTGGTGTTTAATTCATGTGGCAACAACTCGCGAAGTGCGAAGAGTCGCGGACTTGCCGACGCTATCTTCTGTCGTGGGGCTGCTGCCCTGGGCCGTGCCATCCGCTAGATCGTACTCCAGGCCTTCATTTTTAGCATCTTCCTCATCAAAATCACCATCAAGTTCATTCTGATCGACATTCCTCTTCGCAAGCACCGCGCGCAAATCGCCCATCCAGATTGGCTGGCCCACTGGACGGTGTGTCGTACTGGTGTTGACCTCAATCAACGGCACTTCTTTAGCACTTGCCGACCTGTTATCGTCTTCCTCGTGACGCATGCCTCGTTTTCCGATATAGTCCTTGTCCCTATGTTGCTGCTCGCATTCAGCAGCCACATCCACCTGCTGTCGCGCCGCCAAGACTTGCTTAAGTTCCGGCATGAGGAGTTGTGAATTCGCCTTCCGCGCCCTGATGCCGCTGATTGAAAACAGTGAGTCTTCTTGTGGCTGCTCGCTCAATTCAGTCGCCCCAGGGGGCAACATCTTGCTACCCAAGCGGCCGCCTTGCTGTAGCGCGCCTTCCTCATCAAGAGTGGCTTTGTGTGGCAGCTCCGAGGTCTCGTATTGCGTTCTTTCGCTTTTAGCCCGCCCATTCCGTCCGTTACTGAAGCTTGATCCTGTGGAAACCCGACGAGCATTGTTTTCGAACGCTGTATCCTTGTCGTCGTTACTCACAGTGGTGGAGGTAGCATTCGGGTTATAATCACACGCATCCATCCACGAACGGGCGCGATCTAGCTGCACCACAGCCTCGCGCCAGTTTCGTGACCGCAATCCCGCGAGAAGTTTTTCGCCGGCAATCTCGACGCTAGGTTGCGGTTTCTCAATTTCGGGGTGAGCCCCCCGTCCCTGCAGTGTATAGACAGGCAAGCTGACCACTTGGTCCCGACCCAAATGCATTCGTAATCTCGCAGTTCCCTCCGTGCAACGCAGCCAGAGTTCGCGCATCCGCCCTGCCAGCCAGATGGACCGCGTCGTGCCTCGATAAAACGCAAATACATCTGGCGTCCACGTGCGAAGTGTTCGCGACGCAGCAGAAATGTCCTGGCTCTGGCAGCTGAGCCCATAGCCCTCCAGTACCAGTTCCTGTAACTGCCACAGGTCCGCTGCATGCTGCTTCAACACAGGTGTCAGGCTTTCTGTTGTCTCGTCGCACAACTTGTAGTTCTTGTTTTTACAGGATAGTTTACAACTTGCGTCAAGAGAAGCTCCCCGACCGTAGTATTGTTCCGCGTGCCGCGTCCACAGTTGTATCGAAGCCGCAACTTCTTCCTGTAAGAGCCAGCGAAATGCTTCGTGGCGCATGTCCGCATAGCCTTCCTTGCTGCACCGCGCGAGGTCTGCCGAAAGACCTTGGCTGCCGAGTTCTACCTCCTGCACCCACCGAATGCACTTCTGCAGAGTGCGCAGAAATTCCAGCGAACTGGCACGCAGCGGCCTGTAGTAGTGTTTCTCGATAAGTGTGCGCAGCGAAAAAATGCAGGCATTGGTAGAAGACGAGGACCTCACGGCGTTGTCCTCTCCGGCTGTGTCGACCTTGGCTCTTTTCCTGCACGCCGCAGAAAGACGGAGAAAGCTTAGCTCTCGAAACTGCGACGTACGTCCACCGCGCTGCGCAGCGGAGCTTTCTTTTGCCTGGTTCATACTTGCATCTGGATCTGGTGTGATCAATCCTCCTCCTGGACCCTCACACACTTGTCGCCGTTCGGAAACGGAATTAGATTCGTCTTGCTTAGATTCACATATTGCGAAAGCGCCAGGAGCACCCGCGTCTTCGCCTTGTTTTTCTTCTTGGTCCGGTTCCCTGTTGTGTGTGGGCAATACGACTTCGTCCCACCAGTCGCCATGATGCTTAACAATAGAGGCCATAGAAGTTTTTTGTGTGTCGAGTCATGTATGCTTCGGGACTGAAAGATGCCGATCTTGAAGTTTTGCCTGTCCGTGATCTGTAGTCGTTCTACAAGCCTCAGTGTCAATACACGAAATGTGATCGCCATCGATGTCATGATCTAGATCTTCACTAGAAAAATACTAGTCCCCCAAAAAGTAAAGTGAACCAAGGTCGCGATTGCAACGACAATATCATCGAGAGCGGCGAAAACCGTGCGTCTTTCAAAGACAGTTCCAGCTCTACTGATGGAACGCAAATTCAGAGTCGGTGCGTTTTAGCGAAAAACACCTCTGTCTTGGAACAACACCATCAGAGAAATACGAAGCTTCCCAGACACCACGGATGCCTACGTTGCGATGAAGGTGGCCTCGCCACTGAGAGTAGCAAGCCAAATTCTTTGCTATACACGATCGCGATGTCGCGTTTCGGTTTTCAACATTTGTGATGTTGTTGTAGCCTTTGCTCACTTGACAACAACGGAGCTGCACACGTGTCTGCTCCATGATTCCCGGCGTTGAAACGTTTCCTTTATGTGAATTCTTACTGTAACAGATAACCCTGCAGCTCGTGAAATTTGGGAATGCTTTGCGGGATTCGTTTGAATTTGTGAACTTCCCGCAGAGATTTTACACGCGCTCTACAACCAGGTTAAAGCTCTATTTCATGACATCGTCTTCAATTGAAGATGTAGAGCAGCAACTACAAGCACTACGTGCCCGACAGTTCTTAGCCTCATGATTGTACGTAAGATGTTTACAAAAGCCCATGATTGAGTGGCGCATGAGGTCAAGATAGATTTGTTTCTTGTTCGAGTTGAACCCACATCAAAAAAATTCGTTGGAACGCTCTTTTTCTGACCAAGTTGGCTACTTTTACCTTCATACGCTATTCGGTATTTTCTTATGTTAAGTAAGGCACTCCCCCTCCTCGTTGTGCCATCGATATTGCCCTACTTCCTGTATGACGGTGAAAACATCATCAGCAGTGAGGATATGTATCCCGATCGATGGAGAGATGCAAGGACCGCAAATTTCAATGAGGGCGGCAGTTCAACAACAACTCCTCGCACTCACATCGCGTTGATCAGCCCCCACCCCTCCTAGCAGCCCGTCTCCTGTCGGATCAGGAGTCCAATTTCCTTGTCGATTCCGGCGTCCAGGTCATCCGCAACCTGATTTACGATGTCTTTCACGATGTCGTCGGCGAGCTGAGACCAGACCTGCCACGAAGTCCCCGTTTGGTCGCGCAGCGGCGCCTCGCGCGCGATCTGCAGGTGCCGCTTGAAGTTGTAGCGGTAGTTTTCCAATTCCCGAAAGGTTGTGTCGGACACCCGCGGAAGCTCGCGCAAAGCGACGTAGGTGTCCAAACATTTGTCCTCCTCCGCGAGAATAGCAGTACCGTCCTGCGCGAAGGGCAGCTTCGCATTGATCTTCGTACTACCCATTTTCGAACCGGCACCGGCCTCCGAGTCGCGTGCCACGACCCCGTCCCGCTTGGATGTTGTCGGCTCCTGCGAGGCTAGAAGAAACCGGTCGTCGTCGTCCGCGTCGTCTTCGAATTTTTCGTCGTCGTACGCATTGTATCGTAAGAAAAGCAAAAGACTGTTACCCTGCAAGGATTTTGCAACATCACAAGTTCGCTACACATTACAAAGAAAACGTGCCATGCGAAAATCCTAAGGGAAAAGATCGCTAAAAATCACTTGTCTTGCATGTGCAGCAAGACAAACACTTCAGTGATGCATTTTTTGCATTACAGGTTTACAGTGAAACAGTTTTTTCTTTGCATACATTGCTCCCGCTGTCGACTGCCGGCTGGTCGGGATCCCGCAAGTTCCGGAGTACGTACCCCTCGGGCAGGGTCTGGAACCGGTCTTGCAGCTTATCAAATGCACATATGTCTGGGTCAGGAAACTTGTGATGCAAGCCAGGGAGTACTGGGCGCACTGTCATACGACGTGGCCAAGCATGACAAGTTTTTGCGCTGCTATGTGTAGCGTATTCCGCATGGCAGACTGCGCTTTTGCATGACAGACAAAGCGATCTTTTTACACCTACGCATGACAGAGCTCCGAGTCATGTCAGACAAGCATGACTGTGTTCCGGCTACTCCGGATCGCAATCGATGGAGGGCGGGACCTGCACCGGCGACAGGCGCTACCCAACCAACCAACCAACCAACCAAATCTGGCAATCTTCCAGACCCAGACATTTTTGCAGTTCATACAGCTTCTGCGCCCGCAGTTCCTGCGTCGCCTGCTTTTTCACCTCGCTGAAACTCTTCACGGACTCGCGCAGCAGATGCTGGCTCGCACGGAACTTTTGCGCCAGCGGATCCATACTTCCTCCGCTCAAATGATACTTGCGTTGCAACTGCCTCTCGAGGCTTTCCAGCTTGTTCTCCTGCTGAATGCGGTCACGAATACTCTTCTCGCGGTCTGTCTGTGCAGATGGAAATCGCTGTTTCCCGAACTTCGAGACCAGGCTAAGAGGATCATCTTCGGGTTGATCATGTCCGCGTGGTCATAAAAGGCGCGTGAAAGCAAGAGTGGATCTGCTCCAAAAGGCAGTGCAAAAGCAATATCCGACTCGCTCTCATGCAAACTCTTCAAGTAGGAGGTAGAATTACGGCGCTGATTTGTTCCGCACGCATCAACAGCCCGGTCTTCATGGTAGTGAAAGTTGAAGCATGTCCCGAAACGAACCAAAACAAGAAACATAAGTCAGGGACACATTGCATGCCTTGCTTCAATTTCTGTGGACCGTGCGAACACCTGTACGTGCCCGGTCGAGAAACAAGTTTCTTTCATCGGGATATCTCTATCGCCAGCTTCTTGGCGCGCACCGACGCCATGAAGTGCTCCATCTCGTCGGGTGGTTCGGCGCGGCCTGCCAGTGGTGCAGCTTCTGTGGTTGGCGAACCTCGATGACGGGTCGTCGCCACCGCGTTTGGCGAAGGAATGCGCGAACAGCTGCTGCTTTTGCCCTTCCGGTCCCGAAAGGTAGTTCCCTTCACCGCGGCACCCTGCTGGCGGCTGTGTTGTTCCAGCACGGGGTTGGGCGACGCCGGCCCGAGACGATTTCCGCGAAAAACTGAGGCGATCTTCGAACTGAGGAGTCCGGCAGGCGGTCCCGCGGCCCGCAGAGGCGGGTGCGTCAGCTTCGCAATATCGCGGTCCGAGTAGGACCCGGGACTGGCCGCCCGCGCCAGCGTCAGGCGCTCGGCCTGCACTTCCGCCAGGTTGGCCTTGGCGGGAGAAGGCGAGGGATTCTCACTTGCGAATGCAGCATCGGGGGGACTACCTCGGCCGAACAGCTTCTGTAAGTTGCGATTGCGCTCCTGCAAGCGGTCCAGTTCAAGATTCTGGGAGCGCACAGAGTCCAGCGCACGAATCTCCGCCAGGGTCTTCACAGAGTTCTGCTCCATCGGCGGCGACACGTGCAGCAGCAGAGGCGAACTTGCACTGGGGGTTTGCATGCGGTTTCCGGTGCGGCTGTTCTCGGCGACCGGATGACCCGATGTACCCGCCCGATACGGCTGCAACTGGAGGGGCAACATCTTCGCTTGTTCAGCCTGTTCTCGTTCCCGACGGAGTCGCAGCTCTGCCTGCGCTACCTCGACCCGACGCTCCACCTTGTCTAGGTCAACCACCTCCGGACGCTCGCCGAGTGCCTGCGCGATCCCTTCCGGAATGCCCAACGCGTAAGACACGGGCGGGCCCGTCGTGGGGGACCCCGCTTTTGGTTTCCGTAGCTGCGCAGGGACCTTGCCGCGCTGCGCAACCTGACGGTTTTGTCGGTTGGCGCGCTCTCTCTCGTGGCATTCCTGGATCGACAAGCTCGTTGCGGGCGGCTGCTCCGATAGCACAGAACGAAATTTCGGCGGTACTGGCGAACCGCACAAGTACTCGCGGTCTGCGTCAGATACTGAGCCTTCTCTCGGAGCGGCAAGCGCGTCAGCCAGCAGCTTTTTCCCTGAGGCAACCAGCATTTCGCGATCGGGGTTCTTGCGTAGACTCCTCAGTACGTCCTCGCCGCCTGAGGAGGAGACACTCTTCTTCGACACACCCCGACTGCCGGCGATATTTTCGGCGGAATCCGAGCGCGCAGCGGCATGTCGTCCCTTCATGGACACGCCTTTCAGAATGCCCTTTGCGGTGCTCAGCGCAGACCGCGAAATTCGCTGTCCCGCGGTGGCCGCCTGCAGCTGTCGCAGACTTTGTAGCGAAGTTGCAGGCTTCTTGGCCTTCGCGCGTGCGGGTGGGCGAAACTGAGACGCACTTACCGTCGTGGAAGACGAGGAGGTGCTCTGTTTGGACAGAGCTCGGTGCGACAGGAGAAGATCGTCCGGCAGCGCAGCCTTTTTCCCGGGTGGACTGTCGATGGCATCGTACTTTCGCAAGAGCCGCAACTTTTCGTCCACCGCCTTCTCCAGTGCGGTTTCCACACCCATCTTTTTGCCCGCGCGCTGGAGCCGCCGGTCCTTCGGGTCAAACAGCTGGACGGGGGCGCGCGCGTAATCATCGTTCCATTCCGGACGATTCAACAAGTGCTTCACGCGTTCTGTCAACCCAGCCCCTGGCATCGCGGCCGGGCTTCTGCGCTTGGCCGAAGATGCCGTATTAAAACTCGATCCTCCGGGCTTCGCAATCGCAGCACCCTGGGCACGACTCTGCAATCTTGTTCCGGATGACGCGACGTTGTTGCGTCTGTGTGCGCTTTGCGCCCTTGACGCCGGTGCAGTCCTGGAGGTTGGGGATGCCTTTTTTTGTCGCGCCGCACCGCCACTGGTCGGCGACACCGACCTGTCCCGAAGCACTCCCGAACGGAACATTCTTGCTGTCCGTACGTCAAGTTTTTCGGATCCGAAATACGTTTTCTGTTCCTTCCTTGATAATACAGATATTGCTCCTTCGTGACGTTTCACAAGACATGCATCTGCCACTCCACTGAGGTCGTCCGCTCTCGCAAGAACCAAGCGCAAACCAGATTCGCAAAAAGTGGTGGTCTTCGGCCAAGGTGCACATCTCTGTTGCCATTGATGTCTTCTCCAATTGCAGCTCTCAATACATCTATGAACTTAAAGGAAGGTTATACCGTGAAAACCGCAAGCAAACCTACTAATTGCATTAAAGAAACAACTGAAGAAATCACTCCAATTTGTTCTTGACAGAACAAAGGCGAAACCAGCGTTTTGGCTTGGTGCTACTCGCTACAGAGGAAAAGCTTATGGATACGGACCGACAGCACATCAAGAAGGTCATTCTCGAACACCGCCCTACGAAGCAGGCTTTCGTCAACAAACGCGGCTTTTTGAGTCGACGACTATGCATTCGCTATCGTGGTTTTCGGATGGCACCAACAGTGCCCTGGCGTCGCATATTGATGAGTCGCTTCTTGCTGGCTGAATTTAAGTACTTGTGCCACGCAAATATGATTATATTTTATTGGTAATCAAGAACCTGGCAATCACGTGATTCTTGCCGCACTCTACCACTTCAGCGTAGGGGCTGCCTTACCGCGATCAAACGTGACCTCATCTTCGCCGTCGCGTGCACGCAGACTTTTGTAGTAGACGCCGCCACCCGTGTCAAAGTTTCCTTCGTCCGGCTGCAAGAGTTGGTCGTCCCACGGCAGACCGCGCCAGAAGGCCTGCATGCGGTCGAGCTCGAGGGGGAACTGACCCCCGCCGTTCAGGCAGCCGCTGGGACACGCCGCCACGTCGATGAAGCGGATATCGTCCTTTTTCGGCTTGGTGGACGCGGCAAGCGACGAAGCGGAGGAGGACACGAGTTTGGACACTACGTTCTGAATGTTTTTGAAGCCCGAGGCGCGGAGCGTGGAGCCGTACTTCGCCAGCAACGGATCCTGCCGCAGAGGGCGGTAGCTGGCGGCCGGGTCTTTTTCTTCTTCGCTGTACGAAGCCGAACCGCCCCCGCTCACCAGGAATTCGCTCTCCGGGAGCGCAGCTTCGGGCATTGCGATTGCAGCGGCCGTGGTCTCTCGTTTGATAGCGTGATGCAGCGCGAGCGCCTCGTCGAGCAGCAGGTGGCGTTTCACCTCTGTTATCGTCCGTCCTGTTACATCCTCGACGGGCAGGGCAGGGAGCACGTGAAAAAACAGCCGCGCCAATTGCTCGTCTTCGGACAAAGATGCGAACTCGGTCCGGATAAAATCCAATCTACGCTCCTGGTCCCGCATGGCTCTCCAGGGCCTCGTTACGGCCGATGGCAAACAGAAGTCGATCCAGGACCTCGGCGGCGATGAGGCAGCACGGTAATCTTTATTTTCTCTAGTAGAAGGCGCCTCGCAGTCTCCGGCAAAAGAACTCGCAGCAGTGCCGGGAGCAAGAAGACCACACAGGGCCAGACCGTTGGAAAACAATGCATGCAGCTTCCCGCGAGGAGAGTCTCCTGCCAGATGACGTTTTTTTGTCTGCCCACCTTCAATTACATTCCTGTTCGGTTCTTGTCTCGAAGCAGAAGTGTGATTGCAACTAGTATCGTCGTTCTCCGCAAGGCTACTGTTGAAGAAGGTCCACAAATGGGCTAGCCATCGCCGGAGCTTTGTGAAGAAAGGCCCATGCGCGTCCAGCGAGTCTCCGTGACCACGCCAGAGAGCTTTCAGGTTGCAGTTGCCTGTGGCATCACTACACGCCAGGAGGTCGACAACGCGGCTCTGCCGCGCAGGATCCCGCAAAAGTCTCCTTGCGATTCGGGAAAAGTCATCCGGAAGCGCCTCGGGTTCCAAGAATTTTTCGAGCTCGCGCGTAGCAAGGACCAAGTCCAGCGTGTCCCGGAATTCCGGACGCATGCTCTCAATCTTCCGATCGAAACACGGCGCAATCACCACGTGCTGCAAGTTCCTCAGGGCCGGCCGTTTCAGTATTCCAGGTTCACGTGAAAGCTTTTGCCCGAAAGACAAGCCAAGAGCTGCGTTATTAAACGGTGGAGGCCCATACGGACGCATCAAATTCCCGACCACCGCGGTTGCGGCTGTGTCGAAGTGAAAACAGCTTCGATAAAAGCCAAAAAAAGCGCGCGAGCGAAACAGTTGCTTGCCGAGATGGCCCTGCAAGACCAGGGGATTGCGTATCTGCGAAAGATGCGGCACAACGGCCGGTGGCGCAACCTTCTCTGCGTAGCACGTCCAGCCCGGGCAATAGCTCGCAACAATGGGTCCCACAGGCTTCGCAACTTGTTGTGCACTGCCCTGCCTCAGCTGGTCCCTTGACTGCGTTCCTTCCCCTGCTCGCGCGGCAGCGGCTTCCACTTTCGCATCGAACTGTTCGATAATAGTTTGTTGACTCTGCTTCTTCGTACCGCCTTCCCCAGGAACACGAACCCTGTCATCTGCAGGCTGCTGTGCGAGATGAGGATTATCGACTTCAGATCGTTTCTTCTTGTCTTCACGCATTTTTACCACGTCGACCGATGGAGTGACATTAGCCATGGGCTGCGCGCGTCCCGAGTGGGTTCTATCGTGATCCGTACGCCGGCCGCTTTCTAGCAGTTCGCGGAACACCTCCCGCAGATACACCCCGTGGGCGATGCGGGTGTCCGTCACAAAGACCGGGTTTGACGCGTGGTAGGAAAAGAGGAACTGCAATTTTCCTAGCGTTTGGACGAGCCCACCATGCGGATTCCACTTTAGGTGCACGTTCACCAGCGATTCCGGTGACAGGGACACCAGCACGATGTCTTCAGCTCCGGCACCCGCCGCGCTCTTGTCGAGTCCTCCCGTAAATATTTCCGTCTTCCGCGCCGTGCTGCTACTGCTACCACCGATTTGCAGCTGCGGAGACGTTACGTCGAGGCCTGGCTGTTGTGGTGGCACTAGAGGACTAGGTCCGAACCGCCACCCTGGCGTCGCGTGCGGCAAGGCGCCAGAGCGACTCGCTGGTAGTTCTTGCCACCTCGCATTCTGTTGCAAGTTGGAGCTAGAGACAGATGAAGAGCTGCTAGATCTACTTGCATTCAGGATGGACAAGAATTTGTCAAAACTCTGCGTCTCTAGCAGAACCGCTTCGGCTGACGTCACACAGCCGGAGCAAGCCAGGCAATCGCTGAGGGCAACCACGGCCTTTGCCTTTTTCGAAGTGCCGGCGCCCTCCGTACTATCCTCAGCCGGATTGCGTTCCGCTTTGCTCGCTGTTGCAGGTCCAGCACCGGGGGCGGACTTAATGAGATTTGGTTTCTCCGTCGCCAGCCCGCGACTGAGGTCGTAGACGGCGTTTGTGCTGCCCTTTTCATTGCTGATCTTCCCAGTACTCGCATTCAGTAGCGGCTGTATGCACTCCTGGTTCGTCTCCAGGTAGTCGCTCAGATCACCAAGCTTTACGCCGGACCCAAACATATCCTCTAGCTCCCGCGCCTGTGTCTTGTGGTTGCATTCGCCATTCAAATTTGGCGGCGGCCCGAGAAAAATGTCATTGAGGTGGTAGCTTGTTCATCCAGCTATTTATTACTTGCGTTTAGGCTAATGTTGTAGTTTTTCGGGGTGGCAAGAGTATTTCCAACTTTAGGATGCAATTTCACGCGTCTGACATGCCATATGTACTAAGGCAAGGAAAACAAGTTGCACAAAGGGGGTATAGGACACACGTTCTACACGAAGGAAGGTGGATCCGATGGGTATAGGATGTGTGTGGGTAGCTCGGGTCGCTGTGACATTGATGGAAATCGACATGCTGACAGTTGCACAAAACAAAGACTCACGCACCGACTCCAAAGGATCAAACCGACTTCGAGATCAGAGAAGGCACCGACTGCATAATCATGAATTTGTGAAAATATTTCGTTTTTGATCAATTATGTATGCCGCAATTTTCGTGGATTAATAAGAAGCTCTCAGGATCGTGTATTCTTGGCTCAACCTCAACCTCTTGCGGGCTAAAACCGATTTCAACCGGTGATGATGCGCCATTGTGTGATCCTTGTCTTTTTTGTTCCAACTTTCTGAGGTGGTGGAAATTCAGGCGGAACAAAAACACGCGTGAACAGATCGGCCATTGAGCCTTTATTTGAATTTTTTACGGAGCTCTGATCGCTGCTAGCATGGTGTGCGCATTGAAAAAGTCATCTTTCTGCTTGGCACCTTGTAGGTTTAGTGGTTTGCACAGCCGCGGCCGCGCCGTGCCGGTTGGCAAAGATATCCTCGAAGAGGAAAGAAACCACAGGAGTACCAATTGTTCTACCATCACCTGCACTTGTTGGTCGCGTGTATTCATTGACATCTGTCCATCTCCCGCGTTTCCCACCAGATTTTATCGGCTGTCTGCTCCAATGCGAAGGAATGCCGGTACCGCAACGGAGACGGATCCGGTTCGCTTCGTAGTCTCCACCCCTACTTCTGCCTGGGCACCAACGGTTGGGCGCGTCGCGCGAGCGCATCGTCGCGACTGCGGACTACCTGGGCGCCGCTGGCACGTCGTTTTCCACGAGATTGAACTCCTGCTTTCGGGTGTGGGAATTACAGCGCTGGAACGTGAGAAAGCGCGTATCAGGGTTGCCCTCGAGACACCAGCTTCCCCACATCAACTTATGGTGCAGAAACTGCCACTCCTGATTTCGGTTCACTTTCATGCACGGGTACCCGATGGGAACGTGGCCGCCCTGTTGCGGAAAGGCCGCGTCCATGCAATTGCGGGTCTGCACGTTGCGCAGCCCGTTCCCGAAATACCAGTAAAAATCCTGCTTGCCGCTCTTCTCGCTCGAACAGGTTTCCAGCCGGTAGTGCGGGTTGGAGGGAAAAGCCGAAACGCAGCAGTCTGTGCACACCCCCGGGGCCTCCAGCCGAAACGTGCGCGGCGTCAGCATCTGCTGGTTCACAAATTCGTCCGCGAACAGGTCTGCGTAGAACGCGAACCCGTGGCACTCTAGATAGTCCTTCGGCGGCGTTCCACTGGACTTTGCCTCCGAACTTTCCGCAGCCGACCTAAAGGACAAATCAACAGTATCAGAATTGATAAGCGAAAAAAACGGACGCATCGTCACACAGAAATCGAAACTCGCATACTTTCTTAGATAGCAGGAATCAGGAGCCAGAGCTAGCCGTCATTGCGGTTGACTGCACTTTGTTGCAGCGAGGATACATGTATAGAGTTGGTGAATCGCCCCAGTGGATTTATTTTTGGACCATGCTATCTAACAAACAGCCGAGGATAAAGGAGTTGTTGTCCAAGAACATCAGTCAATACATGGAATCAAGGGAGCAAGTACTTCAATTCTTTGTATTTCTGTTCGTCGATGCGGCGGCCACGGTGTAGCACGACGCCACTCTCGGGGTCCTCCTCAACGAGGGTGGCGCTCTCGGGCGTGAGCGCGGTTCCCTTGGACTCCTCTTTGCCTTTGCTGCCCGATAGCGGCGGGGTGGAAAAGCTAGGGTTGCCCCGAGGGTACTCGTGTTTTTGCCGATACTGGTCCGCACCGCCCGCAGATGCGTAGAACTTCGCCTTGGCATTCTTCGAGAACCACTTCTCGATTATGATGTTCAGAAAGGACGCATACCGATACCAAATCATAAAACTCCGCACCATATGATAACAAATAGAAGTACTTAATTAACCTTCTTGCAGAGCAAACTACTATTGCAATTCCGGTCGAACAAGTTTCAACATTGATTTCCGCATGTGTAGGAACATGATATGCGTGTTTTTTCCTGTATCATATCCACCAGCCGGACCCGGTCCTCCAGCTGCAATGCAGGGTCCGCAGCGGCCGTGTCAATCGAAGCGGTTTCCCCGAGGAAGCTGATAGAAGGGAAACTACGCGTAATCCTAATCTGACAGGGCAGCTGCAGTCTGCAGTTTGCACAGTACTGTAGCTTTGTAGAATTTCTATGCAGAGTACTGATTCTGATTTTGTGCTTCGCGAGCGCTGCAGCTACAACAGAACTTATCCATGGATCCTGATTTCAGGCGAGCGATGTACAATATTTTTTGGCCCCCTTGTTTGAGCGCATAAGCATGAACATGGCATGGACCACTTAACTGCGAGGATGATACTCAAGCTACTCAACAGCGAGGAACGACCTGCCTAGTTCCCCTTTCATAACGCTGTCGCGGGCCACCTGGATTTCCCCCCCGGCCAGCCAGGTGCGGATGCTGTACTCAGACATTACAGTCTCGAAATCCTCCCACTCCTCGAACAGCCCTAGTTCGCGCCACCACTTGCGCGTGATCGCCAACGCGTTACCCTTCATCACCGCCACCCGGTTCGTCATGTCGTCCACCCAGGCAGTGCTCAGCGCCCAGTTGCGGAACGCCATCTTGTACGTTCGCACGTCGTGCCGCTGTGAATCATTTGGTATAATTTGTATTCTTTCTCAGCGAGTGGTCAGTATCGCTTTATTATCAGCGATCGAGCAGCAAGTGTTGCAGGAGGCGCAGACTCACATTGGAAGCAAATGCGGCGTACCGAATGTAAGTGTTGCAGATGCGGCGTACCGAATGGCAAACGCGACTTTATAGAGGGTCTTTCTACGGTACATCCGAGGAGCGACAGCTTGTTTCTCAGTTTGGCTTCTTCACCTCGTGCTTAATACTTCCTTGCATGACGAAACTCCTGCCAACCACGGTTCGTTCACACGGACACAAGTGCCACGCGTGATGTCGGTGTAGTGGTCATACGTATCTTGTAAAACTAAGAATGAAACTTTTTCGTATAGCAGTACCGGGTCAGCTTCAGTCGCGGTAGGTCCGAGCGCGTACACGCTAGAGGTAACGACTCGCTTGTAGTTGATGTTGATGTCTCGCACCAGAGGCACCATCCAATTGCGACTCGCCCGCATGTGCGCGTCCAGAAAAACGAGGATCGACCCCGTGGTCATGGCCGCGGCCGCGTTGCGGGCCCCACCGAGACTCTGTGGTTCGGTGGACTGGTAGAGCCGGACGCGCAGCGCCGACGACCCGGGGATGTCCGGGGACGCAGCCCCGGTCTGCAGTTGCGCGGCGTCGAAGCGCGCGCCGCCGGTTGCGTCCACGACGACCGCCTCCGCGATGCTAGACACCGGCTCCGTGTGCAGCAGGAAGGAGCGCAGGGTGGCAGCCACCTCCTCGGGCGTATCGTCGGCGGACGCGGTGAGCACGAGCGAGATAACGTTGTTCGTGATCTTCTCGGCGATGCCCCCGAGGTGCGCGTCCTCCTCCTGCCGCGTCGATAGATGGTACAGAATCGGCGACACAGAGTCTTCCTGCGGGGTGTGCTTCAGTTCGCCCGTGCCCGCCGACGCGTCCGCCCCCTCGTGTGCGCCGGGTGGCCGCGGCGTGTGGATCAGTTCTGCAAATGGCCGGTGGAACGGCGCCTCGGACTTTGGAAGCCCCGTGGCGTCCGCCAGGTCGTCCCCGGAGCTTGCACTCTCGGCCTCCAACAGAGGACTCTGCAGCTGGGCCGCGGCGTGCTCCCCGGCGCGTCCGGCCGTAGACGACGGGGAGGCCAGGTCGCTGGATGCTGCAGGCAACAAAGGGTCACCGCTCGGGCCGAGGCTAGTCGTACTCTGCGGAAGCAGTGCGTGCAGAGTCACCATTAGGACCTGAAGGGCGACGCAGATCACGAGCACCGTCAACTTTCGCGACTCAGGTACGAAGCCGAGCGGAAGCAGAAAGAAGCACAAGACCCCCACCGTCGCAGCCTGGCTCCGTGCTGCCTCCTCGCGCACAAACATGGGAACCTGTCAGTCGTTGTGCGTTTATTTTTTCAACATAGAAGTGTCCACACGCTAGCTTCGTTGGGCGAAAGGCCACTCTTTCTTGGAAGGTGGGAGCGATGGCAGCCGCAGCAACTACAGGAACTATACACCTCTAGCAGCAAAAATCATGATCTTGCTGAGCCCGTAAGGGACGAATTCACGGAGAGTTCCCGTGTAATTCTTGCGAAAAGCCATTGGGTTTAATACGACAGTACGTATTGACTTACCGTGAAGAACAGAGCCACTCGAAACAACCCCCAGGCCCGTTCCCTAAGGTATTCCTTCATTACCGCGCTCTGCTGCGCGTTCTTCCACATTTTTTCCCAAGTGTCAAGCGTTCAGAGGCTGTAGTTTTAGAAGACACGCTGCAAGCGAGCAAAAAAAAGCACACTATGGATCTTCTTTCGACGAGGCATACTCAAAGTGCCGCTGCTTCAACTTATGCAAAGCAAGATTATGCGGGCCTCCCGTAGCGTGAATTTAAGCATTGATTGCCAATCAACATCTAACTCGAGTTAGTATCCATTACTCAACAAACTGTCACAACTAAATCCTCTACCTTCACAAAATGGCTCGCCACGCACCTCTCTTGCGAAACGAATCTCACTACACGGACGAGACGGCCACAGCGACGACGAGCAGACACAGCGGTTTTAATGCAAATGACCACTGCTATGCCCGTTGCTGTTTCGGTGAACAAATCAATCGATTCTCCTCATCGTCGTTGTAGGAGCATGTACTACAATAGCGCGTCGAATGTAGTATGTATTTTCGGGTCGTGAAAAGTTCCGACGTGTTGTCGTGGAACCATAAACGAGTATAGTCGGTCGCTTCACTTCTAGCGCGCTGCTCATGTGAGTTGCAGTAACTCAAATCATCAACAAATTTCTAGGCTCTTTGCTAGCGTACAACTTTGCAGCATCAGCAGGTCCGAATATTACTCGGGAGGTATTCTTGTGGCACGAACCAGGATTCGCACCGTGCGATGTTGCGGAGCTTCGCCACGAGTGCTTGTGTCTCTGCAGGGGCCCACTCCTCGAGCCTGCGCATCACCTCGCGTTGCATGCTTTTGTGCAGCGGCCCAGCAACGTCATGCTTGCTCGAGGACGATGTGTGCACCACAATTCGTGCGATGTCGTCGGCTGTGAAATACCGCGTCTTCATGCTGAGCTGTCGCCTTAACAGGCTCTGCACTCGCCGGAAGAGCTTCTCTGCCGAAGAGTTGTACCGAGTCCCGCGATTCGCATAGTCTCGGCACAACTCGTCCTGTGCAAGAGCACCCTTAGTTGTAGATTCCGGCCACGTCTGCATCGCCACGAAAACGGATACGAGGTAGGTTGGCGGAAAAAGCAACACGGTTGCAGCAATTTTTTCGCACAGAAGCCCGCGCCGGCCCGGGTCCTCCGGAACATTTTCTGCAAGGTGCGTGATTTCGTGGTAGCAGAGTTCCGCTTTATCCTGTGCAAAAGCATCGCACTCGTAGTAATTGCAAATATGCATGACAAATCTTCTTCCTAAGGTAAAACAGCATTACAAATTCCATTTTTCATGCTGAGGTAATTCGTATTGCGATTTATACTAGTGCGATACTTTTGCAATGCATACGCTTCCCGCTCGAACAAAATTTCGTCAAGTATATCGCAATGAAAAGACTTCCTACTCCATCAAACGGCCGCTCGATCTTCTGCGTTGTAACTTAGTAGGCCGCAACAAAAGACGGGTCTCGTAGCGTAACTAAGACTACTAATGTTCATTCTACTTCACAGACAATTTTCCATATACACACATACATGGTACGTTTAGCTATTCGTATTCAGTGCAGGATCATAGCCTTTTCCAGCCGATACAGTAGCTCCCGCAGACTACGCAGCGTCTCCTGTTCCTCTGGGTCGCAGCCTCCCGCGGTCGAAGCGCCCTGTGCGGCAAGTGCCGGCACAGAGCAGCTGGGCGTGCCACCGTACGCGCCGCCATTTTCTTCAATACTTGGCGTGATTTCCAATTCACTTTTCGTTTCTGCCAGTGCAGTAGCGAGCGTTCCGAGCGATCGAATGGAAAAGCTGCCGGGCTCTCGGGCACGATCACGAATGATCTGAGCAATCTGTGTCCAGAAACCTGCGTCACGGTATAGTCCGCCCTGCCGCACTGCAAGCGCTGGCATCCGAAGGAAAGAACACCCTGTCGGAGCCCTCATGGTCGTGGAGGCAGTATACATAGAGTTACAATCGCAATTATGGGCCTATTTCTGCATATAGACATTGATGACTCAATTTATAATTTGTGCGGCGCAGGGCCGCGATGTTCCCAAAAAAACACGAACAGCGGTATTAATATCTCTTTGTCATGCTTTTATTCGAGCATCACTGACTCTTTTCTGATGCCGACATGTTTGCCCACTCGAGCTTTTGGTGGTCTCTTCCTCTTGGATAGCGAGTGCGCACAGATGAGAGTAATCCAAGACGGCAAGGTGCGGCTTCAAACGACCGACTAAGGCAGTGAAGAGTAAACGAAATTTTTCCCGTCGCCGACACGCTACTTCGTCCTCGCCTGTTGCCGAGCACCCTGCAATCGCATCACCGTCCATGCTGCCAGAACGCGTGCCTCGAAATGTCATAGCACCCCGCATGGCGATGGCCATTTGTCCGAAGGCGTGGAGAATATGCGGCAACCAATGCTGGAGAGCATCGGGACGCGCACGGGAAACTCGTGCCGCGGAAAGCAATGCGGACGCTACTTCCTCAAAGAGGTCTCCATATTCGACATAGATGTTTTCCACTGCCCGGCGCGAGGCAAAACTGGGCAGCAGGACACTGTAGTCCTCGAGGGCCAGCCCATGTTTCCGCTGAGTGACGTACCGCGCCGCGTTGTGAAAGATGTGCCTCGAGTGCGTTTCCGCCTGCACCGCGGACGTAAAAGCCATTTCCCACCTCTTCTTGTTATGCGCGAGTACGCACGCTCGGAGTGCCCTGCCCATGGTCCGAATCGTGTCCGAAGAGAGGCCCGGAGGGGGTGATGAGCTACTCGCAGTACTTCGCGCAGTGCTGTCGCGCTCTTCTCCTGCTTGGTCGCGTGAAAGAATTGCAAGGAAATAACGGCTCCGAGCCTCTACTTTATAGCGTCTTGCCGTTGTATTGATGGACTGGTCTCCCTGCTGCCTGTTCGCTTCTCAATTGTATTCTTGCATACTTAAGCAGATGCAGAATAATGCTCCACGCCTATGAATCCAAATTCTTTCATCATGTAACCACCGATCTGCATAATATCCTCCTTTGGGCCTGAAGGGACAAGCGCAGTTTCTATACACCGCTAAAATCTAATGCTGTTCTGCTCCTACGTGGCCGCAAGGGCCCTTCGCAATCACCGGAGCCGTCTCAGGTGATAAACCAGCGCAAAACCAAGCTCGAATAGCCCACCAGCAAATCGTCTTCCAGGGGCGTCGGAGATCCCGTCTGGGCCTTGCAGAGCCAGTAGTACAGCTCAACCATGGAGGCGAGATTTGACCACGTGCCCACCTTCTCGTGCAGCTGCAAAATTCTGCGCGCTCGCTCCTGGTATCCGGCGAATAGGCTGGCGCACTTAAGAGACCCCATGGAGAGAAATTCAGCGTCTCGTTCAAGATTCCGCCGAATTTCCGCCGCCAGGCTGCGCGGATTATCATTCCTGCTACCTGCTGTTGTTTATGCATTGCAAATATGTCTGGGTCTGGAAGAATGAAGCCTGTCATGCGAAAGCTGGATCACGAGAAAGCCTGTGTTGCATGAACGCCAACAGTTACCCATTTCTCGCTAGGAAATGTAAAACGGGAATGATTTCTCATGCGGAAGCAAGAGGCATGAGGAAGGTCTCAAAAAAATCTGTGATGCTTCTGTCTGCATCTACAGACCATGAGTGCTGTCCGCGACATGCATAACAAATCTTGCAACTCTCCAGACCCAGACATTTTTGCAGTTGATATTGTTGAACTGCTCTTGATGGCCAGGCTCGATGCATCGTCGATCGCAACATTTGTGCTGTCGCTCCTCGCACTTGTGCGTGTCGTCGAGCTACCGGGCCCGCGGTGCCGCGGTGCGGCGGGGGCTGAAAACTTGCATCCCCCACACACAAATGCACTTCGACGGATAACGCCGCCCGTTGCGCAATTCGTGCATCGGTTCTTCATAGCTTTGATTTCTTTTCTTGAACAGAGCGCTCGTGATTCCTAGAGCGAACTACTGCCGTGAACGTGATATGATGTGAGGGCACCTCGAAGTGAAAATTTCCGTCTGCGACGACAACAATCAAGCTAGACTATTGCTCACACGTGCCGCCGGAGCAGCTGTAACAGCTTAACAGCGATCCGAGAACCTAGAGCTCCTTGCTGTGCTGATCTGCCTAATGGAAAATGCCTACATGATCTTTCTTTAGCGTCACGGTGATCCTAATACGGGAGAACGAAAAAAACAAAAAGCTCAAATCGGAGAACACCACGTCGGTGAATCTGTGAAGTTTTTTTCCCGCTCTGTTTGTCTTTCCATTTATCATTCCCGTAAAATGATTTTGTTCTCCGAATTCCGCGCTCGTCGTTGCATATTGTACATGAGAAAACACGACGGCGCGCTGCTGAAATGCTAAAAACTAGTCGTTGTGCTGAAAACTAAAATCATAAGACAAATTTTTCCCCAGCAATAATGTGCATTTTTCGATCAAAACGAATCTCCTCAAGGTGCGAAACGATTCGCAGGTGCCGATGATAGATAACATAATAATAGTTGCAAAGTGAACATATAAGTTACATTGGTAAAAGTCAAATCAAAAGCGCAAAAGAGGCGATTAGGCTTGGTTCTGAAAATAATTGTAATCAACAAATGATTGATGATGATAAGGAAGCTGTAAGTAAGGCTGTAAGATTGCTTGAAAATGGAAGCGATACAATAAAAAATGGTTTACTTGTCCGGTTCAATTCGCAATTTTGTTGTACAATAACGATCCTGAAAGTGTTGTACCTATGTGTAAGTAACTTAAATCACGTGATTCACGCCAAAAAATAATCGGAACTAGTTGTGAAATAACAGTCGTAAGTTTGAGCTTTTTCCTTTGCTCTTGCTCGCTACGTTACTGATCGTACTTTCTCGGGTAAGTGTTGGACTTATCCTGTTGTGACAAGTGACGTCGTGAGTGCGCATTGACTACGTGCGACAAGCGTAGCAAGTACAATCGTAAAAAATGTTCGACCCGTTGTGGTCGTGGAAATTGTAATCATAGAATCTGTGGGTGACGAAAACAGTGCAATCGTGCGGAGCTTCTCCGTTGCAGCGGTGATCCTCGAAACAATACGCACATAAATTGGAAAAAACAGAACGAAAGACCATAACTCCCCGCTATTTGCTCATTTGCTCCAGATATGAACCTACTTTTCTACGTTGGCACAGCGGTAGTGCGTTCTTTCTAAAAAGCAAAAAGAACGATCATGACAGTGAGTTGTTAGATTCTCATTTTATCGTCATCTTTCCTTGTCTTCGGTCCATCCATGTTTTATCTATTTTAGTACTTGCACTTCTTCATTTCCATCAGCATTATTTGCTAAGGATACGTATCGTCTCAGAACACGACCGGCTTAGGACGAGGTGCTTGCAGCAGCTGCGGATGCAGCCTGCTGTGGTTGGATTCCGCCTGGGGGCTGGGCGACTGGGATTCCTTCTTGACCTGGAGGCTGGGCGCTCGCTTGTTGCTGAGCCGGCTGAAACGTGACTACTTGTTGCGGAACAGCAGCTGTTACCGACGTACCAGGCGTCATCGCTTGCGTTTGCCCAGCTGCACCTTTTTTTTTCATTTTATTCGCCGCCGCGCTTCCTGCCAACATAGCACCACCCATCATCCAGTGTAAAAACCGCCTCACTTCTTCATAACTACAAGCTTTCAGCGTTTCTCGTTTATTTGGGTTCAAAAAAGGCGATAATGCATTGCCAGAGCCAGCAGACGAGCGCCTCGGCCTCTTATCTAAGTCTATCTGTCATCTTACTGCGAGGGAGTGTGACATGTACTCGCACTTTTGCGCACTAAAATCCCAGCGTGCAGTACGCAGACGCCGGAGATGTCAACCTTGTCCTTGTCAGAGAGATACTTATGGCATCGGCATTGAAGACATCGTCGGCGCCGATGAATGCACAAGCTTGACGTGTTGGGGAACATAAATACATCTCGTTTGCAGAGCGGCAAGGTTTTCACACCGGATAGCCACCGCTCCCATCGTCGCCAAGCCTTGCATCGAGTTGGCTCTTATCGAAGTCAAATGTGCCCTGGGTCCAGAATCACGAAAAATTAGTTTCTCATGACACACTTTTGAGCAAAGGAAAGGTGGGGAGCGAGATACGACTGCCGAACACAGCTCCGGACTTTAAACTGCTCATAGATATGCTCTTAGTACGGTGAGAACTACACACAGCAACTGTTCGTGTTCCTGGAGCAGGGACCCTTTCAATATGATAGCCTGTGGGGGAGTGTATGCATTGCAAGGATATTAGGGTCAGAGATGAGTGTGTAAAGTGACCTATCAAGCTCCATGTAAACGATACAGAAGTCAGAGTGATTACGCCAGTGTCGTCTTCTTTCCATGCAGTTGAAAGAAGACCGGAGTAACGCAGACTAGGCAATCAAGAGACGTCGCGATGCCAGTGCGCCCTCGGCCTGCAGCAAACAAAGTTTAAGGCTCTCTAGTACACTATGATCCCCTACAGCGCAATCAGCACTTTCAATGACCCGAATATACATACTTGCATTGGTTAGGGGGTTGCAACCACCAAAGCACTCGCAAGATCCTGTTGCAGTCCTGTATCGAGACGACGAACCACCCCTCCATTCACTACCCCAAAGCAGCTCGTCTATCCTATGCCACTGATGATCTCTTGGTTACAACAAGTGTGGCATGTATAGAAGAATCTCAATCTGAAAGCTTATTTCGAGGTGGCTCAAGAGAGTCTCAATTTACATCTTTATTAGCCACCTGCGCCTCGCAAATTTTGCGCTTAACGCGATTCGCATATATACAAATCAAGCATGGCTGTTTCGCTTTCTCTGCGTATCAAGTCGATGGGCAAGTGTAGGAAGTCCCGGCATGCAAAGTACGTGAAAATCGAAATCCCGCCTAAAATAGGCATTGCTTTTGGGTGCGGGATTTTTTGGGGACGTTTGCGTTGCGATATCCCCAAGCTCTTGGTCTTTTTCACTTCCAGCACGGATTTCGCTCCCGTCGCGGCACCGTCTTCGCAAGCCACAGGTTCATCGGGACACTCGCACGCTTCGCCGGTCGGCGTCTTCCCGGTTCTTCCTTGCGACGTCGGAGAAGCAGCGTCATTGTTCTGCAGCGATCCCTGCGTGGAGTCCCCAGTCTGCGTGTGCTGCACGAAAGTGGCGGATGCAGACTCCTTGCTTTTTTCCGTGCCCCGGTGGGAGTGATGGATTCCCAGGCTGCGCTCCTCCACATTCCCACCGGCACCTGCTGCGGTTCCACTTGCGTCGGCAGCTGCGTTAGTGCCAGTTGCACTCTCGGTGACCCCTGTGGGCACCGAAACAGCCGGCGCTCCTGGCTGAGCACTATCATCTTGAAAAGGGCCCGGACCACAGAAGAAAGTTAAAGTAAGTCAACAAACTGCGAACAATACATTCATTCACCGCCTATGTGCTGCTGTAGTCAGCAATGCAAAATTTCAATGCAGAATAGCGGAGACTCGTGCGGTTACCGGAGCCGAGCGAAACTGCAGAAGATATATATGTGAGTGTGATATCAAATGCGCAGGTGTTCTATTTGTCATAGTAAACAAAACAAAGCGCTGTAAATTTTGCGCTATACCCCTGGCATAGGCAAGGCTAAGTTCCTGATCCTGGTTCAGATTCTCATACAAAGATCGTCCCGTTTCTTGCGTCCCTTTTGGTGGAAAGCTTGCGATAATTCTAGATCTCAATTCTGGAGCCCGCTCGCTTTTCATTTGATAAATACCCGCGAATGACGACGAGGACGATGATGTCCTGTGCAAAAACACCCCCACATCGAATTCAAAAGTAGGCTGTCCTGCGCAGAACCGATGAATTTAACCTCGTCATGCGTACCAGACTGCCGGGGTGATTCAAATTTGTCTAGCGCGATCATATTTGAACGGAAAACTTTGAAACTCGATGACACTGTACATTAGAGCTCACAATGGAATATTTTTGGATATATGGGGTGAGGGAATTTTTGAACGGATACACGAGGAAGAAGACGAAGAAGATGAGGAGGAGGACGACGAAGCGGCGCTGCTGCTTGCGCCCTGTGCTGGTGCTTGCGGCTGCTGCTGCTGCTGCTGCTGCTGCTGCTGCTGCTGCTGCTGGTTAAGCTGCGGCTGCTGCTGCTGCCCCAAACGGTTATTCTCCATTTCTTTTGTCAAGGTTGCAAAGCCCGGAGTTTTCTGTTGCAATTTATTTTCGGCTGCCATTGCACCACCGGCCAGTCCGACGTTCATCAGTTGCTTCGCTGCCCCTTGTTATGCATTGCAAATATGTCTGGGTCCGGAGACTTGTAACGCAATTCTGTGAATGGTGGGCGCGCCGCGATTATACGCAGCCAGGCATGACTAGTTTTTGAGCTGCTATGTCTTTAGTTTTCCGCATGGCAAACTGCGTTTTTGCATCACAGACAAGAGGCTCTTTTCCTGCTCATGCTATGCATCACAAATTTAAGACTCATACCAGACCACAAGCATGAAAAACTTGCAGTCTTCCAGACCTAGACACTCTTGCATTTGATACTTGTTCCGCAATCATGGTAGCAGTGGGTGGTGCCCCGCACGAGCCACCGGCACACGATCCTGTCAGGTCCGCGGGATAAGAACCGCACCCCAAGCCGCCTCCTCCCATGCAGGGCGTCCCGACGCATTCCAGAAAACTCTCACTTCCCAATATCAAGTCGGGAACATCATACGTTCTCTATCATCTCCAGCAAACACTATGTTTGCTTATCTATGTAACACACCAGAATGTGAAGCAATTCCGTCGACGGCTTCTAGGGAGGATGCTTCTCTTTTCTCTCAATACAATTATCTGCAAACCGCCATGTTGCAGTGCGTCCATATGAATACTCGGTGAAAAAATAGTGTTCGGAATTGCTCCCATTGATGCGGGTAGCAGTAGGATAAAGATCCAAACGCAAGAATTTCAGTCAACAAAACAGTGGGCATTTCTTACCTGCACTAGTAGCATGGTAGTTTCTACTGGACGAGATAGAAAGCAAACTCTGGAGGATGAAGGTAGAGAACAATATGTTCTTCACATTGATACCCGGCTCGCCACAACCGTTTCCGCCCGCCGCGGCACCTTGCAGAGACAACATGGAGTCGGCCGCTTCCTCCTCCTCGGCCATGTTCGTTTTCCCAACCGCAATCTGCGTCCTGCCGGGGACATTTTCCAGCGGTGTAGTTGAGGAACGCCTTCCTATGCATTGCAAACCTCTCAGCTGCGTCGGGACGAATAGAAGTCCTTGGAATGCGGCATTCTGATTCTTGTGCCTGTGGCTTATGCGTTGTACCAGCAGTAGGCGCAACACTCGTCAATACGACCAGTACTAAGCTGCCAATATTAGTAAAAATATGCAAATCCATATCCAAGCAAATTTGACGAAAAGTCGACCATTTCAAACTCGACTTGCTCATGTATTCAAGGGATTTCCGCCACATGAATTGAACAACACCAGTCTCGCACTTCTTTTCCCGAATGCGCAACATTTGCAGTACATAGCGGATCCCGAAGCGTCGGGGGAAGACGTCACACCATCTTTTACCAAAGGCGGCTGCGCCTCCGCACTTTCTGGTGCTGTCCGATCGGTTTGTTTCGCGGTGTGTGCCGTGTCATCGAGAAACGAAGCCGCGGTCTGCGCCGCGTCACCGCCTGCGGGAGTTAGTGGCGTCGCCTCCGGGCCCGGTGGCTGCGAATGCTGCGACTGAGACAGGTCCGACGGCTGCAACGTGCTCTGCGACTGCTGGTGCTGCAACGCGCCCTCCAGCTGCTCGGCGGCCTGCTGCTGACTGGCCCATGCGACAGCCTTGTCGTGCTCAATCTGAAGCCGCTGCGCTTCCCATAGGTTGTAGTTGTGAATCCCGTATTTCAACGGACAGCCCGTTTCGTAGTACTCGAACCCTTCAGCAAAAAACAGATCATCCGGCAGTGTGAGAGATTCCCCAAACTCCAACTGGCGCTGGAATCCATCCATGTACCTCAGAGAGGACGTAGAATTGCTCACGTCATTTCTTTTTTGCTTTGGCACATCATGCGTTATGGAATACGCCGTTTCATGGCCTGGAAATACGCACACAATAAACAAGTCCTATAAAACCGAAGTTTCTCGCAATCAACGCAAAAAAAAGCCTCGTCGAATCCTTTCGTCAACATATACATAAGAATGAATGATATGTAGTAAAACCGGGTTGATGAATACAACAAATTGATGTTCTTCCTTAGTAAACAAACTGGAACCAACATTGGTAATTTCGTATTTGTGATTTACCTGATTCGCAGCAAGCAAGCTTCAAATTTTTTCCATGTCTTGTAAACAACGCCCCCTTTTCTTTCTTTTTCTTCGTCCCCCAGCTTGTCCAGGACCACGGAAGAAAAGTGTTCAGCTCTGACCATGCAGCCATATCCCTTGGAGTGAAAACCCTCGACGACTGGGTCTGTGGCTTCGGTAGGACGCAGCTGCCCCTGAACATCAAAGCCTTCCAGCGGACTTATTTGATGTTTCTGTTGATGGGCTTCGCAAATTTCTTGGATGTCCATCTGCTTCACTTTTTTTTGGTCCAACCAGGCTCCGGTTTTTCCGAGGTCAGGGAACACCTGAAGAGGAAAATAAAGAAAAGGAACGTCGCCCGATATTTTCAACCATGTGATCGGCATTCGCACTTACGTACAGTAGCGCTCAGAGCTTGCCTAGCTGTTACTTTCGAAGCTTCGTCCGTGCGAAGCAGCAGTCCGGACGCACGTACTATCATCGAGGCTATTAGAAAAACCCCGGTGTTCAGAAGGGGACGAGAGCAACTACTGTATATACTAGCCGGCCAAAAAGCAATGTGAAGCAAGCTTCTTCGGCACTGTATAAGCTGCCAAGGCGAGCCAGAAACTGCCATCCAACTGCCTAACTTTCCTGAAGGTAAGTTATTGCTGTCCGGCCAAAAAACAAGTTTTGCAATGCTTTGGTCCACGTCGCCTCGCATGTCTTTGCGAAAATCGAAATTCTAGTCTGGTTTTCGTGCGTCTCGAGAAACACACCAAGGCAGGACATTCACGAAATCCGAAATATTTCCGCGGCTAAGCGCGGCTGTCCCACAGCAGCACCGTGTGACACCGTGGCCGCGAGCACCTTCATCTGACGCAGAGATTTACTAGGCTCGGCACCGGGAAGAATATCACTAGTATTCCCTTATGATTCCTCGCAACCTTGAATAGCATGCAAAACAGAAGTTGCACGGCCTACATAGAGTTGTCAAGAGCACACATGCCGTCGGTGTTGTAAAAATGGGTGCCTGAACCAGCTGGATCCAACACCCAAGTATGGGATTTGTCACGACGAATCACCTACGTCCCAATCAGAATGAGAAAATGAACGACGTTCCTGCTAGAGGCAGCATCGGGCACAAGATATCTATTCTTCTAACCGCGAGAAGACCTTGGCCTGGTCAGGCCGATTAAAAGGCCAACCCTCGTGTTCGTCAATCACTTCAGACACTATAAAAAAAACGGCAGGACTTCCGAAATTGCCACAGCAAGACGACCCCGGTTGTGTCGCGGAGTATCCTTTTTTTCGCCCGCCTCAGGCCGGCTCCGTGCGCACGGCCAGCGCTTCCGGGTGATGTGCGCACGCGGACGCCACAGCGAGCCGCAGGCAAGAGCTCGGGTCGCGTTATCACGGCGCTTCAGCCCTTTCTTTACGCCACCGGTAGACCCTCCATGGGAGAGGACTCACGACAGAAGCGGCTTCTGCGCCTTCTTTCAGCGTCCTTGTTGTTCTGGCGCGCAGAGGTCCAATGACCCACAAATGAGGATGACCTTCCGGCCACTGTTTTACTTCTTTCGAAATCTCCCGCGTGGTCTGCCGTAATTTCTTTTCACGTCTGCCGCCCTTTACCTTTTTCCTGCATCAAGACTACAATATTTGTAAAAAAAAATCTCGGAGTCTGGAAAGGACCAAGAAACGGAACCTGTCCGGGGCAGGGGGGGGGTCCAGGAGCCCCCCTTGGTCGGGCCCTTGGGGCGTCTTGGGGGCGCTTTTGAAGGCCGCTGCACCTGCCGCGTTGGCATGGAAAAAACCCTTAGGGCTTGTTTTATCATTCCACCCTGCCCGGGATGCGAGCCTAGGTCAGCAAGAGGGTTACCCTTCAGTGCGACCCAAGTCTTGTAAACATAAAGGCAGTAGTACCCTTGTGCGGTTTAAATGTAATACGCTTGTGCGGTTCTTTCTTCAAAATTAATCTTCTTTCTCTTTGACTGCAGGTGAGGCGATGCATTAAAACTCTTTGGGGGGAGGGCGTGTGACCGACAACGTGCGCGAGCAAAATTAGTATTGGTATACAGTGTCGTGGGGAAATGAAATAATGCAGGCAGGATTCTAAAGCAATTCGATGAGGCACACAAGTGTCAACATACGGTGGGGGGCCAACGAACCTGTAATATGAATTTCTTCGAGACTCGGCTAACTTTTACCAAAAAAAAAAACTGTATTCAAATACCCGAATCTTCCTTCGGAAGTCATGTCGAGTCTGCAGGTGATTCCAACGATGCTCGCACATATTGGCATGATGCCACCGCCGACCACCACCGTTTCCTTTACCTTCACTGACCTGGAAAACAATCCCAGAGAGTGCATTCCACCATTCCTCCATTTTCGAATTCTCCCACCCGTTACTGAAGGCGAAGACGTTACCAATGACCTTAGAAAATGAAAATGATGCGACTTGAAAACAAACTAGCTCTGCTGCATAAAGAGCTGAACACAACGGGGCCGGGAAATTTGCTTGCAGGGGCCCGCTGTGAAAATTCATCCGCCAATGTCTTTGTTGCGGAACATGAAGAAGGCGCTCCTTTACACGGCCGCTCGCACTTCATTTTGCTTTGTCAACACAGAGCACTAGATTAAACGCCCGCCTAGTTGTTACTGTTCTGCCCTTAGTCCGTTTGCGGATGTCTGACGAGCTTCATAGGGCTGCATCCTCTCCGCGGATTGCCCGTCGCGGCTACGCCATGAAAGGTCTGGCCTTCGTGGCAGCGCCTTGCCCGGGGTCCAGTCCTGGCCCCCGGATGCGTTTCGACGGTTCAGCTGCAGTCTTTTGCTGGAGTCGCTGCTAGTTCATCTCGCCGGCGGGCACCGGCTGCGATGATTCTTGGAGCGAAAGAAACAGAAGGCTGAAGGCCGTCGTGGGGGTTTCCCCGGCGACCAAAAAACTATGCACGCGCCACGGTACGACTTGAGCGTGTCTCCTAGCTTACTCCTACAGGCGCCGGTAGCTGCGCATTCATCTTTTTTCCGTTTTTCATGGTGGCCCTCTCCCTTCTGCAACTCTTTCATTGGACCCCTTCAGGAAATCCTGAAGAGGCCCGGAAAGTGTTCTGAAAACTTTCGTCGCACAGCCTTTGCGCAAACGGTGCGAGGGGCTCTCGGGATTCCCACCCCTTTGTCAACTCTTGTCACGCAGGCCTTCCGAACGCCCCGGCGGAGGGGCTCCGCCGCTTCTTTCTTCTCTATGTGGGAGTAAGTGCACGCGCGGACCCTTTGGTCTTGACGGCTGAACACTTAGCGCAGCTTTACTAGTTTCGGCAGTCATGCGCGAATAGGGTCCCGCGACTGGGAATCGTCCGGTAATTCCAGACGCCCTTTTTTAGATAAAAAGCTATCGCCGGAGTTGTGGGCACGAGTGTGGGAAACCAATAGCTGGACGACCACGGTGCAGCGAGCGCCGGAGGGCAGAAAGGGAGGGCCTGAAATTAATCGCGTCGCCAGGCTCGCTCATCGTCGCGGTGCAGTGTTCGTGCCTCCTGTCGTGCCCTCCCGAAACGCGCGAAATTGCGGGTAGCCTTGCCCTTTCGTACTCCACTAAGACGAAAGGCAGCCTCCCCGGGGTGCCGAGAAAAAACCGAGCATACTGGCTGTGGACATTGTTCCCGCTCGGTTCTGGAAGCGTGCGCGGCACACACAAAGATCCGCCACGTCGGCAAAAGAATTTTCACTGCGCAACCCTTCAGAGTCAGACATTATCTTTTAGGACAATATAATCTCCTAGGAGATTCGCTGCACACAGACATAAGGCACCACACCGGCTTCGTATGTCTTGTGAAAAAGAACCTTGCCTTGTCGCTCAGAAAAAGCGCTTCTTCCGAACTTGAAAACTTCTACTTGCAGCTCATTCTATGTATGTTGTATAAGACAAACTTAATAAAATATGATTATAATGAACCTCGTGCTCGATCGGGTCCCCCGACATCACTACCCCGGTATTGACTTTTATACCACCACTATTCGCGTCGCCCTTCACCGTGAAGAGTAGTGTTGCCTCGCCTCTGGTATCGACCAGAGAATCAAACGGATACTGGTTACCGGCTTCGAGGTACTTGTAGATAGTTTTGTGTTGAAATTCGAGATGCATGTCCTGCTGTGAGCACAATATCAGTCTTTTACTTCTTATTTTTCTTGGTGGTGGTCCTCAGACTTCAATATCCAAATCCATTCTTGATCCTTTCCAAAGTTGTAGAGCATCAGGCAGCACACCCCACAATATTCGCACACACGATCGTGCTAGAAACCCAAGAATAAGAATGAGAGCGAGTTCGGCCTTGGAGTTTCGGGTTTGGGTTGTTTGGGTTTGAGTTTCAGCTTCGAGCTTGGATTTATGTTTCAATTGTGGACTCGGTTCTGAGTTTCATCGAGCTTGTGTTTGGGTTTCGGCTTTGACTTTGGTTTTGCATTTCCGCTTCGAGGTGAGGTTTGCGTCTCGCCTTGCTTTGGATTTGGGTTCCCACTTTGGGCTTAGGTGTGGGCTTCAGCTTCGAGCTTGGGTTTGCGTTTCAAATTCGAGCTTCGCACAGGAGACAAACACCGACGCAGCACGCAGATGCACTTAATATATATTGCAAAAGCCAGCACAACACGCGGGCGAGAGAGAAACCAACTCGCGCCACAATACTAGGGCGAAACCAAACATCAAACGCCGACGGCGCGCACTACAGTTCCGGGCTAGACGTAGCTGCTGTGGCGCATTAGCTGCCACCACCTTTTTCTCTGTTTGAGCTTTGGCGCTTCTTTTTTCCTCTCCTTGCTTCTAGATCTAGCTAAATGGATTTCGTAACTTCTCGAAACCATCCTACAGGCGAAGCTGGCGCTGCCAGTAGATTGATAAACCTCGTAGTTTCTTAAAGAGGGAAGGAGGCTATCACAAACCAGCGCCGGCCCAGACAGACACGTCACAAAGGATTTGAGTGTAGGTGCCATCAGGCCCACGGGTGGAGTCAGAAGCCGTCGGTCTAAGGGCTTCACACCGGCCGGGTTCACATTGGAGGTCCGCCGCCGGCGGCTCGCGTTTGCACTAGAATCCTACGTACGTACTGCCTTCCTATACTCATGATAAGCTACTCAAAATGTCAAAAGGGCGGCCCCTGCTCGGTTCGTAGTAGGACGAGTGGCATTCTTTTCAAAAAAACGCCGCTCATTGATTTCTTCCAAGATGAAACAGATGCTTTTTACCATGAATTGATATCATGCATTTCCAAGATCTTCAGGTCATCAGTATTTCCACAAATCTGGATTGCTGTTTTCCTCATTGACGAAACAATTTTCATCTGAATGTTGCGATTGATTTGCGTCACAGAACTTCATCTTAGTTTTCACGGAATACATCATATCTGTGAACTGTCTCCCGGCACCAGTCATCACTAAGCGGCCGGCGCTGGGAGGATGTTTTAAGATATGCTCGAACAGCGAGTTTCCCCACAGCCACGCTATGTTCTGATTTTCAACCGGTTTTGGGGCGACGAAAGGCTCGGCAATTTTAAAATGTCTTATCTTACCCCTGTCGGTAAGGTAGTCACATTAGCAGTCAATTAAACCCATTCTCCACTGCATTCCGGAAATACTTGTTTGGCCCAGCTCTTGCGAAAGCTGCACGCTAGGGCGATGCGGTGCACAGATTCGGCAGTCCGCATCGCAGAGACCTGCACGCATTCACACTCAGCGAAGAAAGCGGACAAGCAATCCCCTCGCTGTCAAAGTCAATAGACAGCTAACGGCTTTTCGGCATGCGCGCTTTTGGGGACCGTATCTGAGTGTGCGGGGCAGCAAATCTATTGTTGCAACACAAGCATCAAACTCAGAATTTGCTCTGAGTGCATGCGCCGCTAGCGCTACAAACACCATTAAAGTAAAAAATAAAAAAATGCCAAGAACAGCCGCCTCAGTCCGTGGGGAGAGCGAGATCGCAGCGGTTTTTGTGTCTTGGGAAGACCAGTCGCAGGCATTCGATGAAAACATGGCAACTTTCATTCCCGACAGCGTGGCGGCTGATGCAAATCATGGCTCAAGGTCAAGGCGCGGCCTTTTTAGGTTCACATAAGAAAGGATTTTCCAAATCCATAGCATGGCCCCGCCTGGCCCTGGGCGCCCCCCAAGAGCTGCCCACTGGAGGCCCAGGTGCGGCCGTTAGACTGCGGGCTGGCTTTCGGCACTTTTGGTCATCGCAAGCGCGCAACGTCGGGCCTGCTGCCCGCCTTACAACGGGCCACCTTTGGTGGCGTTTTTTTTGTCCTTAAAAATTGGACCAGAATGCTACCCGCGCCATCGCCATGCTGGCTAGCTGGTTTTTTCGCCGGACCGGCTTCCTGGCGTCCTTTTTGGGCGACCAACATTGGCCCACTCTGAGGCGGTGCACGCCCAACAAGGGCGCCGCTTTATCCGGCTGCCCTGCGTCATTTTTTTCAAGCGGTAATCAATAGAATCGAGGCTGGCTTGTTTGACGACAACGCCCAGGCCGCTTAGAAACGGAAACTATTTGCGCGAAAAGCCCCTTCGTTCTGGGCGCTTCAAAACTGCCGGTCGTTTTGCTGCTGTCTGGCTGTCAAAAAAAACCGCCAGACTAGAACGCTCGCGACCTGTCTAGATGCTACGTACTCCTCGAAAAAATCCATGCGGACAAACTTACTTTTCGTGCTTGCTCTTCGTGTTGTTATGAAGTTAGCGCCAGCTACTTTTTTTGGAAGTTTGCTCAAACGGGTCCGAGCAATTTCACCGTTGCAAGGAGCTCGGAAGCGAGTAAATTCGTCCCAGCGATTTTGCGTGGCCGAGGAAATAATCGGCCACGCAAAATTGCTACACCTAGGGGGTTATTTATATTTCCCCACGTAGCAATGGAATTGCCCGGCGAGTCGAGTAATAATTCGCTGTTTCTTTAGAGGTACAAGCCTCCATTTTCCTCTTCCTGTGCCAACGCTTTCCATCTGATGCCACAGCCAGCACGGGTTTTGCCTCTATCGCAGCGCGATGGACTTTCCCGCACTCAAATTGCAAGACTCACGAGAAAAGTGTATTTTCAGAATGTTTGGAAGAATGCGTTGACTCTACCCTTAATCACACAGACGCACAGTGACGGGTAACATTTTCGGCTTGGAGGTCGACACGCCTTGATCATCCACAAGGCGTCCAGCAGTGTCTACTGTGCCGGATGTTGCGTCAACATGTAGAAAGAGTGGCTGCACACTCCGCGGCGTGCTCCTCTCCGCGGACGCAAATGCTGGCTGCACTACCTGCTGCTGCGCCGGGGCTGCTACTAGCTACTCATCAATTGTCAAACTGTACCCATACCGCTCACGCTGCTGATATTAAACACGAAGAAAAAAGTTGAAAACAGTTGCCAGACAGCCAATGAAAACAGTTGCCCATTCGTTATCGTCTCGGTATGTCAAGTCATGCTTTATTGTGCAACAAGAAGGCAAACACCATGCCCGCCGTATGGGTACATTTCTCCATGCCATACCCCTGCGACTGCTGATACGCACCGGCTTGGGCAGCTAGTGGATGAGCTTGACCAGCAGCTTGTTGTTGAGCTTGTAGTTGTTGTTGAGCTTGTAGTTGTTGTTGTTCCAGTTGACGTTTAGGACTCGGTAGCGGCGGTCCTGCAGTTGGCGGCGACCCCCCGCAGCTTACGCATGACAGCTTCTTCTCCACGAAACTATCGGAACCGGAAGGAGCTGCCGCGGCGGTTCCAGGGGACAGTTCCGTTACGGGTAGGCCAGTCGTGGTTGCGCCACCATTTTCAGTCGCAGTGGCGCCGGTGCCCTCGCTGTGCTGCAGGGGTTTTTCTTCACTCATCGGCGAGGTACGCACGGAGCTGGAACCACTTGTCACTCCGGTTTCATATGGACTGCGCAGTCATGACATTAATATCAACTGTAGCAATACAAACCTGATTATAAACTACAACTCAATCACTTCTACACCATATAGCATATACGAATTCAATTCGTATGTACGACAGCAAGAAAGAACAGAGCTGCAACTTTATTGTTTTAGTGCATGCAAAAGGTTTCTGCGGATGGTTTCTGCGGATTTCGCTGTCCTGCTATCGGGAGAGATGGGAATCCCGATCCCGAACAGTCGAAAACAACACAAAAAACGAGACCACGACGAGGAAAAGGGTCCCAGTCGAGAGCCGTCACATCTACGAAGTCCATATGTCCGCCGAGGTACTACTCTGCGACGGAACGATGTCCGCCCCGTGCAGCTTCCGATCACTGCCCAAGGCCGTCCCCGGCTCCTGGTGTCCCGCGTCGTTGTTCCCGGCACCTTGTACCGCATCCTCGAGAAACGTCGGATGCTTGTGGTGAGCATCCTCCTCCTCCGCGTCGTCATCGTCGTCATCGTCGTCGTGGGCCTTGCCGACGTGGTGATCATCCTCGTCGACCTCCCCCTCTCCGTCAGACTCCTCTTCCTCCCCCTCGGATTCCCCGTCTTCCTCCTCGTCTTCGTTCAGCGGCGGGCGACGCCGCTCCAGAAATCCCGGACGATTGCTCGGCTGGGAGTTTTCCTCGATCCACCGCCCAATGAACTCGAGCCACGATTCGGGTTCTGGTTCTTGCTCGGCATCTGGTTCGATCGCAACCCGCGCGTTGCCGTCCGCGGAAATGTATCACACAGAAAAAACAGCAACCTACCACTGCATCATCTTCTGTAATGCTAATCATTGATTCACGAAATTAAAAACATAACCACTCATGGCCTGGCCCACAAGCGAGGCGCACAGACCATGGAAGATTCAGATTGAGAAGGCTCGGCCTGTGGTTTAGCGTGCACGTCTCTGATTTACAGATATGGCACAACTGCTTTTTCCTCCCGGATACGATGTCGCGGGGGGTCTTCACTGCGAAGCACACTTGTGCAGTCCAGTTCGACAGAAGCGGCACTGCAAATGCTCCGCACAGGAGGCTTCGTTTCCCCGGAGTCGCGACTGTCATCGAGACTGTCATTGTGCGAGAGCAGCTTCTGATGGCATTGATTTTCGATGGTGGTCACGACGCTGTTCAGAAAGATGCGTATTGTGCTCTTTGCAAATTTTGGTGTGGAAACGAATGTTAGTTATCCGAATTCATCTAACCTGATCGGAATGAATCCTCTCCGGTTTTACTTTTACAACCATACATAGTTTAACAGAATCCTGAAGATTTTGATATTTTTGCGAGGCTGCAGCCACCCTTGCAGCAAAAAAAAAGTCTCTGTTGAAGTGTTGTTTTGGTGCATATTAATTGGTCATTAAGTCTTTTCTACGAAGAATCAGGAAGTACAAAATTTTCAAAATCTAACGACCAGCGAGCCAGCGGAGTATCCGCGTAGGTGCAGTGGTACTTCTGAATCTAAGACCTTTTCAAAAATACAAACTCGAAAGCATTCAACGATTGACGAAGATACGACGATACGATGCACGACCGCGATCATCTCCTGTATAGATTTCATACCGGCAGAGCATCTCATTTGTAGATACGAAACGCGCGAGAGCTGATGTTCTCGATGGGCTTTCTCTTTCCTAAAGTTTTTAGCACGAGACAAGAAGCGCCTGCGGTTCATCTTCTGCGTCGACAGAAAGATCACTAAAGCACAACGATGAGCTAGACACGGGAATGGGTTTCGGCAGCTGTTCCTATTCTTCGAAAGTTCAGGAACTACACCCCTGTTGAGGAGCACAAAGGGCACCTTGACCCGTTCAGACGCCTAAATTACTAGTCGGTAGCTTGCCACGACACTAGTTCCCGGGTACTTGTAGTCGGACACACAATTTGCACGGTGCTGATCTCCAAGTTGAGAAAAACGACCCGGTCACGAAGATTGCAGACACTTTTTGACTACATGGATTTGCCAGTTCTAATAGATACCAGTAATTCACTGCCTAAATGCAGGCTGGGGCTGAGAATGCTCGATCGAACCGAACGAACGTATTAAGAGACCTGGCATGCGAGCGTGGATCATAGCTGTACCAGCCTAGGCAGTACTGTCGACAGAGAGAAGCTCATCTCTGTCTCATTTCACATCATCAACTGCGTTCCTTGGCCACGGTGGGCTGGTATCGTCAATCTCTTTTTTTACAAAACCATCAGTTTATTCAATATTCCGTGGAAACCCGAGCCCGACTTTTTCAGCATATTGAAGTACAGGAATTCTGTTTCTGAGACAGGGTCGTTCTTAGAGGCTTGATACACATAAGTACAAGAGAGCAGGCAGTAGTGTGAACCACCCGCGTCATCAATTTCATTTTTTTTTTAGGCAGAATATATCACTTTCGTACAGACGCACACTCATACGCTGTGGCCATCAGCCCAGCGAGGTAAAGTCAAACTACAATAGGCAGTGTTCTATTTAGGTTTTCCACGACCATTAGTGGCTGTCTGCATGCGACTGGTAGAAGAGTAAAATTCTCCCCTAGTTACGTAATTTTTCGAGAAATTTTTTGTACATCTATTTTCAAGGGAAGGAAAATGCCACTTCTCTTCTCGCTGCTGTCGCTATTGATTCTTCCGCTTCCAGTATCGTGTCGCCCTACTCCGAACAGATTTCATCCCTGGGAAGAGAGGCGGTCCGCCTCTGCCTCCGTCGAAGACGCAACGCGGTCGGCGGGTGCGGTCGACGGTGCCGGTTTCCACGGACGAAAGTATTACAGTGAAAAGTGCCCCACGACCAGAAGACTGAACAGCCTGCGTTGCCAACTTTCCATACGGAAAAATTTTGCATTGCAAGAAGGCGACGCATTTTGTTTCAGAATCCAAGCCAGCTAAAGAAGTTTCAACATGACAGGCATCGCTTCTACTGTGGCGCTGCGCTATACAGGCTTTTTTGAAAATTTGCAATGCTGATACACGCAGAGTGGCAAATATTTCCATCGGGAGCTTTCCAATGCAAACACTTCCACATTCTGGGGTCGTGGGGGAGATTTTCGATACGATAGAAACAGAGGCTCGACTTGGAAGACGAGCGCTTGGCGTTCCTCGGTGTGCTATCGACTGCAAATATGTCTGGGTCTGGAAAGATTTTGAAGCTATCGACTGCAAATTTTTGAGCTACTATATGGCTCGTATTCCGCATGGCAAACTGCGTTTCTGCATGACAGGTAAGAGGACCTTTCTTAGTGCTCATCCATCACAGATTCTCGAGTCATGTCAGACATGCATGACAAATGTAGCAAGCCTCGTCCAGACCCAGACATATCTGCACTCGATAAGTGCAGAGCACCTGATGCGTGAAATGTCCCGACTGGAAATCTGTCAGCGTGAAGGTCTCGGTAGTTGGTTGCGCGGTCTTGCTCCAGCTCCTTCATTTTTTCGCTGTGAGTGCCTTCCTCAGCGTCGCGGTGCTGGACATGCTTCTTCATTTGGTCGATCGCGTCTTGGCGGGACGGCCGCAGGTAGATCGGTCGCCACATGCGGTGTCGCGCGCTCATCGACTCGCAGGCGAGTGTGCCCTGGAAGCAACTGAAGCACAGCGCGGCGATCGCCACTGCGAACGCCAGGTGCCCGATGGGGCTCGCGCCGATAATCTGCTTCCCCAGGTAAACCCACACCTGCACGATCGGCTGAAACACCGTCTGCGGGTTGAGGAGGAAGACCACCGCGTGCAGCAGGAATTCGACGCTCTTCTTCACGTAGATCACCAGGTAGGCCAAGCCGGTGTAAAACGCTGTCTGCACCTTCAACGCCACGTCGTGCACGTCCATCACGTCGTTCAACACGGAGCCCTCCAGCATCTGTTCGGCACTGTTTTTTTGCGCCGCGGCCGCCGCGTCGCTCGCGGCACGTTCCGCGGCCTCGGCCTCTTCGATCTGCTTTGCGGTTCCGAGAAAGAAGGCCTCCATGCTGCCCTCGGCAAGTTCCTCGGATGGAAAGTATAGTGCTGACAAAAATCATTGTGGTCCCCGGCTGTGAACAAAGCCCAGCATACGATATTCATATTGCATCAGAATCCGCAGTGACGTCTAGTCACTCCTTTCTTGACAGTGCTCTTCACGAGACACACAAGACAGAGCAGAGCACGGCCGTTTTTTCTAACGCTGTTTCACTGAACGATTTTCCAATCTCTAACGGGTTCTAGTGTACTTTGCAAAACAGGTTGATGTCACGAAAGACCCAGACGAAAGACAAGGCGAGACCAAGACCCAAAGAAATAGACACGAAGACAATGAGAAACAAACTTTGGCATGACCAATCGCTTCGTATTAGACCGGGATGATGTGGCAAATTTCCGTCTACATACTCCATTCACACCAGACGCTTCATTGCTCGTCGAGTCGGCACTACCAACCGCGACGGAGGAGGGTGTCGCAACGGCGTTCTCCGGACCGCCTGTCGCTCCTTCTGGCACTGAATCTGTGTTTGGTGAACAAGTTGTGTCAGAGTTAGTTTATTCTTCGTGGGCCGAAACTAGAAAGAGAAACCAAAGACTTGGAGGTATTGAGGTTGTCATGCAAGTACACAAACGGAACGAACCAGCATCAGGAACCAACGCTTGCTTCCGGGAAAGGAAAACTTTAGTAAAGTTTTCCTTTCCCGACGGCAAGAGAACACTTACCTTCAGAATCATCCAGTGTGGCGGGCCCCCGCATGAAGGTGCCTTGCATTATCTGCTTCGCGCTCGGAGCAAGTTATCATCATGAAAAGTGACCCAAACTCCCTATGAAATACCGCAACTACTTGATTGTACATACTTATTCCCGTGTTCTTGCAATCTTGTCCGACCACCGTGACACGTCTTTTTACCGCAGCATGCAAATAGGCCGGAACACTCGTGGCAGCGCCCACGGAAACTAAAAGCTTCACGTTCCTCCTTCTCTGACGGTTCACAACACGCAGGGCGCAGCACTGTCCCTTTCTCATTCTCTGTCAGGGCCCCTTCACTATAATGGTGCATAGCGCTTACAAAGTATACATGACAAGGTCCGGGACAAACGGGCCTCGGCTCCATAGGTTGTCTGGAACAAATCTCCATCGAATACGAGCAGATCCTCATCCCGCTGGGCACGAAGGCGGCGCTCTCCGGTTCTCAAAGCTCGAGAAGACGTCGCTATGAAGACCCACGTCAACCTGAGCCACCAGAAACTGCAACTCATCTCGAAGTTATATTTCCTACGGTTTACGATTAAATTTTTTCAACAACTACGCCCATGGAGCAACGACGGTTCTGTTTCACCAGTATTACTGTTCTCGGACCAGAAGGTTTATACCGACGGTTAAAAGCTTGATCGCAGGTTTCTCAGCAAACATTCGCTGATCAAGTCTATTAACGCGTCCTAACGACACAACTTCAAGATGCATACTGGTACCGGCATTCCTACCGCTAATTTTAGTACTACCACTAGTTACAAGTGATGCAGCGCCGACCAAAAATGATGCGCCCAATGTGTACGAGACGACTTCGATTAAATACAACGATTTGACGCACAGGAACCACCTTCGATTTTTCCACGAATCAAGAAGCCGATCACAGGCCCACGACGACACGAACGGAACAAGTTCAAGTGTTCGACTTACTTGTGCCTTTCGAAATATCAAACTTCTTTACGACTTTGCGAGCATCCTAGGCGACGAAACGACAAACTCACTCCGTGTCCGATGCCGTATACTCGTCTATCATTTCAACACTGCGACTAGTACGCGAACAAGGCAGCGCAACGCCCATTAAGCCCGCAAATATACTTACCTCTGTATTCGTCACCTTCAAGCCCACACATAAACGAATAAAAGGATCAGCATTTCATCCTGTCTACAGTTCCGTCATTAATTTTTGTTCGCCTGACTATCCTTTTTCAGAAGCCAAGCATAACTGTCGCCGAAGATCACGAGCGGCCGTTCTAGAGCCAGTACAGGAAGCTCGTCAAACAAATCGCCGCGAAGTGTCAGTAAGCGCCAAACCACGTGCCGGGTGCAGAACGATTCAAACCGCTAATCACCACATCTGTTGGGCGTGAAGGGCGGTGCTCAGCAATCCAGCAGGCCGCAAACAAGGTGTCGATCGGTCACGTATTGTCCCTATACAATTGAAAACACTACCTCCCGCCCACTTCCACTGAGTGGCGATAAATCGAACTTAACTAATTTTGGGTGCGGAGCCTGACCGAACAATCTTTACCATCAGCTGGCATGGCTAGGACTACGCCACAATTAGTATATCTTGTCGCTCACTCGGGATAGGAGCGCGAAGCAATATTTTCATTTTTGTAATGCTCGGCGGATGACAATGTCGTTGTGTGGCGGAAGGGCTGGAAGAGGTGGCCGTCGGCTCGGTAAAATTTTGATTGAAATTCGACCCAGTGCAGCCGAAGGGTGTGCAGGAAGCATTCGAGTGAGTCCATTGCCATCAGGACGGCACAAGTGACTGCAAACCACACAGCGAAGATATCAGAACGAAGACCGTCTCGCCTCAGAGAGTTCAAATGATAAACTGTATTCTGTTCGACGCTATCGCCTTAGAGTTCCCTTTCTCGACCTCTCAGTCTCATGATCGCCTGCTCAGAGAGTTCATTGAAAATGCAAAAGTGTCAGTTAAGATTTTTTTGCCCCAAACGCGCACGACTGGCTCCTGTGTCTCTTATTTCATTCTCTGGGACGGTTTACTCTACTTCGATCCGGATGATAGAAGGCCACGAAAATGCTTATGCTCCGACCGACCCAGTTTCCGGCAAAGCTGGCCATGGCTACCTGCAGTGTGTACTGCAGAAAAACCTCGCTTAGCTGCGCGTGCGCGAGCGACAGGGCCCACTGCCGCAGGTATGACGCCGTGTGTGACACCGTGCCGAGCACAAACTCGATGGTCTCGATCACCTGGTGAATGATCACCTCGCCAGCGTCGAAATGAGGCTGAGCAAGCTCCTCGCTCGCCAAAGCAAGCTCCTCCTCGTCCCGGTTGGCTGCCAGGCGCCTGCATCAAAAATATTCAAGAAACAGTGCACATGAATGTCTCTGGGGACCAAGAAACCGAAATCGCAAACAAACTAAGACGATGAATGTCGGTCGGAAAACTTGCACAAGCGTAAGACTCAGCTTCGCGTTTATCACACCAATTTACTACAACATGCGTGCTGTAGTGTGATTGCGCAAGAAGACAGAGAAAACAAAGATCGGAAGTACACTGCGACTGGGACTGCAGACGTTGACGTTGTTGCATTATTACCGCGGATACAGCCTACTTACACTTTTTGCTAAAAATGTGGCGATAGAAAACTGTGCTCTATACTCTATTCTGTGCTTCTCCCGCTTGTGTCGCAAGTAGAGCAGCGTTGGCTTGGGCACAAGAAGCACTGGCACGCAGAGAAGACAAGTCAGCATCAAATATCCTTCGTGCGCGAAAAAAACTCCGCGATTGTCATTGCCGAAGGCCAAGTTGATGAGGCAGTTGATGATCGACGGTTGCTCCGGCATAGTATGTACCCACTTCTGCAAAATCATGTAGTCCATATACCTGAAGAGAGTACAAAGACCAGTTTCGGTTCCGCGAATTATAAAAAACGCACAAACAAAATCATCCAGAAATCCATCCACGCGAAAACACGAAAAAAATGAAAAAACTCTGTACTTACCCGAAAAAGCATACTAGAAAAGTCATCATGGGCAGGCATTCAAAGAGAAAGTCAAGCGCGCTCCGGTCGTGCAGGGCGTTCGCCCAACGGAGCAGCACGCCGACGGCCATCTGCGATACACCAAATAGCACCGACAACTTCATTTTCAACGAGTGTAGTATGCAGAGAAAGATTCCGCCACGGGCCACATGGGGCTGACACTCTGGTGAAGTTGGTACTCGTTTCACCACTGCAAACTTGCATGTTGGTCCGACAGCAACATCGCAACATCACACTGCCCAGAAATCAGACACTAGTAGCCCAAGCGATTTATTACTGCTGGCCAGTGTTCCGGACATGATTTGGCAGGGCTTCACCGCGTCCTCGGTAGCGAAAACTCTGAACTTTGGCGCTTTCATTTGCATAGTGAGAAACAGGAGTTTATTCTGCGCCACCGTCCAGGCTGGGTCGATCCCGAAAGGATAGGGGCCCGCGTAGGCGAAAGGTTTTGTTTGCGACGGGGCCGCCCCGTTCCACACATCGTAGCGTGGCACCATCGGCTCCGGCACCCGACTGCGAAGGGCACCGCGCTGCTCTTCGGGGAGCGTGTCCTTCTTTCGAAAATCCATCTTGACCGTGGTCCTGTCAGCGCTGTCTTTTGGCGCAGCCTTGCTCTCCTGTTGATCTCTTTCATTCTCCTGCCCTACGCCGGTGCTGCGATTCTCCCCGTCCTGTTCGTGTTTTTCATCGTCCGGAAAGCCACCAGGAAATTCTGCCTCATCTACAGTTGCTGACTCGGCCATTACTTGTTCACGTGGCAGCTTGTCCTCCGGTGACTGCTCCACTTCCGTCGTATCATGATCATTCCTCAACGGTCTTGTCTCTGCGCGCCGGTGATTGTGCCGCGGTGTCTCGTCGTCGCCGGCGGTTTTCTCACGGCTACGCATCGGAGGCGGGTGCCACTCGATGCGGACCGGGATACTACCCCCTTTGTGCTCCTTCTGCTTCACCTGGAGCAACATCGGCGGGTCAGCGTCTCGGTCATCCGCCATCGCGAGCTCGTCTTCGCTCAGAGCCTGTTTTCCGAATTCGCGCAAGTCCGCGGTTGCTTCAACCAGGGGTAGTGTCCCGTCGTTTTTCTGGTCCCAAGCGCTGCTAGGCCCGACCCGCAGCGGCTGCAGGTCGTGCGACCGCGGCAGCAGTGGTGCTGTCACGTCCTCTCGCTCGAGCGCAATGTTTCCCGGGGAAAACGTAGACCGTTTCTGCGGAAGAAGCTGCTGCATCACCGGCGCGCCGCTCCTGCTCCCGCCAAGCTCGTCGACCCGGCCGCTGCTCAAAGCGGCGGTCTTTCCGGAAGATGCAGATTGGCGAGGGCCCGCACTCATCGCAGGCTGCTCCCACCGGGAGCCGAACACGTTGGTCCCGACACCAAAAAAATCGTTGTACATCCACCCCGCGTAGAACGCGAAGACACCCATCAACAGGATCATGTAGCGGACCCGCAGCACGGATTTCGGAAGGTTCAGCCCGCCGGCCCGATCCGCGTACACCAAGTACAGCCCGACCAGCAAGAGCAGCCCCCCATGTCCCACATCGCCGAACATCACGCCAAACAGAAACGGAAACGTCACCACGCTAAACAGCACGGGGGAAACTTCCTGGTACCGCGGGATGCCGTAGGTGAACACGAGCTCCTGGAAAGGCCCGGTCAACTCGTTACTGCGAAAAAACGTGGGCGGCACCGGCAGGGGATCTAAACGAGGTGGACCACTTCCATATTTTCTACATCAATCTGCGGGCCGGTTTTTTTACAAGTAAGTTCTATGCTCGTCGGCTGCTCTAAAAAGAAATCTTAATATGCAGAGCTTGATTCACAAACTTTTACACTGCGCTGGTCGGTGGAAAGTAGTTCATTGAAAATAAACTGTGCACGAATAACCGTGAAGATACCAGGCGGGCGCAGCTCTGCTGTGGGCCCGTGGTGGTACTTTTCGTCGATCCAGTCGTTGACCAAGCGGTCGGACACCAGCATCGAGGAAACTTGGGAGGAGCTCGCCCTAAGCAGCAGCTGCCGGATGCGGTCCTCTTCCGCCACCGGATACCACACGTCGCACCGCAGCAAGGCGCCCTCCCCCTGGAAGAAGTTCAGTGTGGCGTAGATCGCCTTCTCCTTCTGCAGAAACATCGCGTAGTCATCCAGCAGCGGGTTGTGCGACACCGGCTGGATGGCCTTCAGCCGCCGCACATCTTCGGCCAAAAACGTGGCGCCCGCCGCCCGCGCGGACGTGCGCTCGCGGATGTCGTCCCGCAGCGCCCGGAGGCGAGCGGGCGCGCGCTCCTCCTCCACGACATCGTACAGGTGGGCCCCGAATTGCTGGCACAGCCGCAGCATTTTCTCGCGCATGTAGCTGCCGCTGTGTCCTCGGGTATTGGCATTTTGATTTTGCGTGGACGGCCCCTGATCCTGGAAGTACAGTATGAACACCGTTCGCCGAGCCTCCTGCATCCGCCCCGGCTTTTTCGGGTCTTCCAAGGGCGTTGGCAGGTCCTGAGTTGTACGAAGATCGAAGGCGCGGATAGTCGCCAAGTAGCATTTTTCTGCTACTTTCTTTATAGCCTTTGACTTTGAAACAGAAAGGAAAATCAAATGCCAGGAGCGCCTTGTAGTTTTCATACATGCGACTCTCCGAATAGAAACAAAGGATCTGCAATGCATGGCACCTACCTGAAACTGCGAGAAGGCGTTTCCGAGGGTGGCACGAAACAGGAACCGCTGAAATCGCTGGCGATCCAATTCGGATATGGTTCCAGTCACGCGCGTATCACAGGAAAATGTTTCAGGGAGAGGCGACGAGGAGTAGAGTAGCTGCGGGTGTGTTGCCGAACATGTCTGCAAAACATCCAGAGGAGCGAGCCAAAAAAATCTACGTCTACCGGGTCAGAGAAACCGCCATGCAAATTACCAGGACCCGCTCCTCTGCCGCCTGATACAAAACCGAATACATACAACGGTCATCAATTTCCGTTACGAAGACAACAGGCAAAATTTCCGTCACTTGAACCATGCATGACCACACTATTTCATTTTTATCATTGACACCGCCCTTACCGCTGTGCATACCGCGTAAGAACGACCGGCCGGCCAACAACCACCACTTGTGGCAGCTCTGTTTCTATCAGAGTAAAACCTCGAAATACACCAACTTCAAACAAACCAACCTGCTTGCGAGACAGAATGTTTCGTACGACAGAATCTGTCACCGGGCCGAAGAAGTGCAGATATGATGCTAAGGTCAGATTTTCAAGGCAAGCATAAAGTTCAAGTTCCACTCCTGGGCCCTTACAAGGACGTCATCTTCCTGAGGAGGTTTAGGAGGTTGTATTTTCATTTTGTACTTCCGGTTCCGTCTCGGCTCCCCGCCGCGGACTCGGTCCTGCGCTCGCTGACCGGACTGCCGAGACCCTGCAGGTCCTCCAGGCCATAGCATCCTCCAGAAAATCACTAATGCAAGTACAGACAAATCTGTCATCGGCCAGGGCTGGCAAACAAATAGTACATTACAAGAAAATAACGCGTTTTGAATCTAAGAAGTGCCGTACTGTCAAAGACTACCTAGCTCTTTTGTAGAGGATACGTACACCGTCTGTAGCACGTGTATTTCCTCGACCGCGGCATTCTTCGCCTGGACGAATCCGCTGTTAGTCGACTGGAAACTAACAAAGTCTGCGTAAATACCGCGCAGGGCGGCCTCAACTTTGTCCAGCGTGTACCCGTCCACTGCCTCCGACTCGTTGTTCGCCAGTCCTGCGCTGCGTTCCCCTCGACCCGAACCAGAGCGAACGATGGACGACGAGCTGGCCTCGCGGCGGAGAAAGCTTTCGACGCCACCTGGCGGTCGCATGGCGGGGTCGGCACCACCGTCCCGCGCGAGCAGGGGTCCTTCTAGCTCGCTGGGCGAGCTGGGGACAATCAGCATGCCGGTCGACGTGGGGCCGTTATCAAATTTAAAAATTAAAATCCCCCCGCCGCATGCTCGAAAGGGAAATAAATTCGTTGCGCAGCTGATTTATGTACACAGATCTAGTATCTGCATCTTACACGACAGGAAGAACGCAGGCCTGTTTAAAAATTATGCAACCGTCTAGCAGCTGAGCATGGCTGCATCGTCTGCCGTCACCTAAGACGCACCACCGACTGCCTACAGAATGTGCCTTGAAGTTCGTGGTGTTACAGTTCGTATATACAACTGCAGCATCAGAAATTCCCGTTTGCCAACTATCGGCGGGGGGGCGAGGATGGTATTTTTCCTCAGGATAGCTCTCCACATCGCCCGTGAACATCGAAGCGAGCTCCTCCCGCAGAAACCGGACTATGCGCTCCAGCTCCTCAATGCGCTGGGTGTACCTCTTGTACGGGCGGGCGGAAGGCAGCACGTGCCCCGCCTGCTCGTCGCGAAACTGCAGGTTGACTTCGTACCCGATTGCGTCCACCATCTGCCGGGCACCCTCCACCGGTAGTACAAGCGTGCCCGCACGCATGGGCTCGCTGCGCAAAACCCCCATAGCGGAGATGTTTGCCTACCGGTGTAGAAAGGGGACCTCCGCTCACCACAAAATCAGATGCGCACTAGTAATGCGAAGACCTGCGGCAGCACGGATGAGATGTTCTTGCGCGGTCAAGTCACAGTGCACTGGCGTCCACGGACCTCATCATGGATAGGCATTTCATCCTTTTTTTCCGCAACTCGATTTGAATTTGTTCCATTGGTGAATCATGCGGCGGGAAAATAAGATGCTGCTTAAACAATATGACCAACCCGCTCATGCATCCTTCGTTGTTTGCAGATTTTCACTTCTGCCTGATAAGGACAGCGGCCTGGATCCAGTGCTACAATTTGCGAGTCACTCCTGAAGTCATAGCTGCTACTTACCCGCCCATATCAACACTCCATCGACACTCGTAAAAACAAGTTTTACATTCCAAGTGGAAACCAAACAATCCACTTCAGAAATAACCCGCAGAACAAGCGAGCAGCAGAATGGGCATCTCATGGTCATGCAGCTGCCTCAAGTAGCAGCGCTGTCTTTCCGTTTGGGTAGTTACCACGACTGTCCGAGGCGCTTTCGCGCCTTGCGCGTTAAACTGCAGGGACGCAAAAAGAAAAAGCTCGGCGGTGCATTTTTGTTTTTCATTCACCCCGGCGATTCATAGGGGAGGCACCACATCTGTAGTGTACTAGAATACAAAAACCAAATAGCGTGACGAGTCGGAGCGCGCCGGCGCTATAGCTCTAGCTCATCGACGTAGCGAGAGCGACCATGGCACAGACCCGCAAGGCCGGATGTTAGCGGTCCATCGCGCCAGCGGTGCGATTAAAACATATTCTGTTGACAATGTACTAATTTCTCACGGTAGTGTTGTTTCTCCGCTCCCTCGACAGAGGGAGGCAACAAAGCACTGCATCTAAATTGCAAGTATCTTATTCTTATCGGTGATGAAGATGATCAATCTCGATGATGATCTGGCTCTGGGTCAGAGTAAAAACGAAATCAATACAACACGGGGGAGAAGTAGAGAGGAGGGTACAACTACTTACAATGGGGGAGCATAATTTTAGCACTTTGCGCCCTCGATACACGTACTTCATCCTAGCCGAAGAGCCCGCCTTGCCGCTTTTTCAGGAGCTGCGATGAGTTCGCGCCCCGTGCTTCCAATTCCCGTCGCAGGGCTTCGATGCTCTCTTTCAGCACGGCAATTTCCTCTCGTCTCTTCAAACAGCTTTCTTCGATATCTGTGCAATAAGTGAGTACTAGACGAGTTATTTTCTGATACTTAATCAAACAAATCATAAGGAACTGACATCAACAGAAACAAAGAAGAGAACCGGCAAAAAGAATTCTTTACAAGTCGATTCGCTGTTGAGACGCTCGATGCGCCGGCCGACCATTTGCTTTCTCACTTCTGCGGACTCACATTTCATTTCGATGTATCGGAAACTGGTCTCCATGCTCCGTGTAAAGTGCCTTCTCAGCTGACTTATGTCTAGCACAGAGGCCGGGTTTTGTGGTCGCGTTTGGATAACCTGTAGAGAAAACATTAGCGGCACGTGCGAAATCATATACTTAGCATAAAACCGACGCAGTTCATCATGACAGATCTTCATGCTTCGCGACGTACAAAGTTCCTCGACCAAAACGACTGCACACCAGAGCAGGAACTGAATGCCATCCTGCCCAGGAGGTCGATACGAGAAAACGAGAACGAAGCAGTACCAGAGTCAGCAGATCAACAAACTACCGCTTTCATAAAAACTCTATATGCGCGTCATGAGTATGATGGGATGGTGATATGCAATTCCAAAATGAAAACCGTGAAAACATCAATCAAGATACGAATCGCAGGAACTCGATGAACGAAATCTCCTTGCCCTTTGTGACTTCATCCGTGTCGCCCCCACTGTCCGCGGTTTCATTGTCCTCAGTTTCGAATAGTGCGTCCGCCAGCAGTGCTAGATGCTTCTATGGAATGCAAAAATGTCTGGGTCTGGAAGATTTCGAGATTTCTCATGCTAGTTTGGCATGACTCTGAACTCTGTATTGCGTGGCCACGAAGACCTCCTCTTGTCTGTCATGCAAAAACGATGTTTCTCATGCGGAATACGCAACAGAGAGCCACGAGAAAATCTGTCATGGTTGGCGGTGCATTACAAGGCGCTTTCTGTTCACTGACATGCATCACAAGTTTCCAGACCCAGACATTTTTGCATTTGATAGCTTCGGCTGCACGCCAATTTCGATCAGATTTTCCCTGACCACGGAGTCACTCAACATTTCGTCGAACTCCCATCGGGAAATAAAACCCGTCTGTCCACGGCAACAGTGCCGCAGTTGCGCGACTACTTGCTTCTTCCAACCAGCAGCTACTTTAAAAAAACGTACCGATCCCTCTCTACGCCCTTTTCCAATTTCATGTTCTAAACGTCAAGATAATTTTGTCGATCCTACGACAACATCGAGTCGTGATGCGTCGCAAATGGTGCTGGGTACTGTAACTCCTATTTCAGGCACAACTGAGGCACTGTTGCATTTGATACCGAGCCGTCCACGTCGATCTCTCGGAAAACTTGCGATAGCTTGTATCCCAGAAAAACACTGTGCGGGTAGTCGTGTGAATCTGTGTAGTTAAATAACACAGCGAGCAGAAGAACGCAGACATGCATAGTACATTCACATGCTGATGCAGTAGAGTTGACTTTGTCTCTGTCTCAACGTTCTTCGCGTTTATCAATTTGCGTTCTTTCACATGCAAAAAGTAACCAGTTCCACTGACGCGCCGCTGTTTTTTCGTCGATAACTGGTCTGCTACGTTGCTGATGACGGCTTTTTCCTTCTCTCCGACGGAAACAGAACTGACGACCTGCCGAGTTTATCGAGTTTGCCATCGCTTCATGTAGTTCTCGTTGTAGGACGACAATCCTGACGCGGAAGACACAATCACGGGTTTTCATCTTCCTGATGTAGCAAAAGGCACAGCAACTAGATTTTATTCACGTAGTTGTACCTCCACGAGCACACCGATAAGCATGTTGAGAATGGTGAAGGAAGAGATCAGGATGTAGAGGAAGAAAGCGAGCAGGTCCCCACCGCTGCCGCCGTCTTTCATTCTGTACAGCAAGTCAGAAACGTCGTCAATCACAGTCCCCGCGGAAAACAGCGTATACCTTTGTGCGATTCAATAAGAAGTTGCAGCGCAGATCATGAACCCTTAAGCTACACCGCACAGTACGCTCCCGGAAAGACGACTGCGTTCTTCGTAGTTTTGAAAAATATCGAACTTACTACAAAGAAAAATGTCCAGTTGGTACGCCGCTTTGGAGATGCTCCCGAAATCGTCAAAGAAGTCGGGGTTGTTTGACCCGATATTTTGGCGGAAGATAATCGCAAACACGTACAGGGCGATGAATAAAAGGAGCAGCGTGCTTCCGACTGCCTTTGTTGCGGTGGAAATACCTGTCGTGATTCCAGAAAACAACATCGAGCCGAATGTACTTTTAGACTTCATCTGAACTACAACCTAGATACATCAACAACAACAGGGATAAGGCTACATTCTTTTTTTATATCAAAAACGTGTCGGCGGTAACAAAGTGATGCGAACTTACCCTTGAGAAGGGTCAGCAACTCAGGCACGGACCGCATCAGCCGTACCAAACGCGTAAGACGGATCAAACGGAGGAGACGTAAAATCGCGAGGTTTCCCGTGCCGCTCCCGCTACCACCGCCCTCCGGGCCTTGTATGAGGGGCATGATCCAGGTCTCCAGGATCATGCAACCTACTAAAAAGCTGTCAAACTTGAACCTGACGTAGTGACATTCTGGATTTTGACAATCAAACAGGAGCGCTTCAGCCGGGAAAGAGCATAGCACTGGTGGTCCTGACTTTACTACACTCAAGACTAAACACATTACAGGCCGACACACTGCAGTCGCATCTTGATCAATGCATAATGAATCAGCCAAGAGTCAGAATCGAAACAATTCATCTTACCAGAAATCATTCAAGCAATTCCTCTTCTTCTCGAACGCGACAAAGCGTATCAATACTTCACAAATGGTATCCCCCGAAAAAGACCACCCGTGCAGCATTTCCTATGGTTACTATCCTGCTAGTAGCAGCATGCTCCCTGCGCCGCTGGTCAAATTAGTTCAGTTCGGTAAACAGTAATTATCAGTATGCCTGTACTATGTGCCAAATAGTGACGGCGCGATGTCAACATGTTTGCGAAGTTGATTGACACACGAGCGGGAAGAGACGCAGTTGCTAGCGGTAATGCTGCTACGAGCAAGAAAAGAGCGCAGTCTGCAAAAAATATCGCACGGGTGCGGCGGATAGGTGAAATAAAGGCAGAAAAGGTTCTCCATCACGACGAAGTCAATCTCACTGGCACCCAGAGACTCCGTCGCCTTCCCCGACTCCTGCACATTATTGTCTGTGTCGTATCCCATCCACAGACCTGTCGTGTATTGACGTTTGATTCAACGACTCCACCTCTATGTCGATCAATTCACATCAAAAATTCAAAAATTTTGGTTCATCTCGTTCTCACAAAATAAAGACGCAAAGATTAAATACCATTGAAGACGATGACCGCGAGTGTAAAAAATTCGAAGGTTTGATTTCTGGCAATCATGGCGGAGTAGGATTCCGTTTCTGACTTGAAGTAGTCACCGCTGTTGTCGGCTGGAGTGCATTGATCAAAGTTGCAAACATTTGGTTCCTCGACACGGAGATCGAGATCCATGTATGTGAGACAGAAGGAAAACACAGAGCACACTCATCTTCAGAAAACACTAAAAATAGGCGCTCGTCTAGTACTGTCGCCCATAAGATCAGCAAATCCGGCGTCATTTTTCAGCTGCTCCTCAATGTCGACCTTCTCGAGGGCCTTTATGTCGGTAAACAGAGCTCCTGGTGGCTTATCTCCCGGTGCCGGACTTGCCGCCTGCTGGGTCGTCGCGTCGGCCGCCCCCTCCGCACGGTAGCCCCCTCCGCGGACCTCGGGCCGCGGGCTATCTGGCGTTACCTTCGACATGATACTTACTGGGGACGAGCTACAAGAACAAGTATTGGCGCCACTTCTAGATCCGGCTCGCACACACTCTCGTCCTGCAGGTCCCGAAGTACTGCCTCTGCCGAAACCGATCGAGAAAGGCAGGCAAGTTGCTGGGGCAGGAGCCTCAGTTCTAGCAGTACCAGACGCTCAACATATTCTTCCAAACCGGATCTGCGCAAGACCTCGTCCCGCTGGACGCGTCTGTGCAGCCGCAGATCTACACTAGTTTTTGTTCGAATTTTTGTTTTGGGTTAGTGAAAATTCGCATCCGAGGATTTTATCGATCCCTCGCCCCGGAAGTGGAGCTTTTTCAAAATAATGCAGTTTTCAGAAGCGTTTTTTTGCTCTAGAACGCTCGCTCAGGCAGCAACCTCTTCTCACAAAGAAATGCAATTTGTATGTGGCATCAAAGTAGTCGCTCATCATTTTATTTTCTCGAATCCATCAAAGAAGCTTTCCAACATTATTTCTCTTCACTCCTATCCTACCCTCTGCTCACGAGAGGCTCTCCCGTTTGTCTTACCGCTGTTATGCATATCGGGAATCATCACATTTACTGGCATACGAGTAGGAGAACGCTTTTCAACCTACAAATCAGCAGAGTACTACTTCTAGCCGAGAGTCGCCTGCACGTAAGTATCTCGAGCATCATATGAAAAAGCGAAACTTTTCCGGACAAATGCTTTCTGCAAATAGATCATCGCGACTAGTACTTATAGCGCACTTCGATCTAGCCTCCAACGGGCAAACGCATGAAAAGGTCACGCGGCCGTGGAAAAGAGCGTGTCCGCTCGTCCTGTTTCACGCAGCACGTGCTTGTACTCAGACAGGAGTTGGTGGTAGCGCAAACCAACTTCGTGAAAGGTACTCGCCATGAGCTGCTGCTCCTGTTGCCACTGCTTCCGCTCGGATTCCAGTTGATCGCGTGCTATGGGAGATAAAAGCGCCGGCGCTCTCTGACAAGCCATTCTCCCTGCCAACCAAAAGGTACAAACAGCGACAATTCAAAATGGAGAGAAGTGAGTTCGCATCCTTACGCCCGAGAGATGAAAACAGTGTACTCACAGAGATGCTGTGCTGTTCTTGCTGGGGATCTACCCAGAAACAGCATCCATGCAGAACAACAGAAGGGTTCTGACGAGAGAGGTAGAAGAGTCAGACAACTGAATGCTTTTAGTCTTCTTTCATACGCAGCAGGTCCAGCGCATCCGCGTGCTCCACGAGTGATACGGTCGTCCCAGCCGCACCCTCCTTATCCTGCGCGTTACCCTCCTTGTCCTGCAGGAGTTTCTCGAACTTCGCAACTCTCTGCTCATACTCGCGGTTCTGGTCTTGGGTTTTCGCCAGCGCCGAAGACAAATCGGCGGCGTCACCCATGGCCTTCAGTGCCTTCTCCCGTTCCGTCACGCTCTGATTGTAGGCGTCCATCAGCTTTTTCTGCAATTCGGCATTCTTGTCCTGCAGCGCTGTTATGTTCGGGTCCTCGTCTTGCCCGGCTCTGGTCCCCTCCTTCTTCTCGAGCAGCTGCTGTTCGTTTTCCAGCAGTTGCGCCTTGACGCTCTCAAGGGCCTGCTTCAGCGCTGCGACCTGCGCTCGGTAGCGTTTCAGCTGGTCCCGCAACGCCTCTTGCTGGAGACTCTCGTCGTTACTACTACTTTCCCCAGCCTCTCCTTGCCGCAAGCGCGTCACCTTTATTTTTTTCGACGTTCTCATTGCCGTTTTATCGACCTGAGGAAAAAAAGTGAAAGCACATGATTCGTCGGTAATGAATAAGGGCGCAATTTTTTTTCCTAAAAAAGTTCATGTCATAGTAAAAAATAATTCACGACCAGGCTGCACCTCTGTCTCGAGCATTTCCTTCGCGAGTTGATTCTCTCGTAGGTTTTGCTCCACGTCTTGTTGCTTTTTCTGTGCGAGAACCAACTTTTCCTCTGCGCGTGCCCGCTCCACTTCGGCCCGCTTTACTTGTTCCCGCAACTTTTCCACGTCGGCCCGTAGCTGCTGCGCGATGCCGTCCGAACGTCCTGGGTTTTTTTATGTGACGAGAATACGACTTCTTGAAAAAACCTGCGCGGCTCGAAAGCGCGAAAATGCTGCTGACCGGAACACAGGCATGAGATCCATTAATAGCACACAGTAGTAAAGAAAACAAAAATCTCAACGCACCCCCGGCGGCGGTGTCCTTCGTGGATTCGTAGAGCAGCCGCATTTCCTCAAACCTCTCGCGCCAATCCTCGCTGTCACTCTGCTGCTTCTTAAGCGCCTCGTACTTCTTCTGCACCTTTTGCAGTTCCTCCACCCGCGCGCGCAGCAGGTCGCACTCGTCCCGCAGCGTGGTCACCTGCGACTGCAGCTCCTGCTCGCGGTCCTGCGCTCGCGTTTTGTCCCGTTCACGCTCGGACGCGTGTTCCACCGCTACTTCGTGAAGCGCGTCGTCGCGCTCGCGCTCGGTGCGTCGCAGGTCGGTGCGGGCCTGCTCCAGTTGCCTCTGCAGCTGCTCGCAGCGCTCCTCCAGCACTTGGCGCTGCCGCTGCTCGCTAGAAGTAGCGGCACCACTGCTGCTCGAGGAGGAACCACCTTGCTGGAGCCGAGGCGCCGCCCTGGTCCCCCCGGGGTCCTCCCCGTCCAAAACGTATGTGCCGGGCGCGGACGCGGCGGCCGCCTGCTGTTGCTCGACGCCCTCGTGCATCTTCTGGATCAGCTGCATTATGACGCGCTGCGTGCTCGAGGAGAGCTTCATGATGCGGGCAATGAAGGTGTTCTTTTCGCTGCACTCCACCGCCACCAGCAGGACGAAGCCCAGCAGCTGCAACAGCGCGGCTTCCGTTGGCTTTTCGAAGCCGCGCAGGTCGCTGGCGCGGAAGAGCCGCCGTCGAGGCTCATCTCCTAGTGCGTCGGCGATCGCACGGTTGGCGTCTGCAAAGTCTTTCACGGGCCGCGGACACCCGGTCACCTTCGCCACCACCTGCCGCACGACTCCCCCGTCCACGAGTTCGCTGAACTGCCGAACGCTACCCAGCCCCAGATCATTGATCCATTCCACCAACGCAGCTTTCTCAGCCACCTGTGCCATGATTTGAGAAAGGATGTTGTGAAAACTCAAATTATAATCAACTGGGTGAGCTCTGCGGTATATGGAAATTTTCAAGCTTGGTTAGTCTTAGTTTTCTTTTCATGCACTACTACTGCGAGCAGGAGGTCGCTCATCTAATTTCTTATCTGGTACTATCGAAAGCTAGTTACATATTGCGGACGTTCTCGACGCTTCAGCCGATCTCAGGCGTTGCGGGTTTTTACCCAGAAAAATGAGGCTTGTTCCAGCCGTAGTACAACTTTCTTGACTAAGACAGATCTTTCCTTGTCAGATTCTTCTGATGCCATCAAGACGACAAGAACGATCGAAGATGAAACTCAAGCTTCACGAAAAGGTAGTAGATCTTTTCGTACAAACAGGAAGACGACCAAAGTGCAAACGACAAAAAAACGATACTTGACTTGACTAAGCATTCTGAACAGCGGAGGCTATGGACCGGAGTCCTGCAAGGTCGGTGAACAACTGCGCGCTCAAGAATCGAGGAGTGAGACTTCGCCTTCCGAAGTACTGCTTTGGCGAAGACAGGACCTCCCGCTGACGTGGCCGTGATTTGAGGTAAAGCTTGAAACACACAGCGAGCGCCTTCATAAAGAACAAAGGAGCAAGAGTTTTGAAGTTTCATTGGTTGTAACACATCCTCTTTCGAAAGAAACGAGACCAAAGGGAAACAAATTTGCAATTGCAGTTTATTCAGAAACCACTTGTCATCCGACACGAAACGTCATTTTTACTCCATGCCTTCCATGGCAACAGCCTCGACCTTTCCCCGTCGCCACTGTTGGTAGAAGTCCTTCAGTTTTTGCTCTGTCTCGCCGGGCTTGCCCTCCGCTAGGCCCTTGCCGTACAGTGGAAAGTATACCCCTTTCCGGATGTCCAGAATGCAGGCCTCCGCCTTGCCCGCCTCCTGCGGCACCTTGCAGAGCGCGCGGACCTGGGGGGAGGCCCCGCCCGGCATCACGGCGCAGTAGACCGGCAGCGTGCCGAGGGTGTCGGTCGACGACCCCCGCGCTGCCTCCTCCGTGCGAATGAACTCCGACAGCCCCACGAGGGAGCCGGCCAGCCTCTTCTTGCTCTCCGGGTCCTGGACCGACTCCAGAAACAAGCAGAAACAGGGCTCCAGGTTGATCTCCTGTCCCGGCGCCGCCAGGTTCTTGACCGGCTGCGCCGCGTCGCGGGCCCGGCGCTCCACCTGGTGCAGCATGACACCTCGGCGCTCCGCCTCGCCGCGGCTGGGCTTCTGCACGTATCGTGTGTAGTCCGCGTCGTGCGTGTAGCTGAGACAGAGCGGGTCCGGGTCCCCGGTGCCGCGGCGCGCGCGGTCCTGCCGAAACTGGTCCGACACCCGGTACTTGGCGTTCAGCGACCACAGCAAGCAGTATGAGAGTGCACAACTTTTCTCCCCCTCATTTGTAGTGCATGAACAGCAATACAAGTGCTGGTAAAAGTGCAGCTTTTGCATGACAAATCCACACAGGATTGTTGTAGTGCTGTTTGGGCTGCCAGATGAACCTGTCCTGTAAACAGTGCCAAGAGGGAAACAATAACAAAGCCTGGAATTGGCTTTTTACATGACAAAGGAGGGGAATGCGAAATCGTGCAGTCTCATAAGAAGTTGACGCGCTCGCCCGAGGCAATGTCGTCGGCCCCGTGGCGGTGGCGGCCGAGGTGAAGTATCGCGCGGCCCTTCAGGTGCTCGTAGGTGAAGCCCTCCTTCCGGTGTTCGGGGGCGTCAATCAGATGGCAGAAGGATAGTGTCGCCCCCGTGAACTCCTTGCCCAGGCACACGTTCAAGGTCACGTCACTGTCGTCCTCGTGCATGTCGAGGCCGCTGTCGCTGTCCGCGCTGTACCGCACGCAGAAGCAGTGGTGGTCGTCGAACCCCTCCGCCTCGACGGGGAACACCTCCTTCGCCAGCGGGTGCACGTAGTGCGTCTGCAGGTAGGAGGCGAAGGGCTCCAGCCCGAGCTGGTTCAGCACGATGCCGTACCGGTTCATGCCGTTGGGCCGGTCCAGGTACCCGTCCAGGCTGCCCTCGTCCCGGTCGTCCGCGTTGGCCAGCTTGGTGGCGTGGTCGATCTCCGCCACCAGCTGGTCGCAAAGGGCGGGCGAGAAGCAGGGGAAGGAGTACACACCCGGCATGTGCTGCTGCAGGAACGGGGCGGCGAAGTTCTTCGTCTTCACCGCCTCCACAAACGCCGGGTCCAGCCACTCACTGTCGAACTTCTCCGAGAACTTCCCGCTCTCAAACAGCGGCGCCTGCTTCCCCCCGTACACGCCCTGCTTGTACAGGTCCCCGAAGAAAAACCTGCGCGTGCCCATCCTTCGAGATTTACGGTACGATAATTTTTACACTTTGACACAAATTATAACGGGAGCACTAGTAGCAGCGAAAAGCGTGCTTGAGAACTCTAGAAGATGAAAGCAGCATATACGTACTTGCGTGCCTCATCTCGAGGCTTTGAAATTTTCTTCGAAGATGGGAAATGCCTCCGTAAGGGGTAGGATATGGAATTGAATAGCCGGGGTACATGCTGAACAGAACGAAAAACTATTCTGCAGCTGGGTCGTGGTGCCTGGGGTTTAATTCCTGCTATGTGAAAAAAATGAAATAGCCGGGGTTTGTAAACGAAACCAGATTCAACGCCCCGTGGCCTCTGAAGTGCGTCCCCGTACAAAACCAGTCGCTAACACTTAGCTCACAACTAAGTACAAAACACCCTCAGAAACACTCTGAACAAGCCCAACAAGAGATCTCACATGAGTTTTCGTGGCCCAGATTGATTCATGATTTCAAAAAATTTTACATACAGTTGCTCCAGTACATGTACAACCAACCTCCGTGCGAAAATCCCCCGCCAAGCTTGTTCGCGAATGAAAAACTCTACGTCATGTCCGGCTTTCTGAACATATGCCGACGGGGCGCTCCTTCTTTTAGCAAAGTAATCAGCAAAGTAAGTACTCAAATAAGTGGTGTTTGTACTGTTTGAAATTTCGGGTTTTTAATAAAGTATCTCGCGTTCTTGCGTCAGACGCAATAAAATTTTTAACTTCCAACTCACTAAGTTCTGATGTACAAGTAAACTTTACAGCAGCTGCTGCCCCAACCAAAAGTTCCCAGAGAACTACCTGTCCTTTCATCCCAGTTACGTTCCGCGATCCGCGCTCAGCAATTTCTCGTGCCGGAACGGCAGGAATTCGTGCCCGTCGGCGCGGTAGAATTTGGACTGGAACTCGACCCAGTGGAGACGCAGCGTGTGCATGAAACACTCCATCACGTCCATGCCAAGGAAAATGGCTACCGTGACCAGCATGAAGCTGAAAAAGCTCACGTAAATCTTCACCGCTTTTATCAAGATAAAATTGTCCGCCGCGAGGCTGCTTGCGAACAACATCTTGAAGAAGACCACGCTCAGCTGTTGGTGCGCCAGCGACAACGCCCAGAGACGGAGGTAGGACGCCGTGTGCGACACGCTCCCTGTCGTGGTGGAGTGTTCCGTTCGGAGGATTGAAATGCAGGAACATATATGAAATCATTGATTTCCATGCAACAACACAAGCGGCGATGAAGGAATATGATTTGAATGCGTCAAGAAATGTTTCTTCGGCAACAAGGACAAAAAAAAACGCGAAGTACCGAGCACGAATTCGATCGTTTCGATGATTTGGTGGATGCAGGTTTCGCCGAAGTCGAATTTGGGCTCCTTCTCCGGCTCGTAGGCGACGGCGGAGGATTCCGAGAGTGGCATGAAGCTTTGGCCGGCCCGGTGCTGGTTCGTGCGGTGCTTGGCGAGCGCCCACAGGATCAGCGGTTTGGGTATCAGCAAAAGCGGCACGGAGACGAGCATGCACTGGAAGAGGAACCACTGGGTCTCCTTCGCGTGTTCGTACAGTGGCAGCTTGTTCTCCGTCTGCATCACCATGCAGATCAGCGTGTTGATGATGCTGGGCGGGTCGCGCATGGGCGTCACCCACTTGTAGAGAATCATGTAGTCCATGTAGCCAAAAAAGGCCACCATGAACATCATCATGGGCACAAACTCGAAGCAGAAGTCGATCCGGTTGCGCTCAAAAATCACGTTCGACAAGCGGAGAAACAAGCCGAGAATCATGTGCGCCACCCCGAGTAGCACGGAGATCTTCATTTTCATGCTATTCATGAAATTCAGCTCGTTCTGCGCCCCCTTCCAAGCGGGGTCCACGCCAAAGGGGTAGGGGCCCTGGTGGTCTGCTACGTACTGCCGACCCTGCTCGCCCTCGACCATGGTCTGCCCTCGGTTCTTAGGATCAAAGTTCGGAACCCAATACCTGGATTGGTGCTGAAAAATGTTTCGACCCCTGTTCCCAGATGCGGTGTGGGAGGTTTCGCAAAAAACAGTATCACAAATGATCAAACTGATGTCTTGACTGAAATAGTACTGTGTTCGATCACTTTCGTGCCCGGGATTTCTCCATCTCGACCCTAGCAAATTCACACCGAGTGAGAAAAAGTCGTTGTAAAGCAACCCCGCGTACACTGCAAAAAAACCCATCATGACGAGCTGTGTATTTTTTGAATTTCATCACAATATGCACGAAAAAAAAACAAAGGGCCTCCAGCATTCACAATCACGATGCTGCAGATGCAGTGGATGCCAATGGACCTCATTTGTGATGAGAAACAAAGAACATACGTACTTCTTCTTACCATGTAGCGGAAGTCCCAGATCGCTGGGTACTGGAACTTAATCAAGTGCTCGTGCTGCGTGATTCCGATCCCTATTGCGAAGAGCATGAGCCTATCAACTGTAAAAATGTCTGGGTCTGGAAGAATGCAAGTTTGTCATGCTTGTCTGGCATGACCTGAGAATCTGTGTTGCATAGGCACGAAAAGGCCCTCTTACCTGTCACGCAAAAGCGCAGTTTGCCATGCGGAATACCTAAGACATGGGAGCCAAAAAATTTGTCATGCGTAGCTGCGTATTGCAGTCCGTCTACCATTCACTTTTAGCATCACAAGTTTCCAGACCCAGACATTTTTGCATTTGATAGAGCCCGTGCCCGATGTCCCCAAACATAACGCCGAAGAGAAACGGGAAGGTCACCGCGGAAAACAAGACTGGCGTCATTTCCTGATATCTGGGCACACCGTAGGTGTTCACCATAGTTTGAAACGGGGACAGAAATGCATTCGTCTTAAAGTATGTCGGCGGCCCGGATTTTTGCTCGCCCCCATGATGTCCGCCCACCGAGAAACTGGAACCTAGAAAGTTGCATGAACGCAGCTGCGTTGTAGTGAAGTGCCGCTGCCTCGTGCGGTAAGCGGGTAAAACATCATCGCCTAAAGAACGAACGTCTTCCCGCTATCTAGCGTCTTCTTATTTTCAACTTTGCTGTATAACAACAAAACTCTTCCCTTTCTGCCTGCAACACTTTATGAATTTCCCAATACGGTCGGTGATGAGCATTGCAGAGCAGTGCGTGGTCCGCGATTCGGCTATCAAAACGCGGCGAACGTAATCTTCTTCGTAGGCGGGATACCACACCTGTGCCCGCAACGTCGTCCCTTCCCCCTCGCACATATCCAGTACCGCGTAGATGCCTGCATAGATTGAATCGAAACAATAGGTCGTACTACCTACTACCATCGGTGCTCCACAACGCGCCTTCAACCACGCGTGAGTAATGAGTACTACACTGATAACGACAAAATGAGAAAGCTCCTCGTCCAAGCAGTATCATTTTTAAGTACCTTTCTCCTTCAACAGGAACAGGCGCCAGTCCTCCAGCAGGCTGTTGTAGCTGCCGGACTGGCGCTCCAGAATGTGCAGCAGCTCGTCGCGGAGTAGGCGCTCGCTGGCCATGAGTGCGCGCTCCTTCTCCGAGGCCTCGACGGTCACACTGCGCAGCTTTTCGCGGGCTTGCTGCGCCGTGGTGACCCAGGGGTAGGTGTTGGCGCCAAACTGGTTGCACGCCCTCAAAATCCGGGCGTGCATGGCGGAGCTGGAGTTCCCCTGGTAGTAGATCACGAACACGCTCTTCTGGCAGTCCTCCCCGGTCTTCGGATCCGTCAGGGGCTCTGTGATCTGCCGGAAGTGCGTGAAGGCGTTGCCGCGCGTGGACCGGAACACGAACTTCGCAAACCGCTCCTGGTCGAGTTGGTTCACCACCCCGGCGGCGTTGTTGAACATCATACTGGTGGCGGCCCCGCCGGTTGACCCGAAGGATCCCCCGCCCAGCAGGTGCTCGTCCGGCCGGTTCACCAACTTCTGCGCCTCCGCGAAGGTCGTGTCGGGGTGGTGGGCCTCGCTCACCAGCGGGCTACCGATCACGACGTCCGAGAGCAACGCGGAGCCGGAGGCTGCCCCGGGGCCGACGCCCGGGCCGGCGAGGCCGCCGCCGCCCTGGAACAAAGCCATCGACGCGGACTCCACCACGTACCGCTCCTCGATGCTCGCGTTGCGCGCAGCCAACAACTGTTTCTGGTTTTCGTCCAGGGCCGCAATGTTTCGGAAAGTTTGGCGCACCTCCGCTTCGACCTGATCCAGCTTTAGCGGCGAGCTACCTTGCGCAGCGAGGCGAGTATGGAATTCGCGTCTTCGATTGAGCCAAACTGCACCTCATTTGTGCTCCTTGCAGCATGTGATTAAGAATTAATGCATGCTGTAGTTGCAAGGCCAATAAACCATAGGTCGGCCTCACATGGGCTTGGGCATCGTCGGGGAATAAAATCGAAGAGTAGCTAGATTCTTCTTGCGACGTCCCACGGATGTGGTGCCGAATTTTTGTCACATTTCTTCAGAAATCATCTCTATCTACTGAGAAATGGAAACTCAAATCTGCAGCCGACTCAACTAAAGCCCAGCCTGGATAAAAGCCTTCCACATCGTTCTGGAACATCGTCAATTCGGCCCGGCGGCACTTCTCCAAGAGAAAGCGCACCTCCCGCTCCACTTCCTCAATGCGCTGGATAAACTTCTTATACCTGGTATTTATTATTCATCGCTTCGATGGCGTCATTCTCATCTGTAAGTGAACGCACCACGCTTTGTTTCTTCATGCCAAAAATGACGAAATTATAATTATCAAAAACTGACGGCAGACCAATGCAGCTTGGAACGAAAACAAATAGTACGGTCTCTGCGGGGCGACGGTGGCCGCGTGAAGGTCCTGAAACTGCAAGTTCGCGTTCGAACCCAGCACGTCCACGAAGTGGCGAGCCTTCTCGACGGGCAGTATCAAATGCAAATATGCCTGGGTCTGGAAACCTGTGATGCTGAACTGAGCACGATTGAAGCGCTCGCAATGGCAGCCAAGCATGACAAGTTTTTGAGACGCCTGCTGAAGCCTGGCACGCATCACAAATTGCGTTTTTGCATGACAAAGGACGCTCCTCTTTCGCTGCTCATGGAACACAGATTTTCCAGGACTGCAAGACACGCATCACAAATTCCACTCTCCCAGACCCAGACATTTTTGCAAACCATAGGTAGCACCAGGGTGCCACTGCACATGGTCTCTGATCGAAAGAGCCCCATGTTGACGCAGCAGAGACGAGAAGTACTCCGCGCACGTCGTCCCCTGCCCGACCTGGAGTCCCCGCGCTCTCAGCCGTAACGCTTCCGCACTCGCGGCAGGTTGCCGGTGGTCGGCAGCGCCCCGGCCATAGTCGGCCCGACGGATTGTTTTCAGACGAACTACCGCGGCTCCCGCACCCTGCTGGCTACGACTTGCGGCGCCGGACGGTAGCAAATGCAAGACGCACAAACGAGGCGCTACTCGATATTTTCGTTTTCGTCAAACTCATGAACTTGTTTTCGCTTCGACAATGGCGTGTTTCGATAGTAAAACAATATATACAGCACAAAAGTGAATCAACCCCAAATTGAAAAACGGTGGTGTTTCTTTCTCTGGCGGCGGAAAGAAGATAGAGCGCATCTTCAACAACCCTCAGATTACACAGCCCACACGACACACACAGAAGACCCGAAGCAGCGTCGAACACACGATGCGACGTTTTCCACCCTTTCCATCCAGACGACAGCTGTGAAGTATTTCTTTTTCTTCCCAGACCCGAAAATTGATAACAGGTGTCTGTGTTTCTGTCTTCTCAGTGAGAAATCAAACAATCAGTCCTCAAGAACTTTGCTGTGGCTCGCTGAAAAACATCAGCGCGCTGGAGCATAAAGGAGTGCTCATGCAATCGTAAAAGAATAGTGAGTAGAATCATGAAAATCCAAGTTCGGTCGTGAAAAAATCATATGCAGCACAACGCAGCGCGGTCATGTTGTACTCTCGTTTTCAGTGCACGAGAACAAACCAGCCTGCCCCGTCCCAGGTAAAAGTAGTTGAAAGGCAGTTTATCCGCTTGTCTCTCGGTTTAGAAGAGAAAGACCGTGCACCGCGGACATGAAAAGTGTGGTCGGAGAAAGTAAGTAAGTATCAATCTCCTCTGCGCCACCTCCAGCCGCAGCGCACTTCTCCCATCTGCACACGAAGGCGCCGTAGGTTTCTGTATATTCATTGACCGCGCGGGGGCCTATGAAGACGTGTCGATGGACAGTAGCTGCTTGTGGTTGTAGGGTTCAAACAGCTGCCCGTCGGCGTGGAAGAACTTAGACTGGAACTCGACCCAGTGCAGACGCAGCGTGTGTAGGAAGCATTCCAGAGAGTCCATGCAGAGGAGCACCGCGAAGGTGACCATCAGCCAGACTGCGAAGCCGAAGAAGACCGCCAAAGGGTTGCCGCTGGTGATGGCGCCGGCCAAGGTCTTCTGAAAGAAAACCAGCGACAGCTGCTGGTGCGCCAAACTCAAGGCCCACATACGCAGGTACGAAGCAGTGTGGGAGACCGTCCCCAGGACGTATTCAATCGTGAAAATGATCTGCAGTAGTTTCATTTTTTGCACACGACGACCGGGTTGCTTGTTTTCATTGCAACAAATAAACTGTGCAAGAACATCGCGCTCCTCCTTCTGGCGTTCATCTTTCTACTCAAGGAGGACAACAAGAACTACCGAGGACCTACTTGGAGCAATGATTATTTTGGTAGACATTTGATATATACTTGTTCAATCGCCTCTTCTGAGAATGGTGGGTGTTCCTCGACTTCCTCGTGGCCCGCCTTGTCGGGCAGCGCGGCATGCTCTTCGTGGGCCTTGGATCGGTAGTAGAGCACAACCATCTTCGGAAACAGCAACCAGGGCACGGAGAGCAACGTCATGCCGAAGAGCGCACCTTCCAACGCGATGCTGCCGTCCCACAGCGGCGCGGGGTCCGGCTGGTGCATGGCCATGCTGATCAGCGAGTTGATCAGCGAGGGCGGGTTGTCCAGCGGGGTGACCCACTTGTACATGATCATGAAGTCCATGTACCCAAAAAAGCTGAGCATGAACATCAGCATCGGAATGCACTCACAGCAGAAGTCCACGACGGACTTTTCGTAGATGGCGTTGCTCCACTTCAGAAACACCCCCACCAACATCTGCGACACGCCAAACAGCACCGCCATCTTCATCTTCAGCGAGTTCATGAACAGCAGTTCGTTTTGTGCGCCGGCCCAAGCCGGGTCAATGCCTTGGATTTTTTGTTGGGCGTACTTGTTTTTACTCCTTAGCTCGACGAACTCAGTTTGCAAAACTTCACACCGTGAAAAGCGGTTAAGTACCTTCAGGGGCGGGAGACAAAAAACAATGCACCTGAATCAAGAGTGAAGTAGCGGGTAAAAATAAAGCCTTCATACCGAACGGAACAGGTCCCGGCCCGCCTTCGTTTTTGACGTCGTACAGTGGATAGTAGTTCTGTATGGGATCTGTTTCTTTTGCGTCCGTGGCCCATTTTGTTCCGAACAGGTTCATACCCAGGGAAACAAAATCGTTGTACCTGCAAGTTGTATATGAGATGAATGTGGCTTCTTCGCCTGTCGCACTCGTCGAAGACTGGTAGCAATAAATTGAGGGATACAACGCAGCAGAAACTGATGATCCACATGCCTGCCCAGAAAGCGTGATAAATTTTTCTTCTGCGCTGCTCCTCTGGGATGAAACAAAATAGAAACACAATACAACAGGCCGGCGTAGACCGCGAAGATGCTCATGAGGAGCAGCATGAAGCGCGCACTGTATAGCCCCGGTTGCGAGTACTGCAGGGAGCCGGCGTTGAAGCAGCACCAGAGGGCGAAGAGGAACATCAGGGTTCCGTGTCCAACATCTCCGTACATGATACCAAAGATGAAGGGAAATGTCACCGCAGCTGTTTATTTTTGCTTGAATTAATACGGTTCTTTTCACCGCTTCTTGCCTTCGAAAACTTCTCAAAAACGTCGCGCAAGATGTCGGTGCGCGATAAAAAAGCCCGCGCTCTCGATGAATTCTCCCCAGCGTAGTAGTTGGGGAGGAAAATAAAGTCGAAATGCTACATTGCAGGAGCACTTTGCGCGATTGTTCGCCGACAGAAAAATAGCATTTTGATCTTTGTGTAGAGTACTGAACGGCACGGGACTGGCCTCTTTGTATCTCGGAACGCCGTAGGTGTTGACCAAGTCCTGGAAGGGCCCGAGGAAGTCGTTGGTTCGGAAGTAGGTGGGCGCGTTCTTCATGGACCGCGTTTTGTCGGAGATGAGGTAGGCCGTCCCATTCGCGTCGGAGTTCTTGACCAGCAGCGTGCGGATGGATTCCTCGTCCGCGGCTGGGTACCACACGTTGATGCGCAGGGTGGTCTCGCCCTCGCACTGGTTCAGAATGGCGTACACCGACTTCTCCTTCATGCAGAACAGCCGCCAGTTATTGTGAGGAAAAATATCCCCACCCCATAGTCAAGATGGGAAATCTGCAACACAAACGCGGAAGTTTTGGGAGTCACGCATGACATAAACAGACTGTGCAACTACGGGATGGCATTGTGTTTCGGGTGAGTTGATCAACCCAAAGACGCCGCCACCCCTCTGTATTGTAGTGCAGTTTCGCAAGGACAGCCGCATCGCAAAGCCATCTCCTCATCCTATTTGCAGCATCACAAATTCCAAAACACGATTGGAAATGGCTCTCATGGGGATGCGCATTACAAGTCTTCCTGTCTTTGCAAATCTGCATGACAACTCTGGGATGGGGACGCTTTTACTCAGGATACCAGTCCTCCAGCAAACTGTTGCCGGTCTGCGTCTTCGACAGCAGGCGCGCGGACTCCCCGATCACATACGACTCGAAAGCCAGTTGGGCCTTTTTCTTATCCTGTGCAAAAGTATCGTACTCGTAGGAATTGCAGTCATGCATTACAAATCTTTTCTTTAAGGTACTTAAATCAGCATTGCAAATCTTCCTTTCTCATGCTGAGGAAATTTGTAATGCATTTATACGAGTACGACACTTTTGCAATTCATATTTCTTGTCCGCCACCAACTGCGTCAACGCCGCCAACCGCGTGCGGGCGTCCTGCCCGGAGACTGGAGTGACGCGTTTTGGAAAGATTACAACATCGCAGGTAGAAGTTGTGGTACTACGCGTAGTTGATTTTTGTTTCAACTATTCAAAAACGGGCTTCGCACAACAGACACTGTTGTAGCTAGAATATTAAATCTGCAAACATTATTCTACATGGCCATTCGTAGTTGTTCACGCCGAATTGGGCGCAGGCCTTCACAATCTTGTTGTACAGCACGCCCTCGGTGGCGCCCTTCACGTCCTGGAAGAACACCACAAACACGCTCTTCTTCACTTCCTTCCCTGTCTTGGGGTCGACGATCAGATCGCCGATGGGAGTGAAGTTGGTAAACGAGTTCCCACGCGACATGCGGAACAGGAACCGGGCAAACCGCTGCTGGTCCTCTTCGCAGATGGTCCCCGCGATGTTGGAAAACGTCATACCTATAAACGTGTCAGGTTTGCCAAAGAAAATCGGGAAAAGAAGTAGACGCAGACAACTATGACATGTGGTAGCTGCTCTTTTACTTAGTTCTTTCTCTTTTGCGTTGTTGACGTCACTGAAAAGCATAACCACGTTTCTCAGTGACGCGCCCCGATGTTCTTTGACACTTTGATAAAAATAAAGAGCGCCAAGTACTATACCGCCTTCCACTTTGGCCGTATCCAGCAGCTGGTCCGTGGTTGCGCCTGTTCGCACCAAGGTCCCAAAGGTGCTCAGCGAAGTCTCCACCACCCATTTTTCTTCAATAGCCTGGTTACGCTCTGCAGTTTTAGGTGCAATGCAAAAGTAAGATAGGGTAGAGGCTGCGTTTTTGGATGGGTCTACTCATCTGCACCGACAAGTTTCATCAGACCCGTACGTACATGTTGATTGTGGTGAAGTAAATCTTTACATCATTCGTGAAGACGAGAATTGTTCCAGGTAAAAACAAAAACAATGACAAACACAAATAAACATTAACATTCTAAAAATAGTAAAACCAGTAATCAGAGCGGCGTTGTTCGCTTTGAAATCCACAAATTGCTTGTAAACCGCCTTCAAATCAGCTTCAACCGCGTCGAGTTTGTACTTATCAGCTTCCTCCAAAAAACCGTCAACGTCATTCTTGTAGTACGCAAATCCGAACTTCGATACCTCCGCGATCAGGAACCTAGGCAGGTGAAAAAGAATTGCAAGAATAACGCTTTCTTTATTGCGCGTCTTCAGCTCCCGGGTTTTCCTTCATCTTCGTGTGCCAACAGTCGGTGTTTGCGCATGGCTAGCAGCAAATAAATGTTCCCTTACGGGACGATGCACAGTGGGACATGTTGTTTATTGATTGAGGCAACAAAACAACCAAGCAAAAGAAGTAATCGGTGTATCAACTGCTCTCCAAAGAACTGCGCTTACCGCACAATGCGCTCCGCATCATCCAAGCGCTGCACGTACTTCTTGTAGGGCCGCGCAGCATTCACCTGACTCCCTTTCATATCCTGGAACTGGATTTGGGTGCCTGTATCCATGCCAAATCTTGAGTCAAGCCAAAGACTTGCGTCAAGTCAACTAAACTTACCGCGCCACGAAGATCGATGCAACGCACCGGAAACTTCGGTTAGCGGAAGGTCGTTCTGGAAAACACCGTCAAGCGTTCCCGATTGAGGAAGATTGACTTGACTCAAGATTCGCAAATGATATCCCTTGCCAATCACGTTCATGAAGGTGGGTGCCTTTTCCGCAGGTAGCACCAGCACGCCCGGGGCCATGTCCTCCGAGCGAAGGAACCCCATCTTGCGTGCAGTGTTTAATACAGTCAACACTAGTACTCAAGCTACCTCAAAGATCTTTCTCCTAGTTCTGCTACTATCCATATCAAACGACGAGACGCATTAAAACCGGAACAAGGTATAGAAAATGCACGAAACTTCAACTTCATTTGACCATTGCATGAAATGTCCTCCGGACACAGAAGTTGCAGGCGCGAGCGGCACTTGCTTGCCACAAACGAAAAACAAAAACTGTAGTACTTATGCAGAAGAAAGATGCACATGCCGCGACGCGTCTTCCAGCGCGCTGGCAGCAATGAAAAAATAGACTTACAAACCAGATGGTGAGTCAGAACGAGAAATAAATGATGGAATCACGACCTATCGTAAGGCAGCATCGAGACCGATGAGCTGCAAAAAATGGATAGTTCGAGAACACTGAGACGCCGGGTGCAATCGTCGAATCTGCCAGTGACAAGAGTAAGTCCATTTTTCTTCACGATAGAAGGAGTATAAAGCTGCGTATAGTAGCTTTGGATCCAATTCTCGAAGCAACAAGTTCGCGACTCAAGTTCCAGCGAATGCTGAAGAAAGTCCAGCCATATTTGCGCTTCTCATCCCGATTCGGCAATGTGTCGCGTCGTCCTAGCTCACGGTAAGCGTGCCAATGGAAGCGAATGCCGGCGACAGACCAGTGGGAAGATCAGTTCCGAGGGCCTCATAACTGCACCCCTGCGCATGCTGTGCGTACCGGCAGTAGCACACGGTAGCCGTCAGACCTGTTTTTTCCGTTGATGATCATGCTGCGATAGACAGAACACCTCAGGCTTAGCGCAAACAGGCAGAACACAAACCATACTTTAAGCGCCAAAAAAACGAGTTGTGCTTATTGCCCTCTTCAAGCATTTTCCTGGAGGTAGAAGAATCATGATCGGGGCAAAAATCAGATGATAGTTCCGCATAGGTCCTTACTGCTGACGAGTGTCCCAACGTTGAAGACTTTCTTCTTGTCCGAGGGTCCGGTCAGTGGCGCGTAACTTTCTGCGCTGAGGTCTGGATGTCTGAAGGCGCAGTCAGTCGAGTTGGAGATTCGAAGGAAATCGGTGGCTTGCAAATTGCTGCCCTCCACCACGACAAAGCAAACCGAGCTCGCGGTGCACGCAAAGCTCTGCTCTTCCACTGCCGTGGGGCACGAGCCGCTGTGCGGGTCAGTCCAGCAACGGAGCGCCTGGTAAGGGATGTTTGTCGAAAACTGAATGTTGAACCTCTACTATGACCTCACTACATACGATCCTTTCCTTGCGACTTTGTCTTTGAGCCGTGGGAGATGTGATACAGCATATATACCTCCGGCTTCATGAGGTGCAGCCTGGCGTGGTTTTCCGTGCCCTGCAGGTTTTGCAGCCATATGTAGTTGAACATGTTCGCCGTGGTCATGTTCGTGTTTTTTTGCACGGCCCGGTAACTGGTAATTTCGGCCCGCAGGTCCTGCGTCAGGATTTGCAGCGCTTTTTGCTTCTCATTGAACATTTGGCGCGCTTCGAATATCCTGCGTAAAAACGTCCCCCCCCCCCCGAGCCCTGCTGTCATGCAATTCTGCAAGCCAAAAAAATCTCTCATGCGCAGCGGCCCCACGAGGATCATCAGGGTGCTGCGCTAGCTAAACACGATGACACTATACGCGGAAACTCGTCATGCGAGAGGGCCAAAGCTTCTGAAATTCTGTATGCAAAGTTCCCATTTTGAGTCTGGGTGGGGACGTTAGATTCACTCTGAATATCGAACACCTTTTGATTTGTCTCCACCATCGCCTCGTCGAACATGCGCTGTCGCTTGTTCGCGGCCTTCACCTCGGCGTCTTTCACTTCGAACTCGACCTGTTCAATCTCTTGCCGGATCTGTTCCGTCGCCGTTAGTTCCTCTTCGAACGCCGTGGGTAGGTCGATGGTCAACAGCTGCAAGTCGTCGAGCAGCCCGCAGTGTGCATTGCAAACACGTCCTCGGCGTCTGGAAATTGTGATGCTAAAACAAACGCACTGACTGTTCCATCGCCCATTTTCACCACGGAAGCAAGCCTCCGCAGGCGCTGGAACGGCATTGGGTCGGGACCGCGAAAACATGGCGCGCATCTCTTCATTCCCGGATACTCATAAGTACATAAGTATTTTCATCCTTACTCTGGAAATTGTGATGCAGGAGTCCCTGCCGGTCCAAAAACGTGCATCGCATGAGCAGCAAAAGCCGCACAGTTCTTGCCAGCAGACAAGACAAATCTCATGCGAAACAGGCATGGCAGGACCCCGGCAGAACCTGATATGCTAACTCACGCATTCTAGACGACCTCACCGGGCATACAAGACTTGCATGACAAACAGTCGCATTCTTCCAGACCCGGACACGTTTGCAGTGGGTACGCCGTCCGCCTCAATCCGCTGCGTGAGGTGGGTCTGCATCGCGGCCGATATCAGGTGGAAAAGCATGGCACTCGTACCAATTGCAGTCACGCATGACAAAGTAGACCTTTCGCAACCTACACCTTCAGGAGCATTACGAAGTCTACTTTCCTTGATGCAAAAAATTTTTGTGATGGAAATCTTTGTACTAGTACGATACTTTTGCGATGCGTAGCCTCAATCTCCGTACGGTTGTAGAAGAATTCGAAGGCGGTCCAGTTCGCTGCCGTGTCGCGCAGCATGTTCCGCGCCGTAAGAACGTAGGCGTAGTCGTACCGGAGCCCCCAGTCGTAGTAGATCCGTAAAATGCTCGACATGTCCTCCACGAGCCGGTACTGGTAGTTCAGGTCCAGAACTACCTCCAGTCCGTCGTACGTGCGGGCCTCCAGATGCTTGTAGGTCGACCCCGGAAACTGCACGGTCTGCTGGTCTTTGGGGTACCTGGGGGATCAGGAGGGAAAGTGCGATAGAAACGCTATTGCGAGCGGTTCTTGAGCGGCGAAAATTTCCGTGCCCCCTCTGAAATAATCAATAAAAGTGCCGCGGATCGATCAGCATTTCTTGTAATCACGGAATGCGTTTTTTGGGATGGATGCGTGCTCTTTGTTCTGTGTGATGCACTGAGTTATACGGATTGAAGCAATCCTTATACACTTTGAAGCTGTGGCCGACTCCGAGCATGTGCCGCCCCGCTGGATAGAGCTTCTCCTCGGCCACGCTTTTCGACACGCTGGAGTAGTCGAGTCCCATCTCCGTGGCCTCCAAGACGGAGAAGGAGACGGCGATTAACACGATGCCGGTTATCAACCCGGAACAGCAGCAACACGCTGCGCAATACCTCAAAGCACTGTCGCTCATTGCGGACCTGCAGCACCGATTCTACGTCGCAGAGAGGCTACGTCAAGTTGCTCAGTGGACCAAAAACCGAGTGCGTTCCAGCACTAAAGGCACTTTACGCGACCGCCCAGATGTGCTCCCGCTTTACTTCTTCCAGGTGGGAGCAAGCCAGACAACGACGCCTTCATTCTTTTGAAGCGACAAACGCAGCGCGCACCGCCGTCTCTTTCACAGACCCGCCTCTCTCAGCGACCATCATAACCCAGAAAGGAAAAAAAACAAGCGAAACCCTTTCAAAGTAGTGTACAAATTCGGGCACAAGACCAGCATGTGTGAACACTAGAACCGGCGTAGCAAAGAGGCGAAAAACACTTTGAAACAAGCGAATATATTCATTATAACACTGTGTCGCCTATCAGGTTAAGTACTGTTCTCGAGGAGGTGGAGGATCTTCCGAAAATCATTTCATGCAAATGCCAAGGAGATCCAGCATATCGTGGCCTGACATTTTTGATGTTGAAAACTTCTCGCGTAGATGATTTTTCTGTGCCTCACTTCGCACGCCGCGCCAGAATGCCGGCCACAAGTCCTCCACGGAGTAAAACTCCTGCAATTTTCGCCGCATTTGTCGCCAGGCCAGGGGGTTGTGTTTGGGGTTTTGCGCGAAGAGGATGTACATGTTGGGATTCGTCTCGAACAGATCGGCAACGGTCTGGAGCAAAAGCGCTACATGCTCGGGGCTGTAAACCAAGTCGGCACACAAGCACAGATCCACGTGAAGCACCGGAGTAGAGTTTTCTCCGGGCGTTGCGGCAGCGGTGGTCTCTCTGCTTCCCCAGGCAAGTGTCATATTCTCTATTCGCCGCAACCGCCTCACGCCTGTTCCGTGACTGCCCGCGTCCTCCGGTTGTGCCCCGCAGTGGTAGTTCCAGGAGAAGAGGAAGCTGTTGCGCGCGATGTTTTTCTGGAGCAAATCCTGCATCTGCGGCAAGTCGGTGAGAACAACGCTATCGCAGTCCACCGCTGCGGCTGCCACGAGGCCGCAGACTCCGGTGCCCGCGCCCAATTCTAGTACGTTCGGATAATAGTACCCCTCGAAAAAGTTCGCATGCAGCAAGAACTGGGCTAGCAATTCAGCAGACTCCCACACGGTGCAGCCGGTGTCGAGTGGATCGTCCTCGGTCCTTCGTGTCGTGTGTAGGAGTTGTACAGCTGTGGTCGTCGTGTTAGAACTGCGCTCCGTGCTCTCACTACTTTTCAAGTGTTCAGACGGCGGGGAAAAATTTGCTGCCGCGTCGTTCTCGCTTGATATAATTCCATCACAGCTCTGTTCTTCTGGTTCGTCGGCAGTAGTCAAGGGACGAATCTCGGGGCGGCGCTGCAAAACCGAAATGCAGCACCCCTGTGGCGTCGCGATGTCGAACGTATCGCGAAACCGCGCCGCAAACGTCGCGTCCGCGCCGCGCTGTTGTGGATTTGGTCGTGACACCATCGGTCGTCATGCGTGCTTCTCACGGTAGAGTTTCTGGGTGGACATTTTGTCTTCTACTAGCAACAGGGGTCATCTCCGCCCTTGAGTTGACTTACGAAGCATGATGATGATTCTAAAATCCGGGTATCGTGTCGCGTGAAAGTGTACTTTTGCATCGTGTCGCTTCGTTTTGTGTCACTGCTGCATGTATGTTGGCCGGGCCAGTGAAATCGTGCCCTGAGAGACGAGATCCGCTGCTTCTACAAAGCTTTTTTTTCGGAGCCTTCTGAATGTAGACGTTGAGAACCTGCATTTCCACATGCTGAGCCGCGGCAGAAGGATCTTTCCAAACTGTTTCGTGAAAAAAGCTGGCGCGGCAGAAGAACAGCGGTCGTGTCTCGCCCTGCCAAAAGCGCGGGTGTGTATGTTTATCGTAATTCTTGGAATGGTGTGACGACTCAATTTTGTTGATCTATCTTCAGCCTCGGTTTCATTGCGTTGAAAATTTCTCGTCGAGGGGCTTGAAGATCGCTGTGGTAGTGAAGATGAAGCCAATATTTAATGACGCGCAGCTGCGACAAAGCCCCTTTACTTTCCTTTTTTCCACCCTTTACTTGTTTTCGAACGGTCTCCTGGTCGCCCACCGAAACCTCCTCCGCCACCACCCGAGTGGCCTTTTTGATCATAGTAACTGCCGCCCCCTTTGCTACCGCCGCTACTCTTTTGGTCGTGGTAGCCGCCGCCACTCCCGCCTTTGCTGTTGTAGGATCGGCTGCTGTGCCCCCCGCTGCCTTTCTGATCGTAGTAGCTACCGCCGCCGCCCTTGCCGCTGTTCTTTTGCTCGTAGTATCCTCCGCCGCCGCCTTTGCCCCAGTGGTTACCCCCTGTCGTGGAAATCATAAAAGCAGCTCGAGCGTGTCATTGGCACGAGCCCTGCGCCACATGAATTAGAATCCTCTTGGAGACAGGGGCAACGGAACATCAAAAAAGCATAAAAGTACTGCACCGGTGGCATGCAATGTAGCAAAGATACGACAATCAGAAACTGTGCGACTACTACTACTACTTGCCCGGAATACATAGATGGCGCTCCCAAAACAAAAAGTACCTTCCCGCGAGGCGTTGCGGCTGCTCGGCCGGTACTCGTAGGAGCCACCGCCCTTGTTCCCCTTAGCACCCTTGTCCTTTGCCCGGCCGCGGTCGCTCTCAAGTGGCTGGTCGAGCCCCGAGCCCATTCCGGCGCCCGTCCACCGCTTCACCGTGGTTTGCACTTTGGCGCCCTGCATGTCCTTGGCCGACAGCATCACATTATGGATTGCAAAAGTGTCTGGGTCTGGAAGATTGCCAGGTTTGTCATGCAGGTTTTCCATAACCCATGAGGTCTGGTATGTAGGACATAGCATGACAGATTGTGCGAAGCCTTTCCAATGCCTATCCTGCATGAGAAACTGCCTCTCGATTAGGTCAAAAGTGCACAACCTTTGGCAATCATGCAACACAGTTTTTTGCCTTAGTCAGATTTAGCATGACGAGTTGCATTCTTCCAGACCCAGACATTTTTACATTTGATACACATTGGCCTTCGTCACATCCTTGCCGATGTCTTCCACCGTGTAGCCCTCGGGAACCCCGCCACGATCCGGCACGTGTCCGATTAGGATGCTCTTCACCACCGACTGCACCGCGTACCGGCTGCTTATCTGTGTTTCAGCAAGTAGCGGAAAGAAAATGGAAGGTCTTGCTCCGGCTTACATCCAGTCCAAGACCGGCCTGTGTTCGATCCAGTGCTATAGGAACGTGCGTCGTGAGATGAAACTGAGAGTACAAGTCAAAAGCCGTTGCTAAATGAAAGCAAAAATACTGCACCTTGTCCGTGTCAAATATAGCCCCGTCGGCCTGCAACAAATGCCACATTCCGACCTGCCGCGTGTCGTTTTTCCATCGCCGTTATCCACAACGAACATCGCCCTAAGACTTAAATGAAACCAAATCGTCATGCAGGAGCGCACAGCATCATGGAGAGATAGTGAGTAACGAATTTTCAAACAATTTGCTGTCAAGAAGTTGCACTTTAGTCATGTATGTTTCAGTATGAAACAGACGATAAGTAAATAAATCATGTCGTCCCGCAATTTCTATAGGAGTCCAATGCTAAGACGAGTTCGCTGGTGATAAACAGCTAGCAATCACTTGGTTGATCTCCGCCTGGTTCTTCTCCACGGAATGTGACCGCAGAAACGCTTGAATGGTGACATCCAGCCTTCGCGATAAAACCGACCGGCGGACCTTGTACCTGCAGCCGGCGCAGTGGTAGTTTTTTCACTAAGTTTAAGCAGAGTACAATCGGTGTATTCGGTCAGTATAATTTCAACGGATCATGACAACCGGAATGACATTTCCTTGAAAAGAACAACAGGCATCTTTTTTCCTGTACTACAACAGCCATTTGCAATGTTCGCATCTCACCGCTTTGTTAACGAAATCAAAGCTGAATGTACTCATTATTCAAGTCGTCCATGACTTGCAGCAGCCGGGTGGTTTCGGCCATGCCCAAGTTCCAGGCCGGCATCAGCAAGTTGGGCGAAGGCGGCGGCAGCGGTCGGGTCCGCAGCTCCTCCAACTGGCTCGCGACGGAGCCGGGCGGGAGCGCCAGGTGCGTGGCAATGTCCTGCACCTGCGTGGCGATTTGCTGCACCGCGGGCGCGTGCTCCACGTCGGCCAGGTCCACGCTCGACCGGAGCGCGGCCCCCGCTTCGAGGCGGGCGCACTGCAGGTCCACGAGCAGTGCGTGCAGCAAGGCCTCGTTGTTTGGGGAGGATGACGAGGAGGAAGAACTGCTGCTGCTGCTGCCGAGGTAGCCCCGGTCCCGGATGAAATCCGTAACGGACGGCGCGAAGGTTGGCGCGGTGCTGGGTTCCAGCGCCAGGAGCTCGCTGATCACTTCTCGCGCCAGTGCCTCGAAATTCTCTGTGTTTGCCAGTAGCAACACCTCGTGTTTTTGCAGGGCGTTCGTCGGCCGCCCATTCCAGTGCTCGTACCGCGTATGCAACGAAACTCTGCAGTTGAGTCTACACAGGGGAATTGCGTTTATTGCACCTTTCGTTCATCATGAATCTGGCACGGCAGCGGACCGGCTAACAAAAAACCTTGAGTGGTGCTTCAGCGGATGCAGAGTAGAGAACGCAATTCAGACTTCAACTCGAAGTTTCGTCTGGATACAGAGACTGGAAGACAGACAACACTTCTTCCTGTGCCATTTTTTACTATCCAGTGACTTGTAAACGGAAAGTAAGTGAATGCTAGGCGGTGTACTTGCACATCGAAGACAACTCCAGCTTCAAAAATGTACGCTTAGTTAGTAAGCTACAGGGTATCGTGGACATGCAACTTTTAGGATTTTCGGTGTTTCGTCTGCAGGAAAAAAACTGAAAGAATGCTCGGTGTGCAAAGCAGGCGGAGGAAGACTGGTCCGTGAATGATAGCAACAAACGTCGACCAATTTTTTACGCCAACGGTATGCGATGATCAGACGTTTCGATCTTCAGAGGGATCTCCGAGAAATTGTGGTACCTACTGGATCAGCACGCTTGCACCAAGCCGACCTGTTTCGTGCTGTTGCTTGATCGCTACACGTCGCAAGGAATGCCTTGGACTGTATCACACGAGGCATTGCTTTGAATATTGAACAGGCGCGCGAGTAGTCGCTCTACTTCGGTGAAATGTCTACGGGGAGCTCTCTTCTAAATTTATTTCGATAGCGACGAAGGCCAACGTCGCTGCGCTCCGCGGGGGTTCTTTCAGCTGTTTGAATTAGGTATCGTTCTGTTGCTTCCATCAAATTGCTCATGCGAAATGTAGATACCACCTCCGCCGCCGCATGTTTACCCCAGCATCCCTGTCCCGAGTAGATACTTTACCGCGCAACGTGCGCACCAAAGTAGAGTGCCAGGAGGGGATACATGAGCTGTCAGCGCGGCACTTGCCCGGATATGTTATCATATGTTGTGCGGTGCGGGGCCCCGGACCACCGCGACCCCGGACCACCGGCACCCCCCGGATCACCGGGACCCCCCGGACCACCGGGACCCCCCGGACGACCGGGACCCCCTGGACCACCGGGACTCCCCGGACCACCGGGACCCCCGGGAACACCGGACCTCCGGGAGCCCCCGGGGCCCGCCGGATCCCCCGAAGCGGCGGGAAACCAGGGCCCCGGGCCGCGGCGAAACCGGATCGCCGGGCCCCCGCGGACCCTCTTTGCGTTAGGTTCTGGAATGGATGCTGCGGGGCTAGGGTTGCTTTATGCAGTTCTGAAAACGGCGCGTGACCCGATCCTGCTAGCTATTCCAGGGGGATAATGCCCCCCTCTGGGATCCCAAGGATAAGTAATAAAAGGAGGGGGGGGGGGGAAATTCATAGGGGCTGCAGATGCCTGTGGTGCCCAGGTCCTGCAGGCTAGTTGAGAGGTATCCACATAGATCACTTGGCATATGCTTTTGCCCCCTCCGGGAAGTGACAACAACCAACCTGATCTGGTGCCTGGTGTTCCTCTCTTTTTGGAAAATAACAAAAAAACTAGAAAAAAAATCTCATTTGCCAACTTGGCTCCATGACGCCCTGTGGAACGCTTGAAGAAGACTCTTTTACTGGTTTTCCAACGGAATCCGGGCTGGGAATATACACAAGATACCAACTATGCACGTGCTCCACCACTTTAGTAATTTTGTATAATTTCCCAAAATTCAAAATATCCAAAAATTAGCCTGATCTAAGGAAAGTAGCAACAAAGTATAGGCGTCATCGAGCTACCTTTTCATCATTTTATCAGTTGAGCGCATACGAGTCCACATCCTGGGGATTTTTTCGATGGGATAAAATCTGAAAATTTTTCAAGAAAAAAACACTCTCGAAATTTTACTAATAATTACAGAAATAAGATTACTAATTTGCAGCGTTCAAAAAGTATTTGCGTTTAATCTATTTATCGTATTCAAATCATCTCAATTTAATAAATTTGGTTCACTTTTTGAAAAAAATTGAAAAATTAAAAAAAGTCACTTTTTAAAATATTGCACAAATACACCGCCTCAGTTGATAGAAATGAGCACAGTTCGCATATTTCGAATGTGGTAAAGCACCTGGTGAGCTATTTTCTTTGACTTTGGCAGTTTTTTGATCATTTTTCAAGTTTGGAAAAAGTTCAGAAAATGTCACACCCGGTAAAAATACAGGAAAATTTTAACAATAACAAGACTAGCGGGCGTGTGTGATCTCATATTTGGAATTTGTCTACTCGGCGCAGTCGATTTTCTTTTATTTTACTGGTTTTTTGGTGATTTTTTCACTTTTTAAAAATTTAAAAATTTTCTAACACTGACAATCTCTGTCAAAAAAGAAGATGATGAGTTGCAAAACGCGTCTCCAGTTTATTTTGGCGCGATCTTTCCATCCGCCAGAACCAGCACTCTTCTAGGTAGTAGATTTTATGTAATTTTGCAAAATGCAAAATGGTGGGGAAATGGATGAGAGGGGATATGCCGGAGCTCCAGAATCTGATAGAAGACATGAATGGCGGGCGTCAGCCTTCCATCGTTCTAGGTTCTTCACATCGACGGAAAGCGATCAGCTCCGCACCAGTGCCCCCATTGTCATTTTTCAAAAATCCCGAAACTAGGCCCCAATTGGATGTGCCTGCCAGGATGGTCCGGCGTCGGAGTCGTTGGCCGCATACCAGCGCGCGGCGCTCTTTCTTTTGCTCTGCGTCGACCTCTAACAGGAGAATGGCAGTGGCTTGCGCGTTTTCACTGCGTCGAATACTGCCGCGACGTGGCGCGGCCGGGGGACGCAACCCGATTACCAGAGGCGTTGGCACAGCCTCGGTTCCCGCCGGTCGACTCCGGGAAAATGCGCGGATGGGTTTTTGCACGGAGGAGGCCTCGACAGGCGGCGACTGTTCTCTTCCAGGGCGCAGAACTCTTCGGAGCGCGGCCCAAAATGCAGTGGCACGAATGGGCTGGAGCGGATCGAGTCAGCATATGCCAGCCCCTGAAAACGATATGCCGCGAAACCACAAACCCGGCGCCCCCCCCCCCCTCCGGTTGAGTGTTATTCTGACACTGATTCCGGAAGCTGGGTACTGGGACTGCATGCGCCCGCTGTCTCGGAAGGGTTTCGGACTTTGGAGACCCTCTTCACGCTCCCGCCCGCAGCATTCTCCTTGGCTTCAAGCAACTAGCGGGCGTAGGGGGTGCTCGGTGTCTCATCGGATTCCCGTGGCTGGTCGCCACAAGCTGCAGGCGTCGACTTAGCGAATTATTGTGCGGCCGGTGCAGGTTCAATCAATGCAAAAGCAACACAGAAGCATAAGCCGAGCGGCCTCTGTTGTTGTTCTTTCCCTCGTTCCAAGGCAGCGCTCTGGGCGGACATCGACAATAATCCGGACGAAGCAAAAATTCTCGAAGGTGCCGCGACCCTCGATACCGGAGTGGAACACTGCGAAGCACCCACACGGCCTTTCGGTTGAAACCGGAGCCAGGTGCTGCACATCGCAGTTCTTTCGAACTCCACACCGATGACAAAGATCTTGCTGAAAGCAGGGGTGAGCGCGAATTGGAAGGATGCAAGGGGATGCCGTGCGGTAGAATGGGAAGAAGATCTCGCGCGTCCGGCAGATGCTACGAATTTCGAAGCGAAGTATAAGTATCCTGTAACTTGTCGTGGAAAAGAATGCGAGTTGGTAGATCTAAACAGGGAGAGATGAAAGCTTTATATATCCACAAGAGCCTCAGTCTCAATCACGGCGAACGTGCTTTGACGTGCGTTAAATGCTCGATACGTTCACTGATGTTGAGCCACCATTAAGTAGGTCACTGTGTTCCCCAACACCTGAGTTGCAACAAGATTACCGCGGCGAGTGAGCTTTGGGATAGCCTTTTTTGAAGGTGTGAGGCAAATAAGTTTCGATTGTCCAGGGCCCTCATGACTGCTTCAACTCCATTTGGTAAATATCGTCCAAAGTAGTGCCTCTGCTGTGTAATTAGTTCCCTCGCATGCACGCATTGCAAAGTGGTCGGACGTCTCGAGGTTCTGCCATTCGTCACTTGGCTGGCCAGTGTAGGTAGTAAAAACGTTACTTCTTCTAAAATGAGAGACGCACTTCTTGCGTCAACCTTATGCACGATGTTGTAGAGACGCATTCATCGCAGTCGCACTTGTACATCTCCGGTTGGCGCCAGCAACTTGATACGCTGCTTCCCGCTAGTTTACATATCAGCCACAAAAACAAGTCACGTCCACCACCGTAGCCGCGCCCAGGGTTATTTGCTAAGCTTGCGCCTTCTCTTTGTTCGCCGACCGAACGCGCAAACGCATCATGGATGGACATGAAAAAGAACAACGCGAATGAAGACGGGCGGCTGGTGGAGGTCTTCGGAAGCGTCGATGCGGGTCCGGTGCGCACGCTCACGGTAGTGAGCACGCCAGTGGAGCTTCCGCCCGCCGAGGACCCGCCGTCCGCGACGGCTGCGAGCAGCTCTCGGGTAGTTTCCGACCGGCAGAAAGTGGTGCAGTTCGAGTCCTCGTCGGGCATCGTCATCCAAAACGGCCTCGCGACTGTCCCCACGACCTCGACGTCGGCCAGCAGCGCGCCCGGTGTCGCAAGAAGCTCCTCCGAGGCATCTTCCATCTCCTCCAGCACTGCTCTGGTGCCCGGCCGAGGAAAAGCCGAACAACATGTGGTAGAAGGAGCACCAACGTCCACGCGACCGTCTTCGCCGCAACCAATATCCTCGGCGTCCGCGGGGGGCAGTAAGAAACTCGCGTCCGAGCTTGCGCCACCGGTCGCCGCGACAGTGTACGGGGTTCCGGTCGCGAACGCAGAGGAGCTCGATTTGCGAGGGCAGACGGCCGACGGGGTACTCGCACCTACCCCGATTGCTGCCGGTCTCGTCACCAGCCCACCCAGTACCACCTCCCCGGACCCGGGGTCCACCTACGGTGGCTCCCCTCTTATCAAGCGCGAGCTATTTCCGCCGGACACCTTGAACTCCGCGGCACCGCAAACCCGCACGGACGGGACGCTCGGACCGCACGCAACCGCGCTGGCTATCGACGGCGAGGAGGACCGGCAAACCATCACCGGTGAAGTAGTAAACGGCGATACAACTACCGGCGTGCGCGCTGCAGTTGCGCGATACTACCGCTGGGCCCGCGCCAAAGTGATGGGGCGCGACACCACCGGCTCCGTTCCCGAGGAATACGGGCTGCGACAGGTCGATGACTACTCCGGCCGAAGTCCCGAGCCGCCGGGCGAGCACGAAGCTTTCGGTTTGCTCGAGGCAAACACCAAGCGCAGCAGCAGCCTCGAAGACCGGCTCAGCGACGAGGAGAACAAGGGCGCCTCGCCACAGCTGACCATTCGCCTGGTGGCCGCCTGTTTGTTTCAGCTGCCGATGGGCATCATATGGAGCACCATTGGGCTCATCGTTTTGCCCTACGAGGCGGAAAAGTTCTACCCGAAGGCGCACTCCGGCTTTCTCGGCGTACTGCTCACGATCGCGGGCACGAGTCAGGTGATATCGCCGATCATCGGTCGCCTGTCCGATGACCACCGATCCATCTTCGGGCGACGCCGCCCCTTCATGATCTACGGGACGCTCCTGACTGCCATCGGGGTAGGGGGGCTCAGCTACTGCTCCGCACACGTCTTGGTGATCATGTATGCAGTGTCGCTCTTCGTCTCGCAGGTACTTACTCCTCCTCCTTCTGATATCGGTGGTTGTTGAGTAGAGCACTTCTTTCTTTTCAGGTGGGACTGTGAATAGTTTTTCTCTAGTACTTCATCGTCCCTGCAAATTCTCACTGTCGAGGATTTTTCTCACGAACGCTGCACGACCTCTGCTAAATTTCGCACAGGTGGGACTGAACGTGATCTATTCCGCTACGGTGCTTGGGCTGGTGCCCGACACGCTGGAGGCGCAGGGGCTGGGTACCAACAACGCGTCAGCCAGTGGGATAATTGCCATTTTTCAGTTTTTGGGGAACTTACTCGGGATGTTGTTCATGATGGGCACCGCAACGATGGCCATGGAAAACGTGTATCCATTTTACCTCGTGTCCGTGCTTTTTACCGCCGCCGTCGTCTGGATCTGCTGTCCCGAAGAAAGCAGTCTGGTACATCGTGAAGCTAGTTTTTATGTTTTCGCTCTTCATTCCATCAAAACCCTTTGGGTCAACATGCCAATACCAGAAGCTGTTTCTACTTGCGTTCTGTATACAAAAAGTCACTGCGCCTGCTGCGACGAGCCGACTGGGGCAGTATCATCTAGGTGAAAACGTGCATCGTCTAAGTACTTACCGCTACAACTTTGTAAACTTTTTTTGGTTCTTTCTCGTAAAAAAAATTCCCCCTTTGTCCCTTAATCCAACAGGGCCGCAAGCGGACCCGGAAAGACGACGGTGGTGGCGCGGCCTTCTACAAGGCCCTTTTGTTCGACGCTAGCAAGGAGCCGGATTTTTTCTGGGTGTTCGTGGGACGCACGCTGTACTACTTGAGCATAAGTTGCCTCTCCTTCATTTACTACTTCGTACGCGACGTGGGGGGAGTGTCCGACGAAACGACACGGAAGTTCTACGTCGCGCTTATGACCTGCTCAAACGTTACAATCTCAAACGTTACTATAGAATCTGAGACTTGTCTTGCATGATCAACATGACCGACTCGGACAGCGTTCCACTTTTTGCAATACAAATTTCGCCAGATTGTAGTGCGGATTGGGACTCCAGAACTTGTCATGCGCAATCCTGTGGGAGTAGGGTAGATCATGCGCTTCTTGCAACACAAATTCCAGACTCTATTGTAACGTTTGAGATTGTAACACCTGACCGGGTTATAGCGCTCATCGTCGTCTGCGCACAGAGCACCGGCGCGCTTACCGCCTACCCGGCCGGGGTCTTGTCAGATTCCGTGGGCAGGAAACGACTTGTGTACAGTGAATTTGAACAATAAGATTTTATTCTGGATGGTTTATATAGACAATACGTAACTGTGACTCCTGCTAGCAGCTGTATTGCTATTATGCACGATGAAATCGCAACAAGATATTCATGAACACAGGTACCTGTCCTGCGTTATGATGGCGCTGTGCTACTTTTGGTACTTGCTGATACCATACCTGCCACGCATCGGCTCTCTGCACTTGCTGCTACTTGGATCGTGCATATACGGAATTGCAGCGGGATGCTACATGAGTGTCGATTACGCACTCGCGCTGGACTGCCTACCCGACAAAAGCTCCAAGGGCTCCTCCGAGGCACTTGGTAAGAAATAGATCATGTGAAGAACATCATGTGTGTCCTCGTTCTATAATATGCGCTGTGCAAATTATTTCTACGTTTGTCGCAGTGTCGCGCCATCAGGTTTGAAACATCTCGTGTTGACGACCGTGAAATCGGGTGGCATACGTTTATTCCCTGCGCGGTTCGAGTGAAGAGGACTTATCCCGCCTGAATACAACAATCAAACATTGTCGCAGGTCTTTGGGGCATCAGCGGGTTTATCGGCAGTTACATCGGGCCGATGGCCGGCGGTAGCCTGTTGGAAGTGTTCGGTGCCACGGCGAAGAAAGACCACTATTCCTACATGGGGTACTTTGCACTTCTTTCCGTCGGGGGACTCATGGCTCTCTTTTCCGCATGGGTAACGTCTTTCATCAAAAAAGCCAGGTAGCATTTGGTCGGGGTCCAAGACATGACAACTGCAGATGCACGCACTCTACTCGCACGCGCGCACAACGGGGTAGTAGGTGTTTCGGTATTTATGGAGTCGATAAGCGGCGACTCAGAACCTCCCTGCAGCGCGAGGTCGAGCAACAGTAGACTTGGCAGTGCGCCGAAGGCTGCACGAGGTCGGGCTTCGGACTCTAAAAGTGGCGCCTTCCGGCTGCAATCAGTATCCATGAGAAACTGTCGCGGAAAGCAGAAATTGAAATGTACCAAACCGTCTTGAGCAGCACACCAACGAGATGTTGACCGAACGAACACCAGTGCCGAATAAATGCATCAGCAACGCGGGGTCAGGGCGACAGCAATAAAAAATGGCTCAAATGTACGAAGGACGAAGCAGACCCCGCACGACAGTCCCTGGGTGGTGACGGTAAAAGATCGGCACAACCATTATGTTGAGCAGCTTTTGAAAATTTTCCACCCTTAGCGTCGCGGACTGTCGTAGAGAAAGCACCGAATGCCCCCTGTAGCGGTTGGGGAAGCCTCGTATTTGCAAATGTACATGTGTAGGAAAACGAAAACGCGCAGAGAAAAAAGAAATCGACTGAGTCATCAACAGTTCTTGCATGTAAGACTTTTCAATCCGCCCTCCGACAGGGCGCTGTGACCACTGATCATCTCAACGCCTGTTCTTCTTTCTCGTGTACTTACCTCAATTGATGTGGGTTCCGCTTTGTTTCTTTTGATTCCAGAAAGAATCTTTATCGCCGCACATAATCTGCTTGCGGCTTGCGGACAATACGCGTTGGCACTTTCTGGATCTAATCAAGGGCAACGAGGCCCTTTTGGTCAAGAACGAAAATTGATGATCTTTCCCTACTTTGGTTCGTGTTTATCGCGTTTGCGACCGTAATGTTTCCTCCGCGAGGACAGCTCGTCGATTGCGTTTTCCGAGGACTCTTCTTGCTCTCACTCGGAACAAGTGAAGTCTTTGTCGCAGCGTCCGACGGGGAAACGGAAGCACCGCACCATGAGACCCAAGCACACGGAGACCCCAGCACGGAGGAGGCTTCATCTCCTGCTGTTCCCGCACAGTATCTGGCCTGCGACAATCAAATTATCAAGGCGGGCGAAGTCGACTTCTGGGGCGAGTTTGTCGGCCCCGTCCGGCGATTCCACCTGGACTCCGGTGTGGCGCTCAACGAGTCCCGGCAATATCACGGCTTCACGCAGAAGATCCTGGCCCTGGAAGGGCGGACCGAGCAGGTGGCGGAGGAATGCCTGTCGGGCACCCTCGTCCTCTTTCTCCAATCCCTCGCGGCCGCCGAGCACGACTTCGGGTTGCCGCACGCGCGCGACCTGCTCCGCCTGGCACAGGATCTGTTCGCGCAAGTCGCGGGCTCCGCTTGGTTTGGTCGGGAGCTGTTTGGGTCCGGGGCGGACCACGAAACGCCGCAAAAAGGAACACGGGACTACTGGGACACGGCCGCGATCGCCCGCAGCCTGCGGCTCTTCGAGCGGGTTCTGCTCCCGGAAAGGACGCCACAGCCTGTCCTAGTCCCCGCGCCAGCAGCGGCGCTAGAGAGACGCGGTCGGCCGCTCCGCGTCTATGTCTACGAGCTACCGACGGACCCGGGAGGTGCGACGCCGAAGGAGCTGCTGCAGCAGGGACGCTACCTTGAGGCGGTCGGACACGGGCTCAGCAACTGCCAGTTCGGCATGTACGGCACCGAGGTCGCCTTCCACCGCTACCTCCAGCAGGCGGTCGTGCGCGTGGCGCGGCCCGAAGACGCGAATTTGTTCTTCATTCCGTCCTATTTCAAGTGTATCGAGCTGCTCAACTGGGTCGACGGATTCCATCAACCGTCTGATGGCAGCGAGACGACACCTGCAAGCGACCATCCCGACGGCGCGGCGGCGCCCGCGAAAGCCCCCGCCGACCGTCCCGAAAGCCTGGTCTTGCTGCAACAAACGATGGACTTCGTCAAGCGCAGCGGGCCGTGGTTCGCGCGCAACAACGGGGCGGACCACGTGGTGCTCTTTTCGTGGGGCCGCCACCCCTGCGCCATTGCACCGGACTGGCAAACCATTGTGGGAAAGAACGTCATCCAGCTTCAGGTGGAAGACCACTGCGAGGATCTGAACGAAAAAGGCACAGCGCCAGTTTCGACCTTTCAGGCGCACAAGGACGTGATCATCCCCGGCTACACAGACCCGTGGCGCGCCAAGGAACTCAAGCGCCAAAACCGTCGACTCGACCAACGGCGCTACCTGCTCACCTTCCACGGCCGGTCCCCACAAAACGCCGCTTCCTACGAAAATGTGACCATACGCGGAGAAATCGTCAGCCAGTACGAAAATCTGCCGCCCGACGTGAAACCCTGGGTAGTACGTTTGAATCTACTTCACTGTTTATTGGCTTCTTGCCGTGACCGCAACATCGGTTCATATTCCTTTTCTTGATCGTACCACAGAGGCAGTTTGTCGGCCGTTTATTACAGTTGGCACTGAACCACGACTCGGCTACCATCTGGTCCCGCGGGGAAATATTCATTATCTTTTCAGGTAGCCATCGGAGGTTTCGTGGAGGACTACCACGAGCTACTGGGGCAGAGTATGTTTTGTTTGGCGCCCCGCGGTATCACACCGTGGACGATTCACCTCTACATTGCGTTCCTCGTCGGGTGCATTCCCGTCATCCTTAGTGATCATTTCCGCCTGCCGTTTTCGTCCTTCCTCGATTACGCGTCCGCCGCGGTTCGGTGGCCCGAGCAGGATTTCTCGCTCGCAGCCCTGCTCGACCACTTGCGGAACCTTCTGGAGTCGGGGGCGGCGACGGAGTTGAAAAAGCAAGTGGACCGGCTGAGCTGTTGGTTCGACTACGATTTGTGGGACGCCGCCGACTGCTCCCCGTACCGGGGCGCCATGCGTCAGTTGCAGGACCGAGTGGACAGCTTGCCGAGAAACTTGGCGCCGTTTTCTGCAGCAGGACCACAGCACGTGAAAGGACAACTTCGAGGCAGCAGGAGCTCCTATTTGGTCGGCTTTCTTCTCTTCCATCCGCGCTTACGGAAGACGTTCGCCACGTTACGGCCGCTAGCGGATTTCTTGGAGGTCACCGGGAAGATGGAGGACGTCATAATAGTAGCCAACGACTACCATCTCGAGGAACTGGTTACGTTTTTCACTGAAGAAAAAGTCTCGGCGCGAATCGCGGTGCTGGTCCAGTTCTTCCCACTTGGGGTGGCCGACGGCTACCGTGCCCGGCTAGCGGACCGAGGGACGGTAGAAGCCGGGGTCCCGCAAATCGTTGGCGTCATAACGGATCTGGGTGCATTTGAAGAGCCCAGCGGGGTGTAAGTACCAACAGAGTGTAGTTATATCGACGACGTCCTTAGTGCATTGTATGCTTTAGTATTTGCATGAAGGACAACGAAAATTGTTTAGAATGGTAGGATGATAATTGTTCGTCGCTTTTCAACACATCTAACGACCACACGGAAGTAACAGCAAGAGAACAGCGCGCGCGTTTTTACCGTCGATGAGGTTTCCACCACATTGAGATTACTCGGTTTCGGCTAATAAACGTTCCCCCTCTGCTCTCGTTCCTCTCGTCTCGTATTGATCGACGCAAGTCAGTTTGTTGTCGTGAGCGCACCTGATCGTACGTGCTAAAGTTAGTATCGGTACAGCGAGCGTTCTACTCCACTCGTCTACGCTTATTGACCTTGCTTGACGTTTGTTTCTGCGTCCTGGAAGCACGGCGCTCGTGAAGCGATTTTGATAAAGATCGGTGCACTTCTAGTGTTCTTCGAGAAAAAAAGGGAGAACAGATCGACTCCTGACTTAGCTGTACTACTTGCATCAACGGACCCACGATGATCGCATCAAATGTAGCACGAGAAGATGTTGTTCGAGGAAACGGGCTCCATTTTTTTCACTTATTTGCTTTTCAAAATTTTCTGCACCAGGACCTCTTGATGCTTGCCGCCCCAGACACATAGCACCCATTCGAAAGCACTTTTTGGTAAGATCGGACTTGTCACCCTTTACTCCCTGCAGTAAACAAGAACACAATGCAAATTTTGTTTACTCTTTAGTGCACATGTATAGCCACACACGAATATTATAGAAGGTAGTCCTATTCTGTGAATGACATCAAGATAGGCCAATCTCAAAGCATTCACGGTCAGCTGCTACCGGTGACAGGGACAAGATAGAAGCTTTCTCCTCCTTTCGAACCACGTGAAGTAGCTGGCTCACTCTTTAACAGACTTAGAACGGACTCGACACATTCCGACGCTAGGCCGGGCGATTTTGGGCGACCGGAAATAAAGACCGCAGGATGCGGTTGGTAAGTCTCAAAATATGGAAGTACCAGGAGGGCCAGTCCCTGCAGCTCTGCGATTTTGAAAATCTGCAGTTCATTCAGTTCTTCCAGCGAAGCACGGCACGGGAGCAACTTCAGTTCCATTCCAGAACAATTGTGGACCACACCGAGCCAGGAAAAAGACAGACAGTAAAGCTGGAAGGCAACGTCGGTACTTTTACACTTTGCCCTTATTCTGATGTCTTCTATATCTTTAAAGCTGCCGGCTTTCGGCCGAAGCGAAAACGCAGTCTAGTGGAACATGTGCGACCCCGGCCGGCTGCCGCTATTGCTTATGCTCGTTTTTGCTTCGCCTGATCCGCTCTTCGATCGGGCATGACCATCTTCAAATCTGTGTTGCGAATGATGTACTTAGTAGTACTTTTTGCCCAATCAGAAATGACGAACAAAACTCCATAGGCTATTGCCACACGTGGATTCACCCGAGTGGGGTCGCCTGCACTGCGGTAACGGACAATGAATACCCCCTGCGCGTCGCGTACACACTGATCTCCGACGCCATTACCGCCTTTCTGAAGCAGTACCCGAACAATGAGGCTTCGCGCCAGACGGCAGACACCAGCATGCCCTTCCAGGAGGGGCAAGCACTCTTCGACAAATTTCAAAATCCAGACGAGGCGGATAAAATAACCAAGATCGAAAAGGAGCTGGACGAGGTATCTTAATAGCAGGGATAAGTATTCATCAGTTTGATCTTCGCTGTTCTACTTTTTCCGGCAAGAGGACATGACCTGAAGCCGCACGACATGGGTTTATATGTTTTTGTTGCTTTGAAGATTATGATTAGTGTCCGGCTGCGGTCGCGACGTATTTAAGGATCAATTTGATCGTGCATCTCACTCGTACAGGTAAAGGCGACCGTCATAAAAAGCATGGATGACATTCTGAAGCGGGGTGAGAATCTTGATAGCCTGATGCAGAAGAGCGGCGACCTTTCAGCGACATCTTACCAGTTCTACAAGACGGCACAAAAAAACAACCAATGCTGTAGCAGCTTTTCATGAACACGAGGATCAATCTTCCGATCCGCGAAAGGCCCCCACCCTCCGTCCGCCTCGCGGAGTTTTGTGACCCCCCCTCACCAGTATGACATGCTAGTTGCGACTATCTGGAGCGAATCTGTCGACCTGCTAAAAACGACCCGACTTTTCCTTTTGGCATCGCCGCGGAAAGAATGAATGCAAAGCGACGGCAGTTCGCGTTCTGGCTTCACAATGCCCTCCAAACGGTCCCTTTCAGAAGCTCACAGCTGTGAGGACCTTTAGGTGTTGCGTCGTAGAGCCAGCGCGCTCGGCTGCACACGTGAAGATCCAGCGAATTTGTTATCTGAGACAAATGTGCCTTTCGCTATATAAGAAAGATGTTGATCAGTTCGCGATTCTTCTCGCAGGGTGTTCATGGTTTGAAAACTGCTATTTTGCGTTTTAGTTCAGGCTCGGGGTTTTCTTGTCTTGCTTTCGTATAGCAGAATCTGGGTTCCTTAGCTTTTTTCACAGTGCCACCTCTCGTTCCGCCAACAATAGATGCAAAAAGAATTGGAGGCCGTTCTTCCGAACATCAGACTCGAGAACGCAATGTCGAGATCTGAGGATCATTCCGCCTCTTGTCCACATCCCATTCGGCGCGTTTATTTTGTGCGCTATGCGTTTTCCGAGTGGAAGGAGTGCCCTCTGGATCCGCTCGTTGTGGAGCTGCAGTGCTATAAAAAGATCTTTGAGGACAGCGCGTCGCTGCAACAAGTGGGTCTAAGTGAATCGGTAAGCAGGGCGTCAGAATATCATAATAAGTTCAAAGATGAGTTCGGTACTTGGAACGCGCTCGCCTCGTTTTACCGGACCGTCGAGCTTTGTCCCACTGCCTACCCGTCACAATTCGAGTTTGACGAGGGGACAGGACAATGCGCGGCGGTCGCGCTGCCCTACTGCAAGACCACTTGGACCACGTCAGAACAGAGACCGGAGCAAGCTACTCCTACCGCGAACGGTAGTTCCCGGCGCCACAGCGTGGCGGTCCTCTCGCGCGCAAATCTGTACACGCAGCTGCTCCCTTCCATCTCTGCTACGGAAATCAGCGTCTCGGCTGCAGAAGCGAGTTCTGCACCAGCGTCGGAAGATCGTCGCGCCCCTAGTATAGAAGTGCTGCGAAATGTAGAGGCCGAGCGGACGGAAAGCACGCGCCTGCGCGAGTCGCTGCTGCTGGAGCTGATTATCCTGATTAAAAGCGTACCCGCGACCTTGTAGTCTTAGTCAAGATCATGGGACCTCTGCTGCACAAATCCAGCAGTTTCTGGCGTCGCGCATGAAAAGTGGCAGTGCCGATTAGCCAAAATAGCCTCATCAAAGAGCCATCTGCAGGTTGTCCTGTATTTACAGCATTACGAATGCTAAAAAATTAACAGGAATAATCCCCCTGGGGGGCTACAGCATTTATTACCACACCACACAGCGTTCCTCCAGACGCAAGAACTCTGCATCACACACCCTGCGGTCGGTGCTTACGTTTTTCCTCAGGATGCTGATCCGCACGGATTTAGCTGCAGCGGTGACGTCGCTTTGCTGGGGCCACGATCGGTTGTTCCAGAAAGCCGTCGCGCCGGCCGTGAATCGCAGCCTCCCGCATTGGGTGCACGCCCGGTGGCACGCGTGGACGCGCAAGGTGGAGGTGCGCAGGAAAGTGGGCGCCGCCTTTGTTTCGTCAAGAACTTCTTCCTCTTTTGCCGCAGCGCCATCTTCTACTTCCAATGGGACTCGTCCTCAGGCGGGGGGCCAGCGGTACCTTAACCTTATGCTTGCACAGCGGGTCGCGGACCTTTTGCGCCACGTAGCGAAGCCGCACCTTTCGATCGTGCTGGACCTGGCGCTCTTCTCCGTCTTGCACGTGCTGTTTCAGTATCAAATGCAAAAATGTCTGGATCTGGAATGCTGACGGGTTTGTCATGCATATTTTGCATGACCCAGGATGTCTGTAATGCACGACCGAGCATCACAGATTTTTAGAGGGCTTCCTGATGCCTACTCCGCATGACAAATGCCCTCCCCGCGTAGCACAAACTAGACTCCTCTTGCTGGTCATGCAATGCAGAGTCCAAAGTTAGCATCACAAGTTCCAACCTTCCAGAGCCAGACATTTTTGCAATTCATATTCAGTGTCTGCGGAAAACCGGACTGTACCTCCCGTCGCCCGACATGGAGGCTATCCTGTGCAAAAGTATCGTACTCGTATAAATGCTAATGCAAGTGTTGCATTACAAATCTTGTTCCCAGGGCAAATCTGCATTACAAATCTTGTTTCTCATGCTGAGGAAATTTGTAATGCATTTATACGAGTACGATACTTTTGCAATTCATAGAGGTTTCCGAGCAGCGATCGCATGGGTCCAAGCAGCGCGGCGGGAACAGACGAAGCCCTGCCACACTGCACTCCGCCTACGCGCAGCGGCAGGCGCGGCGGCAGCACAGGATGCAGCAGGAGGTAAAAAAGAATGAAAGTTGGCTCGTACTGCGGGACCAGGTGGTGGTGCCGTGGGCGAGTTTTTACGAAACAATGGCAAAGTCACTGTCCTGCGGGACCACGAGTTCTGGTGCAACAAGGTCAAAAATATCGTCTACCACTGCGCCTGGATTTTCAGGCAGCGCGGGTGGCAGTAGTAAAATTGATACCTTCATCCCGGTGAGAAATGCTTGGTCCACTTTCTTCAGCTGGAGACGCGGGCTGGCGTGGTGGTGGTCGTTGGAGCACACCGCCGAAGACAGTTGTGACTCGTCTTCTTCGGACGAGTGGTTGGCGGAAGAAAAAAACAGCCCACGAGACGGCGCTTGGAATCATTCAAACTCGCAGCAACTGTCTAGCACCAGCAAGCTCGATCTTCTGCCTGCGTGGGTCATTCCCCGCGCCACCGCACTGTGTCAATCGGGAAGCGTTTGGCTTTTTGCTATCACGGCCTTGAGTCTGCGTCTGGTGTCGCTCGGGAAAACACCCCTTGCAATAGATCAAATTTTTAGCATAGAGGAAAACGAATCGGAAGCGGAGGAGGATCCGGGATGATGCCGGGATTGCTCACGTTGGAATTAGTGAGTGAACAAATGCGACAGGATCGCGACCATTTATGAACTTCAACTTCACAGGAACAACTGATCTTTTTATGCCCGGCCGGTTAAGATTTTATGTAAACCGGCAAGGATGAAGCCGTGCGTTCATGTTCTGGAAATACGAGCAGCACAGCTCGCGGCACACACAGTGCATTTGTCTGACGGGGCAGAGACCGGGAAAATCGAACAATCCACTTCGTAAAGTCGGTGGGGATTGCGATTGAATTGGCGCGTCTGTGTCGTTCTTTCTTCGGTGAGCACAATTATACTCAAATCGTGTGGGACTGGGGTGGGGAAATACACTCGCACCGGACTCGTGCCTAGGCATCGCTGATGAATGTACCGTTCTTGCGTGCCAAGACACACACTTTGTCGTGAACCACTAAGGTAAAGGGCACGGCATCCGCAAAACTGACTATGCGCAGAAAGCGTATTACGGACACAAGTTGTAAGGAAATCGAAATCATCTGCAGCACGATCTGCGAAAGTGGCCGTTTGTTTATATTCGAAAGAGAACCACGAGCGCCATGCCGAGCCTGAGCAGCAAGCGAAAAACTGAAACCAGTACTCCGCGCACGACGAATGCCGGCCGCACCCCTCGTGCGCAGGTCCGCACCCCACGCGCGAAGACACCCCGCACGGCACGGTCCGCCACGAGAACTCCCCGCCCACGGCCTGTCGAATTGAAAGAACACACCACGTCTGCCTTCCCGCTTTCTAAAAAAGCAGGAGCGGGCGCAACACCGCGAGCCGTTCTCGTCTCCGGTAAAGCTGGTGACGTGGTTTCCGGAAGATTGCAGCAGCTTTGTTCATCTCGGCAAAAGTTGTTCGGTACTATCGTGGTGATGTTGCTTGCCGCACTTTCTGTGCTCGTCGTCTACCAGTTCTTGTTCCTGGCAGTGCAATCTACGCCGCTTTCTACGCTCGAAGCGCAGCTGCTTTCCGCACCAAAGACAGCGCGCAGTTGTGGTCCGACGCTAGTGACGGACGCGGAGCGCCTCCGACGACTGTTCACCGACCGATTTCTGCGACTGGAGCCCGTTTTGGGGACAGATCTTTTCCGCTCAGCCTGGCAGTGCGATGCGGAGCAGCATTCGAGGCACGGGCGCTTGCACGAGTTTGCCGACCTATACGAGACTGAGGAAGCGAGGGCGAGTAGCGATCGTGCATCCACTATCTGCAGCAACACGACTACTAGTGCGTTACCGCTCGTTGCCCACGCTTTGCGTCGCCGCATGCGGGTGTACAGCTCAGCGGAAGAAGTAGAAGAAACGTCTGGCCCCGTGGTCTTTGTGGTGGAGAATTTGCTGTCGCCCCGCGAGACGAGATTGTTACGAGAGTTGAGCACAAGCAAAACCGATGCGCCAGCTGGACCGCAGCGCGCAACCGCGCAGAGTTTTCAGGTTGGCAAAATGCCGGCGTGGTATCGGCGAGTGCTGCTCGTTGCTCAAGCACTTGCGGAACTGTACAAGAACGCAGGCGGAACGAATACTAGTGAAAGTAATCCAGCAACAAGGAGTTTTACGAAGAATAATGTCGTGGCTCTTGCCAACTCATCCTCGTCGTCGCCCGGAAGCGCATCAAGCCCGGTCTGTCACCGGAGGAGCATTTCGTGGTCTCTGAACACTGCAAGTTTCAAGAAGCGAACAGTTGACGCTGTTGCGAAGACGAGACGGGGCGAACAACGCATGAAGCCGAAGACATGGTCGGGGTTCAGTCCCGGCTTGCTGGCGGGCTATTTTGAAGAAAGAAGTGAGGAAGAGGAACTCGGCGATTGGGATGTCAGCTTTCAAATGATACTTGCAAAATCGTGGCTTCCGCGCAAGCGCTTGATCCCGAATGGCGCGGTTACCTTTTTCCTCGGAAGAGTTGCTGGGCATAGTGGCAGTTTTTCCGAAAGGCACCAACGGGGCTTCCATTCACCCGGCGACTTCGTTCTCCGCGGCTACCTGCATCCTGCCCGGCCGGCGGAGGAACCGGGCTCTGAAGATCGATAATCAAGCGCTGCGGGGTCAAGTTTTACAGCAGTGAGAGAGAGATATCGATCAGCTTTTCCATCATCAATGGCACCTCCTATTGTTTCGAAGAAAATTTTGGTTCCAGATCCCGAAAGAAAGATCTCCAGATTCATGTACACCTCATTTTAGGAACACTGTTGCAAAAATTGAATCCGGTATCTACACCGGGGCTGCTCCCCTCCTAGCCATGTTGAAGGGGTCCATCGGCGACGTCGTGCGTTTTCAATTTCCTCTTTTGAACTAAACAGCGCAAACTGGCACGCAAAACTTGAGTGCGGTTTCCATAATTGTGAACTTCTTCGCTTCATCTCGCCTTGCCGAGGAGCGCGACGAGCGATAGAAATACTTACGTAAACAGTATACACAAGTAGTACTAAACCTTACTTCTTTCCGAGACCCGCCCATTGCGACCGCGTATAATTTAGTACTATCCACCCATTCTAACCATGCCTCTCCCGCACGAGATTCACGTGTTTGCCAGCCACAAGGGCGGCACGGGGAAGACGCAGCTCTGCTTCCAGTGCGCCTGTCAGTACGCCAACGACCACCCGGAGGAGAAGGTTTTAGTGATGGACATGACGGAGCTCGGCGATTTGTCCAAGCGGTGCCTGGGCGGGTCGCGCCAAGACCCCGGGGTGCTGCAGCAGAACCTGGGCAAGATTTTCGATCTGGTGTCCTCCGCGGAGCAGCAGGCTGCGCTGGAAAAGAATCCGTCCGTGGCCGCGAACATGTGGAACTGGATCCGGGGCGGCAAGACCGAGGTGAACATCTTGGAGACGGCGATCCGATGCAACCAGTGGAACAGTGCGGTTCCGGACAACCTGTACCTGATTTCCTCCGGCGCCTGCACCGAGGACGAACACCACCGGTCAGTGGAGCAAACTATCGAAATTGCCAACCATCTGCGCGGGGCGCTGGAGAAGGACGGGGCCAGCAATTGGAAGGTCTTTCTGGATACCGACGGGGACCGCCGGCCGTCGCCGTCAACGCGCTTGGCGTACGCGTTGGGGGACCTGTGCATCGTGCCGCTGCAGCCGGACGAGAGCGACTTTGCGCGGCTGGAGCCCATGTTCCAGACGATGCTGCAGCGGTGGTCGGCCGGCGAGATGCGCTGCAAAATTCAGATGATCGTGTGGAACAAGCTGCAGCTTTTGAAGAAGGCCCCCGGCCCGCTGGGGAGCTTCGAGACTCCCAAGGTGACCACCGAAATGATCCAGTCGTTGAACAAAAAGTTGTTTCAGATCGCAAGGACGTCGCAGTGCTCCGAAATTTTCCAGCACGCAGACGCACCCACGGTGGAGGTCTTTCAAACGGCCTCGACCTGCCTAGTGCGGGACTTTCCGGATACCTGTGCTGTGCCCGCAAACGCGAATGGTATCAAGAATGTAGAAGGAGAATCTAGAAATTGCTTCCTCTTCTAGTACTCTTTTTGATTTTTCCACTACATCCCGAAATTTTCGCGATCGGTCTGGCGGTATAAGAAGCAAGTCAGTGTATTCCGTTCGTTTCCTCTTTGGCATAAATAATGATGCTGCCTTTGGAAAATTTTTGAAACATTATCAACATCAGGTGTGCCCTATTGCAATATGCAGCCGGGAAAAGTGACATTAACCAGTGGCGCTTCGTTCTCGATACAGCAGACTCAAATCGATAGCTGCGTCGAAAATATTAAGGAAGTAGTGGCGCGGCTGGACCGCATGGAAGTCGACGATCTGTAGCTGCAGGCTTGATACTAGGGCTCATTTCCGTCGCGACGCCGTGTCGTTGCCCCCCGGTTCCGAAAAAGGGTGTTTTCGAGAAAGTGAGCGAATACATCTCAAGAAACTGTGACAGCATACTGTAGTTGGTCTCCCCTCCGACCGCCTTGCTTGTTGTACCGGGCGCACAAAACAACTGTGATGACTTGATAGATACTATAAATGCACTCTGGAGCGACGTGTCGCTTTCCGCGTTCGACACGAGTGCAAAATCTTTTCTATTCACAGTTCCGAAAGTGGAGCGTGTTGCTTATTGCTCCAAAATTTCGATATCCGGGATGCATGTTAACCCTCGCACCGATCCGATCAGAAAGGCAAAGTCGTGTCCTGCTATCCTAGGATGATCCAGAGATGACAGTTTGTGATTTTTGAAGTCTCGCGAAATTTTCGTGAATAAACCGTAATGGCAAAAAAGATTCCGCGATCCAGGATCGATTGAATAACTGTGATCTCTGCTGAAAGTGAAAGCATCGTCAGATCCTTGCCTGTGAAATGCAAAACGATCAAACACAAAGATGATCCAGTAGTAGGTTAGTGATCCAGTGGTAGGAAGATCGTGGACCGTCTCCAAGCTAGGGAGTAGATGCAGGAATTTTGACAGTATCACATCTGACGAGAACAGGTGCTGCAGATGTTGGCGACTACACGAGCATAAGATAGTACACGATGAAAGGAAGAGCTGTCTTCGCTATTCGATATCTACATTGTGAACAACAGTAAGTTTCCTTACAAAATGCAAATTTTCTAGGTACGATTCTTCAGCGACGGGGTTCTTGTTAGATTCCTTTCAAAGTACTGTACAAAAAGCAGCATTGATACAATTACCCTCGTATAATAACCGTCCTCTTCGTCAAAAGTATGGTGCAGCTGAGTAAAGCCTATTTGCGGTACGAGGCGGGGGCCCAGTTTGGCGTCATTCAGTCGACGAACTGCAATTTACTCCTTTCCGGGTGCGGGAAGTACCTGTTCACCTGCTGCAACGAGCGGATCGTGTGCTGGAGTTTGAAGAAGAGCGAGGCGGTCTTTTCGTTTGACGTGAACACGAACGTGCCCGTGAACCACGACTCCGCGACGTTACTGGTCTCCGTCACCCGCCTCGGATGGCTCCGCGACGGACACTTGCTGGTGGCGGGTTACGCAGACGGGACCGTGCGGGTGTGGGAGTTGTCGTTGAACACCGCTAGTGCGGTAGACCGCGGGTACGACACGTTCGACCTGAAACCGCCAAAACTCAAGGTCACCTTCCACGGACACAAGAACCAGGTCAGCTGTCTCGGGTTTAATATCCAGCACGATGCAGCGACGCGGGCGAAGAACTCCGGAAGTGGTGCAGCCCTCGCACGACAGCAGGAACAACATCAGTCTGGCGCAGCAAGTTCATCCGCGGTGGCGACGAGTAGTGCCGCCGCCGGAGCTGCTGCGTCCCAGCAGCTGCTTGCATCGGGCGGTTTTGACACGGACATTGTGGTGTGGGATGCGCTGGCGGAGGCCGGCGTGTGCCGGCTGCGCGGGCACCGGGACCGGGTAACCGGATTGTCCTTTTTGAGCGCCGACCGGGTTGTGTCCTGCGCCAAAGACCGGTGCGTCAAGCTGTGGGATGTCGCGACTCAGGTGTGCCTGCAGACCATCGCCGAGCGCGCCGAGTTGTGGAGTCTTTGCGCAATCCAGGCAGACGAGGTGTGCCCGGGAAAGCAGTTGGTCGCGGTCGGCGGGGGAGACCACCTGCTTCGGTTGTATCAACTTGGAGAAACACCAAGTAGCAAGACAAATGCTGCCTCAAGTAGCAAGGGAGAAATCATTTCGGCAACATCAAGTAAAAACGAGAACAACTACAGCGACTACCGCCTTGCGGAATGGGGCCAGCTGCAACGCGAAATCACCAACGCCGCCTGTTCCTCGCTGCAGTTGGTGAAGCTCGCGAACGAGGGTGGCCGACTACTGGTATGCCAAAGCAACGGGAAAACCCTGGAGGCCTTCCGCCTGCACGACGAGAAAGAGATCGACAAGCGACGGAAGCGGCGGAGGAAGCGCGCGCAGGAGAAGCAGAAGAAGAAGGCCAACGCGTCAAACACAAATGTCCTGGCCGTCGACGAGGATGCGTTACTGGCTGCGGGCGCGGCGGCGGAGGAGCATTTGGACAAGACGCAGGCCGCCATGCAGCCCACAGACGCGTTCACGCGGTTGCCGGTGTACCGCGTCCCCGCGAAGCTGCACGGCATGGCGTGGGCGCAGGGGCGGTGCGCGCTGGGCCTCGCCAGCAACAGTGTGCAGGTGCTGGACAACGTGCAACTGCCCGAGCTGTCCGCCACGGAGGACTTGAACCGTCTCACGCCTTTGGTGGTGGAGAAAGCCTTCGCGCTCGAGCGTCCCGGGCACCGGAACTGCATCCGCGCAGTGGCGGTCAGTCCGGACGACATGCTGATTCTGTCCCTCGCCGCGGAAAGCATCAAAATCTGGTCCACCCAGACCCATCAGTGCCTGCAGACGCTGCCGAGCGGGTATGGCCTCTGCGGCTTCTTTCTGCCGGGAAACACGCACGTGCTGATCGCCACGAAGACCGGGGACTTGGAGCTTTACGACCTCGGCGCCGGCGTCCTCACGCAGAAGCACAGCCTGAGCGCCGAGGGCCGCGCGCTCTACGCCCTCGCGCCCACCCCGGGCGAAACCGGTTTCTGCGTCGGCGGGGCCGACCGGCAGGTCACTTTCTTCGAGTGGGTGTACTACACGCAAAGCGATTTGGGAACTAGTAGCTCAAGCGACAACATCAGCGCGAAGAAAAAGCAAAAGAAGCAGAGCAAACAGCCCGATGCGAACGCGGAACGGAAAATTCTGCAGTTCAGAAAAGTAGCTGCGCAGCTGCAAAATCTTGATCCGACGGAAGAAGAGGTTGATGATCCGGAAAATAAGGAAGGGCGCGCCGGAAAAAATTCCGGCGTCGAAGCAGGTACTACTTCATCTAAGCAATCCAGCCTCGACATGCCTGATGACGTGATGGCGCTTGCCTACGGGAAGGACTGGCTGGCGGTTGGCATGCTGGATAACAATGTGTCAATCTACTATGGCGACAGTCGGAAGCACAACCTTTCCCTATATGGTCACCAGCTGCCGGTCCTGTGCGTGGACCTCACTTCGGACCAGCAAATGGTCGCGTCGGGAAGCGCGGACAAAACCATCAAACTCTGGTCCACGCGGTTCGGAAACTGCCACAAGTCTCTGCGCGCGCACGAGGACAGCGTCATGTGCGTTCGGTTCGTGCGGGAAACGCATTACCTAGTGTCGTGTGGCAAGGACAAGGCGGTCAAGACGTGGGACTGCGACACCTACGAGCTCATCGCGAACTTAGGTTACCACACCGGCGAAGTCTGGGGCATGGGCCTATCGTACTCATTCTAAAACTTTTGAAGGAGTTTTTTTGCATTATTCGCACTTGAAATTTTTTTTTGTCGAAAAAATGTATCTGCAGTTCATGATTTCGCCTTCCTGTATGCTTTACCGATCGAAGAAGATGCACCAAAAAATGCACGTGCTCGACAATCGGTAGTTGTACAACAGCGCAGTCACTTCATCGCTCCGACCGATAAAAAAAACCAGGTACGACGGCGCGTTTCTCGTAACGGGGGGCGAAGACCGCGCGCTGCGGTTCTGGCGACGGACGGAGCAGCAGTTTTTCGCGCACGAAGAGCGGGAAAAGGAGCTGGAGCAGCAGATGGAGCAGGAGGCGGTCCGCGACGATTTTGGTGCGGGCACGGTGGAGAATCTGCGGCCGACGCGCAAGAACCTAGAGGTGATCAAGACAACGGACAAGTTGATGGAAATTTTGGACCGCGCGGACGAGAACGTGAAGATGGGACTGGACAAAACGCGACAGACAGCGATCGTGAAGTCGGTCAATACCCTGCTCCCAGCGAACATTTACGAGGTTCTGCTCGCCCTGCCGTTTTCCCACTCACTAGACATTCTGGAAACCGTCGCGCGCTTGCTGGGCTCTCTTCTCGAGGAGCAGGGGACGACGTCGAGGACCAGCGACGGTGTTGAGGAAAGTTATAAAGCCGACTCTGGTCGTCGTGCCCAGGAGGAGGGCAAGAACCCGAAGCAATTGGTGGCGGAAAATATTAAAGGCAAGAATTATAGCAAAGGCGATACAACTTCTTGCTGCACCAAGCAGCACCAGCTTTCCCTGCTGACGGAGACGACGATTCGCGCGACGTTGATCCTCATCCACGTGCACAGCAAGCAGCTGGGGCAGAACGCCGAGTACGTCGAGCTGCTCATCAAGCTGCGCGACGGCATCCGCTCCTTCGTCCAGCGACACATGGAAAATGTGGGCGTCAACGCGGCCGCTATGGAATTCTTCTTGGAAGAGATGAAATTTTCCCAAGGAACGGGCAATTTTTTCGGCGCTCGAGGACCCACTTCGACAGGGACGAATAAGCGGACGGGGGGGAAGGAAGCTTATGCACGCGGAAACTCGACGAAAAAAATGAAAGCAAAATGATGCTGGCATTCTGTGGTCTCTGCAGGCAGCTATATCAGCTTGCAAGAAAACGAAAATACTCAAAAGAGATGAATCGCCTAAGAACGAGCACTTGCTACACTGCAAAGGAAATTTCTCATTACAAAAGGATACGGATCTGCTGCCCCACAGCTCCCGCATTTTTGATCCGTGTGAAGAACAAAGAGTGTTCATCAAAAATGATGTGATGATTCATCGCTCAGACGCAACAGCAAACCTGAGACAGCGTTCAGCTTTCGCTCGCGATTGTGACAAGTATGCAAGACCACTGCGATCATCGAAACAGATCTAGCGTGATGAGCATGAGCATCTCATCAAAAGCGTGATCTGAAATTAGGTCTTGAAGCGTGAATAAACACAAAGATCTGCCTTTGAAATGGACCGCATGGGATTGCGTTTCACCAAAAGTCCACCTCTGATCCCCAATGTACCATGTCGACAAGTTCTATTTGTAAAGTAGTTTATTCGCTCAAGATGCTGCTCGGATCAGAAGAATTCCAACGCGTTTGGATCTGCGCTCCAGCATAGGAGGCAGCCGAAGCTGCACGGGCGATCAGACAAACCAAGCAATAGAAGCCTACCCATTAACGGCTTTAACATACGCTCATTTTTTTTGACCGGTTCAGCAACACCTGGATAGAAGAAGCGTTCTTGAGCCTTACGCGAGATGATTTCAACATTTTGAACTAAACGAAAGCCTTTAATAACCTTGACTGAACACCTCAACTTTTTTGTCGACTCGCGCCTCTTGATATTAAGTATCTTCATTTACGACCATGCCGACCGTGGGCATCTACGCTGACGAGCTGTGCAAGGCTCTGAACATCGAGTATGACGACAAAAACGAGAAACTAAAAGAACAGGGCGAGATATGGATTGCAAAAATGTCTGGGTCTGGAAGAATGCGAGATCTGTCATGCAGTTTTTGCCTGACCCAGATCGTCTGGTATGCAAGCTCTAGCATCACAGATTTTGAGCACTTATTCCAATGCCTAATCCGCATGACAAATCCTCCTTCTCGGAAACAAGAAATGGGGCTTTTTGCTAGCCATGCATGACAGATTTTATCTTGATGTAGACATCGCATCACAAATTCGAATCCTTCCAGACCCAGACACTTTTGCATTTGATACGAGAAGACGTTCGACGACTTGTGTTTCGAGTACGGACTGGAGCTCGACGATGTCACCTGCGACTACGAGATGGTAAAAGCGGAAAAGGGCCAGGAGGCCGCGGACTTGGCACGGGAGGAGGCTGCTGCCAAAGGCAAGGACACCATGCGCACGATCTGGAAAGTTGATATACCCGCAAACCGCTACGACTTGCTCTGCATCGAAGGTACAACGCGTGCTGCGGGTTTGTGCTTCGCAAGTGGAAATATGAATGCATTAGGCGCGGCGCTTAAAAACCTTGTCTCGAGATAATTGTTCTGGGACCGAAAGAACAGGAATCCGAGTCAAAACATGCAAAGATGAACCCGAAATGAAGTCAGCGAGAAAAAAATCTGGCTTATTGCTCAAAAATAATACTCACAGGGTTGACGAGGTCACTCCAGACGTACCGCGGGGTGATGGATCCGGTTCAATACAGCTTGGTAAAACCGGAAAGGCCACTGCAGTGCTTTGTCAAGAAGGAGGTCGCGCAGGTGCGCCCCTACTTCGTGATGGCGGTGCTGCGTAACATATCCTTCACTCCAGCCAGCTACGAGTCTTTCATCGATCTGCAAGACAAGCTACATCAGAACATCGGTACAGATACAGTGGGTTTACCTCAAAATTTGGCGGTTTTTCACGTACATATGTGGTCCTTATCTTTGCGGTGAGCAGCAGCCGGATGTTGCAAACAGCCATGATTATGTATGATCCAAAAGAACATTTATTCTCAGGTAGGAGGCGGGAGCTCGTGTCTATGGGAACCCACGACCTTGACACGCTCGAAGGACCATTCACGTACGAAGCGCTGGCTCCGGAAACGATAAATTTTGTTCCCTTGAAGGATCCCGAGGGGGTTTCCCTCGACGGCTCCCGGTCTTTCGACGCCAAGTCACTCCTCACCGGCTACCAGTCACACCAGCAGCTCCGCGCTTACGTAAGTTTGATGTAGTTTCCTGCGGTTAACTAACATAAGTACCACCTAGGGTGAGTTTCGTGGAACGACTTCTGAGAACTTCTATTTGCTCAACACATGACGTGGTCCCAAGCCAACGACACGGCGTTTTTAAGTTTTGGGTTATAAAAATTACAAACCAGGTGCCGTTGATTTACGACAAGCCGAAATACCCCGTTATCTACGACAAAAAGCGGACCGTATGCTCGCTGCCTCCCATCATCAACAGCTGGCACTCACGGATCAAGCTGGAAACCAAAAACGTGCTCCTGGACGTCACCGGATTGGACTACACAAAATGCTGCGTGGTGCTGGACACTTTGTGCGCCATGTTTTCCCAACACTGCGAGAAACCCTTCGAAGTGGAGCAGGTACTAGCAGGAAAAACTTAGGGCTCTTGTTCGTTGGGTTGCATAAGTACGACCAAGAGCATCAGCATCTTCCGTGTGTTATGGATCATATAGCATCAACTTCTATGTGGAAATGCAGATGGGATCTTTCTGGTGTACCTTTGTCAATGTGTATAGTTAGATTTATCCCCAACACCAATTGGACACTTAAACAGGTCGAAATGATCATCGAGGAAGATTACCCGAAGGACGTGCCCTTCGTGACCCCGGGATCGCGGAAGCTGTACCCAACTATGGCGGAAAAAAAGTTCACTGCCAACCCGGAGAGGATGAAGGACTGGCTCGACATCAAGCATTTGAGTAATTTGCATTGGTTTGCTTTCGACAAAAGGAAAAACATTTTCACATCTGGGGTGAAGACGACTCACTTTTCTGCGAGATAAACAAGTAGTTCTCGTCACTTGTTGACAACTATTTTCTTGTTGCCAGGAGCCGAATTATGAAGAACATTTGTAAAAATGAATAATATCACAGGCACACCAGACGTGCAGACGTATCTGAAGAAGATGATGATGCCATCCGAGGTGCTGAGCGACGGGCAGCTGTCGGTCCGCGTCCCGTGCACGCGATCGGACGTAATGCACGAGTGCGACGTAATCGAGGATTTGGCCATTGCCTACGGCTACAACAACCTCCGCGCCGTCGTGCCCGAAGTGGTGGCGGACATCAAGGACCAGAAGGTCGGGCGGCTGACGGACATGCTGCGCCAAGAATTCGCCGGCGCGGGCTACAATGAGGGGCTCACCTTCGTCCTGGTACAAGAAATGCATTTTATTCAAAGTAGCAAGAGCTTGGCTTGTGGTGGTTCCCTGTAGCATTTTGCCTCGTGGTCCCTGTAGCATTTCTTTCCACTGTGACGTCTATTTGCATCGGGCGAAGTGGTCCACCTGCTCGTGACATTATGAATTGGTTTGATCAACATCAACGAGAAGTTTTTGCAACTACAACCTCAAAAAATTATCACAGTGCTCCAAGGAGGACTGCTTCAAGTGGTTCCGGCGAGAGCCGTGCGCGGAGACGCTGGAACGGCAGCCGCACGCGTGGAGCTACGAGCCGCTGCTGCCGCCGGTGCTGCTGAAGAACCCGAAGACCAAGGAGTACAACACGGTGCGGACCAGTCTGGTCCCCGGGCTGCTGAAGACGCTGAACCACAACAAGAAGAACCCGCTCCCCATCCGGTTCTTCGAGGTCGCGGACGTGGTGGTGCAGGACAACGCGCAGGAGACCAACGCCCGCAACATGCGCCGCGCGGCGGCGGTGATCTGCAACCGCACCAGTTCCTTCGAGGAGATCCACGGGCTGCTGGACCACCTGATGTACAAGCTGGACTGCCGCAGCAGCGTTTGGATCGGGGAGGAAAAGCTGAAGAACGGTGGCAAGTGCGACTGGACGGGCAAAGTGTACGAGCTGCAGCACGGCAGCGACGCGGAGTTCCTCCCCGGCATGTGCGGACACATTTTCGTGGACGGCATCAAGATCGGCGTGGCGGGCGTGCTCAGACCGGACGTGTTGAACCCGCCTCCGGAGTTCGTCGGAGACGGCGCCGACAAGGTACGCCTCACCGCCCCGTGGAGCATCACCGCACCCGTGTCCGCCCTGGAATTCAACGTCGAACCCTTCCTCGAGTGGCTCAACCAGTAAAACGCTCCTATACCGGCGACCGCGGGGCGTCTTGAAAATGTGCAGGACAGCAGGAAGTTGCACAATGCATCATGATCTGTTGTGGTGATGCTGCGCGGACGAGGTCTCCCACGGTGCTGTCCCCGCGACTGCAGCCTTTCTCGCGCCGAAGGTTGCAAGTAGGAAGACTACAGGGCTGTGCAGTCTGTCGTAGAAACCAATTCTGTATACGTAGATCCGTGTACAACTTTCTAGTGTATCACGCAAGAAATTATGCGGACTTGCTTCGTGAGCAGCAAGCTTTACAGACGGGCAATGGTCCTGTGCTGCGCAATATCGTGCGGCTGTTCGTGCCCCGATGCAAACGATCCAAATGAGGCGAAGTGTGAAAAAAGATCCTACGGTCAAATTGAAACTTTGCGCCACGTATCAGATCTCGTGAATACTAAGTCTGCGCACACAACCAGAGTCGGAGATCACGTTCATAGAACCCCTTCATGGTTGTAAAGCTCCACGAAGTTTGAAAAAATTTCATTTTAGAAAGATCACAACTCGCTCCTGTGAAACGCAAATACTCAACAATGAACGCAAATACAAAAAACTACTGCAATACTCAAATCTCTGTCATCAGATCCGCGACTGTGGATGATTTTTCCTTGCACTCCGCCTTGTCACCTTACAACTCCAGGACAAATCTTCTCTTTAGTACTGATTCGTGAAGAAGAAATTAGCGGACTGACATTAACCACAAGAAAAGAAGTACATTTTGCATGTGTCAAGCCCCGGAAATTCTAGAACTTTCACCATGACAGGCGGAGCAGCCTCCAGCAGCGACCCGCGGCTCTTTGCGCTGGAGTGCGGGGGTCCGATTTTCGACTGCGCCTGGCATCCCCGGGAGCAGCGGCTCTTCGTGACGGCGGCCATCAACGGGAACGCAGATTTGTTCGACGTGGAGAGCGAAAACCAGACCTGTCTGGTTCGCCGCAAGCGACACAACGGCGCCGTGCGTTGCGTGGGATTTTCGCCGAAAGCGGGCGACCGGTGGGCCACGGGGAGCAGCGACTGCACGGCGTTGTTGTCGGACACGGAAACCAGCGCGAGAATAAGCCGCACTACTTTCGAGGCTGCGGTGAACGTGCTGCGCTTTGTGGACGTGTCCTCCTCCTCCGTCCTCGGGAACAACGACAGCTCGCAACTGCTGGTGTGCGGTCTGGATGACGGAAGCTTGCACTTTCTCGACGCGCGCACCAAGGGCGGCGTGGTCGCGACGCTGGCGGAGCAGGAAGACTTCGTGTCCGACCTGTTGTTTCTCCCGGGGAAAAACCACTTGTGCGCGACCTCCGGGGACGGCACGCTCGGCGTGTTTGACGTGCGGAAGAAGAAGCTGTTCGCGCTGTCCGATCCGCAGGACGACGAGCTCCTTTCCCTGGCCCTGTGCAAGGACGGGCGGAAAATCGTGTGCGGTGCGCAGGAGGGCGACTGCAAAATCTTCACCGTGGACGACTACGGGGACTGCAAGGACCGGATTGTGTTGGACAGCGGAGGGGGCAGTAGCGTGGCGCAACGCGACACCCTGGAGCTCTTCGGCGTGGGGACGTCCACGTCGGCCGGAGGTACAAATAAAACGGACGGTGCCGGCGCGAAGAGGGGGGCGAAGAGCGTGTCCAGCACGACGGCCGTGGAGAAGGTGTCCACGGACGCGCTGTGCAACCTGGGAAACAGCGAGGAGTACCTGTTGAGCGGGGGCAGCGACGGCCAGCTGCGACTGCTGGGCGTCCACTCGGCGCAGCACGGGAATCGGGTGGTGGCGCGCTTGGGTCTGCACGGGGAGGAGGAGATGCCGATCGAGGTGATCCGGCAAAGTCCCTGGAGTCCGACCACCGTCGCCTCGTGCGGCCACGACGGGCGCGTCCAGTTCTGGGACTTTTCGAATCTGCTGGCAAGCGTCTGTCAAAAAGGAGGGGGTGCATTGACTGTAAGCGGTGAAGGAGCCGCAGACTCGTTGCTCGAGCCGGAAGGTCATGCGCTGGGAGGCAAGAAAAAGAAAAAGAGGAAGGTGCTAGACCTCGGGGCAACGTCGGTGCGCGCGAATGACACGGGAAAGAACAACTTTTGGAGTGGCCTGCAATTCTAACATGCTCCCGCGACTTCTGAACGCAGAAATTCCACGCTTGCGCGAACAAGAACTCTCTTTGCGGACCGCACCGCGTCCTGTTAAGGACGTAAACTCACACAGGATATTTTATAAGTATTTCGGACCTGCTAGTCTATGTCAGGGGCTAGCCGCCAATGACTGTTCATTGCCCATGGGGCAAGTAGTTAAAGCTGAACGCGTCTTCTTGTTCAGATACACGATCACATAAAACGCTTTCTGAGAGCGGAGCGCGGTGGTGTTTCACAAACACGCTGAAAAGGGCGACTGAGTCTTGCCCTGGAACGAGTGCGACAATTTTTCTGGAGTTCTTCTGTTCCCCGAAGCTTTTCTGTCTGAGGCAACTTGCGTCTGAATTTTCGAAGAGACAGTAAAACCATGGCGTCTACTTCGACTCCGGCCTCCTCGTCAAGTCGGTTTGCGCCGCCGTTGCGGCAGATTTTGTCCAAAGATGGGACGACAAAGCCTGGGGGTGCGCACTTTAACGGATTTCGGGATGTTTCCGTCGACGGGGAATCTTCCTTGCTGGACCCGAAAAACGTATCCGAAGGCGAAATCTGCAAAGCATCATACGTCTAGCCCTAATATGCGCACAGGCATGCTCGTCGCCGTGAAGTAGTGCAGAAGCGCGGCTTCGCTTCCGGCCTGGTTTGCAGGAGTAGACCCAGAAAAGTCGAAGTGTTGCATGGATGGGTGGTGGGCAATGTGTACAGCAAGGAATTCGATGTACTTGGAGTTGTTGAGAGCGTTATTTGCTGCACTAGACTGATGCTCGCTGGGTTTCGTTTTCTCGGCATACGAGACCTTGCGCATTCTCTCGCCGACTGCAACGGGTGTCCTTCCTCGCGACAATGTGATACGGCTTACGAAAATGGCTTTCGAGGAAATCGGAGTCCGGCGCCAAGAAAAAAAGCAGTTGGATTCACTGGTCGCGGACAGTCGGCGGGCCCTGGCAGAGACGAAACGAAAAATCGAACTGCAGAAACAAAAAGTAAAAACTTTTGATTTGCTACCCCGGGAGCCGCTTCTTGCTGTGAATATCACGTAATAGTACCAGACAGGAACGTAAATCGACACGCTCCGCACGACTAAGTAGTAGAAGCAGACTCCACGTAAGCAGAGGGAGTGGTGTCTGTGCTTTGATGCGACGAGCAGGATACGGAAGCTGCATGTGCACCAAATACAAAACATCAAACCAGATTCGAATGCTTTCCAGTGAGACAATACGGTACGAAAACGAAACGAAGCGAGTGGAGGATGAGATGGGGCTACTTCACCGCGAAAGTACGGGACTTGAGCGGCTTAATCGCAAAACGGCCAGCGAAGCAAAGCAACTAGTGTACTATACATACAGCAGCCTGCCGATACGGAATGATTTTTTCGCTTTGATGCTTGGCATATACTCTGGAGCCTGAGATGAAAACACCCGTTGCGGATTAGTTCGTCTTCGTACTCGTAGCTGTAGGAAATTTTGGGAAATAAACCTCGTATGCTCAACATCTGTAACACATCAGCGCCGACAACAATAGTATCCTGATTGCGCTGTATGAAGCCACGAAGACCAAAAGGGAAGCGGAAGACAACGTGCAGGAGTACTTGCTTTACAACTCTGCCCCTAGTTTTTCTTTCGCACACTGTTAGTTTTCCATTTGCAGTTGTTCGGCGTACGTTCTAGTGCTATGCTCCTCTCGTGTCAATGTTGCGCTCGTCAAAAACAAAATCGTAGGGCCAGGAAGGCATATTTCGCAGAAGCAGATGCGCGGCGGATGATGACGCAAAGTTTCCGTTTATACGCGGTACGGAACGCGAGCTACGCCGAGCGCTTGGCACGGGCGCACCGTCAGCGGTATCAGCTCAACGCCGCGATTCTGGGAGCTGCAGGAGTACAGACCTGACCAGCAGTTAAGCAAATTTGCCGGCGCAGCTGCACGGGTGGAGATGCACTGGATGTACGATTTAATACAAGAAAAGAGAAATGCACAAAGAATCTAAATCAGAAGAACTAAGCGACAGAACGTGGCTAGCAAGTTCGCAATGACGGAATAGGAAACAGGCACTTGTCCTTGTACAGAAGGAAACTGATTGTCCATCCGTGTAAGATCCCTCCGCTTGGCAATTTTGAAAATAAGTACATCTTTCAACACTGTAACGTTGGCCGAACCGGTACCGAGTTTCGGGAAGGTCTTCCGTGTTCGATTCGTCCGGAGTCTGATTTTGGTCACAGTACGTAACGATCAGCTCAGCAGAACGCATTGTATTCGTTCACAGATCCTTGCTTGTGCTTCTTTATCCGATCACGTTTTTCTTTCTGATTTTGTTGAATCGACTGTGGTCTTCTTTTGTGAATTTAGGAATTTGTTTCGGTCACTCGAGCAGTAGCTGCAGGTTCCGCGCCGAAAAAGGTCGTGCGAAAAATGCGGGTTTTCACTGCTCTCGTGGTTGGTGCGGTAGCCGTGCAAGCCGAGCCGTTGTTGAAAAAGAAGCCGGCGTCTCAGGAGCTTGCAAAGGAGATGACGCGCGATTTGGAAATGAACTTCAACAAAATCGCACCGTTCGGTACTACTTACAAGGATTTCATTTTCGACTCGCTGGAAGTAGTAAGACCTGGTGTTTGCGGTCGATTTTTATTCATCTTTAGTTTTTTAAAGGTCACTCGCACTTTCCGCAGATCGCCGTGATAGCGAATTACCTTTGGGCTATTCTTGAAGCTAAACCATTTCATTTGTGGGGGAAAAATAGGTAAGGAAGACACTGCGAAGGAGCTGCAGGATCATGCTGCGAAAACCCAGGACACGCTTGTGGACGCCGTCGAGAATGCCGAGGTAGCTGAGATCAAGCGCGCGGTCTTCCGCGCACTCACGCGGTTGCGAGCGGCTTCGATTAAGGAATTCGACACCATTGCCCGCTTGGAGACCCAAGCCATCGATGCGTATCATCTTTTCTAATAAATTATTATCCTTGTTTTTTGGTTCCCTATCCCTCAGCTGCTGGAAGTAAGTATACTGCGAAGTTTCAGTTACAGTTTGTTTGGTCCTTCATCCGGTGCTTTATATGTCGAAATACGTCCTGATCCTATCGGAATTTTAAATTCACCCAGGTACAATGACGCCCACCACTACCGGGCCGAGAACCCGTATGGCGGTGAACTTTGCAAGTTTAGAGAGGAAGGTCGTAGTTCAGGTTTTCCTGTAGTTAAAGAGAGGTCCAGCTGGCACTTTTGGTGCACAATTAAATTTGAGTTCTTGGGCGTGGGTCCGTCACGCTTGCCTCGCATCACCAGGCTCCTTCAAAGTGTTGGCTTTGAATACATGACCTTCTTCTTGCTTGCAGTTTAAATTGCATACGCCGCTGGAGCACTTGCACCAAGACGAGTCCCCCGTGGACACGGACAAGCTCAAGAGCTTCCACTTGTAAGTTTGGTGCTCGTTTTGGAGAAGCAGTGTCGAGGCGCACGTCCAGCATTAACGATGGAGCGCGACGAGCCGTCGGACTGTAGAACCAGGCAGTACGAAGGAAGCTGCCGATTTGACTTGATAGAAAATCGCATTGTTTCGCGCTATGTTGCTGATGCTCAGCAAGGGGACACACCAGTTACGGTTTCTTTTCTTTTCACGCCTGTGTAGTTTTTGCTAAGTGGGCCATGAGGAAGGTAGTTGCCATTCAATAGAAACAACCTTATTTTTGGTAGAGATTGATTGATTGCTTGAGACGGCTGTTGTACTTATATTTGATTGCGGATAGAGAACGAGTGTATGATTTTTAAAGAGACGCGTAGACTTTTTTCTTTTCTTACAATACTTTTTGAGACGAGTAATTTTTTTTGCAAGAGACAGAGATTCACCAAAATAAGTTGAGTGCCTGCAGCTTCTCATGGACACTGAACCTTGAGTCTGAGTGATGCATCTTTTCGCGAAATTGAAGTTTAGATTTACGTTCCGTGCGAACATGTTATTTCTTTGTTCGTGCTTTTGTCATTTTTTTGTCCTCTCACGGCACCATCGTTGTCCAGGGACCCGAAAGTTTTGTTTTGGTCCAGCCCTTGAATTTTGTGTTGGTCCTGTGAGCTGTATACGGTGCAGCCTCACGTATCAAGCCTCGGTCGTGCGTGCATGGCAATCGGTATAGCCCAGATCCCGGCAAACAAAGACCTATTTCGCATTTGCGATTGGATCTCTCTTCCGAGAAGTCAAACGTATTTGGATATCGCTGCACTAGCCGCTTCGGTTGCTCGTGAGGGACCTTGCTTGTGTTACACGGAAGGTATGTCTTGCGCGTCGCTCTTTGCGCGGCGGGTGCCGCTTATTGCGCGACCGCTGGTTAGAACGCGAGTATCGAGAGCCACCAGTGTGTGGCAGGGAACGCTAAAAGAGGGCTCTGGATCAGTTAGTGTCGGCAGTGGAACGATCAAGGAGCTGGTACTGAAACCTGCTTTTACACTTTGGCTCGGATAATTCCTAATGCGCAAAAGTAGCCCATGCGTCAAACTTCATGTGTAGCTGCGTTGTTCATGTTCTGTGACTGCTGGATCTTCTTACTGATAAGAGTCGCATTCAGGTCTCGAACCACTACAGGAATACTCATTTGCATCACGCTTTGAGACGGACGAAACAAAGTGCAACCCGGAGGAGCTGATCGGGTCGGCAATCTCCGGCTGCTATTCCATGTTTTTGGCTGCACTCCTGACAAAGAAGGGCCTGAATCCAGATGCAGTACCTATTCGATTTTTAGTCACGTCAGGCCTCCCCATCCTGCTTTTTTTGCAATGATTTTGTAGAAATTCAGAAGTTCTGTATGCTTTTGTTGCCCTGTCTCCATCTCGGTTTTTCTCACATCTGTTTTGGTACGTGACAGTATTTTTCTATCACCTGAGGTGACAACCACGGCAACAGTGACGCTCGCGGAGGGCCCGCTGATTTCGAGCATCAAGCTTGCCACGGAAGGAAAGTGTTCCGGTGTGGACGCGAAAACTTTCGAGGAACTTGCACTCGAGGCGAAAGAAGGTTGCCCAGTCAGTAAAGCACTGGCTGCTGTACCAGAGGTGACGCTTGAGGCCAAGCTGCTGTAAATGGTATAGAGTCTGACTGCAGTGCCAGTGTGTAAGAAAAGTAGAGTTCTTTCGGAACAATTATGCATATATTCAATTTCGCAACCTGAATGAAGTAGATCTAGACATAAGCAGTCTTCTGTGATAGCGACCTATCATAGATTTATACAGACGGGCTGGTGTCTGGGACTAGTGCCTCGACACCAGGCAGACTGCTTGCAACAGTTGCAGTTCTTGTCAGACGAAATTTCAATGCAAAAAGGTACAAGTTAATAACTCAGCCGTGGAAGACGTGATGGTACTGGTTCTCTTTTCGTTATGAAATCACGAGCAGGTGCCAGTTCGTCCGCTATGTTGAAATCGTCACTGTGACATGGCTATCCTTGCGGTAATAGCATACCTTCTCTGGATCATGGTGACATGCCTTTTCACAGTTTTCCATTTTGCATGTCGCAACTTCTTTGTGCTGCCTTTCGCGAAGGGTCTTGGTTGAGGTAATCCTAATCGTTTCGTCTTGTTTTCAGAATAAATTCGTGTAATCGCATTTTCGTTCTCCCCTCAGTGTCACGTTCGTTTGTCCCAGTTCGTTGTGAACTAAAGAAGCCTACCAGGTCTACGTTCGCTGGTTACTTGCGCTCTCCGTTGTCGTCGTTTTTCCTTTATTTTGGGCGGTTTTGTGTCCCCATTAGACAGGACTTTTGGAATCGTTGTCGCATTAAACAAAAATACCCGTGCAGGCCAAACCCTTATTGTCGCCGGGACCCACATCAATAGACGGTATCGAGATCATATAATTGTCCCCACTTATGGGAAGTTACTCTGTGCTGGCAACTGGCAAGGATGCGGGGACCTAGTGCAGCAATACACACTGAAAAGTCCTGACTTTTTTACCTCCTATTGCAACCTCCGAATTTCACATATACCCTAAATAAGTATTTGCGATCATGCTAGAGGATATTCTGCCGGACGACGCATCTCCTTTCCCAGGACTCCCGGAGCGGCGTCATGCTTTCGTGAAACAAGAGCAAGAACGGGATGCGGCGGGCGTCCGAGTGCTGAAGGCCGACCCTGACCTCCCGACCCGCAAGGGCCGGGCTGCTTTTATTCACGACCGCCATGCGCAACCTGAAGAAGTGTCCGTGGAAGAAGAGCTCGGGCGACGGCGAAAAGCGCACTGTTTGCACCGCGCGAAAGCTGGATCGAGAGAAGCGATAGACGGCGCAGTAAGTGGTGATACTACAGCGGCCCAAGATAAAAACACTCGTGCGAAGAACGATGAAGTGTCGATGCCGCTCGATCACTCCGCGTCTTCTGTTCTGTCGTGCGCGGCGTTTCTCGATCGGACAGACTCGCTCAAGGTGGCGGCGGATGAGCGCAAAGATGACCGGGCGAGCGGGCGCGACAGTCGGAGCGCACTCGCGGGAGCGGTGCGCAACACGCGATCGCGACAAAGTTCGCCGACCGACAGTATCGGCCGGGGCGTCACCAACACGGCCGGACCCGAGCTACGGTTGATGCAGGGAAAGCAGCGAAGGAGCGTCGAGGCCCTCGGTGCGCAAGAACTCCTACGTCCCACCACGGGGTCCGCTTGTTCGGCTCCAGAGAGACCTCCTCAAACGCCCGGAGTAGACGAAGGCGCACTTTACGCAAGGCGCAGGCACGTCAACCCCGACGCCGGGCGGTCGCAACTGTGGTTGGACGAAGATGACGCGGCCAGGAACAGCCCGCTGCACCACCTGCGGGTGCGACGGCAGCTGGCACCTCCTTCGGCGAGTGCAGCTGCACAGGGTGATATTAAGCAGAGCGGGAAGCTGCCCGCAAATTACTGGGTTGGCGCTCGGTTCGCGCGAACGAACGCAACCGTCATCTGACTTTTGGGTATAATTTAGCTACCCACTTTAACTTTTGTGTGCGCCCAAGCTGCGGATGGGTTCTGTCCGTGTAAATGTTTAGTTTTCTATACACCATTTCTTGCTGTTGACAGAAGTTGTCATCATACGAGCTGTGCCGCCGCGGACGCGCGGTTTCTAGGTTTGGTCACTTTTGTACTTTTTTCGTTGTGTTCTTGAGAACTTCAGCTGCAGATCATTGGTGAATTCGTTTGGCGAATCTTCGAACGTACATAGCCCGAATGTACCAGGCATCAGCGTGTCAAAGCGACGATATTGAAAGCTGTATTTTTTCACATTGTCCACAAAGGAACGGATACAGTCATTGAATACGTGATGGGCGAACAAAGCTAGCATAGTAAGTATGCAAGCAATCTGCAAAAGAAGAGTGGTCTTTTTCGAGAAGATGCAATCGAGGTTTACAAAGATTGAAAATAAGCAGGCATGCGCTTAAAAAAACATGTATTTAGAAATTAAGAAAACATGAGCTTCTTTACATTTACTGCGTGACCGCACGGGCATCAGACAAGGATGGAGCACGCGGATTACGTACGGAAAAAGGTGGATCCATTGCTGGATAAGATTGTGGCGGGTTTAATAACAGGTAGAAAAGAATAAATGTCAGTACTGAGTGAGTATTCAAGACTCTTTATCGAACTCCATCCTGTAACTGCAGAACTAGTAACGTCATTTTTTTGCCGTCACCGATGCACGCATTCATCTTCGAATTTTGTTTTTGGTTTCGCTACAAATTACCTCCTTATTTACAGATCGCCCAGAGGACGTGATCGGATACATGATTCGATTCCTGGATAAGCCGGAGCCGAGTCGTATCTTGGAAAGGATTCAGTTCAGCTCCTGCAGACGACTTCGTCTAGCGTCCAGGTCACTGATGTATGTCGAGATTATTTGATACCCCGCCGAGAGCGAGAAAATTTTTGGAGATGACTACAAGGACCCTATCCATTCCTGCTTTGCCCTGGACAAATGCGTGAGGGCTGTGACCGGGTGTCCGACTGTTAACTAAGTAGGGGTAATGCAACAAGGAGAATCGAATATAACCGGCCCTTGCGCAGAGACAAAGTGTTTGCAATTTCAAGTTTGCTGCAGTAGCTGAGACTTAATTTTCACTTGCATACACTTGCGAGACCAGGAGCGGGAGGTTCGACACAACATCGAGGAGTTGCAGATCGACATTGAATCTCTCGAATCCAAGATTAGTGAGAACGAGTCGAACAAAGCGTCGCTACCGCCGGTGGAAGGAGCGCAGGACTCTGCGCCTGCAGCGGAGGAGGAGAGCAACGTCGCAGCCGACCCCGAACCGCCGGCATCGGGCATCGAAAGCGGCGAGGCATAGCCTGTTAAAATGCAACCGCCGCCGTGCGGCAGTGTGAAGCGCAATAATCGTGCGCAGGTTCTTCTTTCTCGGGTAGTGCGGACCTGTGCCCAGTAGTCGACTACTTACACACAATTGCGACTGTGCAAAGTTCACTGCGCGAGTTCTCAATTTCTTGCCAATCTGCCACTTTTGGAGGCATGGATGTGGACTCGGGACTTGTTTTTACGCACTGCGTAAACTGGTATTTGCATCGAATAATTAGGAGTCAGTGCTGTCATCTGCGGAGGCCTTCTTGTTTCCGGTGATGGCATCGGAAGATTCGCAGTCGCTACAGTAAATACATTCATGGAGACGTCTGACATCTGTTTTTGTCACTGATTCGAGTTCTTCTGGCGGGTTGGTTGCGCTTTCGAGACATGCACTGCACCTTCATGCGAATTCAAATACAAGATGTTCCAAAATGACCAACAAACGATCTTGCACCGTGCCGTGCTTTCGATCGATCACGATCTCTCTCTTAGGAGAGAAGCATTACAATAAAGTCGGTTACTGTAGCGCCAGCGAGAAGTAATTCATTGTGATCTTGATGCTAACTTGGATAAACTGATATCGGTGGCGTTGTGGTCGTCCTTATCGAAGAATAGGTTTGGATGTGATCTGCAATTTTCATCGTGTTTTACAAAAAATACAATTTCTGCATTCGAGAACAAAACTAAGTTTCAAATTTCCGCCTACTATTCAGAACGAAGTTCTTGTTTCATTGATTTTCTTTCAGTGAGCGGCTAGGACTAGGTCTTTGTCTTTCATCTAATTATTTCTGTGTGTTGTATGAAGTGTTGCTAATAATAACATGTGCCGCCCTCTGCAGCGGTGCAACCATGACCCCGTGTAGTACTTACCCAACTGGCCTGGTCGGGCTCGATCGTTTGTAACACCGATGGCAACGGCGCAATATGTGGTAGGACAAATAGCGGTCAACACTGCCTTGGCTCTGTATCTGACTTACTTCTTGCCCCAAATAATCTACAACCAATGGGCCATCTCGTTTCCGCCACCGGGACAGAAGTCCACGACTGTGAAGCAAATCTCGCTGCTCACTCAGCTTCTACAGTTCCTGACGAGTTGCGTAGACCTCGTGTACGGCCTGGCCGGGGTTCCGCAGTGGCAGTATTGGCTGGTATCGGCTGTGTCGCTGCTGTGTCTCAGCATCCAAGAAATCCAGATCCTCCACGTGCGGTTGCGCATCCAGCAGGGAGGTCGTAGTGACGTAGACCCTGAGACGGGAACGTATCAACACGGAGAAAAACTTGTGTCAGTGCTGGTCAGAGTTGGTTTATCACGCTTCATCTTTTGCATGGATTGGGAACTTCCGGCGCGGGTGCTCATCTGGGTGTGGCCGAATTCGTGCGGGATAGACAAACGAGACCGATGAATATTTTTTTTCTCTCCCCTTGCTGGGAATCAGTACTACTACTACTACTACTAGTAAAAAATCATGACTGTATGCGCTCCCGCTCACCATCACTGTGCCCGCGCCCTTGATGTTGCACTTGCAGGAAAGCGAAAAAGTGAAAGGTATTCGTTGTGAACGAAAACAAAAGCATTTATCGGAAAAAAGAGCCGCACTACACACCACGACTGCCACTGAGAGCACAAAGTTTCGCTTTCATAAACAGTTGCCGCTGACGAGGACAAGAGGAGAGGAGCAGGGGCTTTTACAGGAGTCGCAGCCACAAGCAGCAGACGAACAATTCTTGCAGCTAAACGACGGGGCGCCGAGCGATAAGAAAGAGGGGCGAACAAGTGGACGCGTGAGTTATACCGATGCGGGAGGGCGGAACGTCGAATCCGTGCCGGTCTGCCTTGTCGTGTCGCACGGGGTGACGACCGCACTAATGCTGTGCGGCAGTCTGATCGTGACCATAGGGCGGTTTCAAATTTCGACCGCCGGTGTTGATTCGCTCGGGTTTATCGAAACGGCACTATACCTGCTCACGTGGGTATCATGAGTGAAGAGCACGCCACTACACTGGAATAGGGAAGCAAGTTTATCTGGCGAACAGCGTGCAACTTTCCGTCTAAACAGACAAAGCAACTCTCTGAACGTGCCGACCACACGGCAATCAGTGCTCATTGATGCATTTGTTTTGTAGGTGTCACGAGAAGAAGTTCTATGAAGGGTTGTATTTTTCGCTCCATAGTAGAATGATTTATTTGCTGCAGTAAGAGTAACTTCTACTCTAGACCTATTCCAGAAGGTGCTGTGTTTTCTCAGGACACTGGTTGCCCCAAGTCTATTGGAATTGGCGCAACAAGAACGGCGACGCGTACTCGGCAGTATTCCTGGCTATGCAGTGGCTTGCCTGTGTTTGCGATCTGGTGACCGCCTTCTGCGTGTCCGATTATCCTTTACCAAGCAAAATCACCCCTTGGTTTTTGTTGGCTATCGTATCTGTCCACCTAGGCCAGAAGCATTATTACAGGGGCCGGCGGCACAGAGAGCAAAACGAGGTAACAAGGGCGTCGGGGGCTCATTGCTCTTTCTCTGTCTCCTAGCACATAAGACGTGCGGAGCGTTACGCGAGGAGCCCGTATCGCCGAAGGTTGACAAAAGAACCCTCCGCAGCGTTCTTCGTAGATGAGTTCTGATTCATATATGTGATGATTATCATACATGAGTAGAAGTACAAGTAGCGTATTTGCCTCCGTATTTCTTCTGTCGCCTGTGGCTTTTCCACAGCTCTCACGGCGAAGAGGTATTCTAGAATGAAGTACGCTTTCCAGGTGTTTTTTCGCGCGTTTTTGCGAAGAAGAGCTCCCCCCGCATTTTCTCATTGTGGGTTTCTGACTGGATGTAATATCGCAACAGGGAGGCTCAGGCTTTTGACTCCAAGAGCTGGCATCTTTAAGCCAGAAACATCGAAGCTACGAAGTTGAGAAAACATCGGCATAAAGCATAGTCACAACGATTTTCTTCGCCAGTCGAGGAAGAATATCAATATCACCTCGCAGACCACGACTGGTCTCAATCATCGGTCCAATCTGCGAAAGGGCAAAGAGTCGGAGCAACGAATCACATGATGCATCTGCGAAGAAAATAAATAAGTAACTCGGTTTTATTATCACCTTGAATCGGTTTTGATTGTCGTTCATTTTTTCAGGTTCCTATACCTGGTTCGGTTCGTGCTGGATTTTCACGATATTTCGTGCTCGATGTCGTCCTCACTGTCGTACGTCATTCTTTTTTTCACCCTCTTTCGGACACATGCTTACTAACTCGTGCTACACAGCCTCTTCGTGCTAAGAAGTCGATTTTCGCACTATCTTGCGAATTCCTAAGCCGCGCTGCGGTATCTTTACTAATATTTCAAGCTGTCTCCGGACACAAAGCTGTCAGGTCTCGTCCCTGTACTCTGTTTTATTTGCGTGTCATTCCCTTGGGAGGACCCGCCCCTTATCGTAGCGAAAGTGATCTTGTTTACTACTTACGACAATTCGTGAAACCGGTTTTGGGTTTGCAGTTTAACATCGCATTACACACATTTTTTCCATTCGAAAGAGCTTTTACTTTTTTCATTAACTTTCAAAAATTCTACGAATTTCGTTCGAAATTTTGTTTCTTTCTGGATCTCTTCTTCATCTCCGTCGTAACAACACACAAAGCGTCAATCCTCGGTCGGCCAAAGATCGACTAAACCAGAATGGCACGAAAGAATAGGAGCTTCACACGCCATCTCTTCTTACTGTCCCAAGCGCGCCTGAATGAAGCTGTGCACGTACCCCCTGTTTCGGAGGAAAATGTCGAGGGTCTGTCCACAGTTATTGAAGAAGAAGAAACCCAGATCCGATCATTCCAAAAAGCCAGCAGTGCTTTCATGATGTTTTCCCTGCATAGTTTTCTGTGCTGAATGCGTTTGTACTCAATCCGATATGAATATTGAGTGAGGTGGCTTTGACCTACTTTCTCTTACTGCTATTGGCCGTGCTGGTACAGCTTCAATATAATGCTATGCAGGGAAAAACGGCTGTCGCTGTGGTGATCACTGCACTGCTAGCTCTTGCATTTTGATAGCACCGGACGGGCCTGCGGGACTCTCGTCGGGCGGTTCCGAGGGCAGAACACCCGCCGCAAAAGGTTTCCTGGCGCGAAGAGACCGACCCGCGGGCAGCATTTTCCAGGCCGCTTTTCTGCGGGCGAAAGAACCCGTCTCTGAAGTGACGGAGCCAGTCGCTGTCGCGGTTACGCCCGGCGGGGAGCAGTTGGGTGAGGACGGCGCTACAGATGATGAGAGAAGCAGTCCTGCTGTCGATTCGTTGACGACGTTGCCGCTTCGTGTGGAAGGCGGCACCAGCGAGGAGGTTGAAAGTGGTTTTACTGAAACAGAGGTGCTAACATCGTCGGTGACTTTAGGCGCTTTGCAAAACCTCGACCTTTTGCAGCAGCCGCCAGCTTTGCAGAAAGTGAACCAGCTGGCATTATTAGAGCCTGAGAAGGGGCAGCAGAAGCAGATGCAGCCACCATCGCAGATGCAGGCTTTGCAGAAGCCGATGCGAAAAGGACAAGTTTCTCCACGCCCGCCGGCCACACGACCGCACGTCTTCTTCTGGAAACACACTCCGCAGTATGAGCTCTCGTCTATGAACGCGATATCGCCCCGACTCCTTTGCACCAGGAAGTCGATAAACATCAATCGAAGGAGGGTTTGGTATCGTGCATCATAAATTTAGAGTTAACCTGTATACGAATAAAACATGAAACGAGCCCGCATTTGCTCGTTGCTCGACAAATTCGGTATGGTCGCTGCTTCGAGCAGAAGTTATGCGCGTCCCACGTTTTTCAAGTACAAGTACTTAGTGTGATGGGAGGACGTATGCGTGTTGACGTACTAGAAGTTGCTGTCTGAAGCCTCATCCTGAATTTGAGTCGGGACTGGAGTAAAATTGTTGCGTGCATGGCCATAAAGTTGCTCCAATGAAATGCTGTAAGGTGGTTTAAGAGTCACCTAGGTGCAGGGAGTTGTTTTACCTTGACACTGATGTGGAGTTCGGAGACTGGCTTTGCAGGGTCGACGCGTCATGCTATCTTCGAGCCGATCAAGGCTTTCAGCATCCTATCGCTATCGAGACAAACATCTCGGCACCTGAGCATTTTGCCTGGCGAAATGAAGAATTGGGAACTCGACCCGGAGACAGCAAGACTCGCTGGTAAGGTCAGAACTGAAAATGACCCGAGCTGGACCAGGGATGATCGGAGGCTACGGTTTAGCGTCGCGGCACTCCTGACTGTGGCCAGCTTCATGAGTGGTGGAGCTGCCCTGGCCTTGCCTGTTTTGGCTGCGGCAAAAGCCTCGTTCGAGGCCACGTTGTTATTTTGGCCGTATGCTAACGAAGGAATCTGGCGCACAACGTTGGTTGAAGACACTCGGGCCGCAAACCAGGGTTCGGTACAGGTAAGAGGGGCCCTGGAGCCGTTGTACAAGACATTCAATCCACTGCATCTTAAGTCACTACAATTGAGCTGGATGTATCCTCTAGAAATTGATGTTTGTTCGTTTCAGAGACGTGAAAGTAAGACACATGAAAACGAAAAGTAGCACCGGCGCCATGACCACGCGCGGAGGAGTACTTAGCGTAACTATCGACTATAGGCATGATGCTAGTAGACATCATTTTCAAGAATTTGCTGGCGGCAAAAACAATTTCAAAGAGGATACAATCATCTACATGCGCTACTGCCCCCACTTTGAGCAGGTCAAGAAAACGGACAAGTTGACACCCGAAGAACAAGTTACGGAGAGCGTATTCGACGTGATGATGGTTCGCAACATCGAGAGACTTTCGAAGAAGAAAGAATTTCCGCTGGCAAAGGAAGGACCAACGGAAGCGAACCCGTTAGGGCGGAATCCCCTCTTTCCGTGCTACAAAGTCACGAAAGCGTTTTGGTCTTCGAACGACGAGTACAGTGTTCGTCGAATCACTGGACTGAGTATGAAAGTGAGACGAAACCCGTAGCAACCCTGCCAGCATTCGCACCTCTTTTTTTTTGCGCATGCGGGCATGGGGGCTACCGCTTTCAAGTCGATAATCGAGGAGGAGAAAGCCCACACACTCGCAGAAGAATTGCGGGGCCAGACTTTGGAGACTGAGGTGAAGAGTCTATTCACGATGTGGAAAGATACGTATGCCAAGGTCGATTTGTTGAAGATAGAGGTATTAATTTCATGTTCAGCTTTTTCCTTAATTCGCTTCTTTGCTGCTTTCCCCAGCATTGCCACCCGTTCCGAGAAGACTTAGCAAAAATGCAACTAATGACAGCGGAGCTTTGAAGAAAAAATGATATGTCTTGTTTCATACAGTAGATGCTCTTTGTCGCGGAGGTGGAGGAGCTAGTATCTATGAATAGGCGCAAATGCCTGCTGCAGGACAGTGGTAGTGCATTCAATTTTCACCTCCGGTGAATTCGTGCTCAAAAGCAATGTAGTGATATCTCTAGCTTTGCGAAAAACGACATTCAGGAGAAGGCATCATTTGTGCTGAAAGCATGGAGCCTTGAGGCTCCAGCAGCCGGTGCGCAGGCCCTCATCGCTGGGAGGAAGCCAATCGACCATGGAGAGGGAGGCGCCACTACGGCGTCATTTTTGAAAAACCCACTTGCGGCAGTCAGATCATACGTGACGGGTGCCAAACTATATTATGTACCCAGCCAGAAGACGAAGAAGGTGGCGAAGCTTGATGATGAATCTCTCGTATCTAGTATTGTTGAAGCGGCGCCGGGGGATCTTGATTCCTCCTTTTTCCAGATTTACCCCACCGCAAGCGGTTTGTTCCGCCCAACCGCTCACAACTCTGCATTTGCGCAAATGGGTATGCCCGCTGTGGAGGCAATGAAGCACGCGGAGGATTTGACATTTCTCTTACGTGCGATCCAGATGCGAGTGGCGAAAATGAAGTTCGCCTTGGGCCAGCGAAGTGGGTTGAAGAAGCATGAAGAGTCATCTGGATAGGTGACCACGAAGTTTCGGTATGTAGACGCAGCAATGCAACGAATATCCGGTTGTAAGGATATTCGATAAGAAGTCAAGTTAACAGCTAGTATCTCGTGTGTATTGACGGTGTTGATATGATCTTGTCCTCTCTCTGGGTCAACTAGAGTGTTTCTGGTCAAGATCGACGAAGGAAACCGTGTAGAACGAAGACGGACACTACGTAACTGAAAGTATTTGACAAATTTTGTTTTCCGTATTTTTTTGACAACTTGCTCCTAGATTATCATCAATATTATCATTTTCATTTTCATGAAACATTAACATACTATTTTATATATACGAGTCTACAGCTCACGATGTTTTTTTTTTACGAAGAAAAGGAATGAGAAAAAAGTCGGCACTTTCTCGAGCTGTTGCAGAACAAAAAAGAGTCAATTGAGTTTTTCTGTGATGCCAATGCGGTGGGTACTTTCGCGAGAAAGCAGGAGGTTTCTCATCCTCGAAGAGATGCAAAGAACAAGAAGTGACTTCCGTTCAACTGGTCAGTTTTCGGGAAAAAAACTACAAAAGGGAGCGAGGGTGTAGTTCATCGATTTGCGAGATTCGTTATTCCACGCGTGCAGCAAGAGTAGGGAAACAGGCTTTCTTAGTTTTTTTTTTTTTGTGGTCTGCTGTTCGTTCGACGTCGCTCCCGCATCTCCACGGATCAAGTTCGGCAGCTAAGTAAGTTTCTGTTCGTGTCATGCTTTGCAGGTGCGCGCGAGACTTTCTTTTCGTCCGACGGTGCAAATCGCACATCGGCGTATCAAGCGCAAGGAGATATCTAACTACAAAAGGAAAAGTAGAAATAACATCGTTGGGAGCACGGCATAAAGAACGCTGAAAGACGTATGAAGCTTCGTAGATGAGTTCGGGTATCAGTATCAACGTGCAAGCTTGCTTAAGATGTGTCTTTATCACCTTCAACTTCCAATTTTCATTTCAGCGCAGCTTGTTCTCCATTTTTGTTTCCTTCTGGGATATTTTATGTAAATGGACGTAAATCTAAACTGAGGTAGCAGGAGACCGGCCGCGGGGAAGCCTGGCAAGTAAACCACACGTCAGAATCACAAAATGGCGTCTGTGTCGCACAAAGCAATCCGCGCGGCTGCGCCCGCGTGGGACGAATTGACTGCAGACCGAGGCATTCACAGCCAACGCGCGGTCCCCGACCCGGAGAACTATGTACTCGTCCCAAAATTTGCGCTTGGCGACGGCACACAGCGACAGGTGGCAGGACACGGACATGCTTGGAGTTCGTCACCCCTCCCTCCGAATCATCTCGATTTCACCCCTGGAGGCGTTTTTCGGGCAAAACATGGCGCAGCCGTCAATTTCACGGACGGCTGGGGTAGTACAAGTCACGGCCTGTTCTTCGGGAAACGCACTGCAGGCCTTTCGGCGACGGCGCGGAAAGCGGCAACACACGCGGTCGCCCTGCACTGCGTCGGGGTGTACGACCCTACTTTTCGGAGGCTAGCGCCGGGGTCGCGGGACGATATTGTTCCATCCTGGAGGCTGCGGGTCGACCAAACCGGACCGCTCGACCCCTTGCCTGGTGGCGCAGCAAAAGGGAACGCAGCGACGGAGACGAGTCGCGAACCAGACGCGAATGGGACCGAGCAAGAACCGGATTACCCGCCAAAAACCGTGTCGAGCCAAGAAACAATCTGGGCCATCGTCGCAAGTTTGCATCTCATGTGGCAACCTGCGTTTTCCCGAGCTCTGCTTTCGGGATCGCAGGAGCAAGCGTCATTGTCTGGTGCGAGCGACGTCGATAGCTTGGCCACAGTGATATCCGAGGACTACTATACTTTCGGTAGCGAGCAGGGTGATGTCGATAGCGCGTCGAATGGGTCTAGCGACGAGGACGGGAGCGACGCTGGCGGAGGTTTGTCGCCATCAGAGGTTTGGGCTTTCGACGCCGCAGCAAAGCGATGGGTTTCCGGTGGATCGAACTACAGAAAAACCGGAAGACCCTGATTGTAAGTTAAGATAGCGTGCTGCCAGCGCCGACTGCTCCACGTATGTTGAAGGGACTTGGGTTCTTCGATACACCGAGGAAGTCGATGAAGATGTGAGGGAAAGCGCTCCTTGCAAGAACGCTGAGGCTTCTCTTACTTTGCAGGCTCAAGAAATGCAAGTCTGTACCTCTGCTTGAGTTGCGCTTTGGTTGCGTTTTTTTGCTGTTGTATCTGTATGATTATGTTTGGTTCTTGCCAACAAAACGCATCTGTATTTCACCTTCGGATTGAATTCTTACTGGCGCCATTTTTCCAGTCCTCAGCGATCGCCCCTTCGCGGACTGGTCTTTTCCCGGCATTGTTCACTGGTAGCGTTGGAACAAAAGTACTGTAGATGCCTGATATAGCGAACAAGCAAGAAATTAATCATACTAGAGCTGCACTGCGATTGCGAAGCTTTTGTCGCGAGTGCTTATCGAGTGCACCAAATTTGAAGAGGAGCGGTTCGCGAGAGATATTTTTTTTTCGTTTTGTGTTGTGTTTGGCTTTAAGAGAAGAGGATTGTGGAGAGAAAAACAAATTTGGATGCAGTTGATGAGGTTTTGATTTTGTCGACGTCGTCCAGATTGCAATAATTTGAATTACAAAGATACTAGGCCGCGGTATTGAGATCAAAACTATGGCTGCGCAGTCCTCTTCTTTTTCTTCGAAGGGCAAATCAGATCGCCATGCGCGACAGACGGGCGATTGGGTTCCGGTGCCGCGCCCGGACGCGGTTCAGCTGGCGCGCGAGAGCTACGCTGCCTGCGGTCGGTCGGCACGCTTTCGGGCGCCGTACGAGGCTCAGGTGCAAGAGCTCCAGCATGCAGTGCAAACAAAATGGGCTTTCGCGCGCAAGTTGTACCTGCAGTTTCTGTTGCAGCCGCTTCGCGCCGCCGCGTATGCGAGTCACCCGTCGCGCCAGCTGCAAAATGTGGCCTACGGCCGCGCGCGGCGGAAGAAGCGGTGGAAACCACTGCAGCGGCTGGCGGACCAGAGATATGAATTGAAGCGGTACGCCTTCCAGATGCTGTTGGCGGCCGCGGCGCGCGGAGCCGCCGCGCTGACGATTCAGACCCGGGTGGCGCGGCCGTGGTTAGCGCGGCAACGGGTGCGGCTGGTCGTGTGGCGACGGGTAGAGCTGCCCCGGGCGGCGACCACCATCCGCCGGGCGTGGGAAGGCGCAGCCCTCCAGCGGCAGGCGGGGCGCGTTCTGCAGTTACTGCGCGCGCGCTTGGTGAGGCAGGTTCTGGTTGGCGCGGTGCGGACGTTTCAGTGCAGGCAGGTGCTCACCCGGCTGGCGCGGAAGCAGGCACTGCAGGACGAAGCGCGGCGGGCACGGGAAGCGGACGAAGAGCAACGGTTGGCAGTAAAGAGGCAGGCCGAGGAGCGGCAGCGGGAGGCGCGACGCAAGCGCGAACAGGAGCGCTTCTTTCAGGCGCGGCAAAATTCCCAAGACGTCTTCGACGCGAGTGCGCCACGCGGTGGATCAGTTGCTGGAAGTGGTGTTGCCACGACCGCAGACGGGGAGCGCCTGCGGATCCTCAGCGGAAAAGCACCGACAGCCGCGCTGGAAGCGGACATACAGATGCGAGCGGCGACCCGGGTACAGGCCGCGTTCCGGGGTCGGCGAGTGAGAGAGGCCAATAACCCCTTCTCGGCGCAGAACCGCGCCCCGCGGCCAAACGTCAAAGTGGACCACTCGGGGCACTGGAACTTGCTGCACCAACGGCAGCACCAGGGGGCGGTGCATCGATTGCACACGGTCGCGCAGGCCGCCGTGCCGGCGCCAGCCGTGGAAGACAGTCCGCGGGGCGAGCCGGTTGGGAACATCAAGGATCCGCTCGAGGCCGTGCAAAGCCACAACTTGCTGCACGACCACGACGGCCATTGGTCGATGATGCACCAGCGGCAAGCGCATCGCGCAAAGCAAACAAGCATTGCTCCAAACCGAAGCCTCGACGACGACGGTAGTTTCCCGCAGGCACAAACTGCCGGCTACAGGAATGATTCTGCGAGTGGTCGTTCTTTGGATGCGCTGCCGCCGAGCGACGAACCCGAGACCCCCTCGTCGTCCCAGAGCAAAGACAAAAACTTTTTGTTTTTCAACGACTTTCTCACCGGCGTCCTGGGCGGCAAAAGCCAGTCGCCGCGCTACAAGTATCGCGTCCTGCCCACGGCCGAAAATGATGGGCTGGCGCTTCTGCGGATTCCGCGCTTGTGGTTGCCGAGTGAGCGTGCAAACATGGGCCCAGAGGAGCTGACGGAACTTCGCAATGCCCACCGCGTAGCGCAGGGCCTGTCTTCCGGGGGCGTCCGGGAGCCTGCAGCCTCCGCCTCCCCAGAGCCGAGCAGCCCGGACGACTTGGCCTCGCCCGTCCACGGGGACCAAAATGAGGTTCCGCCGGACGTGCAGGAAGTTCCCAGGGAGCGGCGGGGCACTGCAACGGCTCCTCGACTTGTTGTATCACACTCGCCAACTACCGGCGACCCCACAGGACTCGGAAGTAGTCGTGTCGCAGACAATCCTTCGCCGAAATCGCAAGTGCAGCAGCCGGGTGCGGTGGTTTCCGCTGCGAAGAAGGCCGCGACAGAGGGGAAGAGCCGCGCGGAGAAGGGCAGTGGAGGAACTGAGTCATCCGTGGCCCAGCGTGGAAAAGGCGTAGGCCAACGCGTGGCAACCGTACAAAGCGGGAACATAGGAAACTTCTCAGCCGCGGGGGGCGACCGAAGCGCTCCAGTACCAGGTAAGCGTGATGTTCAGCCGCATCAGGAGCTCGTGTCCCAGATGATAGGTGAGGTGCGCGTGGAGCGCACACAGCGAAAAAACGAAAGGCTCCGCTCCATGCTGCGCAGGAATCGCGGTCGGCTACTGGGCGTCAGCGCTTTTCCTTTTGCGCTGAAAAACAGGCAGGAACGCTCGGAGCAGGAACAGAGCGCGCAGCCTCCAAAGGAACAAATTGTGGTTGAGCGAACTGAAAAGAACGCGGGGCTTGATGTAGATGATGGCCTGAACGCGAAGTACGACGTAAGCCGCGGGTCGCAAGAGGAAGTTGCCGGGCCCCCCGATGGTGAAAAGCGGAGATCAGATGAGAAAAAGCCTGAAGTGGCTTCGGCCACGGTTGTTGATGACTTCCCGTCGCTGGATGGGCGCGGTGCTTCTGGCCAACCTCCGAGAGCTCCTGCTTTGTCACCACAATCTTCACGGGTCCCAGGCAGTGCTGCATCTCCCCTTCTTGTCGGCGCAAGCGAAAAGCCGAAAAGCCCCCCGAGCTACATTGCAGATTCTATTCCTTCAGTTGCGATGGCAGAAGATTCACCGTCGCGCTCCTCTCCGCAACAAGGATCACCTCCAGTAGCAACGCAAATGGCTGCACACGATGCTGTCGCGGAAGCAAAATCTTTGGCACCATCACTGGAGGTTCTCCTTCCCGATCGAACTCGCGACGCAGCTCAGGCACAGAAAAAAGCGGCCGAGAAGGAGAGGCTGGAAAGATTGCGCCGTCAACAGGAAGAGGTCGCGAGTCGGCGCGAGCTTGCGGTCGCAGAGGCGAGGAAACGCGCGGCGGAGATCGCGGAACGGGAGGCGGCTGAAAAGGCTCGGAAAGACGAAATCGTGCGGAAAGCCCGAGAGGAACAGGCCAGGCGGAAGCAGTTGAGGCTAGAGACAGCAGCGGCGAACGCTCGAAACCTAGCTGGCGATGCTGACGCACTGGCTCGTGGAGAAGACAAGGAAGCCGCTGGCTCAGTGCATTTCCCAGAATTTATTTCCCCGGCAGCCCGCGCCCCGGCAGCCTCGAGTAACAGCGTCCGGCCGGAAGTGTTTGACAAAGCGCAGCCGAACATTCCCCGGGAAATCGTGGGAGCGTCGACTTCTATTGCTTCCTCGCCGGAAAAACCTATGGCATCTTCTTTTGTAGCAGCTGAGAACAAGGACCTGCCTGGAAAACAAGTAGAACTAGAGGTAAAAATAAAAGCGGCAAAAAGCGCCCCCGCGAGCAAGGAAGAGGTCAGAAAAGCACAAGAAGAGCGGAAACGGCTGCAGGAGGAAGCCACTCGCGCGCGTGAGCAGGAACGTGTGCAGAGGGAGGAGCGGGAGCGGGCGGATGCCGAGGCCGCCGCTCGAGTCGCCCGCATGGATGAAGTTTTTCGAAGGTTGGAGCCCGTACTGGTGCGCCTAACCGATGAGGTGCGCAACCGCGAGCTTTTTCTGCACATGCCGCAGAACGATCGGAACGCGGTGGAGCGGGCCTGGCCTGTAGCTGTGAAGTTGTTTCCGCAGGAAGCGCGAGACCTAGGCCAGGTCGCGGAGGTTCGCGTCGAGGCCGAAGCGCAGCTGCGCGAGGTGGTGGCGGCCGCGATCAGACTCCAGAGCGTCTACCGGGGTTGGAAGATCCGTCGCCGAGGCCTACTGGAGGAGCGCGTCCCCCAAAGCGCGGCCGCGCGGCGCATTCAGGAGTCTTGGCGATCGCGGAAAGCGCGCGTTCGCACGATGATTCGGACGCGCATCCCTGCTTTGTGGCGGAGCCAGACAACTTCCTCCAGGCTGCAGCTGCTCGCCAGCGTGCACACCGGGCCCTTCCGCGACGAGATACGGAAATTTTTATCGACCGAGGTGCCGCAGCTAAAACGCACGTTCTTCGAGCACAGTCGAAAAGTTTTTGAAGAGCAAGAGGTGAAAAGTGAGATCGCCGCACTGCAGCGAAAGATCATCGGGGTGCTGGACAGCATGGAGGAGCGCGGCGCCCTCCGGGATACGACGACTAGACCCGGTGGCGGCGTGCATGGCTCCTCCGTTCGGCAAAGACACAACTCCACTTCTGAGTTGGCGTTCGAACAGCAGATCTTGTCGCTGCTGCGGGCCGCGCTTGCATCGAAGTTGTCTTCCCTCAGCACCTCATCCTCTGAGACCGGTACGACCAAGAGAACCGTTTTAGCTGGCATCGTGGCTCGTGGGCGGAGCAGCTTTTTGAACTTTATGGAGGCTCAGAACGCAACGCGCGAGCGGGCCGTCAGGCGCTTGCGAGAAAAAGTGCACGCAGCGGAGCGTGCGGCCGTCGAAGAAGGGGAGCACTACGATGCGACGTTGCAGCGCCTGGAAAACCACTTGCAGGCGCTTCGATTGGAAATTCAAAGCTCCAAGTACGATAGAAAAATGGCACTCTAGTGGCGGGGAGTTTCATTGAGGCAAACCGGAGGTAGTTTCGCGTTTGTTCAGCAGAAAGACGAGTACGCTTGTGGCTGCTAGCGCGGGGCGAGTCTGAAATGTACTGCCGCAGGGTCGCTACCTGGTTCTTTCCAAGAAAACGCTAGTACTGAACCGTCACTAGGACGTATTTGGAATGATTTGCGTTCGTGCTACTCCTCCACTTGCTCGCGCTAGCATTTCCGCGCAATTCAGCTGCAAAGGAAGATGAAGTGTTGCGCGGTCGACTTCAACACTGCGGGATTCGATCCGGTTCGTAGCACTGCATGGCTGGTCCTCAAAGCAGAAAGTCCCGTAGATCATGATGCATAAAGAACCAAGAGTTTGAGTTTCTCTAGGATCTCTAGACCGGAACACAGAAATCGAAAGGTCCCGTGCTCTGCTGCTGCGAAATGGCGGAAAATGATCAAGGAGCAGGCTGAAGCACTTTTGCGAATTGCAATCACGCTCGAACTTTAGGCTCTGCTTGAGCAAAGATGATCATGATTCAGAAAGGAAGATAAGTACGACAAAAGGATCCCTTCGAGTGGATCAGCTTTTGCCCATGAGGTCGATATCTGAGCCTAAAAGAAGCATAGGCGAATAAAAAGAATATGAAATCTGCCGGATCTTTCATGTTGTCTTATTTCCAAAAAACAGGAGGAGAAGCATAACGCGTCTCGGCAGGATCCGTATCGGGCGGCATAGTAGTCTTATCTATCATCTACGTTCACCTCGTGACTTGCCATGCTGTAGTTGTAGCAATTCTTGACGCACGTCCATAGATCCATCGTATGTAGTGAGGTCACCGAACGGTTCTAACCGGGGAGTTTTTTTGCCACCTCCCGTGAAAAACGGCCGGCAGTTTCCAAGCGGGCGGAAGTGTTTTTGGACATAAAAAATTTCCAATTATCAAGTGGCTTTGGCTGTGTCGGGACCGAATCGCCAGCGGATTCTATCGCTCGCCGCTTGGTAAAACGACGCAGGGGAGCCGGCAAAAGGGGCGCCCTTCTGAGGCGCCCACCGCCTTAGTTTCTAGCGATTTGGGGCGCCCAAAAAGGGGCGCGCAAAAAACGCGCCCAAGATCAGAACAGCGAAACAGCACGGCACGGCGGCGATTTCGGAGCATTTTGGGCGGCCGCGAAAGCGGCCGCCCTTTCGGCGGTTTTAGAGCCTGGGAAGCTTTGCAAAAAGCGCCGGCGTGAAAAATAAAAACGCGAAAAAAAAAAAGTGCGCCAGATGCACAAAGCCAATCCGCATGCTATGGGCCCGGTTTTTCTTCGCTTTTTGGGCGCCCCCCGTGGCACCCGGATCGGCCCCATAGCATCGGGGCTGGCTTTCGGAAAGGAATTTTGGAAATGTGCCAAAATTTGCGACGTTCCCCAAGTGGCCGCCATACCGTGCGGCATAACGTTACTCACGGTGGTATGGCGAGCCCATAAAAAGCAAAGCCGCGGCCAAGGCTATGGTCGGCAAAAAAACGCCCACGACCTCACTACCCCCGCCCCGGCGGCTATATTTGGTATGACAAAAATGAGTCGCAGCCGCGGCGCAGTTACGTACTGGGTGGAACATATGGAGGAGGGAGCAGAGATATCCGATTGGGTGGCGCTCGAGTATGCCCACATGCGTCTATGTGTTGGTGGAGACCGGTTGGTGATCAGTCAGTTCCCGGAGGAAACGAGTGTAGTTCACAGTCCTGAACGAACAGACGCATCTTCCACTCGGGTTCCCGAGTGCGCGGAGCACGAGGCCCTAAAGGCTTTTCTAGCACCGGAACAACAACCCCCGGCTCCAGCAACCGATGAGATCATCATTACAAGCGGCTCCAGCAGCTCGAGTTTGGCGTTTGATGCCCCACCGGCGACGTCAGCACGACCCTCACTGCACCTCGCGACGTCGCTGCCCGTCTTGCTGCAAACGAGTCGGGAGTGTTTCACCGGAAAAAGGATATGCCTCCTGGACATGAAAGCGGACCAGCCCCTGCGCCCCGACGACGCGTTTGATTTCGTGGTTGCGGGGGGCATTTTGGGGAACATCCTGCCGGCAGGCGAAGGATCAGCCGACGACGGCGACGCGACGAGAGGGAGTGGTGTTCCGGTGGACACGAGTTCTACTTCGCTGGGCGTGGCCACGGGGTACTATCCGTACACCTCAGACGATCGCACCGCCGAGATCCGGGCGAAACTGCCTCCCTGGGTGGAGCGCCGTCACCTGGGTTCGTGGCAGATGACGACGGACACCGCGCTGCTGGTGTCAAAGCTGGTTCTGGAGGAACGCCTGAGCCTGGAGGAGATCCCATTCCTCGACGGTCCAGAGATTCCGCTTGACGAAGCCGGGCCGGAGAAAGAGTATTCCCTTGCATCGAGGTCGTGGAACTGCGAGGTCGTTGCACCGGGGGCGCAGGACGAGCTAGAAGGGAGACCAAGTACTTCGTATTATTTCGACCAAGTCCTCATGCCGGGCGTGCTGGACGCGATACGTGTGCTACAGGAGAAGAAAAGCGGTAGACGAGTAGACCCGAAAAACCGGGCACAAGGACACGAAGATCAACCAGACCGCATACCAGGAACTCCGAGCACCGTGTGCGGCGAAGTAGTAGAAATGGAAGGCTTTCGTTATGTGGCGCGAACAGCGGGGGAAAAGCAATGCCAGAGGAAACTGGTTCCCATTGTTCCGCCGGGCATGAGAGAATACTGGCAATCTAGTTGCGACGACGACATTTTCTAAACGTGATTTGTCCTTCGATTTGTAGACTTCAGCTGCTTATTGATTCAGACACGCACTTTTACACAAGTAAGCGATAAAAAAATGGTCAGGATAAACACAGCGTCATGTTGGCCCTCGTCATCTGTGTCATGATTGTGCCGCAGAAGAGAGCAGAACTGCAGTACTGCGGACGGAAATGGAAGCAGTGTTCGACGGAATCGAAGAGGAAGACGTAGTTGTAGAACAGCTGCAAATGATAAAATCGAAAGTCGGATCCCCAATTTCGCGGCCTCGGTCTAAACAGTAGCTGTGAGTTTTTCTCCCGATAGTTTTGTAGGTCGTACAGAGGAAGAAAGGGAGGCACAAAGATGATCACTACCGTCTGATTCAGTCGGCAATCGGCTTACGTTTGCAGATCCTTTGCGGGAAGATGAAATGCGAATGCCAAATCGGAAATGATCAAAAACGCAAAATGCAGAACCGAGCAAAAACAAAGGAATGACATCAGAAAATACTAACTTCAACCATTATAGAACGCAAGTATTGAATCACACCCAGGTCCTCCTTTATCTTTTTCCATCCCCTACTCACCCAAGCAACTTTTTCCCGCTGTAGCATCCCCCTGCTTAATATTCTGAACCACGACGACAAAAAGATCTTTCGTTTTAATTAGTAGGCGACCAAATTACAAAGAAATTCGTATGGACTGAGCAAATTTCTGGTCTACCTGACAACAGGCACGAAGAGGTACCAACTAACAGGCAGAGATAATTACATTATACATATAGACTGACGGGAACGAGCGGCAAGCTTTTCGTTTTTTTTTTGAAGAATAAAAGATAGATCCAGCTCCGAGGAGCAGTAAGCATCACAAAAATGTCGTACATGCTTCCGCATCTGCACAGCGGCTGGGCCGTGGACCAGGCGATTTTGTCGGAAGAGGAGCGGTTGGTGGTGGTCCGGTTCGGGCACGACTACGACGAGGAGTGCATGCAGATGGACGAAATTCTGTACGGGATCCAGGACGACGTGAAGAACTACGCCGTGATCTACCTGGTGGACACCAAGGAGGTGCCAGACTTCAACACCATGTACGAAATTTACGATCGGGTTACGGTGATGTTCTTCTTCCGGAACAAGCACATGATGATCGACTTGGGCACGGGAAACAACAATAAAATCAACTGGCCCTTCAACAACAAGCAGGAGCTGATCGACATCTTCGAGACGGTGTACCGGGGCGCCCGGAAGGGGCGAGGTCTCGTCATCTCCGCAAAAGACTACTCAACAAAGTACCGCTACTAGTCGGCAAGAACCCTGTTCTAGTACCTGTTGGTCCAGTGCAGCTGCCACGTCGGGCGTCTCAGGTTGATCCTAGATTCTCATTATCCCGCTGGCAGGCTTCGAGTAGTTCAATGCACACCTGCGTACGGCGATCTGCATCTACTGTGTCCCGTTCTTGCCCTGGCCCATTCACCGCCGCGGATATGCAGTGCGGTTTGAAAGCAGACGGAGCGAAGGTGTAGATTGCTTCGAGGGTTGTTCGATTGTCGCTTCTGCGAGCATCTGCTCGTATGCAGCAGAGCAGGCTGCAATAAGAAGAACAGAAGACAAGTGTGTCGAGTGAAAAAGCGCCCAAGATGAATTTTGGCTACTGCATTGACCAGCCCGGGCAGTAACACAAAATGAACAAAGCAAGTAACTGAAGCTGATGAATCCGTGGCTGTATTTGCTAGAAGGGGGCGGCGAGTAGTCCTCTTCCCTTCCTCGTTGTGCCAAGCGAGCGAACGCGTGTTCAAGCCCAGCGGTAATAGATCACCATCTTGGAACTTATAAATTATTTAGGTGTCATCTCTACGCAAAATGTCCTCATGGTCAAGAGAGTTGTTTGTTCCTTCGGCTTTTGTAGTTTTGTCCACACTATCGTAATTGGGTCTTAGTTCTTCTCGTTGGAGCATTGACGATAGGTGTGGTTCGTCAAGCCATAGAATTGGAAGCCAAAAAAAAGAAGAAAAGCTCAATGCGGCGACGAGAATGGTTTCACTTTCACCAAGGAACAGGCGGGAGCGAGCGATGAACTGGCGTACACATTAAAGACCATCATGGCCTCCACAAGAGACCACGAAGGTGATGACGAGGGAAAGCGTAGACCGGTGTTCGCGCGAGTGTGGGCGTCCGCGCGGCCGTTTACGATTGGGGCGCTGGCTGGGTGCTGCAGTGCGACGTTGATGACACCCTTGGACCTGGTGAAAGTTCGCCAGCAGATAACGGGGGAAAGTGCTTACCGGGTGGCGCGGCGAACGTGGAAGGCTGACGGTTTGCGGGGTTTCTACGCGGGTATCTCGGCCGTCTGGCTTCGACAAGTCGTGTACAAGGGTGCCGTTCTGGGTTTGTACGACGTGTTTTCGGGAGCAGCGGCGGGCGGCTCCGAGACCCCGGCGCCACTGGCTCGTTTGGTTCTATGCGCGAGCGGCGCCGCGGGCTGCGCTGCGGTAGTCGGAAACCCCGTCGACCGCGCCCTCGTGCTGATGCAGGCGAATTACCGCAGCAAGCGGCAGGCGCGGCCCTACGCGCACGTGGGCGAAGCACTACTCGGGATCGTGCGGACGGAGGGCGGTCGGGGGCTGCTCCGCGGGGTCGGCGCCACGGCCGCGCGAGCCGTCTCGCTCAACGCGTCTTTTCTCGCGGGAAACACCTACCTGAAGGAGGTGATCTGCCCGCAACTCTTTCCAGTCGCACTCGTCACGCAATGTCCGTACGTGATCACGGTGTGCAGCGCTGTTTCCGCGGGGTTTCTGTCCTGCGTGACGTCCCTCCCGGCGGATTTCGTGAAGGTCACACTGCAGATATCGTAAGGAAAAATGCCCCCACCCCCGAACTTGAAAGGATTTGTATTGCAAACCTTTCCAAATGAAACATTCGCCCTCTTGCATCTATCAGCATCACAAATTTCCCATGCTGAATAGCGAAAATTTCGGATGCAAAGGAGCCCAACAACAGGCGGATCCCTGATGCAACAGATACCTTGCGCACCTAGATTCTGCATCAGAAATGCTTGCGCTCCTTTCATGCAAGACAAAAACCTTTCATTTGGAAACTTTGCATGAGAAACTTTTGCGAATTCGGGGGTGGGGGCACTTTTCATTGTAATAGCAGAGTCAACAAAAGAGCGGAACGGGGAAACAAGTGTACGCGGGGCCGCTGGATTGCGTGCGCGAAACTGTCCGCACGCGGGGCGTTTTGGCGTTTTACACCGGCTTCGGGACCTACGTTGCGAAACAGGCCCCGATGGCAACACTCACACTTTTGTTTCAAGATGCTCTCAAGCGGGTACTGCACACATTCAGATCACTGTTTCGGCTTGGTGTTCGCCTCTTTTGCTTGTTTCCCAATAGAAAAATTAGACCACAACTACTTGTAAGATAAGAAGCATCTATGTTACCGACTTGGTAGCTGCGGCGAGGTAGGGAACATCTTCGAGAGAATGCACCAGAGCTTCTTGAGCAGCCATTTATTTGTAGTCTGAGACCACATCAATGAATTAACCTGAGCAGTTGCAAGAGAGAGAGAGACGGACAAAGAAAAAAGAGGGTGCGCAGTTGCTTCAGCGTTCCTCATTTCCGTGGCCCAGAAACGAGCGGCTCTTTGCGCTGGATATGAAGAGAGGGTCTGCAACTATTCAAGAGCTAGGTTGAATTTGTAGCGACTTTCCCAAAGTAGAAAATCATTGAAATGTGAGGAGGAAGCAACATGTATGGTATATCAACAAAAGTATCTTCTCGAGGATCCGGGGATTGTTGATGTTGTCGAAAATAGTCGATTCGAAGATGAAAACTATCTGCTTAGATTCGGTGTATGATGGTGCAGAATTGACGAACATGATTCTTGAGTAAGCACAGACTGATCTTCTCTTGCTCGACCTGGAAAACAAGACTTTGGGAAACAAAACCAATAGCTTTTTTTTCGAGGGTAGTTGTCGGGGAACAGACCAGTGCAACCAGCGCATCGCGGTCGGGGTAGGTCCTGCTGAGAACCTCAACCTTCCACAGAAGTCTTCAAAAAAATGACAATCGAAACCGCCGTTGATGCCGGCTGGACGCTGCTGGCCGGCATGCTCGTGTTCTTCATGCAGGCAGGATTCACTCTTCTCGAATCCGGCTACGTGAAAGCGCGCAACATCCAGTCCATTTTGATGAAAAACGCCATTGACGCGTCGGTTGCGGGTATCGCGTGGTACCTGTTGGGGTACGGGCTCGCTTTCGGCGAAGATTCGTGGCACAAGGAGCACAAGGGCGGTTTTGCCGGAACGGACCACTTCGCGCCCGGGTCGGACGAGTTGACGGACGGCACGGGGAGCTACGTCGATTTTTTTTTTCAGTACACCTTCTGTGCCACCGCTGCGACGATTGTGTCCGGCGGCGTGGCGGAGCGTTGCAAACTGGAGGCCTTCGCGGTGGTGTCGTTCTTGCTGACTCTTGTCTACTATCCCCTGGTGGTGCACTGGACCTGGGGTGGCGGCTTCCTGACCCATATCACACAGAAAAAAGCTGGCAGGTCATATTTGTAATGCAAAAATAGACTGACAAAAAAGCTTTATTTTGTATTGCATATCCTAAATAGCATGCTATGAGGCCGCCCATGACAGATTTTGCTGTGTATTTGTTTTTGCATTACTGCCAGCTTTTCTCTGTGGGATAACCCAGAACGGGTACTCGGACTTCGCGGGCAGTGGCGTCGTGCACATGTTCGGCGGTTTCGCGGCGCTGGCAGGTGCGATCGTGTGCGGTCCCCGGCACGGCCGGTTTACGCCGGGCGAGGAAGCCAACTTTGCCCCCTCGAACATGCTCTACATCTGCGTCGGCGCCTTCGTCCTGTGGTTCGGGTGGTACGGCTTCAACGCGGGCAGCACCCTCGGGCTTTCCGGCGGCAACGACTTGCTCGCCGCCCGCGCGGCCACCAACACCGCGATCTCGGCCGCGTTCGGGTCCATTTCCAGCTTCCTCACCTCGTACATCAAGGACAAGAAGTTCAACGTCGCGGCGTTCGCGAACGGCATCCTCGGCGGCTTGGTCGGCATTACCGCCGGGTGCGCGGGTATGGACACTCATTTGGCCTGTGCAACGGGGATATCAACTGTAAAAATGTCTGGGTCTGGAAGAATGTTGCAAGATTTGTCATGCATATTTCTCATGACCCATGATCTCTGTAATGCAGGGCCTAGCGTGACAGATTCTGTGAGATCCCTATCATGCCTATTCTGCATGAGAAACTTCCTCGCAACTTGGTCAAAAGTGGACAGCTTTTGGCATTCATGCAAGACAGATTTTGGCACGATCCAGAATTAGCATTACAAGTTGCAATTTTCCAGACCCAGACATTTTTACATTTGATAGGGGATCATCTCCGGCCTGCTGGTGGAGTCGTCCTCCGTATTCCGTGTAAAATCGTCCCCACCCTGCTCCGCAGTAGAGATGTCATGCAAATCTGCAAGCCTGATCCTGAAATGTTTCTCATGCGCAGTGCCATGAGGACCATTTTCGAACGCTATTTTTATCTGGGAGTTTGTCATGCTGGAACAATGAGGATAAGGTCAATTTTTTGTGATGCGGTTGTAATAGCTAAACAGTACCACGCTAGTACGAGCTGAATCTTGTCGTGCGCAGCGGCCAAAGCGTGTTGCTTTCTGTAGCGAAATCGCGATCTTGACCCTGGTGCGGGGACGTTTTCACTCAGGATATTCCGAGCTGCTGAAGAAGTTGAAGATTGACGATCCCGTGGGCGCTTTCCCAGTCCACGGTGCCTGCGGCATCTGGGGCGTGATCGCCATCGGGTTGTTTGACATGGAGAAGGGGTGGTTATCAGAGAGAAATTAATTAGCTGGCAGGTGGTCATATTATCTGTGATGCCAAAATGACTGAATGATGCGCAAAGGTGGCTCTGCTCGTGCATACTATGGGCTTTCCCATCTACTTACTACTTCACGTATTATTTTTTTTTCCCGCCGCGTATTTCGTTTGTTGTTGTACAAAAAACATCACATCGCACGTGGTCGTGCCAGCTTTTTTCCGCGGGATGGTTGTGGTCCGGCAAGAAGACGTTTGACATCCTCCTCGGGCCAAACATCACCGGCATCATCACGATTGCCGTGTGGAGCTTTTCCACTTCTTTGGTCACCTTCTTGGCCTTGAAGTACGCCGGGCTGCTCTTGGTTTCGCCGGAAACCCAGACCGCGGGGCTCGACCTCGAGAAGTTCGCACTGGAACGCATCCCGAGCCGCAAATCGGAACGCGAAACCGGACTCGTTCCTGCTACCGGTGTGCTATGCATAGGAAATGTCCCGACGTCGTACTACAAATCGCACGATCATTTTGTCTGTGCCACCTGGTAAATCGCGTTTGTAGTCGTGTAACGCACTTAATAGATGATACAGTTACAGGAGTCATGGTCACGGAAGGACTTGAACACCTTTGGTGCAGCTTTGGGTCATAAGTACATCATGATACATGGTCATCTCGCACCATCGTCACGAGGGGATATTCAATTCGGCAGAGAACTGACTGCGACTAAATGCTTACGACATAATTTTTGCAATGCATACTTGGTGCCGGAAATTGAAATGCCGGAGAAACCGATCACACCGGTGGTGGATTTGAAAGCTGCTGTCGAGTATCAAATGCAAATATGTCTGGGTCTGGAAAGAATGGAATTTGTGATGCTGCGTTTGGATTTATATAAAATCTGTATTGCATGAGCAGCAACGGGAGCCCAGTTTTTGCTACGCGAGGAGGGCATTTGTCATGCGGGATAGGCATCAAGAAGGCCTCAAGAAACCTGTGATGCTGGGGCAGACATCACAGACACCTTGGGTCATGCAAAGTGTGCACGACAAACCTCGTATCCTTCCAGACACAGACATATTTGCATCTGATATCGAGGACATCGTCGTTGAAGGGGAGGTGGTCGAAACTGTGGAGACTATCAAATGTAAAAATGTCTGGGTCTGGAAACTTGTGATGCTGGGTGGCGTCTCATGATGAGGCCACAAGTGCTGGCTCAGCATGACAAGTTTCTGAGCTTCTAGGTGTTGCCTATTCTGCATGACAAACTACATTTCTGCATCACTGAAAAATAGGGCTCTTGGGCAACGTGCATGACAGATTTAAGAGTCATGCCAGACAAGCATGACAAACATGCATTCTTCCAGACCCAGACATTTTTACATTTGATAGAGACTGTCTAACTGCGATGGAGAAGTAGACAAATCGCATGCATGCTTGATGTGTTTCGCTAATGGCTCCCCCTTTCTATGGTCAAGATCGGAAAATCGCGAGTTACTTAAATGTGGGGTTTCATGGTACTTACATATTACAAAAATCGAGGGTGGGGAATATACTACAAATATACGTCAATCGTTTTTCGAATGAAAAAATATCAATATGAATTATTCACAGGTCGAGACTGAGTTCTCAATTTTTTGGCTGAGCGTAATTATTTCTGTCCGACTCCGAATCGTTTTGAAAATATGATGAAAATGCGTGATCGAACATAGCAACCTCGTACATTAGGATCAAAGAATCCACCACCATGTGATTCTCCCAGACGGGATGGAATTGCACCCAGAAGTTTATTTGCGACCCTCTGTTGATTTACTGAATAGATATTTCGTTTGATGGAAACGAAAGCACGAAGATTATGAATGATAATTAATCAAGCGCCGCCACGAAATAAAAGTTTTATACGTTTACAAGGGGCAGTAGTGCAGGCACTACAGGTGAAGAACAGCAATTTTGTACTTCGTATCTCGTCGCGAAGATGGGCTGGGTCGAATCGAGCCTAACGACCTCTTCCTGGAGATACTGGAACCGATTACAATATTGCCTGTTACTATTTTCGTACCGGGCGCCAGTTTTGACTGAACTGAACCGGGTCCCAGTTTTGACTTTTTCGCCACTGTTAGTTTCCTTTTCATCCCTGCAGCCAAACCTTTCATTTTCGAGTGACGTGCTTTGAACATTTATGAGCTTTGTTGCTCGATCAGATCGCATTTCTTTTGTACCGAATCCGGGCTGTTATCAAGGTAATTATTATACTAGATAAGATTGCTGCGCGGGTCTTTGACGACAGCGGGGAAAGAATTTCTCTGTGTGCCAGAAGTTAGAGCTTATTTTCCTTACTTCTTGTCACGTGCGTTCAGTTTAACCGTTGACGTCTCAATAGTCACTCAATACTTTCAGGACAAGTTATTCTTTGTTTTTTTGACGCGTTTCGTTTGGAAACTCAACTCAAACAATCTAGAGAGCAAGTACTTGTGCTTACCGTTTCCGGTAAAAATTCTCCAACTGCCACTCCTCCTTGACGCTGCCACCTCTTTTTCTGCACTACGCTGTAGCTGCGGTGTACGGAGGATGGTTGCAGTGTCGGGGAGGAGGTGCCGTGCAAACTGTTACTTTTTCCAGTCCCTCTTTTTGACGCAGTGAGCGGGAAGACCAATTCAACGGGAGTGCTCTGTAAGCGACGGGCTGAAGAACGTCTGTGCAGTTACATCGGGAGTCCGCTCACTTGAATAACGTCGCAGTACTACATGCATTTCCATTTTCCCTCGAACAGTTACGAAGTCATTTTCCAGAAAACGCCCTGTTTCGTGACGTGAAAGCATTGCTGCCAAATAAATATCTGGAGCTGCATAAAATGAAAACCGCACGTCTCTCACAGCCCGAAGTTGCTCTATACGCGAAACATATTCTTCTAGCTTAGGGTGTCGGATTCAACACTTTGAACTAAGACAACGAAATGCTAGTGGCGCACTAATCAGATGGCATGAGGCAACGTGCTGGGTTTACTTTTATGCAAGGCGGAAACCAAGAAATAGAAATGCAAATGTATGCTTCACTATCACAACACAATTTGAATTTGTCAGTCGTGCACAGGAAGTTGGAGACAAGTACAGCGCACCATCCGAAAAAATATCCCATGCCAAAAGGATTGCTATCTGCAGTTTATGTTTACCTGCTATATCCGCTTGTGAAATGGAACCGGCAGAATGTTCAGGCGGGTCGTTATTTCAATTTTTTGCAGAAGCTATGTCGGAGAAGAGAACGAGAAATCGGTCTGTTCGGTACTCACTTTTGTTCAGTCTCGATGCACAGGTCCTTTATTGTTGTCAATGTCACTGACAGGTTCCTCAGTCATGTGTACGTATCTATGCAGCCCAATGCCGTCTCTACTAGTAGCACCCACATATTACTCACTACAAGTAGTCCGATTTTGGCTCACCTTCTCGGAATTCTATTACTTTACCTCTACCTGCTTTTGTGTACGCATCGATTTTGTTCATGATTCTAGAAAAAGAAATTCCTGAATTACATCCATGATGAATCACCAACCACAGTCTTTGCGAAACAGTGCTCGGGCCTCGCAGACCCAGCACATTATCGAGCTCCACGTGGTGTTGTATCGGGGGCATGATTTGCGCACACGTGACCACCCTCCATTGGCGGATATCGCAGCAAAATTGAGGGTCACCATGTCAGAAGCAAAGTCTGCATTCCGTGGCATGTCATGTTGTTTCCGTGAGACAAAGCTTGCGTCCACGGCCTGGCGCACCTATTTTGTTATAGAAAAAAAACTTCTTCACCGACTTTCATGGTAAATTTCAAAGACAGACGTTGACAACAAGACCCGCGGTTTTACTGCGATTCGATCGGCTCTGCGAGGAGCGGGAAAACGCGGAGACGGTGTGTGCAGCAGTTATGTTGTCCCTGCCTTCGTGCGGGGATCTCCGGCCGCGGAAGCGAGGAGTACCGGGTTTGCTCCCCGGCCCCGATGTGCAGAACTTTTTCAAGCCGTCGCGCTGGGTCGGCTGAGAGAGACACTTCGTCGTCCTCCCTACTCCACCGATCTGGTCTGCCTTTTTGCGGCGGATGGGCAGCGGAACCTCCACGGCGGCGAAGGGGAGGCAGGCAGTGCGAGGGCGCAGCAGAGGACAGACGGAAGCTTGGCCCGGGCTCACGCAGAGGCGCTCCAGAATTTTTTGGGTCGCTTGAGTGAGCTGTGGCACGAAGGAGATCTTCATGGCTCAGGCATCTTCGAACCTGCGAGAGACGACGCAGCGGGCACAACGCAGCACAAGGAAAGGAGTCCAGCGGAGACAGCGGTACACTTTCAAGTCACGGTGTACGCAAGCTGGCGGTTCGAACCTGCATTGAGGCAGGAGGACCGCAGATTTCGAGAGGAGCTGTTGCGTCAACAAGCGTGTGCAGCTGATATGAACAAGGGAATTGTAAGCAGAGCGGCGGTTCTTGTTCGACATCGCATTGTGGACGTGAAGTTTTTCAATTCTAGCCTTCTTCGCGACCCCGAACAGATTCCGCTGGACCTCGGGGCATCTGAGAAAGGCGCGTGGCGCGGGCATTGGGGAACACTAATGCCTTTTCTCACATTATGCAGACAGAAATTTGGCCAGCCCCCGCGCCCGTCTGGCCGTCCCGACGTCGCCGCGTGTGGCCGCGTTGCCCACAGAGTATTTCTCAGATCGGAAGGACTCGCGAGTCTCTCCACGTTACGTGTCCCAGAAGACGTGGTAATGGAAAGAAGTTCCGAGGAGCGGAAACTGGTCCAGCCAACCCGCCTCAAGACAATGTCGCGCAGCAACTCTCCTTCGGTCACCGGGGATGGAACATCAAGTATGGTAATCCCGCCAATCGTCACGACCGAGACGGACGATTGTGATGATGATGAAGTTCTTTTTCAGTCATTGCCGCCGTGGATGCGAAAGCTCGTCAAGTCTTGGAGTCAGCCAGAGTACGGGCTTGGAAAGTTACCGATGGACGAGGAGGAGGCGTACGAAGTGATGCGTTTGTTTGTGTTCGGAGCGAATTCAACAGCATCGGGACGTGATGCCTCCAGGCCCGAAGATGAACATCATCCGAGGAAAGCAGAGGGGAGGCCTCCGGTGGTAGCTCCGTCAGCGTCCGTAAAAAACGCCTTCGGCGGATTGGCCAACTATGAGGCGATGCGTTCTAGGATCGACATAGAGCTCGGGAGTAGCCGGCTGTCCGCGGCCTTCCGCCACGGGCTGCTCTCCCCGAACGCTTTGTATTGGCTCGTGGAAGACGCGAAGCATCTGAGTCGCGAGCAAAAAAAAACCTTTGCGCGTCGGCTGATCTGGCGGGATTTGGCCTATTTCCAGCTGCGCGCGTTCCCGCAGATGCACGACGTGGGCATATCCCTTGCAAATTTATATTGTCAGCTCCAGGGAAATGCCAAAAGTAAAGCATACAAGACGCAGACAATTTCGGTTCACTGAACTATTGACAGAAAAAATGCATCAAGACCTGAGCCACATCCTGCGAATTTATTGATGGCGCAAAGAACTACAAAATTGGTCCATAATCGCCAAAATTGCGCCGGCGGAAAAAATTCAGTACACCAATCTATAAACACATGAGATTTACTAGCGCGACGGAACAATCAAAGGCGCAACGTTGCAGAAGTTGAAATGATTAGAACGATACGCTGCAGCACAAGAAGCCAATGTGGTCTAGTGTGTGCAAGAATTGATAGAGGTCGTCAATCGACATAGCAAAACTTTGCGTAGGTTCATTGTGCCTGATCGGCTGACAGGTTTGGTTACAATAGGAAATCCGACCGCACTACGACCAGACGGAATGGGAGCGGCCCGAGCCGGGAGCGCGCAGGTCGTACGAGTTCGGGAAGACCGGGTTTCCGCTGGTGGATGCGGGGATGCGCGAGCTGCAGCGGACGGGGTGGATGCAGCAGAACGTGCGGATGGTGTGTGCCAGCTTTTTGACCGAGTACCTCGGGTGGGACTGGCGGGTGGGACACCGGATCTTCCACGACTGTTTGGTGGACGCCGACCTTGCAATCAACGCCATGATGTGGCAGAACGCGGGGCGGAGTGGGATCGACCAGTGGAACTTCGTCCTGAATCCTTGCGAGGGGAAGTCGCGCGACCCAGCGGGCGTGTACGTGCGTCGCTGGTGTCCGGAGTTGCGCAGTGTTGCAAAGGCGCGACTATTCGACCCGCACCAGGTCGCGGCCACCACAAAGGGAGACACCGGTGCGAAGGATTCGGCGGGGAGAACGTGGGCCCGCGGTGGCGGAAATACTAGGGGGTCGCGGGGAAAACAGGAGAACCAGAGATATTCTCGAGGGCCGTTCTCGGCAGAAGTAGATAGCGAGGGTCCTGCGACTGCGCGCCAAGGACTGGAGTCGGTGTCAGTTAGCATGGAAGAGGTGGCGGGAAGCAGTGGCGGCGGGGCAGCAGGACCTGCAGCGAGAGATGGTTATCCGTGCCCCATCATCCGGGATTTGCCCGCTGCGAGGGATCGGGTGCGAAGGCGGGTGTTGGCGGTGCGCCGCAAAAATTTACAGAACAATGACAGGTTGGCTGTGCGCACAAGCACGAACCACCTGCCCCAAGACCAAGCACATGCCGCCCTTTTGTCCGCGATGCAACCGGTAAAAACCACTCCAAATGCCGGCAGCAAAATATCAGCAGAAAGCAAAAAACTGCATTCCGAGTATGTCTCGAACCTCAATAACAAATTGAAGTCGACATTGCGAGCGCGACGTGTTTCGGGTTCTGTTTTTGCGTCACGGCCTCCATCGCGAGCGGAGCTGCTTTCTTCACCAGACGAAAACTTGACATCCGAGGACGACAGTGATGCACCTTCATCCGAAGTAGAAGCTACTCCTTTGGCAACCGCCTCTACGCGGACTACGACTCTGCGCGCAAGCATCGCTACCAGCGACCGTTTGTCCTGTGCACCCACGAAATCCTGTAAGCCGGCCTCTGCATCAACAGTGAAGAAGAACCCAGCAAAAAAAGCAAAAACAGCATCCAAGTGCGTGCTCAAGTGCAAGTCTCAATGCGGTAAAACCTCCAAGAACCATAGTAAAGCCAGCAGGCCTGCGTCGTCAACTTCGGGAAAGCAAATTGGTTTTGTCGTACCGACCACGAAACCAAGCGGGATAGCAAAGAAGAGAGATTTGCCGCTCGTTCCAATTTGTATACCTGTAAGCACCCCGGGTGAGGCTCCTAAAGTCCCAAATTTTATGTCATCATCTGTGACTTTTTTTGATTTTTCAAATGAAAATTTACTCAGATAACCTCTACTTTTCCTCTTCCGCCCGTGTGTTGTTCTTCCATGATCATGAGCACATTTTTGCCATGAGCGACGTATTTTCTTCCATGATCATGAGCACATTTTTGCCATGAGCGTCGTATTTTCCTCCCTCCAAGAGTGATGAGAGTCTGGTGCTCTTTGAGTGAATATGTTTTTCTGCTGTATCCCTTCCTCGGTCTGGTGCTACTTGTCTATTTTTATTATTTATGATCCACATTTCGATCTTACGTAAGCTTTGCTCGATCCTCCTCGGTACACTCACATTTTCTCATGCTGTTCTCATGCCTCGACACTTTTGAGAGATCTCGATATCGATCTTTTATTGCTATTTTGTATCGATCTCTTATGTACCCGGGTCGTTATTTTTTCGCATCTTTATCGATCTTTATCGCCTTTGCATGTTCACATCGCATGTTCGTTTTTTCGACTTCGCTATCGTTCTATGAATTAGTTTCGTTCTATTTCGTATTTTTTCGATTTCGATATCGTTATCGCCCTCGTATCGGATTTCGGTTTTCTTTCTTCTATGTGATGGTTCTACATTTCGTGTCTTTCTTCTTTTCCCATGCACGTTGTTGTTGTGTTTCCGTAGCAGGTGAACCGGTACCCCTGTCCTCTTCGGAAATCTTTGACACTTCAACAAGCGAGCACTCCCAAATTTTGTTCTCATCCTGGTTGCTTCAAAGAGCAACGAGACAAAGTTCGGTGAGACGGCAGGGGCAGCAGTGCATTCCTATAATCGGTTTCCCATCTCAACGTCTAACTGGTTTCTGTTTTCGTGCGAAGGCGGGTGTTGGCGGTGCGCCGCAAAAATTTACAGAACAATGACGAGGGTGGCTACGATAGGATACTGCTCCCCACCGGAGCGCGGACGCGCGTCTTCACTCGCAAGGAATTCCGAATTAATGGCACCTGCGTGAGCGCTGAATTTCAACCGGGTCCGCGAAACACTGAGGGGACAGAAACCGACAAAGTTGTCACAGCGGTGTCGCTGATGCGGCTCGCCGCGAGCGAGCCTGCAAAAGGAACAAACGGTGGCGGCAACCGCGGTGCCGCAGCGGCATCATCCTCGGAGACAGCGACTGCCGCCTCGAAGCGCCGAAGGTGGCAGAAGTCGTGACATAAAGGAGCAGTTCCGGAGCGCAAATAAAACTTCCGGAGGACGTGCAGAGAAATATGATGCCTCACTTTTGTTTTCTTCGGGTGTGGTAGACGTGCTTACGATGCAGCCTCTGGCTTAAAAAATGCCTACGAACCTCTGTTCAAGAGCCTGATAAATTTTTAGCGTTGGCGGGCTTGGGTTCTACGCATGTTGAAGTTGATCGATGTTCTCGTATGACAATCTTCGGAGTGTTTCGGAAGGCCGGAAAGAGTGTGGCTCTGAGTACTTACTTTCTTTCGTCAGGATTTTTCTTTTGATGACTGTCGTGATTGTGAGCGATTAGTTGAGGCCTCAAATCGGACCGTGTTTTTGTGTGTCAGGCTCGATATGATTAAATTTTTCACTTGCCGTAATTTGAACTACGCCTTCTAATGCAGCAATTTAGCAATTTTTTTTGTTTAGTCCGCTCTACCTTGTGCTGCACTTGGTCTCGGATTAGAATTACCATTACTTACACATAGATTGTGAACATGTCGGTCACGCTTCGTTCTTGACGCGCTCCTGCTGCACAATACATAGAGTAGCACTTTCGAAGATTGGACCAATGAAGTGCTCTGAGGCGGTGGGGTTGCAGGGCCTCTGCAGCTGGCCCAAAAAGACGTTCTGGCAAGTAGAAGCGGTGCCGATGGTGCCCCCATCGCCGGGTCCGCAGACGGTCTTCCCACGGTATCCGAGGTCGAAAGCCGCACGGCTGGCTCACCTTCGCAACCAATCCTTGTGGGACAGTGGCCGCCAGATTGTGGGCCTTGCGGGTGAAGAAAACCTTGTGGATGTTTCCGCCCCCGGGGCCCCTGCGACGTCGCGTGCAAATAAAGACGCGGGACGCGGACCGCAAGGCGAGCACGATCGCCGCTCCCCCGCGCGCCCGATTTTGGAGTTACTGAAGTTGCTGTACGGCAAGTATTTTGTCAAGAACCCAACGGCCAACCTGGGAAATAAACTGGAGAAGCAGGATGCGGCAAGTGTCTCTTCCTTTGTGGACATCAAGGATTTGTACGAACTTCCGCGCGTGTCCCGGTTGACGATGAACCGAATCCCGATCGGGCTGGACGCCACGCAAATCGAGGAGCCGAACATCTACACCATCCAGGAGTGCGACCCGCGCGGGCGGATCCCCACCGCGGTGCAGGGGAAGTGGTGCATCGCAGACATGGTGGACCAGACGGACGTGAACGGTCCGGAGGGCGATCCCAGCGTGAGCGCCTCCCTGATGATGCGACTCAGCAACGATGTGGGCGAGCGGCGGTTCGCGGCCGCGGACAAGGAGTACCCGCTGAACAACATCTGCCTACCGAAGCTGCCCAGCGACTTCTGCCACTTCTCCAAGCACCGCGACTACCTCCCCGGCCAGTGGCGGCACGCCTTCGCGAAGATGCCCAAGCTGTGGTGGGATATCCCGCTGCCGTACCCGAAATTTTTCACGTCGCCGCAGGACGCGCCCAGCACCACGCCCTTTGGCCACGGCCAGATGCTGCACGACAAGGCCCGACTGCTGGCGGGGTCGGTGGACCCGATCTTCCCGATGCACAAGCGGACGGAGGAGAACTCCCTGGTGCGGCCGGTCGAGCACACGCTCCACGAGCTCAAGCTTGGGCTGCGGCACAAGGACGGCACCGACGATGTGGAGTCCGTCGACATGCGGTACCACACCCGCGCACCCCACCTATTTATTGCGAACATGTCGGGGTCGGAAAGAGTGCAGCTGTTTGTCATGATGCATCGTTTGAATCATGCAGTAGCAGTAGAGTAGGTCGAAGCACATGGTCTGGACTGCACGTAGGAGCGTTACCGGTATCGCGAATGCTTCTCCATGCCTGCTATGTCGCATATGGAATTTCGCTCTTTTCATGGCGAAAAGTAAGCAAATCGCAGAGCTCATGCAAGAACACAATTTTTTTTTTTGTTGAACCTGACCACGCAGTAGAAATTCGTTTCTCTCGTCTCTTCCCTTACCGCGCCAGTATTTGCAACGCATAGCCCCTTCGGATCAACAAGATGCAGTCCAGAGTCGGCGGCGCGGGGTCGGACGCCGCGCCCCCCGACGCGCTGCTGAAGTTCTGGGTGGCCAACCCCGATAGCATGTACGTTTCGGATATCAAATGTAAAAATGTCTGGGTCTGGAAACTTGTGATGCTGGGTGGCGTCTCATGATGAGACCACAAATGCTGGCTCAGCATGACAATTTTCTGAGTTTCTAGGTGTTGCCTATTCTGCATGACAAACTGCGTTTCTGCATCACAGAGAAATGGAGCTCTTGGGTAACGTGCATGACAGATTTAAGAGTCATGCCAGACAAGCATGACAAACATGCATTCTTCCAGACCCAGACATTTTTGCACTTGATATCGGACGGCATCGTGCGGAACTACGCCCTCAAGTTCGCGAAGACGTTGGACCACTCGAACATTTTGTCCAAGATGCGCAGTCCCACGTACGCGCGGGTCGCCACGGGCGCCACGAAGGTGTGGACCCCGCCCAACCTGGTGTTGGACGAGGGGGAGGACTGCTGCGCGGACGGGTGCGCGGAGCACGTGGGGAAACCCTTCTGCGTGACCGAGGCGGAGATCCGGCGGTACTTCGACCAGGTGGACCACATTCCGCCCCCCGACCTGATCAACTGCGCAGCCAGCGACTCCCAGATCTGCGACAGTCTGCACGGGGACGCGCGGGACACCGACGACCACTGGGGCCTGGGCTGGCTGGACGCCATGCGGCGCTGGAACCAGCCGTTCGGCCCCATGCCCCCGCGCGAGCAGCTCCAGCAGGAGAAAATGTCCGTGCAGTTGCAAACGCCGGGCGACATAGACATCCAGGCGCTGAAGCGGAAGGAATTTTCCACGCTGCTGCGCCCGCCGAAGAAGCCGGAGCCGCCGCCCGACTACGTACCGCCCGACTACGACGCGACGGCAAACACCAGCAGTTACGCCGTTTTCTCGGTCACGGGGCAGCCCATTCCTTTCGACCAGCCCGCGGGCTATCGGGTCCAGCCAATGGCGGAGGACCTGACCTACAGCGTGCAGCGGAACCGGGACAATCACGGCTGGAAGTTTGAATTGTGAAGATGTTGACCAGTGCCGCTTCGCTGTTCGAAGATGGCATTCATGGGTGTGAGGACCTGTTCGACTTTTTGTTTTTGCTTCGGCCCGTTTGAACAGACCAAATGCGACCTTCGCAGGCATGAGCTGTGTGTTACTATTTCAAAATGTATGAAATACAGCCAAAGCTGATGAGGCAGCGGTACTTATTGGTATTTTCATGTTTTCGAGTCTTTTTTTTGGAGCGTTGGAAAGAGGCTAAATACTTAGTTAGTTACTCCTGGCAGGTTTGTTGTATTTGTCACTTTCTTGAATTTAGCGTGGGAGTACAATAGCTTTTTCCTGTTTTGAATGAACATCCTAGGAAAGGCGGGTCACCGGATGTTGCAGCAGACGTTGCACACCTAATCCTCGTCCCGTCGCTGGCTCTTTTTGACAGGTTCGCTGCTTTCCGTTTCTTTTAGCAGAACTAATGACTCTTCATTTCAGAACAAACCAAAAATTGACGGCCTTCAGGCCTCGGCACAACGTATGAGGAAGAAGAAGCAACTTCGATCTATTTTGTCTTCAACGATGAAATTTACCTTCCGGTCACGTCTTCTTTCCTGTGATTTCTGTTCTCAAATTTCAAGCTAGTGTGAGTGCGGTGGAGGAATAAGTAGAGCCTTGCCGCAAGGGCCAGCTGAAAGAAACATTGTGATGAGACAAATCAGTTGTTACACACTCGACGATGCGTGTTGCCGTCTTAGCACCATCTGGGACGGTGACCGCAGTTGACGTAAACCTCTTAAGCGGATTTCTCTGATACTAACTATCTCATTTTAAGGTCGCGACGATGAGCAGTAGAAGATTTGCGGCAGAAGCAGATCGAGATCAGGATCAATCTCTCTAGTGCCGGATCCAAAACTTTCTCAGTGTGAAAGAAGTGCGTGAAAATTAGCGGTATTTCGTACGTGCGAAAGCGCGGTTCTGGTATCTGTGAAAAGTCCGTTGCGGTCGGTGCGCGTGACCAAGATCTGCGAAGAACTGTGCGAAGATCGTGATCCGCGGCAGCAGCGAGCGATTTGCGTTTCCTATGAGGATTATGCTCTCTCGAAGATCTTCATGCCGGTAGAAAACTCGGGGTTCAATGTTCCGCAGTTACAGTGAAGTTTTTAATCGTTTCGGACAGTGAGACTCGGATGCGTTAAAAGTTTTATTTTTGAGACCGTGACTATTTTTCGTTGGTTTGCAGTTGTAGCTTCAGGTTTTTGATACTTTTGCTGATTTTTATCTTTTTATAGAGGTGTCCGTGCACCTTTTTGACTCTCATATTCTTTTTTCTCAAGTCGTGGCGCTCGAGAAAAAAACTAGTGTATACGATCCCGACATTTCTTTCATACGGTAGAAAAATTGTCAAGAACAGTAAAGAAACTGATATTCCCCATTGAAGCTAAAGGCTTTGCGAACGCACTCAAGGATGAGTCCTGCAAGGTGGACCACGAACGAGAGGGCTTGTAGTGCGTGCCAGTGGAAGATGTTGAAGGGCCTAAAGCCACTCCTGTTCCTCTGGTGCCTTTGCGAACGCGTAGTGGGCGCATATCTGGCCGGTGAATCAGCTCAAGTCTGCAGAGGAAAAGACGGATGTGCAGATGGTGAAGAGAAATCTGGCCCAGGATTTGGAGGGGCCTACCCAACTGAAACGCTGTTGTGGAGTTTCCCAGTGTGGCAAACCGCGGACCCGGTGTATGCGAACGTAAAGTTACCAAGTTTGCTGACCCCCGTGCTGGACCACCCGATTTTTCAGAAGCTCCGGGAAGTCAAACAGCTCGGGTATGCCGACAAGGTCTTCCCCTCTGCCACGCACACACGGTTCGCGCACAGTCTTGGCGTGGCTCACTTGGCTCGCGCCGTGCTCGAACGCGTAGACCAACAACTGCAGCAACTTATCATCCTGAGAACAGTTTGTAGTACTACCTTATTATGTCTAGTAATTATATGTGCACGTCGATACGCATACGACCTATACACAGTGCTTCGCCAGTCCCTTTTATTTGCTGTTGTTCGGTTCTTTCTGGCAACGCAATAATTGAATTTGAAAGCAAGACTTTGCCAGCAGTGCAACGTTTTCGCACACAGCTACTGCTTCCTTTGCGACGTATGCACATATCGACATCTTCAGAAGACTGTAGCTGTTCAAAATGAATATCGAGCGGACGCGATGCATCAAGCAAAAGACCAACTGAATCTGCAACGTAATGAGAATGTCGTCCTGCATGCGCGAAGCGTCGACGTGTTGAGAATTACTAGAAAGAAGTCCTCTACGCAGGGAAATAAAGAACGTGCTTGCAATTGTCATTGTTGTTGGACACGTACTATGAATTTTTCTCTTGGATACAGGCCGACTCGGTCGCCCGTGGTCCAGTACACCGCGAGTTTGTGGCGAAGCATATCCCGGTTGAAAAGCTTCTTCTTGCCGTACAAATACAATAGCCGCACCCTGCATGATAATGATTACATTTGGACACATCACAAATTCTGAGCTACCCGCAGGCCGTGGCCGCTGTATGTTTGCTGTGGGCTTACAACAAGAGGCTTATTTTCACCCGGGATACACGACGTGTATTCGGACAAAGATCGGATCTGCGTTCTAATCGCAGCACTTTGCCACGACATCGGCCATAACCTGTGTAAACGCGTCCCTATCCCCAGGGTTGTCATGCAAATCTGCAAGCCGAAAAGGAAAATGTTTCTCATGCGCAGCTCCAAGAGGACGATTTTGATTTTCTAATTCGATCCGGGAGTTTGTCTTGCTGGAATAAGGTGGATAAGGTAGTTGATTTGTGATGCGGTACTAGCTAAATGTCCAACTCGTCATGCGCAACAGCCACAACTTTAACTTGTTGGTTTGTGTAGCAGAGTCCCCATCTTGACTCCGGGGTGGGGACGTTTTTTCACAGGATAGGCCACCCGGCGTTTTCCCACGCATTTGAGGAGTTCATGCACGAAAACGGAAAGGAGTTCTCTACTGAAATGAAAAATCTCTGCCCCCCGCCATATTGAAAAGGTATCTTCGTGAAAATTTGTGATGTAGGTTTGCGGCCACAAATGTCTGTCTTGCAAGAAGGCAAATCCAGATTGTCCCCCGGGTTATGCCGTCGATATGTAATGCAACTGATTTGCGGGACCTCCATCTGATTTGTGCACATAAAAATAAAATGCGGGACTTCAAAAAGAATAAGTGGTGGGGGGGGGGTTTGCACTTTGATACTCTCGCACGAGGTCGCGTCGAACAAGCTTCTGACCGTGCTCTGGCAGGACGTTCGCGGCGAGTTGGAGTCTCTATACAATCAGTTCCGACGGAAAATCAAAATTATGAACTGTAGTCGTGGTCGTGGAACTTTTCAAAATGAGACAGGCTTGTTGTGCGAACTACAACATCAGATGCATCAACAATGCCAAAGGTGCTACTGTGGCAGTGCTGCAGTGCCTCTTTACCATGGATGCTGGGTTTTGTCATTTATCCCTAATATTTCTACTTCGCAATTACAACAGAGAGCCAGCTCTCCTTTGTCATTTCCCCATGTCACGCTGGCATATAATACGGCGCAAGGTTTCCGGCAATGCAGTTCACCGAATTGGATCTCGTGTACATCCAGGTAGGATAGGGTATTTTTGCATTTTACGCATCTACTCAAACTCTGCTGCCAATTTGTGGGAGTTCGTGTATTTCGCTGACATCAAAAGTGCAATTTATAGATCCAGCGTGAATTGCTGGACTAGAAGTTTCTTTGTCTGTCAGTAGCTCCTATGTTACCTTTCGCATTTTTATGTACCACGCTCTTGCTTTGACAGGAACTGATCGAACTTCCGGGGAAGAAAAAGTTACGGGCGAGTCTGCTCGAGGGGAGAATCTGGGAGGACTGGCCGCGGTACGTGAGGGGGCGAGCCATTACCCACGCCTGGACCTACGAGATTGTGTCAAACTGGCGCGGCGGGTTGGACGTGGATCGTCTGGACTACTTCGTCCGCGATCCGAAGTCTCTCGGGCTCGAGGGCTGCCCTGTAGAGTACCAGCGCTACGTGGACTCGCTGCGCCTGGTCGCGCTTCCAGCAGCGGGGCAGCTGCCTGGCTGGGGATGCCCCTCCTCCTCAGCCTCCTCGTCGTGTTCCGCGTCGGAAGAACAGGAGGCATATGCGCCGGATCTTGCTGCACCAGCCACCCAGCCACGAGAACAACAACAACAAGAAGACGAAACGGCGCTGGAGCTGCCGTCGTGGTTGCCCGACCTCCCAGGCTCCGGAGAAGAGTCCGCTCTCTTCGAAGAGACGCAAGAACAGCACGCGCGGCTGTTTCAAGAGGACTCCCAATCCACGCAGTTTATTCTATCGCTCGCGACACCCGACAAGGATATCTGCGCACTGCGGTACTCAATCTTTCAGTGGAGAATGCAAGTGTATCCTCGGACCTACCGACACCCTGACGTGGCGAAATACGAGAAGTGTCTTCTGCGGGCGATGCGAATGCTCACCGTACCGTCAGCTTCCGGGGCGCGGACTTGTCCTCTACCCGCCGGTACTTGTGTAGTTTCTTTTTTTTTCAATTGCAGGTTTTAAAAAGAGCCAGTGCAAGTGCTCTACTTTGCGGCGCCCGTCTTGATGATCAAAACCTTGTTTCTTTACTAGTGGGTCGTTTCATATTGTTTCACCGAAAAGCTGATCGTTGTTCGCACTGCACATCATCCACATGCGTGCAACTAAATTACCACACCAGGTGCAGTGGCTAGCACATCACCAGCGGATGCGTCTTCATGGTTGTTCGAAGCTGCAAAGCTGGACGCCGATTTCGATTACGAGAAGTATCTGAAGTATGCAAATGTCAGGTGGCAGAGAAATGGTCTTCTTGGAAAGTAACGCTTGCTTCACCACTTCAGCGAAGAAAGCAATCGCCTTGCAAGAAAAGAAACAAGAAAGAATTTCAAGCCCAACAAAGTGAAGATGCACTCTGAAGTGCATACGAGGAAAACTGTCTTTCTAAATGCCCATGATCAATGCATAGAATACAAGTTAGGCATCCATGATTTTCGTCATGCGCCGGCTTGTGGTGCGGAGATTTGTCTTTTTGCTTGAGAAATCATTTCCCACCTGACGCTGTCATACGAGGTTGACGGACGGACGCGTGCAGACCCTGATCCAGGACCATCCGCGTGCTGGAGCCTAGTATCATTTGCAAAAGTAGTGTAGTGCTTATGATTGGTTGTGTCATGCCTCCACTCTTCAGCATTTTCGCAGCCTGGTACGTACCACGATGTTACTCAAATGGTACATATCTTCGCACGAAGATCTGACGCATGACACGAGTTGGAACAAAAGAATACTATGGAGACAACGGGTTCTTGAGTTCGGCTGGAATTTTAGTTTGCATATGCCAGACGGACCGTGGTAGTGGTAGTTACAAAGCGCCGGTTATTGATCGTGGACCACTTTCGTACATAGTAAGTTACAGACGTTTTCTTCTTGATTTTCTGAAAGACAGAAGGAAAACCAGTGCGAAGACCGCTGAAGAGAGAGGCTGTAATAAATCATTACCTTGGCACGACAGCACTTGTGCATGGGATACTTCCTTCGACTACGCAATCACGCGACGAGAAAAGGTGTTGGACATTGGCGGCTTGGATTTATTATCCAATGTAAAAATGTCTGGGTCTGGAAGAATACAAACTTGTGATGCGCTTTTCAGCACACAGAAAAATCTCTGATGCATAGGTAGCAAAAGCTGCCCACGTTCTGTCACCAAAGTGGGGGATTTGTCATGCGGATTCGGCATTGCGGAAGCTTTTCGAAACCTGTGATGCTAGAGCTTCCATGCCAGACCTTCTGTGTCATGCAAAAACAGCATGACTCTTCCAGACCCGGACACTTTTACATTTGATATTTATCACCGCGAAGATCGGCCCGCTGTGCAACCGGTGGCGGTTCCGAGCCAGCGGACGTGAAGCAGGTCCACGCCAGTGAGATTGCGAAGTTGCGAGAGTTCGTGCTGCGGAGGGTGCTGGAGCGAGATTGGTCGCGGGTTCCGCGGTTCGCGATGCCTGAGGGCGAGCCGGAGCCAGACGCGCTGGATTACACCGGAACGGCAAAGTTTGAGAATTTCATGGTGGTGTACGACGAATTCCACCAGGGCAACAAAGATCGCGACCCCTTGGAGTGCACGGTCTTCTACGATTCGAAGAGCGCCAGCCCGCCGTGGTTCCCGGGAAGTGCAGCTGGCGGAGCCGCGGACGCAGCGGGGGTCGTGTCACCCGGGTACATCGAACGGCAAGTCCGTTTTTTGTTCGACCCACCCAAGCGCTGTGGTGCGTGTGAAAAGCGGTTCTTGATGGAACCAGTCGCAGCCGTTCCAGCAGGAACCGCCTGCACCTGCGACCAGCCGCGCCGCGTCCGCGCGGCACTGTCGCCGCAGGGATTGAAGATTTTGCGGAGACGCCTTGCCGCGACAGTCTACGAGTTTATCAAGGAAAAGACGGACTGGGAGTGCGCCGGTAAAAATGCGAGGTTAATATGAATGGCACAAGTATCCGTAATATCTTGTTGAAGGCCCTGCACAGGGCACTTTTACAGACTTATTTGTCCGCTGCTCTACCTTGTTCGACCAGAGACATAGTCTCCGAGTATAGTATTCAGTTTTGAAACACAGCATGTCAGTATGTATTAAGTCATGCGGGCACGACTTCTTGCATGTATACGGTACTTCTGCGCTGCATAGTTGAGCACGGGCAGCAGCCTTCTGCTCAAGGCGCGCGGTGCATATGGCCTGCGGTCGGAAGACGCGGAAGCTGCACTCAAGGTGCCTCTCCGGTCTGCAGTGAGACACAAGACGACGACTGAAGACGGTGCTGCAAGAAAGCGAAGACAAGAAGGAATCCGTGCGGAACCTCCCAGTCGTGTCAACGATGATACAGGTACCGTCAAGAGGCCGAGAAACCACAAAGTAGACGTGAATACGCAGAGGAACTAAGGGAGTCGTACCCTAAAGGCCGGGGTGCGTTTGCGTGCGCGGATTATGGACGACAACACGTAAGTGGGTAGTAAATACTTGCTTGCTTATTTTTACGGGTGGCCATTAGAAGCATCGCGATCGCGGACTTGCTTTCCTCGTTCGTGCCGTGTATTGTGTAAAGACATATCGACCTAATATCGACCATCTTTTTTTTCGGCTCTTCTATATCTATTACGAAGGTTTTGATGTTGTTTGAATGATAATTTTGAATTTGATCACCAACAGACCAGCGAATAACAAGATTCAACATTTGATAAACGAGGCGACCTCATTTTGACGACGAGGCGAATAAAATGCAAATGGATATTGACAATGTGTGTATAGACAGAATTTCAAATTCAATCAAGGACGAAGAAACGAGAAACCGTTTCGAGAAGGCACTATGTCCTATGGGAATTTTTTTTTCCAAGATTGTTCGAAACCCGATTTCATGTGATAGATCAAAGCATGGAATTTTCATGTTGGGCGATCGAAGACAAAAAAAACCGCACGAAGTTCAGGTTTATCTTTGTTCGATCCCATCTTCAGGCCGCTTTGCATATGCTGTCAGTCTTCGAAATCGCTCCTTTGTCTAGTTTTTGTAGTTATCGCTCAGGATTACTCTAGGGCCTCGATCGTCCTTCCGCCTCGAAGTAGATCTATCATTCTGTACGAGCAACGCATATTTGTAGCACTCCTCTTACTTTAGATGATAGCTTCCGCTCGAATTATCCCACGGATGTCACGCGGACGCCTGGTCCTTCTTTCGCAGTTCGCTGTTGTCGCGGCAACGGTATTTGACAAAGTTTTCAAGGAGCAGAAGGTCGAGAGAGGCACTGATTCGGTAACTGGCAGCAGTTTGCCCTCGGGGAAAATTCATCAGCAACTACCCGGAGGCTCCAAGCACGCGGTTCAAGTTGCGAGCAGCACAAGTAGCGCAGAAGGACAAGGGCAACCCGGCCACGCAGAATTCGCGGGGAAAAAAATGTGCAATCGGGACCTGCAGAAAGACTATGACTACCGGGGTGGCGACTTGCCGGGTATGCCAATCAAGCCGGTGGGAAATTATGAGGACTGCAGGGTTTTGTGCGAACGGAACGCGACGTGCGGGCGTTGGACATGGGTGGAAGGGTACCAGAAGAAGTGTTGGCTGAAGCACGACTCCGAGGAGCGCGGCATCCTCGTCCCGCACGACCACAAGGGGCTTAACTTCTGGAGTGCGCGCTGCGCGGTTGTTTCTGCGCAGCAGGCGAAAGCGGAAGAGGAACGCGAGATGCAACCTCCGAGCGATGAAGATCTAAGCAAGCACCAGGATGGCTCTCGCCAAGAGTGCGCGAATGTATGGATTCAGGCAAAAGGACTTGGGAGACAGGTTTGCTACGGCGCAATGCTTGGCGGTGTGATTGGAGCGGCAGCTGGTGTGGCAGGAGAAGGGATTCCAGGGCGGCTGGAGCATGGGGCAATCATTGGCGGCGGGATTGCGCTGGTGCAGTCGGCTGCGCAAAAGTGCCGGCAGGCAGTGAAGGACCTGCCATCGTGTGACAGGAAACGGATGTTGACTAATGTCACGTCCCGCTTCGAAAAACTCCGAAGTAACACGCTGTCTGCTGCTGCTGAGAAATTACACCAACGCATCTCAAGAAGAAAAGCACCTGGTCGACGCGATCTCGAAGAGACTGATGAAGCTGCCGAGTAAACGTAGAAAATCAGTTTGCGAATCGGGAAGCTTCTAGACGCACCAGGAGTAAACACAGAATTAGATCGGCTTGATTATATATAAAGAGGGACGGACACGGACTTTTCGAATTTCTTTATTTCGCGTATTTAGACGATTCATTTGTATTTGACATGCGGGAGGTCCAATGAAATTAAGGACCAATTCCCAAGATAGTTATTTGCAAAATTAGTGAGGACAGAGCGCTGCGCCTAGAGTAGGATGATGAAGGTTCTCACTCCTGGATACTTACACATCGTTCCGTGCATTTGCATGTTTTTGTTTTTACATTTCCCCATTTGATATTTCGCGCTCCGTGGTTTTTCACGCCAGCGGAATTTTTCTGGTACTATATATTCAGTTTTTTGTAAGATAAAGATACCAAAAGATTACTACTACATAGGCGGGAGTCCTCCGATCAACCACAATCACGATTACCGGACACCCGCAAACGTCGCTCAAAAGACTTGGAAGTTATGGGTTATGTATGTATTTTTTAGAAAAGAAACCGCAAATATGGACCGTATGTTCAAGGCTGCTGGAACTATTCACGGGCATGGAAATCGCAAGTCGGAGTTGGTCCCGACAGCGACAAATGTCCAGGACCTCGCGTTGTGGTGCTCTATGAACTTACTACTTAAATAGAAAAATCGTTCTTGGGGAAGCAAGTTCCTCACCTCACCTTGGTCCAGCTTGTCGTGGCTTAGACTTCTACGATCAGAACCAGATCCACTACTGCAGGACGTCGAAAAATTTTTTTGCTACTCAGGTCAAAATGAAAATGGAGACTAATCTAGACGCACCAGAGGCGGAAAAGATCACGGCTTGGATCACAATTGAATACTAGAATAGGCTTCATACTGCTTTCTCGTGCACGTAATAGGTGGCTTTTGCTTGCAAGCAAAGGTTTGTGTAAGATCTTGTTCCTAATTTTGAGATTTTTGTGCGTTATACCATAGATAAATACTTGGAGTCGAGCACATGATCACAGGGCTGCTTACGACCTGGAGTACACGAACTAGGAGCGAGTCACTCAATGAGCCTGTGGCGTTTATTTTCAAAGCTTACACATCTTCAGACGGACGTTTGATCAATCTTAACCCCGCAACGAACACAAAAGCCAAAATAAATCATGACAATCGAGCAACAAGCGCGCGGCGCGGCCATTACCACTGTGATGAAGAAACGGAAAACTCGGAGCAAACAGAAAAACCTGAAGAAGGACACACGAAGTGCGGATGTAAAGCAGTCGAAATTTGGTACTGATGAGGCGGGATCCACATCATTCCGCCAGAATCGTGACCGCTGCTACAATTGCGGTCAACCCGGCCACTGGGGCAAGGATTGTCCAGAACCAGACAGAAGAAAAAGCAAAAAGCCAAACAGTGCCTTTTCTTTGGCCGCAGCGAAATCCAATGGAGAAGCGAACGCGCAGGAAGCGCCCGTTGCTCCGGCCGAGCAGTGCATCTTCGTGGCTGCTGGCGTTGCCCAGGGCGAGAGTGATGTCCGGTGTGAGCAGGCTACAACAGCGAACGAAGAAGACGGGACGGTCTCTGCCCCTCCGAAGAAGAAGAAGCGAAGGAAAATGAAACAGAGCTGCAGCGAGAGCAGCGTGAACAAGGCCACTGATGGCAGCAGCGTCGCACGCTCCACGGAGGCAGAAGTTTCGCAATCAACAGCAACGGAGCCGCGAGTTGAGGAAAAAAGTGTCGGGCTCGTGGCAGGGTCCCCGCGTAATGTGCTGAGTGAAGGAGCCAGTGTCAGCAACATGATCATGAAATCCAAGAGGAAACGAAAGAGCCCTCAACAGTTCAAAATTTTCGTCGGTCAGCTGGGCAAGGATTTTGCGGACGAGGAGAGTTTACGGAAGCACTTCGAGCATTTCGCGCCGACTGCCTGTTCGCAGTCGCTCTTGACTTCGGTGGCGGTGGTACCTGGAAAAGGAGTAGCATTTTGTGCGTTCGCAACAGAGAACGCACGAGACTGTGCCCTCGCAGAGGTGCACAAGACGAGCTTCCCCGCCGCTGAGGATCTTCACCAGGCGGACCAGCCCCGGCGTCGCTTGACGTTAGAAAAAAGTCCCGGCGGTTCTGCACAGGAGCAGACGGCTGCGCACTCTGAGAGAGTGGATGCGCTTGTGTGTGCCGCAGAGACAAGTAACAGCTTCTTGCGGAAAGCACTGGATCCGCAGACGAGAGAGTTCTTGCGGACTGTATCCCTGCACACAGTACGGAAAACGCTCGAAGAGTGTGAGGCCGCAGCGGCAAAGAAGAACTTGAAGACCCATGAGGAGATGTCCAAGTTTCTCATGGGAATGATTAAAAAGCGCATTTAAGGGTAAAGACTTTCTTCGCCTGACCCGTTACTTGTTACGATAGCAAGCGATCTGAAACTTTTTGCGAGCGGCATGGGCTAGGAGTCACTGCGTAAGTAAGGCAGATAACGTTATTGACAGTAACTCGCAGCTGTTGCATTCATTCTCGTGCTTCATCGTCAGTGACTTCATTTTCATGGCATTCGCATTCCTAGATTGCATCATCTCACAAACATTCGACGACTATATCCAGTAGTTTCGTAGAGCAAGAAGCGATTGTGTGCTACCGCTCGCGGCCGAAGTGTGATGTTCCTCGATCGATATTCGAATGGGAAATGGCCGCTTCTCAGAGAGACCGTGGGCACAAACCTAGTTCTTCGTTTTGGGCGAGAGAATGTTTTTTTCGCAGTTGAGAGAGCCAGCGAAGTGTCCGCTTCACGTAGCAAAGTCCTCGCGTTCGCATTCAGCACGACTCGCTAGCTTGTAATTTATTGTTCCATGTTTTGATCATCATGTATGGCATGAGCATGACGCGAACAAAACTTACCAAAAACAACAAATGAATAGGGAACAACACTAGGACGAGCTTGAGTTTGTAAAGAGTTCCTCCTCCTCCTTGCAAAGAGAGGAGAAGTCCGTGTTGGACAGTTTTGCTATTTTGAACATTCAAGATAAAAAGCGCACTTTATCCGTGCGAAGCTGCTACGGGAAAGTAGGCTGCAGTGTCCTCGACCACAACTCGGAGTTAAACAAAAGACTTGGTTCCGAACGAGCGCCGCCAACTATGTTTCCGCACCGCCCGCCGGTGTCCTTTTCGGGGATGCAGCAAGCCTTTGAGGAGCAGGCGACCGAGGCGGAGGAGCAAATGGTGGTGAATTTTCTCCGCATGCAGCAGAACTTTTTTGACATCATGCAGAACCACTGTGGGAACATCTTGGCCGCCAAGCCGCTGGTGAGTCCCCCTTCTGTGGTGTCGCCAAGCAGCCACGTGAAGGGGCCCCCGGGCCCTGCTGCATCTTCCCCCACGACGTTTGGCGCGAACTACCCGCAAAAGTGCAACATGTACGAGCCCATTCCGCTGCCCTGTGCGAAGATGAATCCCGCCGTGGAATTGCAGTTACCGGCGCCCATCCAGTTGCAGTTGCCAATGCCTGTGATGGACCTGGAAGTAGCGCAGAAGGGTAGTACTACTACATCCAGTGGCGGCGGCGCGCCGCAGATGCAGTTGCAGCTTCCGATGATCATGCAGCAGAGTAGTTGTTCCGCCAGCCTTACGGAAGATGAAAACCCCTCCTGCACGAAGATGATCGAGGATTGTGTCGACCGCCAGCAGCTATTCGCTCCCAGAACCGCTGAACAAATCCAAAGCCTGGCGAAGGTCGTCTCGGGGCCGCCGGTCCAGTTTCCGCTGGTGCCAACCACCAGTCCCACGGTGCTGAAACAGATGAAAAAGGACTACCCGATCGCGTTGCACGACAAGCCGAGATTTCTCGTGGCCGCGGACCAGGTTGATGCGGCTGCTTCGGGGGAAGCTGTGATGAAAGTGAGCAACTTTGACGTGGTTTCCGTTCGTACGGCGGAGGCACCAGAGAACACGGGCGATGCCCCGGAACAACACCACAATAGCCGCAAGAACTACCGAACCACTACAAGCTGCTTGCCCGTGCAGGAGAAGAACCCGGAGGCTGTGGTGCCGGAGATGAGTTTGTTCTGCGGTAAAAACCCACGCAGTTCTACTAGCGCGGCCACTTCTGCGGCCAAATTGAACAAAAGCAGTACAACTTTTACGTTTTCGACCTCCAATTCTAAACCGTTCATCGGACCCATGTTGCCGAAGCAAAGCGACATCTCGGAGTTGAAGATGGAGATCCAGGCGGCCATGTGTCCGGTGACCACGGGGATAGCTGAGCAAGTCATATCCTGGGAGGTGCAGAGCGTGCTGGAAAATCTCCACATGAAAAGCCACGGAGGTGCAAACGACAACAAAACGGAGTCCCTGGTGGCGCTGGCGTCGTCCACGTCCAAGGAACTGGTGCCGAGCCCGAAGCGTGGTGCCGCAAATGTGGCCTCCGGCAGCATCGTACTGTTCGAACCGCAGAACAAGATGAAACACAGGTGAGTAGAATCAATAGTGCTCCGGCTAGTTCTATACATACACACTCATTCGTTCTCTGTCGAAGCAATGTACCGAAACTAATTGTACTGCACAACATGATCCGTATCCGATAGGTATTTTATTTCTCACACGAACTGAATGAAATTCAAATTCCCTCGATCGCAGGTTGCATCTGCCGCTGGACTGCTGGACCCGTTCGTTGCATCAACAGGCTATGAAGATTCCCCAACAACCCAACGTGAACCTCAGCGACCTGCTCTGTACTTTTGTGTTTGTGGTTTTCCATCCTTTTTTTTGGAAAGTAGATTAGGGAAGCTACCTGCAACTTTTATTGTGCATCGATCCATCGACGACAAATCGAGCGCACGCATACTTCTTAGCCTGATGGGGTGCGGAGGCACGATAGAAAATTTGACATAAGTGATCGCGGAAACTATGCCGTTGATGACATAGAAAAATCATTTAGCCCGCGACTTGCGACTTGTATGTTGGCTTCGTTTTTCATCTTTTTTCATACCACCTTAACAATGATTACTGTGTATTGATGCACCTCCCACTGCTCAACAACAGCCTTCCGCGCGACTGGTTGTCCGACTTTCACGTACACGGCGTGGACGTTGCTCAGCGGTCTGCTGGCCTGCCAGCAGCAGTCGCGGGCCGAAGCGGCGAGCACCCGGTCCCCCTGTGTGGGCGAGCGGAACGAGGTAACCGCGTCCGGCGCGACGACGCAACCGGAACAGGATGAGATCGAGGAGGAGGAGGAGGAGTGGTGTGTGCTGGTGTCGGAAGAGGCCGAGGAGGACGACGAGGCCGAGTGGTATCCACAGAAAAAAACCCATCCCCATCCAGTTTTTGCATGACAAACACAGGACTTTATACGTGTTTTGCACGACAAATTGGATGTGGATGGGTGTTTTTTTCTGGATAAATGGTGTGTGGAGGACGCCGAGGGCGAGGACGATAAGTCGGAGGACGAGTGGTGCGTGTTAGAAAAGAAATGGGTCATGTGAAGATCAAAAACACATCAGCCGCTGCGTTTTTTATTGCAAGAGAAGTTGCAAGAAAATTCGAATGTAGTTTTTCTACGAAGCACTCAACTTTTCCCTTCTCGTCTATTACAAATAGCAGCAGAAAAACAAAAATCAAGCCTCGCTGGTGGGTGTAAAAAGATAGAATCACATGTTTTCAGACCTTTACAACGGATTGCTCTTGTATGTTGAAAATGCTCTATAAAAATGTATTGCTGTCAGGCAACTCAAACTCTCGTCCCGTGATTTCGTACGTACGATTTGCAGCAAGCAGTCGTTTTTGTCGAAGAAAATAAAGGTTTCAATTTGACGAGTTGAGTTAGTATCAATAAGTACCCGTCGTAAAAAACAGAACTACAGACCGACGATGCTGCGCCTCGGCCTGCGCTTGATCGTTGTCCGCTAGTGGGTCAGAATTACTAACTCAATAAAAGTAGGTAGTCTGTCATGTTGATAAAGTTGATGATTTGCGTGTCAGAACAGCAGTGAGCATGAGTTTCCGTTTTGAAGACTAGAGGTGTGGCTGCTTTCACATTTATTGTGGAGGCAATCTGCTTCGATAAGCGTGTCTCCATCATGCTTGGTGCCAGCGTTGTCGTGTCTGTTGGTTAGTTGCGCGATGCAGCGGCCAATTGCTTGCTCTATGACAGCACTGGTATCAGGCCCTTTTTGTTGTTTTGAGTTTTGTTGTTTTGGCACGATTGAGTTTTCACTTTGTTTCCGTTTCGTTTCGAAGGTTAAATGGATGAGATTTGAAGCACGAAATAAAAATATATCGGATGAAGATGTAGTAGTAGAGACTGCGTAGTAGTGCTCCGGAACGACCTTATTTTGCAGAATTTTTGTTGACTACAGAAATTTCTGCATTCCCGAAAACACCGGTCTGCTACATGGAAAGACTGAACGAGTATGTAGAAATCGTATCTCAAACGTAACCCTAATGATAGCTAGGTAAATGTGCAACTGTGTGTAGAGGCTCCAGAACAAATGGATGGAGCGTTGTTGAGAACTAGAACTTTTATTTATCTCAGATTTCCAAATACTTCCAACCACGAGAGAGATTCCCTGCTGGTTATGCCGCAGAAGTTAGGAGGTGTAAACTGATTTATGTTTTTCCCCGCTGTAGACGGGATAGATACACTTCGTTTACGTCTTATTGTGGAAGAAGACAGTTTACTTCTGCCGTTCGGCTGAAGGCCATTCCCTAATTGGCCGTTTAGTGTGTACTAGTACTACTGTCTGTCTACAAAATGCCAACCTCTGGGTTGCATTTTCGTGCATCCGCGGCCGGTTCGTTGCATGCGACGAGAACTCGAATTAGAATTTTTGTGTGATAGTCAGTCTTCGCAGCGCGATAACACCTTCTTCAAGCTCTTTAGCTGATGTTTGATGTTGTCCTGTCGGTTGACAACTTCCACTCCCGCCCTCTCACTGTAATTTTCTTGAGCTTGTCGCTGTTTGGATGATTTCGATTTGACAGCAAGATATTTTCTCCAGTCTGTTGTATTTGTACAAACAAACTTCTTGCAATGGCGATCGCCAACCAGTATGTGCCTTGGCACCTCATCCAGGTTGAGTGTGCATGCTCGTCCTCGAATTGCAACCTGTTCTGTAGTTGTGCGCGATCAGATAGTCCAGCGATCTAGCGACCTGCTTGATGCCCTTTGTCGCACATGGTCCAATCAGAAAAAATAGTGAAACTAGAGAGAGAGAGGGGTAGGAACCGCAATCCACCCTGGGCACGGGTGCCACGATCTGATCAAAAGGAGATTGCCATATTCGGTGTGATGGCCAGCCGAAATAGAGCTGGTGGTCGTCAATTTGCCTCAGTAATTTTATCTAGTTTATTACTGTCCCAGGGCATTATACGCATAGCGCTCATAGTTTTTTGTAGATTCGTTCATGAATTTTTCAAAAGAGAGCGATAGTTTGTTTCACGATGGGAGCACGAGAGCAAGATTTTGCTATTATTTTTCCACATCATTACACGATCTGCATGGCGGTCCAGTACTAACTAGTAGAAGCTCCGGATCAACAGAGAGTCTACTGCGACGAGAAAGAAATACAAATACCGTAAACGGCGTTTGTTCTTCTACCGAGCAAGGATGCAACCTGGACCGAAGCGGGTAGTACGCAATCCGTTAACAAGTGTCGGAAATGATGCCGTCCAAGCGACCACGCGCCCGGCTGCGGCGAATCCGTTGTTCGCGGCACCTGACCCGCTTGGGGCAGTGCCGCCCAACCCCCTCGCTGGCGGCGGCGGTGGGAGTGCCAGCTCAACGAGACCGGCGCCCTCTCCTCTTGCGCGGGCGCAGCAACAACCAAACCCGCTCGCCCCACAGCAGCAGCAGCAGCAGGTAGCGAACGCCGCTATGCAGCAGGAGGCCCAGCGACGGCAGCAGCTGATGGCGCAGCAGCAGGAACAGCAGCGACGACAGCAGCAGATGCAGCAGGAACAGCAGCAGCGTCAGCACCAGGAGGAGCTGCAGCGGCGGCAGCAACAGGAACAGTATCAGCGCCAGCAACTGCTAGAACAGCAGCAAAAACTTCAGCGACAGCAAGAGGAGCTGCAACAGCAGCGGCTCGAGCCGCCACCAAGAACTACAACAACAGGAGGCCCCGGGGGACGAAGCAGCGCCAACGACAGTCCCCTCGCCAGCCCACCACCGCAGCGCAGTCCGCAACCGCAGGACCACTCAACGCAGCAGCTGAAGCCCCAACCTCCACCACCCAACATACCACCTATGCAAGAGGGAGGCCGAGGTGCTCGCGGTACTACCGCTGGCTCGGTCGATCGGGTACTTAAAATATTGTTTTGTTCTTGGTGCCGTACCTGCACTGTTGTTTCTCCAACTCTATACAACTTGAGGACATATTATGCCTGAGGTATTCTTCTTGTTTTCAAACTCAAATCCTCATCTTACGGGGCTCGCTGTACTTGTGGTACCACTTCTAGGCCTGCATCATGAAGAGGAGTTTTCGTGTCACGTCGTGATCGTGGTGAAAATGCAAGAAGATTCTTCATCTTTCAACTACAGGTTCGAGCTCTGGTAAACAGCGTGATCAGCGCCAGCATTGTGCGAGCGGAGACGAAAAGCGGGCTGCTGCAGTCGCATACGACGTACGTGATCAAAGTGAATGACTTCGGACGGGAATACGAGGTGGAGCGGCGATTCACAGACTTTGAAACCCTTCACTCTGACTTGTCTCGCATCTGCGGCACAGACGCATTGCCGCGCATGCCCGAGCGCGGTTGGGGCACCAGCACGGACCCGAACACCGTGGAGGAACGGAAGCCCAAGCTGAACGTGTTGCTGCAAGCTTGCCTCGCGAACAAGGAGGCACTGTTTGAGAAGAGCAACATCCTTTGGAACTTCCTGGATCTGACCCTGCCCAGTATCTTCTGTACGCGCGCCATCCTCCACGGCTTTAACTTTTGCTCGAACAATCTGATCGGCGACCTTCGTAGCAGCGTGGACCAGCACACGACCAGCAACAGCACGCAGGGCGAGGGGGACGGGCAGCGCAGCAGCAAGGAGGCGACTCCGCACCAGCCGCGGGGGACCACCAGCACCAGTGCTGACAACGCGTCCACTAGGAACATCAAGGTGGTGTCGAAAGATTTGGTGTTTTTCTTCGCGCAACTTCACAAACTCGCTGCGGACGCGAAGTACGAGACGGAGCGCTACCGCCTGGAACACGCGACGATGTTTAAAATCGTGCTGGGCTTGCTCGAAGAGGTTGAGCCGGGCGAGCAGGGAAGCGTCGCCGCGGAACCCGACCGCCCACCGGTGTCGCCCAAACCGGCCGCCGAAGATCTGGGCGGCGAACAGCAATTTGTGCGCGCCGAGCGGGGCGAGGGGGGCGGTGCCGGCGCCGGTAGCGGCGGCGCGGCCGGAAGTAGCAGTTTTTTTTCCTCGGGCGGCGCAACCAGCAGCACTGGTGCAGCTGGTGCCAGTACTAGCACCGGCACGACAAGCAAGCACGGGTCCGACCAGGTGATTGCGGCCTGTGCGGAGATCCTAGGCCACACGTTGCGCAAGTCCGAGGCCAGTCGCACACTCTTCCTCAAAGACAAAGGGATCGAGAAGCTCTTCCGCGTTATTCGAAAGGAAAAGATCCTGAACCTACGCGTCAAGCGCGTCTTCTCCTCGCTTCTCAGTTGCGTCGGCGGGGACACGCTCGGAGAAGCCCTCGCGTCGGCCTTGGTCAGCGACCCCGCCGCCGACGCCAAGCCAGGAGCGAGGACCAAGCCGAAGCTCCTAGAGGTGCTCACCGACCTGGCTGATAGCAGTCGGGATGCCAGTTTCCACGACTTTTTGTCCAAGATGCTCTGGTTTGTGTGGGACTGCGAAAGCGTGCAAAACTTCTTCGTCGACCAAGGTCTCTTCTTGCTCTCCCGCCTATTCGTGGTAATATGCTCAAGCAATATTTTTTTATTTTTGCAGCGTGATGTAACTCTAAGACTAAGTCTAACTGAAACTAAGTCATGAATGAGAATGCCATGGGAGGTTAAAACCACGAGAACGACCTTGTCCTTGCATGCAAGCAAGACCGAACTACAGCAACGCTGAGTCACGAGTCTTCCGTTTGAAACTTTGAATTTCCATTAGCAAATGCCTCAAAAAATTAATTTAGGTGAACAGTGTGATCACGCGACTCTACACCGCCCTGATGTTCGGCGTCATGCTGACCAACCATTTACTGGACGAGCGCAAGCGCACGCGCGTCGAAGAGGGCTTGTGTCAGCTCATGCACGAGCTGGAGCCGTTGGCGTTTATGGGTCAGTTGCGGGCGGCACAACAGTCCGCAGGGGACGTCGACCCCCACGAGCAGGCACTAGCCAACGGCGCCAGCGCAAATGGGCTCGCGAACGGAGATCATTCGCAGGCTACGATGATCACCGGACTGCTTAACAAATACGTGCCTGGAGCAGCGGCGGGAGACGCCGACGGGCGACGCGACAGTACCTCCACCGAAGCTTCGGGTGTTGTGGTAGGGAACAGTGCGGCTTCGTCCTCCACCATGGATCCAGGCCTCCGTGCCTTCCACAGCGAGCTTATGCAAATCGGGAACTTGCAGTCTTCTCTGATCAAAATACACAGCTGTCTTGCCGACACAGGGAATGTTGTCGCCGCCAAGCTTGCGCTTTATGTCCTCCGCGAGGCCCGCCTTCGCCCGGAATACCTTTGCAGGTATATCTTCTTTAGAGTCAACTTTATTAATTTTATGTAGCGGCTATTTCTCGCTTCCAAATCTTGTTCGGTATTGGTTGCGAGTTCTACTGTCAGTGAAGAATCATCAGTCGGACGTTATACGGAAAACCAAGACTTTTGTGCCTTCCATTCACACAGGTTTTTCCCCGCCTTGCGCCCCTGGGTAGTGCACGAAATTGCGGGACACCCGGAGGCTCAGTGCGTAGCCGCCGACATTCTGCTCGAAATGACACTCCAGCCTGCAAGTCACTACGCCGATAAAGCGGTCGGGGGAGGCGAGGGCGCCGGAGAAGAGTCCATGATTCCTTGGTACGAATGATTTCTTGTATACTGTCCCTGCTCTAAGACGCGGATTCAACACGGACACTGCTTGGTTTTGAATCGCGGAAGAGAAAAAGAATACTAGCCCGCCGACATTTTTGAATTGACCGCCTAACGCTCCTAACTATGACACTCCTTGTACGCAGGTACTTTCAAGATGGCGAGCTGGAAACAGCACTGCACAAAGCACTGATGCGCAAAGTGGAGTTTGAGAGCGGCATGTTGCGTCAGCACCTCGAACAGGCCGCGCAGATGATGAACGCGCAACTGGAGTTCAGCGCACAGCGGATGCTGATCCAGCCCCCACGAAGCCTGGTCTTGCACTTTGAGAAGAGCCGTCAGGCCACCAGTCCGCACCTGGGCGGGGAGCAGAGTTTTTTCGCGCCATTGGAGCAGCAGATGGCCGACTATGAGCGCAGCCGCGCGCATTTGAAGGCGGCCTCCGAAGCGGCGGTGCGCGCCAAGGGCGGCGTCACCAGTACCACCGAGCAGGTCAGCGGGGGCAAGCTCGCGAAGATGGTGCCGAAGCTGCCCCTCGGCATGACGGAGAGCATGCAGCAACTCGGAAAGATGTGCGAAAGTAGCCAAAGCCAGTTCTTCGAGGCGAGCCAGCGGAGCGAGGAGCTCGCTCGCCTCGAGGCCGCAGCGAAGACCGCGGACGAAGAAGTGAAAGAGGCTGAGATGCAGGTTGGAAAATTGCAGGGCGAGCGTTCGACCCAGCAAATGCAGTTGCAGGAAAAGAAACTGCAGCTTTCAAAGCTCCAGCACCAGCTCTGGGAGGCGAAGATGCAGGGGGGCAACCAGGGCGAAATCGAGGGCCACGCCGCCAATCTGCAGAAGGAGATCGCCTCCTTGGAGGAGCGCGACGCTGCCGGCGAGGGCGCGCGCGTCAGCGCAGAGGGGCAGGTACTGGTGGAGCTTTTCTTTGCAACGAACTGTCTTTTTGTTTCTCATATACAGAAGAACTGAAGTCGGCGTTTGTTTCCTTAGGTTTTGTATTCAACAGAGATGAAAAATCATGATGAGAAGTGAAGAAGCCCAACCTTCATTTGTAGTCATACAAGGCAGTGTTCTTAGCTAGAAGTGCAGTGAACCAGCATCAATGTCTACATCACATGAGGCTCGCGCGGCGACCGAGAAGCGGGCTCAGCTACTGGAACAGCTCCTGCACCAGCGGGAAGCCTGCCGAACGGGGAACGTTACGCAGCTCCGGGACTCCCTGTTGCAGCAGAAAAACAAGCTGGTGGGTCCGTTTCGCAAGTTTCATCGCGAATGGGAAGCAGTTAGCCAGGAGCTGCTTCGTGCGCACGCTACGCAGGCCCAGTTTCACCAGAAGTTGCGCGATCTGGCAAGGGCGCTGCAGGGCGAGCAGCGAGAGCGCGCCGCGCTCGGTACCGCCTTGGCTCGCACGCGCGACGAGCTAAGCCACTTCGAACAAGCACTCCTAGTAAACGACCACGGCCTCGAAGAGGTCACAACCAGTCTACTGTATTGATACGGCTACCCAGCGCCAGCACGTTGTTGACGCGACTGCAATCGCAAGATGAAGAGACTACATTGCCGAGCAAAAGTCACAGACTTTCAAAGAAAAAAGTTTGGAGGGATGATTCTCCTCGGCGTTGGAACTCGCATATCATTTTCACTTGCAGTCGCAGCGCATTTTCAAAGACCAGTTTGTTTTCATCAGCGACCAGCATCAGCGACCAGCGACAACATATGAATCGAAGTTCGAATCCAATAAAAAGACGCAATTAGAGCGACCCATTGACAGGAATTGGTCGGGTCGCTGACCACGTGATAACTTGAAGTTTTCCTTTACAAGCAACTGCGCGCATTGTTCGGAGCGCTGACGCATCCGTCGTAGGCGCAACCAGGGAAGTTCAACTACCTGTTGTGCCTGTCATCTGAGAGAGACTAGGAGAACGACGCATAGTGACTGCACAGTCAGCAGATAAGCTGAGAAAGCTGCTCCCGTTTTTGTCTTTTCTGCGTTGTTGATTTTTCTGTTTCTCTATTCGGAGCGTCAGCGTTAGTAATTCATCCGTGTTTTGCTGTTTCAGGAGGCAAATTGGGTATATTTCATTCTTTATCTTTCCTGTCGTTTCCGTCGTTTGGTTATGGTTTGCGCAAACGAAGTTTAGAGCAAGCGAATGGCACTGTCGGCGGCCGGATCGTCGTCCGGCGCCGCCGTGGCCTCCGAGCATGCTAATGGGTCAGGCATGGGTGAGACGGAGGCGGACCGATTTGATGTGGACGCAGAATTGCGGGAGGTGGGAGGTTTCTCCAGGTTTCAGAAGCGATCCTTGGCCGCCATGGGCTGTGTGTGGATGTTGGGGGCTGCGGAGGTGTGTCAGCACCCATTGACTGTGCTCGAGCCACGGTACGTGGACTGCCTGCAAAATTGTCACCTCCGAAGCGGCTGGGTAGCTCAACGGCCTAGCGGGGATGTCGGTGGGCGCGACCTAGCAACTACGAGTGCGGAGGAGCCTAAACATGTTCATTCGCTCATGGAATTAATTAACAGGAGCAGTAGTGTACTCACGTGTCCGCGCGGCTGCTACATACGATCACAACTTCTAAAATTTCGTTTGGAAATGATACACCAAAAGGGTCTGAGCAGAGCTGTCCCATCGGCAGGCGCCGGGGCGGTTTTATGCAAACATGTGCCGGGTACATTTTTTGTCGCAGGCCGACCGACCTGTTTGCGTGCCCGAGCACCGACGTCAGGAGTTTTCATTCAATATAGATACGATTTCGAAAAAAATAAGTGAAACACGAGGAAGCGGGACTGCGATGCCGAGGGCGGCGTCCTGAGATGCGGTAAGCCCTCATCTCAGTTTCAAACTGTGGTCTGGGGGATAAGCCCCGCGCGTAGACGTTTCAATTTGAATTTTCTTTGTTTCGCTCATCGTTTGCTCCCTCTTGCCCTCTGCGTGGGCTCTTTCTTTTCATACCTGCAAAGGAGCGTATTTGTCAGTTGTGATCAAGCGGATAAGAGACAGTAGCAGGGCGTTGGCACGGACACGCGATGCGTTTACCGTTGATAGCGAGATCCGACAAAGAACTCGACGGCACCGGGACCGGCCCCAAACGGTGGCAAAGCAGGCACTAATTCAACGACATCATCGGCTTCTACATCCGGAAGTAATTCCGTCAGTACTACACCAGGGACGGCACCAGCATCTCCGGGCATGGCCACACCCGGAGCAACCACCCCACGGCCAGCGCATCCTGCGTCCGTGCATGCGGGCTTGCAAGCATTCAGTTCCACTACCACAGTCGCGCCACTGCTGCCGCAAACGAGCGTTTTGTCCGCCGGTCCGCAGAGAATCTATTTTTCGCAAATTCCGTGCCATGGCAAGAGTGTGTGGGCTAAAGACGTGGAGGAGCGACGAAGGGCGCTGTCTCCCACCGATGTTGCTGGCGAGTTCACTTCTCGTCGCATCGAACAGGAAATAAACCAGGAACAGCAGCTTGTGTACGAGTTCGTGGCCCCAGGAAAATCGCTGATTACCAGTTTCAATCTGGTTTGCGAACGCCGGCACTACGTGGAGACCACGGGGTTCGCGTACTTTTTCGGTTTACTCCTGGCACTGGTGGCAATTCCGCGCATCGCAGACGGGCTGGGGCGCAGGCCTGCCTTGTATGGCAGCTTAGTATTACATCAGGTACAGGAACAGGATCAGGACATAGCAATGTATGATTTGTTATATTTCGTCTCTTTTAATACAGAACACATAGGATAGAAATTGCCTGATTCTCGGCGGTTTCGATACGACACACAAACTACACAAGGCGGAACAGATACGCATTTTCCCAACCTCAAAATGAAAGCTCGCCGCCACCGGGATATGTTTTGTGACGGAGGTGGACAGTTACACGTTTTCGCGGTGCCTCCTTGGGTTTGCCAATGGTGGGATGGGCATGATTGCGTGGCTGCTGCTCACGGAATTGGTGCCGATTGAGTTTCGGCGAATGCAAGTGCTCCAGATGAACGGGCTGTTCGCCGTAGGTGCGATTTTGGTGTCCCTTCTGATGATGGTGTTTGCGACGGACTGGCGGTCGGTCACGATCGTCATCTGCCTCATGAGCTGGTTCTCGCTGTTGCTGCCCAAAGTGCCGGTGCTGGAGAGTCCGCGGTGGTATTTCGCCCAGAACCGCATCGAGGAGTGCAAAACGGTGCTGATCCGGATCGCGCAGATCAACGGGCGCAAGGACTACAATCCCTATCACCCGCGCACCAAAATCGACTACGCGCTCCCGATGGTTGACGAAGAGATTTTCAGCATTGAGGCCTCCGTATCCCACAGAAAAAGGAAGGCAGGGCATGAATACTTATCTCAATTATGCAAAAGTAAAAACACAGTCACAGAAAAGGCTGCAGTGCGTATCTTGAGCAGCATGCGATGACGAGCTCGCCCAGGACTGATTTTGGTGATGGTTAAATAATGTGAACATAAACATGCCTGCTTATTTCTTTCTCATACTCCGACGAGGAGCCGGAGAGTGCGGCGTCCTCGGTCGGCGCGGGAGACCACCAGCTGGACCACCAGAACGGTGGCGCCACTTCTATGCCCGCCGGAAAGTACACACCGCCCACACGTGCGACGCCAAGCGACACAGTCGTTGGTATTCCGGTTCACGACCAAGGGCGGAATCCGGATTTTGTCGTCGCGCAGGGAACTGCGAGGGCCCTTTCGGAGAAAGAGCACGCCGCGATGCCGTCCGCTGGTATAAAGAAGTTATACATGATCATCAATTCATATGCTTTTCTTGAAGTTGATTCTATGGAATATCCACTTTTGACCTTCGAGGTGTCTTCTTTGTAACTTTTCTTTCCGTTTGCCCATATAAATATGATTTCAATATCCCGCCTGATTTCAGTGACTATAATCAATGCGAGTAAATAAAACGCCTGCACGGCAGGCCCATTCCCGACTGGAGTCCGGGCACGTTTGAAGGACGAGCTTTCCGGGGGCGCGGCGCCCGGCTCGAGCCCCGGCACGCCTGGAAAAAAGAAAAAGGCCCCGCCCGCGCTTTGGTGCCATCACAAGCTGCGTCCGTGGATCGCGGCCCTTTCGTTCTCGTGGTTTGCGGTCCAGATTGGGTACTGGGGCATCGCGTTCGACGTGGAGAACCTCTCCGTGTCGCGGGAGGAGCGGCACACGGTGCACGCGTCGCGGCCGCACCCGGAAAACAACGCCATCGTGAACCAGGATGAGAATCGGTACACTTACAGCGAGAAGGACGTGTACTGGACCGCGATCCAGGCCTACCTGGTCGAGTTCCCCGCCATCCTGGTAGCGGCCTACGCGCCGGACGCGCGGTGGTTCGGCCGGCGCGGCGTCTCCTACTGCTCCTTGGTGGGGGGCGGGGTCGCGGTGCTGGTCGGTTGCTTTTGCCAGGCGTTTCTCGGGAGCAGCACGCTGGCGCTGTACGGCGCGTTGCTGGGCCGGTTTTTCGCCACGGTCGCGTTTTGCGTTTTGTACACGTTCGGCACCGAGGTGTTTCCCACGGAGGTCCGGGGGCGCGCGCTCGGATGGCAGAGCCTCGCCGCCCGGTTCGGCGGACTGCTCATTCCCTACCTCGTGGCCCTGGACCGGCTCTGGTTCGCCGGGGCCACCATGCTCATGCTCGGCTTCCCGCTGATCGCCGCCGGGTTTGCCGTGCGGAAGTACTGCCCGGAAACCCTCGGCGAGCGGATGACCGACACCGTGGAGGAGCTGGAGCAAAGACACGCGGATCCAGGGAAGTCGCCGCGGAGAAGCCCCAGCTCGCAGTACCACATTGGCAGCAACGTGGACACGGACGCCGCACACCGGGGGGAGACGGGCGGCAGCGTTATGGGGCGTCCCGCGTCGCTCAATTTTGGGGAGGAGGAGGACGAAGAATGACAGAGTTCCTCTCCATCGCAGGAGAGCCGCGCTTAGGTGGACTTTGTCCTGACTGTCGCTATCTAATAAAGAAGGACTTGATCATGATCATCGTCCAACGAATTGGTACAGCGTTTTTGACCTCGAAAGAAAAGAAAGTTCTCAAATACTACGATCATGAAAGAGAGGACTACACGTGTTCGACTTGAAGTTCGAAATCATGCTCATGTTTGTCCCAAATCGCAGCCGCTAAGTAAAAAGATGAAGCGGGAATACAATTTTTTTCGTACGAAATAAATCCGCATCATTTTTCAAAGAGAACAGAGGAAGCGTCGATCTAGTTTTGTTTTAAGGAAATGTCTATGAATGTGGAAGGCAATTTTTTTTCAAGATCCTTGACTGCTGCAAACGCTCTTCAAATCACGCCTCATACGCTTGCCCAGAAAACGTTTCTCCTTCTGTTCAATTGACAGCACTACAGTGAAGTCAGAAAAATGATTCCGCTTTACATGAACCAGCAAAATAAGTATAAGAAAAAATATAAATAGCTGATTCGGATTATAGCGGGAGATCTTATTTTGCTTTTCTCGGTCTCCAGCATTCCGCGATCTCATACTTCCCAGTAGCACCGGCACCTGCTCGAAGCTTACCGTATCACCGCAACACCCTTCATGTAAGCTTATCTGGCTTGGAAAATAAACTACTGAATTAGATTCTGTTTCACATCATTTTCATTTCTGTTTCTGCCAATTTCGAGCGGCGACAGCTCGATAGTAATTTGTCTGGAGAGCAGGTTTGAATTGAAAAATGGATCCGAGCATTGTGGTAGAGGAGCAGGGTCCCTTCGGTGGTTCTGATGATCCGGACGGGTTCTGGGGTCAGCAGGGCTCGCCGGTGGTGGAGGAGGAGCAGCAGCCGGAGGAGCAACTCCAATCCGAAATCGCGGAGCATGCGATGAACAATCCGTTCAGCGACGAGTTGCAGGGGCAAGAGGAGGAACCGCATCAACCAGTGGACGACGGCGCGTATTACCAACACGATGAAGTGGTGGATCATGCTAGCGCCGATCAGGAGCACCAGGCGGGTGGTACTATGGAGGCGGATGAACAGGACTTCATCCAGGTCGACGAGAACAACAACGTGGACGACCACGACCAGCAGCTCGTGTTGGAGGAGGCTGCTGCAAACGAAGGACAGGACCCTGAAGGCACGGGGCATGGTGCGGACGACCCGACCAATTTTGCTCCGGATAATTCCACCGAGCTGCACCCGTCCGGCGTGCAGCTCGTAGAAAACCCGGACAGCGCGGCAACGGGCGCGGCCGCAGGCGAGGGCACGCCCGTGACCTTGACCCCGTCGCGGGCGGGCAAGGGCGACATCGCGACGTACCAGACGTTTTCTTCGGCCGGTCACAAGGGCGGTTCGTACAAGGGCGGAAAGGATCACGGGTCGTACAAGGACCACGGCGGGAAAGGCGGCAAGAAGTGGGGAAAAGGCGGAAAGAAGGACGACTTCAAGGGGAAGAAGGTGTTGATGAACCCAGGAGTGGGCCCGCACGGCCACCCCGTGGGTCCCCACGGCCACCCGCCCCCCCAGACGGTGATCATTCACCATCCCGGACCGCCGATGAAGGGCGGGGCACCGCCGGCTCCGGCGTACCAGGTGATCGGGCCGCCGCCGCACCACCTGAACGGCCCGGTGGTGCAGCAGCAGCCGCGCCACGCGGGACAGAAGGGCGGCCAGCAGAACGGCCCGTCCGCGCACTACGAGTACATACAAGCCGCGCCGGGAGCTCCTGCAACCACCTCTGTCCGGTACGAGTACCACAACAGTTCGCACCAGACAGCGCGCCACCACGCGACACAGAAAACGACTCACACGGTGACCACCCTGACTGCGGAACAAATGAAGGACTTCTCCCTGCGCCGCCCGGACGCCTACGCGAAATTCTCAACGCATAACGTGCGCATGCACAACGGTACTCATACAAGATTTTTGCAAGCTAACTTAGTTTTTGCTAAGGGTTTCTTGCTTTTCATCATCATGGTCCATCTGCAGCATCATGCCAATACAATATTTAGCAACTACATCTAGAATTGTTGGAAGATAGAGCTGCAAAGAGGCTGAAAAAAAGCAACCTTCGGCCCCAGGTCTGTTCGAGATTTCGCTGTCCCGGTGCTGCCCCGAGAAGTTTTTCGCTGATTTTTTGGATTGTTTGCACTGCTGGCTGCAGAAGACCCATGGGGAAATCGGGCCGTACCACATCCGGTTGCTGGACGTTGGCGGAAACAAGTTGTCCAACTACGCGGTCCGGCTGCTGTGCGAGAAGCTGAAGGAGTGGCAGGTGCGCGTGGATTTGTTGAACCTGAGCGGGAACTGCCTGGACCGGGTGGACGACCTGGTGAGCTACATGTGGTACAGCGAGCGCCCGCTGCTGGCGCTGGGGCTGAAGAACAACCGGCTGAAGTGCGACGAGGTGAACGCAGTGCTGCGGTGCTGCTACAACCACGAGAACTACCCCGCGAAGTCCGAGGACGGGCGGCGGTTCGTGCCGCTGCGGATCGAGTTGGAGGGCAACCCGTGCTCGGCCGAGCACGGCATGCTGCCGGAACTGTTTTCCGCCGTGCACTATGAATTGCAAATATGTCTGGGTCTGGAAGGTGGTAACTTGCCATGGTAAATCTGAAGGATACAAAAATCTATGTTGCATGAGTGCCGAAAGCTGTCCACTTTAGACCATTTTGGGAGGGAGTTTCTCATGCAGGATAGGCATGGCAGAGACCTCGCAGAGTCTGTCATGCTAAGTCCCGCATTCCAGACCTCATGGGTCATGGACAAGCTGCATGGGTCATGGACAATGGTATCTGGTATCTGGACAATCTGCATGGCAAGTTTACACTCTTCCAGACCCGGACATTTTTGCACTTGATACGCACCGCCAGGGCAAGGTCCACATCTCCGCCGACGACTCGCCGACCCGGGACTTGCCGGTGCACATGCCGCTCTACCTGGCGGTGCACTGCCCCGGGAGCTGCAGCTGGCGGCCGCCGCCGAAACTGGAACCACGAAAAGTCGCCCGGGCCAAACGCGACCGCGGCGAAAGGACGGAACGGGGGGAGCGAAGCGAACGAGGGGAACGGGGGGAGCGAGGGGAACGGGGTGAACAACGCGGGGAACGCGGAGAGCGAGGTGACCGCGGAGAGCGGGGGGAGCGCGCAGAACGCGCAGACCGGGGAGAACGCACAGAGCGCGAGGAGCGGGGACACAAACGTGAAAAAACCGAGGACCGTCGAGAGCAGGGCGCCACGAAGAAACGACGACACCGGGGGGAGTGAAAACAAAGATGAGTATCATGAATGTCGAGATAGGATCTTCAAAAAGTATTAAAGTACGATACAGTTGTACTCCTGATCAGAGAAGAATAGCGACTGAAGTACTTATTCTAGCGACTATGTTTTGATGGCAAGAAGATGTTCATCTGGAGCAGCATCTCGAGTAGTTGTAGACTCACTGCGGCAGTAACAGTATCTTATGTGCTCTTGCTGACGTGGTCGAGTTCGAGGTCAACTTCAGGATGAGCTGGAAAGTAGACCCCGAAGGAACTTTAACGTGTGTCACGGCCACCGGAGAATCACCGAGCTAGCGGTAGGACGAGAGGTTTCCTTCAAAACCGAGAACAAAGTGAAGAAAAAGTAACTAATTTGCCCCGAATTACTCTCACCACTGACGAGCTTTTCAAAAATGTGAACCTGAAACTACTTACAACCGAAGCCGCCTGTGGCTATCTGGTCCCAGCACACAGTAAAGGCGACTTTGAGCTGCATTTTCAGTGTTCCGTGCCGACATCCTCTGGTTTGGTGAGCTTTTCTGAGAACTGATGTTGTTGTCGCAATTAGTGCCTGCACAACATACAACCGTGTAGCTGCAGCTACTTACTTGGAATACTGAGCTGACTCGGAATTCGTGATGGAAAAGTACTACACGCAATCTTTCCACTTTCGATTGTATCTTACACGACGAATCCAACGTGGAGGTAGGGTAAAAAATAGAAATCTAAAACATTTAAGGCGGGTGAAACCAACATGGTCGCAGTATCAATAACAGTAAGGCAGCACGCGCAGCAGGAGAAACCTCGGCCCAGAAGATAGCACAAGAAGAACAACGCTTTCCATTTTGTATCGCTCGGCCTTCGGGAACACGAACAACCCAACTAGAAACTGGACGATGCCGGCGGTGGTTCCAGTGATGGGTAGTACGGGTCACCCTCCGCAGTTGGGTGGATTCGAGAGGCAATGCGCCACCCTGTTGGACTGGAGCAATTACTACTTCGGTGCGGACAAGGAGACGAAGCTAGCGCAGATGGCGAGCGAGTTGCTGCGACAGCTGGCCACGCAGCCCTCCGGCGCGCTGCGCGAAGAGGATTTGCTGTCGCTGCGTGGGCGCGCGCTCTCCGTCACGGACCCCGACCAGGCTACGGCGCTGTTGGAGCGCGGCCTTCGTCGCAACCCCCTGTCCCAGGCGAGCTGGACCTGCCTGGGCGAGCTCTACTTCGGCAAGGGCGAAGTTGAAAAGGCGTGCACGTGCTTCCACAACAGTTTGGATTTCACCGGCGAGAGCGCAACCATCTGCCGAAATCTTTCGATCGTGCTGCGCAAAATGGAGCGACCCAATACTTCCCAAGCCCAACACCATGTAGCTGTTGGCAACGGCGCGGCCCCCATCCCGGGGAAGAGGCAGTCGAGTCGGTCTCTCGAGTGGGCTCAGCGCGCTGTGGAGATTGACCCCGATGACCTGCTGAACTGGGAAGGACTTGGAAATTTCCACTTGGACCGGTTTGGCCAGCGGAATACTACAGATTCTCTTCAGAAGGCAGCCGAAGCGTACGAACGAGCAGCGATTCTAGGTGCGATTGGTGTTTTGGCACTTGCTATTCGTAAATCTGATATGTAAAAATACCAGCGATGTTTATTTTGATCTTCGAGAACGGCCGTGATTCTGGCTCTGGGATTCGTCTGGCAACGACCAGGTCGAGCCGGAACACTATCGGTGATAATTAAGTTCAGCAAAGTAGGGAGCTTAATAAAATAAGCGATGCTCCTTTTTCCACAATTAAACTCTTCAGATAGAGCGTCCACATGGGGCCGATCACCAACGCTTTACCACAATCTCGGACTGGTGAAGCTTTTTTCTCTTAATTTCGGCGAGTCGTACGACGCGTTTGAGGTCTGCGCCCGCACTGTTTCGCAGTACGCAGAGCAAGCGAAAAACCAAATGCGGACCATTCTGGAAATTGCCAAAGCTCTGGACGAGCACGTGAATCAGAAGGGACGCATGCGCGCGTCCCGTTTGCAGAGCGTGGCGAAACACCTGAAGGAGCACTGCACGAAGCGGTCGGCAAGTACGAAGTCGGACAACCGGGCTGTTTTTGGAGGGTGGCGCGAATGCGTAGAGGGAGACGCCGCGGACAGCTGCCGAGATCCGGACAAAAAGAAAAGGCAAGTACTCACGGTGAAGATCGTGCACAAAATCGAAGTGGACGTGCCAGTTCTGCTGATCTGCGTGGACCAGAACCAAGAGTTTTTCGTTCTGGCTTTGTCGGGCACGGACGCGAACCAACTGATGAAGAAGGTGAAGCTGGGCGAGAGCATCGTCGAGGTTACGCATTTTGAAAAGCGCCCGCTCGTGTACAACAAGGAAGACAACTGCCGTTCGTGGAACTGCGTTCACGTGCAGGAACCGAAGCACCTCAGCCTCGACGGACATCACCTGGGGAACTTAGCGATTTCAAGTTTGAATGATTGATGGCGTCGTTTGCTGCCCACAGCAGAGTGAAGACCGATTCTTCCGTGAAGTGATAGTCCTACCTGCAAGACTAATATGTGCGTTTGACGACGTGTAGCCGTGCTGTTACATGGTTCTGAGTACGTGCTAAGGTCATGGTTAAAACTGGCCGCACGTCTACCCGCACATCGCCCCGGATGTCGCATGGCACAAGCTGCTTGACGTGGTGCGGAAGTCGTGCGCTGCGTAGATTGGTGTGAAAGTCCGAAAGAAGCATTGCGTCTTTGCATCATACCTGGCACAGCAGCTGTTGCTCGCCGCCCGGTTAGGGCTCTGTGTTCATCTCGGCGCAGCGTGCTTTTTGCTTCCCGTTTCTTTCTGGTACGTACTTACTTAAGTATATACGTTTTCCTCCTTGAGTCAGAAAAGGCTCGCAAAGCTGTAGCGCATTGAAAATGTCCGCTGTCGGTGGTGTTTTGCGTTATGTTTCCCCGCACAGTGTGAAGGTGCGGGGTCTCCCTTTCCACACGACAAAGCAGGACATCGTGGAATTCTTCCAAAAATGGAGCACACTGAGTCCATCTGCAGTTGTATTTCCACACCAGTTCTACCGAGGTGGCTTTTCGAACCTGCAGCGGGCCAACCCAACAGGCCCCCAAGACAGATTGTCGCTCAGCGCGAGAGGACGTGCCGACTCTTCATCTTCCCTCTCCTCTTCTACAGTGGGTCGTGGCGGCAGTGTCACATCAAACGCAAGGGGAAGCATTGATGACGATTTGCTAAACTACACAAATAGCGGCCTGGCTTATGTGATGTTTGAGCGCCCCCAGGACTGTCACGCAGCGGTGGACCAATGTGACAAATGTTGGTTCCGAGATCAACGAAAAGTGGATGTTCTCGAGGTCGCGCAGCATCTGAAACGCGAATTTTTGGATCACACATTGAAAGACCCGTACGAAATCACAATGCAGAGCGAGGTCGACAAGGCCAAACGCATGGAAATCGGGAGGAAACAAAAGGACTTGGTACTGCAACGGCGGCAGTGGATCAAGTACGATCAGAGCGGGCGGCGGTACGCCCGCCAAGACAACATCGCACCCTTTTACACTCATTGAGTTTACGACCTCTCAGACTCCTTGCTTTTGCTGGCAGAAAGATGTTGAACTTATGTAGTACCAGTAGCTTCTTCCATCAATGGAAACCGTCGAATATTCTGCACCGTGGCATTCGCATCAATCTCTAAGAGCGGCGTTGTTCGAATAAGGCTACACTGTATGTTTGCCTTTCGTCGTGGTCGTGTCCGATAGAATGTCACTGAGGTCTACAAATCTTTTTCACGTGCAATAATCGCTTGAAGATGATCCATAGATTTTCTCGGGTAGCCGCGGGGAGAGCCTGCCAACGGCACGGCGAGATGCGGGAAAAATGCCTTTCCCTTTACTTCACTGATACCGAGCCTCTCGCATCGTCGTAGCCGGTTCGTTCACGGCCGCGTTCAAAATGGTAGTGCCCCCGTATATTCCTTTCAAAACATTTCTTCTTTCCTCTTTTTTCTTGCTGCTCTTGCAGCTGTGCCTGCTCCACACGCAAGCCTCGGCGGTTGCACCACCCGAAGACCAGTGCGACTTCGATCGCGGCGATGCTGGGTTCAGACTGCCCGTCGCGGATGCCGCGTCCCCATCCACGCTCCACTTGTTGCGCTGTTACGAGGAAATGGGCCAGAACTTTGACCATTTACTCGGTGTTTCAGAGCAGGACGAAGATGGGCGGAGCAGCGGCGAGGACAACTGGGACCAGCATGTGGAAACGTGTTGTCCGTTTCCGAAACTGTACGAGCTGAGCTTGTGGGTGGAGTCGTCGGTGGAGCACGAACGCGAGATGCTGAAGAAGCCGTTGCCGCAGATCAATACCAAGGGGCACATGTGCGAGCGGGCCATCCGGAACAGCTTCGACGTGTTGCTGCACGCCGGGGACGAGTTTCGCAAGCTGATTCGCGAGGCGTTGCCGCTGATGGCGGAGCTGGCGCGCGAGCTTTCGTGTCAGCGCTGCGTCCCGGGCTACACCCAGTTTCTGAAGCAGCACAAGCAACGCTCCGGCCTGCCCATGTTCTTCAAGTTGGTACACTCCATGGAAAGCGGCCTGCTGAACCTCGCACACACACTGTACAACCCTGCGGAAACCGAGGTGCCCTCAACGGACGGAGACTTCATCTGCCCCACCTACACCCAGCCGGTTTCGGGCCTCCTACGGAAACTGGACGCCAGCGGGGTCGTGGGCGGCCGGCCGGATGCGATCGCCGCGTACCACGAGGGACACGACCAGATTGCGCGGCTGCACGACACGCAGCTGGCCGCGTACCCCGAGGGGCTGCAACAGGTGCTCGAGGGCTTCGTCACGGCGCTGAGCTACCCGTACTCGGTCGTCACGCAGGAGGTTTTCCTGCGGAACCTGGGCTGGGAAAAGATGTTGCGGGGACAGATCGACGAGGACCACCGCATGTGGGGAAACGTGGTGCACGAGAAGTCGCGGCTCTACGGCAACTGGCGCACGTCCGCGGCGGCTGCGGCGCACCTCGATCAGTCTGGCTTCCCGGTGGTGTTCAAGGATCAAGGTATAATTGATGATGGTCGTGTGCGGCCAGTGGTAGAGCACGACCAGGTGCGCGCCCAGTGTTCGTCCGTTCCAAGCGGAGGTGGAAAAAGCGCTCCGAGAGGCGAAGGAGATCAGGACGTGGCGGAAGGCCTGTTTGTGCTGATTTCCAATCGCACGAGTGACGCTTTGGTGGATAAGCTCGCGGGAGAAATGTTCCAAGAAAGCCGCCCGACGCTGATTTTGGAAGAGGTTGTGGGCGACGGCATGGAGGCACTGGGCAGGGATTGCCACGGGACCGCGGAGAGCCGCTTTTGTCTGCGGCCCATGCACGCATCAGGCTTGAAATCCCTACTGCGGGACAAGACGAATGTGCAAGTGGTGTGGAAGCGGCATGCAAACTCGTTTCATCTCGCGGATGAGGATAGTTTGTTGAACGCAAAAACGAAAAGAAAGCCCGCTGGGACGGTGCGACAGCAGGTCGTGCAGCAGCTCCTTTTGGATCGCTTTGCCGCCGATCCGAGCCAGTCGTTAGAGCAGCACGCGTCTGCGGCCTTGGGGCATCAGCAGGTGATTGCAACGCCACTGCTGCGGGGGTACTTCGACCACCAGATGGGCAGCCGAGGGAATTTCGTCGATACGCTGCGAGTAGTAGACTTGCGCGCGCCCGATTTCCAGCGCCTGGTCGGCGGTTTCGCGGCAGCGCATGAGGATCACAACCACGACGAGCAGCATCCCGGCCATCACACCGCTTGGGCGGACACGTTTTTGCCAGGAACCGGCGTGAAGTCACCTGCTTTCTGCAAGCCAGGTCTGCCGCTGCCGACGCAGGCGGAACTAGACAGGTATGCAGAATGGCATGCCGAGAACCCGGCGGGTGCGAAGCGCCTCGTGGTGGTCTGCCTGCCCTTCAGCCAATGCGGTGGCCACGGCGACCGCGTGAACGGACTGCTCACGCTTTTCCTCCTCGCGCTGATTACCAAGCGGCGGTTCCTGATCCTCAGCTCCAACCCCGTGGACTGGCATTCGGTCTTCGCTCCCAACCGCATCGACTGGCGCACCGAAATCGGGCAGATCTCGCTGACTAATGTGCGCACCTACTTCGACAAGCGATACGGGTTCCGCGAAGACTTAGACCGCATTCTAGCGTCCCCGGCACAAACGCTGCTGCTGCGCGTGAACAACCGCATTGTGAAGTCGCTGTACGGTGAGGGATGCGATTTGCAAGCACCCTTTCTCGTGAGCCGAGTGATGCAGTTTCTGTTCTCCCCGAACATTTATTTGGAACAAACCATTAACGAGACGGCCGAGGAACTGGGGTTGTTCGCACCACAGTATAATTCTGGTAGTACTTCTAGCGGAACTACGACGAGCGGCGAGCCGCGGCCGGCGGCTGTCAAGACAAGTACGGACAATATGGAGAATCTGTTAGTTCCCTACATCAGCATACACTACCGCACGGGAGACATCGCGTTCGACCCTCATCGGCACAACTCGTCCTTGGCCGGTTTTGTGCAGTGCGCGTACCAAATCGAGCGAGAGCTCGGACTGCCGCCGGAAACTCCTTGGGTGCTGCATGCAGATAGCCTCAGACAGGTGCCCGAGTCGTGGTACCTCGCAGCGGCAGAGAAATACGAAGATTTCCTGAACGAACAGGAAAAGGAGAAGCAGCAATTCCTCATCGACCAGCGCCAGGAGGAAAGGCAAGCAGCGCAAGAAATTGACGCGAAACTGCTTGCCAAAGACGCGCCGCTTCTGCCACCACGTACTAATGTTGAAATTCAAATTTGGACAATTGGACTGCACATGTACGTATTATACTAGTTTCACGTACAAGTTAGTAGTCCTTTTTCTGCTTTTCGATTAGGAAGTGTTGCCTATGCAGCGAGAGGTCTGATGTTTACATAACAAACGCTCACGACAGCACTTGCAAGCAGTCTACCAGCAAAAGGCGTCGGGGCGCACGGTGCCGTTCCTGCAGCAGAAGACTTTGCTCGAAGGAAGCTGCGTGTTCCGAGGGGACTGGGGCGGGTGCACATTGACCGCTCGGAGTTTCAGCCGGGTGTCAAAGGATTTCAGAACGCGTTTGCAGAGTGGTATCTGGTGTCACAAGCCCGTGCGGTTTTACTTTCGCGGAGCTTCTTTGCTGAAACTGCTGCGGAAATCGGGCGAATTCGGGATGCCTACTTCATCACGGGGTGCGTCAAAATGGATTTGTCCAGTAGCTAATCCTCACCCCAATCTACTTCCGGAGTCGCAGGCTTTCCTTGTGTCACTTTCCCTATGTACTTATCCTACATGAGAATTCAGATTTTCACCTGGACTACTGTCAGCAGAGAATATAGCAAGAACTACGTCGGTATCGGTAGTGGCTACACCGTCAGCAGGCGCTCGCTTTCTTTGCTTGCAAGATGGAGCAACAGCAGCATGAAACAATGTAGAACGCTGGCGTTTTCTCGTCTCAGCCACGAATCTCAGCACCATCATGACCCATGTTGTTCGAAAAGGTTCACCAATTTTTGTTTTACGGGTTGGTGAAGATAAACGAGTCGGTCTTCTCATCTATCTGAGTTTGATTTTTGGGCGACTTCGATTTCCACTTCAATGTAAAAAACTAGCCGCTTACTACATTGACTTATTCTGTTTTCCATTCTCCTTCAAAGTATGGTGGATGCCGGAGCTGCCGAGTCTTCGTGTCCCGCCCACACAAAAAAGCGTGAAGCCGTGCCGCCTTTCTTTCCTATGGTTCGCAAGGGTTGTGAAGACGTCAGTACGAAGCTGTTCCAGTGCTTGGGAAGGGCAGAGGCGGGCGACCGGCTAGAAGGAGAGGAGGTGTTGGCAAAGTGTGACTTTACGGAGTACGAGCAGTGCTTTCATCAGTCTCTCGCAAAGGGACCGATGCCCATGGTCAAAGTGTCCTTTGACAAAAGCTAGGATGAGACGAATTTTTCGTGAAGTATGAGTATCCAAGTTCCGAAATTTGCTTTTAAAGATGCAAAGCATTGCTGTTAATAAGGACGTCGGCAATACGTATTGCTCCCACGTGCTCAGCCACAGTGAGGGGACGGCTCCATCTCTCTCCTACCTGTTCTCATCTTGGAATGTGAGTCTAAGAATTTCAGTTTGATGGGCACTCATAGATAGAGCGCAATCACGTAATATCATCGTGCGCGTGACTGTGACAGTGACCGCTGTGACAGGGTTCGCTTTCCAGGTGACGTGAAAACCTAGACCGTTCATCATTGTGCTGAAAGGGTCAATTTGAAGAACTTTCTGGCTCTGAGTGTGACAGATTCATCGCGAGTGCCCACTGAAAATTGATGACGACACGGCGGACGCACAATCGACGCACGGGCCCAAGTCCGGAACTGCCCCAATCTAATGTGTTGAAGAAGCTCACGGAGGCACGACTTGAGACCCTGAACTCTGGAACCCGAACACTGCTGGAATTTAAGGAGTGCGAAGACAGTGCTGCGAGCAGAAGTACCGGTGCTTTCCCTTCCGGACCGGGGGCGTGCCTGAGCCTGAGAGATCATGCGGACCACGATCGAAGCCGAAGCGAAAGCGAACAAGGGGGCAGTCCAGCAGAGGGACCAAGAAATGTGCCAGCCGCGGCCCAGAGCAGGAGCAAGAATATGCTCGCTAACGTTCTTTTCAATGTTGGGCGTCGCCAGGAGAAAAAGAAAGGCGCGAAAATCAAGTCCCCGTCCGCATCGGCGGTGTCGCCCCTTCCGCTGAGTGCGAAGAAGCAAACAGTGCCGAGCCGGCGGCACCGGCGCAAAAAGGTGTTTCTGCACTTCCTCGAGGGCGAGCTGGGGGTCGGCAACATGAACGAGGAAGAGCTGCAGCATCGGCTTGCGGCCACGTGCGCGCGCCCCTCGCCAAGTGCGCAGGTGAAGACGCGGGGTGCGAACGCGGTTCTGGAGCAGCAGAGGCGCGTCAAGCAGTGGGGTGGTGACTTCGAGGCACTGAGCCGCCGCTTCCACTTCACACAGAAGGAGGAGAAGAAGAAGCACCGCAAGAAATTCAAGAACCGCGACGAGCACAACCTGGCGTCGCCGGTCTCGCAGCGCGCTGCGGAGGCGGGGCTCTCGTCCAGCACCTTTCTTGGTGGAGGAGACCCTGCCGGTGCAGCAGGGGCGCTTTCGTCGGGGCCGTCAGAACAAGTAGGGGGAAAGTCGATCATGGGCGGCGGGCGCGGTGGCCCGCGTGACGACCAGCGGCGCGACATGAACTCGACCTCGAGCGCTTTTTCGACGGCGGCGGGCGCAGCGAGCACGTATCTCGGGGGCGGCATCGGCCTGTCGCCGCACCCGTTCGCGGGGGAAAACGCGAGCTCCTCGTCATCCTCGGAGGAGGACGAAACGAGGCGAGTTTTTAACAACGAGACGATGGCGCCAACGGCAGATCGGAACGATCCCGTGCTGTCGCTGCTCTCGGACAAGTATCAAGCACGCATGTACGAACAGCAAGCGGGTGACGGCCGAGCAGACGGGAGATTGGGAACGCACACGACGACCAGATCACCAGTAATGGTGAGCGTGTCAATTTAGCATAATATCATTATCACCCCTTCCGCAACGTTAGTTGTAATCGGCCTGGCCGTGCAGGATTTTTCCATGCGTGTAGTCAGTCGTAGAGAAGCTGCACAAGTGTAGTATGCTGGCACGATCTGTTGCGATTCTGAATTCGCCATAGATGGAAATGTTTTCACGATATAGCAAAAACAAAGAGACTCTAGCCTTATGCGTCACTTATCTGATCACAGGTCGGAGCGGCCGCTGGCGGAGGTATTGGAGGAGGTGGTGCTGCAGATCCGCAAGGTGTCCTGGGCCTCCTGTCGCCGCACCAAACCGGCGAGTTTTTCGGTTTCACTGCAGCCCAGGCGGAGGAGCTAGACGACGTGCGACGAGCATTTTCGCTGGATTACCCAAGCCCCATGGACATCCATGAATTGCAAAACTGCCTCCGGTTTTTCGGCTACAATGCATGTCCCCGCGTCGTTTATGAGGCACTAGAGCGATGCAGTTTCTGCCACAAAGTAAAGACGGTGTTGCAGCAGAGCCGTGGAGCAAGCGACCACCACAACCAGCAAAGCAGTAACCACCTGACGGCACCAGCCGGGTCCGCCCCCGCTGCTGGGGGGCTAGATGCAGCTTCTACCCGTGGCGGAGCAGCTGCCGCTTCAACGGCAGCGCAGCAGCAGCAGCAGCAACCAGGTGGCGGGACGACCCAGAAGTCGGCGCACGAGGTTGTGGTCTTCACTCCGTTGAATGGAAGCGATTATTTGGAGTACATGATGCACTTCCGGCAGTGCGACCGGGAATTTCTGCACTACATTTTCGAGGTGCTGTCTTCGCCGCTGCTCTCCGGGGGACTGCCCTCCGAGGACGCCGCTTTTTCGTCCGGTCCGCTCGACGAAGCGCCCCCTGCGCAGCAAGGCGGCGGGGCGCGGCACACGGAACACCGCCGTTCCCAGGAACTTGTCCAGGCCTTGGTCGCGCAGCAGGGCTCGCGGCGCGCGTCTGTGGAACGCCGCGGGTCGGGAGAAGTGCCGCTGCCGCTGGCCAGCCCGCTGGTAAAAGCAGAGGTCCGACGCCGAGCCTCGACCGAAGCGCCACACGAAGTGCGGTTTCCAGACTTCTTTGACGCTGCGGAGCCCGAGGGCCCACTGTACCAGCGCGACCGCCGCAGCTCGCTGCAGATGCAAGTTTCGCTTGGGAGCGATTTCACCGTCAACCTCCTTTCCGCGCTCGAGTGTGTGTCTGCGCAGCCGGGAGACCGCACGTTGCTGCTCAAAGCCTTGGACCTGAGCCGCATTCCCGATTTTCGCTGCATCTTGAGCGACTTCGACACCTTCACACACTTTGTGGAGGTTTTCCGCAACGTGCTCGGTACAAAGCGGGAGCACTGCGGCTTCGGCCGGGAGGAAGCCAAGCTTCTGCGCGAAGTTTACGGGAAGTGCTTCGCAAAGGACAAATCGCTGCTCACCGAGGGACAGCTGCTGAAATTGCTGAAGAATTTGGGGTTGTGCTACCACGTCAGACTGCTGCCAGAACGGTTTTCAAAAGTACTCGGGGTCATTTTTCCCAACCAGGGGCCGAGCCCGCCTACACGCAGTAGCTCGCCGGCGCAGGGGGTTTCGGCTACGTCTTCACCGAGAACTGGCGCCGCACAGAACACCCGCTTGAAAGTCGAGACTTCCTTGGCAAACAAATTCACAACCGGCCTGAACTTGTCGCCACACTCGACCGCTGCGCACTCGCCTCGCGGGGGACCACTGGAGCATAACAGGCCCGCTGTTGTTGTGGGCGCCGCGGCGGCCGCGTCCTCCCAACAGCAGGCCAATGCCGTCGATTGCTCCGACGCGGGCGGATCCGGAAGGTCTCTGACGTTGCAAAACGTCGACCATTTTCTCCAGATCTTGCGCTTGCTGCTGGACGCTGACGAACACGAAGAGTACCTGCAGGAGCGGGCGGTGATTGAAGAAAGCGAACTGTCCGACGAGGATACAATTCAGCTGCGTGAGGTGTGTATCAAGCGCAATAATACAAATATGTCTGGATCTGAAACAGAGCAGATGAAGCTTGTCATGCAATTTCTGCATCTGCATGATCTGCAACACGGTCTGGAATGCACACAGAGCATGGCATATTCTGTCCAGTCTGCATGAGAACTGGCCTCCTCTCCTGAAGACAAAGTCGCGCTCCTTTTGCTGACATAAGATGCAGCGGAAATAATTTTCGTTTGTTCCAGGACCTGCATGATCAGAAGTTTGCATCCCTCCAGAGCCAGGCGTATAATTTGCAATGCATAGTGTACCAGGACTATGTGGAGCTCGCGGATGACCACCCGTTTGTCGGGCTTTTTGCGATCAAGCAAATGCTGAAGGTTGGCCTCGAGATGAAACTGGGCAAGGAGGACCTGAAGGAGATGCGCGAGATCTTCGATCGTTTCGCCATTGCGTGGCGCCGCGACGACGGCCGGGACACCTTCGTGCTGAGTTTTAGCGGCTTTCTGCGCTTTCTGCACGAGGTGCTCGTCAACGATTTCGCGGGGATCGTGAGCAAGTGCGCGGACACGCTCGTGGCGAAGAAGAAGGCACAAGCGATCAACCCCGAACTACTCTCACTCGGAGACACAGGTATAGAAGATACTTGTGTATGATTTCTGGTGGTGTAGTCAACACATGGCATAGTAGCTGCGCCTCAAAGTAACTACTTGGTTGTATAAAGTTAAGAGCCACATGTCCTGCTTGTAGTCCTCTGAGCGCGGTCATGATGTGAACAAATATTTGATGTCCGATCATCATGTTAGTTTGTCCCCACACTGTCCGACGACGAATTCGTACAACCCGTAGAAATCTCGAATAACGACGAGAACCCTCAAACCACAACACACAGACTCCGATCCCGATGTGGAGGCGTGCCGACAGAGCAAGATGTTTGCCCGTACGAAGACGGACGGCAGTTTGTTGCATCTGCGTCGCGTGAGCGTCCGGGCGCAGCAGCCTGCAGAGTCGGACGATGAGGACGACGAGGACGATGCGTCGTTCCTGAGTTCGTCTTTGCAATTGGGCGGGAGCGGCGTCGTCGGCAAGCGACAGTCTTCGAACTTTGCGAACCAGTACGCCAGTCCGGGCACGTTTCTAAAGCGGAAGCTGCAGAGTCAGGGGGAGGACGGGGTGGAACAAGTGCCTGGCCTGCTCGGCGCAGCAGACGAGCAAGAGCTACAACTTCTAAGGGGCGGAGAGATCGGCGGCGGGCAAGCTGCACTCGATGTAGATACATCGGTTGTCACCGGAGCGAGTGCGGCCCTTGGTGCACCAAAGGGAATCCTACGTTCCCCGTCCTCGTCGACGCAGACCGCAGGCCGGGCTTCGGTCGTCAAGGTTGGAGGGGACGAGGCGGAGAAGACCACGAAGGCCGATCTGCAGACGCGCCGGGTATCTCTCTTCGTACAGGAGGACTCCGAGTCGTGGAAAAACATGCGTAGCAACATGAGCACCTTGTTGGGTCACTTCGCGGAGCAGGATGAGGACGAAGAGGAACAGAAGTTGACTGCCGAACAGTTTCTCGAATGGTACGCAGACGAAACGGCAAAAATTGCGAGAAAGCGGCACACCTACCAGAAGCGCTTGTCAGTACTTCGCGCCTCCGGCGATCACGCTGGGTTTCGGTCTTCCTGATTCATAGCGATCCGATGTGGCCTCTGTCAGTTTATTTTGGCAGGGAACCAAGTGGGGAGCGAAGGCGAAGAGGGCACCTTCAGTGCAGTGAAAACCATGGACGAAAAAGTACAGTTTTGTGGCACGAACTATGCGAAAACGAACTCATACTCATAGTATCCAGTGAAGATACAGAGGGACACTTCTAGCAATATCAGCAAATAGTATTGAAAATAGTCTGATGCGTGTAAAGACGCAAAAAGAAAAAACACGATATCGAACTTAGCACATCGCAGGCGGCACCTGCAGGGAATATCCAGTGCCTCCTGTAGATTTCGTTGAACTCATGGAGTACTGACTGGACCTTTTTTTCGTATGCTAGCTGGTGTGTGATTTTTTTTCTTAGCTCGGACCATCCATCGTAAGTTGGTGAGATCAAGGTCATACTTTGCTGGAGCTCGTGTTGATGTATTGCTTTTACAAAGCCATTGATGCTTGTGCGCGGGTCACGACACCTTTACTCGACGATGTCCGTGCAGCCTTAGTTCTGCAGTCTTGCTCTCAGGTTCCAGTCAATCCAGAAGCTATGACTCAGAGGATCTTACGTTCGTGATCGCATGACATCGAACCGTGGTGACGCGCCTCGCAGATCCACGCCATTCGTCGTGTCGTATTTTTCCTTTCGTCTTTTCTATACCGGGAACTTCAATTTCTGTCGACTTTCAACGTCGTCACTTTGGTTGCTTTCTCCTTTTGTGTTTGTCGTGACAGGACCAGTGCCCTTCGTCCACTCCGCACCGAACTTGTTCGCATCTCCAGACGAGCTCTTCGGTTCTGCTTCCTCAGTCGAGTTAGAGCGAGCAAAGAGCGGTGGAGGCGCTGACAGCTGCAGCTCTCGCGGTCTTACAACCACAGAGCGTGGTCTTGGTGGACTACTGGATTACGATCGCAGCGCTGTCGCCCGGTTTGCAGCCCGGCACGAGTACTTGGGTGCATTGCTCGAGCACCGCGGCGCAAAGCGCGGCGTCGAGCTCGGTGTGCAGCGTGGGATTTTCAGCGTCGAACTGCTGCAGCGCTGGCGCAGCTTCGAGGAGTATGTATTGGTGGATCTGTGGGGAAAGACGGCCGCAGACGTCGTGTACCTCGACGCCAGTGGCGCGGTATCGGAGGATACGCAGGAGCAGTTCCTGGAGGAGGCCGTGCAGAGCCTGAGAAAAAGCGTCCTTGAAAGGAGCGAGCATGCGGAAGGAGCCGTCAGTTTCGTTCACAACAGCACGACGACCACAGCACAGGATACTACACACGTGGGGAAACGCATCCGCGTATGCCGAAATCTTACTTCGAGTTGCGTTGCGCACTTTCCCGATGGCTACTTCGATTTCGTGTATGTCGACGCGCGACACGACTACAAGGGCGTCAAGGAAGATTTGGAGCTCTGGCTTCCCAAACTCCGACCGAACGGCATTATCGCGGGGCACGACTTTCTGACGGCTGCGGAGCACCGGTTTCACACGGGGCACAGTGCCGATCGGTACGAGATAAATTTCGACGGTTCAATTGATCTCACTGGGCGCGCTGTGCAGGGTGCCGTGATGGATTTTTTCGGAACACGGGATTTTTTACCTCTGCGTACCATTGACCAATTTACCGAGCATCGGTCTTGGCTTGTAGATTTGCGGCGTCCACCTCGTGAAGATCAAGATCTTCGAAATGAGAAACAGGTCGCCTTGCCGCGAGTTATTCACGCCTTCTGGGTTGGCGCGTATCCCGAAGGGTTCTGTGGAACAGAAGAACAAACTCTATATGCAGCCACTCAAGAAGAAAACGGGTCTTTGTCTTCCGAACGCTCCCTTCCGCTGCAGCGGAACTTGAGAACCCTGGAGGTACTCCACGCGGATTGGCCCATCGTGTTGTGGACTCCGGAGCTACTGCTTGAACATTGGACAAGGTTGTTCGGAAGTAGGGACGGTGCTGACCAGGAGGTTCGAGGTTTGCAGGAGCACCTGCGGGCACTTGCAAAGCGTCTGCAAGCGGGAGCGCAAACGTTTTGCGCGAGCGGAGGTAGCCGCAAAAGATCAGATTTTTTGCTTGATCAACATCCTAAACCAAATGACGCCGACTGGTTTGGATCCTCTGCGGTCAAGGAGCTACTGCGTTTTTCTGTGCTGTCGGTCTTCGGCGGCATCTTTCTGGACCTGGAGCATCTGGTGCTCGCCCGCACGAGCTTTCTAGCGGTTCTGCAGGCGACGGATTTGCATTTGCGTCAGCTCCGCCGGCCCCGGTCGTTCGAGGTGTTTGCTCAATGCGAAGCGCCCGCTGCCTCGCTCTACTGGGGCTTGGATGATTACAAACACGGAGCGGGCGTCGTCATCAACCACCATTTAGCCGCCGTGCCGTGCCTCCAAGTCTCTACCAAATTTGTGGCAGCCGTGCCCGGGGCGTCGACTATCCGGCAGCAAAGGGATCACCTGCTGCGCCAGGTTCTTGGGGCCGAAGTGAAGGCGGAAAATCAATATGGCCGTCGCGGTACGACCTCTGGGAAAGGGAGGATCTCGTCCGCGACTGTGTCGTGGACGCAAGTGTTTGTGGCTAACGCGCAACAAGCGAAAAACGCAACCCTAGCTCTCCTACGAGACGGGGTTCCGTTTTGTTTGAAAGACGTCGCAGTGCAGCGCAGCTCTTGCGCTTAGACCGAATTAGGATATGATAGGTCATTTATTCCGTCGCAGACGTTTCTTTTCCTGCTGTTGTTTGCACTTGTTTTCGGTGTTTATTGCCGCTCAGCGCCACCGCCCGCTCTTTGGGAAGCTGGCATATCGTCGTGAGTCATGATAGTATAAAAATTCGCTTTACTGAAGATTGATCGCAGTCGCGTCGATATCGATTCGTACCCTTCGTTGAGAGCATAATCTTCGTAGACAGGACTCATTAATATTACCCTAATCGTGAGCGATCCGAAGAGATCTGTTGTCGCCTCCTCGTTCGCACAAATCGATCTTGACAGGTGAGGGTGTCGCTCCGTAGAAACGAATCTTGCATCCACCTGGTCACATCCATCTGCAACCCGACGACGGCAGTGTGTCGCAGGTGTAATATCTGCGGATTATCGAAATTGATCCATACTACTTAAGATAGAGATCATTCAGATTATCAAAGGTGAATTGCATAGTACTGCTGGGAGAAACGACATTCTTGACTCCTCCCACTTAGACTTTGTAGAAGAGAAGAACAAAAATCAAACAAAATGGAGTTCTTTCGTTTCCTTGGCTTGGGTCGTGAGGGTTGCTTCGAGCCGTCGCCCTTTCTGGACCTGTACTTTCACTTGCACGAAGTCAAGGCCATCGATGGCGACGAAGAGAGGCAGGTGTCCCTCCTCGTTCGCTCCCACACCGTCCCGGAAGACTGCCGGCGGTTTGTCTTCAAGTACCCCCAGGAACAGTGCCTCTTCCTGCACGAGGTGCCACGTGACGCGGTGCTGCTGTTCCAGGTGTGGCAGTGTGGTAAGGAGAAGCACCAAGGAAATCGGGTCGTTGCGGAGACCACATTGAACGTGTCGGACGAAATCTCCTACATGCGCTGGCTCTGTCTGAAGCGATTGTCGCAGCCCAGTATCGAAGGTGCAATTAGCATACGAAAAAAGCAAAATTTCGGCGTGTTTTTTTGATTTCTTTGAGTGCTTGATAGCGCTAGAGATTCGTCTAAGTTGTAAGTATACATGGTCTTGAGCTGGAAAGATGTTTCTCTGTGCAAAGTAGCTGCTGGGAGTAGAACTGCATGCAATTATTGTATCAGGGTCCGCCAGTTTAGCCGAACTTGCTACACCGATACCGAAACACCCCGAGCTGCAGACCGTGGCGTCGAAGAAGGCATTGGTAGACGAAAAGTGCGGAGATTTTCCCTCGAAACCTATCGCAAAAGAACCAACTGCGACCAAGGACTCGGAGACGACGAGCTCGTCCTGGGTGGACACCAGTCTCCTGGCGTGCTTCTCTCTCTTCCCCAGCGACGACGCGAAGACCCACTTTCCGCTGCACCCCCTCGAAACGAACAGCGACTTCCGCGCCCGCGCGTGGCACCCGCTGCTGGAAGCCTGTGAGGTGCAGCACTCGTGGCTCTCCGCGGCCCTGGACGAGGAAGTGAAGCGGTCCAGCAACGTAGTACCTGGCAACAAAACGATCCAGGGTGATGCGGACCACGTTCTGGCGGTGACGACAGGCGGAACCACTACGAAAGAAACTGCCGCGGGCTCGCGGTCCAGCAAGAGTGGCAGCAAGGAAAGCACTTCCAGTGCAGCGGTATCGATTTGCTTTTTTGTACTGTTAATGTAGCCAGAGGAATAAGCTATCGGAGGGGGTCGCTCAAAAATACTCCTTGCGTGCGCACTGTACACAACACGGCACCTGCAGCTTGTAGCGTTTTCTATCGACTTGTAGCTGATGAAAGAGCTGTTCTGCAGCTTCGTCGTGTTTAAATACTTGAGCACTCATCTCTTAAAAACAAAACAACCTCAGGAATCGAGCGGAATTGATGCAACGTCGAGTGCGCGGACGAACAAGGGGGGGAGCAGCAGTGCGTTTCGCCGGGTCAGCACGGTCGCAGAGGAGGCGGAGGCTGCCGCAGATCAGGCGCTGAAGGACATCGAGATCCGGGCCCTGAAGCGGCAGGTCGAGCAACTGAACGAGAAGTTGACGCAGCGGGAACGGGAGCGGGAGAACCTGCAGGAAGAGTTTGAGCTCACTATTACAATGAAAAATGCCCCCTCCCCATATCAAAACGGAAATCTGTGATGCAAATTTGTGGTCACAAATCAGCTTTGTGATGCTAGAAGGCAAAAGATGCGGACTGTAGTGCTGTCTAGCGTGGGAAAGCCTTGCAGCTCCAGGATGGCAGGAGGCAACTGGAAGTGGGAAACAGCATGACAGATTACCTGCAATTTAGGCCGCAGCTTCGTCTCTTGGCCTTCTAGCAATACAAGTCGATTTGTGTACTCGAATACAGCATCACAAATTCGCGCATCTTCCGTTTCCGATATGGGGTGGAGGCTTTTTTCACTTTGATACTCACCCGCTCGTCGAACGCCGGCGTGGTGGGGGGCCTGCGCCGACGACAAGAAACCGAGGCGATCAAGCACCGCGACGAAGTGGCCCGCCTCGAGCAGCTCGTGGCCAAGAAGGACGCAACCTTGAAGGTATGTCCCGTTTTTCATCGCGGTTGTAAGCACTTACTTCCCAGAAGGGGACTTTGTACTTGTAGCTACGAAGGCGAAGACAAAAATATCTTGCAAGCCTGTGAAGATTCAAAGCCGTACGGTTCTCCCCACCCTAGCTCTACGGTAAAATTAAATTCCAGCACTTGGGGTAGCGTTAAAGAAAAATGTTAAAGTACGAGATTTGCTCATCTCTGTTCTGAGAAGACTTTTGATTCTGTGTTGCCCAGGAACTGCTGCGCAAGTCGAATTTGAAGATTGACGAGGGTAATGCGACCATTTTGAAGCTGAAGGCCGAGCGGGATCAGCAGGCGAAGCTAGCGGAGGCGCGGGAACAGGAAAAACGCGAGGTGTCTACCAAGCTAAAAGGCCGGGAAACGGAGCTCCAGCACCTGCATGAGAAGAACTCCGAACTGCTGAAGATTGTGCAGTCACTGTATGACAGCTCAGACCAGCAAGGCCTCTCGCTCGACCGGAACAGCATCGATGCCTTCCAACGCAAGTGGAGCACAGTTACCACTCCGGCAACCGCAACCAAAAACCAGCAGTTCTAGAGATCTCAGATTGATCATTGTTGTTCTTTTCAGCACCTTTATTCCAAGTTGTTACAATAGAAGAAGAAGACAAAAAGAATCCAATACCAATGTCACTGCAAATTAATGTTTGAAGCGAATGAATTGCAAGAGTTGTTGAACTTTCACACCTTCCCTGTTCTGTATGACCCTACACTGATGGCTGCATCCGCCGAGGTTGTGGCTTCCAATCAAATTTTGGTACGTTACTTCCATGTACAGTCTCAGGCAGAGTTGCCGCAGGAGATCAAAGTAAAAGACAGTACTTTATCTTCCAAGAATGTACGGAATGTTGTCAGTGGTGGAACTTTTCCCAAAATTGATCTACGCACCGAATTGTACTTTAATTTCCTCAATTGTCGGCTACGATGCGCTGGACAGATTTTGCCTCGTGTAAAACACAGTCATGCGCAGCTAGCAGTAGAGAGCTGCGGAAAATCCATCAGGAAGAAGCGATATTGGGATCGCTCCCGATCCGTGAATCCGGCACGATGGATGCTTTTGTGGGAAACGATGAGACGCAGGATAGATGACCGGAGGATCTTCCGGGGATGAGAATCAAGGGTTTTCTTAACGCGGGATTAAACATGAAGATCCGGAGGTCGTGTTGCCCTTGCAGTGTTCATGTAGTCGGAACAGCCAGTTCTTTTTCCTCCAGCACATGGCTTCAAATGCAGACTTTTCAGAGACAGAGCGTGAGTGAGAGGTATAAGAAAGTGCGAGGGGCGGGCTCTCCAAGGCCACGGAGAAGTAACCAGGCATAGCCGGCCCATCTAGAGAATCGTCGCTTGTTGTTGCAGATTGAATCGTCCGCATGTCTGGGCTAGGCTGATTCTGACGTGCTTGGCCCGTGTGTGCCATTTTCTGTTGATGAGAAAAGGGAGTGATCTGTTTCCTGTGCCCATCAAGCGGAAGCAGCCGGTGACAGACTTGCACATCCATGCGAATGCAACATTGCCGACCGCAAGCGGCTCAGCGGCACAAGCCGGCACCTCGCGCCAGGCAGCGACGTCGAGTGCAGGCGCAGGTCCTCCGCTCTCCTTCTCTTCCGCTGTCCGAGCAGGTGTGCAGCTTGGAATACATGGGGGATCCCTCGGTCTGCAGCGAGATAATTGCATTTCGACTGCGGTCTCCAGGCAAGATGCAGACGCAGGCGCAACCACCAAACAAACAAGCCAGAGGACGTCACGGCTTCAGTCGCAGTCTGGTCGTGCGCCGGACACAACTGCAGCACGGGAATCCCGCGAGGCGCGCCTCCTTAGGGACGGGACCACTCCACCCGCGAGTTGTACAACGAGACCAACAGGATCTCCTTCTGCCGGTAAGAAGTCACTGTCCAGTGGTGCGAAGGAACATGAAGGCAGCGTCGCGCTCGCCAACCAGCAAAAAAACGCTCTCCCAAAAGCGCTTACGCAGATCGCGGCAGACGAGAACAGCAAAAAGAAGCCGGAAAACGCGGTGGCAGGGGCTGCAGAGCAGGAACGAGCGAGGGCGCTGCTGACCGGCAAGGGCGGTTCTGGAAACCCAGCTCTAGTATCGGCTGCCTCGACTTCTCCGTCCGCTGGCGGTGTCGATGAACAAAAGCGACCTGGACCGTCAGCCGGAGGCCGAGACTCTGGCCGTGTAGCCGTTCAGGATGTTGAACAAACCAGTGGTCGTACAGAGCAGAGTAAAGCAGCGACGTCGGAGGCTGCTGCGGGGGACCCGACCAGTAGCAAGGCATCCAGGGCAGAGAAGGCAAAGAAGCTTCTGCAGAGCCACCGAAACTTTCTGAAGTACATGCAGACTGGGTTGGCCAATTGCTCGACCAAAAATGCCGCCGTGGACGAGACCACGCATCCGTTTCCGGAGCGCAAAATCCACTACTGCATCCAGTTCGGGAATAACAGCGCGCTGATCCGGCAGTTACTGCGGCAAATCAAGTGCTTTGCGCCGACGTTGGGGGATCCACAGAATCGGTTTTCGCACGTGCGCTATGAAGAGAAGATTGCCACCGTGACACCGAAGGAAGTATGCCAATTGCACGACGTAAACCTGACGCCCTGCGACTTTCTCTGGACGCAGTACAAGTGTCGCAAGTTTTTCGACGTAATGCGGGGGCAGGCGGACGAGTTTGCTTTCGTGTCCAAGAACACCGAGGACGCATGCGAAATCTCGATGCTGCCCCCCGGGCGGGCTCGCAAGCTCGTAGCAGCGCTCGCCCAGAAGCAAAATCGCACGAAGAGTCCCACGCGCGGCACTGCACAAGTGCCAGCGGGCACCTCGTCGATCTCGATTGGCTTTGGCAGAGGCATCGGCGCGACTAAGCCGCCTGCAAAAGCTGTGGCCACGACGCCTCTCGCGAACAAAACTAGGGACGTGATACAGGAACACGCTCGAACTCTGTCTACCCAATTGTCTCCGAGCAACACGGGGATGGTAGGCCCAGGAAGTACACCGATTATGCCGGAAACAACTCCTCCAAAAACGGCTCGGGGACCAACGGAAGATGGTGCCACACCAGTTGCTTGCTCAAGTCCAACATCAAAAGGCACGCCCGCCCGGCTCAAGCTTGACGTGCCCGTTCGTCAGGAGGACTCGTCACTAGTGGTCTCCTTTTCATCGGGAGCCGAGGACGTCGAGAGCACTTCTGCCGGTGAAAATTCATCCTCGGCCGCTTCCTCAATTCCGCAGGGCGTTACACCGGCCGGAGCGACGCCGTCGAGCGTACTTGGCACTGCCAGCGAGGGACCGCTGGAGGAAAGAACGATCCTGCCGTCCCACTCTTCCACTGTGGATACATCTTCAAGTGGAGGTTGCGATAATGTGCCAACCGCTACGACAGAAACTCCCTCGTCTCGGACTTCGTCATCCTCTGCGAGCAGTACGGCTAGAAGTGGCAAACCGACGTCAAGACGAGGACAAGCAAACGGGACGACGACGAGCAGAAATAAATCCGCAATATTATCGTCATCTCCATCTCCCATGGCGTTTCGAGACCTTCCGAAGGGTGGCGGTACAAGTACAACTCCTCTGCGCCACGAAAGCCGGTTCGTAGACGTTAGAAAAAGGCCGTGCGCGTACCACAATCATTTAGAGGGTAACCAGGTGCTATGCACAAAAATCGGGCTCTTCGAGTGTCTGCGGCGCCATCTGGGCATCCCTGGCGTCTACCAGATTTTGCCGTTTGCCTATGTGGTGCGGAACGAGGAGGACATCGAGAATTTCGCCGACATATACAACATGTCCCTGTCCGCAAAGAAGGCCGCGTTCTTGCCCGCGGACGCCTACAGTCGACGTGGCACCGAAGACAATATTTCCGCCAGCGGGCGCGGTTTGGAAGATCAAGATGCAGATGATTGCGGTCGTGAAACCAAAGAAGACAGTACTTCTTCGAGTTCTTGCGCAGGCAGCGATGCAGGAGCTGCAAGTGTGCAGCTTGCGAACAATCGACAAGAAGAAGAAGCACCCCTCGAAACGTCGGCGCTGAAAGATGACCAGTGGAACAAACGGGACGGCGCTTCTTCGAAAGGTTCGCTGCCCGCCACAGAGGTGGATGCGAGTCGGAAATCTTCAGTGTCGCTGCACACCACCAGCGCAGATGCAAACACGAAAACAAAAAATTCGGGAACCAAGAACGCACCAGGTATGGATGGTCTGAGTACCACTCCACTTGATGAGGCGGAGGCGCGCGAAAGCGGGAGTGAAAGCACCGCCACGAAGATGGACGACGAGCAGCAGGAGAATGTGCGCGGTGGTACCATCGAGGACGCCGGAGATGAACAGAGCAACACTGCCACTGCAGCGACTGATACAGGTTCATCAGAATCCATTGATGAGACACGACATCAAGTCAACCCAGAGGACGGTTCCGAGAGGACTAGACAAACGCAGGAGCCGCTCAGTGGTGGCGTCACTCGTGTTGTGGAAAAAGCCAAGACCCAGGACACGATTGATCCAAGTACTACAAGTGCCGAGGCAGGCGGGGCTGCTGTGTGTAAAAATAATCTTCAGACTGCTAAAACGCGCGCAACATCGAAGTCCAAGAAGGCAAAGGCGAGCGGCGTGCGTGGCAACGTGTGGCTTCTGAAGCCTGGGCTTTTCGCGAATCGCGGCACGGGGATCGAAATCTTGACCGAATTGGAAAAGATCCAGGCGCACCTGCGGAAGAAGATCCACAAGTATCCTTTCCTCCTGCAGAAATACATCGAACGGCCCTTTTTGGTGGAAGGCAGGAAGTTCGACATTCGTGCCTACGCACTCGTGCTTGACGAGTGCGATGAGGCGGACGACGAGCAGCCCTCGGGTGTTGAAAGCAGTTATGGTACCGCGATCGGTAGTGGAGTTGCGGCACAGGAGATGAAGCAGCCGCCTGATGCTGGTGCATCTTCGCGAAAGAACGACGATGATCCTGATCGTATCGCCAGCGAGCAAAACAGATCCAAGTCCCCGAAGAGCGTGGGGGATGCGCTCGAGGCTTACTACTATGTGGACTACTACATCCGCACGACGAGCACCACCTACAGCTGTTCCGACTTTGCGAACCGGTTGAAGCACCTGAATAACGACGCTGTGCAAAAACACGGGTCCGACTACGGAAAGTTCGAAAGCGCGAACAAGTTGTCCATTCCCGAGTTCCAAGCCTATTTGGAGAAGAACCGGTACAGCAACAAAGGGTTCTCCACCACGGTCCTAACGGAGCAGATCAAGGCCCATATGCGGACAGTGTTCACCGCCAGTGCTTCGCTGCTGAACCCGCGCCGGATCCCCGGGTATCATAGTCGCGGCTTCTTTTGTTGATTGTTGAGGCGTGTCTTGAGCCAAAACTGTAAGTACAGCGTCCCGTCATGTTTTCTTGAAGATTTACAGACGGTGGCGATCCACAAGCTACAGACATGATGATCCATTTGCTGTGGGGGACGGGGACAACAACCAATAGCGATACGCCATCGAAAAATGATAATAAGGTGCTACGAGATGTTTGGGTTCGACTTTATGCTGGACACGGATTTTCGGTGCTGGCTAATTGAGGTGAACACTAACCCGTGCTTGGAATTGTGCAATGCACACTTGGCAACCATTCTGCCGCCTCTCATCGAGTCTACTATTCGCAAGAAGGTCTTCAAAAACTTCGGAAAGTGGGACCACAAGTGGGAGCGGCTCGATCTCGGTGGATAGGTTCAATGGAACGTCGTCGGTTCCGCAATGGCACTCAAATCATTTTTCCATGCATGACTCTAGCGCTTCTTGGTGAAAAAGAAAATCACAATGAAGAGTCCGACCCCGACGTGCATCATCCTAACATGGGGTGCCAATGTGGTGCCTTCACGCAGCGATCGTGTTCATCACGTGTATTCTTTTTGGTAATCAAGCGCAGCTCGATGGCTAATTTCAGATTGTCGGTTCACGGTAATATCACAATACACCAGGATCTCGATCCTTCTACAGCACTCTCTGTGCAATAAATATTTTGAAGATCAACATACGAGGCAGGTGGGACCAAAATGAACAAAGTGAGTTTATTACCTCCATCTGTCGCTGCTTCAAGTTCAAACCTGTAGGCCCGGGTTTTGCCTACAGCTCGAGCCACATTACGCAACGGGTACTGACGGTGTCTTCATCCAAGACAAGGAAAATAAACTTCAGCGGCAGGGGCAGTCGATGGGTAGCGAGACGAGAAAATAATCATGATAGCGGTAGCGAGGGGGTTATCGTTATGCCAACCGCGGTTTTGCCACTTTCTCAGTTGGGAGTGTGGCTCCTGTTCTGGCGAGCGATTGAAGCCCAGCACTACAGTCCGCTAGTTCGGGTGCCATACACGCTGAGACGAAAGCGGTGGAATCAGGTCTTGCAAAACAAAGGAAATGACATCCAGCATCCCAGTGTCAATGTCCGAGGGGATGAACAGATTGGAAAGAATGTTGACTTTTGTGCGCAGCTGGGCGACGAGAAGCTGGCAAGGCTTTTCCGAGAAAACCCCAGCTACCACCGCGAGGTGGCTCCGCTGGCCCTTGTCTTTGGACATACACTTCCCCTCACTCTCATCAACACGACCACCTCAGACTGGTCGTTGCAGCAACCAACTGCAGGCGCAACCAGCGACGAGAATAAGAAAGCGGTCGCGACAGATGCAAATGGGACCACCCCAGCTGGGAACAACCATCTAGCCGGCACACGTATAGTAGGAGATGCAGCGTCAACAGAGGAGCGTCCTGCTGTGCAGAACGAAAGTGAAAGAACGCCACAAACTACGATGCCGACCTCCCCGGAAGAAAAACTAGACAAGCAAATCGCGAGCGTGCAGCTCGCGCTTCGCTACGCCTATGAGTCGTTACGGTTTGAGGACGGTTTCGCGCTGTTCGGCGTCGCCTGCGGTGTGGTGGAGATCTTTTTCCCCTGTTCTACCGATTCTCGGATGCTGGCCGGTGCGCGGTCCGCGTCCGCAGCGAAGACGGCAAAGTTTGTTCGCCTTGTGGACGAGTTAGCCGAAGTTTGCGAGCACGCGATGCGAACCCGGTTCGTGCATCACGCCGACGCGGAGTGTCGCGACGCGTATCCACTGGGCGGCGAGGTACCGGACGAGAGCTCTCGGTTCGGGCCTCGCGCCGGACTCTTTGTTCGTCCGCAATTGAAGCAGCTGTTCGTGCGATACCGGCAGAACGTCACCAAATCGTTGCGCGCGTTCGCCGTTCAGCAGGACCACGGGCTTTGGGACGAAAGAGGCCAGAGTTTGTCCGCCGGCGAGGAAAGAAGCTCAAGCCCGTCAATTTTTGCCACCATGTTCATGCAGGTGGTGGGCCGGTTTTTCCCCAACGACCCAGCCACCGCGTCCTCCTCTCCGATCTTGATTGGTGGACAGGTGCTGTGGCCCACCACGCAGCTCGACGACGCAGATGATCTCGCTTGGTGGCGGGCAATGACCAAACTGCATGCGTACTCCTGCTCGGTTTACTACGCACTGCTGATGCAAAGTGCGTTCCTTCGAGATAATCTTCTGTCCAGCCCAGCACGAAACACGCTGCACGCCATTCGCAACCACACAATAGTACAACCAGGGGTAGCTGCTGCGCAAATAACGGAGGAGCTTGTTGAACCGGTTGTAGGCATTGCCACCAAACAAAAGCACGGGTCGCACAGCATTGGGGAACGCTGGTGGGATCCCGCTGATGGAGGAAGTACTCTGCGACGGACTATGGGGCCACCTAGAAGTGGTTCTGCCGATGAACATCTACTTGCAGCTGAAGCTAGGGAGAGCACAAAAATGGCGGGAGCGGGATCACGATCCGTCGCGGTCGTTCCGCGTCTGGATGAGTGGGACGTTGTGACCGGTCACGCGCCAAAGCATAGCCGGCGAGGCACCGCACAGGAACAAGTTTCGCAGTGTACGTACGGACTGGTGCGGTGGTGGCACGTCACGCAGTGGGCCGACCGGAAGGGGACCGGAGAGGAGGACTTCCGGGCTCTACTGGCGCACTCGGGCGACATCGTGACGACGCGCCGTGTGGCAGGGCACCCCGACATACAGGAGATCCTTTCGTTGGTGTTTCGTAGTGTACCGATTGTGCCACTTCTATTCCGCTTGCAATCAGGATTGTGTGCTTCCTGGCAGGCGGAAAAGACGTCAGCGTCGTTGGCCGAACGGAAAGAAGAAATCGCAAAGGAGCTGGTTCTTTCGGTGGCGACTAGTGAGCGTCTCGTGACAGAAGCAGAACTTGTGGGTACGCAGGAACGACGACTGGGGGCACGGTCTTCACCTCTGGCTCACGCGGCCAACGTCAAGAAGGACGCGCTCCAGGAGCACCCAGGCCAGGAAGGTAAATCTCAATCTGAGTCGCAGCGCAGACCGAAAGTTCGCTTGCTGATGGTTGTTTGGCGTTCACCCAACGTTTTGCGGTACTTGCGGAACATACAGTTATGGCAGTGTTACGCGAATGTGCAGGGCTACGAGTTTGTTGTGCAGGCTGGGCCGCCGGATTTTTTGCAGACACCGGAGACGGAAAAGTTTCTTTTCTACTCGAACCTCACAGCGTGGGTCGACCCAGAAATTTGGTCATCATCATCTGCAGATATGAATCATACCCAGCGATTTGCAGTGATGCGGCAGCGTCTTTTTTCACAGGACAAGAAACGACGCACGACAGCTGATGGTGCAAGCGATTCCGGCGGTGGTATTCGGGAAGCGCACACAGTCAGCCGCTTGCCAGCCGTTCCAGAGGGTCCCGGAGGTGCAGAAACGCCGATTCAGCGACGTCGACGGCCAGTGTCTTACATGTTCCCTGACGAGACTTCAGCTCCACAGGGCGCAAACCGAAAGAAGACACCCCCGGACGACGTCGCGGCTTCAGCGACTCGGTTCTCGCAGTCGCACAAGCGCTGGGAGTCACGGGACCGCGGCGGGGAAGAGTTGGCGAAACAGCCCTGGTTCCGGCTTCGGTGGTGGCGGATGCGGCAACACCTATTGCAGATGAAAGCCGACGCGGCGCGTAGACCGGACGAGGAGGAGCAAATCTTGATCACGGTGGACGTGGATACGTTGCCGAACCCTTCCTGTTTCGCGGACGTCGCGCTGCACCGGCTGGTGGACCGCCACCCCATCGCAATCAAGGACACCCCGCCCTTTTCGGAGGTAAACACGGGTGGTCTGATGGTCACCCGCAACAGCGTGTGGAGCCGGCTGTACCTGGAGGAGCTCTGTGAAACATTGCAGCAGTCGTACTTCACGCCGGCGCAGCACCCGGACATGCTTATGAGCACGGAGGCCATTTTGCACGTGCTGCGCGTCGAAGTGCTGGCCAAGCTGGACCAGCTGCTGTCACTCTTGCAAAAGGAGCAAGAAGGAGAGGCTACGCCATCCGCCGGTGTCGAAAGACGTACTACTACCACACTGGTCCTTGACCGCACCCAGGATCACGCGAACTCGTCCGGAACATCAAAACAAGATCCAGCAACTTTGATGACGTGGAAGGCGGCGAGTAGCAGAGTCTTACTCTCCCTGGAAGAGGTTGACGCCTTGAAGGCCAACTCTGGAAACATCATTCGCAGACTGGACCTCTCGCACTGTTGGCGCAGCTACAACACGGCGCTGCGCTCCCAGGTGAATGCGGCGAAGTGCTGGAACGAGCAAGTGGACGGGTTGCTGCGCATTCTGAAATTGCTCCCGCACTTCTCGGTTGTAACCGCAGTCCGTATGAAGTCGTTCCAGGACACGCTGCAGGAAAGGAAAAAGGTGGTTAGGTCTCTCAAGGCACTGATCTATGGTCCGCGCTTCCACACGGTGGGCTCTATAAAGTACGAGCTGGAAGAGGACTACCAACGCGAGCTGAGGCTCGGGTTGACGCACTTGTCGCCACGAACGCGGGCCACGGTGATGGGGCACTCGTTCCCGAAGTCAGTATCCGCTGCTAGTACTACCTCCACTTTCATATCTACAACCACAACAACGGCGCCTTTAGTCGACGACTCCGCATCGTCTTTTGCGCCGTCGTCCCCTGCTCTATTGGGTGCGACGGAGGGCGGAAACCTCGGTGAAAGACTCTCGCCGTACTCCCCCGAAGAAACCCGCGACCGAGCTGTGCTGAGTTGGGAGCCCGAGAAGCGCCGAGCCTTTCTCGCAGAGTCGACGTACCGCTTTCAGCACTGGCTGTACGAGTCTGTGGAGGTGGGGATCGCCAGCTTCCGCCAGAAAAGCCTGTCCGAGGTTGTTCACTTCGTCGACCCCCGGAAGCTGGAGATGAACTTTCGCCCGACCCAGTTTCTTTACGCACCCCATGACGTGCTGGACAACCTGAAAAACAGTGGCGTCTCACATCCGGGACGGATCGCCGAGGTACACGAGGGCTTTACTCCGATGGTGGCGCATTGGGCCGGGTTGCGCTGGGACGAGAAGCAGATCAGCATGTACTGGTATTTGAGAAGGTTCAACGGAACGCTCGATTTGCAAGCTGCCCATGATGCCGGAAGTAAAGGGCGGAATGTTAACGATAAGCAAGGAAATAAACCTGTTGTCCACTACCCTTGGTACGACTACAACAATGCTTCCTGGTCGGACAGAAAGTCATTCGAAAACCTGGTTCGCACCGCAAACGCGAGTATGGATAATCTCGCGGACCTGCTTTATAGAGAGTACCACGGCCCGGAAGTGTGTGCCTGGGCGCAAAATTTGGACGCAACCTGCCAACCCAGTACGGCGTACCACCGGTTGCTCATGTGCCGGGGCGCTGGCGAGTGGCTGTGCGGGTGACCTTGTCACGCGGGTAAACTGCAGGTCTTACTTCTAATTTCTGACTTCTTGCATGTCTGCGATCTTGGCCACCGGGGGGGATCATTGGATTACATTCATAGCTGCACTCAAGTTCTTGCGACGTTCGCCACTGTCTAATAAGTACCTTGTCGCTACGTCTTTTCTACGAAGACAACATCCTCTGCGAAAATTTGGTAGACAGTCGCGCTGTTCACTTCCGGGGGCGAATACAAAGGGGATGCCAGCGCCACTCCTTTTGGCACAGGCTATCATTATCTCGATAGACATAGAGCATCATACGTGAAATACATGAAACGTTGGTTGACTTTTGCCAAGAGTAAGAGAAAGTAGATATCGGTTACAAAAAATTCATGGTGTCGATGGCAGGAGTCGGTACTACCCAGCACTGCTTTGATCGGCAATTCATCTGAAATCTATCTTTCTTGTGTCAGAGATTCGGTTCTAGTTGGTGCGCACAGACACACAGACAGTCGTACATAACGAAGGACTGGAGCAGTGAATGATCTCGTCAGACGAAATGTCACTTAGATCTTCTAGATCACAATCGCAAAGCCGAATCACATTAGCGATGACCTCGCTCAGTGATAGAGGTGGCTCGGGTCGGTTGGAGTGACCGCATGTTTTCTTTTTTCTCTAATGGTTCAGGTCCCATGCACGTGCTCGACAACGAACCCCCGTATGACTACCTCAGCTCCTAATACTCATGCAAAAGCTTTAGCTTATGTTGACCCCCTCCCCCTCGGTCTCAGCGCAGTGTTTTTATTGAAACCGAAAAGAAAATCGAAACCCATACCCAAATAACTCCAGCAGAACGTGATACTTGAGAGGGTTTGTTGAAGTTCTCCATTACGGGTCGCGTGCAGCATCCTCCACAAAAATCAGCATGCGTGTGAGCAACATCGCGAGGTGCAGCTCCGGGCGGAAGCGCGCGATCAGGATACAACCGGAGAATGCGACAGCCATATTTGCGTCCTCGACGACCACCGCGTTGAAAAGCAAAAGAAGTCCCAGCACTTGTTACCCGACCCTTTGTTCCAATCTTCGTGGCCTTCCGACTTCTACCCTTTTATCGAGATCCCCTTTGTTCCGAGACCCACCACTGCGACCGCGTAGTTTCGAATGCACCACTGGCCGTGGCTTCGCCACGAAATTCTCGCTCGAATCTGTACTAAGCGATGGAAGCGACTCTGCCAGGCGTTCGCCAGGTGAGCTGTATAGGCAACTATGCGACCAGAAAATCATCGAGGCCGACCCCATGCAGACGCACGCGCTGCAGGCACTCGACCGCATATTCCACCAGACCACCGCAAGATCCTCAGCCTTGTCTTCTTCGAGTGCGGGAAGAACTCTAGTCGGGGGGCAGGAGTCGGGGAAGTTGTCATCTGCAGCCGGCGCGGAAAGAGACATGAGCACAGGCCCGGCGGGCGAATTCGTCCGTGGACTCTATCTACACGGGCCGGCGGGCAGCGGCAAGTCCATGTGCATGGACTTACTTTTTCACAGCCTTTCAGCGCAGCCCCACGTGAAAGCCAGGAGGCAGCACTTGCACGAGTTCCTCTACACCTTGCACCGGCGGCTGTTCCAGCTGAAGAGCAAGCCAAACTACCAGGGTGCCAGCCGCAAAGAAAGCGTGGTCCTGGCGCACAGCGGTGTGGGGCACATTGGCAAAGAGGCCGCAGCCATGTCCAGCGCTCGCGAGCAGCAGCTCTCTGCAAACTCTGCAATGAAGCGGTTCGCGGAGGAGCTGAAGGAAGAGTGTGATGTCTTGTGCTTTGACGAGTTCACAATAACCACAATCCAAGACTGCACCATCCTAGCACCTCTACTGGCAAAAATGTTCGCCCAGAACATCGTTGTGGTACTGAAGTACTTGTTTGCTTTTTGATATTCCGATAGTTCGTTTATCAATCTGGGCTTGCCAGACTTGATATCGATACGATTTTGATTCGCATCATCGATCTATCTTCAACATATTAAAACGAGGACACATACATAAGCCTTTAACTCACAACTGTGATTTCTCCGCCTTTTTTATCACAGGTTGCCACTTCGAATCGCGCGCCGGAGAATCTTTACGAGGACGGGCTGAACAGATATTTGTACATCCCGCCGTTGCTGGAGGCGTTGCAGAGTCACATGGACGTGATGACGGTCGAAAGCCAGGACTACCGCCTGCAGAAATACGAACAAGAGAAAGCCGACTCGCGTCGGTATGTGGACGACACGCCGGATGAGGACGAGGAGGATGAAGCTGCTGGTCGGCTTCTTCGACAAGAAGCATCACAGCCTACGGTGGGAGAAGCGAAAGATGCCCCTGCGCAATTGAGACGTCGCCACAAGGTGTTTTTTCACGCCGAGGAGAAGGCAGCCGCGGAGAACTTTCTGAAGAAGAAAAACCTCCACAATGGCAGTTTGCAGAATACTTTCGACCTCGAGGTGGGATACGGGCGCGTGCTTCAGTGCGAACAGGTTTCCGCCGACCGAAAGACCGCTCGGTTTTCCTTTGGCGACTTGTTTCAGGGGCCTCCATACTTGGGGGCGGATGACTACAACAAGATCTGTGCGCAATTTCACACCATCGTTCTCGAAGAGCTGCCCGTGCTGCAGGTGGAGGATCACAACGAGGCGAAGCGGCTGTGCAACTTCCTGGACTGCGCCTACGAGCACCACGTGCAGCTGCTCTGCGTGGACATGGAATGCCCCGAGGTGCTGGAGTTGTTTCAGAACCTCGTTCCGCTGGAGAATATCAACATGGAGGAGGTGTTGAGAGAGCAGCAGCAGAGCCAGATGGGGTCTGCGGTGGCCGAAGGCGCCGGAAATAAGACCACCGCAAGGCATCTACTTCCTCAGGTGCAAGGTTCGGGCGACCTGGACCAGTCCGCCGCCTCGTCCGGCGTCTTGTCCGCCGTGCGGGCCGTGTCTGACATCGTCGGGAAGCAGCAGCAGAGTTGCTACTTCCTATCCGCGGACCACAAAAACTGGTCGGTGGAATCCAAGATTGTGGGAACCGACGCGTCTGATCCGGGTTTTCGGAAGAGTAAGAGCACCAGCAAAAAGGGTTCCTCTTCCTTCAAAAGAACGCTGTCGCTGAAAGAAACACCAGAAGTAATTGCAGGTAATAAAAGTAAGAACAGTCCAGCAGGAGGAGCAGACGGCCGAGATCGTCATGCAGACGCTAACCAGCACCTGCGGTTCAATACAGAGTTGCGGAAGCGCGCTACCGGGCAGACAATGCCAGCAGTTTCAACGACCAGCGGTGCTCCTGGGGTGCAAGATCTAGATGCTGCGACACAAGCACCCGACTGGACGGCGAAAAACCAACCCGCTGAAGATGTTACACAACCACCGCACCACCCAGATGTCCAGATTTGGAAGCAAGATGCAGCGGGCATGCCACAGGTGACGAAATTGTGGGATGAAAAGCGGCGCGTGTCGCAGTCCGAATGGGAGGCAGCTGATCCTACTGCGGAACAGCACACGGTCAAGGGCGTCTTTGTGGCCGCTATCGCCTCGCTGCATGAAACTGGCTTCGCGGTCAAACGAGCTATTTCGCGCTTGCAGGAAATGCAGACGCGGTCCTATTATCAGGAGTGGCAGCGCAGACAGGGGCTCAATCAACAGTGACCGTGTAGTCGTGTCGTCCTAGTGTGGCTTCAAGAAAATCAGATACAGATGATGAACCTCCGAGGAGGCATTCCATTGAAAGAAGCGACTCAGAAGAAATCGAGACCTACTGCGTAGCCAGGAAATGGCAGCGTGGCGTGCGCACCTGCGGTGGTGTGGTGTCCGCCTCGTCAGGCGGCCGTGCCAGCAAGAGAGTCTACATCCGCAGCGTTCTCCAACGAGTATGAGATTTCGCTGAGCACATCATTCTATCACATTCGAAGCAGAAGCAGACGCTTTTGTCCAAGTGTGTAGTGGCAAACGGTGTCTCTTCTCGGGCGAAGAACTCACATATCCAATTCAACTTGTCCTTCGATGCAAGAAAAAAGAAAAACCTGACAGCACATGCACGCGATGATGGGTGTTCCCGCCGGGCTCTGATTCAGATTTGGACGTTTTCAGCCTGGGATAGGCTAGAGTCTCAAAATGAGAGTGAAGTGCCGAGGTGCTTGTTTCGGAAAAATGGAAAAAATGCAGTTGCAGAGTTGCGCTTTGAAAGTGGAGTTTTCGAGAGACACAGAAAAACGGACTTTTCCAAAAAATCATGACGCTGTTTCCAGTTGATTCTGTTAGTGGTGCGACCGAATTAAACTAGCTCTAGCTGCAGAAGATAGGGCACCATTTACAAAGTCGCATCTCAAGGAGGAGCCAGCAAAGCGATAAGATGGGCTGCTTGGAGTCCAAGGATGCCTACGCATATCCTGCAGAGGCTGAAGATGTGGAGCTGAAGGTTTCCAAGTTGATTTATTTTGAGAAAAGGTTTTAAGGCTTTATTTTGCATCCTGGTAGTTTCCGGCTTGGAAACGAAAACGTTCAAGATGCCATGTATAAGGATCGTTCGGGATCATGTGCTGCCTAGGGCGGAAAGTTTTTGCTGTTGCTGGGAACAACAAAGCGATATTCAAGACAAACCACATCAAACAGGTTGATGCCGCGCAAACATTCGCAGAGAAATGCAAGGAAGTGCGCCGAGAACAAGGAGGTGGGGACGAAGACACAACCGACCGCGCTTCAAGCACCACGGGCACGACTTCGGGCGTCGAAGAAGAGCAGGTTGCGGCCCGCAAGACGAACGCTCTGCAAGCAAATGCGAAAAGTCAACCAGGCGAGACTGAGCCCGGGTTGACGGGCTGCACTGCTTTTTCGTCGGTGCACGGAGACAAGGGCGGTTCCGAGAAGCACGTAAGAAACAAATCGGAGAAGAGTGAAGGGAAATCGGGCAAAAGCAGTGGAAAACGCCAGGGGAAAACCAAGGGGAAAGGGGAAACGAGCAAGGGAAACAAGGGAAGCAAGCAGCAGGACGACTGGTTCAGCGCAGGCAGCAAACAGTACAACAAGAACAGCGGCAAAGGGAAGAGCAAGCCAAAGCGCGGTGGTTACTACGAACAAATGAATGCTGGCGCCCAGGGGGCGTGGTGAGAAAAAGAAAGAGGAATAACGACCCGAACGGTGGCAATATTTCTCGTTTTCTCCCGCGACCCTGCAGGGCTGCATCTGCAAATCGGATCAGAAAATCGAAACTGTATGATGCTGTCCAAGAACGATCACAGACACAGAGATTTTTCACACGACCGAAAGTTTCAATGTACACAGACCTAGAGGACCGAAACCGATATCGGTACGGCCACGATATAGAAGAGAGCAACAGGATGTTGTTAGAGCTTGTATAATGTTGTATGGGTCAAATCATGAACGTGGAGACTTGCCTGCAGCCGCGTTTTGCGATCTCGGCAGGCGCACTTGTTTGGATGAAAAGCACATGGATGCCATATACGAGATTCATTTACCAGAATGTGCAAAATGTAAGTTTGTATCGGTTGCGTTATCCGAATCCGAGTCCAAGTGGGCAAGAACCCTGGAGTAATGTTGTTCCCCACTCATAGACTGAAAATCCCTCAGGATCAAGACACAAAATCAATGAGATCGTTCGCGAAAATGTTGCTCTTGATCTTTTTGAAAAATGAAAATTTCTTGTTGAGCCACTAGCAATACACGCGGAATTATGGGCCCTCCTGAATTCCAAAAAACGTAGTCTTTTTCTTCTGTATTGCAAAATTCCACAGGCCTGAGTTGTAGTGGCGACATTTTGGTGTAGTTTTTTTTTGTTAGCATTATCCGTCAGTAAGTGAGCTTCCGAAAGTAGTAGGAAATTTTTATGTTGAAATTAGGAGCACGACTTGCTTCTTGAAATATTTTCGCGCACAGATTTTTTTGTCGCAGCCATAACTAACAATCACGACATCAAAAGACGAGTTGTAGGGATTCTTGCAAAAAACACTCACATCACGTTCGGGGGCTCTTCTTGTCAACATCTTTGAGCAGCAGCACCAGAAAATCGTGGCATCAGGCGAAATTCGGCGACGTCACCGAGTAACAGCTGCTGGGGCGATGCCATCGGAATCGAACCCTCGTTCTTCACTCGTTGTTTTGAAAGCAGGGGATCATCTGAAAGATGGGGGCCACAACTGTGCCTTGCCGTACCCCGAGGATCCTCAAGCAACAAAGCAGGGGCCATGGATCGCGGTTCAACAGCCGAGCAGCAGCTTCGTGTCAGAAACGCCTTTGACAACCACTGCAGCACTGGACGGGCCGCGAGCAGCAGGCCTGCAACTTGAAGCTGCAGAAGAGCGGCAACAGCAGGAAACTACAGGGAGGGGCGGAGACTTTAAGAATGGTTTTCCACAGCCGGAGACCCTCGCCAGCACACCAGCTGCAGCGCGGACTGTTTCTTTGACAAGTGGTTCTTCCTCGTCGGCTGAGGCTCGCCCATCGAACCCTTCGCAGTGCCTCAATCATAACAGAGGCAGCAGCAGCCCCATTCGATCGGCCCCCGCACAGCGGTCGGGCGGGACGGGCAGGGGTACTACACTTGACCGCAGTACCAGCACTAGCAGTACTAGCCGTGATTCGCATTCGAACTACTTTGTCACTGCGCTTGTGACCGCCAAGGACGCCGATCATGGCGACTATGCCGCCTTCTGCGGCCGGGACTTGGACCAGGAGCCGCTGTACAAGTACAATGGCGCGTTGCCTGGTCTTGTAGCTGAAGATGCGCGCTCCACCACAACCGGAGGTAACAGCAGCCTGTCCAGGTCTTACACTGCTTCCTCACCGCCCGATCTTTCTGCATCGAGTGCGGAGGAAGAAGCGGCTTCGCAGACCTCCGGGATAGTACACGACACCAAACGTGGCACCTGTTCTGAAAATCATTCTACCGCTCCTGACTACACTTCTGCGACTTCGATTTCCTTTGCGACGACCGGAGAGGTAATGTTCACTGGCAGTACGTCTAGTAGTGCCAGCAGCACCGCCAAACCGCATCTGCAGCAGACCGGTAGCACACGACGAAGTACAACAAGTTCGGTTAACAGTGACCAGCCTTTGGTCTATGATGGTCTCTCGGAGGTAGAACAACGGGAAGGTAATTGTATTACTGGCAGACCGATGATAGATCCTGCCCTGCTGCTTGAGCAGCTGCAGCACGCAGGTGGGAAGGAAATGATCGCCTCCAGCAAGGAGGTAGTTCACACTGCATCTTCTACTTCCGTCACGACAAAGCCGCAGTTGCATAATCGGGAACAAAAGCAACATCAAGCAGGAACCACGCCCCACACCTCAGCCGTGTCGATGCGAGCAGCAGATTCCACTGAATTCAATTCACTGGAGTCTGCTGCTGCTTCTGCTGCGTCGAGCTCCTCCTCTCGCTCGATGTCTTCCCGTGGTCCGATGAACGACAGCCTTGCGTCGAGCCTCTACAACAGGCGGGGGCCGACCACCTCCGATCACGACAGCCCCGTGTTTTCACTTCACTACAGCAGCCCCCCGCCGCCGACGTACGGCGACACCATCGCCGTACAGCCCCCACGAAGGAGCAACAGCCAGACCAAATACCGCTCCAATATCGCCGGTTCGCTTCAAGTCAACCTGAACCTGCCAGATAGCCGTGCTGCCATTCCAGCGCACCACCAGAGTAGTGCGCGAGAAGTGGATCCGTGGTCGTCGTCTTCGCCACCAGGCTACGGTCACCACATTGCGGCAACGACGAATGGCAATGCATTAGCACCTTTTGAACCACCGACCGCAGACTGTGTGTGCCGAGCACTCGTTTCGGCTTGCAGCCATGTGAAGCAGGCCGCGGGCTCTGTGCTGCGGTGGCAGACCATTTTCGCCCTTTGCTTTGGCCTGTGCTGCGTGTGGTTCAATTGTGTCTCGCAAGTTCTGCTGGACCACCGCTACATCTACGGACGGATCCACATTTTTCCGGACGCGGAAGAAATTGCGCGGGCAAAACAAGCCACACAAGACTGGTCGCAGGAGAAGTTCGCGGAACGAGTGGAGCGTCACGCGTTGCAGCACGACGTTTTCTTCGATCTGCTGCCCGACGCCCGCAGTATGGAGGATCATTCACTCCACTTTCTTTTCGACTCCGACGCCCTCCTGAATAACCTCCTTCGGGTATAATTTCTATATATAATCTTCATGGTTCTTACTATTTTAATTTTTTTGGGCTTGATTCTAAAAATTGAAGCCACCAACATGCAGGTCTTCGGGCACTGTAAGTAGAAATAAATTTATAAGGTACCTTGTTGAATGCATTTTTTACTCCGCGGTGCCTAGCTTTTCATCCGACGGACGTAAAACTGTAGAAATATTGTCTCATCAAAAAAATAACTCAGATGACGGCCTTGGTTTTCCTGCTGTTCCATCCGCGCCGGAGTACACTAGTGGTTCGCTTTTTGCTCTGTCAGGGCTTTGTGTTCCTGCTACGCGGAGTCAGTATTTTTATCACGCCTCTGCCCCCACCGGACGCCAGTTGTCAGATCGGGCTTCCCGCACCGGACGAGAATTACTTGTGGGAAGGATTCAAGACGGTGTTTCGGCACCGGGTCACCTGCTGCGATGTCCTCTTCTCGGGCCACACCGTGAACTTCACAATGTTAACGATGCTGTGGTGGGACCACTTTGATCGCCACGTCTGCCCCTACCCAAGCGTGCGTTTCCTGGCTAGGAGAGCAGTGCTGTTTTACGCCTGCCTAGGGTATAATTCATTGCGGATATTCATTTTGCCTTTGAGAGTTTTCCTTTTGGCTATTTGTTTCCTTTTCCGCTAGTTTCCACATACTATACTTTGCTTTTGCATTCTGATTACGTCCTCCACGTATGGCAATTTACTCTTCCGGGTCAGGTCAGGTTCCGCTCCTATGGTACATTGCTTCCATGCATACTAACTTCTGAAACTACAACTACTTCCAGGTTCACCGCCATGCTGATCACGCGGTTTCATTACACCGTTGACCTGTTCCTGGGTGCGATCATTTCTTTTTTTGTGTGGCGGTACTACCACGCTCAGTGCGCCTACTTCCGGCAGCTCCTGTCGAGCCGGAGGAGCTTTGCGTGTCTGGGAAATAAAACCTCCCGACAATTATACGCAAACCACCAGCTGAACACCTCAAGCGCGACGACCAGCGAAGGGGAGGAGCCCGAACAATCTGACCCGGAGAACGTGGCCTCAGCGGCAGTTCTGCAGCAGCAAAACAAGTACGCCAAAATCAGCACCCGGGGGCCCCCGTCCGTCGGGCACCAGCACGTAAGAACGGTTTTCGAGCGCGGCGTGATCGAGAATCCCCACGGGTCCCTCGCAGCTCAACACAGCAGCTACAGAAGTGGTGGACACAGCATTGTCAATGGTGTTCTATCCCCTGCTGCGCACCAGCAGGCCGATCGGGGGCAAGACCTCACCGAGAACCTTGCGCACCTGAACCACCAGTCGAGAGACGATCTTATAGTTCCACAGTCAGCAAGCGATGTCGACTGTGCTGGCGACAGCACGCTGCTGGTGCCGGACGAGCAACGGGAGCAGGACTTGATGGTCCTCGATCACGGCGGAGTGCTAGTTCATCCGGGCAGCCGCACGGCTTCCAATTTATCCACCCGGGGGCCCTCGTCCCTTCGGGGCATGGAAGTGGAATCAGACGCGCTGCATTCCGACGACGTAGTGCACCGAATCTTTAACTACATGTCTAACATTGGTGAGCCGAAGCGAATGCGAAAGTACGATCCTATCACCTTTGTGCAGCGAGGCTTGTGTGGCCTTTTCATGTGGTTGGAATTCACACCGACGCTACCGTTCTTCGGGTTGCAGTTATTCTCCGGCGATCGGGGAGGTCCCTCGGCACCCTTGTGAAGTCGAGTATAGTTGTTGTCCTGCGGCGAGCGACATATACGAGAAGCGGGATAATTGCTACTCCCTGTAGATGTAACAGATTAAACATACTTCCACAACAGAGAGCGACAGCCAAGAAGATACAACTCTAAACAAACGACACTGCGACAAAATTCAATTCGAACAAAAGTGGCTACATGCATATACAGTGCTGCAAATTTTTTTCACGTCCTGTGCCATGAGGAAGCGTATAGTGAAGAAGCAAGAGCCTATCACTCTCGAGCTACGGAGCGATACGTCACCCTTCGGGCTCCCAAAGCAAATGGTGCGAAACGCACACCCATTTTCCGACGTTCTTGGTGGGTCTCTCTGCCTGCAGTAGACTTTGTTCTTAGTAGAATGGCACCCAGCCAAGTAACGCACAGCATTCATTTTGGTGAAGGGCGTACGCTTCACAGGCAGGAGTACAGCTGGACCCTGAGATACAAGTGTTCGAACATCTCTGGAGGTGAAGGCGCCTGAGGGATATGGAGATCGCGATCATACTGTCACAGCAAGCAGAGTAGTATACGGGTTCTGATATATGCGATCGAGCGCAGATGATGTACAAGAAGTGCACCTCTGGCTCTGTCACGACTTTTTTTTTTCACGGATGATCGAGTACATCAATGCCAGACACTGTCATGATCGCTCCTGCTATGTTTAGTGTAAGTACTTGCCTTTGCGGGACGGGAGCTCGTTCGCTCTTCTCGTTCGATCATGGGATGCAGTCAATTATGTGGTTGCGTGCCCTGTGCGATAGGCGGAGTTCTGCCCTTGTCTAGCGAGCAATATGAGAAGAAGCCACCGCGGCCCGCTACGACACGACCAATTGAGTTAATAATACACAACAACGCAATCAAAGGATAAGGATCTGCATTTGTAATTGTATGGAGCTGCCATCCAGCCGACACCCTTGTAGCGCACTAGTCAAGCTGTAGGTGCGCGTCGTGCCACCATATGAAGAAGTTCAGTCTCAATTAGAAGCGGAGCATCCACAAGATCAAGATCGCATTTTTTACGACACCAATCTTACTCTGCCAACCTGCCGCTAATTATAAACACAATCGCATATTACAGCTAGATCTTCTAAGTAGTTCGTAGCGCTTGATTGAAATATCACTCCGAGCTTCGTCTGTTTAGTTTTTCCGCTTATCTACTGTGTGTCAGAAACACCAGTTGCGCCTGCACCACCCCACGACACTCCAGAAGAAAAAGAATCTAGAATGAGCGTCCCTTACGAAGCGTTGACGATTGAGCGACTATGCTCCTCGCCGTCCCTGACCGGAACCTCTCCCTCCGGGCTGAAGATTTCGCCGGACGGTCAGGCCATTACGTACTTGAAAGGCCGAGAGGACAACAAGAATTTCAAGGACCTGTGGATGCAAAGGCTCGGCGTCGAGAAAAGCGACCCTTTTCTACTGGTGTCTGGCGACCCGCTGGACGCACCGGAGGAAAGTTTATCCAACGAGGAGAAAGCGCGAAGGGAAAGGCTGCGCGTCGGGGATGCGCGGGGTATTCTCCAGTACTTTTGGAGCGAAGACGGCAGGTATCTATGATATCGAACAAGGAGGCTCCTCAATGGGGCTACAACAGCACCCTGTGCTTGAGTCGAGATTCGATAGCAATGAGCACTCTGGCTTTTTCACTACGAATGCTGCATACCGGTTTCATCCTCCGACTAAACTGAAATTCGTCGGGTGATGAAGGCCTCCAAGGCTGTAGTTCCCGCTACAAATTTTCAAACGAAAAACCTTTGAAGTTCTATGTACACGTCCAACCACCACGTTTTTTATCTTCGCTCAGGTCTGTTCTGTGTCCTGCCTCGGACGGGACGCGGATGTACCTGTACGACGTTGCGGCCAGAAAAGGCCGCATGGTATCCGTCGATGGGACAACGACCAAAAATTCCGACGAGGAGAGCGCAGCAAGTGCGGTGACCGACGCCAAACTTTCGCCGAAGGGCACGTTTTTGAGCTATGTGCGCGGCCAAAACCTGTTTGTCCGGCACATAGAGACCGAGGTGGAGACGCAGCTGACCTTCGATTCCTCGGAGTGGATCAAGAACGGCATGGCGGAATTCGTCGCACAAGAGGAGATGCACCGGATGACGGGCTACTGGTGGGCACCCGACGAGAAGTACCTGGCCTTTACGCGCGTCGACGAGTCCCCCGTGGAGCTGGTTCCACGAAACGAAATCTACGCTGACGGCGTGAAAATGTTTTCGCAGCGCTACCCTTACGCCGGCCGACCCAACGCACTGGTGGAGTTGTGCGTGGTGCGGATAGTATGTAGTGAGGTCACCGAACGGTTCTAACCAGGGAGTTTTTTTGACAGCCAGACAGCAAAACGGCCGTCAGTTTTCGAGCGGCCGGAAGCGTTTTTTGACATAAAAAATTTCCAATTATCAAGCGGGCGGGGCTTTGAAGTCAAACAAGCCCGTTCGAAAACTATCGATTCGCACTTGATAAAACGACGCAGGGGAGCCGGCAAAAGGGGCGCCCTTCTGAGGCGCCCACCGCCTTGGTTTCTGGCGGTTTGGGCCGCCAAAAAAGGGGCGCGCAAAAAACTCGCCCAAAATCAGAATAGCGAAACAGCATGGCACGGCCGCGATTTCGGAGCATTTTGGGCGGCCGCGAAAGCGGCCGCCTTTTCGCCGGTTTCAGAGCCTGGGAAGCTTTGCAAAAAGCGCCGGAGGGAAAGATAAAGACGCAAAAAAGAAAAAGCGCGCCAGACGCGCAGAGCCAATCCGCATGCTACGGGCCCGATTTTTCCTCGCTTTTTGGACGCCCCCCGTGGCGCCCGGATCGGCCGCATAGCATGGGGGCTGGCTTTCGGAAAGGAATTTCGGAAATTTGCCAAAATTTGCGACGCTTACCAAGCGGCCGCCATACCGTGCGGCCTAACGTTACTCGCGGCGGTATGGCGAGCCCAGAAAAAGCAAAGCCGCGGCCAAGGCGACGGCCGGCAAGAAAACGCCCACGACCTCACTACCCCCGCCCCGGCGGCTATATTTGGTACCGGAGGAAACTGATTCGACCGAGCCAGGACCTCCAGCTCGCGTGTGGGTTCCGCTGCGTCCGCTTGGGGCCACATCTTCAAAGGGAGCAGTCGCGTCAAAAGCCGCTTGGTCGGGCGAGGCGCCGGCGAAAGCCGGTCCGCAAGACGAACTCTCAGGAGATAAGGAGACCCTGTTGCGACGAAATGTCGATCCCGTCTTGGATTACTATCTCCCGAGAGTCAAGTGGTTGCCCGCGGGCGGAAATCACAAGGGAGAACAATCGCGTCTGCTGTCCTTTCAGTATCAATCCCGCGACCAGAAGCGCCTGCAGCTGCGCGTCGCGAGGATCGACGAGGAGCATTTTAGTGGCTCGTCCTCCGGGACGGGGACGTTGACGAACGCCAGCAATCCCAGTGTTGACCGGGATGAACAACGACTACAAAAAACAACAAGGAACTATCTTCCGGATGCTGATGTCCGCCCGGTCTTGCACGAGGAGAACCTCGCCGCCTACGTGAATTTGTTTGAGGACGAGGAGCTCCACTTCTTCCAGGACGGCAGCTCCCGATTTCTGTGGTGCTCAGAGGCCGGGACGGGATTCAAAACGATATACGTCGGTAAACTGGAATTTGCCAAGCTGTTTGAAGCGGACGCCGGAGAGAAGGACTTCCCGCTGCGGCCCGTCCTGAATACTAAAGCCGGCTGTACAGGAGTTGTAGAGACAAACACCTTGTCGTGCGCTGCGTCGTTGACGCCGCTGAACCACGTCGTGCAGCCAGCGAGCGACGTCCAGACGAAGCAGGTGCAAGTCGGGATTGACGCGCTGGAGCATGTCGACGAGCGGCAGGGCTACGTGTACTACACTGCACGCACCAACCACCCCGCAACCGAGCGCCACCTGTTCCGGCTCCACCTCCAAACCCACAAGGTGGAGCAGCTGACTAGCGAGCCCGGCTGGCACAGCCCCGTGTTCGGCGGCGCACCAGCGACGGGTCAGGAGGTGCGAGAGGCGACGAGCGTTTTTTTCTTCGACCACTTTTCCAGTCTGGCGCAGCCGCCGCAGTGCTCGTTGTGGGAGGTGGCGCCGAGTAACAACAAGCGGGACAAGGCGCTCTCCCCCCGGGAGTCGTGCTGCAGCCGCCGGCAGTGGATCGCGGAAAACAAGGTGGCGGATTTGCTTTTGAAGCCGTATTTTCCCGGTCTCGTGACGAAGCCGTTTTTCGGCTCGTTTTCGGCCATGGACGACCCGAATAGCACCCTGTACTACCGCGTGTTTTTCCCACCGACCGTGAACCCGCTGGATCGGAAGTGGCGGCCCAAGATGCCGGTGGTGTGCTTCGTGTACGGCGGGCCGCACGTGCAGCTGTGCATCACCGGGTCTCGGTGGTCGGACCAGCACTTGTTTCTGCAATTTCTGCTGCAGCAAAACTACATCGTCTTCACGGTGGACAACCGCGGTAGCAGCGGCCGCGGGCTGTCCTTCGAGAGCAGCGTGTACCGCGACATGGGGAAGCGGGAAATTTTGGACCAAATCGCGGGGGTGCGGACGTTGTGCGAAAAGTATCCGCATCTGGTCGACCCGGACCGCATCGCCATCTACGGCCATAGTTACGGGGGTTACATGGCCCTGCACTGTTTGTTCCGCAGCTACTACGTAATGTCGGACACCAGCAACAAGAGCCCTACTGCCGATCAGAATCTGCCACGTAATTGGAATTTTTACGCTTCCGAGGCTGGTGGTGAACAAGGAGCCGGCGGCGGCGCAAATGGCAGAGCATCAGCTAACGGCGCACACATTGGCCAGAAGAGCAGAGCAGACGTCGGCAGCTACACATACGAGGAAGCGCAAGACGTGGATGCTGCTTCGAAAGCTGTTTTTGCGAACCGGCGTCCGTTGTTCAAGTGTGCGGTGAGCGGCGCGCCTGTGACGACGTGGCGGCTGTATGACACACACTACACAGAGCGCTACATGGGGGTGCCAGACTTTACCAAGGACTACCCGGGGAGCGAAGGCACCAACTTCACGAACGAGGCAGGCTACGAAAGCTCCTCGGTAGTGCCCTACGCCAAATTCTACGATGATAAAAGGTCAAAGCTACTCATTTACCACGGGATGGCGGACGACAACGTGCTGTTTCAAAATAGTACGAAACTGTACGGCGAGCTCTTCCAGCAGAAAAAACTGTTTCGAATGTGCGACTACCCGGGTGCCAAGCACTCCATGAACGGGGAGCACATCAAGAAACACTTGTACGAGATGATTTTCGATTTCCTACAGAAGGAGTTGTGATGAACATGCGCAGAAGCAAAATTCCGAGAAATTGAGATAAGATGAAAGACTCATTGAGCAGCACGCAACTGAAGTTCAACACGGTATCCGCAGACAACTCATCCTCGTGGGCCTGATGTTTGCACCGGCAGCAGGACTGTCATTGAGCGGCGGCATTCTCTCTGTGTGTAGTGGACCGTAGGCGGTAGCCTGGAGATCCTGTTTCTTTTTCTTGCAATCAGGATGGACGATCATTTGACAGGCCTGCGATCGCAAAGATGAAATGACTATAGTGCGTCGCTGATCTGTTTCCTTTTCGAAGATCTTTCGCGCTCTGATTCCTTTGATATTCGAGAGACGACCCATTTTCGCTTTTCTTGTGCCTTGTTTTATGTCTACCTCTACTTCGCTGCAGACAAGATCAAAGAGTACAAGCGGCGCCCCTGCCACAGCCACATACACAGAAAAAAAGTCCGGCCCTGCGTATGTTAGATCAATTTGTTCTTTGGTGGATTGTTGAGGTCGTCCAAGAATAAAGTTAAAGACAAAGAATGAAAATGTTCTGTCTGTGTAATAATGAAAAAGCAGAAAATTTTGCTTTCGATTTCATCGGCCCAAATACATACTGGGCTTAAAGATGTGCATCTCTCGCTAACGCCGCAATCTCACTCGCATTTGCAGGGCGACAGCATCGGTTTCTCGACCGAAAGTCGACGAAAATTGAGCGCAGCATCCACGAGGATGGCTACCCCGATGGAGGAAGATCCGGCAGTACTGGTCCCGGACGGCGTGCCCGAAAATACGCAGCTGGAGAGCGCGCCGCCGTCGAACATCGACAAGTTTCTGAAAGCGTTCGAGAAATTGAATCCTGCGTTTGACCCGACCACCGCGCAGAGGCCGGTCGTGTGTTTTTTCGGCGACAGCGATATCAGCCACTGGAGAAATCAAATGCCAACAGACGGCGGCGCGAGCGCAAAACGAACGTTGGTAAATGTCGGGGTGGGTGGGGCAGAGATGCTGCACGTCGCGTATTACGCCGAGCGCTGCTTCGAGAAATACCGCCCCGACGTGGTTCTCCTGTGTGCTGGGGAAAATGACATCGGAAGTGGTAAGTACTTGCTGTTGCCAGGATACGGCGCCAACTTTACTAGAATATTCCTTGACATCGGAATCAAGTACGCATGGAAAAAAGCGTCCTGTCGGTAGTTGCGCAACAACTTTGTTCCCTTAGACTTTGCACTTTGGAAAAACTCATGCAATTTTTTCCAGGTACATCATCAGCGTCGACTTTCAGCTATTTCCAGAAGGCGTATAGCTGTTTCCGCGCCAAAAGCGGCTCAAGTCTCCCGATCATCTACATGGGCACGAAGCCGGAGCCAGCAACGGAATCGCTACGGAGCGAGTACCTTAGTTACGACGGTCTCATCAAAGAGCGCACAAATGCGGACGCAGCTTTCCACTTTGTGGACTCCTGGGATCTGCAGGACTATAAGTTTTACGATAAGGACGAACTGCATCTGAGCCCTGAGGGTTATGAAGTTTGGAATCGCCGCGTCTTGGCGATTTTAGATACTGGCTGCGATTGATTAGCCGTGCGCAGGCGTAACTGTTAACAAACTGGCGACTGCATCGTCGCGAAGTTCTTGAGTGAGTAAATGCTGCAGGCTTTACCTTCCGAACATGAATTAGCTGTCGCTTGCTCGCGGCTTTCGGTTACCGGGGTTCTTCTGATGTGTTCCGTTGCGTTGACATTCCAATACTGCGAGTCGGCTATTGGATGCTATAGCTTCAGCAAAGTGTGGCTTTGAAGCTTCATCAATGGGCCAAATTTGTCGGACGGTTTAAGCTTGGCGAGGTGCCTCCAGGAGGATTCCCGGCCGTGGTTTTGCGGACCTGGAGGAGCAGCGTCGGGCCGTCTTGGCGGTCTTTACGGACCCGCCGAAGGCCTTCCCGTCCTTGTGCTGGGGGGCCGCCGCCGACATCGTTCGCCGCATGGGAATCGAGGCGGCGCCGTGCCTCCGCTGCTTGCAGTCCGTCCGCTTCGCCCCGGCTGCGCCGAGCAACTGGCGTCGCCCTTTGGGCGGTGTATCTATTGCTCCGGCCCATGCGAAGGCCCACGGCCGCAGCCGTCTGGGCCCACCGGCACGCGCCCGCGGCCAGCACTTGCCGCCGTGGCGTTTTTTGTTGGGCCGCGGCGTAATGAGCTGAACCAGGGCAAGCGCGCCCCTTTTCTTGCCTACATTGGGAATATGCGCCAGCTGCAGGGGGGGCCTTGCAGCCCGCACCCAATCGGCTAAGCCCTGGCATGGAGATAAATTTTCCACGTTTCAGATCTCGACCAGAACGGACAGGCCCCGATGCCGGAGAGCCAGCTCGGACAGCGCGCCGGCGTCGACCAGGAGCAGCAGTGGGGACAATACATCGGCGTCGGGGTTGCGTCAGCGAAAGCCGCCGGACCGCCGCAGTCTGCACCCCTGCAGCCCGCGCCCCCCGGGCTGCCCCCGAAGATTGCTGCAAAGCAGGCCACTGGGCAACAGTTCAATACGGCGCCCGTGCGAAACATGGGCGCGCTCGGTGTGTCTTTTGGGCAGTCGTTCGCCGTGGCAAGTCCGGGCGTCGGACGGCCGGCCGCTTCGCTCAGCGCAACGCTCGGACAACAGGCCGCCGCGCAGGTTCCAAAGCCCCCGGCGTTCGGGCTCCCGTTTGGCGCGCCCGCGCAAGCTTCCGGCGGAGGGGGCGGCGCCGTGCGCGCGTTGCACCCACTCCCGGCAAATGTTCCAAGCGGGCCACTTTGCAGGGCTGCACCGCGCCAAGCCAGCCTCCTCCTCAGGCGTGTGCCCCGGGCCGTTCCGCCAAGCGCTTGCAAGGAGTGGCGTGCCGTTTGGATGCGGGCAGCTTTGCCGGGCTTTCCAGTGACCCGGGGCCGAGTCCTGCGCAGCCCGCCGCGAAGCGGCAGGCGCTGAAGGCCGAAGGCAATCGCCCCGCCGCCTTTCTGAAGACGCGCCCGGCGGGGCTGGTGTGGTGCCGAGATGGCGCGCAAGAAACGTCGGCCATGGAGGTGGTGGCCATCTGGCGGAGCATTTGCGAGGGCGTTGGGCGAGCTGCGCCTGAAGACTCTCGCAGAGAGACCAACTCTCGTGAATAATGCGCAAACGCGTGGCGCAGGGGCAGGCGTGGCGTGATGCGATCATGGAGAGTGTCGAAAACTACAGCAAAGCGACTTCCGCGGCGGAGCCTTCGGCGATGTCGAAGCCCCCGCTTGCTTTTGGCTCTCTGAGAGCCATCCGGTGCAGCAAAGCGCCACCCGACGAGCAGGCGAAGGACGTACTCGGCGGGCGGAACAGCTTGAAGGAATTGCCTCGCCGGTAATTTTTCGCCGAAACAAATCGCGAAAAGGGCCCCCCGGAAAGGGGGCCGCGCCTGCCCAGGGCCCGCCGCCCGCGCGCGGGCGTTTGCATCGTTTGGGCGGCAGGCGTCCGCGCCTCCGCGCCCAGGCACTGCCTGCGGATTGAAATTGGTGAGAGTTGTTGTCGCGCTTGCCTGGCCGGGGTGCCGGGCCAAGTGCAAGGCGCCCCCTTCCAACCTCTCGGTGCCGCGCGCCCACGCGCCCTCGTATTTGTTGTGCCAGGCGCGACACTGGCGCGAGGGCCCATTGTGGGATCGCCGTTTTTTGCCGCTTTCTACGTACTAACCATGGGCGCCAGCGCCATGCTGACAAGCGGCATGGATATGCATGCCTTGCGCGCTGCGCCGGGGTCTGGCGCTGGGGTGGACCTTTCAGCTGTGTGCATCTGCTTGCCTCTACGCAGCTTCGCCTTCATGGCCAAAATTTCTACTAGGCCGCCGGTCGGCCTAGAAGCCTGTTCGTTTGAAACAAAGCTCCCGCCTCGTCTGCAATTCTTCGTGTAGATCTCCACTTGACTTCCGCACTACAATCGTGCCTCTACTGACCACAATTACCAGGACACACTTCTTAGCAGTATCTAAGACCTATGAATTTATGTCGCTCGTTGAGATTTCTGGCTCGTCATTCGATGTTGCACATACCTTACAAACGGCTTCGACTGCTTCTAAAGTTTTTGATATTTTTTCTATGATTTAGAATTTGTCACGCTCACCACGAACAAGGCCAGACTGCGATTGGCGCCGGTAGCTTGGATATCATGAAGCAGCTATTCTATTGCACGACACGCCTGGCCTTTCTTTTGCCATCATGGTGGCTGTATTGTTCGACATTACTTCCAGTCCTCGAAAATGTCAACGAGAACACTTCGGCAAGGACCCAGGCGTTTTTTTGCAATGCGATGCAAATCTATCCCACTTGTTCCGGCAGCGCTCCCCGTCCTCGCGGCACTCGCCAGCTTTCGGCGCCCACCGACGAAGATATCGCAGCAACGTCGGGCCGCCGCCAGCCTGTCAAATCGCACCAGATGAATACAGTGGAACCAGCGAACTCGCACGAGCACGTGGGCCTCCAGCAAGACACTTTTGAAGTCGTGCGCGACCTACTCCTCCCGTTCCTGGATGGCAAGCGCATTCCCGCTGCAGCAGCGATCAATTGGAAGGTGGATGCTCGCTCCGGAATCGACATCGGTCGGCTCGTGCCGCCGGAAGATCCGATAAACGTCGTGAAGATGATGTCCACGTTTGCAAATCACTACGACTGCGGGAAGATCCGCACCGCCCCGCGGAGTCGCACACTTCTAACGGAGGGTAAAGACTACAGCAAAAATCCAAGCCGCATGCTTCTTGAGTCACGCGCTTTGATGGCGAACGTAGAAGACCGCCTTCTACGAGTGCACTCTGCTGAGGACACCATTGCGATCCCGGTGAAGGAGATTGTTTTGGTTATAGGTTCAGGGGAGCTGCTGGAGCCTCCGCGTCCGTCGGGGTCAGAAGAGAGTGGAGCTGTTCCACAAATTCATGCGGCCAAGCGTTCTGCCCATGATCGGGGCAAAAAAATACAAGAAAGAGAGGCTTTGGCACTCTCAACAGAGGAGCACTATACTCGTTCCGGTGGGCAGGAAGTCCAAGTTGTCTACCGAGGAGTTGATATACTTCTGCAAGACGGATCGTCTGTCCATTTTGACGTTCACAGTGCCCTGGATTCGCCGTTTGGATGGCAAGCTTTGCGTCCGTGTCCGTACACACCGATGGTGTTTCCGCTTGCGGGTGCTGAGGAAAGACGTTGCGGTGCCCAAATGTGGGTCAACTTTTCGTAAAAACAGAACGCGGGCCTTCATTTTCCAGAGGATTACGGTCGTGGAAGCCGAAGCTATGGTAGGAGCATGAAACAAGTAGCCGCTCGCGGGTGGGTCCCGCTCCCGATTCGTGGTCCCGCGCAGATGCCTCCTGTTTTTTTTTCATAGATGTGCGCTAAATAAGTTTTCAATCATGGCATGGGTTTTTCTACAGGAACAAGGCACCGCGAATGCGGTCGTTACTTGAATCCCATACGACATACTTACGCGACTGGTTCTACATGTGATCAGGCTGGATTTTCTGCTCTCACTAGACACCGACCGATTAAGATTCCGGAGAGCCGCCTCGTCAAAACCGTACTTGTGTCTACCAGTGGACAAACTTTTACTAAACCATTTCTTTTGCCAACACTTTTTCGACTGCAAAACGACCCCGTCACCCTAGTACCGCGAGCGATTTGCGCTGACTCAAGCAACATACTGTGGATCAGATCAATTATGGAGTTGTGCTAACTCTGACATGAATAGTTGTAAGTAGTTGCAACCGTCAACCTGTATCTGTAAGCGAAACGCATTGCGAATCACGCGGGCTGCAGCGGCAGCAAAAGCTTGCAAATGCAGCTTCTCGATTGTGAGTTCTATATTCGCTCCCGCGTCCCACGCCTCCGCGTCTCAAAAGCGTAAGCTTGATATGCAAGAAGATGGGGTTTGTCTTTGTGCTTTCGTCGTGTAGCAAATTTGCATCTAGTTTCACGTCCATAGCACCTGTACTCGTGTTGAATCAGGGGCGTCTGAGTATGTGGGGTAGAAAACTTCGTCTTTCCAAAGAGGTTCGCCAGGATCATCGTGCTCTTGTTCGGGGGATCTACTTCGTCCACAGCATTTAAGAAAGTTGCACTGCACTTAGCTGAGGTGGTACACGTAGACGAGAGCGCTATAGTAGAAAACCTCTGAACATGAACTACTTCATATGAGTTTTTGCTTCCCGAATCAATGGCTCTGAAACTGATAGCAACTGAGCTCTTTTATCGAGGGCCTACTTGCGACGTGAAGGCACCACGCAAGTTCAGTTTTAGTAGACAGGCATTTTTGAAGCTGAACGAAGTGCTGGGCAAAACGTTTTGATCGCATTTCTACTGGAGGTGAAGAAGTTGGGCAGTATCTTCAAAGCTAACGCTCGCAATTTGCTAACCATGAAGACGACCAGCATATTTATCCGACGCCGGAATATCGCGTCTGAATCTCGCGGGAAGTGGATCGGGTTATTTCGTGTTCCTGATAGTATCCACTACGTAAACGCCCCGAGGAGCATGGTGCCACAGCAGATGCCAAGCCAGCCATCCAGTTCTTCATCCGTGATCTTCACAACGAAGCGAGCCGTAGGAACGGGCCGCTCTCTACCGAAGTTCGGCATTGCACGGGAGCGCGTCGCAAGTGGCGATGCAGCCTTGCTCGCATCGGAACTTGAACAACTTGAGTCCGGGATTCATCGACTTGCCGCACAGAAGCCCTTCACGGCGCGATGTCTTTTGACGGAACTGAAAAAAGTTCTAGAGCAGGACGGAGCCACGTCTTCGACTGCGACTTCGTCCCAAGCATCTGCTTCAAGTGGAGCAGCCACTGCGCCCGCCGACGGAGAGGCGGCCACGACCGGTACTAGTGCAGCTTCTGCAATGCGGTCCCGGAATAAACAAACAAAAACATCAACTCCCCCACGGACCATTATACGGCTGGACTCACAGGTGGGCGCGGAGCAGGGTCGCCCCGTGGTAGCGGCGCACGCGCGCCCGGGGAAAACGTTAACATTTGCCTACCTGTCGGACAAAGACAAGGCGCGAGTCCTGCAACTCACGGAGGCGGAAGGGGCCGCGGAGGTCGCAAGCCAAGCCACGGGGAAAACCGCGTTTTTCGCTACGTTGACCAGCGAGCAGAAGTACAAGGGCTTGCTGGAATGGCAACAGGAACGCGACCAGCAAGGCGAGGCGGGAACGGGCGGGGCCGACGACGGTAGCGCGCGGTCCGACGACGCGATCCCCGTGGCGGAATTGCGCAAGCTGTTTCTTTCCAACGCCGCACCCATGATCGGCTTTGGTTTTGCGGACAACTTTCTCATGATTCTGTTCGGGTCCAGCATCGAGGCCCAGTTCGGGATGTACGTGAGTACGATGGCGGCCGCGGGTTTGGGCAATCTGTGCAGCAACCTCGTTGGCATGTCGCTCGCGGAAAATATCGAGTACGCGTCGAGCCGGTTGGGCATCGCGCAGCCGCGTTTGACGCACAAACAACGGCAGACACACACTGCTCGATTCTGCATCTCCATGGGCACAATGACGGGAATTACCATTGGGTGCTTGCTCGGCCTCGCTCCATTATGGTTCTTCGACGAAAACAACGAGGAAAGCCAAGAGGTGGACACTTCCACGAAATAGAAATGCAAAATGAAAATAGCAAATGAACTCGCGAGAGAACGATTCTTGATTAGCACGAAAAAGAATACACCCGAAGAATCTTAAAAACAAAAACAGGGATTCTACCACACAGATGAGATATATACCCAACTCCTGATGGAAACAGGGAGGGTCGACGGACGATACAGATCATCATGAGGACGAGGATGATCACGATAAATGAATCGCCAACACACACACAAACTAAAGAAATCCAAAATGAATTTTATCGAATTATTGGATTGTTCTCGTTTTCAGAAAAAATTCCGTATCTTTCGGATTTTCTTTCTTTCTTTCTTGTCATGTCTGGGCATGACTCAAATTGTCGTTTTGGCCCGGTCCGAGATTGTCTTTCCTCGTTCTCATCATCATGTTGTAGTTCCCTCAAAAGATCAAGATAAGGATAAAGGTAAAGAAGTAGAGAAGTGATATTCGAAATTTGGATTCTTTCTTTCTTTCTGGTCATTCTTTCTTTCTGGTCATGTCTGGCTATGACTAAAATTGTTTCATAATTGTCTCATAAATCCGGTCTGAGATTGTTCATTTAAAAGATAAAATTCTCGCAAAAGATAAAACTCGGATTTGGATCCATCATTGCCCATGATCCAATGAAACATTTCTGATATTCAATTATCAATGAAATTCATCAGATTTCCGGTTATATTTTAATTTTCTAGATCGCATTTTTTTTGTATTATCATTCATATGATATAAATTGGCATCGAAATTCATATGAAATTTATCTATCATCGATCGATTCCATCGATATATCAGATCGATTTTCGGGATTCATATAAAAAGAAAAGAAAATAATTTAGGATATCATTTATTAAGAATATGATCGACAAGATAAAAGAGAACAAAAATCATATGCCATCATATTCATCATAGATATCATAATCATATATTTGTGTCAATATGAACATCGATATCGATGCAGTTCATCAAATCTATATTTCCTTATCCAATTCAGCCGGCCGATGGGTCGCAAATTTGCCGCCTAAAAGGTTGCCGATTTTTTTCTAATATTGTGGGGTCCACATTGTCCCGGCTTGGGGCCCCCGTTGTTTCTTTTCGTCGTGGTCCCGTGAGTCTGGGGCCCCAAGGGTTCCGGAGGTAGTCCGGGCAAGGGTTTTTCCGCCGGTAGTTTTGGCAGGTTAGTTTTGGAAACTGTGGCGCCGGGCATTTGTGTTTTTAAATTTTTTTGCCGAAGATTGCCCGCCCCGTTGTCATCTGCAGGGTGCATGGTACATCGGGGAGGGTGCATGGTACATCGGGGTCCGGGGCTTCCAAGGTTTGCGCCCCTGCGATGTTTTTGCCCCAGAGGGAAGACAACGCGATTGTTTTCCATTTGTCTCGGGCCGCATATTAATGGCCCCGGCCCGCCCGGCCGAGGTTCATGAGGGGCGCAGAAGTGGGGTTGGGGGGGTCTAATTTGGGGTTTAATTTCGCGTCTAATTTGCTTCTAATTCCACCATAGGGAATGTGGAAGGGTTTGCAATGAAAAAAATTAGCCGCGATTTAGCAAGGAACTTAGGCGCGAAATTAGTCGCCTGCCTTTCTTAGCATCGATTTAGGCAAGGAATTCGCCGGAGGCAAGAGGCGTCCCACCCAGTCTTTTCCCGGCTAGGCGGCTGCTGTTGATCATTTCGCCAGGCGGTTTCCCGGTTTTTTGTTTGGAAGAATTGCCGCCCCCCCTGATCTGGCACATCGCGCGCCTGGCCTCGCCTCGGGGCCGCCTCCCTTCTGGGTCATTTTCTCTCTGGATGGGAAGAGCCCCAATGCGCTAGGTATTTGGCCGTGAAATTCTCGGCCCCATTCGTTTTTGGTGTCCCGCCCCACGTGATTTTTGCCCGGCGGCCTTCGGATTGGGTGTTGTCTTTGGCGGCATTGCCACCACTTTCTTTTTTTTGTTTTCCTTCGCAACATTAGAAAAAATATAGCAAGTTTTACGCCTTGGAGAATGCCCGGGGCCGGCTGCCTGATCCAATCATCGATATCGATGGATTTCATCAAGATATTTTCCCTCTTCATGGAAATATTTTTTTTTTCTGAAAAATTTTGAACTAAAATGATAATGACAATTCGGATAAATATCAATCCAGACCCATATCAACTTCAAAAATATTATGAAACTCGGGAAAACAAATAATTCGAATCATTTTTGATATAGGATCTCAATTGAGGAAAGATTCACACAGAAAAATTTTGGAGACAAATCAATGATATTGCAAATTCAGATATCAATCCAGATCCATATCAATCTCCAAATTATTAGGACAATCGGGATTGGAAAAAATATTTCAAAATCAAATCATTTTTGATATGAGATGATCCTGAAAAAAACATTCACCTACCGATGATTCTTGTCTCTTTCATCGATCTTGTTCTGGATTCTGATAAAATCTTCGGTGATGTTTATGTTTCAGATCTATCAAATATGTTGCTTCATGTGCTACAAAGGAAATCGAAATATTTCATTGGATTTTCATCATTTCGCGTTCGTGGGATGTTCATCTGTGTTTTTTTTTTTGGAAAGTCGCGCTGTAATGTCTCAGTGTCACCCATTAAACAATCAATCGCACCAATTCCAAGGAGCTTGATGTGTGTCATTGTAATTTTCAAAGATTTGCCGACCTCCCCGCTGACACAAAAGATCTTTTTTTTTGTTCTGCTGGATTTTTGGTGTATTTTTTTCGTCCAGGTGAAAAGTCGGCAGCTCGAGTAGCCGGTTACGCAAGACGTTGAGATCTCCGATGTCGTCGGAGTTGAGTCCGGAGACAACCCGCAGGGATGCGGACCGCGCAGCAGGAATGTGCAATCCGCGGGCATTTGTGAAGAGGTCCATCGGCCCGGTGTTGACAGGTAGGCTGTCGATGTCCAGGTGCTCGATTTTTGGTAGCATCATGAAGGCCAGGCCGCTCGGCATTGGCTGCAACTGCAGATCTTGCTCTGGCACATAGTCTTCCGCGCGAAAGCAGGTGCTGTCGGCCATGCGGAGCTTCTTCAAGCTTGGAAACTTTTTCGAGGCAACATTCAGGCGGTCCGGATCGACGTAGAAAACTTTTTCCGGGAGTATGAGGCCACTGACGTCGAGCGCTTCCACCGACTTCTCGAGAAACGATCCCGCTTCCAACAGCTGCAGCAATTCACGAGGGGCCAGACGGCAGCACCCGGCGACGTTTAGCGCGCGGAGTTTCGGCACGTGCTTCAAGGACTCGTAGAGCCCGGTTTGCACCCCGCAGTCGCGCAGGTCGAGGTGGACCAGGTCGGTGCCACAGAACTCGTGGAAACGCCCGCTCGGCTGCGCTGCAAAATTTCTCTGATTCACCACGACCAGTCTTCGCAGGGAGGGGAATCTGACGCCCATCCGGTACATATCGTCGTCAAAGTTGCTCCCGCCACTGGAATCGGAGTGTCCGCCGATTTCTAGAGTCCGCAGGTTTTTCAAATTTTCTGTGATCACTGGCTTCGCACAGAAGGCGTGGTTGGTAATTTGTTGGCAGTGGAGGAGGGACAGCCGCTGCAGCTCGTGCCCCGGCGGCAAGAGGCTCAGCAGCGTGGCAACCTGGGCGCTGGTCAGGGTGGGACACTTGTAGAAGCAGACGGTCTGCAGTTTCCCGAAATTTTGGTAGGTGTTGCCGATCCCGACGAGCGCCTTGATGTCGAGTCGGTGGCCGTAACTCTTGAGGAAGAACTCGCGGACGTTGTTGTGGCAGTGCAGCATGCGGATGATGCGGTCCGGACCGATGTGGCGTGCGTCGCGCAAGTCCAGCGTCAGGCGCCGCACCTTGTCGCGCATGATACATGAAAACCACTTGCAGACGGGGCGGATCTGCAGCTTGTGGCCGGAGTTGAGAAGGAAGGAAAACACTTCGTCAATGATTTCGTCGGGCAGCTTGTCGAAAATGTTGGTTGCTGGTTGTTGAAACACCGAAGCAACAGCCCGACCGCCGTGCTGCCCGTTGGGTTCTTCCGTCTCTGTGCTGGTTCCTGCCGGTGGTGCTCCGGTCTCCGCCACAGTGCGTCCGCCTAGTTGTACTATTGTGGTGCTGCTCGCCGTGCTGTTGCTTTGCCGCATCTCCGTCCGGGTGGAGGTGGAACTGGAACTGCTGGAGGAGCTTGCGCTCCTGTTCGTACTTGATTTTGTAGTTGCAGTGGCTCCTTGCGCTTGCGCGGGAGGTGGGAACTTAATGCCCTTGATGAGGAGGCCCTGCTGGTGGCACTTCTCGGCGAACTGCCTCATCGATAGTGGCTCCGCCTGTAGACAGCGAATCATGGTGTTCGGTGGTTTACTTAGCGTAACGGTAAAAGAACTTTCGCCGAAGTGCAGATAGCCCACGTCTTTGAAAGGGTACACGCGATTGCACAACAAACCATACAGCTTCAGGCCACTCAGTTCCAAGCCCAAACCCTGCTCATGGCCCTTTGCTTTGGTTTTCTTGTTGGCCAACTGCACCTCCACCGTGCAGGGGAGAAACATCTTGTTTTTCAATTTTGCTTTTTTTCAACGACCGCTGGACCACCCTTTCTCGGCGGTGCGACCAACACCCACACACCGTCGCTGAATTAGCTTTCAGAAGTAGAAGAAATTGAAGACGTCCGACGGTTCGAAAAATATGAAGAATTAAAAGGACAAAATTCGATTCTTTGTGCTGGCAAGATTTCATATACCGGAGTTCTGTAGTAATTCATTGTATACGTCGTCGGCGTTGGAGATGAAGCTTTTCATCAAAATGTCAACTACGTTCGCGTCCTCGGTCGACATGCCGAAAGTCGCAGACCAACTGTTTGCATTTTTTTCGTTATGCATGCGTCTTTGAACTTGACACAATCCGGAAAGGGAAACGGGATATTCATTCTTGTTGGTTCAGAACGTTAAAGCGCAGCGACCGATAATGGCCAACGTGCGTCCTTGGCAAAGATCCTACTGCTGCATGCAAGAACAGAACAGAGTATCCCCGAGGATGAGGTAGGAGCAACTCCAACATAAACTAAACACAAAGACAATAAGCGGCACGAGAAAAATTCAATCTTTCCTTCGTCATATCCCAGCAAAAATTTGGATGTGTATTTTCTATTTTTTTTTTGAAAAATTCATGCTGTTTCGCGGACTTGTCAGCGTTTGATCGATGAAAGAATCAGGCGACCCTTGTTCTCGCGAAACATTCAAAAGTGCTAGTACGCCTCATCAGAAATAATTTGTTTACCTGGCTTGCTGGTTTAAGCGATTGGCACGATGAGAGTCTCATGCTTGTGCCAATGCGTCGCAACTTAAAAAAAAGCTATCGGGGTGGTCGATATAAATGACGCAAATTTTTTAGGCAAAGTCGGAACTGAAGCATTGTATTGCTCAGATCCCTGACGGTCATAAAACTAACAGACTAAATAGTGCTTTGTTGAAAAAAAATCGCAGATCAAAATATTCATGAGACTTTCCCCCGCTTAAGTAAAATAACGGAACGCGTGGGTGTCTTCTGTTGTCGCTGAAAAAAATACCGGCTATGTTCAAGCCCTTGCAGGGGGTCCCATGCACGTATAGTACTTTAGAAGCTGCTCATATCATGTTTGTTACGACAATTTCAAATCTTGAAAATCCATACGAAACTTTTCTTGATTAGAAAGAAATTTAGAAATGGTAAACGGTCACGATTCTGAGCTTTCCCCTCGTTCGTGCCACTTTGAAAGCTAGACAGACACAATACAGAAATTGCGCAATAATGTACTTACATACGGAGCTAAAGCCATATTTTGTAGCGACTGCATTCATCATGAAAGACATCATGTATCGTTGCTCTACTTTTGTTCTTGTACTTCCAATTGTACGCGCTACGACGACGTAACAATCACTGCAGATTATAGGATGAGATTGAAAGCCAACCGGCAGTCCAGTGGGTATCGGGGGATACCACAACGCGGTTGGTATTATATATTTGTCAGATTTCGGAGAAAAGCCATCAAGAAACGATCAGATGAGAGGATTGTCTCAAGATTGCATGCCGCAGTGCAGCAAAGCAATGGTAAGACATTTGTGCCATAGAAAATGTCGCCGAAATAGAAAGATGCAGAATAGTGTTTGTTTCTAGAAGAAATTGTGACAAAAATAAAACCAAGTGAAGATACATCATCATGGGCCGTGGGTACCTCTACATTCAAAAAAAAGTTTTGACTCGAGTCCGCCGGCAATCGGAATTTGAGATGGAGGTCGCAGGGGAAAAAAAGCCATCATCGGAGCGATTCGGTGTCGGTCCGTAGGAAACCGTTAGGTTTTTTTCCCATCCTTTTTTCCAGAGCCCTTATTGCTGCTCACTTTTCCACCGTCGGACTGTTATGTAATTTAACAAAAAGGGTGACAGACGATGACGTCGACGACGAAGTGAATACGGGCGGAAAAAAATACAAATAAACACCGCACGACGGATCTGCATCATAGCCTATCAGATAGGCCAACATGAAATGAAATGTGGAGTTCGAGTTGGACGGACGTAGTTAGTACCTGCGTCAATACAAATTGAATTTTCTCGTGTTGTTATGCATGAAGTTCGCAAGAAAAAGAAAAACTACTACCTTCTGCCCAGTGTGTATCACGAGAAAAAAGTGTTACAGTTACACATTTGTTGGAGTTTCTGCATCACAAATTTTCTCTGTGTGGCAGAGAAAACTTGTAATGCGAAGATCATAATCGAAAACAGGAAGAAAACGAGGCTCCAAAGCATTTCCTGCATGAGAAAGGTTGTCTGTGATGCCAGTTTTGCAACACAAGGCGTAACTGTAACACTTTTTTCTTGCGATAGTGTGTGACTCCCGAAGTTGATGGTCCCGGCTCATCTGCAGGGACGAGCCCACAGCTATCAAAAGGAAAAATCCCCCCTCCCCATATTGACAAGGCACGTTTTCGGAAATTTGTGTTGCTGATTTGTAGCCACAGATCGTTTCTGTGTTGCACGACGGCAACCCCACAGGCTCCGCCGCATTCTACAGGTGGTTTGTCATGCTGTTGACCTACAGCGTAGACGTCTGTCATGCTAAGCGCCTAGGCCAAAACGTATCTACTCAGGCTTAGCATGGGCCTGGAGTCCTCGCCAGCAAGACAAATCGGATTTGTGTACGCAAATCCAGCATGAGAAACTTCGTTTTGATATGGGGAGGGGGGTGGATTTTTCATTCTGATAACAGCACCTTTGGAGCCGCGATCAGCATTGCTACCGCCCTGCTGCGGTGGACCACCCGAGCTGCCACTGCCAGTGACTGCCGCCACAAAGTTAGGGGGAAATGCAGGAGGGACAGGAAACGGTGGGGGACCCTTGCCCCCAGGAGCGGATCCGGTCATCATGCTACTTCCGCCCCTCGGAGGGGGTGCGATCATGGGCGTCCCGGCTGCAACACCGGTAGTTCCACCGCTTGCTGGCACCATCATATTACTACCGTTGCTGCCTTTATTGGTGCCACCCGAATTATTGTTGTACGGTGCCGGCGGGGGCGTCAAATGGACCGGCGGCGGCAGCAGGGGTGCGGGCCGTTGCACGTCGTTGAGCAGGTCGAGGGCGGGTAGTTCGGGAGGCGGGGTTCCTTTTTGTGGAATACCTCCGGAGCTGGTGGTCTTGCCGGCGGAGCTACGATGCGACGGCGTTGGGCCACCGCTGGGTGCGTTGTTCATGGATGTCATGTTGGATAAAGCCGCACCAGCGCTACTACTGTTGTACATTCCACTGCCCGGCTGCTGCATTTGTGCGGATGTCGAAATGCTGCTGCTATTGCTTTTCCCCGCCGACGAGGAACCAGCGCTGGATGCATTGTTGCCACCTCCCTTGGATGAAGAAAGGCCTCTAGTATTGTTGCCTCCACCGGCGGTGCTTCCCGGGCTCGGAGCTGGGGTGCCGGGTGCGCCGGGGGACGGGGCGGGGCGTGTGGGTGCTAGGTTCGGTGGTCCTTTGTTGCTGGTCATGTTGTGCTGGACATTGCTCATGCTAGTACTGTAGTTGCTGGAGGATGCATTATTGTTGGACGAGGACCCGCCAGCGCCACCCTGCTGCAGCTGTTGCTGTGCGTTGTTGCTTGATCCGCCCTTATTTGGGGTGTTGCTTTGCTGCGTGGGTGCTGGCGCAGGAGGGTAGCTGTACCCGCTGTTTGGTCGTTCCGGCGCGAGGATGGATTGCGGTCCACCGTGGGCCTGGCTGGGAGTTCCGTGAAAACTCATCTGGTTCGGATAATGGTTGTTGGGATGCACGTTGTTCCCTCCTGGTGCCGGAGCACCCATCGAAGTTGGCACGCCCGTACTTCCATGTGGTCCACTGCTACCTCCGTAGTGACCGGAGGACGGGTGATGCTGCTGATGGGGTGGTTGGGGGCCAGGACCACCCTTGCCACCATGCATGCTGCCCATACCAGGAGCACAACTACCCGCACTGGGGCCCCCCGCACCGGCGCCGGTGCCCGAGGGCCCGGATGCCGAGCTGTTTTGATTCAGCACCGGAGGGTATGGGGGCGGTGGCATCTCGGAAATAGACTTCCCGCCTGCTTTACCACCGCACTGCTGCGGCGCTGCGAGATGTTGACTATTGGGTCCCCCGGGATGCTGGTGCTGCAGGTGCTGTGGATGTTGGTCTAGCGCACCCGTTCCGGCTCCAGGTGGACCGGTCCCCGGGTGCAGTTGCAGGCCCGGATTGTATGCTCCCTGCTGGTGGTTCAGATTGTGGCTCGAGGGTTGGTACGAGCATCCCGGGGACGGGGTTAGGCCCTTGCTCGCGGGCTGCGAAGAGGACGCGCCGGCTGGAGCAGGATTGAACATGTCGTAGGGTCCGCTCGATTTGCTATTCGTGTGGCTCGCTGGAGACGGACCGCTCTTCATACTGTGCTGAGGAGGGCCGTTGTCCATGTTGCTACCCATTCCTGGCGCCATGCTGCCAAGCGCGCCACCTTTTCCATCCGATCGCTGCAGGTCCAAGCCGGGAGGTTGCGAACACGAATTGAACCTGGTTTGCGAGAGAAAGTCACGATAAAGCACGAAATCGAAGCATTCTAAGCAGTGTGGCGCACACACGGAGCTACCTGCAGGCACGAGCACAGTTCCTGCGAAGAGTGCTGTGCGCGCAGAAGGATGCTGCCAGCGGGCTTAGTGAAAAGCAAAAGAGTAGATTGATATACGTAGCTAAAGACATACGTCTTTTCTTACCCTCCCATCGACTTGCCCATCATCCCTTTTCCATCTGCGATCATTGGGCCCTTCCCCGCGCCTGTCTTAGACATGTCGGTATTGCTGCTGTCTGCAGTTCCGGATCTGGAAAGACATAATTTGGCGGGAAAACTTTTCACATGAAGATGGTGAAAAAAGCACTTCTCAGTTCTCGTGTGGCTTAGGTAGGATAATCGAAGAAAACAATAAAACCGCAAGAACAGGGTAACAAGGAACTTAGACGTGACCGGGGGGGTCACGTCCGTCCGTCCGGCCGGACGGACGGCACGTGACCGGGGGCAGTCCGGCCTCGGGGCGAGTTCGGCGCTCCTGAATGCCGCAGCAACTGTGGCCCTCGGTAGCTAGAAGTCCCCGGCCGCGTCACCGACGGCGGACCAGCGGCAAGAGCCGCGCCTTTTTCCGTTTTTCCGTGAAAGACCGAACTCATGACCTTTTTTTTTTAGTTGGGCGCCCGAGCTAGGTAGCTGACACCCCCCGGCCGCGTGACCGGGGGCGGAGCGTGACGAAGAAGGCAGTTCTTCAGTGAAGTGCCGAGCTCATGACCTTTTTTTTTTTTTTTTAGTTGCCCGGCCGCGCGGTCCACCGCAGCCACCTCCACCTCCTCCACCACGACCGACCCCCGGTCACGTCACGTGCCGTCCGTCCGGCCGGCCGGACGGACGTGACCCCCCCGGTCACGTCTAGGTTCCTTGTTACCTTGTTCCAATAGTCAATGAAAACCGAGACTCCACGTGGTCATGTGGCAAGATGTCAACATCTAAATTGTGATCGTATTCGTACCCGCCTCCGCCTGCCGATAATGCGTATTGCTGGTTGTTCGCTGAGCCCGACATGGGCATATTGTGATGCTGGAACATGGATGAGTTCGAGTTGTCAACACCTACACCACCCGAGTTATTGGGCGGTAGCGACGAGGACTGGTGCTGCTGCGCCTGCCCATCCCGTGCGGTAGGGACGACGGAGTGCGCTGACTGCGATTTCTTTTTTTTCGCTTTAGAGGGGACCGGGCTCGCGCGGTACAGCTCCACGGCAGAAATGGAGCAGCAGTTGTGGTCCTCGGTGTAGAACGGCGTCTGGCTGTAGTCGTTTGGCCCTAACACAAACCAGCAGTCGTGTCGGGGGACCTGGAAGGTGCGCAGGTAGTGGCCATGGTACGGCAGCGTGGGCTCGCCGTCGGCCGCCCGCTCAATCTGGTCCTTTTCGTCCTGCAACACAAACAGCATGCTGTGGTCCTTGTTCTTCAAAATGCCCATCAACCGCTTCAGATATTCCTTCTGTTTCACAGATCCACCATCGTCTTCCACGAACTAGTGTATTTTCAGTTGGTCAGTATTTCTGTTTCATGAGCAGGGTCGTGGTTCTGATGCACACGCAGTTCTATCCTTGCTATTGTTGGATCGTGACCTACTCTCTCATATCGACACACCGGAATAACACGATATCACAAAACAGAGACTTCTTCTGAGAGCAACAAAAAGTATCACGGTGGACGAGACAACACTGTAGATGAAGAGCTCCAGCATAGAAAATGGCAGTACCGCCTGCACGCCAAGGACGGAAGAGAAGGTAAAGAGCGCGAAGATGTCGGGCCTGTCTTCCAGTGTGTTCTCGGCGTCTTGCAGCGTTCGATGGATAATCAGATGGACCTCGCTACCGCTGTTCAACAAAGCTTTTTGCAGCTCCAGGATTTTGTCGGTGTCGTTGCAACGCTCCGAGCTGAGGACTACTGCGCTCAACATCTGCACACTCTTACGCCGTGCAGCCGCAGCGGTGAGCATCTGTTTTCAATTTGATTTTTGATCATGAACCCGGCAGCAGGACGGAAAGCCAATGTGAATATCATAGATATCCATGTGGGTCTCGCCGGTACCAGACAAAAGAGAAGAAAGAAAAAAATCGTCGGTTGTTCTTGTCGTGCAGTTCTTTATTTCTTAGCAGTACGTCGCACACATACTAACTTATAAAATTCTATACCAATTGTTTGATTTTGGCAACGATCTCAGACATGCGGTAAACATCATCGTGCTGTTCTGCATCCATGTCTGGGCCCCCGCTCCTTTTACTCCATACGGAAGATCCACCACCTGGGTTGTTATTCGTGTAGCCTTTGGTGCCGTTGGCCGCCAGGCCGCTGTTTTCCTGACTGCCTTGGGGTCCTTTCGCTCCGCCTCCGCCTTTGGAGCCGTTCATAGATGTTGCAGGGGCGCCACCTCCGACAGAGTGGTGAAACGGCGGCTGCTGCGAACCACCTTGAGCAGGACCGCCCTTGCTCTGATGGTGCTGGTCCGGCAGCATGCCCGGAGGAGGATTCATATTGGCGCTTTGCTGTTGGTGCCCGCCTCCGCCGACAGGACCACCGGGATCGCCGCCCGTGGGACCTTTGCCACCTCCTCCGGGGCCGGGGGCAGGTGCCTGACCCGACATTGCGGCGCTCCTACCGCTATGCACTGCAAAAGTATCGCACTAGTACATATCGCATGACAAATTTCCCCCAGCATCATCATCATCATTGAGACGAACCCCCTGTGGTCGTCCTCACGGTGTCGTCTTGGCCCGAGGCTGTTTCGGACAGATGTTGGCTGTGCCCGGCAAGAGGACGGCTCTGCGTGGGCAAATGTTGGCAATGTCCAGCAAGGACGCTTCCGTGGCCCCATTTTCTGCCGGTTTTTTGCTTTCGCCAGGATTACCCGCAACACCACCCGCGGACAGTGAAACCCATGGCAGGCTTTCGCCAGGCGGTCCCGGGGAGGGAGGCCCTCCTCTTGGCACAATGTCGGTTAGATACCAATTTGCTCTCCCCGGAAGCGAGGCGAGCCTCTCCTATGTTGGTGCAAAGCACGAGTGGGGTCGTCGGCTCGGGCGAGTAGTTGGGGGGGCTACTCGGGGGGCACCGGGACTGTTCGACGAACTACTGCCGGATATGAAAAGTTTCTGGGTCTAAAATGAAATTTGTAATGCGGATTTAACTTTTGTGATGCATAAATGCGATTAGTACGAGTACGATAGTACTTTTGCAGTGCATAACCGCGCGGATCGAAGCCTCCCGGTGGCGGTGGATGCGTGCCGTAGGGCGGCTGCGGGTCTGGGTCGAAAGTAGGATTAGTGGTGTTGCAGCTACCTCCTGAATTTGCCAAAGGTGGTGGTCCACCACCTCCGTGCTGCATTGGACCACCTCCACTTGTTCCTCCGTAGTGCGGCGGTAATGGTAATCCTCCTCCGCCGCTCGAGTTGCTGTGCATGAAAGTACCGTGCTGCTGCTGCATAGGATGTGGCTGCGGTTGCATGATGAGCCCACCTCCTCCGTTGCAGGGGCCCCCGGCTCCTCCTTTCATTCCTCCCTGCTGCGGATTGCTCCCTCCAGGAGCCATATTGTTCATACCCATGCCGGGCGGGGGTTCGGGCATCAGGCCGCTGTTTCCGTAGTGCTGCGGTGGGGGTCCCCCGGGTCCCCCCGGTGCGCCGCCCCCATACGCGCTGCTGTTCATCGGCAGGTAGTTGTTGCGGTGCTGGTTGTTCATCATGTTGTTGCCGCCGTCGGGGCTCGGGTAACTGTTGCTCTTCGGCCCCATGCCGGGCGGGATGGAGCAGCCCGGTGCCGCCCCCCCGCGCGAACCGATCTCGACTCGCGGCGCGCTGCTCGGATGCTGGTGGTGGTCGTAGTGGAACGGATCGTTGTTTCCATTTGATGAACCTACGCCCATCGGGTTGTTTGATGAATTTTGTTGGTGGTTGTACGAGTTATTGAACATCCCTGGTGGCATAGAAGAAGGACCTCCTGGTGGACCACCGCCTCCCGCAGGCGGGGATCCTCCCATGGGATGTTGCTGATGCTGCATACCCGGCGGCGGGTTTAAGTTCATGCCACCATGCTGCTGAAAATTATTACTGTTGAGGGAGCTGCTGCTGCACATTGGGCCACCACCTGTGCCTGGGTTGCTGGTGCTGTTCATTCCGTGCTGGTGGTGCGCTATCGGACTGCTGTTGCTGGACCCGGGGCCGCTCGGTCCTCCACCTCCTGGCCCGCCCATCGCTGGTCCACCTCCCATATTGCCCATGCCCGGTGGGGGTTGATGGCCTTGCTTGCCGCCCGGACCAGGCCCATTCAGCATCTGGTACTGCGGCGGCTGCATGTTGCTATTGTTGAATGGCGGTGGCGGCCCTCGTGGTCCACCCTGCAGGTTGTGCTGCTGCTGTTGATCCATCAGCATACTGCCAGTCGTGGTGCTGCAGTTACTGTTCATCATGCTGTTGTTCTGCGCCCCTCCACCACCTGCTCCCATGTTGCCACCTGGTCCACTACTTCCCTGGTTGTAAGAACTATTGTTCCCTCCCCCTGTAGGTGGGGGCGGCGCTTGGTGCTGCTTGTCCATCAGACAAGACATGCCGTTATTAGTGGTGTTACTGCCAGGGTGTGCAGCTTGTCCTCCTGGCTGGTGCCCACCTGGTGGCGGACCGCCGAACATCCCCGACATGGGACCACCTCCGCTGCTCGGATGGTGCCCGAACCCGAGCGGTCCTGGCTGTTGTCCACCTGGTGCAGCTCCATTGAGCTGCTTATTCATCGGCCCACCTGCTCCGCCCAGCGGGCCTCCTCCAAGGTGGCCCTGCCCACCGCCCTTGGTCAGCGGAAGGTTATTGTTGTTACTTCCGCCCATCATCATGCCGGGAGGTGGTCCAACGCCCGGGCTTGGACCCCCACCAGGTCCGCCGCCCAGACTGTGATTGCCCAGCGGCCCGCCCATTGACGTATTGTTCATCAGCATCCGGTTGTTCATGCCGTTCGAGGTTGCACCAGTCCCGCCCATAGTGCTGGTCGTCGAAGGGGTCATCATCATACTCGGAGTGGGAGGCAGCATGCCTTTCTGCACGAGGGACTCGTCTGTCTCCGCGTGTACGCACAGGCCCTTCCCCTTCCCCTGCCGTTGACGCCGATCGATTTCGTCGTCCCAATCCTTGTTCCGCCGGGGGTTGCGCCGCTCCTTACGCAACTTCATACTGAGGAAAACCTGAGAATTAATTTTTGTTCGATAGGTGCGTGGTTTCTCTCTCTAGTTAATAGTAGTTGCAGCCTCAATCTGAATCTTCACAGAAGTCGTGCTGTCCTATTTTGACTACGTTCGTTAAGAAAGCTTAGCATCTATTATGTGCGAAAAGTAGTGCAGCTTGAGGACGGAGACGACGTGTTTCACGCAGGGCAACAACGAGAATGCAGAGTAGAAGCCTTTTTACCATCAGTGCATAATAAGCGTCGTCCGCAGCTTTCCGGATTTGCGCACCGGTTAAGAGGTCTAGCTCCCAGTCCGAGTTCTCGACTTCTTCTGCCACCTGCAGTGCTCGCCCCTTTCGGCAGTGGCCCAACCCATACTCGGCGCAGTACCTAGTGTCAGCAATCAGGATGAATATTTTTCTCGTGAGCATGTTGCATGTCTTCGTGTTCGTAGTGGTAGCTTTTTGTAGTGGTAGAGGTACTAGAACTAGACATTTGGAAGATTTATTACTCCATCTCATTAGCATCACCGTAGGCGGGAAAGGATGAAGAAGTATAGAACAAGACGCGGTGGCGGAGATTACGACGAGTGAAAAATTCGCAGGGAGGCGACCTTACAGCAGCATTAATTTCTTACCAAAGAAACTCGTCGTCGTCCGGAAGCTCGGGTTCAACCTTTTCGCCGTTGCGTTCTTTCAGGTTGTCTTTGGACCACTTCCGACACTCTTCGAGACCTTTTGGCGTGTTCTCAAAGGTTTTCTGCATGCGTTGGTTGATGTTCTTCAACACCAACTCACTCCCCAGGACGCACTTGGCCACTTTCTTGTCGCGGATGCATTGCACCACGTAGTCCGGGAGTCTGGGAATTCACGTTAATTGAGATGACGAAAGGAAACCTCTCATGAAAATACAAAAAAAGGGTTATCTTATGGTGTGAATCACCTCCCCACGCATCACCTCCCCACCTCCCTACCTCCCCACCCTGGGGAGGTGCCTCCCCACGTGTGGGGAGGTACCTCCCCAGTAGTGGGGAGGTGGGGAGGTACTTCCCCATCTCCCCACCTCCCAGTCCTCCAGCACTTTCCCACTGCGTTGCACTTCCCCGTGATGGTCGACCAGAACGTGACTACGTCTGGATGCTTGCTGCTTGGCTTCTGTGCCATCGATCTACCTCGCGGCCATGAAGCCAGGTATCTGCCACAACGCACATGAGCCCTCATCCTGCATGACAGATCCGTCTAAGTACGCGGCCACCCACCAGATGGCGGCCGGCGGCCCTAAGGTGGCGAACATGGAACGACTCACGGGGCACGCAAGGCAATGCCGCAAGGAGTCAAGGCGCGGGAACACGACGGGGGCAAAGAGCGCACAACATAAGGACCTAGGAGGGGCGGAGGCAAAACAGTGGCTCGCAAGGGCGGAGAGGGGGGAAAGCGCACGAGGCGAAGAACAGAATCGGCCGTCGCGCCGGCTGGCCTCGACGACCCTAAACCCCGAACCCTAAACCCAGACCCAAACAACCAAGGCCGCAGCCGGCTCTGCTTCTGCATCACCTCCGGCCGTTGCGGTGGTGATGCGCCCGCATCACGAGGTGATGCGGGGGAGGTGGGTAGGTGATCCGGGTGGGGGGGTGATGCGTGGGGAGGTGATTCAAAGGGGTGGGGAGGTGATTCACACTCCTACCCAAAAAAAGGGAGCTGCACTGAGTCAAAAATCTCCTGTACGCGCCTTGTAAATACATGCTTGCATGTTTGGGCGGGATGGTCTTGAGCTAATAGCAATGAACAAAGGTGGACGAGCCACTACAGAAGTTTCTATCTTGTTGCTCCATCTCTACTACGTCCATGACGAGCGGCACTACATCAAAAAAAAAGCGTCTACATTACAACTTGTACCTGGTATCCTTGTGTGTGCGGAAGATGTAGACCGTTTTCGGAGTGGCAATCACCAGCGCCGCGACGAGGTTGATTTTTTTCTTTCCCTGGCCCGGATGCTCCAGGTTCCACTTGAGGCCGAGCCCCACGTGGAGCTCCTCGCGGAGCCGCTTCTCGATGGATGTAAGCTTGTCGCATTGCCCCTCTTCAACCGTGTGAACCTCGACCGCGTAGGCCGGGTTACGCTCGTACGGGTTACTGAAAAGATGGGCTTGCTGCTCCTCGCGTGCACTGCAAATATGTCTCGGTCTGGAATAAAAGGTGGACTTGTAATATTGCTCGTCTCGCATTCCTGTAAATAAATGCACGACCAACAATATGAAAAGCGCGACCTTTTGCATTATGCATGAAAACTTCAGTTTCAACAGTTTGTGATGCTCGCTACGCATGAAAGAGCACCCAAAATAGTTCCTGTGCTTAGCTGCATTAAGAAAGCTGTTCAATTATGACCGTGCAGCATCACAAGTTTCCAGACCCAGACATATTTGCAATGCATACCTCGAGTGCCACCCAGTCCGGAATGTCCTCCTGTTTCACATTTGTCGCCTTGTAGCCGCCGACGTTCATCGTTCCCAAGGGGAGGCTGACGGCCACGTCCCTTTAATATTTCGTGCCTTATTTGCAACGAAAATCGACACCGTCTGTGTATCCGGTTGGCACAGGCAGTCCTTTCGCGAGGGAGTCGTCGCGCACGGCGAAAGTAAATAATCTAGAAAGATTTATCAGGAGTCGGATGGACCGTGTGAGGCATTCACTACCGCGGTGCGTGATCCGGGTTGTCAACGCAATACTGCTTCTGTGCCCGCCCAGGAAGGCGTAGGTGTGACCCCGGTAGGGGGCGAGGAGAGCCCTTCGAGACCTATACCAAAGAAGGCTGGTTGCGCTTCATTTTTGGGTGGCAACGAGTAGCGTTGCCGGGTGCGGCGTCACGCACCCAAAAATGCAACCCAACGAGCAACCAGCAACCAAGAATTGCAATTGCTCAATTGTTTTTGATGCAAATAACGAACTTTGGCCGATAAAAATACTTTCTCTAGAGTTGGAAGCAAACTCTTTCTGCGTGGTAACATAAAAGGTATTTAGGAATAGGAACGGGGATAGATCAAGGCCAGAATTCTCTACTGTGTGACGAGACGCAACACGAATTAACTTGTTCGATCAGATGGAAAATTTAGTGATGAAAATTACTTCCTCAAAACTCAAATCAGATTTACAGATTTGGATGACCACCAGACACTGCTGGACTTACTTTCTACCTTAAGCTTTACACACGAACCAACCAATCAAAAAAAGCGAGCAAAACCAATGACCTGTTCGATCTCTTCTATCGACGAACTTTTACTTACAAAGTTTGCTCGCAGCCGCGGCCAGATTGAATGCAGAGTAAGTAGCTCTATCACGATCCAAGCCCTGGGTGGAAAAATAAAGGAAAAAAAAATACTGTGACATAGTGGAAACAACTCGTGCGCCAAGAGGATACACACTAACGAGAACGTATGCGTTCCATTTTGACCGGCCTTGGAAAACAGGCCGGTAAATTAGGTCTAATCTTTTCTAGATCCCGACTTACATGATAGCTCTGACGTGTAATATAACATCTGGAATAACGGATCTTCACGCTGCAGAGAACTGACCTGCTATCTGTGTGTGTCACGATAGCGATACTTTTTATATCATTGCGGATCCATCCTCGTTAAAGAAACAATCAGCCACAAGCACAAGCTGCAGCTTTGCGAATGTAAAATTTGAATCTCAACGTCCGGTCTTGCAAAGCAGATGTAACCAGTTTTTATGTGTCAGTTTCTTCTCGTTATCCGACGGTTTCCACATTGCTTGTTTTTTTCGGCTTCAAAGAATATCGTCGGCTTTTATTCTCCACGGAAGCATCGACTTGGTACGAATACAATTCCTGTCAACGTTCATTGTGAATGAATCCCTGTCCCAATCTTGCCGGAAATAAACAGAGAAGTAGTCATTTAATCTAATGTCGTTGTTGTATTTTCTTTATCGATTGTTCGAGCTCAAGATAAAAAAAGAGCGTGAACTTCATTGTCCTCGAAGCTTGTCGAGGCGCAACTACATTGTCCTCGAAAAAGGAGCACAATCCGGATGAAAAAGGTGAACATCGGAGCCGGGAGGAGCCTATGCGACCCCTAGGGGGGCGGGCGTACTTAAACGCTCCGGCAATCTCTATTCCTTGTTCCTGACGGCCACATCAAGGCGATTCTCGCTGCTAGCGCCGTGTTGCTCGATTTTGCCGCGAAGTACCGGCACACATCGGTCACAAGCTACTAACCTGTAGGTGATGCGGTCGGGGGGCATCCTGCGCTTCCGCGGATGCTTTGCGCCCTCCTCGTCTGCCCAGCTTCTTTGACAGAAGAGGAGGGGCGCTGCAATGCTCTCCCGTCTGGGCTTGCATTCCTCACAAAGGCCGGCGCGATGCGGAAGACAGATAGAAGACAAGCTACTAATGATAACGGGGCCCCCGGCTAAGCCGGTGCCACCGCGCACAGCACTCCAGCCACGCGGGCGAAGAACTGGGGCAGCTCCTGGCTTCCTCTTGCTGGTTCTCGGCAGTCGCGGCCCTGCATGCCGAAAGCGCCTGCGCTTGGCGTGCGTCCCTTTTGTTGCAGTGGCCGCGTGCTCTGACGCGCCACCTGCGCCTCAGGGTTGCGCCGTTGCGCCTGGTGCTTGCGAGCGCTGAGGGGCGCGCGCGGTAGCTAGCTAGCTGCTGGCCAACCTAACTGCATTGAGACCCGCACCCAGAAGCCGGGGCCGGGTGCGTTTAGCTTCCCTGCGGGAGGCAGGTTGCGTATCGCTCACTGTCTTCCGCTACGTGGTCGTCTATGCGAAGAGACGTTTGCACGAGCTGCGAGCTCGTGCTAGGCGCCCCTCCCTACAAGGCGAGGCTTTTTGTTCTAAACGACTAGCATCCGATAGCTTCGTCCCTTCCCTACAAGGGCGGGCTGTTCGTTAGCAAGACGGACAGACTTTCCGTGTCCGAAGTCTGTGCTATGATGTAGTTCGCAGCCGAACAATTGACTACCTGCTGGCAGCCCCCCTTCCCTGCAAGGGCGGGGGCACGAGGCTTGTCGAGGCGCAACTACATTGTCCTCGAAAAAGGAGCACAATCCGGATGGTGTGCAACTGCTTTGTCGAGCAGATGCAGAAGCCTTGTCATTATTTTTATGTTTGTCCAACTATTTTCTTTTTGACCCAGCAGTAAGAATCACCGGCGAAGTCTCGATGTCATTTAATGATGTTGAGTTCCTCTTTCTGCAGGACCTTGTGTCTGGTTAACTTTAACCGCCGCCCCGTGCTCTTTATCAGCTCAGCACTTGTCGTGTTTTTAAGAATATTCCGTAGTATTTGAGCCGCCTGGGCTTGGACTTCTGAAGTTCCGCGACTTCCGGGGACTCGTGAGCGAGTACACGGCCGGCGCCACCGCGGTAGAGCGGCGCTCCCGATGGGTCAGCATTTCGCCAACTTGATCGAAGTTTCCGTAGTCCGGATGAGCTTTCACCTGTAGGTACTTTGTTGTCCCGGCGAACTGGGGGGGAACACGGAGTTGTGCTACCCCAGGCGACTTCTCCTGCCCCTGGTATTGATGTGAAGACGAGTTGTTGGTACCAGGCACAGGCGCGTCGAGGAGCCGTTTGTTGGGTGGTGCGGGTCGTGCGGTGGCCAGAACTCCGAAGTGACTGCTACCACTTTTTTTCCTCCGCCGACGCCCATGATGTTGAGCAGGGTGGTCGTGGCCAGAGCCAGCGACCGCACTGGACACCTCAGATTGTTCGGAGGTTCTACTCGATCGTTCTCTTCGGTTGTACTTCTGGGATGATGTTCTTGCGTGGCCACAGTCTTTGTCTTGCTCCTTCTCGCTCGCACTCGCGTTTTTCGACGCATACGAAATTCGACTGGACTATGGCGTTCTCAACTGTTACATTCTCAACTGTTACATGGATTTGTCATGCAAAATGACCATGAGCCACCAGACAATGAAGCTGCTTCGCATGACAAATTCTCGGAGGGGTAAACAGCATCTAAATCCGTGCCAAATTTGTGATGCAAGACTTGCAAGCTTGCCCCTTTTCCTATTGCTGTTTTAGCATGACAAATTCATGTAACAGTTGAGAATGTAACAGTTGAGAGCGCCATATGGACCGCGACAACTTGCGGCCACCACGATCCAGGAAATTACGCGCCGTGGTCGAGTATCAAATGTAAAAATGTCTGGGTCTGGAAGAGTCATGCAGTTTCTGCATGACACAGAAGGTCTGGCATGGCAGCTCTAGCATCACAGGTTTTGAGAAGCTTCCGCAATGCCGAACCCGCATGACAAATCCCCCATTTTGGTGACAGAAAGTGGGCAGCTTTTGCTACCTATGCATGAGAGATTTTTGTGTGTTCTGAAATGCGCATCACAAATTACATCCTTCCAGACCCAGACATATTTGCATTTGATAGCGAGTTCCTTCGAGGAGTCAATGGGACAAAAACTTGTTCATCTCCATTGTCATTTGCGTTCCTCCGCACCTCCGGGCGAGGAAGTTGTACATTCTGATTCGTCCTCTCGCCCCTTTGGAGGTGCTCCTGCTGCGTCGAGGAGACCGAGCTTCTTCGTGCCTCTTTCATCTTTGCCTTCATCAAAGAACTACTACTCTTGCGCCGATGCAGCCGATCCGCTTCGTCTCGCATTCTTCGCGCTTCCTCCGCCTCCGCTTGCTGGATTTTCTGCAGCTTCTTCTGCCGCCGCCGTTGCACAAGACCCGTCAGAAACAGGGACCCGATGATCAACCCCGACATACATCCGAAGGGGATAAAGAAGTTTTTCATGCTATCCTATGTAAAAACGTCGTTACCCTTTTTACCCGATTGTCATGCTAAACAAATTAGAATATAGAATTACTAATGCTAATGCAGCTGCACACTTTGCCCCTTGGCAGTGCATGAACCAAGTCGATTTGTGATGCGGCTGCACCAGCCAAGCACGGCTACACTACCGACTCAAGGTTCTCATGGGCAACAGAAAAAGGTCAGTTTATTTACTTATTTACACAGGATACATGCCAACTTCCCAGTCTTGCGTAGCCTTCAGAGTGTATACCTCGTGCTTCCACAAGTTTCGCCACATCTGGTAGGGCCTATGAGAGTGCACAACTCTTCCACCTCATTCGAGACGCATAACCAGCAAGAGAGACAGTGCCACAAAGCGAGTAGCCTCGGAAACACAAATTCAAATTTGGACACAGATGATCCTATATATTCGTAGTACTGTGTAAACGGGGGTCGGTTCCCGAAACTTGTCATGCGAAGACCTGTGCTGTACAGTGTGCTTTTGCAGAGTAAACGAGCAGGGGGACGAGGGGGGTTGTCGTTCGTTGTGCAATCGGATAGGGTAGCGGAGAGAGTTTGTCTCGTTCTGACCGGAGCCACTTCGTGTCCAGGAAAAAACTGTCCTTGATAGCCGAGGTAACGGGGTCCATAAACAGGAGCCGGAGCTGGCGCACGCCGTGGTCGTCGGGTTCGGTACTTTCAAGGGTTTCGAAAACACGTTGCTCCTCGGAGTCGCCCTCCACCGCCGGCGCCAGGCCCGACAGTGTGTTCACGGGTGCTCCTGGAACTGCCGGAAGATGCATCTGCGACGCATTCATCTTTCCTTTTGTTTTCGGCGGGAAAGTAGAACGAGTGGAGGTGAAAGCCAGCACTGCGCGCGTGAACAGAGCTTGGATCAGAATTGCTCCACTGTAAACCATCGTCTTACCGCGGCTCGCTTTTTGCTTGTGCACCCTGTCTGCCTTTAGTGTCACTCGCACGAAAAATCCCGGCGGCCCAGTTGGTCGACCTCAAGATTAGTGTATTTCATCTTTCAGTAGTGTTGATCTACTGCTTCGATGGCACGAAAATCGTGTTTTTGGAGTTCAGCAATAAATCAATTCAATGGTAGGAGCCTGCTGCATGATATTAAGGATCGTGATCTTCATCGAAAAGGAAGATCATCATGGGCGGTAAACTTGCTTAGCGCTGTGTAATTCACAAGTACTATTCCGATCATATTGACGCATTTTCTTTTACGCTTTATGGCCTTTTGAAGATTCTGTACCAGGACCGAGCCCGCTGGGGTACGCGGTTGTCGCCGGGGTCATCGTGCGGTTTCCCGACGACAATGCATGATCGGCCGCCACGGGCGTAGTCGCTCTGCTTGATGGCCGTGCGCGGGAAGCAGCAGGCGAGGTCGGATGCTGGTAGGAATGGCTTATCAATTGCTGCGCACGCAACTGCTGCAGCAGTCCCGGGTGGCGAAAACGTGCGTCGGTGGCCCGCTGCACGCACAGGTGCAACGGTTCGTTGAGGAAGCAGCGCGTGCCCGAAGTGGAAACGGGACGGACCCCCACCGGCCCGTGCTTCGGCCTCGTCACGCTGAACACGTGCACCTCGGCGATCTTCAACCGAGACCCTTCGCGCTATCAAAGTTAATAAAAAGGCCCTGCTTGTTTTTAGCGACCTCCCTGACTAAAGCTAAGTAGCAAGAAACAACTCGTCCACCCGACGGTGCAAATCCATGGGAAGATACTTACGAGCGAAGCGCTGTGTTGCAAATGACGAGAGGCGCAGGAGTGAAGAAGGCAGCACAAGAACTTGTCACGTACACAGACAAACGACAGAAGTTGTAGCTGTCCCACCTAGATTCTAAAACTAGACCAACGGTATTAACGCGGCAGTGGTCCCTTTGTTGAATACAACATGTCCTCTGTATTGTTTGGATGTTGAAGCTTTCATCCAGTATGTTCTTGAGCTACCTTGCTGGTCGATTCTGATGACTGGGGCGGGGCACTTTTCCATCTTGGTATGTACATCAATATGTCCTGGTCCTCCTCCTCGTCGTCCTCCTGGTCTGGAGCTCCTCGTTTCACATCTTGATCGTCCTTCGCCGCCGGTGGTGCGCGCAGTAGTGCGTGTTTCACCTGGTCGGCCACACCCGGCTTTGCGCGCATTGGCGAAAAGTCGACACGCTGCCGAGGTTGAAAGGGCAGCCGCCGCTGCTCGCGCGCGTTCGATTCGCCGCGACCGTCTTGTTCGTAGGCTGTTCGGAAAGGCCGGTCTTGGAGTCGCATCATACCGGTGTGCACGTGCTTCTGCTGGCGGTGGAGCACATAGTGCTGCAAAAAGGGGCCGACGGCTTGCGTTACGATCGCCGATTCCATAAACTCGCGCACAGTCCCGAGTTTGACGGTTTCATCGTGCTCATTCAAGAGGGTCTCTTGCTTGCCTGCCTTTGGGGTAGAAGTTGTTGTGCTTCTTCTACTAGCTCTTTTCCGAGATGAAGCTCTTGCAGCGCCACCACCACTACCCTCTGACGGAGCGGAATTCGCTGACGCAGCAGTGGGTTGCACTAGCGCCGACCCATCTCCGAGCTGATCGGGAGGAGAAGGTTGTAGTTCTTCTGCTCCAGGTGCCCCTCGCACAGCTTCCTCCCCTACAACTTCTCGCGGCTCTGTGGGGAGCGTTCCTGCTTCTGCCTCGTCGAGCGGGTGGAACTCTCCGTCGTGCGTGCCCGAGTAGAGAGGGAAAGTATTGCCCTGAAGATCGACGTAATGAAAGTGCCACGCAGACGGGTTTTCTCGGGTCACCTCCGGTGGGTTCGACGCCAGTTCCTCCCGGTCGATACTGGTGTCGGACCGGACGTCGTCGTCCCTCTCAAGGATCTTCTCCTCTTCCGGTTTCAGCTGCGCCCCGGAGCTCTTCCGGATGAGGAGTCCCCGTTTTATGCGGGCCTTGTGTTCGCGAGCCGACTGCCGTTCCGAACGGAGGACCTGTTCCTCCGGGCTCGGGGGCGCATAGAAATCGGTCCAGTCTGTACCCGGCTCGATGCTGTGGCCCAGCAGCCACGGCGGGTGGTCCCCGTCAGTCGTCAGTGGAGAACCGCTGCTTGTAGTTTTCTGCACGGAAGAACGGAACACCGGGTAATGAATATCCACGTCCGGAAATTTATACGTCTCCAGTGTCCGGCTCATCAGCCGCCCATTTTGCACAGCAACCGTCCCGATCTTGCGGGTTAACCCGAGTGTCCAACAGAAAAAGTGGTGCGGTATGGTATGAGGCTATAGGATGTAAAATGTATATCAACAACACTGGACGAAGATTGGCTTTCAAAAAGATGCCATTCATCTCGAGCCCGAATACATGAGAAGTTTGGTGTTTTGCAGGAGATGATGCAGCAGATGTTAGCATGTACCTACATGCACACAATATTGATCCACCGAGCTACACAATTTTGCTGCGGGATACCGAGGTATGCAAGCCCGTATACATGCCGACTCACCACCGGCGCGTGGTTCGTCGGCAACTTCACTTTCCCCGTCACTGGGTCGACAGGAAGAACTGTTTTGTAACTCGTCGTGCCGGTTCGCTTCAGTAAGCCCTCGATGCTGCGGGGTTGTTGTTCGAGTTCGGCCCCTGGTATAATAATTGCCGTGGCGTTCGTTCCGCCGCGTGCTGAAGAGGAAGAGCCCTGCTCTCGTGAAGGAGCAATCGCACGTTCTGCGCCAGACCTGCCCCCACGTGATCTTCGACTTCCGGTGGAGGGTCGGCCTCTGCCCCGGTTCACTGCGGGACTCGAGGCCCCACCTGCAAACCAAATCGACGAGGAAGATGAACTGAGGCAGAATACGGGTGGGAGAAAACCCAAAAAGCCCGAACCATGCACCGAGAAAAGAAACAAAAAACGGAGTACCATCCTCATTTTGAAACACTTTTGCGAACCTCGTTTATTTTTCGTTAGTTGTAGTTCTAGCCGAAACCTATGACATTATTCGCTTCTCTTTTATTCTTCCATGCCACAGACGATGTGGAACAAGGTCCATGTAACGCATACAAACTTGTAGCAATCGTATGGCAATTGTAATGATCTTGTTGATCATCAACATCAAGATCACGTCCACCTCCACGGTGTCCTTGTCCTGGATCCGGGGGCATTAGCTTATGTAATGTGCTGCAGTTCGGGTTTGTCTAAATGCCTCATGATCTTCAGTCATTGAGATCGCGCTCGCAAGCAAAAACCACAGCCACACTGCAAAAACAAGAAAAGGGTGATCAAAGAGGAAACTGCCGTGGAGGATGTCGACCCACGGAGGGGAAAATGGCAAAATCAGTGACCCTGTACACACTCACACACAAGTTTGCTGTTTTCTGGATCATTGATGTGTTCAGAAGTAGCAGTGAGTACACAGCTAGTGTGTAAGTGGCACGACAGGAAGCACCAGACCGGACTGATCGAACCTGTACCAACAAAGAGAAAAAACTAGTATGAAGGTGAACACAACACCTATGTTAGGAAACAGCGCACTCATTGTCATTTCAGCTCCCAAAAGGACACCGAAATATAAACATTTCTGATGTGAGGAAGTGATATTTATGTGAATTTGATTCATCAAAGCTCGGGCAAATCCTAGCTTTGATTCCTGCAAGCTTTATTTGCTGAATCAAATTTCGTCAACAAAATTTTGCAACTAGATGCACACCAATCGGCATCAAACAGATCTACATTGACATTCTGTTTACAAAAAACAGACCCTGCACACGATGACAAAAAAGTTGCCGAACCGACGAAGCGCTACATTGGATTTGACTAGGAAGCACAGCCGCAGCTGGGTCGGTGTATTTATCACACTAAATCCATCGGTAAAACTGGTAAAAGAAAAAGCTTGTTTGAAAATTGTAAAGCCATTGACTCAAAAATATTCACGAAAAATCCCGCGCCCTCGGTCTGACGAGGGCGAACACGTTACACTCATATGAATAACTCTCTACGCAAAATGCATGTGTGGTGGGAGGAATGAGGATAGATACCTGAGAAATACCAACTGCCACTTGCACTTTTGGGTATGGCAGACTGCACATGAGAATCACAGATACTCCTGTTTTGGTTTTTTTTTGAAAATATTGAAAAGTCAAAAAAATGAGCTCTTGCTTACGTTGCAGATCCAGATATGGATATACATATTCTTTGTCTTTGAGTATAATAGTATAGTCCTGGTTTACTGAAAATTATAGGAATAGATTCATTCAAAAAGGGGAACTAATTCATCTTGGTTTGATGTCTTCGACGACATTGCTTTCGTTTTCATGTTGGCCATGCACAATTTATTTCTACTTCACACTTTTTCACGTTTTCGTTGTCGGCTACTTTCGCCTGCCTTCGCTGCTCCGGTTCTTTCCCGAGCCAGAGGAGTCACGGCTTTTCCGGGTAGCGCCGGATTCCTGCGAGTCTTGCGAGCGGCGGCTTTTCTTGGAAGACGCAGTGGTTACGGACTCGATGTCAGTCGGTTTGTTCCTGCTGCTTTTCCCACTTCTGGCAGGATCTGCTTGGCCTCCCCGCGAGGAGGAGGAGGTGGGAGCTCCGTCGTCGCGGCGCTTTTTCTTCTTGCCCGTTCCGTCGTCCATCGGGGCAGCTCCGTCTGCCGGACAGGTGATCGCGACGTCTTCGGGAATGGCGCATCTTCCGGACGCGTCAGCCCCAGCAGCGCCTGGTTTTTGCGACACGGGCATGTTCTTCATTTTCATTTCCACCGCGTAACTGTTGGTGTCCAGGTCGCCCCCAACGCCTGCACCTCCTTTTCCGCCCTTCTTGGGCTTCTCCACAGCGGCCGCTTGCTCCGGCACGGTCTTTTTGCTCGGGTCATGGATGAAGAAGTAGTAAACCGCGACGAGTCCAAGCACGCCTAGAATGCCGCCTCCGATGATGCCAATCAGGGCGACCGAAGACATGCCCATGTCTTCTTCGTCCATGGCTGCATTACCACCGCCCATACCACCCGCCATGCCCATGGACGTGGATGTGCTGCCAATGGTGTGCGCGATCACGTTGTTGTACGTGACACAATCACTGCCGCTGCAGGCGGTCCCGCAGGGCAGCTTCCAGCCCTTCTCCGCGTACCCCTTTTTCACCAGTTCCATGTCGAGCGACAGGTTTCCGCACTCGGCGCACGCCTCCGGAAAGACGCCGTGCGCGCGGGAGGCGTCGCCCTTCTGGACGTAGAGCCCCGTCTTGTAGCTCAACGCGGGACAGAACTTGGGCAAAATCGTGAGCGCCTTGTCGTAGTACTTCTCCGCCTCCGCGTAGTTCGGCGTCGGCCGCTTCCGCCAGGCGTACCCGATGTCCGACTCGATCCAGGCCTCGCAAACCTCGGCGTTGTTGTAGTCCGCGGGCAGCCAGTCGCTGCACCCCAGCCCGTTTTCCTCCCGCGCGTGGGGCAGCACGCACCACAACCGAAACTGGGCGGTGTCGGCGGCGGCATTGGTGGCGAACCCGTTGGCGAAATCGGCGTCTACGAAGTAGCCACTCATGGCCATGGCGTAGGTCCAGTGCTTCGCGCCGTTGTACTTGGGGTCCGTGTTCACCATGTTCCGCAGCGTCGCGGTCTTGCTCAGATCCGTGACCTGCACCCGGATCTTCTGCTTCGCGTCGGTGCAGTGCCCGGGCACGCTGCACGAGAAGAAGTGCATGCCCTGCTTGTCGCAGTTCATCGTGTAGGAGCCGCTGGACCCGATCTCGGTCATCTTGGTCGCGTGCGTGAAATCGCAGCCGACGTACTCCGACTCCAAATTGATCCGCTGCACGTCGTGCTGCATGTTGGCGTTGGTCCACTTGAACCGGATCTTGTTGCCCTTGTCGCAGACCAGCATTTTGTACTCCTGCCCCGTCATCAGGCTCCAGTCCAGCTCGTGGATTTCGCTCACGCCCGCGGTCTCGGTGTTCGACACGCTTTGCACCTGGAACCCGCTGGTGGTGCTGCCGCCGCTGGAAAGCTCGATGTTGGTCTTTTGCTTGATCTTCGAAGCCATGTCGGATTCCTGCAGTTTCGAAGTCATGGCACTCACTTCACTGTCGTCCGCGACTTTCAGCTCAAAGTCCACACTCAGCGAAGACGAGCTGGTAGTGAGCAAGCGCGAGGAGTACGAGTAGTAGTTTGCGTTGATGCTGCCGTGATTGCTTTCTTGTCGGTTCATGTTCGTCATGATCTCTTGCGGTCGTGGTGCCATAACGCCCCCGCGAAGGAATTTATTTTCGGTGTCGTGCTCGGTTGGTGGCGCGGAAAGTTGCAGCTGCCTTCTTGTACTTGTCGCGGACGATGCTGATGTTGATCCGGCAGAAGCAGTCGCACTACTGCTTGCCGGTTCTGCCTGGCGAACGTCAATCACGCGGCATTCCGTGGCGTCCGCGGCGTTCATGGCAGATTTGACGCCCTTGCAGAGTGCGGTGGTGAAGTCCGCGTCATTTTTCAGGCTGGAAATTTCCTTGCCCGCCGGAATGGTCATGTCGAGCACCGCCGGCACGGCAACGACCTTCTCGGTGGCCTGGAAGGCGAAATTCGGCGGTGCGTCCGTCTGTGGCGGCGCGGTCGTTGTGGTCGTGCGGTACACCATGGGGGGTTGCGTCATCTGTGGCGCCAGGGCGTTCATGGTAGCCTGGTCCATCATTTGCATGCCCGAACCGGTACTGGACGTGGTTGATGTTCCTCCCATCGTTCCCTGGCCCGCGGACGGCTGCTGGCGCACCGACACGGGAGCGGGCACGGGTACCGGCATGGGTGCGGGTGTCGGCACGGGCTGCGGAACCGGTTGCGGCTGGGGCACCGGCTGCGGAACCGGCACTGGCTGTGGAACGGGTTGCGGAACGGGCATCGGCTGCGGAGCCGGTGCTGGAGGGGTGTAAACCGGCATCGGTACGGGAGCGGGCGCTGGCGGAGTGTACACGGGCATCGGGGCCGGAGCCGGTGCTGGAGGGGTGTAAACCGGCATCGGCGCTGGCGCTGGAGGTGTGTAAACCGGCATCGGGGCCGGCGCCGGTGGGGTATACACGGGCATCGGCGCTGGCGCTGGCATTGGCGAGTACGCGGCCGGTGAGCCTTTGGTTCCCGGAAGCCGTCTCAATACACCCTCGACCCACACCCACTCGTAGAGTTCTTCATGGTCCTCCGGCACCGCCTCGTCGGTGTGCGGCGTATTATAGGCGTGGTCAGAATTGTTCTCGTTCATCCCCACCTTGCTGCCACTGGTGGTCCCGGCGTTGGCAGCGAATACCAGGGCCAGGAGAAAGAAACACGCGAAACGGAAAAGCGGGAGGCTCATCGTGGTCCCTGTTACTCTCTTCAGACTGTAGCTGACCAGAGGGTCGCCACGCGTTCCGTGGTCTGGTACCGACATGATTGGAAGGGGAAATAACCTCCTCCGACTCTAGATGAAAAATAGGTTATCTATACTTCTCGAGTTTTACCTCGTCCAGGAGGCCGAGAATGGTTCAAATTTTCTACACAAAGGAAAAAAAAACTGCACAAGAATGCCTGTTGTGTTATTTGTCACTACAACAATTTTGTTGAGCACAACAAAGGAGAAAAACGATTGCTGTGCCAAAAGAGGGGTAGAAATCGTATGTGTGAACTACTTTAGTGGCTCAAATGGAAGCACAATGAAGCTCAAGAAGATAAAACGGCTCAATAACTGAATCCGTTGATGTTTGTACTGCAACACACAAATATGCACACGTATGACAGTTGTAGCAGGTTCTTACAGGAGAAACAAGGGGTACTGCGGATTTCAGAAATGATGTGAATTGCGTCAGTCGCAAAGGAAAAGAAAGGGGTCCACCGCAAAAAAACGAACCTAGTTTGAAAAAGCGAAAATGGAAAATTACCGAGTGCGCGACTCTACTCTCACGAATTTCATTTATTTTGCCTACCTGAATTTGGCTTTTCCGAATTTATTTGTGGAACGAAAGGCTTGATTTTTCGAATTAACGACGCACGTCGATTCGTTGTGTACGTACCGATGATTATTGTTGCATTCGTACGAGCGCTACGCAGTGCCGATGCAGTCGTTTGCCTGTCCCGTCCGCAAGTCTAGTACACGATATGTAATATTGCAGAAAGCTGCGCAAACGTGTACCGAATCTTGGAAAGTTAAGTCGAAACAGAACACTGGAACAGTACATGCGCGCTTGTTTTTTTTTCAATTCTACAAATTCTCAAAGCGCTGTGCACGCAAAGTGAGGAGGCGGGGCAGCGCTCGCTGCAGCTACTGGCCCCGGTAGGAACATGGCGCATGTGATTGTGCACGGTTTTGTGGCTGGTTTATTTGTAAGTATGTGTACGTTCTTCCCGAAAGCACAATTTTCGGGTGGACAGAAAAGTGCAAGTGAGGCAAAGGGTCGCTACTCTAGCCTCCTTCGAGTTCCGCATTTATCTGAGCAAGGGTAGCCGGCTGCGCAGGTTGCAGAAACGGCTCGCTACAGTGTTCACGGTGTTCCGCAACGTGAGTAACCATATTCGACAGCCATTGTCTGACCTGCAGTTGAATCACGGTCAGCTGAAGCAACTCGCTCCCCATGCTATTTAGATCGCGGAGAAGGCGGTTCCCCCATGGGTGCGCAGGTGTATAGTAGGTCGCAGCGGTGGGCGAAGAAGATGCGTTGCTTTCGCCTCTATCTGGACTCTGTAGCGGAGTTGCACTTGCGGCTAGCTGATCTACGAAGTGCGGATTCTGTGCCACTTCGAGTAGCGATTGCCGGAACCGTGTTTGCATCGTGTCGAAAGCCCTGGCGAAGATTCTCTTCATGTTTTCGCCAGATATCACTTTCAGCAGTACTCGGTACATGCTACTTACATCCTTGACGAGCGCTGCACACACATCGTGTGGCGCAGGCGGTAGTGCCGTTTCAGCATTTGCAGTGGTAGAAGAAGCTCCACCGCCTGCGATATTAGTAGCAACTGTGTCATCTGACTGCTGCTCTACCTCTGTTACAACTGTTGCAGAACTCCCGCGCGCTCTACTGGTACCGACCTTTACAGCTCCGCGATCCGAATCCTCGGCTTGTGTGGAGGTAGTGTCTGGATCGTCGCCTTCTACTGTTGGGTCACCCCGAGCAGGTGCCGTACCTTCGTCTACTTCTTGGTTCCCGTCTGCTGCTTTTTCCTTTATTTCTACTGCGGCTGCGCCCTCGGTGGCGAGAGCTTCGCTTCTACCGCTTTGCTCGGCCGCAAGAGCAGTTTCCACCTGTGCCGTCAGGGGACTACTTGATGTCGCCGCCGCGAGAAGTAGCTGCGGTGGCAAGGCCGGGTGTGGTGTGGAGAACAGCGCCTTGGCGTGCACGTCGTATCGCATTTCCAGGATCTCCGACAGTTTTCCCAGAAGCTTTTGGTGGTGGTCTTCGAAGTCGCCAACCGTTTTTCCGAAATCAGCCAGCAGCGCCATTCGTGTCCGGTTTACAATCGACGCTGCAGCGGAGGTTGTTATACTAGCAGGCTGCTGCAGTGCGGGTGCTCCGGCGGTGGGCGTCACCACAGACGAGGATGACGAACTACTTGAGGGCCTCTCGAGAATCAGGCACTTTTGCAGCTGCTCTTGAAGTTTCGGAACCAATGCCATGTACATCCCGCACGTCTGGCTGCATAATGCAATGTTGGTCGCGGTCACTTTCTTTAATACCTGATTTTGATATAGAAAAGATAAAGATTTAAAAAAAAGATTTGCACGATGAAACGAAACTAGGAATAGTGCAGATTTGCAGGCCTGCAAGTTGACACTTTGCCAGTAGTAGAAAACGAAATTTATATATATACCTTGTTGGTTTTTGCTTCTCCGAACAACACAAGCTGCTGCATTTGCCGATTGAAAAGTTTGAAGAGATGGGTGAGCCGCTGCACTGCTTCGACGGCAACGCTTTGCAGCGCGCGGCAGAGCTGCAGGTATTCCTGTGCGATTTTAAGCATCATCAGCGCACTGGGAACCACCAGGAAGTGGCTCTTCTCCACTTTCAAAAACTTCTCAGAGTGCTGGCTCTCTTGCTCCAGATGCTGTTGTCGTGCGGGTACGGACGGTGTTTGCTGATCGGCGGAAGAAGCAGCGCCGTTACCAGCACCCTGAGTGGCTGAAGCAGGATTGATGTTCGCGGTATCAGCAATACCAAGTATGCGCTTTTCGGCCTCAGATACCTCCGGTGTTGTTGTCACGGTTTCACCGCCCTCGTGAAAGGACTGCAACATTTGTTGAACCTCGGCGGCATCCGGCATCATGGCGGGCGGTGCGGCAGGTTTGTGCGGTGCATCTTCTGGTCGTACGGGGGCAACACTACTCGGCGCTGTTGAAACAGTACTCGCTGCTCGGGGCGAAAACTCTACTTCCTCGGTTTCGCCGGCCAAAAACCGAACGTAGGCCCGGTGCTCCTTGGTTGCGTCGCAGCGTTCCCACCGCTCTTATCAAAAGTAAAAGTGTCTGGGTCTGGAAACTTGTGATGCTGGGTGGCGTCTCATGATGAGGCTACAAATGCTGGCTCAGCATGACAAGTTTCTGAGCTCCTAGGTGTTGCCTATTCTGCATGACAGACTGCGCTTCTGCATCACAGAAAAACGGAGCTCTTGGGTAACGTGCATGACAGATTTAAGAATCATGCCAGACAAGCATGACAGACATGAATTCTTCCAGACCCAGACATTTTTACAGTTGATAGCTCTTCAGCTAAAACCATCTGCACGTGCGCGACCTTGCGGTGGTGAAACTCTTCCACGTATCGAAAGGAAAAATCCCCCCTCCCCATATCAAAACGGAGTTTCTGTGTACACGAATCAGGTTTGTATTGCGGAGAGGCATTGCGGCCAGATCCCCGGGCTAGGTAGGGGCGTATGGGTCTAGTTGTTCAGCACGGCAAACGGCTCCCCTTTAGGCCCAACAGCATGACAAATCGCCTCCATAATGGGGCGGAAGCTTCTGCCCTTGTCTTCTTGCAAAACAAATGTGATTTGTGACCTCAAATCAGCAACACAAATTTTCGGAAACATAGCTTTTCGATATGGGGAGGGGGGATTTTTCCTTTTGATACCACGATTGCCTTCGATTGGGTGTACAGAATCGCACGAAGGCTCGCTGCGACGTCCACTATTTTCTTGCTCACGACTGCTGCACTTACACTTACAGCCGCTTGAGGAGGTACTATCGTGATGTCCTCGACAGGTGCATTTTTTGAGCTGGTTCCCCTCTTACTGTCTACCGCTTCGGAGCTCGAAGACACTGATGATGAAGCACTGCTGCTGCTGCCGTCAACTTTCATTTCTTGTGCCAAAACAGTTGCTTGTTGCGCAAGAATTTCTTCCTGGCGTTGCACCTCCGAAAGCAGCGGGTCCACAGCAGTGCGGTGTAGCGTCTCGAGCATGCGCGACGTCAAATCGAGGATGCCACGCCAATCACTGTAGTACAGGTTCTGGTGCTCCTGCTGCCGGTATCCTATCAACGTGCCGACCTGTGAGAATGCGCGGATGGGGTTGTACAGATCGCAACCACGTGCAGATCCACCTCGACCTCCTTATCGATCGGATCACGCAATAAATCTAAATAAACGTTTAGTATATCATGGCGAAAATAATTCCGACCATGATGAATGTCTATGGCAGGATCAGGCTCAAGGTCAAGAGGCTCTTCCCGCCCGTGGAGTGGTGTAGGTGAAGGTGTTCTACTTCTTGTTTCATAAACAAGTTTATTCACTTATTTCAAAAGTACCTTTTGAATTAGTGTTGACAAGGCGACTTCAAAACACCGCACAACTTCGGCAAAGATCCCGCGTCGGTCGCTTGCGTCCAGGCCGGGGGCCGCTAGCATGAAAAGAAGCAGCGATTTGAGACGCGCACCCACGTCGAGAACGATCCAGCGCAAGATGGCGCCCCAGAAAAACACAAACTGGTCGTGGTTCAGGCTCTGCAGTCGGATTTGGAAGGAACCTCTGCTGGCCGCCGGCGGTGGCTGCGACGAAGCAGAGTTGCTTTCACCGGACGTCGCCGCGGCGCTGTTGTGCCTCTGCTCCGCCTCGCTTAGGATTTGCGAAGTGACCAGCTTCAGGGAGTGCTTCAGCTGTGTGAGCAGCGCGTCGCGAAAGCCGGCGCTGAGACATGCCTTTAAGGTACGGCGACGGATCAGCGCAGAAAGCAGTTCTTCGTAGAGCGCCCAAGGTCTAGACAACTCCACCACGTCGCTCGCGCTGCTTTCCTTGCTTCGAAACGACGACCGCCCGGCGCCGGCGGACGACCGTACGCCGGTGATTGTGCTCGTCAGAGCCGTCACTGACGCCGCTGCCGCTGGCGAACCTGGACGCGAGTGGCCTGAATCCTCTGCCGCTTGCTGTGGTTGAGCCGTATCGTCGGCTTTACTGGCAGTCCGGCTACGACGGCTCTGAAGCAGCGTTCCGATGTCCGGAATGTCCGGCGGTGCCGCCTCCTGAACAGAAACCTCAGTAGAACCACCGCCCGCCGCGGAGGGCAGGGTCAGCTCAGCCCGCGTGCTGTGCTGCCACGTGGCCTCCGCGGCCGCAGCGAGGTCTACGGCCTGCTGTGTGAACCTCTCGGCAAAGGTGGATTCCATCGACTTAGCCAGGGCTGCGAGGCTTTCTCGGATGTTTCTCACACATGCAAGCCCACCGAGCATGTCCTTGCGGTCAATGGCGGCCGTTGTGCTCTCGAGAAGATCCAGGGCGGTGCCAAAATCTTGTGCTGCGAGCAACATCTGTTGTATTTGCATAAATGGGAGAATATGACTTCGGTAGTGAACGCAATGCTTATTGTTCGGCCGAGACGCAAAACATATTCAAAACGTGAGAAGAATTCTAGATGTAAGTCTCTCCTAGTGCGAATGATTCATTACTTGGATCGTCGGGATGCTTTCCTTGACGGTAAGAATTAGATCCACGCGGCGGCGCAGGTCCTGCGTTCGGTTCCGTACCATTCCGAGGCGAGCGATTTTCCGACCGCGCGCGTAGCTGGTCTTAAATTGCTGCCAGTCCTTCACTACGGTTTTCTCTGCGTGTTGGACCTTTTTGGTTTGCTTCAGCAACGCACCAAGAGAGAGAAGCATTGTCTCGAAGAGCCGCATCCGGTGCGCCTGGCGGACTTGCGCAAACAGAGCCTCTTCGATAACAGACAGATACTCCTGCAGGCCCGCGCTTACTTGGTCCTGGTTTGCGAAGCTCTTTGCGATGCTCTGGCGAAACACGTCGTGGTCTTCCAGGCGGAATTCCCGGCGAAAGTAGACCTCTGGAATCTGCTCGTAAACCGCCGCGAGCTGTTCCTCGTTGCTTTCGCGGTTGCTACGTTCCTCTTGCAGGTCAAAGTCATATTGATCGTCGGCACCAGGTGGTCGTCTCGCCGTGTTCGTCGCTGCTGTTCCCCCCGGCGCAACCCCTTGTCGCGTTTTCGACAGCCAGGCCTCGTAGTTGCGGCAAAAGGTGGCCACTTCAGAGTTTCCGAGGTTGTCGAAATACTCGCGAAAATCCTCAAAGGACACCGCTTGGCCGGCGAGAAGGGCGTTCTGTCCTGTTGTGACGTTGTTTTCTGCAGCTCCAGTCGTGTCAGTCTGCGACGCTGGTCCCCCACCGGAGGCACTAGTAGTCGTGCCTGCAGTTGATGTCATTTGTTGCAGAAGAACACCCGCGGCGGAGGTTGCTGCACTTCCACCGCTGGTGCCTGAACCGTTCGGCGTTCCAGGAGCTGCCCCGGTCGACGTGGTTGATTCCCCGCCGTAGAAGTTGGGAATTTCAAAGCCGGACTGGCCCATCTCGACCAGGCGTTCGAACCCCTTTTTGCTGGTGACGCCGCGCAAGACATCCTTCACCTGGATTTCAGTGCGCTTCCAAGGGTTACTGGACACGCGGTTTGGGTTGTTCACGATAGAAGAGAGGGTTTGCGACGTGTAGGCAAGCTGGTTTTTGTTTTTGTAGAACTCCTTCACCACGTCGAATGGCTCGGCCCCAGCAGGTGTAGCTCCGTTGCTTAGCGCGGACGCGGAGGGTCCGCTACTAGGGGAACTCGCTCCGACGCTGACACCATCGCCAATTGGCCCCGGGGGCCTCGTGGTGGACGAGGAAGACGCTGCAGTTCCGGGAAACAAATTTGAAGCCACTTTTGGTTTTTTTATCCTGCCCCGCTTCAGTGATGTGTTTTTGAAGGCGGGAAGATCCCCGGGTGTGTCGCCAAATTCTCGCTCCTCGTCTTCGTCGGATAGGTTCATGGCGTTCCCGTCGTCTCCAGCATGCTGCGATGCAGCTGCCATCGTTGTGGCATCCGTGCCTATAGTAGAAGCAGCTTCAGATGTTGCCATCCGAGCGACCGCTGGATTCCCGCTTGCTGACAGTGGCGCGGAAGGTACTCTGGGTGGACTGTGATCGCTTAACAACGTAGGGCTTCTGGCATCGACCGTCATGCGCAACCGCCCACACGTTCTGCTACAACAAATCCAGGCTGCGTTCTCGGGAGGTCAAATACAGAAGCGGAGCTGAGCAGCAGCAGATGGATACCACATCCATTACATCAACAATCCACACCGACTTGCAAAACGATTCTGCATTATCACTTATCAGATCAGAACTTTTTCACTTACGGGTACACAAGTTAAAAAACAAAATTGAGAAAATGCGTTTGGAACATTTTGTTTTTGTTGAATCTCTACTTCAAGAGACCGAGACGGCCATGATTTTTCATTGAACGTGCTGCGAGGACGAAAAGCGAACAAAATTTCGCTGGCCAATAATAAAAAGTGCAGGAGGAAAAGGAAGGCAGGGAATTTAGGCCTAGGCGTTTGTTGTCATAAAACTATTTTTGTGTTCATACACTTGCTACATTGATATTCGTAGTTGGACTTTGCCGAGATTGCTTTCTTCCACAACGAAAGTGCCGGTACCAAGAGATGCAGGCAATAAACACGAAACGATGAAGATCGGGAAGACAACATATGATCGTCCAAGGAAGAACATCGTGCGACTCGTCAATGTCAGTTGCACCGGAAAAAGAGGGCGATGGATGCTTCAACGTCCGGATTTGAGAAGAATGTGCTTCACCTATAAAATGGCTGTGGACCACAGGGAAATCGATCTCCAATTTACGCAAGCCCAAGAAGCCCAGAACGTTTATTCATTGATGTTTTAGTTTTTGCTTGGTCCTAGTTCTGAACGAATTGTCCTGTTGACATCGTTCTATTTGCGACCTTCACAACGAGGTCAGAGAACGTGTACTACTGCGCTCCTCGCAGAGCCAGCAGCACACCGGTCGTCAATTGTGTCGCTGTTCATCATGACATGATGAATGGTTTGAGTCCGAGCGGGGCGCGAGATAAAGATTCAAATTCACTTTGGTACTACGCGATATCACTTGAATCGATTTATTGTCGTAATCTGGTATCTCAACGTGTTCCAAACCTTGTTCGCAAAAGTGAATCAAGGCTACGTGTAGCGGTAGCCTGCATTATCACTGGTCGTTCAAGATTCCAGCCACATTATCATCGCAAGGAAAAAAAAAGACTGGTCATTCACTTACTCAGATTGTCTCGTAAGCATCGTTCCAGTTGTAGTATCGCGCTCCTGTGCTGTTACCTAAGCTCTCAGTCTACGAGAAGTCGCGGAATTAAGTATTCGCTATTTGCCAATGCATGCACTGTAGTCATCTACGTACTACACTCGAAGTTGCATGGAGGTTGACAAACAAAAAGAAAATGTACCAGGTGTTCATCTGAGGTTTTCATTTAGTCGCTGTTGCTGAAGCCGAGCACATTTCACTTAGATAGTTGACACTGACTGCGTGCGTTTGGCTTAAGGCACGAGTTGCATGTACTAAGCTCCGTTGTAGTAGCAGTCAAGTGATTCAAAATTGAGCGCAGTACAGCAGTCTGCATCCATACCTCCGTCTGCACAATTTCCTTGATTACCCCGAGGCGGCGACGATCGAGTTACGCTGCGACGATCGCTGACTCTGACATGTTTTTAGCTGCATCTCTCGGTCGCACGGACACAGATTCAAAAGAACGAAGCGCCAGACTAGGAAAGCGATGGCGTGTAGTCGTAGTTGCAAGCACAGGTTGTTGTAGCTCAGGTGGCTGGTATAGCTGTAGCTCGACGGGCGGAGAACGAGGGAATTTGAACTTCTGGAAGATGAAGAATGACACTACCAGGAGAGACCAAACCACTAGTCCCGCAGCGGCGGTTGCGCATCGAGCATGAGGGCGTCTCCACCGGGGGAGTCGTTTTCCAACATACCGGCCTGCTGTAACTGTTCATGTACGCCTGATGAGCCCGCGGCCGGATCGGCCACACGCTCCATCGGAGTGACAGCATGTTCTTGCAGAAACTCCAGCGGGATCACGCTGAGAGCCCACTCTGCCGTGGACTCTAGGTAGACCTGTGATCAATTTTTCGACAGATTAGATTTAGATTAAAATCATACTTGCGTTCTTCATGCCAACATCATACCGGACAAATTGAAAAAAACCTAAATCGATCATGATGTTGATGTTCTAGTACCTTGTAGAAGTGCTACAGAAGCACTAAACAAGGCTTAATACCTGTGGGGCCTTTCCGTTTTTGTAGGCTTCCAACCACCGCGTCGCGCAAATGCACCAGTGGTCACCTTCTTGCAAACCCCAGAAGTGCGGCGGTCGCGCGTCCCGGAGATTATTTCCTCGGGCCGCTGAGAAGTCCAAGAAACCCGTGGTCATCTTTGCGCACACAACGTGCAATCCTGCGAATAATTCATTATGGTTTTTCTACTTGTTACACAACATCAAGTACGGAACTTCTGGAATCGAAAAGAAGTACTACAGGAGCTTTCGTGCCTAGTGGGCGGAGCTCTTACGACCTCGTGAGTATCTACTTATGCGTACTCGGTCAGTAGTAGAAAAGTGATTTGTGGTCCTACTCGCTGCCCTCCCACAGTCCCTGCTGATGAGCTGACAAAGTAGAGAAGCGCGTGTACTTCTTTCCATCTTATAGATACCTCGATCGTTCGCATGTGTTCCGCAGTAGCCGTCGCGGTGCCAGCCTGATACTTTCTGTGAATCGTGCTCGCAGCAGGGCAACAACTGGGTTCCTACAACATTCCGCTCCCCCCTGTATTTGTCGGCGAGTCCTCGACGGACCTCCTCGCGCGTGGGCTGTCTCTTCTGGGTGGCGATTGGCATAATGAATGTGGTCTACTTCAACTTACAACTTCTTCGACGAAATATCTTACTTCACAATGATTTCTGAAAGAGGATTGCAGTAAAAAAGGTCTATCAAATTCCTGTATAAGTCAATGCGAAACATTACCACTCGCGTTACTACTTTTTCTAATGTTGTTTTTGGAAAGACGGGCTTCGATTGTCGTAAAAGTGGTTGCGAACAGCATGGAAAATGTGGTAAAAAGAGTAAGAAAACATTCGATCTCAAAATTTAGCTTTACATCTAGAGAAATCTATAGCGTTGGTTGAATCTATAGCGTTTTTATTAAACACGGTTGAAACAATTGCACCGTGCCCACGGCGTGTGGGAGTCCTCGTTTGGACCTTTTTCTGAGAGAACTGAGAGCCGGGAATTTTTTGAAACTCCATCACAAAGCATGATGGTTGTCCAACTCCGCGTTCTCTCTTGGTCGTCTCCGTGTTGAAGTCCCTTCGGCACCAGTTTATTGCTGTCATCGGGTTTGCAGCTTCCACCCGAACCCGCTTCACCCACTGGCTTTGGACAGCTTCCGAGTGCAGCCATCTTCTTGGGATCCAGCCAGCAGCGCGACAAAAGGAAACAACCAGTGACCCAGAGCAGGCCGACATAGTCTGGGTAACCACAAGAAGGAAGCCCGGGGTCTGTTACTGGTGATTTTGCTTTTTGCAGTTGTCGCGAGCGATCTGCTGCGTGGGAGGGTCGCCAGTTCTGGAAAGTGATACGACGGTGACACGACCACCGTGCCACCGGAGGATAACTCGCTGCTCTAGCCCTCCGGCCGGGCCCTGGAAGTAGAGACTACCTGCTGCTGCCGACGAACGGCGTTTGCCGTCCCCCCCACTGGCCGGAAGACGCTAAAAGACAATAAGGATCCGGCGTCCCGCGTAGCAAGTGAACCGATCCCGACCGTCATAGTCCAGGGGTCCCCGACAAAGGCTCCTGGGGTCGGGATTCGGCGATTTAAGACTACGCAAGCCCGGTCCTTGTTCGTCTCCAGCCAGGAGCGGACAGTGGAATTATCCTCTTACAAAGAGGATTTTTACTAGCCCGGAACCGCGTGCCGTCGTGTCTGAAGACGAACAACCGTCCCGGAGGAGCGGAATCTGTGCAGGGCCAGCTCGTAGCTTAACCCTCTAGATCCTGCAGTACTATCGTGCTGAACTGCCGGGCACCTGCGTCGCCACCGTGCCCCACATTTCCACCGGAGGCCCAAACCGGTGGCGAAGACGACACTTACCGTTCCCTCCGCTGTCCAGAAGACAATAAAATACAGCAACAGTTCCGAGGAAGGAGCAGCAGCGAAACGAAGAGGCGTGACCACCCGACGCACATCCACCCTTGCCGTCCTCCTGCCATAGCTGGTCGTCATAGTCCGTGCGGCCCCGACAAGGACGCTCGGGATCAGCGGGCTGGAGTACGCGCTACTGTCTTGAAGATCGAGGTGGTGAGCCGTAGTCGTGTGTGTTCACACTTTCTAGTCTCGTGCAGAACCCCCAAACAAAAAGATCCCAAAAAAGTAAAAGACGGCATCAGGGACAGTATACAGCTAGCCGCAAAAACAAAAGACCTCAAAAAAGTAAAAGAGTGGCAAGAGGCAACACAGAAATAGCCACCGGGGGTTCTGCTTTTCTCCGTTTTTCCTTTGCCAATATTGTCGCTGCGTCTCGCGATGATATGCTGCGCCGCCGGAGCCCGACAGCGATAGAGGAGCTCCTGCGGACAGGTGTGATCACAGAACGCGAGGCGAAGGAATACCGCGAGAACACGGAGGAAACGAAGCAGCACCTAACCAGCCTGCACCACCTCCCGCTCCTCATCCCCTTCACAAGCAACTATACCGCGTTGATAAAGGTTGAACGCGACCACGACAACCTAGCGCAGGAAACAGAGGAGAGACGCGGGTGGCTCCGGTCCAAGGAGACATCACAGCAGCACTTCGCAGCGTCCCGAGGGGATTTCGCGCTCTTTGTCTACGAGTACTGCCCCTGCAACCTCATCGTGGAACTGACGAGGAACAGAGCGCCCGCTCAGGCCCTTGCCACGACAGAGTCACTACCGCTGTCAGTGCGCGACCTCTTGTGCTCCACCCAGCACGACAGTAGCGCGTTTCTGCAGGTTGAGCGGGTTGCCTACGGCCAGTACAGCCTGGGCATCGTATACGACCCTTTCGGCGGCGACCCGGGCATTACGCTGCTCATCGAAAGGATCGAGGAGAAGGTCGCTCGGGACCTCGCTGAGTGGACACGAGCGGCGGAGGACCACAACGCGACGCTACTTCAGGAGCTCCACGCCTTGCGAAGGCTGAAGAGGGTGGGGGACACCGGGGGGACGCCGGACGTCGGGACTCCTGCAGGGGACGGCGAGTAAAGTAGAGCTGTCGCGCACCCCGCAGAGCCGTTTCGCCCCGCCGCGAATTTAGTGTCCCAATCCCGCCGGGCTAAAACTGCGCTTTCGGAGAAACGGGGACCCGAGATTCCCAGAAACCGCGGCTACAGCTCGGCGGGTTAAGGACTTCTTTTCTCCAAAATCCAAACAACGACGTGAATCGCTACTCGGAAGCGGCGACTTTTCCTCCTTAGAGTAGTGCAGCGCAGAGGTCCGCCAGAATCAACCGGAACCTGCTGTGAACAAGCGGCTGCAGAAACGCGGCATGTTCGGCACGGGAGGCAATCCGGAAGGCCAGTTCCGGTACCAGCAGTGGCCAACAGGCCCACAACAGCGGACCAACAACGTCGTGCAGCAAAACCCCCCGCAGCAAGGATGGGCGCAGCAAAATACACTACAGCAAACAAACCATGTGCAGCCACAGAGCGTCCAACCTCCCGCGCCAAACTATGGGGGGCCGGCTTTGGGGCAGGGAGCCACTCCTCTTCCGACAGTAAACGACTACCTCGTATTACACTCGATGCAGGGAGCCGCAGGTGGAGGGCCGACAGGATACCAGACCGCATTCCCAGTCGGGCAGCAGGGCGGCCTCCCGCGATCGGGTGATAGTCTCGGGGCACAGTCAGGCAACTTCTCCGCGCCTGCGTTTGGCAGTGCCTTCAACCGGCAGCAAGGTGGCGGTGCACATACGATGCTGCCGCCGGCACAGCCGGCGCCAACGCAGCAGACGTCTTTTAGTTTCCAAGACGTGCAGAGACTACTCGCAGCACAACAGCAACAGCTGCAGCTCCAGCCGGCCGGAGCACAGACCGGGCAAGCGGTGACGCCGGCCACACAGGGTGTGAACCCAGCGGGAGATGCGACAGGACTCCTGGGGGCCATGACGCAGCACCACCAAGACGTGCGGCATCTGCTGGGGCAGCTGCAAGGGCGAGAGATCGCCGTTCCACTGATAACGAGGAACGCTCTTACCGGAGAGCAGACCGGCTCGGAGCAGCTCGTAGCTTTGTCAGAGGAGATGCGGGAGGTCCGCAAGGTACTGGAGTCCATGGCGCACAGCCAAAACGCGGCGGCCCACCAGCAACCCCCGAAGCCCGTCACGGAGGCAGAAGCCAGTGGTAGTACTGGTAAACAACAGCAGCAACTGCTGCAGCAACTGCAGCAGCAACTGCAAATGCAACAGCAACAGCAACTGCAGCAGCAACAGCAAACGCACCAGCAGCAGCAAACGCACCAGCAACAGCAACTGCAGCAGCAACAGCAGACGCACCAGCAGCAGCAAACGCACCAGCAACAGCAACTGCAGCAGCAACAGCAGCAGCCTCATCACCAACACTCCGACCAGATTATCAGCACCCCGACAGCAACACCACCAACCCAAAGCACCTACAACGCGATCCCGCCGGGCGGTGGCATTGTCATCCCGCAAAGACCCCTCCCTGTTGGCGCCCCGGCAGAAGCGGCCCTGCCCAGGACAGGCGAGGTACGGGCGGGCACACAGCAGTCGCGAGCGACAGAACGCGGAGCTCGCGAGGAGGCCGCCTACACACGACCGGGGGCGCAAGGACCTGCGCCAAACGCCGGCGGCACCGGTACGATAGGGGTACATCAGCAGGGTGCGTGCTACCCCCACCAGGAAATGGACCTCGTGACGGTCCTGACCCTCATCCTGGAAGAGCAGTTCCGCCGGGTCTTCCGGGCCCTACAGAGCCACGGCCTGCTGGCGCTTGTCGTTGTCGCCGTCGGAATAGCGGTGCAAATAAACTCGCACTACATGGCCAACCCGGGAGCTTCGATGATGATTGGGGGACACGCGGGGGCGGAGCTGGAGGAAGAGACGGTCGTCTCGGGCCAGATCCCGGGGCACCTTTACCTCGACCGGGAGGGAGAATACGGAAGCCCAGCGCTGCGCCGGGTCTTCCCGGACCTAAGAACGGGACCGGAGCCCAGTGCTGCTGCTTTCCACCATGGGCGGTGGCACCCAGACCCGTCGGTGCTGTCGCCGCTAGGCGCCGTCGCGATAGTAGTGTGCACGGGCACGGCGCTGGGGGTGGTATACGTCGTCGCAGACGCATGCCGGCGCGCCTGCTCGAACAGAACGCCGCCTCCAGGATGGGGCGCCGATGTAGCAGCGACTCCGATCCAACACGCGTGTCCCCAGGCCCACGCAAATACCCCCGCCTCACACCAAGAATTGGTGACGCAGCGCGACCTGCTTCCTGGACACAGCAGCCGACAAGTAGGGGGCGCAATAACACAAATCCAGCAGGCCCCCCCTGCCCTTCCTGCACATGATGAAACAGCAGCGGCGAATCATCAGGATGGCAACACAGCAGCGGCGAGGGAGCCTGCTCTCCCGCGGGTCCGGCAGGAGCAGGAGGTCCAGCCAGAACAGACTCCTCCTGGCCTGGGGCGTGCTGCCGGGACGCAGGCCGCAAGCGGACCTGCGCAGGGGGAAGCCCTGCAACACATCTCCAACTCCGGAACAAGAGCAATGCTTGCAGCGGCGCACCCGACAGCAGAGCAACAGAGGCTCCTACGGCAGCCGCCCGGGCTGGAAGGCAGCGACGCCAGTGGCGTTGCAGCCCCTGTACTACAAGCGGATCAACTAAATCGCGTGCAAGGGGGTGGGAGTAGTAGCAGTAACACAGGGCGCGCCAGTGTTGGCCTTGACGGGGACGAAGACCCGGAAGAAGCTGCGCGTGCGGTCGAAGGCGTTGTGTCGGTCCAGGACCTCCCACACTACCAGAACACCGAGTTCTGCGTTGTAGTCGGCCTGGGGGACACGCTAAAACAAGCAGCAGCAACACGGCGCTACTACTGCTCGCACTGCACGTACAGCCGCGGGTACGCGGGTAGGGTCCAGGGCTTCAGCGAGCACATCGCAAAGGCGCACAAGAAGTGCACCACCTTCCTCTTACCCGAGTGTAGCCGGGGGAAGGAGGTCAAGTACTACACCCGCCACGTGGTCGGGCCGGCCAAGGGCGCAGCGAAAAGCGAGGAAGAGCAGTACGGTGTCAAGCACCCAGTCGTGCAAGGGGCTGTGCGGGTCGCGCAGTGGAACTGCCAGTCGCTCAACCAAAGCGACGAAGCGGCGGCTTCTGTTAAGGGGGCGGCGCTGCGCCAGCTGCTTGAGGAGCACGAGGTGGACTTGTGCCACCTCCAGGAAACCTGGCGCGGTGAAGAGTTCCTCCGCGAGTTTCTCCAGCGCCACGTCCCGGGCTGGGAGGTGCTTGAAGTCTGTGAGTCCGAAGGCAGCGGGGGAGGGGCTGCCAGCATCGTACGAGAGGGGCGAGTAGGTGTCGTGAAGTCAGACCCGGACTTCCGCATTGTCGCGGAGGGCGGGAAGAACGTTGCCTCCACCTGCGCCACCCTGTTCAACCTCGACACGGGCAAGGAGTGGGGCGTAAGCGCGAACGTCTACACTCCTCCGGGAATCCCCGCCCTACCGGCAATCAACATGCCGCCGGGGAAGGAGATTGCAATTTCCTGGGACGCGAACCACACACAGGAGCCGCGGGCGACCCAGGTGAAGACCTGGGCAACTGCGCAGGCGCTGGAGTTCTACACCACCCCGCTGCCGACCCGGCCTGCGTCGAAGACCTCGCCGGACGTAGTGTTGCTGACCGGAGGACTACTCGCCCGGGCTGCCGAACTACAGCCGCAGGGGCCAGCAGTGTGCCTCGTCGGCGGCGACCATGCGGCCCTGGTCTTCGACTTGGTGGAGCCACGTGCCGATCAGCGTCCGGGGAAGCAGAACTTCACCGCCAGCAACACAGCAAAAGACGACGCCGGGGGAGGAGGGGCGGGACGAGGCCGCGCTACTGGCTCGGGGCAGAAGGCTGACCAAGGCCTCCGGGGCACACAGGACGCCGGTTCCGAAACACAGGGAGCAGGAGGAGGGGGTGGGAAAGTAAATCTCACCGGGAGGCTAAAGTAGGTTCTTCGCAAGGAGAAGTTCGAGCGCCTTCGGGCCCAGCGCGCGAACAAGCACAGCGCGGACGCGCAGAGTAGCACAGGGGAGAAACGACTGCCGGTCTTGCCGGGGCTGGGTTTGCTAGTTGCCGCAGTCTCCGGGCTGGCACCGGTAGTCCCCTCATTTGGCGGCCCCACACCGGTCCCGACACCAAGCACAGAAACGCCATCTGCGCCGGCCCCCGGGGCGGTCGCGACCCTCCCGACGGACCCCACGGCAGCTCCGTGGATCCCGGACTTCTGGCAGGAACCACTCCCCACAACGACGAGGCGCACGCGACTGAACTTCAACCGGGCGGACTGGGACTTGTACCGCGCAGACATGCGCACCTTCCTCCGGGACCACCCGGCACCACTGTCGGTCGAGGCCAAGTTCGCACACATCCGCGCTGCGATACAAGCCGCCGCGCACAGGTCCATCCCACGCAGCAATGTCACGAGAAAGAGACACAGGCAGCCGCGGTGGCAAACAGGCACGGAGCTAGACCTCGCACTGAAAGAGCGGGGAGAGTGCATGAAGCGCGTGGCCTTCGCACCGCCGGCGGAGCGACTGTTCTGGCGCACCGCGTTACGGCGCGCGACGGCGCGTGTAGCAAGTGCCGAGGCCAGCAGGAGGGACGACGAGTTCGGGCAAAAGCTCGAGCAAGCGGAGCAGACAACCAGTGGGGCCTTCCGGCTTTTGCGGGAACTAGAAGGGCGGCCGCCGCCGAAACAGCAGACCACCGCGCTGCGATACGCGGGGAAGCTGGTGTTCAAAAAGCTCGCATGTGTCTTGGCGCATTTCTATGGGTCCCACCCGGTGTTGGACCCCGGGGCCGAGCGAGTGGCCTGGGACCAATACCAGCACACACTAGCGGAAGAGCTAGCGCCGAGCACAGCGCTGTGCTTGGAGCTGGACGACGTGGAGTTCGCTTTGCGGGGACAAAAGCCGGGCGGGGCTCCCGGGCCAGACAGCATCCACGGGGTGCTGCTGAAAAACCTCCCGCAACAGGGCAAGCAGCTCTTGCGCGCAACCTTCGAGCAAGGGGTCACCGAAGGCGTGACGCCGGAGGTAATGCGGCTAGAAGTCTGTGTACCAGTACCAAAGCCCGGCCGTGCCGCGGACCTTCCCAAATCCCTCCGGCCGGTGGCCTTGACGTCGTGCTTGGGGAAAGTCTGGGAACGCACAGTACTGCGGCGCCTGCGGCTAACCTTCCAGGCGGAGGGGGCCCCGTTGTACAGCAAGAACCAGTACGGGGACACACCCGCAAGAAGCGCGACGGACCACACGGCAACGCTGGGGGCCCTGGCCTCCGACACCCTGCGCAAGAACCGCCGCAGGGCGACGTGCTTCTTGGACCTGAGCTCGGCCTTTGAGCGCGTGTGCCCGCCGCTGTTCCTCAACGGACTACTGGAGCGGCGGCACGAGTTTAAAAACCCGGCACGAAAACAGGAGTTCCTGCTGCTCACGCGGTGGATCTGCTCCTTCGTCACCAACCGACGCCGGGTGGTGAGGTTCAACAACGAGACCTCCCAGGCCGTCCCGCTGCGCCAGGGGGTCCCGCAGGGCACGTGCCTCGGGCCGCTGGTCTGGTGCAGTTTCGCCGACGTACTGCTCCGAGAGCTGCAGAAGAAGTGCCCGAGGGTGCAAGTCCTCGCGTACGTGGACGACTTGGCGCTCACACTGGAGTACGGCCCCGGGGAAACAGGGGAAGCACAGAAACTCCTCCAGGCTGCCCTGGACGTGGTCGCCGACTTCTGCAGCCGGAGCAATATGGAGCTTTCCCCCGGGAAGTGTTCGTATATCGTCTTCCAGAACGAGTTTGCATGCGACTTGGATGAGCTCGCCCTGCACCACGACGGGGAGAGGCTCGTCTACGACCCCTACCCACGCTTTCTCGGTGTGTGGTTTGATCGCAAGTTGACATTCTGTCGGCACTTTGCAGTCATATCCGAAACCCTGACCAAGAGGATGGCGGCGGTGCGCATCCTCTCGCGTGCGTTGGGCGCCGGGTCGAAGTCCGTCCGGGCTTTTTACCAGTTATTCTGCGAAAGCGTCCTCACGTATGGGCTAACAACATACTGGAACGGGCTCGGGGCGAAGGAAGCGGCCGCCCTGAACAGTTTCCAGCTGGTGGGGGCCAAAGAAGTGCTGGGCTTTCCGAAGTTCAGACAGGTGAACCGCGCCTGCGCACTTATGACGGCCGGCCTGTTGTCGCTCCCAGAGCTCTACCAAGTGGAAAGCACGGCGCTCACGGCCCGCGCTTTCTCACGCCCGCCCGGGGACGCGCTGCGGGAGGTCGCGAACACCTCGAGCGTAGACTGGCTAGAAACCGGCTTGCAAGTGATCGACGAATCAAACGTCGCGGCCTCGTCCGTTCTCCCCGAGATCGGCGCGAAGGCAGGGCGGGGGTGGTCCGTCCTCCACGAGGCTGAGGAGCAGGGCCGCTTCGAGGCGACGTGGAGAAACGAAGGCACGCCGGCGCTGGTAGACACCCTCCGGGAGTCCAGCCTGGTGCTGTATTGTGACGGGTCGGTCAAAGACTTTGCCGGGTCTTGTGGCGTCTTTCTGCATGGGTTCGGCATCCAGTGTGGGGCGGCGTGGCCCATCGGGCTCCACACGGATTCGTACGAAACCGAACGCATGGCGCTCATCGCAGCCTTCCGAGCGGTGGCACGCCACGCGCTGAAAAGCGAGCAGGTGACGATCTGCACGGACAGCCAGTCCAACGTGCGGGCGTTGCTCAGTCCGAGACTGCGGGACGACCTGGACACCGAGGTCTACACGGCAGCAGCGGACGCGCTGCAAAGCTGCGCCAAGCTGGTCGTCCGATATGTGCCAGGGCACTCCGGCATCGCGGGGAACGTGGTCGCCGACCACCTCGCGGGGTACGCCAACCGCAGCGACCTGCAGGAAGAGGGCGAGCCGATCACGCACAAGCAGTTCAAAACGGAGGCCCGCCGCTACGTGCGGAACGAAGCCCGCCGGAACCTGGCCGAACGGCAACGGGACGAAAAGACAAAGAGCAAAACAGCGCAAACGCTCCAGGAAACAGGGGGCTGGGGGCGTGATCTGGTGACCGACGCCGGCGGCCGCGTTGGCCAGACCATGTATTACGCCCTGCGCTTTGGGTTGTTGGCGGCGCAACCGAGTGGGGAAGACCTCGACTGTGCTCTATGTGGACAGGGGAAGGCGACGACGGCGCACTTCGTGCACGAGTGTCCGATCACGCAGCCCTTCTTCCGCTCCTGGGACCTCGGGCACATGGAAGAGTGCCGCGACAAACCGAACCAAGTCGCGAGGGCCCTGGCGGAAGCCAATGCAACCCTTGCACCACTCACCGGCCCCTTCCCAGCAATCCGGCACCAGTGGTGGTCTGACGCACGCGGCCGCAACGCGGTTGATGAGTGACGCTCTGCAAATGACTCCAGACTAGTTGTTAATTTTTTCTCTCATAAACTCCTTCTTTTTCTCAAAGTCTCTGATTTTGACTTTACACACTTAGCAGAAAGCTTCGACTTCGCATTTAAATTTTTATAGTGATCAAAAGGTTAAAAAGCGACCAAAGTGTCGCGATCTCCCTAAGCACGGCAGGACTGGTTCAGCCTGCAGTCAGCTGTGCCTTTTTTCAACGACAGATGGTTATGGGCAGCAGTATCTTTTTCCAACAGGCCGCTTTTAGTTTTAAAGCAGTTGCACACTAGCACTACCGGGAGCAGTCACTGAGTATTTTTTCAAGCTTCTCTGCGTAGAGGGATTTTTATTGAAATAGCGCTAAAGAAAAAAGGTGAGTAATCGCGTTTCCACCTTACCGCATTTCTACAAACAAACAAACAAATCTATAGCGTTTAGTTAAATTTCCAATCGTCTGCTCTGAGGTGGGGGCTCCAATAAACTTATCAACATGTATCTGAATCGAGTTATTCTTATTCTTCTAGCTGTAAGTAAAGAGTGCTATTCCTATTGCACTGGTAGACCTTCCTTCGAGTGAGACGACCTTCCACCTAGTCCTAGTCGACCTTTCGTCTATTCGATCTTTGGATGGTAAATTTGTTTTGTAGCTGCAGTGACTGAGTAGGTACTCAGCTGCAGGACAAGAGGGTGAGACAAGAAAGGAGTCACTGGCTCTGGGTGCCTGCAAGAATCTTCTGAAAGGGTTGTATGTAGGAATTCGAGTTCTACTTTGCAGACGAGCTCACACAGAGCGCTACTTCTCGACATGGATATTGATTGTTTTCTTGAAGCAGCAGAAGGCATGCGCATGTATCGATATCAAAGGTGGAGAAATCTCAGGCTAAAGCAGACTAGCTCGTACACTTTCGACTTAATGTCAATTAAATTGACATTAAGTCGAAAGTGTACTGAAATTATTTCAGGATCCCGAGCAATATGCAATATGAACAACAAATAGGATTGCAGACCACAAGACTGACCAGCAGCGAGCTGCGAATGCGATGCCGGCATTCGAAAAAAAGAAATCACAATGTAGTCGCGACTTCCCGCCACACAGGCTGTGGCCTCCTAAAAGAAGTGGCGAATCGCAATCGCGATGGATCGAGTGCACCGTCTTTTTTGTGCTGAAATCCGCATCACCACGAGGCGACACCATCCCATTCCCATCTGGAAGAGTAACTACTGCTCATTCCGCAGTTTTGTGTTTGTGCACTTTCGACATCCATATCAAGGAACACATGTTGCGAGCACATAGTATACATAGTTCAATCATATTCCGTGCTAATGCTGCATGGCATCGCAGTACGTGGCGTTAGTACAAGAGGTTCTGCAATGGATTGATACATTTGTTCAGTGGTACTTGACTTGAAGATGGCGCGCCCCACCCTTCGCAGCTCGCACTTCTGATGGTGAGACACCGCAAAAGGTGGCCAATGCTGCACTTCTGATGGTGCACGTGAGGCTTGCCGCTGGTGCGGCGTCGGCTTCCTTTATGATGCGCTCCAGCGCCGCTTCCTTTATGATTCATTGTTCGTTCCCAGCGCTGGAGTAGCTCAATTCTTACAGCCCACCTAGGTGGAGAAAGCATCTTTCCCTCTGAAAACATTCGCGCTGCGTCGGGGAGCAATCGTTAGGAACAACAGTAACGAGAAAGGAACAAACTTGTTGTGGTACAACTCCGGTAAGTACCTGAAAGTGGTGGAAACTGCAATCTTACATTTCTAGTTTGAGAGTGGTGCTTTGTCCCTTCGGACTCAGCGTGGATATTTGGAAATTTAAAGGAGCTCAAGTTCATTTCTAGCTGAATGCGGGCAGTAAGAAGTGCGACGTCAGGCGTCGCACGCAATATAGCCTATGCGTGCCCCTGACTCACTCCTTTTTCTTGCCGCCTTTCTTCTTTTTCTTCTTTCCCTTGTCCTCTTCCCCGAGCCGGAGCTGCTGCGCCTCTTTCTCTTTGCGTGCAATTTCCGCGAGCTCTTCTGGCTGGTAGAAGACTTCTTTCATGACGCGGGTCAAATACCGGTACGCCGGAATGACCTCCTGCACGGTAGCGCGGCTCAAAAACTCGTCCCAGTGGTTTACCAAGTCGATGGCCAAACTGTTGCCGTTTGTGTGGTGTCCCCGCTTGCGCTATCCTGTGCAAAAGCATCGCACTCGTAGTAATTGCAGTCATGCATTACAAATCTTCATCCCAAGGTAAAACAGCATGATAAATTCCATTTGTCATGCTGAGCTAATTTGTCATGCGATTTATACTAGTACGATACTTTTGCAGTTCATATGCGCTCGTATTCCACGATAACCGCCAGCGTGGTAATCAACGTGTCCAGCGTCTTCTGGTGTATCTTCAGTTGCCGCTTCGTGTTCAACAAAAACTCGGTGAGCGGTCTCCAGGTAAAACTGAGCGGCGCCTCCCCGTCCTGCAAAAACCTCTTGTGCAGGCTCGTGCAGGCTGCCAGCAGACCCTTGCACACCTGGTCGGCACACCCGCGCTCACAGATGATGCGGATAAACATGCGGCACGTGTCCCAGATATTGCAGGCACCCCAGAGGCCGTTGGCGAGAAAACGCTCGAAGCACACGCTGGCGGACGCGAACGTGTGCTGCAGGTTGTTCGCCTTCAAAGTCAAGGCGTTCACCACGGGTACGTACGCAGTCTCTGGGTCGAGGAGGTGAAAGCCCCCCCGGCTGAGCGCGAGCAAACCCCAGCGGAGCACGTCGGGGTCGAAGGGGTAGCTCATGCACGTTTTGAAGCACAGCTTGGGATTCACCACGGGTCCCTCCGCGAGGAGTCGGCAACCCAATCTGAAAAGATGCACTTGAAATTATATCAATTACATTTGCTCATGCTCATTTGGAGGTCCTCGCAAAAAAATTCGAAATCAAATGCATGCGTTCAAGAATTACTATCCATGTCGTGGGACTGGAATTTATTTTCAGGAGTTGCAAAAAATAAAGTTGTATACATGATTTTCATCGTCTGAAAGATGAATTTGAATTTTACCTTGCCTCGTCAAGATTTTCCATGCGGCACCACCTCGGGAGGCCGGCGTTGAGCTGGACCAAAGCGGACAGGCTGCGCTGGCAGTCCTGAACCAGTTGTTCCGGATCCACCGCCACCAAGTTCGGACCGCACTGCCCAACCGCTTCCGTCTTGTCTGTGTACAATTCTTCTAGCTGATCCCGCCACGTTTTCGCGGAGATGCGCGTCCGTATTTTCATCAGCCGCGGTTGCTCCTCCGCCCCCCGGGCGTCGAGCCCGAGCTTCTGGTTATTCCGAAAAGACTGGCCGAGCTTGGCCAGGACCTTCCAGCCGCAGCGGTTGTTGGTGTCGCTGGTGTACTGCGTGAGCACCGGGAGTGCTTGCTTCTCGAGCTCGTCCAACCGCAGCACGGGCGCTATCAGCCCGAGCACCAGCACGGCCTCCTGCCGCATGAAGGCCTGCTCCGCACTGTCGGTCAACTTGTGGCTCTTCATCTTCCCGCCCGAGCCGCTACTCGCGTAGTTCGCGAGGGCTGCGCTCTTCGTGGGCGAATGGTGTCTCCGTGTGGGCGTGTTGTCGGCACCGGAGAGCTGCTTTGCCAACTCGGGGTCCAGTGCCCCGTCGTCTTCCTCCCCGAACATAGCTTCCTCCTCCTCCGCAACTTGCGGCAAAACCTCCTTCTGCGCCTTGTAACTCGCGTCCTGCTCCGTCTTGAACATCCAGGTCTTGTCGCCCTTCGCAAAACTCTGCCGCTCGCCTTCTTCCTTTTCGAGCTGCTGGCGCTTCTTCCCCAGCTTGCTGGTCTTCCCCGCGGCCACCACCTGTTTGCTTTTCTCCAGCGCCGCGACGGCGTCCTCGGACATGCCGCCCCCTTCCAGCGCGTCGATCAGGTTCTGGTCCTCTTCCGCCTCCTTCAGGTTCGCGCCCAGCCCAGCCTTCACGGTGGCCAAGCCCCCGAAGGTGTTGATGTCGGTTTTGGAGATCTTCGTGGACTCCCCCGCGATGATGAGCAGGATCAGGGGCAGAATACCAAAAACCCGCACTTTCATCAGCTCGGTGTGGTTGGCCACCTCCAGCACCGCGCGCAGGGACCACACCGCGTCCATCGTGGGCCGGTTGTAGAGCACAATGTACAGCGGGAGCCGGATCACCACGGAGTCCTCGTAATTGTCGTCGATGCGGATTTTCGTCCCCGCGGGGGCGGGCAGGTAGGTGTCGGATTCGCGGAACGCATCACCGTACTTGCGGTTGTACTCGTGCCAGAAGTGCGCGGGGTGCTTATAAAAATGAAAAATCATCCCCTTCGCTCATCCATATTATCCAGAACACAACTGCTCACGCTGGTGGACTTCTCGCGCTGTGACAAGCACGGGCTGTCTTGCTGTAAGTAGGAACTGCAGGCTCTTCGGGAGCGTAAGCAGGGTCTAGTAGTTGGTTAGCATCATGACAAGAAGAAAAGCCTGGTGACCTGTAGGCCTAGCAACGTGAGGAGTTATTTAAACTCCAAAATGCGGCGCTCTCCTCTGCACTTGCCTTCTTGCAGGATAGAAAAAGTTAGTTTGTGACCAGCAATCTGCGCCACAAAAAATTTTCCTTTTGAGTAAATGGAGATGGGGGAAGATTTTTCCACACAATAGCCCTTCTCGTGCACCGACTCGCGGACCATGGACAGACTGCCGTCGGAGTCGTCGGACGCGAACTTGAGCGCGAACATGTCCTTCTTCTCCTTGGCCGGGGGCGCTTCGGCCATGGGACGCAGCATCTCCTGCACGTCGATGCCGGTCATGGCTCTCGTCAGCAGCGGCCCGCGGCGGCCCCCGCCGTTGGCCGCGCCGTCCAAGCACGCCAGGGTGATGAACTTGCACGAGGGCTCCATCTATCAAATGCAAATGTGCTGTCTGGGTCTGGAAACTTGTAATGCTAAAAGTGAATGAGACTGAGAGTTCCACTGCAATACGGCGCCAAGCATGACAAATTTTTGGGATCCTATGTGTTGCGTGTTCCGCATGGCAAACTGCGTTTTTGCATGACAGGTAAGAAGACAGCTTCGTGCCCATGCATCACAGATTCTTGGGCCATGTCAGACGTGCATGACAAGTGTAGCAATTTTCCAGACCCAGACACTTTTGCAATCCATACCATCCAGCACGAAGTGTAGCTGCCGTCCACGATCACAAAGGGCGTCCCGCACCGGTCCGGCGGCCCGAACTCAAAGTCGCTGGGCCGCAGAATCCAGTTGTCGGGCATCCCCACCGAGTTGCGCCACGTGAAGAACCAGCCGCCGTCCAGGGAGGTGTGGCCGACGTAGTAGACAAACTTTTTCCCCTCCATCTGCAGAAAAGCCTCCAAAATGTCCTGCGGGTGCTCGTCAGACACCTGCGAAAAGTCGTACTTGTAGATGTGGTCGGGCGGCACCCGGCGCCCGAGAAAGAACTCCTCCATGATCTGCACCCCCCGGTGGACCTGGTCGAGGTAGGTTTCGCGGCAGTACTTGCGCCACCGGGTGGGCCGGTTCAGGAACTCGTTGGACTCGTAGTAGTTGGCGCCTTTGCCGGGCAGGGGCTCTTCGTCCCAGACACTGTCCGCCTCGTCCAGCAGTTCACTCTCCGTTTTCTGGTGCAGCTCGTCGTCCTGCTCCACAGGGGCTTCCTCATCTCTGGAAGTTGTTCGGTGCAGCTCCATTACGTCGTCGTCGTCAGGTTGGGTACCATCGTTCACCGCGAACTTCGCTTTTGGCGAGGAACTACCGGGAGACCTTGTTTTAGGTCGTTTTTGAGACTGGCTGGGGCTGGTCTTTTTCTCGACGTTGTCTTCGGCACCATTTTGTCCTGGTGAGCCCGGCCGGCTCTTCGGTTTCGCCTGTTTGGCCCCGGGACTAGCGGTTGTTTTCCTCTTCGCCTCCAGTTCGTCAGCGCCCTGTGGCCCTAACACCGCGCCGGCAGTGCCCCCGCCGCCGCGTTGCGCCGCGCTCTCGGCCATGGCTTCCGCAGCTGCACTTTGGCCACCGCCGGCGCCGGGTCGTCGCCTCGCCGCCAGGCGAGCCTGCTCCTCCTCCTTTTGGCGCAACTTTTCCTCTCGGGCCTTGCGCTCCTTCTGCTCCGTGTGAAGGTCCTGGGCCTCCCCGTCCACCGGATCCAGGTTCCACATTTCGGTAATCAGCTGCTGCCGCCGGCGGAGAAACTCGTTGCGCCGGTCCTCGTTCTGCGACACGGCGAACTGGTCGTCCTTATTGTTGAACCGCTGGCTCTTGTGCAGGAGCCGGGACTATCAAATGTAAAAATGTCTGGGTCTGGAAGATTCTGAGACTTGTCATGCATGTTTTGCCTGGGCCATGATGTCTGTGATGCATGCCCTAGCATCACATATTTTTTGAGGGCCTCGCGATGCCTATTCCGCATGACAAATGCCCTCTCCGCGTAGCAAAAATTACACTCCGTTTGCTGCTCATGCAATACATATTTTTTTGGAGTCCAAACTTAGCATCACAAGTTGAATTCTTCCAGACCCAGACATTTTTACATTTGATACGGACGCGGTGCTGGGGTCGGTCATGCGCGAGGTGCTGGAATCTTCCCCGATGCTCCGCATCACGTCGTCTTCGCGTATAACCTGCTCAGGTGTTACTATCTCAAACGTTACAATAGACTCTGGAATTTGTGTTGCAAGAAGTGCATGATCTACCCTACTCCCACAGGATTACGCATGACAAGTTCTGGAGTCCCAATCCGCACTACAATCTGCCGAAATTTGTATTGCAAAAAGTGGAATGCTGTCCGAGTCTATCATGTTGATCATGCATTAGACAAGGAAAATCGCCGCAGTACATGAAAAATCGACCACCCCCATTCGCCGGCGTGGTGGGGCGACGAGATCATTTGTCTGGGTTTCAGCTCGTAGCAGCTCGCCCAATTCTTGCAGACCTAGGTGCGTGGCGCAGGCGCGACGTGTTCCCGAGTGGAAAGGCCGCGCGCGTACCTGCCGCGGAATTGCTTCGCCTCGGCCGCAGCGAAGTCGGGAGCCCGTTCCCAAACTAGGCCGACCAAACAACGACCGGGGCCCCAGGCGGCGTTCAGGGGGCCCCCTCCAGGGGGGTGCTTAAGGGGGGTCCTTTTTTGGCTCCGGAAATCAGCCATTTTAGGTCGGGGAAAGGGAATCCAAGGGGGGTGCTTCTTGGGGGTGCTTTTTTTTCGGCAAAAGGGGGGCCTGTGAATGCTCCCTGCGGTGCGTCTTTCCAAGAGGCGGCCCCCGCTATCTGGGTGCGGAATGACCTGCCCGCAACATGCGAGAAATGGTATCGCGATAGTTCTCGGCGCAGTGACTGAGAACTGGCGCCAAAGTAGGCGGCGCTCGTCCTGGCGCGGAGTCCAGCGAACAAAGCCGCGGCCCCGATGAGGTCTACATAAGCCAGCCTCTTGCTCCGCCACCCCGCGGTAGGGGGGTGGTCGATTTTTCATGTACTGCGGCGATTTTCCTTGTCTAAATGCAAGACAAATCTCAGATTCTATTGTAACGTTTGAGATTGTAACGTTTGACCAGGTCATATCGCGAATCAGCGTTTTCTGCTTCTCCTCGTACGAACTCCCCGTGCGGCGGAGCTCCTCCTCCATCGTAGCCGACCCAGTCGCTTTCTTCGAAAACAGCGACGCCGACGCAAGAGACAGCGGGGGGACCTTGTACCTACAGATTCAGATTTCGAAAGTAGATTCTTTCGTGCTGCAGGGAACCTGAAAAAAAAAAAACTCTGGCCGAAGTTGTACTTCGGTGTATGGCTTCGTTTGTGGTTCTCTCTATCTGATGATGGTGCAACTACAAACCAGAGAAAAATAAACTGACGTACATGAAAAATTGTATCCGAGAGATGAAAACAAGATACTTGTCCTGCAGGCTTGGCACAATGTGCGCGTGGAGGAGGTGTTCCCCCACCATGAAGCTTTCATCGCCTTCCGCTAGGCGCTCCGCGAGCAGGTCCTCTAAACCGGTAATAATGTACTCGGGTCCCGACAGCACCTCTCCGCCGCAAGAGAGAAGCAGGACCCGATACTCGCTGTAGTCGTAAGCGTGCTTCAGCATTTTGATCAAAGGAGCCCAGATGAAAATGTGGACGACGGGGGGCTTCTTCACTTCTCCTTCCTCGGGGCGAAGGTGGTTACGCGGCTAGTTTTGAGTGTAGAAGTAGTTCTCGCCAATGTAGTACGGCACGCCGGCTGCAACTACATCCGAGTAGGCAGATATCGAGATGCATCGGACAAGACCGGGTGGTAGCCCTTGTGCCTTTAGCTTCTTGACGATCCGTCGTCACATCTGTCGACGGAAGATAGAGCTGACACTACGACGGGATCCACATCTCCGGTTGACGAAAACGATCTATGACATAATTTTTGTGATCTCTTTTTGTCAAGCTCAAGTTCGAATTCCAATACGAGAAACGCATCTGACAAGGGGTCAGCGCTTGTACTGTCTCATCGAGTTTCAATTTTCGCAAAGAAAATCAGGAGACATGCAAACTTCTTGAAGCCATGCTTCAAAAAATGGCATATCGATACTCATACTCGTTGATGGACGCCAATGCTCAAATTCATGCAGCAGTTGAAAACTTTACGCCGTACACTTTGCAGCTCTCCTCTCTCTAACTTCTCGTCTCTATCAATGGCCGCGAGCTTTTTCCTACTCAGTCTCAGACCTCTCCTGCGCTCCTCTAAGGGCAACCGCAATCATTTTCCTGCGTAGACAGGTAACGCTCAGACACTCTAGCTTCACGTGCGACACTCATCAACATCATGATGAGGGACAAGGAGGAATCAACAGAGACAAATAACAATTTGGAGTTGCAACAACGATCGGCCGAGCCGAAATGTTTTGGCCTGATTCCGAAGCGGGGGCGAGCTATTTTTCACACGCTGCACACAGGTAAGCCGAAACGGAAAGCCTGAAAATAAAACAGTTAAAATACATTGACTCAAGCGCTCTTTACTCAATCCGGTTCTTCGTGTCATTTGTTTTCTTTCGGCCGAGATGATGCGTCAGTAGGTTGTAGAAAATCGAATGCAACCGGCCCCACGCCACTTGAGAAGCAGACGTGATCCGGCGGTCTCGTTGAAACGAGTCTGTGCACCAGTTGCGCTATTTCGGTTCGACTCGATCTCTCATCTGTTTGAGTAGCTCCGTGCTTGCTCTCGTCAATAGCCAATTGAAGATAGTCCAAGTCGGCGCGCGCGAGCGGCCAGGGGTCGTGCTGAACTCTGCCAGACAAACGGCCACCGACGACCGCGCCGTCGCTGTAAACCCTGTACCGCTCCACCAAGTGCTTTGCCTGTCGCATCCAGTCTCCTGCATCTTTAGTTTTTTCAGAACTGTCATCGGGCATTGTCCTGCCGACTGTCCATCCGCATTGGAAATCAAAGCGTCCTTCTGGATCCTGATATTGGGCGTTCGAATTCGCCGTCGAAAGCGCGCGATGCTCGTTATCGCCACTAGGTGGCAGCAGGACGGTCGTGTGTGTCGGCCCGTCTTTTGGTCGAGTCGTTCCCTCGAGACGAACACTTTGCAGCCGCATGCGAGAACCTTGTTGTCTACCAAGCTTCTGTATGAGCTGCGGATCGGGGTCAACTTGTTCGTCCTCTATTGACCCTGGACTATCACTTTTTGTTTTTTCCACCGCTCCTTGATGTGCTGCCTTTTCCAAAACAAAATCTCGTCGTATTTTCGCCATGCGGTACGGAATCCCGAAAATATTGGCACCCTGACTCGCGAGAAAGCTGTCACATTCGAGAGAGAAAAAGTAAATGCCATCGTTTTCGACGTAGGTCCGCACGTTGACACCGTGGTGAGTGATGAGCGCCGGCAAATGTAGCGTGTCCCGCAGCCACCTGCAGCCCCCGCGCAGGAAGCCGGGGCCCACATTCCGCTCGGTGAGGAAAACTAGGCCTAGCCAGACGCATCGATCCTTCGGGTCTTCGTCCAGATGGAAAGGGCAATGCTTTCGAAGAATGTCATGTTCCGGCGAGCCGAGGGGTAACTTCCAATGCACGAAGAGCACGTTTTCCCACGCATCGTGAATCATAAACTTCATTTTTGCAGTACTAGCTCAGGTAAGATAGAAACGCGCGTAGGGGTAGGAAAGGACGAGCAGAGATGATGGTGAAATAAGCAATCTTCCGTACTACCTGCTAGTTTATCGATACAAGAAAAACATAAGTCATTTAAAATGAGTCAAAATGCTGCATGGGTCCTGCTTGAACGGGAATGCATCACTGTTTTTCCCTATTCAGTTGATTTGCAATTCGATTTTGCAGATTCTTGTGCGGCTCCCTACTGTTTTGCGCAACATAAAAGTCGAATTCCGCGCTGTTCTGTTATTCTGTCCATGCTGACGAACTAGAGCAGTCTTTCCGGCGAACACTCTGATTGTGGACGTTGCAACTCGGTTCGTTATCAAGTATGCGGCTAGTACCACGAAAATCTTCAACTTTAGATGTGGATAAGCTCTGCTGGGAACCGCAATCGTTCCCGAGAATGACACCGAAATTTGCGACAACGCACAGCGTAATGGTTGCTAGGAAGTAACAGATCCCGGCCAGGAAAAGCGGTTGGCAGACGAGAAAGACATCCTCTGCGAGTGCGCTCAGGGTGGATAAGCTTCCGCAGAAGCCGACCATTATCAAGCGACAGGTCAGGATTACTGCCTGGCTGCTGGTGTTTGACATCTTCACACTCCACAGAACCTGCACGATAAGGCAAGCGAGAAGATTACACAGCAGCGTACCCGGCGCTTTCGTGAGCGTGATTGATGCATCTTTTCCTGAGCTCGATTTCGTCTCGGGTAGCTCTGCTGAGACGCCGAAGTAGTTCAAGCAGCCTGCCGGAAAACGCGCTGCGAAAATTTCGCGACGGAATTTGACTTGGGAAGACGCCCGGCAAATCCTCCACCGCAAGAGCGCACCGGCCGGAGCGGCAAGTAGACAAGAACTCAGTATCACCAGCAGGGCCTCGGAAACTGTCGTTGCTGCGCTCTGCGACGACGATTGCTCGAGGCTGATCGCAAAAACAAAACCGGGACAAACTGCACAAAGACCAAATGTTACCAAGAAGCAGTGCGGAAATGTGCGCGGACTCGACTGTTCTGTTTCATTTTCGTGCTTACTTTCGACATCAATCGGCGCAGGTGGGGCTGCAGCGTGGTCGGCCGTTGCGTCCGTCGCCTCTGCTGGGTCTGGATCTTCTGCTGCAGCGCCAGTGTCGTGTTTCGATCGCTGATCGTACGTAGCAAATTCGACTTCAAGGGCTAAAGGTGGATGAGGCCCGTTCTCGGTATCAGATACTAAAAGTGAGAAGACAAGTCCGTATGCTGCTGCAAATGAAAAAAGAGACCCTACTAGACCTCCACCAAGCAGGAGTGCCAGAGCTGCGCCATCAGTGGTCGCGTTGCAATTCTGCAACGACGTTGCCAACTCAAGGTTCCACATGGAAAATGTCGTGAGAGCGCCACAAAATCCGGTCTTGCATACCGGAACCCACCACAACTTTTGGCGATGGCTCCTGAGCCGAACTTTCTCCGTCGCACATAACGCTCCCATGATCACACACCCAACAAAATTCGGCATGAGCGACGCAATCGTACCAGAATCCATTTGAACAGCAACGAGGTGTGCAAGCACAAGTCGTAAGAGGGCGCCGCAGACACTACAACCTGCAATGGCGAGTGCCTCCATTTTTTCTGAGAGAGTTTTCTATCCAAATGAAAGATCGATATATCAAAATTTCCGTTGCGTTTTAGCTTTAGAGATGGAATTGATATGAAGAGAAGTCAGATCAGATCAGATAGTTTTTTGTAAATACTCATAAAGAGTAAGTTTACAAATGCTCGCTCGAAAGCGGCGGTAGGGACGTTGTGTAACTAGAAAAAAGCGATAAGGGAAAAAAAATAAAAAGGCTGTTGCACTTGCTTTTTGACTTAGGCCTGGGTCGCTCGCACGCTGCTACTACAGAAGCTGCCTGGTAAAGCTTTAAACTGGTCCTGACCTCAACTTTAGCACTGCTTGGCTTTTAAAAATGTTGCGCAACTACTTCCTCCGGAAAAAAAAAGAACCGCCTCTCAAAAATGCTAGTCGATCTATCTCGTGCCTCTTCTTGCGCAGTTGCACTTAGGACGGTATGCGTGACGAGATTGAAGCTGCTTTGTCTTCACTCGCAGTTTTCGAACTTGGATACGCTTAGAACAACTCGAGAAGTTTTGATCATACCGTGCTGAGAGCATGTCAACTGACCTAGAGACATCGAACGGCTTCTGTAGAAAATTATGCGCATGCTTAGCCAGGAAAGTTACGCTGTAGCCCCCAACCAGCGGACTCACGTTGACCTACAAAGACCATCGCTTTCGGCAATAGAATTTGCAAGCCCCCAGCGCGGTTTAGGTAAGGGCGTTAGGCCACCCGGCGCATTTGTCTTAACTTAAGCCCTAACATTAAGTGGGCGTCAGGGTTTTGAACATACAAATAACAGAAGATGACGTTTTCAAAAAATGATGAACCTTCAAGAACTTAACCCTGTAGGAGAGAAGGACAGGTCCAGGAAACAGAAAAAACAAACCCACTACTATTGAGGCTTTCTACATCTTACGCTGCGGCTGCAGCTGCAGCATGCTCGCGCTCGCGACGCAGAGCATTGATCTTGCGGACATGTTCGTTTTTATTCAACAAAGTTTCCTCCTTCTCCTGCGCTGCAGCGTCGACGGCTGCCTGAACCTCCCCGAAGCGTTCCGGGCAGATAGATCGGGTTTTGTATACAATTTTTCCAGCAGTGTCTTTACCGAGCGGCACTTTCACAAGCAGTTTGTCGTCCTTTGTAAGGGATATGTGGGTGGGAAGGCGAATTGCGCGGAGGCCATCCAACAAACACTTCTTCGCGTTGGCCTTCACCAGCGGGTCGGCAGTTGGCGGCTTGCGGCGTACTAAAGGATCGGGCACAGCACCTGGCCCCTGCACCTGCTCTGCTTTCGTAACTTGCTCGGCAAACTCCCTGATGGCCTCACGCTCCTTCAGCTCCCGCATGTGTACAAAAGCGAGACGCAGGTTGCTGAACCACCCACGCTGGCCGTTATTGGCCTTCTTGCAGCTGTCGCACCCGCACGTGATCCACTGCAGCCGAAAGCGCACCGGCGGAACGCTGTCTTGCAGGAAATAGGCCCTGTACTGTGCAGGGTCGAAGGACGATGGTGAGCAACCGAAAAAAGGAAAAGCGCGAACCTCGTCGAGAATGTCAAAAAGCTCGTGGTGAAGGCCCTGCAGGTAGTGGTCTTCCTCCTCGGTGTGACCCGGTGTGCCTACCCGTCCGCACGTGGGGTGGCGCACTGTCAACGGGACTGGTTGCTGCGTTCCAATGCAGTCCGTTAGCGCTGCGATGCCTATGTGCCTGGAAACTTTCCCCAGGAACTTCTTGTCATTAGTCCCGACCCCGTGCACCCTTTCCTTTACGTTGTCCACAATTTGCTGGCGTGCAGAGTTGCTTTCTGGGGCCGGCGCGCAATGCCATCCATGCGACCAGTCCTGGGCTACTGGGCAGAGGGCGTCGTGCTCACTTAACTCGAAGTCACCTGTAGCCCCACCGACGATGTTCAGAGGATAGTGATCGAACTCCTCCCGTGCCCAATTCGCGTAGCCCCAAAACTCCTCCGAGTCTGCTACCCGGAAGCGATCATCCGGGCCCTGGCGATGAAAAGCGCATTTCTGGAGGTCGCCACATTTGCACCGAGTCGGGAACTCTAGGTCTTTGCGTACCTCCTTGCGCAAGTCCCGCAACTCACGCCCCAGCTCCGTCGTAGCCGAAAACTCACCAACCCGGATGTCAAACACTTCCCGGAAGATATTCATCCGCTCTCTCAATGTTCAGCTCTCTCAACTTCCCGGAAGTTCCGCTCTCTCAATGTTCAGCCGTTTTTCTTGGATATCAGCGAAAGAAGCTGATCCAAACCTATCCAGAAGCATTGAAGTTTGATTGCACTAGCGCGGGTCTGAATCCCGGAGAACACAATAACAAAACCAAATTTTGATCTCGTAGTGTCTGTAGCAGCTTGAAATAGATGCCCGAAGTTGTAGCGAGCTTTCTCTGCCACTACCTATCGTGGTGGCAGTGCCACTAAGCGTTCAGGGCCTGGGTGCGCCCCAAATGGCACATCAGGTGTGTATGCACAGGGAATGCTGCTATGCTCACTTAACGCTGGTGCGCCAAAGGCGTCCATTTTGCTTGCAGTGTGTGAGGCAACACTGCCGTCTTGCATTCGCCGCAACATGCTCGCGCGACTGAAATCAGGCAACGTCACATCCCGCGGCACGACGGCTTCATTCGCAACTCCTGCGAATTTCTGCGACGCAAGCGCATTTGGGTATAAATCTCGCTCAGGAGTAGAAGACGCACCCGGTCCTGAAAAGCTTGGTAGAGACGGGCCGGGACGATGGAGCGGCAGGAGAGCGGCTCCAGGAGGAGCGTGAGGTTGCGAAGATGTTGTCGGCCCTGCTGATTGCAGAGCCGGAGCGGCTTGCATCGTCGCGAGCGGGTGGGGATATTGATCGGCTGCCGGGCTTGGGTTCCATCCCTCAAACGGGTTTGTTGCCGCTCTTTCGCCTGGGCTTCGTTTTTTCACATCGACGCGGGCCAAACTTTTCTGCAGCAGCCGTTGGCTGGCCATTTCCCGCTCTGCGTCCGGAATCGTTGTCTCTTGATACGTTTTGTTATCGGTCGGCGTTGTGGCTTGCGCCTGCTCCACAGCGGGCGCGGCACACGCGGCGAGGTACGCAGCTTGGTTGTCGACGCCAAGGCTGAAAGCCGGCAAGTCATCTTGCTGTAGTTGTGCTGGACCCCCCAGAGTAGACGCAGCATTTGGTCTCGTCGGGCCGCCGGGATTAAGTGTTGCTCCTTCGGTGCCACAAGAAAACCCGGCAGGCCGAGTTGTTATCGACGGCTGTGTAAACTGTAATTGAAGTTGCTCGCCCAGGGGCCCTGGAACAGGTGGTCGGGTGCTGCTGCTCTGCTGCTCAATCATGAGCCCTCTTCCGGGAGGCTGTTGAGCCGGCGAATGATTAGCTGCGGTAAGTGCAGCTCCAGTTCCTCCTGGTGCGAACGATGGCAACTGAGCGATTGCATTGGCGCTTAATCCGCTCGGTGCGGCAAACGACGGCACGGTAACTAGTGGGTGCGGCGGCCCGGTCGTGGAAATCGGCGTCGCGGTATTTGTCGTGATATGTCCCGCCGCTGTCGCACCTCCACCAGCAGAATCTTGTTCACCAAGCAGGGTTTCTCGGAAGTGATGCTCCCACGCGAGATTCAACGAGGCGAAGCGAACCCCAGTGGCTGTCTGCAGGTAGCTGGGCTTGCCACGTGTGGAGCGCGACTCCACCATGGTGAATCCCGGCGGCACCAGGGACTCGACGCGCGTCGCGTACTGTTCGAGGCTCCCGGCGGAGGACAAGGGCGGGTCAATGGCTTTCCGAATGCAACTGGAGTGCGGACTCAGTTTTTTCTCTTTCAGCTCTCCGGTGGCGGGCAGCACAAAGCGGATGCAGAGAACATCCGGGGTGCGGTCGTAGACAAAACCCGGGAACCAGGCTTGCAGGGAGCTGCTGTAGATGAGCAGAGCGGTGTGCCGGTCGTAACCGTCTGCCATCACCGCCGGAGCTACGTTCGGCTCCGGTTGCTCGCCTGTTGAGGCAGCACGCCAGCTACTTGACCGGCCCGCAGAGCTAGCGGTCGTGCCGCCACGTGGTGGCGCGAACGCAGTTGGCTGCGAGTTGTGTGGAGCTGCAACTGCATAGCGCCCCGGGTGGTCCGGTCGACCAAGGGGAAGATCTGGTAGAGAGTTTTTCTCCGGGCTCCCTGACCCCCAGTCTGTCGCAGAGTTGTTCTCTTCATCCCCACTGGAGCCCCATCGTCCGTCCACACCACTTATCGTCTGCAAGGGACGGGGTTGTGGCAATAAATCCTTCTTCAAACCCTCGACAATTTCGGAGACACCCTCGCGGATCTTCTGCATGTTCGTCTTGCTTTCTTGTGCCGTACTCAAAAGAAGTTAGTTAGTACGTCGTGAAGCATATTTCTGTTTCTGTAGCCTTCAGTGATACTAAAAAAAATCCATTTAGCCGCTACCATGAAGTAGAAGAAGGTAACTTTCACGGAATTGAAGCAGCAGCATCGGCGTTTACGGTTGTGCCTGGTGACCTTCTTGAGTGCTGTGCACGAAGCGAAGGAAACAAAAACTCTGCTTCGCTCGGCAGTAACAGCCGTGGCGGTTCGTTGAACATGTCAGCGACTATTTGATTCTGCGGCATTCCGGTCCCCCGGTAAGGACTGCCGGTCTCACTCTCTTTTGTCCACCGCCCTATTGTACACATAAAAATATGATCATGTGAGGCAGAGGCACGATATCCTCACAGGACAGAAATTGTCAGTTACAGTTCTCAAACAAAGACAACCTTCGGTTCTGTTTGCAAAAGCGGCTACCGCTCCTGAAGGAATACATGCGAGAAGGTACTTAAATTTTTATCCATATGTGTCATATATCTACATAAACTTCAGTCAATGTTCCTCGTGTCAGTCGGCAGAAGTGTTGCATGTTGTCCGGTCGCTCACACATACCACCGTCGTGGTTCTATTATGAAACTACACTGTCGCCAGTAGTTGAGACCCTCGGTCGACTCGGGCGGATTTTTCATACGTCAAGCTTATTTGAGGCAACAAAAATGGCCGATAAACATAAGTCGCATGCATGGCGAGTGAAACTACTCCTTATGTGCCACCTTCACATTTATTTCTGCAAGAATATCAGCTCTCTGTTTGTGTTCGACTTCGATAGATGCGCCACACAAACTATCTAGTAGAGGGGAAGGGGTCGTAAATGGTTATTCTACTAGCAGAAGCAGTCGGAATATCACTATGTGCGATAGGCCAGCACTCCTTGTTTCATAGTCGCCTCGCTTTATCAAGATTTCGTTTACAACAGCATCATTTTTCAGGCATCGCCCTGCTCTCCTTCGACCGGAATCAGTTTCCAAGTGAGGTCCAACAGCAGCGGGCGGCGGTTTGATGCCGTCATCTCCGCGTAGCAGTCCGAAGAGCTTGGACGGGGGCGATGACGCTTTATCATCTTACGCTTTGCGTGGGACTTCGCGACCGGCCATCCCCCCGGCGGCGGAGCCGACCTGGGCCGTTGCAAATTCGGATTGTAGACCGGCAACGTTGCCCGGAAGAGCGCATTCGGCAGAGCGCTGCGGTGGGAGGCAGGGTGTTGCCCAGCCACTTCGTGCGGAAGAGCTAGCTTGATAGCTGGCGATCCGGAGCGTTGGTTCGGCAACACGGGTTCGGAAGCACTGGAAGCGAGCATCGTACTTACGACGTTTTGGGCCGTCTCGCAATCAGATTCGCAGCTGGAGAATTCGCAGGAGAGATGAATGTCATCCGCCTGATGGTTGTCGTGATAGTAGTTGTGCGACCCACCAGTGGTCGTGCGGGGCGGGAAGTCCCCGATGGGGCTGGGCGTTCTGCTACCTTTGAGACGACCGGCAGGGCTCGGCAAGGCAGAGCGCGGCCGCGCCTTGGCAGCTTGTTTTGTTTCTGCCGTGGCCGTACATGTTGAAACCATGCCGGCAGTTGTTGGGCGTGGCTCCTGCAACTCCAAGTCTGTCGTTGTCAACGACCTGAAGGCAGGCACATAGGGACTGCTTGCTGGCGTGGACCTTGCGGCCGGCCCGGGCGCACCTCCAGTAGGTTTATGTGGTCGCAGAGCATGAGCTCGGTTGAGACACTCGGTCATCCGGGCCATAGTAGAACTTGAGGTGGATGCGAACGAAGCGGCTCCGCCAAGTCTGGTGCGTCCGGAGGGCACAAGCGAGTCCAAAGCGGTTCTGCCCCCTGCTGGCGGCGAGGGTCTCGTGGGCCGTCGCGAAGCAGAACCACTGGCAAGACTTTTTGAGTATGTCGAGCCACTTGATGTTCTTCTGCTGTTGCTACCTCGGGAAGCGGACGATGACGTTGCGCCAGAGGTCGCCATTTGATCAAAGAAAGACCTCGATTCGCCCATGCGCACGATGGCACCACCGCTCCAAAGCGCGAGCAAAAATCGGCATTTTTTGCCTAACATACCTGGCGAACAACGCTCGCGCTGTCGTTCGGCTGGTGCGTTTCCCCAAGACATACTGATACTCGACTTCCTCAAAACACTTTTTCCTTTCGTTTACTTGGTAGAAACGTAGCAATGGGGTCTTGTTTCATTCATCTTGGACGGAAGAAAGCGAGATTGAGACACACGAACGCGCTTTTTAAATACGAAACTTGAAGAACGCCGCGGCCATCATCGGACCAACGGATCGCCGTCAAACAATCGACGCTCCTGTTTTCATATAGAAGATGAACGCAAACCAATAATCTGAACCAAAAATGGAGAGAATTGCACACAGGAAGTACTCACTTAAGAAGTAATGGAACAAAAGAGCAGGCGCTTTTCCTTTTTCTCGACACAGAGTTGATTTTCCGGTGGAGTGTATTCTTTAGGATGATGATAATGTCCAAAAAATGTAGTCCTGCTAAGCATTTCGATTTCGACAATCATTCGATTCCAACTTCTGAAACATTGAAATGCACGGTAGCATGTTCTAGATCCTACAATGCGTGGTGTTATGAGGACTCGCACGGGATATGTATTTCGCTGTATTCCATCCACCCGTGTTATCGCCGCGGGTACCGATGGAGTAGAAGAACATTGTACATATTTTCCATTTTCCGACACTATTAATTTCCTCCATCCTTCGAGCGCGACTCACAAGAAAAATAAAAAATGATTTAGAAGTTATTTATCGATATCGGCTGCATGTGCATAAAGGTGGATTAACACAAACATATAGAGGTGATTCGCAAGCCCAAGCCCACGCTCTACCATCATCGATTCTGGTGTCGGATGCTCTTGATAGCCAAAGCGCCCAAGGCGGAGAAAATGACCAGTTGCAGCGCCACCATGCCGAGGCACGCCCAGGAGTTCCCCATGATGTCTCCGTGCAACTCGTAGAAGTGCAAGACGTTGGTTGGCCTGTTTTCACGAAAAAAGAGCGGTAGGCCACCCGGTTCGGTAAGGTTGTCGTCTTGGTAATTGTTGATCATGATGGCGCCCCAGCTGTATCGCAGGAAGCTGATCCAGGAAAACCAGTACCAGCCATCCGGAATCTTGGAGAAAATCATGAAGAGTCCGCCAAAGTACATGCACACGGTCACGTAGGTGGGCAGCAGTGCGTTGGCTGCATCAATCGTGGGACACACCGCCGCACACAGGTACGCGAGTACGATGCCCACCATGGCGGTGGTGTAGTAAATCAGGATCAGCATGAACAGGTTTCCACTCAAGCTGCAACCATAGTAGACCGGGATCATGAGCAGCAGCGAGGTGGTGGAGCAGAGAACGGACTCTTCCACGAACTTGGACAGGTAATAGGTCAGCGGACCTGGAATTCACGAGTTTTCATTTTATTTTGCTGGTTATTTCGGCAAGAAATTTTGAATAAACAGAGATTTGTTGTGGATGTTGAAGCGCAATAAGCACACACAGACATGAGTTTGAGTAGAGAAGGCGCATGCTGAGAACAAACACAAACAACTCTAAAGAGCTGAAATGCAATTTAAGTATGCATGGCATGATGGTGGATAACAATATGTGTATCGAAAAAAATTCAAACTTTTCTTGGGCTTCCTTTTTGAATACCGTAGCATCCGTCGGCAGTCTCGCGGTAGTACAGCGGCCGGTCGAGCGTCAAGCTCGGGACGAACGCGGCAGCGCCGTAGCCGCAGAGCGCCACGATGAAATACAGCATGGCTGCGCAGGAGAGTATGGACTGCGCGTCTTTCTGGGACCCAATATCCCAGTATAAGGAGAGGATGATGAAGCCCATGAAAATTTTGTCGCCGATGCGGGGACCGAGGAACTCCGGGTCCTTGTAGTGCGCGCGCATCCGGTACCGCAGCAAGGTTTTTAGTTTCGAGAACGAGCTCGGCGGGTTGTACCCAGCCGCGAGCTTTGCGGTACGGTCGTCGTTGGGGTCGGCCTTTTCTAGTTCGCCGACTTTATTGAGCAGTTCAGAGTAGTCCGGACTGCCAGCAAAGGCTGCGACCAGGTCGACCGCTTCGAAAGAAAAGGCTGGCTTATTATCTTTCGTCGCCCCTGCGACCACGGGCGTGTCCTCTTTCGAGGAACTTCTTGCCAGGAGTTCCGCGGGTGACGCCTCCTCCAAGTCGTAGGTGGTCTGGGACACGTTTCCGGAAGTGACATCGACGAGCCATTCCGGCAAACTGAAAGAACCAAAGTCAATGCGCTTTGGCTTGCTTTTCGACCCCGCAGAGTCGTTCGTCACTACGCGCTGTCGCACGGTAGTGCCGTCCGCGACGTGCTTGTTCATCAATTCTTGTTCCATGGAAATCGCAACGTCTTGCTCGTCCTTCTTCTGTGCGGATGCCGTGCCGTCCGCGGCTTCGGTGGGAGCCACTGCGCCACTGCTATTAAACGGGGGCTGCACTACTTCCGGTAGCTGGAGTGGCTTGTCACCGGAGGCAGTAGTTGCGGCGAAATTTCCTTCAGAGGCGAAAACCTTTTCGAAGTAAGGTTGCGCTTTTCGCAATTCGCCGTGATAGAGCAAACACCCGTCCCGGAGCATCACCAACTCGTCGAACAGGGAAAAGGCCAAAGCTGTCGGACTGTGAATCGTGCACACGACGGTTCGCCCCTCGGCAGCCAGCGCTTTCAGCAACATCACCACCTCGTTCGCGGTGTAGCTGTCTAGGCCGCTCGTCGGCTCGTCCAGATAGATCACAGCCGGTCGGGTGATCAGCGCCATGGCTATGTTCGTGCGCTTGGCCTATGATTATTTCCACATTTACAATTTTCACTGTTGTGCGGTCTTATTTTCATGATGAAGACTAGACTTCTAATTCCCACTTGTAGCTCTTCAAACTAAAGACGAGCAACATTTTTATGCTACCGATCTCCTTACGACCAATAGAACTTTCAATGCAACGACATCGTTTTTGTCAACTTCTAGTGAATATGCAACATGATTGAAAGAACTTGATCAAGGCGCACCTGGCCGCCGGATATGCCCCTCTGCAGTACGGTTCCTATCTTCGTATCGGCGCAGGGCTGGAGGGAGAGTTTTCGAATTACGCTTTCCACGAGCCCCACGCGCTCCTCCCTGCCGATAGTCCTCGGGAGCTTCAGCTCAGCCGTGTAGAGGAGCATCTCTCGAACTGTGAGTTCTCCCGCGAGGGTGTCAATATGGATGTGTCAGAGTTGAAATCGACAAAGTTGAAATAACTTCAACTTGTAATGCATAAAATGCGACACAAAAAATGACTCTATTGCAGAGGACGTAAGGGAGGCAGATTATAGTCCTGGTAAGGGTCAAAAGTTGGACTGCTGACTAGCATGACAGAAGGCAGCTCTTTTGCCCTAAACCGCATGACAGACTCGCTTCCAGGACCGGGAAGAATTTGTCATGCACCGACTACAAACTGCAGGTCTAACTGGCATCCATTTTATACATTTACATTGCAAATTATTTCAACTTTGTCGATTTCAAACCTGACACTCCCATAGTCAAACTGCTCGACGTAGCCGGTCACCATCGACAACATCTCCCGCTGCAAGGGCTGTCCAGCGTAGCAAATCGAGCCTTCGGTGTGCGCTTGTTGCATGGTTTTGCGTCCGGCCAGGAGGTCCATAAGTGTGGTCTTTCCGCTACCGGAGGGGCCCATCAAGGCAGTCAGCTTGCCCGGCTGGAAGCAGCCGGTTAGATTCTTCAAAATCTGCAACTGCTTCTTGTTCCCACTGTCATCCTTCGTTGGGAGCTCCACACGGTACGACAGATTTCGAAACGTGACCGGAATGCGCGCATCCGACGCATCCACGGTCACCGTGGTGCGTCTTTCGGGGGGCATCATCTTCTTGGCAAGTTTTACTTGATGACCATACAACTTCTGCTGGGAACCGAGGACTACTATCTCAATAAATGCGACTATGACTTACCAAAAGTGCAGTGGCGCGGCACTGTAGCGATCTCAGTGTCTCGAAACACGGCGTTGGAGACGTTGAAGGACTCAGCTCTATTAAGCACCTGTCGGGTTGTTCTAGAACGACTCAATAGGTTTGCGAGCGCAGTACAGGGACAATTTCTGCGCTTGCGATAGGGTTACGAGCAGGATGATCCTGCTGCACGGGGACCTTGAAGTTGAACGAGAAATAAAATCTATCACTTCATCCACACCCACCGCGGCGACGACCGCCCTTTGTATGACAATGGTTTTCATGCTCCTGCTCGCCTGGCGTTCTGGTTTTACAAAACAATCCGTTTGCGTTTTGCCCTGCGGAACGAATATTATGACAAAAATTGCAGCAAGGAATCAATCGGATCGGCGCGGCGTTTTACCGCCTTGGTGGTGTGGTGACCCGTACTCGGGGCTGCACGAGCTCCGGCGAGAGTTTTCATGAGCTAAAATCGACGAACTTTTCATGAGCTAAAATCGACGCTTACTGCTATAGGAGAGGCGGCCATCGATGAACTTGCACCCCTCCCACGATCAACCTTGGTATCGATGAACCTTGATAGGCTCGCACGCACTTGGTGTGGCGGCACAGCAGTTTTTTCTTTAGACACCTCGGAATAACCAATGAGATAATCATGTATCACTGCTTCGTAAGCATCTCAAGAGGTGCGTGAACAACGAGAAACCGATGTTATGGAGTCATTCCGAAAATCTAACTTCGTCCGAGTAGTAAGTTGTACCCCGGCGGTATCTAAAATCGCATCCTGGGTGGAACACACATCCATATTATCCATTGGGCGTTGTGAGGTATGATGACGGTACGCGAACGGTGTCAGAGATCAACGTCCTTGGTCCCGTGTTGGTGTTCGTTGCAACAATCACATAGCAAATTTTGTTTAACAAGTCTACTTGTCGTTCTGCTTCTGTTAAATTGTCGAATGGTCAATACATATGTTTCATACAATTCTCTTCGATACATGCGGTAGATATTTTCATGTTCAAACAAATTCTTGTTTTTTGCACTTCATACCTTCGATTCCGATGGGATTTCCGGGTTGTTTTTCAAGCACTGAGACTGGGCATGCAATCGCCGTCTGCGCTGAAAAACATCAAATCGCAACAATCCTCCAAGAAGTATGTGAATTGTCTTTGTGATTATACTGCATTTTCCAAAAAAATTTCAAGACTTTGTTTCGTAAAAGAGACAGCCTTCGAATTTATTTCATAAACCTACTTCCTCCCTGTCGACGACGCTGTTTTTGAAGATTTTGCCTTTCGCTAGTAGTTCGTAAGGTGATATTAACAAGTATTGAGATACAACTGCGGCTTCGATATCCGCAAGCTACTACCCACAGGAGCTCCGAAGACTGCGATTCTATTGTCTATGAAGCGCATGTGCATGCAAATGCAATCCTCGATGATTTCGAAACATTTTTTGCTTTTTCGAGCAGACAACAGATGCAGATTGTAGAAGTAGTAGAAGTTGTACATGTACTGAAAACATAGTATACTGTACATGTGTAGTTTGATGTCCTCGTGATCGTTGATGCACTTTCGTATCGAGCGAGTATTTTTAACTAGTAGTACTGAAGCGTTTTCTTCCCGCGGCGCCACATCCTCTGGCACCAGCATCTTCGATACTTAGAGGTGTTTATTTGCTCGGTTTCATACAGGTAAAGTATCTAGCAGTTTTCTGTATCCTGTCGACACGACCCTTTGTTCTACTTTGTTCAATGCTACATGAAAGAAAGTAAATTTGCGATGGAGAAGCCACTTCATTGGCATCGGATTCCGTTCATCGTCAGCCTCGCCAGGTGTATAGGTCTGTGTGCGCAGGGGCAGGCAAGCCGGCGGCAAAGCCACAAGATGATTCGGATTGGCACTGTTCATTACTTAGTCGAGAGGAAGCGACGGGCAGGTTGCGTTCGTGAAGCTCCAGTGTCGTGGTCGGCTACTTCTTGCCTCCTTTTCCGTGTGCGCCTCCCTTTTTCCACCCTTTGTAGCCCTGCTTCCCGTATCCCTTCCCAACGGTAGAGTTCGCAGCGTACCTGCAAATATAAATTTTCATCTGGCAAAAAATCACCACCTTTCTTGCCCCTAAAAATTCTGAACGTTAGAGTCATATGATACTGCTAAGTCCTTACGGAGGACGATGCCGAGGAAACAAAAAACACGGGAGCATCAAAAGTACTCTTTTCCTTCTTGATTCGCGGCTTGGTCCTGACCATGGTAAGAGCCGCCTCCTGGAATCTGCCACATGTGGTCGCTTCCATTCCAGTTTGCCCGTTGCGGGTACAGGGGATGATGTGGCTGGCCCTGTTGCGGCTGGGTTTGCTGAAGCTGATATCCCCCCATTTGCTGCCAGTGGCCGTGCTGTGGTTGACCGGGTTGGGGCTGCTGATGGTCATACGCAGCCGGATTCTGCATCATGGAACCGTTTTTATTGAATACCGGCTGACCTCCGCGGTTCCCCGCAGTTTGTTGCATGTGCGCTGCTCCACCGGGGTGCTGGCCGTACATTTGCATGTGCTGTTGATGCTGCTGCATTTGCACGGTCGTTCCAGGGTGTTGTTGCGGAGCAGCAGATTGTAGTTGGACAGCACTACTGGCTCCTGGGTGCGGTTGGGGGTTCTGATACATGTTGTATCCCGCGCCGGCTGGCGCGCCGCCTTTATTCATGATATTTCCGCTGTACAGGTCAACAAAGCCATTCGTCGGGTCCGGCTGCTGCATTTGGCCTGGCGTACCCGCCCAACTTGGGTTCTGTCCAGCAACTGCACCTCCGGGTGGAGGACCCCCTCCGTAGGGACCTGGTCCGGCAAAGGGAGCGCCCTTGTGCTGCTGATGTTGCTGCGCACCGTCGAAAAATGGGTGAAAATCTCCGTTGCCCGTCCCCGGCGCATGAGCATGCTGAGGACCCCCTTGGTTGGCGTTGGGGTGCGGTCCACCCATCAAATTGTGGTACTGCTGGTGTTGAAGTTGGCCACTGTGGTGCAGCGAGCCTTGTTGCGCTACAACCTGAGGACCTCCACTACGCTGGTGCTGGTTCTGAGGGTGCATTCCACCAGTGCTGCTGTAGGCGTGTGGGTGCTGCTGGTGGTCTACTCCTTGACTACTACTGCTGCTTCCCCCTTGTCCATTGTTGCGATGTTGCGCGGCCAGATGGAGTTGGTCCCCTGCGTTCATCGTTCCCGCACCCTGTGAGCTGTTGTGCGGTTCGCCTAGATGGTGCTGGTGTGCCGATCCGCTGCCTCCGTGCTGCGAGGTCGTGGCCGTACTCAGATGTGTGTTCGCGCGCGAAAGGTTGAAGTTGTTATTGGAGGACGTTGCGGCCGATGCGGCGGAAGTTGAGTCCATGGACTCCATGCGGAAGCGGTTGCCCGGGTGATGCATTTTTGCGCTGTTTGGAGGACCCCCGTGCAGGTGATGTTGCCCTCCACCACCGCCCCGGGCGAGATGACCACCTCCACCGCCGGAGCCATGATGGTGGCTGTTGTTCATCATGTTGGTCCCTCCACCTTGCGGGTTGATGTTGTTTCCCCCGCTCATCATCACCGTGGAGCTGCTGTTGATGTTTGGAGGTCCGCCGGTACTACTAGGCAGCAAGGTGCTACCGCCGCATTTCCCACAACCGAGCTCGAAGTCTGGGCGGCCCGCGACCAAGTGGGAAAAGGAGAGCCGCATCTTCGGCAGGCAGTGCCCCGTGTTCCAGAGGTGGGACAGCGCTTTCGCGTGCACCTCCATGCCGGGGCGCGTGGCGAACGTGTCCTGCAGCGTCTGTGTGACATCTCGCATGCGCAGCAGCGGTTTTTGCCGGGGCAGTGGGTCGTACACGCGCGCAAACGTGGGTTCAAATTTCACTTCCTGCTGCCAGTTGTACGTGTCCGGCAGCGGGCTGTGGAAAGAGTTGATCGCATCGTCCAAGAAGTCCAGATCGACCTCCGCCTCATCGCAGGTACTGCTGTCGTCCTCGTGCTGAAGGTTCTGCTTGTGATGTTCCTCCAAAAAGGAGCGCACGCGGAGCGCGGCAGCCGCGTCCGGCACCGGTTTCGGGCGGAACGCGAGGTCCTCCGGCTCCCGGGCGTGAAACGCGGTGTTCAGGAAGTCTTCTGACCCATACTCTTCAGACAGAGCGAACAGACCCACAGATTGGGGGTCCTCTGGCAGTTCCGCTATTTTTAAACTGGCTTTTTTCTCGCTCATTTCCACCATGTGGCCTTCTTCTCTTGCACTTTTAGGCCGTGCTGAGGTAGACACTTCGCTACTGTGTTCCTGCTCGTCTTGCTGATTTTCAGATGAAGTATTCAAGCGGTCCTGTTGTGCGGCTGTTTTTTTGTCTTCTGGTGCGTCGCCGTCGGCACGACGGTGAGCCCCTTGCTGTTCATCTACGGATTTACCTTGTGCGACTAGAGCGACAGTAGAATGCGCTCCTGTTCCGACAGTTTCAGCCACTTCTTCTTCTCCGGAGGAGGAATCGCCACGGCCAACCGCGGATGGGCAGGAACTACCTGATCCATTATGTTCTACCTGGTCTACTGGCGTTGTACTGCCGAAGGAGTCAATCGGAGAACTGCCCTGGAGTTGTTCTTTCTTTGCTCGTGGCTTGGTCACTTTCGGTAGCAAATGGTAGTACAAGCAGAGCCCGCGAAGCAACAGCACCTCGCTTCCGGTCTGATACATCACGCCGCGCTCGTACGTGGAGTCGAATCGGTTCTCCGTTTTCATCAGCTGTCCAAAATCCCACACGCCCGTTGCCATGGCACCTTTGTTTTTCCAGTTGTTGCTCATGTCCATCGTAGCAAAGGGGCCCTGGAATGTGAGCACGGGAAGACGATTTTGACCATTCGTGAGCTCGTGGTGCTGAACCAGGCGGCGGACGCTGTTTAGATTGATTGAAGGACGATCGCCAACGTGCAAACAAGACCAGTACCGTAATGCGTAAACTCGAGCAGCAGTAGGGACGCACCACATGCGCGACGTTAATACGTCTTCACAGAATCTTGATGGGGGCTCTTGGCATATTGAAGTGGACTTTAGGCTAAAGTAGGTACTGTAGACACATGAAATCAAACGTAAACCAAACCGTTCTTGGATTTCCACAGCTGGGAACAACAATGAGTGAGAGTCTCCGGACGAGGATTCGCCTTGCATTCTTCGCTGCAAACTCGGCGAGAAGAGCAGGTGCTTGAGGTCTACACGGCTGGGAAAGTTGGCGACGACGGACGTTTGAAAGCCCTGGACACTCGCAGGGAGCTTCAAACTCGGCGCCAGCGCTTGGGTCAGGAAGGCAAAATCCCGTTGGCTGTCGAAAGAAACCCACGTCAAGTGATCCCTGGGCATCGTTTTCAGCATCTCGCCAAACGCCTTCAAAGTGATTCCCTCACTCTGGTGTCGCCACCAATTGATCGAAGTCCGCTCGTTCCAGAATCGTGCAGTTTCTGCGTCATGCTTGTCCTGCAAGGAACAACAGATGAAATTCTTTATCGCAATTTTTCCAAAACTTTTACATTCTACGAGGAACGTCGATAGGGAGACCACAGCCCGAATCAGGTAAAAAATCTCACATGATTGAAACTCCCTTGAGAAGAACTTTGGCACTCTGAGCATTATACCAGCGTAGACTCGCGATCTGAGTTCAATTCCAAGGCCGATTTACCGGGGTGCGTGACGTGAAAGAGGTCACTGACTTCCGTTTTGTCGCGGAGATCTCGGGTCCAGTCGAAATGAAACAAGACCTGCCAGACCAGCGGCAGCCATTCCTTCGTAGCTCGCGGGAGGTTCATGCTTTCTTTGCCCGGAATGTTCAGGTCTTCGCCCGTAAAGCAAAAGGACAACTGCAGCAGCTTGCTTTCATATTCGTTCACGTTAGTTCGCACCGTCGAGTAGTTCTGCACGTTGGCAGGAATCGTGGGCTTGTAGTTCTTCGACGTAGAAGTTCGTTGTTCATCTTCATGATCTCCTCGTCCCACTTCGTGCAGCTTGTCCCCCGCTGGTGTTCTTGTAGAGTCTTGTTGTCCACCTCGGGCGGGCACCATAGGAACATCACCGGCCGGCGCGCCACCGTCCGTCTCTGCATCGACGTGCTCCGGGTCCGGCGAAGGAAAAAAGCCGTTGACATGCTGCCACCCCGAGGCCATCGAAGAAACAAAGCAGTACTTGGCACGGGACGCGGTGTAGTTTATCAGCTGGAACTCGACTTCCAGGTTTTTCGTGGTTACCTCGCGGACATTCAGCCGCCGCAAAAACCGCTGGCGCAGCTTGCCGTGAGAAGCGCGGTCTGCTTGCTTCTTGTCAGCGGCTGCCCGTGCTGCCGCATCTTCCTCCGGGCACGACGACCTGGTTGTAGCCGCGGTGGTACCTCCACCTCCTCCCGAGGCAGCAGTTGTACTGGCACCGGTGCAGGAGTCGTCCTGCTGATGATGTTTCTGCTGCTCTAGTACTGAAGCAGCGGAAGTTGGTGCTTTCTCTGGGGGTTTTAGGACTGTCTCAGAAGCATTGTTGTCCTCGGCGTTAACCAGGTCGTCCTGACCTTCTTGAGCTTGACCGCCGGTGGTCTCATCAGGATTTTTCCCCTCGTCCTTGTTGTCGCCCCTGGCGGGCCAGCCTGTATCGGCGCCAGCGGTCGGGTCCTGATTCAGATCCTCCTCCATGGAAGCGTAGCGGGTCCGCCGTCTGGTTTCCAGCGCGCTCACGAACTCCGCGTGGTCCCACTGATCGTCCTGACTTACGATATGCAAGAAAAAAGATTGTCAGTGTAGCTTTGTGATATTACGCAACATGATATCAGGAGGCTGCGTCTGTCATGCTGGTCATGCAGCTTGCAGGGTCCATGTCCATGATTGATAAGATCATGCGCGTTTTCACGTTCTATTTGCGCATGACAGGTTTTTGCTATCATGCCAGACACATTTGTGACGCAGCTACACTTCCACACGACTTTTTTTCTTCGATACACGACAAACAGCTCGCATATGGGGCTCTCAAACGTTACATTCTCAACTGTTACATGATTTGTCATGCAAAATGACCATGACCCGCCAGACTATCAAACTGCTTCGCATGACAAATGGCCGGAGGGCTAAATAGCACTGTACTCCGCACCAAACCTGTAATGCAAGACGCGCAAGGGTCTCCCTCTCACCTGTGCTAGTCTTGCATTACAAATTCATGCAACAGTTGAGAATGTAACGTTTGAGAACGCCATATCGCAGTCCTCGTCGTCCCCGGTCTTCGCTGCAGCTCGCCGGCGTGCCTACGTTCTATTGAGAGGCAAAATCCCCCCTCCCCATATCGAAAAGGTATGTTTTCAAAAATTTGTGTTGCGGATTTGAGGCCACAAATCGCATCTGTCTTGCAAGAAGACAACTCCATAGGCTCTGCCGCATTATGCAGGCGGTTTGTGATGCTCTTGGGCCTACAGCATAGTCGTTTTTCATGCAAGGCGCCTAGGCCAAAAGCTCTCTACTCAGGCTTTGCAGGAGCCTGCAGTCCTCTACTGCAAGACATACCTGATTTGTATACGCAAATCCAGCATCAGAAACTTCCTTTTCGATATGGGGAGGGGGGATTTTTCATTTTGATACGTTCATGCGCTTGATTCATTTCCACGAGAGAAACGTTTTAGCAATGAGAGAATGCTGCATAACTTGACACTACGCAGTTGGTAGCAGTAGTCAGTTAGAGAGAGTGGCATAATCTCTACAATGACTAGCTAAAAGTCAGAAAACCCATTATCTAATAGTATCCCGCAATAAAAACAAAGAATAGAAACGAAAAACAAAAACAAAGAATGGAAACGAAAAACGAAAACAAAGAATGGAAACAAAAAACGAAAACAAAGAATGAAAACAAAAAACGAAAACAAAGAATAGAAACGAAAAACAAAAACAAAGAATGGAAACGAAAAACGAAAACAAAGAATGAAAACAAAAAACGAATAGAAACGAAAAACAACAACAACGAAATGCAGACAAAGTGCCCAAGCTTCTAAGCGGCGAAGCCTCGAAACGATGAGGCCTCGAAACGCCGAAGGAAGCAGCGAAGCCTCGAAGCAGCGAAGCGTCGAAGCAGCAAAGCCTCGAAGCAGCGCAGCCTCGAAGCCGCGCAGCCTCGAAGCCGCGCAGCCTCGAAGCAGCGAAGCCTCGAAGCAGCGAAGCCTCGAAGCAGCGGAGCCTCGAAGCACCGAACAAGCAACGAAGCCTCGAACAAGCAGCGAAGCCGCGAACTTTTTTTCTTCGATACACGACAAAGAGCTCGCAGTCCTCGTCGTCCCCGGTCTTCGCTGCAGCTCGCCGGCGTGCCTACGTTCTATTGAGAGGCAAAATCCCCCCTCCCCATATCGAAAAGGTATGTTTTCAAAAATTTGTGTTGCGGATTTGAGGCCACAAATCGCATCTGTCTTGCAAGAAGACAACTCCACAGGCTCTGCCGCATTATGCAGGCGGTTTGTGATGCTCTTGGGCCTACAGCATAGTCGTTTTTCATGCAAGGCGCCTAGGCCAAAAGCTCTCTACTCAGGCTTGGCAGGAGCCTGCAGTCCTCTACTGCAAGACAAACCTGATTTGTATACGCAAATCCAGCATCAGAAACTTCCTTTTCGATATGGGGAGGGGGGATTTTTCATTTTGATACGTTCATGCGCTTGATTCATTTCCACGAGAGAAACGTTTTAGCAATGAGAGAATGCTGCATAACTTGACACTACGCAGTTGGTAGCAGTAGTCAGTTAGAGAGAGTGGCATAATCTCTACAATGACTAGCTAAAAGTCAGAAAACCCATTATCTAATAGTATCCCGCAATAAAAACAAAGAATAGAAACGAAAAACAAAAACAAAGAATGGAAACGAAAAACGAAAACAAAGAATGGAAACAAAAAACGAAAACAAAGAATGAAAACAAAAAACGAAAACAAAGAATAGAAACGAAAAACAAAAACAAAGAATGGAAACGAAAAACGAAAACAAAGAATGAAAACAAAAAACGAATAGAAACGAAAAACAACAACAACGAAATGCAGACAAAGTGCCCAAGCTTCTAAGCGGCGAAGCCTCGAAACGATGAGGCCTCGAAACGCCGAAGGAAGCAGCGAAGCCTCGAAGCAGCGAAGCGTCGAAGCAGCAAAGCCTCGAAGCAGCGCAGCCTCGAAGCCGCGCAGCCTCGAAGCCGCGCAGCCTCGAAGCAGCGAAGCCTCGAAGCAGCGAAGCCTCGAAGCAGCGGAGCCTCGAAGCACCGAACAAGCAACGAAGCCTCGAACAAGCAGCGAAGCCGCGAACTTTTTTTCTTCGATACACGACAAAGAGCTCGCAGTCCTCGTCGTCCCCGGTCTTCGCTGCAGCTCGCCGGCGTGCCTACGTTCTATTGAGAGGCAAAATCCCCCCTCCCCATATCGAAAAGGTATGTTTTCAAAAATTTGTGTTGCGGATTTGAGGCCACAAATCGCATCTGTCTTGCAAGAAGACAACTCCACAGGCTCTGCCGCATTATGCAGGCGGTTTGTGATGCTCTTGGGCCTACAGCATAGTCGTTTTTCATGCAAGGCGCCTAGGCCAAAAGCTCTCTACTCAGGCTTGGCAGGAGCCTGCAGTCCTCTACTGCAAGACAAACCTGATTTGTATACGCAAATCCAGCATCAGAAACTTCCTTTTCGATATGGGGAGGGGGGATTTTTCATTTTGATACGTTCATGCGCTTGATTCATTTCCACGAGAGAAACGTTTTAGCAATGAGAGAATGCTGTATAACTTGACACTACGCAGTTGGTAGCAGTAGTCAGTTAGAGAGAGTGGCATAAGCCCCACTTGCCCGCACAGGAAAGACAGAGAAAAGCCCTCAAAACCCGCAAGAACAGTCCTACTCCAGGACGCGCAAACACGCTACCTAGAGCGACCCCTCGACGTGCAGCGTCTCACTACCGCAGCTACTGAAAACCCTTAAAGCGCACCGAAAAGAACAAGCGTGCGAAGGTCGTACAGACAAATCTTTGCCCTTCCTAGCTCGAAGCAAGGGCTTCTAGAGAATTCCCCGTCCGCGAAAGATCGTCTGTCCGGTGATACAAACAACCGCAGCGCAAGCTCCGGCTCGGCTGCGCGGACAATGAAAAATTCTGAGGACCTACCCAGGGAAAAACCGAGCGCAAACGTGTCGGCCTCGTGCAACGGGTCCCCAAGACCACACAAGGGAAGACGCTCCGGCTATTGACGCTTCCGGAGAGAAAACGCAAATGAAAAAAGGGCGACAACATGCAAACGAACGAAAGAAAGTCCCCAGGTGGACCGGAAAGACGTGACGTGACTACTGGCGAGGTGTGGCAACATCGCGGGGCAAAAAGTGCCAAAATCCCCTTCCATTCATAGGAAAACCAGCGCAAGCGGTCGTAGAAAATGATAGCGAATGCTCAACCGAGAAAACACTGCGGACCGGGGTGTGGCAAACGACAGGGGGAAGGACAGGAGCAGCTCTAGAGGGCCCAGAAAAGGTAGGCCTAGAGGAAGAAAAAGCAACGCTCCGTCGCCCCCGGAGTAGAAAGTCAAACAAGCCTGTCTCAACAGACAAACAGCTCGCAGTCCTCGTCGTCCCCGGTCTTCGCTGCCTGGAGTAGAAAGTCAAACAAGCCTGTCTCAAATGCCGCGCCCGGCCAAAAATCAAATTCCACTGCAGACAAACCACGGGAGCGCCCCGGCTTGAAGCCAAATCCGTAGAGAAAAGCAAGTGCGATCCAGCAAAACACCCACGCAAGCATAGGTCAAGGAAGGGCTGGCCGCCCGAACGCTTAGTATCTCCTGCATCATGTGTAAATCCGAACCAACAAAGCCAAAAGAACAGCTTATTCGCGAACACTAGCACACGGCGCGAACAGAGAGAATCCAAAACCCCACCTCTGTGAGCACGGTAAACTTCCAGACCTAAGTACCTCCCAAGAGCAGACCGCCGATGGACGAGGACTCATCTCGTCCAACTGAAATTACACACAAAGCCCGTCCCTTACTGGGCGGCAAAGAAGCCTCGCGGAAAACCAAAGCAGAAAAGTTACTTCCTCAGAAGAGCAAAGGAGCCTATCGGTATCAACCCTGATTCAGAGTGGCAAACCACCTCCCCACCTGGGGAATTCACTTCATATGAAGCCAGCAACCCAACACAGAGGCGAGGCACGCACCTGGCGTGAATGCTGTTCCCACGACAGCTACAAAGCAAGGGATCCGCCTCAAGCGGGCCGCGCAGCCACTAGACCAGAGCGAACAGCGGGCGATCCCCGAGCACGTCAGGCTCCATCATGCCGGCGAGTGTGACGTGGCTACCCCCAGAACCATCACCGCCGTGATGAACGATAGCGCGCCCACCTACTGACACTGAGCGTAAGCCTCGGCCAACCGCGCCTCTAAACCTAAAGGGAAGACACAGATAAGGTGGCGTACGCATGAAGAGTAAATCAGAGAAAGCGCAGCCACGCATAAAGAGCAGCCACGCGTGGCACGTGCTAACACCTCATCCGAGAGCCGCGTAACCATACCGAGACGAAACGCCGCCCAACCCCGAGCGATTCTTGTCGATATATCCGACCAGAGGAACACTTAGTGCGCGAAGAAGCGGCGAAGGTTGCGTCCTACCCCCAAGCCAAGTGCTACGGACAAATCCCCTGCAGAGCGAAACGGTCTAGCAACCGGCGGCGCAAAAATCCGCAAGCCAACGAGCTCCAAACTCCGGAAACGGCCCCCCGCATGGGAAAACAGGCACAGAGTTGGCGGCAGGGCAGCGCTGAGGCCCCCCAGGAGGCCCTCCAAAAGCCGGAAAAACTACGACAGTAGATGCGTCCTGGCCCAGTTCCCTTCCGGAGAAAATGTCGCTAATAGAAAAAGACAAAGAGCTCGCAGTCCTCGTCGTCCCCGGTCTTCGCTGCAGCTCGCCGGCGTGCCTACGTTCATGAAATGAAAATAACCAAGGTCAGAATGACGCCCCTTGTCGAATACAACGGAGCAAAACCTTGCAAGTAGACCTCGAGAAAGAAGCCTGCAATAGCAAGCACACCTCGAAAATGAGTAATAAAGTGAGACCCACAAGAAAACCAAAGCCGGCAGAAGCCGGAAAATAGAGTAGAAAAGCAGCCTGCAGCTAGGCCCTGAAATCCTTCTCCGCACCCGGGAGAACCTGGGACAATAGACTTCTCGCCCTCACAAGTGGAAATCCAAGAGAACCCACTCCCCGAGCGGGGAGAGTGGAGAAACCCCCGAAGAAACGGCATAAACGCGGCTGATGCTCCCTCACCAGCACGAGAGATGTGTGGCGATAAACTGCAGGACTGAAACACGCTCGCTGAGTGACGCAAGGGGGATACTCCGACTTGTACGGGAAAAGCGCGAATGCGAAATCAAGCAGAAACTCACTCCGCCATCACAAACGGATGCGGAAATCAAATAAAATCGACCCCGAAGGGGAAATGGATTCCCGACTGTCTCCTCGCAAGGGGGGAATAGGGGGCCACTCCCTGTCGTCCCCGGTCTTCGCTGCAGCTCGCCGGCGTGCCTACGTTCATGCGCTTGATTGTGAAGTGCAGTGAAGTGAATATGCAATGTCCAGGTTCTCCTTGGGATTCTAGGATTGCCAGGGTGTGGACCAGAATCAGTAACCAAACCGGCAGGGGGGAACAAGGTTCTCACAGTAGGTTGCCAGGGAGGCGAGCCGGGCCCAGGCCCACCGGGATGGTGGCGGGACAAGCGGTCGACCCCGAGGAACTGTGTGAGGCAGACCAGGTTCCTATTTAACCCCCCTCCCTTCCGACACCGATGGGTGGGGGCGGGCCGGTCAGGAGGACCGACAGCGCACCGTCCTCAGGGGGGGAAGCAAGGCGATAAGGTGATCCAAAACACTACCCCCAACCGAGAACAGAGATTCCTGCACTGATTTTTTGACCGTCAGGTCGATTGGGTACGGGTAGGCGGGATGAAGAAGAACGCATGACAAAAGAGAGCAGCTCCCGGGTGGGAGGGAAATCCAGAGCGGGCAACGTCCATCATGGGTGTCCCGCGCGCTTGTGCATGTCATGCAACGCAATTGATTTTCCGAAACCTACTTCAAAACAAAACGCACACACAATGTGGGGAGGACAAGCACCTGGCAAAAGATATGCCCTGGTGGATACGTCAGCCCATGCATGCCTTGAGCTAGACAAGCAGCGTCAACATGCATCGACGAGAGAGTCCGGAAAATCAACAGCCGCCACTCCCTAACAAGTTGCAGGAGATGCACAGCGCATATTCTGGAAGAAATCACGCAAGGCAGGGAACGAGGGTGGGGAGGGTGACGGAGGGCTACTCCATGGGCAAGGGCCAGATACGGACACAAGACCTGGCAAGGCTGAATAGACTGGGCGAGGCAACAAACAGCTCGCAGTCCTCGTCGTCCCCGGTCTTCGCTGCAGCTCGCCGGCGTGCCTACGTTCATGCGCTTGATTTCGATGCGTTCCTTCCGAGTGTTATCCAGAGCAAACACCCAAGCGGCCCGTTGGACCGCGCCTGATGGGGCTGGGCGAAGCAGGCCGGGCCCAGCTTCCGTAGCGGGGTCCGGCCCACTCCACCACCACCTGGCCCCCAGGGCAAGACCCCCCAGAACCCCACCTCCGGTGGTTGAATGGGGGGAAACGCGCCAGCCCCAGCCCCACTTGCCCCCACGGGGAAGACAGGCAACCGACCGAAGCCATCCTGCAAAACATGCTAAACGGCAGCACAAAGACGCTCGGCAGCAAAACATGCTAAACGGCTGCAAAACATGCTAAACGGCAACCTCCGGACGCCGCTCGGCGGGGCTCAAGAGCTCGAAATCTTCCAGCAAGAAAAATAACCCGAGAGAGAGGGCGGAAAGGAACCGTGGCGCAGAATCCGAACAAAACAATGACTACAGACCACGAGTTGGTGGACCGATGGGTGGGACAGACTGGCTCGGCCTGGGAAAGGACACAACGAGCAGCAAGCTAAGAAAACAATGGACCCCCACCATCCGCGGGGTGCCGCCAAAAACTCGCTTACCCGCCCTACCGAGGGTTCCCTTCTCCTCAACAACCCAGCTCGAGGACTGGTTGAGGCGGACCCTAATCGAGTCGCCGCCCCCAGGCAACCAGATAGGCAAACATCCCCCTGCCCCCACCATGGGCAAACGCAAGCGAACAAACAAAACTAGAGCCCCACTCAATGGGAACAGAGGACGAAACGTAGACACTGAACCGCCGGCCATAGCCTGGGGACAAGTTCGCAAGGGTAACGGATTGGATACCGCCAGTGCCAAACGACCCCTGTTCCCGAAGCAAGGCGGGACCGAAGTAGAGCAGAGCTCGCAGTCCTCGTCGTCCCCGGTCTTCGCTGCAGCTCGCCGGCGTGCCTACGTTCTATTGAGAGGCAAAATCCCCCCTCCCCATATCGAAAAGGTATGTTTTCAAAAATTTGTGTTGCGGATTTGAGGCCACAAATCGCATCTGTCTTGCAAGAAGACAACTCCACAGGCTCTGCCGCATTATGCAGGCGGTTTGTGATGCTCTTGGGCCTACAGCATAGTCGTTTTTCATGCAAGGCGCCTAGGCCAAAAGCTCTCTACTCAGGCTTGGCAGGAGCCTGCAGTCCTCTACTGCAAGACAAACCTGATTTGTATACGCAAATCCAGCATCAGAAACTTCCTTTTCGATATGGGGAGGGGGGATTTTTCATTTTGATACGTTCATGCGCTTGATTCATTTCCACGAGAGAAACGTTTTAGCAATGAGAGAATGCTGTATAACTTGACACTACGCAGTTGGTAGCAGTAGTCAGTTAGAGAGAGTGGCATAATCTCTACAATGACTAGCTAAAAGTCAGAAAACCCATTATCTAATAGTATCCCGCAATAAAAACAAAGAATAGAAACGAAAAACAAAAACAAAGAATGGAAACGAAAAACGAAAACAAAGAATGGAAACAAAAAACGAAAACAAAGAATGAAAACAAAAAACGAAAACAAAGAATAGAAACGAAAAACAAAAACAAAGAATGGAAACGAAAAACGAAAACAAAGAATGAAAACAAAAAACGAAAACAAAGAATGAAAACAAAAAACGAAAACAAAGAATAGAAACGAAAAACAAAAACAAAGAATGGAAACGAAAAACGAAAACAAAGAATGAAAACAAAAAACGAATAGAAACGAAAAACAACAACAACGAAATGCAGACAAAGTGCCCAAGCTTCTAAGCGGCGAAGCCTCGAAACGATGAGGCCTCGAAACGCCGAAGGAAGCAGCGAAGCCTCGAAGCAGCGAAGCGTCGAAGCAGCAAAGCCTCGAAGCAGCGCAGCCTCGAAGCCGCGCAGCCTCGAAGCCGCGCAGCCTCGAAGCAGCGAAGCCTCGAAGCAGCGAAGCCTCGAAGCAGCGGAGCCTCGAAGCACCGAACAAGCAACGAAGCCTCGAACAAGCAGCGAAGCCGCGAACTTTTTTTCTTCGATACACGACAAAGAGCTCGCAGTCCTCGTCGTCCCCGGTCTTCGCTGCAGCTCGCCGGCGTGCCTACGTTCATGCATCATGTGTAAATCCGAACCAACAAAGCCAAAAGAACAGCTTATTCGCGAACACTAGCACACGGCGCGAACAGAGAGAATCCAAAACCCCACCTCTGTGAGCACGGTAAACTTCCAGACCTAAGTACCTCCCAAGAGCAGACCGCCGATGGACGAGGACTCATCTCGTCCAACTGAAATTACACACAAAGCCCGTCCCTTACTGGGCGGCAAAGAAGCCTCGCGGAAAACCAAAGCAGAAAAGTTACTTCCTCAGAAGAGCAAAGGAGCCTATCGGTATCAACCCTGATTCAGAGTGGCAAACCACCTCCCCACCTGGGGAATTCACTTCATATGAAGCCAGCAACCCAACACAGAGGCGAGGCACGCACCTGGCGTGAATGCTGTTCCCACGACAGCTACAAAGCAAGGGATCCGCCTCAAGCGGGCCGCGCAGCCACTAGACCAGAGCGAACAGCGGGCGATCCCCGAGCACGTCAGGCTCCATCATGCCGGCGAGTGTGACGTGGCTACCCCCAGAACCATCACCGCCGTGATGAACGATAGCGCGCCCACCTACTGACACTGAGCGTAAGCCTCGGCCAACCGCGCCTCTAAACCTAAAGGGAAGACACAGATAAGGTGGCGTACGCATGAAGAGTAAATCAGAGAAAGCGCAGCCACGCATAAAGAGCAGCCACGCGTGGCACGTGCTAACACCTCATCCGAGAGCCGCGTAACCATACCGAGACGAAACGCCGCCCAACCCCGAGCGATTCTTGTCGATATATCCGACCAGAGGAACACTTAGTGCGCGAAGAAGCGGCGAAGGTTGCGTCCTACCCCCAAGCCAAGTGCTACGGACAAATCCCCTGCAGAGCGAAACGGTCTAGCAACCGGCGGCGCAAAAATCCGCAAGCCAACGAGCTCCAAACTCCGGAAACGGCCCCCCGCATGGGAAAACAGGCACAGAGTTGGCGGCAGGGCAGCGCTGAGGCCCCCCAGGAGGCCCTCCAAAAGCCGGAAAAACTACGACAGTAGATGCGTCCTGGCCCAGTTCCCTTCCGGAGAAAATGTCGCTAATAGAAAAAGACAAAGAGCTCGCGGTCCTCGTCGTCCCCGGTCTTCGCTGCAGCTCGCCGGCGTGCCTACGTTCATGAAATGAAAATAACCAAGGTCAGAATGACGCCCCTTGTCGAATACAACGGAGCAAAACCTTGCAAGTAGACCTCGAGAAAGAAGCCTGCAATAGCAAGCACACCTCGAAAATGAGTAATAAAGTGAGACCCACAAGAAAACCAAAGCCGGCAGAAGCCGGAAAATAGAGTAGAAAAGCAGCCTGCAGCTAGGCCCTGAAATCCTTCTCCGCACCCGGGAGAACCTGGGACAATAGACTTCTCGCCCTCACAAGTGGAAATCCAAGAGAACCCACTCCCCGAGCGGGGAGAGTGGAGAAACCCCCGAAGAAACGGCATAAACGCGGCTGATGCTCCCTCACCAGCACGAGAGATGTGTGGCGATAAACTGCAGGACTGAAACACGCTCGCTGAGTGACGCAAGGGGGATACTCCGACTTGTACGGGAAAAGCGCGAATGCGAAATCAAGCAGAAACTCACTCCGCCATCACAAACGGATGCGGAAATCAAATAAAATCGACCCCGAAGGGGAAATGGATTCCCGACTGTCTCCTCGCAAGGGGGGAATAGGGGGCCACTCCCTGTCGTCCCCGGTCTTCGCTGCAGCTCGCCGGCGTGCCTACGTTCATGCGCTTGATTGTGAAGTGCAGTGAAGTGAATATGCAATGTCCAGGTTCTCCTTGGGATTCTAGGATTGCCAGGGTGTGGACCAGAATCAGTAACCAAACCGGCAGGGGGGAACAAGGTTCTCACAGTAGGTTGCCAGGGAGGCGAGCCGGGCCCAGGCCCACCGGGATGGTGGCGGGACAAGCGGTCGACCCCGAGGAACTGTGTGAGGCAGACCAGGTTCCTATTTAACCCCCCTCCCTTCCGACACCGATGGGTGGGGGCGGGCCGGTCAGGAGGACCGACAGCGCACCGTCCTCAGGGGGGGAAGCAAGGCGATAAGGTGATCCAAAACACTACCCCCAACCGAGAACAGAGATTCCTGCACTGATTTTTTGACCGTCAGGTCGATTGGGTACGGGTAGGCGGGATGAAGAAGAACGCATGACAAAAGAGAGCAGCTCCCGGGTGGGAGGGAAATCCAGAGCGGGCAACGTCCATCATGGGTGTCCCGCGCGCTTGTGCATGTCATGCAACGCAATTGATTTTCCGAAACCTACTTCAAAACAAAACGCACACACAATGTGGGGAGGACAAGCACCTGGCAAAAGATATGCCCTGGTGGATACGTCAGCCCATGCATGCCTTGAGCTAGACAAGCAGCGTCAACATGCATCGACGAGAGAGTCCGGAAAATCAACAGCCGCCACTCCCTAACAAGTTGCAGGAGATGCACAGCGCATATTCTGGAAGAAATCACGCAAGGCAGGGAACGAGGGTGGGGAGGGTGACGGAGGGCTACTCCATGGGCAAGGGCCAGATACGGACACAAGACCTGGCAAGGCTGAATAGACTGGGCGAGGCAACAAACAGCTCGCAGTCCTCGTCGTCCCCGGTCTTCGCTGCATCTCGCCGGCGTGCCTACGTTCATGCGCTTGATTTCGATGCGTTCCTTCCGAGTGTTATCCAGAGCAAACACCCAAGCGGCCCGTTGGACCGCGCCTGATGGGGCTGGGCGAAGCAGGCCGGGCCCAGCTTCCGTAGCGGGGTCCGGCCCACTCCACCACCACCTGGCCCCCAGGGCAAGACCCCCCAGAACCCCACCTCCGGTGGTTGAATGGGGGGAAACGCGCCAGCCCCAGCCCCACTTGCCCCCACGGGGAAGACAGGCAACCGACCGAAGCCATCCTGCAAAACATGCTAAACGGCAGCACAAAGACGCTCGGCAGCAAAACATGCTAAACGGCTGCAAAACATGCTAAACGGCAACCTCCGGACGCCGCTCGGCGGGGCTCAAGAGCTCGAAATCTTCCAGCAAGAAAAATAACCCGAGAGAGAGGGCGGAAAGGAACCGTGGCGCAGAATCCGAACAAAACAATGACTACAGACCACGAGTTGGTGGACCGATGGGTGGGACAGACTGGCTCGGCCTGGGAAAGGACACAACGAGCAGCAAGCTAAGAAAACAATGGACCCCCACCATCCGCGGGGTGCCGCCAAAAACTCGCTTACCCGCCCTACCGAGGGTTCCCTTCTCCTCAACAACCCAGCTCGAGGACTGGTTGAGGCGGACCCTAATCGAGTCGCCGCCCCCAGGCAACCAGATAGGCAAACATCCCCCTGCCCCCACCATGGGCAAACGCAAGCGAACAAACAAAACTAGAGCCCCACTCAATGGGAACAGAGGACGAAACGTAGACACTGAACCGCCGGCCATAGCCTGGGGACAAGTTCGCAAGGGTAACGGATTGGATACCGCCAGTGCCAAACGACCCCTGTTCCCGAAGCAAGGCGGGACCGAAGTAGAGCAGAGCTCGCAGTCCTCGTCGTCCCCGGTCTTCGCTGCAGCTCGCCGGCGTGCCTACGTTCATGCGCTTGATTCATTTCCACGAGAGAAACGTTTTATCAATGAGAGTGAGAATGCTGTATAATTTGACACTACGCAGTTGGTAGCAACAGTCATTTAGAGAGAGTGGTATAATTCTAGAACACATGATGAATTTTTTCTACTCAGACCAACAACACGGTCACGGAATCAAGAGATACCTGCTCGCTCATCCAGGCCTGTAAACTGGCAGGCCGCGCTGCGAAAGTGCCAGAACCAGCCGGCGAGTCGGGAGAAGAGGACTCTGGACCGCGTGATGACGTTGATGTCTCTCCTGAGGGAAAATAAACAACGTCCCTAGCCCAGCTGAAAAATGCTTGCACGATGCCCCCCTCCGAAACGGGGCTGACGCTGCTCGCGGGCGAAACGGTTCGACTGGAAATCTTCCGCAGCTTGCGCAGTTCGTGCCGTTTCTCCAGCAGTGCTAGCCGATTTCCGGCGTTTTTGAAGCGGAATGTTTCGATGGTGGACGTGGCCGTTGGCGGCGACTTTCCGTCGCGATGATCTTGGACAGAAGTCGCGTTTTTTGCGCTCAGACTCAGCCAGCGCGCCACGTCGTCGTCTTCCTCCGAGAATTCGGCTGACTTGAAGACCTCCTGCCATTTCGCTTGCAACGCGCTGAGCATGTGTTCTACGACCGCTTTTATGCGTACATCCAGTACCGCGAGCTGGACACCTAACCACTCCTGCCAAGTCAGCCGGGCTTCTTGTCGTCGCCGAGCTGGAAGCCCACCCGCCGTCGTCGGGACAAAGGGCGCGGCTCGACGACCTTGAAAACGTGGTTTGTGGAGGTTAGACTCCGTGTCTCTTCGAAGATTTTCACTGCATGCAATCCTCGGGAACTACGGCTGCGTTCGTATATTGCAACAAGAACTACAACTCGGCGGCTACTCTCCAAGCGAGACGAGCTACGTACGTACACAGTGGGGATGAAATTTCTAAAAAACTATCATCTATAAAAATTTTCTATACGAGCTAGGAGGAGCGTGAAGGGATCCTCGCCGTTGCGACTCGCTCGGCAGGCTTCGCGAAAAGAGGCCTTGTCAGCGGCAAAGCCGATGCAGATGGAAAGGATGGAGAGCAGAACAGCCAGAATCACGAAGGCCACACGCTCTCCGCACTTGCGGACCTTGGCCCTCGCGCCTACCGTGCACGAACTGCCTTTTTTCATGGTAAGTCCAGGCGTTATTTGCGTCTGCGCGTAGTCCTGCTCCATCACCCCGCCGCCGCCCAACTGGATAATTATCGGCTGCTCCTCGGGGTCGTCCCCACCACCCATTTCCGGGTCGGTGCTCGGCTCGGCAATCTGCAACACAATGTCGCCTCCTATGCCGGCAGTGGCCTGTTGGATCATCTCGTGCAGTTGCTCGCTGATCACGATGCCTCCGTCCTGAGTTATGGTAACGGCGGACGCAGGGATGTGCACGATCGTCGGGCCGCCAGTCGGGAGAAGAGTTCCACCTGCTACGCCGCCGCCCCCAAAAAGTGGAACCTGTTGCGACATCGCTGGATCTGGAGTTCTATTGCCTGCCGCGGAAGCCAGATCGAACGCTGCCCCCAAACTCGGATCATCCAAGGCGGAGGGGAGAGGCGCCGCCGCAAACTCAAGAGGGGGAAGGGGCCCTTCGGGAAACCAAGCTTCATTTGTGGACGCCCCAGGAGCGGGATCAGTTCCTGCCAGAGGAGGTTGTGCTGCATCTTCTGAGTTCTTCTTGTTCTCGGCCTGTAGTTCTTGTTCCTGCCTTTGCGCAATCGTGTAGGACGAACAGGAACCGCAGAAGTAAGAAGCGACGAAGCGAACGGGCAGAACGCCAAGGGACCGCGTGCTGGAGACTATCACGGCAGAGCCGACAAGAATCCCGATGAGAACTGCACAGAAGGAGACCAGAGGGCGCGCTCTTTTCTTGGTCATCAGGACCGCCAAGTCGCTTGTGCCTGCGTGAGTCGGTCGGAGCCCCTTGGACGCGCTGAGCATGGTGCTGCGCGGAAATGGCAGACGGATTGATGTTGACGGGGAAGATGAAGATGTTGCTCCGAACGAGGCTGCAGCTGCTGGTCCCGAAGGAGCGCCCGATGTTGTAAGGAGCTGGTGTCCGCCTCCGCTGCTGGCCGTGGAATTGCTGTCCAGGAGGCTAGTACCGGTCGCCGCCAAGGGAGGTGGGCCCAGTTGCCCCAAGCCACCTCGAGCTCTACCTAGTGCTACCGAAGAACCGGACATTGACGCGGGCCCCGGAGGCGCGGGAACGCCCGGTCGCTCCTGCCCACCCAAAACCTTTGCCAGATGAACCGGCCGGGTGGCCATCCGCTGGGCGAGCAAACTTTTTGCGGTGCCAGATGCTGCGCCCCGTGCAATTCGTCGTGTGAGTTTCGAGGCGGCGGGGGCGGCAGCGCCACCTGAGTGTCGTGGGTGCTTTGTGCCGTAACGTTTGTCCAAGCGGAGAAAAAAGTACGAGGACCGCAGACTGAAGTTGCTCTCAATAACTCTACCTGCGAATCGTACAACTTGCATATGCATATATTAGCAGGATTCTGTTCGTGTTCTTGGAATGTGAAGATCATGGTCATGCATACAAAACAAAGGCACGTATTAAGGGCACCTGCTCCACTACCGGCCGCAGGCTCGTCGCCATTGTTCGAAAAACCGTCCGAGGTAGAGCTACTCGATACCGATACCTCCTCAGGATTTGGCACAGTGGTCATGATTTTTGTTCCCAAGACGGAGCCGTGGCAGGGGAGCGGTTGTCCTTAAAGAGCAGGTGTTTGTTGTTCATCGTGACACCAACGCGGCCGCACACGGACATAGTTTATTTATCTATGTTTTCTCTATAACTAGATCTTCATCTGCCTCTGCAACGTCGATGTCTTTCTGCTTCTCAATTTCCGAAGCTACATCTGCAGCGCATTGAATTTAATTATGTCTGGAGACGAAGAACTGCTTAGAAAAGTTCTACCAGTACTTCTCCCATGTCTTGCTACGTATTGGTCCATACTCAATGCTTGGCGTTATTTCATGCAGCCAAAACAGCCATAAACAGTGACGAAAGGTTAAAAACGCAACCGGAACGATGTTACGTATTTCTAACTACGGCCATATTTCTAGCAAGCTCAGAGCTGCGGCTGCGGCATGTAGGCAGCATGGCCATGGTATTTCAACTTGTCCTTGCCGCTTTGTGACACTACTTCCCGATAATTCATCTCAGGTATGCCGAAGAAGGCAAACTCTATGATGTCGTGGGCCAACATTTTATCTTCGCACTTTTGCAAAACTCAGGTCCTACTCGTTGAAAAAGAGAACAGAAAACTCACAAAGAAGCGAAGCAGACACGAACACACAAAGGCAAAGCTCAAGTAGACGAGCTTGATGCCGATTTGGTGTGCTAATGCTAGATAGCGGTAGCACTAGCACTTACTGTTTTCTGAAAGGAAGTTTCAATTATAGATGGAAGCGTTCGATGAGAAAGGATGCGCGTCGCAAAGGAGATCGCCATGAAAACTTGTCATCTGTCGTGTGGATCTATGAGTTCAAATTAGGTTCGGTTGCGATATGAAGACAAGCATTAGAGCCAGAAAACGACTTCGTCCATCTCCATGTCGTCCGCCTCGAGCCAGGAGGCGATTCTATCTAGCAGTTTACATTTTTTCCCGAGAGTTTTTCTGCTCGCTCAACCTGTGGTCGTGCCAGCCTTACGGCCTCGGTACGTTCGACGCAGAGGTGGCCGGCGTGCATGTGTTGTTAGAGGTTCTTTGTAGGCAGCGCAGAGCGTAAACTATTGCAACCGCTGTCCACATGGAGGCAAACGCGTCGGTACCGGTGCGCTTCAAAACCGCTAGAAGGGAGAGAAAATGGCCGCGCAGGTTCGTCGTGGAGTTCTTCGTCGCACTCGTCGAGGCGAGACTACTGCTACTCCCTGCAGCAGCTTTTGTCGCCACTGGAAGAAGAGCCACCGCACCTCGTTTGCAGAGGAACAAAACGCCCCACGCGAGGTAAAACTTCCAGTTACTCGTCAAGCTGTCTTGAATCTCTTTGCGTCCGAGCTTCTGCGCAGTCAGCCAAGCGGTCTTCCAGACAGACGCAAGCAGTTGCGTTACCCTCTTCCGCACCAGGCCGTGCAGAATCGGCACAATCCGCGGGCGCCCGTACTTGTCCAGGAGCGGGTGCTGCTGTGCCCTCTTGCGTGCGAGATTTTGCAGCTTTGTAGGACCGTCGATATTATCGCTATGCCGTCTTGTTGTAGTCTGCCTTGCTCTATTACCCTCGCTCGTTTCATCGGCCTCGTCTGGAGAGCAGTAAGCGTGTGCGTCAACTTCTGAAACGGGTCTAAAGGGACTGGGCGTTCCAGGTGCAAGACGACTGCCAACGGGACTGCCGTCGGGTCCGGAAATAGTCGCTGCCTGCAGCCTGTCGTCATCCGGTTGTTCGCTATTCCGCTTCACTTCAGTTGCAGAATTCATCTCATCTGCGGGACTATTCAATGCACTCGGGGCGTTGATGCGACCGACTGCGCTCAAAAGCATGCCTCCGAAGGTGCCATCACTTTCAGCGTCGTGAAACTCGTAAGAGGATTCTATCTGGTGCTCGGCAGAAACAAAAGTGCTGTCCTTCTTCACGTTCTTCTCGGGACCAACCGGAAGATGAAATGTTGATGTTATTCCGTTGTCGTTTTCCTGTAGTACCTGTTCCGAGGTGTGATTTGGCATGATCTTTGGAACCGGACGCGACCTCGGGTCCGTCGCTGCTGCACCGCCAGCCTCGTATTCCAACATTCCCGTGGCATTTTTGGGAAAAAGTTTTCGAAAAACCTTGCGGAAGAACTTCTGTGGGCTGAGCGCAAAGAAGCGGATAAACGTGGGGTGGCAGCCCGCTAGCACCTGCTGCGCTTCCTCCGCACTGAGTGAGAAATTGACGAGGATGAAAAGCCGCTTCACGTGGTATTGCAGGTCGCCGCGTTTCAATCGGCGTATGAGCAAGTCCAGCAGACTGAGTTCCTCCTCCGCGAACAGCGCGTGGAGGGCCTGGTGAATCTTCGGCAAATTCACCCACTGTACGAAGCCCGTCCAGACCGTCAGCCATCCACACCACAACAAAAAGAAGCACATCACGCTGATCCAGGTGCAGTTGAGGAACAGAAAGGCAAAGAAGGAGAGAATCATCAGGGTGCACCCGATCCGAATGGCCCCGCGCTCGTACACCAGTTCGACGACCCAGAAGGCGACGTAGTCGGGGAAGTGGCCAAGTTTCTTGTTGAATCTGCGTGGGACGAAGCGGTACCGCACGTATTGCAGTGCCTTTTCCTTGGTCCGCCAGTGGCGGGTGCACGACGAGCAAATTCGCCCGAGCCCGAGATTCGAGGCGACGAAAACAACGGGCGTGGTGATGAGGTGGAGAACTTCTACCCCCGTAGAGGGCGGCGATCTTTTGCTTGCTTTCCTAGAAGAATAACCATTCTGTCGGGGCGAGGATCCGGACATGGAGATCATGTGCGCTTCATGCTGTCCTCGTCGTAGATCATGATGGCTCGTGGCATGGAAGAATAAGTTTTCATCACGGGGAGTCGGGGGGACTGAAGACGCCTTGGATGATGCCGAGGAGGAGGCGCTGCTCCGACTCCACGGTAGGTCCTCGTGGTGGTCATCGTCCAGCGAGATTTTGGCGCGCGCACTGCGATCAAAAAGCGGACTACTTGCTTTATTGTGCCCGCGCCGTAGCTCCGTGCTCCGCTTCCGCGGCTGGAGGGGACTACCGGCAAAAATACCAGTCGGCGATTCCGAAAAGTCCATCTCGCGCACGGAATCATCGGCTTCATCCACGCCAATTCGCCGGCCCGGGCCGCTCTCGTCCGTGGTCTCATCAAACCAGCGCAGCAGCAAGTCGTGATTGGCAAGGCTGAGAGTGGATGTGGTCGTCTCATTGTTCATCTTGCTCTTGGTCGATGACAGGAAACATAATTGTTCCTGGTGCTGATTTTGATTTTCGGGCACGGGCCTGGTATAGCTTTTATTCTGCACCTGCCCACAGTCTGTATTGCTCTGGGTCTGGAACAAACTTCGAGTTGTGCTGGATGAAGACGATGCACTTTTCTCGCACGACAAGAAGGGTGGCCGCATCGACCGGGCGGGTGAGGATCCGTGCCGGGAGGTTTTGGTTTCGCTCGATTTTTCTGTCGACGGGTTTTGCAACCTCTGCGGTTCTTCGTTCTCCAGGTCCAGCCCGCCGGTCGCGAAGGTGAAGCTGCGGGGGTCATGATAAGTACTATCCCAGTGTGAGCTTGACGAGCCTGTGGTCACCAGTTCCTCACAACCTGGCGCCATCTCCTCGTCTTTCTGCCTGGTACTTGAAGACACGTACTGTCGCCCTGCGGCGGTTCTTCGCACGTTACTGCCGTTGATGTTCACAGCGCTCCCTTGTTGAGACTTGTCGCGCTCGGTTCCTGGCGGACTTTCTGCGTCCTCGACATAACCAGCTGAGGCGAAGTAGACGCTGGTTTGCTTGAGAGCCACAGTGTCGCGTTGACTTGCAGAATCCTCGTGCTGCATTAGAGCTGTATCGTCGACTACAAGAGCATGTTCTGTTTGGCCAAAAGCGCCGCTACTGAACCTGTGGTCTCCACGCAGCTCCTCGTTCTCCGCCACCATTGTTTGGGGAAATGCCACTTCGCAGCCGGCGCCGCTTTGAATGTCTTTCGACGAACAGGGTGTGCAATCTAGGGTGGTAATGGTACTAATGCCGTCGCCATCCTCGAGCTCGGCCTCGTCGGCGGTTGAAGTCACGGTGGTCGCCAGCTTCATCATAAATCGTTGTGTGACACACGTGCTTTTTTGGTGCTGGTGGTGGTAGCTGCAGGTCAAACTTACGCAAGGTCAACATACAGAGCTCAGAGGACAACTCGCTCGACCAGGAGGAGCTTACTAAGTTCTACTATTTTTTTTAGTTACACATACAAATGAAGAACGAACTCAACAAGTCAAATCATGGATCTTTCTCTTTCCTGACTTTCTAATTCTAAGGTCTTGGTAATGAAGATGAAGTGGCAGGTACGATGTTGCGCGATTCCACAAATGATACTGTATTTTTTCAGAGATACAAAAATGAATGGCCATACCGGGGAATCAAAAAGTTAATGTGGGAACCTGGTGGTGGGGACGTACGAGCAGGTTTGATGTGAAGAAATAAGATGCTTTTCTAGCACATGCACGACGAGCAGGCCGACGTACTATTTCTACTTCGAGCCGTGGACGAAAAAGTGAAGTTGGACGTGAAGGTCTTACGGTTTGCAGTTCTCTTTCTCTTGCGAGCTCAACCACAAGCTGTGCCGAAAATTGCGCGTTCTCCATGGACGACGACAACATGCTGACCTTGTGGTCTCTAGTCTACGCTGTCGCTGCTCGAAGGCACAATTCCTTTCTGTTCGTGCTGGTGAGTAGATACCACCGAACGAAAAAAACGTAAACCGAGATCTCACGTATTTTTATTTTAGCTCTCGCAAGGTACAGATAAAGTCTTCGTTTTTGCATTCACTTCTCGAAGTAAAAGTAATCCGCAGTCCGAACACAGTTGACGTTCTCTTTTGGAAAAAATAAACGGAAATAAGTAAGGACAAATGCCTGTGCCTCATGGCGTGCTGTCGATATCGAATGCAGCAATGCGGATGATGAAGTGGCGGGATCTTCCATGCCAGTAGATACATCGATTCTTGCATTAGCGCCGTGCCGACTAGCAGCGCGCTTGTTGCCATTTTCAATCCGGTGCCAAAAATGCGACGTCCCTGTCCGAGCACTTTTGGTCGACATCGTTGACCCAGTCTTGCAGATAAGCCCGCAAGGTGTGATCTGGCTTGTGCACCAAAACTGGAGGTCCATGTGCGTCATCACACCAGAACATAGTGACATCTTCCGTGTTATATATTGCAAAAGTATCGCACTCGTATAAATGCATTACAAATTTCCTCAGCAAGAGAAATGGAATTTGTCATGCTGATTTGCCTTGGCAACAAGATTTGTAAATGCAAGACTTGCATCTATACGAGTACGATACTTTTGCACAGGATACGTGTGTACCATGTACCCCCACCGGCACATAGGGAGAAGACGAACAGTCAGACCTTCCTCCTCAGCGTTTGTGTGCTCGTCTTTCATTGTGTTGTGCTCGACATCATGATCATCTTCTCCAGGAGGGGAACGTGCACTGCTGCTGCGTGCTGGATCTTTCGCAGGAGCATGTGACGTCCTACGTGTGGTCTGCGCGTCAACTGCGTCGCTGCGACGTCGTCCAGCATTTACTTTAGTATTGCTGGACCACGGCGCCCACACTTCTTCCCTCGCAGCAGCCCACTCCTTGAACTTCGTATGCCTCTGTTTCCAGTGCGGGAGTATGTGGGTCAGGATGTAGCCGGAGAGTCCCTGGGCCAATCCGGTGAAGGGCGCGTACCAGTTGTTCCCCGGAACCCCGAGGAGGTGGTTTTTCGGCACTTCGTGGGGTGTGTGGCCCAACCGCAGAAACAGCCAGGAGCTCGGGTCCTGGTGGAGCAGCTCCTTGGAACTGGTCGTCGCTGCTTTGTGCTCCAGGTGGTGCCGAAACGCCTGCAGGCTGAAGGTATGGCGGAAAGGGCTGTTATCCTCGTCGTACACCGCGTCCTCGGCGAAGTAGTCGTTCCGCGCGTCCAGGAAGTACCCGCGATCAAGGTCGTTCCAGGCACGGCATAACAGATCATGATGTTCCTGATCCTGTAATGAGTCTTCATCCACGTTGTAGTTCGTCGCCCCTCCGGTGGCCGCGGTGGCAGAAGTTCTCCCTCGCCATTTCGACGTCCGGCAACCCCCTGTTTCGTTTCTGAAGACCGAAACCAAGGGCGCATCATGCCCGATTGTCGCCAGCACCGACTTGTGCGAGGGTTCTGGGTGCCCGAACACATTGTGCGTGTAGTAATCTCGCCCCCGAAATTTTTTTCCATTCGGAGACAGCTCTTTGGGAGGAAGCGCAAGTGGTGCGTTCAACGCATCATCACGATGATCGTGTCCTGCTCTTTGTTCTGCGCTGTCATAATTCTTGTCTGCCTCGTCGTCCCTATATTTCCAATTTGAGCGATCCAAAAATGCTTCCTGCCTGTCTCGAAACATTTTCCTGCCGTTTCTCACACGGAGATTGATCTCCTTGGACCAGCTCAGCGGGTGGATGCGATTTTGCGCCAGGGGGCTGGCGGCCCTAACGAATTGCAGTTCGTGCAGTTGCTTCCGTTTCGCTTTCTGCGCTAGTTTCCAGGGCAGGAACTCCATGAGGTAGCGCGGCGGATAGAGCTCCTCCCCGGTCCTGCCGTCAAACACGCGCGCGACGATGCGCCGCCACGCTTCCTGCACGGCCTGCGTTGCGTTCCACGTAATCGCGCTGCCCAGCAAGAGGCTGAAGTGCAGCGGGGGACCGGGCATCAGGGCGACGAAGTTTTCCTTTGCTGACGCGAACACGAACAATTGGAATAGGCGAAAGGGTATGCATTGCACAATGTTTCTGGGCCCTCTGGTGGAATCTTGTCATGCAAGTGTGTGAATGTTTATGTTGGTGAGCAGACGAGACCACGATAGGAGGCAGAAAAGCAAAAACAGATTTTTTTTGAGCAGCGTAGACTACTACAACATGACAAGGTGTTTTGCTCTTACATGAGAAACAAAAAATGCCACTGCATGATCGCCATGGGCATGGCAGATTTTTCATTTCATTTCTGTCCTGCCAGCCAAGCCTCACAAGTCTTGCATTCTTCCAGACGCAGACCCAGACATAGTTGCATTTGATAAAGGGCTGCACGATGTGGTATTCCGAATCGAGAGCCAACACCGCCTCGTACTCGTTCGCAAGTTGCAGAAACGCAAGCAGGCGAAACGGAAACACCGTGTTGACGTTATACGCATTCTGCTTCGTCACGAAATTCACGAAAAAGTGCGAGTCGTGGTACTGCGCCAATATGTCCTTCCGCAGACTCCAGTCTCTCCGTATTTTTACCTTCAGTGGTCCTTTCAGTTTTTCCTCTAGCTCGTCCGTCAGCGGAAAGTTCGGGGTGTCTTTGGGCAGTGCCAGGACTCGGTCCAGCCCTCTGGGTTTCCCAAACAGGCCAGTTGTCAGCTTCTTCGTAAAAGTGTCCAGGTAGTCCAGCGCCGCGCGGTTGACTTGCCAAAAGTCGATTTCTGAGAACGTGTAGGAACTTTTCTTCCTCGTGTCGCTCCACAGCGACAAGCTACGTTGCTTCGTCCAGCGATGATCGTACGCAAATGCGGTCAGGTCAAAGGTCTGCAAAATCGCAAAGTAACCCTTGCTGCCGTCGTCGTACGTCTCTTCGCGATTCGTCCTCGTCGCAGGATCTTCACGGGCAACTCCACCGGCCTGAATAGACGACGTTGCGGCACGAGGCCGCGGGGGCTCGGCATTTCTCGTTGAAGACCTGGGTGCCAGCTCCGGATCGCGCAGGCAGTTATACCCCGTGGCAGCGTAGAAGCCGTTGCAGTGCCCACTCAATCCGTGAGGCCAATGCGTTGCATTCCTGATTGCCAGAATCCGTTGCACACTGCGGCCAAGAACAGCGCGCACTATACGATCAGTGACGGGTTTGGCTGCAGCAGCTTCTATTTCATCGGTGCTCGTAGGAGGAGCAGCATGAGTATTGTTTAATTTCTCGCAGTCTGTTAAAGTCGCGCCATGATCTTCATCGTGCGTCGCTGCGGCCAATGCGGTGTCCCCAGGCACTCTTTCGGTTCCACCACTTGTAGAGGCCGGGGCACGCAGGTTCGAAGTCCGATCAAAATCGAGGCCACTCGTGTGGTGTGGCGGAATGCTTTTGTCAACAAGTCCCCAGACCGGCGCGTGGTCACGAATCGGAGCCCTTCCGAGCCAGTGGGCGTCAGCCTCCTGAGAGGACGCTCGGTATGCTGCATTTTCGCCCTGGTCCTGGTTCTGAACGGGCTCTTGCAGGTGAGTAGATTTTACAGGTGTCCTTGTCAATGGTCGTGGTTGCATTTCTGGCTGCGGCTCTCCGGGCAGCTTGAATAACTCCGGAAGGCCTCTGTCGAGAAGGACATGCTGGTCCGGTAGCGTACACAGCCTGGACACTACATTTCGGCGAACATGATTCCTCACGTCGACGGTGGCGAAATGCTGGTGAAATGCGCAAACTGGAGCTCTTCGCGCAAGCATGGTGGACGCAGTAAGCAAGGCCGTAGCGGCGGAAACGCGATAGTGCCGCTTCAGCTCCTGGAACAGTTCCGCGTGGACTCTCGCATTCGTGCTCTCGAAAGCTGCAATCGGCAAAAAGAACTCTCTGTCGAGGCGAGCGGTAGGCGGAGGAGCGTCTCCATCTTCAGCCTCGGATAGTTTCTCAGGGTTGCCTCTTCGTGCGTTCGCTAGGCGTCTGCGGAAATGTTGCGTGGATGAGAGATAGCGGAGCTGCAGACTCACTTGCAGTGCCAGCAGACCCGTCTTGCTGCGCATCTCGTCCTCCTTGCAGGCAGCAGGGACGCACAACAGCAGCGTCGTCTGCGTCAAGGCTAGAAATGTTGTGGGCGGTGTCCTCTGTGTCCCTGGTTGATTGTTCTGCGTATTTTCTTCTGCAGCCCTTGCTCGCACCTGCACCGCAAACAGCCGCCCTTGTGCGCGCTGGCATTTCTCCGCATACCGCGTTACGTAGTTCACGAAATATCCGGCAGTTTGCAGCTGTGGGTGAATCTTGTTCAACAACTCGTCGTTAGATGTTGCCAAGGTGTCCGAGGATCCGGCACTTCTACCCAGTTCTTGCAAGACGTCGTGCTCCGCTGCCTTTGTCAAAGCAAAAAATTTCGATAGCCAGAGGAGTGTAAGCAGACTATCTTTATGACAATTGTTCCCTTGATGAAGGTCAGCGGGATCAGTACATCGCTTACATCTGTGATTTATGCTTTACGTAAAAAGAACTATCTCTTCTGTTCTCATGACATAAGTCTACGAGGAAGGAACTCTAGCCATCGAGTCGCAGCGTTTCCCAACATTCAGGGCGTCCTGGGGCGCTAAGGCAAAGGGCAGGTTCAGTTCGTCGACTGCCCACCAGTTCCACAGCTTCGAAGAGCAACGACCCTGTGGCACATAGTCAACAAACACCTTCGACGGGGTTCTGTGCGTGTTCGGTGCCGCTGCCGCAGTTCCCTGGTCAAAGTTTTGTCCTTGTTCTGCTGCAGAAGCAAAATATAATACACGTTCAGTTGCTGTTGCTGCATCAGCATCTTCGTCTGCTTTTCTAATTTTCGCACTGTGCATCTTCTCCGCCAGTTGTTCCCGTGAACGCATTATATCATCAGCGCCGTCTTGTCCTTGTCCTTCTCCTTCAACATCAATCTCGGTCGCACCAACGGGCACAAGTTCATCCTCGTCCTCGTCATGTAGGGTGTGCTCAATGATCTCACGCTGTGCACCCATGACCCAAGCCGTTTGTCGGCGAAAAATCGCCGAGAAGTCATCCGCTGCGGGGGGCGGCGACAACGGTGGCGGGTCGCATGCGAGAAAGGTGGTCCAGGCTGTTGCCCGGCCGCTCGCCGGACAAGATGGCGAGGACGACGGTGGCGCATGAGTGGTGCTCTCATTCGGTGTTGCACCGACGAGAAACACGCAGAGCGCGGATACAAAAAACGGCGCGACCATGAGTGCTGAGGCATTCAGTCTAGAAGCGATCAGCGTCACCCACCGTGATCTACATCTAATTTTGCAGGATCACCCAATGCCAATTCTACGAAACAAAAAACGCAAGCGCAACCAATAGGCAAAAGTAGAATAAAAACAGCACGGTGAAGATCCTGAACCACAAACAGTACTAAGTAGTAGCTCCGCGGAACAAGGGTGCTTGGGCTTTATCTTCTTTTATCTTTATTGAAAGTTTCACCCTCAAGATCCATTACTTAAGGTGCAAAACAAGGAGCAACAAGAGCCAAATCAAGAGAAACACTACCTGGTCGCTCGCCATAGAAGAAGAGAACTTTTCTTGAAGAAAAGAAAAACAAACCGCACACCAGGCGGCCCCAACGGCTCGCAGCCGATACTACTGGTCCAACAGGAATGGAGGATGAATGGAAAGGACAGCGACATGTAGTTGTAATGTGATATTGAATTTCAATAAAATTGAAACCGACGCTACTACTACTCTCACTTCGCTATTAGAATTCTCTCTCCGATGAATCAACAATCAACATCAAGAACGAATAACCACTATCACGAGGTCGTGCTGGAGTTTTTCCTTTTTTTATACAACAACGATCATATCCAACAAAAAATTTAAATCGAAATGAGCCGAATTTCAGACAGTAATAACGGTTTTTTTTGCAACTCTTCCTCGCAATTGGCAGACTTTTTAAGTTTCTTGATACACCAATACAACCGTATAATCATAGTCGCTTTACGTTTTCAGGACTTCCTGCAATTAAAACACCATCTAAGAACTCAAAAATCAAAAGCAAATAAGAATTCCGTCTTCGATTATACATCATACTAAAAAAAAGCTCTTGTTGTATCCTCGAAAAAATTTTGAAGTGCACAAAAAATTTGTTTTCAAAACAATAAGAAACGGCACCGATACACGGAAACGTAAAACAATGCAATATTGTTTGACAGGGTTTAGGGCTTAGGGTTGGTCGTGGTCCTTGTCGAGGAAGTGCAATGCACTAGGTGAAGTGAATTACGTCACCTTTGAGCTCCTTCAATTTTTACATGATACCGCTTGAAGAACTTAATTGCAAGCAGATAGCGACTACCCACTTTTTGGCACCACCGGCACCACGACGTGCTGTGCGCCAGCACGACAGGAGGCGGCACAGGTGGCACAAGGTGACGTGTCATAGAATCGAGACACATGGCTTTATCTTCGAGCGCTGGCACGACTCAAAGATGACTGTAGTTGCTGGTGTGCAACTATAAGTGGTGTAAGTACTTCTCACAGTGGACAGACACATCAAATGGACTATCCGCTCAAGTACAAAGCGTGTTTAATGATCTAGGTAGATGCGGGTCATTGACCCGCGCCGCTAAAGGGTTGTCGTGCCGAATGGCAATGGGTCGCGTGGCTGCAGCCAGCATGTCTATCGAGTCGCAGCTTTCGTGTACTTATGTATTCCTAAGTATTTAACGTCTTTGCTTCACGATCAAGAAGTCGAAGTATCAAGTTGCGCCAGCCCTTGGAAGCCGAGCTTGTTACGGAGTTCTCCTACTTCTTTCTACATTTTTGTCTTTTCGAGGTGGAAAACAAAACCTGTGCCAAGTACAGAGCCGAAGTTGTAAAAACGCGGTCCAACATCAGGTCCAAAAAACTTCAGCAAATATTCAACCGGACACAGGCCGCTTTGTCACGTCGATTTCAATATATCCGCTCGGTAGAAAGTGTTCTAGTAAACTTAATCTCTTGGCTTCATCAAGTTACGGAGTTCTCCATCCTACTTCTTTCTACATCTCTGTTTGGAGACTACTAGTACTTTCGAGGTGGAAAACAAAACCTGTGCGAAGTTGCATCGCGGACATCAGGTCCAAAAAACTTCAGCAAATATTCAACCGGACACAGGCCGCTTTGGCACGTCGATTTCAGTATATCATTATCCGTTCGGTAGAAAGTGTTCTAGTAAACTTAAGCTCTCGACTTCATCAGGAAATCGAAGTACTACTTATCAAGTTTAGTAATTAGTATCCAGCCTTTGGAAGCCGAGCGTGTTACGGAGTTCTCCTACTTCTTTCTACATTTCTGTTTGGAAACTACTACTTTCGAGGTGGAAAACAAAACGACCTGTGCCAAGTACAGAGCCGAAGTTGTAAAAACGCGGTCCAACATCAGGCCCAAAAAACTTCAGCAAATATTTTACCGGACACAGGCCGCTTTGTCACGTCGAATAATTTACTCGACTATATTCTTCGGTAGAAAGTGTTCAAGGAAAAGTGTGGTCTTCCAGAGCAAGTCTAGCTACTGCACAACTAAAAAAAAGAATTCAATAGCGCTCATGGAGATGTAAAAAATTTTGTACACCAAAAGAGCAACGCGGTGGCCTGAAGCTTCTCGATGTAGAAATGCAACAACGAGAGGTTAGTAAAAGCGCCACAAAATCAAGGTTGTTGACTGTGCTTCAGTATCAGTCTGTTGCACAGTTCATACAGTTTTAGTTCTTCTTCTTCACTGGTTTGGATAGCATAATAATAAACCGAAGAACAAGAATACATTTGCATTTGGAACGACCTTGTTTATTACTTTAAGAACTACCAGTGCCACAACCGCAACAGACAATTCAAGCGTAGAGACTAAGGCGTTCAAATGTCGTAAAATGAAATTGAGTCGCCTGTATATTATCAGAGTTCCAGAAAGGGTCATGATATTCGGCCGACATAATTGAAAAAACAAAAAATATTTTCGCCTTCCAGATAGCGCGATATCCTATCGACGCTGAACCGCGCCGCCGGGTACAGAAATTCTGATAATTGATTTTCGCGCTCATGTAGAAAGACACGCTTTCGCTTTTGCAGACTCTCTCGCGCATAAACATTATGCGCACAAAACTATAACTTCAAGTGCACTCGCAAGACAAAAGGAAGAGCTCCTGCAATTTTTGAAGCAGAAGCTCCTGTAATTTTTGAAGCATCTGTCTCGCAAGACACAAACAGACGCTCCCTGTAGCCTCCTTTTATTGAGAGCGAGAAACAGACAAATCGTTCGAATCATTTAAGTCTGCTTCATCCTTGTTTACAACTTCTCACCAGCATTTTCCTGACCAGCATCCCTCTGCTCGTCCGCAGCCCCGAAGGATTGTTGCCCGTGACGAGCAATCACTCCCACACCCACGGGCGACTCTACTACGCTGCTGCTGCAAGGCTGTGTAGAAGTTGCAGTCGCGTTCTTCATTGCGCCGTCGGTTCTTGGTTGAAGCAGTTCAGCATCTAGGTGGTATGCGAGTTGGACGGAAGCGGAAAATCCCGAGCTACTTGAAAAATAACTAGACGGCGGGTGCGTAGATGCGGAACCGAAGCCAGCATATATGCAGCAGACGAGAAAAACATCTTTACAGTGCCGCACCGTGATTGTGTTGCAGGACAAGCAACACACATCTGCGCTGTCATGCTGGTCGTGGGGGGGATGCCGATGCTCATGCAGCTCAGGAGCCTAGTTATAAAAATTTCATGCGTCGTGTACTACTTAGTTCTATCCGCTTGCGTTCTCCGCATTGCAAATTGTTCTTGTCATGCAGACCATCAAGCTTGTGTTGCTACATAGTTGTGTACTTACACTGTAAACACCTTTTTCTTTGGATATTCGCCTGCAGTCTTGCTTCTTCGTTTGCCGGAGCTGCCATCTTGTTCTCGCCGATATAGCCTTGCGCTGGCTGCTGTCTCCTCAGTTCAGCCAACACATCCTGGACAGAGGACTGGTGCGGTATTTTGTTCAACATCCCCTCGCTTGTCACATCGTTCCACTTCCAACTGCTCTTATGCGGGTGCACAAAAATACAGAGTTCCTCATTCGCATGGCAGCACGTCTACAGCAACAGAAGCGGTAGCAACAATGCAGGAACTTCCGCATGACAAGAGCTCCACAGCAGACGTGGAACAACTACAAAGCCGAACTGTCTCTGTTTATTGGGGTCCAACCTCCCATAGTAATTGTCAACTACATGCAAAGTGTGCTAAAACACTAGTACTACGGTTTGGCTCTGAGTCGGGTGGTGTTTTGCATCACAGAGAAACTGAGAGGAAAAAGTTCCTTGTGCACTGTCATAGCTCGACGACGCCGCCCCATTGCCACAGTGCGAAGACGATGTCGACTCGCCGCTAGAACTAGAACTACACGACTCGGCTTCATCATCTCCGAATCCCCCGCCCTCGGAGTCGGCGAAGCTGCTCCTCGAGGCTACGGCGAATTGCCGCTCTTCCTCCTTGTAGTTTTCTTCATCTTCTCCTTCTAATCGCCTTTCCTGATCGCGTCGTTGTTTCTCCTGCTCTACTCCGCGGCCATTGTCCGTCGTGACCGCCCTGTCTGCGACAACAAACTTGGCCAGCTGGTCAAAAACTTGGTCTACCCGCGAGCTGCTTGTTTCTTGCTCTCCAGAATGTTCAGGAATGTTCACGCTCTTGTGCGCAGAGGACGAAGAAGGAGCAAGAGGATAAGCGCTTCGTTCACTGGTCGCTGTCGCAGGTGCGCTGGGAGCAAGAGTTTTCTTTTGCATTGTTTCAACATCTTGCTGCAGCTTCGGAACAACTTGCGCTGGAGACGAGAGCAGTTGGTCTACTTCTTGTTGTGCAACGCGAACAGCACCACCCGGCACTTCTAGGAAGTTGCCTGTAGAAGTTTTACCACAGCTGTGGTCAGAAACAAGTTGTTGCTCCTCATTTCTCCCGGGCGGGTCAGGGTCACCGGTACGACCCGCGGATCGCAAACTGAACCCGGAAAAGAAGAGAAATCCGCCGTTGGTTATTCCGTAAACGTCTTCCTCCGGCTCCGGGTCGAAGTGGTTCAGCTGAAACTCCGCGAAAAGTTGTGTCGGAAAATGATTTTGATTTTCACCGGTAGCTGCATCCTTCTTGGCACAAGAACTACCCTGCCAGTGTTCGATCTTGCACGCGTGGTCCACACGAGCACAGCGGCTTCGTTCTTTCTGTTGACGCTGGTCCGTCGTGCCTGTTGCGGTAGCAGCAGCCTCGGCTCCACTTCCGTGCGAAGATGTACTTGCGTCACTATCACTCGGCACCAAAAACGGTTGCTGCTGTGATGTGTCAAAATGAAATTGTGGAGAACAAGGAGAGTTGTAGCTGGTAATACCTCCTTTCTGCATCAACAACTCCCGCAGCTCCGGCGACACCGGCGGCATCCCGCGAGGACCACTTCTATCACATGCAAAAATGTCTGGGTCTGTTGAAAACTTATGATGCTGATTTTTTTTTTTTTTTATTGGCTCGCAAATTGAAACTTTTCATCATTCACTATCTAATTTTTTTTGTGCGAGCGGGTGCGATCTCTGAAATGTGAAGAGTGTAGCACAATTCACATACCAGGTTACGCGGGTATACGGCATTTTTTCCCGATTTGTACCTTTTCGGTTCTTGTCCTCTGGTCCTGCACTTTGTTGTCGATCCCTGTTTAGTTCCCCAACCCCTACTCTGCTGGCAAGACAGAAAAAAAAAAACGTAGCCCCTGTCGGATTAATTAAGCAGGAAGAAGCCCACACAAAAAATTCCCACATCTACCCAGGGGCGACTAGGCAGATGGGGTGTGCCGAAGCAGGAAGGGGATGTTTCTCGTTGCAATGAATTTACTCGGGAAAAGCATGAGGGTACTTTGGCGGGGTCCGCTAAAAATTAAAATATCGCAAAGGCGGCAATTGTAATAAAATCAGCTCTACTTCTACTCGACGGCAAGCTAGTAAGGGGCACAACATAGCCTAGAAAAACTACTGGATCTTTCACGATACGGATCCCGCCCTGCAGTGCGTGGGTCTTTTGCTTGTACGATACGGATCTTCATGATCTTTCTCTTTCTTTAAAGGTCAGCATTGCAACAGGGGCCACTCTCCCCTGTGCATGCTACCGTTTTATCTATCAGTGCTCCCCAACTTATGATGCTGATTTACGTGAGTGGTGAATGCACTGCAATACGTAGCCCCACATGACAAGTTTCTGGGCTCCTTTGTTTTTGTACTTCGTGTTCCGCATGACAAGCTGCGTTACAGATTCGAGAGCCATGCGAGAGAAGCATGACAAACCTCGCTACCTTTCCAGACCCAGACATATTTGCGATACATAACCACCCCCGCGACACAATTCCGGGTGGGGAGTGTCGTACTCCATTTTTACGACTCGCCCCCACCTATCTTCCCATTTTTCGCAAGCCCTCGTCTCGTCGTTCATCAGTGCTGGATCGAGCCCATTGCCGTAATAATCTTGCTGTTCGCGAGGGCGATCCTTCAAAAAATCCGAATCATAATCAGAATTCTGATCATCCTGCGAGGGCCAACAAGCCCCGTCAATCGGCGGAGGAACTGCTGCCGCGTTCCGCCTTGCTGTAGCCCTGCCGGTTCGTGCGTAGCGGTTCACCGCTGCGGAGGACGTCACCCGGGTGGAAATTATCTCCGAGGTCGCCATCTCTTGCCCCCCCGCGTGGTGGTCCTGATACGACATGCTAGCGGTGAACTCGGCGGATATTTGCTCCATCAACAGCTCCGCGTATTTGGTATAGTACAAAAACTCCGCGTCGAGGGGCGAAATACCACGTTTGTCAAGTTTGGTAGGCAAATCAACTATGCGGTAAAAGGAGCCATCGTTCGTGGAGCTGAACACCAATGGAATCTTCACCGCTTGTACATCATCAGCGACCGTTTCGCTATCGCCATTGCAGCGAAGTTGACTCGTGTCCTCGTGGTGGTCGACAGGAACAACATTCCGATCTTCTGCAGCTGCAACAGGAGCAAGAAAACTCCCCTGCGCCGGCTCGGTGGTGTTAGTACCTCCTCGCACTTGATGTCGCTCGCTCCCCAGAGAACTCCTTGTCCTTTCGTCTTCAGAGCCAGTGCCCGGGACCGTCGGTCGACTCGGCTGCAGCTTCGTGTGCACGTAGAGATACATAGTGGCGGGCAAAAGTCCTGGCGCTGATGCTGATCCGCTATTCATTTTTCCGAGCGGAAGTATACCCGTGCTCTCACTCTTACTATGCAGGCTTCTCGCGTACAGGTAGCCATTGCGATCAGGCGGAAGTTCTGGTAGAGCAGGTGTTTTGGCAGCTGCGCCTGCGCCAGGCTGTTGAAAAGACGAGGAAGACGAACCGCCAGCGTTTTTTGCACCAGCAATGTTGAGATGCGATGTTGAGCTTTCAAATCGTGATGTGCTGAGACCCACCCCCGGGTCGCTTTGGAAGTACCGGTCGGACAACCAGGGGAACGACTTTACTGCACTCGGCTCGGTCGCTTCCGCTGCAGTCGTAATGCTGCCCCCGTGCTGCGAAGAAGATCCCGCCAGGTTTTTCAGAAGCGCCAACCCCCGGACGCCAACCAAGTCGTTAGTACGTAGAACGGGCTGATGTTGTTGCTGAGCCGTATCGTCCGCTTCTGCTTGTTCGTGTTGTTTCCCTGCTGCTCCGGTGCTTGAGCTTGCGGTAGCAGGATCATGGTCAACATTCAGCGCAGGTGGACCGCTTGTAGCGGTGGTGTAGTCCTCCCGAAGATTGGGTCCTAACTGCAGCCGCGGCTTGTTGGCCGCATTGTGTGAGGAAGATAAAGCACCTGCTCCAGTTTGTTCCTGTTCGGTCATCATCTGTGCGATCGCCGCCCGGGCTTTACTTCCGGTAGCTGAAGTTTTTAAACCGACCGAAGGCTGTTGTTGTCCTTGGCTCATCGTGGAAGGGGAAGCTGACGAGTCACTACCCTGCTGTCCTTGTGCTCCAGAAGTACGTTGCTCTGTAGAAGAAGTTGCTGTACCAAAATGAAGACTTGGCATGCAAAGGCTTTTTTTTGCATGAAATCAGGTCAAGTTTGAAAGAGGAGGAAAAGCAAATCTCACACGCTCGAACAAACGTACCAACAAAAGCAGGAAGAAAGGGTCGAGCAACACGCTCGAACAAAATCGCTGTACCTAAAAACTTCAAGTGTTCTCGTCCCATTCGGTCGGCGTCTTCCAGGAGATCTAATACGGGCGATTTTTGCAGGGTCATACTTTCGAACTGCTTCTCAAGGTAGTCTGCTTCTTCATCATCAAGATCGTAATCAACACCAGCAAAATTGTCCTGGACCCGCATCATCTTTTCTTTCGCGAGAAAACCAACACTCCTGCTGTCACCGCGTTCTTCTTCTTTTGTAGTTGTATTGGTCGCTTTTCCGGCACCCGACTTCGTCGACGAAAGTCGGCCGCGCGCGGAGACAAATTTGTTTCCCCGGAGCGTCCACCTGGAAGAACCCAAGCCGCGACCTGCGCCGCGAAAATACAGCCCGTGGCGCCTGCTCTTCTCGTGCTCCTGCGCTAGGACCCGCCACACGTGGTAGTTTTGCGAGCGGATATTCAGCTGTAGTTTATTTTGCCCATGATGTTGTAGAGCGCCGGTGCCGGACGATGACCCCGGGATAGAATTAGAAATCCCTGTTCCGCCGAAGAGGTCGATGTAGGAATGGTCACGATCCAGCAAGGCTTCGATTTCCACAGCCTGCTGCACATTCCAACCGTTACCAGTGAGAGAAATCTCCGCGTAGTTGGTCGAAGCTTTTGATGCAGCTGCACCAGATGCTGCTTCGTCGTGTAGTTTTGTGGGAGGTGGTGGGAACATCAGTTGCAGATGCTGTAGCTCTACTGGTACTAACGGAGCCCCTCCTGCTGATCCATCATGCAGCTTTCCCCGCCTCCCCACATCAACCGCCGCTGTTCTCAATCGGTGCTCGAAAATCGTCACTGTGACAAACTGGGGGTAGCCCAATTTCGGTTCTTTCCGGTCCAGTACGTGTACGGAATGCTGCAATAAACAACGCTCCCGACTTTGCCTTACCGCCAGCGGCACGCTGCTGGCGTTCCGCGGCCTTGCAGGCGGTCTTGACGGGGAGGGAGGAATGGTGCTCGCATCATAGGAGATAGAATGCTCGTCGCACAATTGCAACGCCGATTTGTACTCTTCGAGGTTTTGGCTCGTGGCCTCGAAATAAAATGTTCGCTTGCGATTCGGCGCGGATAACAAATCCGCCGGCTCCGCTTCCGGTTCCTGGGTAGTAGTTGGCGCTGCACCGCGGTCCTGCTGAAGTTGTGTAGTTACTAGACCGGGTTTCTTCTTTTTCTGGGCAGCTTTGGATGATGAATCCTTTTCGCCCACGAGCCGGTACCGCACTTTATTGCGCGGCGCGGCGTTGATGATATCGCCGTAGTTCTGATCAGGAATTACGATCCGGTCAATCCCGATCCAGGCAAAATCCGGCACTAGTGAAGCCAGGAACGCCTCGTCACTCATTTCACCGGAAAAAATACTGTCTTCATCGTCCTCAGCCCCACGATCGTTCCCGCTTGTTGCGTTGTTGTCGGTGTTGCTTCGTGTCGGGGCAGGCGAGGGAGTGCGGGAAGAGGTGCGGGAGGTTGTCACAACTCTTGCTGGTTGTGCATCCACTGGCTGTACTACAGCGCTCTCTTGATGCGGCTCTGCTCCTGCGCCTGCTAGTGTATGACTACTAGACGCATTTGTAGGCTGCTGGGGCTGCGCTTGCGGTTGCTCTTGCGGCCCACCAATGCTTTCCGGTCTAAAACTCGGCGCCACAGAAGTGTCCACATTCGTGCCGTTGTTCCGCGTGATGCTGACCCCACCCCGCGGCCGATTTTGATACTCCCGCTCTAACAAGCTCGCCCGACTCCGCGGACTGATCGTCCGTTGACGCGCGTGGCCCGCTGTAGAGAGTGCGTCTTCATTATGCTGTGCACCGGTACTCTCGCGGCCCTCTTGCTGTTTCTTCCAAGAATCGACGTCCACGCGAAAGGTCAGTCCGAGACTGAAAGTCACTTCTTCAAACCGCGGAGATGTGGGGGTGGTGAGACGAGGGGCGGCCGCTGCGAAGATTTTCGCGCCGTGGAAAAAACGCTGGGCGAAGCAAAAAAGCAGCACAAATTTCATGGTCGAGATCATGGCGTAATCGAGAAAAAATCCCGTTTTTCTACTGGTCTTAGTGCCGCGCCTGCAGTAATTTGGTTGCTGTGCAGAAGTTGTAAAACTTTGGAATCTACTGTCGTGACTGTGTGGATGATAGGCTGTATAGATACAAAAGTAGAACATAAACCACAGAAGGCTCCCATCGACATGGTCATCCATATTCAAACGCAAAAGATGACCCAAATAAAAGTAGGTAAGTCTCGACGTAATCTTATTTACCTGAACGCGCGGCCGAGCTTGTTGGACTCCATCTGCTGTCTTTTGTTGCTTCTTGTCGAAAAGCGACTGGTCGTTGGACGTAGTTGGGCCGAGATGATGCAATCTGGTGTGATAAACCTGCTATAATATCGCGTCGATTCTCGCAAGAAGCGTAATACTGGAAGCCAGATTATATATTTGCAGTGAAGCTAGGTACGTCGCCGTGCTTTATTTTCACAAAGATTTTCTTGTAGCACAACAAAAGAACAAGCAAGGGCCTTGCCACATCGGATATTAACGCAGGCGTACCTGCGCGGATGAATGGTTGATAGAGCCGCCGCTAAGAAGACCAAGTTACTACCGCTTGCTTAACACTGCCACGACCGAGCCCGTAGGTGGACGAACAGTGCAGGATTAATATACCGGTTGGTTTTTTACACTCCGTTACCGTTTGTTTCCTTCGTTATCTTCTCTTCCTCGCGACAAGGGGAAGAAAAAATCAGTTCAGTGGCCCGGCACCTGGTAAAGTTATGTCAAACGGGAGTGCCTATCGTTCAAAGACAAAGCCCGCCTCGCCTTCTCGCCTCAGAAGACTTTCCATGCGTCTTCCGTACAGAAAGTGTTTAGGGCGTCGCGTCAGTGGCCATCGTGTCACTACGGTAGGTTTTTTCGATGAGAGATCTTGCACCGTGTGAATTCCAATTCAGTAGTCAAGCTCAACGTCGAGTTCTGTCTTTTTTTGAGTAGAGAGCAACAGGTGGTTAAAAATTTGAATTTTGCTGCACAGCTTTGAAGTATAATTCAACATGAAAAGCTTTGGACTGCAGTATCAAAAAGGCTAGTCACCCCGCCATGTGCCAGCAGTTGTCCTGCTTGTTTGATTCCGAAGAAAAATGAATCAAAACAGAACGCTTGGTAGAGTATGAATCAAAAACGCTCGCAAGACAGAGAGCTCCTGCAATCTAACAAAATGTACGAAAGTTTTGGATCGTGGCCAAGCCTTTTCTACCTTACCGCGTCGAGGATATTGAAACGCGCGTAAAAAAACGATGATCCACAGCAGACATACAAAGCGCGTGGTCAGGGTCACCACGCCGTGCCTTTACAATAGCAGGCAATTATATAAGGATCTGACGGCCGCGATTTGCGAGCAATGCGAGCAATGCGACAGGGGTCCGAAGCTTTGCGAGTTGCGAGCGCGCGGACCTGTCGCAAGTCTTGCGAGTACTCCTCGCGACTTCGCCTGCGAGTGCCCATTTTTGGGCCTCAGTTCGGCGCCGTGTAAATATTCCTAGCCCCAGCGGTGGCGTGGTTGTGTGTCCTTCTCCTTTATTCCGGACCAACCTAGCTAAATGAATCTAGCGCGCGTGGGCCCCGCGATGGCCGCCTTCAGTCGTGCGACGGGCCTTCGCTTGAGAAAAGTAAAAATCTAAAACCTAAGCACTGCGCTCCCCAGTAACAGAGCGAGGAGACCGCCACTAGCTACAGTCCGAAGGCAAGAGCAAAAGTCCTGCACCTGCAGGCCAGTCTCCCGCCGGGCAGTTCGCGACTCGAGGCAGTAAGGTGAGCACTTAATTGCCGGGCACTTGAATGCTGCCAGACCCCCGCGATTTGCGAGCAATGCGGGCAATGCGAGCAATGCGACAAACCGCGACCGGTTTGCGACTCAATGCGAGTCGCATTGCTTATATAAATCTCTGTAAGATGCGCACAATGATAATGTCGATGTTGCAACCGAAAAAAATCAGAGTTCTTTCTGGTTGTTCTTTGCAAAAACGAAACTAGCAAATTGAAATTCATGAAACCACTCATTGAAGATTTTGCATGCATCCGGTCCTACTTGCTGGCCACCTGCAGCCCTGCTTCAACTTTTCTCGCCACGACGCTTATAATTTCTTGAGCGTGTATATTCTCGCCTCGCCCCGCCCCCAGACCCACTCGGCCCCTCGGTTCCAGTCCGGGTGCTGGTCCTCAATCTCCTTTCGCAGCCTCTTGGCATGTTCCGCGTGGATCTCGTCTGGTTCTCGCCCCAAGTCTTCGGCCATCGTCGGCACAATCCTGTTCGTCAGCAAAGTCCTGGAGACCCGAACCAATCCGTCCAGGTCGAGGTTCATGTGCCAATCGTACCCAAGGTCTTCGATTTTGATGCTGGTTGTATCTACTTCACCAGGATCAGTAGTTGTACGACGACCAAAGCCCGCGGCGCGCGCCATCTGGGCGACGCAGCCCTTCGTGTTGTACTGGGTGGGAGAGAGGGACATCGGCTGCACTACAATCTTCGGGGGACATCGAACCGCCACACTCGGGTCGTCGGCAGTCTGCCTGGCACGAAACTCCGCCCAGATGTCGTCGATGATCTTTTGGTTCACGTAGAAAAACGGCATCTGCAGCCAAATGGAAAACACAGCGAAGCCGCCGGGCTTCAGGACGCGGTGGACCTCGGCGAGGGTCTGCGGGCAGTCAACAAACATGAGCAAATACGTGCCGATGACACAATCGAAACAATTGTCTGCATACCCCGACAAATCTTCCGCCGAAACCACCCCGAAATCGATCTGGCGGGCGGAAAGTTCCGCGCCCAGCTTCTTCTCGCAGCGCAGCTTGCCTTTCTCAACCATTCCCGCCTGCGAGTCCGTGCAGGTGACCCTCAAGTGCGGCAGCTGGGACAGAATTGTGGCGGTAGGCTCGGTATCAAATGTAAAAATGTCTGGGTCTGGAAGATTCTGACACTTGTCATGCACGTGTGCATGACCCATGATGTCTGTGATGCATACCCTAGCAATACAGATTTTCTCAGGGCTTCCTGATGCCTATTCCGCATGACAAATGCCTTCTCAGCGGAGCAAAAATCGCATTCCCTTTGGTACTCGTGCAATACAGATTTTTTTGGAATCCAAATGCAGCATCACAAGTTGCATTCTTCCAGACCCAGACATTTTTACACTTCATACTCGGCGGGACCCGCGCCCAGGTCGAGAACGGTGGCGCCATCGGGAAGGTTTGCGTCTTATCAAAATGGAAAATCCTCCCTCCCCATATCAAAGTCGAAATCTGTGATGCGGGATTTGTCTACACAAATCAGCGGCGCCTTGCACTACCCTAGAGGAATGCAGGCAGATACGAAGCCTGGGCTGGGATGTTCTGACGTAGGAACTTAGCATGACAGAGATCAGCTCCCTTGTAGGTCTAGCAGCATCACAGACCGCCTGCAAAATGCGGCGGAGTCTCTGGATTTGCCTTCTTGCAATACAGAGACGATTTGTGGCCGCAAATCAGCACCACAAAAAATTTTCAGAAGTATCCCCTTTTGGTATAGGGAGGGGGGATTTTTCCTCACGATACGCCTTTCAGAACGTCGGTGACGGCCTGCCAGCACGGCTCGTTGATTTCGAAGATCTTTGCATAAACGTCCTCTCGCTCGATGGCATCCGCCATTTCAGACAGAGCATAAACGCCGGCGAGCTGCTGGGCGAAGACGATTCAGAAGAGGTCCTAAAGAAACAAACTCGCCGTGTTTTAATAGTGGCTGGAGGTCTGTGACACAACGTGAAAGCAAAGAATCGAACAAATATCAAGCCCAGAGCTAGAAAAATGTAGCGACCCCTGGCATGGGCATTGCAATGGCTGCAGCTTGTGGTAAAAGTGACTATTTGTACTTCCCCAGCAGCATGAACAAGCATATGAACGACAAGATCGTGAGCGAGTAGAATCGCCAGTGACAAACATCAGGGCGGGAACACCTTTGCCTTCACTGCATTGACCTTGTATTGCTATTGCGCATTGCTCTTGTCAAAATGTTGACAAGGAGAAATCACTGCTAGAGGTCGTCGCAGAAAAGAACTAGCAATACACAACTGTGCGTTGTAATCGGTTTGATGTCGTAGTCGCTCGCCAATATACGAATTCCGGAATGCTGATAGGGTTTCAAGCGCACCCGTTTACTTTCTGGGTCTTGACCGTATAATCCGTATCGCTTTGGCTTTTATCAAGAAAAAGTTCGCATCACTCGCTTTACTTCAAATTTCGCTTGACTTTGGTCCGCCTAATTACTGCTCTTCCTCTTCTTCCTCGGCCACGGAATTGTCCTCCCCCTCTTGCTGCATCAATTTTTGCGCCTTAAAACCCCGCACTTCCTCCGCCTTCAAGGACGGAAAATGCACTTCCAGGTCCGAGCACGCTTTCTCGAAAGTGTGACCTTCCCAGTACACCTTGCGACACCCACCGCACCGGTAGAAAACCGACTGATTTTCGAAAACCGCTTCTTCGACGTCGCCTTTGATGTCCATTTTGTCTGTAACCAATTGCCAGTCGCTGGCGTTACAATCCACGCAACGATTGCAGAAGTCTTCTGCGGTGATCTGCATCTCGAAAAAGCGCACCACCTCCAATACCATGTCGATAATTTTCGGTCCCGCCTGGATGGTGTACACGTTTGGGATAAAACTCACGGGGTTCACCTTGTCGACTTTGGGCTTTTTGGTTGTCAAGTCACCCACTTCCACCACGCGGGCTGCGGCCACTGCTGTTGAAGTTGATAGACCAGGAGTCCCGCCCGACGAAGCCGCCGTCGTCGAGCTGGTGTTGCCATCTTCATTGTTCGCATCATCGCTCCCCTTGTTCCACTCGCCCTCACCCACCTCAGACGCAAAGGTGCAGCCATTGCCATTGGCTAAGAACGCTAGCGAATTTGAGTTTTGCTCTCCTTCAGAATTTTTAGGTTGATTTCTTGGACGACTAGGTACGTCTAGAGCTTCGTCTTGGCCAGGACCTGTCGGAGGTGTTTGATGTTCCGACGCAGGGCGTTGGGCCACGTCAACATCAAGAGCTGCTTCATCCGGAGCGCCGGGCGCAGGAGCAGCCTGGGTTTCCTGGTTTTTGGCCTCGTTACCGTCCTCCTCGCAGGAGGACCCGGAAGGTGCCGACTCGCTCTCCATTTGTTCGATTTTGTTGCGTTTGCCCAAGAGCGGGTCGCGTAACAGGAGCACCCGGCCCGGGAGCGGTTTCAGTGCAGTCACTCGTCCCTCCACCTCGAGGATATCGATTCCGAGGCCACGGAACTTCCGGATCAACTTTCGCTCCATGTTGTGCGCGCAAAATTTTGGCACATTCTCGGGGCCGAAGGGCTCCCCGTTTTCGTCGTGGAACACCTTGTTCGACTCCGGACAGCAAGCCTCGAGGTTCTTCTTCTGGAGCAGATACTGGTGGGTGATCAGTCCTTGGTCCCGCAACACGGTTTCGGTCTGCACCTCCCGGGGCCCGCGGATTATACTATTGAACCTGCTTGGTTCGTCCCCACGGACTACATGCTTGGAGGCCAAGGCGTCACTCAGATCGAAGAGCACGGCGGCATCTCGGGCTGCGTACTGGATTTGCGCGCAGAGCAGCGGTCGCCGGTCCCAGTTACTTTCGCGGACTTTCTTGCAAAGCTTTTCCGATAAAACCGATTCCGCGACACGCTCGAGCGAGGGCTGCTGCCCCGGGAAGTAGTGCAACTGCAAATCGAGCCAGTTCGGCGGATATTTGCTCTTCATGCTCGTCGCTTTCAACACACTGTTATTTTTTGTTCCATGGTGTAGAAGTTCTGAAGGCGGCGACGCAGCGTCGACATCATCGGGGAACAAAAGGCCATGCGCCTTAAGTCGTCGAATGTCCTCGGCGCCGCTGAACAGAAAACATTTGCTGGCCGAGAGCAGCGCTTTCCGGAGCCAGTGCAAAACCTCTTGGCAAAGATGAGAGGTCAGATCGAACAATAGCACAATGGGCTTGTTTATGTTTGTTATTGTTTCTGCCGGACAAGCGCCAAATAAGCCCCTACTCCCAGCATGTTCCGTATTATACCCGTCGGAGACCACCCCCGGCGTCGGTGATTTTCGCACCGCTAACTGCAAAAGCGAGATCGGCCGCGGGTTCCACCATTCGCAGTCCAGCGCGACTTGGTACTCGGCCCATTCAACATCGGTTAAGGGAAGGGCCCCTTTCGTGCAGACCGCATCGACCCAGAAGGTGCGCACCGGCTGGTGTTTATCCACCGTGGACGCCATGCTACTCGTTGGATGGGCTATCACCCCGACGTCGGCGTAGCTGAACAACAAGCGTAAGTCCAACCGCGGTCCGACTTTGCAGCAAACTTTTGGTGTGTTCGCGCCTGCAAGCATGTCCTTGCAGCGAAGGTAGGACAGAACGGCGTCGTCTTCGGTGTCGGGAAATTCTCTTTTGAGAAAGGCAAACCAATCCGGCAGTCGCCACATTCCCCAGTCTTGAGCCAGCTTCAAGCTTGGCTGCAAAGCCAAGCCGGCGCGTTTCCAATGGATAGAGGCATCGGCCAGTTTTTGCAAGCTGAACGTTTTGTTGCCGCTGTTTTCCTTCGCGCGTAAAAGAAGCTCCATGCACCCCATCTGCCTGCACTCCTCCTCTTTTATGAACTCACTGCTACAGGGAAGCGCGGACCTCGGCAGGCCGACCTTGCATTTCGCAACTAGATCCACAAACTCATCCAGGGAAAGGGTCTCCGCAAAGTGGCGCAGAACTTCTTCTGATGGTACGTAGTTCACGTGCTCACAGAACACCGTCACAAGGCTGGTCGGAATCTTCAATTTCGGCGATCGAAATTTGCCTTTGTTGCCCTTCTTGCTTGTCAATGCGTCATCGGTAGTTTTTGTGCCTCGCTTGGATGAAGAAGAAGCAGCTACTTGATGTTCCTTCGTGGGTCCTTCGCCGGCGGGCTGACCTGCATGTCGTGCCTGGTTAAATAAATGATTGTCCCCCGGCCAATTGTGCTTCAGTTCCACCATCCGGTCTGGAATGGTCGGTTCGTTTCCATCACCGTCGACCGTAGACAAGCCACGACTCGTGGCTCGCTCCCGGGCAGCGTCCTTTTCGTCTTCTTGCGGACTTTCCTTTTTGTCAGAGCCCGCAACCTTCACGGCGCGACACTGCAAAAGCCCTGCCTGCACTTTTGTCTGCGCGAACTGGAGGATGGCGGCCTTTGCGGTGTCACTCTGCTGCGGCAATTTTTTGTTCAACCAGACCAGAAGTAACTTCAGAGCGTCTTCTGTGTGATCCAGCATCTTCAGAAGCGGCAATTTTCTTGCGGGATCCCCGTTCGCATCGCTGACCAGTGCAACCTGAAGACTTGACGTCTGTTCCACTAGTTTATTTTCCGAGCTGCTGCAGAGCGGCTCCCCGAGTGGAGACGTCAGGACCTCGTGCAGTATGTAACACACTTCGAGGGCCGAGTAGTTCAAGTCGAGATTGCCCCGAATTTGCGCCACTACGGCTTCCCGGGCCCGATGGTTCTCCCGAGGATGTTCCTCGAACAGCTGGCGCATACGAGTGGCGTCCATGATGCTGCGGAGTCCGTGTGAGCAAAAAAACTAACTAACCTTCGGTCGTGCTTGGAGGTGTTACTTAAAAACCAGCCGCGGTGGCCATTGTAGCAAAGTGCTGAGGTCAGCTCTAGTTTCTTTTTCCAAGTGACGTGAGGACTATCGTCCTGCTCCTCTGTCACGTGGTTGCATGTCAACACTAATGATCCACGATCAGGCTACTTATTTCGAAGTCAAACATTAACGAATAAGAACGACGGGGACAATATGGATCATCTTGGAGGCATTGTTTAATATAGCAGGATAATGAGTTCTTGCTACGAAAGGCAAAGGGGTTCCTGTTGAAGGAGGCCAGGAAATCGAAAAATAAACTGTAGGGAACGCCAACAACCAGAATCAACTACAAGAACAGTGCTCGCGGACTTCCACGGTGATTGGAACTAGCACAAAAGGAATTTAGTGCTTCGAGGATAAGGCAGCGATCGGATCTTGAGTCGTTTCTTTTCGTGTTCGTTTAGTACGTTTGAATTTAATAGCTGTCGATCCATTGATTTCTTCCCTTCCGTCTCATCGCGGCGATCTGTATTTCTATTTCTTTGCCTTTTGCTATACCGAAGCGCAATTTCTTTGCTTTGTCTTTCTGGATGAACACCGCCAACAAATTCCGAGCCCAAGTTCAGCTATAACCCATTCAGCACCCATTACAAATGCCAGCTTTTAGCCTGTAAAAATTTGCCATGCACTTCGACTGTGCGTGTTGAGCGTGTTCGCGTTCTGTAAATTTGTCTTGCATAACACCCGTCACTAGGTAGCGCACGAATCGAGCGCCAAAACTGCTCCTGTCAGTGGGTACGCGGTGCTTGGCGCTGTTGTACACTCGTCGCTTCTTGGCGTTGGTCCTCATGCAGATGTGTTTGTGCTCCTGCAGCTGCATCCGGTCCGGAGGAAATGTTCGGTTGCAAACGCGGTAGGGGACCAGCCCGGCCGGGATCAAGATCATTGGCGGCTGCGCTGTGGCTTCGGTGGCGTAGATGTAGGCGCCAGCAGCGTTTGGTTTTCTTTGTTCTGGCGCACACCAATTGATGATGATGAAGGCACGCTCCTATGAAATAGCAGGCCTCTTCTTCAAATGCTTCAGTTTTCTCACAAAACACATCAACATACCGAGTCGGAGGAAAGGGGCTTACTAGAACACGGAGGATGAGCATTGTTTAGGCAAGATGATTTGATGGTGATGCCTTTTTGAACTACGGAAGAGTTTACTCCGCATTGCTTGTTGGCAAAATTTTCCTACCGGGCAAGGTTGGTCAATTCGATTTTTGTGTATACAAAGCTGCCAGCTTTCAAAATGCGGTTTCTTATCTTTCAGTTTCTTTTTCAACTTTGTCTTTGAGTTCATCTACATAAATCCAAATCATACATATGAATGAAAGCGCGGTCTTTTGGAGGTTCTTTTCTCTTCTTTTTACACGATTTTTACTTCTTCTTCTCATACTTCACGGCGTTGCTTATGTTGCTTATCTTAACAAGACAAATTTTTACATAGAATGAATCCGCTGCCCAGGACGAGTGGCAGCAAATGCGCAATCACACAGAGGAGCAGGACCACCGTGACAAAAAAATAAGTGGAACCGAATTTATATATTAACATAGGCCCCATCGAATTACTTAGCATCTACTGACTTCGGGAAACCTCCTTGTATGTGTTGCAGCTCTTTGTTCTCTTGTATCAACATTATTGGCTTCTAAATATAAAAAAAAAAGGCGTGCAAGTGGTTACAAGACGCCGTCGGACGAGGACGAGGGCGGGGACCAACACCAACGCCATTGCCTAGACGAGTCATAGGCTTGCCTGCAGCAAGGGGCCACAGCAATGAATTCTACGAGCTCATTCGCAATAAACGCTCCTCCATGATCTAGCAGTACTAGCAAAAGACCTGGGGTTCTTGATAGTCAATCAGAGACACGAAAATAAAGCACAACTTCTTGTTTGTCTGCCTCCCCGTTCTGGCGCGGCTCCCGTCTTGGGTAGCCAAGCACTGAACTACTTGGGACTTTTTCCACCGCAGATCCTTAACGGTAAGACGTACTTACCCGCACAAGAAGTGGAGCGCCGACTGTAGTACCGCTTTGTAAGTACTTAGTTGCTGCACGAGGTCCATGACCTACTACAGGCTCACCACCATAGAGCTCGGCATCTGGTCTCTTTGCAGAAACCGCGGCATCGGGACGCTGGTTTGCCGTGGCGGTGTACGAGATGCCAGGGATTCTGGCTCCGATGATATGCAGTGCAAAGACGTCTGTGTCTGGAAACGTGCCAACTGGTAAAGCGCACAGCTCTATGTGGTAAAAGAAGGGCTTACGTGCAGAAAAGTACTGCTTTTTGCTATTCGCACGACAGTGGTAGTAGTAGATAGAAGTAGCCAGCACGTGACTCCTGACGGTTGGCGTTAGACCAGATCCAGCCTCTACCAATGCCTGGGCGTTAGAACAGGTTTAGGAGCCTTTGCCAGGGTGGACTTGGTAGAACGACAGACCACGGGGCTTGCGATGCAGGATATGCATTGAGAAGTCTCCTGCGCGAAACCCTAGTGCTTTCGCATGCAAGACGGGCCTTCTCGATGATGCTAGCTTGCACAATCAAGATGCATGACACACACCTGCAGTCTTTCATCCCGAGCCTCCAGACACCTTTATTTTTGCAGTTGATAGATGAAGCATCGGAACTATGATAACTATGATCGTCTGAAAGTAGCGCTGGCGCCTCACCGTCGGACAGAAGCATGTCGTCGGCTGGAGCTGCAGCTGCGGTGCCCGCCGGCTCTGGCTGAGATGAATCCTCGCCGGCGGACTGCTGGCCAAAGCGGTCGTCGTGTTGCAGCAGCTCCCGAAGAAGTAGATCAATATCTCCTGCTACTGCTTCATGACTGCCGTGCAGGAACTGACTCATAATATTTTTCAGAGATTGGTGCTGTTCCTGGTCCTGCTGCCGCCCCAGCGCACGCACAGAAGCCAGGTTGCGTAATAATCTGATGCAGGACGTCCAGGTTTGTAGTCCCGCCCGACTACATAGATCTAGATGAGCACGCAAGGTCTGCCGCGCACGATCGGGGGCAGACATCACAGACTCAGTTGCTATCAAGCACAAATAAACTGGGTTAACGGTAGCGGCTTTCGCGGACAATTGCACGCCTATGCTCCCTATAATCGTGTTTACAAATTCATGCGTGCTATGTATTTATAGAAAAACACAAACTTTGGCGCCTTTTCTCATGATGTGTCCGCACTGCATGCCATTGCCAAGTTCCGTGACCGCTAACGCTTTTCCATGCGATAGCTGCAGTGTCCTGGCCAGGATGCTGTTGAGGACCGGCTGCAGTCGTGTCCTGGCCAGGATGCTGTTGAGGACTGGCTGCAGTGTCCTGGCCAGGATGCTGTTGAGGACCGGGCGCGGCGGGTGGACTGCGCGATCTTATCCTACGGAAAAGTACACCCATTCATAGAAAGATATTTATACTATTAAAGAATCTTGGCATGCTGTTTTTTGTGACACAAAAAGACTAGACCCTCGTTGGCTGTCCAACATGACGAATTTTTTGGGAAACTAACCTTTGTCATCATCCTCATCATGTGGTGGACACCCGCACCCAGCAGCGCCACGGGCCAAGGATCCCGCCCTCCCCGGGGGGTGGGCGAGGAAGCACTTTCGGTTTCGGCGACCTCAACATACAAAGCCGAGCACTACCTCGGTGAGTCGCCTCAAAAAAATACTCGACATGCCAGTCTTACATTCATTCTCCATTTAGCATGACAGATATTTGCTTTTCTTGCGAATCAGCCTTTTGTGACAGAAAAACAACAACACACATTTTTTTTTTTGCTCGTATGGGTGTGCTTTTCTGCAAAATACAAATAGAACCTCCATCCCGCAAGAAGCCGTTGCGTTCTTGTTCGCGAGAGTGCTGATCTAGCCACACAGCAAGACGAGCATCTGCAGGACAAGGATCTCCGCTACTACTACCAACTCCTGAAGCCCACCCCGTGTAGTTCTTCTCGCCACGTTTAGTAAACCAGCAGCCTTCCGCCTTGTTATACAAGGAACAAAGAAAAACAGTGCCAGCGTAGGTCAGCAATGCAGGAAACCATGCAACAGTACCAGTAGAAGACCTAGTTATGAAGGGAGAATCGACAAAATTCAACCCCCCCGGCCTCTGGCTAAAGCCAGCGAGGGCGCTGGCTAAAGCCAGCAAGGGCGCTGGCTAAAGCCAGAACACCACCACAGGCGGCCGGATGCTTTTTGGTAATCGCGCGGCCTGTCCGATGAAAAATTTTCGTGGTCACAGAGCCGCCCGAAACGGCGCTCTGTGATTTTCTCTATCACAGGATCCCGCGCGAAACAGACGCGGCGTGCCGAAACTTTGCGGCCTTTCTATTGGGGCGGCAGTTCGCCGGGCCACAATTGAACGCGTGGGCCTCAGCGGAAATGGGGCGCGCCCCCACAGACGGCCGCACGCAATCGCGAAAAGGGACTGGGCGAACTTGATACCCAAAAACCCCAAAGGGCGCCAACGGTATCGGGCCCCGCTGGGAAATGTTTTGCACAAATTGCGCAGCCGGTTCGGCGATTGGGCGCTGCGGGTTTTTCTCTTCTGCAACAAAATCGAAGAAAATTTGCGCAGGCAAGCCAACGTGGCAAGCCCGCAGAAGGTGCGCCCGGCTTTTCACGGAGGCCACACCATGGGGCCCCGCGCGTCCTGCAATCCCGATACCCCACCCCAGCCCCCCCTGGCCCTTTCTGCTTTTCCCCGGGATTACATAACCGGCGCTGTAAAGCCTGGCCCGGGCGCTCCCGCGTGTTGACTTCTGCCGGCGCCCCTGCCTTCTTTCCTTTTTCGTACAATATGAGTCGCGGGGGCGCCAATCTTGCCACACAATATCCGCAAACCCACAACAAAGGAGCGGGCCCACTGCAAAACAATTCAAGGAAATCTCGCGCGCACCTCGCGGGCGCGATTGCGCACCCTGGGGGGCTTGGCCATACCCCTGCGGGGCGCGCGTAATTTCTCTGCCGGGCCTCGTTGCAGCTTTTTTCGATTTTTTGTCGCCCGGGTTTGCGACCCCCACACGCAGATTGACCCGCCCCGGGCAACGGGAGGCGGGGCAACCAGACAAACCCTCCTCCTTTCCTATGCGTGTCCGCCGCCCTTCTTGTTTGCTGACCCCACCCATTGTTCGCTTTTTCCCCTGGGCCTGCCCGGGCAAAAAAAACAGAGTTAGGAAGCCGGCAAGGGTGGGGACGCAGGCTGCCGCGCGCACAACACAATCCCAACCAGTCAGCAAAAAACCCGCCCCGTCGAAGATAGGGGCGGAGGCGACCCGGGCCCACACCACCGCCCCCCTCCGTCGCGCAAACACACGCGCGCGCCCGCCGCGCCGCCGGCCCTCCGTGCGCCGCCGGCTTCTTGGTTTTATTTTCGGTGGGGCGCGCCCTCCACTCGGCGAAAAAAAAAACAAACAAGCGAAGCGCGCCGCCCTTCCTCCGGCAAAGTAGCTCCACGCGCCGGGAGTTGGGGCCGGCACGAAAAGCCACAGGCGCGCGCCCCAACAGGGCGCGCAGGGCGGCGCCTAGAAGTTGGGGCCTCGGAGCAGGCGGCGGGACGGGGTCGATGAAATAAAACATACACAGGGCGGGCGAAAGGTGGGCGCGGCAACCAAAAAAGGGGCACACAGGAATGGAGCCCGGGCGGGTGGCTACCTTCGACGCGGCCCACCAAATGCGCGCCAGAGATTTCCGGGCCGGTGGTGCCGCCAAAGCCGCGCGACCGAATGAGACACCCCGGCCCCCCGAAGACTCCCGGCGCCACCCTGCCACCCGCCCGGAAGACGGGTGGTCCAGCAGCCTCTAGGCAGCTGCACGCACGGGACGGGGGGGCTGTTGAAAAAGAAACGACGAACCACATGCAGCATCGTTGCTGCCCCCAATCATATGCTTGCCACGCAACCTGCGAGGCGCGGGCGCGGCGCACTAGACGGCTTGGGCACCCTTTACCACCAAGCCACAACAAAAATAAAGGGGCGCGGGGAAGCGCGCGGGCGAGCCCAGTTTCCCCGGTCGGCGCTAGGGTTTCACCCTGCCCGCTGCTCCGCTTGGGCGCGGCAGCCCGGGTGGAAACCACACAAGACCCATCGCGCCCGGCCCCCAAGCCTTTCCCCGAAGCGGCGCGGGCGGCGCGCCGCGCGCGGGCCGGGAGCCACAAAGCAGGGGGCGCGACAACCCGCGACCCAAGGGAATCACCCCCGCCCCGCGGCCGCGCTTCCAACTTCCCAGGGCTGGCTTTTAGCCCCCAGATTGATTCCGGAGCCCCAGACCGATTCCGGAGTCGCCCCGGGGGCTAAAAGCCAGGGCCCAGGGGAATGGGGACCGAGCCCGGAGGTATAAAAGCTCAACGCAAATCCGACAGGGGAGGCGGGGCCTTTGGGCGCAAACAAGGGGGCGCCCGAAAGAAACTACCCCCGAAACGCAACGGACGCGGAAATGGATGCGGGTGCAACCAGGCGCCCTCCTAGAGGCCCGCGCCCATCAATCTATGTGCTAGGAGGCCCGCCGCCCCATACAGCGCCACTACTCTCTCACGCAACCCAAAAAGCCGACCGACGCAGCGCGCTGCGGCCTTTCGGGCATCTTCTTTGTCCCCGGGGCGGAACCAAGGAGGCAAAGGCCACGGGAGGCGGGCGCGGCCGGCAGGCGGTTTTCCGGCCAAGGCGCCGAGGGCGGGCGGGGGCCGCCACCCGTGGCCGACTGCCCTGGGCTGCCCGGCGGGGCTCGGCCGAAGGAATCGGGCGCCTGTGCCGCCGGAAAACAGAATGAAACAGAAACAAAAAATGCAAACGCTGCTGGCTCGGCGTGCAAGGGCGTCGCGGGCTTGCAAAAAAACAAAGAACTGCTTCGCCGAGCCCTTCCCCCGGGCTTTGGAATACCAACAAGGACGACGCCGGGGCAACCAACGAGCAGGGGCCGAAGCGCGAACGCTGCGAGCAGGGCCGGCGAAGAGTTGGGAACTGGGCAGGAACCAAAGGGGGCGCCACCAGGCGACAAATAGAACGAGGGCCGCAAATGGGCCGCTGGCCCCCACGGTACACACGCAGAGCCAGATAAAAGCTGGGCGCGCGGCTGCAGCGCGGCGCGCTTCTGTCAAAGAACTCCAAGGGGCCCGGGGCCTGCAAGCAGGAGACGCCGTCAGCAATAGCGGTCAGAAGCTGCAGCAAGGAAGGCCAGGCGAAAAGAAGGCAGGGAGCCGAGCCACACCGAATAAAGCATAAGCAGAGCGCAAAACTTCCAAAAGGAGGCAAACACGCGCAGCACCTGCGCGCAGCCGGCGCACTGCTCTGGCAAATCGCCGCTGCGCTCCTTTTGGATGGTTCTCCAATTTTTTGTCGCAGGATGCGCGGCTCCACGCCACATACTTTAAGGGAGGCAGGGGACGAGACAGGCACAAGACGGGCGCAGGCACAAACGAAACTAAAGAAAACCGGCGCCGCTTTTCTTGAAAAAAGCAGAAGCAAGGCTGGCCGGGGGCGACGGGAAACGCGGAGTCGGGGCAACAGGAGGGCCGCGCGGCCATTGTGCGGCGGGCCACAAAAAAGCCGGGCGCGTGTTCCACGTACTGGCTACGGTTTGCGTCCCGAGGTGTTTTTCTCCTCTTCTTCGTTCCCCGAAGAAAAAAACGCGGCGCCATCGCTTTGGGGCTGGTGCGCAATTTTTTCGCGTTCGGCTCCAAAAATCCGGCCCAGCGCCTTTGTAACAGGGGCCCCCCCCTGGGGAAGCGTGGCCTGCACCGAATGGCATGCCTCCCGGGGCCGGCTGCTCCGGGCGGCGGGGGGTGCGCGAAAAAAATTCAGAAAACACGGACACCGCCGGCACGCCGCGTCATTCTGCGCCTCGCCCACTACTCCACCACGACTCCCAATCATTCTCTCATACCTTCTGGCCCCCCGGCCGAGTCCACCCTACGCCCGGCCCAGCGCGCGGGCGAGCCTTTTGCATCCGGCGGGCCCACGCCATTTGTTAGAGGGGGCGCGCACGCCAAAAGGGCATGGCCGCCCCCCGCCGGCGGGCCCTCCCGGCTTGAAGAGGCGACCGCGCCGTCGGGGATCCTGACTGAAAAATCCACAGCCGGGCCTGTCTTGTTCGGAGCAGGCCAGCCGGGCTAGCTTCCCGAAGTGACACTGTCTACACCCAAAGCGGAAATGGGCGCTCCGGGAAAAAGCGGAGCGCGCATAGAGAAAACTGGCTCGGGCCTTTGCGCCGAACGGCCAACCACCTGGGGTCTCAACCTAGTGCCCACTATGTGCGGGCGAATGTTGAGACGACAAGAAACGCAAGCAGTCCGCAAAATTCTAGCGCCTAAAAATGCAGCGAATCCGGCGCCCACTCCATGTTCTGCGACCTTTTCGTTGGCGTTTGCGGCGCATCGGTTGGGATGATTTTCCCTGTTCAGAAGTTGCTATCGATGCGGAAGAAAATCCCGCTTCTCTGGCTTTAGCCAGCGTTGCCGCTGGCTTTAGCCAGATACCGGGGGGGTTGAATTTTGGCACTTTCTCCGTCCCTAGACCTAGTCTTGTCATGCCAGACAACCGTGATAGCCTCTTTTTACGAGATGTGATTTCACGCACTAGGGGCCGCGTATGACAAGTTTTTCTGTCATGCGAGACAAGTTTGTGATGCTGCTGCTCATCCACGGAAGTTACACTACACACAGTTGCTTTTCTGGATACTCGCCGTGGTCACGCGTCGCCAGTCCCGGAGGTGTCCCGTCCATGCTGGAGGCCGCGGAACCACCGTGGCAGGATCTAGTCGCCATTGCTTCGGGCATGATGTCTAGCCTGGAAGAGGTGGCAGGGTGGTTGGGTAAAAATTGCTCACCGTGCTGCTTTTGGACAAAGTCAACTACATGCTCTACTTCCGTAGTACCACGAACAAGCCGCGCTGCTCGAAAACACTCTCCTTCCGGCGGCAGTGCTGGATACGATGCGGTAGTTGTGTAACGGGAATCGAATTCTTCTCCTCCTCTGGCCGAGTGATGTAGTCTTTGTTCATCTATGAAGCCGCCGCGTCGTCCGCCTTCTTCGCCACCTGTTCTCGTCCCACAAAACAAACTCTCGCTCGTCGTGGTCGTGCCCGGTGACTCCGCGCTCCCGGAGAAGGAGGCATCTTCGACACCATCTTCCCCTAGCACAGGTGGCACTTCGGTAGATGACAGAAGCAAAGTACTAGGTACTACGTCGAGCTCCTCCTGTAGTTCTACTGCAGCAACAGGTCCGGCGCCTTGCAAGACTTGCTGCAAGACTTGCTCACAGGTCCGGCGCTGTTGCTGCAAGACTTGCTGCAGCTCGCGTCGTGCGACCTGTTCCTCGGAGGACCAGAAAGGTGAAGAAACAGCAGACGAAGGGGAGCAGGAGAGACTAGAAGTATAATATGGTGGCCAACACGGACTAGTGCCACAACTTCCCGGACGGGCAGCAGGAAGCGGTCCTGGAGGGGATGACCCACTGGTGGTGCTCCTGCGTCTATGCTGTGCAAAAGTAATATCGCAGTCGCATTCGTAGTAATTGCAATCACGCATGAAAAAGTAAGCGACGTCTTAGGCAATTTATTAGCAACAAATTCCATTTGGATTTGCCACGCTGAGCAAGTTTGTAAATGCAATTAGAAGTCCGATGCTTCAATAACTTTTGCGAATTCATAGCGTCCAGAGTCCGCCGTTTCTTGGATCCTGATTGGTTCTAAAACATCTTCCGTCCTCGGGCGGAAGCGCAGGAGGGGTCTGATCCATTGAAACCGCGCATGATCCCGCCCCAACTGAGGTTTTTCCCCGCAGCTTATCGCACGAAAAAACTGCTTGACTTTCACTGCGATGATTTTCTTGCAGGATTTGCATATACAACTTTGCTCATTCGCATGCCAGGAAAAATCTGCCACGCGTGGCTCCTCAAGCACATCACGGGCAAAACTTAACAGTCTTGCATTTCTAGCAAGCCAAGCGCTTCTGCCGCAGCGCAAGTTGTTCACAGTGAAACTACACTTTTTTCGTACGATACCGCTCTTCTGCCGGACTGCATTGTCGTTCTGCTCGTGCAGTACTCCCGCTGTTCGGACGTGTCACGTCCAGTGTAAAAACGTCCCCGCCCTATTTTTGTCATAAAGATGATCTCCATGCCCAGGGTGTCTCTCATGTGCACCCCCATGGCAGACGTTCATCTGTATATGGTGTTTGGAAATTTCAATTTGTCTATTAAACCGACGCGCCTTGCATGTTGAGGCTCCCCTTCCGCGAATAGTCGGGCGTCCAAAGCGCGGAGTCAGACGGACCACAAGGGCCATCGTCATCAGCCTCGTCATGCTCAAATCAGAAAAAGAAGGCGGCGTAGTGATGCGTCCGCGCCGCAAGCTACACACAACTACGCTGCGGCCCCAAACGTGTCATGCGCGTCTCATCCCAGAGCTCGTCCATGATAACTTGTGTTCGCAGATTTTCCATCTTGACTATGGTCTTTCGGGTGAGGACGTTTTTAAGTACTCAGGATATACCGCTTCTTTTCTTCGCTCCAAGTCCCCACCTCCCTTTGCTTCTCCGCGTTCGTGTAGCGATGGCTATTAATTTTCCCGTCTTGGTAAGGATACCAGTCAATCTGCAGCGTGACTTGCGGAACGAACACTTCTTGCTCACTTCCCTTTGCTGCCAAAGCGCTCGCGGACGAGGAGGTGATGAAATTCGGGACCTCCAGCCCCGGCGTGAGTGGCTGCACGGTCCCCGCCCGCGCCCCGCAAGTGGCAGAAGCAACTACCGCCCCGGCGTTCGGGACCAGCCCCGGCGTGAGTGGCTGGCGCACGGCTCCCGCCCCGCACGTGGCAGAGAAAGTGCCAATACCGTACTGGTCCACCTCGGGCCGCTGTTGAGAAAGGTGCTGCGCCGGCGCACTGCCGCTGGCAACTCGTTCATCGTGAGGAGGTGGCACAAGACGAGGACCACAGGCCGCGCCTGGGTTAGGACGCTGGGCCTTTTTACTATCTCCACTTACAACATTCGAGCCCCGGAACAGCATCTGCAGGTTCGCTGTAGCTTTGCTGGAGGCCGAGGATGCAGCTTCGCACGAGGAGGAAGAAGCCATAGCACCTCCGTTGCCGCGTCCCGCCGATGGAACATCTACGATTTCAACTACTGATGCTGCTGCTGCTCCTTTACTGCTGGAATGATAGAGATAGGACGCTGGCGCTGCGGAGGACGAGGAGCTCTTTTTACTAGTAGTAGAATCGGCTGCGTGTTTCTCGCCTCCATCTTCGACTTTTATACTCAAAAACCCGACCATGGTGGGCTTGTAATATTGCAGGTGAGGAGCCCAAGTTGGATTCCACCAAATATCCTTTTCACCCAACAGCGTATTCGCCTGATTTTGCAGCTCCTCGTATCCGATGGAAAAAAAACGCACCCACCCCAGAGTCAAGATGGGGAATGTCCTACAGAAATCGACGTAGAGCTTTGGGGCGGATCGCGCGTGACAACCTCGGTTTTGTAGTGTAGTTGCGATTAGCCTGCATGTCGGCATCAGAAATGCACTTTCTTATCGTGATTGGAGCCTCATAACCTTTCAAAAACCTCCACTAGAGATTGATTGTGATGGAGAGTCACACGACACATGATCTGATGTAGTTCTGGCATCAGCGCAATACTGCATGACAAATATGGCGTGGCACGTTTTCACACAGGATATTTGGAGAAAAGACGAAGTCCCCCGCCCCCGGACGAAAAACAAACGACTTTCTCGCTCAGGAACCCGGACTAGCTCTTCACTCCGGCGCAGAAAGACCAGCTCTACTTTGTTCTGCTCAGCGAGCCTACTCACCGCATCCAAAAACAGTTTGCAATCGTTTTCCTCGACATTGACCCAAAATTTCGGGTTGAAATGGCCGGTCATAAACTGCACTTGGTATTTGGGCAAGTAGTAGCCTTCGACGCCGGGGGAAAACGGTACCTCCGCGTGCAATTTCTCCCGGTTCCAATCCGTCAAGGGTGTGATCACGTTTTCCATTACCTTTCCGTTCAACATTTTGTACTTTTGGTCTTTCCAATACTTTCCAATAAAATGGTCGAACTTCCGCGCAGAACGGGCGTGCCGGTGTTTTTCCGTGTTTTTCGTGGGCTCCATATCATTTTCGAGCCAGACGCCGTGAAAAATTTCGTCGCAGAAGGTGGAGGGCAAACGGGTCTTTGGCAATTCGACGCCTGTACGACTAGCGATCTCGCCTTCCGGATCCGGCCGGTTGATGACTGAAGCCACCCGGGAGGAGAGGAGGAAGGAAGTCGATGCAGCCGGAACGAGGAAAAGCAGGGGGAAATGGGCGGCTGCTCGGCCGAGAATGGTAAGGCTTATCGACATCTTCATCTTCTTGACCATATGACTTGTAGATCTTTCTCGTAAAGGTAGGTTGATAATGATATGACGAGTCAGTGTGCTCAGTATATCATAATCATTTATGTTATGGTCTTGCAAGGTACATTCGGGGGGGTTCCTTGCTTTTTTTATACGGTAAGTAGGAAAAAGTATCGACACAAATCCAAATGATCGCCGTTTGCCAGGACCACGCGTCCTAGCAGGTAGAAAGTATCTTTCGTATAGCTATGTTGATGCTTTGAATCAGCTTCACAGGATTTGACAATGCCTCTATAAAAATTAGTTTTTCAGCTACGTACAGGACTGGACGGAATTTTTTTGTTGCAGTCGAATGAATGAGAATGTGGTAGGACTAGGAGAAAATGGACGATGCTACTAAACCTAGTCAGAACCTGAAGGAAGCAGAGCATCGTGCAGGCACGCTTACAGACTACTTAGGACCTTTGCTGCCCGCCTCGGGTGGTCGTCGTTGTAGATCCATTGTGACACTCGTACTACAGCTCGCTATCTTAATCTTTAATATTCTCACGAGGCAGAACCACGAAGACCACTTTCGTCTAGTACTTGACCACACAAAAACAGAAGTAGAGATCGTTGTTCATCTTCATGTTCTTGCTATATCAAGCGCACAACACCACTGGACCTATCAGTAGGATCATTCGGCCAAACTCATCGACATCCAGTTCGTTGCGCTTTAGCTCATTAGAGAACTAATCCTAGCATTGCGCAAAAAAATTTGGAGCCCTCGTCACCGCCCCCGCCTCCGTGCGCCAGCGCTGGCACTTCTGACGAGGCGCCAAACGGAAAAAGTTCGTTGATGTTCATTGTTAACCAGTACACGACTTTATGTGGTGAGGTTCTCTGCTCTTACTTTCCTTTTGTCTCTTAGCATCATAAACTGGAAGACGATGATCATAGGTCTCACTATGCACCTCCGGGAAGTAGTCGTAATAGCTTCTGTTACAGTTGTTATTCTGTACCTGTAGAGCTTCAAGAAACCGAAGCTCAGTAATTGGCATTTCGCGTCCAGCATATCGATTAAGAAGCGGACCACCAGTGAAGAGCTGCACACTGTCCTAGTAGTATTGACCAGCATCAACGATCTCAGGTGCAATACTGCATCACTTAAGCCCCACAGTGCAAGAGCAGAAAGAACGAGAGCCTCCTGTATTTGGCCGGCTCGGATCGCCGACGCTGATCCACCACCTACCACAATGTCGGATGATCTTTTTCTCTGATCAATCTTCTGGAACTCGGGATTTGCTAGTATGGTCAAACGCAGTGGACGAAGTAGTAGTTAACTACTGCCATGATCTTGACCCTGCCCTGAGCAGACGAGAGTGCCTGGCGATGCAGCTGGGAAATGCCTCTACTATTGTATTCTGTCGTAAGAGCTCTTGCTCTTCTGTTCTTGTAGTTGACCGAAGTATTTTCATTTCTCCCTATAAATATAATCATGTATTGTATAGTATTGCTGACATCTTATACAGCAACCACCGACTACTACCGAAGATCCCAAAAAGGACAACAGACTGCGCAATTCGAGGTGTGTTTGTCATTCAGCATGAGATGAAACAAGCTTCTCTTCTTCTTTCTCGTGTCGGAAAAGGGACAAGGACAACCGCCACTCAGCTCTTTACCTTCGAACACAGGATCCTCAGCCTGTCACTTTTGGTAGTGATTTTCCTTGATTTTTTCATTCGCTGCGAAAATCCAAAAAAAATCCTTGCAGTAGGGCGGCAAGCCTTTTTTTTGCTCGGCATGGCCCTCCTACGGCGTAGCCCGGTGCCCTTGAAACTCAAGAGCGCCGAGGCAGGTGCTCAACCAAGTCGATTCCCTGTGGTCCCTGACACACGCACGAATTCTATTGCAGTGGCAGAAAGCTCAGCTCTAATATGCTGCGAAACAGTTTTTACATCGATTTCCATCTCGTTTCTCTTTGATTTCTTTGATTTCTTCATGATAGATTATACAAAGTTGCTGGCGATGAAGAGGGCCTCATGCGACGTCGGCCCCTCTTTCGGTCGCCCAGTCTTTGAGCGCGACACCAGGACACCAAAATAAATACATCTTTTGAAGAATTAAGGTTTTGTTCCGAAACGCATGCTGCTTCGTGCTTAGCTAGCAAGAGCTCCTTTAAAACCCTGGACAAATAAACAACTTTGTGAAGCGGCACAAAAGGAATTCCGTGGAACTCCGATAGAGGACGAAACCGAAATGCACAGGTAATAGTGCAAAACTGCTTTCTCGCTTTCGCGTCGCCAGCCTATCCCGAGAATAGACTGGAATCATACACTCGGTGGACATAAATCTTTTATATTATATTCTAGAACAGTTAGTTAAGACAGCGCGAATAAATAAACGGCCATCGGGTATTCAAATGTCCGCTAAAGTAGCAGGGTTACAGTGATGATACTTACCCCTTTTTCTGCACAGCGTTACGAAGCCGAGCGCGGAGAAAGATCCGTCCTTACTCCAGCAGCCGTCATATTCTTATTCAGAATAATATAATAAATAAAGCTAGCGCCCGCATGAATACAATATGGCGAAAGATTCTTCGGTACTGCAACAGCTACCAAGGTGAATACAAAAGCAACGACCTTGTGGTATTTTTGAAATGCGAACTCTTCTTTAAAAACTTTTCTGTGCCGACAGATAGAAGCAGTCCATTTTTCACATCGTGGTGGTTCCCGATAGAAGAAATCCACAAAGTAGACAAAGATTCACCTCGTGGTTAACGCAAGCCCCTCGACGTAAGATAAAAATCACACACCTTTACAAATCAACAAGTCAGCAGCCTTATCAATCAACTTTATCTTCTGGTGTTTCTTTTCAGCACGGGCTCACATGTCTTTCTATTGCGCTGTGCTGCTTAGAGTTAGATACAGATACAATGGCATCACATTGAAAAGATAAAGACTCCGAGAACCACGACCCCAGAAAAGAGCAATGCTTGCCGCAGACAATAGCGCTCCAATGGACACGCTTGATGGGCTTGATGACGCTAATATCTTTATGCATTGCGAATATGTTTGGGTCCGGGAAAGTGCAAGTTTGTGTAAGTCCGGGACCGAGTGACACTAATATCTGTCTTGCATGAGAAGAATAAACATGTTCCCTACACCCCAATCAGCACATTGGCAACCCTTACAGCCACAATCTCGGGAAGGTGCCGTCTCATGCATCACAGAGCTCTGTTGAGTGTGTTGAGTTGTGTCAGGCCAGCCATGCATTACAACTGTCGACGTGTGGCAATCTTCTTCCATGAGACCCAGATCGATATTTGCACTGGATAGCTCGCTGAGGAGGCTGCATTTATCCATGTTGCGATGCTACTGGGCCTATGCAATGCAAATATGTCTTGGTCTGGATTGTAAGTGTCATAAGTTCTCTCCAAGACAGCAAGATCTGTACTACCACATTGCTACTTGTTTTTTGTTCGTGCGGCCAGCCGCTTACGCTTTGTGACGCGAAACACGGAATGCAAGTATCTGAGTCAACAGCGAAACAAATCGCATCCGTTTTCCAGGAGGCCCAGACAGATGTGCAATTGCATTTGATAGGAGCGACCCAACATATGGGGGCGCGTCTCCTCCTTGATGTGTCGCTCCAGCTCCTCCGCGATCTAGGCAGTCCCAATATCCAATGCAAATTCTATGTCTGGGTCTGGAACAAGATTGATTACAGCAACAAGATTTGTCATGCGTGCTTGTCATATGCATATCCACGAAAACAAGTTTTCGCGCCTGTCATGCAGGAGCGCAAGTTATCTTCCAGCGGAATTTGCAACACGTAGCTGCTGAAACACTTCTCATGCTTGGCTGCGCATTGCCATTGCAGGGCGTTCCGTTGCGTTCGTTGTTCACAAAGTAGCATCAGCACGTCTTTCCAATGAATAGACACAGACCGAGATTTGCATCATGGATACAATCAAATAAATCTCGTCCAAAAGTATGATCACTGTCCACTCGGATATGACCATGGCCCGCGGCTCCTCGGGTCGCTGGCGGAAGACCAGCCGTGGGCGGAGGATGGTTCATTTCGAATGAACTCAAACCTGCTGCAGCACCACGCCCCACCCCCGCCGGGGGCGCGCCCTCGTCCTGCTGCACCTGGCGGTCGTGCCCGCCTTGCCCTCCATTTCCACCCGGGGCTTGCTTGTATCGCCAGAGCTGCCAGTGGAGCTGGTCCTCCTTGGAAGAATTTGCGTCACGTTTCCCGGCTGCTGCCGACGAAGCAGGCTGGTCGTCCTTGTCGGAAAATAAACAGGGACCGGGCGCACGAGGAACCGGGCGCAGCATTTCATCTTGCCACATTTTCACATTCTGTTCGGTCAACGTGGTACCATTATGCGCAGCTGCAAGTGAAGCTTCTGTAGTGGTCCACCTATCCGCACTTCTAAAACTGACGTCTTGTTCAACGTCGCCTATGGAGGTCAGAGCAGAACTACGACCCCCGCCTACTTGCACGACGCTGCTCCCGCCCCGCGCTTCTAGACAACCTCTCCCACGGAGGTTCTTGGTCTTGCCCAACAACTGGTGGTGATGGGAGGCTATCATACTGCCGGCAGCGGCGACCTCTTCCTCGCTCATAGATGACGTGACCATGATGATTTCGTCCTCCCGTAGTTCTTGTAGCTCCTGTAGATGATCCACCCAAAGGGACGAAGCCTCCTGTACCTCCTGTAGATGATCCAGATCCACCGTCACGGACGAAGCAGTGTATCAAAATGAAAAAGGCCCCTACGAGGACCACCCCAGGAGTTGGAAGCATTTGAATTTGTATTGCAAAATTTCCCACTCGGAACATTTGCAACTTGTACCTTGTATGTAGGTAGTAGCGCCACAGATCATTATTCGCGACCCTGAATTATAAACGAAAGATGCGATGCGTCACATTCCAACGAGCGATATATGATATATCTGTTCTGCCAACATGCTAAATCAACTGGTTTAGATCATTCTGATTCTGAAATAAACGTCGCATATTTTTTCTTTTCTGCAAGACAAAAGAGTTTCTTCTATAGAAACCCTAATATGCAATATCGAAACTGCTCGGTCTTCTGAGGGTCGTGGGGAACTTATTTTCAGTTTGATACATCAGCAGCACGATGAGTGTCCACACCATGACCCCCTCCGGTCGTCGCGGGGGTCTTAGAACTCCGGCCACCTCCCGCTGCGCCTTCCGCGCTCACCCACGACATGTTGTCGGAGGAAAACGCACCGCCCCGCTTGGACAGACTCAGCTTGGTCATAGCCTCGCTCAAAGTCTCCTGTCCCTCCTCGATCGCGTCCAAATTGGTCGAGGCGGTGCCGTATCAAAAGTAAAAATGTCTGGGTCTGGAAACTTGTGATGCTGGGTGGCGTCTCATGATGAGGCTACAAATTCTGGCTCAGCATGACAAGTTTCTGAGCTCCTAGGTGTTGCCTATTCTGCATGACAAACTGCACTTCTGCGTCACAGAAAAGCGGACCGGAGCTCTTGGGTAACGTGCATGACAGATTTAAGAGTCATGCCAGAAAAGCATGACAAACATGAATTCTTCCAGACCCAGACATTTTTGCAATCCATATGCCAGAGGAAGCATCCTCGTCGTCGCGCTCGTGCTCGCCTCGTTGTTGCAGATTTCGCAGATTCAGAATGCCCAAAGGCTCATCCTCTTGCTCCTCAGCATCTGCTTCCGAGCCGACGATCCTAGTAGTAATATCCACCTCGTCATCTTCTGGACCTCCCGTGTGAACAATAAAGTGTCGAGGGGACGAAACAGGACTGGAACCGCCACCTCCACGCCGACCCGCGCCAGCAGCTAGCGCTTGCTCCTCCTGTGTTTCCCGCTGTCGTTGTGCAGCTGCCAACACGTAACGCACTTCTTGCGCAGACCTCGATGTCGCTGTCCCGCCTGTCACTGCTACCGGTTGAAGTAGATGTTGTTCCGAGTCCGGCGTCGACGATTCGTGGCTGCTACGGAGATGCGGACGCTGGGCGTAGGAACCTGCTGCAGGAGCTCCACCGGTCGCGAGTGGTTGCTCGTGTTGTTGGTGTTTCGTGTGCAACAACTGCATCGTGGTGGGGGCCCAAGTCTCTGGCGGTCCTCGAAATAAGCAGCTCGACGTCTTGCCAAAAACAAAATCAGGACCACCGGTGGAAGCCGAGGACGAGGAGCAGCCGGCCGCGCCACCGTGGAAAGCGCCCGGATTATTTCCTGTTCGGGGTCCCAGCAATGGCCCCACTCCCAGGACCATTGGCATTGCTCCGTTCGTGCCAGTCGTCGTGCCAGGCTCGGAGTCCTCGGGTCCCGCGCGCTGCTGCGCCTGCTTAGTCCGCTGCTCGTCGGCGTGTGCAGATAGTTCTTCCTCGGGGTTAATGTGCTGGTGGTCCTCGCCTTGATCTGCACTTGACTGACACTCGACCGCCATGTCGCTCATGTTGCCATCATCGCGAGATGCTGATATCGTTTCTTGGAAGTAGCAGGAGCTTGTTCCCCCGTGCAGCATCGATTGCCACAGCAGTTCCTCTTGCTCCAAGCCCGCAATTTCCGGACAGGAAATCGCTTTGCGCAGGAGTGGGGGGCTTCCCCGGATCGCCCCAGGCTTCGGCTCCGCGAGTATCATGTTGAAAAATGTCCCCACCCCAGAATATGAAAGCGTTTCTATTGCACAAGTTCCCAATGGAAAAACCTGGGGTTGCCACCAACCTTCACCTTGCATGCATTAGCGTGACAAATTGTCAAGCCAAAGTAGCGAAAGTCTGTGTTGCGCGGCGCCACATGATAAGCAATAGTGATAAATCTGTCAACATGTTGAAAGGTTGCGTAACTGGCGTAGATGATAGTGAAACAAAATGGATCCCGTTATGCCTTCATGCTAGACGAAAGAGTACTTATCTCATGCGGAAACAGTACGCAATGCAAACTATTCAGTCTTCTGGTGGCGGGGCACTTCTCATCTTGATAGCGAGAGTGTTGTCGTGTGCTTGTTCCACCTGCTGTCCGGCGCCGTGGGGACGCGTTTTGCTGTGCGAGTAAAGGCATCCTGTGCAAAAGCATCGTACTCGTACTACTGCAGATAAATACGGACATGCCTCCCCCTCCCAAGGTAAACCAGCATGACAAACTCCATTTTTCATGCAAAGCAAACCTGTAAAAATGCTATTGATTTTGATACTAGAACTACTGAACTAGTGCGATGCTTTTGCGATGCATACGCGGACCATGCCGGACGGCTTGCTGCAGGATTACAATGAAAAGCGCCCAACCCCCAAAAGTGGAAAATATATCTGATGCAAAGTTTCCAAATGAAATGGAAAACTATTCTCTTGCATGAGAGCCCTAAGAGTTTCTTGCCCGTTACAGGCTCTAAACTGTGCAAAAAATTCTCTTAAGTGGCAAGCGCCAGTGTTGCTGTTCAACGAATAAAATTTTTGCTATTCTGCATGGAAATATATCAATTTGAGAGGCTGATCCTGATGCATGCAAGATCATCATGGGCAATGTTTACATTGGGAAGTTTTGCAAGACAATGCAACTGCTTCCAGGTTCTGGGGTACTTCTAGGGGCACTTTGCAATATGATATGCAGCGGGAGTCGTCCAAGGCCACGGGAGGCGGCGCGCCGGCGCCAACCGGCGTGCTGCAGCTGCTGAGGGGATGAAGAACAGGAACGAGCTGCGAACCGGCCTCGGCCGATGTGTAAACGGAGATGACACCGCTCGGGGTCTTGCGCCGCTTCTCTTCGCGCCGCCGCGGCGGGCTCGGGCTGGTCGTTGGGCAGTAGCTGTAGTTGCCTTCAGCGTTTCCAGTGCCGCTCTGGTCGTGGTCGTCGTCGTGGAAGGGACAACTACTGGTAAACGACTGCTGTCCAGGGGAATCTAGCAAGCGCTGCTCCAAACGCTGCGCCAACAACAACTCTGAGTCAGTGGTTCTGCAGGCGTGGGCACCGCTGTTCTGTGGTGCAGAAGCAGAAAGCGGCGGGGTCTTCATCATAAACATACCTCCCGAGCAGGGGGAGAAACAATCGTCGGAAGTAGTGCCCCGTCCCCGTGGCGTGACAAATCCCGACAGAGCAGAGCCAGAGGATCCACCACTCCGGCCAGGATATAAGAACGTGTCTGGCTTCATTTGACGCTCGACCAACGCTGCGTAGTCGCACACACCACCACCCGTGATCGGCGGTGCCGCGCTGCTTGCACAAGACTCCCCGAGAGTAGAAGTACCGAGTCCACTACCTCTCCAGGCCGGAGCACCAGCAGGCGGAGGCTGAGGTCCGCCGACCCCGACCTCCTGCCACAGCAGCAACGGCGAGGTTGAATCTCCGTGCACGTCGTGTCGCAACGAATCTTTCGTCCGGACATTGTGGCGCTGTTTTTCATCTTCTTGCTGAGCCGGAAATGAGCCGGCACACGAGGCCGAAGCCGAACTAGTACCCCCCGCGGCGGCGCTAGTACACGACCCTCCAGTCCGGCGGCGCGAGGGCTGGACAAGCGGCTCACTGTACCACGTCTCGCCGGCCCACATTTTTCGGTGACGTGTCGACGTGGGCACGATGAGCGGGCGGTCCCCCAAGGCGGTGGCCCTCGTGCTCCGCGTGAACAGATTTTGTTGCCCGCCGATTTGCTTCCCAAGTCCAAGGGCGTCGCGATACCCATCGTCCGCCAGCATCTGGCTTCTCTGGCAGGAGGCATCGTTCTGTGAAGAGGTGGTTGAGGACATCATCCTGCCGGTACCAAAAACATCACCCAGACCGCGGCCACTAACACTATCCCCGTCGCGCATCGAGATGTTTTGCTGTTGGTCTCGTCCTGCTGTAGTTCCCGCTTCCCCGGCGCCGGAAAACCAGCGCAAGTCCCAAGGTGGTGCGACGGTTTTCGCTTCCAAAGTACTGGTGTATCGAGCCTGCGCTTTCGCGAGGTGCTTGTACTCGGGGTCCTGTTCCAACTTGGCTAGCGCCTCCTTCGTTTCGGGCGCACCCAGGTCCAGCTCGTTGTCTAGGAATCCGACAGGCGTGCAACCTGTGTCGTGGAGGTCGTACACTCCCGCCCAGCACGTCGAGAACGTCGCTTCCCGAGAACGTCGAGAACGTCGAGAACGTCCTTCATCATTTCTTTCCCGAGAAGTTATAGGCGTCGAGGCTGCAACTCCAACTGCCTTTATGGTCCTCGGGGCCCCCGCCTGCTGCTGCGGGGCCGCACCGCAAGGGCCACCTGCTCCTGCTTCTGAATGAGTACTCGGAAGATGAGGACTAATATCAAAAACATCGTGCTTGTCCAGTGCATCTTCATGGGCGCCGTCACCACCAAGAAGGCCTCCGTCGTCCTTCAATCCAGCCTGCTCGTTCGTCCGGAACCTCACCCCGTATTTGCGGTGAAGTCGGTCAATTCGCTCGCAATGGTTCGCCTGTCGACTCGGTTTCGCGAGAGGGAGAAATGTCGGCGACGAGTGGGGAACGGCAACGGACGGACTTGAATTCTGGGGAAATAATATCGCAGCAGCGCCACCTCCCGGAGATGGCCCGATCATCGCAGCAGCGCCACCTCCCGGAGCGCCAGCAGAGCTGCTGTGACTACCACTACTTGGGCGAGTGCTTCTTTCTTGAATGCTTCTAGTATAATCTTCGGTTGGAGCTGCAAATGCAATTCCAATTTCAGCACAACCATTACTCGACGACGCAGCTGCGCCAGCGGCAGGGGCAGCGCCTCCATTTTCTCCTGCGGCAAAACCAAAAGTCGAAGCAGCCGCAAGTGTTCCAAATGTTGCTCCACCGCGGACATTTGATATTCCGCCCGGCGGATTGGTGCGGTTCTTCCCGAAAAGGTGCTTCTTTACAACTTTATTACTTCGGCTCTTATTATTTTTCGAGCCGCGGTCCACTTGCATAGCTTGATGTCCTCCTGCTCGATTAGCCGGATCACGTTCTTGTCCACCATGCAAACAAGCACGACCAGGACCAGCCGCAGCCCTAGCGAGAGCCCCCGCGGGCCCGCCTATTTGATGTCTCGTCATCTCCGGTGCTGCCAGCGGTGCAAATAAGGGTGGCCCCGCTGCGGAACCTCGTCCCTCAGGTTGAGCATGTTGTCCACTCGCCGATGCCGCTGCAAAGGGCACGAGGGAAAAATCCTTGTTCTCCCCGAAAAAGAACCAGGTACTACAACCACTCGGCAGAAATATTCCGGCTAACAGACAGCAAAGCACCTGCGCCACGAAAACCGCCCAGGCACTGCCGGATTTCACCACCCGGCGGCGCGTGGCACCTGAGATGAAATCCGCGCGAGTTACTGCCATGGCTAATTTTATCCGCGTATTATGTCCCAAGAAAGTGCTCATATACGTACCGCTCCAGAAACGAGCAGAAGTCCTTCTTTTTTGGAAAAGAGAAAGACACGGACGGCCGCGACACAGTGAGGGGAAAAATAGGGATCAAAGAAGGTGGAGTGTGCGGAAAACACAAAAATGCTGCCTCCTAGTCTGTTCTACAGGATAACAAACTTCTACAAACAGCAGCACGCTCCAGAAACAGATAGGCTCCGCGAAAGTGTTTTTCTCAAGCTAGAAAAAGAAAAAACACAGGCAAAAAAAAGAAGATGGTAGTACACAAAAAGTTCACACTTGTGCGACCGGTGGGATTTTAGTTTTCTATATAAATATTGTTGAAAAGTAAAGAAGTAGAAGATCAAAAGCGGATAAACATAAACTAACATAAACTAAAACACCAGAGAAAAATAAAATCTGAAAAGAGCTGCAGGGCGCCTTTTCGAGCTTTTTCTCAATTTTCAAACCATTAAAAATGGAAAAAGGACTCTGCGACGTCCGTATAGCCTGCGTCTCCCTTCGTTTTCTTGCTTTTTCTCGTCGGAAAAATCCTGTACACATAGAAAGAAAAATAATCGAAAAGGTATAGACTGAGCGAATTTCTCGCGCTTCCTTTTTCAGACGATAAATATGGATATCTATCAATCACAGAAAACAACGACCCTCTGAGGGTTCATTTTCCGTCTTGGCCTCGACACATGTGTGGAGGAGGTGGAAGTGGCATTAGCTGTAAGTACGCCTAGGAGGAGGTATCAATCTAGTGGTATCTATGACTATCTTCGAAGTGTAAACTTTCTAGAATCTCTCTACGTCTATCAGGTGTTTGCGATAAAAGACTTCTGGCCCCGGCGTATCGAGATTCACAACTAGAAACACTTTTTTTTCAATATAAATCTCGCTAGGTCTATCAGGGTACTATCAGGTGTCTCTGACAAAAAACTTTTGGAAAAATGTACTTTCTACGGCCTTTACTTGTTTAGTTGACCTGCTTACAAGTTCCAAGCTGACCTGTCAGAGAAATAATCCTCGCCGATCGGACGGTCAGCACAGTAGAGGCGTATTTCGTAAATTGTCCAAAAGCTACTACACCAGGTTAGAAACTTACTGTGCCTTCTAGTACTCTCTCTCTCATCAAGAGCCTATTAATTATTGGGGCATTTGTATACATTTCTATTTTACACGACGCAATTTGTATTCCTATTTTACACAGCAACTTTTGTTTACGAGGCTATAACGGAAACAAGATGGAGGGGCTGCGCTCCTGTCCTAGTGTAGTACTTACATACCAGGGCTGTATAGATATTGCTTCAAGGACAAAAAGTAAGGATCTGAAGACTTCTTCTAGTAGCTTTTTATTATTGGAAAACTAGCTCGGTTCACAGAATGCGAAAGGCATCAGCAAGGCCTTGCTCTTCTTGAAAAACTAAAGCAGATTGGTAGTTTCTGGAAGATCAATAGCGTGCTGCTCGCCCACGATAAGTAATGCGTTCTGGGATCTATTTTTATCGATAAAGATATATACGATATTGATATTCAAGGGCCCTTCAACAACTTATGAGCCCTTCAAAAAAATGAAAAAATATTGACCACAATGTTCCAGAACTTGGCATGGATGTCTTGCATTCCAATGCCTAACTGAACTGGTCCAGCAGCCAATCCTTGATCTGTCCGGTGTTAAGTAACCACGGCGCAAAAGACCTCCGCCAATCGGTCTCTGCGAGTTGCGAAGTCGGACACAAGAACTATATGTCGCGTTTGGTAGAAGTCGAGAGTATAGATTTTCTTTTTCGTACATCTACATGTCCGAAAACGAAACTTATGAGCCCTTCAAAAAAATGAAAAAATATTGACCACAATGTTCCAGAACTTGGCATGGATGTCTTGCATTCCAATGCCTAACTGAACTGGTCCAGCAGCCAATCCTTGATCTGTCCGGTGTTAAGTAACCACGGCGCAAAAGACCTCCGCCAATCGGTCTCTGCGAGTTGCGAAGTCGGACACAAGAACTATATGTCGCGTTTGGTAGAAGTCGAGAGTATAGATTTTCTTTTTCTACATGTACGAGCCCCCTACTCGCCACATTCGAAGGATAGGGCAGCCCGGTTCAAAAAACACAAAAGAGACGCCCTCGCAAATTAAATCGAAGGAAGTGATAATTTCGTCGAGCCAGAGCGTATCAACGCTCCATAGAGAAGAAGCGGCGACGGCGAGAAAGTGCACTTAAATAAAGACGCACAGCTTTTCTGCCGTGCTATGTATCTTCTCCCGGAAATACAAATAGTCGGACAAATGAAATAGAGAGGAAATAACAAATGCGCGCCGTCTTTCTTTCGTGAAAGTAGTATAGCGCCCCACAGGAAGCGAAGCGAAAGGAAATCCAGAAGGAAGCGCGACTCCTAACGGAAGGGCGTCCGATTGTACGGGTCGTAAAAAAAGTGGTGAAGTATCGTCGTGACAACAGTTGTTATCGTATAGTCGTTTATGTCGTATCTGATTGTAGCGCTAAATAATTTTTCTAAATCAATCTCGTAACTACAGTCACAAAGTGGACTTACGTTGACCTGGTGTGATTAATATCCTATGTTCCAATTATCGAGGACTTGTAAATTCCATTGCACAGGAAAAAAAATCAGTGCGTGAAGATCTTCCGGCTTGATGTCGATCCTGTTTCTTCAGCTCCTCAACCCTACTTGTACTACATACACCTTCTCCTTCTTCATCATCAACATCAACGCTACTTTCTATTTCCATCCCGTCGCGGTCGAAAATAGCTAAAGAGATCATCCTCTCGCATCCACGAAGCGTAGATCCAATATCGTAATTGTCAACGAAAATAGATCATCCTCTCGCATCCACGAAGCGTAGATCCGCTATCGTAATTGTCAACGAAAATAGCTATAGGTATAGAGATCATCCTCTTTCATCCACGAAGCGTAGATCCACTATCGTAATTGTCAACGAAAATAGCTATAGAGATCATCCTCTCGCATCCACGAAGCGTAGATCCACTATCGTAATTGTCAACGAAAATAGCTATAGCTATAGAGATCATCCTCTCACATCCACGAAGCGTAGATCCACTATCGTAATTGTCAACGAAAATAGCTATAGAGATCATCCTCGTTCATCCACGAAACGTAGATCCACTATCGTAATTGTCAACAAAAATAGCTATAGAGATCATCCTCTCGCATCCACGAAGCGTAGATCCACTATCGTAATTGTCAACGAAAATAGCTATAGCTATAGAGATCATCCTCTCACATCCACGAAGCGTAGATCCACTATCGTAATTGTCAACGAAAATAGCTATAGAGATCATCCTCGTTCATCCACGAAACGTAGATCCACTATCGTAATTGTCAACAAAAATAGCTATAGAGATCATCCTCTCGCATCCACGAAGCGTAGATCCACTATCGTAATTGTCAACGAAAATAGCTATAGAAATCATCCTCTTTCATCCACGAAGCGTAGATCCGCTATCATAATTGTCAAGATCTCTGCCTCCCCTCCATGCTTATGAAAAAGTTAAAACGGAGACGGACCAAGTGCGTATATATAAATATAGAATTATTCTCAGGATCATGCTCGCCTTCTTCTTGGACGCGAGGGCTGTCGGGACACAGGGGAAACGCGGGGGCGCCGCTTTGTGCGGCGCGTGGAGGCCAAGCTTCTGCTTCCCCGGAAAGCTCAGCTGCGCGCTTTTGCGCAGCACTTCCACTTGCTTTGCCGACTGCCACCGATCACATTTCATCCATCTCGATCATTTCCATGACTCGTGCGAGTAGCGAGAAAAGCCTAAAGACACACGAGACCTCCAGAAAACTCTCTGGGTCCTCAGAAAACTTCTTGGACACACCCACGAAGAATCAGAGCGGGTGTCGCGTGAACACTAGTGCCAACAAGTAGCCGGGTCGTGCAACAGGAGAATGAATGCCTTCATTCATCTTGGCGACACAAAGTTTTGAAGAGCAACAACATCCACCCGTTGTGAAACTGTAGCGATTTCATTCGTTAAACCCATTTTCTTTCCAGTTGTATCTGATTTGCGAGCAACACGCCCTCTAAGCCTGGAAATCTAATAGTTGCGTTTTTTGAGGGTGATATAATCTGCGTCCAAGGAAATCAGCGATAAAAAAGAAAACGCGGCAATCATCCAAATCATTTTTCTTGAGGAGAAGCATCGATAACCACTCGACTCTGATAACGAGTCGAGCGCGAAATTCCGCACTAGTAGAAGTGCCGGAACTCTTATCTTGATCTTCACGACTCGCTCCTGTCCTCGCATTATTTTTGGGCCGGCTTATTTTGGTTTAGGTTTTGCTTTTGTAGAGCGGGGTCACAAATTTTTTCGTTAATAACTCCCCACCGGAGTTACGAAGCAACCGGCCGGGTGGTCCTTAACTGCGGTGCTCCAAATGTTGCTTACAGCTGCGCGAAAGAAATAACACGTATCAAAAGTGCGGACTAAATCCGCACTTCTTGAATCTCACCTAGCGGCCGCTAGGTGAACTACAGATGCCTTTACGTTCTGTTTCTTCATCTTCTAGATTTGATAATATCAAGAGTAAAAAGATAATTCTGTGCGGTAATATGAGAAACATCATACACGAACAAATATTGCTAAAAATGATCTTTGTACATAGCGGCCTTCTATTAATTTTCGAACAGTAATGCTTGTTGTAATAAATAGGACCTCCTGCAACATCATCAAATCAATACCTCCCACCGTCCTCACCACTCTGCGAGCGCCCTAAGAAAGAACGACAGCATCCACCGCGTAGTTGATAAGCGGACGTTCCGTCGACGCCGATGACGAGCGTCCCGCCGCTGCGCAGAGTAAAACAGTCCGAGGGAGAGGCCGTACAACTGTGCTTATCTTGTTGTTCCCGTGCTTTACAATTCGGGAAGAAACCGCACTTGTCCTAGAAGCGATGAAGGCCAAGCTGCACTAGTCGAAGGAGAACCACCACCGAACATACTTCCTCCGGTTTTACTTTGCACCTTTGCACTACAAGCGGGAACAAACTTTTGCTCAAACAAACTTATCAACTTGTCGAACATTTCCTGTGTTGTCAGCGCCTCTACTGGTACCGCAGGAGCTCCTTTCATCTTGCCAGTGCCGTCACTGCTCGCGGGTCCGCCTGGTGCATGGCCCGGCTTGCTGTCTACTCCAGCGGTACTTTTCTTAAAAAGCCGGGTCGTGGTTGTCCCCAGGATGCCCAACAGGGGGTTGATGTCCATACATAAATCCGCGGCTTTTTGCAAGATCCGCTTTCCCTCAATGAAGCTCATCTCCGGCGACATCGAGCAGTATTCTTGCGACGGTGGAACAACTGCTGGTATGGGAGTGTCAGGCTCGAAATTCACAAGGTTGAATTTGAAGTAAGTAATTTGTAACCACGCATAAAATGCGACGTCGCAAGGTGTGACTCTATTGCAGAGGACGCCAGGGAGGCAAATCATAGCCCTGCTACGGGCCAAGTATAGTATTAGGCTGCTGACAAGCATGACAGAAGGGGGCTCCCGCTCCTGTGCCCTAAACAGCATGACAGATTTGCTTCTGGCACAGGGAAAATTTGTCAGACGCCGACTAGAAATTGTGGGTCCAACAACTGGCAACGATTTTTATGCAACATTAGCATGCACTTGCACTGATCAATTCTTTGAACTTTGTCGATATCGAACCTGACGCTTCCATAGCTGGATCCTGTTTTTTAGGTCGGCGTATCTCGTTTCTCCGAGCTGAAAACGGACTACTACTAGTACTCTCTACTTGTGGTGGTCGTGGTCGTCCAACCAGACACAGATTGCGCAACTCCCTCGCGGCACGCTCGACAGCTTCGTCGTCAAACTGATGCGGCGGATGAGTTTTTTGAGCACTTCTAGTGGGAGAAGTTTTGCTTCTAGTCTCGGGGCGGCCCGTGGTCCTCACATCAACATGATGATCAATCTGGCACGCTTCCTGGAACTTCTTGTCAGCTTCATTCATGTCGGCATCCGGTTCCATTTGCTCGTGCTTTGATAGTACTTTGTTGTCCTTGTTGTTGTTCGACGGCTGCCGCTCTCGTCCTTCAACATGATCGTGCTGTTCTTGCAGTTGTAGTGCTTGCTCGACTTTACCTCCTACACGACCAGGATCTCTTTTTATTTCCCAGCCTGCAGGGAGGAAGGTCGGCACTCTGGATTTTTGGGCCGGAGATGATGTCATGGTCGCTGCGCTGCCAGGATGAAAAGAAGTTCTTGTAGTGCTAGAGCTACTACTAGCACTGCTACGAGTTGTGAGACCATTCATCTGCTCTGTCATCGCTGTCGCCCCCGTAAAGACTTTAAAAAGCACGTCCACGAGCAACCCAAAACAGAGGTGCAAACTGTCTCTGGTGAACTCCAGCCCCTTGAGACCCAGCTCCTCCTGGAGCCTAAAAAGCGTCATCCTGTCGGTGTCCAGCGCTTGGGAGAAGCCCTTCATTTGTTCTTCGTTCTTCCTGTGTCGTGGTGCACCAGGAGCTCCTCGTCCCCCCCCCTCTAGAGGACTAGTGTCAACATCTTGTTCATCTTCCCCATGTGCGCCACGACTTGCGCCACCAAGAGGATCGGAATTCGGTTGATGTCCCCGTCTGTTCGGAATAAAAACAGAGCCGCCTCCGCCCATTTGGGGGTCCTCTTGGTCTTGGGCTCGACGTTGCTCTACCTGGTGCTCCGGGTGAGGATCTTTGTGCAGTGGTTCTTGATGTTGCCGTTGTAGAAGTTCCTCTATGCATTTCACAAATATTATCCCTGGACGTCTCGAAATTTGTCTTGCTCGTCGTACCTGCGTTGCAGAGTGCTGTGCCAGCTTGTACGGCATAAAAGCATGAGAAGTTCTTGTCCTCGGCATTTCTACTTGATCTCGGCGAGCGCGAGTTCGTTCGTATTTAGCTGCATGACAAACTACCATAAGATCATACAGCATGACAAAAAACCTCTCTACTCCTCGCCGCACTCCTATTCATGCATCACAGATCTTGTTGCTGTTCAAATCTTGCAGCACAAATCCAGACCCAGGTCGATAATTTGCAATGCATATCCTCCTCGTGTTGTTCCTCCGCCCTCTCCCGGTCCCACCGAATGTCGAAGCCTAGCGCATGCAGCGCCACGTCCGATGTGTAGTCCAGGTCGAAGTCGAAGAGTAACCGGAGCAGCTCCCATTCAAAGTCCATGCGCCGCCTCGTCTGCGCTTGCTTCTCCCGCGCTAACGCCTGTTCCCGCTGCCGCTCTCTGGCGGCGCGTTGCTGGTGCTCACCGCGGGAACGAGCGACCATGCCGTGACGGCGGGAGTCGGCCGGGAGGAGCAGCTCGTCAACACCGTCGCACGTCCGATGAACGTTGATCAACACTTGCTTGTCTATTTTCCGTGCAGGAGGGTCCTCTGGATGAACCGGGACTTTGGTTAGCACCTCGATGCGCAACCACAGTGCGCTCTCCAAACTGGTGCTCATGTCGTGTTTGGTGCGACGCCCATTTATTTTGCTCTTTCCTGCAAGAAATATGTCCTTGCTCTCAGCGTACACCTCGTTCAGCAGACCATTCGGACCCGGCAACTGCCACAAGTGCTGTCTCAGCTGGTCCCTCCGCTGCACGAAATCCGACAGGATCCGAGCCCTTTCCGACCTGCGGTAGGCCAGCAGGGTCACCTTCAGACTGAGGAACGTCACGCTTACTCCGCCCCGCAGTTTTGGCAGGAGATAACGAATGTCTGCTTCCATTGACTCCATCATCCTATAGCTTTCTACGCTCCAGCGCAGCTCCGGCTGCTGGAATCGCACCCAGACCGCTTTTCCAAGTCCGAAGATATCCTCCCAAAGCTGGTAATTCGATAAACACTTCTGTTTCAGCGCGAGAACGGTCGCCACCATATTCGTGGCACCCGGCTTGATCGCCTCATCCTGTTCGGCAGAGGACCACCCGATTCGTTCCGTCGCTCTTCTGGCTTCTTGTAAAAGCGCTTGCATCTGTCTGAAAAGCCTGGCCCAGACGGCATCAGGCCCTCCTTGGTGTAGTTGCTGCTGCGGGCTCGGGCCAGGGCCAGACTCAGCGACACCGACACCTCTTGCTGCAGCATTAAGAACCTTGCGGTCCTCGTCGAAGATATCAATTGCTGCGGGGCGGAACAGCAAAAACTCTGTAGATAGCTCCTGGGTCGTCGACGTGAAGGGCAAATAATTCCCGATCCACCGGGCAGCAGACTCCCACGCGCTTCGCCGCGCCTCCCGCTCCCGTCGCTGCTCATCCAATGGCACTGAGAACTCTGGTGTTCTTGTTGCTCGTCGAGAACCCGCGGAAGGAGATTCTTTCTCGCGACCATTCGCTTGTTGCTCAACAACTTCGACCTTCCACTGTTCCCGCTGTAACAAGCTTAGGTGGTCGCGCTGGCCCGCCTCCGCAGCATTGCGCACCGAGACGGAGCGAACTGTGATCCTGAAACCGAAATAGAACGACTCAATACTGCGGTGAAACATCTCCGCGTCGTGTCGCAGACCTCGCCCGTGAGCAAAATCGTAACCGCCGACTACGGGTGCGTACGCCACCGAGACACGGTTCACCGCATAGTGTTTCAACAAGGCTGCTACCTCGACATACTCGGTGATCGCGTCTGGAGGAGCTGCCTCGAGCTCAGCGGTTCCGTCTTGTCGTTGTCGTCCCGCCAGGAGCGACGTAGAATCACTCCTGCAGGAGGGCTGCGACACTTCTCGACACTGCCGGGTGGCGGCGTAAACCGCGAGAAGCAATGGCAGCCGAAAGTCGACCATTACCTCCTCACTGTTCTGCAAGTGTCGCTCTTGCGCCAGATATCTCCGAAATAACTCCAGCTTTTCCTGGTACCTCTTCCGCCGGCGGAGTGAGGAGAAAGTGGAAGACCCAGAAGTAGACGGATCATGGTCATGGTCATGATATCCTGCCTGTGCTTGTCGCAAGAACGTCCGCTCTTGGCTGAGCTGAAACTGTAACTTTTCTACGATATCGTAGTAATGCGGGGCGGTCAACCGGTCACGTGTGATGGCCGCGAGAACGTGCTCCAGATCGACTTCATTGCCTGTGTGGTTGTGTTGCAGCTCCTGCCGCATTTTGTTCCTCTCCCGCTCATTAACAAGAGGGGCAAGATCAGTAGTAGCAGCCGGTAATTCATTGATGTTGTTCACGATAAAACGGTTCAGCCGCGCTGTTTCCCCATCTGTCTCGAGTTTCAATGCGAGATAGTAAATCCACACGGGCAACATGGCTTTGCGCTGCAGCTGCTGCTGAGTGGGTGTGTTCATGAGGCTTTGTTGCGATGGAGCACTGTCGAAGAAGGAGGACGACGTGGACGAGATCGGAGCTCCCCTTCTGCCCGGGCCCGCCGTCCCCATACGCGCACCAGAAGAAGCGCTGGCACTAGCGGCCACAGTCCGTAAACCGCCGGTTTTCATGTTCAACTTCAAGGTCCGCGAAATATCAGTGGCGCTTGGCTCTTCCTGATCCGGAAAAATCTCCAGAAACAGGTGACGAGAAGTCCCTGCACCAGCTCCAGTCGTGGTCCCGCCAATCTGTTGGGTACCATCCAGGTCGCTCGTGCTATCGCTGATCGAGGTTTGTTCCTCCTCCCCTGTGCTGGACGAGTCCCCGGTCGTCCCTTGCGCCCTTCGCGGAGGAAATTGTTGAGAAGCGAAATAAGAAGACCCGCGAGGTGGATCTGCAGGAGCTGCTGCTCCCGTTGGAATAATTCCCACCACCGGTGGCGTTCGTGTTCGTGTTCTTGCCTGCAGGTCTTGTTCCTGCATTGTACTAGTGCCAGTGTCAACGCCATGATGGAACGTGCGCGAGGAGGACCCGCCGCTACCGCCCGCGAACTGCTCTGGGATGCAGCTTCTAGTAGCTGCAGTACTATAATCTTCGCCTCGAGCTGGTGTGCGCCTGGTCCCGTGAAAGAGCTGTTTCTGCTCTTGCAGCCAGCTGCGCCGTTTTACGATGGATGGCTCACGGTTGTCGTCCGCAATGGCTAGCACGGCCGCGAGAATGCCCTTTTTGTACTTCAACACCTCGGACTTATTCTGTAGTGTTGCCCTCGTCAACGGGAGATCGTTGCCGCCTTCAACACGCAGCTCCACCTCCGTGCTCCGTAGCAGTTGGAGCAAAGCGGCGGGGTTCGATTGCATATTCGAGGGCACGAATTCGCCGCAAAGGCCGATTTTCAACTCGCGAACCACCCAGGCACTGGCTGGTGGATCTTCCTCCCCCTGCAGGACCGGCAGATCTTGAGGCTTCTCCACCCCTTTGGGCGATATTGCCTCCATGTACGTGTGGTAGTGCTTTTTATCTTTTTCTTTGCCCTGCTTTCTGTCTCGTCCCTCTTCATGATCCTTAAAAACTTTATCACTATGATGATCCCCGCCCTGCCGGTCCACTTCTGCGGCCCTTCTGTGATACAGAAACCGGGTATAGGTCATGTGCTCCACTTGCAACCCCTCCTCGTCGTCCGGCCCCTCTGCGTCCCACTTTTCCGCGGTCGTGCAGACTCCTGCCTCGGTGACTAGGCGTTGGAACTTGTTCGTTGCGGAGACCGTGTTTTGCGACTCGAGCTGCAAGTAATCGAGGCACGAAGACTGCTTCAAAAATGCCAGTACCATCTCCTCGGACCCGTTCTCGAATTCGAACACTTTGGTCGCTCGTCTGCTCTTCTTCTTGTTTAGTCGTCCTGCCGCTGCTGGGAGGTGGTCCTCGTGCGCAGCCAGAACCGCCGCGTCGTCAAACACCTCAACGAATGTTTTCAACAGATATTTGTCCTGGTCGGAGGGATTCACTTGCGGCTCCTTGTCCGGAGTCCTCAGAGGAGGGACAGAAACTTCATCTATGGGCTCCTCCGCAGCCAGCTTTCTAGTGTCCGACGAAACGGCGGCTATACTCCCGCCAGCCAGATGAAAAGACGACGAGTCCGGCGTTGTTCCCGCCGAGGAGCGCGACCAAGTGGACGTCGCGGCCCTCTTCTGGGCGGATAACTTTTCCTGTAGCTCTCGAGCAGATTTTTGTTTTTCCCGAGCTTGTTTCCTGATCGACAGTGTGTCATGGTGGCGCCAAAGCTCGAGGAGCACGTCGCGTTCCCGCAACTCCGAGGCTCCTAGAAATTTCGCGTAGTCTACGGTACCGCCGGTCTTGTACAGGCTCTTCGAAAGCTCCGTCATCAGTTTCACCCAGTCCGGCTCGCTGGACGTTTGAATTTGGTGCAGCGTCTTCAACTGAGTGAGACAAGTGTTGAAAGCGTGCTCCTTTCTCGTGAACAAAACGTCTCGGGACACTTGCGACAGCTGGAACGCGGTATCCAAATCCACGAGCCCGTTGCTGCTGAACTTGGTTTTCTTTCCCCGCCGTGTCGTCTTGCGGCTCCAATTCATTCGAGTAGGAGTTTTTCCGAACTGTGCTGAGCGTTGTTCTTCATCATGTCGCTCTTGTTCAGTCTCGTCGACGTCCACCAACTCGTCACATTCGTTATAGAAACCGTTTTTGGCGAAGTTCAGGTTCGTTGGCAGGAACCTTCCGATGATGGCATGCAATGCTGCATCCACCGTCCGCCGCTGGGCCGTCGGCTCCTCGGGAGCAGCGTTGCCCGTCAGGTGTTCGGCGAACGGCGCAAAAGAGGAAAGAGACAAACTCGTCGTCCCGGAAGGGAACATATCATCTGTCGGGGATCTGGGCGGACCAGACCCTGACTCGTGGTCTCCTGCAACATCTACTTCATCTAGTTCTAGTACTGTGGTGGAGGATTTCCTGGTGGGATTATAAACTGCTCCTACAGAGGAAGCAAGCCGTTGCTCTTCTTGTTGTTGTAGTTTTTCCCGCATCTCTTCAAACCGAGCCTGTCTGTGCAGCCTGGAGCGTCGTATGAGATCAGAAAGCGTCGAATCCTGCCCCTCGACTTGTACATCACACATACTTGTATTTCCTTTCCCAGTAGCATTTATATTGAATGTGTTCCGGCCTTGATTATGATTCCATTTCCACCATCGTGTGGCAGCAGTGGTCTGGAGCGAGAAGCCCGCGGGAGGAACAACAGACGTCGACCCGGGAGCAGATGCAGAAGTAGAAGTACAACTCGACGCTGCATGAAGACACGACCCGTTTTGATCAGGATCCCCTTTCTCACGCTGCTCTCGGTCTTGTCCCTCCCGAGAAGCTGTCGAAAAAGCAGGAGGCTGCCACATGGTCATCTCGCACACATGATCATCTTCTCGCACACAACTTGCAGTACGATCATAGCCAGAAAAAGTAGACACCGCGCCGGTCACTTCCGACGATTTTTTCCCGCCAGGCTTTCTTCGTCCCAGGTCAGATGAATCAATGTCGTCTTCTTCGCTGGCACGCGGTCGATGAACCTCCTGCGGGACGTCGTCGACGCGGCTGCTTCTTCTACTACCCGGAAGTCTCAAATTGGCCGAGAAGGATGAGACTCTGCTGTTGTGAGGATCAACTAATATGGGACGATTCAGGGCTCTTGACCGGTCGGGCGAGCCCCCGCGGGCTTCTACTGCCCCCCGGAGCCGGACACCGGAAACTAGTACAACCTGGATGTCCAGCAGGACCACGACGAGCACCCTGACCTTGAGAAAAAGCAACTGCATCTTCTGCAAGAATCGAACGAGGAAAAACACCCCTGCCTTCCTCGGCCTACTCTCAAATCTGGTGAGTAATTCTTTCGGGCGAGATCGTGGTCGTCGAGGAGAAAATGTAAATGATAAGTGCCTGCTTTATGTTGATTTTCCCGAAGATAAATAACCTGGCTATAAGTGGAATAGTAATACCACTTTCTTCGTAATCAAACAAAAAAAGTGCGACAAAATCACAATATCCAAACAAAATTATATCCCAGTGTTCTTGGTGTTGATTCCTAGCAGGAGCTATGGCAGTGCAGCGGCTTTGGAATAAGTAGCTCTCTCCGATGCTAATACTTTGGAGGCGCGTGCTTCGGTATTTCTCTGTTTCTAGATTTCGGTAAGACAGAAGTAGAACGGATTTTGTCGTATAGAAGTAAGATGATGATGATGATGTGTATAATATAGAAGAGTGTAAAGTCCCAGAGTATTTGGATCAATCAGTTTGTATGTAATTATTTAGATATGATAGAGCATCATGTGACTGTGTACATTGCTGTGTAGATGAAGAGTGTGTATAGCAGTGATAGATAGAAGAGTTTGTACAATCTCGGCCTGCTTCGATAAGAAAGTCGAGAAGACCCACCTTTGTACAGGAAATAACTCCGGACCCGGAGCACCACCAGTCGCGGAAAGAAGAAATTTCGCAACGAGGACTCGTCGCCTGCTAAAGCGGTTTCCAATTCCACCAAGAAATAGAATGACGTGTGCGCTTCTCAAGGTGAGCGGTAAAAGCCTCCCACATACTGAAGTGTAAGTCTCAGAAGGTAAATGCTTCTGTAGTAGTGGAAAAACACCACTCCTACACCCCCAGTGACGTTTCACCGCCCGTTTTAGCAGTGCCCGGCCACCAGGGGGGAGTTTGCCGTTGGCGTCGCCTCTTGCCACCAAGAAATAGAAAATATGGGCCACAGATAACGAAATGGATAACTTCTGTGCGGACGAGATGGATTATCGAATATTGCCTCCACCAAGTGTAAGTATACCACCTTGAATGCTAGTTTTTCCTCAGACAATATTATAACGCTAAATAGTAATAAATCGTGCCCGGTTAAGCAAAGGCTTCATAATCTTTCGCCCTGTCGAGTTCCGAACTTCACCGGTTGCTTGACAGGCTGCGAGTGCGATATTGGTACTAATATGAATCAAGTATGTGCGCACCACCCTAGCCACCGCGAAGCTTGTTGCCGCGAATCCTTTATTTTGACTTGTTGTTATGCCAGGCTCAAATTGTAGCGGCGCCGAAGCCGACCCCGTCTTTCGCCCTCGAAAATTATCTTGCGGAATTCAAATTCTTGATGATATACATAGGGCGATTATGATTCTTGCCAAAGGCGTTGGACACAACTATTTTCACTACATACGCGAAGACCAAACAGTAAAAGAAAACTACAGATATTTTTCGTGAACATTGTTACTGCTCCTGTCGTACGTCGAGAAATCATTCTCCTACTTATATTCCAACCCGCTATCTTCGCTCAAAATTATAAACATGTATATGTAACTACATCATACGATCGTAAAAGTGAATTGTGAGTCCATCCATCTTCTTCAGTTTGAGCCTGAACCTGTTCGAAATGGTTTCTTGCTGAGTAATTTTGATTCTATTATAAACTCTGTCATGTTGCTGGGAGAAGAATACAGATATCGCCCGTATAAGACACGGCAATTGAAATTATCCTCTGTCCCGCGAAGAAATAGTGTATTAATACAGTAGTGAAGCTGATCGCACCAGAAGTGGTCCTCCACCTACTTACGCTATACTAGATCTTTTTTGCTTCAGAGTTGCAATTCACCATGATGAGACCAATTAAAAAATCTGTATCTGCTGACAAGTACTGGTAGGAGATCTCGTTTTCTTGCACGCTTGTGCAGCCGCTACTTCCACAGATGGAGACGAGATCTTGTTCTGTGTCGATAGAACTGTGATGCTCAATGATCAGCGCTTTTAGCTGGAGCTGCTGTTGAATCAGCGAAGGAAAAGAGCGGATATTACTATATGCTATTGAGTCTTCATGCTGTTCCATCTTATAATAAGTATTCAAGGGACCGACTTGATGTTCCACCGAAAGTAGACCAACATCAACGAAAAGGCGACGAATCCTGACGAGTCACGATAATTGATCAGAACCACACCGATTACCGAAAATGCACAAACTGTGCGGTCGAAAATGATTGAAACGCTAGAGAGCGCACCTCTGCTGCCCGGGAAAAAGCGCGACCATCGTCGGGTCAGATTTTGGAACGCTATGGTAGGTGGGAGGCATTTCAATTATGTCCTATGCATTCGAAAGCGAAACACACGAAGGTGCTGCTGATGAAGTAAATTCTACATCGCCAAGATGCTCCAGCCACACAGCAGCTCCATCCTGCACCACTACCAGACCTTTTCTTCCACTCCCCTGTCTTCTCGGTCTCGATTATGGAGGAAAATTGGTATGGAGCATCTCACTTCCTACGTTTTTTATTCTCATTTAACCCCCACCTCTTTCTACTTTTCTCCCTGAGACAGATCGAACCATATTCATATAGCACAAAAGATAAAATTGAAATTGAATTTGTACATTTTTGTGGCGCGAATTGTATCTACATCGGTACTTTTTACAGCCCATGCCCATCGATTTCATCCAATCAAACTTCTTAGCAGTGGTCGACATATAGAATTACTAGTAATTCTAATTGTCCATGGCTTAATTTTTCATTTTCGGGGTCGTTTATTTTTGGGTTATTTTTTTCTTCAAGGATAGGATTTTCGTTATGTTTTGGAAAAAGTTTATTATCTATGCTAGCACTTTGGACTCTTTGCCAGTGTCGTGTCGTCCGGTACAACTTCTTAATTTACTTTTACAGGTTCATGAAAATGTCTGCCGCGTGCGCCGGGCGCGGGGTCTCGTTTGGCAGATCTTTTTTTCTCCGCTTGCGCAATTCCTCATCCGTTTCGATATCCCACTTAGCGTCGTCGAAGAGCTTTTCCAGGCAGCTGCGCTGCCGCTGGTCGTCGAAAAATTGCACGATCTGGTCGACGCGCAGCACCTCGTTCGAAGTCGAGGCATCCACGTACTCGTCCAGCGATATGGAGCCCTCGTGGTCTGCGTCGAGGCCCTGATAGACCAGTTTCGTTGTCACACAGAAAAACGAGTAGACGACCCACTGTCAGCACTTTTGATGATGATGATGATGATGTTGGCAGTGTGCCATGCAAAAACAAGTTCAAGTCGTACTCGTGCCTAAAAACTGCCGGGAAGAAAAATAAAATGTTTTTTGTTGCGATTTAATATGCAAGACGAGACTACAAACACAGCTTCATTGTGTCGCTAATTTTGCGCACTTTGATGCAGAAAGTACGACAGCACATCACCACCTTTTTTCTGTGTGATATCCGTCATTTTTTCCAGTTCCTCCTTCTGCAGGGGCTTGTTGGGGTCCGCGATCGGTTCCCCATGCTCGTCCTTTTCCTCGCAGAGATGGTGGAACGACTCCGTCATCTCTTTTGCGAGAGTGGCACGGTCCAAGTGCGTGTCCATCTTGTCGCTCTTCACGATAGCCTCGTAGGACTGATTTAATTATGTTGTAGTACATTACAGTGATAGTTCTTGTGTTTTTTTTAAACATTATAATCATATTATCTACTCCAGTCTTGTTTGTGTTCAGATGGGAGGTAATCAATGAAAGAATAGTTTTCAAAAAATAACAACCGACCTACACAACCTCGCGCATTGAACAAACTGGCTATATACCTTTTTTGCGTTGATCAGCCTAGCGGCAAAGCCGTGCACTTGGTGTCGCAGGTTCAACCGCTGTGACTGGCAGGAGTAGTATACTCGCGACAACAGCCCGAGGCAGAAGAGCGCCAGGAGCATAACCGCCTTTCCTGGGAGTTCCAAAAGCACGATCGCACTGGTCAAACTACCGAGGAAGATGGAAGTAGAAAAGTAGCCCAGCCGCCCGGTAAAGCGGAAGTTGAGCTTGACACCGTGCTGCTTCTTGGTCTTGAGGATCCCGCTCCCCGTGCGGGACACAAACTCGTCGTGGACGCCGTCTTCCCTGGTAGTCCACGTCGGCTCGGAGTCGGCAAACATATCACAATAAATGTTCATGTCCTGTGTCTCAAAAACCGATACGTCCTTGCGCGCACAAGATATGGAAATCGCGAGGTTGATGCCCGTGGCGCGTAACTGTGTTTATCATTATCTAATATTTTCCATGCAGCTGCATCTGAGGATATTAATCGCGAATGTATCAATCTACTGCACACGCGTACTACACGACATGCAAGAAGAAGAATCAATGTTTTTACGAAAATTCATTCTTGTCGATACAGTAGAATACAACTATAGATCTTTTTCATTTCCCATGATGGGTACGCACGTCTAGAATCGGTATATTATACCGCAGCACTGCTTTGCAGCGTAGTGTCGGCGATGTACTTGTGGTTGCTATACATGCTGGGCAAGTCCAAATTTCCGACGCCCGCTGCCTCGAGGAAGGAGCTCACCGGGATCGACACTGCTTGTCCCGCTCCACTGCGAAAAGTATGTCCTGATCAGTTGTAAAAAAAAGTTACGCAGCGGGGCTGCTCAGTTGTAAAAGAGCGCGTTGCCGTTGCAGTAGATGTACTTGGCGATATCTATTCACGACGGGCTTCTTAACTTTCTTGTTGCCTTTTTTTCAGTGTCCTCAGGCTGTCGCTTGTTGCCTCTTTTCTTAGGACAAACATATATGAAAAACAAAAAAAAGCCGCCCTAAAAGACCAGGTTGACGACCCCCATGTAGAAGTGGTACCCCCGACAGTGGCGTCCTTCTGTCCCTTTCTGCGGAGCGATGTGATGACCTCGTGATCCAGCTCCTTAATGTCATAAGGGGTTTCGTTCATGTCGATGGTGTAGGGTTTGTACACCTGCGTATTGCTGCTGCCACGCTCCTTCAGCTTTCCCGCGTCGTCCATGGATGCCTCAAAGCGAAACTGGAGGTCCACGTACGTTTCCTCCGGCTTGGAGACAAAATACTCGTGGACATTTTCGCAGACGCACTCGGTGCTGCCGCTTGCCTCTGCGTGTGTGCCCGCCGAACTGAAGGTATCCCCGGCGGCGGTACACGTGCCTTGGAGCGACGAGCACGGGACGCCACCGCTGTTGAACGTCTGTCAGTTTCGATAATGTAGTGATAAAGAAAGCTGCACTAGCTGTTTCATTTGTTCTTCGCGTTTAGCTCCTTCAGAATCCGATTGATGAAAGAAGAAGAACGCAGTCTACTGGGTTTGCGTTTGGTCATTGCTGACTATAGTTGTGCTGCCTATCACAATCCCAATCTACTATCTCCTCATCGATCATACAGCGAAAATAGATCATGCAAGAACTACGTTTCCTTCCGTCACTAGTAGTAACAATGAATCCACCTGCTGCTTTTCCACCACGTAGGTGGGCACGAAGAGGGAAGTTGCGTCGGAATAGGCTCTGCGGGCATTTGGCAAGTCCAGGCACTCGGTTGGCTTCACCGCCATGGCCCCCGTGGCGTCGGCAGCATAGTCGTAGCTAGCGATGTTGGCGCAGTAGGGTAGCGATGTGTCCAGGCGAGCGCCTTGGGTCTGTCCAAACCGCCCTGCTAGGTAGTAAACATCTCCACTGGGCTCAGCGTAATAGATCCACTGTTTCTGGACCAAAATTTGCCTGAGAAAGTAAGGTTCGTGATACGAATGAATTTTTCACGAGTTCTTGTCGTACTACTTCGAAGCCGTCACGCCTATCTTCACACAAGAGACAAGACGCGTGTGGAAGCGGAGACTAAGGCAGAAGAAATCCTGGAAAATAATGCCAAAACCTACGTAACTACAACGAAACGCAGATCAGTACGTGACGACGAGGCAGACTGCGCAAAACTGGAGAAACCGGCACAGCACGCCCAGGCGAAAGTTCTCGATGATGAGGAATTTCGGGACGAGGATGTAGCCAAAAACTTGGGTCACCGTGTCGCTGAGCAAGCCGCAGAAGCTCTGGACACCGCCCCTACACTCCGCAGTTGTTGGCAGCGGCATCTTCTTTCTCGCTAGACAGAGATTGTCGTTGCTGTAGTACTCCCTGACAAAAAATCAATCTGCTGCTCCGCTCCAAGTCCGTGGTCGTACTGCAACGAAAAAGCTAATTGTGGACGTGTATGCACGGGCACGGCAATTTTGACGTCGTGAGTCCGTGACTGTTACTGTTTGGAAGACGCGCCTCGTCTTCATCTACAGCTTTGGCATTACGCTCATGATAGATATCATTGATTTCCTGCCTGTGCTTGAGACATTGTACTTTTTTTTGTAAGGCTAGCACGGAGGCGCTGCATTTTTGCTCTCTGTGACCATATCCATTTCGAGTTCCAGCTCCATGGCTCCAATTACCAGGCGCCGGCCGCACTTGTAGCAACAGTCTTTTGTTGGGAAGCTCGAGTTTTCCACCCTTATGTGTCTATCTTCACTCTCCTGTTGTTCCCATATTCCATTAGACACAATTACTTTTGTACACATAGAGATAAAATTTTGTGTCCGAGACATAGCGTCGTAGTTCGGGGCGAAACTGGGACCAGCTTCGGTTGTGTCAAGTATTCGAAGAAACTAGAAAGTATACCAAAACGTACTCGCTGTGGGCAATGAGCCGCAGGTTTGAATTTTACTGAGTAATATGACTGTGAACGTGAAGGTGGAAGTTGATTCTGTTATAAAACTTTTTCTGGTTTGAAGAAAAAAAACGAGCAGTGCGCGACGGTCTCGGTTATTCGAAAAGATGCACGTCGTGCTGCTTAGGAGTGCGAACTGACGACCGCTTGCAGCAAGTTTCGAATGACCTGATCATTTTTGAGTACTCGGGCCCTTGCGCTGTGGATTTTGCTGGTTTCCTCCTGTATGCGCTCTTCGACCTCGGCTACCGACTGATAGCTTTTCTGAAGGATTTCCTCTGTGGTTTTCAGCTCCGTGCGGCAGGACTCCACTGCTTGACGGTACCTGAAAAAAGTATGTGTCGTTTTTCTTTATGCGGTGGAGACCGTCTCATGCTCCCGACAGCTGAAGCTGCTGATTCGAGTGTTGAGCAATATGAAGTAGCAGCAGCAGGTCATGCGTCCTGCAATACGCGCACTGCTGGACCGAGTAGAGGGCTGCTAGGCCGATGCCGATTGAGCAGCATGCTCTTGAAACGTTCGTCCTTGATGAGGCAGAAACTGAAACGGTGTGTCTGTGTATGAAAAAATAAAGAGTGAAGACTGCGCATTGATAAACAAATACTCAGCATTGATAAACAAATACTCGTTTTTCCAATAGTCCAGCTCTTTCGCCATGCTGCTAATGTCGGCGTGTACCAAATCCATAGATTTGCCCAAGGGGTTGGCGGCCTGGCACAGCAGTTGGACGGTTTCCTGCAGCTTTCCGACGTCGGAAGTGGACCGAAGCTGCTGGCTTCCTGCACCTGCGCCGAGGCTCGAACCCACGCCGCCCGCCTGACCCGAGACGCCACCAGCACTCGAGGCTGCCGCGGTTTTCTTCTTGCCGCGGCGCAATTTACCCATCACGATGCCACCCCCGTCGGCAGACTCTGACTTCGCGTCCTGCTCGGCAGCTGCCTGTTGGCTCTCCAGCGCTTTCTTTTCTTCGAGAATCTCGCGAACCTGTGATCAGACACGAAAACCTGCACAAGGTCACATGAAAATATTATTAATATCTAGCAAATAAAGGAAAAGGCTCCTCCCATGCAGTCGCCACGCACAAACTATGAGTGGCGGATATAGGCGAAGAAGCTGCAAAGATGGAAGCACGCGGGCGAGGACGAGGAGGCGCAAAAAGCAGTTCAAAAACGCGAAATATCTATACCAACTTGCCATGACCGCCTTCGTCCTGAATGTTGTAATTTCCGACGGTGCCCGTCGTTGCGGATGTTGGAAGACGAACTCCCTGCTCCTCTTCTTCCTCATCTTGTTCGTCATCCGCAATAATTTGTACGGGTGGGCCACCAGTCGTTGGCGTTGGCTCAACTGCTTTCTTGACCTTTTAGATTTGGATTTTATCCACTGCAGAGTACTACTAGGAGGGTGGAGGTGCTGTTCCTCGCTTTCGCTTGTCTATATAAAGTCATAACGTAACCTAGCGCGAGGATGATATTAAGTAAGTAACAGACGAACAAACTAACACAAACAGGAACAGCTGTAGCGCGTCTCTTATACTCGGGGGGGTTTTCGTCCGGCGGTCCGTGGCCTTTCGCGCGGCACCGGGGCAGGCTGCTGCTGCACCACTGGCTCTGGGCTTTTCTGTTGCTGTTCTGCGATGCGATGCCTCTGGCCGGACTGGGCAGATGATGGTCGCGCCACTGTTTGAAGATGGAGACACGAAGTTCGTGAAAATGCAGCTTATGCACGTACATCACATCTAGCACTCCCACTCCCATTCTTGGGTTGGCTTGCTGCACGTTGCAACATCACAAAGAAACAGTATTGCGATCATTCTTTGCGTCAGTTAATATTACCTTCCGCAGCCTGCTGCATTCGGACTGCCTCTGCTTGCTGTGCCTGCAGTCGTGCCTGTTCCGCTTCCTGAGTTTTGACGCAACTTTTCTCTACTTCCGTTGCATTAGTTTAGCTGGTGTAACTTGATGAATGTCAGCATTGACTATACTTACACAGCACGCATATCTTATGCCGGCAAGGTACAAAAATGAAAAGCAAAATCAAATAAATGCCGACACGTGCTGTTCTATGGAAAAATAAGTACCAGTGATTGCTGCTTAATCCGTTCCTGCCGCTGTTGCTCCTCCATCATCTTTCTCTGTTGCTCTTCTTGCTCCCGTGCGGCGCGTCGATCGGGCGAGCCTCGCTGCATACCGGGGGATTTTTGCGTCGACGGAGACCCTCGCTTTTCCTTGGAGGAGGCTGGCGAATCCCGCTTCGGAGCTGCACTGCTGCTGGAGGGCTGCTCTGGCTGCGCGGGTGATGGTGGAGCGGGCGCTGCGGGCGGCGGTGCGGCAGCCTTTTTTGCCGGCTTGGAAATCGTAGTTTCGCCCCCCAAGACCTGTGAAAAAATAGCGAAACAATCCTGCGAAAACGCACAGGACATGCGGTACAACTTGCGTTAAACTTAAAGTGCAAGAAGATGAATCGTCGCTACCTGTTGCGCGAAACGATATCATGATGAAAACAACTACGAGAAACTTTATTGCGCCTCGTCGAGAAAAAAATGAATTCAGTTACAATACGCGCTGCACTGCGGAGTTGCTGTTGGCCTTGTAGGAGGTTGCAGCAGCGTGCAGCTGGCACAGCCACGCGTTCGTTTTTTCGCACTCGAGCCCGGCAACAATTTTGTTTGGTAGCACGTCGCACCCGTCTAGACCAGTAGCGAAGTAGGTGGCGGAAATGATTTTCGTGAGAAAATCGATCTTTGCATTTTTGTCCGTCATGCTGCCCGCGTCCTGCTCCGCCTCAGTGAACAAATTGTTCGCAAACCCGGTCACTCGAATCACCTCCATCACCTTCAGGCAGGAGTTAATCAATCTTGCTCTTCTGATGCTAGTAGTATGATCTGTTTGCAAGCGCACTGAAACCAGCGACAGCATGCATGGAAAATCGATTTAATGAATTTTGATATGAAAAGTAAGTACTATGTCGTGGAGAAACCGGAAGGGCGGTTTTTTCAGGTACTTCTCGGTCATTTTCGGCTTGGTGATCAGAGAGCCGATCTTCTGCTGCGTCTCGGATACGTAGTCTCCTTCCATTTTTAAAGTTGCGTTTCTTCCTAGGACAGCTGCCTTGTTGGCCTGGAGGACGCGCGAGCGTTAGCAGGAAGCTCGAACTTTTGTTGGTTGCAGACCCAGATCCGTGGTCGTCGTGACAATTATCTCCAGCCGCACGACTTTGCCTTTGCGAAAGGTGCGCAGGAGCAGCTTGGTGCAGGTGCTACCAATGACCAGCTTAGCTTGAGCGGTCCGGTCGTTCGGCCACAGAGCTCGAGAAACGCAAGAACTTCTTGTTCTTTGCTTTTATGTGGTCTGCGGCCTCATATTTTGTCTTTTTAGTGTAACTCTTGCAGATACACTTTCATTTCATTCGCAACTCTCAAGACGCAGATACGATCATGCGCTCAAGAAATAGAAATCTCTCGAAAGTTCAGGCTGACCTCACAGTGAAAGACGTGTTCGCTCTTGCACTTCTTGCCTCCTCGTACGTTCGCCTCCATGCTCATTCTTGATGCGCTTGCGTGTCACAACTACTCGAGGACTACACGACGCTCTAACACAGGCGTGCCGGCAAGGCACTGTAGTGCGCGAGTAGGTGGAGGAGGAGGACGTACAGTAAGTAGAACAGCTCCCAGAAGGAGAAGACAGCATCAACAACACTAAAGATTGCATTCACATCATATCCAGCTGAAGTGAAAGTTCGCTTGCTTCTTTGCAAAAAAACAGCACACACTTTAAATGAATCCACCACAAATTGCCGTGGTGCTACTGGATCTAGAACCTCGTCCTGTGACTGTTGATGAAAGCTTCGCGCAGGAGTCTTCTGCACGTCGTTTTCCTTTTCTAAAAACCCTCGTCTCTTCTTCAACATTTTTAGTCCGAGCGCCAACTCGGCATTGCGTAGCGCGGCGAAAAGGGAGAACGTCATCATCTTGCCTCTCCGTCTCCAGCCACCACTGCCGCGAATCGTTACGCGCTGTGCGTTTTCTCTCCTGGCGGTTTTCATCAGCTACTTCATCTGGCTGCTGGTGTGCACGACTACAATTGGTGTCCGCGGTTCCGAATCCAATACCTGCTCCGGGACCACTACAGCCACTGACGCCGAAGAACGAGGAAGAAAAGGCAGCCACGGCCGCCGGCGGGAGTAACAAACCTGCGAGTGGCATACAGGACGCTTTCACGAAAGGGCTGGGCCCCATTTCCAAAATCGGTCGTTCGTTTGCGGTGTATGGACTTCGGACGCCCTGTTCCTCGAGAGTCGCCATGGCACGCGCCGACTGCACCGCCCGATTCGCGATGTTGACCGCCAGGTTGCCCGTTCGTTCCGCGATACGGCTTGCATTCATCGCACGGGTTACCGCCGCGACTGCCTGCTTCTGCGCACTCAGCATCTCTTCAAAGTTCGCTGCGTTGATCAGTCCCTCCGTGCCCTGGCCCATCTGGGCGCCAAACGTCGTCACACCGTTGGCCGAAGCCAACATCTGATAGGCTGGGTCCATCATCTTTTTTGGCTAGATGGTCGTGGGAGGGCTGCTGTCGAGTGGAAAGCAATACCACTCTGGTGAGCGATAAATTCGAATGATTTTCGAGTCGAAACGGAAACGACCCGAGGAATTTTGTGCTTTATTGTTCTTCACGCAAAGCATTTATACGAAAACGAATAAGAAAGTCCAAATTAGGCTGTTCGTACTTTACACTTCCTGTCGTGGTACAACACAGAAGGAAACTAATAGCGCCGAGTTGAGTTCCAAAAAGCAAAGCACGACTCGGACGCGAGCTTTGTGTCCTTGCAAAGCGAGTTTCTTACCACGAATAAGCGAAGCTCGTCCTAAATGTCGGCAATAGACATCTTCGTAATCTCCACCGAGGGGGTATGAATCTGGTCGAAAAATGTGTTTATGACGCAGATTCGAAGATGGTCATTGACCATTTTTTCATCAGCACGACTACGATATTCACGATCGATGTTATCCACGATCTCAGTCGATTACGATTCTTCTCAAAACAAAGGAACATGATACCCACGACAGCAACACTGAGGAGAGCTCCACCAGGTGATAAAATTCAGGATTAAACTGATACCCTTGCTGTACCTCGTTGTATCCACAGTGCTGGTCGAAGGCAGTTTCTTCAGGCTGCGCACAGGAGCAAATACTCAGCTCTTTTTTGTTGAAACTGATTGGTCCGAAAGAACTAGAGATTGTTCACATTGGTTTTGCAATGAGCGGAAATTTCCGAGCAGTTCGTTGTACGTCATCAATGCTACTAGGCAGAAAGGGAGAGATAAGTTCATTTGTATAAAAAGATTTGGATTTTGTATACTTACTTTTACTACATAAGCTACTGGATTTTTTCAATATAAAAACAACGAAACCATTCGAAACCAAGCACAAAAAGACGAGAAGCGAAATGTTTTTTGTATCCGAGTGAGTCTATCTCTATCTCGTCTTCGTCATAAGAACGGAGACACAGGTCCTGGAGACGTGGCCCCATCAATGTCGTCTCCGGAAGCACCGCCAATGAGCAATCCATCGGCTGTGGCTCTGCCCCCGCCTGCCGTTTTGCACTTACTGGTGCTGCGATTTTCCTGCTCCTTGTCTTTCGCATTTCTCCTGCCGTTCCCGCTCCGTTTTGTCTTGTACGTGTTTGATGCACTTTTTCCAGTTGCGCTTACACACTTCTGGTGCTGCTCGCTTGCAAGATTCGCGGGCATGCTTCTCGCGGTATTCATGTGCTGCAGGAGACCGTCGTGTGGAGATCCTAGGCACAGCGCATTAACGTCGGTCACCCCACTCATTGCGGCTGCAATAAAGTTTTTCAAATTTATATTTCAAAGGTAAATGTTCACATTCCGTTTTTTCGTTTTCTGTCTCGGACGCATTCTCAAAATCCTGTTCCTACCTGGTAGGAACAGGATTTTGAGAATGTGTCTGGTAAATCTAAATCGTGCCCAGCCCCATGAGGACGATAAAACCAAAAAAGTCAAACTTAAATCAGGAATAGTTTTAGTCATACATAGTTGTCGAAAAAGCAACTCCAACTGTGTTACCCATTCCCTGCGCCGCGGTGGTCGCGGGTGTTTGCATCCCGAAGGGAGTAGCTTCGGTGAGCGGGGGTCCTGTGGCTTTCTGGTTCATGATGAGCATCACCGCTTGCTGAACCGCGGCCGTTGCGGCCGACAGCGCATTTTGTGCCGTGTTCGCAGCAACCCAGGCTCGATCGTTTGCACTCGCCGCCTGACGCAGCGTGTTGTACAGATCATCGGTCTTGAAGGGTGGAGAATACCCTTGGCTGTTGATGCCAGTAGCAAAAGACGGGATCCCATTGAAACTTGTCGCTGCGTGATGGTGGTGCTCGTGCTGAGCAGCCTGAAGATGGTCGGAAAACAGAAGTTTCATCACGCCACCCGCCATTTATTATGTTGCTTTTGTCGCGTCTAGGTCGTCTACCTCAACCTCTTTTTATCTGTGCTACGAAGTCGCTTCTTCAGCCTTGTGGGTTCAAATCGCGATCATGTCTCGTCTATTGTTCTGTTCTTTGTCCTTGTCCTCGATATATGAATGAGCCATATGAGTCATTCGTCACAACTACCACTCCTCTGAGAACCGACTCCTCACGAATCACGCCTGAGTCTGACAGACTCAAAAATATGTCGAAGTTTAGTAGTAAGTTCTAGTTGCACTTGCAGGGTCGCTCAACAAGCACAATGCATGCATGCTTACCGGCCCTTCTTGCTCTCCTGTCTTTCGAGTTGGTGCTAGTCGGCGATCGAATACGGGAATCGAGGCGGAGGCACATAGTGAGGTGTGACAAAATCACTTTACGTTAACGATCAAGATTATGAGGAGGAACACGAAAGCACGAAGCCTATTTCTATATGATACTGGATAGCGACTGATCGCCCGCAGCAAGCCAATGCTTGAGGGCCCAAATTCGTACATTTCATGCACACGACGCTGCCGGCGGCGAAAATGTGATTCTGTGCAGCTCAGCTTGTGTTCTCTGCTTTTTCTGGAAGCAGTAGGCGTAGTACCAGTGTGCAAAGCGGCGCTTCAGCGCGAGTTTTTGGACCAATGTTGTTTCGGTCGCGAAGCGACGAGACAACAAGTGGAACCAGGCGCGCAACACTTGTTGGCGCGTGTTGAAGTTTCGGCGCCATGAGCGGTATTTGCCTCCGAGAATGCACCACCAGTACCAGATTCGAAGAAACTTGTGCTCGAGCCGAAGTCGCGCGTTCCTAACGAAACCGCGAAACGCGGGACGAAGAAACGCATTTTGGCAGGTCGTTTTTCGGTAGAACCTGGCGACTTGCAGCTTCTGCTTCTGGGAAAAAAGACGATACTTCTGCAGCTTTCTGAAGCACTTGATTATCGTTTGTTTTTCCTGCCACTCCACCGCAACCCGCCACTGCAGCCGGCGCACGTGCTTCCACATCTGCAGAGTTATTTTAAGGAGGTCCACCGCCTCCTCGAACCTGCGCTTGCTCGCTATCTTCTGCTCGATGAAGAACCCAGCCAAGTTGCGCCACTCGCGTAGCCGAAACACCGCGGGGATGATGTAGAGCCGCCACGTCTGCAGCGCGCTCCAATTGTGGAGCAGACGACAGGCCGCCGCGTGCCTTCGCGCTAGAAGCCAGTAGCGAAAGAACCGCTTTCTTGCGATTCTGGTCGGCGATAACACCGTCCAAGAGGGTGGGGGACACACCTGCTCGGTTGTATGTTGCCCCGGATCCTCGAAGTAGATGTCGTCCTCGTTCTCTTCTGGTGGGCGTTCTTGCACGTAGACGACCTGCTGTTCTCCGAATTGCGCAAGCAGCCGCATCCCTGCGCTGGTGTCTAGCCACGCCTCGTGCTCCGCGCTGAGCGGCGAGGCACTTCGGAAGGCGAAAAAGCTGGCTGCGGTACTTGACGAAGCGCCCCCGGCTGCCTTGGAGTTGGAATTTTGCCGGTTCTTGTTGCCCGCTTCATTGACACCGAAAAGCGAAGCGCGCAGTTCCACAGCGACCACGGGCCAAGGAGCTTTACACACGCCTTCTTTCTTGGGTGGCGCCTCATCACAGTTCTCGTCGTAGAAATGTCGTTCACGGCGCGCGATACTGCGGTCGGGAGATTCGAAGCGGACGCGCAGCTCCTCTTTTCGTGACCCGTCAGAGAGCCTCCGACTGGACCTTGTGCCTTGCTTGCGAATTGGAGTCAACACCGGCGAGACTGAGGAAAACCGCTGCTGCTTCTGCTGCGAATTTGGCGCGGGGTCAAAGAGGTAGTGATCTAAATGCGGACGTTTTCGGAAGCTGCCTGCAGTGTCGGTGAGTTTGTCTTCCTGGTCGTCCCTGCTGGATTCGGCAGCTACATCGTGTTCGAAACTTACCAAGGTCTTTCTTTCACGCCAAGAGACTGCGTCCTTGGCTCGCAGGCGTGCAAACCAGAGATCTAGCTTCTCAGCGAAAAACTTTCTGCGGTGGGCGAGAAAGAGCCAATGCCCCATGAGTGTCCGCTTGAATCGCGTGCGTTGGCGATCGCGCGACATCCGAATGCGTTCTTCGTAGGAGCATGCGATCCGCCAGCGGAAAAACGTCTCGCCTTTTCGCTTCCAGCGAGTGAACCCATCGAGCATGACTCCGGACTTCCTCATTCGCTTCCACTTAGGTGTGAGTTTCGCCCAAGACCGCAACGCTTTCTGTCGCAGGAACGCATCTTCCTTCTCGGAAAAAACTTTGTGCAATTTCTGTGCGGCTGCACGCCAGTGGGCCAGGATGCAGAGGTCGCGCTCCGCGCGATGCGCCAGCATGCTGCGCTCCAGGATTCGCTCCACAACGCGCGCGCGGCGAACATAATTCGCCCATACGTGAAAGTGCAGCATCCACACGGCCAGCTTGAAGTTCTCATCGGTGCTGTTCACGTGTTTCGCTGGCTTCCGCCACACAGGTTCCTTCGTCTGGTACTGCTTCCGCGTGTTTTGCCCGCTGTCCTTCTTCTTGCCCCCCGGTGCCCAGGCAGTAGGCTGTAGCAGGCCGGTGCTTCTGTTGTTCCTTACCCAGAAGAACCGGACCCGCAGCCTGCGCTCGCGCGCAAAGGCCGCCCACAGCCGCCGGAACTCCGTGGCCGAGACGAGGTCTAGCTGTTGCAACTCTGTCATGCGGTCCGCCCGCAAGTCGGCGAGGAAGGTCGCGGTGGGTGGAAACAGGTCGTCGATCGGCGAAGAATCCGGCGGCGCCTCCAGGCTGTGATCCTCGGAGGAGTCCCCAGGCACGCGGAGTTTCCCCCTTTCGTCCGGCCCGGAGTGGTCGCGTCGCTCAAACTTTCCGGGCGACTCCGAGAACATTGCGCGCTCCGTGGCCGGGAGCGATCGCCGCGCAAGCACAAAAGGCGAGAGCACCGGCGACGTCGTGCTGTCCTCCTCTTTGCTTTCCCGCAGCCGAACGACATCTTCTCGCTCTCCACTGGTGCTTGCATGTTGTAACAATTTTTGAGCTCGTCCATCGGCCGCAGCAGGAAGAATTTCCTCACTCTCTTCAGCTCCCACCGACGAGACCGAAGAACTGCGTTCTTTTCGGCTGGCAAGCACGTGGTCGCGCGTGTACGGAGAAAGGTGTGTCGGGAACGGGTGCTTGCGGTGGACGCGCGTGTCGTCGCCCCAGATGGAGCCCAAGTCATGGTGCTTGTCAAAAGCGGTATGAACGGGGCGTACGCCGGGAGGCTTTCGTGGACCTGCTGAAGGAGAATAAGCTTTGCCAGCATGATCCCCGCGGCCCTCGAGGTTGTTTGTGGTGAAGGAGAACTCGCTGTCTTGTTGTTCCCCAGCAGAGAGTAGCTCCTCATTGTTCGTAGCAGTCTCCGCGGAAAATAGCGAAAGAACGCTATTTGTAGTTCCGCCCTTGGTCGAGAAGAAGATCGGTACATCAATGTCCGCTAGCCGCTCCTCTTGCTCCATGGTTACATCGTGCTCACGAAGGGCATTGTCGCCCTTCGAAGTTCGAGGCGAAGGATAAAAATGCATCACAGCTTCGTTCTTCAGGGGCATTTTCGCCGGGCTTGGCTTCGGAGCGGGAGGCAACTGTGGCTGTAGTTCTTCCTCCGAGTCTGCGTTCCTACTTTGCTCCATCGCAGCGTCAGCAATCCAGAAGATGCGCTGCTCAACACTGCTCTTGCGCTTCTTGTTCTCCTTTTCGGCAGCTCGACGGTTAGGTAGATCATACCTGTTGTTTCTGTGACTGTGTTGAGTGTGAACTGCAACCGATGAGGAAGAGGAGCTTCGTCTGGCAAATTCAGCGTCCGGAGTTGGCTTTGGCGCTCGTGCGCGCGAAGCGGATTTCGTTAATCGCGGTTTCTTCTTTTTCGTAGTACTGGACGCAGATGACGGAGCTCCCTTCATCGGCGAAGAGCTAGTAGGTACTACGATGCTTGCGCGCGGTGTCGCGACTGGCGACAGAGGCACAGGCTGCGTTGCTAGTGGCAGTTCTTCTCGCTGCGAGATGCGTTGGTCAGGCGAAAACTTTTTCCAGAAAAGCTGCGACTCATCCATGCTTCGCTTCAGTCGTGCGATCGCGGACGTAGAGGAACAACGGCGCGCTTCCTCAGCTGCTGTTCTTGACCAGGAGACGTAGTCGCTGGAGCGTGCTTGTCTTTTCCGCTTTCCTCGCGGCTCTGCTCTTCGGCGAAAGAAGTCGGAGACCGTGGGCACTTCGGGTGTCGTCCTAGGTGGGTTCGTTTCAACAGCCTCTAGTACTATCTTCCGTTGGTTGTCCTTGTCGTCCGCTTGCTCTGCTTGACGCGTCGTCTTTTTGCTTTTCTGGTGCTCCCTCCGCGAAATCTCCAACAAATTTCTGGTCGACCAGCTGAAAGTAGCCGAATTCCATTTCGTCATGGCTGGAGGTACAGCGGAAGCTGGGGTGTTCTTGCGGAGGGGTGGTCGCAGCGGCGGTGCTGCATAATGGCCAGCGCCGGCCCGATTGTGTAGCGGATGGGAGGTACTATAACGGAACTCATGTTCATCACGATCACCCAAGCGGAGATTCCTGCTATTTTCTCCCGTATCAAAACTTCTACCGAGGAAATACGCTTCATTTGGCGACCTCAATGGTTTATGTCCACCCGAGGCCGCACTTCTTTTCTTAGAAATCCATGTCGGCGCGTAGCAGGTCAAGACGTGCGATTTCCGTTCTCGTGCCCGCGCAGAATGCGCAGCAATCCTGCCTGCGCCTGGCGCCTTTCTTGGAGCGTAGATGTCTCCTTGCAGTATTTCGCCCCGAGTCGCAAATATTCTGCGGAGATCGTCTTCCGACACAGAAAAGGGAGCGGCACGCATCGGCGCATTGTTTTCCATGCGACTCCGCGCTGTCGGAGCGGGCGCAAAAATTTCTGCGGAATGTCGATGCACTTGTACTTGCGATGCGGCTTCGCTGCTCTCGCGACAGTCAGGTGGAGGAACCAGCATCGTTATTTGCACGGGTGGATGCTTTTTATTTCGCCCACGTCGACGTACTGGTACTATCGTCCAACTATATCATGCATCACACGATCATCTTGCGCCAACAAATGTCACTGTCACAGGAAGAAACTTTAACTTACTTGGCAAACGACCTTTACTAGACTAATAATAATGACAGACTTCTCACCTTCTTTCAACACAATCTCAAGGTACGCTTTGTGTGTGCTCTTTTGTCGAAATCTCTGTTCCTTCCCTCCAAACCACACTCTCATCGGTTGGCATTGGGACGAAAAAATAAGGATCGAAAGACAACAAAAAACAGTAAGTTACGAGCCAACTGCCGACGATCTGGATCTCATTTATTTCTTCGAAGCGAGAAACAGAAACCACATCAGAGAAGCCGCTTAAACATCGCAATAAAGAAACACCTTTGAGATTCTTGCTGGAACGGTTTCCGGTTGGTCCGCTTTGAAATCCGAAAGAAGTTGCGAACAACCTTTGTCGCGCTATTGCTTTCCTTGCATTTGGCGACAGAGACAAGAAGTCCATCATCAGAAACGCCTTAGTTTTTGGAGTAAAATCAAATTGAACGCTTTCGATGAACGTGCCTGATAGCAAGTACTCAACTCAATCAGCCGACTCACGGCCCAGACGAGATCTCGCATGCGACCATTTCTCCTTGTTCATGGATTCGCGCTCGCATTGTTCACAGGAGGTGCCTGGTCCTCTTCTTCTTCTGGGGCTGGCGCCGTAATCCCTAGCTCGGCATAGGATTTCGTCTGTAATCTTGAGCCTTCCTCCTCCCACTGCTGTATTCTGAGTCGGATCTGTGCTACCGCCTCGGCGCTGCAAGGCTGTTGAATTTTTTGTCATCATCATGATAAGGGTCAACATAGCCTTTTTGGCCCTGGCTATCGTGGCTGTTGCTGTCGTAGGTGTTGAGAAAAATAAAACGTTTCGTGCTAAACGTAAAGCCTAACCAAATGCAGCAAATGACCTCTTTTTTTACATCATCAAAAAAATTAAGTTTCTACCGGGTTGTAGGCAGTGCGGACCCAGTCGACGTTGCCCCGCACGGGCAACAGAACCCTCCAGAACCAGTTGGTTCCAAAGATCTGCTTCAAGTTTTCGAGCGGGGAGCCCAGGTCGTAGAAGTAGGGGCCGAGGGGGCAAAAGACTTGGTCACTGATCTCCACGTACTCGTTTAGTGACGGGAGATTGTACTCCAACGCGGTCACGTTTACGCAGGCAAAATACATCGCCGGCCCGCCGCACGAAAGGACTACTAGCAGAAACAAAATCTCGAGGCCTGTATTAGAGTGATTCTTCGATTTTTTTATGAAAGAATAGGGTTCGAGTTTTTCTTTTTTCTAATCGCCTTCGCGTTCGTGTTCCTAACGACTGAGCAAAACATGCATCAAAGAAAACGCTGCCTGATGATAGTACCGGTGAAAATGCACACGTCGACGCCTGCGTGATTGACAAGAGCGGTGACAAGGGACATTGCCTCGCGGGAGAGGTACAAAGGGTTCAGGAAAAATGCGTAATTTCCCGCTTGCCACTCTTTCGATGCGGTGTGCACGCGTTGCTCCAGCAGGTGGGTGTTTTCGCGAACTGCCATCTGCACCGCTATGAAAGCGAAGACGGCGCCCCAAAGTAAAGCGGCGAGCGCGAACATGTACATCAATACGAAGTGGCCATGGTTATTCACCTGCAGTTTCGGATTTAGATTTTTTTTGTTTTTAAATACAAACAAGGCTGGCCCGGGCGGAGCCCGGGCGCTCTTGTGGATAGGTCCTACACCTACCGGAACCGGATCACCCAGAACCGGACAACCCTGAACCAGCCGCAGCCGCCATCCAATGCCCCGGCCCGGGGCACTGGATGCTCCACGACTTGCTGGCCAATCTTGATCTCCGTCCATCGCCCCGACCCGGGGCGCTGGATCCATGCTGCCCGACCTGCCGGCCAGCCTCGACCCCCATCCAACGCCCCGGCCCGGGGCGCAGGAAGGATCCGTCAGGAGCCGGTGGGCACCCCCAGTCGCTCTCCATCCAATGCCCCGGCCCGGGGCGTTGGATCCATCCTCCGGTCCGCGACCTGCGGGCCGGGCAATCTTGATCCCCATCCAACGCCCCGGCCCGGGGCGCTGGATCCCCCCCTCCCGACCTGCTGGCCAACCGCGACCCTCATCCAACGCCCCGGCCCGGGGCGCTGGATCCGTCGATGGCAGGCGGACAACCCTAGTCGCCTGCCATCCAATGCCCCGGCCCGGGGCGCTGGATCCTCCACGGCCTGCTGAAGATAAGTAATCTTGATCCACCCCATCCAACGCCCCGGCCCGGGGCGCAGGATCCTCCCGGACCATCGGGCCAGCCTCGACCCACCCTCCCCACCCCACACAACGCCCCGGCCCGGGGCGTTGTTATTCCATGGTTATTCACCTGCAGTTTCGGATTTAGATTTTTTTTTTTAAATACAAATCACAAAAATAACGCACCGAAATATCACATAGACAACTTCAGATCGGAAAAAGAGGTGATCCAGGCTCGTCGTCCTTGTTCTATCGCGGCATCGTATTCGTGGTTCGTAAGTGCCATCTGACCCCTTCGCCTTTCGGCTCCAGACTGCTTGTCCCTTCTCGTCGCGACATGCTACAGTTGTTCACATGGTCAGCAGGCGGCGAGTCACACCACCGAGTTGTTTCCATCCTCGCTGTGCAAGAGAGTCAACAACCGTAGTGATGCAACAACGCAGGTGCTATGTTGCTCTTCCTTTTTTCGGTGGTGTTTCTGTACCTGTTCCTAGAGCCCACTGGCCCGCCCCTCACGCCTAAAAAACTAAGCCTAAAGGTCGGGAAATCTCGAATCGCATTTGCGTGAGTTTTGAAGAAGCAACTTTTGGGATCCTGTTTTGCCATGACATGCATGGCTGGGCGCAGCGCGATGTTGATGGTCCTACTGGGCTCTTTTTGGAAGTATTGCTACAGGAGGAAGGCAGAGAAGGGGGTAGTTGCTGACTTGTATTTTCACTTCGAGTCCGTCTCGACAAAATAAACGCATGACGAGATGAATGTTCAGAAACTACCCCCAAGCAAGCCCTCTGAGATGCACGGCTGCGCTTTTTACGTAGCAGCAAGCCCTTCCCCTTCCCCCTGCAGTATGCTTCTTTGTGGCTTTTTCATTCTTGTCAAAAATGCTCTTTGGTATTGTCGGCGTGGGTTTGGGGACAGTGTGGCAGCGTGACTCCTGAGACCTTAGAGGGGTGAGGCAACATCAACCCTCCTACACAGTCGAACATGAGTGAGAACTTCAACACCGCAGCAACTCAAGGAAGGGAGCAGAAGCCGGGCGAAGAAATTCACACCCGAACTTTAGGTCTCCTGTTTTGGGTCCATTTGTAAAGAAATAAAAAGCGACTCGCTGTGGCCTTTTTTATGCGAAGCGACTCGCTGTTGTCAATACGAAGTGGCCATGGTTATTCACCTGCAGTTTCGGATTTAGATCTTTTGGATTTCGGGATACACAACTCTGCGGGGACAAGTACTATCTGTATCTTCATCCGCATCCGGATCCGGCACACATCAATAAAAATGATCTTGGGCCGGTACATTGTTTGGAAAGAATCAAAGGACATGGAATTTGACTAATATCTGGGTCTCATGATAGAATCTTCGTATGTGCGAAGTGAATATGCACTCTCAACAACAGCATCAACAGAGTGAGAGTTTAGTATCTTCTATTATACCGCGATGACATTTCCGGTGAAGGGGCAGTAGTGGTCCATACGCAGGACACATCTTCCGGTGATGCTGTCGTGGTGTGATCTCGGGGGCTTCCACACCTCGCACTTTTGGTCCCACCGTGGGGCGTACCAAAGATCCAGCGGCTTGTCATCGCACTTTTTGGCAGCCGCACCTTCTCCCTTTCGCTTAGTTTCCAGTTCTGTGTCCATCTCGATCTCCTTGTTCTTCGGCGCGCAGCACGGTTTCGACTTGCAACTATCGTCCGTGTCAACGGTTGCGAGCTTGTACTTACCGTTCTTTTTGGGCGGAGGGATGTACTGATCTTTCACAAAACCGGGCTCCAGAATCGAGGCCATCACGAAGTTGTACATGATCTGTGTATGTAGATTGGTTTTTTTTAAAGGTTTCGTTTTTGAGTTTCTTTGAGATGTTCTTGTCGGAGACGTCGTAACTGATGAGCAGTAGTGCTCCTGCTCTGAAAATAGTAAAACTGATCTCATGACGATCCTTCTACTTACATGTGTTAGTGTTTCTTGAAAAAAAAAGATAAAACTAGCACATGGAAGATTGAACGTTTGACAAATGAAGTCAGTACAAGTACCTGAATGCAGATCCAGAGCGTGAAGGCGTAGGAAATTGTGTATGCGGTGCCCCATTTCTCCCAGCCCATCTTTTCCCAGATACCGCCGAGCGTGGTGAGCCCCGCGATGGGAGTGCTCGCGACTAGAGACCACGGGACAATCTTGAAGCTCCAGTGCATGGTCCATCTTATGCAGCAGGGAAGCTCCTTCCTTCTCTTCTTCGTTTTGTCCCCCACCTCCTGTTTGTTCGCGCGGAAGCCGCCCGTGCATCCGGTTTGCACCTCGGTGTCGTCGATGCGCTTCGTGGTCGCGGTGGGATCAGCTTCCTCGGCTGGCACGGCCGGGCCTTTGCCGCCCCGCTGTGTCAGCTCCGTTCCCTGTTGCGTCATGTCCTCGACAAAGAGCGAGGTAGGCGTCTGGCAAGCTATTGGCTGGCACTAATAGAAGTGGCGACAACTGCTGGCAATCGCAGCACTCCTAATGGGTCTCAACGGCCGCAAGACGTTGCAGTTGGAGGGGCGCTCAATCTCGAGAGACAGATGAGAGTGTAACAAGTGTTTCTTGGAAATAAGCACCAGTCGCAAGGCCAAGGCAACAAGCTTCGTAGCCGTCTATTTTCAACACTCCTCAAGGTTCATGATATTGCTACAAGTACGTACCAACGTGACAAAAGTATCAAAACGTGGTCCGCAAAAAAGGTCGATCAATGGTACATGTAAATGGCCTACTCTACTCGTGCTGCGAAAACGAACTTTACTCAAAGCAAAACTACATTCAAATCTGCCATATATTACTTACAATACATCGGCAGAAAACAAAACTGGGAGGATGAAAGCTTTTGGTGAAAATTGTTTGCGAAAAACGTGGTAAGTAGTACACCGATCAGCTCCTTGTAGTTCGGTCGGCGTCATAGCTACATTCAACTCCAGATCCTCCGACGCTCTCGGGTACTAGGTAAGACCGTCCTCATCTCTCCATGGCGATCACAATTTTTTGCGTCATCAATAGAAGAGGCACAAAGTAACTGATTGTTTTGGATGCTGCACTCCGACCCTCTGGCAAACCGATGTCCACCAAACATTGATCTTCAGTCGCCCTATTTCGCGACACTGGGCTGGTTTCGTACTATCCAGTCGTGCAACATCAAGATAATATGGAGGCGCTGCTCCTGCGCTGTTCTCATTTGTCCTCGTCTTCGCTGTGGCGAGAACGTGATTGTAATGTAAGGGCCAAGAGCATTTATTGTCGCGTCGTTGCGAAGATAGTGCATTGCGATAAATCTTCCTTCTGGAGCCTCACAACTTTCACGATCCTAATTTCGGTGAGGTGCGTAGGCGTGCCGTCTGGCGGTGCGAATGTACTACTGCAGATATCGTACAAGAACTTCTTATTTTGTGGCTGTAGTTCAGTCATATATTTGACGATCCCATACTGTAGCAGGAGCACTTTTATAGTACACGTAAAACTGAAACTCGATCACCAACACAATTGAATTTTATATTTTTACTGTGGAAAATTCTTCAATATTTTCCAGTAAACAATTTTTCAAAAGTATCCATACACAATGCAGAGCAGTGCTGCAACTGAAGATGATTCTACAAGAAAAAATGTATAGACTGGAGCGTTGTGGTATCACTTTTCGGAAACTTGGAAACAATTTTCTGGTTGCAGTGCAACCTCCGTCCTCCATCCTTCACAGCGCATCGAGTAGTTCACACGTATACATAAGTTCCCCAAACGAGAAGCAAAAATTCAACATCAATGCTGTGTATCGTTGTGAGGAAGATGTTACAGAAATTCAGGGCCGCTATAGTAATTTCAACAACAAGTACGACGAGCATTCCAAATCTTTAAAAAATTTTCCGTGTAAAAATCTCATGACAGGCTTACAAGAAATCCAAACGAACCTGAGTTCTACTTCCTACTCCCGTTCAGTAGGCCGCGACTTTTTGGACGAGTTCCATCAGGACAGTAGCGCCCTCTGCTCCGTTCAGCGTCGCATGGCAGACGTTCATGGTAAACTTGGCTCTTTTTTCAGCGTCTGTGCGCCCGACTCCCAGAATGGCCGTCATGCCCCTCGGCAAAGTTGGATTTACTTCCACCGGCGCATCCTTGCCGAGAGTGGTCAGGACGTAGCAAACATTGGAGAGGTCTTGGTCCTGGGGTGTCAATTTCGACCCGCGCTCCTTCAAGGCAGCAATGTCCGCAGCTATCTCTGCTACTGATTTTTGATTTACGTCCCGGAGAACCGCTACGCGCAGTTGGTTGTCGACTGTGATCGCGAGACCTGGAGTTATTGTTATTCACACGTCTTCTTGCTTTCGACCGTATGAATGTTTTTGGTTTTCTAGTATTTCTACAACTCAAAGAACTCTTTCTACTGTCACAAGAATGTAGGTGAGTGCGTTTTTCCTATCTTTGGGTCACTTTTTTCGTGTTGAAAAAATTCAGTGTCGTGGACTACAACAACCGGGAAAATGAAAAGCTATATACCTAGGTCCACGCTATTGGTTTGCGAGAAGTCCAGAAAAGCCGTCCGCTCCGTGTTCAGTTTGCGATTCAACTGTGTGGCAGCAATAGCGTCTCCGAAGAGCTTGGCCAGCAGTGTAGTCGGCGAGACCTTTGCTTCCTGCTTCGCCTTGTCCAAAAACCGGACGAAGTCCACTGTTTCCGACATGCCGAAGGTGAGTGAGTCCGTGGGCTGTACCGTCATGTTTCGCACCATGCTCTTTTGCATCGTTGATAACGCTACTTCTTTTCCGTTCGTCGACGTGTCCCCACTGGCGTTCTTGTTGTTTCCCAATGCTGCTGCGGGCGGGATAGCATGCAGCTGTGAGCTCACACTGCGAAACTGGTCCAAGTTCGGCTGTAGTGCCGCAGGCTTTGCGGCTTCGGCGTTGTCGACCTCGTCTAAGGGCAGAATCGTGCAAACCCTAGTGATTTCAGTCACGTCGATTTCTTCCATCTCTTTGACGTGGAATTCGGCGATCGTTCCCGCCACTTGCGAGACGATCTCAATGCTGGCCTTGTCGGTCTCCAGTTCCGCAATGGCTTCGTCTGCCTGCACCGTGTCGCCAACTTGCTTCAAAAACCGAATGATTGCGTTCTCCGCCGCAATCGGGGCGAGAACGTCTTCTGGTTCCGCTGAAGTACTAGTTGTGGTAGAACTCGAAGAAGAAGTAGAACCAGAACTACTACTAGTACTCGACGTGGTTGGCGCTGCAGACGGATACCCCATAGCTCTACTCGGAGCTCGTTCCTGAGAAGTACCAACACCCGCATGCACCAAGAATCCCCGTTGCGTCAGCGTTTCTTGCAGGTGATCGGCGTTCAGGAGTGCCGTGCCCAAACCGTAGGGAACAAAAGCCGGCAGCGGGGTGCATTCCGAAAACACCATGGAGTCCAATGCCGTTGGGGAGAGCTTCTGCACCTTGCGCCTCAGTGCCGCGGCCACGGGACCTAAAATTCCGGAGTTCGGGTTCGGGTCCACCAGCAACACCTCGAGGTTCGCGTTCTTCTCGGCTTTGCCCGCCAGTTCCCGCGCCAAGGCGTCGGGTGCCGCAGCGTAGCTGAGAACGTACAGCGATGTGGCACGCGCCTGCAGCTCATTTGCATGGTCGCTGAGACTCTTCGCAACCCACTTCACGTCAGGTCCCCAGGAAACGACGACCAGCTCCTTACTTGCGGCTGATGTCGAAGCAGCTTCTTGTGCATCGTGTACATTCTCGGCAATCGAAACGCGCAGGACGTCTTCGACCCCTAAACCGCGATCGGATTCTCCGATGGGCGTACTGGTGTCAACAACACTCTGTAGTGGCAATTTGGAGTGCAACGCCCCGAACGCGGCGGTGGGCGCGAAGCACAACACCATCCGTCCCTGATCGTGCAGGTTGACCATGGCGGGTAACATGGCTTCGAACAAGTTCATGTCGAGCGGCAGCGCGCAGGTCGTGTTTGCGTCCCCGGTGTAGGAAGAATACTCGGGCGTGTTGTGGTGCTCGCCCACACGCGCCAGAATGATGTCGCGGTCCACCATTTCGGTCACCTCGCTGGAAAGAGATGCCGGCACTTTCTCCCGTTCGCGCACCGCCAAACTTCCCCCATCCATGATGTAAATGTAGTTGGCCTGCTCCCCGCTGTCATAAAAGCGAAAGGCCCCATATTTCAAGTGATCTCGGGCGTGCTCGTTGAAAATTGTGTGCGGCCCCTTGACGAAAACCAGATTGTTTTCGGGTAAGCTCACACGCAGGCCCGCTCCAACTTGGGCGACCTGTGCCTCGTTGGGTAGCAAGGCGTGGAAATTTTTCTTCAAAAATTTTTCCGAAACATTATTCAACTCGCCGTAAACGCCGCCCCGCGTGTCCGCCGTACCGGGCGCGTGGTTTTCTTGGTGCACGTACCGGACGGTCCGGCTTTCCGCTTCGCAGTTTTGCATCACCCGGTCCAACGCGCGGGCGTAGATTTCGTTGCCGAGCCCCGCAAACCCCGCGTTTTTGGCCCCTTTTCCGCCGGACGATTTTCCCAGCAGGTAACTGGCCGGCAGGTCGAACACAGCTCCCTTGTCAATGTCCGTGTCGTAGTCCTGCGACACACCGGCGCCCCCACTGGAAGCAAGCGAAAAAATCTGCTGGTTCGTCAACTGCTTGTCGCCGATCATAGCGGAGGAAACGGCTTTCTCGATCGCGTCCGTGATCTGTCCCAGTTCGTTGGCCAGGCTGGCGCCGGGGGTACCCTTGTCCGCGGCGGCGACCACCTGGTTGAAAATGGTCTGCTTGAAGGTGTCGAACTGGTACAGGAGAAAGGGGTCCGCCCCCGGGTGGCCGTCGGATGCGTGCCCGAGGGGGCGGAAGGGGAAGGAAGAAATGCAGTAACTGGGCCTTCCGGTTTCGAGCGTGTCTTCCACACAAGCCCGGATGGCGGCGAGCCCGCCCGCCACGTCTTCCGCCTCCGTGGTGCGGCCCGCAAACCCGAAACTCGTGAAGCGGTCCTCAATGCGCTTTACCGCCGCGTGCGGGTCGTCCAAGGCAATCCGCGACGAGATCGAGCTGTTGTTAGCGGTCACCAGGAACACAAGGGGCATCTTCAGGCCCCGCTCCTTAGCCTCGATCGCGTGTTGGAAGGCATGCACCGCGCCATCGGTAAAGGCGCCCGTGTCACCGAAATTCACGATCGTAAGCCCCGGGTTCGCCTCACCCTCGATGCCCTGCGCGTACAGCTTAGCCGCTTGAAATTCGGTCTCGCGCCTGAGATCGCAATGGGAAGTACAAATAGAAGTGAGGGATTTCAAAGGAATAAAGTAGAATCGAATAAACGACGCTCGCTGCATAGTGCGGGCGCAAAAGACCACTGACTATTCTTTTTTGCGCCAGCTGCACTGTATGAATGCTGCGGGAGGAGCCAGAGTGAGTTAATACAGCAGCACACTAACTAGTAACTACTACAAATACAAACGAAAAATAAAGAATTTAAATTTCTTCCTACACAGTGCGTTCAATTCAAAATCAAAACTGTGGAAAGAGCACCGCCATAGTAAGTAAGTACTTACCCTAGGTCGTTGCTTCCAGAGATGATGTGGTGTCCTTGTGGGTAGAAGACGCGAACTAGCGGATTGAAGATAAGCGGGTCCGCCGGATAGTCTCCCGACCAGTACTGCAAGAAAAAAGCTTTCGCCAAAGCCTCGTACTGCTGGTCTGGCGTAAACCCGAGTCGATCCAGTTCCTCCACCAATATGGGCGTGCGGTAGTAGGTGGCAAGGTTGAATTTCTCTCGGTAGAAGGTTGGCACTTTGAACGCGGGAACGGTGTGCAGCTTGTCGGCGTGATTCTCCACCTCCAGCGCCAATTTTTGGCGCGAAAATTCGGTGATTCCCGCGAACATGTGGGAGTAAATGCTGCTGCCCATGGTCGGCAGTGCCAGTGCCGACTTCGCGAAGTTCGCGGATACCGGTTTACTGAAGGCCACGTTCGTAAAAATCGTTCGCCGGTAGCTGTCTCGCTGCTCCTTGGACGCCAGGAGTTGCTGAATGTTCTCCCGCTGGACGTCGAAGTCTAAGGTCGTCCCCACTGCTGTTGTGTACGTGGAGGATGTGGATGTCTGTTCGCCAATGACCCCGATCTGCTCAAAGTCGTGCTTCAGACCCTCAATGACCTGGCTGAAAAATTCCGGAGGCTTGCGGATCATCTTCAAGAAAGTGGCCTCATCTCCATAGCGCACGTACTTGGAGGAAGAGGATGAGGACGACGACGTCGAGCCGCCATTTCTTGCACTTGTTGCGGATGCGGCAGATGGCGCCGCTGCACTGGTTTGCGCTGATGAAGATGAAGATGCTGCGGAAGATGCCAACACCGATGGAGCGGCACCGCGGCCTCCTTCTTCCTCTTGCAGAGCCGCAGATGCCGGGGAGGCTCGCTTTTTGCTTGAAAACGAGGACATATAGCGCTGCAACGGAGCAGCTGCGGACGAAGACGATGTTGACGATGAACTGAATGAAGTTGGACGTTGGTGATGACCTGAGGCGGGAGTCAGCCATTTCAATGTCGACCTTGTCTTCAACATCATGTTCATCGGGGCGACGCGTCGCGGTTCCAAAGACAATAGGGGGGTGTCGCAAAGCGGTCGCGAAGCGCGCCGCAATTTCGCGCGACCACAAGCGGTGGTCGCTGCCATACTTACAGCTCTTTTTGCTATTTTATTGCAATAGAAGCCGAGAAGATGAAAAAGGTCGTGCGTAATTATATCGCAAAAAAATCAAATTCAAACTTGGACTTGCGCCAGCTAGTAAAACTACTACGATTTTTCCAGTACAACAGCGGAGTCGACGCTTGGTTTTCGTACTAACTGCATCAAAACAACTATTTTCAAAGAATTGCGAGTGACGAAGCTGATCGATAGACAATGGGCCAAGGGGAACCAGGATGATTTCGCTGCGAGCACATGAAACCGAGAATATCAACCGACTGTGCCTGACCTCATTCGGGCGCTTCACCAAAGTGGCGGTGTAGATGAAGATCGAAAGTATTAATTTTCTCGCTTGTGCAGAATTTTTCTCGAAAAAGTCGAATACACAGCTCCTTGCAATGCGCACGACACTCAGCGACACTCATCCAGGAATCAATCCTTTTGCACCTCGGGCGACTAAATGAATTTCTACAGTCGTGGTTCTTCAACAAGCTCGGAGTCGGAGGAAACTAAGTATTGAAAGCCGCGCGTGCATCTGACGTGACGAGATCGCTTCCTTCTGCTTCTGCCTGATACGAGATTCCGGAAATGCTCTTGACATAGCTACAGCTTTTTCGCATCTACTAAATTTAGATTTGCTATTCCAAAATCGATGAAATGGCGCGACTCAGAGGAAGTGTTTCTTTGGCGGCAGAGCCAGCGATCGCAGTCAAAACTGAATAAACAGTCGTGCAAGAGGAGCTTAGTTAGGTGGTCTGTCTTGTTTGTTACATTCACTTTGTGCGGTTGGTCTGTATCCCCGAGTCGGCTAACCGCTTGTTGTCAAGCACCGCTAGGCTGCGCGAATGAAAAAAGAAAAACATTAAGAACTCGAAACGGAAAATTAACCTAAGGAACACACTTCACAACTTTGCTCGTCCTCATATTGAAAGTGGCTAATGGGCAGGGCTATGACAGCTGCTAGAGTTTTTATTTCATCTGAGAAACATACTTATTTATCAACACGGTGCTCTATTATCACGCATCTTCAACGCTACTAGAAATTAGCGAAGGGGTACTAACTTGATGGTCTTTGCATCTTTGAAGCACGACTATGAAAAAAATTTTCCAAAAATTATCTAGGAATATCACCACGTCTATTTTACCATTTTGAACTGCTTCGCTTCTCGTCTGTGTCTGATGTCTGCACGACGACGGGCACAGGCACAATAGAATTATCCGCCTCACTGCTTCCAAGCTCCAAACCGAAGCTCATACAGGGGCGGCTCACTGCGCGACTCGATCCGCGGCATCCTGCGCACTTCCGCGACGCCACGAGTGAGAAGTCACGTTGGCGCGATTCCGCTTGAAGAAAGAACCGTGACAGGTTTTCTTGCTGCGTTCGACGTATCCGGGCACGTATCCGCACAGATCAGACTGTGGCAGCGTGCGCACTGGCGCTCCGTTGATCGACATGGTTGTTGCACTCGTACCGTACCCGCTCTCGGACGAGACCGTCGGCGTTTCGTCGCCAAACCGCTTGGAGTCCGTATTGGTCCGGCCGCCCCCGCCGAGGGTTCGGCCATTCATTTCCGCCTGGCGGAAACCCAACTGATCACTTTTCGCAGCTTGTTCTGCCTTTCTCTGCAACAGCGACCGCGGTTTCCAGGGCTGCTTCGCACCTCCAGCAGGGTCGCTGCGGAGGCGGGCGTCACCGTTATCATTATCCTCCCGCACGTTGTTCATCGCGGCATCCATGACCATGTTGACGCGACGATCCTCCTGAAACAGAGACTCGCGGCTCAACCGGACTGCATTACAATTCTGCCGCATTTTCTCGGCGCGCAGCTCTTCGAGTGGAGTGCGCGTCTTGCGGATGGTTTTCCACGGCACCTGTAGTTTCGGGCCGCAAAATAAATCCCCGTCGGAAGAAAACATTTGCGCATGATTTTTCGTGTCAACGTCGAGAGCGGCAGATGCTGTGCAGGGAATCATGCTGCCATCGTTCACTTTGTTTTCTTTGCCGACCTCTCTCTCCTCCAGCGGATCGCACGAAGCGTCAAAAATCACCGGGGTTGTTGTCGTTGTAGTGTCAGAAAAATGCAGCTTCTTCAGGTTCTTCCGCGTCTCGTTCGCACCTTCGTCCAGGGCATCGGGAAAGACGGTCCCCGGAACGATGCAACGCTTCCGCAGCGGCAGCGCCATGCGCTCGCGGACCTTCAGCAGCAGGGCACGCGAATAGTACGACTGCTGCTGCTGGTGCAGTTCTTGTTGATGAAATACCGGAACAACCGTCTGCGCGGATGAAGCTGCCCCCGCCAGGAACAATAGGGAGCCGGTCGTGGTCGCTGCCCCGCCGGGCGAGGATCCCGAGCAGGTCGTGCTGGAGCAAGAATCCAGGCAGACCCGGTCGTTCGTCGAAACGGTGCATGTGGTGTCGTGCTCGTGCTCCAGGTGCGTGTGGTCTTGTTCGGAGCTTGCCACGTCAGAGGGCGGCGCATCTGTGGACGATGGCGGCAGCATTTCTTGCGGTGGTAGAACTGCACCAAGACGATGATGTTGAGCAACATCCTCTGCAACTGCCGGCGCGCCCATGTGGGGCATCATCAAGGACAGGTCAAAAAAATCGGTCTTCCCCGAGTTTTGTTCCCCCGGAAGGAATATCCTGTGCAAAAGTATCGTACTCGTATAAATCCAACCTTTTCTTTTTGCATGAAATAGTATAGAAGTTGGTGAGAAGCTGTTGCGATGTTGGTGCGGAAGTTGGTGCGAAGTGGGTGGAGAAGTTGGTGGGGAAGTTGGCGCGGAAGCCGTTCAGAAGTGGCGGAACGTGCTGGCATCGTCAGCACGTTCTCTGGTGTCAGGCGTGGCGCGTGACTCTGCCGCGACGAGTTCTAGCGCCTTGGCCGCTTGCAGTTGCAGCTGTATGGGCTGGAAAGAATTGCCCGGCAGATAAATCTCTACAATGACTAGCGAAAGGTGAGAAAACCCATTATTTAATAGTATTCCGCAATAGAAACAAAGAATAGAAACGAAAAACAAAAACAAAGAATGAAAACGAAAAACGACAACAAACAATGGAAACGAAAAACGAAAACAAAGAATAGAAACGAAAAACGAAAACAAAGAATAGAAACGAAAAACGAAAACAAAGAATAGAAACGAAAAACAACAACAATGAAATGCAGACAAAGCGCCCAAGCTTCTAAGCGGCGAAGCCTTGAAACGAAGAGGCCTCGAAACGTCTCAGCAGCGAAGCCTCGAAGCAGCGAAGCCTCGAAGCAGCGAAGCCTCGAAGCAGCGAAGCCTCGAAGCAGCGAGGCCTCGAAGCAGCAGCGAAGCCTCGAAGCAGCAGCGAAGCCTCGAAGCAGCAGCGAAGCCTCGAAGCAACGAAGCCTCAAAATCAGGGGTCCCCGGACCCGCCATTTTGTCGTTCCGCCGGACCGGAGCGACAAATCCAGGAGTCCCCGGATCCGCCATTTTGCCGTTGCGCCGGACCGGAGCGACAAATTGATCCAGGAGTCCCCGGACCCGCCATTTTGTCGTTGCGCCGGACCGGAGCGACAAAATCAGAGGTCCCCGGACCCGCCATTTCGTCGTTGCGCCGGACCGGCGCGACAAAATCAGGGGTCCCCGGACCCGCCACTTTGTCGTTGCGCCGGACCGGAGCGACAAATTCAGGGGTCCCCGGACCCGAGAGTTTGCCGTTGCGCCGGACCGGAGCGACAAATTCCGGGGTCCACCCGCGAGTTTGTCGTTGTGCCGGACCGGAGCGACAAATCCAAGGGTCCCCGGACCCGCCAATTTGTCGTTGCGCCGGCCCGGAGCGACAAATCCAGGGGTCCCCAGACCCGCTAATTTGTCGTTGCGCCGGACCGGAGCGACAAATTCAGGGGTCCCCGGACCCGCAAAATTTGTCGTTGCGCCGGACCGGAGCGGCAAATTCAGGGGTCCCCGGACGCGCCAATTTGTCGTTGCGCCGGACCGGAGCGACAAATTCAGGGGTCCCCGGACCCGCCAATTTGTCGTTGCGCCGGACCGGAGCGACAAATTCAGGGGTCCCCGGACCCGCGTATTTGTCGCTGCGCCGGACCGGAGCGACAAACTCAGGGGTCCCCGGACCCGCGAAGTCCGGTGCCGGACCATGGCCGCCGAGCCGGTGCCAGACCATGGCCGCCGCGCCGGTGCCAGCATGCAAGATGGCGGCAAAGGCCAACCTGCCAGCCGCGCCGGTGCCGGATCGTGGCCAAGCCAGTCTGGCGCTTTCAAAGTCGCAGGCGGATGGGCCTACCTGTGCTGAAGCGCCGGAACCGATTATCCACAGATAGACGCTGAGTTTGTGCTACTATTCATCTAGCGGAATACTATTAAGTCTGCAGGATACTGGACACGGGAAGCGGGATAAGGCTAGTAGAAAGACGGCCACACTCATTCTTTCCATTTATCTGCAGCGCAGTTCGGCACGTCCGCACGACGGCACCATGCGCGCAACGTATAGAAAAGGCGGCAAAGGTTGCGCCTGTGATGGCTGCACGCAAAGACGCAAACACCGGGAAAAAAATGAAGCTGCGCGCGCCGTTGTGGAGCCGGAGCTGCACGCCGCAGGAGCTAGCTTCTCGCCAACTTCTCAACAACTTCTCGGCCAATATATTAATCAAATTCATTCATTTCGCAAACGCCTTTGCTTTTCTTGTGCCAAAAAACGCAGCTTTGCGTGCAACCTACACAATATGCCGCGTTTTTTGCTCCACAGCTTCTAAACAGCTTCTCAACAACTTCTCAACAACTTCTCGGCCAACATATCTGACAGATTTGGCGAGAAGTTGTTGAGAAGTTGTCGCGCAATTCATGATCTAGAGGATGCTCTGCTTTTGCCAACAGACCACTTTTCAAAGCCCAAAACCTTCCTGCAAAAGCAGGTTTTGGAGCTCCCGCAGCGCTCACATTTGCGCAGAGGCGCGACCGCAGTATGCACGGCCAAACTGATTCGTGACGGCACACGCGGCCACGAATCGAGATCCGGGAAACTCGTGAGACAGCAGCCAAATGCATGGCGGTACAGAAATTGGAACGCCTACAGTTCAAATCCGCACCAAGCCCCCGAACAAACCCACCCGCTGACTCCCGCCAATTTCTCAACAGCTGGGAAGTTGGTGAAAAGGTTAGGAGGAAGCTGGTGAGAAGTTGGGGGAAAGTTGCCTAAAAGTACGTGAGAAGTTGTAGAAAGGTTTCATGCAAGAAAAGGTCGGATTTATACGAGTGCGATACTTTTGCACAGGATAAGGAAGTCGTCGTCTTCGCCGGGACTTCTGCTGTGGTACGCTGCGCGGGTTCTTTTGCGCGGCGACGGGATCCCGGTGGTGTCCATAAGCAGCCCATGCGATCCGCAGAAAAATCCAAGCTCGCTGTCCTGAAGATCAAAATGTAAATGCTGCTGCCGCGCACCAGTAGCGGTTCCTGCTTGTACCCCGAAGGTCGGCCCAGCGTAGTTCGCGGTTAGGAAAAAATTGCCCCCGAGCTCGTCCTCGCCGTCGCTGTCACTGAAGAGACAGCTGGGCGAATGGTCGGAATCCTCGCCCTCATCCGTTTCCGCTTCATCAAAAAGTCCGAGTTGATCTTCATAACACTTTTTCGCGGGAGAGGCAGACGAGCGGTCGTCCCGATCATGTCCTCCACTTGGGATTGTCGTGAAGAAGTCGAGGGAAATGGAAGGCAGAGAAGCGCAGCCCGCCGTCTTTTTTCGCCCCCGAGCCTCAGCGTACGTCCCTGAAATGAAATTTGAGAGATGCATGGAAATTCTCTGAGATCCGTGCGCCTCCTTGTCAACAAGCATATTTTCTCTTGACGCAATTCTTGTAGCCGGCTTATTCGTCACCAGCTAGAGGTAGGAATAGAGCTACAGCATTCATGTGTACAAGTGTGGTCCTCATAGCATAGCAACTACTGTAACAAGAACAGCATAGTGAGTGATCTGTTGTAATTTCATTGTGATGGCTCTTAGTTTCATACCAGGAGATCCAGCTTTATCCATGGCGGCGAGTGCTGCACCACTGTGCGAGAGATTCATCTTTGTGTTGCTCACAGGCCGCGCACTGCGATTTTTAGTATTTTCAAACCGATGGCGGGAATGGGATGTGTGTTTCAAAAAGCAGGCGATATCAATTTTTCGTTGTTTTTCCCTTCGCCGCAAAGATTCTAGGCTCCGGAAGCGAAAGCGTCGTGACAAAGAAAAGCAATAGCTTTCTTCACTCAAAAAAAAGGCAGGACTAGCACCGCTCTCGTTTCGTCACCCTCGTGGTCCTGTTTTCGAGACACAAAATACCATATGTGTGCTGAAGGAACAAACATGCCGAGTATTTCAAAAGGACTTGCTTCGTCTTGGAACAAAAGTGGAAAGATGGACTCACACACATACGACGCGCCGAAGAGGTTCGCAGAGTTAAGTCAGGAGTTCTTTTCCTTCTCTGCGCTTGGTAAAATGATTGACATTGATTCGAAAAACTTAAACTTGCAGGATAATGATGGCGCGCTGATTCTATTTGCACAACTCGTAGAAATGAAGTGCTTCTATCGTGGGCCGCCTCCCAGCAGCTGATTTTTCTTTGTGTAGAAGTCGGACATGAACATGACCCAGAAGAGACTTGTGTTCGCCAATATGTTTTTGGCGAACAGACTGGCGAAGCAACGACCTGTGTAAGTTGGGGTGATTGTCTCCCTCAGTAGTTCCGAAAACGCCTTTTTCTGTGTACCGTCTGCAACCGCAGCATTCTTTGCGTGGATGGTCGATACTGTTTCGGTGGTGAGCGCAAATACGGTTTCGACCAGTGCAACCGTCGGGCCCGCAACGGCTGCCATCGAGGCGCAATGACCCGGGATGCTCACCGACCTGTTTTTCATTGCAATCAATCAATACCTCCTGTCATGGTGGAAGGCGCGTAGTTCTAGTTGATCATGATCTGTATAGGAACGTAGTAAATCAATTTGCTATATAGTCTTTCCGAGATGATGAAAAAGTTGTAGCCCGCACTACCTAGTAAGTGCTTCTATGGAGCGGTGACGGCGAAACTCATCAGCTTCTGGTGAGCGAAAAACAAAGTATCATAACATCTATACCGTGGATCTTCTTTGCCACCGATTTTGGGCATCATCCAGTCTTTCGTACCGAAACAAACCATCATGCGCAGGCCCTCACCTGGCGCAAACATGGCCGTGTTCGCAGCGTACTTCTGCAGGCCAGAGAACGAGCAGAAGAAGTTCCTGAACGTTGCTGGGTACGTGTCTCCTGCGATTTTGCCCAGCTGAAATATTCTTGGAATGTTCAGTATCGGCGAGAAGCCGAAGCCGATGCCGAACGCGCACCCGAAAGGATTCTGCTCGCGCCACTCGGGGGGCACGTACAGATTCATAGCGGTGGCGAGGATTTTCATGGACACCCGCGCGGTCGCGCCCGTGAAGGCGGCCTGCGGGGAACTCAAGGTAGCTCGCAGGTGCGAGGCCACCGCCTGGCTTGACGTGACATCCTGGGCAACGACTACGCGAAATTTGTCCGCTGGGATCCCGAAAGCGTTGGAGACGACAGCGCCGACGACGCCACCGGTCACCTTGATTTGGTCCTGCGAAAACGCAGCCGGATCCAGCATGCTAGCTTGGGTGAGAGAGGTGATGAACCGCACAAATGGAACGACGCGGTCAAGAGTTGGTGGAGATGCAGTGAAGCAAAGACAAAGTCACAAGAAGACAAAAGCGCGACCTAGGACGTGCATTGAGTGCTTTTTCTCTGGTTTTCCGCTAGTCGTTCTACTTTTTTTACGACTTCATCATGTACACACCGGTAAATGTATTCGCATCATGCGAGGGTAGAAGTGGAAGTAGTAGAACAAGGACAAGCACGAATTGTCTGCATTCAGCTGCGGTCAGACCCTATGCCAAATGAGATGAGCCGCCCCCATACGGCTGTACTATATCATAATTTTCTTGTCGCTGCAGCGGTCCGCTGAAACACTAAACACCTTCTATATCATTATGTGCAGTCGGAGTGGTGCGCAAACGGAGCGAAAAAGACATGTTGCAGAGCGTGATCTTTGATTCTGTCCATTTGTGAGTCACTGTTCTTGATTCATCATCATGATCTTTCTTTTTCTTGTTTTTTTCTCCGAAAAAAAAGGGCTCGTCAACATGGTCGTCACAATCCAGCAAGACGAAGACCGCACACACCATCTTCACTGCTCCACCACGTAATATTCACAAACATTGACTTCTTTCCTTGCTCCTACACGACATGCACTGCTTGCATTTGCGTGAAAGCGTAGCGCTCCTCCGCCCGGGCGCGGCGTTCGGCCTCTCTGCGCGCGAACACGTCCTGCGACCGATCGCGGCGGAGATCAAGTTCAGACCAGAGCCAACCCCTCGTCCCCCCGGCGGTCCTTGCGTTTATTCCACCTCCGCTGCCCCTAGAGGAAGTACTAGTGCTCGATGCCTGCTGTACCGCGGCGAGAAGCGCTTGGCGCTCCCGCCGCAGCTCTTCGCGGACGAGCTTCATGCGCCGCTTGAGCGCCGCCACGTGGTCCAGGCCGTCGAAGATGTTGCAGCTGGCAAACCAAACGGAATTGTAGGCCCAGAAACTCACCGCGCGGGGAAACCAGTGCGTGTACTCCCACTGCTCCAAGGTTTGGCGCCGCACCGTGGGCCGCCGATCCGGCACCAGTGGAAGGGGGACGCCCCACCAAGTGTGGAGCCCGCTGCTTGCATGTTGGTTTGATGTTTGCGGTTGTCTACCACTGTGTAGTTCATCTACTCCAGCTGGCAGTTCTTTTTGTTCCCTCTGCTGTCTTTCCCGTTCCAGTTTGTCGCGGTGCAGCTTTTCGAACTTTTGTGCGACCTTATGGTCGAAAATGCAGACGCCCACTTCGAGATTGCGCCGCCCCGAAAACCAATCAAAGTTGAAACTGCCAATGGATGAAAATAACTGGTCAACCACAACGATCTTCGCATGCATGTGCTCATTCTCGGAGAGGTACACCTCCAATCGAGTTCCGTCGTCGCCAGGTCGTGGGTCGCTGGCAGCACGAAGTTCGCCCCCTATTCCGGCAGACCTGTTCTCGTCGTCGGCATGATCTTCGTACTGCTGCATAGTCCGCGCTCTTGTTAGGCGTTCGGCCCGCCTTTTGTCTTCCACGAGCAGCTTGCGGATCACGTGCTTTTGGCCCAGAGTATCGTAGGGAATGGGGGAGACGTCGGACACGCCAGATAGCAGAAAACTCATGTGCACATCGTTGCTGTCGTTGCGCAATTGTCTCCAAAGCGACCGGCGCAGAAAAAGCGGGGGGAAGAAGTACGGCGTAGTGATGTGCAGGGAATGCAGGGCACCGTACATAGCCTTCGTCAAAACCTTCTGCAAGCTGCGATTCCGAGCGCGTAGCCGCATGTTCGATCGAACCACCTGGATGTAGACACCCTCGGCTTCTTCGCTAGTAGTAGACGGCCTTCTCGCGGCCTTGATGTTCTTTTCCTTCTCGCCCAAAACCGGACCGCTTGCAGTCAAAGTCTGGGCAAAAGCCTCCTCGCCGGCCTCAGCGAGCGAATCGAGAAAGACTTCCGCGAGGTGCTGCACGACCGGTCCCTCCAACTTCACATGCACGTCGTAGAAGCCACCGCAGCCGCCAAGCGCAGGTCCACAGTCCTCCTTCATCACATTCAAGGAGCCGCAAAATCCTGTGTCGTCACATATCAAAATTTTGCGGTGGTCACGCAATGGCCACGGGTGCAGAAAGTTTACATTTGTAGACGACGTTGAGCTCGACGCGGAACCAGAATAAAGAGAGTTCACGGCCGTGGTTGCGATTGCATCTTCGTGTTTGCTAGCATCATTCCCCCCAATGTGATTTTCTTCGGATGGAGGTTGCTGGTGCACCGGTGCAGGGGCGCCGCTGTTCCAGAGGAAGCTTTTCCAGTTATCCGGCGGGTTGAAGACGATAAGTTTCACGCCATGCTCGACCAGTCTTGCCTTCGCCGCCTCGGGCATGTCTCGCGAGCCGATCCCGTCAACCACTAGCACTACCTCCTTCACGCCACGCTGCTTCGCGGCGACAAGAGCGTCCACAAAGCGGTCCGCAATTCCGCTCTCATCCAGGATATAGCTCTCCAGCCAGACGCGGTGCGTTGCATTCTGAATTGCCTCAAGCATGACGGGGAAACCGACGTCGCCGGTTTCCAGTATCTGCAAACTGTTCCCTTCGGAAAAAGAGCCGTATTTTTGAAAATGAGTCAGCTTTGCCGCCCACGTGTACTTTGCGATAAGGAGGTCTTCCGCACTCCAAGTCGGAAACGTGTGTTCGTTGACATTTTTCGTGACATGCCGTTCGATCATTGGTGGAATGAGCCGGCGGAGGAGATTCCGCATTACACTGGGGCGCTTCGGGTCTACAAACTTTTCACCCGGCAGTTGAACAGCGACCGAACTTTGATCTACGTCGTTAACATTCTCCATCCTCTCCACCTCTTCTGCAGAAGCGGAGGTACTATTGGTTGTTTCATCGCTGCCCGTCTTCCCTTGTTCCTCTAGTCTTCTGAGTAGCTGTAGCAGGACTTTTTTGCTACGGTAAGTGCTCTTCAGCGGCGCGGCGGCTATCTCCTGCTCGTCAACACTGCCTGTTGCATAGGCATCTCCATTTGCTGGCCGTCTTTTCATTCCATCTTGATCTTCAGTACCAGCGTCAGCGTTCGTCTCTTCGTCCGAGAGGTTATCGGGCAAAGGAGATCGTGAAGACGAAGGAGCTCCACCAGTATGGCGTCGAGAAAAGGAACTGTGCTTGCGGAAAGCATTGCTACTATCATGAGCGCCGACTTCAGCGTCTACGTCTTGCTGCTCTCCCTGCTCAGTGGCATCGTTTGTGACCACTTGTGCATGATAGGGATAGGCATCTTCGCCGAGCCGTGCTTGTTTGACGTTAGTTGCACCTGCATCGTCTCGTGGTACGTCAGTCGTTTCTTCAACATCAGTGAAAATAGCAGTATTAGCAACACCAGTTCCAGTGCCACTACCAGTGGCGTCATCCTCTACTACTTGTAGCTCATGATTTGGCGCGGTCGCATCAATCGCAACAGCAGGAGGCTCAGGTCCTTGGTTGAAGACAAGGCTTTCTTCCTCTTCCACCCCCAGGACCAAGGACGGTGCCGGTATCACACTTTTTCCGAGGGCATTTTCTGTAAAACGCGACCAAAGGCGAACAAGCTGCAGATCCTCGGCGTCCGCGTCGTTCTCGACATCTGGATCAAACGAATCCTTTGCTTGCACGACGGGGTTGCTCCTCGCTCCCACGTCGGAGACCGCTGCCGGGGCCGCAGAAGTTGCGGCCGAAGCTGAGGACGAAGCTGCAGAAAACGCCGTCGCCCCGGTCGTCCCGGGTGTAATATCATGTACTTGGGCGTCGCCAGTTTTTGCGGCTGGAGCCCTTCCCGAGAATCTTCTGAGAGAAAAAGTCGAGGACAAAAATTCGGCAGCACTAGTGCTTGCTCCCCTTGTTCCTCCACGTAGAGACTCAACCTCCCCGCTTGAGCTTGTGGTGTCGTCATATTGTATACTCTGCCCTGTTAGTGTTTCTGAATGCTGTTGATGTTCGTCCATAGTCATAGATCATGTTGTATTCGATGTTGATTCAACATTAAGTTCATGTTGAAGATACCTGAAGACGATTTCGAATTGCTTTTACTGTTTACGATATGTCTGTGCGCCTCCGCGACCGCGGCTGCTTTTAAGATAGCGCGATGAATCATTAAACTGCTATCGACATCACCAGGAAGCCGCTGCGAAAGACAGAAAACTACGCACAAGGCTAAAAGTCACACCTGCCAGGCAAGAACGGATATCAATGGATCAAAGAAATCAAGTTAGTGGATTGGTACGCGAAACGACAAAAAAAAGTACTCATAACGCTGACTCGAACATTCTATTCTTTCCGGAGATCAACATCAACGAGCTAAGAAAGTACTAGTTCATGATCCTTGTTTCAACAAAGGATCCTTCACTCGAAGATAGATCTAGTTGTATTATCATGCGGATCAAACTGCGGCTCCTCAACACCGACAGACCGGAAAAATTCAACGTATCCGGTAATATCCCTGCTCGCAATTGGTGCATCAAGGAACCATATCCGGCTAGAGCCAAGCCGTCTGTATTTCAAAAAAAAAGCGTTGAAACGCGAAAAAAAGCACAGCCGGTCGCGGTCGGTCCCCTTCCGCAGGCAGCATGATGATTCAGCCGTCGTCGAACAAAAGCTTGGTGGCACGGGCAAAATTCTCTTTGGACCACAGGAAAGCATTGTACGTCTGGTTTTCTCGTTCTCTTTTTTCTTAATTGACCAGGCTTCAAGCGCTGATATTCGTATTCCGACTGATATTTCGACATTATAAAAACAAGTAACTCGTGCGCGGTGTGGGTGTCGCCCGGCAAATCATCCCCCAGTCTTTACGTCTGTGGTCTGCGTATGGGGTGCCAGCGCGCCTAGTTTTCTAAACAAGTATCTCGTATCGCTTTTTGTCTGTCAAAATTTGTGAAATTTATGTACACGCGCTCGACACATTTTGTACAAGCGAATTATATCTAGACGTAAAAAAGAAGGTGCTGCATTCGCACTATCTTTTGCACCCTTGGGCAGTGTTCGAAACGTGAAATAAGTTTGTCCCTGAATAAATAATGATCTAAAACATGAGCGTGACAGATTGACAAGTACAGATTTTGAAGTGAGAGTAAGAGCAGCAGCTATTGAAATTCGGCAAAATATTAGACGAAATGCGCTCAAGCAGAGCTGCAGCAAGCAAAATCTTCGAAGATTCTTAGACACTCGAGGAGTACTTCACGCCAGCTTAGCGCGGCCAAAAAGTTCAAAAAAAGCCGTCCGCACGCTGCCGGTAAGAAAGTATCAGTGATCTACGTAACAAGCTTTGTTCGATTTCGAAAAGTAGAAACAGAGTTCATATCATCCTTACCGTTTTTCGTTTAGTACTAGAGTAAAAGTGCTGTCTATTATTTTTATTGGAGTTCTATACCAGTTGTCTCAGATCTCTTGAATTTGATTTTAGTTTTACATAGCAGTACGCCGGGCGAACAGCGTGATCATCACCGGCCCCCGTTCACAGTGAGCGCGAAGGTTGCTTCGGCGCCGAAGCCGATGCTGTTGCCCGCGCTGATGTAGTAGGTGGTCGCGACTGCTTGCTGGCCGCTGTACTGATGGAACAGCAACGTCGCGGATACGTCAGCCGTCCAGGCAACGCCCTGGCTTGACCGAATACGGTAGAAGACCAGGCTGTTGCCGCCGTCGTCGGCCGGTGGATTCCAATTCAGCAGCGTCTGAAACGCATTGACGGTGTTCGCCGCGGTAAAGTCCCGCGGCACGCCGGGCACGAAGGCAGCGATCATCTTCACCGGGGGCAACACGGGTTCGGACAGAAACCCCCCTCCGTTCCCGGCTCGGACGGTGTAATACCTGGAAGTAGTTGTAGAAATCAGATTTCGCGAATTGGATTTCGAGCGATTGAGGTGATATCAAAGGACCTAGTACTGGTGCGATTTGTACTATGTGAACTTCAAAGTAGTACAGCCAGTTCTAAATTTCTTTCTTATCGGACTGCAAGACATAGGCAACAAAATGCAGTGATTCGCGCAGGAGGAGGTGCTAGGGCTGATCAACATCGATCCTCACCATGCTTGGCCCGGGGAGACAGGATAAGTCGGGTGCGAGCCGGTGTGCTCCCACTCGCTGGCCACCAGGTGGCTTTGCGAATGGAGGAGGATATCCGAGGAGCCACTGACGCGGTCGCCGAACACGTGGTAAGTGATGTTTTCCGCCACGTCGCCGCCAAACTGGGTGGTGGTGGAGAGCTTGGTCCACTGCATTTTGATGGTGTCGTTCGGAACCCCTTGCTATGCACTGCAAATAATGAGCCTGAGGGGGCCAATTTTTTTTTAATATGACAATGACGTGCAACATGACAAAGGCGTGACTCGAGAAGTACGCAACTTCTAAGCACTACAGATTTTTGAACGGTCCTGTGGTGCGTAATAAAGCGCATGAGAGACTGCGTTTGTGCATGACAAAGAAGAAGAACTACCAGCGGTATTCCACATATAGAAGGTCCGCGAGTTCTTTGCATGTTGAGACATCAGCACGACGAATGAGAATGACCCGGAGTCGTAGTTATTTGCATTCGATAGTTGCTGGTCGGTGTGGCGCTGAAACCCGGAAACCTTGGACGGGGCGGACAGAATCACGCCGTTGTTCAGGGTCACGCCCAATTCCGTCTTCTGCGGGTCGGTGAATTGGCCCCACGCGCCCTGCCCGACCAGGTTCACGCCCTGCACCTTCACCTGGTAGTGCCGCCCGACCTCCCAGGGGAGGGTGGAAAAAGCAGCCGCGGTCAGCGTCTTCGTCGGCGCGTTCACCAGGTTCCAACTGGCCTGCTCCGTGCCGCCCATCGAAATGTACTCCACCACGTTGTCCACACCCACTTCCTTCACCGCCAGGATGTAGTCAAAGATCATCGCGCCCTCATCCGTACCCGACCGCCAGGTCAGCGTCAAAGAAGGCGTCAGCGTCAAGGCTCCGTCGTCGGCGGCGGAGATCGTCAAGTCCTGGGGCGAACCCGGAACCTGCACGGAGAGGGAAGGCGGTGGAAAGTGAGATATGCTGCCCTATCTTTATCGATTCACTATGTCGAAGGTAAAAAACTTTGCTGTATTCTATCAGCTTTTTGCGTAGGAGAAGTAGTTTTTGCCTTTTACTATACTTCGTACAAACAGTACCTTTGCAGCGACGAAGATTGTGGGATCTGACCGCATGCCTTCGCCGACTTCGTTCACTGTGGCCATCTGGATTTGGTACTCAGCTCCTGGCGTCAGGTCGGTAATGGTGCACTGCTGCGGTGCGGGAGTGGTTTCCCTCCCGCACGTCGGGTCCGATACTTCGGAAACGGCAGTGCCGTTGCCCTCGTTCCTGTACAGCGTGTAGCCCCGGACAATCCCGCCGTTGTTCTCCGGCACTTGCCAGGTGACGTACTGTTAGTCGTGTATGATGGTGACAGAAGAGCGCTACGAACCACTTAACAGCAGCCCCAGGTTCGGAAGCACATAAAACCACTTGCCATTGCATGCATAGGCCTGCGGCGGCATTTAACGAAATTTCAAGTCTCGTCTGTGCGTTCATTTTCGTGATTATTATGAAGAGTCATAGTCATACCAGAGACGTAGTCGTCGAAAGCTCGTAGTTCGCGACCGGAGGAAGCATCTTGCTCGGAACAGCAGAAACCTGCACATCCGTGACTGGCCCTGGGTAGTCTCCTTTCCTTGTGACGACAATCACGCGAAAGCGGTAGACGTTACCTGCGAAGTCATACAGTAGTCTAGTTGAAGTAAAAAAACCTCATCTGCTGGCGTTCTTCGAAGAACCTATGGAACTTTTGAGACACAACAGGCACATAACAAAAGCGAAACACACGAAAGCTGCATCGGAGAATAAATTTAATCGATAAATAGGCAGCTGGTAGCACAACTCCTACTCCGCTAGGCAAAAATTCTAAAAGCAACATACCTTTCGTGATTCCCGCGTCGACGTAGGTTGCGGTGAAAATCGTGGGATCTAGATTGCCGTACTGTGTGTAATTTGCATACACCGTGTCGTTGCCGTCTGCGTACGCGACGTAGGGCGGTACGACATTCGGGTCCGGTCCCGGGTCCGTGGGATACACGTCCGTGAAATTGCCGGAGGCGGAGCTCAGCAGCGGGTCGAGGAGCGTAAAGTTTGCGTCCCCGTGGTTCACCACGCTGGTGTCGGGCAGCCGCTCGTAGGTGGAGTCTTTTTCTATTCGGTACCCGACGATCGTGCAGCCGCCGGTGTCCGCTGGCGGCGTCCAACCCAGCGTGAGCGAGTACAGCCCGTTGCCGGTCAGGTTGTACACGCCGGCCGCCACGTACGGCTTCACCGCCGTCAGCACCGGGGGGGCGCAACTGTACACCGTGAGCTCCTCGGACAGCTATCCTATGTAAAAACGTCCCCGCGCCATGGTTGTACTGCAAATCTGCATGCTGAAAATATTTCCCATGCGGAGCCCAATGAGAGGCATTTTCTAGCCGTGTTTAGGAGTTTGCCATGGTCCAATTAGCATGTTGCGGTAGGTCTGTGATGCTGCTGAACTAGCTGAACAGGATTACACTACGAGGCCAGATTTGTCATGCGCAACAACCAAAGCTTGTTGATTTGTCTAGCAGATTTCCCATCTTGCCTATGGGGTGGTGACGTTTTTACACAGGATAACAGCGGGCCCGTGGTCACGTCCGTGATCACGGCCACCTTGAAACGGATGGGGCGATTTTCGATGGTCGTCGTGGTGCTGGTCGCCGTGGTCAACAGCATCACGCCGTCGTGCACGATCGTCTCCCCGCCGACGTAGCCCACCGTCGTGCCCGCCGGCGGCGCGTACTTGAAGGCCCGGATGGAGGAGTCGCATCAAGAGGAAAAATCCCCCCTCCCCATATCAAACTGGAAGTCTGTGATGCTAAAACAACCGCGCCGACATTGCCATTGTCCGGCGTCGCTGGGGAGGCAAGCCTCCGCAGGGGCCGGAGCGGCATAGGGTCAGAACCGCGAAAACATCTGTGATGCGAGATTTGTGCACACAAATCATTTTGTCATGCTAGAATGGAAAAGATGCGGACTGTAGTGCTGGGTGGCGTCGGAAAGCCTCGCAGCTTCAGCATGACAGGAGTCAGCTGGAAGTGGGAAACAGCATGACAGATTGCCTGCAAGCGAGGCCACAGTTGCGGCTCTTCCTCTTGGCCGTCTAGCAATAAAACTCGATTTGTGTACTCAAATACAGCATCACGAGTTTCGTTTTCGGCATGGGGAGGGAGGATTTTTCCTTGCGATAAGTCGAGAATGGACTTCACCAGAACCACGTCGGAACCCAACCCGTCGTTGGCGTGCACCTCGAACCCGAGCAGCGTGGCCTGAAACAAGTTCTGCTCGTACCACGCCACCACGCTGCCCGCACTGGAACTCTGCAAGCTCCCCGTGAAAGGCTCGTACAGAATTGGGGCCTCCGGTGCCGGGGCGCAGCGCACGCGCGACTGAAGTGAGATAGTGTACAGCTTACAGATAGTAGGGCTTTTCAATATTGAGTTTTGAAGATGACCGACGGTGAGGATTTAGGGTGACCCAAGAACAGATGCAAAAACGTATCCGTATGAGATACTTAAGAGAAGACAATGTTAATAAGAGCCGACCTGCTACTTCCAAGAGAACTTCTACTTCATCAGTATTCCCACCGCATGGCATGCCCATGCCATCTCCCGCCTATACTAACCAAATCATATCATTTTGAATCTGATACCTCTGCTGAATAAGCTCCCAACCCGACATTGGTTGTTGCAGCTACGCGAAAGTAAATGAACTCGGCCTGGAGACTGACGCCGGCGGTTACGTTGTCGCAAATGACTTCCAGCTGGTACTGGTTTTGCCCGACTTGAAAGGGCACGATTTGTGTCAGACCCGAGTCCCAGTCCACGCCAACCTGGGCGTCGAGCTCCGTCAGATTCTGAAAGTAGCTGGCTTGGAATTGCCAGTTCAGGTAGTCATTGCCGCCACTCTGGCTCAACGAGGCATCGCCGGACTGCCACTCGACCGTGATGGATGTCAAACTGCTGTTGATGTACTTGGGCGCCGTGGGCGCAACCGGGAGATCCCCGGGGTAGAAGGTCGACACTGGGGAGTGGTCGGACTCCCCGACCTCGCTGACCACCGATACCTTGAAGCGGTAGGGCAGCCCGACGGACAGATTTCCGACTGGATAGGTGATCGCACTGGTGTCGTCCACTTCGATCTTCGTGAAGGCGCCCTGAATGCCGTCGTCCACATAGATGTTGTAACCGTAGTGCACGGCCTTGTACATATTCTTCCGGTCGTAGGCCAGCGTCACCGAGGTTTGGTTGCTGGTCACCTTCGTGGGGGCGTCCGGCGCCTCCGGGCGGGGCGCGCAGCGAAACCGGCGCCCTGGGCTGAAGAGGCCAAGTTCGGCATTAGTGATCGCGGCCACTTTGAACCAGAAGTAGTCCCCGTCGGTGTTGGGGCAATCGAAGGTGACCGTGGTCTGCAGGGCGTCGCGCGTGGAAATCGTGGGGAGACTGGGGTTGTACCCGAGCACACGGTCGGGCGTGATGTACACATCCCACCGGTATATGGGACCACCGCCGGTATCGTACCCCGGCGGCACGGTCCACTGAATGACGATTTGGGTGAACGACGAACTTTGGACGACCACATCTGGCAGAGCATCGGCGCGCGCACTAGAAAAGAATGCAGCAACATCAGACTCCGGAGATACACCAGCATCGGACACGATTTGAACCTTGAAGCGGTAGCTCACTCCTGCAAGCAATCCGGTAAAGTTGAACGCCATCGTAGACGCGTCGTCAACCTATGGGTATATGTTCTTGCGCATTTAGATTTTAGTATAGGGAGTGGGAGAGCAACACACTTATTATAGATAGAGGTACGGTGCTGGATTAAAAAACTACTTCGGCCGGCGGCACGGAATTAATAGGCAACTACATGTAGGTTATGCTATCAAAGGACGACGTCGCGGTCGTAATATCGTGTACCGTTGTCTGCACGAACGGTCCCATGTTGCCGTCATCGATGTGAAGAATGTAGCCCTGCAGTGTTCCTCCATTCAGATCCTCCGTCGTACCGCTTGTGTATTTGATTTCGATCACACCTCGCGAGCTCTCGCCCAAGGTCGGAGCCGCAGGCTTGTTGGGTGCGATGCTGCAGCGCACCCGCAGGCGGTTCGAGAAAATCCCCGGCCCCGCGTTGTTGGAAAATCGGGCCTTGAAGAAGTATACCTGACTCTGGACGCAGCTGCGACGTAAATACGGGATTCGCGCCGTCGCGGTGTGGTTCAAGGGATCGCCCATCTCCGCCTCGGTCAAGTTGTGGATGGACGACGTCAGGTCGAACACATCCCCATCCGTGCTCTCAAACAATTCGTAAAGCGTCAAGGGCGAGCCCCCCGTGGAGACCGGGTAGCTGGTTTTCAGCGAGATTCCCATGGCGGTCACGTTTTCCCCCGGGTTGCTGGACACCGGAAACACCCCGGTCTGGTCCAGAAACAGCTGCGGCGCCGGGGGCGTGGTGGCGGCGTAGGCGATGAGGATGGGGCCCCGGTCCGAGGTGCCCACCTCCGACTCAAACTGCAGCTGAAACCGGTACACGTTCCCGGAAATCAAGTTTTCCGCGGTGTACCGCGTGCTCGACGTGTCTGTCAAGTGAATCGGCAACATCTTTCCGCCGGACCCGTTGTCCTGGTACAGGATGGTCAGCGTGTGGATGGCTCCGTGCAGATCTGGTTTCGCCCACTCGAGGTTGATGCTGTACGCCGTCGCGCCCGTCTTGACCGGCAGCGCCGGCGTGTCCGGTCGCGCCGAACAGCGTCGCTGAAACACGGACTCCGGCGGGCCGGCGCCGATGGAATTCTCCGCGAGCACCTCGAAGTACAAGTACTCCTTGCTGGCAAACAGGTCGTCTTCGTCGCAAATCACGGTGATCTCCCGCTCCGCAATGTTGGGTTGGATCTTCACGGTCGTGTTGCCACCACCCAGATTCGCCGGCGCGTTGCTCACTTTCACCTGGTACTGGGTTAGAATGGTCCCGCCGTTCGAAATCGGGTCGTCCCACGCGAGCGTCATCGAGTTGTCGGTGCTGTTCTTCAGCCGCACGTTGCGGGGCGCCCCCGGCGTGGTGGCCGCGTGGATGGAGGCCGAGATGTTCGATTTTGCGCTGCAGCCCACCGTGGAGCACAACTGCAGCTGCACGCGGTAGGAGTCACCGATCAAAATCTTGTTCGATTCGATCGGGTTGGTCACCGCGTTCTCCACGTAGATCGGGCTCTCCGGCTTCGTCGAGCTCGTCGTGCCGGTGATGTTGGGCAGAAACACCCCGGCACCCTCGAACAAGCCGTTGGTCGTGATCGCAAACGCCAAGTCGTCCACGCGGGGCCCACGGAGCTCAATCAGCTGAAAGTTGTTGTTCGGGTCGTCCTCGTTGTCCAGCCAAATGTTCCATCCGGTGTGCGTGACGTTGCGCAGCTGCTGAAAACTGGGCGTGTAGAAGTTCACCAAAATCCCATTCACTAAGCCATTCAAGATCGGCGTGGGCGGCGTCTCCGGCAACGGCGCGCACAGCAAAGACACTGGATCGGAAAAGAACCCGGTGCTCGTCGAAAAATCGTCGCCCACGCCGTTCATGGCGGCCACTTGGAAGGTGATAAGGTGCGGCACTCCGTTGGTCGGTGGTGGGCAATGGGCGTAGGTAAACTCGGTGGTTGGCCCGCCCGCGTAGCCGGCCACAGAGTATTTACTCTCGCCCGCCGTCTCGTCTTTTGCGTAGACGGCGAAATTGGTGATGGTGACCCCGCCGTTGTCCTTCGTGGTGTCGTAATTCCAGCGGATGGTGATGGAGGAAACCGAGCTGGTAACCAACTCCGGGAGATCCGGCTTCTCCGCGCGGCCGCCCACCACGAAGTAGCGCACCGGGGTAAATAGGCCGCAACCGTTGCCATTGCAGGCACGCACCTTCGTCACGATGATGCCACCCGCCGGAATCGTGCGGTCCGGACCGCCCGACCGCTTGGCCGCGGGAATGCGGACCAAGGTGCTGTTCGCCTGGGCACTCTTTTTGCTGACGTCGCGCCACTCCAGTTCGTAGCGCACCAGCGGATTGTCCGTCGCCGTGGTGGAGGTGGCGAAACTTTCGTACTTCCAGGCTAGAAACATCTGCACCTGGCCGTTGATTTTCTCGGACTTGTAGTACTTTAGGTTCGTGGGCGTCGCCGGCACGTTGCTGGCCACCCAGGCGGCAACGCCGCTCAGCGCTCCCCACCCGTTTTGATTCCGGGCACGCACGTAGTATGCGTACTTCCGTCCGGGAGTGAGCGACTGGTGATCGAACGTGCGCAATGTGGACCCACTCTGCAGGATCGTGGTGAGGTCGGTCTGGGTTCCGACGTCGCCGCGCAGCTCATATTCCAAAATTGGAAGAATGCTGTAGGCCACGCCCCACTGCAACTGAATGCTTGTTTGCGTCCCGCCGACGTACTGCGGTGCGGTCGGTGCGCGCGGCACTGATCCGATCGTGACGGTTACCGCGGGCGACCAGGCCGACACCTGATCCGCGTTGCGCGCGCGAACGCGGTAGGAGTAGGTCTTACCTTGCTGCAGCTGCACCAGGCGCTTGCGAAACACCGTCGCGTCGCCGTAAAGCAAAAGTCGGTAATTGCGCTCCCCCGGCTCCTTCTGCTCCAACTCGTAGGCCGTAATGTTGGCGTAGGAACAGCCGCCACTGCTTGGTTGGCTCCAGTACAGCAGAATCTGCGAGTCTGTGACATCCCGGACCTCGAACGACGCCGGGGGTTCTGGCTCGCCGCAGATTTGCGTTTCGTAGACCCGAGACGCCCGACCCCAACCCACGCTGCTCGTGTAGGTCTGCACGTAAAAGCGGTAAAAGCGGGAGGGCGTCAGCCCAGACACCGTGTAGTTGGTGTCGTACGTGGTCCCGACTTCCACGAAGTCCCCGTCTTGTTGCAGGACTAGCGAACCGTCAAACTTCTCAAACGCGCCCCGATCCCGCCACAGCTTGTACAAGATTTGCTCCTGCGGATTGTACGCCAGATCTTCTGCCGCGAACCAGCGGAGGTTGACGCTCGTGGTGTCGGTCGGCAGGAAAGGGTCTCGGCTAAGTTCCAGCGGCACGATTCCGCCCTCGCCCGCGACCAGAGCCAAATACTCCGACTTGCTGCTCTCGCCGTACTGATTCACGGCCGTCACCGCAAACACGTATGGCAATCCCGGCGTCAGGCCGGTCACCTGGTGCGTTTTCTGGGACGGCCCCCGCTGCGTTCCGTCGAACAGCAAGCGATCCGGCTCGCCCGCGACGCCGTACTGGCGGAAGCCGCCCTCGTTTCGATAGAGCCGGTACCCCAGGACCCGACTGCCGCCGGTGTCGAGGCTGTCGCCCCAGGTGACGGTGATGCCGCCCACCTCGCGGGTGCTCTCGTCCGCATCTGGCCGGGCGGGCGGCAGCGGCGGGCCCCCAACGACCACGTTGATGACCGGCGACCAACGCGGTTCAACGGCGTCCAGGAGCGGGTTCTCCAGAATCACGCGGTTGATGCCGGCTACTTTGATCTGGTAGGTCCACCCCACGCGCAACCCGGTCACCGTGACCGTCGTGGTCGTGACCGTTTCGTTCGCGCCCAAAGCGCTGACAAAGCCGACATCCGCGTTCCGGTGCCCGTCGTCCCGGTACACCCAGTACTCAGTGATCGGGGCCCCGCCGTCGCTCGCTGGTTTCACCCAGGAGAGGTGCACCGCGGTCCGATTGTCGATGCTTTGCATGGTTAGGTTCCGGACCGGCGCCGGCTGACTGGCGGACAACGCCACGATGTATGGCTGCGCGAATTCCCCAAAAATGGCGCTGTTTTGTGTGAGCCAAGATTCCGCCGCTACTGTGTAGTACCGATACTCGTTCAGATACTCGTGCCGATACACAAACGGCCCGCAGTCGTCCTCCCCGCCGGTCGTCTTGCCGATCAGGCCCAGTTGGTCCGGGCGCCGCCCAGCGTAGATTGCGTACCCGTAGATGGGGCACGTGGTCACCAGGGTGGGTTTTTGCCATTTGAATGTCGTTGCGGTCTCCGAGCGGTTCACAATTTGAAAGTCCAACGGACGTTTCGGCTGTTCGCACACAAACGCGTTCAGTGTGCTGGCCTCGCCCTCGCCGTACGCGTTGTCCGCTTTGGCCTCGAAACGGTACAAACGGCCCATCGACAAGGGGCTCACCGTGCAGAGACTGTCTGCGGTGTGGCAGACACGCCGAAGATCACTTCCAGCACCGTCGTCCACATATAAATTGTAGTGCAGAGCGTGATCGCCGCCGTCGTCTAGCGGCCGGTCGAAGCGAAACGTGATGCTGGACTGTGCGGTGCTGTTGATACTCAACCCCGGCGCGCTGGGGGGGATACTGGCACCCCAAAAATACGTTTCCAGCGGCTGCAGGTTGAAGCTCAGCGTCATGGTGCTGTGCGCCATGATACCGAACTCGTAGCGTTTGCCTTGCGAAAAGGTCAGGAAGTCGGTCTGCGTTCGGCGACCGCTCCACGCAACGCGCGGCAGTCCGCCGGGGAGACCGGGCTGCCCGGCGTGAGTCGCCTCATTGTAGTACACGACGTAGCGGATAATCTCGTCCCCTCCGTCGTCCAGGGGCGGCAGCCACGCAATCCGGGTACCGCTCCGCTCCGTGCGCGTGAACGTCACGTTGCGAACTGGACTCGGGCGAGCGGCACACAAAATCACCATTTCGTCAGACTGCGGGGAGCTGCCGGCCACGTTCTCCGCTTGCACTTTGAAACGATAGTTCGTGCCGACGAGCACGCCGATCGTGGTGAAATTTAGGACGGGGGCATTGATGTACTTGTCGAAGTAGTCGTTGGCGATCTCCGTGAACACCGGATCGTCGCCGGTGGCACGGAAGAGGCGATACCGCGTGATGGGCGCTCCGTTGTCGTCGGGGCGGAAGAACGAGACCTCGATGCTGGTCCGCGTCCCGTTGGTGCGGATGGGCGCCAGCGGTTTGCTTGGTGCGGTGGCGCAGAGCCCGAGCACGGGCTGGGAGAATGGCCCGTACCCGACCAGGCTCTTTGCGCGCACCTTGAAATAGTAGTCCTGGCCGAGGACGCAATTCTCGACCAAGTGCGACAGCTCCGTGTCGGTTTTCGTTGAAAGAAGCGTGAACTCCGGCGTGCTCCGGGTTGGTTTGTACCACAGCTCGTACAGGTAGACTGGCGCACCAGTGTCGCGCAGGGGAGGTTGCCACTCCACCTTGATGGTGCCTTTCGTGGTTCGGTCAAAAAAGATGTCGATGGTCTCGCTGCTAGGCACCGTCGCCGTCCAGGCGCACACTTCCTCAGACCGGACCAGTGATCGCTGGTCCCCGTTCAGGACAAAGCTGCGGTCGACAGGGGCGATCGAAAAGCAGTAGTGCTTCCCCCGCGCCAAAGAAAGCGGACTGGCCACTTGCGCACCGAGGAGCGTAACCGTCTGGCGCTGGGTGGTGAAGTTCACTATCGTATCCTGAGAGGGACGAGCCAGGTCGATGGTCAGCGGCGAGGGGAAAACTTTCTGAACGTCGGTGCTCTCGTCATCCTCGTCGTCGTAAATGTTCACCATCAGGCTCCGCAGCGACGACGCATTGGTGCCGTTTGTGGTGTTGGAGGAAGATGAGTCGTCGCTTGCAGGTGTTACAGGGAGCGTGAAATGCGGCGTGTCATAGGTGGTGACTGGGGATTCGAAAAAGTTTTCTCGGTAGTAGATGCGGTAGAACAATATGTCGTGCGGAATCGAGGGAGACCGCTCGTTCGGAAGTTTCCATCGAACGGAAATACCGTCCGCGTCAGCCTTGATCACTTCAAGCGGCGGCATTTGACTCGGGGACGCGTCAGCGAGCACATGCAGGGGTGTAGAGAAAACACTGTCACCTGCGAGAGCTGAGCGGCTCCGCACTTTCACTATGTAGGTTTCACCGGGAATAACGCCGGTTAGGGAATGCTCTGTTTTTGCGGGTGCACCACCAGCGACATCGTCCAAATACTCAGCGACATCTGTGTCGTTGACTGACACGACGTACCCCAAAAATGGACAAGCGGTCAGATTCCCGACCGATGGCCCTGCGCTCCATTGGACCTTCACCTCCGACTCTGTGGCGACCAGCACCTGCAGTGCCTGGGGTGCGTTCGGCTGCGGACACAGGTTGACGGTCAGAGGCTCAGACTGGTCCGACTCACCGATCTCCGTGACGACAGAGACCGTGAAACGGAACACATTCGTGCCATTCGTATCGGTGGTGGGCAGGTTCGTTAAAGTGACCACAGGTGTACTGTCGCTGTACACGGGTACGAATGCGGCCGCGGTTTTCAAAAAGCCCGCGTAGTGGTTTTGCTGCCGCACGACGTAGGTCACCAGCGGATAGTTACTCAGGTACGCCGCTGAAACGACCAGCGTCACCGATTGCGTCGACGTGTTGGAGCTCAAAAAAATAGGCGGAAGTGGCGTCGCAGGTCGCGACGCCAGCACCATCGGTAGCGACTTCGGGGAAACCATCCCGACCCCGACGGAGCTGACGGGCCGGACCTGATAAAAGTGCTGCGTGCGACCAGGGAGCAGGTCCCCAACGTCCGGGTCCACAAAAGTGATGCGAGACGCGAGACTATCCGCACTGTGGGTGGCCGTGACCACCGGAACGGTGAAGGGTACCCGCGCGACGCTGCCCCCGTTGTCCCCCTCCACGTAGGCCAGTAACTCGTATTTTCCGCCCTCGGCGAGACGGCAGTCCGAGTAGCGGCGCTGAAAAGTCGCGCGATGCTCGGCGGCAACCGCAGCCATCTTGCATCCAGCGCCCCCCCGACTGTCTTTGCCTTGCTTCAACGCGGTAACGTCGGCTGCTACTGCACTGGCGTCTCGGGCGGCGACCACCAGTGCCCAGACCGAGCCGCCACTTGTAACGAAGTTCAACACGAAGCCGTCCTTCGTCACATCGTCGAGCGAAGGATGGACGTAGAAGAAGTAGTGCGACTGACTCGGAACTGTAGAGACGGGGACACGGAAGATCGCACCATCGTCCAGTCCACTAAAATCCTCCACGTACACGAGCAGGTCGTAAGAGATTCCCCTTTGCAATTGACAATTGCTCAGGCGCACGGACTCCACCGCACCGTCTATCGCGAGCGAACTGCGACGGCAAGCAGGCTCGGGGCGGAAGGTTCCGGTTCCCGATTCAATCTGCGCCTTCAGCGATGCCGTAGTTCCGCTGAAGGTGTCTTGGGAAATACCTATCCAAACAAAACCTGCACTGAGTGGCGCGAATTCTACTAGCGTCCCGTCTTCAGTGATTGCGCCGGTAAGGGTTGGCTCCGAAGAAAATCCATTGGAGGTCGCGTTCTGCGGGGAAGCCGTCGTAGCCACGATGGGGCCAGTGAGTGGAATGCGGAGATCGTCGATTATGTACTGCGCCCCTGTGTTGGTCGGAGTCCCCGTGCCGCTCTCCACATACCAGACAAAGGCGTAGGTCACCTGTTCTGCGAGGGAGCAGCCGGAAGCCGTCAGTGCGGTGCTGATTCCGCCGACGACGTTTGCCGAAGCGAGATTGCACAAACCAGAAGTGGCATCGAGTATCGTCGACGGAGACAGCTTTTTCCCGGGGGCTGTAACGACCGTCCGAAGTGGAAACACGTTTCCGTATGCTTTCCCGCTCGCGGCGGCTGTGATCTGTGTTGCAACGGAACTTGCCCCTGGTAACGATGCCACCTCGTACTTCGTCAGCGAGTTAGACTCTGTAACGCCTACAGCCACGGGCAGTGACTGTCCGGCGCCCTGCACACACACCGCCATGTAATACGTGACACCGGCAGTCAGGTTGCATCCAGGTCCGAAGGTGGCTTCCGAGGAATTCGTCGGACCGAAGCTGCATCGTGGGGTTACCGCTGCTCCACCACTGAGGTCCAGCGTGTCCCCTCCGTCGGTCGTGGGCGTGCACTGCTCGAGGGTGCTTCCCGGAGGATTTATCTGCGCCAAACCGGAAGCCTCGACTAAAATGCCGGTGGCCAAGGCCCCAGCGATGGTGTTGTCGGTCGCCCAGCTGACTGTCACGCTATCCGGAGTTGTTTCGTTCGACGAGGGGAAGCTGGAGAATATTGCCGTGCCGTTGCGGATCTGCTGGACCGAAGCAGTGAGAGAATAGAGAGACCCGTCGTTGAGCCCGAACGAATCCTCAATGTAGACGAAAAGAGTATAGTCGTCCGTAGATGTTGTTGTCAGACCGTCCTCGCTCGGAGGACAGCCAGTCGGCGTGGCAATTTCCGCGGTGGCACCGCCTGTGACCAGAAAGTTGTGGACGCTGCAGGGATCGCCAGCGGCTGCAAACTTCGGAAAGTACGTTGCGCTTGTTGCATTCGGCGAAAAGTCCAGCTTCGTCAATACTGCCCAGAGCCGTCCGGAGGCTTTCGGCTTCACACGAAATTTTACTTGCCCTTGTACCGACAGCGAAGCCGTAAACTCCAGGAAAGGACCGGACGTCGTGCTGGTTGATGCAAGTGCAACATCTACTTCATCTGCTCCGATTAACGGAAGCAGCTCGTTGCTGACGCTTGCTCGCGGCACGGGAACAGGGCCCGCGACACTTCCATCAAAGCGCCCACTTGTGTCCTCCACATAGAAGAACGCTTCGTAAGAGCGGGACCGATCGAGCGTTCTTAGACAATCTGCAGAGAAAAACGTGGAAAGAGTGTTCGTGACGCCCCCAGAAATGCTTACAGCGGTTGCGTGCTGCCGACATGCGTTTCCGCCGACTGCAAACGTGCCTGCGCGCACACGCGCCCCCGTCATAACGCGCAGCAACGCTTTGTCAACGACCGCACCCCAAATAAGCCCGTCGGTCACAGGCTGGACGCTTAATCCCAGAAAACTCGAGTCCGCAGTGCCCACGATTTCTGGCGTTGCCGCAAAGCTGTTGGAGAGCGGGGTCGTGAAGAGCAGAGGCTCGCTCAGAGATCCTTGCAGACTCACGGTGGTAGCTGCGGTTCCCTCCACGTAGGCAAAGGCGGCGTAGCTGGTGTTCCCCGTCAAGTTGCAGCTCGTGAAGTTCAGGCTCTGCGCATACAACAGCGACGCGTCCAAGGCGATGCTCGCAACTAGGCACACAAACACGTCGCTCGTGTCGTCCGCGAGGGCAGCGGCGCGAAGCACGTTCCTGGTAACACACCCAGCGTTGCTCGCGTGCACGATTCCAAAAAACCCAGTGCCGGACAGGGAGGAACTAAATCTCAGCTCCGGCCCATCTGAGCCGACCGAGGAAGGCACGATGTAGGGGCTCTGCGTGAAAAAGTTCGTCGCCGAGGCCAATCCCTCCGGAGCAACAAAAGCGGTCGTCGAAACGGCTGCCCCGTCGTCCGCGGCCGCCGCATCCTCGACGTAGCCGATGATTGCGTACTTGCCGCCGGCGACAAGATCGCAGGGCTGCAGGGTCGTGGTCACCAATTTTCCGGCAGTCCCGGACACGGTGGCCGATCCCGCGCACACCACGTCTCCGGTCGCAAAATCGCTGTGGCCGGAGAACGGCGACTTCACGGCCGTCTTCGCGACTGCCGAGTTCAGAAACGGAGAAGGTAGAACCACGAAGTGCGCTGTCCCCGCTGGACCCGAAGCTGCAAACGACAGTCCTAAAACCGTAGAGTTCGCATCGGGTGACTCCGAGGCGAACGGCGCAACTTCAAAAGCGTTCGATGGCTGCACGTAGAATCGCTGTGCCGGGGACATCGTCCCCGTGCCCGCCGCGCGCCCGGGATCTTCCACGTAGGCGTAAAGCTTGTACTTTGCATCTCCCTTCAAGAACGACGCACAGGCGAACGAGACCGTAACACCGGTACTACCACTGCCCACAAACGTGCTGCCCACCCCGCAGCTGGTAGCGGCGTGGCTCTGGATCTCGTCCGCGGTCGGCGTCGCGGCCTCGTCTTGGAAGACAGCCAGCCAGACTAGCCCCACACTTCGGAGGCCGCGCACAGAAACCGACAGCGTTGTAGCCTTGGTCGCCAGCGCAGGAAGAGCCACGGTGCCCGTGGTGACGGTCGCGGCCTCATTTGCAACCGGCGGCGGAGGTACCAAAAACGCGATGCTGGCGGGGAACGAGTTGCTTGCGGCGCTAATGGAGAAGGAGACCGGCATCGAGAACACGCCATCGCTCTCTACAGAGTCCTGCCCCTCCGCGTACAGCACAATACGGTAGGTGCCCGGTGCCTCCAGAAAGCATCCGTGCAGCGCCAGGGTCACCGGGGTCGCCACCGTGTCCACCGCCAGGGCCGCCGCTCCCGTCTTGGAACACGAGTCCATCGAGCCCAGAAAGAGTTGCTGGCGCCGAGAGGTGGAGGTGCTCGAGATAAAGTCACCAGAAGTTGTAGTTCCTGCCTTGAACAGCTGCGCGGAAAAGGAATTCTCGACATCACGGACGACACCAGCCCACACGCGACCGGGTTTTTCCAGCGCAAAAGTCACGTTTACACTGTGCGAGGACGCGGAGAGAACGGTAGGCTGCGTCTGAAACGAGTTCGACAGCGGGAAAATCAGCTTGGCGTCGCGGTACACACGAAAACTAGCTACGGAGCCGTCCGTTGACGGGTCCCACTCGAGGCTGGCCTGCGCCTCGGAAAACGTAGACACGGTTGGGCCGACGAAGAGGGCTCGCGGAGTTGCGACGTGCGAACCGGTGGAAAAAATACTAGACCGCACGCCTTCCCCCACTGCACTGACGGCAGTGGCGTAGTACTTGTAGCTTTTCCCGAGCTCTACGCCAGCGTGCTCAAAGCGAGTGGCCGAGCCCACGTAGAGCTCCTCAAAAAACCCAAGCCCCGTTTCCCCGTACAGCTTGTATTGGTAGACCGGGGCGCCGCCTGTCACGAACGGAGCATCCCACGCCAGCGTCAACGAGGACGGAGACCTGACATCGGTACTTGCAAGCGGATTTCCCGCACGTTCCCCGTCGAAGAACAAGCGCAAGTTCGTAGGTGCTTCGGGCACGTTTCCGCAGGTGATTGCGGGCAGCGGCTGGAAAATTCCAAACCCGCGGGCGTTGCGCGGACCCACATACAGACTTATCGTCTCCCCAACTGCGCAGGCAACCGTGGCGGTGGTCGAGGTTCCCTCCCACTTCTCGCAGCCACTGTCGTACGCAAAAATCTTGTACGAGGTAATGGGCTGTCCGCCAAGATCGATGGGCGCAAACCAGGATACCTGAAGCGACTCCGCCGACACCCGCGTCAACGACGGCTGCAGCACCGGGTCGGGGACCCTCTCTGCTTTCTTTACCGTGGGCATCGTGAAGGCTCCGCGCCCGATTGCGGTTTCTGCGGCCACGCGAATCCGATACGAACGCCCGGGTGTCAGCACCAAAGCGGGCCCCCCGATGGTAGCCTCGGCTGTCGTTGAACTTAGGATCGCTGCTGTGCGATAAGCGCCACCAAAGCCGTCATCGACTTCCACCACATAGCCTTTCAATGGAAGTTCACTCGTCAGATTGACCGCCGGCGCGTTCCATTGGACCAAGAAAAGTGCGTAAAAGGTTCGCTCCTCGCTATTTGACGTTGCCAACGGCACCACCGTGTTCCCCAAGGGATCGGCTGGAAAAGCGGGCGGGAACGACACGCTCAGCCCTCCGGGTGTGGCCGGGAAATTGCCTGCAAAGCCGGTAGCCTCGTTGGAGTAGGTGCCGTACACCGGCAAAATTTCGTTTTTCGCGGACACTCGGTACGTGTACTGCTCTCCTAGTTGGACCGTTTCGTCCTCGTAGCGGAGCTCGTCTGCCGACGTCAAAGCCAACTCCGTCCACACGCCCTCCGACGCTGCGTACCGGTCGACACGGTAATTGGCGATCGGCGCGCACCCCAACTGATGCGGCTCGTCCCAGGAGAGCTGAAACAAAGTCGGACCCGCGTAGGTTACGTTCAAGTTTGGCACATAGGACGGCTTCAGCGCGACCACGCCCGAGGAAATGTTGCTCTTGGGGCCCTCCCCGATCTGGTTCAGGGCGGACACCTGGGCCCGGTACGTTTTTCCGCAGGTCACATTCTGCACGGTGAACGCGGTGACCATCGGCGTGTTGCTCCCGTCGTACACCTCCAACAGCGTTGGATCCTCGTTCCCCGAGTCCATGTAGAGCTTGTAGCCTGTCACCACAGCGCCGCCACGCAGCGCGCCGTCCAGGACCTCCCAGTCCCACGTGAGACTGGTACCCGTGGACTTGGAAACACCCAGTGTGCGCACCGACCCGGTGGGCGGGCCTCCAACGGTGTGCAGTCGCCGATTGCTCCACCCTCCCAGGCCGGCCTGCGTCTGCGCCGCGACCCGGAATTGGTAGGTGCGACTGGGCTGCAACCCGGCGATGACGATGCGCAGCTCGCTGTTGTCCGGATTCGGGGTCACCTGCGTCCACACGTTGAAATCCGGGTCGATCGCGTACTGGACCACGTAGTTCGTCACGGGACTGCCCCCGTCCAACACGGGGGGCATGTACGAGAGCACGATCGCGTCGTTCTGGATCACGCCCGCCGCATCCCGGGACGGGACGGTGTCCAGCCGGATCGGCTTGCCGGGCAGCGACGCCATGTCTTTGTACAGTGTGTCCGACGGGTTGCCCTTCCCCGCCACCGTGACGGCGGTCACGTAGGCTCGGTAGGTGCGCCGCGCCACCAGGTTTTCCGCGGTGTAGGTCGTGGTGGTTGGCTTGTAGAAGCCATCGTAGACCCGGTAGAACAACCCGCCCAGACCGTCGTCAATCCACAGCTCATACCCCTGAATCGAACTGGGGTCGGTGCTCCCGATCTCCTCCTCCGTGGTGAGTGGGTCCCAGGTGTACTTCAGCGACTTGTCCGACGCAGCCTCGGCCCGTAGGTTTTTCACCTTAGCCGGGATTGAGGCGATCGGCACCTTGAGCCCCACACTCTCGCCGGTGAAGACGCCGAGGCAGTTCTTGCCCATCACCGAGAACTTCGGCGAGGAGGCGCACTTCAGGTTCGAAAACTCTGCAGAAGTGACCGTGGCATCCACCTCCAATGCGACCACACCGTCCTGCAGAACTTGGTAGCGTTCCATAGCGCAGCCCCCGTTGTCCTGCGGTGACGTCCAGCGGAACCGAACCTGCGCCGTGTTCGGCTGCCGACTGGTGGTGGTCAGCCCCGCGTAGCAAACGCTGTCGACCAGGTGCGGTCGTCCGATCTGGCCCGGGAGCTGGATCGTCCGGATCTCGCTCGCCTCGGACAGGTCGGACTCCCCCGCCTGATTGGTGGCCGTCACCTGGAACCGGTACCGCAGGCCCGTGCCGAGCTGGCGACTCGTGTACATCAAGGCGGCCCCGTTGAACACGGGGACCATCGGACCCCCGATTCCGTCGTTCCGGTAGAGCGTGAAGGCCGTGATGTCCGAGCCCCCGTTGCTGGCCGGGAGTTTCCACCGCACGGTGATCAGGTTGCGGGACTGCTCCACCATCTCCGGCGGGTCCATCCGCGACGGCGCCGAGGCCACGAGAAAATCGACGACCACGCTGCTCGGGCTGGGACCGACATCGTTCAGCACCACCGTGCGGTAGCGGTAGGTTTTTCCGACTTCCACGTTCGTGTCCGTCACCTGCGTGACGCTCTGGTCCACCGTCTGCCACAGAAAGAAGGCCCCGGACGCCCCGTCGTCCCGGTAGATTTCGAGACCGGTAATGGGCACCCCTCCATTGTCGGCGGGGAAGAACAAATTCACGGTGATGAAGGGCGTTGGGAAGACCACGGATTTGAAAAGCGTGGGGCGCGGCGGCTGCCCCGGAATACTCGCGACCATCATGGGACCCAGCACATTGGAGGCGGTGCAGCCCACGTTGTTACAAACCTCCAGGTAGAAGTGGTAGCGGCGCCCGGTCATCAAGTTGGCGTATTCGTACTGGTTGCCGTCGTACTTGGAAACGCTGTTCGGGAGACTGGAGCTGCTCGGCAGCCGGTCGACCAGCATGTACTCCCCGCCCAGCCCGTCGTCGCGGTACATAAGAAATTCGGTGAGCGGGATTTTGGACAAGGGCGTGTCGACGCGCCAGCCGACGGTGAGTGCGGACTTGGTGAAGGTCTCGATGAGGAACTGCAGATTGCGCACGGGCTGCGGCTTCAGGGCCGCATAAAACCGCCCGATACGTGAAAGCGGCGACTTCAAGGTGCAGTACTCGACGTTCGGACACAGGGGCGAGTTCTCTGTGCACACTTCCGCGTCCGTTGGGCACACCGGGGGCGGGATCTGCGCGTAGCCCCCCGGGCAGGGACCGTGCGCCTGGATCTGGATCTGGTACACACCGAGGGGGAGAGGAAGGTTGTTCAATTGCCACTGCCCCACGTTTGCGTTGCAGATTTCGATCTTGTTGCTCAGCAGCGACCCATCCACGCCACTGTTGTACAGGATCGTGTACTTCGTGACGAAACCTCCGCCCAAATCCGTGGGCGGATCCCACATGATGTGGATGCTGTTTTCGGTGGTGTTCCGCAACCGCGGCACGCCCGGTGCTTGCGGCGCGACGCCGGCAAGGAACTCGACCACCTCGCTGCGAAAGCTTTCGACGGCGGAGTTGAGAGCGGTGACTTGGTAGCGGTACCGTCGTCCCGGAATGAGCGGGTCGTGCCGGTAGGTTCGAACCGTCACGGACCCGAACCCGTCATACAAGAGCACCGGCGGCTCGTTGTTGCCGGTATTCGCATACAACCGATATCCCGTAGCATTCGCCACTGCGCTCCAAAACACATCAATGGCCGTGGGCGAATCCGGCACCGCGCGAGTAATTTGGGAAGGCGGCGGCGGCGCTGGTACATCCAGTGCTTGCAGCACTCTTGCCGGAGACACGTCGGTAAGCATATTGACTGACTGCTCGACACCATTCAGAGCCAGCACGCGATACTTGCAGCTCGCCGTGGGTCCACAAAACTTTGCCACCGTGCCATCCGTGCAACTTGTCTCACTAGCCGGCAGCTGCATCACGGAATCGATACCCAACAGACAGGGGATCGCTGAGTACGTTTCATTCGGGTCCTCCAAAGTAGCGCGCTGCACGATGTAGCCAGTAACTGGCCGGCCCCCGGTATCACTCGGCGGTTCCCAGCGCAGCGTTAATGAGGTTTTGGTCGCACGCAGAATGGCTGGGGCACTCGGTGCGTAAGGCGCCTTTGCGCACAGCCGACTCAATTTTGCACTGCGCATGGAGGCACCCGCGGCGGACACCGCCTGCAACTGAAAGTCATAGAAGCGTCCCGTGGTACAGCCTCGCAGTGTGTAGAAGGACACGGCGGTCTGCTTGGAGCCGTCCCACACCAACTGGTCGTCCAAGTACAGGTAGAAACCCGTGACCGCAACCTCCGACGGCGGCGCAGTGAACTCGAGCGTGATGCTGCGCTCCGTCGAGGTGGCCACTGCGAGCTCGCAGACGTTTTCGACCAGCCGCCCGCGGTTGGCGCAAATCCGCGGGGTGGTGGGGACACTCGCCGCCACAAATGTGGACATGGGCGAGTACTGGGTCGGCCCGGTACGCACGGTGTTCACAGCATACACGCGATACGTGTACGACTGCGCCGACACAATGTCGAGCTCGTCATTCCAGTAGCGATTGATCAGAAATCCGTCGGAGGTGCGCGCGTTCGCGGCAGCCTCCAACCCGGTTGGTTGCAGGGTCAGGTCCGTCCAGCTGAGCCCGTTATCCAGAGACCGCTCCACACGATAGCTGTACACACGGGAACCGCGATCGTCCATCGGCGCGTTCCATCGCAGAAAAATATTGGACCGAGTGCTTTGGTACGAGGCCGCCACCGGCTTTCCGGGGGCTAGCGGCTTCGCCGCGGCCTGCACAACAAGGGGGATCTTCGTCGGCTCTCCCAACCCGGTGGGGTTGACGCTGTAAAGAACGAATTGAAAGTACTCTCCCACTTTGTCCGCGGCCGGAAGGTAGCTGACCTCCAGAACAGACGAGCGATCCAGACCGTTCCAAATCAAAGTCCCCCCGCGGACGCCATCCATCAGATCAGTCCGCACCGCATACTCAGGAGCGAAGGCATAACGATCCACGGGCTCTAGCGCCGGAGCAGGCGTTGCGGCGAGTGCAGCAGTCACGTTGGCGGGTTCTTGTCCGGAGGTCGTCGGCGAAGATGAAGCCCCAATACTACTCACAGAGGACTGCGCCGAGCTCTGCATGGCGTTGACGGATGCAAGAACCTGCGCACCTGCCTGGTCATACACGTAAACTTTGTAGCCACTCACCCTGTCACTGGAAGTCCCGTCGTCTGATAGAGGCGCTCTCCAGCGAACGAGGATTCTTTCGGGCGACTGCAATAAAATGGAATCCAACTGCGGGTCGTACCAGCGAGGCGCTGAAGCTCGGGAAGCAGGAACCGCCGTGAGCCGTTCCGAGCGAGGCCCCGGTCCGGCAGAATTCACTGCAGCAACGCTGAAAAAGAACGTATCGTGCGGCGTGAGCCCTGATATGGTGAGCGACAGACTCTGTCCACTAGGCGTGTCGTGGAAAGTTTCCTGACCGAAGAAGCCAGTCTGATTCCGACCCAGCTGGTACACGCGGTAGGTCGTCAACGGAGTGCTGCCCGTGTCCAAAACGGCATCCCACGTCAACGTGACCGTGGTATTGTCCTGCAAGCCAAACGGATCGCGGCGAAAATTCGCGGGTGCTGCGGTTGGAGGATCAAAGTCGCAGCAAAGCGCGGCCGAAGCGTCGGAAACGGCGGACCAGCCGACGCGCGTGGCGAACTTGACCTCGAAGCTGTACGTTCGCCCGGGGACCAAATCGTACAGAGTCACGTTTTTCGGCTCCGTAATGCTACCCTGGAGCGCTACCGCGGGCAGCTTGTGCTCCACTATCTCTTCCCGGCGAATCAGCTCGTAGTACAGCACTGGGGTGTTCGCCATGGTCGTCGGTGGCGTCAACAGCAGCATCATCATCCCGCTGCGTGGGTCCGCACCCTGCAATAACGGGGGCACCGGTTTACTTGGTAGCGTCGTTGGTTGCACCAAGATTTCGAAGGGATACGAAGACGCATAGACATTGCGCGACACGATGTAGTACGCATACACCGTCTGCGGATCTGTAGCACCCGTGTCCGTCCAGGAGAAAGGGTCAAGTGCTCCTGACGTCCCAGTTTCATAGACGAGCTCCACCCCCGTCTGCAAAGTCGTTGCAGCATCGCCATCCACAAAAATCTCCTGCATCATGTTGTTATCTTCTGCGGTGCTCGTTGACGTCGACGGCGTGGCGCCGACTCTCCGGTAGATGCGATACCCGGTAATCGGCAGGCCACCATCATCTTTGGGCGGTAGCCAGCGAAGCAGCACGGGCGTGATCGCAGCGGCTCCGGGTGGTGCACTTGCTTCCAGAGCGGCTGACTGTGCTGGTGTCAAATCTCGATAGAAAGCATCTGGCACGCCCGGACGATCGTAGACAAGCAGCGCGCGCGGGAAATCGTCTAGGCGCCGCTTCGAATGGTAGAACGCGCCCTCTGGAACTAGTTGGCGTCGCATCCCACACTGTTCGCACGTCCATTCGAGCTTCAATGCGGCTTCTCCTACAATCTCCCGGTAGTACAGCTGAATTGCGTACAGTCGGTTTTGTGCCAAGTAGAGAGAAAATGACCCGGAAGTTGCGGAAGATGTACTACTGGTCGAAGATGAATGCGTTGCGCCTAATGAGCTTGCCTCCCCGGAGGCCCCCTCGAGCACATAAGTTGCAGCGGGTTCACCGGAAGGCGAGATGGTTTCCTCGAGCAGCAAGCTGCCGTAGCTCGTGCTTCCGGTCTTGGCCGCCAGGAGCTCCGGACGCAGTGCCTGCAGCCGCTTCCGGCGCTCTGCCGTCGCGGAAAGCGTGTCGGAATTAAAGACCATTTCGTGATCCACCCAGACTTTCACGTCGTCGTTGTAAGTCACAAAAAATTGGTACATGCCCTCCCCCGGGGCTCGAAGAAACCCGCTCCACGAGGCAGTTACGTAGTCCTCGGCTTCACCGCTGACCAGGCCGTTCCCGAAGTGGAAGTTGACCTGCTTGTCCACGACCGCGCTGGTGGGAACGCCGAGCCGCTGTACGTTGTTGTAGTACAAAGCGTTGAGTCCGCCGCGCTGCACCGAAAAACACTCCACGGAGTACCGCCCAACGGGCGCCTCGCTGGAGACGAACACGTTCAGCTCGAAGAACTCTTCACCGGTGGACTGCGACCGGGTTGACTCGATGGGCTGCACCTCCAGCGGCGACAGCGCCTCCCCCGGCCCCGACGACTCGCACACCAGCATCCGCAACCCCGCGCTGAGCATCATCCGGTTTCTGAGCTCGTCCCGCGGCACAAACACGATTTTGTTCGGCGTCGCGCGCTGCACCTCCGTCGGGAAGGAGCTGGTCGCAAAGTTGTAGGCCAAATCGTCCAGGGCCACGTCGTCCGCAGCCCCGCCGTGGGCGGACGTCAAAGGCTTGCGCGGCCTGACCGGCACGTAAAAGGGAACCGTGCTCGTGGGCACCCCATCCACGTACACGAAGAAGTCGTACGTTTTGGCCAGCGTGATCAGGTAGGTGCAGGCGAACACGCCGCGCCCCTCGTTCGTGCACTGGAACTCCACGCGGCTGGTGTTTACGACGGTGGTGGCGGGTACGTCGGTGATCACGTCCTCGTTCACGTCCCGCAGCGTCACGTTGAAGTACCCGCGTTCGTTCGCGGTCGTGCCGGCGTCGAGGTTCGGGCCTGCAACCAGGCTCTGGGGGGGCGATATGGGCCCGGTGCGGATGGTCAACCGCGGCACGTTGGCCAGCGTCGTTCCGTTGATCTGCACGCGGAGAGGAATCTGCGGCCCGGAGGCCCGCGGGGAGAACTCCAGGATGTACACGCCGCCTATCTGCGGGTGGCGCTTCACGGCAACGAGGGTCTTCCGCTGAGGCGTCTCCAGCTCCGCGGAGATCGGCACGGGGGTGTCAAAAGAGGCGCGCAGGTTGCCATATTTGTCTTTGGTGTGCAGGTATGCCACGTTCTTCGTGCCCGCCGTCGCGAAAACCAGGTCGATCGAGCACTCCTCTGTTCCTTCCACGAGCGCCGGGCCGCCCGACTGGCCGGGTGCGCACACCAACGTGTGATCCGCGTGCGGCTCCGCCGGCGCCACAAGAATCGTTTGGTCGCGAAAGATACTCAAGGGGTGCAGTAGCGCGGACACGGGCACGACGCTGTCCTGGTAGGCGGTACTGGACCAAAACAGCCGAATGTAGGCTGTGCCGATGCCGTGTTCGTACCGAATTCGGATCTCCACCTCGCGGTTTGCTTGCAGCTCTACGCGGCCCTGGAGTTCTTCGTTGCCGATGTCATCTTCCACGGAGGCTGTTTTCGTCCCGCTGCGGTTTATGACGACTTGACCGTCAATCCTGACCTCGCAGTCGCCGTCGGTCTCCACGCGGATCGTGTGCATTCCGCTTGACACCGGCAGCAGAAACCCACTCCACTCCGCGGAGAAATGGTCCGCTGGGGCGCCCTCCACGGGCAGGTCCGGCCACACGAAGTCCACCTGGTTATCCACGCGCGTAAAGAAGTCCGTCGCCTCCCCGACATGTCCATCATCAGCGTTGCGCTTGTCGGCATTGACACCGGCGAGCCCGGGAAGAGCCCTTGTTCGGACCAAGGATTGGAAGCGTGGCGCGCGGTAGTAGCATGCGATCAACCCGCCTTCCGTCCGCAGCTCCTCTTTCAGGCTATACTCCCCGCGTTTGTGAAGATTCAGCACCGTGTAGTACTGCTTTTGTACGAAGTTCCAGTACGCGTGGGTCGCTAGCACCTCATCGTCGAGCGATCTGGTGCTCGACCCTGTGGTAAGCGTCAGCTTCCGTGCGCTGCCGTAGAGCAAAAATCCGGGTTGCGGCAGCGGGTTGCTGAACCGGTCTTTGACGTCGCAGGAGATAATCGTCGGGGTGCCCGCAATGAAGGTCGACGGAAAAGAGCAGGCGCTTCCGTTGGCGGCCTCTTTCGTCGGCAGCACCACCAGGTCCTGAAACGGCGAGCCCAGTACGTGCACGCCATTGGCACTCACCACCAGAGTCGAGTTGCGGGTGGCGCGCTCGGCGCGCGCATCCACGCCGTAGGTGCCATCGCCGTTATTTTCGTAGAAGAGACTCAGCCCGTCCATGGATGCGTGGAAAGAGGTAATATCCGCGGCCGTAACGTTCGGCAGCGAATTCCCAAATCGATCGCGCCATTGCAAAATGATCCGCCGCTCGACACCGGCTTCGAAGGTCCCGGGAACCGAAAGGAACCGCGAATTCTGCGGCGCGATAGCCGATGGAACAAGTTTGATGGGGAACGGACCGCGAATCCGAACTGTTTTGTTCAGCAGACCAGATTTTGAAATGGTCGACACCTCGGTCCCGTTCACCGTCACAGAAATAACGCGCTCGCCGCTGACAAACGTCGGCACGAGCCGGCATTCGTACACACCGCGCAAGCCGTCGCAAGGCTGCTGGCCGCCCGGCGAGTTGCAACCGCGGTAGCGATCGCACCGCGCCTCATCGAATTCGTTCGACGCGGGGAAAGAGATGGAGCGGATCAGGGGAACAAACGAAGGCTGCACCGGCGACGTCAACGCATTTCCAAACGCGTCTCGCAACTGCACTAGCAAGCGCAGCTCGTTTCCGACCGTAAAGTTGGTTGGCACCTGCTCCACGCGGCTCTTCTTCCCCTGCGGGAGTTCGAAGGTGCTCTTCGGGCCGGTCGTCGAGGTGTAGCCGCGCACGCGGAACGGGCTGCCTCGAATGGGCTCGTTATTCACGTTCACAAAAAGGTCGTAATATCCTTCTCGGAACGCACGGTACGTCACCAGGTACGTCCCCGGGATCGCGTTCTCTGCGTCGTACGCCACTTTTCCCTCGAACCGAGATTCAAACTCCGCCTCGAGCAGGTCCTGGTCGTCTGCCGTTTCCGGAAAACCCGGACTCCAAGCCACCGGCTCCAGCCACTGCAGTGCGGCGTTCACGTGCAAGAACGGGTCGTTCAGCGCATTGTGGTCTTGGTCTCGCACGTGGACGGCGAAAGAACCTTCTTGGTTGACCACGAACTCAGCAACGCCGTGTCCGGACGCGATCGAGTTACTGGCGCGGTACGTCCCCGGCGAGGCGACCAGCGAAAACGGACTGCCCGCCAGCGGCTCCGGCACGCCGTCTGCGGTCGTGGCTAGGCTCACGTGCACCTGGTACTGACCCGCAACTTGGAGCGAGTAGAAGCACACGTACAATCCGTCCCGCGAGGTCTGGTTCACGGGGAGAGAAGTTTTCTCCACCACGACCACATCACCATCCTTTGTTTTCGCACTGCTGGTGGCGTCCCGCGCGACCAATTCGAACTTCACCGTGTACGCGTCCGTCTCCGTTAAAATGTTGTTCCCCGCGGCGTCTTTGGCTTGCAGGTAGAAGCGGTTCTCCCTCCCGGTGTGCGTGAAGAAGAGGCCGTCGCCGTAGGCGTGGGTGCGCTTCCCGCTGGTCGCTCCCTGCGTGACCGTGATGTAACCCGGGAAGCCCTGGGTGAAGCTCGCGCGGAACAGCCGGTCCGGCGGGATGACCTGCTTCGCCGTGCTGAACGAGGAGTAACGGAGCAGGACCCGGGCGTTGCCGTCCCGCTCCTTGTACTCGAACACGATCGGGATGAACTCGTTTGCGCGCAGCATAATTTTCCCCGCGAGCTCGTCTCCGCCGCCGGTGCGGGACCACTTGTCGAAAAGCAGTTCCTCGCCCAGCGCGAGCCGGGCCGTGTCGTCGGCAATGGCGAAGAAAGTGTACTCCTCGGTAAACTCCGGCAGGAGGTACCCGGACCAGCGCACCGTGACGAAGTCGGCGGCGTTCGCCACCAGGGAACCCTCCTGGAAGTCGTAGTCCAGCAGCGCCTCCTGCCGGGTGTCCGACGGTTGCCCGTAGAACCACTGGTTGTCCCAGTACTGACCCAACAGGCCTCCCACCTCCAAGGTCTGCACGTTCACCGTGAACACCCCCTGTGTGTGCAGGGTCAACGAGAAATCGTACACGCCGTCCCCGCGGTACTCGGGCTTCAGGCAGCACAGCGGCTCCGTCAACAGGTCGTCCTCGCGGAACAGCGGGTGCGTCTCCGTCACTCGGAGACACAGCACCCCCGTTTTGTCCTTTTCGCACACATTCTGCACGGACAGAACAAAGGGCCGCTCCACCGCGTTAGGGCCGGTTTCGTCCACGCGCGGCTGCACGGCCAGTGCGCCGGTTGAAGAACTGGCGTCGGGCGCCACCGCTTGCATCCGAATGCTGAACTGCTCGCCGCTGACAACGGTCTGCGGGAACGCGGTCGGGTAGCTGTGCGGTACTTGCAGCAGGTCCCTCAAACGCACGCTCGCCTCGATGGGCCTCGAGGTGCCCACCTTGTTGATGGCAAACACCCGGTAGGTGTACTTGGTGCGCAACGACAGCCCCTTGCGGTCGACGTGGAACACGTCCGGCGTGGTTGTCCCGTTGTAGACGACCCGCCAGCCGGGTCTGGCTGTGGTATTCGTCGCGTTGTTCGACAGCTGAAGATCTTCAGCGTCGTCGGTTGCCTTCTCCAAAACCGCAAATCCCATCAAGGCCGTGCCACCGAGGTCTCGGGGCAGCGGCCACGTGATGCGGAGGTCGTGTGACCCGAGTTTCAACAATGTGGGTTTTTGCTTTTCGGGCAGCGGCTCGTCGTAGTACCAGGGAGCTTCGTCCGGCACCGTGGCCTCCCCCGTGATCTCGTCGTACCCGGCAAACACGGGAACGCTGCTGGCGAGGTAGGTGGCCAGACTGGAGCCGGGGCCCAAGGTGGCCGCGTTTGCGTCCAACACGGCGAACGTCTGGAACCTGTAGTACGCATCCGGCGTGAGGCCAGTCATGCTAATCTGATTGTCGCAATCCCCCAAGTACACCTCTGTCGCCAGCGGACCCCCCGCGCCATCGTCCATGAGAACCTGACAGCCTTCGTAGTTTCCCTTGCCGTACTTTGCAAAGGATTCCGGACGGGTGACCAGAAGGTGGATTTCGCCGGGCCTACTATACACTAGGGTGGGCGGCTCGACCTCCCCAGCCGATGTTGGTGTGAAATCTGGAATGAGATTTTCCGCCACGCGGCCCCCGCCGATCGGGTCCATCACCGCGTTGTACAACGACGGAACCCTGGCGGTTTGCGCTCCGCCGCTTGACGTAGAAGAAGTTGTACCCGAAGTTGTTCGCGCCGTCGCTGCGGAACTGGTGCTTGCTGCAGAAGAAGCACTTGACGTTGTTGAGCCAGACATAGTACTCGAAGAACTGGTCGAGGAAGACGACGACGAACTGGATGAAGAACTGTGATAGGATCCCAGGGCCATTAGCCACGTGCTTGCGGAATACAAGAGAAAATTTAGAGCGACTGAAGCTGCTGTAGTTCCTCGGACAGTCTTCCTTCGCCCTCCACGTCCACCAGTCCCAGCTGCAATGCTATGTAATTTTTTCGGCTTGGCAGGGAGAAAAAATCTAGAAAAATGCGTTATTGTTGCGATGTGGAGCAACACGTCCCATGCAAACCACGACGACCACGTTGTGCCGTCGTTTGCAGCATATGCTTTTTTCCTTTGGCGTGGCGGTTGCCGCTTAGCTTTGCAGCTCGAGTCGCTAATATCGCTATCGCCGACATGCACATCCTGCGTTTCCAAAGGAGCCGCAACCGCAGGCTGGACCTCCGCACGGCGGCCCGCAGACTGCCACCGGCCGCAGGCTTTATCTGCATGAGCTTGCACGTCCTCCGCACAGTTGCATAGCAGTGCCTTCTTGGTCTTGCCACACAATGTCGGTCCCGCGCCACAAACATCCGTTGCGTCGCGTTGCTCTTTATCCTCTGCTGCTGCTGCTGCGCCGCCAACTGAGGAGCCACCAATGACTCCGTACGCGTTCGCCGTATTTGCGACCCGAATAGTAGCCGCGCGGCCACTTTTTGCCGCCTCCACCTGGGTGTTCTTTGTGCACCCAGCGACCCATGATCGGCGAGGCCTCTCCTCCTCTTCCGGGCGGCGCTGGCTGGGGTTTTCTCCTCGTTCAGCTGGAGCCGCAGCCTTTTTCGCAGTTTCGGCCTGAAGCCTCCGAGCTGCAGCTGATCTTGCGACGAGGACCCTTGTTCTGATGACATCTTCACGTGGAGAGGAAATAACTCGGTGCACAACTCTGCGTGCATCAATGTTGTTGCTCGTCCTGAGGAAGCGTGTGCTTTTTCTTGTCGGGTCGTACTTTCCTCTACATCTACTCCTGGAACCGTACTGTTCCATGGTTCGGGCTCCGGTTCTGCTGCATCCGGCTCGGGTTCTGCGAAGGGTTGCAACCTCTCGGGAATCGTCATCTCGTCGTCGCTCTCCTCCGAATCGCTCGTCTCGTCCCAATCGTTGTACTCGCCTTGTAGTTCCGCGCTCTGCTGTTCTTCGTCCCCGCCTCGTTCGTCCTCGCGCGGGGGTTCGTCCATGAAGAGAACTTCGTTGCGGCCTGGCATGGGCGGCAGCTCCCATATCCGCTGCCGTCGCGGCCCTCCGTGCAAAAAAGAAAAGGTCTGGTCGTCGGCAGCATGATAAGGGCTCCTCCACCACGTAGCCGGAACGGTATTCTGAGCGAAGCTGCCGTTTGCACCGCTTTGCTGCGAAATGGATTCTGGTGCGTCGCGGCTTGCGGGACGACCGGCGTTCATCCCTGCATTTCGGGGGCAGCGGTGATGAAAAACGTCCTCTGGACGACCCGGGAACCGATGCTCGACGCTTACTGCCTTTCCCTGTTCCGTTTCTGGTGTTGGCTGAAGATTGCAGTTCGCTGCCACACTGTGACTCTTGCCCGTCGCCGCTTGTTCCACGGCGTCGCGCTGGCTGCTGGGTGACGAGGGTGTGGCCTGCCCGGTGCTGAATATTGCCATTCGCTCCTGGCTGCTGAATATTGCCACTGGCGCTGTTCGGGTTCGGCCGGATGACGAGGGCGTCGTCATTTCCCACACAAGAGCGAATCTCTGATCGCTTCCTTGCCCACGTCGGACCTGCATATCTGCACCTGCGACGTGGTTCGAGAGCATGTGTACAACCGGGCGGCGTCGCTCGTTGCGAGCACCGCCGCACGTTTCGTATTGCTTGTCCGCGGCAGTTGAAGTTGAAGTTGATCTGTCCCCCTCCTCCTGCTGAATATTCGTCATTCGTCCAAGAGGCGACTGGGGACATGTCGTTGGCATCGCGTGTTTTGTAGCACCGCCGCCGTTATTTTCACGAGCGGCGAGGTAAGGTCTCCTTCTCCATCACTGCGCATGCATCAATAAACGCCAAGCTTGCAGTATCGTAAGCTGTGGCGCAGATCACGCACTAGAAGATTTCCGCGATAGCTTCCACCCGCCCGTGAATCTTCGTGATAACTTACTTCATCAAACCACTTCCCCGAACGGTCGTTCGTCGTCAAGATCGAGGTTCTGTTTTGCTTCTCCCTGTAGTGCGTCTGCGTGCGTCGAAACGCGGAAGGGATGCTTGTAGGAAGTTGACAAAAAACATACAACTCGGGTATAAAAATATGCAAACGAGACAAGTAAAGGTTTTCCCCAACAGTAGTGTACAATATCTTGTTCAACACTTCAAAGTAGTTACATGCAGGAATTCGCTGCCAAGCAAAACTGAAGCAAAAATCTCCCGACTCTATGAAGCTCGCTAAAGCTTTACTTCCAATTCAAGATGAAATAGAAATAGAAATCACAGCAATGGACATATAAAATCAAGGAAACGACGACACCGATGAACGAAGTGAACGAAAGAACGAGTGCCGCTCAAGCGTGAGTGAAGAAATGCAGTAAAATACTTACCGCAAATCCTTAATATTTCCTCACTGCTCGTCCTGTTCCTGACTCAACCTAATTGCCACTTCAGAGCGACGTGAGACGCACACAAACTACGACATCTTCGTCACCCTAAGCAACTGCAACAAGAATATCTGGTACAATTTTGCCTTCAGCCGACCAGAAGTGGAACAGAAGAGATAAAGAAATGAAAATCCGGCTGGCTGGTGCTGGTGCTAGCGCTTGCGCTCCGACGTAATTCGCTGTTCATTATTTGTAAATCCATTTACAGCGCGCTACAACTACTCATCTGGATCTGCTGAAGCTAGTGCCACTCGTCCAGCAAGATCCGCGGGAAAAGAAGACATTAGCAAAAGCGTTCTCAGGACTCGCTTCGCGTTTTGATATCGTAGTCGTTCGTTAGCATGATGCGCCATCCCCTGTTCGCTACGTTTTCATCACTTCGAGACGCGGAAAAAAAGCGCAGTTCCGCGCTGTCAAGCACCATCTCCACAGGGGCCTTCCATGTCGGCTTCGTTCGCATGACGCCTGCCAGTAGTACGACCGGTCGCCATTTTCTCCAGAAACGAGTGGCGCTTCGGCTTTTTTCCAAATACGCAACGGTTCACGTAGGCAGCGACGGCCCCGCGGGTTTTGAACCGTTCCGGCTTCCGCAAAACGTCGTCGCGAAACTTCGTGCAGTGTCCCATGCAGGGTTCACTACACGCAGGCTCTCCGATGCAGCCGCAGGCTTGCTCACAGATTGTGAGCGGGCAGGAAGAGTCGCTCGCGGTCACGCAATTGATGAACTCTCCCCCAGCCCCGGTCGGATGTAGGCTTCCGCACGTGCTCATGCAGTTGTGCATCTGGGTGGCGTAATTTTGGCATGCGACGGAAAGAGCACCCCCACCACAAAAGTCCGTGGCGAACTGCACCGGCGCCGGTGTGCATCTCCGTAGCTCTTTGTTGAACTGGGGGTAGTCGAAACACGTACTGCAATCATCCCCAGGCTGAGGATGAGGTGGATTGCGTTGAAACGATTGTAACGATTGAGTTTAATTGCAAAGCCAGGCAAGAACACCTACTACATCGGAATAACGATCAAGACTTCTTTTTCAAGACATTCATTACGTCATTCATTCTTTGTTGAAAAACGGTGCTTACCAGACAAAAGTTCAGGGATTCGCAGAATGTTTCGTTGTCCGCACACGATGACAAAGCTCGGCCGGAAACCGCTATCCCGCACGACGTTGGATCAACGACACAAAATGTCAAGATTCCGGCCACGGCACGCGTCCTCCTCATCAAAGCCATCGGTTCAACAGAAACAGAGCCTCGGCCTTGGTGGCCGAGGTGGGTCTTTTAGATAAGTACCTACTTCGAATAAGGACCGAATTCAAACAGACTGAATGCCGGCATGTAGTATCGCATGGTACATATGGATATGCTGTGCGGTCGTCGCTATGCATTTGCAGATCAGATCAGAATATTACGGCTCGGCTCGGCTGTCGGCGAGTGGCGAGTGGTGGGGCGGTCCAGAACTTTAAGAGTACAGCTGGAGCTTTCATGAGCTAAAACTTGACCACGCTTACTGCTATAGTAGAGGCGGCTAACGATGAGGGCGGCGGCGTTCCAGAATGAGGGCGGCTAACGATGAGGGCGGCGGCTAACGATGAGGGCGGCTTACTGCTATAGTAGAGGTGTCGGGCGGCGTTCCAGAACTTTAAGAGTGCAGCTGGGGCTATTCATGAGCTATAACTTGACCACGCATACTAATTTCTAGTAGAGGCGGCTAACAGCGAACTTGTCCTCCCCCCGCGATAATACAAAGCCCCGGCCTGAAACTCATGCTTACTGGGTGGGGCAGGGAAATTTAGGCCATAAACCCGACAAGGACGCTGAAAGTCTTATACTTGGCCAACGAAATAACTTCACGCGCCTGACGGGAGCACCACCGCTTTAACCCTAAAACCCTGTCTAAGTTATCAGTCACTTACAACTATTTGGTCCTAGTATGCAAGTTCCTAACTACGGCATGCAATATCACCTCGGCCTGGATCAGAAATTTTCATTTTTTCATTTTCCGAATTAGTCACCCTGAACCCCTCTATCAAACTTCCCTAGTGCACCAAGACCGCCCGGCCCACACGGGCGCTTCTTTCCCCAAGTGGAGATATACTCGTGCACAGGTGGGGACGCTCTTGGCTACACTGGACTCGCCGATAGGAATTTACGATCTACGTGCTTCTGAACCTTTTAGAAACGGGAACGCTGGAACGGCTTGAGCTTCTTGCTTCACGTAAAAATTTACCACCTTCTTCTTTCTTTTGGCCGAGGTGTCTAGGGCGCTACTAGTGCCAACGATCCGCACGAAGGTCTTTGCGCTACGAATATTTGTAGGTCGAAGATGGGCGCTACGCGGAATGTACTACACGAGCAGGCAATGTGACGGCCACGGCACCGCAGTCACGAAGACCGCCATACAAAACTAACTATCCTCGTCATGAGGCTTCCCGCGAACGTCACGCCTGTCGCCGCATCTGCTGGCGCAACAGCAGTGCGAGGGATGGACTATTCTATACCCGCAGGCAACATGCTACACATCCCTGTTTAACTAACCCGGTCGGTGTGTTAGTTTTTTATGTGTTAATTCCTGGCACACCAGAAGCGCTAGTAAAAAGAACTCATAGACTTTTTCTGTTTTGAACACCGCCAGGCTATTTTACTACTACTTCCTACTCCAGCTCTTATCTTACTAACTTTTACAGCTACTAACGCCGCCCGCTTTGCCCTTTTCTTGTTTTCTCTTCACACACACTTGACAGAGATTTTTTCCACCAGACAACCCTGCTGCCCACAGCTTCATCATCTTCACAGTTGCAGCATAGCCATGCTGCCGGTGTTCGTCTCGGCATCTGGTCCTGCGGGGTCCATGAAATGGACGTCGTTGCCGGCTGCTTTGACCCTCAGGCCCGGCATGTAGTCCTCCCGGCCCGCAACAGGGCGAGGCACTCATCTGCGGCAACTTCCCAACATCGTCAGTGGCACTTCCGCCCCGAGGACCCGCTAGTCGCCCGCACCCGTGCGGCCCGCATCGGCCGCCACCACCACATCCTGGTCGCCCGCTGGGCTAGCACGCGTTGTATTCGTACATTGGCGTCTGCAGTTGCGCCGTTGCCTCGGGTTGCGCCCGGTGTGGTTCTGCGTTGGCGGCTGTGCCGCCGGGTGTCGTGTGTGTGAGCATCTTGACCTTGAAGGTCGCGCCGCTGCTGTCGTTGCCGTAATCGGCCGCTGGCTGCATCACCAAGTCTGCCTGTCCCCCTGGGTTTCCTTATGTTACCGTTTGGTATGCTCGCACACGTTGGTGCGGCGGTACAACAGTTTTTTGGAGAGAGACTCAAGAAACCCCCAGTGATAGATAGATAGAGCTGGACGGACTAGTGGACAGAGAAAAGAAGAAAGAGCGCTATAGTGGGCCACTACCTGTACTTAAAAATAAAAAAACGTTGATAAAAAGTAAGGGAAAAAGGACATCCTACGACCTTGACTGAGAACTAGCGTTTTTGTTACAGTTATACTCGTGAGCGAAAACTTTCAGTGCCATACACGACCAACAAGGTTTCACTGCGAACACAACTTTCAAGCTTTGCAATCGCATTTGCCCGTCAGACGCGGTACCGAGTTTCACTTTGCCACCACAGCAATCGCCTCCATTTCGTCATTGGCGTTGCGTCACTTTTCCACATTTATCCACCACACATTTCAACCTGGCCCAAGTACAGGCCTGTTCTTGCAACAAGCAACAGCAAGTACAAGAAGTCGTCGAGACCAGAGCCACAAATAAAGTTCCGTTGAAGTAGCTAATTCATCTCCTTCCACTTTGTTCACAACGTCCGTGCATCGTGCACCTCATGATTCCATGATGGATCACGAGCCGAAGTAAACGTCGATTCTTTGGATGTAAACGCAGGATGTAAACGCAGGTCAGAGATCAAGAAAGTCAAACGCAAACGCATTGAAATAGAGCTTTCTCTTTTGCAATTTGCAAGTCTAAATGATAAAGTCAGTCTAACTAAGTTCTCAGCGCTCAACGAACTGCTAAAAAAAAGGACAGCAAGCACAAGCAAGCTTCAGCTATTGGCTTTTGAATTAACGCGGTATCTTTTTCGCGATGGTTCACCTCTGCGTCGCTTTTTTGTTTCCGCGCCAAAATTCCGCCCGCAGGGCAGATCATCGATCAATCCGGAGGACAACATCATCAAGAATCGTTTAGATGTTTTGAAGCGCCAGCAGACTGGATGCCACCTTCTTGCCTGCGTTTCGCACCTTATTCCGAGTCGACTTTCCAGTATCCTGCTCTCCGCCAGCACCGCTTGGGCTTAATGGTTCCGAGGGAAGAGTCGACGTGATACCTTTCTCACCCCATGAGGTCACACACCCTCGCGGAACCAGCAAGCCAACGCGCGGATGCAAGTCAATTACTTCCTGGAGCATGGCCTGCGCTACACTATCGACCTTGAAGCTTTCCCGGACCAAGTTGCGGACGGAGGTACGAAGTGACTGTTTGATAAACATTTGAATTTTTTCAAGTATGTAGTTTCAATGACTTTCTTCTGCGGATTTTTTCGTGAGTGCAGCAGCAGCTGTACACAGTACTATACTTCTGACCCCTTTGATGACATAAAACAGCCCAAGAATACAGATCGCGAACAAGAAAAGTACATACTTACAAAACGAAAAAGCAACGTACGTCCTCAATGTCCTGACAGTGGTGATCGACTTGCTTCACTGTGGCCTCCGTGTCCGTGACGAGCTGCTTCATTTCATTTGATCTTTGCTCCTGGTAATCGACTTCCGAATCGAGGTGTTTCTTGCACTCCAGCATGAGATGCCGCGCGAACCTGGGCTCCACGTTAAACTGCTGTTCCAAATCTAGGACGTCGATGCGCATCCGCAGTCGCTGTCTCTCCCGCTCGGCCTTGGACATTTTCTCTTCGTCCTGGAAAATCATTTTCGCTAGCACCGCCGCGTCCGCCAAGCTCATCTTCTTGCTCGCGAGCGAGCCACTCATCATGGTCGCGTCCTTCTCCTTGTTCTTCGCGGCGATGGCCACCATGGCGTCGGTGACGGTTCTCTCTGCTTTTGCGGTGGCTCCCGGGTCGCGGTCGGGTTCGTCGTCCTTCTTCTTTGTCTCCGCCCCGCCGGGCTTTTTCTCCGCTTCCTCGTCCCGCTGCCGTTTTCTTCTTGTGCGGGGGGATTCCTGCGTGGCTGCGCTATCTTGTTTGCTCTCGTACGCGGCCCGTTGTGCGAGTCGCGTCTCCGTTCGCTGCGCCAACACTGTCTTACGACCGTAGGCGAGAGCCTCTCCCGATTCGGTGCAGAAGTCCTCGTAAATCTCCTCGACGCTCTTCACGCCCTTGAAAAGCTTCTCCATCTCGCTGTTCAGAATCCCGAGCTGCAGATACGCACGCCGCTGCAACAGCCAGTCCACGTTCCAGTTCAGCTCCCCTATGAACTCACCCGCTTGCGCAAAAACACCTGTAGTACAATATTGGTTTGGGGAATTAATTCTCGCACTCTCCGAAAATTAGTTTCATCTTCTGGCGTTTTCTGCATCCGCAAGGTTGTCGAGGCCTGAATTATCGTAAATAAACACAAACAGCACATAGCGACAGCCGCTCCACAACTAGCAGCGCAACATGAGCCACAAGGCCGCAGGACCTGGCGGATCGACTGATGACATAATTGACACGTCGGCTGTAAAAACAGTTAACAGACTACTTCTACCTTTTGCGTCTCCGACCCGCGACTTGAGTTCTGCGTAATGATCGAAGATGAGCGCAATGAGCAGGTTGAGCAGAATAAAGGTCATGATAATCATGAAGCTCCAGAACCAAAGCGTCGCGGTGATCGGACTCAAATCAAACATCTCGTTGAAGTCGAACTCGCCTAGGATCGCCAGAAAGGAGGTGTTCACAGCCTTCGATGTCGTGGACCAGTCCTCCAATAAACTCCCGAACAGGGCATGGCCGCCGAGCGCGTAGGAAACGAAGACGACGAAAAAGATGAGCAGGTAATGTACCATGTCCACCACACTGAGGTAGAGCGCGGATGACAGTACCGCGAGCCGGGGCTGTCCCTGGAAGGCCTTGAAGAAACGCATCATCAGGATCAGCGTGTACCAAAACAGCAGATTGTACTGGATCCTGTGCGGTTTAATGACTTTTGGTTTTGTCTCCTGAAACAGAAACATCATCGTCCCTCATATAAAAAGCTTATTTGGAACATTAAAATTACCCTTTGGTTACACATCTATCAACAAAAAATGCACAGCACACTTTGCGGTAAAAGGAGCTGCAAAAAAGGTTGTGAACAATACCATTGCTGGTCGGCCAAATCTTATCCCACGAAAAAACTGTTTCACTGTGATGATTTTGCAAAATCCGCATCACAAGTTTGTTTACACATGACACTGAAAATTTGTCATGCGCGCTTCCCAAGGGAAAACGCGCTTGAAAATCCAATGCCTTGCAGGTGTAGCAACACAAATCGTTCTGTGTTGCATTTTCTGCATCACAAGTTCAGTGAAGCAGTTTTTTTTTGCGATAAATCTTGGATTTTGTCGATGATCTGTCCCCACTGGTCGTGGTAGCTTTCGATGCTGCTGGTTGCCTATCAAGTGTAAAAGTGTCTGGGTCTGGAAGAGTGCGCGACTTGTCATGCAGCTTTTCCATGACCCATGAGGTCTGGAATACAGGACCTAGCATGACACATTCTGCGCGATCTCCATCTCTCTCATGCCTATCCTGCATGAGAAACTCCCTCCCGACTTGGTCAAAACTGGACGACTTTTGCGAGTCATTCGTTCGTTGTGGATCGGCTCTGCCGACCGGGTAACCCATCGCCTCACATACAAATGACCGACATAGGCGAACCCCGTTGCGGGACATACAAACTGGCCGCACGGAAGGGCCCTAAGCGCTACATACATAGTCCACCCTAAGCGCCTACCACTTCGGTCGGGACTGCGTCTACCTGGTCCTGGGGGTCTACAGCGCACTAGCCCTTTGCGAATCATGCAACACAGATTTTTGCATGCTTCAGATTTCGCATGACAAGTTGCATTCTTCCAGACCCAGACATTTTTACATTTGATATTGCCACAAAGTTGCCGTCCGCGTCAATCTGTGACGGAGTGGCGGGTAGCGCCGCGATTTCCTCTGCCAGCACCCCCTGCTTCGATACCATGTCGAGCCAGAGTGCGCCCATGACGATCCCCAAGGTGATCGTGCACCAGTCCAGAAAGTTCCACTTGTCTCGCAGGTAGTCGAGCAGATAGCTGTTTCTTCGCGCCTTCAGCACTTCGAACAGCTCTTGCTGAAACAGCATGAAAATCATGCTCATCCAGATGATGTCCGGGAGGTAGTAGGCGAAGTTCGGATACAGGTTGGCGGAAGTGGCAGCAACCTGGATCGACTTCTGCATGTACCCGCCGTCCTCGAAGGTGAAGCGAACCTTCAGGTTGGCGAACAGGCGCACCTGCGCGTTGAAGAAGGCCGCCTGGAACTCCAGCCACTCGGTGTTCTCGTCGATCCAGCGGTTCGGCACCAGCAAATGCTCCACCTCCTCCAGTGCGCCGCCTGCCGCGGACAGGCGGCGCCCGACGTCGAAGTAGGCCTCGAAGATCCCGCTCTTCCCCGCAACGGGCTGAAAGGGGAGGTTGCGCGCAGTGGTGCCGGGCCCGTACGCCTCGGTGAGGGGAATCTCGGACCGGCACTGCATGTCGTACCAGGCGTTCAAATCCGTGTTCACTGGGCACCCCGAGGATTTGAGTTTTTGTTGCTGCAAACGCACGCCGCCAATCAGCTGGTTGAACAGCATCAAACGTCCGGGTCGGTCGGAGGCGGCCTTCGGGGGTGGGTTCCCGGCCAAGACCGAAGCAAGCTCCACATCCTGGAACGTCAGCTGGTTTTCGCGCCATATTACCTTGATGGCAAAAGATACGTTCATCTTGTTCACAGTGTCAATCTCATTCTTCAATACACTCTGAAGCGGCGACATCGCGGTTCGCGTATTTTTCACCGCGTTCCGCCGAATCTTGCGCAAATGGAGCAAAGTAAAAAGAAGAGCATGCCTTCCACTTCGTGTTTTTGGGTTTGCGTTTGCGTTTGGCTATCATGGCGCAAAGAGTAATATAAGAAAAATACTGGTAGGAGGCCGTGCTGTAGCCAAAACCAAGAGTCGGCGACTGAAATGACTTGGTCCCACGTGGTGATGTTTAGTGTGAGCTTGCTCGCATCCCCAATCTCGTTCAGCTTGTCTTGTATCCTGAGTAAAAACGTACGCACGCCAGAGTTGTAATGCAGATTTGCAAAGACAGGAAGACTTGTAATGCGCATCACCATGAGAGCCATTTCCAATCGTGTTTTGGCATTTGTGATGCTGTGAACAGGATGAGCCGATGAATCTGTGATGCGGCTGCACTTGCTAACCTGCACTACACTGCAGAGTGCAACTTGTCATGCGTGACTCACAAAACTCCTAGGTTTGTGTTGCAAAATCCCCATCCTGACTCTGGTGTGGGTACGTTTTTCCTCTCAATATCTTGAAATATTTGTTCCCTGGTGCTTTGCATGGCGAATTCGGTGTAGGTTTGTCCGTCAACCATACCGGCGATTCGATGCACGGATACTTGTTGATCTTGGTCCAGAAATGCGAATTGAGACATATCAAGGGCAGACTCGCAGCCCCGCAGCTTCGCCACGCCGCGGTCGAGCGCCTCCCGAGGCTGGCAGTTGCAATCGCAGTGCATTTGCACTACCTGTGGAGGACGATTTCAAACGCAGTATGAGTGACAACACGCATACTGGTAGTAGTTGTATCAAGCAGTAGTTCTAGTTGTACAAATTTTCAATACGCATTATTTTTGCTTCTAAATCAATTATGAGCTTCTACTTCTCAAAGTGGTACCGTCTCTTGCGTGGATCCTTCGATGGCGGGCGCGTTCCCTAGTGAATATCAGATGCAAAAAATATGTCATGGTCTGGAAGAGTACAAGGCTTGTGACGCACCAGCTTTTTTTTGTATATTCATGAAGCAGCTTTATCTAGTATCATGACCCAGAAGCAGAAGGTTTGGAATGTTGCGAGCCGTGGCATCACAAGTTGAGAGGATCCCCGACCCCGATGCCTATCCTGTACGAGAAATCTCGTCTCCAAGTGACCCACAGCCAGTGGGTGGCTTTTGCTACTCATTCAATACAGATTTTCATTTTTGTGTCGCTGTCGACCTCGTCTAGCATTAATACAGACGCGGCGTTTATTTCCAGAGCCAGACGACATATTTGCAATGCATAGTAAAGGGTGTGCGACAATTCCAGAGACGGAGTCAGCGAGCGTGCGTTTCACCGAGAAGGTTTGCTCGACGTCGCCATGAAGCTGCACCAAGAGCACAAATGTCATCCACATTGCCAAGGTAAAGGGTATACCGCCTCCAGCTTCCAGAAACCACAGATAGGCATTTAAGAACCTGTTTGTTCCGGGCAGTTTCTTCTTGTTTTGCTGAAAAAATGGCCGAGCTCCAAAAAAAAAGGCAGTTTGGTAGTACTTGCAAAGATTCAGCACAGCTGCTTAGTCCTGCCCATGGCTTACAAAAACGCGTTCATCCGGTTCCGGTAAGCAAGTCTCTAGGAGGCAAAAACAAAAAGCAAACCTTCAATGAGCAAATTTACGCAAACTTTGATTTTCAATCATTTTACGTGGAAACAAATTGTCTAGCAGTATACGAGAGCATCTCGCCCTTGCTCACGGAAACTCTCTCCGCCTCCTTTTCGCGCTTGCGGTACTGCTTGCCTCGAAGCCAAGGCAAGGTCCAATAAGGATGTGCGGCCAACTGCGTTCGGTCGCGGTCAATGTCTTCACTGCTGCCACCCCAGGACGAATCGTCTTCATCACTGAGGTGTCCCTCGTCGAAACTTTCCTCGTCCTCATCATCACCTGGCGACCCAGTCGGTGATTTACCATTGCTGGGACTGGATCCCCCGAAGGTCTCGTCGAGCGGCACACTACCGGGCAGCGTCGCGGGATTCTCTCCCTCCCCGCCGACGGGCGATGCTGCACCGTCGTCACCCGGCTCATCGGCGGCGGTTTCTGCCTCGGGATCCACTTTTTTCGCTCTTGAAAAAAGACCCATTTTGTTCGGAAGACCCTTGATATTCGCTCGCAGCCGTCCACTTCCCACCGAGATGAAGAACGGCGAACGATTTATGACACCCTTTCGCCTGAAGGAAGAACTTGTTTTCCCTCGCAGCGAAAGTCGAAGATGCCCGGCTCAGGCGGTTGCTGGTGTCTGGTGGTGGGTAGCTTCAAATTCATGATGGAGGTATCGGCAGTCTGACCGGTAGAAGGAGTGGTCTGCGTCCCAGTGGCGGCGATAACCTTCTGGGATTGAACAAAGAACAGACGATCTGTAGCCACAGGCGGATAACCAGAACGAGAACAGGATGGAATACACTTATAATGTCTTTACTTTTGGTCACTTCAAATTCAAAAAAAGCACCTTTACTCTTCTTCCGAAATATTCTAGGCTGCTCTCGGCAGGCGCTACACGCTAAGGAAATAAAGGGAAAAGGACATGTTATAGGCTTTTGATAGGGTCCTGAATCATAACCATATCGATACATATTACACACGGACAACATGCGCCACCAAAAATGATGAAAGTGAAGTTTCTAAGTAGCGATGATCCTGCCACTTTCGAATTGTCGAGCCTACCTCAGTCGATAGTACCATTCACGAACAAAGCGATAGATTCTCTCTCCAACACTCTAGGTCGATTTCTCGAGGACTCTCACCCTCCATTATTTTCGCGCAGGAAGACGAAGATCATGCAGACACTGTCGCTGTACTTTTAACGGTCTTTGCATAAAGCGCGATTGCGACAAAACCCATTCATCATTCTCATTGTCATTGGCTGTCTACCGAAATAACAATCATCATGTCTTAAGCACCGGACTGGACGAGACTCGAAGTAAACAGCGCGCTATTGCGGTTGACTTTATCTCAACATAAAAGATGTCGACTTTTCTTTGTGTAGGTTCGTGGCGCAACAACGGTCGTGTGCGAGTTGCGTCATGGTTTTTGGATTTGTTTTTGTGTATACAAGTATTGACAACAAACGCAGGACTACAACTGTTCTAACGAAAATAGTTATTTTTGGATGAGTTTCTTAGATATTGATATTGTCTTTATGTCCACTTGTACTTTTACTTTTTGATATTCATGCCTTTGGTGCTGCCCACGCTTTATCGTCTTCGTATCACTCCACCTGCAGATACCTCTGAATCTTCATGCTCACAAACCCTACGTGTAAAAATAAGGCCGCGTTTCTTCCGGCGTAAGACAAGTAGATGACTATCATACATTGGTGGCCCTATTCATAATAGCGATTTGCGGTTAAGAAAAAGGAAAACTTTTGGAGCCTTACTCGGCGTCAACAACGTCGAGCAAGGTGTTGAACGTGCGAGGCTGGGCCATTCCATCAGCATAAATTTTGACATTGACAGGCTAACGGAAAATTATACAGTGGAAAAAGAGTTACTTTTCTTTTATCTTTGCGCAAGCGCAAGGAAAAGAATGATCAACGTCATCTATTTCAACACGGCTCTGCACCGCACTTACGAGCAGTTTCTCGAGGACGAAGCATTCGTCAGTATATTATGATACAAATAAGGCTGAGCGGGTTCTTCTTCGCAGTTGTATAGTAAAGTATGTAGAAGTCCTGCTACTCGCGTTCTTTAGATTTGGTGATTATCATGTGTCGTTCTGACGGCTATGCTGAACACAATCGTCCGAGCGCACACGTCAACACTATCCACACGGTGCTCGTCTGTGCTCTACTTTTTACGGAGATGAACTACCGCGGATAATAGAGACGACATTGAAACACGAGATTCTAACTCTTCATGATCAACTATAAAAAAATCAATACATCATACGAAGTATAAGTAAGTAAATGTCACTACAGGGCAACTCTCGTTCAAACCAAAAATCACGTTGCCGGGGGCGCGAATTATAGCGACCAAGAATGTGTCAGAGCTGATCTTCTTCATCGCCGGATCCAAATTTACATCAACCGTCGAGAAATAAACGTACAAATGGAAAAAATGGTGCCACTTGTTAGGAGCGTTTGCGTTCACCACGTTCTTTTGCGAAATCGCAACCAATACAATCCGATGGCATTCCTGCTTTCTGCTGTTTTATGGTAGATCAAGTTCTTCATGAGGCCTGAAAGAAGAACCAGGGAAGGAGGTTTTTGGACTTTGAAAATTTTGCACGTAAAGCAAGCTAGTTAGTAGCGCGGTGAAAAGGCGACAGCTACGACATGTATATTTTTACGTAAATCTTCTGTGTAGTATTGCTATCTTCGAAAATGTTGAAAAGCATTTAAAGAACCAAAATCATCACACGGTGTTGGTATTATTTATAGGCAGTGCAAGCACCACACACCAATGAGCAGTATTGAGGCAGTGGTCGGTCCTCCGTGTGGGTAGTAGGCGTAAGGAAGAGCGCCGTCCTCTAGTGGTCTAGGGCCGCGGTCTTGTATCATTTCTATCGTAAGATCTAGGTCCGGTATTAATCGCAAGATCTAGAGCCGCGGTGTTGACCACGGCGCATGATCTCTATACAGTTGTATTGAAGATGCGAGTCAAGTAACATCTTTGTCTTTCGAAGCACAGTGACAGACAACCGTGTTGATGTCAGCCGTACCTCTAGTCTTGGTCTGACTCCTCTATGTACTATGTATCAACTAGCCTTCTTGGTTGCTGCAATCAGAAACCTCCAGGCAAAATAAGAAGGGGGGAGGGCTTTGGGTAAAAAAAAGTCTCAAGGAAAAAAGTAACTTATTTTGTCAGGAATACGGCATTGCTTTTATATGCTGTTCATACACTTGCACTTCTCAAGCAGCCGGAACCGGTAGCTGCGTAGGAGGCAAATGCAAAACGAAATGTCTCTTGGAGCTGCACCGATTCGGTGTGCTTGCACTGTTCCAGGTCGTGCATGTGGACCACTAAACTGGTACGACGTTGAGACAAAGAAAAGGGCTCTAGTACTTCTTTGTCAGAATAACAAATCTTCTAGCATCTTCTCTTCAGTATGTTAGCTTTCTCTTTCCCAACGTTCTCACTCGACACTGTTCCGTAGCAGTCGCCTTCGAATAACCGCACGGGCCACGCAATCGAAATTCTGCCCTGTTCGAGAAAATTCCGATCATCCTTTGTCTCTCTGCTATATTTCTTGCTCTTTTTGGTCCTCGTGCCACCTCATTATTCGGTTTGAAGTAGTACTCACCACTTCTTATTGGTAGATAATGTGTTTCTTGCCGTCCACATTATCCGCGTCACGAATTATTCTGCACAAGTTACAGGATGAACAGCCGGGGCGGGCTTCTACTCGATGAGATACACACACAGCCGGCGACCATGGTGGAGCCGGAGGTGGAGGAGGAGAGTCGGAAGAAGAATACACATCATGGTCCGCCGGCAATCTCGGGCTAGTCATCGGCGGAGGAGGGAACGGATCATGTTCCGCTGAGCCGCAACCACTCGTGGTCCCGGGAGTAGAGGACGAAGCTTGTTCGGTTGAGGCGGAGCCGGAACCACTCGCCGCTGCACCAGAGGACGAAGCTGCAGCTGCGGAACCGGAAAGAGGAGCGGCGTCTTCATCTGGAGTATCTTCACTAGTTGTATCAGGAGTCTGGTGCTCTACCAGCATCCCCCGATAGTTGTGGCTTGCTGACCGAGGCCGTTGCTTGTCTCGAAATCTTCCGTAGGAGTCTTTCCACGAGCACAAATGGCAGCGGTTACAGTCTTTTCCGTCCTTGCAGCCCTTTTTTCTCCAGTTGTATTTACACGGAGGTTGGCAGGAATGCGGGTGACCCAGCGAGCCGTTGGAGACGACATCGGTGTAGCCGTGCTCCTCCAACTCCACGCAGTTTTCATGAGGGCCGCCCCCCTGCCGCGACGTCGCGCTACTGGCCTGGTCGTGGGCCGTCAAGAACGAGGAGCTTTGGAAAACGTCACACGAGGAGCGCGACTCCAGCTGCGGGTCGTGGGGTCGTTGTTCCAGCGATTCATCTCGCTGCTGTCCTCGCTCCGCTCCCGTGATGATCTTTGGTTGTGCTGCCGTTGGTGGGGAGCTGCAGGAGGGCCTCGCCGCGACAGTCTGAGACGAAATGCTGCTTGATGCCGGGCTCATCTTCGAGGGCGGCTTGGAAGTGCTCTCTGCCTGAGCCATCTTCTGCGTCGAGGAAGAGGACGCAGCTCCACCTGTCGCTGTGCTGGCGGTCGCAGAAGTTGGCGCACTGCTGCACTCGGATCCCCCTTGAAGAACTCGGTAAGAACCACGCTCGGTCTTCGTGGTGATAACGAGGCCGCGCAGACGATGCGTGGCGTCGTCCAGCCTCACTGTCTCTGATGTTGATGCACTAGCTCTTGCATCATCCACCACCCCGCGCTTGCTCTTCTTGAGCTTGTTGCGCAACATCGCAGTGGCTCGCGCGAGATCCCTGTCCGTGTTCTGCGCCGAACGTTCTTCGATGATCTGCAAGGCAACCTGTGCTTCGGCGTCGGAAAGCCGGTGCTCCAAATCGAAATCGCTTATGTGCTTCAGCATGTCGATAGTCTCGGACTTCAGTTGCTCGACGTCAGCAGGGATCATGATGTCTTCGTTCATTTGTTCCGTGATGGGTGCATTGTGCACATTATCTTGTTGGACTGTCATGCTGTTCGTTCTTGATGTCCGGGCAGGAAAATCACAATCAGCATCCTCGTCTAGGGTCTTTCGCTCCTGCACCAGTGCTGGAGGCGGTAAGGTACTGGAGGAGGAACAAGGTAGACCCGGCGGCGCCGCAAGAATAACCCCCTCCGTAAGATTATCATAGCCATCTTCTTTTCTCCTGTTCCCGCAAGCAGCAGTCATTGCTCCTTTCATGGTGCCACGAGACAAGCTGGGCTCCGCCGCCGGCTCCTTTTGGGGGTCATTCAGGGGCACGCGCACGCACGTCCACACCATTTTTCTGCCACAACTGCCGCTCGAACTGGCGGCAGCAGCTGATGTGTCCTCCACACCTAGAAATGTTGACCCGTCTGAACCACTACTGGCGCTAGAAGGAGAAAACATCGCGGCATCGCGTAACCGCTGGCCCACGATGTAGGGGGGCGAGGGAGAGGAGGGCGGAGGGCTGTAGGCGGTCGCCGTGGTGGTCGTCGTGCTGGTGGAAGCAACGACGTTATTAATATCATCATCGACGTCCCCGCTGGTCGTGCCTGGCTCCTTTTTTAAACTTTCCATCAGTCCCTTGATGTTCTGGCCAGCAACATGATCAACCTGATCCCCTACTTGCTCCTCCACACACGACGGCCACATCCGGTGCTGCTGCTGCCAGCAGTTGGCGGCATCGGCAAGTTCCCAAAGAATAAACTTGCCCAGCGCTTCATCAACATTATCCATCATGGTGCCGACCTCAGCTTCACGGGACAGAACATCCTCCTGGCACTGCGGCGGAGGAGTCCGGATCGTCGCCGGCGTGCAGGGCATCGTCCTTGCGGAAACCTCCAGATCTTCGGGTAGACAGGAAGGGGGCGAACTCGTCTGATCGCGCGGCTGGTGCTGTTCTTGGACCTGGTGACGAACGAAGGCCGGAGTCGGGACGGTCAGGCAGTCTTCATCGAAAAACTCGCCGTCTTCATTATCAGAGGGAAAGGTAATGGTAACGCACTTCCTGTAATAAGAAGGCTCGTCTTCTTCAATACCATCGGCATCGAGATCGACTTCCTCGTCCTCCTCTGGCAACGAAAACAAGCAGGAGTGTGATGGCCGCAATAATAATTCCTGACGAGGTTCTTGTCGTTGTTGGTGTAAAAATCCCGCGGTAGCAGTATCAGTATTTTTATGCCCCCCGACAGACTGCAAAAGTTGCTCTCGTTGTTGCTGGTCCTTAAGGCCTACTGCGGCCGCGGTACTACAGCTAGCAGCTTCTTCGGCCGGGAGCTGCCCCACACGTCGAAGACTTCTGCGTCTCGAAGAGTTCGCCGCGACCTGCCCCACACGTCGACGACTCTGCGCGCGGTCTTCTTGCTCTAGGAAGACCTGTAAAACGCCGCGGAGCATGTCAACCTCCCAGACGCTCCGCGGACCAGTTCTCTCGATGCGGTCGCGCAAGCAGCCCAGGGTTTGTATCGCAGCCTCCAGCTCCGGGGACGGTTCGCGCCCGGGTATTTTCTCCAGCTCTTGGTCGAGTAGATTTCGCTGCAGACGTTGAGCCTGCTGCAGACATGCCTCAGATACGTGTCGAAGTTCTTGCGAAGCGTTCTGCCAGTCGTGTGCCAGCTGTGCTCCGGCAGCTTCAGCCCGCTGCAGACGTGCCTCTGCTCCATGTAGAAGTTCTTGCAAAGCTTTCCGACAGTCGCCGGTGCCGGAAGCCGCGGGGGACGAGCGATCGGGAACGGCAACGGGATCGCGCAAGCCCGAGACATAATTACTATAATCCGGCGCCAAAAAGCGCTGCTCTTCGAACCGTTGAACGGTTCGGAGGGCTTCTCCGAATGCAACTTCTTGCTGCTCTTCGAATCTTGGAACGGTTCGGACGGCTGCTCCGATCGCCAGTTCTTGCAGAGAGTCGTTGCCTTGCTGGTGGTGCAGTAGTTCTGACCATTCTTTTAGAAGTCCTTCCGCTTGCGAAGCTCGCTGAGGCTCCTCCTGCAGCCCGTGCCCGGGGTCGTCGTGTGTCCTCTGTGCTTCGGGGACAACGGCTTCGGTGGAGGTACTAGCGCCTCCGGGAAGATAAACCTCCGCAGACGAGCGATCGCGCAAAGCCGCTAAAGCACCACTATCCTGCGCCAGACGGCTCAGCTGCAGCTCTGCGCGCTGTTCTTGCCGTCTTCTTCTTCTTTCGCGTTGCAAAGCTCGCTGACGCAGCCTTCTCCTCCGCGCAGAGTCGTTCAGGCTTGCGAAGGCTTGGTTGCGCTGCTCGCCTAGTAGCGTCGCTTGCGAAGACTCGCCGAGGTCGCAGTCGTGCTGTGTCTGTGCAGCTGGTGTCTGGGGGGCGGCTCCGGTGCTGCTGGTACTACCTCTTCTAGTGCCATCCGTCTCCTGTGCTCCGGCTTCGGTGCTGGTAGTCATTGGTCTGTGCACTGTCCCGTCCTGTGCTCCGACAGTAGTTCCGGTGCTGGTGGTCATCTGTCTGTGCTCCGGAGGCTCCGAGACAACGGCGGACCACGAGGCTCCTGCAGCCCCGGGGGTCGGGTGCTCATGCTCAAACTGGTCTGGCGCTGGTCGCGGCAGCAAGAAAGAACCACGACGCCTGGATGATTGTCCTTTCGGGGCTGCCTTGCCTTTCGCAAGAATGGGTGCTCGACGTCCAACTGGCACTGTTCCCGTTGTAGAGCCCATTACAACACAAGTTGTGACGCCACCAGCTGCTGCCAAAAACAAAATGGCAGCCACTGCCATCATCGTTCCGTTGATGGCTGTGAAGGATGGCATCTTGATCTTGTAGTTTTGGAGGCGGGAGTAATTATATTTTCTGCTAGCGAGCAGACTTTACTTGATGTTGAGGGCGGAAAAATCAAACTTTTTGTTTTTGCGGTACTACGGGTTGCTGTACTAGTGAACTATCATCAATATCAAGCACGTAGTTGTAGTACTACCTACTACGACGCTTCTTGACTACTTCTATGTTTCCAGCGTTGAAACGGGAGTCAGTGTGGCTAAAAAAGGTCGGGTGTGTTTCTTTGAGTAATGAGAATTTATTTCGTTGCCTTTTGGAAGGACTTAGACGTCAAATTTTGCTTCCTTCTAATTTTAGTTTTACCGCGTCAAGAGAACCAGAACGAGATGAAGTAAGGCTCTCTAAATCTTTCTCTTTCTCTTTTATTCGTATCAATTACATAGACTCGATTCATAAATTGTAAATCTTTGATCGACGGTAGACTACGTCCACGACCGGTGCTGTGGGTATTTGAAGTTGAATGCCATTGGCAATTTTTACCGCGAAGCCCAAGCCTCCCAATAGTTAGGTGGTGCGAATGCGATAAAAAAATATAAAAATATCTATACATTATCAAATTACTCCAACTCCCCAGTTCTTGACGAGATGAAGGCGGCCCCCGGCCCCACGAGGACGTGATCGCATTACTTAGAACAAGTTGTGAGGGGGAACGGGAAGTACAAGTAGATCAATCGGTGTGAGACGACATGCTAGTAAAAGCGTTGCAGCTCATCTTGTGGTTGTCTGGCATATTCATATGGTGAGATCTCGATAGATCATCTCGATCGCGGGAACAAGATGCCACTGGGACAACACGAAGGAAACTGAATAAATCAGAAGAACAAGGAGCGCTTTATTCGCCGGCACGGATGATAGATCACTGGCGGCGAAAGAATCCACCTACCCTAGCATCGATCCCGGACGGCCACAATGAAGAAAGAACATCAAGGAAGGAAGAGGAAGACGAAGACGACGAACGAAGCGGAGAATAGAATTTCGATCTGCGAATAATATCATGTATTATCAATCTACCCACTTACCCCGCAACCGCATTGCTATCTTCGTATCTGCTGGTCCTCGTCCAGAGCCACAATTTACTACCTAGCATCGACTGGAGATCATCCGAATCATATCAGGGCAGCTGCACCCACGAAGACCACAAGCGAGGCACGATACAAAACAAAGCGTCACGAATAAATGCAAATGAACAATTGAACTCGTCGATTGCGCGACGAGGGTACGCCGTGTTTGTGTCGGACACAATGCGGAACAATATCGTCCTCATCTTGAATGACGTGATGAAGAAGATATTCATTGCAATTTTGTTTTCATACGACGATAACTAACATGTCCCATCTCTCTTTCAGGGGCAAGAGGACACGAAATATGACGAATGGATTCGCCCTTCCAATTTTCATTTTCGCTTCCACACAGATGATAACATCTCCCGGAGCCAGCTCTTTTGAGCGACAACTTCAACTCAACGGGAACGAGACCGGCTTTGCAAGAATGTGACAAATGTCATACATTTTTGAAAAACTGATACTAGTGCGGAGCGCTATCTTCATTGCATGTTGGTATAAAAATAAATATATGCTGGTCACCTTGAATTAGAATTATCACATGAATATTCTACACCCAGGAAAATAGATCGCGACCCATATCGTCAGCAAGCTAGAGAAATGATGGCTGAGAGATGAAGTAGGTGCCTCGGCTTCGCGCATTTATGTTGCAAAATTCAAAACTATTCTTGTTGCTAGTCTTTCGAGTTTTGAGGGTGAGTCTATGCATATTGTCGGAAAAAACTAAGCACCCTGGTAGCTTACAGCTATCATGCGCCTGTGTTGGAACAGCACATGAAGCCCGCGGATTGATTGATATTGGTTGCTGCACACTTCAAAAAAACTTAGTAAACGAAGCTTCCCGGCCGGCGAGACCAAGGTTACAAGAACCAATGGAATAAAAAACCATGAAGAAAAATTGATCTTCAACCAACACAGGAGCCTTATCCCTCTACTTTCACTGCCAGCAATCGATGATAAATGTTGCCCCCAAATCTGCGCTTGCGCAGCACTCGGTTTATAAAATTGAATGACGCGTGCGCTTCTCAAAATTTTAAATATTGAAACACACAATTTGACCGTATGCCGAATTTTTGTTCTTGGAAGTCGAAGTATACATCTGAGGTGCCTCTAGGCAAACAAAGGCATAGCGAATTCTACTTTACTATTTCGTTCATGTTCTGTTCGTACATTGCTTAGCATGATTGGTAATCCCTTTGAATAAAAACTGAAATGGCCGGAGGTGCTTCCAAGCGTGTCAAACTTTTTTGTGTGCAAAGGCGAATCGACCGTGTATTATTTAACGAGTATTTAACACAATAATGAAAAAAATCATGCGCACTGGACTGCACGGCTGCGATGATTGGTATACAGGAGCCACGTCTTCAAAACTAAAGCACAATATTCGTGTTTCCTGTTTGCTGAAGCATGGCTGCGGTGCTGTTTTTCATCATCCCGTTTTTCTGCTGCGACTGAGCGAAGGCAACACTTGCACTCCGCGCTCGACGAATATCCTTCTGTACCTGCGCTTCCTGATCTCGTTGCTGTCCAGCCGTTGCCTGCTGGGTCGCCGTGGTCAATTCCGAGATCGAATTCAGATCCAGTCTCGAGCTGCTGCCCCGACGGCCGCTTGGACTAGCAGAGAGCGGTGGCTGATCGTCCTGGTGTTCCGACACCAGGAGATCCTTTTCTTCTGAAGTGGAACTCCCACTAATCGCCTTGCTCATCATCTGCTGCGGCTCGAGAGAGTCGCGTCGCTGTAATCGCGAACGTTGCTCTACTTGTTGGAGGTCGCCCGGAGCAGCTTGACTGCTGGTGCTCTCCCCCTTCGTGGAAGAGCGTCGCTTGCGACTACTTTTGAATGCAGCTGCAGCGCCTGCTGTGGCCGCAGTGTGATCGCTGTACGAAGGTGATGTGGCCTTGAATGTATTGTCCTCCGAAACTAGCTGCTCAGCGGCCGCGCGGCTGCTCAACTGCTCCGTGATGCGCGTTGCCAGATGAGTGAGCAGGTCATTCTTTGATAAGCGGCGACTCTTCGAAGAGCTGGTGCTTTTGGAGGTCTGCTGCACGTCTACCGCGCCGTGCTGCTGCTCCTGATGTGCTATGCCGCCCTGCGACAGTAGATGATCGGATGCGAGCACCACATTATTCTGCCGGTTGCTGAACGATCGCTGGGATATTAAACCCTGATCGTCCCTGCTGTTATTCGCTTTGCTCTGCATGATATCGTTGATAGCTTCCAACATTTGACTGGAGACGGTTGTCGTGGAGCATCTACGAAATGGAAGATGATTTGGTGAGCAATTAGACGGGGACGAAGACACCGCGCCGGCGCCAGGGCTGTCGCCACCGACAGCGTCTGTGGTCTGGTGCAAATTAAACCCCGCGTTGTTGGCAGAGGTGGGTGTCGGGTTGCAGGAGGAAATCAGCTCTGCTAGCGCTTCGAGCACCCCAGCCGATTCCGTGGAACTTCTGCGTAGCTTCTTCTGTTCCACCCCCGAGAGCCGCCGCGACGTATTCGCCGAGGAGGAGGAAGAAGATTTGTTCTGCGCATGGGTCCCGCGCTCCTCTTGCTTTCCGGGAGAACCGGAGCGGCTCGAAGAGGTCGACGATTTGGATTTCCTTCGATTTCGCTGCACGACAACGTCGACGCGGGTCGTGGAGTTATCATTTCCTTGTTCCTGCTGGTGCTCCAACCCCGGTTCTTCGTTTTCGTCCCCACCGGTACTTAAAGCAGCAGCAAGGTCCTGCGAGCTTCGGCGTGAGGTCCTTTGGCTGGGCTTTCTCGAGGTCCGTTGGCTCTGCTCTCGCGAAGTTTCGTCCTGCGCCGCCCGTCGGCTGCTCCGGGTTGTTCTTGACTGGTAGATTTCAGAAGCCACACCGTACGTGTACGACACGCTTTTGCTGCTGTCTGCGGCTCCTGGGGCTAGCAAGTGGTCACCACTGCTCTTCATGGTTGCTGCATCACCGCGACTCGGAGTCGTGTTGCTCCGTCCAACGACGAATTCTTGCAGCAGCGCTAGATCTGGAACCTCCACGCGGGCAGTACTGCGGCGCGCAAGCACCTTTGCCGCGTCAATCTTTTTTGGCAGATTTACTTCGAGGATGCGGTGCTGAGGCACAGGCACTTTATCATTCTCATTGCTCACGTCTCCAAGATCGGTTTTATCGGCTGCGATCGACGTGGTCTGAGCGGCAATTGAAACATGATTCTGGTCCTCATCCTCGCTCGCAAGACAGGATGCCACGGGAATTGAAACGGCCTGACTGGTCCCGCTCTCCGATGGTGCCGGAAGCAGAAACGGACTAGACAAGAATCTGTTTGAAGTGTGTTTCTGCATTTCTGCCGAGGCGGTACTGGATATTTCCCCCGAAAGCAAACGGGGAGGAGACTCCATGATCGGCACGGGCAGCGCGCGTTCCCCATGATCCACCCCCGTTTCAGTTACCTGCTGATGGCGCTCCAGACCAAAATCTCGGTGAAGCTGCCCGTCAGCGCTTTTCTCGGTCGTAGAAGAAAAAGCAATCGACGCACCTGAAGTAGAGTTCTTCTGCGTTAAAATCTTCCCTGTGACTGAGCAAGAATCGGGTTGGCGACGATCTTCCTGGGGTTCCATTTTTCGACCCTCTTCGTGCTCTTCGATACTACCGACTTGCTCCCGCGGCGCTGGTAGGTGCTGACGAGCAGCTTCATCCCGTGGGCCGATGTGTTGGAGCTGGTGGTTCCTCGAGCTTCCATGTCTCGTCGAATCGACAGGAGTTGCAACGTCTGCAGGACGACGTGCAGCAGTCTCTTCCCTTTTTTCTCCTTCGTTCTCCGCGGCGTCAGGCTCTATTTCGCCTGCTTCAGTTTTTACCGAGTCGCGCAACACGATGACACTGCCTGTGCCAAGTGCGTTTTGGCTCGCTGCTGTTTTGAATCCGTTTCCAAAACTAATGTGCCTTTGAATGATTCGCAACACGGACTCAAATGCACGCAGATCGTAGTAGTTCAGGCGGTGGACGAACGTCTGGAACTTGTCCTTCGACAGCGTCCCCAGAATCGCGCTGTTCGTCTCTATCCAGTTTTTCGCAAGGTGGTCAGCCTTTTGCCTTTCGCGTCGCTCGGTGTACGTCAGTCGCGGCTTGCTTGCCACTTTTTTGCTGCTTTTCCGTCTGGACCTTCGGTGGTCCGACTCTCGCTTGTTACCTTCTGCGCCGGCTTTGTCGCCGATAGCGCTTGTTCCGCGCCAGCCTTTGGTTCTTTCCTCGTCGCTCGAGGCCGAGGAGGAATCCTCGGTGTCCGTGAACAATGCTTCGTCGCGGCGCAGAATGCTTCTGGAGAGCTTGTGGAATCGTTTGATGGCCCAAGGTGTGCGCATGTTGTATTTCCGTTGCCACGCCTCAAAAAGCAGCTGGCAGCCGTACAGGAACAGGATTCCAAGCAGGATCAGGAAGCAGAAACACAACTGACTAAGAACCTCCCGGAAAGTTTCCCGCTCCTGTTCTGTGACGGGTATCAAGGGGAAAGACACGACGAGGAGCAAGAGCAGGACGATCAGGAGGGTGGTGTCCACCATATTCAGCGTATCGTCCTTCCAGGGCCAGCAGCGCATCTGCAGAACCAGTGCAGTGAGAAGAAGCAGGAACATCCACGTGATCTGGGCCGACGGAAGGTCTGGCCCCACCACAATGGACAATACGGTGAGCAAGCTCCGTGTGCTGAGCACCAGGCTCCAGTAGTACCGCTCCGGGCGGAAGCGGAAAAACAGGAATTTGGTCTTCATCAAAAATTTGGGATCCGTCATGCTTCGCTCGGGCGCGACCCTGATCAAATGCACCGCCGCCGCCATCAGACCCACCGGCCAAAGAAGGATGGCGAACACCGCCGCGATCACAAACTTGGGAAACTGGGGATCGTCCCAGGAGCACAGAACGTCCTCATACTGGTCCATGGAGGAAAGGTCGGAGCCAGGATGGTAGAAGCAAACGAAGGGCACGAAGCCTAACGCCGCGAAGCTTATGTAGAACGCCTGCGCGAAGAACCCGCAGCAGCAGAAAACCTTCTCGTACACCAACTCTTTCCGCACCCGCTGCCACAGGGCCTCCATGCTGTCCGAAAAACGGGCCAGCATCCGGTGACCGGGGCCTCTGTGGTCGTGCGCAGGTACCGTTATAGCGGTAGGGTTTGGTGCAGACCAAGAGTTCTCCGGACCTGTTTTCTGGTTCTTCTCAAGTTCGTCAACGAGCGAGTTCGTCGCTCCAGAGGAAGAGTCGTCATCTGAGCTGTCGCTTTCCGGCATTTCCGACATTCCGAGTTGCATGGCCCGGAGGCGGTCCAAAAACTGACCACTGAAAAACACCCCAGCGGGATTCAGAGCATTTCTTCGAGTTGTCGGTGGTTGCGGAACTGGTGCAGGTGCCTCGGTGAGGACGTCTCGGTCTGCGAGAGCGAGCATGTGTTCCCCTTCCCACTGTAGATGAAGTGCCATATCGGGGTCCGCGTGGTCTCCTGGTAGGCTCTGAAGTTGGTTAGTCCTCGTCGTGCGCAGCGCCCCAATACGCGGAGCTGCCTCGCTGCCGTTGTTCTTATCTGGTTTCATCGAGTCCTCGTCTTTGTCTACTTTTCTGGATTCCATGTCTTGCAAAATTGGCCCGAAGGAAAAGCTACAATTTACTTTGTTGCCTTTGTCCTTGACATGGAGGGTTCTTGCTGTCATCCCTCCGTGCTTTTCTTGTTGATCATTCTTTTCTTCTTGCTCACCTGCTCCTGGAGATTTCGCAGTAGCCAACTGCTCCCGGATACCGTTCGGCAAGTCGTCGTCCCCGCTGGTACTTCTCCTCATATCGATCTGACGGCTGGCGCTGGTCGTTGCGGGCTCGTTCCACGTTTCTTTCGGGTCTCGCTCTCGTACAACCTTCCTGACATTATGCTCGACGATTCCACCTCGTGGTACCGGTACGCTGCGCAGGTCGTTCTCTGTTGGCTCCTCTTGTTCAAGGAGTGTTGGCGGTGCGACGCCGACGTCAACAACGGCGCCTGGAAATCCAGGCAGAGTTCCAGCTGCAGGAACCGCGTCAGAACTACAAGATGCTGATTCTTCAAAACGATGAAGCTCCAGGCTTTCCATCGAAATCAGACTTTTGATTCGATTCGTTTCAGTAGCCCGCGCACCACTTCGGCCACCACCAAAGCGTGCCATTGCACTATTCCGGAGGTCGTTCGCAGTGGAAGTGACAAACTCACTTAACATGGAGAGTACGCTCGTGCGCTGAGATGCCCGAGCACGAGAGGCTTTGGCTTCCTTCTCTTTGTTGACCGCTTGAAAATTATCGAACAATGATTCGGTCCATAAGGATCCGCGACTGGCGCCGGCGGTGGACATCCAAGAACTTCTGCGTGCTCCCGACCCCCCATCCATTACAGCGCTTTGCCGCGTCGAAACAGCGCTCGGAATGAGCTTCGTGAATGAGTTCCGCGATACTGATGCCATTCCACCTAGCTCTGGAATTGAGAACGACTTCGGAATGCTGTTAAGTATTGCTTTATTTGTTGATTCTGTATCCTGCCCGATTTCCAAGACAGAAGAAAAAGTATTGCAAATTAGCACAAAAGTATGTAAATGTACCGGCAACAAAAACTGCATGAAAGAACAACTTGTTCCGGGTCTACAAGTATCAATCTTACTTGAATCTACAAAAAAGCAAGTGGGTAGACAGATGTACGCGAGCTGTCTTCGGCGGGTGATCCAGTAGGCTCCGAAGTAGAGTGCAAACACAGTGAAGGGCATCATGATCCGGGCCAGGTAGTGTCGGAACGAGTCTCCCGAGGCAAAACATTCAAAGCCAAGGCCGATTTCGTGCAACTCGAGGAGAAAGACCGTTCGCATTCCAGCAAAGAGCCCCTGTACGGCATCTGGGTGTCGAAAGGAAAATTTAGTACTGTCGCTGACAGGCCGACATCTACTGACACTGCACGCGTTTGCCACGATGACCCCCTCAGTCTACGCCTACAGACAGGCACACAAGAATTTTACGAAATCTTCAGGGACGTTGTTCTAGACCACGAGACCCCCTCGCACCAATTGTATACCAACGTGATGGACTGCATATCTGCTTGCGGTCAGAGGCAGTCAAAGTGATGCAGTGCAAATAAATGGAGGTGATTTCGATTGACATTGACAGAATCTTGTAGTTTCCTAATGGCCACGACACCTTCATCGAAGAAAAGACTGCCAATGTTTGAAAGGTCTGCACCGTCATGCCCACAAAGGCCCCGGTGAAGACGGCAGGACTTGCTTTGCTTGTAACGTCGTTGCCCACAGTGAGGATGTAGGTCAGCACCAGCATGAAGCAAGTCAAAAAAAACATAATTACCTTGTAGTTGAGTGGCAGTTGATAAAAAGGAAAAGCAGAACCGTATCCGTATGTCTGAAAGAAGTAACTTAGTTCATCGTCCGTATGTCTGAAAGAAGTAATTTAGTCCGCACAACCGCAGTTGTTGAAAAACGTTTTTTCGAAAAACTGCTCAAGGTCAAGACACGAAGCAAAAGCAAACAGTAGCTTTGATACCACACTGAGCACGAAGTGGTCGAGGACGAACCTCTTCCACGCGCTTTCGTTGCACGGCGAGCACACTTTTCCATTGTAGCCTGCGTAGGAGGCACATTTTCGACACGTCAACCCCTGGTGATGGTCTCCGCAGACCTGTACTCCACCCGGGCAACGAGTGCGCAGCGCGTCGGTCATGATTTCCTGCATGCGAACCTCGTGAGTGCCCTTCTCGGTTACCGGCAGCTCGATTGTGGCGCCGCACTTGAATAGTGTGACCCCGTTCAGGTCGATCGCGTCTTCGGGAAAGTATTCCACGTGCTCGGCCAGATTTTTGAGCTGCATTGCCTGCGCGACCTCCCGGTTGTGACTACTGAACCGCCCGGGCCAGGGGCTGACCTTGTAGCCCGGCTTCGCGATGATGGTTTCCTGGTCGGTCCGTGAAACTGCAGCGCCCCAGTCGCATCGCATGCCAACGACGCATCGGCGGCACGTGGCCAGTCTCCGATCCCAAAAGTACTCGTTTTTACAGATGCACGCAGTTGCCGTGGTACTGCCTTGCCCGAAGGCGGTAACTTGATCCGGGCCGCAGTTCGTGCAAGCCGGGAAGAAATCTAGGGCATACCGTATGCTGCTCGTAGTTGCTGATGTTTCGCTACGCGTAGCTGCAGACGTCGAATCTTCCGTAGTACTAGTACTAGTGCGCCTCGCGGCCTTATCATTATTGCGCCCGTCATCAGGAGCGGTGGCGGTGGGTGCGTTGCTCTCTTGCGCGAAAGATCCGAGGAGGGCACGTGCACGACCGGGCACCGCTCCCTCCGCAACGTCGCTGCTGTTAATCGTTGCCGTGTCAAACGTGGACCAGCTGATGTTGACATGCAGCCCTTCAGGAAAGTTCCACACTGCGGAAATATCTGTTCCCGCCAACGTTGTGCTATTCTTACTGATCGCAACCCCTGCGTTCCGAAGCGCCCCTGCATCATACACGGACCAAAACTGTTGTGCAAACGGTACACTGACCCCGTGGTAGGTCAGGAGCTCGGTGAGCCTGGATTGCAATTCTGCCACGGTGGCACCGGTTAAGAATGCCTCATCTGCCTCTGATGTGCCTGCAGTTTGAACACCCGCCCCACTCTGTGCGTCAATTATCCCAGTCGTTGGAAAACTGGTGCTGGTGCTCCTTGCGTGGCCACCGCGAAGGCGCTGTGCCTCGCGGGCACGCAGACTCTGCAGTCCCTCGCGTGTGATCGCGCGGAGATGCTCCACGGAGCGAAACACGAGTCGCCGCACAGGCAATTCGGCACTGTAGGTCCCAGGTCGGCAAAGCCCACAAAGCAGCTGGTGCGGAATCACTTCGGTGCCGTCTTGAATTAGGTGCGAAACCGCTTCCCCGTCAAAGTGCTCGCCAGCCACACACAGCAGGCTCTTCTGGAACAGTGGCGACAGGCGTGTCGTAAACTTGTTGACCAGAACTGGGTCTGGAACAAAGGCGTTCTGGTCCGCAGACGCGACGAACACCTGCGGCGCCACACTCGTGGCTCTTGCACCCCTGCTGCCATTCTGCTCTTGTTCCCCCTCGAGCTCATCAAAGAAAGCGAAATTGTAGCGGCGCAGCGCCTCGTCTACCTGCGAGGAGATGCGGGGAGCCGCACTGCATTGCACCTGCTCTGACGCAGGTGCCTGAAGATGCGTCGTCGATGTGCTTGTTGCTACAGCATGGTGGAAAACTAACGGGGCAGAAAAAGGCACCACTCCATATTGGCACCTCGAGCAGAACAAACCACGGGCGGCAGACTTAAACGTCGTTCGTCGCCTGCTGCTCGACCTGCTTCCTACAGAGATAGTAGTTGTACTTCCGCGTTTCCCCGCTTGTTCGCAATGTCCCTGCGCTGCTTGCTGCCGCGGGTGCGCCGACATCATGTCACCATGCCTAACACGCCCCCGTGCGTCACAGACTAGAAGGCATTTGAAAGTGCTTCGACCAGCTCTATGGAAAGAGTCAAGTTATTTTCATGGCGCCTTTTTCATTAATTTACCGCTACGAAAAAAGTCATGCAGAAAAATGTCGAGCAGACGGATGCAAGAGTGCTGCGCGGCTCGTGAGCGTGCGGTGGTGCCTACGTCTGTGGACCACTCCAAAGGCTTGGCTTCCAGGCCAAACCGTGTTGCTCCACTGAAAAGTTGCTCCCAACCTAAGTGCCGCGTTTCCTATTAATCTTTCTCTGAACGCCAAATTTTGTTCAGCTCAGCCTCACTTCATTTGTGAATATGTCTCTCATCTCTCTTTCCGTCGAATCACTCTAACATCTACTGTTTAAGTAAGCATGACGCGTCCTTATTTCGTACCTGATTCGGAAGACCAAGAAGGAAGAAGCACACGATAATCGCATCCGAGACCGGCTTCATCTTTCGCCTAGAAAATCACCCCTTTCACAAGTTTTTATCATCGCCGCAAGCAATGAAAATTTTGCGTCATCTTGAAAAAATTTGATATATCAAATTCGCATCGGCGCGTTTGCCTTCGCGTTCGGGTTTTCCTTTTCGGGTTACAGATACGCCTTACCCAAAAATCGTGTGAAGTAGTTATGTGAAGACAAAAAAGTTGATCTGACACCAACTCTACCGCAGTGGGTAAAGATTCTTCGCTTTTTTATGCTGACCCCGCACTTTGTGGCCCAGACAACGAAACTTGTAGTAGTTGCGGTAAGTTACATGGTAGCAACAGCAAAGCAAAAACGAAATTTGAGACCAAAGCGCAACAACATCTGTTTATCTTCAATATTCGATGTTTGCATCTTTACCTTTGTTTATTTAAAATCTGGCCGCGGCGTTGAAAAAAAAGACGCGGTCCCTATTGAGCTTGCGAGGACCTGCGCTGATCGTTTCCGAAAAGTATCAAAAGGGTTGATTGCTTCTACCTTATCAAAATTACAGCTTTTATCCGGTATAACTTTTAGTTCTGCTTTCGCGTCTGTCCATGCATCACGAGTAGGAATATTCCGCCTTGTTATGGAGAATAAGCTCTTCCCCAACGAAATAGAAGCTGTCAGATCGCGTCTCCCATGGGTTGCTGATGATGACCTTTTTCAACTCCTCGTCCAGAACTTCTGGCATGCTGTATATAATCTCCCAGGTATTTACGCTGTCAGGAATGCAGAAGGGCATCGTGAAGTCGTAGCTCTTTATGCACCTGTTGTGATTGCGTTATCTTTGGATGTTGAAGAGATAAAGAAAAACATTTGCATTTGATCAATCATGAATACTTACTGAGCTGCACAATTCTACTCTGGCATCGAGTTGATGACTGCGAAAGCAAGGGGGCGCCAGCGCGTCGCGAAGGTACGACACATCCTGGCACAAACCGCAACATAAAACTGCTTCATTCGCATGCCGCCTCCCGTATTGTAACATTACTCAAAAACCGTAGTTGTACTAAGACTAACTATTATACTCGTTCTTGAAATAGTGGCGTTCTATCATCCGAAAATTTCGCACTTCCTTGCTGCAACGAAATTTCAGTTCCGTTCCAATGGTCTTGAGGTCCAGAAACTTCGGGCCAAAATGGTAGCGCACACGGCGTACGTCGTCCGGGTCCTCTGGTGGTGGTGTTGCTGTATCCCACCGAAAAGCAAGCCCATACCAAAAACAAATGAATTTGCCAAAAAAAAATGCTGCTTTCATCATTTTTGATTTTTTTTCTAGTTCTTGGCTCTCCCGCATGACAAATTTTTTGGGCACCTTTGTCACCTGGCACGCAAAACATACAGATACAGTGCATTCCCGATTTGATTTTGTGACACAAAAAAAGCAACACAAATTTACGTAATCTGGTATGATGGGTGTCCTCACTTTTCTCGAGGATATGGTGCTGCAGCTGGCGCATTTTCTAAATCCGCAGCGACGTCGAAATGAGTCGTGCTCTCGCCGGTTTCCTGTGTGGAAGTATGATCACAAACACAATCTCTATTAATCCTCGCCACGAGCTGCCGGCTGAGGCTGAGTTGCGTAAGAGCAAAGATACTACTGCGGATACACGAGAATGATCGTTGTCAGATTACTGCGCAGTACTGTAGTTCTAGTTTGCCTCGTCGGCCACAGATGTGAATAGTACCTCGTCGATGCTCCTTATCTTGAACGCCAGAAATTCCACCCCGTAGTGATTCGCGTCGAGGTCACAGAGAAATTCGTCGCAGGGCCCTGCGAGCTGTGCAACATACTCAGGTGTTATCGGAATCATCATGTTGCTTCCGTGGAAACGCGGCAGTCGCGCCTTCCTCCAACTCAGCAGGAGTCACTACTGTAATAAAACCTACAAGTGTAGACACATCCAGAGCCAGAGTGTGTGGTTAGTAAGGCGAAAACATCAAAAAACCTACAGGATGAAGACCGAAACAGGCGTGCGTACACGAATCGAATCGCACCAACACTGCTACCTGAACCATTGAAGCAAGTTGCAATTCGCTCGTGCCTTCGTTCTTACTCTTTTTCTTAGCGAGAAGGTTAGAAGTTTATGCATTACGATAACGATGAAGCTCAGAAATCTAGATATGTCTCTCACGCCACAGGGAGGCACTGCAGGGGAAGAAGGCGTTCTGCTTCTGTATATTTTTCGAATAGGCATAATTCAAGCCTTGCTGTGACAACGGTTTCTATGTGCATGTCTGACTGACGAGAGGACTGCGCACCCTATGATCAGCAATACTCTTGATGCACTCAAACAACAACATGCTTGCTGTGCAACAAGCTAGTCGATAGCAGAGGCAAATTCAGCAACTCACTTTTCTCACTCTTGTTTCGGCCTACTCGCTTCACAGCCCGTAGAAACCTAGAGCTAGATGTAGACATTCTACTTATTGGAGAGACTCCCAAAAGTGCTGCACCGTTGTGGATTTTATCGCCAGCACGCTGATGCTAACGCGACGTCAGTACAAAGTGTCTTTTCGCTTTACTATTGGGTCTGCTCCCGAAGCCGAGCAGCCTGCTTGAAGGGATTTTTGCTCTTGCGAGCAATGAAGAAGGAGATGCAGAATGACAGCTCGCAGCCATGACGTTTAGTTTCCATCAACTTAAAAACTAGCGATTCGCGAAGATGGGTCAACAACGACTACACCTCCAGCTCACGCTTGCTTCAGTTTCGCTGGTCCTGGCCGAGATGCGGCGGTGGCCTGCAGATACACCGAGAGAATTACCAAGCCGACGGCACCCACCAGAGGCTGAGACGGGTACCTCCCTTGCAGCATCACGTTCAGAACCGCCGTCAGCACGATGCCGCATACGATGGTGAAGCCCTTCGCGACGCCGCCGACGTACTTGGTCACCTAAAAAGTATCGCAAGAAAAAACTGTTTCAGTGTGAACTTGTGATGCAGAAAATGGGACACAGAACTATTTGTCTTGCTACACCTGCAAGACACTGGATTTGCAAGCGTGTTTTCCCTTGGGAAGCGCGCATGACAAATTTTGAGTGTCATGTGTAACTAATTTGTGATGCAGATCTTGCAAAGTCATCACAGTGAAACAGTTTTTTCGTGGGATAAAAAGGAACGCATACATAATACGATAAACATAAATCATAGTGCTACAACTAGATGCCGATTTATTAGCTTTCAATTTTTGGACTCATCTACTTCTCGCATATTATGTGTAAGCTAAGCATACCCGCCTCGTCCATGATACCAGCGGCGCTTTGTAGCTCCTGCAATACGACTTTCTGAGTAGTAAGTAGGTACCTGTCCAACCACGATCCCACCAGACGCTTGCAACAGCAGCGGCACGCAGCTTAGTAGCTCCGGAATGTGCACGGTTTTGGATTATCGACTGCGAATATGTCTGGGTCTGGAAAAGAGCAGCTACTTACCCCCTCTGATGCTTGTTGTTTCGCATTCCTGCAATTGCAAAATCTGTGCTGCATCACCAAAAAAGTCGTGGCGCAATGATCCACCAGGTTTCCAGACCCAGACATATTTTCATTTGCACTGGATATGGATGGAAATAGCGCCATTCTGTCTTGTGGAGGCAGCCAGAGCAGGTCGTAGGCGTACACTCCGAGGATTTGTAAAGCCGTCAGCGAAAAAGTCGCACACGACAGCTCCAGCGAGAACAGATACGCGTTCTTCTTGCCTTGTGGTGCAGGACTGGGAGTAGAAGATGTCGAATCACTTGTTCCTGTGGTTGTGCTTATCTCCTTCGGTCTACTTGCAGCTCTACTGCTCGTCGCCGAAGCACTCGCTTCTGAAGCAGTGCCAGCAGCAGTTTTTCGTGTCTTGCTTCGATTTTCTCCTGGAGTGCGATTCCGGTCTCGACTTGTCTTCGCATTGGATTGCAACTTGTAAACTGTTGTTCCCGGTGACGTAGTTGAGGGTCCTGTCACGGAATTATTCCTGTCGCTGTGCATCTCCTTCTCGGAGTCTTGGCTCGATGTGGCAGCTGCGCTCCCTGCCGTTGTGCCCTGCAGCTTGGAGGTTTCTGCATCAGTCTTGCTTTCGTGGTCTGTGCCTGCTTCGGTCGTGGCGTCGCTTCTGCCATCTTTATTGTAGTTGTTCCCTGAAAACAACTTTTTCGGTTGAGTGCTCACCGAGGATTTCGAGGTCAGCAACATGGACCGTTCGCACATTGCAGAGCCAAAGCCCGACAAAAATGCAGCGCCGAGGGCATATACGAATCCGAGCGTAAATACTCCAAGCTCAGCGTCCCGTGGGTTCGGCGTCGACGAGCCGGCTTCCGTAAGCCTAAGAAGGACGACGGCACAGAAAAGCAGCAGAACGGCGACCTAAGTGTTGCGAATTCTACTAAATTCATTTTCTTATTCCTTCTGCTTCTAGGTCCAACGAAGCACGTCTTGCACCTCATCATCTACATCACTTCATTTACGTACGAGACACTGAGCTTGACACAAACACCATAAGCTGCGCCAATAGCTTTATGCAAAAGCTAGTAGATGTAGAATACGAAAAATCTACAATACCATTTCTCGGGCGTTTGTTCGGCGGCCAAGGATGAAATACGTAAAAAAGACGGTAAATGCCACTTTTGTCGGGTTGAGTAGATTTGACACGACCGGATCCAGGCTGAGCATAGCGAGGTAAATGAATATGTTCTGCAGGCTGTAGCTTACGCTGGGAATGAAAGCGGGCACCACTGACGTTTCCCACGACAGCGAGCGCATGCTGGATTTGAACTTCCCGATAACGGCGAGTCCCGCAAGCGAAAAAAAAATTTTGGAACCCTCGGTCAACAGAACCATCACGCGTGGATTCACCACAGGGTCGCGGCGGGCGTAATCTGGGCATGGTTTATTCCTTCGTTTCTCTTTCTTGCCGCTGCCAACAATGACCAATGTTGCGTATTACGATCAGATCAAGGTCGAAACACAGATCACGTGCCCAGCAAAGAATATGACTTTTTTTCATTCTCTTTAGTACTCACAGCGCGTCGCACAGAGATCTTTGACTTACCTCCCGAGAGGTGCTGTGTGACGATTGGTTGCACCGCGAACTGAAACATAAGCAGGACCATCCATGGCAAACCGCGGGCGTAGTCATACTGCAACGCCGACGTGTTTGCGACCGGCTTCAGCGGACTCAACATGCTTGTGTGAGGACAACCGGCGTGCTCCCCCGGCACAGGTTCCTTTGGACAGCACGTTTCCACTTTGGTATCAAATACTACTCCACGACGTTTCAGACCGCATTTATTCTTTCCCCGGTTCACTCATTTTCCATGTCGTGTGCATTGTAGCAAGCGAAAAAGAGGAACAAGAGATGGTGCAAACGATCGTTAGCTGGTAATAGCGAGGTCATGTCTGTTTCTGTCACAGCGCAGCAAGAGTTTGCGAACAGGGCGCCCAGAAGATTGATGCGGAGGAGCAACGTAGTTTGTATTCTGAAAGTAAAAGCCTACCTGAGTAAATCAAACAAACTCTGTACAGAGTGACTGAGTATTGAAGAAGTAGAATTCAAAAAAAATGAAAAGTGCGTCTGGATGACGTGATCTACTTCGAGAATAAACTCAGAAACCCGAAAAGGCCGACGTCGAATGTTGCGTCTTAATTATGAGTCCGTGCATTTGTAATGATCCAGAAATGTCATCGACTGAAAAAAATGCAAATGGCATCCAAAGAAAAATTTTCAAAGGAGTACTCGCCGAATCGGTATACAAGAAAGCGGAAGGAAGCTGAAGAGCTCGGATCGGTTCTTCCAGTACCAGTACCAGTTCCACTTTCTTCAGCAAAGAGAAATCAGTCGGGTGCTCGCTTCTTCAGGCGAGCGAGTAGCTGTAGCTGTTTAAACGTGCTATCTGTAAATAGCTGGCGAGCGAGTAGTGTTTCAACTTATCACCGCCAGAGCTTGACGAAGCACCACCCTGCTTAGCTGTGAACGGCCAAACTCGGGGAGTTGCCGAGAAGAAGGAAGGCCGAGCCCTTCAATCAGCCCCGGCTTAAGAAAGGCGCAATATTGCCACCCCTACTTCCATACCGCACTAATCAACCTCCGCACAACCACAAGGTTCCAAACAAGCCTCCTCTGCTTGCCCTTCCTTGCGTCAAAGCAGGCGCCTAAGAAAAGGCAGGTCCTAAGCAAGACTTCTCTTCTTGCCCTTCCTGCCTACACCACTTCCGGAGCCGGAACTCTAGTAGCGACACGCAAACGCCACCAGGAAACACAGGAAAGCACGGAGTTATGCCCTGCATCGCCCAGTTGCCTCCCTAAAAGCCGTCAACCTACCCTGCTGCTCCGCCGTTCCTCTGTTGTGGCCGTGCGGCTCTTGTTGACCCAAGAACGACAAACCCACCGACTGATAGACGCTGGCGAGGGACATCATTTTTACGGTCTCGCTTGTTTATTCTTGGTTGCAGCAAGCACAGAAAAAATTTCCTTCGTTCCGTTCTTCGTTCGGATTCACGACCACGACGTTGTCATCACCGGCCTATACGCTAGCGTCACGTACCTACGCGTAGTCGACGCACCTCGTCGTCGGCTTAGAAGATTTAGATTTACACATATATAACAACCAAGATCTGCGTAAATAAAATTCCATGATTGAGTTGAAGTGTGGTTTCAAACTCATTGCCATTCACTTCATAAGCGTCTTGTCGAATGTGTAATTCGACGTGCCAAAACCCCTAAGGGGATCGGATGCCACAGGTAACTCTGAGAAGAACCCGAGTGGCAAACGCTGTTCCTGAGTCATCGCGTACCACCGCCTGTCCGCAGGTGCCACACCGTTGCATTCTTCGTATCTCCAAACGGCGTCAAAAAATGTACCGCACATCGGTCGCTGGGACTGCACTGTGAAGAAGATTCCATCGACCTGCTTGTCAAGCGTTCCGAAAGGGTCTTTGCCCAGCGTGTTCTTGAGACCGATGCCGCGTCCTGAAAGAGACCGGCTCACGTCCGTGATCATCGGCCAGAACGGCATTGCGAACGTGAACAGCATGGCCAGAATCTCAAAAGTGAAAACCGCTCGAGGAAGGAGCAGACTGGCGCTCTTCGGTACCACGCGCCCGCGCAGCTGTGGGTCCTGGTGCGCCGCTGGTTCATCGATGTTGTTCTTGTTTCCCTTGTTCGCGGTCGAATCCCTAAACAGGGCTGACTTTCTGTCTCCCAAGTTGCCGGCTTGGAGGACCATGAGCAATGCGCTGAATAACACGGCGCAGATCCAGCCTGAAACCAGGCAGACCGCGCGTAGCCGATAGCAGGTTGGGAAAAGTTGAAGCATCGCTCTTTGCATGATGCTGTGATCGTCGCATTTCGCAGCCGCCAACCCAACGGGCGTCGCGAAAAAAAACTGCCAATCACCCTCCGTCATCTCGTCGGACATTCCAAACAATGCTTCCCCGAAACCGAACCCCTCCCCGGTAAACTGCAATGTCTCGAAAATCAAAAGCGTTGCCATGCCCACCGGAGCCACAATGAGATGGATGAAACTCATAAACCAGTAGTTCTTCTTCAAATGCATCTTCGTGAAGGCTAGATCCTGCACCTGCACCGGGGACCCTCCAGCCGCCACACGTTCCGCATGCTGCCCGTCGAGTTGCATCGGCGAGAGCGCCACTTCGCCCTGGTCCGTGCGGGGGTGCGGTAACCGTTTCTCGTCCTCTCCCTCCTCGTCATCAAGAAGGTATGACGCGCCAGGAACAGCCGCGGTTAGAAACATGCACACGGAAGGAAGAGTGAGCCACAGCACTCGCCCAGCGATATGGCTCAGATGCTCCGTCGCAATCACGTCCAGGTTGAATGTATTCCCCACGATACCTTCCCACGTGTTCTCCTCCCAACCCTTCTCCTGGGACCTCCAGCTCCAATAGAAGTTACTGCAAACCCGGTTATAGATGACCAATGTGTAGCGCGATAGCAGCACACAGACCGTGTGCACAATCAGGCAGGCCGTCCAAACGCGCCCTTCGCTGCTTTCCGCGCGCTGGCAGACGGCAGACAGCGTCCCCGCGTAGAAAAAGTCCCAGGGTAGAATCACGTACAACTCGAGGCTGCCAACGGGTCCGTCATCTCGTTCTTGTTCTACTGCTTCACCTTCGCGATGATCTTGTTCACTAAGTGGCCGCGCTCCCCCCTCTCCTCTAGGCCGCGAGCCTGTAGATAATGTAGGTGGTTCCCATTTCGGAAGGATCAACGTCTCTGGGAAGAACACCATTTTGATTGGAAGCGCGATACCGATTAAAAATAAAATCGCTCCATACCCCAGCATGAGCAGCACCGCCGAGAAAATCCAGTCGACTTTTCGCAGCGCAAGGTCGTACGCGAGCAGAAACTGCGTTACTAGCTCGACGATCGTCCCTACCTCGCGAATTGTGCGAACTTTTTGGACAGTCGCTTTGCGAAGATCTGAGACATCCGCATGTGTTGTCGAGGTCGCGTTTTCCAGTCGCGCGTCAGTCGTGCGCATGACCTCGAGCTGTGCGCCCTGCTCGCGAATCTGCGCCTTCTGTGCCGCAATTTCAGTCGCTTGCCGATGGACCAAGAGCTCCAACTGCTGCAGACGCTGCTCCCAGGGCGGTAGAGCATCCTGCTGCCCATCCTGCTGCCCCCCCAGCTGCTCCTGTTCGCCTCCTAGCGGCAGCTGTTTCATCGAATTCTGTTTATCGGTTCGTCGCTCATGGTCCTCCGTGGCACGATCCACATCCGGGTATTCGGGCTGGGACGCTGCGACGGCACTGAACAAAAAAGACGCGCCTTCCACGCTTTGTGCTGTCTTCTGCTCGCCTGCAACAAAACCAAAACTAGACCGCTCGTTGTCTGTATGTGTGACCACGACGGTCGCAGCTATTTTTAGGGGATGTTGTGCTGCGAAGCCTTCTATCCCGATGCGAGTTGCCGAAACGGTTCGTGCGCGCTTTTTGACAAAGGGACTGAGTACTCGTGGGGCAACCAGTTGCGGAGGCAGCTCCGGTTTGCGACTTCTCTGGCACGTCCCCAACTACTCCGTCCCACCGTCCATCTTTGACTGCACTGCTTCCGTTACTCTGCGTCAGGATGTTTCCGGCGCTCAGGGCTAGAAAAACCGCTAGTTTCTCGCCCATTCGGGACCGTGGTGATTTGGTATCGTGCGGCAAGAAGGGCCGTCTCCTGGTCGATGATGATGTCCGACAGGCGAATCCAGCAGAAGCACGATCTTTAATAGCCCCAGACCGAACCTGAGGGCCCTTCGGTCTCGCAGCATGTCCTGGGTGAGGAACAATCCTGACCTTCAGTAGAGAGTGGTGCTTTTCCGTCATGACAATGAAGGGTGTTGCCGAATTGGAATTTTAAATTGCTTTACAGTACTGGCTGGAGCTGCTATGAAAGCACAGCACGGTAATACATACGCACACCTACTAGTCACACTCGCAACCGACAAAGAAAAACTTTACGCTCTTTCAGCAAAGAGAAATCAAATTACCGAGGACGCTGATATTTTATCGGTGCTGACATCATCAGCCGCAGGAATCAAAGCGAAACTGCACAGGTGAAGCCCGGCTGCGTCAGCCTCTTGCCGGCTACATGAGACGTATGTTATGCCATTTGTGCTTCTCTTGAAGCACATCCAGCGGCTCCTTCTATTGATCAGTCGTATATCTTCGAACAGAGTCTACACATTTTGAGACGAGGCTGGAAACCGCGTAGTCAATAACCACGTCACCAGATGAGAGTGTCGGTTTACAACGAAATACTTTTGACCTGCGTCTCAACTGCAGAAACAGAAGCAGAATCGGGCACCATCATATTCGTGAGATTTATTTGTAGAAGGTGCAGGTGGACGTGGAGCGAGACGCAGCATTCATGATTATGTCATATATAAAACACTAAATTCCAAAACGGGACCAGTATCGAAAGTAGTCAGTTGTATCTAAGACGGTAGTTGGAGTTAGAACTTATCCATGGCGTGGCAATTCTTTCTCGTACAAAATTCGGTAAAAATTGGCAGCAGCTTTTCCTCGCCGCGGCGAGCAGGATGCTATAGTGTATTCGGTAAAAATTCTAGGATTCTTTAGATGTTCAAGAAACCGAAGCTTCTTCATATCCTATTATTGATCAGGTTTTTTTTCTCTTTGTTTGGGTTGACGTTGATGTTAGTTTGTCTTCTGGATTGTCTATAGCGTATATTGAAAGATGAAAAGTTATGGTAAAAGTCAAGCCTGTAGTGTATGAGGAATCCGGCTCAGTAATAGTCTTTTTCTCTATCTGTAAAAGTGTTTTTGAGGTGCTGTGAGGCTGTCACTGTACGCAGTTGCGTGCGCATAAGAAAACTGCGAGCGGGAAGAGGAAGCGCGTCGCCGGTTCCAGACATTTTCTTCCGAAAAATATGACGACTGGCGACACGGACACAGGTCTCCATGTATAATAATTCACAAGTTGTTCACACGAAAAAAGGAAAATGCCCGGAACATCAACTTCACAGGGTCTTATATTCTCCTCTAGGAAGGTAGCACATGGAGAAACCGTCGGGGTCACCCGTTCTTCATGCGGGTGGTGGTGGTGGTGGAGGCGGCACTGGTGGTGCGGGAACGTCAGCCGGCCCGACAATTGAGGCACCGAAGCCACCCGAGATTTCTTTCAACGCCTTCGGCTTGAATGGAATCTCCAACCCCGTGGGGGTTGCGTCGTTGCAGAGCCTTACCTTGCTGACGTACCCAAACGCTTCGCAAAATGCGAACATCTCCAGTTCTTTGGGTACGGGAGATCCCTGGGCCAGCCAAGGGTGCAAGTCCATATGGCATGCCATCACAATGTCCCGATTCGCGTACCTGTTGATGTTCGATGATTATATAGTGCTCAAATGCATGTTTTCGCACCAGTAAAGATTTTTTCCGCGGACGTGGGAAGAAGGGAAGACCAAGACAAGAAAGGAAGAAAAGCGAAAATAAGCAGAAGCCTTCCAAGGTGATTCCAACTAGAACTAGGTAGGAGTACCAGAACCAGAAATCAGAAAGCGGGAAAATATAGTAAATCTACATGGAAATGGTCCAAATCCAGTCGGCCTTGGTGCTGTCCTTCGGGCGGACCAGTACCGACATTCGGTCTCCTGGCTTCCATTTGATCGGCGCCGAGTCCTCCCCGTCGAGTATGTAGCGGATGTCTTTCTGTCCGTCCTTGTAGAGCCGCCGCGTCTGTCCATAGTACGGCCCGGAGAAAAACCAGCCCTGCTCGATCTTTTCCAGCCGCCGCGGAATTTTCTCGATCTGCCCCGGCACGTCCGGGTTCAGAAAAGACACGCCAAGGCCCAGACACCCGACACTTTCCTCGGGCTTCGGTGTCACCTCCACCACTTCCACCTCGACGAAGTACCCCTGCCCATGCCGCGGGATAGGCTGCGCGCTCACCGCAACGACGCCGTCGGGATTATCCAAAGAGAGTAGCCCCTTGATTGCGCGAGCGAAATTCTGTCGAGTTTTTCGATCAGACAAAAGTAAGTGCAGGGCACAGCAGCAGCGACCAGAAGCATCTAATTACTAGTATTTCATTTTTACATCAGTCACTTACTTTCCTTGCAGACAGATTCATCAAACAATATCGAGCTGGACTCATCTATATCACCTTCCCTGCGCCCTGGGCTGAATTTTGGTAAGAAGATGCGCGTGATAAAATCGCTCCATTGACGTCCGCAAACGTGCCACGGAGGTTCGTGTTCCAGGTGAGCTTCGTGGGATCAGTGAGGGTCGTGAAAGGAAACATCCAGGCATCGAAGATGAGTTTCAGAGACGTGGTCTCGTCGCTGCTTGCGGCGCTGGCCACGCGGCCCTTTATGTTTTCGCCCTTCACCATAATTCGGGTCTTGCCATCGATGAGCGCGTCGTACTTCTTGGTTTCCGCCACGTATCCCAAAATAATGCCCTCCCGTCCGTTGAAGCTCGCAGCCTTCTCGCTCTTCAGACCACATATCACGATCAGGTCGTTTGGCTGGAATAGCGGTAGGTCGGGCACTTTCGAGGGCTTCACTACGGAAGAGGACGACGCCACCGCCGTTTCGAGGCTTGAGGAAGCCCCTGCGGTAGAAGCCGAAGCAGCAGGGCCGCCCTGACTTACGCCTGTACTAGTAGTGCCCGACGCACCGCTCCCAGCGCCCTCCTCCTCCCGGCCTGGGGCGGCGGCAAGTTGGGCCGGACCGCCCGCCCCGTCTCCGGCAGATCCCGGAGACGGCAGCTTGCCTGCCTCCCCTGCTTCGACTTGCTGCTCGACGCCTGAAGTGCCAAACGTCTCCCCGTCCTTTTTCGGCACGCTCCGTAGCTTGACTGGTTGCTCCGGCTTCTGCCCAACGGGAACGAAGGATTGGACTTTCTGGTCAGAAAACCGCGTTGTTGACTGCAAGCACGTGCGAACATACCTTCAATTTACCATATTTGATGTTGAAACTACGGGGGGGCGTTCATTTTTCTTGGTGTATCTTCAAATCAAAATCTTAATCATTATGCTATGTATACGAAGCCTCCACACGCTCGACGCCCTGAAACGATTCGGACGTGTACACACCTTGCTCAATGTCCGCGAGATCGAGCAGCTTCGTTTCTTTCAAGGTTGGCAGGTTGATCGTGTCTTGCTTGCGAAACTTTGGCTCGGCACGCTCCACCAATGGCGGCGGCTTCATAAACTTCTTCGTTTCTACCCCGGGTGCTGCGGAGGAAGAGGACTGGTGTAAGTTTACGGTATGTGCTTGTGGAGGGGCGAGGCTCTTGCAGTTGCACTTTACTGTGTTTATTCATTGCAGAGACGCGCAAGCATGCGAAATTTCTGCCGCCAAAATCAAATCAGAAAACGGGATCCAGAATCTCGTCGCAGACATAGTAGACACAGTACCAGGAGCTCCTGCTTCTTCTTTGCAAAATATTCTTGCTCATCCTCGGAGTCGACATCGTCCGCACATACTCGCGCTGCATTGCCGTAGACTTCGTCGTCGTCACCATCTGTAGTGGCATTTTTTGGACATTGCACTACCGAACAGCACCGGCAAACTACTGCCTGTCTCACTGACCTCGCTAGAAAAGCTACGTACATCATACGCGGCTGATAAATTTCGTCTGCTGGGTCGTGCTGATGCGACAAGACACGCAGCGAACGCAGCACTTGGTCGAAGACACCATCTACATCTCTTACCTTCCGTTTCGTCCTGTGCACTCTCTTTTGGCACGGCGACCGGCTGTGAGCCAGTAGTTGATGAGGTTGATCGCGCTTTTTCAAAGCGAACGAGTTCGTCGACCCACGTGTCTGCGACGTCCGTTGCATTTTCCAACAGTTCTTCCAATGCGCACACACGTGACAACAAATTTACTGGACCTGAAATACAGTCAAAATCGAGTAAAAACTACGGACTGCGAGAATACTGGCGTGGGAGCCCATGTGGAGCTGGGGAGGCGTGGGCATCAAAAATCATGATCAATAGAAATAAAAGCGTAGAAGTACCGTCCCATCTTGGGTCTTTGTTATTTGTCTCGGAAAGCTTTGCTGTTTCGCACAAGGCTTTTATCCGCGGTATTCGGTCATTCCCCTTAAACAAGATAACCAATCTCCCCTGTTGTATATGTTTTAGACAATGCTATATGTCAACATGCACGTCTATCGCGAACTTCACTCACCACGAAGTAAAAAAACAGCGCATGAACCATGGAAAGCCGGTTGCCATGGTTCATGCGCTTCGGTGCGAGGTAGTATGGCTCGTACTCTCTGCCCGGCTTTGCGATTTTCCTCGATAAAATCCCGGAGAAAGCCCACGGAATTGAGGAATTCCATCTCGTAGCGCCGTTTTGTGACTGACTCATTGGATGCGTCCAGAAAAAGGTCTTGGTGGTCGGCGATGAGTTTCTCGGCGGTCTTGATCTCAACCTCCACCTGCACACCAAACGTCTCGGAAACCGACATCTTCACTGACGAGCAGGAGGAGGAGACCGTAGAACGGTACTATGGCCGCTCCTGTGGTCAATGCAGCGCGGTACACAGTGGCGTCCCCTTCCGCACCTCCTTCGGTCAGGCAACCAAACCCAAATCGCTTTTCTCGGTCATGATCCCAGGTTCCTCCGTAGCACTCGAATCTGTTCGCCTAAGTACGACCTACTAGCACACACGCGTACAACGAGATCGGAATCCATGACGCGATAGATAATATGTAGAGTTGTCAACTGGCTATTTATGTTCCTTAGTACACAAATCGACGCGGGGACAGCATGTTCGTTGACCTGTCACAACGACCATGACGAATAAACACGAAAAACAGCGCACACTGAAAAATTGCCCTTCGATCAACATACGTCTCGCAAAAGAGGAGCTAAATTGAAGGTAGATATATTCTTTCAGTGTGAGATAAGTCAGTGCGTCGATACTATCTTAGCTTATACGCAACCTACTGCAGCTGGACCCGCAAAGAGAAATACGCTCGCACCAGATAGCACCGTTAATATCGTGATCGCGCTCGAAAGATACTACTTGTATGTTTCATACACATGAATGTAGTACGTTGAGGTCGAGTTGGACTTTCCATACTCGAATATTTACCTTTCACCACCACTCGTTTCGACGAACTGCCTCTGGCTTTGCGTTCGGCTAACGTCGTTTGCTAGCTACAACGGAAAAGAACAAAAGTGTAGCAAAACTCCGTCGAACGGAGGCATCATGCGAGAGTCGCTGCAGCAGACCCCAGGCTGCAATGACGTGATGCATTGTCGCAACGCGATTTCACTTTGTGAGCATCGATCCATAGTTAAGTGCCTGCGCCTGTACTAGCCGTGATATGCCTAGGTTTCTCGCGTTGTCGCGCAGATGCAGATCAATTTATTGGTATTGTCCACGCGTTTGCGAAATAAAACAACACGCGCTCGTCTGAGCTAAGAATTCAGCAGATCATGGGCAGTACTAGTAGCACCTGGAAAGGAATGCCATAGCCATACCTACTAGGTCTAGGGGCAATACGTACATAGAAAACTGGTCAACATCAAGCGAGTGTTGATGTTGGGAAAAGAAAACGAGACGGAGAGCGTTAATCTGTACCTCGTGGGGAAGAGGAAAACACCGCCGGGGGAAATACACTGGCGGCAATTCCAACGCGCTCCGTCCATGGCTCGCTTCACTCATCTTTTGCAACCGTATTTGAGCCCACAGCTAGACTGAGCTCCAGAAGCCGACTGTATTCTCCTTGTAGTTTTTCTAGCTGAGCTTTGCGCGCAAGCTTTCGCTCTTCCTGCACTTCGATGTATTGTGCCAGGATGTTTTGGTTCTGCTGCGCTTCCTGAAGCTGGGGCAGCACGTCGTCGATGTACCTGTCGAGCAGGTTGGATACCTCGAGCAGATCGCTTGCAACCTGCCCCATCATATTTTGCTCCTTCTCTTTCACTTCATAGGCCGTCAGGAGCCCGGTCGGGTCCGCTCCCGCCCCGCCACCCGCGGCTTCATCGGTCGAGGTTCCATGCATATCACCGAGGATCAACGTGCTTGTCTCCAGAGCCCAGTCTCGCCACTCCTGCGGGAGGAGAAGCCAGTACGGTGTGACTTCGTTCTTGATACTTTCTTCCTTGATCGCACGCGACATCATCCGTCGCGAGGCCGCACTCTTCCCGCCCGGGGACTTGTTGGACCGCTGATGATGCCCCCGTCCGGAGGTCGGAGACGGGGGTTTGTGTGGACGAGCGACGGTGGAAGCAGACGCAGCGCTTTGGTCCAGTTCTACTCTGGGGAGGTCCGCATTAACATCATCGAGGTCGAACCCCTCCCCCGCGGCCCCTCCGCTGTGGAGGTGCCCCCCCGTTCCCAAAGGGTCCAGGAGCTCCCGGGTATATTCCTTGTCGAAGTGCTGGAAATTCTTATCCATCACGGCAAAGAACACGTTCATGAGCAGGTAGTAGAAAAGCATTAGGAAGGGAAAGAAGAACACCGGGGCCATGGTGGGATCGGCGGCGGAGAGCAGCGAAAACGCGTAGTTGCCAAGAATCATCTCGTAAACCTCCAGCAATCCGTCGGACAAATTGGAGAACTCCTTGTGGTACCGCCCGAAAAACAGGTTCCCCGCGAGCACGAAGCCCCAGAAGATGACGAAGAAAAGCAGGAAAAACCAACTGATGTCCTTGAAACCCCCCGCGAGACTCTGAAAGATGACCGTCATGCGGCCGGCGGTTCGGAAGAATTTCAGAAGCCGGAAAAAGATGAAGACCACGTTCAGCGCAGCCGTGGCTACGAAGAGGTCCTGCTTCTTGGCCGCCTGAAAGAAAGCCGCCATCACCTCGGCGTCGCTGCACCACCACCCGCTTTGGATGTCGCAGCCCTCCCAGGTGGGGTTTTCGTACTGCACGTACTGGGCAAGGAACGCATCGCTGGAGAACCGCATCCACAGCAGGATCGACGTGATGCTCAAGATGTAGGAAACGAGGTCCACGGTGTTGAAGAGGTCCATGCAGAAATGGTGGAGAAACGCCTGCAGCCCTGCTTTGAGATACTCAGTAATGCTGAGCCTAATCCCGTGAGTCGGATCCACTTCGGCAGCTGCTGCCTCGGCAAATTGTGGCGGTTTCGAAGATGTGGCCCCCCCATCTTCGTGCTCATCTTGCAATTTCACCAACTGGGGCTTGGGCGGCGCAACCGGAACGAAATTCGCGGGGTCGTCAAGGAGTCCCTCGTCGAACAGCTTTTCTGCGAGCAGCCGGTTCTTCTTCTCGACGAACTCAGCGTGCACCTCTACGCCCTCCTCGATTATGTAGTACGCCAGGTACACGAGATAGATCATTTCGAGGAGGACCCGAATCACGTTGGCTGTTTTGTCAAACGTGTAGTACTGCACGGGAAGGGACTTCAGCGTGATGCGCTTCTCCACGCCGCCGCCGGGGGGAAAGGTGAAGCCGACAATGGCCAGGCTGAAAATCTGCAGCTGCGCGTTGAATACGAGAAATTCCACGACCAGGTTCGCCGTTTGCGCCGAGACGTAGTTCAGTTCCTCCATCTGTCGGGTGTCCCTGTCAAACAAACGCGCGTGCACACTGAGGCTGCGCACGAATGCGGACTGCTCGTTGAAGCCGGTCGTGAAATTGCCGAGCACCAGTCGCTGCCTCACGTCCACGACGTCCGCATATCAAAAGGAAAAACTCCCCCTCCCCATATCAAAACGAAGTTTCTGATGCTGGATTTGCGTACACAAATCAGATTTGTCCTGCTGGAGAGGACTGCAGGCCTATACTAAGCCTGAGTAGAGAGGTTTTCTGCTAGGCGCTAAGCATGGCAAACGCCTAGGCTGTAGGGCCAACAGCATCACAAACCGCCTGCAGAATGTGGCGTAGCCTGTGTAGTTTCGGTCCTGCAAGACAGAGATGATTTGAGGGCACAAATGAGCATTACAAATTTCCTGAGACGTGCCTTTTCGATATGGGGAGGGGGGATTTTTGCTTACGATACCGCAGCTTTTTTCACCTGGTCCGCGAATACATCCTCGGCCTGCACCGACAGGTCGCGGACCGTGCTAGTGCGCTGGTACAGCAAATCGCTGGGTAGTAGAGCGGCTGAAGTTGTTGATGTACTAGAAGAACTACTCGCAGCACTTGCGCTTGCGGTAAGGTAGGGTGTTGCCTCCATGGGAAAAAGTCTCTGCGTGAGCCGGACAGGCTTTTGCCCCAAGACCACGTTCCAGTTGCGAATCACCAACTGCTTGCAGCCCCTCTCCCCGGGCTCGTTGCCTTCGCAAATGCCATCAATAGAGGTGTGATATCGGTCCAGGAACTTCGACGCGCTCGAAAGGTCGTCGCCGGGCAGCGACTCGCTGGACTCGAAGAGCGCGTACCGCAAGCCGGTGCGCAACCAGCGCAGGACGTCCGCGCGCGATTCGATACCGTCGAAAGTCGCGTACCGCTGCCCCGAGGTTGAGGACGGAAACGTGGCGTACCGCAACGCGTCCTTGATGGGCTCGCCGGCGTGAAAGGTGTCGCTCCGCTGCAGCTGCAGGTAGAGGATCACAAAGTAGAACACGACAAACAGTGCGTACAGCACTTTCGTTGTCAATCCATCCTCCTGCGGCTCCTCCTCCTCATCCTTCTCTTCGACGCCAAAGCCCAGGAACCGCTTAGCCTTGTCCGCCGCTGCGTGCACATTCGTGTGTGCCCTCAAAAAGACCGCCGACTTCCACCGGTTGAACTTGTCCTGCGCGCCAACCTCGCTCTCGTCGTCGTCGTCCTCCTCCCCCTGTTCCCCGGAACTCAGGTCGGACTGTCGTTTGAGCGCCTCGCGGGCCTCGGCGTCGTTGACGGCGTCGACGTTATGGATTGCAAATATGTCTGGGTCTGGAAGAGCACAACTTTGTCATGCACATTTTCCACGATCCATGATGTCTGTGATGTATGCCATAGCGTTACAGATTTTTTGGGCGCTGGCTTATCTATGCGCACCCAGCATGACAAATGCCCTCTCCGCGTGGTAGCCAAATTAATCTTTAGCATCCAAATGCAGCATCACAAGTTTGGCTCTTCCAGACCCAGACATTTTTGCATTTGATGCACATACGCCGCGTTCAAAATCGCGTTATTCAAGTTGACGAGAATGAAGTAGAAGAGAAGCATGAAGATGAGAAAAAATATCCTCGATCGCACCGGGTACTCCACGATGAGCAGATCGTACACGTCCACCTTCCCGCCCATCATCTCGAACAGGGACACAAACGCGTCGCTCTGCGTGCCAAACTCCGTCAACCGGCTGCCGAACTGGATGTTCGAGAAGTTGACGAAGCCGAGGAACAAAATCGTGCAAAAAAGCGTGAAGCACACGAGCGCGGTGGCCGACCGGGCAACCATGTCAATCAGGATGCGGACGCGGACGGAGGCGATCCGCAGGTAGGAGAGTAAGTTCACGTATTGGAAGAAGAACGCCAGCCCAGCGATGCGCTGGAACAACAGAAAGCTCGCCGCTTGCTTCTCGAACTTCTCCATCATGGCACTGAAGCCCGCGGCGTTCAGCGCATCAGTGGTCCCGGTGGCTACGGCGCTGCTCTGCTCGAAGGCGTTCAGGTCCGGGAGCGCCGAGTCCTGACTCTGGTAGGAGATCCAGACGGTGTGCACGACGTAAAACAACACGATGTTGAGCAGCATCAGGTAATTCCAAACCGTCCACTTTTGGTTTCCTCCGCCGAACAGGACACGGACCGTCCACAGAATCAGCACCGCCAGGGTCATTTTGTCGTCCGCCTGGTACATACCGAGACCAATGTCCGTCGCGACGCTCTCGGCGTTGCCCGTGAGGTCCAGCGTGTCGAGCTGGTACTCGCAACTCACGCTCCCGGCGACGTTGAAGGTGAAGATCAGCTGCACCCAGGTGTGCAGCCGCAAATTCGGATTGTAACTTACGAAGTCCACCGCAACCGTGCTGGTGTAGCGATCGATGAACTTATGAAGAGTGCACAGCAACCCCTGTGGCCCCTCATACATTGGTGCCATGCTACTTAAGAAAAGACTGCGCAGTCGAGTCAGGGGGTGCTATTTCGGTGTGTCATGTTGGGAAACTAAGGGCAGGGCGTCCCTTTGTAAAACAAAACTACAAACATGAAACCGCATACCCGGTAAACTCTAAAACAGAAAATTGAACAACGCGATTTCTACCGAGAGACAACAACAGAAACTCCTGGGACGGCTGCGACGTGAGTTCTGTTGTTATCTGAGTAGGAATAGCTCTGTGCAATGATCGTGTCTTAGCACCGAGGGAACAGAAATAAAAAGTAAAAAAGCGTGAAGCAGCTAACTATGACACAGTCCCACCTACTGAAAAAACCATCCTAAAGGTGGTATCTGGAATTTCTAGCAGGGAAAAACTTAGTGGTTTGGAAAATGGGGTTGCGATCGTGGTGCCAACGTATTTCGGTGTGTCATGCAAAAATCTCTGCTCTGGTGTTGGTTGCGTCGTTGCTCATGCCTTTCAGATGAGGAGGCGAGGGCGACTTATGGCTGCACTCGGATAGAACTGCCCGTCCTTCACGACCTCTTTGAGGACAAGCGCAAGCTGTTCTACCGCTGGCGTCTCACTGCTGGACCGTTGCGTCACCTCCACCAGTTGCACAAAGGCAAGCTGCTTCTTGCTCCCGTAGGGTAAAACCGCGTGCGACGTGCTGCGGTGAAACTGGTTCAAACTCGGCAGAAAGATGGTTCGTCCATTGCTGACCAACGTCGGCGGCACCAGTTCCGAGGCATAGTTCGGCATCGTTGGGTAATACGGCGCGGAAAGCGTCAGGTCGTCTTTGCTGTAGGACCGAAACTTGCAGTAGGAACAGACGTCGGAACCGGCGTTGGCGCAGTCTGACGGCACCAGCAGGCACCCGCAGTCGTACAGCCCGCACAAGCGCTTGCACGTATCCAGCGTCTCCCCGACCACCACGTGCGCTAGCTCCTTGCCCCCGATGCAGACCTTGTTCGGGAAGATGTTGAACTGCAGCTCCTGTTTGCCCGCATCACCGAACGAGGAACGGCGCCAACTGCGGTAGGCGCCGTAGTGCGTCAGATCGTCGAACTCCTCGGTTTCGTCGTGCACTGAGACCCCGGCCATGCTGCCCCAGACCTCGGGCGCTAGAAGCTTGAAGTCCTTGTCTTCATTGGCCACCATCTTCATGCGTCGCGTCGATATTCGCAGGGGCGTGAGCACGCGGTTCGCGGCGCTGGGAGCCGTGACGGCTTTCGGGAGCGCTTCGGTGAAGAACGCCTCGACGTCCTCCAGGCTCTGTATGTTTTCCCATCGCCGCGAGAAGTATCCCCAGAAAAAAACCCATCCATATCCATTTTATGCATGACAAACAGTGGATTTTATTCTTATGCATGTTTTGCATGACAAATTGGATGTGGATGGGTGTTTTTTCCTGGATAAGAAGCCGTGTTGGTCTACGTAGGTTGCGGCCTTGATAGATGTAGACCAGACCCGGTTCACCTCGTACGCGTCGCCTGTCCGGACGCGATTACTCACATAGTACAAGGGCCAGATCAAAAACGTGAGAACGTACAGAAGAAACTCAAACCCCGATAATCGCGCTGCTGCGTCCTGTTGTATGAAAGTTTGCCGCGCGAATCCCGGCCCGAGGATCCGTTGCCGGTACGGCTCCGTTCTGTCAATCATCACCATCTTCACGGATTCGTCTTTGCGCAAATAAATGGTCCTTCCGAAAAAGCCGCTCGCATTGGGATTGTGTTTGTGATTGTGTCTATGTCAAGCATGCATTGCATATATAGTGCCCCTGTCTCCTCTCAGCAGCACTTAGTTTCACCTTCTGAGTAGAAGCAACAGCGATCCTCGTCAGAACTTCACTCTTTGCTTCCTGGACAGCCTCATCACGATGGCGATCGTGTTCGTGTCACCGTGGATTACGACCATAATTACCAGGAGACGGCATCTGTAATGGGACACGACCGCGTCTGCTCTCACTGCTCTTTTACACTCGGTCTTACAGAAGTAGCCGGCAGATTCACGAGAAAATTGCCAGCCGCTTCAGCAAAATATCTTCAACGGATACCGTTCCTAGCTTTGTGGCTGGGCATCCACAGCTAAACATGCTAGCGGAGAATGGGCTAGGTAGTAAAGAAGAACACAAGGAGTCGTGCCGGCTGTCAGACGGACTGCTTCACTGTCGCTTCAGCCACTTTCAACATTTCTTGCGAGTGGATTGTCTTTAGCAGAGACGCCCTTGCGACCAAAACCTAGTAGCACATCGGCAGGCGGTCCTTAGGAACAACATCAGAGTGGTAGTTTTATTCTTCAATCACCTCGATTTGAACACCCTGATCTTCCTGCTCTTGTTCCTCCGATGAATGCATGGATGTCAAGTCTCCCGCATCGGTGGTTAGCGCTGCGTCTCGAAGGAGGTTCCGTGTCAAGTTGTTGGTTGCCGAGTTCGTTGCCGTCCGCACCGCATTCGTGTACGCTGCCGCAGTAGGCGATGGCAACGTACTGAGGTAAGCGAAGTGTGCGGAATGGACCTGGAAAGACGGGATCTTTTTCATGACGAAGGCTAAGGCGATGTTGAGCGACCAGGTGCGCTTCTGCTCCAAGTAATACCCCGTGACGGCAGCGGCAGCGCTGCTGTCCTCCGCACTCAACACAAGTAGCCGATCCGCATGCTGTTCAGCCTTTGGAACCTTCTCCAGCAGGTACTCGACACTCTGCGGGAGGGGCAGTGCGGTCGTGCTCAGGAACTTCTTCGCGTCCCGCAATTGCAGTGCGTGCTTCGCGTCCAATAGCAGGTCGACTAAGGCTTTCTGTCGCCGACACACGTGCGCACATTCCGCAGCAACACTGGACACGACGAGCAACACCTCGGTGATGTTCATTGCCTCGACGACGTCGCAGAGATTTTCGATACTAGTCCGCGCTCGGTTCGGCATAGACGTTGCGTCTACTGAGCCCGAGGACACTTCATGTCGTGCAACCGCCGCTTCTAGTACTGGAGGCAGCTGCTGCTCCATGAGGTTTTCTTGAACAGCAGCCTCCTCTGGCGCAACCAGGTCTACGTTGTCGCTTGCGAAGAATCCCGATCCGGCGCAAAAAAAATGATTCGAAAAGGCAATCGGAAGTCGCAGGCTCTTAGTTCGCGCCTCGCAGGCGTGCTCGGGTTCCCGTTCCCCAGGGATGCTGTCAGTAGTGCGACGCAGCAGGAGCGGGAACTCCCGCACACAGTCCTCGAAAGAGATCTGATAAACCTCGTCGAAGTTGAACCGCGTTTGCAAAGCCACAACATTGTCACAGACATACACCAATGCGCGTCTTTTGACCTTTGTCGCCCTGTCTGCTCCTGATGAACCAGCCTCAGCCTCAAAAGCCGCCAAGACGTCGTCCAGCACGAGGTGGACCTGTAGGTCGTCGCCACTCTTTGCGCCGGAGGCCAGCGGAGCTTCTCCCTTGTTTGTCTCTGGGTACCCAACCCATCGAAAGCCCTTGATGTGCCCCGCGTCGAATGACTTCCGACTTCGTCGGAAGTCAACGAGGAAGTACTTCGTAGCGCTTGTCCCGGGAGGTAGCTGCAAGATGTTCCATAACTGTAGCGGCTTCATAATTTTCGCTCCCGTTGGAGGCTTACTCGGCCCAGAAGAAGTTGCACCCAGAGCCATTCCCGCATGCGACAGCAACAGACCGGCAGGGTTTGGGGCCCCGGCTCCCGAACCCATAGGCGCCATCATGGGTTTCAGAAAAACTAAAACAACAGCTGTGCTTCTCACAGACTCCTAGTTCGAATCAAACAATGCCATAAACTACAGAGATGCTTACGAATCACGTAACGAAAGCGATCCCTTGACGTGGATCTGGATGCTCTACGTATTTACAGATGTAGCCCTGTCCTTTCCATCAAGTTAGATATACACACTGAGTCGCTACGTTTGTCTGTTTTTCCGCTCAACACAACTGACCACAAGAATTTTGCCTGAAAAGTACCGGGGACGCTGCAGGAGATGATGTCAAAAGGAGATGATAGGAGATCGCTTTGCTATCTTTGACACAGTGGTTTTTCAAGCGTCCAATCGGCTCGATCTTCGCCAACAATCACAAAAGGGCAGTGGCACAACTACATATAGATATCACTATCAGTCACATATCTACTTCACCGATGCTATTTGAATTACTTCAAATTCTAGCTACCAGTACCACCCAAGAAGCAAAATAATACTGAGCGGCACTGTAGCTCAGCTCGCGTGGACCGCCACACGAGGCCGAGCGGCAAGGAATGAACACTGTCGCGACTGCTAGCCATGTGATCGGGGCCCTGCCTCCACGCAAGGCCGAAGCCCTTCAAGATGGTCCGAGATGCCCCCTGTTCTCCAAATGCGAGCGACTGAAGAAGATCCTTGCGCCCGCCCACTCTGTAACCTACCAGATCGAGATGGATCCGGCCCCCAGCTGGTTGGTTGGATAATTCAGGCCCGGCGACCTGGATCAGAGCTGGGCCCAGCTTCGCGCGCTGACCTGAGTCAAAACGTGGCCCAGTGCGTTTTCGCTTTGCGTTTTCGCTTTGCGTTTTCGCTTTGCGTTTTCGCTTTGCGTTTTCGCTTTGCGTTTTCGCTTTGCGTTTTCGCTTTGCGTTTTCGCTTTGCGTTTTCGCTTTGCGTTTTCGCTTTGCGTTTTCGCTTTGCGTTTTCGCTTTGCGTTTTCGCTTTGCGTTTTCGCTTTGCGTTTTCGCTTTGCGTTTTCGCTTTGCGTTTTCGCTTTGCGTTTTCGCTTTGCGTTTTCGCTTTGCGTTTTCGCTTTGCGTTTTCGCTTTGCGTTTTCGCTTTGCGTTTTCGCTTTGCGTTTTCGCTTTGCGTTTTCGCTTTGCGTTTTCGCTTTGCGTTTTCGCTTTGCGTTTTCGCTTTGCGTTTTCGCTTTGCGTTTTCGCTTTGCGTTTTCGCTTTGCGTTTTCGCTTTGCGTTTTCGCTTTGCGTTTTCGCTTTGCGTTTTCGCTTTGCGTTTTCGCTTTGCGTTTTCGCTTTGCGTTTTCGCTTTGCGTTTTCGCTTTGCGTTTTCGCTTTGCGTTTTCGCTTTGCGTTTTCGCTTTGCGTTTTCGCTTTGCGTTTTCGCTTTGCGTTTTCGCTTTGCGTTTTCGCTTTGCGTTTTCGCTTTGCGTTTTCGCTTTGCGTTTTCGCTTTGCGTTTTCGCTTTGCGTTTTCGCTTTGCGTTTTCGCTTTGCGTTTTCGCTTTGCGTTTTCGCTTTGCGTTTTCGCTTTGCGTTTTCGCTTTGCGTTTTCGCTTTGCGTTTTCGCTTTGCGTTTTCGCTTTGCGTTTTCGCTTTGCGTTTTCGCTTTGCGTTTTCGCTTTGCGTTTTCGCTTTGCCTTGCTTTGCTTTTTCGCTTTGCTTTGCTTTTTCGCTTTGCTTTGCTTTGCTTTTTTGCCTTTTCGCTTTGCTTTTTTGCTTTGCTTTTTTGCTTTTTCGCTTTGCTTTTTCGCGTTGCTTTTTCGCGTTGCTTTTTCGCGTTGCTTTTTCGCGTTGCTTTTTCGCGTTGCTTTTTCGCGTTGCTTTTTCGCGTTGCTTTTTCGCGTTGCTTTTTCGCGTTGCTTTTTCGCGTTGCTTTTTCGCGTTGCTTTTTCGCGTTGCTTTTTCGCGTTGCTTTTTCGCGTTGCTTTTTCGCGTTGCTTTTTCGCGTTGCTTTTTCGCGTTGCTTTTTCGCGTTGCTTTTTCGCTTTGCTTTTTCGCTTTGCTTTTTCGCTTTGCTTTTTCGCTTTGCTTTTTCGCTTTGCTTTTTCGCTTTGCTTTTTCGCTTTGCTTTTTCGCTTTGCTTTTTCGCTTTGCTTTTTCGCTTTGCTTTTTCGCTTTGCTTTTTCGCTTTGCTTTTTCGCTTTGCTTTTTCGCTTTGCTTTTTCGCTTTGCTTTTTCGCTTTGCTTTTTCGCTTTGCTTTTTCGCTTTGCTTTTTCGCTTTGCTTTTTCGCTTTGCTTTTTCGCTTTGCTTTTTCGCTTTGCTTTTTCGCTTTGCTTTTTCGCTTTGCTTTTTCGCTTTGCTTTTTCGCTTTGCTTTTTCGCTTTGCTTTTTCGCTTTGCTTTTTCGCTTTGCTTTTTCGCTTTGCTTTTTCGCTTTGCTTTTTCGCTTTGCTTTTTCGCTTTGCTTTTTCGCTTTGCTTTTTCGCTTTGCTTTTTCGCTTTGCTTTTTCGCTTTGCTTTTTCGCTTTGCTTTTTCGCTTTGCTTTTTCGCTTTGCTTTTTCGCTTTGCTTTTTCGCTTTGCTTTTTCGCTTTGCTTTTTCGCTTTGCTTTTTCGCTTTGCTTTTTCGCTTTGCTTTTTCGCTTTGCTTTTTCGCTTTGCTTTTTCGCTTTGCTTTTTCGCTTTGCTTTTTCGCTTTGCTTTTTCGCTTTGCTTTTTCGCTTTGCTTTTTCGCTTTGCTTTTTCGCTTTGCTTTTTCGCTTTGCTTTTTCGCTTTGCTTTTTCGCTTTGCTTTTTCGCTTTGCTTTTTCGCTTTGCTTTTTCGCTTTGCTTTTTCGCTTTGCTTTTTCGCTTTGCTTTTTCGCTTTGCTTTTTCGCTTTGCTTTTTCGCTTTGCTTTTTCGCTTTGCTTTTTCGCTTTGCTTTTTCGCTTTGCTTTTTCGCTTTGCTTTTTCGCTTTGCTTTTTCGCTTTGCTTTTTCGCTTTGCTTTTTCGCTTTGCTTTTTCGCTTTGCTTTTTCGCTTTGCTTTTTCGCTTTGCTTTTTCGCTTTGCTTTTTCGCTTTGCTTTTTCGCTTTGCTTTTTCGCTTTGCTTTTTCGCTTTGCTTTTTCGCTTTGCTTTTTCGCTTTGCTTTTTCGCTTTGCTTTTTCGCTTTGCTTTTTCGCTTTGCTTTTTCGCTTTGCTTTTTCGCTTTGCTTTTTCGCTTTGCTTTTTCGCTTTGCTTTTTCGCTTTGCTTTTTCGCTTTGCTTTTTCGCTTTGCTTTTTCGCTTTGCTTTTTCGCTTTGCTTTTTCGCTTTGCTTTTTCGCTTTGCTTTTTCGCTTTGCTTTTTCGCTGTGCCCGCTCTCAGCCACCAAACTCCCAAGGAAGCTCCTAAGTCTTTGAGGGCCCTTAGGAGGCTCCTTACGGAGCTCCCTGAAGGACATAGGCCCTTAAGGCCCCCCCCGCTTAGGGCGGTTACTAAGCGAGGGCGACTGAAGATGATTTATCTGAAGATAATTTTCTTAACAAGCTGCCTAGGGCCCCCCTGCTGTAACACAAGCCGCCCCAGGAGCTTCCGAAGGACCGCAAAAACCTTTGCCGCTATTATTAAACTATGCTATGGCTCGTCGTTTCTTTCTTTGTCGCGCTCTTTGCGGAGGGATTTTTTGGAGCGTTTGAGAGGGTTCCCGTAAGTCGGTTTCCTACTTAGTCGCTCAGTGTCGCAGGTGTGTTCAAAGTGGGTCCGGGGCTGATTGAGCTAAATCACGACGGCACTAAGGGCCCCGAGTCAAGAAATTGGCAATATTCTCCTCCTCCTCCTCCCACCGCTCGAGCCGCGCCCTTAGGCCTCGCACCGCGAAGGGGCTCGCCGCCTGGACAAGGACGACGGCCGCCGATTCACAACGAGAGACACCCAACAGATCGACCGAGAACCATTCGCAAGCCTCCCGCAAACGCCGGCCGGCAACCTGCTCCCCACAATCCCGAAGCCAGGCGGCGCGGCAGGGAATTTCCAGAAGAACACCGGAAGGGTCTGAGTCCGGCGGCGCGTCTGTTTTCAGTTTTTTGATTTGCTCCATCGGTATGAGCGGAAACAAAAGCAAGGCCCAGGCGGGCGCTATTTATGGCGAAGGCAAGAAAACAAACAAAAAAACCCGGAACCTGCCGCGGCGGGCCCACGCTCGGAATCTGCGCCGGCGGCATCCTCGAAAGGGGTCGGCGTCGGAAGTGTCGAGGCACCGGGGGGCGGCCCCTCGAAGACTGGCGGCGCCGCCACGCACCCACCGGCCTCATTCTCCAAGCCCGCGAGGGGCTGCCGCGACCAGCTCGCCGGCCAACTTAATTGGGCGCGCGGCGGTTTTCCGGCTTTTCCCGGCCGCTTCATGTTGTTAGTTTCTCAGGCGACGCAATACAACTACGGGGGCGCGGAAATGTATAGGGGAAAGCTCGGGGCCTAGCAAGGTTGTTCTATTGGGGATGGGTTTTGGTACTACGGTGGTAATGTATTGCTTCATCAGTGCGACCTGTCAGTCTATGCACTAGTATGGGAGAATTTAACTGGGCGAGGCAGGCAAGCACACGTCTGCCAAAGTCTATCTTGCTTCTACTTTCGTGGCGATCTTGTCCCTCGGACCATGAGATGATAGATCATGCTGGTTCGATGAGTCAGGGGAGGGGGTCCACACTACATACAGAAGGTGGGCGCACTCTCTCCGGAGCGCGATCTCGCCCTCTGCCTCCGTCGTCTTTTCATTTCTCATCTTCTTCTAGATCTAGTGCTAGTCCCTTATATTTTTCATTTTCGTGGCTGTTCTCAATCTCATTTCCATCACTGCAAAGCCTTTACGAAACAGAAAACAGAGCTGCACTCGACAGCATTAAGTTGGTCGATTGGAATGGTGTAGAATTTTTCTTCGCAAATATCGCTGCTTCTCCTTCGGAGTGCGAAGCTGTGCCCATTCGGCCACAGCTATGTGAATGACTTCATACCCCAACTTTCCTAGCAGGTGGTGCTTCAGCCTCGTCGTCGCAGTCATAGGCGAATTCAAATCGTACCACCTTGGTAGTGCCTTGCTCAGGGCGTCCACTTCTCGATCCAAAGTGTCCTCTGCAGTCTCCCGCATGGGAATCCTCCCTGTTGCTCGCATCTGCTTTCTACCATCGGCACAACGTTCGACCGTGGCTACAGGGTTTTTCTTCCCGCTCCGGCACTCCGCACGCCGTCCATCATCCGCTTTGTGCAGCCGCGTGTCAGCATCTTCAGAGGATTCTTCCCCTGCTTCTCTGGGATCTTCCGGGTTCGGTTTCTCGGATTCGAGCAAATCTGGACGCGGACGTAAGAATTCGTCGACCACCTCTTGGTCGCCCTGCATGATACCCTTCTGCCTAGCACTTGCTTCGTCCCGGAACGCGCTGCAATGCGCTTCTACACCTGGCGCGACGAGGTCGTCTAATACTTCCGGGGGGGAGGAGGGGAACGCGCATGGATCTGCTAACTGTCGGTAGTAGTGCATGGGACCCTGGGCCTCCAACGCCACGTGCCGTGTCAGCAGCGGCGTTTTCGACGGGAGCAAGAAGTCGATCTGGTAGGGGCCTACGGTTACTTCGGACTCGAACTCAAACTCGGCACCGCATGCCACCTCAAGGTTTCTCCGAAGGTCGCGCTGGAACGCCGAGTTGGTGTGCGAGTACTCGGGCATCGCGCCTGCGAAGCGCACTTTCCGCAGCCAGCCCCAGACCAAAGGCGGCACACGCTGCTTCCAGAATTTCGTGCGCAGCGCGATCTCCAGAACCTTCATCTGCGACAGGGCAGCGTGCGGCTTATTGTTGTTCGTCAGGACCAGCGAGCCGTCTTTCCCGTGTATGTGCGCGTTCGGAACGGACAACACGCGCTGAGAGTCCCGAAACAGCTGCACAGCAAGATCCGCGGTCTCGACGCCGAAATACGCCATTGCCAGCAACAAATTGCACGCCGATTTCAAACCGCCAACCTGACGCCGCGTGTCCGGAAACTGGTTTATTTCAGTGGCGCTTCCTGCGGCAGCAAATTCAGGATGTCCAAGCGGGAGCCGCCCTGTGGCAAGGCAATGATCCTCGGCCTTATCATCGACTTCGTCAATGTCATCCAATAGAAGTACATCATCCGCTTCCACCGCTTCATCTTCAGAGCCTTGCGTCATTGAAAAAACCGGAGTTGGGGCTTCAGACGCAATCGCATCGGCTGGCTCGGCTGCTGTTGTCTCCCGATCATGGCTTTTCTCCTCAGCTCGTGGGATCCGGCCGTCAGGCTGTGCTAGTACGATCTGCTCAAAAATGCGCGGCTCCCAGAGATCCAAACGGAAGAGCTCGTAGGCAACTAGAGAAGGGTATCGAAGCGCGATGCCGCTGTCGTGGATGCGATCCGTAACCGCGGCTAAAACTTCCGCTGGCGGGCGCAAATGCATCCGGCCCAAGGCTCGTAACAGAAAAATCAAATCGCGGGGGCTCAGCTCGTCTCTGCTCTGCTGGCACTCGTCCCGCACCCCATTTCGATGTTGCCACCTCCGGAGGTACTTCGGGCTGAAGATCTTTCGATCCGTCGTGAAAAAAACCCTCGGAAACATGCGCAAGGAGGAGCAACTCTGGAAAATCGATAGCTCCTGCTGCAGAGTGAACTTGTCCCCTCGCAACTGCATGCACGGCCCCCTCGCAACTGCATGCACTTGTCCCCTCGCAACTGCATGGAATATCGATAGTTCCTGCGCGGCCCCCCCCCTCGCAACTGCATGCAGGCAGCTGCGCCGCCAACTAGACGGGCCCGGCTCGCCATCCCTCTTCGCAGAGTTCGCGCAGCAACCATAGGGGCCCACATGAGGCCGGTCGGAATCGGCCACGCATCGCGTTGCCCGAGCCGACTGCGTGCGACGCATGTTGCTGGGTCGGCCGTCAGCTATAGGGGGCCGGCGCCCAGCTTGACGCCCGCGCTGCGCGCCCGTGTTTCTGCGATTGCGCGCGCGAGCTCAACCGCAGAAGCATCTCACGGCCGCGATTTCTAATTTTTCGCGAGGTTTATGTTTGTCGTCGACAAACACAAATCTCGGGAAAGTTGGAGGCCCTCAACTCGTAAGTGCGCCCACCACTAGAGAAAATTTGTGTGGAGCGCACTTACGAGTTGAGAAAAGTGCAGCACACCATCGGGGGTGCGATTGAAATGCTGCATTTTTCTCAACTCGTAAGTGCGCTCCACACAAATTGTCGAGAGCGCAGCGAGAAATTTCGCAACTTTTTCCAGAGCAAATCCAGAAAAGGTTGCGAAATTTCTCAGAAATAGTAAAAAAGGGCGGAAATGGGCGCCGGCGGGCAGGCTCCGCCCGGTTGTGTGTGGTTGCGTGCATGTGGCTCGTCCATGTAGCTCACCCTCCAGACCACACCAGCCAAGGCTAGGAAGGCGCCGACCTCCTAACTATAGCTGAAGGACGGACCAACAACATGCGGCGCACCGTGGTGGGATCAACGGTTGGGAGGCGCGGCCGGTTCAAACAGGCTCCATGTGTCCCCCATAGTAAGCTGCTGCGCGAACTCCGTAAAGAGGGGCGTTGGGGCCCGGTGCCTCTAGTTCGGGGGGCGGCTTGTTGCGTGCAGCTGCCGGGCCACAACAAGCGAACGGCGCGCGGCCACACCTGCCTGGCTTCGAGCCGAACAAATGGGGGCCGGGCGGTTTTCGTCGTACTTGGGCGCGCCAGGCCGGGCGGTGCGCGGCCCGTGTGGCAGGCTGGCGCGCTTGGGCAAATTTCTTCACCGAATCGCCTCGCGTTCTTTCTGGCGCTGGTGGCAAAATGCACGGGATGGCGCGTAGTTGCTCCAGGCGATTTGGGAAATTGCCGACGGGCCGGGTCGGGTAGGTTGGTAGCTACTGCGTGGCTGGGCGGGTTGCGTTTGGCGGGCCCCCGCGGCCGGGCGCATTGTTATTAGCAGGCCCGCCGCCCGGCTTAACGGATGCATGTGGCCACTATAGTTGGCCAACCGAAGGAACATACGCAACGAGCCGCGGCCGGCGGGCATTTCGTACCCGCGGCGCGCCACCTACGTGAGGCCGGCTGGGAAAAGACACCCAGGCGCGCAACGCGCGGGCCGGTCGCAAGGGGCGGGTGGGGCGGCTGCCAAGCCGGGGGGGCCATCCAAAACAACGCGCGGCGCACGCGGCTGGGCCATGCAACTGGCCCGCCAGGTGCATGCAGCTGGCCCCTACGATTAGTTGCGGGCCCGTCCAATCCAAACTGTGGACGAGGGGCCAGGCGCTGTCGCCGACATGCAGGCGCATGTTGCTTAGCGTAGCCCATCGCGGTCATGCGCCTATTGAAGCAGGGGCCCTGCTACCTTGGTGCCGCGAGTTAGTCAGGACTGGGCCCTTGTGGCGGGGTGGCCCGCGAGCGCGCCGCCGCTTGCCCAGGAGAGGGGCCGACTGGGGTGGGGGGCCCCTTATGCAAAAAAGTTGGGTAGCGCACTTACGAGTTGAAAACTTACGTTTTGAGGGGGCCATATGGAAAATCGATCGTTCCTGCTGCAGAGTGAACTTGTCATCGGAGCGCGGATCATCTTCACGACGCTCTATTTCAAAGCTCCTCCTTCTGCTGTCCGCTCGTGAGTCCGGAAGAGTCAACACTGCGCGGACGAACATGTGCAGTTCCGAGGCTTGGTTACGCACCTTTGCAAGCAACTGCATGACCTGTGTCCGTGTAGAGGCACTCATTTGGCGCGTGTCGCAGACACGGGTCAGCGACGCCAGCTTTTGGGCGTGCTCCACACCTGAGGTTGCCAAGAACCGCAAGCAACCCAGCAGCAACACGGTTCCCGGATGCTCTTTTTCGGCCGTGCAGCCATCTTCACTTTCTCCAGCCGAAAAACCGATTTCGATTTCCCTTTCACCGCTCGTCGTTTGTGACGAGAAACCGCTCTTTCCAAATCTGAAGTACTGTACCAGCGCTGGGCCTGCGACTTCTTGTAGACCGGTGCCAGATTCTGGTTCTCTTCGATTGTGGCATGCATGATTCGCCGTGGAAGCAATTGCCTTCACCGCTGCTTTCACCTGCAAGCGGCCGAAACATTGATGCAGACCGCGCGCCAAGCTTCGCTTACCTCCGTGTTCTTGTTCGAATTTCGTCGCCACACCCCAGTACCGCGGACCGCACAAGACCTGCAGCAACGCCCCAGTATGTGCTTTCTTCGCGAAAGTCGTGGAGGCGTGGCGCGACAGTTGCTCCCCAACATGGTCCCAGAAGGCAATACCATCTTCGTTCGCGGCGGCGTCAACAACTTCTTGCTGGCCGGACTTTATTGCTCTCTGGCAGTGACCACTCCTTATCAGCTTGTCGCACAGCCGGGCCACGGATACAGGACAGGACAGGAGATGCACATTCTCGAAGTCCAGCGCTGCACGAAAAGCGTTAGTTGTTGAGCTTTGATGCGCGCGCGCCGACCCACGGCTAACAATCCGGCAATGCGCTCCCGACATTTCATCTGTAGGCCTATTTGATTCGCATCTGGTGACCGAAGCTGCAAATGTCATAGGTAGGCACACATTTTCGCAAAAACCTTCAACTCGTTGATGTAAAGAACAACCTAGGCTGGACAACGTGGCCCCTCTTCTTGTGTATCAATTTCAATCTCGTCCAGAACAAGGGCCGCCCACGACCAGATCCAGAGGTCAATCAATAATAGGAGCACTACTGCGGTAAACTAGAAAGGAGCGTTAGTAAACACACGACCTTCATCAAGTAAATGGTGCTACACATGCACGTGTCCCTGTTGCACCGGGCTATCGCTATTTTGAGCGATGATGAATAATCGAAACGCGCGGCGACGAGCTTTCCAGGAGCATTGTGCGAGAATGCTCCCAGCGCAACGGCCGCGGGAACGCACCACCCACCAGTGGAACAAAATCAAAAAGAAAAAGGTACACAAAAAAAATAAACAAGCTACTTGAAGCATGTCGGGGTTAGCCACAGTCGACATACTTCAAGCACACAAAACCAAAAATATTGTACTGATGGCATGTATCGCCGCACCATATCTACAAATTCGAGTTTTTGACCGAGTGAGCGACCGATTTTCGAGAAACAAATCGAGAAGCTTACCGAGGTCCTATTGCTGCGGTGTGCACGAAACCACTGCGTTGCGGATCAGGAAAGCGGCAGAAAAGATCAGGATCAGGCTGAAAGAACCCTGCGGAAACTGAGCACGATCATGTGTATCTCCCTAAGGCGCCTCCTTCTCTTCTAGTGATCTTCGTCGCGATTTACATATTTATCTTCGGCCAGGCTTGATGAGCACAGTGACGCCTTTCCAACACAACACCAACAGCTTCAGCTGGGGTTCATGTTGAAATAAATGGCTGCTTCTGTGTATGCTTGCGTCTTTGCTTTCATCTTGCGTTTTTTCAGCATCTCTTGGTTTCTTCGCTACTCACCCGGGGCGGAGTCAAATAGCTGCAAAATCTTCAAGTACTCAGGTTGATTGTGATTTTTGTAGCACGGCATGTGATGTTGAGTATCAATTTCTATCCCATTTTTTGTATCTTTGATATCGCATTCGCACTGGCAAGCGTCCGTTTGTTCGACGGCGCGTGTAATGTACCCGTTCTGTGTATGTAGAAGTTAACCCGTGATGCTGCAAAATTTTGTACTCTACGCAAAGTGAAGTCCAACGACCACAACAGGTGTCACACTAGGTTTGCTCTGCTTGCCCCTCTCCTTTCAGTCCCGCGATCGCTAAACCGTGTGGCGTCGCGGCTGGGTTCAACTTTACCGACGTGACGTAGCCATATGCTTCGGCGCAGGCGTACAAGTCTAATGAGCGCGGCACTCCTTGAAAACTTCCGTCCTCGGATGGGGGAACGTCGATCGTACCTAGTTTTTACAGTACTTACAGTCTCGGTTCCCGCTTAGCTGAGCGAGTACGGCCGCTTCGCAATCGCAGCATATCACGACTATCACGGGCATCAGAGACTAAGACGAAGACATCAAACTGAAACTAGAGATGATGAATATAGAAACTGGTACAGCAAGATGAATCAATCTTCTTCAACAGCAGTGTACGAATTTTTACATGCCAAGACGATGTTTCGATTGATGTAGAGCGAGATGGTCCACTGCCACTCTGGTTCTGCTGCGTCCTTGGGCCGAATCAACAGCGACATTTTGTCCCCGGGACTCCACCGGAGAGGTTCGCTTTCCTCGCCGTCGAGAATGAAGCGAATGTCTTTTTTGCCGTGTCGGTACACTCTGCGGGTCGTGCCTCCTTTGTAGGGGCCGGTGAAGAACCAACCCTGTTTCAACTTCTCGAGCCGTTTCGGCATCCGGCTTCCGACCTCGTCGGGCCGCATAAACGTAACTCCCAGTCCCATGCACCCGGAAGATTGCTCTTCTTGAGCAAGCGTCGACCCAACTTCGATTTCCACGTAATACCTACTTGCTCATATGAATTCGCTTTTTGCGGCTGTTCTTGAAGACAACTCCACAACCATATTGTATAAAAGGGAATCACCATGTGATGGCGCTGCTTTTGGTGCACTGCTAGGGACGAGTCGTGACAAAAACTAACATCGAGTTCGAGTTGCGAAAAAAGGTCGTGAGCACTATGACTATACTTCTTCAAAGTTGTAAATACTTACCCGTGGTCGTCGAAGTACTGCACAGGTCTGTCGGTGATTCCTACCACTTCGTCCTCAACGTCCGACGGTTTTCCGTTCCCGTCTCCGGAAACCTCGTCCGAGGTGCGGTGCATGATCAAGTTGCCGCGGAAGCTTGTAAAGCGGGCACACGGTCGAGGGGCAAAGCCTGCCGTAGAGGATGCGCTCGGGGTTGCGCCCCGGCTGTCTTGTTTTGCAGCGGCTAGTACTGGAGCGGCCGCTTCAGGAGGCGCAGCCGTGTGATCGCGCGTCTGCTCCTGTGATGTTGGTTCCTCGGTTGGCTCTTCATCAATGTTCTCGGAAATGTCTGGCTCGGATGGCTTCGGGGGTGGCGGCACATACTTACCGGCTTCCTTCAGGATCTTATCTCGACACTCCGGGTCTAAGGCAGGGCCGAAACCTGCAGAACATTGCAAATCATGTTGGGAATTCCTCCAAACCAAGAACCTGTACATAAACCCATCCTCTGCGTGCCGTTCGAGCAGCAAATGCAAAAGCAACAGTTTTTTTTACTAATTTTTTAAATACCTTTTTACCTTCTACGTGTTGTTAATTTATTTCTGCAGAAAATCCTTCCGGAATTTATGAAGCCAGTACCGACGCGCAGCGCACCGTTTTGGTGCATCACTTCCCAAGGTTCGCATGTAAGCCGTTGCTGTTCTATTGCATGTTGTATTGGCTTCGCAAAATTTATTGTCTTGGCCAGCAACTCCCCCTGACCACCGGACGTCTTCTCTACTAAGTGGAACGCGGTGTCGTGAATGTACCTGAAGAGTTTGCGGTTATACACAAGTTCCGAACTACGTAGAGACCCGCTAAAACGTTTCGTGCACAACTTTTACGTTCAAGATTGCCACACTTACTGATACTGGCAACAGCAACGATCGTGCAAAGTATTCGTACATGAGTCGCCCAGCACGATCGCTTTCGTGAAACATTGCGCGCATGCACGCTCGGGATTCCCTGTTTTCCACCACTATGTCGCGTACCTTTGTGTGCAGTCAATCATGTCGCACTCGCATCGATCTACGACTATAGCAAGCTTCCTTACTGTAACTGTAAGCGACGGGACTACAAATAGCTGCTACTACACTGCGGCCTACGACATCACAACACAACACAACTGCGTAGAAAAAAATAGAACTCAATGCAATGGTGGCATAAATCAAGACTCACGCTCGCTTACCTTCCCGGACAGATGTAAGAACTCGATCTGGGCCGACTGCCGCTTGACTGAAAACCTGGCTTCCTCTGTGAGCTCATGGTTTATCGTCAGAAATTTTTCAATTTTCTCGATATGCCCGTCCAGTTTCGTTATTACATCGTCTATCTCGCTCGGTTCCAAAACCGAAGGACGCTTCGCGTTTGGGGACTGAGAGGTAACGCGCAGACCGGGCGAAAGCTGTTGGTCGGTCCCGGTGGCCGGCTCGGTAGTGGCCCCGACGCTGGCGGTCGCCCGCGTTTGCTCCGCGGCCTCACCACTTGTCATGCGGTCGCCGGACGACGGTGGGCCGAGGTTTCGCCAAAGCCAAAGTACAGGCTAAGCCCCTTCCTTGAAACTCAATTAGTGATGGACACGCCAGATTCAACTTCCGGCTTCGGATCCCAATATCGATGCTGAAGCTCCCGCTGTCGGTTCCCGGAATGGTCCGCACTACTCACTGAAGTGCAGGCAGTACGGAAGTGCAATGGCAACTTAATTGTGATTATCGCACGAGAGAATCTAGGTGTAGGCCAGATCGCACTTGACTTCCTTGTTCTTTCGGATCTTGCTCGCGGAGCCAGTGCTTTGGCACAACAGCTGGCCGCCGCTCGTGGAGCTTTACCTTCGGCGGGTCGAAGAGGCTGACGCGCAGAGGAGTTTTTAGCGTACTCTTTTCAGCACATGCTATCTAACTATCAGTGGCGAAGCCACTCCGAGGAATGAAATTAATGGTGTTCTACTTCCCTTCAACACTCAAATTTTTCGAAAAGGACGAAAACTCGAAAACTACAATGTACACATTCATCCTTCTGCTACAACGTGAATATACTCCAGAAGAAGATCAAGCAACACGAAGAAGCAAAGAGAGAAGATGTAGTTGAGCCTCTATGTATAATTTCAATCTTGCGGTCGGTGACTTTCTCCAAGGAAGCCCTACGGGAGTAAAGTAATTCCGCTCCCTTCCAAAATTAGGGTTGGCCTGGAGTGCAGAGGAAACCAGAAACTGCTGCTTTATGTAAAATCCAATCTTATAACATTTGCACTAGTTAGTACTGACCTGCATCGCCACACCCACTTGGCAACTGTTCTGAGGACGAAAAGTAGAACACAATGAATTGTCAGCGGAACAGTTTTTGTCTTTTGGTCGTGCCCTGCTGCTACAGAAAGAAATATGCTGTGGCGCATCGAATGACGTACTTAGTGATCAACTTCAAATACATCACAATTGTCGCTGAATCGCTGGACTAGATTTCGACATGGACTATGAGAACGCGTACATGGATGAGATGACTCGGCAGCCTCAGCATTCCCGAGAAAATCGATTTTATTTTTTATCATATGAGGAATAAGACTGACTGCGACGCACAAGAGGAAGAAGTTGCAGTTCATTTAACGCCCGACGTGTGGTACTGCAGATTTAAAGGAGGATACCCGGCAGAAATGCTTCCGTGCGCGAGTTTCTGCATCGCCTGGCGGGCCTGCTCCGGGGTGGAATACGTCACAAGACCTCGACCGATATGCTTGCTCGGGTCGGAAGGAAGGAGGAAAAAGCGAAAATCCGTGACTCGTCCCACCTTGCGGAAAAACTTGATACACAAGTCGCTGGGAGCGGTTACTGGAAGGTTGCTGAAGGTGAGAGTCTTGCAAGACGAAGTCGTAGGAGAGGATGCTGCCGCCGGCACTGGTTCCTTCTTGTTAGTCCCTGCTGTCGCTTCCGCTTTTGGAACGACGGCGGGTCGTGCTGCGGCAGTGGGGGCTGGAGCGGTTGCTGGCACCGCTTTGGAAACCACTGCTCGCTGTGCCGCGCTCTTCACCTTTTGCTCAGAGGCCGTCCGCTGCTGAGGTAGTCCAGCTCCTTTTTCCGACGCAACGGCCCGCACTGGTTCTCGGTTCCGTTCGCCGCGTGGCGGTGCTGGCATGCGTGACTTTATCTCAGCGGCCCCCCTACTTTGGGATCCGTTGTAGAGCATCCCGCCTCCACGCAACTCATCCGCTACAAAAGGGTTGCTTGGCGCGATTGAAATATCTGATGCGTCTTTGAGTTTTAATGCAAAGGCGGACGGGGGTCCGGGCATTGCGCTTAGCTCAGCGGTGCCACGCGAGTCGTTCCTCGGTTCTTTGCCACCTCTCCTGACGTCGTAGGGTTCTCCGTCAATATCGTCAACCTCTCTTGCCGGAGCGGTGGGAACAGGTAGCGGCCGCAGGTTTGGTGGTCTTGGCAACGCAGAAAAAGTCACCGGCGCAGGTGCTGTCGGCGGCGGCGGGACAATCAACTGGCGCATGGTGGTAGGACGTAAATTCGACTGCGTCTCTTGTTGCGAAAGATGAGAAAACGTCAGACTGTGTGGTCCCTGCTGGTCAGCTTGCGAATCAGCATGTTGATGATGCATCCCCGCGGGTCCCTTTTTGTCTTTCCCCTTTGTCGCGGACTGATGTAACGGAAACCCTTTATTTCCTCTATTCATCTCCGGTAGCCAAGAACGATGCGGCACGATTGGTGGTCCGGGCCGACCGGCCTCTCCTCGCGAATACTCGTCTTCGACGTCGTTCCGCTGACCGGGCGCTGGTAGTATTGGGGGTCCAGAATTCCGCTTATCTTTCCCCCCCTTCAACGCATGATCATTGTTATGGTAATCTCTACTCGTCCAATTGCCGGCACCGCCTTTGCTGCCAGCAGCCTTGGAACTTTTTGCGGCGTTTCCGGAATATGGATGAAAGTGTGGAGGCCCAGACCTGCTCCCAGCGGTGTTCGTGCCGTATGGCGTAGTGCCTTTGCTCTGCTGGTAGTTATTGTTATCAACTCCTCGCTCATGATTTTTGTTCCAGCCCCCGGCATGATTGCTCCTCATGCCCGTCGCGTCACCGCGGTCGCTTGATGCACCGGCTACCGACGGATTGATTTTTCGTAATTTTATCTGCGGTTCCGGCTCGGCCGGCTCACTCGCGCGTTTCTGGCGTACGGGCAGGACCGGTGGACCACCACAGATGCCTTTCAGACGGTTGGTCTTCTGGTCATCAGCAGCTGTACCTGCAGTTGCACCACGAGGACTTCTGCCACACTCCCTCGCGGGGTGGTCCTCTTCCTCTTCCTTCTCTTCATCTTCACTAAACGCTTCTTCAGACGACCGTCTGGCGGCCCCGGACGAGGACCGTCTCGGCATTTTTAAGTTCCTTCTGCGCGTTCCGCCAGTACTGGCTGTCGCAGGTTCGCTTGGGGCGGCGGCGGTGGTTCCCAGGCTGCCTCCTTGCGCGATACGCACCCGAACGCCGATGGCCTTGGGTATACCCTCCTCTCCGGGCTCGTCCGGAGGGGCCACGTGGATCTCATCGTAGTACACGATACTGCCGACCTGCACCTTCGCAGCTGCGGCCTCATCCATATCTGCTTCGTGGAAAAAGACGGGCTGGCCCCACTTTTCCACCAGCTGCTCTGACTCCAGAAACCCGAACCCATCCTCAGGAAACCAACGAACAACGGCCGCCTCCAGTCGTTTCCGGTTCGCAACGCGTTTTACCTGCAGGTAAATGATCCATTATGAAGTTTTTCGTCTGCCTCCACATAGCCAAGCAATGTGCAAAAAACTTTTGTTGAAAGGTGAAAGGAATAAAAACGATAACAAAAGAAGAACTTGCATCAGCACTGGTGAAGAAATTGTGTTTTTATATCTTTTTTTTCGAGAAACTGCAACTCTCTCTATTTCCAGATCAACTCTTGTGTGTAAGTACCTCTCTCATGCGGCCAAGGAAAGACACTTTTGTAGCAGTGTGGTCTCTGGCCCCCCTGGTTCTCTCGATTTCCGAAACATAGACCTTCTCCCCCTGTGAGGGTGGTGATTCCCCTGGAGGCAGCGCGCTCTGGCGAAAAAATAGATCGGTCTCGTAGCGCTTCCATATCTCAGGCCCTTCCAGGTACCCGCTGCCTTTGTCCGCGGACCAGAACTTAACAAAACCCGTAAGCTCCGTTCTCTCCACAACTATCTTTGTTTGTCGCCCCCGTGGTCCGCTGCTTTGCTGCTGTGCGCGTCGCGTAGCTAACTGTCGTTCCAGGAGCTGCTCAAGCTCGTGGCTCTCCTGATTTCGCAAGGCGGCGGCCCTCGAATTGCTCACTGTGATCCTGACCGGCTCGACCTCGACGAGAGACAGTTCCCCATCAATGATACCATTTGGCCCATCTTCATTTTTCGAAGCACAGGACACATCCACGCGCTTGTACACAATCTTATCTCCCGCCCGCAAAGTGCAGGGGCCTTCGTAACGGAAAAACACCTCGCGAATGTTATACTTCTTTTCGAAGTAAACTGCTTCCGCGAGCCCGTGCTGGTGCATTGCCCACCATTTCGAAATGCGGGCGCGTCCCGGGACTTTCGTGTATGTCGCAAAATCGTCTTCGCCGTTGTTTTCTTCCCTTCCTCCGGCGGGACTGTCTTTGTGGTCAGGGACTTCCACAGCTCTTCTATTTCTAGTCTGGCCAGGATGGTGCGGAGAAGCCCTATCTTTTTCAAGACGCCTTTTTTCCGAACTGGCAAGCCCGCGGCGCCTACTGCTGTGCCTCGCTTGCGGCGCTTCTTCCGGGGGCGACCTTGCGGTGCTATTCGCCGCCGCTGCGCCTGGAATTCGGCGCAGGGCCGGTTTCAGTGGCGGCCCACTTTGACGCGCGTTCGTGGGTGCCGCCGATGCGCCGGCTGGGTTTTGGTCCCCGGCCTCTTCTTGATCTTCCTCCGATTGGTGCGCCTCCTCCAGCGCATCGCTCCACTCGTAGTCTTCGTCGTCCATGACTCTTTTTCGTTTTCCGAAAAACTCCTAGGGGCTCCCACCATGCAATTCGCTAGGGCTACCTGTTGTCTAGTTCATCTCGTTCATGTCTAAACAAAAAACATCGATATACTCGTCCTCGTGTAGACTTCTCCTAGTCCTATATTATAATATTCCGGCCCTGTAATAAAGAATGTTTCCACAAGAAAAAATGATCGTCCAGTCTTATAGCAAAAATATGTAGCACTGGTCCGGGCGGAGCCACTTCCCAAAAGGAATTGAAGACAAAGAAAATTTTGATCTTCAACAAAAAATCGACTGATCCTGCTGGAAACCCACTGATCGTAGTTCCTCTGTGTGCAGCCACAGCCAGATGGTTCACTCAGTTTTGCAGAGATCCATCTACTAAAGTCGCGCTCAAACCAGCACTGTACAGCTGGGGTCCACACAGGTCAGATCTAATACTCAGGAGCGGTGCACCATCTTCGACCACTTTAGTACTCGCGTTCTTATATTCTCGTCCCTGAACACGCTCCTTTCGTTTCGACGCAGACGTAGTTCGCGCTAACAACATGATTGAGTATACACCGGAATTTACTTGTTCTTCGGGATCGATGCAGTCGGCATCTTCTTCTTCCTGCGCGCAGCGAGGAAGTGCAGGTGTCGGAAGGCTTGCACGTGGTGCCGGTTGTCTGTGATGCTCGTTGGGTACTTCGGATATGTGCTCAGTAGCAAGCAAGCAACCCCGAAGTTAAAATCTTTCGTGTTCTTTGCGCTCTTGCTGGCTTGTTCTGGTGTCGCAGTTAGGTCGGGTTTCTCAACATCCTCATAGCCGTCCCCTCGCAACAACGTGAATTGACAGCCGCCCAAGAACAGCATGCCGATACTCAGGTGCACGCTAAGCCACTGGCCGAAGTGCGTGCGTTCCAGGTCGGACTGCTTGCGCAAGGCGCGAAAAAGTGTGAAACACTGCAAATCCCCGGTGCCCGCCATGATCAGACCCAAAGCTGTCACGCACATGCTCAGGCACGTGGCGATACTGCTATCGTCGAGGCATTTGCTGCTGACCCCCCGCAACGCAGATTTCCTGCTCTCAACCGGGAGTTGAGCTGCAAGGGAAATAAGGCTTCGCTTCTCTTCACTTTTGAAGTCATCTGTCGTAGTATTTCTATTCGGTGCTGCCGCTTGACCACTCGCGCTGGCGGTTGATGTGTAGTTCGCTTGCACGACCTCCTGTGGCCGGCGGGTGCTGCCGACAGAAACCGTTTGCTGAAGCTTGCCTTTCTGAACGGCAGGGGGAGTCGCGCGAAACCGCTGAAGATCCCGGAAACTCAGCAAGATCTGTGCGACCAGATTTGACGCTTTGGCACTCGCCGTTCCCGCGTACTTGAGACCCAGCAAATAGCAAGCGGTGGCCACGCCATGGGCAAAGGACTGGCCAAGTAGTAGCCAATCCAGGTCCTGGTGGTCCTCTGCACGCGCAGGAAAAGGAGCGACGCTGTTGCTCTGGCGGTTTTTATTCCCCGTATGCGTGCTCAGTGTGCATGTGCTCGGGTCGAACATCAGAGCAAACAAATTTGCCAGTTCGACTCGACCACGTTTCTTCCGGGCCGGAGGCTGTTCCGGCGACAAGCAGAGCTGAACGATGAACTCCGGAACCTGTCGCAACACCCACTCTGCAGTCGCGTCGATGGCGTCCCAGAGAATCAAGCCTCGCGCCAGCAAGCGCGCGACGAAAAGATCCGGAGGCGTGGCATTCAGCTGGTACATCTTTTCTGGAATCGGAACGCGGTCGGCCACAGCACGGTCGTTCGACCGTAAGTGCGTAAGACCCAGGGCAATGCACACCGACGTCGTGTACGCTTCGGCCGAGGTGCTATGCCGCACGGTTTCTTCCGGGGCCAAAACGGTCATGAGTTCCGTATCCTCCTCTTCAGCCGACGAGGGAAAAGCAGTAGAAAAGCATGGTGGGTTCCTCGTTAGGAACAAGTGCTGCCTTGTTTCTAGTGCGCCGCAGCCGGCTGACGCTCTGTTGCTTCCGAGCTGCACCAGCCCCACTGCGAAGGCGGCAGCCAGTTGCTGGCACTCGTTGCGGTTGTGCAAGTCTTTCGAGAGCAGCTCCGCGATGCCTCTCTGCCCCGTTTGCGCGTAGAGTAAACCGAGCCCGATCGCGCCCGCCGCGCGTACGGTCGGGGGGGCGTCGAAAGCAAACTGGCCCGGCAGGTGCAGCGCGCACATGCGCGTGCAAACCAAGCACTTCTTCCGTAGCTGGGATGCTGCGGACCCAAGTAGAATGGCGATCGTCGTGGCTTCATGTTGGAGCTTCAGGTACTTGTAGCACTCCGCCGTGGGCAACCGCTCCCGCGTCAGCAACCCTCGCAGTCCCAACCCAAGCAAGAACCCGGCGTGCGTGTTTTTTCCGATCAATGGACCCATGTTGGGCGTTCCATCGGAGTTGGCCGGCGGCGGAAGCAGAAACGACCCCGCGATGCTGGCAGCGGATGCCGCACCACGCGAGCCCGCACCGAAAACTCGGTCGCCGATCGCTTCGCCGATTTTCTCGGGGTTATGCTGGTAAGCCAGCACACGGTGGTGCAGAAGCCAGCTCCGTCCGACTAACAAACGGTTTATTTGCAGCGAGCTTGCAACCCCGTTCGCAAACCACGCCCACGTGTGTCGTGCGGGCGGGTATGTGTTCGGGTCCAAATACACAGCCGGGAGCTTTGGTGATAATATTTGTTGAGGTCGTGGATGCTACTCACTACTATTCAGTGCAGCTATCGCTGAATCTTACGAAAAATCATGCGCTGCCGCTGCGTGCGACATGATATTCAAGGTCCTTTCGAACAAGCATGCACGGTGTATAGTGCTACTTCGTCCAAAAGAAAAAAAACGACCAGAAAAGACATCGACACAAATACCGCTTTTACCGAAGTTTCCGCTCCCCGTCCGTGCGAGGTTCTCCCACTCTCGTTGGGAAACACGGCTGACAAGTTGATGTCCGGGACGGGGAGCACGTCCGTGGTGCCAACATCCCCCAACGCACAGAAGGTGAAACCGGCCCGGCCAAACGGAATGCTGGCCTGCTTCGTTATCGCTTTGCAGAGTCGCTGTTGTTTCGGCAGGTCGGGCGCGTCCTCGCTGGATAGAGCCCGCTGCAACTGTTGGGCGGGCACCTGAAGTGCCATGGGTTTTTTACTGTCCAGCAAGGCCGCGACCTCCTTCACACGAGCATCCATCTTGCTTGCTCCTGGCACTGGCCTGTCGCGTCCGTCTTGTTCCACGACGACCTTCTTGATGTTTTTGCACACACTCCAGAGCCATTCAACGTTTTGCGTCACAGAAGAAACCAGCTCCAACTTCTGGCTGTTCTGGTCATCGTCCTCCAGGGATTCAGCTTCGGTCTGTGCGTTATTTCCCCCTTCGATTTCCATTTCTTCTGCTTCCCCGCTGTCGGGGTCCATGCTCCTGAGAAGATTCTCAGCATTTTCTCGTCCGTGCTTCGCTTGCTCTGTCGCAGTCTTAGTTCTTGTGTCGCCGCCAGAGTGCTTCGTCGATGTGGATGTTGCCAAGATGAAGGAACGAGTGTGATCGTATAAAGAGCGTCCGGCCGGGCCGACATGTCCACCAGAGGGCGCAAGACTCCTCCCGAGTAGGATTTCCTCTGAGCCCAGTGCCGGATCGCTCTCGCGGCCCTTCGCCACGGTAGCTGAGTTACAACTACCTCTCCGCTGCGAAAGCCCTGATCGCGGGACGAGCTCAAAAAGGAACGGCTGCCCACATTTGCGAGACGACGTCAACAGTCCAACATCATTTCCCGTGCGCTGCAACTGTGCTTGCCTTGTAACACGATCGCACTGCGCTTTCGCTTTTTGAAAACCGCCGGCAGCGGCACCTGCGCTCAAAGAACCGTATGCATCAACAAAGGCTTGCTCTGTGGTTTTCCTCAAGATGGCTGCCAAATAATCTAGCGCAGCCTCCTGTGCAGCGCAGCTCGTTTCAGTATGCTGGGGATAGTGCAGATGCTGCACCAGCCGCCGCCACCGCTGAAGATCGACTGCCCCAAAGGACATGGATGCCACCTTTTCGCTGCTCTTGTGTAATCCCACCTCTAGGTGGTCTTTTTCTGCCTTATGATGAAGGTCGTTCATCCGTTCATCAGAGCCGCTGTTCCCTGGTACTATCGAGATTCCGCTGCGTGCCACCAATACATTGACAAAAGCTGATAGCGATTGCACGTCCGTGGCGCGCAATGGATCCAGCCCCCAGCTGCATTTCAAGTTTAGCAAGTCGCACAAAAACGCTTCCAGGGCCTCTTGCGGAAGCAGGAAGTCGTTGCTGGATCGCCAACGCCGGTCTTCCTTCTCTTCGTAGGAGTTCATCAGAGACACGACCTTCTCCCCTTCGGTATTCACGAATTTGTCCTCGTGTGGCTCGTTCACAAGCCTTCCTTCCAGATTCGGTTCGCGAAGAAGCTGACGACAGTGTTTCTGGAGCCATTCCCAGTCCGACTGCGCCTGGCTTTCGTCCGGCTTGTGATGAAGATCTGCAGTGGGGCGATTGGCCATCTTGCGTTCGCGACCACGGCCAGGAGCACGATTAGAAGATGCCGAGGACGTGCGACTGAGACGACGCCCGCTGGAGGAAGTACTGGTCTTCATCTCGGCATCCTCCGAAAAACGTGCCCGCTTTTGCGGGGGTGACAGGTTTGCCATCATGGACGCCTCCCCCGGGGACGAGCAAGCAGACGGTAAGGAGCCCTGCAAGCTTGGTTTTTTCTCCACAAAAATTTTCAAAAAACTAGCAGCGAAGTCATCGAATGCCACATTTTTGCCAGCATTGAACTCTTGGTGAAGACCTCTTGAAAGCGCACCACCCCCGAGAGCCCTTGTGCTCGGAACAAGGGGCACCGGACGAGCCTCCTCGCGTTGCCGGTCGGTGTGGTTTCCTCCAGCTTCTGCAGGGACGAGTAAACACTGCCAAAGGCGTGGCAGTGCTCGAACCCAGACCTCGTACGGAAGCGAAGCCCGCACAGAGCGAAGAACGGCAGCTAGAAGCGACTGCTGTCCCTCCTCGTCTGCACGTTCCCCAACTAGCAGGCGGAGCATCGAAGCAAGTGCTCTACCTTGTCTGTCTGAAAAGGTAACTCGCGACGCAGCACGGCCTGTGGCGGGTATGATTGGCACCTCCAGTAGCAGCTGCGAACCCCGCACCAGCGTCATGGTAGGCGCTGCATGAACATCATCTCCTTCCGTGGCCCCTGCTACAGAGTTCAAGTCTGTCCGAGAAACAGTACTGGAAATAAGCGCGAAAAGGCCCAGCGAAGAGGTCGCGCCGGTACAACTACCCGCCCTCGATGAAGACGCTGCAGCATCCACATGATCCTGTTGTAACTCTATTGTCTCAACGTCCCAACAACAGTTCTGCTCGACCAGCACTGTGTCCCAGGTCCACAGTCGCAGCAAGTGAAAACTGCCATCGTCAAAGAGAATCCCAACCTGTTCCTCCGCTTCCGAAACGATGCATTTCCGTATGCGCGATGCGCGAAGGTGCAGTAGCCGGTGCAAATGCTCGAAAACGTCTTTCTGTCGGACGAACCAGAAGTCAAAGGCACAGGCACTAGTTCGACGAGTGAGGTTTTGTTCAACTGCTGGATTGTCATTGTCACAATCATCTACTAGCATGGCATGATTATTCGTGTCGAGCTCCGCGTACTCTCCCTCGACTTCCACTTTCTCGATGGGCGATGTAGTTATCAGGAGTGGGTATTTCTCGCTCGCCCAGGCAATACGACGACCTCCCGCCACGGTTTTTGGCGGCACTGTAAGCAGAATCTCGAAGGAGCTTCTGCATTTTTGGCCTCTTCCTGTTGGGAGGTCCAAGTTCTGTAAGGGCTCGACGCGCAACTTGGCGCAATCGACGAGGGAATCTGGCAGCCGAAGCCCGCCTTGCTCCATAACTCGGATCAGTCGTGTCGACGAAGGGTCTCAATGATGTCCGGAAGTGCATGCAGTCATCATGATGAAATTCGTTGCCTCTACATTCTTTTTCTTGTCGAATGAGCGGCTGCTTATATCAAAAATATATACTTATCTTTCGAAAAGGAATCACACGAAAAATGAAAACAACGACCAAGTAGCAACGCCCATCGCGCCACCCGGACCAAAATCGCAAATGCCTGGCAGATGAACCAACTACCCGTGATCGAACCAAGCTCAAGAGTCACAATCAGATCCTCATCCTGAAATGGTAAGGCACGAAAGGTATCATAATCTAGCTGTGCTGGTTGCTTTCCGCATATGCGACTTCAACTCTTCTGCTATTCCTTTTGAACGCAAACGCTCAATCACAGCAAAAAGCGGCAAAAAACAGTAGACAGGAACACACACAAACACAGACTGCAGGACACACAATAAATAAAGTCAAGGATATATACCTGCAAGAACGTTCAACCGCAGCCAATGAAATTGAAAAGCGGCATCATGATAGAACTCGAAGGTGCGAGATAATCAGGGCTCCTGCAGGCGTTCATTATTTCCCTGAACTTTGCAAGGAAGTAAAGAAGCACCGCAGTGGTAGTTGAAAGCTAATCCTGCTTCTGCAAGGCCTGCTGCCGCAGACAGAGGCTGCATGGTAATGTTCCGATGTAATCACTTCTCAACGCATGTGACACGTCGTCAGAGCCGAGTACATGATCTTGCGCGCTTCGCAAAGATTTCTGCACTCTAGACTCGGTCTGACGTTTTTGATGTCAATCAAACTCAATTCGTTGGCGGTACATAGACCAATTGTTGATGACTCACTTTTATTAAATACTGGTCTCACAACTGTTGAACGACCCGGGAGCACGACCTGAGACACTCGCATCACCGCCTGATGTGCCAGTGCCATCCGAACCCGAGGGCCAGGCGTGGTAAAATTGAAAAAATATTTCATTTCCGTCGAAACGATTTCGAGACAGGACAAAGGGTCGTGGGATACACGCCTTAGCACCAGAGGACTGCCTCTAAATCGCGTTCTTGTCGTAGTCGAGCTTCGATTCGAATTTCTTCGTGTCCGCGATTTTCCGTGCGGCTTTCATAAAGTCCTCTTCCAGGCAATAGTCGCGCTCTGCTCGAATCGCGTACATGCCAGCCTCGGTGCAGATATTTCGCATATCGGCGCCGTTGAAGCTGCGGTTGATTTTCATTTTATTCATTGTTATGGAAATAAATCTAGCGAAGATCATAGTGGTCCGATTGATTCTTGTCTAATTTGCTGGTGGTGGAAGTGGTAGTGGTACTAATCTGACGGAAATCGAAATAAAAAAGACGTTTCATGTACCCGTCAGTCAGCTTTATTATTCCCTCGAAGTCAATGTCGCCGTGTTTTGCAATGGGGTTGCTGTGGATTTTCAGAATGTCGAGCCTGGCCTGCTCGTTTGGAAGGGGAATTTCCACTTTGCGGTCTAATCGTCCGGGTCGCAGTAATGCCGGATCCAGGGTGTCCGGTCGGTTTGTCGCCATAATCACCTTCACGCGCCCTAAGTCGTCGAATCCGTCCAGCTGATTCAGCAGCTCCATTAAGGTTCGCTGAATTTCGCGATCCGCCGAGGTACCTGAGAAGCGAACAGGAAGATGCGCCAGCGCATGTTGAGACACACGCCAAGAACAGTGGTCGTCCTCAAGCGATGAAAATGCTTATTTAGTCGACAGTGCTGTGCAAAACAAAGATCGAAAGTAGTATCATGCGTGCAATCGCCACAGAGTGAACCCTTTGACAGTTTGTGCGTGCAACACGTAAAGATGCAATTTTCATCTCACCGTAGTTAGTGATGTATTAAACAAAAACATGACCTTGCTAGATAAATTTTACTGCATTGAACTTGTTCGTAAAACACGACTTCCTTTACCTTGATTGAATCGCTTCCCGCCGATAGCATCGATTTCGTCCATGAAGATAATGCAAGGCTGGTGTGTCTTTGCGTATCCGAACATCTCTCGTATTACTCGGGCAGATTCGCCGATATACCTTTTCGGTTTTATATATTCAGCGTTTGTGTTTCCTCTGGTTTTCGTTGCAACATGCACAACGCCCTTCTACGTACTCCAAGCGCATCAAAAGGATAAATTAGTCATAGTGGTGGTCTTAATCTTATTGCTGCAAAGCGAAAAAGCGGTCTGTACTTGTCGACGATGGCGGACGCAACTACTTTCAGGAAGTTGGCGGTCATGTTATATGCCATGGCTCGGGCGAGCAACGTTTTTCCTGTTCCAGGCGGGCCATAGAGAAGCACTCCTTTAGGGGTCTTGATGCCGACCTAAGTTGAAATTTTCAAGAGAAAGTTTCGTAGCATATGAAAGCGGAATGGACAAACACGTCGGACCAAAAACCTCTACTACATGGCTCCTATAGAAAATTCCTGCTTCATAAACTGATGTAATCAACAATCGAACACCCTTTTGAAGAGCTCTGGATTTGTGAGTGGAAGTTCGACGACCTCACGCATTTGTCGAATTTGTTCGTTCAACCCGCCGACTTGGTTGTACCTGTATTGTGATTCGGTTTCAAATATTTCTGCGAGCAGTGGGTCACATCAAGTTGAGCATTTGCGGAGCGCACTCGACGACCGTGGTTATCTCATTCTACAAAGCACTCAATCTCAAATCACATCAGAATAAAAAACAACAGAAAAGAAGACAATTTTGTACGAAATTTTTCCTGGATCCTCCGCCTGCATGCTGAAGACGAGCGGATCCACTTCCCGTGGCAAAATGCGCATGATGGTCAGCGTGGACATGTCCAAAGCCACACGGGTTCCCGGTGTTAACTTGCTCTTCGGTATTTTTACCTTCACTGTTACCACGTACCTCGGCCCGGAGCTGGCTTTTACGATGTACTCTGTTCAACATTCAGATTTAGTTATACGTGATTTTATTGTTGCTTGTACGGATCATTCGCATTCGACTGCCTTGTGGCTTAAGTTCCAACAATGTTCCAAGGCGACAATGTCGGAGCGGCGTTGGTTTCGTTCTTGCAACGGCGTAGATGTACAACATGGCGGAAAAATGACAAGGCGACATGCTCTTGCTCAGCAAAAAAAAGGAAAGACTAAGGTTGCGTATAGTACTTTCATCGTCCAGCTTTGCTAGCAATTCGCCGATAATTTGGCCGACAGATTGCAAGGCCTTGATGTGCCCCTCGGATTTGTCGAACTCCCCCTGCTTGCTTTTTATTTGGTCGCGCACGTTCTTCAACTGGGACTCATATCTTCGGTGCTCTTGCACCTTGCTTACGTAGTCCCGCAAGGCTTGATCTTTCTCACCTGTGCCGCTCATTTTTCCCGAAATAATTTTGGGTCTAATATTCGTCGTTGGGAGGTCGTGCTGACACTGTCGCAAGTTGTAAAGATGAACGCAGCCTCGTTCCGCGTTGACTCGTAAACGTGGAAAGAAGTTTCTCCAGATTTGTGTTTGCGTTTCTTGGCTCTGGATTAGTTTTGCTTCTGCCACACGTCCTGGTCCGACGGCTGGACTGGGAACCAATTTTCAGCACCGCAGACCTTCCCGTGGTGATAAAAGCCCGTGACCCCAAATTATCTTATCCTAATGCGCTACATTTTCCAAAAAATGACATCAATATAGCCGGGCCACTCATTGTTACGAGAATAAACGTGCTACAAGAATGTATTTTTTGTAGCCAAAAGGTTCAAGTTGCAACTACGGCACTGAGGTGAAAAAATTCGTTGAAGAATGGCTTTGATATTCGATGAAAATTATAGTGCCAAAATCGGTGGAGGCTAACAGTAACAACCAGAATCAATGAGGCGACAATACAATACAATGCAATATCATTCACAAAAAGCCATCGCGATTTGTGGCTCGAGCCTCGTGTAGAGACGAGCGATGTGTTTTCGAAAATAAGAGGATAGGAAATGTCGTTCGTTCTAGGATCTTCAGCTGCTGCGTGACGAGCAGAGCTCGACTTGGATCTTCAGCTAATAAGTAGAACACTTTGAAATGCACTACGTCATCAAGATCGAAGGATCAGCGACCATAGCTAGATAGGCACTCAAAAGAAGCGCACTTCAAGGGTTTTCGTTTTCAAGCGTAAATTACAAGTGCAACATGTCTAGTCCTTACGTACATTTTCCGCTAGGATGGCGGCCGACTGTACAATGCAGAATGCACCTGCAACGAAGCTCATGTACAATTCAAATGTGAACTATTTCTCAAGATTTGGTACAGGTTATCGGAGTGACGCTGACTGTAGTTTTGTTTCTTGCATGTACAACTTTACATGTGAACAATCAGGAATCCGCACAAGAAAAGCTCAAGTGGCGGCGCCTCTAGAAATGCTAATTTTGTTTTTACTTATATCATTGATACGATAAAGCACTACAAGGTAAACTCACAGGCGGCGATAGCGTTATCTTCTGGTATCTGTCCGTGTCCTTGGAAGCAGTACATCAGACATTTTTGCGCGAGAAAAAGACAAACAGGTGTATAGTAAACGATATTTGTCGAGCATAGGCTCATAAGCAGTAGCAGGGGAGGGGAGTAAGAGAAAGAAAAAGCCCAACGTACTCGCCATGCAATATAATTGGCATTCAGAGGACTTATAGCAGAGGTCTACTTGTCTTTCTCTCATAGCACCCTCGCACGACCTACCTCAGATGGTTACGTGCAGGTCGTCTAGCGCCCCTTTCTGCCGATCTGCGAGGGCGTTTTTTCCCGAGTGCGAGAACAGACTGAGTTGCAACGGCGGTGGCGGAAACTGTGTTCCGACCGACCTCTTCTTTTCGTCGTCAAAGAAGGACGACGGCGCTACGGAGTGAACCTCCTGCTCGTAGTCGGACCGCGGCTCGTGGGTCGCGCCTTCTCCCTCTGCGCCGTCGTCACTGCCGCCTCCCCCAGCGCCGCTGCGCCCGGACGCCGACTTGTTTGTCCCGTCGTGCTCCAGCTCTTGTGGCCGCTGCTCAGAGCTCGCGCCCGCGCCCCCAGCAGCACCGGTCTGCTCGCCCCTCTCGGCTTGCCGGTTTCGCAGAATTTCATCCGCAGCGTCCTCGTTCTCCTGCTCCTCACTAGGACCCTGGGGCGTCGACACCTGGCGTCGAGAAGCTGGACCTGAGACATTGACATTTCAACATTGTGTAACGCTAACAGGCGGTGCCCAAAATCTTCGTGCCTTTCGCGTCACAAGAAGATATCATCGTGGTTCTTCAGGATCGGGTTCGGGTCTCTAGAAGAAAAAAACCATGCAGCCCAGCCCTCATGATGCACAGGGTCAAGGATCTTTAAGCGGAGATATTAAAGCGAAAAAGTAAAAGTGTGAGCAGCGAAAACATGCGCTAATATCTAGATGAACGAAGGTACTTACTGCGATGAGAGAGTGCGGGCTTGCCGTCGCCAAATAAGCTCAGTTCCGGCACTGTATCTGTCGGGTCGAAGGTGAGCTTTCCGGCATCGACACCCGCTCGCCAGGCGTCATATTGTGCCCTGTGGTGATAGGAGAAGGAGTGGATCATTTTCATTACTTTGCCAATGCATTATACTAAGCACGTATCAGCACGCGCTGTGCAATGCCAATGTTCAAAAACTTCTTCTTGAACTCTTCATATGAAAGAGCGATCTGTCTGTACTTTCTACAACGTCTTCAAAAAATCACGGATCGGGGGGGCACAGAAGATTCGTTTCCGTGGTCGTCTCGTGCTATGTGCTTACTAAACGTAACTACTTACTACACGCAAAAATTATACATCGCTTTTCCTTCCGGCATGCTCATGGGATCTCCGTTGTCTGCCTGCAGCAGAAGTCGCAGGAAGTGCTCTTCGATAAAGGCCTGCTGTTGCGCACAGATCTCGGCTAAACTGGAACCCTTGAGGCGGTATTCCTCAAGCTTCGCGCGCGTCTCAGCCTCCCACATGCCGGCCCGCGCCTTGACCATTGGTGTCTCGATGGCTGCGCGACGCTCCACCAGCGCAATCGCATCTTTCATCTGTGCGGGTTGAGGTCGATCATTTTGAATTTTTTGTCTGTCTGTTGTTGAGTCAACGACTCTATAATTAACTTCGAGCTGCAGCTGACTCACCGTCACTACTGACCAATATCTATATGTATATCGTGTTATTTGTTTCCAACTACTAAAACCGAAGATCCGAAACCAAAGAGAGTATTAAACCTGCAGCTTCATCTCGGAGTTTTCGCGGGCGAGCTTTTCGTTGTCAACTTCAAGGCGGGCATTGCGCTGGCGCAGGCGCTCCACCTCACTGCTTTTCCTCCGCTCCGCCACCAACTCCTGGTGTTGCTTTTCGAACCGCTTGATCAGCGCCTGCAGCTTATCTGACACGTCCCGACACCGCTTGAGGTCATCGTTTTTCGCTTTCAAGTTGTCGCACATCACATTCATCTGGGTTAGCCGCGAGCTCAAGTAGCTGCAGGCGGTTTCCAAGTCGCCAAACTCAATCGCGAGCTTCACCACCTCTTCGCTAGCGACGGTCTCCGTCGCGGTGGCAGGCGCCGCCTCCTGGCCCGGAAGCTTCACACGCTCGCGGGCCCACCACATCGGATCCTAGAAAGTGGTTTCTCGGACCAGAAGTAGACGGGTCACTTGCTCGTACATAAACCGCCTGCTCCTCTACAACATTTACTTCAACATGATTTTGTTAAAAAAAACCATCTAGAGCAAGTGTGCAATCTAACAAATATCTTTTCTGAGTGTGGAGACACTCATTCTGTTGTTGTAGTTGTTGCGAAAATAAATTCCCAGCCCCGGACAAGCACAAGCTGCAAGTAAATACAACCCCGCGCCGCAACTAAAAATAGCCCCTGACGAAATCCCTACAGACGCGACGAAAACGATGTTACGAGGATTCGGATGGATCACGGCAAGAGCACACAGAAAATGGATCACGACGAAAGGGATTCGGATGGATCACAGCGTCAAAGAGCACGACAGAGCATACGACCCAGCACAACGCAGTGTTCACAGCGGCCAATCAAGCGACCCGAGAATCAAAATCCGTCGAAAGCAGGTCATTCATCACTGTTCTTTTACTTTTTGTTTTTCATGAGAATACACAACAGCTACCGCAGGAATCGCTCCACTGTTTCCAGTTAGAAAAGTGGTTTTTCTTTGCTGTGCCGACAAGGATTGACTCGAGCACCAGCACGTCCACGTGTGGTTGTTGTACTACATTAAGGCTAAGCTTGATATTATAGGAGTCTTTTTTACACAATCAAGCCATCGCTTTTTCTATTTGTTGTGAGTGTAAAGTTCTCAAATCAGGAATAGTACTTTCGATAGCTTGTCGTGGGCATCTGAGAGTTTTTTGAGCCAGTCGTTCGCGTTCCTCCTGACTGATGAATGAAAAACAAAAATCAGCGAACATCCTCTTAGATGTACAGCTCCGCCTGGTTGCTGTGGTCCAGGATGGCATAATTGTTCTTCGCAGCACTCGACGACGCGCCCAGAATTTCGTTTCCCTTGCGCAGCAGGCCGCCCACGACCCCCAGCTCCTTGCTCGTTGTAACCACGGCACCGTTCATCTTCGACGAGGTCCCGCCGATCAACAGCAGGCGCAGAGCCTTGCCCAGGCCGCGACCGCAGTCCTCCCACTGCCCCTCCTGGTATGCGGCGAGGGCCGCCTTGCCGTCCTCCTCGATAGCGTATGCTGAGTAAAAACGTCCCCACCCCAGAGTTGTCATGCAAATCTGCATGCCAAAAAAGTTTCTCATGCGGAGCCCCATGAGAAGCATTTTCTAGTCGTGTTTTTGAGTTCGTGATGCTAGAATCAGCATGATATGCTAGATCTGTGATGCTGCTGAACTAGCGAAACAGGATTATACTAGGAGGGCAAACCTGTCATGCGAAACAGCGAAAGCTGGTTGATTTGTCTAGCAGATTTCCCATCTTGACTCTGGTGTGGGGACGTTTTTACTCAGGATATAGCGGCCGCGTTGCTGATCAGGTCCATGCCCAGGTGTTCGATCAGCTCCTTGACCGTCTTGAAGCTCTCCAGCTTCTCCTTGATCACTTTATGGGAGTGTCAGGATCGAAATCGTCAGAGTTGAAATGATTTGTGATGCATAAAACGGATACCAATTGGTGCCTAGTTTTCAAGTGGCGCATGACAAATTTGGGTAGGGCCGAAATCTAGTTTGTAATGCTCTTTGGCTAAGGAAGACGCCTTTTCTCATGCTACTTTAGCAGCTCAATTTCTACCCCTCAACAGGCTTAGAATCTGCATCCCTTGCGTCCTCTGCAATAGAGGCAATTTTTGCCTTGCATTTTATGCATCACAAACTATCTCAACTTTGACGATTTCAATCCTGACGCTTCCATACACTTCCAGGGCCGCCTTGGAATCGGCGCAGCTCTTGCTCTATGGATTGCAAATGTGTCTGGGTCTGGAAACTTGTAACGCTGAATGGCCATCATGATTGACTGTGCCTTTAAGTGCAGTGCAGCATCACAAATTTTTCAAACGCTCTGTCATGCGCAGGACGCAGCACAAACTGCGTTTTTGCATGACGAAGGCGCGGCGCTTTATTTGCTGCTTATGCAATACAGGTTTTTTAGGAATGCGAAACACGCAATACAGGTTCACCCTTTCCAGAGCCAGACATATTTGCAGTTGATATGCTCACCTCCGGCAACGTCCGCTCCACCAGAATGGACAGCAGCAGCATCGTATCAAATGCAAATATGTCCGCGCGCCATGGTGTTTTTGCATGACACAGAATGTCTGTCATGGAACCCCTAGCATCACAGACTTCGAGAAGCTTCCGCATTGCTCAATCCGCATGATAAATCCCCCGCTTTGGTAACAGGAAATGGGCAACATCTTTTGCTGCCTATGCATGAGAGATTTATTGTCTGTGTTGTGAAATGCGCATCACATGTTCGCATCCGTCCAGACATCCAGGGATATTTGCATTTCATACATCGCCTCCGCCATCCCCGCGCGCGTGTTCTTCTCCAGCGCGTTGGCGATCTTCTGCAGGTCCTGCACCAGTTTTTCGCTGGAACTGACGCAGGTCGCCGTCACCTCCGTGTCCGTCAACCCGGACACCACGCCCTGCATCAGGGAGACCGCGTCCTCGGGGTCCAGTTTCACGCCCAGAATGACGTCCTTCAGCGCGTGGCCCACGGAGACACCGAAGAAATGGTAGTCCTCCTGCTGCCACGACGTCACGGCGGTCTTGATGTTCTCAAAGATGTCCACGCCATTCACAAGCAGCTCCTTGCCCACATGGTACGCGAAAGAGGTGGGGGACGCGAAACTGGCAATGCTTTCCAGCACAGCCTGCACCTGGTCGTAGGTTCCCTTGCATTCCTTCACCGCACTGGGCAAATCCTTCTCGAAGGCATCCGCCAGATACTTCAAAGCAGTTTTCATCCCGGCCTGAAGGAATTGCGTTTTTTTAATCAGGAATGTTCATTTTAATACGATCCTGTACCTAGGTACAACCACGAACCCTCGTTGTATCCACATGGAAGATCACAGAAGTCATGCTACAACCAAGATAAGCGTGGTCAGTCCACAACCTGAGTCCGCTTATTTGTCTAATACTTTTTCAATATCTTAATTGATATACCTCTGTATCTTTCTTGAACTCAAGTACAGCCGCTTTGATGTTTTGCTCGAAAGCAACATCGCTTTTCACGCAAGCCTCCACCAAGTCTAACCCGAAGCCGTCCGCGACGCCCATGAAAATTTCCACAAAATCCTTCCGGTCAAGGCTCACAACCTCAGTTTTCGGCCCATCATCCTCGGTATTGCTTCCACCTGTGACCTTGCTGCTGGCGGCAAATGCCACCGCGGCAAGCGATGCGAAGACCCGCAACGCTCGAACCACAGCTCGACAACCTACAAAATGACCACGCAGCATCTTTATTTTTTGATATAATTGCAGCTTCGAGATACTTACTACTGTCTGTAGCGCGAACCGCAAGCGGTGTTTTGTCTCACAGGTGCGATCCTGGAGATGGTTCTGCTTCTGCGGCTGGTGGTACACGATGAATAAAAAGAAAAAGAAAAACGAGAAGCGACAAACAAACTTCCAGATCCGAAGTTTGACGAGGAAAATTTTTTGTTGCTTTCACCAAGCACAACCTAGCAAAATTTCGCATACTGATGTGACACTTTGAACCTGGACAGTTCTGGGTGAAGAGCAGAAACCAACGAGAGTTCTGAACTGGCATCACAATTTGCCGTGGAGTACCGATAAGGGATACCGAACTTTATAAATCCGAAGGAAAAGAGCAGACGAATCGAATGACTGTACCTACGAAATGAAATCAGTCTCAGTGCATGAAAGAAGAACAAAAGATAGATGTGGATCGATGTGCGTTTCCCCTTCGTTTGGAAAATATGCGCTACGACCTCACAGCATTTTTCTTCAGTCTGTACTTTGTGTTGGTGTTTTAGTTTTTGTTTTTTTTTTGCCGCTGGCAGAAAATGAAACTCAAGTCTTACCCCGTATAATTTATAATTCATGATCATGACTGTAGTTTATTTCACTTATTCGGCACAGCTTAGGGTGAACGTGGAGATTCTTCACATTGTGTCGCTGTCGAGGGTTTCGCGAGTTTCGTTCTGAAGCCGCTTGCAAATTTTATCGGTACTTCGAGACGTACTTTTCACAAACCGCTAGGCTCACTCAGTGCAGTCGTAGGCTGTTGAAACTTGGCTGGATCACGGTAGGCACATAGTGCTTTCTCGTTCTTTCTGCGAAGAACATCGTAAGGAGTATGAGTGTAATCTGACATGAACAGGTGCGCCGTCTATCTCCATCGGCAGGGTCGTTGGGAAAAAAGGGGGTAAGGACATCGACATCCGGACCGCCGATCATTAGAACTGTGCTCGACTATCCTCGGTAAAAAAGTACCCAACCCGTAGCCAAAATGGGAATTTTGCGATACCAATCAAGGTGCTGCCAGAACTCCGCGTGACAAGCTACTTAATCGTGAGTGGCCCCTGTAGCTGAAAAATCACTCTTTTTATCGTGATACATTAGGGCATGACCTACTCCCAGTCACTAGTAGAAAGTCCAACTATACCTCTTCCTTTGTCAGGGAGCCGCATGTAAAACATTCGCATGCTAATTTGCGTGACAAATCCGGGATGGGTAGGTTTTCACACGTGATATCGATGGGATGACCCGAAAGCATAAGCGGGTGGCGCTTTCGCTGTTGCCTTAGCCATTGCCCCTGGAGGCCGGCCCGGGACAGCGCTGGTAGCACCGTAAGGGGCCCCAGCTACGGCCTTGGCGAACGGATGCTGCAGAAGCCCCCCGCCGAATCCACCCAACGAGGGGCCACCCTGCCCCTCCATCCGCTTTTTCGCTGCGGCCTTGTCGATCTCCTTTCTGACCAGTGCCAGGGCACGGTCTCGGTCGGCTTTCAGCCCGACAATACGGATGCCCTTGGTGCCGTCTGCGTTCAACTTGTTTTCCAGGTGTATCTCACACTGTGACTCCGCCTTCAGCCGCTCAATTGTCCGCCCCGCCGTGCCGACGAAGAGCGCAACCAAACTTGGATGGATTGACATCGAGTGGTCTGCTCCAAAATCAGAAACGATCGGGGTGGCCGCAGTCCGGACTTCCCCGTCCTCCCCGATTTCTATTCTTTTAGGCTTCGGCTGCGCACCCTGCGCCCAATTGTTCATGTAGAACCTGTGTTTTTTGGAAAACCACAAATTCTATTTTTCGGTTTCCTTGCAGAAGCAGGAAAAGGAAACAACTTCACGCCAAAGAAGTCCTTCGTTGACAAGTTCGCGTGAAAGCATATGGGTATATTCATACTGTCAACACATCAAGCGGAAGTACTAGCTAAAAGTTTTTTATAGATACTACAGAGAAATGTTTCGTCCACCTACGAACTAAACTTCTCCAAAATTCTTAAATCACAGAGCAAAAATACGCCTGGTCTGGGTTGAGCGGATTTTTCTCTTCCCGCTGTCCTTTCGCTAGATTAGCTGCGACCCTTGTACTCGACTGGTACAGCACGCCGGGGTTGACGCCTGGCACTTCCTGCCCAGGAGCCTGTTCAATGTCCTCCGGGCGAATCGGTTGGCAGAAGATGTCGCCCTCGGGACCGAAGGCGCCCATCATGTCCTTGTACAACTTGTCCGCCTGCTGCTGCTTGTTGGCATTCTCCTTCCAGTGCACGTTGGCCTCGACGTGTCCGGCCCGGGCCTTGGGGCAATCCGACGTCGGGTGGCCGCGGTCGCCACAAATTTCGCACACCACGGTGGCCATCTTCCAGCCCTGCCCGCCCTCGTTCTCCGGACACTCGAAGCCCATGTGGCCGATCGCGCCGCAGATCCCGCACCGCTTCTCGTTGATCGCGACGGTGAAACCATTGTAGCGGGACAGGTCCACCAGCCCGCGCTCCTGCGCGGCCGCGTACTCCTCCGTCTCGGGGTCCAGCAGGGGCAGCGTGAGTTTTTCGGCAATCACGATCTGCTCCTCGTGGTCCGCCTCGATGTGGACGTGCAGCGGCATCTGGAAGTCCTCCTCGGTCTGAAACCGTTCGTCCGTGCCCTTGCCCCGGAGCATGATCTTCGCGCCACTCAGGTCGCACATCCGTTTGTGGTTTTCCCCCCGCACGCCGATGATCACGCTCATGAAGGGCGCGTCGGGGTACTTGTCCGTGGGGCAGAACAGCTTTTTCGCCAGCTTCTGGGGGCGGAAGTCGTGGGGCGGCACGTAGCCGGAGACCACCTTCTGCATGTACCGCACCAGCCGGTTCTGCTCGTTCTTCATGTTCTTCTTGATGCGGACGTCCCGGGTGTTGATGCGGTTCCCCTGCCGGTCGTACACCGGGGGCGGCGACGGGGCGCGGATGTCGCGGTCCACATCCTCCAAAATCCCGCGCCGGATCTTCTCCGTGATCTCCTCCAGCCGCTGCTCCCGCAAAAACTGGTCCACCTCCTTCGACGTCAACCCACAGGGAATGTCCACATACGGGAGCGGCTTATACGGCTTGTCCTCCGGGGGGCCCCACCTGAAAATGAACCGGCGAATTGTCAATTGATCCATCCATGAAAAAAAAAAACGGGGAGACAGTTGTACACAGTCAGGAAGATCAGAGAATTATGGGATTGGAAAGGCTGAAGGATGTAGCTAAACCAAACAAGAGCTCCTCGTCAGAAGCAGGAAGAAGGAAATCGAACATGTAGTCCGTGGAGCAAGCAAACAAAACGGCGAAGCCCGGGGACTGAGTAGACTAAGAGGACTAACGCACAAGATTAAGATAACATCAAACATATAGCAATTTCTATAAGTTTGCTGATACTTGTGTTTCTTCTTCTCGACGGGTTCGAATCGTGAGACTTTGCCGTGCACCTCGATTTGCTGCTGCCGCTCCTCCTTTTCCCTCAACGCCAACGTCATCATCTTATCGGCATCGCCGAAATTCCCCATCGAATCCAACAGCTCGATTGCCTCCATTTTTGCGAGCACTGTAAAGTACCGGTTACGTCAGAAAAAGTAAATGTGTACGATCTGTTGAAATAAACTGCTGCAAACAACACAGCGAGTGTGTCTGCGTCCCGGTCGCACCGAGAACCTCTTCTGACAGGGGCCTCCTAACAAACAAAAAATCTAGTAAAGTTCAAATTGCTGTGGTCCAAAGCAGGGCTACAGAAAGTTGCTGTCAATGACAAAGTCAAAGATCCTTGAAAAAATTGCCGCCGGTCCTGAACCAAATTCCGAAAATGAATCAAATTTTCGCTTTTTTTGTCTTTCAAAAGGGACCTGTTGCACGGTGACGTTGATCTTGCATGATAGCGATTGCGTTGCAAGCTTGTGTAATTCCGGGAAATGATGTCTGCTCAGTTTAAATATTGCACGATGGATTGCCAGAGGCTCTGTCTCCCTTTACTTTTTTCTGAACAATTTGCTTGCGAAGTAAATGCAAAATGAGTTATCGATTTCTTGTGGTGGCTAATATTTGTAGCAGCTAATTGCTGTATTTCTGATGTACGCTTTAGCGTGGAATTTCCTATATTAAAGACATAGTTTCCGATAAGCGGATATCCTGAAGACGGGTCTTCATCGTAAGTGATCGTGACGAAGCGCACAAGACGACAGGTGCTGCAGATGATCAAGATCACTCCTTTTACCTCGGGCAAAAACAATTTAAGTATATATTCGCTTTGTTCATCGCGTCCTCGCTTATTCAAGTGACGAGCTCCTGCTGAGCAGGTGCAGAACACAGCGCATACGAAACTTTATTTCATTCTCCGCTCTCTCCTGAGGAGGTCGCACACTTTTGATAATTGTGTTAAAATTGTTTTATAGCTCGAGTCGTACATTTTGTTCTGAATCATTGTCACGTTCTCTTTCACCTGAACATCAGGCTGGGTGTCGGCATTGCTAATTCTTGCACAACTCCTGCTTTGCAGACACTTCAGTTCTTCATCAAGAAGCGAACTGAAATGAATCAGAAACGCTAAAAAAAACGCCCCCCAAAAGAAACAGACAGGGGGGATCTTCATATCATACATTTACATTCACAAATACTATATTCATCAATTATTGCTCGTCTGTATTCTTAAATTCTTTATCGTTGCCTTTGGGAAAAAGAAAAGGCTCATCATGACGAAATTTCGCGGTCCGCAGCAACGCCGGGAGCAACCGAAGGATTATCACCATCCGGCGTACTTCGTAGGAAGGGATGAGCCTCAGTGGAGAGCACGAACGTCGAAAGATCCAACGTCGACCGGGGGGCCTGCAACAAATACCCGTACTTAAGTGTCTCCGCGACGAAAAAGCTTTCCATGGAATCGGTCTTCGCTCCCGTGACCGTGTCGACGGAGGAGAATCCGAAGCGACTTTTTCCTGCCCGCGTCATCTGTTTCAGTATTTGCATGCCATTTTTTTGCGCTTCCAACTCCACGCTCTGTGCCTCCCCCCCGAAAGCGGCCGCAAAGTACCGCAAGTAGTACAGCGACTCTAGGGTTTCCGGCCGCAACAAATTTTTCCGACCGCCGGAATTTCGGCGGACGTCGTCGAAATGCAGTTGGTTCTGTGTGGCATCAAAATCGACGTACTCCGGTGCCAAAAACAACGGGGCGTTTTCCGTGTACATCCGCACGCACACACGAAGAAGCTTCCGCGCCAGCTCTCGCCACGTACGAATCTCGTCTGGCGCCACAGCCGTTTTTGCTGCTTCGGACGTAGACGCCTCGTGTGCGGCCAGCAGTAGAGTTCCCGGAAAGAAACAGGACAAATGGTCCATGCGCGCCTGAAAATTGCCGTCCTCATAACTTCCCAGAAACGCAGCAGTCCCGTCGGCGCTTTCGCGGATGAGGAGGTGCCGCGCGTCACGGACTGACTGCGCGAAGCTCGATAACAAGTTCGTTTCGCGCTTGCCACCTAAAAGCCACAGCTTTAGCAGGTACTCGTAGAAGGAGTCAGACCTTGCCGAAAGAGACACGCGCCCGGAAAACGACAGAGTCAAAGAGTTGTCCTCACGATGATACTTTTCCACGATCTTGCTGCCCAGCAGCCCCGTAGTACTGCCGTACTGCGACGCGCGACCATCCATAACTGCGGGAAGTTGATTTTCCGTGCGTCCGCGGTAGGCGTTGCGCAGAATTCCCGCCAGCACCTGGTCTGGCTTTGCACACAGTTCGGGGGCCGCTTGCTGGTTGGCCAGCGCGCGAAACTCTAACTGGATGCTGCCCACCTCGGCCAGAAAATGCGTGTTCCCCCAATTCTCAGTGGCATGTGTGTCCAGCTGCAAGGCGGGGTGAGGGAAGGGGATCCGGTTTTCACCGACATTCGGAAAAGCGTAGTCGAGCAAATCGACGCCAACCTCCCTCGCCAACGAGGCAAGATGCGTCACTGCAGTCGGCGTAGGAGTCTTTAATATGCCTTTTCCAGAGCGAGCTGTGGTCTCAAGTGCCGGCACTACAGACTGAATGGCTATGTTTGCCAACATCCCCTCTTCATCAGCAGCACTAGAAGTGGGAGATATTCCGTCTGCCCAACCGCGCGGATCGATCCGAAGCAAATCTGCTGTTCCGAGCAAGCCCCCTAGTGCACGAATTACGATCTCAAACGTGCACATGGGAGGACGATCTGCCGCGTTTTCGCCCAAAATGAACGTGGTATTCCTTTGATGAAAAGCAGCTGATGTCCGGTCACTGCGGATGTTAGGCAGCGAAAGTTTTCTTGAACCAGCAACCGTCGTCGCGTTCGTCAACAGGAACAGGCCTTCGGTGAATTCGGGCTGCAAGCCCATCAAGTACAACGTGTCCAGCGCCTCGATCACCTGCACCGCGTACCCGATCCAGTCCGAAGCTTCGCCCGAAACCGGCTTGACGTCATCGTGGCCCCACGCGGCCGTCCTGTACCCACTCCAGACGTGTCGCATCATTCCGAGGACGAAGTCGACATTCTCTTGCTGAACAATACCGTCGTTAAGTGTCGGCGGGTTCGACACGAGGACCGGGGAACTGGCAGCCTCCGTGCTGTCCACCTTGTCACGACCAGCGTCAACTTCGAGCGACCTGGCAGGAGCTTTTGTGCCACCATCTTCGAGGAGCGCACGACGGTGGACCAGATAATTGCGGTCCTCTCGAGCAGCAGGGGGAATAGTACCGCGCAGGTTGCGGAAAACAGTGATGGAACTGGGTTGCAAGCTGCGGGCGACACAACTGTACCTCAAACCGGCAAACACGACGAGGACGACTGACACCGCAAACACAACACCCGGCCAGCTGGATTTGCCAGGAGAGACGGCAGCGCGTGCACCGCCCATTTCCGAAGTGGAACAAAGACCTTCGTCGTAAGCAGCCGACCCAGCAGCCAGTTCGTTCTTCTGCTCTCGCCGTCTTGATGGGGATGCGACCCCGTCTAACTCTCTAGGGGCAGAGACACGTGGAACATGCCCCTCGTCCTGATGCTTGTCCTCTCGCGGGCGCGGCGCGTTGCTTGTGGCATCAACATCTTGGGATTGGGGAAGCAACGGAAGATGCTCTTCACAGCGCGTCTGATCAGCTTCTTCCGCCTCTACCACGCTTTTTGTTTTCAAACTTTCCATCATGACGAGCTTTCCATCATGGCGAGTTCTTCTTTTTGGTCATTTTTTGTGTAAGTCTCGAACACATCAAAACAGGAGCGGAATCCAGTAGGGATGATTTTCGTCCGTTGAGTATCCGCGCGGGGTTACTCATTTACACTGTGAGGATGGAAATACTCACGATAGGCATAAGCATAGGCGTAGGCTGGCTAGGCTTAGGCTGTACGATCCTACTAGGCTAGGCATGCTGTACGAGGCTACTGGCTACGGTCCGAACGTCTTGAGCGTTTTACACGTTACCGAAGGGGTGCAGTATCTTGTACGAAAATCATCAGGCTGACCGACCTGAGTCACTGCATATCTCGTGCCGACATTTATTTGGAAATCATGTGTAAAGGCAAATCAATTATCAGTACTCTACCTCTTGTCGTCCAGCCACTGCGTCTCACTAAAAATTTTCTGAAAGACTAGCTGCGGCTTGAATAGCAACAGATATCAGCCTCTGAGAAAAGAAAAATCGTCGCTCTTTCGCTCCAAAACGATGGCGACAACTCTCTGACATTCCTCGTCGTCACCGCAGGGCTCTCTCAAAAATATTTGCCTCCGATATCGTCGATATTGATGAAGACAGGTGGCATCTTTTTACGCTCGAACTGCTCGCCGAAGCGGCCCGTGACATAGCACAGATACGCGTGGTGTGTGGCGAGTGGTATAGCATCTTATCCTTGTGTCTACCTAGAAATGCTACCACCGAAAAGAGGATGACCACGAACCGCAAGTGCAACGTTTATTTCGGTCACGAGGAAGTCGAACAAATAGCAACAATGACTCTGATGAGATGCTGCTCTCGAGCAGCCTGCGGCGAAACCAGGTAGTAGGTATCTGTTACACTTCTTTTCGCCCGAAGCACGCTACAAGTTAGAATCCATCGAAAACCTACCGCTTCACACGGGCGCGCTGAGTGCACCAGAACTACTTGTTCTTGCTGATGATGTACAACTATGGTCAAAGTAGTCTGCTGTTCTACTTGTATCTCGTCTTACGTCTCCGTCAGTCCCAAGAACAGTATCACAACCATGTTTCTCAATTGCACTGCTTTCTTCCATCGTTGTGCGACCGCTAGCACTCCTTCTAGTGATCGTGTCGTGAAATCGCCCGGTCACGAAACGAGCCGACGACGCGCTCTGCGTGCTAGCTGCCATGGAGGAACCGCGGATCGACCCGATCAGCAGGCCCGTCGTCCGCGCGACGGATTCCCTTAGAGACCGCTAACTCTCCTGGGTGTTCAGCAGCACGCCGAGCAACACCACGGCAATCCCGACCCAGCGCAGCGGGCTGACCTTTCTGGCGGGGAACCCCATCAGCCCGAACTGATCGATGAAAACGCCCCCGAGGAGCTGCCCGAACGCGATCAGGATCCACATCGTGGTCTGGCCCAGTTTCGGCCCCAGCGCCACCACGCAGAACACCACGAATCCGCCAATACAGCCACTGGTGAACATCCAGAATTCTGGCCTTAATCTTCCGGTTGGCTGTTCGAAGAAATAACCAGGCTCCTCCCGAAACAACGCGTCCCAGGATGCGACGACCCAAAGCAAAATCGACAATACGGACGCGCCCGTGAAGGAAGAGATCGCTCCCGCAAAAGGATTGTGGGAAAAAAGTTTCTGCGCCGCGGCGTTGATGCTACCCTGCATGGGCAGCGCAATGCCGCCAAGGAAGGACAGAACCATGAACGGCAACTCATCCTCCACAAAAGTTGTCCGGTGGTTCGCCGCGCTGCTAGTAGTACTTGAGGCTGTTGTACTAGTACCCGGTCCCCCGCTCGCGGTCTCGTCGGAGCTCTGGCTCTCAACAACGACTACGATCACACCGGCCGTTGCTACCGCCACGGCACCACATTTGTAGGCATTCAATCTTCGTTTCGCCGCGTTCGCAAAACCGATGTGGTCGCACACCATGGAACCCAACATCTGCCCCACGAACAGGGTCAGCACCTGGGCCACAAAGCCGATGTGCTCCGCACCGAGGAAGTTTTGCGTCACGATAAACGTCCCGTAGGCGCCGCCTGTGAACTTCCAGTAGTGTTCCTTCAAAAAGTCCCATGTGAAAGGACGTGGGGGCGTCAGTTCGTTTGCGCTTGTTTCCTCGTCCTGTGTAGTTATTTGTGCCCCATCAGGACGAGCGTCTTCCGTAGATGAGGTCTGCTCCACTGTCACAGCGACTTCTTCTGCTGCTCTGCTCCGCGCTGTTGTGTCCAGTTGCTTGTCGCGCAACGAACCGCAAGCGGAAGTCGGCCAAGGACTGTCGGAAGTCAACGCGTTTGTGTCTTCTTCCCCATATCCGCCCGCCGCACCGTCTTCTAAGGATTTATGGAGACCGCGAGTATGCTGCGTGCAGTCCTTCGAGGTGGCAAGGTGCGAAAAGCAGGCCTGCTCAACAGCAGGAAACTGATTGCCACTGACGCTGGTAGAGATGGTCGTGTGGCGCGAACCCACGCTGTCATTCACAGACAAAAAATCCAGATCTACTTCCAGAGCAGCGTGCTCCGCCACTTGCTTCGTAGCCGCTGGGAGGCTCCGGCGATGTCCTGCACCTTTGTCCTTCTGCGCTGCTATATTATCTGGAACAATCGGGCCACCAGCGGGATTATTTGGTGTTGGAATGGTACTTCCCTTGGTCCTCGAGGCAGCACCAGGCTCAGAAACGCTAGGTGGCTTCGCTAGTCTGGGTCCGAACAGTGTGCCCTTGACGCCGTCCCTCACAAGAACGCACTCACGAACCAACACGGCAAGAAGCAGCAGAGCCAGAGCTACCGTCATGTTCATCATATTGGCAAATGGTGCACTATCGTAGGCAGCCGCCAGGTTGGCACCAATGCCCCGGTGGACGGCGAGTAACAGACCGGCGAAAAATGCGACTAGGTAAGACCCGCATGAAGATACCAGCCCCATGAAGTACGAGAGACACGAACTTCCGCCCTGGTTCTCTGCGGCAGCGGGCGTTACTTCTCTTTCTTGCCCGCTCTGAACTTTGTTTAAACCGCTCCAGCTACTGCTCTTGATGTCACCATCGCTAGCCTTTGATGTGCCGTGACGACGCTCCTCGCAACTTCTGGCAACATCGGCCACATCTCCACGAGGCACATCTACTACGAGCGCGGCCACCATGCCTGAAAAATCACAGCTAGCGTACAATTGAATAGGTAGAACTAGAACTGATGAAACTGAAAATCTACATCGGAATCAAAGCACTCTTGCTGGTGTTGTGTATGTGATTCTTTTTTATTTTTGCTCCTCCTGGATGATTGTTACAGCCTTAACACACATAAAGAATAAGAAGAATGGCCGTGCAATAGTAAAATCGAAATGCGCGTTCTCGGAGGTGGCAATTTCTAATTGGGGATATAGGTGCCTGGCTTCTGCTTACAAAGGGTCCTGAAAGAAAGTAGGTGTAGTTCGACTTCTAGCGCGACGCTGAAGATCAACACGATACAGATTCAGCGTATTCATTTGTTCACGAAGGAAATCACAAACCGAAGTTGGCGTCGTGTCTTGCCACGACTCATCGACCTTCTAAAACGTACCGAAGCCTGTACGACAAATCATCATCGTCATCAGCTTTTATCCTCCACTACGGGGGAAGAGAGAAAAAAAACCGAATGAGCAGCCTTGCGTGGCACCGAACTAGGTCCTTCACGCGCGACGAATCCTTGTTTGACGTACAAACAATTCACAAGCCAGGTCAATACCTCTACTTACTTCATCTTTTTGCAGAAATCTATGATCATCTTCTTGTACCTTTGTCTCTTGTATATGAAGAACGAATAGAATCTCGCCGCTAGCTACGATGACTTTCGAAATTTACGAAGAAGCAGCGACTGATTTCGAACGGAAATCTTTGGCACTTATCATTCACGAACATCAAAGTCACTAGCGGAAACGTCGCACGCATTTCATCGGTGGCTGCATCTGTTGCTCTGACGTTACTTCAGGGATGAAATCATGCTGAAAGCTTGTTGCCATTGCGCATACGTGTCTGCGTTGTTTTCGTCTGCCCCGCCGGAGAGTTGCATTTCGATTTGAAGAACTACTGGGTGGTCTCAGGATTATTTAGTGGACCACTACTGCTCAACTTCAGCAGTACCAGCTGCTTTTTCAAACACGGAAAAGTACATTTCCTTGCCAAATCGCCCCAAATTTTGCACCTTGTGTCCCTCTTCGGTGGCCTCGTGAATGAGCTTGACGCAAACGTCGTCGTGGCTATCCAGCATCTGCTGGCGGGCCTTCATGCGTGGCATGTCTTCCTCGTCGACCATCTTTTTCTTGCCGTCGCCATGCTTGGCGTTGTCACTGGTAACGGCTTTGCTCGAGACGGAGGACGACGAGAACCCAAGATCGTGGTTGGTTTCTGCGGCGCGTCGGTTCGACGAGTCGACTTCCTTAAAGGTTGGATGCTGTTCCAAACATGCGTACATCCAGTCGTGCAGATCCTTGACGTCGGTAATGGTGTAAATGCGTCCTTTTTCCTTCAAACTGTACGCATACACGCTCAAAAGCGAATCGTTCACAATCCTGCGCCGGTGCGTTTTCTTCTTGAAGTGCGGGTCAGGGAAGCAAAAGAAGATTTTTTCCAGGGATTGCTTCGGAAAGTAATTCGGGAAGGACTTCATCGCGTTCGTTCGCAGCACTGCCGCGTTATGGAAGTGGTGCGAGTCCGAGCAGTCCTCGGATACTTTTTTAGCAGCCTGGTCTACTTGTTTCTCATCCTCATCTTTCGCCCTGGATACTATCACTTCGTGGTCGACAACATTTTCTCCCTCCTCGGCGCAGTTCTCTTCTTTCTTGGTTTCCGCACTACTACAACTTTCCGCTTTGCGCAGACTGTGCTTTTCGCGAAAGGCCTTGATCCGGAGGCCGACATAGTTGGTGACTTGTTCCCGGATTTCCATTCCCAGCACCAGTTTCTCCGGAAACTGCTTCGCGAGCGCAATGGTCAGGCCCCCAAATCCACAGCCGACGTCCAGAAGCGAGGGCCGCAGGGTTTCCGTGTTTTTCGTGGCGGACACGGGTTCCAAGTCGTAGCTCAACGGGTACTCGGCCGTGTTCAGATACAAACTTTGCTGGTCTTGATGTCCTTCTGGTGCGGGGGAAAGGCTTAGTGTCGTTGCGGGGGCACAATTCTCCTGGTCGATCCGCTCGCTGTCCTTTATCTGGGACGCATTATGTTCCACGTACATCTCCCGGTAGTGCAAGCTCCAATCCACGTGGTGCGGTGACACTGGGGCGGGAAGCAGAAAGTCACTCAGAGGATTGCAGTGCGCGCGCTGCCGAAAGTCGGCCTTCCGCGGTTGCACTGCGCGTTCCGCATTCTCGGCGTCCCGGGCCCGTTTCCGCGACTTGGTCTTGTGGTCGCCCACCGGCGCGCCTGCCACGGCTCTTATTTCCTCCATCAGTTCTGATCAAAGTTGCGGCTGCCGGCACTTGTTTGGATTCGCTAGAAAACGAGATGATGTGTATGTAGTGGCAATTATGTTTTCAAGTCAAAACGTGGATACATATGGTATCTTACTTTCTGTTTCTAGTACCTGGGACATACAAATAAAAGCAAACTATCTTCTCGTTCTCTGCGCAAACACTTTCTGTTCCCAATAAACCATCCTGATCTGAAAGAGTAAGGTTGCGTTTGCATACCTTCAACGGGGCTGAGCAGCAATGCAATAACTTCTAATTCTGGTGGGATGGGATCAAAAAAACACAGCCAGGTCAAAATTACCGTCCTTTATTATTTGCAGATCGATTTCTGTGGGCGTCATGAGACGGGATCTGACAAAAGATTGAAGAACATGCTGGGTCGTTTTTCGTTCGTGATCTTTCGCTCCATTCACACGATTGTAGAAACACAAATTTTCCATTTCTTCGATCCCGCACTGATCTTTGCAAAAGTTTGAGTTTCTTCTAATCGATCAAGACAAACAATCCTTCCGGGCAGCCGGGCACTCGGACCTTTACTCTTACGGCCATGTGGAAGCTTCGAATGGTGATGCATGTTGTCCATTTCGACGTTCCTGCATAAGTACATTCATTCGGCAAGATGCAAAAAAGCTGGATTACTTTTTGCACCAACAATGCAGCACTATTTTCAACCATAGGCTGCGGCTGGCTGCTCTGAACGATATGTTCATGATGTCGTGCTTCTGCTGGCGCCGTTGCTACAGCATATAAACAAAGGAGTCAGGAACTTCAGCGATTCCGCTTCTAAAAACTACCACGCAACTTGTGACAAAATCGCCCTCAGCACCGCAATGTTCAAGATCTGAAGCGTCGTCCAGAGGTAAATCAAGAAGATTGTTGATACACAAACACACAAAAAAATTTTCTACACGGTATGATGTTTGGCAGATGCAAGAAGCTTCTTTTTCTACCCAGCCAGGCCCGGCTCTTCAGCCCAACCACGTAACAACCCACTCAAGGGCGAACTCGACAATGTTCAACGGAAAGAGGATGAGGGAAAAGGGAAAGCTCAGGGAGAACCCGTGAATCAGCTGGAAGTAGATGCCGCACGCTGCAATGGCCCACCCGATGTATTCGTCGACCATGGTTTCGTCCAGGTCGATGTTTTCCACGCCCAGTTTCTTGGACAGGAAGTAGAGCAGGTTTTGCGCGAAGATGTGCCCCCCGGCAATGGCGCTCTGCACCGCGCACACCATTTTCTGCAGCGTCCACGCGAACAGCAGCGCCACCGTCTTCTATCAAATGCAAAAATGTCTGGGTCTGGAAGAATGCACGATTTGTCATGCAGCTTTTCCATGACCCATGAGGTCTGGAATGCAGGACCTAGCATGACAGACTCTGTGCGATCTTTCCCATGCCTATCCTGCATGAGAAACTCCCTCCCGACTTGGTCAAAACTGGACGACTTTTGGTAATCACGCAACACAGATTCTTGCATGCTTCAGATTTAGCATGACAAGTTGCATTCTTCCAGACCCAGACATTTTTACATTTGATATCTTCGTCAAGTAGTCGATGAAGGCGACGATCCAATCCTCGGAATCGGGCGGCAGATATCGTGAGAAAAAAGTGTTACAGTTACACACTCTCATGCAAGACAAGCAAGACAGACAACCTCTGTCATGCAGGAAACGCGTGCCAGCCTCATTCCATTCGTGTGCTCCCTTATGGTCTGCGCATTACAAGTTTTCTTCGCCATGCAGAGCAAATTTGTGATGCTGAAATTCCAACAAATGTGAAACTGTAACACTTCTTTCCTTGGATAGCAAAGCGGTGGCGAGCAGTGGCGTCAGCACCACGGCACAGGGCTTCCGGGCCTTCTCTGCCATGCTCACCGCCAGCGCGACCGACTGTGCGAACTGGAACTTCACGGTCATCAGCACGGAGAGAAAACTGGTTTGTACGAATTGCGCAAGTTAATGCAGATGAAAAATATTTAAGTTCCGCTACAGACTGCCCATAGCGACAGCTGTATGGACGGTTTTCATCTAGGGCAGATACAGACCTCGAGCCTCATCTGCACACACGTGCAAAGACAGACACAGACCTTCTCGACTACATCAATGGCATTCATAAGCAAAAAAGAGGAGCGAATGAACCTGACGAATCAACATGAGTTGTGGTCGTTACGCAGTACCCTTGGTATAGGCCTCCTACCGCACCAGATACTTTGTCTGGATCGATGGAAGAGACAACAAGTTTGATTTTTCGCTGCATCAACTCCCGCTGGCTAATCTGTAACACGTCCGCAATACCGTCGTTGTCCAGGTCTTCGACGTCGTCTTCCTGATTGCGATCCCGCAACACAGCGTACTCCTCGCAGATGTCCTTCCAGCAGGCGGAGATCTTGTCGCCCCCGCTCATTTTGAAGGCCTCGATCGCACTGATGGCCACCACGTAAGTCCTGAAGAAATTGTTCAAAAGCATTACGAACCAAATCCTGATCCATCTGGTACAGGTACTTACAGCAAAGCACTAGGACGTCCTCCACTAGCAGGGATTAAATACTGCGATTTCGTATCATCTCAACCTCTAAGCAGGTCATGCGATTGTTCCTTCGACTAAGTACTTTAGAATCGACGACTCAGCAATACCCGCCAAAAAAGCAGAGTGCCAGACCGTATAGGCACATCGCTATTTCCACCGGCAGTGCGGCGTAGAGTTCGGTGCTTTTGGTCCAGACGAAAACTATTTTCGGGATGATGTAGGCAAAAACTTCCAAAGCCTGGTTCCAGTAAGGCAAGGCCTGCTCCAGCACGTCGTACACATAACTCGGTGGATGCGCAGCTGCGGCCAATGCAAGTTTCGCTACGCGGGCCTGGAAACAAATGTAAGTAGAAAAATTTGAGGTATAGTATACGTAAAGAAAGCTACTAGAAGGAGAACCGGTTCTATTTCTGGTGACGTTCCCACCTCCTTGGGTTTTCACTTCTGTTTCCGCAGAATTACTGCAAACAATCCGACAAACAAAAAGAAACCTTCTCCTCGCGGTCTTTCAACGAAAGCACGTCGCCTTTCGTCGGACTGCTCGACTTTGCAGGTGATGGGGCCACCGCCAGAAGAGGCGTGACCAGGGGCTTCGTTGCATCTGGACTCTGTGCCAGTGACGGCATTTTTTCTCTTAGCGCTTTTAGGGATGTTGTGGCCTCGTCGAGCGTGACACAAGCGGACAACGACTTCGACTACGACTCCGTGGCCGTTTTACAAGTTAGACAGCAACATGAGCTAGAGTTAAGCCCCTTGGTGGAAGCCACACGAGTATGAGGCTGCAATCACATGAGATAAAAAGAGACACCCGAATAGATACAACCAAGTCCACGCTCCAGCTCGTACTTACGTCATCGTAGTTCTTGCTTGCGGACTCCTTTCCTACCCCCGCGGCCTCCTCTCTGATTCATTCAGACCCATCGCACCTGCCCCGTGTCTTTTCATGTTTTGTATTTACTGCAGGCCAGAACACACTAATTCGCCGCCCCGAAACGAAAGATAGGCTTCACGCCTCGTGCCTTGCTATCGTCGCTGAAAAACCTGACTGACATCGCAGACAGAGATACTATGTGGAAACGGGACTCATTATTTTTTTCCGAGCATCTTCAATACACTTATACACTGAAAGTGAGACTTCGACCGTGCATGTGGTCCTTCATACTTACATTTTCTGATATCCTTGCAGTAACACTTCACCGCGGAGAAGCAGTTTCTCTTGCTTCCCCACCGGAAAGCCTTCGTGCGGGCAGCTGTGGGGAAAAACTAGCAGCCTCCCAAATTTCGGCACCACCTCCGCGAGGACCTCGCGGGGCGCGCAAGGCGGCACGACTTTCTGTAGAATGCGGGTCGCACCGGGGGTACCTCCGCCTGCGGTCACTAAAGCTTCTGACTCCACGACTGACGCGGCCTCGTCCAGGCTGTTCAAGTACAAGATGAAGGTGTGCGTCGAAGTAAATTTCTGCACCGACGACCACTGTTGCATCAGTCCCGCCTCTTCAATTTCCATCGGGGACGAAAGGTTCTCGATGCGCACCGACCGCGACAGGTCCGTGTGGGGCGCTGCCGCTTTCTCCTCTGCATCGTAGTGCAAGAACCGCATCTGGGGGAAGACCTTTGCGCTCTCGATTTCGTCCGCGGGCGCTGACACAGCAGCTCGTCGTTCTTCGGCGCTCATCAAAATGGCATATTCAAGCGCGCTTCGAACCCGAAGGTGGGTATCTGCAAAGTACTTTCGCTGCGGCTCGGTCGAAGTGCGCGCACGACACCCGTTCTTACGCTTGTTCGCTTTGCTCTTCGACGTAGTGTTGCTAGTGTCGCCGTCCTGCTCGACGTCAGGGCGTTGTTCGCGCCCTAATTCCTTATAATTGCCGTCCTCAAGGCCGTGCAGATGCGATCTTATTTCTGCAGGAACGACAGAAGCGCATTTTTGAGCTGCTAGGGCGCGATCATTTTTTTCCTCGTCTAGTGGCATTTTCACTTCCGCTTTGACGCTTCTACTTTTCTGCATCACCCCATCAACATGATCCGCGTCAGAAAAATACTCTTTTCGCAAAAATTCCAGAAAGGTATCCGAAAATGCCCCGTCGATGTAGAATGCGGTGTGCGATTCTGCCAGAAACTCTGGCAGGGGCAGCGGGGTCTTTGTTGCACCCCCTGGAACGTCGCAGCGACGCCTCCAAACGCGGAAGCACCGCGACAAAAAGCACATATCCGCGTTGATCGGACGGTCACCCGGAACTATTTTTCCTGGGCTGATGTTCCTGCAGAGGAATTGTCTCAACGGATCTTTCAGTCCCGGGAATAACATCTGCATGTTGTCGCAAAATTGCCGACCGCCCTGAGCCCAAGCGATGGACTGGGCCGATTGAAGACAGTGCTCGAACTCCGTACAAAGCAGTTCGTCTCCTCTACAACTGAGCTTTCGGTCGATTCCTGTCGTGGCGTTGTCCTCCTCCGTATGTTGCATACACATCTTCAGTGTGGCGCCATGATGCTGCGCCGTCGCGTCTTGGAGCCGTTCCCACATCCTGCGGTCCTTGCTCCATAACAGCGCTTGTTTCCTCTTCGCCGGTGGCATCTCAGCGCAGTAGATCCGCCTGACATTAGTACGGGGCATCATCTGCTCCCACCTTCCACTCTGCCACGCAAGCAACTCCAGCGCCGACAAGCCGTACTCGTTCACGGGCTGTTGGAGGTCTATTCCCAACTCAAACAGACTCTGGAATCGCAGCAGGTCGTTGCGCTCAAGCGCCTCGCCCACACGAAGCATCCGCTCCCTTTGCGTGTGCCCCTGGTCTAGCAGCTTTACTTCCCGCAAAGACAGCAGTACCCGGCCGTTATTTTTTGGGCAGCAGCTGCTGTTAGATTTGTTCGTCCTGCCCGAAGATGATGTTGACCGGTCCACAGGTAGTGTCGCGAAGCGGGCTAACGATTCTTCCACGCTTACCACCGATTGATCCGCGAGAGGACTACTACTTGCGACCACACTGGTGCGCTCGACGTCCCGCAGGCACCAGCGATTCTCCGCCAGGATATCCAGTGACTCCCCGCATTTCGGACATGTGAACTCCAAAGCGACGGCATTATCCGCATTGCAAAAGGTGTTCCAAAAGCATTGCTCACTGAACAGGCACCTGCAGGTGTATCCACGAAAGACAAAACGCGGCGCGGGCAGACGAGACGTCGAGGGGAGGTCACTAGTTGTAGCTCCTCCTTTTATTATTTCTTTTTCGGCGGCGGTGGATTTTGTTGATCGCGCAGAGGACCCATTCGAAGATAGCTCTTCAACAACGTGATGAGAACTACAAGTGCTGTGAACAACATCCTCCTCATTTGCTGGGTCGCAAGTCTTCCCATCAACCACTTCTTCGAGCGATGCGAACAGGATGGAAAGAATGTACGCGGCGTAGCCGGGATGCACGTGCTCCCGCACAAACGCGCCAACCGCATCTGACCAGGAACCGCGGTCGAAGTCCTCGCCAATGTGCTGATTGTTTCGTTGAAGCCGGTAAGAAACGTATTGGGTTCGGTCGATAAAATTAGTTTCTGAAACGTTTGTCGCACCATCGCCGTCGAGATGATGACCAGGGAGGTCACCAGTATCGGCCGAACCGCCGGCCTTCAAGAGCAGGTCAAACTCAAAGACGGATTCGCGCAGTATACAGGGACTCGCCCCCGCACGCAAAAGCGTTCGCACGGCACCGTAACGCTCGCAAGCAAGCGCGTAGCCTAGCAGCGACCAAACGCCCTGCCCGCGCGTGCACAATCGTTTCCGCAAGCCCCATGCTGGTGCACTCCCGAACCTGTCATTGGCACTCATCGGACCCTGTTGTGTCATAGCATCCCAGATCGCGAGAGCCGGGTGCTCCTGGTGGTTCTTGTGACCTTTTGCCCCTGCTTCACCGGCTCCCTTTTTTGCAGTATCCTCGTTAGGAGGAAACAACACCTGCTTGTAGTACACCTCTATGACGTCTTCGAATTCGATCACCTGGTTAGCCAAGTCGAGCTCGCAGAGGTCCGTGAGAACAAAAGCGCCGTCGTCCTTGCGGTGCAGCTTCAACATGAAGTACTCGATTTCTCGCAGCGTCATCGGCCGCACCATCCTGGTAACGACTGGAGCTGTCGGCGTTTGCCGTGGCACCGGGCCGACGTCTGAAGTAGTTCTTGTCCGACGTGTTGAAGAATCATGGTAAGCGTCTCTACTAGCGTCTTCGCCCGATGCCATGGTAGAGGTGCTGTCCTCTTCGGGATCCCTGTTTTTCATCTCGCAATCCTGAAGAACAGGGTATTTTGATGGCAGCTTGTATGTCTTCTCGTTCCCTATCTTTTTCTTCGCTGCAGGCCTTTCCGGATGCGAAGGACCGGCACCTGCCGTTTTTCCGGAGGGCACCGAGGCTGTGGCTGCGTTCCGTATCAACCAGTCGATCCTTTGCCTGGCGGCGCGCCGCCCTGCCCACTTTCCATGCTTGCCTTCCATTATGTACTTTCTTCGCTGTGCTTTATGCCGCTAGCGACTGTGCCTCACCTCTTTCTTCGACTAGCATCGTCTCGTTCTTATCAATCTACTGTAAATAAATTCTACGAAGAAAGTATAAGTGAAATATTTCCGCAAAATAAGCTGAAGTAAACACGCAACCACGTCGTTTCTTTCTGTCTAGGAGTTAGATTAGAGCTTTATGAAGTACCTCCGAGATAACAAGATCACACATTTTTCGTTTTCACGAACCGATTACTCGATCCTCGAATGATCATTTCGGAACTTTGTTGCATTTGCGCATATCGGTGGTCGCATCTTTTTTGGCAAACGGAGCCTCAAAATCCGGATCCATCCTGCGTAGCATCGGCTTCCTTACTTTTACAATGACGAACAAAGTTGCTTCACCTTCACCAGATAAATGATATAAGTCACAAATTTCTTCTTGTGCCTGTGTTCGAGCACTGGTGCTTCCGGTATTTATTCTAGACGAGTGATTATTTTTCGTCGTCATGGCCGCAGTGTGTTTTCCGCGAGGCCGAGCAGTCGCTTGAACGCAAGGATGTACTCATGCATTTGCTCGTTTTCCATAAACTCAGTGCCCTCCGTGCGTTTTATCCGACGGGGGTTGTAGCCCTTGTTGTGCCGGGCCTCCCCATGTGCCATGTCATGGTGCCACTTGGTGTGGCCAATCGTCAAGTCGACATAAACCTGGTTGGCCCCAATGTAGTCCCTTTCATACGCTCGCTTGCACAAATCCGCAAGCAGCGGGAGCACGTCTTGCTTCATCTTTTTGCTGGGCTCCTCACCACCGGTGCCTTGTTCGCCGAATTTCTGCAGGTGCCTTGAAAACCGCAGCAGTTGCTTCGCGGTTTCAAGCAGCTTTTTGCGATTCAGCGCGGTCGTGCTGTCCAGCTGCGACTCCTGTGCTGGGCCAGCGTCTTCTTCTTCCTCCTCGTCGGGTTTCTTCTCTATTCTTTGCCGCCAGAGGTTCAGTAGGAAGCAGAACACGTGCCGGATCAGTCTGGTGTGAGTCTTGATGTCCGTCGTGCGCTTGTTCGGCTCGAGCTGTGCGGCAAGTTTGGCCAGGTCTTGATCCGCTTCCAACGCGGCAAACTCTTCCGCCACGCGCCGTAAAATTGCTTCCTCCTCTGTCTCTGCGACCCGTCGCCGCTTCGCGCCGGTCGAGTGCTCTATTTCCTCGCCACTGGACGAGGTGCTGGCACTGATCATCCCCTGCGGCCCCGGTGCGATCCTCAGCTCAGCGTCACTCGAAGAAGTGTCCAGCCCTTGGTCAGCAACCACGCCTGCGGAGCTCGAACTACAACGCGCATCACCATTTTTACTTGTCTGCAGTCCTTGACCACCAGGGTTCTTTGTCGTGCCGCTACTAGATTTAATATTCCCAGCAGCAGCGGACGAGTTGCCCGGAGTCACATGTTGGGGCGCGGCAGTAAGTGGGTCTGAGGAGAATCCAACCTGTGCAGCTGCCCGTCTGACTGGAACGGGCCGCCCGTGCGCCGCACGGTAGCTGGCCTCTGCGTCAAAACTCGCAAAATCGTGAAAATCGCCCGCCTCGATTTCCACACAACTCTTCGTCGGTGCCCCTGCCATGTTGATCTCAGCTGAAGTGGTCATGTTCTACTTTCCTGTCTCCTTCCACCCATCCAAGGAGCTACATCAACAGACAGACAGAAAAAATGGTAAGTACTTCTAGATTCGCCAATCGACAGGAGTGTTCACTTTTTTCGTCTTCCCCTGCTCGGTGGAACAATCAATGTACAAAAGACAAAAGGTGAATAAGATTTTGGACACACAGGGCGACCTGAGCCATTTCCATCATATTCAAGCATATAAATATATTGCCAATGATCGAACCAAATGGCAATGAAGCTCCGGAACAAAAAGATGATCTGCGTCCGACAGCTAACACGCTGTCTCGAAGATATGGTCGTCCTTGTATACGAAAAAATAAGATCGAGGCTGATGAAGCAAGAGGAGAGGTTTAATATTCCACAGATGTTGATACCTTCTCATGTAAGACCAAGGACATCGCTGCTATTAGCAACTGGGGTTTCAGAACTGTTTGAAAAAACTGCAAAAAATAAAAATTTCGACCCGCAGTCGCAACTGCGACAATCGACGCTTTGTTTCATCGTGAAGAAGCACGGTACTTAATATAATTCGATGTCGTTATTCTTATTCCTGAAGTTGGACAAGGAAGTTGTCATTTTCCTCCGCAGTATGTCTCTTCTTCGATCAATCATCCCATCGACATCGACTCATCTTCGGATATAATTACACTGCTTGTTGTTGTTGTTCACTTGTTGTTTTCATCCTTCCGGCGCTTGATGGTCCCGATGGTTCCCTCCCCTCCGTCCTCCGACTGTCGGACTCGTTTCTGCGGCGCAGGGTTGTTTTCGGAACCTGCCGCGGCCAGGTCATGGGACGGTTGCACCACGTCGTCTTCGGAAGAAACCACTTGTTCCGGCAACGGCTCCATCTCCTGGTCCTCATTGTTCTCACTGGAAACCGGCGATAATTGCTCACTCGGCTCCCTGCGACTTTCGGTCCGGCTCGCGCTGCTTTGTCCCTCGACGTCCTGCTCTATCGACATTGCAAATATCGATCTGGGTCTGGAAACTCAAACTTGTATATATGCAAGTGAGTCAATAACAAACGCACTGCAATGCGCCGCCAAGCATGACAAGTTTCTTCGTCCTTCTGTGCTGCGTACTTATTCCGCATGAGAAACTGCGTTTTTGCATGACAGGTGGCGAAAGAGGCTGTTTGTGGCCCTGGCCACGCAATACAGAGTTGAGGCTCATCGTGATCGTCATGCCAGACCAGCATGATCGAAACCTCGCAATCTTCCAGACCCAGATCGATATTTGCATTTGATATGCTCGTCGCTACTTGCGGGCGCGTCCTCCGGCACTGGAGACACACTTCCCTCCTCCTCCTCGTCGACCACCACCATGGACGGCGCAGAGGAGCCCTCGTCCTCGATGTGCAGCGACGGGCTTTGCTCTATCCTATGTAAAAACGTCCCCACCCCATAGTCAATATGGGGAATCGGCTAGACAAATCCACAAGTTTTGGCTGTCTTGCATGACAAATTTGGACTCGTATTGTAGTGCTGTTTGAGCTAGCTCAGCAGCATCACAGATCTAGTGCATCATCCTGATTGGAGCATGACAAATTGCAAAACACAACTAGAAAATGCTTCTCATCGGGCTCCGCATGAGAAACATTTTCAGCATGCAGATTTGCATTACAACTATGGGGTGGGGACGTTTTTAAATACGATATGCTCCTGCAAATCCTCATCTTGTTCCGCGTCGTCGTCCTCGACCAGAATAAATTCCTCGGCGTCCGCGCTCTGCCGGCGCGCCGGAGGTGGATCATTGCGTTCCTTCACCAAGCTGCTCTTGGAGGAGCGCTTCTCGTCCTTCTTGTCAAGAACACTACTAGCAAGAAGCTGCTGATCGTCATTATCATTTTCATCCTCTTCCACGTCCATCTTACTTTCGGCGTCCACCTCCATGATGTCCGACAGGGGAGCCTCCTCCCCGCCAGAAGAAACAGACGAATGCATGTCCTCGTCCTCCGGTACTTCTTCATCCACCTCCTCCTGCTCTTCGACCTCCGCACCCGCGAGGCCTGGACGGCCGTACCCGTGCTTTTTCTGCCACGCCAGCTCCGCTTCCGCCAGGGCCTTGAGGAACAGCCCGTACTCGAACAGCAGTCCTGTCCACGGGTTCATCAAGGTGGCTAGGTCGTCAAATTGTTTCACCTGGATAGAAGTATCAACAGGTGTCGTCTAAGTAAAAAGTACCCATTTAGGAATGAAACACTTGTAGTTCTTCCCATTTTTTCATTATGAGCGGCAACACAACAGAAAGGACTTCATCTGCCACTGGAGGTTCATCTGGTAGTTTTGTATCAAACTGCTAAAAGTATGGCCGCCAAAAACGCGCTGTACTTCAGACACAAAGTCAATAGAGACGAGGGTACGAGGACCTAAAGCAAACTTATAATAACGCGGTCGCTCCTTCTACTTCTCAATTTATCTTTATACCGATAGAGTAAAGTTTTCGACTGAGTGGCGACGCTTGGCGCAGTCCGTTTTCGCCGCCAGGGTTTGCTCCACCAGTTGTTCTTCGAGGGCCGCGATTTCGGACTTGAACCCGATGTTGCTCAGGACCGGGGTGTAGCTGCCTGCATCCAAGTCCTCGCCGTGCTCCGCGGCCAGGAGGTAGCTGAGGCAGACTTGTTCCTCCAGTGACACCCGCGCGCACACCTCCTGGAGGCTGTTCAGCAAGACGCGACCCTTTTTCGCGCAGTGGTTGGTGGCTTGCACCAGTTTCGGAATCATGCGACGCAGCACCTTCTTCATGGCCTGCTCCAGCTGGACACCCTTTTTGATCCTGTCTTCATACTGTTGCTTACTGTCCGCGAAGTCAAACAGCTTCTCCTGGTCACAGTAGTCCATGGGACGAAGGGAGGTCACGAGCGTTTGCCCCCACGCGCGCGGATCGTTCAAACGACACAACTCCGACTTCGGATCAGCCAACTGATCGAATACCTCGCTCCACTGCTGCAGATAAACCTGAGAAGCAACAGGCAGTGCCACAAATAGTGCAGAATTGTTCGCAGATTAATATCAGGGCTCTGAAAGACCACAAGGAATCAAACTTCCAAGAAAAATGCAGCTTGTCCCATCTTGAACAAAGATCTTCATCTTTTTTTCGTGTCGACGCATAACGAAATCTACTATATTCATATGACATGGACATCGCGACGAGTGAGAACATTCTTACCCGCGGAGCTGCACGCAGTATCCACTATCGAAGGATCATCTTTCTAGTACCTCATGAAACGCAAACCCCTTCCCGTCGATCGTCTTCGCGTGGTCGCTATCAACTGTAAAAATGTCTGGGTCTGGAAGATTCTGACACTTTTCATGCACGTTTTGCATGAGCCCTGATGTCTGTGATGCATGCCCTAGCATCACAGATTTTTTGAGAGCTTCTTGATGCTTATTCCGCATGACAAACGCCCTCTCCGCGTAGCAAAAATTACATTCCTTTTGGTACTCATGCAATGCAGGCTCTTCTGGAGTCCAAAAACAGCATGACAAATTGCAAGCTTCCAGACCCAGACATTTTTACACTTGATAGTCGCGGTGCGTAGACATTTGCTTCAGGGTAAACGACGAGCGGAGTGCCTTTACCCGCAGATTCTGGATCATTTTTTCCGGAAAGCGGTCACAAAACCGCTGCAAGACGCTGACGATGCGGCTGTATCCCAGTTTCGCGGAGAGTTCCTCCCGAGCGCTTTTTCCCAGCCGCTGCAAGAACTGGCTGACGACCTCGACGCGCTCGCTCGAGGCAAGCAAGGAATACCCCGAGTAGGCCATCGGGAACCACGGGCAGCGCGCAATCAGGTTCATCAGTTCCCCGTCCTTCTCCATCAACTTTTTTCGCAACGCCGCATCGTCCGTGCGGCCCGCGGTACTAGAGAGGCGGAGTGCATAGGAAATCAACGCGGAAAACGATATCAGCTCGTCAGACAGTGCCACTTTCCGTAACTTGTCCATCGTCGACGCCATCTTGCTTTTGCTGTAGTACGAGGAACCCCCCGCGGGGGCCCCGGTAGTACTAGTAGTTGTACTACCCAACAAGCTAGTAGACGTGGAGTTCTTGGATGTTGCGTCCAGCTTACTGCTCGAAGATCCAACGTTGGTGGAGGTACTGCCGCTCCGCTCCTGGCAGCTCACCTTCAAGCAGCTCCGAAACTCGGTTAGCACCGTCTATCAAATGTAAAAATGTCTGGGTCTGGAAAAATGCCAGACTTGCCATGCAGGTTTTCCATGACCCATGATGCCTGCAATGCATGAGCTAGCATCGCAGACTTTTAGAGGGCTTCCTGATGCACCTTCCGCATGAGAAATGCCCTGTTCTTGTAGCACGCATTGTATCCCTCTTGCTGGTCATGCAATACAAATTTTTTTAGAATCCAAAAACAGCATGACAAGTTCAAGCCGCAATCTTCCAGACCCAGACATTTTTACACTTGATACCGTCTGTAAAAACGCAAACTCCGACTCGCCCGCGTCCTATCCTGATTAAAACCGTACCCACACCAGAGTCAAGATGGGAAATCTGCTAGACAAATCAGCCAGCCTTGGTTGTCTGGCATGACAAATTTGTCCTCGTAGAGTAGTCCTGTTTAGCTAGTTCAGACGCGTCACAGATCTTTTATAGCATGCTGATTCTAGCATCACAAATTCCAAAGCACGAAGAGAAAATGCTTCTCATAGGGCTCCGCATGAAAAACTTTTTTGGCATGCAGAATTGCATGACAACTCTGGGGTGGGGACGTTTTTGCTGAGGATACGTCCGCCTTGTTGGCTATCACGTGCAGCGTGCAGGGGAATGCACTCACCGCGTTCAAAACCTGGGTGAGCAGGCTCTCGAAAACGTTAATCTGGCCCTGCTATCAAATGCAAAAATGTCTGGGTCTGGAAGGATGCATGTTCGTCATGCTTGTCTGGCATGACTCTTAAATCTGTCATGCATGTTACCCCAGAGCTCCACTTTTCTGTGATGCAGAAACGCAGTTTGTCATGCAGAATAGGCAACACCTAGAAGCTCAGAAACTTGTCATGCTGAGCCAGCACTTGTGGCCTCATCATGAGACGCCACCCAGCATCACAAGTTTCCAGACCCAGACATTTACATTTTTACATTTCATACTTGCCGCTGGCTGGTGCCCAGAAGCGACTGTTGCGACGTGGTCAACTTCACCTTCGACAGCTGCTTGGTGCAGAAGAACAAAAACACCAAATCCGATTCGTTTTCCTTTAGCATCTCCAACTGCGCTTCCGAGGTATCGTATTCTGTCAACACCTGATTTTGGATCTCGCTTTGAGAGAAGTTCTTCTTCCTTGTAGTTCACCAAGAATAAATCACTTTATATTAAGTACTATCGACACTACAAGTAGAACGCTAAAGTACGTTCGATCAATGAAGGATGATGAAACATGCAAAGCTATACTGCGTGCTTCTTACCACATACTCAGCACTACGACCCGGCGAAGCGTTCATTTACTTAACCAGAAAGGGAGAAAATTACGAGTTCGACGGGCCGGGGCATTGCCGGCATAGGTTTGAGAAACGGTTCGCACTCCACGGCTTGATCGGGTTTTTTCGCGATCGAGTCGCGGACCTCGGTGGCATTGTTGCGCGCCTTTCGACCGGAAAAGAGTCGACCGGAAAACAACTGGCCGAACAGAGACGATGATGCCGGCGGCTGTTGCATAACATTTTTCGAATCGCTCTTCTCAGAGTCGATTTTTTTCTTCGCATTTTTTCCGGGGTCGGAAAGAGCGGCGAGTGGGATACGCAAAGTGGATGGAAAACGCTTATTTTCTCCGAGTTGCTGAGTCTCCCCGCTGCCGTTCCGACCCGATGACCTGCTCACGTTCAAAAAGTCGCCCCCCAGCAAGCAATTGATGAAGGTCGACTTTCCGCTAGCACTGTCGCCCACCACAGCGACTTTGATCTCGTACTTCTCAGGCAAAACCCGCGACATCTTGTTTTACTTGTTGTACTTGCTGGATGATCTTTTTTTGAAACAGTTGTAAGTGTAGCAGAGTAAAAATTCCATTTGACAAACAAGACAGACTGCCTTCAATCCTCTTCCTCATCTAATTTTTTCGATCTAATGATTTGTCACAGCGAGAAACAGAATCAAAACACTGCGATTTCTCGCCATGGAAAGCCGCTGGCGGAATCATCCGTGGAGTATTTCGTAACCGTCAGATCGTATATGCAGATACATCAAACAGGACCAAAGCCAAACTCCAAAGAACTTGCAAGAAGCAAAAAAAATCGGTATGATCGTTCGCACATCGCGTGATGATACACTATCGAAAACACAACTACTAGTGGTCCAGATACGAGAAGGGCGCGACCCGTAAGTGGTCATCGTCGTGAACAACGCGATTATGAGCACTTTAGTGCAGGAACTTCCACTCTAGATTCCTCCCACTAGACGCCTTCAGTATGCCAGTCTGAAATCAATGCCTGAAAACTGCGCAAAAACGAGATGCAAGAACGATAGAATCCAGTTTCCTTGAGTCTCTATTTGCTGCTGCAGCTGCATTAACGTCTTTGCGCTAGAAGCAGAGGCGATAAGGATACCATACATACGGCAACAATTTTTGTTAATAGGCTATTTCTTCAATCTCTTTCGGGGCGACGGAGTAAGTTGCAAGTCCGATATTCGTATTCCTTTTAGCTCCTTTCAGCGCCGCCACAATAATATTTGCAGGCGCTTGTAGAACCGAATTGTAAACAAGAGTCACAAAACTAATGGTCGCGCAAAAATATGCTGACTCAGATATTTCGGTTGCCCATCCTGCGAATGCTGGAGGATCCCTCGAATCGGAGCGCAAAAAGCAGCTGCCAAAAGAACGGTTGCGGCTTTTTGTCTGGCTACAATGGCTAATTACAGTACGACTGTTTTGTCACCATGCCAGAAATTTGCATCTTCAAAAAAATCCATGGTGGCGATCACTCACACGTGGCGAATTCCTTTTACAGCTGCTATACCAACAACAATAGAAATTTCGGGAAAAAAGATCCGCTGATTGTAGATTGAGACAAATAGAAAGGGACAGGGACTGGTTGACACAGAAAGCATGAAAAACTAAAATCAGAAAGAAACTTTACCTTCAACAAAAACGAATAGTCAGTCAGTAGACGAAAACCCTGCTACAAAACTTTATGCACTGGAAGATGCTTTTAATTCCAAGAAAACGAGATCAGGTAGTTCACCACGTCGTCATGCCTACTGCCAACAGTCGTGCACTTTGGCGACTTCTACTACCTTACAGCATTCGTGATGGCTGCGCAGGGACCTCCGCGGCTGCCGACGCGAGCTTGGATCGTTTCCTCGGCTCGTATCACACAGAAAAAAGCCGGCAGGGCATAATTGTGACAGACAAAATAAAAGAATAGAAGTTTGACGGAAGAATCTGTCACAGTCGACCCCACAGCATGAACGCTGCTTTACACATGATTTTTTCATGTCCAGCTTATTTTTGCATATAAAGTACTTAAGTACAAACATGCGGTACCGGTGTTTTTCTGTGTGATAGCTCGAACGCGGAGAAGAGCGAACCCAGGAAGGATGAGTTGTGGCCTACCTTCTCTTTGCTGGATGTGTCGCGATGCGAGGCGGAAGACGGTTTGTTCTCCCCGCGACTGAGCTGCAACTCGCGGCGCTTGTCCGGGGACAGGTCGTCGTCCCCGTCATTGTCAAAGGCTGACTTTGGCGAGAAGGCGTGGTCGTAATTGTCTTTCGTTACTTGCCGGGCCACCCGGGGGTGGTCACGCGAATGTACCCGGTCGCGCGCACTCGAAGAGGTCGCGGGCTCTAGACTGCCCGAAGCAACTTCAGCCTGCTTGGTCGCCCGCTTAATGCGCGCGTTCACCGCTGGCTCCACCAAGGGAATCGCGCCCTTTTGGTCGAGCTCCTGCGCCTCCGCGTACACGGCGCGGGAAATGCGCACCAAGGTAACCACGTCAGACCAGAGGGCAGCGGAGAAATCCGGTTGGAACCCGGGACCCGCAAGAGTATCGATTCCCAGAACGGAAAACGCCCCGCATTCCTGCTGAAAACCGTCGCGGCCCACCACGATCATCACCACTCCAGTTAGAATAATCGTCATAAAATCTGCCGGCTCGCCCTGTCAAGTTTATTCGGGGGACGAGGTTTATCTTTATTTATAATTCGCGTCGCCTTCATGGCATCTTATCCTGCTTCGAGGATCGAGGTGCAAAGAAAAAGAAAGAAAAAACACAAATCAATGGTCTGTTGCCAATTTTCGAAAAAACCTAGCCTTTATACTTTCAAAACCAAAAGTTGCAGTTATTATACCCTTTTGTAGACCCAGTCCTCGGCATCGGGGCGTGGGCAGCGTACCGGTGCGTGGCGGTAGAGCGTCTCTACGTTTCCACGCTCGATGAGGAGCCAATTCAAGGCGTGACGCGAAATCCAGCGGGACCGGCCCTCGTTGCGTTCGTCGTCGTTGCGCCACCGCTGCGACAGCCAGGGTGACGCGTACGGTGCCACTCCCTCGTCATCTTGTTCACTGAAGTGAACCGCCGGCGGATTTGGAGAGTTTGGGGTGGAAGCCGAATGAGGATGACCACCTCCACTCCCAACGCCCTGCGTGGTTCCGGGGGAATGCGCCAGGAGGCGCGGCCCCGCATAGTTTTCCAACAGGTGTGAGACCAACACGTCAACCTCCTGCGGGAGCAAGGCATCGCCACGAATCTGTGGGTTGAAAAACCGCAGTTTCGTGATGTCCTGCTTCCGGCGCTTGCCCCGCCGGACGCCGTGTTTCATCATCCCGCCCACCGGCTGCAACCGGGCTCCGCCGGCGCGGCTCTCGCTGGACTCCACTACGCTAGCGTCCGCACTCATCTCGGCACTCCCACCGGGCGCATGCGCCGCCGCCCCGAACCCGGGCGTGGAGGTGGTCCCCACCGCACTGGTTTTCCCAATCGAAAAGCTATCCTCCGACCGCTCGCGCGACACGCCCGCATAGTTGTCGCCCGCCGTGCGCAGCGACGAGGACGCCGCCGGCCCGCTCCCAACCACTATGCCATCAGCTGCAGCTCCTCGCTCGTACAACATGGCGCCCGGCGTGCCGTTGCTGGTGCTGCTACTCCCCGCTCGGACGAGGTCCTCGGGCGCGGCAGCAGCTCCTTGCCGCGGCGACTCCCGCGCCGACCCCGAATACCCCGCTCCTGGCAACTGGTTGAGTGCGCCCACCACGGAGGCCACCGGGGACAGCAGGACGGACGCGGTGGCTTCCAAAATAGGTCGGCTCTCCGACTTCCGCAGCTGCGCACGCGCTTGCAGCAGCTCCTCGACGTCATCCTTCGACGGATATTGCTCCATGCTGTTGCTGCTCTCGTTGCTGATTACGCGGCGCTGCTGCAGCTCGCGTGGCCCGGCTTCTAGCAGCGACTTGCCCGGCTTGAGGCCACCTCCTGCTCCCTCCTCGCCAAGCAAGATGTCGTCGCGGCTGTTGTTTTCATCGAGCGCCAAGCTGTCTCGGTCCAGTATTCGGCTGTCGCCGGGGCCGCCCTCCTCGCTACTGCGGTATTGCTCGGGCGGCAGCACCGCCTCTTCGCTCTCCACATACTCGCGCTCCTCTTTGTGGTGCATGTCGATGTATACGTCCGTCTCATCCACGATTTCGTCCTGCAGAATCTCCTCGATTACGTCCTCCAGCGTGACAATCCCCTGCAGCTCGTACTGCAGGTTCTGCTGTCCGTGCTTGTTCAACAGCGCCGAGCTCACGCCCTGGTGTCGCATCGGCCCCTCGGGCGAGTCCGCATTCTGCTCGCCAGCAATCGCGTCGTGGCCCACCACCAACCCCAGGTGCGCCCGGCCGAGCTTGAACCGGTGCAACGCATCCCCGCACGTGTCGTCCGCGAAAAACCGCTCCACGTGGCGTCCGAATACCTTTTCATGAGTCGAGTCAACTAAACTTAATATGGAGCTTATTTTCATGATTTTGATCTTTGCTTGAATCATCGACCGCGGTAGCACGCACGGCAGCTGTTTTTTCATAGAGACAATAATAAAGTTTCGATAGATATAGAAGTTGGAGCGAGTACGTCATCTGGCTGGCGCATAATTTGCGAAAGCAAAAACAGCAATGGAAAGCTTTCATCGTGCATCAGATCAAGTTCAAGAAGATCAGGTCGATCTTCGTGAAATAGAAATAGTACAAAATCCAGGAAAAAATAAAATAAAATTTGCCCATGATGATAGATACCTTCAGAAACTGTCGCAGGGGCATCGCGTCCTCGGGATCGACAAAGATCAAATCTTTGGTCACGAGGACGCCGACTATATCGGAGTCCGTCTTGTTGTAAACGGGGATGCGCGAGAACCCGGAGTTGGAAATCTCGAGGATCGTTGCGTAGTCGAGCACTTCGTTTTGGTTCAACATGAAGCAGTCCTGCTTCTGCGTCATCACTTTGGAGAGTGGCTTGTTCCGGAATTTCAGCGCGCCGGCGACCACGTCCCCCTCGACCTTTTTTAGAGCACCCTCACGAACGTGGATCTGCAGGAGCCGCCGCAGTTCCTGCTTGCTGTGGATGGTACCCATTTCATCTCCCAGAATCCAGTCCAGTGCGTAGGCGAGCGGGTACGCCAGCGGCAACAGGAGAAACATCAAGAACTTTACCACATTAGCGGTGCGCGCGCCGATCGGCAGCGCATACCGCGAACAGCTCGCCTGGGGCAGGATCTCTCCAAATACCACGATCACCGCCGTGGACACCAGAAAACCAGTCATGCCAGATGTCAGATTCGCCATCAGAATCGCAAGCATGGAGTTTACCTACGAGAACGTTGATTAATAGCGTATTTGTACTTTTATTTTAACTATGTTGGCTTTAGTACTTCTTGCAAAGACTTTTACTGAACTCCCAACATGCACATCCACATCCTGGGGTTGCACTTCTTCCATGTCGAATTGGTAAAGAGAAAGTGAAAGACAAACACAAATGAACGCAATATTACAAAATGACCGCTCTTACCGCTACATTTCCGAGCAATAGTGTGCACAGAAGGCGGTTTCCGTTTTTTCGGACTGGGATGATCTTGCGGGCATTGGCCGCGGCGACCTTGTCCTCGGAGTGCGCAATGATATCGAGCCCCGTTATGTCGAGTCCCAACAAGCCTAGCGTGAGGCCCGAAAAAAGACCCGACATGATGACGAGGAGGAAGACGATACCGAAAGCCACCTGTGTAGTACGTTTTGAAGTTTTTGGCTCGCAGTTAGTTTGTTCCTGCAGATTTGCAGCCATCAGTACTATTCGTCGAGATGAACATACAAGGCAAAAAGCAAATTGGTACCGCATTTGAAAACGGAAGCGGGTCCTGTTCGTCGCATCCCGACAGATTCCGTGAATCAGTGCTGGGGCTGGCGTTGGAGCGATACACAAAAGCGGAGAGGGTGCTACTAAGCTGCTCGAATCCTTTGAGAAAAGAATTCGGCTCCCAGTCCCACGACATTCGAATAAGAGATGTATGAAAAAACACGCCGTCAATTCCTCATCCTGAAACAGCCGGTATACCCAGCAACCTAAAAAAACCTCGTACAAACGCCAGACTATGACAAATCAGAATATCGGCTTTGAAATTCTTGTCGCAAAAAACTCAGTTAGCAGTTGTGGTAAAAACGAGGACACATCTCACAAAAAGAAAAACCACCAGCAGTATTTGCTCTCCTTGAAACCTTGTTGCCACCCACTCGACATAACTTGCACACGCGTTCTTTTTGCAAAGCATTCTTTATCTTTTTACTGTATCTCACAACTCTACTGTCCTCTAGAAATTGCCGAAAAGGAAAACGGTCGTGTACCACAAAAACGCTGTTTTCCTCCCAGCTTCGAAGTACACAACCGAAAAAGTCTTGCGGACAGGGACGCGCTGTCCTATCGTCGAAGAGTCAGGAATTCACTGTACAACAGCTGGATGAAACCGACACAGGAAGCGCTTTACAAAAAAACGACTTTCATTCCGTGCCAGGCGCTAACGCGCGGGCATGCATCACGACTAACGTTATTGCACCCCGCCGCATGCCGCCAGTATCCACCACTACAAATTTCATACAAAACCGGCCGGGGCCTAGTACTACGGATCCCCCACACGACAAATAGCCCCGCCGGGTGCATAAACCTGGGGCTCCAGTGCCGAGCAAGATCACCGGGGGGAGGACTAAGCTAAGCCCCTTGGGCGTAGTGTACTTAAGCTATCGCCCCCGTGTATGTAGCGTGGCGCGGCGTGTTACACATAGGGAGTAGCACCGACGTACAATCGGAGGCGCTAGTAAATTGCTTTTACTTTCTAAAACATGTTCTGGACGCCGGCCAAGCGTAAAGAGTGAAGTAATTTTCTACATACTTTCTACTTTACGTTTACTTCTGTTCGTTTCCTCCTTTTAGCCACACCGCACAACGTACTAACTTGTTTGTTCTCACGAGCTTTTTTGCTTTCAACACCTTCAACTTTTGTTTTTCAGTTCTCTCTCAGCCGCCTCATACAAAATCCTGCTGCCCACAGCTTCTTCAACCTCAAATGATTCGCCCTGCCCGTGTGTCTGCGTAGGTGGGAATCAGCATGGGATCGTCGGCAGAAGTGTGTACGGCGGGCACTTCGCCGTCGCTACAGGAAGCTAGAACAGCAGCAGCGGCACGGAGTATTGTGGGTCTCAGTGGCAACTGTCTGGATCGGGGGTTTCGGCGACAGCTGGGGCATCGACACGAAGGGGACCCTCAACGCCAGGTCTGGGACGGGTTGTAGTACAATCGCAGGGGGTTCCGTTCCCACGGTGCTGGCATGGGGATCGTCGCCCGGGGTGCCCGCGACCTAGCGGAACAGCTTTTCTATCGTATTATCATTTTTTCGAGTTGGCATTTCAAGCTACGCCTGTAAAAATTTAGTTGGGGAATAGCCTGCAGAAGTAAATTTTTTTTTTTTTTGGGTAAGTAAATCTATTTGACAACTGGGTGCAATGCTGTGTGAAGACAAAGAACAGGCTGCATAAACTGCGAATCCGGACTACACGCAGACGAAGATCAGACTTATTCATTAATATGCATGGCAAACACATCAAAAATTCATATCGTCCTAGCCCGAGCGCAAGCGGCGTCGATACGCCCGCAGCGGGGCGCTCCGACCGGTTTTCCCCTTGCACCTCAGTAGCACCATCAGCCGGGGTCGCACTGTCATCGACATCGCATTTGCCAACTCCGGGTCTGTATGCCGTCATTGCGGCGTTATCGTAGTACCGGTCAATTGTCCCGAAACTCATCGGGTTTGCAACCGGTCCAGGCTTACTCGCGTCAAGTGGTGCGGGCTGGATGATCTCCGGCCCGCTTGCTCGGTGGTCTGGCTGTTTACACCCCTCCAAACCCTTCAAACCGACTTTTGACCGTCTCCCCACCCTTCGAGCTCCACCATCGTCTTGCGCCCCGGCACAGCTATTGGTCTGCGAGTGGGCAGCGGGGGTCGCAGACACAGGCAGCCTGAGTTTTATTTTTTTTAATGGCCCCCCGGCACAATGCCGGGGGTAGCATGGCCGGAAACTTACTACATCAGCTCTGGTTTTCTACTCGTCCAGCTGTCTTATCACCATAACTGCACACGGACCATGAGCATCAATCTCCATCAAACCACAACCAGCATCAAAAGATCGCACACAGGCTAACACCATCGCAAGTTCTTCGAGAATGCGTCACTACTTGCCAGCACATGGACAAACCAAAATAATAGACTTCCATTTCGTATTCATTGCCTTTGTCGAAAAAGCAGGACTTCTGCCGCCATTATGAACTTTTTCATCTGTGCAGGTACTTCTGGGCGCGTGATCCTTTTCCGTGCGCTTGCTTTCGGATTGCCGAAGATCTTGGGAAAATCCTTTGACTCTGCTTTTTCACGACTACGGAGCACTGATCTTCGCATCTAGAATTTCTTTTGCAGCTGGCTGGTCACATGCCCTTCACGCAAAACTCTTTGCTCACAAAAAACTCATGAGACCAAGACCACACGTCATAAGAACGGGAGAAAGAATTCACTGTACAACAGCTGGATGAAACCGACACAGGAAGCGGATAAAGCCATGCATCTCTTACCCGATAAAGTGCGCGAATCTTCTGACCGAGATTCGACTCGACAAAACTAGGCGAAGACCCAAGTTGGGTCGCTTTGTGTCTCAAAGTTGTAGCCGCGCACTGAATTTACTAGGCTAAGAATATTGGCTGAGTGCTATACTCAGCGCAGTCCTGGCGGTCAAGACTAACAAGGCGAAGGCGTTTGGTGTTTTTGAATCTAGGCAAGCCAAGGTATGCACGCAGCATATATCGCTCCCTATTCTTAGGCTTGTAAATTCCGCGATGTTTGTGTTGCTACTTTTGCCTTTTCCTTGCCACACTCGTAGCAACGGATGTCAGCGACAGACGTTGCTCGAGTGGGCTTTTGCCCTTTGCAGCGCGTTGCGCTATGCTGGCTCTCCAGGTGCGGACTAGCCACACAGGGAGGCGACTACAGCCACGAGCTGGGGGAGCTCATACATTCCCTACTCTTATGCAGGGATAGGTGGGGATTGGCTAGTAGTTCTTACCCGTTCCCAATAGGGGAACTCCTTGGGCTCATAACTCTGTGGACGTGTCAAGCGTCAGGGACGAGGCATGCTCACTAGCATGCTGTCCTAAGATAGAGAACAGAGTCACTATCTAAGCAACCTAGTATGTAGGTGCTACTGCAGAGTTAAGGGCTATTGATTCATCAGGCTACTGGCACTACGACCAGGAGCCATCTTGGCACTGTGTACATTGTTCACGTCATTCCATTGGTGTCGTTATCATCAGCATCCTAGTGGTGCCCTGTGTGTGATCCTCATGATCCTACTGGTGTGGCCCCTGTATTTACATCCTACACCTATGGGTGTGCTTTGACCTATTCATGGATCTCATTGATCTAGGGAGCATGCTAGCAACTGCTCTAGTCCGAGACAGGTTGCTGCGCAATAAGTCAGGAATTCACTGTACAACAGCTGGATGAAACCGGCACAGGAAGCGCTGCGGGTATCCTGAGTAAAAACGTCCCCACACCAGAGCTGTAATGCAGATTTGCAAAGACAGGAAGACTTGTAATGCGCATCCCCATGAGAGCCATTTCTAAGCGTGTTTTGGAATTTGTGATGCTGTAAACAGGATGAGCAGAAGAATCTGTGATGCGGCTGCACTTGCTAACCTGCACTACACTGCGGAGTGCAACTTGTCATGCGTGACTCACAAAACCCCTAGGTTTGTGTTGCAAAATCCCCATCCTGACTTTGGTGTGGGGATGTTTTTACACAGGATAGCGGGGCCATTTGACCTTGAAAACTACTGCAGCTAGTACCGCTGCGATGACATCATATCTCCGCTACAGCACTTACTCTGCTCTCTCCAACCAATGATCAGAGAGCATCTTCTACTCAATTGCTTCACCGCAAGGAAGAGCTGCTGCAGTTTAAGGATACTGCTCTTATAGCATGATTTTCATCCAACTACAGCAAGGGGTAAGAATTTCTCCCCTGAGGGGTATTGCAGCCAATTTGAAGCACTCCAAGTAACTCCAGCACTGGGGCCCTCTACCAGGTGCAATTGAAACGTGTGCCGCGATTTTTGCGAGCGATTCGCGAGGGAAAGATGGTCTAGCGTTCCGGGAAACACTACGAGATCCCCCGCGGCGCATTCAACAGGAACGAAATTGTGCTGAAACAAGGCTGCGCACTCCTCGTTGAATACCTCCTCTGGGCTCTTATTAATCTTTGCCGTATAATCTCCAGAGTCGGCTTGTCCGTTCTTCCCCGTAGCTGTAGGTAGTCCACCCTCCCACGAAACGGCGTCGCCCCATTCTTCTCGAGGAGTCTCGTCCTCGAAAATCATTTGCGGATGCTGCTGCTTCTCCGCACTGCTGGTCGCTGCAAAGTGCTTCTCGTTGCGCACGAAGCGCCTTCGCAAACCCTCCCAATGCGAAAACGGACGCACCTGCAGGTCATGTCCGTGTGGTCGGATGTTCTTCTACAAAAAAATCTATGCGACTTCGATGTACCTCCTCTTTACCCAGTACGACCAGCCCAAGCTTTCGTTTCCTTTCGCCACGAAAAGTATTCGATGACAAACTAGAAGTGGTTGCGGTTAATTATCATCTAGTCTGCCTTTTAATAATTCCTTGAAAATTATTAGCACAGGTAGAAGTACCCACAAACACCCGTTGAACAAGGTGGCGGGCTCCAAGGCGAGCCACAGCCCCAGGCAGGTCTGCCGCTATTACAATGAAAAATGCCCCCGCCCCCGAACTTGGGAGCATTTGTATTGCAAACCTTTGCAAATGAAACATTCGCCCTCTTGCATCTATCAGCATCACAGATTTCCAATCGTGAATAGAAAAAATTTGTATTGCGCAAGATCCCAGCAAGAGCGGCGCTTGTCATGCAAGCAATGCGATATACGCCTAGACTCTGCATCAGAAAGATTCATAGTCCTTTCATGCATGACAAAAAGTTTTCACTTGGAAACTTTGCATCACAAATTATTGCAACTTTGGGGGTGGGGGCATTTTTCATTGTAATAGCCTCGGAGTGGTGTGCAGGAAGGTGGAATCCTGGTGCGAAGTGACCTCGCCGCCGATCCGGGGTTGCTTGAAAATGTACATGGATTGCGGCACTTCCGGGTTTTTCCACCCGTACCAAATGTAAAAGTGTCTGGGTCTGGAAGATTGCAACTTGTCATGCTAAATCTGCAGCATGCAAAAATCTGTGTTGCATGATTACCAATAGTCGTCCAGTTTTGATCAAGTCGGGAGGGAGTTTCTCATGCAGGATAGGCATCAGAAAGGTCTCGCAGAATCCGTCATGCTAGGTCCTGCATTCCAGACCTCATGGGTCATGGAAAAGCAGCATGAAAAATCGCGCACTCTTCCAGACCCAGACACTTTTGCATTTGATAACCCGAGGCTCTTTACCAGCTCCACCATCTTGTCTGAAAGGCAGTACGACCGGAAAACTTCGTCCGACACATGGATTCCGTGCCCCACTTTGTTCAACGCCTCCTGTCTTGGCACTAGGAGCTCCTTCGTGTCCTCGCTCCGCGCGCCCACCTCCGTGAAAAAGTGCGTGCGGTTGCTTGAGTCCAAAAAGTAGTCACTGCTCCCCTGTGCGGACTCCTGCTTGGCGTCGGTCCGAAAAGTTTCGGACTCTAAAGGGTCCCAGGCCTCCACAAGTTCGCGCATCCGAGTCTTCATCCCCTCGCACTCAGGCTCTGACGCGAAATGTTCCAAATGCAGAAACCCAAAATGGTCGAACCGTGCTTTTTTATTGCGGAAGCTGGACGCAGATCCCGTTTCCGGACAACCCGCCATTACGTCGTCGAAGCCGTCGTAAGTTCGCGGCTCCCCTGCGTCCACCCAGCTACGAATTTCGGCCGACGATCGCTTCGCATCTCCCTTGCCGTACCGAAAATCCCGATCCAGCTTGCCGAAAACCTCCGCCGCTTTTTGCCGCACCCAATCCGCGCTAGCGCTGCTTGCCAGCGGCCCGGCTGCCGAATCCAGTGATGTTGTCGTTGTCATACTTTGGGTATACTATAACTATTTGAGCAGTTTAACTGGAGGCAAATAATAAATTCGACAAACCTTATCTGAGTCGTGACTTTTTAATTCAATTCTGTCCATATGCATATTCTTCGTGTGCATCGAAGAAGAAAGAAATCATGTTTGGGTCGACGTCAATCTCAACCGTATCTAGTAAGCCTCTGCTCTGCTTTTTCTTCTTCCAGACAGCGGGATCCAGATCTGACGCGTTCAGTCAAAGAACTGTCCTGCTCCTGTTGCGTCAGAACACACTTGGTGGAGAGTGCTTCAAGTTTGGAGGACAACAACGCTCTGACTCTGGGCTCGATCGGCAACACCTCCACAAGCCACGCTGATTCACTCGAGTATCAAGAAGGGCTAGTACACTGCACCAGTGGCCTACAGATGAAGTCCATAATTTGCATGTGGAACACATTTGCATCAATCATGGGGGTGCCTGGAAGCCGAGGCCCAGACCGACCAGTCCGAACTCAGATCTTGTGCGGAAAAAAAGCATGACGCCCGCGCGAAAGAGGCGGACCCCTAGAAGTGGCGACCGACTGCAAAACCAGCCTAAACCAGAAGCTCATTTTCTTTGCACGACCGCCAAGTTGATTTATTACCCACACCGCCTCACTTACGCGGTTGCAATGAGCGTAGGTTTCTTTATCATGCCCCCGCAATTGCCGCATCCATGCCTGGAAGATTAGTTTGGGCTCCGACGGGTGATCCAGAGCTCTTGCTACCCTGCAGCACGTGTGGCGGAGAAACTTTTTCCGGCTCGCCAGGGCGAGGTCGCTCTTTCTCGGATGCAGCAAGATGCTTCTGTATCTTTTCCTCTTGTCGCTCCTCCGCACTTTTTGGTTTCCAAATTGGGTCAGAAAAGGTCGGGGACTCCTTGTTCCACTCCACCCTATGTGCGTCCCACATGCGTCTATTCCACGAACTCCCGCGTCCGCCGCCTCGTTGTAAGTAGTGACTCAGCCGCCACTTCAGCTTCCGGTGCTTTTTCGGGTCGTCAAGGGTTTCCAGATTATCGAGCCTGATGTTGTGCCATGCGTAAGTTTGCTTCATTTCCATTTGCACTTCGCATATGCATCCACGTTTACTTTCCATGTATCTGTAAAAAACAAAATCATACATAGATTAAGCCAAGGCAGGGCAGGTAGAGGTACAGAAGCTTGCCTTCTCCGGCAAGAATCTCAAACGAGAGAAAACCTGAATTCCATGTGACACGTATCGAAAGGAAAAATCCCCCCTCCCCATATTGAAAAAGTATGTTTCCAAAAATTTGTGTTGCGGGTTTGAGGTCACAGATCACAACTGTCTTGCAAGAAGACAAGGGCAGAAGCTTCCGCCCCATTATGGACGCGATTTGTCATGCTGTTGGGCCTAAAGGGGGGCCGTTTGCCATGCTGAACTACTAGACCCATACGCCCCTACCTAGCCTGGGGATCTGGCCGCAGTGCCTCTCTGCAGTACAAAGCTGATCTCATCTGTGGCCACAAATCAGCATCACAAATTTCCGTTTTGATATGGGGAGGGGGGTGGATTTTTCATTTTGATAACACGCGTCCCGTTGAGCCTTTTCCTTCAGCGCGGGCGTTGGGTCGTGCTCAATGGCATATTGCAGATACTCGTGCTTCGTTTGCAGCTCCCCCGTGTACTGCTTTTTATCGTCCGCTCCGAGTGATTGAAAATGATTACCCTCCCACTTCAGGATTCGTTCAAGCATACGCATGTCGCGCCGTCTGGTGCACCGGTTAAAATCGAGTACAAATCTCGAATGCCGGGCAAGCCTTGCTGCGATCGTGTCAATACACGCTCAGTGCCTTCAAGCAGAAAAACTTCGACCGAGAGTGGACGTACTGTAATGCTCATAAATGCAAAACGGCCGCATGATGGCTCTACCGCTGGCATTCGGTCTCATCTGCGTACTCAAATGCCGTGAAAAACTCCTTGCAAACATACATGCGCGCGAACGGCTCCTTCCGCGTCTCTCTTGCCGTTTCGACGACCATACACCTGGAAGCAAACACGAGAGAACATTTTCATGGAAAGATGTCGACAAACCTTCCGTCCTTCGTGCTTCATCACGCCGCGCGACGAGCAATCCGGAGTAGAATTCCAAAGAGCAACAGTTCCAATGCAAGCATCAATACGATTAAAAATATCCCAAAACCTGTCTAGCACGTCGTATGGGAGCTTGCAGCGCGGAACGTTTTTGTCATCGAGAATGTGTGAGGGCGGCATATGATCTGGCAGCGTGGGAAACTCCATTATCGTCTTGTACGCATGCATCCTGTCCCACGTGAAACCGTAGCGGAGCTCGACTTCGCGCAAAATGCTGTGTTCGGTCTTCCCGAAACTCGAGGGCATAAATTCCTCCAAAAACGTCTTTTGCTTTCGGGGCTGGCCAGCCTCTCCGATGTTGACATACTCGCCCATTTTTCCCGATGTTGATCTTCTTGAACGATCGGCAGAAACAAGCAGGACCAACAAAAGTGCGAAGCCAGCAGCACACTTGCACAAAACACGGCCCAAAAGTAGAAGAACGGAGTGTTGATCAAGGTACCTATTTACTTCTCTTAGAGAGGTCGTGTGCGTGTCTCCGAGAGATATACTTACATGATCTATGTCCCGGAATCTTACACGATCCTAAAGCGTAGAAGGTGAATCTCGCTCACAGAGAAACCAAGCTATGTATTCTATTGCAAGTGCACTCCTGTACCCGGTCGACCCTTTGGTGCTACCATCTCAAGCCACATCAAACACTCGAATTACTCAATCCTGGCGCTAGTACTGCTAACAAAGAAAAAACTTGCTGGACCTCTCTCGCACAGACGCTATCGCCTTACCGGCCAAGTGCCCGAAAGTGAGGACCTGGAGCGTGAAACAACCTGCTGGTCATCTTTCGCTGAACCTACTGGTCGTCGTCGTTCGTTGAAATCTGAATAAGGCAAATAACTTTGTCTGGCCGAAATCGAAGTGTGATTGGCAGCCAAAGAGAAATAAAAGAGACACTGCGATCATTTTGCAGTGGCTGCGGGAGTTCGCGAGTATGACGACATCGCCCCCGCTTTTTCTCTATCACGGACGCACAGCTTGCTTCCCGGTGGTGATCGCAGTACTGCTCAACCATCACGTTGTTCACCCCATCGCGGTGCAGGCTCGCAGTACCACACCTGGTCTTCACAGCTCCTCTGGCGGAGCCTTCCCGTGTTCGGGGATGGCGTAAAACAGAGAGCCCCACAGCCCGTAGCCGTGCCTCTTCGTAAAGGGGACGCCATTGTTGAACAATTTGCGACAAGCCTTACCAAAATCACGGTAGAATCGGTCCTCACTGTGGTGGTACACGTCTACCCATTTTTTGAACTCCGGGTCGATAATCAGCGCAATGTCGGAGGGCAACATCATTAGCTCCCCCGTACTGTCTTCGTACTGCTCCGGCCCGTTCCACTTCTTCAAGCTCCATTTCTCCTCTTTCTGTTTTTATAGTCAATATCAAGTTGAGTCTGTCGTTTGACTTTGATACTAGCAAATGTATAACTTGTTCCACTGGAATTTCATTTGCAGCTGCACAACGAAAATTTATAACACTCAGCTCGGATCTGGTAGAGAAGGAAAGTAGTCACTCTCTGTCACCCTCACTGCAGCTCCTGGAAATAAAAAAACAAACAGTATATAGGCCAGTACCAGTAAACGAAAGTATTCGTTCGTCAGCGCCGTCGGGCTGAAGGACCACGGCCCCTTGTAACCGCTGTTTTGTGGATGGCACCGGCCCAAACCATGCGCACCCGATAGAGCGACGATTTCTGGTCATGTGTTTATGATCTACTTCCGGCATACATACACACCTTCATGTAGTTCCCAGCGACGACTTGAATGTCAAATAAACCCCGAGTATAACAATTCTCAGATGACTTAACATCAACTCTGAAAAATTTTCTTATTCTTAGTACAACACGAAACAAAAACTACAACGTACAAGATAAAACAAACTCGCTACCCTGGTCGGAGAATCCCTGACGGTGGAAAATGGTTCGCAGGTGGGTAGCTGTCGCTACCATGTTGCCCTTGTCCGCGTCTGGGAGTCGTCCGTCCGGAGCGGTTTTGGTCTGCCAAACGAGCTTTTTTCCGTCCTCCGGCCGGTCTTGTCGACCCTCGCGAAACCCGATCTTCAGCTTGTTGCCGCTCATTTCCTCCAGCGCCACCGTCCCGGCGAAAATCCACATGTCCGACACCGAACAGTTAGGGTACTTCTCAACTATATCAAATGTAAAAATGTCTGGGTCTGGAAGAATTCATGTTTGTCATGCTTGTCTGGCATGACCCTTAAATCTGTCATGCACGTTACCCAAGAGCTCCGTTTTTCTGTGATGCAGAGCCGTAGTTTGTCATGCAGAATAGGCAACACGTAAGAGCTCAGAAACTTGTCATGCTGGGCCAGTATTCGTAGTCTCATCATGAGACGCCACCCAGCATCACAAGTTTCCAGACCCAGACATTTTTACATTTGATAAACTAGCGGCTGAAGCAATTTGCGCGCGCGGTCCAGACCCGCGTTCGCATCCCAGCCCGCTTCTGGGGCAAAGCGCATGCGAGCACCGTCGGACCCTGAATGATGGATCAGGATGCATCAAATTATCACAGGAAATGTTCGTTGCCTTCTTCGAAGTTCTTTTTCTACGCCAACACGAATCAGTACGCCTCAACCACAGAGAAATCTATGGCAGAGGGGGTACTACAGAGAAATCAATGGCGAATCAGTGCGCATCGCAGGCAGAGGAGGTACTACTAATCAGTGGGCATCATCATCACCATCATTTACTTTGTACTTTATTGAGAGCAGCGAGTGTGGACGTGACATCGCACCAGCTCATGTCAACTACAACGAAGCTTCGAAACAAGTACTCACAAAACTCTTCGAACCTCCTGTTTTCTCATGCCTGTCCCAAGTGCCGGAAGAATGCCATGCGAGACGAACCAATACCGGCCCTAGTGGCTCTTCAACATACTTCTCGTCGTCTAGCAGCGCTATTATATCCCGCCTGACATTATCCCAATTTGTTTTTCCGATATTTCCGGCGACCTGTTTTACATTTTGCAGCTGAGTCTTTGCAAAGTGTGCAATGTCAAAAAATTGTCAGGACTACTACTGGGAACAACCCAGACGCCGTCGGCGCAACCGTAAAAATTACATCTCGCGAAGATACCTCACACAAAACTCGATTCGACGGTGCACCTCCGAGTAAAGCGTCTGCACCCGGAGCAGCGGATGGTCCTCGCGTGGTGAACGTATACCGTCGTGTGGAGGAGCAGAAGCTCGCAGATAATACGAGCGCAGAGATATTGTCTCGCTCCTGGTACAACAGGTAAGCGGCAGTCGCGCCTGAAACGCCAGCAACTAATGTCTTGGCAGAACTCGAACCCGAGGTCGACGATCCAGCACTGCCACCCTGTCGGCACGGAATCACACGTGCAAGTGGTCGGCTCACAACTCGCATAGACGAGCTTGTCATAGACATTGTCGTACTCGTGTTTCAACACAGAAGCTAAAAGAAAAAACGTATGAAATTCGATGAGGCCAGAACAACCAGCGTCGTTTTTACGATGCTTTCAGATTCAGTATTTGCTATGCTTTCCAGAGCAATTGTTTGCTCACATTCAGCCAATCAGCACCGAAACAACTCAGATGGAAATGGAGCTCAGACCGACGCCAACGACAAGACACTGGTATCACAATCAATTGATTTCTATTACAGGACGACGACATGACAACCACAACTGTGATCACTTGCATAAGCGCTTTGCATTTGAATTTGTATCGGTCATCAGTCTACTCGGATTACATGAAGGAAAAAACAATCGACATCACAAAGTTCTCACCTCATTTCATATTTCTCCAACATAAACAAATCGCGTGCCAGGCGACTAAGAAAAAAAGAATATGGAACTGCAACCGATGAGCGCGCCTAACCATCTCTACTCAATTCGTTTGTTGCAATGGCTGATCCATTTTCCAACTGTTGATCGCTTTTCTTTGCAACGCAGGTGCACCGCGAGAGCGGTCAGAACGCCGCTCTTGAACACTGAGTGAAACAAAAACAGTCCAAGCTCCGCAAACGAGTGTGGCGGGGCAATTCCAGGATGAAAATCCTTGACAACGGAGCAAGCCTCAGCAATAAAACCGCGGACGCGATATTCCCTCCGTGGATGTGGATGCATTTGTGTCCGTGGCCCTTCGGACAAGGTAGTCCCAGTCGACACACTTTCATAATAATGACCGTGCAACGACAAGATGTTTGGTGGAGCTTTCGTGCGTGCCAGGATGTCACTTCGCGTCTCCTTCCCAGGGTTCATCGTCAATATCCTTTTAATGCTCATTGCGATAGGTGAAACAGGTCGTCTTGTAGTTCTTGTTTCGGTAGACGTAAAACGCGATTCTTTGAATATTATCAACAATCTCTCTACTGGAACTTGCTGTTGTACTTGCAGCGGTGCAGCCCGGTGCAAAACGCATGCGCACCTTGTCTGATGCTGAAACAGAAACAGTAACACATCGGTAGTCGTGTGTAAAATGGAAACTTTTGTGCTTTTCGATAGTTGTATCTGAAACGTAATCCCTGCGGTTGCATTTGCTTTTCGGTTCCGCGAAAAGGAGCCCGGGGCTGGTTATATTATAATTTTTTCTTCATCGGTGTCTTCCCGCGGGTTTTGCTGCCAGAGGAGCTGACGTCGTCGTCGCTGTCAGCCTTCGCAATTCCGTAAATCAGCGACAACAACCCGATGACGACGACGCTCGAGGTGACTACGGTCAGTCCCAGAGTTGAGATCGTCGTCCAAATGTTGCCGGCGCCCGTGCCTGCCTTGACTAACTCCGGACTATGCAGTACAAATACGTCTGGGCCCGGAAAAATTTATGAATCTTCTGCCATACAGATTCTTCATGACCGACAAAGCCAGCAGTCCACAGCATAGTTTGAATGAAGGTTCCGTTCCGCTTTCCAGTTTTTACCTGTCTTGTATAACCATGACCCAACTGAGTTCCCGCTCCAAAAAAATCTGAGCCTTTGCTCCAACGCATGACAAATTTTCATGCGATGCCGCCCTTGGGGACAGACACGAGCGAGTTCAAATGTTTCCAGAACCAGACGTATTTGCCACGCATACGGACTGTTCTTGAACAACTCGTTGGGGCAGTCAGTGATGGCAATCACCATGTAGGACAAGAAGTTCGACAACGGGGCGATCTGCAGGCAAACGAAACACACCTTCTGCATCTTTTCGCTCAAAGCCGTTGCGTACGGAAACGCGAGCGCGCACCCGATCAGCAGCTCCGAAAAGTGCCGCAGCAAGTGGTACGCAGCCTTCCCCATCCGCTTGTTCGCAAGCTTGTCGATTGCCAACCTTTAGTGAGAATTTAAACTTTTCAAAGTCCTGTTGCTGTGCACATTTGTTGTCCCTTTGGGCATCGAAAAAATTCTGCCCGTCGCGGTGTGCACTCCCGACGAGGCCAGGGAGATTGTATCAACATGAAGAAATTTAACGAATACACATACGGAGGATGAAGGAGGCAGAAATAAATATAGAGTACCCCTGAAAGCATCCCAATAACGCCCAGGAAAGTGCGGCCACGAGTAGCCACTTGCGGTATTGAACGGCCGTCGCCATCGTGCTTTCTTTTCGTTGTTTTTTCAGAAAATCCGAAAACCTACCTCTCAGCGCAACGTCACTAATTGTTCTTTACTTACTTCGAATTCTGAGGTTTGAAGTCTGAAGAAAATGAAAATCCGAGTCGCGACAAGCTATAATACCCTCAGCACACTGTTTTTTGATTAGTTGCAGGAACATCGCACTTTCATGATCATCATGATCATCATCGTCATCTATCATCATCATCATCCGTCGATTTTGAAAGAAGGACATGCACCCGCTGCGTCTAATCCAATCGCGCACGGTGTATGTCTGGCGCTCGTACCAGTCAAGATGTTCTCGCTTCTCTTCCCTCAAACGACACTCGTATCGTCCGCCTACCGAAAGGGGTGCCCTCTGTTTTCAGAGTTGTAGAGCCAAAAGATACTACTTAAATGAATATCATTCCCACATGCATGCTCATGTCGAAGCGCCACTCGGTCACTTCTGACCGATACACCGGACTCGAAGGATACGACGACTGTTAACTTTCCTTCGGTATGGTGGGAATGAAAGAATCTAGATTCTTTCGTCGCACAGAGTCGTGGCATTTCCAATGTCACCAAGAGCACCGGTAAAGGTAGGAGCAATCCAACAATGCATACGCGGGCTTAGGCATCAGATGAAAAAAATTAATGTTAATAAAATAAAAAATGTCATTGTGACTGGCACGGTCCTCACGACTCAAGTACCTTTTCATGTGCTTATCTTACAGAAGAGAAAGAGAATAGATGGGAGCAATTAGGCATTTTGTTTGGAACTGCGAGTGCGAGAGTACGATAGAAAATTGTCGTCGACGCAAGAATGCAAAAACAACTATGCACCCACGTTTATGTCTCAATGTAAATAATTTCTACTCAGTGTCAGTACAGCGGAATGTCCATGTACAGACTCGTGTCGTTCTTGGAACTTTGATCATTAAGCAGCCCCCTCGGCGAAGTTCCGGTAATGTCGGCGCGACTACCGGATACGAGTTCGCAGACACGGTTCCCCGGATCGCCCGCTCGGTGGTCGAAAACCCATCCTGGCGTGCTCGGGTCATCGATTTTCAGGTAGACGACGTCGTCAAGCGGCAGCCGCTCACTGACCGTGAACAGTGCACCCTCCCGCAAAATGCTCGCTGCACCGCCCGGCGGCGCCAGAGCCTTCTCCATGGTCGGGCGGACGCGCCGACACACACCCTGCGGGAAAACTACGCGGTACTGCCACGAACCCCTTTCGATCCGTACCTCTTTCAGGTCCTTCTCGGCCACCCATTTCTCCCCGCCGACGCGAACCCACCTGTTCATTCTTGTTATCCATTGCATGATACATCCAGCATTGCATACTTACGCAGAGTAGAATCAGCATCAGAGATCACTAGGAAACCCGAGTGAATGCCCCGAACATAAACTTTAGTCAACTAAAACCCATAATTTCTGCAGTACGTGCTGCCGTCTTTTGCTTCTTTGCGGCATCCCGCGACGAGCAATGTTCCTTCCGCCAGCACAGTTTTTGCCCGTGGCCGGAAAGAATGCTTTGTCTTCTCTTTCACTGCCGTCGGGGAAACCACCACATACTCCCAATGTCCCGGGATTTCGTCTTCGAAAGAACTGTACTTTCCGGCACCCGCAAGCGCTGATGGCAACACGGAGTGCATACTTTCCAGTGCCGCTTCTGTTGTTATATTAAGTTCTCCCTTCGTCAAATTTCTCGCACTAGTCTATCTTCAACCACGTGAGATATCAGGCACACTATGACTTGACAGTCACGGGCTTTGTGTACATGTAGGATGCAATACCGCCAGTTTGGCATCACTTCTCTCATCCACTTTTCACACTCGATGCGCAATGCGTCGCTTCTCCCTCAGCATTCAACGACGTTTTGGCTTGTTTCCTCCTCTCTGGTGCGATCGTCCTCACATATTTTGTTTTCGGTTTGCTGCTGCACAAGCACAAAGCCTGTTGCTTTGTATTCTCAGGCATTCATGAAGCGGTTTTGCAATGAAACTCTCACATACGCTTCTACAGTCACAACATTTCCTCTCGGTGCAACACGCACGAACCAGCACCAGTTGCGATCCCCACCTTCGGGCGGACAGCAACACATCGAAAAACACGACGAGCAGAGAAATCGACCCAGCACTTCCCCAAGCATATGTATATTATCGCTGCGAAGCAGCTGGAAATCGAAAAAGTATTTAGAAAAAACCAAAAAGGAAAATTTGAAGGCACTTTAGTCCTCCACTTACATCCCACAATCTGTCCACTTATTTAAAACCTGTAAACAAGAAAAGCTCAAACTAAATTTCGTTCAAAATTGACACACCTCCCTGCATATAAAATCAGTAGAAGAAGAAATAAAACGGTAAAATTGTCTAAAAACAATTGATACGAAGAAAGTACATCGAAGTAGTAATGTCGAACTTGCGTAGGTCTGAAATATCATTCATAAATTTTAATAAACCCCAACAACGAACTATCCCTCTAGATCCAAAACGATAACCACGTGGTTGTGATTTAGAGTTCTATTTGCAATCGGGATGGCTACCGGATTTTCTTTAGAGTCGCAGATGCTCGAAGCGTGCCATTCACCAAAAACCGGAACGCATCCTTGTAGAGCAGCCGCGAGGGTCACCAACACGATCCGGTTTCATCCTTGCGAGTGATCATGAGAACGTCGCCTTCGCCAGAGATCACGATTGCATGATGAACCCCTTGATGATGTTTACGCGCCTACTCCGAGACAAGCAACATAACGGCGAGACCGATCACGATGAACATCATTAGCTCGACTATCCTGTGCAAAAGTGTCGCACTGAAAATGCAAGTCTTGCATTACAAATATTTTTCTTAAGGGAAACCAGCATGCCAATTTTTTTTTCTCATGCTCAGGAAATTTGTAATTCATTTATACGAGCGCGATACTTTTGCACAGGATATCGACGGAACCAAAACCAATCATCGTGTAAGCGAACCGGTATGGAATCTAAACGTTCTATCGGTCCGCGGGACAAAGTGCTGCGAAGCGCGGTGCTTTGTTCTTGCGAGGTGTTGATGACAACAAGCTCTTCTGCAAAATTGGGCTCCTACCTGCCTTTTGGCACTGCTATTTGGAAATACTTGCCATGCAGAGTACTACTTGAAACAAATACTTGCCATCTTTGAGGCGGATGGAATACTTCGATCCCCAGGCATGGTACTACTTAGCGGTGCGACAAAAAGTTTAGGCTCCGTAACAAGTCGTCCTTGATTGCAGGGTTTCGTGCGGTTCCCACAACTAGGGCCGCAAAGACGGATCCGACACCCTGCGCAACGCCGCCCAAGGCCACGGTCGCGATACCGCAGGCCAACGTGGAGGCTCCCGCATGCCGCACACCTGTAAGTGCTTCTTGTCGCTGTCATAATTCGTTGACCATGTGCATACAAGTCTGTCAGGAAAAAAAACCGGCTACGACCAGAAAAAGACAGAGAACAGGACCCGCAATGAGCACTTGAATGCAAATCAGCAGCACCGATTATGCAAAAATACTTCCCAAGGGATTCGTCAGGCACTGGTTCACTTTTGGAAGCTTCTGTGTGGCCGCCGCAGCCGCCGCCGTAAAGGTACCTAGATTGTACAGAATTTTGGCGAGTTGATACACAGCAACGTAAATGCCGTCTTTTTCCTAAATCTAAATTCAAATTTAAAGATTAACCTACAAGTCTAAAATAGAAAACATCCGTAAATTTGTGGATTCAAATGAAAATTTAAAGATATTTAAATCTCGTTCTCTAGTACATACCCACGAATCTAAATCTACATCTCGGTCTATGATACTGCGGTCATCTTGTCACAATGAGGAAGAGCTGCAGAGGCTTTCATGGCGGTCGCCTTTTCACATCTTCCCCAGCTACACAGGGCCTTCCTAAAAATAGATGACCAGGGTCAGTAGATTTAGATTTCGACATAAAAGAAAGCACAAACGGTTTCTCGGACGACTGTTGCAGTAACATATTCAATCTGCAAAGCACCCAGGAGCAGTACGTTTCTCCAGAAAGGACAGCACGGACAGGGAGCGGGAGCTGGCCGTCGGTGCGCGGTTCAGGAAGGCTTGGATCATCGCCATCTTGGGATTTTCTTTGCGTTGAAGGAACCAAACACCAAAGAAATCAGGATATTTTGTAATCCTACTCGCTCAAACACTTTGCATTTCGAATTAGGATCAAGTAACGACACACACGAGTCTGCCGGGCGGCTGTTTCATTGTCTTTGCGTTTACTCTTCGCTACGCAACAAGAAAAAAAGAATGAGATGAGCTGCTGCTCCGACAACAAGACGTGGGCCGGACATTGTTCCTGGATGGCGCCAAAAAAAACAAGTACGCACATGTCAGACGCTTGGACATCATTGATTATATCGGCTTGCTAGACTGCCGGTTGACCGCTGAGGGTGCTGCCTGCTCGTCACCAAATTTTGTCCATGTCTGCCCGGTCGTGCTTAATAGTACTGGTTGCTCGTTCTTACTTCGTCGTCCGTCGCCAGTATTGCTCACTGCGTCGTGGATAATGGTTCGATTTCTTCTCTGCTCATTGTGTCCCGGCGCACCAGCGAAGCCACAGCTCTTTTGCTTGTTCGGAGTCCCCCCTTCAGGAATTCTCTGGTGGAGGTTTGTATATAATTTGCGTTTCGGGAAGTTGCCCTTTCACGGCGATGATGGTGCATCTACACGCGTGACTCAGTTGTATTTGGTGCTCTGCGTAGAAGGCGCCAACAAGCAGGTTCTGCACGAGGAAGGATTCCTAACTGGCTACTGCGCAGGAGTGACCTGCCATCTTGCCACAAACCAAAACACCGTCCGTCTCTTCGCATGCTCGATAATCCGGCAAGTCTCCGACCCGGCACCCGAACGCAAGAAGAAAAGATGGCCAAAGATTGGGCGCAACAAACGCAGCAATGGTTCACATGTGAATGCAAAAACAAAATCGCGCGCGGAGGCTTGTTCAGAAACACGGTAGGCAACACCCTCGAGGAGAACACGCTATTCATTGAACCTGCATGTCCAGAGACACACAAAAAAAGCCGTCAAGGCACAGTAAAAAAGCCGAAAGTAATTATTCGAATCTTCTCGAGAATCTGTCGGCTTCCGATTTCACACTCTTTCTGCAGTGGCACGCTTCATCCGGGAACGTGCCAGTGCAACTGTTATGCTCCAGCGCAAGAGGCACATCTCGTGCCTGAGAACTGATACCTTTTAGTGCAGCGTATTGCTGCATCGTTTGCGCAGCAGAAATTTTGCGACTACACATTCGTTTCTATTGCTCTCGGCAACGGTTCCTCGGTCTACTTCTTGAGGAGCCGTTCCTTGCATTGTGCGTTGAATCCAAAATGAAGGTGTTTCTTCTCTTCCGGTCATTGTTCGTTGGAAGACGTTGGCTTGTTGCATTTTCCTTACTCGTCAGCAGCACCGGTTAGTCATCAAACAGTTCGGCACCGGCTTGTCATTTATTCATAAGCTTGTTCTACTTTCCGGTGCAGTTCTTACAGATCTTTGCGCGTGAAGTAGTCTGGGTCAAAGTGGATAAGACGAATCAACCCTTCTTCTCCGCCGGTGACGTAGCTCCTTCCATCCGGGGAAATGGCGATGGTGTTCATGGGACCGAAATGGCCCTTGATGGTTCCGATTTCTTCTTCCAAGACCATGTTGAAAAGCACGGACTCGAACCCACCCTCTGTCGTTTGCGTCACTTCGCGTGCCTCCACACCACCACCGGCGAGGACGTGATACCTGTGTTGTTTTTCCGGCACCCAGGGTCGCGTCACAATTTCATGTTCCTGCTCCTCAGAGCAGAGAGGACCCCGCATCTGTCATTTCATCGTGACCGCAGGAGTGCCAATCTAAGAAAGGGATAAAAGCATGCATGTGACATCGTCCACAATCAAAAAAGAGTAAGTAGGTCCCTAGAAGTAGGGCACTATTGCCTATCTTTCACTTACTGAGTTAGGAGTAAGTACCTTGGGTTTACTGGGTCGGTGTAAAGCGGCGAAAGCACTGCGTCGTTGAAGGGTCGGTTGCTTTGAAACTTCTTCAGGCAGGAATATTCCTGAATGTTAGAATTGAATAAAGATGGCATGGGACAACAATGAACAAGACACGATTCTAATGTGCAACACACGAGAACTCCATGATTCGCCCCGAAGTGAATAATTCGGTACCTACTGCTTTAGGAGGACTTTCCTGATGTCAAGTCTCTACTGCAGTGTCGAAAAACAGCGGTAAAAAATGTTGATCCATAAGCTCCTACCTGAGTCTCCCACATTTTCACGGTTTTGTCTCGTGACGCGGTCAGGAGAAGGGTTCGGTTTTCGTTGAAGTTCAGCGATTTTATCGGCTGCTGGTGCGCTTCGACGAGCTTGATGAGTTGGGCATTTGAAATGTCCCACACGCAAAAGGTTCCTTCTTCATGGATCGAAATCAGGGTTTCGTCGAAGGGACCCCACTTGACCTGTCAAGGGAGAAATAAATCGTCGCAACTTAAAGAACAGCAGAAAGCGTTAAATTTCTTTGGTTGCTTGTAATGTTGCACCACACATGAATTCTTGGAATTGTAGAAGTACAAATATCTTGTGCAAGCGATCGTAGCTGGCGCGAGAAACAAGAATAAACGAACTTACCATAGTGGCCTTCATTGGCAGCTCCTCTGCCAGCATAAGGACGCGCTCGCAGACGGGATCGTCTGTGGTAAAGTCAAATTGCCAGATGCTGATGTTATTTGGCGTGGTCTTGAATTTGTCAGCGCACGTGACAATGCGATCCTGGCATTCGGGGTGCTGGTTGAACTCGACGGACCTGTTGTGTGGGGCGGGGTTGCTCAAAAATGCTTTTTATGTACATTTCATCACTTAGTTCCGGTCAACATTCTCCCTCCCTTCCTTCGGTAAAAATGGAGGCATGAATGCAACACGGCGATGCAACTCAATCAGCTCAGACAAGAATCATGTAATGTGTCACTTAAATTTTGGAGTATATGAAATACTTGACAATTCCGCCGTGGTTCAAACTGTAGATAACATCGCCGGTCTGAGCATCGTAGAAAACCACCCTGCTGTCTGCGCCGGCTGTTACCACCATGCTTGATTCCGCATCGATGTCACACGATTTGCTGTTGTGAAATGATCATGGTAGCATGTACTAACTGTAACTTGGGTTGGAGTACATAAAAAACACTGTAGGGAATTCCTCTTTACAACTTTTCCGTCTATGCATTTTGCAGAGATTCAGAGCATATTCATGCATTTTGCAAAACGTGCCGCGGAGTGCAAATACCTCAAGCAAGAACAGCGAAAAAAAAAGATATTGGAGGGGGTTTGATACATTGCACCGTCGTGTCCCTCGTACGTTCCGATTCTCTCGCCGGTTTCGGTTCGGATAAGACAACATCGCCCATCGTTGGCACTGGAAATGAAAAAGTCCCCGTCCCGATTGAATCGCACGCAGGTCAGCGGACGCGAGTGGTACTGCAACAGAAACGGCTTCTGCACCATTTTCAAGAAGTCTTAATTCATAAACTCGAAAATAGAGTAAGGTAGGTGAAGATGAAACAAGTGGAGAATGAGAATGTTCCGATTGCAAGGCTTCGATAAAAAGGGTAATATTAGCGTGAAACTTGTTCTCTAAATCCAAATCAATAGCCTGAGAAGAGCATTCGTCATCGGCAGTGCAGTATATCTGTATTTGATTGACCAACAACTGCAGGCGCTTCGATCTACACATCTGTGCCGATTGGCATTGGCTTGTAGTGAAGCATAAAGCAATCTTCTTTTACAGCAAGCTTCGAACCAGAAAGGTTCGGAACTCAAACTCCAGATCTGTTGCATATGCATTTCGCAATTTTGATCGCAGGTCAGCTGGTGATCTCCGTGCTTCTTACGATCTGCGTCAGTTCTTCCTGCGTCTTCATCTGTATAATCGAAGGAGCGTATATTTCACGGTTCTTGATCTTTCGGGCCATTTTTTCGTGTTTATTTGTAGAAAAATCCACTCGAAGAACAGTGTAAGTTCTTCGCTTCGACATCCAACGTCCACTGGATTGAAGACCTCCAGCATATAGATATGCAACTTTCTTTCGTACTTGTTTGCATGAACATGATGAAAACGCGATAGGACAACATCTTCACCATCTGCTTAGTACTCAGAACGCCGAAGCGAACTGCATTGGCACAGCAACCCCCAAGAGCAGAAGTGATTCCGGTTGTTACTAACTAGTATTCCGCCGTTATTCCAAACACCTCGTTGCGCTTTTTCTGTCCACTCTTTTGAGACATCTTGGCATCCCGTCGCTGCTGTCGTTTGGTTCGTGGCGGTGCCGGTCGATGACCCAGCATTTCCGCCAGAGACGCCGGATTCCAGTCCTCCCATGCGTCGTACGCAGCTACGTTGTGTGAAGGAGTATCATTTTGGGCATAATTTTCCCGATTTCTTGATACAGTCCCTTGTTCAACAGCGCTCTCCTCCTCCGCGATGCAGGCGAGCTCTTGCTGTGCGTCGTGTGTCTCATCTTCCTCCTCCTCGGAATCCGGCGGGAGCAGCGTCTCCACTTTGTTCCTTTTTTCTGCATTCCTTTCCGCCGGTTCTTCGTCTGTGGTCGTCTCGCCCTCAAAGTGGCCCTGTTGCTCCCCGCCCGCAGCACCTCCCTCGAGGGCGGAAGAAATAGAAGCTGCTCCTCCCGGCGGCGGTTCACAGTGCAGCAGTACTCCGGTGGTGAAGTCCTTCAACAACCGCTGCGCCGCCCAAGTGGTGTCGGGCACCAGGTCCCGCAAAAAGTGCTTCCGTGCGGTGGCGAAGGACGCCAAAAAGCGCATGGACTCCGATTGCGCGGTGCCCGGAATCTTCAGGGGCGCGCACTTGTACATCTCGTACAGCTTTCTGGTGCCCACTTTTTCCACAATCAGCTCGATCGGCTTCAGGTACTCCGACCGCAGCTGGTCGATGGGCATCACCGAGTTGATGACCAAATGCGCTTTCGTGGCGACGATGGAGGGAAACACCAGCCCCGGGCAGTCACACAGCGTGAACTGCTCCCCCTCCAGGGTTTGAAAATGCTTCGTCTTGCCCGGCTGCCGGGACATGGAAACCTTCTTCGTCCCGAACAGCGCGTTGATGATGGAAGACTTCCCGACGTTCGGGTACCCGCAAAACCCCACGACGGGTTTGGCAGCCTGCGTCTCCGGTGGCAGCTGGGAAACCAGGAATCGCATCAAGCCCTCGCAATCCAAAATGTCGGTGCCGTCGCCACTGTTGTGGTCGACGTCCGAGGACTCAATTTGATGTTCCGCAGGTCGTGGTTGTGCAGCTTCTTGCTGTTCAGCGGGCTGTGCTACAGGCATTGTGTGAAAATGAGTCAAGCCACTTTCTCTGCTCTCAACGACTTGTTCCACCTCAGTGAAGGTCCCTCCTCTTGGGTCGCAAGCGATGTTTTGTTGATCTGGTGTCCCCGTGCCGCCTGACGTTTTATTCGATGTCCTCACCGAAGTAGAACCCGCACCATTATCTTTGCCCTCCGTTTCATCGTGATCCTCGGTCTCGCTTGTTTCTTCCTCGTCTTCAGTGCTAAGACTCTCGAGGCTGAGAAAAACGGACTTCGGTTTTTGCTGTACGCTAGTACAGACTTTGATGTAGTCCGCAGCGGGCATTGCCATTGCCGCCGGCGTGTTTTTCGGCCCTTTTCGCATTCGCCGCGTTTTTTCCATTTCTAGCTCCATTTTTTCTGCAACGACTGCGGCATTGGTTGTGGGAGGCTTCTTGCTTTTTTGAGACATCACGTTGCCAGCTCCGTGATGAGCAGACGCGGCGGTCACGAAAGCAGGCTCCTTGTGCGCTCGTCTTCGCGATTTCTTTGAAGCTGCCCCGTTTTGTTCCGCATGTTCAGCGACGGAGATCTTTGATGTTCCATGGTCCTGATCAGCAGTGCTGCCGGTCGTGGCCTCGTGCTGGTCGTCTGCCTCCTTCTGAGCGATGACTTCCGTTGGTAAGTCAAGATCGATTCCCAGCTTCGCGAGCTCGTATTTGGCCGAGAAGAAGGCGACCGTCACGTTTTGCCGCGCGAAGTACTCCCGCCACTGCTGCCGCAGGTTCGCCGGCATGTAGTCCGCCTTGTTCAAAATCAGCAGCGTCTTCTTCGGTGTCCTCTTCATTCTCGCGTCCGTCTTTGCCTGCATTGCCGACGCGGTCGCCGCGAACGCAACGGAGCTCAGCATTTGCGCATTCATCGCAGCCAGCTCATCCTGCTCCTCATTTTCCAAAACAGGAGCGAGATCGCCCTTGTCGGTCATTTCGCTGGTTTTTGCGCAAGATGAACCTTCATCATCTTCTGCCACGCTGCTGTAGTCGGACGCCTCCTGCTCCTCATCATCACTGCAGGCATCCGCGGCGGAGGTGGATGCTGGTCCTCCTCGTCGTGCCGGTTGTACTACATTCGGCTCTCCTCCGCCTAATTCCTTGACGTAATTTTCCAGGTCCAGACTACGGTAGAACAGCGGGTCTCGGCAATCGCAAATCGTGCAGACCAAATCGGATTTTTCGCACACCCGCCACAACTGCCGCCAAAAGTCCAGGTTCCGCTCGAAGGGCGTCATCACGAATCCGAAGTCCTCCTCCAATTGGGCCAACTTTTTGCGCCACTGCAGAAAAGACTCGTTCTCCTTTTTCTGCAACTGTTCGCCATCCACAATCGCCTGCCCAACTTCCGTCTCCATATCGAACCACATGGGTCGTCGAGGAATAGGAATGATCACACCTGTAGTGCGGTAGGAAAGGAAATGCTTGTGCTTACTTATTTCATCCATTCCAATTAAACCAAATGCATCACATTCAGCACGGATTTTTTTGGTTTTGCACTAGTATTTTTACCAGAATTACTTTCGATTTCGTGATTCTGAACAACACCGCCCTGAGCACTTGCAAGAATGAAGCAAAGGGTTTTCAGGGTTAAAAAGCTCAATCGATTGAAAATAATCCAGACAGTGCATATAATGTTCTCAGCGTTGGATTTCTGTATTGTCGAGTTTTCTCATCCTACAGTCCATAACAATAAAGCTGGCGGTGGAGTCCACCCACAGTCCATAACAATAAAGCGGAAAAAAAATTAAAATGCGCGCGAAAAGCGGATACCTTGAATCTCCGCGAGCTTCCTGTCCATACCCAACTGCTTTTCCCTCTGCGCGACCACGTTTTTATCCACCAGGGAGAAGCGTCCGCGAATGGCTTCGAATTCCGCATTCGCCAGCTCCGCTTTCGCGAGAAAGTCGTCTAAGTTGGAAGATTCCAAGCAGGACACTCCGTGCTCCTGGCCTTCAAGAAAGGTCCGCTTTCCGTGAAAATGAAAGGCTGCGTTGGTTTCGCTGGCTTTTTTCTGGGCATTGTTGATCGCCTTACCGAGCCCGCAGCTGTACTTTTTTTTCCCCATTGTGTCTGTTGTCGCAATACTTTAAATTCAACTGATCAGCGCAAGATTTTGAATGAATCACACGTAAGTGGTACTTGCAATGAAGTTACTTTGGCTGCGTGCACGAGGACTGAAAAGCTAACGCACCTTTGCTTAACGAGTTATCTTTACACTTAAACACCCAAGATTTCTGACTGTCCTAAAAAAAAACCGCAAACTGCATCAAGTTCAAGTCCATCTGTAAAATAAGTTGAATCAGGTCGCGGTCTCGATTTCGGATCTGATTCCGTGGCACGGGAATTTGATCGGTTGCACCTACGATCCGTAGCCATGTTCCTGTAAGAAGCTACGTCGATCCGTTGCAATGTTTTCTTGTGATCTGTGTTTGTCGAATTTGTCGTTTTTTGTGATCATGATCTCTCCTTTCTTGTAGTCGGGATCAATAGCAGAATCAGAATGACAATTTAAAGTTCTTTTGTGCCGGGACAGAAATCAATGGTTTTCCTTGCTCACCTAGGACACGGACACTGGTGTCCTGTGTGACAATAATACAATAAATTTTTCTTTCAAGTTTTCATGAGCGCTAGCGCTGCGCGGTATGACGGTTTCCTTTCAGTACTCATAAGTCTGCAGAAGCAGATGCAAAATAATCATAGCGCACGGTGTGCGTCAGGAATGGAATTCTGTGCAGCTTACAGCTGTATCGGTCGTCAAGTCTTCGGTGAAAGTGAAGACGCAAAAAAAGCTCAAGAGAAAATAAACGTGCAATGTTTTTTCCTAAAAAAGTCTCGTCAGAGTAGATATTTCGACATTAATTGGCTCAACATGTTTCCTTTCTCGTCTTACTTTCCGATTTAATAGATAAAATGAATTCCAACGAAGTTGGTACATGGCAGAGTACTAGCCCCAAGAGATTTACAGTGCCGACATCGTACGGTTCTTACGCGAACCATACAGACCGCAACACAGCCCCGTCGTGATCAATCGCAAGAAGCGTCATCGGCCCGCAGTCGCGGCGCTGTTTGGTTGTCGCGCAGCAACACCGAATTGCCTCTTCGGGTATTTGAATTTCCGGAGGTCCACAGTTGCTGCTGCTGCTGCTGCATTTTCCCGATTTTCAAAGGACGCATACAAGCTCCACGGGTCGAACCTCGGTGTCGCCGACTGCCCGCGATTTTTCCCGAACCCCTTTTCTGGACTGCGACTGGATCCACGGTTGGGTGGTGCGCCGGCAGATGCGGATCTCGATCGTGGCAGTTGCTCCACCCCGCTCAGATTGCTTTGCGAGATGTCCCCGAGAAGGACGCCTTGCCCGGGGGCCACTACAGGGCGACCGGTGCCATTTCGAACCATACCGCCGGTCCTGTTTAAGATCGAGGATTTATTTTCAGTGCAATGTTGAATTGGAGGCGACAACCATTAGGCGAAGAAACAAATTCAAAAACTAGCTGTTTCCTGATTCATGGCTGCTTCAATTATTGAGAATACAGTCCGGGTTGCGTGACCACCATCTTCGGCGTGTACCCTTTCTGCACTTTGTTTGGTGTCTGTACTGGCCTCCTCACCGCACCTCCCTGGGGCGTTTGTGCTTTCTTCGCGGCACTCGTGGTCAGCGCAGTCTGAATCATCCAGTCGCGCGGAATCGCGAGGTGCTTGTACATGTGACAAATCAAACGATGCTGGCGCTCGCATTTCTCCACCACTTTCACTGTAGAATTTTTTTTCCAGGTTTATTTTGACATCCCTGATTGCTTCGTACTTAGATCAGCAAACAGTCTGTGGTTGTACTGTTGCCACTTTCAAACCAGATAGTTCGTAGCAACAGCAAGCAAACATCAACAAAACAAAGGGTACGACAAAAGCCAACTCGCTTTACGTACTGAGAATGTCGGCGATGTGTGATTTCGTAGTGAGATTCTCGCGCTCGGCCAGCAGATCCGTGTCCTCAACTCCGATAGGCAGATGCCGTGGGTTGATCGGTATCCTTTGCTGCAGAACTCGCAGCGCCTCGAGTTTCGCCTCGTCTTCGTAGAATTTCCGGTGCTCCATGCTCTTGTCTAACCAGCTCTTGAGCTCTAGGTTGTGCTGGTGCTGCTCGTGGGAAGATGAGTACGTCGTGGTCCCGTGACTAACACCTGTTTATCATTTGTTCACTTAAGTACGTATAAGTATTTCATCAGGGGCTTAGCTTTATCGGAACCAACTACAACTTCCTGATCACATACAAGAATTCAAGAGACTTTGTCTTTGACTTTTGGTACTTTCAAATACTGACAAGCATGGGGCCGTCCTCGCCGTTTATGACCACAGCTTCGCGAGCAGCATCGTATCATCATGGTTCATCTTGAAAACAACGCAAGTGAACAAGTGGTCAAGAAGTAGAACCTCGGCTATTTGGGTAGGCCATCCCTCCAGAGGCCGATGTTGAGTACGAACCCACCGGGTAGTGAGCCGAAAAAAGATTGAAGTCGTCGGCCGCTGCGCTTGCCGTGAGCTGGCTCCGCACGGGCGGCCCTCCTTCGGGGTCGAGACCCAAGCGGCTTTTCGGTTGGAAGCTGGAGGAAAGCCACTCGTGATACTGCTGGTTTCGCGTCTCGATGCTGGCCAACTTCTCCTGTTCCTGTTTTCTTGCGTCGTCCCTCGCTCGCTTCTGCTCCTGCTGCTGCCAGAAAGAGGACAAGCCCGGCGGGCCGGAGCTCGTGGTTGGGGAAAACGATCCCGACGACGGAACGGTGGGGGGTGGCCGTCGAGGCACTCGTGTGGTTGGTGGCTATGACGATGCACAACTTTTTCCCACCGGCACCACTTGCGATGCAAAATCCTATGCGTTCCACACCCAGTCTCTTCCAAGATCAGTATAAACGTAGTCTGATATCAATCAAGTTCTTCTTGCAGAAGCGCAGCACTAACACAAATCGTACATCACTATACTCGTGGTGAGAAAGCTTTAGAAGCTTTTACGGATACGGTATATAACATTTCCATTGTTGAAGAACCATGGTGTGTCGTGCCCTTGCATACGCGCACCGGGACGAGTTGAGACATCTCATAGTGGCAAGCTGCGGAATATGCGGCGTCGCTTCGATTTTGCCTCAGCCGCTGGGTCGGCGCACCCTTGATACAACAGCTCGTCTTCGCAATAGGGCTTTTCTAACATCTCCTCAACCTCGCCGGCCGCCATGACGTCGTCGAACTCAGTGCGCGGCTCAACCACGGGTCTCTCCAGGGAAGACTCATGGTAGTACACGAGATTTTTCGCAGCAACGGACGCCGCACTCACCTGCTCGTTTCGAATGCGCGGCGAGCCGGACCCCTGAGGGACCCGCGTCATGGGAGCAGGCTCTTCCTTTTTTTCCAGATCGACAAACCGATGCGCGTATTTGTCGAGCTCGGACTGCGGAAAGATTTCTTTGCTAGGCAATTGCGATCTATTTATTTCCGAGTCACCGCTTCTTCGCGCGTGGTCGGTGTTTGTGGGTGGCGAATGGTCGAGGAGGTTGCGCCGTCCAATTTTTGGGGACAGCACCGTTCGACCTGCGTCCTTTCGGGATTCCTGCAACTGCCGCAAGCTGTCGTTTGCCGGCCGGCGTCCCAGCAGGCTCCGGCTGTGCTGGTCGCGCGCAAGCATGGCGTCGCGCGGGGGCTGCGTCGCCTGAGGCTGCCCCAGCCGCGGCGGGCTGCCGCTTCGGGGGCCACCGGCGTTCATAGCGTCTTGTATTCTGTTAGACACCGTTGTGTGCGACGGGGGTTCCTGCCCGGCGGACGTTTTCGCTAGAACCCGATTCGCTTGCTCCAACACACTGTTTTGTGTTGCAAACAGGTCCTCCAGACTGCTGCGCGCCTTGCTCATCCCCTCCAGGGCACCAGGAGGCGGCCCGAGAAAGTCACTCGTGTTTGGCTGAATCACCGAGGGGGAGTTGAACAAATGTGAGGACGAGCTCGTGGCAGGTTTGTTCATCGGCGCATCCGGCTGATACGTGGTGACGGGCGATAAATTCGTGCCGCGGTCTGTCAGGGGAACGCTGTTTGATGCCTTGATTTTCGACAGGAGCTCGTCGTAGTGCCGGTCGATTTGGGTGCGAGGAGGCAGGGAACGCAAAAACTCCTCGTTGTTCGCGCCGGACGACCTGATCAGTGTCGGGAGTATGCATAGCGGGCGCGAAAACTACACTCGCACGAGTGAAGAAAATGTGCCAAGTACATTGAGCTTGATGCGTGTACAGTTTGGAAGCAAGTTGTAACACGTCTGTCGAATAAATTATGTCTCAAACCGTACATCAAATGGGGCTAACATCTTCGAGCATCGTATCTTAGTACCCTTCCGCTGTTCTAGATGGCGACGTGACGCCGGGCGACTTGACAACGCTAGCTCTTGGAGAAATGCGTCCCATAACTGTGTGTTTTGTCTTTGCGAACAAAATCAATAAATTCCGTCTGATGAACAAAGTAGAAATAAATGCAGCCGAATCCGAGCTCCCAACACTAACACTGATGGGACGCAAAAGCGCAGCATTGGCACTAACCAAAAGAGCCTTTATTTAACTACCTCCCGGCCCAGATTCGGGGACGGTTCGCGGGAGAGGTGCCTGTCTTGACCGAGCGGATGAGGGCTGGTGGAGGGCTGCCCGTCGCCGAGTTTCCACGTCAATCAGCTGTCCGTCCAAATCGAACAGCTGTGGCATTTGCGTAATAATCCAGCCACGGTAGTCGCTCTGAAGCGGGATTGATTTAGTTTCGAGGCGTGCTCTCTCCTGGTGATGATTCTTGCGTTTCACTATGTTCAGGTGTGGTGCTTGTTGAATTTGTTTGAAATCATTTTTCAATGAAAAATGATTTCAAAATAAATTGAAACGACTTTAAACGAAGAAGGCGTGTTGACAAACCTGGTACGCGACGGGATTGTCCGCCAAGTGCAGCTTTTTGAGACGCAAAAGCGTGATCAACTTCCGAACTTCGCTGTAATCCGTGATGCGATTGTGGGTGGCGCGGAGCTCCACGACGAAGGTCCACAGGGCGGATATTCGGGTCGGAAAAGAGGAAATGGCGTTCCACGACACGTCGACATACTCCACGTTGCGCGTCACCCGGCACAGCGGCTCCAGGTCCGTGAGCTCGCAATTGCAGAGCGTAAGCCTCTTCAGCTTGTGGACGTGCTGGAGAAAGCTGCCCGTCAACAGGTCCGCAGGCAGAGCGCCGCATCTCGTAAACCTGACTTCACCGAGGGCAGTCTGTGAAATTAGATTCTTCTTCCTGTCGTCTTTCTAAAACCACCTTAAGTGCTAGGGTCAGATTGTACTTGTTCTGTGCCCAGCAATCTAAAGTCTTCTTCTATACGAGGAAATTAGAAGGAAAACGAGTTGCTTGATTCAAAAGGTTACCAAAATCAACCAAACTATTACGATCTCGGTCGGCAGTGGAGCCTCGGAGTTGTCGCGCTCTTGCGCAAGGTCGTTGAGAAGGTGCCGCGGCCCACCTTCGCTCTCGTATCATGTCAAACAAAGCTACTGACGCATCGCATTTGTAATGCTTAACGGCTGACCGCGCAACTGCAATCCAGGACTAGTGAGGATCCACGCAACGCGGGAGCGCCCCTAGCGGAACTGCACCAATCACTTTTTAGTAATTATCCACGCCGCGCGGAAAAAACTGAAACAAAAGCGTTTCTGATGCGTAGCTAGTGGGCCCGTAGCGCGCTGCTCGAACTCAGCAGCACCGCTTTATTTCTTGCGCATGAGCATGCACTTCAAATGCTTTTGCATCCTTTCTTAAATACAAATGCGTGCGAGTAATTTTTTGTATGATACCTCGCCCGAGAGAACGAGCGTCCCCTCGCGCACCTCCGGACGCGAGATCACCGTACTCAACAGCATAATGGAGGTCGATGTGATGTAAAAGCAACTTCCATATTACACGATAGACATGAGCAACTTTTCAAAAAAATCACATGGCTAAGTGCAACCCAGAGCGCAAATATCAAACACCTTCACCTTCACAGGTCAAAACTGGCCTACTTTGATAAAACAATAAACGCAGCTTTTATTTCCACTCTCGCCAATTCCGCTCCAATTTGTAAGAAGTCGTTCAAAGAACAATGAATTACCCGAAGCCCCCTATGCAAGTGGCATGTTTAACGGTTGTCAGGTTCCTGCTTTCGCTATATCCATCGGATGACCGACGACCACAGGCAATGTGCAAAACGGGGAGTGAAAACATGTCAATCCTTTGAGGCCGCCAAAATTTGCCGCTTGAAAAATTCAAGAATTTTCGGCCATACGCCTGAACTCTCATTGACGTCTGCGGTGTTCAGGGTAAAAATCATTATCCTGTCCTCGCTGACCAGCTGGAGTTCGTGCAATCCAAGAATCTCGCGGCAATCCCGGTCGCTGAAATGCGGTGCAATCAAATTCGAAGGGAAACTACAGGCACTTCCTGTATGCAATGGATTCCTTGGCTCGAGTATACTACATGTAAATCGAACACGCTAGTATCACAGAATGAATAAAGCAATAGAGAATCAATTACATATTCATACTATACCTGAGGTCTTCGAGCTCTTTGACGTTGTCTTTTTCGTTTAGTAAGATGGCAAACGCGGCGCTTCGAAGTTCGGGCTCGTGTACCATAAAAGCGATCAGCTTCTTCAGCTCTTCGCAGGTCTCCAGGGCCTCTGCCGACTGGTCTAGCAGCACCATCTTATCCAGACACAAAAGCACCGCATCAATTTGAAGAAACCGGTAAAAAATCGGCCACAGAGTTCGTGCGGCTTTCTTCCCTGGAAGGTCCCATATCCCATAGGTCATCCCTTTGCCCCGAAACTCCTCGTAGTGGCACCCGGCACTGATGGAAAAGATTATTTTTATCTCATCACATTCCACAGGCTAGCACCACTTCCCTCGATCGGTTGGAACAGTGCTTACATTTGGCGTTGTGAAGATTGATTCTCGAATCATTTCTTTGAGTACGACCCTCGTGGTTCAAGTAGAGAAACACTTACGCCGTAGTCATTAGCTCGTAGGACTGCAACAGTTTAGCACTGAAAAAAGGATTCTAGTACCCTGAATCTTCCTTGTCTTTGATACTTTTCATGTCGCGAATGATCTCCTGCTTTTTCCAGTTGTCTCCAAGTTTCAATTTGTAGAGCAGAGTGGTTTTCCCCGCATTGTGAGGGCCCAACATAAGAAACTGGTACGTTTCTCTGGTACCGAAGCATGATAAAGCCATGGTGATAAACAACCTTGCCGGAACGCGATTACTGATTTTATGGTACTGAAAAGAAATAACGACTGTTTGCAGAGCTAGTACAACTTCCAACGACGTCGACGAATATTTTTATTTTCTTAATAGAACGAAGTAGAACTACATGATGCATTTACCTACTTAGACCCTGTTCTCTTGCGCGATGAATCAGGATGCCAATGAGATACTAAGGTGATGCTCAATTTATAATTTACATTCTCGGAGGGAATACCGACAAATGTTCTGAATGAGAGAACGAGAACGAAAGATCTGCACGACTTATATATTCCTCATTGTGAAGAAAAGTCCGTAGCTGCGAGGAGCGCGAGTCCTCTTGTAGACCGACATTTAGACTCGTTGCAGTTGCTACTTCGTTTCCGAAGTAATTCGCGTTATAGTACTTAGAGGACAGGATTCATGCATGATGGTCCGGGAGATTGCTCGTCCTCGTGCTCGTGATCCTTACCGAAATTAGACTTGACTATCTACCAGACATCGGGGGGACACACATCTCAAGAAGCATTCGCATCAGGGCTGCTGGTGCTTCCTCATATGGTGCCATATGGCATTTGTAACTTAGAATTTCTCATAGATGCTTACCGTGTTTGGAATCAATAGCGGTGCTGCGCTGACGATCGCCATTCGCCAGACTGTAGGCGCAGATTTCGTCTTTCTCTGCCGGGCGAACAAGTTAGTTTCCAACCTGCATCTCCTTCCGAAAGAAACGATTATGATGAAAAACGAAAAATGAAACTGTGATAGCATAATTTTGACTTCTATTGTTCCACGACCATCAAGTCGACCAAAGTTTCCAGCACAAGCAATTGCCCCGTGCCGGCAGCGTCAGGTAGTGATTAATGTCGGCGCCGTTCTTGCGTCAGCACGCGGTGCGCCGCAGACGCTAGGAATATTCGTAGCGTTACTCAGTTGCAGGTAGCGGCAGGTGGCATCCCACCCAGATACCTCAACCTTCCGATCTAACGGACCATCCTCTTGCGAGGCCCAGACCATCGGAAAGTGTGGCACTGGTAAATCATGACCCGAATGTGCAGCAGATAGCCCGCTCTTCCGCTGCGCCTCATTTGCGAGGTAACTGCCTGCTACGGTCGCAACGACGTCCCTATCTTTATCCTGCTCCTGGTCCGTCTGGGCATGAGCTTGTTCGCGCCTTGTCGCCCCGGGGAGCAGCAGGGGGGCAGTGGTATTTACCCAGCTGGTGGCGTACACGGAGTGATTCCCGTGGAGAGGAATTTCCGCACTCACAGGGCTAGGAAAGAACCAACCGTTATCCAGAGGGAGCGGGCGACTTTCCTCGGGCCCCGGGCTCAGAAATCGCCAGGAGGTTCCGTCCCACACCTCTACCCAGTTATGATTGCCGCACGCGGGACTCTGGTCTCCCTCCGGGCAAACCTTGCGATCCTTGTTCCAGTGTGGAACGCCCGCAGCGCGCGCCGGGATGCCCACGGTGCGGAGGCAGGCCACAAAGAAAATAGCCATGCCCGTGCAGCTGCTGCCGACAACGCCGTTCGTGTAGGTGCCATTGAGAAAATCCGCGACGGAGTAGTTGTTGATGGCATCTGGCCCCGCCGGGAGGAATTCCGCCGGTTTTTGCGTTGGCGAGAGCAGGGACCAGACGGCTTGGTCGAGTTGGGAAATCAACTCTCGGGGCGTTTCTGCCCTTTGCAGAAACGGTTCCAGCCGTTCGTAGAACCACGCACGCCAGGGGGTGCGGGGCTCAGTGAAGACAGCATACGGTGCCACGTCGTTCAGAAACAGGAACGGCAGAGCGTGATCCGGATCGTCGCGTCGTGCTGTTGTCGACGCACGACCAGCTGCGACCATCGTTGCGGTAGAAAAAGTTCTTGCCGCAGTCAAAATGTTGGCCACCTTCGTCTTACTACTTCGTCGTGGTACCAAATCGTAGAATTGGCGACCCCATTTTTTCACCACGGCATCGTGCGCCCGAAGTGCAAGAGCCGCGTTGGTTGTCTTGTACTCTGCGGAGAGCGAATCGTCTCGCTTGGGCGCGTGGGTCTGGAGAAAATCGAGCACCTCTCCGATCCGCCGCGCGGAGCCTGAGCCTGCTATGCCTTTGCTGCCTCGCGTTACGGCTGCACGCGCATCCTCGCGGGTACTGTCAGCTGCTGAAACGGCGCACACGTAACTCTCACGAAATAGTAGATTGGAAATCAACCAAGAGAGTCGTCCAGCGCGGCCCACGCTGGACGACTCTCTCGGTTGATAGCGCGAGAAGGAGCGCGACAGAATAAATACTGCGACAGACATCTTCGCCGGCAACTAGCACAAAAAAACTAAATTATACTTTCTTATGTCATTCGAGCATGGAAATAATTCTGACCTGGCACCGTGATCGAAAGTCTTCGACGTAGGTGGTGACTCCCTTTGCTGCTGTTGCTTGCTCTCTCTCAGAAAAACTCTCGAGTGACAGTGACCCAGAGGAAGCTACTTTTGATACGATCGCGCTGCCCTCGACTTGTTACCGCCAGACGCACTCGGCACACTCCGTCTTTCCCAGAACGTAAGGAATCTCATGATCAACTTTGCAAACGTTCACGAACAAGGCTGGCAGAAGAACGGAGCGAGCCTAGTCAAGGAACACATGGCTGATATTTTTGCGAGATCATATTAATTTTTCTCCTTGGCGTGCTTGTTGTAGATCAGCATACAGATACAGACTCAGTTCGTCTTCGTCGATAAAAATTCACACATACATTGTCTTTAGGACCCGTAGGGAAGTGTATCCATTGTAGGGAGATCAAGTGCAACGAAATCCAGGAATTTCACTTCAAAACTTCTCGTTTGTGTTCCAGGTGGCGTGGCGAATAGAAATACTCCAGTCAAAAAGTTGATAATTCCCCCGACTGACGATGGATCCAACACGTGTAAGGATTTATTTGGTCGAGCTCAATAGAAGCGGGGCTGCAGCTGGAACAGAAATTCAAAAAAACGTATGCGGGACACAAGTGAATAGCTGTGGGGCCGCCTCGTGTTCCTTCATAGCGGTGCTGCTTCCTGTTCCCTATCTTTGTTGATACAAAAAGCGCCTTCATTAGCTACCGTCCGGTACTTAGCGGAATCCTTTTCGACGTATATGTTTGAACAAAAAAGAAAAAGTAAGAAATCATACACGACAGAAATCATAATCATACATAAATTCGTACAGCGTGTGGACATTGCTATCAAGCATGGACCACTGCGGCCCCCGAGATTTAGCCTTGAGGGCGACCGTGTCCGGGAAGATCAAGTAGCGAATCATCTGCAGCTGCACTTCTTCACAATACCTTGACGACAACTTTTCCTTTGCTGCGACCACTCACCAATTGTTCCCAGGCTTTCCCCGCGTTCTCGAGTGGGTGCACACTGTCTATGACAACTTTGAGCTTGCGTAGCTCAACGGCATCCAGCAGCTTCTGTTGGTCCACATGGTTTGAAAGCAAAAAATGAAACTTCCAATCTACCCCGAAATCCGCAGCCTTGCGCTCTAGCTTTCGGTCTTTGAGGAACCAAAGCAGCATCCGCATGAGAAAACTCGGCTCCTGTCCGATTTCTCGCAGCGAGTCTGTTGTTGGGCTTGGACCACTCAAAGTGCGAACTTGCCCCCCCGGTTTCACGACTGCTACCAGCTTCGCCGCCTCGCCAGTGCAGTCCAGCGCAAAATCGAACTTGTCGGCGCCGTCGCAAGCGCCAGGTGGTCGGAGCGCGGCGGCGATTTTTGTTTGCATACTGTCGGAATCCAGGGGCGCCTCATTTTTGTAATCGATCACCAGATCCGCGCCGAGATTTTTGCAAAGCTGAATTTTGTCAGCGCCCGATGCGGTCACGCCAACAAATCGGCACCCGATGATTTGCTTCGCAATCTGGATCGCCAGCGTGCCGACGCCACCCGCACCTGCGGTGATCAGGACTGCGTCGCCTTTTTGCACGCCGCCACGCCGAAAAGCCTGCAGCGCGGTCTGCCCCGCAAGCCCCACGGCCGCAGCGTCTTCGAAGGAAATCCTCGTTGCGTCGATCTTTACTGCAGTGTCGTCCTCTACGACGGCGAACTCGGCGACCGTGCCTTCGCTATTATTCACCCGAGCCGCGACCGCGTCTCCGACCTCGAACTTTGTACTCGACCCCTTGTCCACCACCACACCGCTGACGTCGTAGCCGAGTACGGCGGGCCATTTGGTTTCGGGACGGAGGAAGCGCAACCCACCAGACTGGCGGATCTTATCGATGGGATTCAGCGAGGCCGCGTGCACACGGACTAGCGCGCGGCGCGGCCTTTTGTTCAAAGATTCTTTTTCTCCTCGATCTGGATTCGCATCAGCCCCCTCCTGTGTCGGCGCAAATAAACTCGGCGTAGTCACATTTGTCTGCAGAGAGGGATACTCCCCATACTTCGGAAACACGAAGGCGCGCTGAGTGAGAGAAATGCCACTTGTCATTTTGGTGCAGCGTTTTTCTGTGGTGTCAGTGAAATTATACCTTCTGACAATACCCAAAGTGTTTCAGGATAGGTGAATTTCAGTCAAAAAACTATTGAAGACAGTTCCATTTGATGACGAACGGTCGAACAACAAAGAATAAACACCTGACAAGCTCCACTGAGAAAGGGAAGAGCATGCGAAAATTTTTGTACTTGGAAATAGATCACATGGGAATGCATACTGATTCTCCTGATAATTGGGCACTCTCTGCGTCTGCCTGTGCTCTGAGAACAGGCATTACTCCTGTCCGGCTTTCATCTTGGTTGTTGCCCGTCGCGAGGCCGATAAGAGCCCGGCAAAAGAATGGATCCTGTTTTTTCAGATCCCAGACACTAGTCTGCTCAATCGATACAATCGAACATCAAGCGGCAAATTTGTTCAAGCATTTCGATCGGGATGATCTCACTTTATCCATGCTATCAGCCAGGGTTTAGCATTTGCGTTTCAAAACATCCAATTTCAACAACAAGTGGGGCTCTCGTGTAGTGAATTTTATAATATCCACAAAGAGACCGCTTGCTATCGAACAGCAAAATTTAGAAAACCGAACGAACGACTTACCCAACTGATGGGGTTTTTAGCAGACAAGATTTTATTTTTTTAAATACATACTACAGGAACGACACGTCACATAAACATTTTTAGCAGAAAAGATAAAAGTTAAAGTTGTAGTGCATAAAAGGTAAAGAAGGAGAACACCAACACAACAAGAAGCAGACAAGATAAAATTAAAAATACAGAAAAAAATGAAACATGTTCGTGTCCACAGTCATCAAAAGTCGTGCGATCGAGAGAATAACAAGATTTAGTCTATATCAGCGAATTCTATAGGCTGCTATATTCCCTTGAAAACAGACGATAGAAGGACATCAAAACAAGTGCATCGCTGTGCACGACGGACCACTTCAGATGTCAAAAAGTTACGTAACTCACGTCCATCGAAATATGTATCCTTCCTTTCAAAAAAACTAGAGAAAAAGGCTTTATCAGTCGGTGCCGAAAAATACATCTTCTTTTGACATCTGTACGCAGAGGACTATCTGAAAGTAAAACTAAAAGTATGTCATGACAAGAACGATGCCACAGCCACACCATATCTTCCTATTATTTTTTTTCTATTTTTTGCAAAATAAGTATCAACATGCAAAGTGAATTTTGTTCACTATCTCAATCTCATTGCCTCCAGATATATAATTTGTTCAGCTTCATTCAGAAAGGAAAAACGGGAGCAAAGTGGTATGTTCATGCGAAGCACCTTGTGCAATCAAGCGTTCGGAGATCGACATCAATAATATGCTTGTCTACTGTTACTTCGCAGCTTTATTTTCGTTTGTTTTTAGTCTGCAATCTGTAGCAAAAAGAAAAACATTTATATACGTATACAGTAGCCCTCGTCTCTCTTCGCGTTCCTAGATAGAAATCTAAAGCCCTAGTTTGATGATATCGATAACAAGAGGGGCGAGCTGGCAAAAGACACACGGATCCGACGATCATATCTACATCGCGCTGCAAAAATATGGCTTTCTTCATTTATGTGGCACAACGCGTAAGGCTGCTGGTCAGCCATTTAGCCCCCCATACGCATTGGGCACTATTTACTTGTATTCGAATTGCGCTGGTGGCCGGAGATGTACGTAGACATCGAACGCCTCAGGCTCAGCCTTTTATAGCACAAATACGATTACGGATCATGCGCATGTGAAGCTCAACAGACGGCACGCGTACGCTCATCCTGCATCATAGCGAGGCGGGCAGGGCACGCTCTATCAACAACTCCACGTGCCGATCACCTTCTTGCAGCGGTAGCACACGCTCCGCTAACTATTGCGCAACACCAGATGGGGGTCGAAGTTCGGGGCGAGGGACGGGCCGCGATCTTCCGTGTTCGCTTCCGACGAGGACAGAGCGCGCCTGTGCATTTCTTCGCGCCGCGCATGCGTGTTCAAGAGTCTCGCAAAGGGCTGCGCAATCGGTTCCACTTCACTGCCATCGTCTTCCGAGTCAAGGTCCAGCGGTGCCTCTCCGTCCCACAGGGAGCGGCCCGAGTCGCTCATCTCTTCATCTGTGCGGAGGTCCCTGTCTTGCACGCTCAGCCCTCTGAGATCGTCGCACAAGAAGTCAACAACTCCTGGGATCGGCGCACTTTCATCCTCGGACCCTTGTTCATCTACTCTTCTCGTGTTGCCAGTCGCGTCGTGCCAGCACGGAGTCGCGTCCGCACGACCCGCGCTGCGCTCGCGGTCTTCGACTCGCCGTACAGCCAGCCCTTCGTCGTCTTTGTCCTCGTGTCTGAAGGTCATCACTTCCAGCTCTTTCTCCTTCTGCTCCGCGGACGACTCAGCGCCCAACTCCTCCTGGCTGCACATTTTCATCATCTCCTGAATGCTAATTCGTAGATTGGCCTCGGTGTCCTCGGTGGCCTCAGGGGGTCGCATGCAGAGCATTGAGCACTTTCTCTTGGCCCCGTCAACGACATTGCGCTCCCAACCGCAGAGCTCCCCGAGAAGGTCCGCCACCTCGATGGTTTGCTGGTTTTCACAGATCATTACATACAACGATCCCGGTAGGTTCCCTATGTGGTCGCAGACCCGCACGAACCACTCCACTTGCGCCGGGAGGGTGCGGGCGTGCTCCACTACATCTACGATCACCACCTCCCGTCCGCATCTACCCTCCAGCTCCAGCACAGGGGGCATCAAGGATCTTGCCCCCGTTGAAAAGGCATTCGGGTTCCCAGTGCAGCGCGGTTTTCGTGGGTCCCTCGACAGAGCGGCTCTGGATTGTGGTGCCCGACTTGATGTTGATGTTGTCCCCGGCCCCGGATCCGCGCTAGCGGACGATGCTGTCGCTGAAGCCGGTGACGAACCCGCCCCTTGCTTTCCGGCTGGGGCTGACTGGCCGTGTCGCTTTCTATTGTTCTCTCGGTCCTCACGCGCCTGGATGATGGCCTTTCTCTCTTGCTCCTTCAGGGCAAGTGCGGGCAACAGCCCGTCCTCGAAGACCCGCGTGGTGATTCCCCGCCTGGCATCAAATCCCGCCTCGCGCATCTGTGGCACCAGTTCCGAAGACCGATATCCGCCGAAAACGTGGACCATGCGACCCGCCAGCTCCGGCTGCAAAACGCGGAAAATGGTGCCGCCGAAGGCGTAGGGGGGTTTCTTGGAATCGATACCGGAGCGCACGAGGTCGGTGTCGTTTTCGGGTCGGCGAGGGAAGCGAGTGTTCTCCTCGATGCTCTCAAACTCCGGCACGAACAAGTGGACTTGGTGTCGCCCCCGCCCTTTCCTCGGCAGCCTGTTCCGGAAGAGGACCGTCTTGCGTCGCTCCTGTTGCAAATCTACCACAGCGCTTTCTAGCTGGTTCCACTCCGCCGTCTCCGGGCCCGCGCAGCTCTTGTCCTGAGTCTGATGGAGAGACAAGAGTGCTGCGATCGCTCCCTGCAAGGCTTTGCGCTGCTTGTGTTCCCAGTGCAGCATCAAGAGACACTGCTTCCATGTGCCCACGTGCATCGTGACCATCCCACTCACATCATCTATCTCATTTATCTTTCTCGAATTGCTGCCGTTCGTGGAGATTCTTGATATCTCGTCGGACTGAGTCGTGAAGAACGTGTTGCAACTCAGTGTTCTGGTGTCCTCGTCATGATCATCCCGCAACAAAGCCCCTTCCTCCTGCACGCAAACTTCCCCGTCAGAACAAACGTGCTCTCTGCAGAGGTCTCGACGCGTGTCCCGAGGCCTCGCGTGTGGTCTTGCTTCGGAGTCTGGCTCTGGCGGCGGGTCAAAAAGTCTGCTTTCTGCAACATTTTCTGAAATTTACTACGGCCTTCTTGTTCCGCTTCCGTAGCGTGGCCAGGTGCCGAACCATCCTGCGCCGATGTAGTCACTGGCGCCTTGCCTCTGCAGGTGAATGGAGCAAGATTCGCATGGGCGAAACGCACGAGGTCGCGCCGATCGCGCCGTGAAAGCCGCTGCATCATCTGCAAAATTCGGACCTCCCTTTCGTAGAGGCACTCTACTTCCGGAGGTGGTTTCGTAGAAACTGGCTTCTTGCTGCCTTGCGGGCTTGTGTGCTTCCGATCCAGGGACGACGTCCAGATAGCTTGCGACGGGGCCGAGTTCGCGTGGACCATGACGTGCCCAAGGTAGCCCAGCAACTCCTCTGGCCCGACAATGCTGGCCGCGAGTTCCTCTACGAGAGCGCTTTCATTTATCAAATGTAAAAATGTCTGGGTCTGGAAGAATGCGCGATTTGTCATGCAGCTTTTCCATGACCCATGAGGTCTGGAATGCAGGACCTAGCATGACAGATTCATCTGTGCGACATCTCTCATGCCTCTCCTGCATGAGAAACTCCCTCGCGACTTGGCCAAAACTGGACGACTTTTGGCAATCATGCAACACAGATTTTTGCATGCTTCAGATTTAGCATGACAAGTTGCATTCTTCCAGACCCAGACATTTTTACATTTGATATCATTCGCAAGAGAACAATTCCCGCCGCTTGTGAAGTTTCCTGTGATCGTGGTGAGCAATAAACTTGGAAACTTGTTTCATGAGGCTACGATCCTCAAACGTTTATGGGGTTTTACCAATTGCGAATTCCAGTAGTGCGCGTATCATATTGGGTTCACAAACAAGCCTGACATCGTTCCATTCAAAGAGAATAAAATCCGCATCGGTCTTCTTTTCATCTGTATTGTTTATTCTCATCGTGGTTGCATTCACATTTTTAGCATGCTACGCTAGAAGCTATTTGGTAAGTGCGATGCTACTACGAGAAGGCACAATGTTGCACGATAAATCCGAACTAAATGTTTACACGAATACCGATGGCATGGTTGCATTTTTGCACTCAAACAGCACTCGGGTGTACGTCAATACCGATGACACCGCTCTTGCTGTTGGGCATCACGATCCCGCAGTCCCGGTTTTCTTCCTCGTCGTCTCCCATGCTATGGTCACTTTCTGAACTAGACTGATCGCCTTGCTGATTTGGAACGAAATCTTCGAGAGGGGTTGAGTCGTGTCCTTCTTGGCGGCCGCTACGAAAGCAGAGAGGCCCCGCTTTTCTACCGAGACCGGAAGCGGATGCGTCAGAAGTAGTATTTGTATTTCCGCCATTAGTACTGCGAAAGCAAAAAGGCACTTTGTATTCTGGCCAAAAACGTTCCCACCCTATAGCTGTCATGCTAAACAGAAGTGCAGCACACTTTGCCTCCCCCCGTGCCAACGGCCGCAGATAGCTGTCACGCAGGGCAGGTAGCTGTCATGCAGATTTGCATCCATGGGAACATTCGTAAAAATGGGCACCTCCAGCATGAGAGGTATCTCTAGTCGTGTTTTGGCATTTGTAGTGCTTAAACCGAACGAAACCTCCACAAACCAACGCGCCTTGCAGGTTCCCCTTCCGTGTAGCATTTGTATGTAATGCTGTCAGTGCGTGACTCCCATCAAAACTTCTGGATTTGTGTTGCAAAGTTTCGATCTTGACTCTGGGGTGGGCACGTTTTTAGTACACGGGATACTTTCCCCGGCAGCTTCATGTTGGAGAGCGCCTTCGGCATCAAACTCGACATGCCGGCGCCACGAAACTTCCTGCTGCCTTTCGGCGTCTCGTCTTGCCCGGGGGAAGACGACTGCGAGGATGAGCGATTCAAGTGCCCTATCACAGCACTTCCAGAGGACGAGGCGGCGGAAGTACTTGTTGCCGGGACGATTGGAAAAGGCTGAGAACCAATGTCACTGGCTACAACGCCTGCACCTGCTGCGCTGCCGACCCCGCTGGTTTTCTTGGCATTTTTTTTGCGCAGCAACGGCATTTGGTGCCCCCATTTTCTCTGAAGGGTTTCTGTGCTGTCCTTCTCCGAGTCCGTGTCTTCGTCGGCAACCGGTGCCTTTCCAAGGGGAGTGGGTTCCTGGTCCAGGTCACCTACAGTCTCCCTATCGTTTCGGGACAAAGCTAATTCTGCCAGCTCCGCCTTCTCAGACTCTTCTTCCGCAACCAAAAGAGCCATCAGACGTTCGCGAAATTCCATTCCGGAAGCACACAGCTTCCCCTGGTTCACGCTGGGGCCCAAGATCTTGTTACCCGACTATGAAAGGAGAAAACCCGACGCCCAGCTACCCTTCATTTCAAAGCAATCGCAAGCAGCACAGACAAACTTCCTTCACCAAGTAGCTCCACACGCATGACGATATAGTGCCGCGATTGTACGTAATCCTCTCTCGCAGGTAATGACATAAATCACAACTTCTAACCGAATACAAATTAATAAAGAACGAGGAATTGGATCAGGATTTTTAGAGATTTTGCATGGTAAATGCGGGTAAGAGGGAATAGGTACAGCTGTCCTTTATCATACATACCGATCGTAGAACATGACAGCTGGCAGAAAGAAAGTGGGTCCGAGCACCATCTTCGCGAGCGCGGAGCTACGATCCACATCTACCTCCGCAAAAACCACTCGCCGACGACGATAAGCGAGGCTCGCGGCATAATAGAATTCGTGAAACATGGCATCAACATGAAACGTGCTGCCACCCCAAAAGTTTCAAATGTTTGCGTTGCAACGTTTCCAAATAAAGAGGACTATTTGTGTTGCTAATCCGCCCGCAACCTCGGACGCAACCTATTGGAAACCTTTCCGCAGATGGTCAGGCCGCCAGGCCGCAACACTATTTTCCTTGCATGCTTGGGCGACGTCTGTCCCTGCTTTAGATTCTAAGTGCGCACAGCGGCTCGCTCTTCACAACTTTCGCCTGTACTGGGCCTTTATTTTGTGTTGACACAAATCTTTGCTCTCCTGGTGTGCAAAGTTGTGACGCTGGTACATGCAAGGTGGGAAATGTTTTCAGTTTCACTGGGAAGTCTTGCAACACAAACACTTCCATACCTTGGGCTCGCGCTCGCTTTTCAATTTGATACATGGCGCACGCCTGACACAAAGTGTTGCAAAACAGCACCGCCTTGATTATTGGCGGTCCCGCTTCCGAAGTCATACTTCCATTGAAAGGAGTCGTTGGTGGAGCCAGCGCACAGAGTGGCTCCTTCGGTGGTGGAGCCGGATTGTCGTCGTAATGGATATTGTCAACATCTCCAGTGTGGCGGTTCTTGTAACCCGAATTGCTGTTCGCCGCGCATTGCCCTCGGGTAGATGAGCACGCAGCGCTGCTGGAAAGAGCGCCGAGGAAATTTCGGAGGTCTGTCTTGCTACTAATGGCGCAATTTGCATCCTGTGATCGGTCCAGCGCAGCGTCGGAATCTTGGACCTGGTCGCCGCGCTTGTCGAGCACAACGCCGGGGAGCTGGTGCGCGTCAAACCCGCCATGTGCAGTCGTCGGGGATTCCTCTACGTGGTCTATCGGAAGAGCAACTTGTGGGGAGCTAGCGTTCAAAGCGTGGCGCGGTGAAGACGTATTTCCCTCCGGCTGCGGCCCCTGGGTGGGCACACTCGACGAGGACGGGGACCTCAAAGCTGACATGGATCCTCCTTTCGCGGCGGCAGCGGCGTCACCATAACACCGTCGGCCAAAAATGATGAGGCCCTCTAACTGACGAAGCGAACTGATTTCAATAATGCCGCCTTCATCGTTCAATTTTATTTCTGGCACGCCCTTAATTTTTTTTTTCGAAGGGGAAGATGTAGTAGCGTCCGGATCGTATCTCTTCACAACGCAGAACCCTCTCGCTGCTTTCTTTGCGCCCGGCATGAAGTTTTGCTCTGCAAAGAAGTCCAAACTCTCCTCCATCTCCGTCACCTTAGTCGCGAACTCCGCTTCACGGTGATCGCTCCTGATTTGGTTTATTTCTAGCTGTAATTGCGCGTCGATAGCGGCGGCGTGGTCCCGCAAGTTTTTTTCGGTTTTGTTGACCGTGTAGGGGAAGTAGACCACACTGCTCAGATTCTCCTCTTTTCGCTGCGGGCGAGCCTGGCATGCGGCTGGATGCCAGCAGCAAAAAACCGGGCTGCCGTCTCTTAGTTTCCCCGCAAACACGAGTGCGCGTCCTCGTTCTTCGGAGGGCCGCGAGATGCTAAAAATGGCACGGCGGGTTGCTTTGCAGTTCAGCACCTCGCCCAGTATATCGGACAAATGCAACCTTGGTGATGCTGCAAGTGGGTCTTCTCTTGCAGCCTCCTCTGCAGCGACCGCGCTAGCACTTCCACTTGATGATGCTGCTGCACTAGCCGCAGTGCGGCGCCCAGCTGCTTCCTCGTCAAGCGCACGCATCTCGCGGGGGTCCATCTGCAGCTTGACCTTCTTTTGTTCGTCAGCGCTTCCTGTCCGTTCTTGCGCTTCTGCCCGCGTCGAGGCAACCAGTTTCTTCGCCACGCGGTTGCAGTACAAAATCTTCCCAAACTCATCCGGAAGACGAACAGACGAAGTGATCCTTCTCTGATCCTTTTCTCCTCCCAGTCCTTCCGCTCCCGTAGTACTGTGGGAGGACAATCCAGTGTGCCCCGTCCGCGTGCCGTTGTTCGTGGCACCTGCTGCGTCACCCAGATCATTGTGGTCGAGTTCGACATCGTGATCGTAGAGCTGCCCCTCCAGCTCGTTTTCCTGTCGCAGGTCGACCAGAAAGCACGCATTGCACAACATGTCGAGATCTTCGTCGCGGGCCGTGCCGCGTCCGAGCGACGCAGCAACGATATCCGCGAAATTACACAACAACAACGCCGCTTCGTAGGTGATGTCGACGCGCGGGACGTAGTCGATCACGCAGAGTGCCCCGAGTCGGACCCCCTCCACGATGATAGGGCAGCCGCAGTAGAAGCGGATCTCCGGATCTGAAAGCACTAGCGGGTTATATTTGAAACGTTCATCCAGTCGCGCGTCGGGGACATACAGAATTTCAGGGACGTCGCTGAGCAGCGTGTGTGCGCAGAAAGACTTCTGCCGCGTTGTGCCGATTAAAGGAAGCCCGATGCTCGACTTGAACCACTGGTGCTTGCGGTCGACGATGGAAGTCAAAACGATGGGCACCCGAAACAATCCCTTGACCACTCTTGTAACTTCGTCAATCTCCAAGTCCGGCACGTCATCAAGGAGGAGACTGTAGAGGTACCGCATCCGTCCCTGCTCATTGCCCGGCAGCCCTACGCCATAGATTCGAGTACCGGCAGCATCGAAGCAGGATTGTTGCTCCTCCTCATCGTTTGCGTCCTCTAGCGCGTGTTCCTCAGTCTTTGTCGTGTTTTGCGTCGTATGCGGAGGTGCCAGAAAGCGGGTTCCTGTATTAAAGATCGATCAGATATTGCGTGTAACTCATCTTAATAGGAAACCAATTTTTCGCAGAATGCGGCTCACCGATAAAGCGCGCGCGCCTACCGGGTCGGGCTTTTTTTCATCTATAAATATTTCGCTAAATTTCTCCTTATCTGTACTGGAAGTGGTCTCCCCATCTCGCTTGTCACTGCCAACGTTCACCGCACTTGCTGTCCCTGAGCGCTTCGCGGACTCAGGCCCGGCCCCCGACCCCGAGGAGCCTGGTGCACTAGTAGTGCCGACCGAAGCCGAAGGGCTTTCCAAAGGTGTGTCCGCTTCTGAGGGCTGCGATGTCACCAAGAACTTCTTCTGCGTCTTCAGCCCCGCCAGCTGCACAACTTGCTGTGCCAGCAGAAAAAGCAACGCTAGACCTGTAAAGTTACAGCATTAGCATAAAAGTAAAACGCATGCACATCTTACATGGTCTGGCAAGGTTAACACTAAAAAATAAAAATGCATATGGCGCAATCCTGTCATGATTTGGTTCGTGTTTTGGAAATTTTTGGAAGCAATGCGAGGGAAAGCATTTGAGGGATCAGGAGATAACAAGTGAAAATCTAAAGCGGAAAGAAGACCTGTAGTCGCGTTCGAAACTGAAGCAGCTGGAGGCCTACTTCTGCTCCTCCGTCGCTGCGGACATGAGTTGAGCACCCCACGGAGCACGTCAACTCTTTTTGTGCAGCTCCATCCTCTCCAGCTTTCCGTACTTTTTCGCCTCTCTGCCATTTTGTTTGATTTTTTCTTACCTGTAGTGCACCGCGGGAGAGGATGTCCTAAATGGAGGAGACAGCCGAAGCCTGTTCTAGGCGATGTCGTCGAAAGGTCGGTCGTGAACGCCAGCCTAGCTTTTGCCAGTACAAAGCTGGGAGCAAGATGCTGTTGCCTCTAGTCTTGTGCGCACTAGAGGTGATGGATGCCGCCCTCACCGCGAATTTATGAGTGGGCGCAACGGTGTAAGTAGGTAGTTTCAAATATGAGATTGATATAAATATTCATTTCAAAAATATTCATAGTGCAAAAAAAAAAAATTTTTGACCGAAAATTGCACTGCATTAGCTGATGTACCTTTTGCATGATCAAATTGGTGCATTTTGTGTATGTATTTCAATTAGAATAGCCAGGAACGTACTTAGATTGAGCTACTTTATCTCTATGCTAAAGTATTGGGCTTCTGTATCTTCTTCCAGCTAGTTAATTAAGAAATACTATCAAAGAACCTTGAAAAAAGATCATCGACTGAGAGAGAGATCGAAGAACTGTCGAAGATCCTTTAGATATAGTAGCAGCTGCAGCAGCTGCTGTCCTCCGGTAGCCGGCCTTCCGCAAACGACCGTCGAGCCTGGAGAGCTCCTACTCCGTCGCGATGTAGGCGTGCGGATTCGCCCGAATCCGCACGCCTACATCGCGACGGAGTAGGAGCTCTCCAGGCTCGACGGTCGTTTCCGGTAGATCGGCAGTGGAGCGGCAGCAGCAGCTGCAGCTACTTACTATTACAAAAGGATCTTCGAATGTCTTCGTTCACTCACTCAGTCGATGATCTTTTTGGCATGTATTTCTTTAGTATTTTTTAAGTAGCTAGCTGGAAGAAGATACCAAAGCCCAATACTATAGCATAGGTCTTAAGTAGTATAATCTTAGTACGTTCCTGGCTATCTAGTTTGAATTACATGTATAGAATGCACCAACTTGTTCATGCAGAAACCACCTCGCCTCCTATAGGGCAATTTTCGGTCAAAAATTTTTTTTTTTTGCACTATGAATATTTTTGAAATGAATATTTTATCAATCTCATATCAAACTGGGTCTCGGTCTCTTTCTCCTGTACCGCCCGGTCCTGAGGTTCTATGACGTGGCTAACTCCGCGAGTAGTGTAGTTGTGGAAGTCGCAATTTTGAATTTTTTTCGAGTAGGTTGGGGCTGCATCGACGGAACGTGACGCTCCGTTAACTGTATCAGGTACCGGAGAAAAAGAACAGGACGCTATCGGCAAAGATAAATATGGCAAGAAATCGCGATCAGCAATGGCCACGCGGTTGTAGTAGATGCCGTATCAGACATCAAAGCCCATCAGAGAAACTGTTGCTGTTGGACGCGGCTAGGCTTACATGAACAAACGCCGTTCTAGTTTGGTTATTTCTCAGATACTCAAAAAAGAAAATCCAACGAACTCTGAACGCTAGCTGTAGCTTGAAAAGCCTTTAAAAAAAAACACCAGTGTCCACTGGAAAGTCGACCTTTTGGCAGAACTTCATTCGGAAGATCAAAGGTAATTGATCCCGGGCATACATGATCATTTCAGTTTCACGCCCAAGATAGCAATTACCTATCGGTGGAATTGCGTTGTGATCTGGTGCAGACCTCCTACCAATAACACCAAAATTCTCATATCCATCTTCGTCTTGGTTTTCCAGCTCCAGTTCTAGAGTGGATTATAGCTTGTTATATATAATACGGCGCAGAAAATGAAAAATAACTTTTCTTCATTGTGGAAGTTTATATTTGTATTTCATGCTACTTCACCTGGTGTTCCTTATCTTCATTTCCTTTCGCTTTCAACGCAAGTAGTATTCTTTCTGAATTGGAAACCTCTTCTAGAAGCCAGTCTTGCTGTTCTCGAGCTCTAGTGTGCGGTGATTCATTTTAGAAGTCAATAGGAAAATTCGCATGGCGTCTTCCATCTGGTCGGAGATTTTCTTTTGCTTTGCTTCGAGCTCGATTCTTTTCGCGGCCTCGGCGCCCCGTACACCGTCATCGAACAGCAGTTCCGCAAACTGCCCCATTCGCGTCGGCGGGCTTAACGCGACATCATCATATCCCGGTAACAAGTTCACCGAAGGAGATGCGGGAGAGCAGCCTTGTTCCTGCATGTCATTCTTGATGTAGTCCTGCTCTGACCTTGCTGTCTCAACACAACTACCCGTCCTCCCGTGTTCGACCTGCGAATTTGTCTGTCCAGCCACTGCCCCGCGAGAGCTAGGATCTTCGACGCCATCTTGTTCGTGTCTGTCCACCTCTCCATGTGAAAGTAGTTCCAGTTCTACCTCTAGTACGTGTTGATCTTGATGATCATGTGCATGTTCAAAAACACCAACGCCAACGGACTGCTCTTGCAGGTTCCCACCAGCATGAAGATCTTCTTCAAACGTGCTCTCTACTTGGTCGATCGAAGACAGTGGCCCCTGCACGGACACAGCCACCGAGCAAGTGTCTGTTTCCGTCCGCACGGACTTCTCATCAAAGGTCTTTGGCAAACGCAGGCGAAGCAGCTCCTCGTACTTCAGCGGCAAAAACGCCTTTCCATTGAGATCGTAGGACAATTTCGTCTGCTTGTGGCTTTGCGCATGGATGTCGGTCGACCGCTCATGACTGCCGTATCAAAAGGAGAAATCCCGGCCCCTTCTTGCAAGACAGACCCGATCTGTGGCCACAAATCTGCATCACAAATTTTCAGAAGGATGCGTTTTCAATATGGGGAGGGGGGATTTTTCCTTTGAATATGGCGGTCTCGTTGATTCGGGGCTGAATGCCAATCTCGCGGAGCGCCTCTCGCAGAGAGGCGGTGCTGGTGGACGAGGTGCTGCTAAACAAAACACCAGGCACTTCCTTTTCCTGCTTGTGCGGACCGGCCAACGGTGAACCGCGAACAAGAACCGATGCAATGTTCTTCGAAACCGATAATTCTGCCGAGCTGTTGTACTGTGCGAAGCCGCTTTTTTCCGGTGGTGTTGTAACTGCCGCAATGCCAGGACTCCCACCACGTCTCTGCTGGCTGCGTAGATTGATCTCCCTGCGTAAGGAATCGCGGCCGGTGGCGTTCACGATCTTTTGCAAGTTGTGGTTCAAGTGGTGCACTTGATTCTCCTTTTGCATCAAGCGCCCACGTAGGTACTCGATTTCTTCGTCGTACGCCGGGTCCGGCATTTGCTCCTGCAAAATCCGGTTCTCTGCCTGCAAACGCTCCAGGCGCAATCGCTCCGCTCCACGCTGCAACAGCCCTATACGCTTTCGGTGCTCGATTCCATAACTCAAGTCTGCCGCGGCCTCTGGGAGGGCAGCGTATCAATGCTAAAATGTCTGGGTCTGAAAGATTCTGAGACATGTGAAGCTAATCTGGCATGACTCTGAACTCTGTATTGTGTGGCCGCCGAGAGCTCCTCCTCCCTGTCATGTTGGAAGGCTAAGGGCAGGGCGTCCCATTCGTTTATAAACTTAAAACGGTAGCCACCTACCCAGCAAACTCTGAGTGGAATAAGCACGGGCAAAGCGATCTCTACCGAGAGACAGCCACAAGAGCTCCTGGGACGGCTGCGGGATGAGCTTTGTAGCCATCTGAGTAGGGATAACTTTGCCGGCAGACCCACCAGCGCTGAGGGATAAAAGAAAAGTAAAAAAGCGGTAAAGTCATCTACTATGGCACAGTCCGAAGTACGAAAAAACCCATCTTAAAAAAGTGAGGCAAGATGTAATGTAGTTGCTTTCATGGCGAGCAGCCGCAAACAAGGCGAACTGTCATGCAAAAACGCACATTCTCATGCGGAATACGCAACTCAGAACCATGAAAAAAACTTGTCATGCTTGGCGGCGCATTACAGTGAGCTCACTATTCCCTTCCTTGCATCACAAGTTTCCAGAGGACCCAGACATATTTGCAATTGATACAGCGAGCTTGGGAACAAGTGTGGCTCGGTTTCGCCGTCGAGTAGCGGTCTGCGGGCGTTTTGAAGTTCTCCTTTGTACCTCCACGTGGCCACCACTTTCGTGCGGAACTACATTTTCACGAGTCGACGACTTGACGCCAACAGACGCTGTGAGAGCTGCGCCTGCGCGTTGATGTTCGTGTTCCCGCTCCCGAGGAAATAACAGCTGCTGGCCCTCGGTCTCTACCGCTTCCCGGGCAAGTTCCCGGGCCTCGTCGTACATGGTTTCCAGCTGATTTCTCGTCGCGGGAGCGGTACCTGGCCGGGGAATATTAAAAGCCTTGGTTTTAAAATTTCGCACACGACCCGTCTCGTCCCTTGGCAACCAGCGCTGCCCAGGCGACAAGGACGGGGATGAGGAGTACCGCGCTGTTGGAGGCGAAACGCCACGCTTCTCGAAGGTGTACTGCATCTTCAGAACCGATTTTCGAAGGTTCGCTGCCGTCTTGCCGGCATTCAACAGCTCCCGTTTCTGCCGGTAAATCCGCAGCCGCTCTGCGCGCAACTGGGCCTTTCGGTCGTCGCACACACCCTTCAAAATAGCACACTGCAGGGCTCCGTCCTTCGAGGCTTCCGCAATCTGCAGCGCGCCAGGTAAAAGCTCCCGCGAGGCTGCCGCGGTTGGGTCAGACTTCCCCGCTCCAGCTGCGCGACCTTTGTATCGGGTGATCACGTCCTCCTCGAAGAACGGATCGTAGCGCAACTCGTCCACATCACGCTCCCACTGAATCCACTCCTGGCAGTTTCTCGCCGGCATGAGGTTCGCATCAGAACGCTGCTCCCGCTCGGCGACCTTCGCGCTGACACGGCGAAGCAAGTCGTCGACCGCAGCGGTGGGCTTAGACTGGTAGCCGTACTTGCCGAAGCCGCGTCCCATGGTTGTTGCATTGGGCCGACGACGCGGCTCGCGGGGCGTCTCCGCAAAGTCGTCAATCATTTGCGTTTGTGCCGCTTTCATCTTCCGCTCTGCTTTACGCAAGTCGCGCAACTGCGCAGCGGACTGGTCGGTGTCCAAAATCCTGCCAGAATCTCGATCGTAGTACGGCCCGTCCTTAGTTGGCGATACAAGAGCTTCGATGTCATGGTTGCTCGGAATCTCCGCCTCGTAGTAGTTGTTACCACTTTCATCTACCACTTCCTCCTCGCGCTCGGAAAAACTGAGCGACACGCCGTCGCGGATGTGGAGCCGTATCCGCGGCCGCACCTCGGCTATGTCCTCAACCTGCACCGCCTTATCCACACTACTAACGGAGAGCTCCTGCTTCAGAAGTGCCGGGGAGGAGCTCCTGCTGCGTCCGGCAGGCTTTTTCGAGGAAGGCGGGGTCCGCGGAGCACTGCCGCCGAGCTTGCTCGGACTGCTTTTTCTTCGTTTCGCAGCTGCGTTCGCTTTTGGGCCGGCGGAGAACTTGGCCGTATCCTGCTCTTGCCCCTCGCTAGCAGGAGCTGCCCCTCCACTCCGAGCGGAAATATCACCGCCGCCGGTGCGTGCAGGTGCGGCTGGTGAGTTGCTCTTGCTACCCCGCGGCGCCACCTGCTTCGCCAAGGCTTGGAACTTTTTCGTCGCAGTAGTGGCGGTGGCCTTGCGCAAAAATTCTTCCTCAATTGCTGCATTTTCATCGGCACTTCCTCAATTGCTGCAAGGCTCTCGCTGGCAAGCTCCCGAGCAACAGGCTCGGCGTTCTTGTTGCGTGCGACAGCTGCTCGTAGCCGCTTGGCGACCGCCGCAGCTTGCATTTCGGGTCGTGCTCGTCTGCCGTGTCAAATCTTCGCGGCTGGAGTAGTGACGGAGTGGTCCAAGGGCGATTCAGAAGTGGCAACATTTTGCAGGACCAGAACTGGAGACCAGCAGATATCGGTGGATGCAAGCAGTGAGAGCATGCGCTAGAACTTTTACAACACGCGAGCATACGGTATTTTTTTCTTCTACATTTTTTCACAGAACCATTCCAGTCACTTTCCGCGACTTTTTCTCTCGTGACCGTCGCCTCCCTGGTGCTTAGTACCAAACCAAACTTAATGCGCTCCCACGGTCGCTCCAGAACCAGATATCGAATCGCAACCCACTCGAGGCAACGAAGTCGTGATCAGGCAACTTCCAGTTGTTCGCCTCGTGTCTATCCTACGAGGACGAGCAAACTACAACTCTTAATTGCTATTTCATCTTCGTGCAAAGTTATTTAGAACTCTACGACAAATTCTCTTGCAAAACTGCAAGTATCCCCGTCTCTTAAGCGCCACGCAGGTTCAAACAATCACAACCGGAAAAGAAAACAAAAAGCTATTTCATCGAGTCACGCGGTACTAGCAGCCGCACCGTCTTCTGCTGCTTCCTCCTCGGGAGGCGGATAGGGTTCCACTTCCGGTGGGAGCTTCAACACTTCCAAATGCTCTTCTCCGACACCAATATCGCGAAAGTTTGGCAATGGCGCTACTGGGTCATTTGGAGGTGGGGCTGGACCGGACTCGGGCGGGCCACTCGGCGCAGGTAACGTTGCGTTGCTGAAGGACAAATTGAATTTCACGGTGGGTCGTGTCACAGTTGCAGCAGCAGCAGCAACGCCAATCGAAGTCTAAACAGAAGACGAAGAGACTGAGAAAATATCTTGCAAACAAAAAACCAGAGCGATGCACGCGATGAAAGGAACGCACTTACCCCCGGCCGAAGCGAATGTCGTCGGACGGGAGACCCTCGGGGATAAATGGCAATGTTTCGTTTGCTGGTGGGGGTACTGGATCCGGTTCTGCCCGGTGTAGCTGCAACCCGTGAAAGGTTGGAGCGGACAATGCGCAGACCCAGGAGTACGTAATGCACCTGCGCATCTTTGTCGCCCGAAGTTTTTTTTGTCGCCCTGGCTGCTCCTACCGGGAGCGCGCAAGGAAAAGGATCGCAGCCTACATACTTTTCCACTGAACAGTCCAAGCGCCAGTGCCGGACTGCTAGTACAGTAGGCGCAATGAAAACAAGGAAGATACTACTGTAAGCATTCCAGATCCTCCACGACAACTATGGGTGGATCCACCAAATTCATTTTTATCAGTGGTGATCTTACGCACTACGATTGAGTCCGATGTACCCTCACAGTCACACTTGGTCTTGGATCTTCTTGAATGCATCACACTTTTCGCTGTGTCTGTGATGATCAAAGACACAAATGTAAGTTGCTGCTGGAGCAGAGACACGGCGTTGTGGGTTTACTGAAACTGCACGGATACGGAACGTGCCTGATTAGAAATTACTCATGGAAAGTGCCATCATCTCTTACTTATCATTTTTACTCGGTTGCAAAATGAAAGAAATCTTCAAGTTCAGCAAGTCGTCGGAGCCACCGTGCCGTCTATGGCTGTCATCCTTGCACATAAATTCGCGATCGGTGGAATGATCGAAACCTTCGCAGTGACATCTTTCAAAAGTTCGACTTCAAACTGAAACCCGGGCAGAGACTACGAAATAAAAATCCAAACTTTATTGTTCAAAGAAGTCTGAGAACTGTTCGGCCCTCGACTGGTTTGCGTAGCGCATGTCGTTCCCGCAGCCCACGACTTTTACTTCCTCCTTCTTCGCTGCGTCTGCAACCGCGCTACCGGTAGTGTCCGCCACGGAATTCGCTCGGCTCAAATCCCCGCAAGCCGCACACCGAAACTGCGTCTTCCCGGCCGAGACCCACCCACACCCGAGAACTGGATGGTCGCAGTGCACGTTCTCGCAGATCTGCAGGCGATTCACGCCTCCAAAAGTCTTTTTCAAATTCACCTTGAAGCGGTCCAGGGCGGATTTGTTCCACACCTGGTACGAAAACCACTCGAACGGCGTCACCCGCGCTTCGCAGCCGTTCAAATTCGGTTGGCAGCAGTGGGCGCAGATGTCGTTGGGGCTGAACTCGTGCAGGAACGGACGGAAACCCGACATGCAGGACTAGAGAATATCGAACTATACTTCGAGAGAAATACCCGCATCACAAGATGTTTGTCGGCCCATTCTGGGAATGAGAAAATTGCGTGCGGCGCGCCGACGGTTTGGAGACGAATCCGTTGAACGGATTGAGATTACCATTTTCGCTGTTTGACTTAGGCTTATCACAAAGGCCCTAGGTACTAGAGGGTCACAGCCGTGAAATTTGGAAGTAAATTAACTCCGACTCACACACAACAACATAATCGAAAAAATGTTCGCTCTCTCGATTAGATTCTGAAAGTTGCAGGGGTGCATATTCATAAGTAAACAACGCTTTGCCAGCCGATGCCGAGCAAACTCGATCAACGACACTGTCGCACACGGCTTTTCACAGCTATGGCGAAGCAAATCTTCGGGTCAAGCAGGCATGACTCTCAGTGGCTCCGCCGAACGGTTTCATCACTCAGACTCAGAAACTCTCCGGGTGCAAACGCAAAGCCTCACGCTGTGATTCACTCAGAGGATGGAAAGAACAAACAGTCGTAGAAGCGCTCCGAAATGAAAGTCCCTGAGCTCGCTATGTGAAGGAGCTTGTCTATCAAAGCACGAGCTCGGGTCCATGGTTTGAATGAGTGAGCCTTCCTTGTTTCCGCTTTTGTGGAGTGAGTCGCTCTACCGCGAGCGAGCAAAAAATGTCTGGAAGGAGATTGACCGTGTTCAAGTACTAGAGTACTAATCGTCCATACAGGGATACGACAGTACGCACCGATGTGAAGAAAGCAAAGGTGGAAATTGCAATATGAAGCCGATCACGTCACTCAGTAGGGTTAGGATCCGTGCGCGACCTTTATCTCTATTCTCAACGCCGCCACAGCAGTACACGCTGCTGCCATCTCTGCGTCTTTCTTCTTTCCGCGCACGATGCCGCAAAACTCCAGAAGCGTGCCAGGCTCTGACTCGATTCGCACCTTGGCCTGGAATTGCCCGACACCTCCGCCAGACAGCTGCTCATATACCGGCGCGGTCCGTCGAAGCTTTTGAAAGTGCTCCTGCAAAGCGTTCTTGTAGTTCACTCCTGGAACTGGCGTGGGGAGTGAAGAAACTCCAGCGTCGGGTACGCCGCCGCCCGCTTCCCCAACATCCTGCGTAGCGTCCGTCGCTCCTTCTACCGGGCCCAAGGGCGGCGCTGCAGGGCCTGATGTCGGCGCACTGGCATCCGCGAAGTTGGTTGGGACGTTCATCTCCGGCGCGACCGCGTAGGGTCCGCACATATTTGAGGTCTCCCGAATTGCTATGGCGCTTGGTTTCAGGGCTCCCGATTTGTCCGGGGTCAGGTAGTCCTTCTTGACCAGGAGGACTAACGCAACCAGTACGAACCAGCTGCGTTCCCGTTTGGCCGCGTTGCCGGGTTTCTTCGCTGCGCTCGGCCACAGCCGTGCATCATCAAAACCAACCTCGCCCCAATGCTGCCGCACGTCCTCGGCCGTGACGCTAATTTCCCCCTCTGGAGTGGGAACCACCACCTTTTTCAGCACCTTGCGCTCCTGCGGGGGGAAAGTGCAGGTCTTCTCCGTTTCGTAAAGAAAAAAGTGTGCGTCGGGCTTCACGTTTTGCTTGATCACGAGCTGCAAGTACTCGTTAAAGATTCGGCTGGCATTCGAAACATCGATGGCACCGTGGTCCTCATCCAGACGAAAGGGATGCACGTTCGGGCCAAGGGACTCTCGGTCTGCTACAGTTTGGAGACGCGCCTGCTCTCGCTGCGCGTCCGTCGTGCCCAAGTTCGCGTTTCCCGCAACCTCCTCCAGTTGCTTCCGCATCCGCTCCATTTCGGCCCAATCGCTTTCGAAGAAGAATATTTTGGCAACTTTGGATCGAGCGCGACCACTTCCCTGAATGTGGCTCTTGACGGTGGTGACGGCGTCAAACCAGACGACCATGTTACATTCCGGCACGTCGATTCCCTCCTGCAGAACCGCAGTAGCGACCAAAAGATTTGTCCTCCCTGTCCGAAAATCTTCCATCACCTGAAAGAGAAATCGAAATGAAATAATCATGTAGAAAATCTCTGTGATTGTGCATGATGAGAATCAGGAACAATAAAACAAGAACATCCACCCGCAGCGCGACCGCGTAAGTTGCCAGCACCAGTGGTAAAGGGCGGCGCTGCCTCAGTTGGTACCTTTCGAGCCTTCGCGTCGTAGCTAGATCTTGCCTCTTCCCTGCCACCAGCAATGCAGCCGACCCTATATCGTGCTAGCTCCAGTAACATTCGCAATGGTTCGGTCATCACGCGTTCTTCCACAAAGATGATACCACGCCCCTCGGACTCTTTCACATTTTCCCGCTCAAGGAGGTCGAGTAGAGCCACGAACTTGGGCGACACTTCCTCTTCCCGACGTGCGAAGATCGTCCCCTGTTGTTTCATTTCGCGGCACTTGCCGCGCAATTCTGCCTGCTTGTCCGCCATATGATTTTTCAGCAGCTCTGCATCCTTTTTCTTTTCTGGGCCTTCCGGCTCAGCTGCGGAATACATGGCGACCATGTCGGCCTTCTTGCTCAGCTGCGGAAGTAAGCACTCGGAAAGAAAGTACTCGAACGCACTCCATCCACACTGCGTAAGAAGGAGAGCGGCTTTTTGGGCGTGTCTGCCTGGGTCCCGCAAAGGAATGCCAAACTGGGCGATTTCCGTAAGCCACTGCTCCACCTCGCGCCTTGCTTCTGCCACTTTTTCATCACGCAGCAATTTGTCGCGGTTCCAAGCCACATTTTCGTACTGCACCTCTCTACGACTGCGGTGGCCTTCTTGATCATGCTCCTCTTCTGACTCGTCAACAACTCCATCAGCAGTACCCGCTGCGGGCGGAGGAGCACCTGAGCGCGAGGAGTGCGCGGAGTGTACTGACTGAGCACTGCAAAACGAATCAATACGGTCCCGGCCAGTTGCGCGCCCGGTTGCCACCGGAGGAGCGTCTTCCGGAGTGTAAATGGTGGCCTGCAGAAGCTTTTCGAGGTCAGCGCGCTCTTGCTGCAAGGCGTTCACCTTTCCTCCGCGACAAAAGCTGGCGGTGAGGCCAAGAATCCGAGGCCTTTTTCTGTTTTCCTGTTGTTGCTGGCAGTGCAGTGCATTCCGGCAAATTAACGCCATTGGGGACTGTCCTCCACAATTGTGACACTCATCAAACACAACAACCGACAACTCCTCCGGGTCCAAGAGGCGCTGATCCAGTAGAATTCGTCGTGCAACTTCAGCGGTTGCCACTATCACCTTGCTGCGATTCACTTCGTGTTGCCATTGGTCGGGCCCCCAATTGCTGGTCGATGCACCGCGCAGGTCCGAAACCGAGGCAGACCGGTGAGGGAGCTCCGTACGGAGGTACTGCGTCTGTTGCAGTGCGAGTTCGTTCGTCGGCACCACGAAAAGCGCCTTCTTGGTATCTTCCAGCCCATCGCTCGTGTGCCCGTCCTCCCCTAACAGTTCGTCTATCAGCATCGCGGCGATCAACGTTTTTCCAGTGCCGGTCCCCAGATTCACAATGGTATTTTGCTGCTGAGCTCGCTCCAGCGCTTGTAGCTGATAGCTACGCGGGGTGCTGTAAACAACCATTTTCTACTTCTGTGCAGTGACGCTCTACTGCAACTCAGTCAAAGGGGGAGAAGTAGTAGTACAATGATTATGATATGCATAGCAAAACAGAGAGCACCCGCTCAAGAAACTGGAGCCTCACAAGTTCAGATCACAAACCAAAACGTCGAGGCACATCAAACCATACAGCGGCAAGCTGTGCCCACTTCTATTAATAATGATATCGTAGATTCTCATCTGGGAATATGATCCCGGCAGGTGGACTGGCACAAGTGTGACTATCAGAGATTGGGGTGGGTGTCATGCTATCTACCGTCTTTTTCTTTAGGTGGTCTTCATACTGAGAACCTGATCTAGGAGGAACTATTGATCCGTCTCCCGCTTCGGGCCGTGCTGCTTCTTTTTTCTCGATCTCTTTCCCCGGGTTTTTCACAACCAACGGTCAACAGAGCCCCTTGCTTTTCTCGACCCATCTCCTCTACTTCATCACAATGGTAACACGAAAGCGATCATTGCACCAGAGATGGTGTCTCAAGCAAAAAAATGAACCAGGCGTTGCCTGATGTTCAGACATCTCTTCAAAAAGAACGCGGTCTGGTGCTGTTCGGCGATGTAGATGCTTTCCTGGAGGATCGACCTTCATCTCTGAACGACAACTACCCAACAAGAACGACTGTTAAATTTAAGCTTTTGTGTTGATACATAACGCTGAGAAGAAGTTACTTAAAACAAGAAAGACAAACTACACGCTCTTCGCCCTGAAAATGCATTGTACATGATGCAACAAAACATTCGACTCATACTACGCTAGATCGACGTATCTTCCGGTGTTAATAGACCACCGCGAACTAGAAACCTCAGAAGTAGAAGATAAAGTACTTAGCAAGATTCTATCAAAGAAACATCTCTCAAGGATCGCTTTTTTTCTTTGAATGGAGAAAGCTTTCACGCTTGATTACCCCAAGCTCCTTCTGGGACTCCGCAGCTGCAGCCAATGCAGCTTTTCTTGTCTTCAATGTCAGAAAGGATTTTCTCACTTTGACGTCCTCGCTGCGCTGCAGGATCGACGTTGCAGCCACTGTCGGCGCCGCTTCACGAGGGAACAATGGCACAGCAACGTCGTTGTTTTCATCGGCCGGACAGCAACTGGCGTCTTGTTCCTGCAGGCGCTCCTCGATCGTTTGTATGGTAGTTTTCGAGGAGCCTAGCATCATGTCTGTGGCACGGTCTTGCCTAGCATCATGTCTGTGGCACGGTCATGTCTCGCATGCGCGGGAACAGTCCGGTAGAAGCCCTAAGGCCCAATTGAATACCTAGATTTTCAATGAAACCGATGAGACCGAAGGTCGTAATGTCTCGAAAGACGATACAAAGAGAAACGGCGCTTCGAAAAGCACTACATGAATGGCTGGCGTAGATCGGCTTGGCGAGGAATAAGGACTCGATCTTCCAGATTGGCCTAGCATCATGTCTGTGGCACGGTCATGTCTCGCATGCGCGGGAACAGTCCGGTAGAAGCCCTAAGGCCCAAATGAATACCTAGATTTTCAATGAAACCGATGAGACCGAAGGTCGTCGAGGGAAGCTACGCCAGCGCCACCTCCTAGTTGTGACGGCGGCACAGAAGAAGTACGCTCCCCACCGTCGTCTGCGTTGCCGTTCTGTGGGGGAACCGCGACTGGACTTCGTGTCGAATCACGACCATCTGCCGCTCCCCCGGCCTGGGTGGTGGTGGCGAAATTTCTAGTCTGTGTTCCAATTGCCGGTCTCCCGGCGGCCGTGGTAATTGCGACGCGAGTCTCGGTTTCCGCACTCACGCCGGTCGGCGGCGTCGTCGCCAACTCGGTCACGGCTTTATTTGCCGACCCCGCACTGCGCATGACCGTGGCGCCAAAAGGCAGGAAGACAAAATCGGGCACCGCAATTCCGGTTGTTCCCGTGTCGCTCATCTTCCCCGCCGGCTTTTCGAGCAGCAAGTCGGTGCTCATGGTGACGCCGCCGTATTCCGCAGTGGCGGTCAGTTTGCAATTCGCACCGACGTCCACCAGCACGCGCGCCAGCCCGTGGAAAGTGGTCTGGTGCGCCGTTTTCGGCGTGGTCGGCCGGTCGGGCTCGCAGATGCGGTTGTTCGAGAGCGGGTCCTCTACGCACACCGGATTCCCGTTTCCCGTGCCGAGCAAGGTGCACGCGGGTTCTTCTTCCAGGCGAAAGCGGGCGAGCACGTCGAAATCCGTGCCCGTTTTCTGGTCCGCTGGGTCCAGCCCGTACCCCGTGGGCACGAGGATATCCCGGAAAAAACACCAATCCCCATCCATTTTTTGCATGGCATCAAGCACTGAATTTTATGCATGTTTTGCATGACAAATTGGATGGGGATGGGTGTTTTTTTGTGGATAGAGGATTCCGTCCTTGTCCAGCAGTTCGACGCGGACCACCGCGGTGTACTGCGCCTGGTGCGTCATGTACCGGCTCTCCGTCGGCCACTCGAGCGACACCCGGAGCTGCCGGGCCCCGGCATCGCGCGGCTTGGTGCGTACGTCGCGCGCCACCTCCACGTCGTTCGCGTCGTACCCGATGGCCTCGATCCGCTTCACCACTTTGCCAAACCCCACGTTTTTCTCGAAGACCTCGTCGAAGGCCCACTTCAGCTTCTTACAAGCCAGCTCCGCCGTGATGGTTTTCTTCCCGAGCGACTGCGGCGTGGTGGCCCACTCGTTGCCACCAACGTTCTCGTTCGCGACGTACCGGACCAGCTCCACTTTCGCCAGATTCGAATACACCCACACCCACCGGGCGACCCCCAGTGTGCCGCCTTCCGGCGGGTTTCCCCGGTAGGCGTTCCACCAGTAGGGCGCAACCAGGTGCAGCACCGGCATGCCGTCGGCGGCCACGGGGGCGAAGGGCAGCACCTTCTGGCTCTCGAACAGGGCGGCCCCTTGCGCGCTGTACTGCCCCAGAAACATGGCCTTGAAGTACCACGCTGTGTCCTTCGGGAAGCCCGCGAAGTCCACGTGGCCGAAATAGGACAAGACCGGAACAGGGCCGGATGTTTTGAAGGGCCGCATGGGCGTGGGAAATCCGCGGTAATCGAAGCCCGCCCAGATAAAGTAGCCCGCAATGTAGTCTCGCTCCTTGATGTTGCACCAGTACTTCTCCACGTGCCACCCGTCCTGCTGGTTCCGCTGGTACACGTCGTACGCCGAGCACTGCTTCCGCGAGCCCGCAACGTCCGCCGCCCCGTAGTCTTTCCTGTAATCGTCGTAGTACTCGCCGCGAGAGCGGTAGCCGCCCGAAGCCTCCGACGCAATGATGGCCTTCTGGTACGTTCGCACGGTTTTGGATTCGTGCACCTGCGTGTACATCCACGGCCAGTAGTTCATGCCCACGACGTCGAGCGACTTCACCATCTCACTGAGCTCCCCATCCACGAGTCCCCAGTTCTTGTTGCAGCCCGCGGTGACGGGGCGCGCGGCGGTGCCGACTTTCGGGTCGTGCTCGCGAATCAGCGCCTTCATGTGGTTCATGTTCTGCACGACCTTGCGTCTATTGTCCCACGGACACGACCGCGTGGAGGAGTCCTCCCCGTAGGGACAGCACAGGTGCTCATTGCAGATACTCCACAAAAACACGCTGGCACGGTTGCGGTCCCGCCGCACGAGAATGCGCATTTCCCAGTTGTACTGCCACGAGTTTTTGTTGTAGTGGTTCTCCGCCTTCACGAGCATGCCGATTTCGTCGGCCTTGTCCAGGATGGCCGTGTTCTGCATGTTGTGGCTCATGCGCCACGCGTTTGCCCCCATCAGGTCCCGCGAGGCGGCGACCCGGTAGCTTGACCTTTACTTGCACGTCGTCCAAAAAGAACCCACCGTCGTAGGTCCACGCAAACTTGCGAAATCCGAACCGGTTCGTGACGACATCGACCAACGTCCGTCCTCCGGTTGCTGTTGTTGCTCCTGGTGGTGATCCTGCTGATCCCCCCACAATAAATACCTCGAGCACCGCCTCGCACAGCCCGGGACTCGCAAGGCCGTTCCACAAGACGGCGCTTGGCACCTTTACCGGCGAGTCGAAAGCAACTTTTTGGACAGCTAAGGACCCTTCGCTGCCGAAGGTGAGCGAGAAGTCCACGGCTCCGGTGTACACTTCGCGCGTTGTGGTGGCGGGAAATGATCCTGCGTCGTCGTTGTTCTTTCTCCCACCCACCTGAAACACAGAGAGCCGCAACTGCCCCGCCACGGTTCGCGTCGTCCGCGGTTGGGCCTTCAGGCGGTCCCTTGCCGCACGCGGGCGATGCTTGTCCGGAACCCCGCCGTCTTCGTGCACGTCGAACGGGGTCAGCTCCACGACGGGTGTCACCTCCGCGTCGGCGACGCGCACTCCGGAATTTTGGCCGAGCTCTCGTATCGTGCCGGTCACGATGCCGGGCAGGTACACTCCGTGCGTGGCAACGCGCAGCACGGAGCTTGCCCGCTCGAGGAACGCATGCCGGTAGATGCCACCTCCGTCGTACCACCAGGTGCCCTTCCAAACCGAATCGGTCGGCTTCTCGTCGTAGATGGGTTTCGAATCGCAGTACACCAAAATCGATAGCGACTCACGACTTCGTGCCTGTTTTGTGACGTCGTACTCCCGGGGCGTGTACGCATCGAGGCTTTCCCCGACGAATTCATCGCTCACCCAGACCTTTGAGCCCCACGCCACTCCGTCGAAGCGCAGCCAGTACTGGAAGCTACCGTCCGCTGTCACAAACGTGTCACGGTCCAGCACCAGCTCTAAGTAGTACCATCCTTGCTTGAGTGGCAAACTGCTAAAGGCCGCACTTCGATCCTTCCATTCGGGGTGTGGCTCCAACTCGATCATGAAATCGTGCGGCAGGATATCCTGACCAAAAACGTCCCCACCGCGGCAGAGATGTCATGCTAAAAGGCATGCCAAAAATGTCTCTCATGCGCAAGAACCCCATGAGAAGCGTTCTCCAATGCTGTCCGGCCGCTTGTCGTGCGGCAATCAAGATGAGACGATCGATTTTTAATGCGGCTGCACTACCTAAACACCCTCTCACTAGCGTCCCGAACCTGTCATGCGCAACAGCAAAAGCCCAGTTCTTGCCTACAGGGTGGAGACCTTTTTCCTCGGGATACAGTACCGTGGGTTGCCACTTTTCCAGCGTGCTCCGCGTTGGAGCCGGTGGCGGAGATCCATCTTCACCGAAGCCGTTTGCCACTTCAACGGTATTGCCGGAGGTACCCAGCCACGAAGACAAGCATGGCCTGCCACTCTCCACGAGACAAAACCGCCAAGGCTGTCGATCGAGCAAAATAGATTGCCGGGGTACTTGAGCAGTAGCGCGCGCGCGTGGCGCAATCTCTGCCGACAGGCAAACAACGACACATGATATAGCCCGAAGCGTGCGCTGTGGAATCATTCTGTCAGAAAAGGTCCTTAGTTGAATCTAATTCTTGTTTCACAAGAAAGCTACTTTTGCGCTAGCTCAGCTTCACAGCTGGAACGCAGAAAAAACGCCAATACACTAAGATCTACTTCGGTTGAAACGGTAGGCTGCCACTGCGAGCAAGCACGGAGTGACATTTTTCACTAGTATGATTCATTACAAGGGCGACAAGGACATATACCATCACGCGTTGTAGAGATAAAGACCGCCTTCACGAAGAGCAAATCCGCTACGAACATACGACTTACTTTTTCCCTGAACGATAGCTGGAGCGCGATTCTGGACTGGGCGGGAAAAAGTAGTACCATTACGCACATGCCACGCGAACGCTTGTAGTAACCTTTCCCTGGCAGAATCCGAAAGCAGCACGAGGGAACAAAGTCTAGCGCTGGAGGTTGTTGACCTGTGTACCACGATTCACGAATCACAATCAACACGATTTAGAACTTACTTGAACACAGCTCTCTTTCTTCCGCTTTCGACATTTAAAGCGTTCCGCGCCCGCTCGTAAGTGAGCAACTAGCCTCGAGCGGAAGGACTCAAAGGGTCCCCCGTTCCACAGCTAGAGTGACAGAGTATACAGCCTTAGGGCGAAGAGAGATTTTTGAGGTTCTGTTCAAAGCAAGCACACGGGTTTGATCATATAGCGTCTATGACCGATTGTCTCTTCTCGAGGAAGCTACGCACGCTTCGTAGATTCTTTAATCCTCCTCTTCATCGGCGTTGATGTTGAAGTAGCGGAGCTCGTAGGTCTTGCGGCTCGGAGCGACGACGTGCAAAAAATCGCGCAGCTGCTGCTTCTTCAAGTACTTCTTGGTCAGGTACTTCAAGTATCTCTTGGAGAACGGCAGTTCCGCATTGACGGTAATCTTGCTCTTGTCCCGAGTGATCTGTGATTTTTAAAAGTTGGTTATTGGCGAAATATCCCACTGAAGTTTTGGTTCATTTCAATTTCTTCGCGTTGTACTGTCTGCACTACTCAAAAAATTTCGGACTCACGGAGCGCACGTGACATTTCCACATACTCGCGGAGCGCGCGTTAACGACTCACGGAGCGTGCGTTATACTGTGCGCAGCGCAGTACAAAAACCGTATCGCAACGCCTTGATTGGGACACACAAACTTTGCGCATCAGCTTCACGCTGCTAATGATCTATCTGACTCTGCTACTCTCACATCGAAATAGTAGGAAATACATGCTTGTACCTTCACTTTGTCGCCGAGGTTTCCGGTTTTGTTGTTGACCTTGATGCGATCCTTGAAGAATTGCTCGAGGCCCGCCGGGTCCATAATGTTGTCATCGACAGGCTGTTGGCAGTCCACCACAAAGGCAACCTGTTTGCAAAGATGTTTCAGTGATTCTTTTTGAGTTGTACAACACTTCAGAGCTTTTTGAGTTCAGTGATACTTTTTAAGTAGTTCTGGACAGATATAATGCAGAGGATCACGACTCATACATCATCCTGCGTCGCATGACCAAATAAACTAACACTGCACCAGGAGCAATTTCACACAAAAAAAAGTGATACGTTGACTTTCTTGCCCTTGGCGACGGACTTCTTCTTGAGGCCCTTAATCGTCATTTTGTGTGATGCTTTGTGTGCTAGAACTCTCTACTACTCTTCCGTAGGCTCGTGCGTCCCTGTTGAGAATCAAAAGACAAATAATTCGATAACAGGAATCGAAACAGGCAGCAAATGGGATCGTGTCAGACAATTTAGAACAATCTACGCCATGATCGGAACGCATCTCTTCATAGATCCTCCACAAATATCATTTCGGGCAGAACAAGTGGATCGACCTCGATCCTCTGTCGTGACCATCATGATGATCGTCATTTCCATTGACCAGGGGATCGTTCGGTTTTGATGAAGATCGACTTTGATTTACATTGAGGTAGGGATCATGTCTCTGTGGGGCTTCTCAATTCCGAGATCTAAGCAAAGCCAAAACTTCCATCCTCAGTCCAGCATTTGGATCTAGATTTTAGCGCAGCTTCATTTTTTGATCATCAGTAAAATCTCGCCGCACGGATCTTTCGGCTTTCGATTAAACTTCCCGAGAAAGACCGATTCCCTCTGAATGTTTTCAAGCACGAGATCGAAAGAACAAATCAGACTACCTCAGAAAAACGACTTTTTTTGTGTCGCCGATCCTACGGTCGCTGGATACAAAATACACTGGAATCAAAATTTCAACCCTTCTCTTTTTATCCTCAGACACTTGATTTCGAAAGGAAGATCCCAAAACAAGAAGTGGAAGTCCATGTCTCTGCTGTGAAAAAAACATCCAACCATTTATAATTGGGGCGGGAAAAACAAAAAAAAGTGAGTAGTTCGACAGAGCTTCTCCATTTCCGTTGAGAAAAAAATAAATTCTCACGACTGAACACGATTGCGTTATAAAATTCTTTAAATTCCGTATCGGTCCTCGTTTTCATCTATCAGTACAGGATGGCTAAAGCATCTCCTGTGAAAACGGCGGACTCTACTGTGGAAGCGACGCACTCGCCAGCGTATTGTCCTCCTGGGCGCACTCCTTGAGAAGCTTGTCGCTTCGCGAGGTCCTCCTTCAATCCCTCGCGTCGACACTAGTCTAGTCGTGAGGACAATGACAACGACAAGCCATTGCTAGACCCCGTTCCAATAAAACTAGGTGTTCTGCCACTTCTCAAGCCGATTCTTCGGGTCTCTCTCCACACGGTCTCCGGCGCAAACGCAATGCTAGCAAAGTATAAAAAACTCATCAAAGTGAAAATCGAAAAAAAAAAGGTAGAACGGCAAAGCCCTCGTGTAGTCCATTGACACTCCGAGGCCATGACATCTGCCGCTGTCTTCAACATACAGGAGTAAACAAGTACAGTTGTAGTAGTAAATAGGATAAACCCGAACTTTTTAAAATTTTAGCTTTGAAGATGTGATAAAGAGTCGACGTAATTGAAACCTTCAGTTCGCAAGTTTGACAGTGTGTGTCGTGGAGGTCCTGGTAATAGAGTCACCCCCTTGTAACTGCCCTATCCGTGCTCCCCGCGATGGCGCACTCCGAGTGTAGAGTCGTAAAACAACCTTTTCTCAGGATCTCGTTTGTTTTTAGGTGTCGTCGTGTCGTGCGATGTTTTTCTTCCGCGCTCATCAGCGCCTTCGCCTCTCTACTTCTTGTCGGCAATCGACTTCGACAACCAGTCAAAGCCTTCGTAGATACCATCACCGGTTGTAGCGCAAGTCGACTGGATGTACCACTGACGGTTACGCAGACCGTTCAGCTGCAGCTTGTCCGTGATCTGTAGTAAGTTTGTATTGCGATCGAAAATTTGCGTGCGAAAGTTTGCCCTTTACAGCCTGATGCAGCCTAAAATGCCAAACCCGAGTGCGGGGCTTCAGAGTACACAGTATGAGACGCAAGAAAGGTAGGCATGATAAAACAGACACTATTTTTCGCGCAAAAAAGTACCTCAGCAGCGTTCATCGCATTCGGCAGATCCTGCTTGTTGGCGAAGACCAGAAGAATCGCGTCTCGCATCTCATCTGTAAGTGAAAATTTGCATTGCTTTCCAATCGTTATCGTCCGTCTTTAAAAAACTCGAGTCCGCAAACAACGAACGGACCATATCAAGCTGCGATTGATGCGCTCTACCAATTATGTTGACCTACTTAAAAAAATTGCTGTAAATTTTACCTTCGTTAAGCATCTTCATCAACTCATCCCGAGCCTCCACGATACGGTCGCGATCGTTCGAATCCACGACAAAAATCAAACCTGAAAATAGTTAAAGATTTTAATATGCAGCCTTGCATGGTCATATTCTTGTATCATGGCATTCGGATTTAAACTTCTGGCTCCTTCCTATCGTCCTGACGTAGTTGCATCGTCCCCAACTCAAAAATCTAACCGCACCTTGTGTGTTTTGGTAGTAGTGTCTCCAGAGCGGGCGGATCTTGTCCTGACCTCCCACGTCCCAGACCGTAAAGTTGATGTTTTTGTACTCGACCGTTTCAACATTAAACCTGTAAGAAAAAGAATGTCGCTCGTTGTAAATAATCTTCGGAACGTATTATTTCATTTTTAAGGGCATCTTCCAACTTGCGAAAATCATCACTGCCCCACCGCCGAGCCAACCAGCCTGTTCTGGCGCACAACTAGGGACTGTGTACATCATAATTTTTGCAGGTCTTTGCATAGAGAAGCGGCACCACTTCGACTGGCACCAAAGGAGCCGCAGTGGTGTGCCGGGTCTGTTGTTCCCGGCAAAGCATCTTCTAAAAAAAGGTCTACCCGATGGTTGGGATGGTTGTAACGACTTCGCCGAGCTTTAGCTTGTACAAGATGGTGGTCTTCCCTGCAGCGTCCAACCCGACCATGAGTATGCGGCAATCCTTTTTCTGGGACAACTTGTCCAGCAGTTTCGATATGAACATGCCCATCTTGGCGGGTGTTTGGTTCCGTCAACAATCAAAATTACTTGCTTTATATGTGCAGTAGCTGCCTCGACTACGTCCTATTCTGCTTATAAATTCTTCGCGAGCAAGGTTGAGAGACAGCAATAATAAGGAAAGAAATAGGGACCTTCAAGTGCAAAAAGACGCACGCCGGAGCAGATTTTTAAATCTCAAGAAATGCGGTAAAGAATTTACTGCGCACACTAATTGGAAACTACTCCTCGTTCTACACGGCCCTCGGCGCCGGTGCGTACTGATATCCTACAAAGAACTGCGTGTCGCCCTTCCTAAGAAGGAAAAAGAGGCGGTGGAGGTGCGTGTGTCGCCGAGGGGGTAGTTACTTCATACATTAAGCACTACTTGTGGGTCTCTAACAATGTTTTTTGTTTCGCTGGGGATAACTTACAGGCACAATGAGAGGGCTGGCAGCAATCAAAATTTGTTGGCAAGAGGATTTTATATTGCCGCACAAACACATGGTCAACATGTAGAAGATTTTGGGTTGCTTCAATTTGACAACCAGAGTGTGCCGATTCCCAGGTGGACAGCAGAGGGTCAGGAGATGAACTACATTGATGTAGATAGAATCGCAATTGTGTGGCTAGAGTAGGAGGCTTGATAAACCCCACGTGTCTACCACAACTCTCTTGGTCGGCTCTAGTGGCCGAAATACGCATTTAAAAGGACGGCACTCTCTCATTTTTATTTGGGACGGAGTGCCTTTGGAAGGTCGCTCTCCGGTTCTGTATGCGTCATGCTAGTTCGAAGATCCTCTGATACGTGCCTGACGGGCGCACTTCTGCGCGAATGAATCCAGCACCGGGATTTGTGATCTTTGTTGCGTGAGTACGTCATTTCTCTGCTGGTTCTAGTTCCGCCTCAAAGCCGCTTATTTCTGGCGGCTTGATGAACACTTAACGTTCGCAGCATTAACGGGGAGCGAGGAGGAAACTTCAGGAAACGTCGCCGCTGAAAGCCCGTGTCGTGAGTCATGCCTTTCGTGGGTCAGTCTGATAATCAATGCGAGTGCCTGTCTTAAGGCTGAGATTCTTCGCTTCTGGGGCTAAGTTCTAGATGTGAAGAATACTGTGGTCTGTTCGCCAGGTCGCGCCCGACCGATTTGTCCTAAATTCCAAGCCAACTGTGCAACCACAAGTAATAACAATTATGAGGGGATCGGGATTCCTAGAAAAAAGGAGTTCTTGCATTTCAACCTTGTTATCCTTCAATCTATCTTTCTATGTGTGTGTTAGCACGGGGGGAGGTCTCTCTTTCTAAATCCCTTTCTTGAGACTCGAAGGGGCTCTGCTATGCAAGCGACTCATCTGTCGACCAGCATATCCGTAAATCATTGTACATCGCCGACAAACCTTGTGTCCAAGAGTCAGCGACTTCCATTATACACTCAAGCAGCACTGCCTTTTTCGGGACGATCCTGAAAAAATGTAAGTATTGCCTTCTTTGTTCTCGCAATGACAGAATCTTCAAACAGGCAACTGCAGCCCGCAGCCCCTACTCGTCACCGCGACTATCTTACAAAAACAAAAACCATCGCCTGGGGTTAAAATTAATTGAATAGACCACAATCAGAGAAGAAGGGCGCCTTGGCCACGAGATACTTATTAATTACGTAGTGATAGATAATGCAACAGAATAAAATACGTGCATGCAACAGCCCTTGCACAACCACAATGTGATGGCGGCCTACAATCAGCTTTTATTTCCTGTGTCCATACTTAGTCGTGAATCAACTGAGCGACATCAAAGCGAAGCAAGGTAAAGCAAAAATCGGTAAAAACGACCGCAGCACTGCTGCGCTGCGATGATGATCATGATGATGATGATGCACCCAGCTGCGGGGTCTATACTGTAGAAGACTTTCAGTGTTCTTGTAATACGCTCTCGCTATCTGACAAAGAGGTCGGTGCCAGTATGAGAAAAACACTGCAAGTAAAAACTAGGACGCGATAACGGAGCCAAACGTTAAAAAAGGTTTCCTCTTACGACTGAATCCCCCACTTCCGGTCTTCGAGGATCAGGGCGCGGTCGGTGATCATCGCGGGCAACAACTCGTCGCAGGCTCGAAGAGCGCTCCCCTCTTCTGCTGGCGGACCCCCGACTTTTCCGATTGGATGGGGGACTGCCCGGCTCGCTTTGAATTGGGGTTAATAATTGAGGAGATTGCGAAGGCACCGCGGCGCCTGAGTCTCCCATCGGACTAAAACCCACGCTCCTGGCTCTCTCCCACCGTTCAATGGCGTGACCCCGCTGTGTCCGTTTGTTCCGGTTATATTCCTCTAAAGACATCGCTCGAAACGCAGGGGGGAGGCCAGCTACATCTCCCCTGCTGCTGCCGGACGCCGGCCCGGAGCTGGGCGGCGTGGCACCGCTCTTTGGGGTCATCGGGCCCTTTCCTGAATTTGCACCCGACGGCGTGCCCTTTCTGGCACTGCGTGGCGTCCCCGCTGTAAAGCCTCCGTGCCCGTTTGGAGTATTCGCCGCTGAGCCCACACTGTTTTCTTCTGGCAGCTGCATCATTGCCACGGGGAAGAACTTCGTCCCAAGTGCGTGCTGCAGTCGTCGGGTTGCGTCCCAGGCCGAGCGGGGCCCATCATCTCTCGTCCCTGGCTGGAGCGTTCCCAGAACGCCGATACCATCGGCGCCAAGGGAAAACCGGCAGGTTGTGTGGCCGTCTTGTTGGCACCGGCGCAACACGTCAGCCAGGGCCAGCAGGTGCGTGAAAACGTCGTATCCGCTCTGCAGCAGCAGATTCGAGTACAAGTTTGCGTTGAAAACCACACTGGCCCACGGTTGAGAGATCAGGGCCCAGCCGAGATACTGTGACTGCGCACGTGCCAAACGCAGCTCTCGAGTAATTTCCTCCTGCTCCAGTTCCTCCTGCGTAGCCACGTCTTCCTGCACCGGCTGCGCAAAATGCTCCTGTGCCACATTCGCTGTATGACCCACCTGAAATTGCACTTGCTGGAAGGGAAAACCGTCTGCTGCTTGCTCGGCCAGAACGCTCGACAAATTCGCATAAAACTGCTCATCTGCGAGTTTTCTCTGTAGATTCAAGCTGCCGCCCGTGACCCCCTCCCACATGTGCACGCGGAAGACAAACGGATTCGCGGGGGTGTAGTATAATGGCGTTGTCTCGTCTGTTGGATCGAGCCTCGTATTCTGGACAATCTGCTGGATCAACGAAAAAACCGCACGCATTCCGGCGATATCGCACGTGTTCCTTGGATCGTCGTCCTGGTGGTTTTGCACGATTTCGTTCAGCCCGCTGGTTATATCCAAACCGGAAAACGTCTGCGGATAGTTCGTTAGATGGTTTCTCACGTCAACCGCCCACCTGACATCGGCGCCGCAGGCGGTCTGACGCCTGACCGTGAGTAACACGGTCGGACCGGAGTTCCGGTGTTTCTGTGGAACCGCCCGGTGCTCCGAGGTGTAGAAACCTTTAACTAGCAGCTTCTGCAGTTCCGACCCACCCAAACTGGTGATATCGCCTGGACGCGAAGCAACATACATGTAGCCCAACACCATGCTGCCCCACACACTTCCGCTGTACCTCCTACTGCTGGTCTGGGGCGCAACGGACGACACCGGTGCCACAAGCTCCCGGCTGTGACTGTGGGCGCCCCGCGAGGTGTTGGCAGTTCTGTTTTCCTTGCATTTCGCGCTGCCCCACTTCCGGAAGCGGCTCGACGGTCGTCGGCTGGAGGCTGAAGATGCGCACGAATCCAAGGAAGGTTCGCGCCCACCGTAGGCCGCCGGCTTGATCGGGGAGGGTTTTGGAGACTCATCGCGGGTGTGCTGCTTGAAGCGGCGCGCCATCGCGATGTGTGCCCGGTCGGACAGCCAATCTTGCAAGAAGCCAGTGGTGCTTGCGTAGAGCTCGAGGATTTTTTCCTTCACCGGACGAAGGACGAGCAGGTCGTGTTCGGAAACACTCGCCTGTCGCTCCCACTGCGCGTTTGCCAACGCGGTGGTCAGCTCTGTCGGTAGCTCCACCACGCCAGACAGCGCTTTGACCGCCGCGTCCTGTCTTGCCGTGCTTCGCTCATCGTGCTCCGCGCGCCAGCCCGCGAAATGACAGTATCCCAGCTTGACTTCCTTGCTCAACGCCCACTGCCCGACGTCTTGTTTGTCACTTCCAAACTTGGACCCCCACCACATTTCCAGAAACATTTGCATCACGTTGTCGGTCTCCTGTGGCGTTGGTGTGTGATCCGCTTCCTGAATTTGTAGGATCAGGTTCTGCAGATACCTGCGCTGGTCGTGGTTTCGCGTAGTAGCTCGCCTATCATGTTCAAAATCGTCGGAGAAGCCAAGCTTCGGATTTACTTCGCTAGTCATGGAGACTCGGCGACAGTGTTTCGACCTCGCAAAGCGACGCCAGTTCCGATTCCAGACTTGCAAGGCCGGAGTGTAATGCATTTGAGAACTAGTACGCAAGAACTTTTGCAAAGTCGCGCGCGCATCGTCCAGAGACTCGTTATGAGGCACTTGTGTGGACAAGATTTCCGGTGGCGAGTACAGCTCTCGGATGACTGTCGCCAGACCCGTCGCTTGACTTCCACCGACCAGACCTAGAAGTCCTCCGACGAGGCCCTTATCCTCGGACGTGTTTAGCAGGCTTTTGTTGAATGCCCGCACCCGCTCAGCCTGTTGCGCGGTCAGGGTCGCGTCCGCCAGGTTCCCCAGCTTGGGAATCAACACCTGCCGCAGCCACGCCAAAAAGTTCGGAAGAAAGCCCTCCTCCTCGAGCTGCTCCGCCTGTGACCGCAGCTCCGTTTGCACGTAATGTCCTTCGCGTGTGCCGGTTCCCTTTGGCGACTCGACTCCAAGCAGGGCCCTCTCGCGCTCTTCGCGCTCCCCGATGCCTTTCAGCACGTCTTCCAAGAGCCAGGTCAACGCCAGCGTGTCCGCGTTGTAGTGCAACTTCTCCGCCAGTGTAGCTTGTGCCATAGTATGCACTCTGTCTAGATCCCGAAGCGCCATGTACACACTTCGTCGCGGGGAGATCGGCGTGGTCCCATCCGGGAGCGTGGCCGGCCCGTCCCCGTCGTCGAAGACCGAACCGTTATCGAGCCAGGGACGCGTCGTGGGCTCCCTCGTGGAAAACGTCCGCCACGAGTCGCGCCACAGCCTCCAGGCGTCCAGGTCCGTCCGGGGATCCGGATCCGCCGTTTGCGGATAGTAATCTTCGTCCACCGGCGGCCTGGCAGCATCTTCGTGCACGACGACCCCCTGGAAGACCTGGGCAAACTGCTTTCGCAACGTCAACAGCTGTCTCTCCACTCCGTCCTTCGCGGGTGCGAGCTTGCCCGCGATGCCCGTCCCGGCGGCGGCTGTCGCGATGTGTCTCAGTCCTGCTGCCAGCGCATCATAGTTTTTCAAAACCTTCGAGAGCTTCAGCAGCGGCGGAAGCCCGCCGGCCTCTTGCGCCATTTTCACCCGCAGGCTTGGGTCCATGTGCTCCCGGGAGTATTCCTCGAAGGACCGGCCAGCAAAGTAGCGAAGACCGGAGTACGCGAGCTCGCGCACCATCTTTCCCTTTTCCTCGTCGCCCTGGCCCTCAGCATACCGGACGGCGTCCGAAATCAGGAGCTGATACGCCCAGTGCTCGTGTCCGTTGATGGGCTGAGGCTTTTCTTTTTCAGCCCGCGGGGTGGTCCTGCTCGAGTCTCTGTGTACCAAAATGGCGGGGGACACCACAGAGCCAGAACTGCCAGAGCTACCGGCGCTCAGCACACCATTCGCTGGCGAGGTGCTGCTGCTGGGCAACCGCGTGACCAAATATTGCCGCCAGTCAATCTTCTCTTTCACGCTCCTGCTTCCCAGCGGCGTTGGCGTGCGGGACATGGGGATGTCAACATCTTCCGGGCTGTCGCCCGTCTCGATTGCAGGGGGTCGGCGGCTACCCTGGCGACTGCCTTCAACAGGCAGACTCACCGTGGTGGCGAACACGACTGCTTGCAAAAAAAGCGCCATCATTGAAATATTTTCTATATCGGAGGCGGTGCTGTCACCTAGAAAGCAAAAGCTAATCAATATCACGTTCACTTCAAGCGGACAATGAAAGGATTGCTTAGCAAATCTATCTGGAGAATTGCTGCAGCTTTGCTTGTTGCAAAACGAACTACTTTACTGGAACTAATTGTACAACTGGAACAAGGAGGTTTCCTAATTTGAATGAAAATGCTAATTGATCGCTTTGGATGGCAAAGTCGAATTCCAACTAAGTAGTGAAGGTGCAATCTAATTGATTCGAATCCGAGAACGTAAACTCTTAATGCAATAGGAATTGATCGCTTTGGATGGCAAAGTCGAATTCCAACAAGTGAAGGTACAATCTAATTAATTTGACTCCGACAACGTAAACTCTTGATGCAATAGGGATTGTTCTAATTTTGCAGATGATGCTTCAATCGGTTTCTAATTTTTCAGAGAGAGATAAATAAGAGCTATCAAGGTGCAAGTGTGCTGGGCTGCCCAAAGCAATGCGTCTGCTGAGATTTTCGGAGTCACAAGTTGGGAACTTCCTGGAACTGGTTTTGATGAGTAGACAAAGCGATGACCTAAATATTCTCGTCAAGCGTTCAGACACTTCTAGGGAATTTCTAAAGTTTTTCCGTAGGGAAACACCGATTTTCTCTTCGATTCGGGCTGTTGTCACATTTTGCCTCTGAGTCATGATCCTCGCCATTTGAATTTACTGTACTTCTTATCGATCAAGGGCTTTTTCTGTCATTTTTGAAGTCCGGATCTCTTGACGACTTTGTCGTAGTCACTACGACAGACCGATTCGCCACCAATTGATACTGCGTACCGATCTTTTTATCTTCGGTGTCGATTCGATTTTGCTATAATTTTCAGCTTTAGAAGATCTTGATCTTATCATCTCAAATTCATTTTACAAATTGAAATTTCTCTATGTGAAGTGAATGCAGCTCGACTACGCACGGAACGCTTTACATCCCCCAGTGGTGATAACAGGAGTTTGTGTTTGCAGGATCATCCTGAGATTTTGGTTCTAGGGCTACTAGCGGTGCGCGTTCCAGCTTGAAACTCAAACGGTTTAAATCATACTGCAACTGCCGTCAAGGCAATCACATGGGGGTAGTCTACTGCGATTCACAACGTTAATCTACAAGGTTTAGACTTCGCGCCGAAAACAAAAAACAGCTACAGCGTACGATATGCTTATTGTACAAGAATCCAGACGCAGAGAACTTCTTCGTAGGTATCATATCAAAGCCCGTCTACCTCTTTTGACGCATGTTTCCTGTACGGAGGGTGAAGCAGCTATGATAGATATTGCGTTTGACGTCAGCGGCCGTGATATCCGAATTCGTATTTCTACTTGCATCTCTTTCTGAAAAATCATATTGATTACGATACGAGCCAGTGGCGGCAGCGCTGTGTGTAAGAGTGAAAACGATAGTATTTTTAGTACCCAGAAAATCAAACAGTACTTGTATGAGTGAAAGTCAAAACCGCAAGGAATGCTATTGCGAAATAAGAAACACTGTAAAAAATCCCTGTCTACTTGGGTAGCTCCTGACTTTACTGCTGACATGTTCCACTACGAGTACCGCTTTCCTCACGGTACGGTATGTGTTCTGATGGAATTGTTAGGTCAGCAAAGAAGGCGGAAGCTGAAGTGAACTCCGAGAAAGCAAAAGACGAGAAGCGCATGTATGACACAGCTGAGGGCACAGGGTTGGAGGGGAGAAGGAGAACAAAAAGCAAATGTAGTAGAACAAGCTGGGCACCCGCACCATCCAAAATACTTAACAGTTTTCAGATCATTTTGGGCCCCTTGCGTCTTTGCTTGTTTTGCCCCTGGCGCTCCTTCATATAGTCGTTTTGCTCCCGTGCTAGGATGGCGCGCTCGTCTTGTATGTACTCGTCCAGCTGAGACTTGATCAACTTCACCTCCGTTCGGTCAATGCCCATGTCGCGCCAGTCGGCGTCCGTGAGGCGGCGGATTTTCTCGAACGTTAGCCGCGCGCGCCGAAACTGCCCCGAAAGCCGACCCAGGTTGATTGCCCGCAAAAACTGGGTCGCACGAGCCACCTTCAGCTGTTCCGCAACGGCGTCGCGCCGCGAGCTATTATTGTCCACCTTGTACAGCTTGCCTTGTTGCCTGTTTTATAGAAAAATCCACAAGAACTGGTCGATCATGATTGAAACATTGAAGGAACAAGCAAAGTAAAAAACGTTTCTCCATCACATGTTGAATGTTGCACTTGCACGCCACGAAAATCAATCTACACGCCTGTGCACTAAGAAAAAAACACACTATGGCAGCATGGCATTGGCACATGTGGAAAACACGACCAGCTGCTACTTCTCTACTCAAACAAAAGCTTGTTCTACAGGTTTTTATATTCAGTACGCTGTTCGCTCGTTCTGGGCCTTTTCAATGACGCGAGAAGCCTGGTCCTGGATCCAGAGCTCGGCCGCGATCGCGGTACGCTGCGTCAATCCCGTTCGGTGTCCGACGAAACTCATGTTCCACACTTCGGCCCGGCCGTACTCCAAATTCTCACTGTGAATGATGCCCTTGTCGGCCGGAATGCGTTTTTTCAGGCGCTTCACGTAGTCCTGCACCGCGATTACTTTCAGGCGGTACCGCACGGTGAGAATCAAGGGAACGACCACCAGCATCGTCCCCAAAATCGCGAGGACCATCACCGGAACCATATCGCCCAAGACCATGTTCATCACAAAAATCAGACCGCACAGTATGGCAAAACCTGAAAAAAATTTGGATCGACGAGATACACTCTGTAGCCTGGAGGAAACAAAGAACGACAACGAGGAACAGGAAAACACAGCGAAATAATTCTTGACGAACGTACATACTGACATTTGATTCATGCTCCCTTGGAGGACACAAAAATCCGTGATGAAAAAAAAGAACTGACAAGTAGAGTGTACCGAGAAATGATGCGACGTTGACGGCGGCCATCTGGACTTTCGCCACCGAGTTCAGTTCGTCAACAGTCTCTTCCAGCCTCTGATCATACTCGTACCCCGGAGGCAATACGAACTTCGCGTTTCCGTCCGAGCAACCATCGAAACCCCAGGGCCATTGGGTACGCGGGGTGAACCCGAGCATGACGGACTCCGGCACACTGATAATGCGCACGCCGTCATCGCGCTGGACCGGGCCTCGGTTCTGCTTCGAAAAGCGCTTCCGCAGCTGCTTCACCTCCTCTGCCGGATTGCTGCCTTTCACCGGCTCGGAGGCCGCCATCTGATCTTGCGAAAAGCTGCACCCCCTTTGTTTCAAAAAAAAAAGGCCGGCGTTCGAAAGTACTAGAGAATTTTCGTATTCGTATTGTGCCTGGAGACTGAGAGTGAAACGAAAACAAGGGACAAATCAACTTCAAACAATCGAAAAGAAAACTAGTAGTAGTGACAAAAAAGGGAACGGAGAGGTCCTGCCTTTGTGCGAGAAACCGTGGGGAAAATTCTGAAATTCAATACGACTGTGCGGTGACGGTCGGCCGTCAGGTCACAAAAAAAATGCGAGAGCTGGAACGAATGCTACGGCGGCGCACGAATTCGTACGAGGTTTTCTATCTAGGCCTATCTGAGGCGCACGATGAAACCGATAGATTAATTGCAGGACGAAGAGGACGATTGGTATTACATCGAGTGCGTACGAACTCGAAGATCCCACGAAAAGTGCAACTCGTTCATTGTGGAACACCGTGATACTGACTGAACTTCTCTCTGGGAGACCAGAACGAGATATGTTCGTTCTGTATCTGTACCCTAATTTTGACGATGATAATAATTACGGTGGTACGCGGAAAGGAGTCAAACCAGTTCTCATTTTTATTTTCTCACTGACTATTTGAAATTGTTCACTTTATTGTAAGCGAAATGATAATGAACATGATACATACAGAACAAAGTACGAAAACGAAATGCTGCAGGTGCTAGGTCTGTCACTATATTTTTCCGGTATGATTTTGAAAGTCATTAGGTATCACAGTGTTTTGTCTCCAGAACAAAAATCACTGCTTGAGCTGACAAGCAATGAATTTGCTTCCAATCATGCTGGCCGTTCCAAACTCCGCGAAAAACAGGCCTGGCTTGGCTCGATTCACATCAGCGCATCCGATGTCGGGGCGTTTCTTTGTTGCTCTTTCTGTTTCTGCCTGTCCCCGACGCAATTTAGTTCTGTCGGTAATTCGCCCTGTGACCTCGCCGGGATACTGCCAGCACTGTCAGCAGTCCCCTGTTCTTTTGCCGCCTCAGGGACACAGCCAGAGACAAATGGTAGAGTGTCGTCGGTTGTCTCTCTACTTAAGTCTGCCCCAGCTCCTGCAGGCGCGCGTTTACTGTCGGCTAACCGTGTCAAAAACTCTAGCGCCCGCGGATCTACCGCGGGTTCTCCGAGTTCTCTGATAATGACTTGCCGAAACTCGGCCACGCTCTCCAGTACATCCGGCTGCGTTTGCGCATACGGCTCGTGCCGTCGCAGATGCTCCACCACATTGTGAAAAAAGTCGAATCGCCAATCGCACGCCGTGTCTACTACTTCCGAGGCGACAAGGAGCGGGGTATCACCGGAAGCAGTAGTGCTCCTTTCCAGTGAACGAGTACAACGACCTCCATCGGCTTTTCTATCCGACGAGCACGCGCTGCCAGTCGTCACTTGGCACGTTTTGTCTTCCTCGGCACTGCGGTCTTGATTTGCACCTAGTGGTCTATCCTGGTCCATTTGTGGTCCTCTCGCGTCCTCCGGCAAGAGAAGTTTGGGTAGAACCGCACTGTAGAAGTGCTGCCAGGAAGATGTGGCCGGGGTGGTCTTCAGAGTCTCTACGTCCGCGGTAGCAAAAGATTCCGGGCAGGCTCTAGTGGTGCTGCTCTTATTCGTGCTGAGTTCTCGTCCTGGCAAGCCTGACACGTCTACCCTGCAGGCCGCGTCATCACATCCGCTTCCGACGCTTCCCCCGGGACTTCTGCCGGGACTTCTGCTCCGGAAATCCCGGAATGCCAAGCCCAGATTCAGAAGCTCGCGGCATCGCAGCTCGTGTAGACGCGGCTCTAGGTGGTGGCGCAGCAACAAAAGCAGCACGACAGAGTCCACGTTCCAGGCTTCAAGCGCGTCGATTGCGTGCACCACGTTCGCACAAAAAGCCGCATCGCAGTCCTTCCATTTCAAATAGGTTTTCCGAACGTCGATCCGGCACTGTAGGGCACGCTCCAACAGATCTAGGCCTGCCAGCGAGGAGCCCAGATCTTCCTCATTTTTTTCTTTCCTTGCTCCGTCGGTAGACGTAGAACAACTGGTCGAGGTGGACACAATAGCTGTGCTGCCGCTGCCCTCCACTCCTCTAGATCCGGCACCTGTTGTGGGCGATTCTTTCTCGGCTGTTGTAGTTCCCGACCACGCCGCTAATGGTTGAAAGCGCTGGAACAAGTCATCGGCAGTTGTCCTTTGGTTGCGTTCTTGCACAAGATTTTTGGCACTGTTTGCGTTGCTACTTGCATCTTTCTCGAGGAGCTGTTGCAATCTCGTTTGCGCTGCGCCGCTCGCTGGTGCGGACGGTAACATTGCAACGAACCTTTGCACGAGCGCCGACAACACGGAGTGGTCCTCCCGGTACCCAAGTTTGGCCAGCGCATTCAGCGTGCCGTAGGATTGCGCGAGCGTCCACTGCACCTGGTCCGCCGAGAATGCAATTCGCGCGCACACCCGCCGCAATGCTTTCTGCAGCCATTCCTTGTCGTGGATAAATGCGCTCTGCCGCTGCAACCCCACGATCAGGTGGTGGCAACTCATGGGCCCCATTTTCTCGGTTCGGGCCAACAATTCCGAAATGAGCAGCTGGTACAGCCCTTCGTCCTCGTAGTTGAAGTACGCGAATGCACCTAGAATGCGGCTCAGTGTCGCGTCGCGCAGCACCTGCATCTTGCTGTTCGCATTTGTTTTGGTCACCAGATTTGTTGATCTCGTAGTACCGTGATGCAGCAGGTTTTGGTTCTTCAGTATAGAGTGCGGAGACTGAGTGCCCCCGCATGTCGCCACCGGCCTATTTGGACGAGAAGCAGGCGCACAAAAGTAATGGAAGCTCGCAGCACACTCTCGTAGCAAACTTGGGTGTTCGTGCCGCATTCGCATCAGCCCGAATAAAATTTTCTCCAACAGCGTCACCTCCAGCGGGGCTCGGCGGACCAGCTCATCCGCGATCACGTCAATGGCAGCGGACTTTGCCTCGACAGAAAGGCTAGCACCATCCTCGGGATGAACAAAGGCGGCAGGACTTATATCTTCAGATGCACCACCGTGTGCGACGAGATTGATGTCATCTGGTGATCCACACGACGTGACTGCCTGCTCATCGGCCAATTGTGCTTGTTCCGGCTCCGCAGTCTGACCCGGTACAGAGGCAGCAGGTACCGCTCCTTTACTATCCGAAACTTCGTCGACTGAAGTAGTCGACTTTCGTCCTGCCACGACAGCTGTGCGCCAGTTCAACTGACCGAAACTGCGAATTAAGTCTGCCAGCTCTCCTGCAGTGAGCAAATTGACCAGGCTGCTCTTGCCGGAGGTATCATGTGCTGCTGTCTTGCAGTCTTCGACGACGACAGGTCGGGCAGCTCGGTCGGCGCAGAAGCCTCCATGTAGTTCCTGCGGTGGCGCAGCAGACGCAACATTCGTGCTGCCTCCCAGAAGGCTCTGCGTGACCACCGTCAAAAACGGCTCATCGAAGTGGTTGAAGCTGGAGCATGCCCAGAGGATGGGCTTGAACAGCAACATCTGACCTCCCACCGTGGTTTCTCGATTGTATTGCTCCAGTAATGGGAGGGCCGCTCGGATGACGCCTTATGCATTGCAAATACGTCTGGGTCCACTCGGAAAGGTTGCAAATTGTACTGCGTTCCACAAATCAAACAAAAATTTCTAGCGTAAGAAGTGCGGTATTTGGCGGCCCTGCTATTTTTGAGACGGTATGTCTACTCACGCGACACATTCATATACAAAGGCCGCACAAAACCTGTGATGCTATGCCCCGCATCGCAGTGGTCCTCATGGGACTGCATCCAAAATCACCATGGCAAACACAGGCACTCACCCAGACATATTTGCATTTGATACGTCTGCGAGCAGAACTAGACCAAGATCTTCGCTTCTCTCGGTGAAGTAGCTTCGGTTGGCGAGCATCATTGCCAAGTCGTACAGCGTGGGACCACCTGCAGAGTTTTGAAGTTGACATACAAAAAGATATTTCAGCACTCCCCCACAAATCAGGCGGTCTGGTTTGTTTGGTTGTGTTCATGCGGGCAGGTGAGAACCCCTTTTGTCATAGCGCTATTTCCAGAAAAACTAATCTTTATTCCTACGGCTGGAAAAAAGAGCACTCAACGAAGTTCCTAGTTCTTCTTCACGCAAAAAGCAGACGCAAACGTTCTGTACATGAGACACCACCCATCAGGGGACCAACACGGTCGCAGAGTGCGGCGAATAGTGGGTCGTACACAAAATTCATGCGCGAAAGCGTTAACATCAAGCGCGCCAGTAGGAGTTCGCAGCTCTTCCCTGCTTCTGTGGCTGCGTGGGTGGTCGCAGCAAGCGCGACTTTCTGTAGTAAGTCCAGGTCCCAGCGCTTCACCGAGGTTCTCCCCACAGCTCCTACCTCTGCCACTACGCCTTGCGGGAACAGGTACCCTAGAATTGCGAACAGCTCCAGCACCGTGTCGTGATGGGACTTCTCGTCAAGCCAGCTCGCTCCGTGCATCAACAGCAGCCGCGCACTGCAGTGCAGCGCGGGGGGCAGAGTAGCAGCTGCGTGGTCCACCGCCGCTGTCGGTCGGGAAATGTGCGGCTGGCCGGGCGTTGCCGCGTAGTTGGCGCCAGTCGAAGCATGAGATGCAAGAGATGATGCAGCAGCCTGTGCAAAGGACGGCGGGGCCCACTTCGCAGCCAACCACGCGTTCTCATGGCGGAGCGAGCACCGTACAAGCTTCTCGACGACAGGCAGGACCGCCATGGCACTTTCGCCGGACAGGCGTTGCAGCAGACAGGCCTCCATCGTAACAGCAGTAGTGGCACAGAGGCGGCGGTTGCCCAAAAACCGCGCCAGCGCGCGCGTCGGCCACTTGCGCAGTAGCCGCTCGCGCAAACGAATGCGCTCCTCGGAAGTAAGCGTGCGCACGACGGGTCGACTGCGGGTTCTTTGCTCTCCCATGAGGACTGCGCCAGGTGGACTTGTGTTTGCAGCCGGACCAGAAAAAAGCCACTGCAGCTCCACCAGCAAGGACGAGGAGCCGCGTCGTCGCGCACGAAACCTCTCCGCGTCGGCTTCATGATCAGTTGTGACTGGTAGGTCTTCTGATTTTGCATCTGGAAAATTGTACTGCTCGTCCGGAGGCGTTGGTACCACATCCTGTATGCGAGCGCGAATACCCGTTGCCCTAGTTGCCCCAACACGTCGGCCATCACTGATTTGCTCGTCCGTCTCGTCCGCAGGCGTCGATGTCCTAGGCTCAAGAAGAGCGTCGCGGTCCGGCGAAATTGAAAACGCTTCTGAACAAAGACTGTGTCGTCGCGCTGCTATCTGGTCCGCTTCAGAAGGCGCACCCACCGGACTCTCTCGTCCGGTGCTGCACGAGACATCTGCTTTCTCGCGTCCGGTGCTAAGGACGCTCCTGGAGGCTTGGTTTATCTTCAAGTCTGGTTTCCCTTTTATTTCACCAACAGAGCAACTACTTTTTGCCTTGTTCTTGCGTCTTTCCGAAATTGGCATTGTATGTTGCTTCGCATCCACATCGAAAACCGTGCGTACAAGCTGCATCGCCGTCGGGTGCCCGCTCGCGGGCGGCGTAGGCCCGGCGGATCTACTTTCGGTCTCGGTATACCAAAAAACCGAATCACCTAGCCGGACTTCACGTCGCAAACCTGGGCGTTGCGCTCGCACCGGCGGATATGGAACAGGAGGCTGGGATCCAGCTGCTTTTTCGCCTTCTGCTGGCGGTGATGCGAAGGATCGCGCAAACAAAACAGGCGATAGCTGCTCGTTTGCCTGTCCCAGGTACCAGCGCCGAGCGTGCGCTCGCTCGCACCGCGACGAGCGGGAGACAACTCGGGTAGCCTCCAGAGTGCTTCGCAGAAGAGAGGACCTGTGCATGAGTCGCTCTTTCATGATTTCACCCTGGCGCTTCCTCAATAACTCCGTGTGCTGGGCTGCCCGTAGCTCCTCGCGCCGGGACACCTTTTGCTGTTTCTTCTCAAAACTACGAGTAGAGATTTCTTTTTCTTTTGCTTGGACCCCTCCAAAAACCGCATCTACTTCTCGTTCTTTTGCTGGATGATCTCGACTGCGGTCGTTTGAATTATGCGCGTTGTGGTATCCGAGTGGTCCGTCGCTTTCTTGCGCTGTTTCTTGCCAGACGAACCGATTGCCGTTCTGCAGCAGCAGCCGCCCCAAAGGACTTTGCGAGACCACGCGGGGAGCCCCACCTTCCTCTCTCGCCTTGTTACCGTCTTTCTTTGCTTGTTTCCGCATCCTAGCCGAGGCCACAGGTAGGGTCTTTTCCCAGACGAACCGGTTACCGAAGAGAACGAGACGCCCCGCTTTTCCTTCACACACGACCCTATTCGTGCGCTGGCTGGAAGCTTGGGGCTGCGCAGACGCCTTCGTTATTTGGTCGCGCTTGTTCAAAACCGTCACGGGCTGATCCTGATATTCAGCGCTGCGTCCCGTCGTCGTCTGCTCTACCTGCTCGTGCTGATGGTTTTGTTTTCCGTTGCTGTTTGCGGCCTGTGCATTAGCCCCTCCTGTATCTGCGGTCGGTCTCGGGGATGTACTATGCCTCTGCTTCTGGAGCTCCAGCTTCTCGCGACAAAGTGCGTACTGATCGACCAACAGATTCAGAACGTCGCCAACTTCCCGGAGGTGCTCTTCCTTCTGCGGTAGCGGCGTTTCCGGGTCGCGATTCAGCTTGTCCAAGGCTCTCATCAAGTTTTTTTTCCGAAATTTCTTCTTTGTCGTCCCCAGTATCGGGGCGATCGTTCCCTTCGACCATGGGGCCGCTGCACTGGCGCTCCCGGCGAGATTTGTAATACCGCCGCTCGCGCTCGTGGCAGTTGCGATCCGCACCGGCAGCGCAGCTGTGACTGCGCTCATCTTGTCTGGTCCTTGAAAGATTCAGCGACAAATCAACATCGTTTCTTTGCGGCCATGCATCAAGAAAACCATAAAACTTTCTTACCAACGGCAACGCAAAACTTGTCAAGAAAACTGAACAAGAAAACAAAATCGCATGCATGCGCGCGATCGGGGGTTCTGGAACTTTGCGCCAAGGAGCGCGCTCTTGCGCTACCGGATTTGCAAAGGGATCCAAAAAACGCCAGAGTCTAACACTCTTGAACCGATCTTGATCCGCATCCAGATTTTTACCCGGTTGCATCCACGATCTCCACTGCTTCATGGCGTGCTCATTTATGATCATACGGCGCAGGAAAAGCGTCTGTCTGGAAAAAGGAAACCTTCACCTGCGGACGACAGTCAAGACATCAATAGCAAGCAAGTGAACGCGCCTCCAAGGAACGGAACCATCTGCAATTTGATTTGTGTCGTCATACGCAGGCACACTATCAGCAGGGCTGTGTTGACATCTCCGAAAAGAAATTGATGATTTTAGCACTCGTAGAACATTTGCGCCCTGAGAGCGAACTGCTCTTCTTCCACACGCAAGCGCGCTTGCCGCAGACGCTCGCTTTCTTCCCGTTTTCTGACTGCCCGGGCCTCCGCACGAGGGGGGTTCAGTATTTCTAGGCGTTTGAGTGCAGCATCCTGTTTCTCAACTTCCTCCGCGACGAGTCGCCTCAGGCTCTCGCTGTCAATCTCTTCGCGGAGCATGCTGTGCTGATCTACCCAACCACCAGAACTCCCGCCTTTTCGTGTCGACGCCAAGTACGGGTTGTTGTCACTAACGGCCAGACTGGGAATTCCTACTTCTCTCAACACGTCGTTCCCGTCTCTCGCACCAGACTCGCCCTGTGTCACAGTAGTTCTACAAGGACGTACACTTTTGCGCAGGAGCTCCAACAATTGCTCCCGGGGCCAAAGCGGCGATATGCCCGTGACGTCGAGACCCAGGTAGCCGCGCCGCACGCACTCCTCGAGAATTAGGATTCGGATCTGGTCGATGTGCAGCTGCTCGAGACGCCGCATCTGGCCCTTGTAGCGCTTCGCTGCAGTCGCCTTTGCAGCTTTGTCCGCCTCCTTCTCCTGCCGAAAAGCCACAATCTCAGCAACGGTAGCGTCTATTAGTTTTCGCAAGTGCTCGCGAACCGAAGGAACTTGGTTTATTTTGTCCAAAATCAGATCATCCTCCTGAGCGAGAGTGCATCCGTTTTCCGCATTTGCGCTTGCGTTTCGCGCTGCCGCTAGTACTGCGCACTGTCCGTCCGCCGTGACGAAGTGATTACGCACCACGGCTTTTGGCCAAACCCACGAAATGCGGTCTAGCGGCAAGTCCAGCCCGGCTGCGAATCGGACTTCCTGGGCAAGCAGCGTCACGCACTTGGAATAACAGTGCTTCGTCGAGTATGGCAACAGCGTCCGATCAAACGCATCTTGTTCATCTGCAGGACAACTACTGACTGGCTTTCCAGCGGCTGCGGATCTCATATTGGCGATCCGGTCTATATGCTCCTGTCGCAGGTATTTGCCGAAACGCAAAGCAACGGAAGCATCACTCTCCACCTCTGGTTGATCCTTCGCAAAACCGTCTCTCGTCGAGGCGGCCCGACGTTCCGAAAGGAGCACGCTCGCCCCCGCAGCCAACGCCGCAGAAGATGACGCAGCAGTGGTGCTTTCGTGGCGTTTCTTGCCTCGAACCGGTGGCCACCCTGCCTCGCCGCGCCGAAAGGATTTTGCCCCGTCCGCACCAGTCGAGAGGTGGTACTCGATTTCCGCTCCTACTGCTGATACGCGGGAGCGTGTGACAAGTCTACGTCGAGCTGCTGAAAAAACTGCGCCACTGCCGCTTTTCCAAGAAGATATTGAAGAAACTTCTTCCTGGAATGGCGTTGCAGCGACCAGACCGTTTCCTCGCAAATAACGCAAGCTGCGCACTCCAGTAGTCATCATTGGAAATAAACGTGTCGTATGCAGCCAGTGTGTGTCAACATGTCAAGACGAACCCGAACGCTATCGGAACCTGAAAGAATAAGCACTCGCATAGACTCAGAAGAAGAGGCAACCAAGGACTGGCAAAAATCTGTCTTGAACGCTCGCGAACTCGTCAACACCCGTGCTCGTAGATACGGCGGGATACTATCCCCGCCTCGTGGTCTTCAACACACCACGCATCTGTTGTACAGATCCTTCGCGGTGGACGTGGATACCTACGGAGATGGAAGAATAACACGCGCGCTCAGTTCCCGAAAAGTGGTTGCCGAGGCAACATCCTTGTTTGCGCGAAATTCAGTTACAACTTTGCTTTGATTTTTTCCAACATGGCATTCGCGTCCTCATCGGCAATTTTGTCTTTCGCGGATGCTGGTGGTTTCCAGAGCCCATCGTCCTTGTAGCGCGGAATGAAGTGCACGTGGGGATGGAAAACCACCTGCCCAGAAGCCGCACCCAAATTTGTCAATACATTGACTGCGTCCGCACCGGTACCAGCCTTCACGGCAGCAGCAATCTTCGGCACGAGCTTCAGAAACTCCCCGGCGTCCGTCTCGGGCATATCCATGACAGACCTCGATGATTTCAGATTTGCGTGAGACTCGGAAAAGAGACAAGCGAAGCAGCACCAGCATCGACGTATCAGCGTAGTACTTAAAAGTAAAAAAGCACGACGTCATATCATTTCTCTTGTGAGAGATGAACCGTGGAGTAAAATTGAATCATATTGCAAGAGCGCAACGGCGTATCTATAAGTAGCGTGGTACCGATATCCTCTCTTTTTCGGCAACAGCAATGTGTGACCGGGGGCGACTGGGAAAGCGTCTAGAATTGCGACAGCCGTCTCATCCTCAAATACTTTGTACGACGGAAAAACGCCGTCCAAAATCTTCGCGAAGATGTTATCAGGCTGGTAGGCTTCGGGATCTTCTGGCATGGTGATGATTGTCGTGACGCGATTAAGTACAATTAGTCGCAAGCGAAGAAAGGGACATGGGGGGGTGCGAAAAGAGTGATGGACTACAACTGAAAAGGGGACTCTCGGTTACACTCTTTGTTTCAAGCGAAGGCTTCTTCGCGGACAGCTGTGTGAGAAGAGACAGCATAGTAAATATGGCGAGTGGACAATGTTGCACGTTGACAGATGACGAAAATGATTCAAATTCATCGTAAGTACTCTTATGCATGATCTTTTCAGGCGACCGCTCGGCAAGGAGGAGATCTGGGATCTTCCAAGGCAGATCTTCTGTCACTTGAAATTGATGCAGAGAGGCATGGTGTGTTTATCTATCTGATCACGCCCTATACGACATCTGCGAATACAAGGTCCAGCATTTGAACGAAGGTGGGACAGACTGACAGGATCTTTCGCAACTCGACTTGACACACTGTCACACCGCAAATATCCCGAACCGGCAGAAACTGTGCGCCACACACGCGAAGCTGCTTGGAACTTTCAACATAAGGGGCGAACACTGAAGTACTTCTAGGGAATCATACATCCCAGCTTAACAAGCAGGGCGGTCTCTCTTTTGGTTGAAGTTCTGCAGACTAGAATCACTTCAAAAATCCGAAAGATCCTCGTGCATATCTACTAACTCGCGGATGGAAGTTAGAATTCCGACGTAGGCATCCCCTGGTCGCTCCTTACTTAGCGTTGCTGTTCGGGGAGCGCTTGGCGTTCGGGCCCTTGACGACGTTGACGAAGCGCTTGGCGTAAATCAATCGCTTCTTGTAGCGGCCGGTCGGGGCCTTCTTCTTGTCGGCTGTATTGTTTTTGATTATGTCCATTTAGAAGCTAAGCTTATTTCTTCAAAACTCTGCTTGTGCATAGCAGATTCCGAAATTCGTGAAAAAGCGAGAGTACGAGCACTCATAACCACTGTTGCCTCAGCATACACCAATTGCTAGCATTCCTGATCCTGAATTAGAAGATTCAGACGGTAGCAGAAAAAAAAACAGGAAAAAACATGTACCTTGCGGGGCAACCTTCGGGGTCTGCCTCTTCACCTTTCCGGCACGAGCCAAAGAACCGTGGACCTTTCCCATCTTGGATTTTGAATGTTTTCACTACTACCTAGTCTGCAGTAATGTTCCCTGTGAGATTGATTGTGAATTGAGATAAAGATTGAGCCCTTGAATCCACGGCTGCGGGTCACGGCATCGCAGTTATTTCAACTTTCCCGAACCGCTCTCAGTAATCTAAACTCAATTTAGATCGATCTCGCCCGGATGTTGTTCTTCCTTGATCGAGATACAGGATCCATTCAACTTTCGTTTTCGTGCAATTCTCCTGAAAAAGATCGGGTTTGAGCGAGTACCGGATCCGATCTGGAACATTTTCTAAATCTAAATAAGGCGAGCACAAAATTTAGATCCGTCGGAACTACAACATTTGGTTTTAAAAGAAACATCGTATTTCTCGAATTCAGCACAACAGACAATCACGGAGCAGCGTCAGACTGTTTGTAGGATGCTCCGAACAGCCACTCACTCTAAAAGAAGTGCGGTGACCTGGAAGAGCTTCCACGTTGCTTTTGCGGGTATGTCTTCAGCAAAACATCACAAGGAGGATGCCCAACTGCTTTTTTACACGCATATCGAGATCCTCTCTGATCGGGCACAACAAAATCTATCGGCTGACGATTTGCAGAACGAGAAGCACGACTATCATTCAAGCCAGATCCTTCGCTTTGGTTGATCTCCGTTCAGACGAATTTAGACGCTCACATTCTGCGGTTTACACGAGGAACCACATGATCGAATCTTTCGGGATCTTTAGGAGATCGCGTAGCAACACATTTGACGGGATAATGGAATTTCATTTAGAGTGGATCCAGAAGCGCGTGGAACTGCTGAGATGAATGTCTGATGCCCAGAACAGAAAAAACACACAGGTTGAAGAGTGTCGATTCATGGAAAGGCAACTATTTCTTGTGGCGCAAGTGTCTTCAGCGCAGCACCACGGGAAAAGGTGCTGCACTGCTTTTTCGAGCGCAAAAAGATCGTTCAGGTAGAGAATGTTCGTGTGCTGGTCCGAGAATGCTGCACAACGAAAATGATGCACAGGAGGAACTCCTACTTGAATAAGCATATGAAACAGCTCGAGCACCACCGAAAGAGGACATGTCAATATGCAAAAATTATCCTGAATAAAACTTCCGCACCTCTGCTCAAAATATGAACCTGAACCATCGGCGGGGAAGACCAATCAATATACATTTACAATGCGAAACATTTAGCTCTAAGGAAACAAAGCTCTATCAGCTCGTTCCGGGTCTCCGTTATTGCAGCGAGTCCGAAGGTTGCAGAATGCCATCGTCGTTTCCGATCTTGTTTCGAGCCACGGCTTTGACCGGGGCAGTGGGTGGCGCCTTCGTTGCCGCGAACGTAAAGGTATTGTCATTTTGCGATGAACTCTCATCGGAAGAGGACGTCAGTGCCTGCTTCTCTTTTTCTAAAGCCAGTCTTGCTTCTTCCTCCGCCTTCTCTCGCTCTTTCTTTTCTGCCTGCAATTCATCCGCCTTCTTCTTCGCTTCAAGCTGCTGCTTGTTGTCATGTATACGCGCGTCCTCCTCTTGTATCAGCTTCGCTGCTTCCTCCTGCGCCATCTCAAGCTTTTCCGCGTCGGATATTGGTGGCGGTTCGCTAGGACGGTGGGTGCCCGGCTCGTGCTCGCGCCCGCGGCGAGGTGAGACTGCAGCTCGAGTGCGCATCCCCCTGCTCTGCATGAGCTTCAGCGCGCGCGGTGACGGCGACTGGGTTGCGCGCTGCGGGCTGGGACTTGCGTTGCGGCCTTGTTGGCTGTTCAACACCGCCGCACTCCCGACCTTATGCTTGGTCAGCATGACACTGACGCCTTCCCCCTCCGGCTGTCCGAGAAGCGCGTCCTCCTGCTCCCGCAGAAAGGCGCTCTGGCCCTGGAGGTATGCTTCCATCCGCTGTTGGAAAAACTCCACTCGAGGCACGCTGTGCTCCGCCAGCTCCTGCAGAATTTTTTCATCCTTCTCGTCCTTCGCTTTGTAAACCAGTTCGTTGCTGCAATCGCGACACAAGAATGCGCTCGGGAGCGCAGGTAGTCGCTTTCCACCCTGCGCAATCTTCAGTGCGGCGCTGAAATGCTCCGCGATCTCGGCCTTCTCTCGGTCCGCCCGAGCCAACTTTTCGTCCCGCAGGGAGATCATGTGGACCAACCCAGCCACCTTCTCCTCCGCACTCTGCTTCGCGAGCAGGGCATCCGCGGCACGTTGCTGCTCCTCTTCCAAAGTCTTTTGTAGTGCCGTCACACGGACTCTCCAAGCCCTGGTGGGAAGATGTTTGTTTGATTATCATATAAATTTCAGTAGCGTAGTTGTAGCGAGGAGTCTCGCTCCGCATATGCTGCTTGCACGCAGGTGATCAGAATAATCTTTTTTTAGTGCACGACCTTACAAAAGAAGAACCGAAACTCCGGTCGAGGTAAAAACAAGTATTGTTTGTGTAATCTGTACTGCCGACACGCATCTTTCAGTCCCTGGAAGCTCCGATTCAGGAGACTCTTCCATTTGCGCCCCATGAGCTCGACCAGCTTCGCTTTGGCTGCCTCTGCCACGCGCGTCCGCTCGGTATACTGCGTCAGCATGAGCTCCAAGTTGGCACATTCGCGCGTCTTGATATCGAGGTCGAACTGCGTGTCCTTCAGCCTGGTCTCCACCCGCTCGATGTGGTTTCGCAACCGCAAAACCTTCATATCCAGCCAGTTCTTCTGCATCACGCGGAAGCATTTTTGCGAGAGGAGAAACATGAGCTGCCGGTTGATCATCCGGGCCTGCTCCGCCATCAGCCGCTCCTCCACGGCCTGCTGCAAAAGCCGCTCCTTCTCGACCTCCTTCAACTTTTCCACCAGATTGAAAACCCGCTTCTCCAGCGAGTCGATTTTGGCCTCGTACTTTTGTCGGAACGCCAGAAACGCCCACGCGGTGAAGAAGTTCTTTTGCCGCCGCTGTCCTAAAAGGACGTCGTGCAGATACCGGTCGAGCCGCCTGAGTCGCTTGATTTGCTCCCCGAACTGCACGAGGAAACAGCTCGCCCACCGCCGGCGCCGCTGTTTGACGGCGAGCAGGGTCGCGAGCCTGGAGATGCGCGTGTTCAACCGGTCCTCCACCTTCAGGAGCGCGTCCTTCATGCGCGCCAGCTCGAAGCGCAGCGAGACCGCGGAGTTCTTCGTCGGCGCCATCATGCACTGCATGAACTCGATCACGTACTCGTGCGACACGTCCTTCGTCCCCAGTTTGTGCCAACACACGGTCAGCGAGTGCTGCACTTTCGCAATCTTGTCGGAAATCTTTTCCAGCTGATTCTGCATCATTGCGGCGAACCGCACCTCGTTGATTCGCCCGCTATCAAAAGGAAAAATCCCCCCTCCCCATATCGAAAAGGTATGCCCCCGAAAATTTGTGTTGCTGATTTGAGCCTTAGTTCCCCATGATATCCGTAGGCCAGACGTCGGGGGTCCCTCACCCGACACGCCGAACTTCCTCCTTCCACACGCAGCGTCGGAGGGGTCGCACGTAGCCCTGGAGGTGATAAACGAGGGTGGCGCCTGTATATGCAGTAAAATACTGCACAGGAAATGAGGAAGTCAGAAAGGAACACAAATGTTCTGGGATGACTGTTTAGGAACATCCCAACAACCTCCGCCAACCACTGCCCTCGAATACACAAGAGAAAGCCGAAGCTAACTCAACTCCGGATACCCTTCCCGAAGCTGACCTGAACCGCCTTTCTCCACAGGTCAGCGACGAGGCAATGCCCTGAGGGGACCGTTAGGAACCTCCCCAAACAATCGTCATGTCGTTTCGCCGAAGCAAAACAGTCTGACGAAAGAGACGCTCTACCAGTACCCAGCGGCAAGTACACGGTAGGCATGGGCATAGGAGAACCGAACCGCACGACCACTCGACCGAGGTAACCCAGGGGGCCCTGTCCGTAGCAGCCCTGGGGACCAAACGACAGCGACGGAGGAAAAACAAAAGCCAAAATGACTACCAGTCAAGCAGCACAGGAGCGTGAACACGAGGGAGCACAGACAGGGGAAGAACCCTTGCTGAGCCCGGGCACAGCCCCATGAACCCGCCCCCACACCGCAAGCCCCGGAGCAAGCTCCGATAGCCACCCTGACCCCGTCTACCCCCGAAGCAGCGTCGGCAAGCGTGGACGAACTCCTGGCAAGAGCCTCGCGCAACGGGAATTTCCCGCCAGGCTCAATCCACGAGAGCCCTGAGTGGAAGGCAAGACGGCCTCGCTCAGGAGAAGCAACAGGACCCCATGGTTCCAGCGTAAAGTCGTCCACCTCCGTGTCCACGCACCGCAGGTTCCGTATAGCAACGTAGGCCAGAACCGCCGATACTGCAGCCACCGCGAGCACGAGAGCCGCTAGAGAGGAGGTGTAGCCAGTTAGGGAGTGAAGCTACGTCCTCCTCTCCCGAGAGAACGTTCGCGATCAAGTCCAAATGCGCCGACGCCGCCGCGCACGTATGACCCACCGCTCCTTGTCTGGGACGCATCGCTACTGAAGAAGAAGCAGGAAAACCGCGCCACGCATCCCGCCGCAAGTACGCCACCGCCAAAAAAAAAGGGCACCACCGCACAGGGACCGGCTACTATGCCTACAAGCCTGACCTCAACGCATCTTGGGAGTCCGCGCCTGCGCTTGTGGCGGCGATCGGGCCAGAACGCTTGTGGTCTGACTCAGACTTGTCTGCATGGTACACGCAGGAGGAAGTATTGCTGGCACCCACGGGACCCGAGGTCCACGACGACGACCGCTCGCCAAAGACATCCATACGCGGCAGAAGACGAACCCGAAAACCCGCACCAACCCGCCGCAGGCAACCCACCACCATAAGGAGCCCCACCGCACAGGGACCGGCCACCTACCATGCCTACAAGCCTGACCTCACGCTTGTGGGAGTCCTTGCCTGCGCTTGTGGCGGCGAACGGGCCAGAACGCTTGTGGTCTGACTCAGACTTGTCTGCATGGTAACCGAACAAGGAAGTATTGCTGGCACCCACGAAACACGATGTCCACGACGCCGTCCGCTTAACAAAGAATTCCATACGTGGCAGAAGACGAGCTCGAACCAGCGCAGCAGAGAGCCGCCGCAAGAAGCCGCGTCGCCTTGTAGAAAACCACCGGCCAACAGAGAGAGTGTCAGCGACGAGTTCCGACCTGAGATCAGTGTGAAGAATAAGTAGTTCATCACAGGAGTACACAAAGAACAAGCATATACGAAAACACCAACTCATAGCGAATTGCAACACGCAAAGATTTTGTCCCTGATCTCCCCGCGCGTCTGGGCTCTCCGCTGGTGGGCGCGGCATCCACGTGGATCCGGTGCAGAACCCCGCTCCGGCATAAATCCACACTCCTCTATGAGTAGCCCGCCGAGACTGCAAAGCCGCTTATACCGTACCGGAGGTCCCGACCGGCATGCACGACATGGAGGCGTGGAAGTCCGCATGCGAGAGGCCGGAAACCAGAGGAGCAGGTCGCAACGGACGGGGAATGGCTTGTAGACGAACCCCAACACGATCGGACACTCCGGAAGAAGTCGGCATCTCTTCGATCAGCCGCGGGCTCGCGAGCTGGCCGCTTGTCCTGGCAGCGCCCGTTTACTTCGGAGAGCCCACCTCGACGAAAGCCAGCCACGCCGCAGAGAGAAGATGTAATGCGCCCGGGCCGCTGACGGAAACAGAGGGAGAGGGCGAGAGCCCTGCAGGGCTCTAAACATGATGCAGATTTGAGACCACAAATCGTCGCTGTATTGCATGAAGGCAAGTCTACAGGCTCCGCCACATTCTACGGGCGGTTTGTCATGCTGTTGCTCCTACAGCGTAGACTTCTGCCATGCTAAGCGCCTAGGCCAAAACTTGTCTACTCAGGCCTGATATGGGCCTGCAGTCCTCGCCAGCAAGACAAATCTGATTTGTGACCTCAAATACAGCATCACAAATTTCGTTTTCGATATGGGGAGGGGGGATTTTTCCTTTCGATACCCCCTGAACCTTCTTTTTTTCCGTCTCCCCCACGGTAGTTGCGGCATGGTCAACTTCGACCTTCTTGTTCGATGCCGTACTACCAGCGGAGGCCGTCTTCAATGTTGCCCACGGCGGAGGGGTGCGGTCGACTGCCTTCTCTTTTTCCGCGCTGTTCGTCTTCTCCACGACACTCGTCGGCGGAGCCACACCATAACTCTTGTAGATCTTGGCAATCTTGGCCTGCAGACCCTCTTCAACCTTCGACTCATATTGCACGGCGTCGGCGAAAAAACCGCGGGAATTGTTTGATCTAATTTTGAACCAGACCCCTACTTCGAGGGTTTGTGGCAAATGCATAACCGACTGCAGGAGCTGGTCGAAGTGTTGCATCGCCGCTTCCTTGCCTTCTTTGAAGTCCGCGGCACTTACTGCCAGCGCTCGAACGGTTGAGCAAGTCATGTGGTCCAGGTCCACCAAAAACCCCGACCGCTGGAACTTTTCCTGCGCCCCAGCTATGGTGAACGTCGATTGCTGAGCAGCACTCGCGCCAACAAACACATGATTGCCCACCAATTCGATCTTCAGTACCCCGTACACATTCAGTTTCTTCCTCTCCAGTTCGTTCAAAGTCGGTCGGTCGCGTCGAAGCGCAGCTCTAGCAGGGTCGAAATCGCTCTTCGGAAAGGCGTCCGCGTGGTCCGCTCGAATCCTGTCCACTGCTTTCTCAGCAACGAGGGCAGCATTTTTCGTTGCAGCAGGGGTCGTACCGACGTCCGTATCCTGCTTCGCGGGCGGCAGAGTCTTTGGCTTGTTGCTGATTTGAGGTCACAAATCACAGCTGTCTTGCAGGAAGACAAGGGCAGAAGCTTCGCCCCCATTATGGAAGCGATTAGTCATGCTGTTGGGCCTAAAGGGGAGCCGTTTCGCATGCTGAGCAACTAGACCCATACGCCCCTACCTAGCCTGGGGACCTGGTCGCAATGCCTTACTGCAATACAGAGCTGATTTGTCTACACAAATCCAGCATCAGAAGTTCCGTTTTGAAGATATGGGGTGGGGGGATTTTTCCTCTCAATACCCGCGGTCCTTGAACTTGGTGCGCTCGATCACGTCGGAGTAGTGCAGCCGGTTCAAAATATCCATCCCGTACCCCCGCCACTTGAAGCTGTCGAATTCCTTCAATAGCGCCCCCATGGACAGCCGCATGCGGTAGGCGCCGGCGGAGATGCAGCTCAAGTCCTCGAAGTACACGGAGTCGTAGTTCTTGCGATCCCGAAGAAAGCTGGCGACGCCCTCGATGCCGTCCAACTTGAGGTACTCGGGCCGCCGGTTTTCCTCCTCGAGCCGCGCGCGCCTTTTGGCCTCCTTCTTCCGCTTCAGGTTTTCCTCCAGCAGCCTCTGTTCCTCCTCGCGACGCAGCCGGTCCAGCAGCTGCTGGTCGTTCTCGGCTGCCGCCGAAGAATTTGGATTCTCCTCATCCGTCATCGAGGCCGGGAACTTCAGCACCTTCTCGCCCGTTAGCCCAACCATTTCTTCCAGTGCGCTTTCTTTTTCCGGAGGCACGGCGCCTTCCCGTCCGTCGGAAGCTCCGGCCTGAACTTCTCCAGCGGCCTGCTCAGCAGGGTCCATTTTCTTAGCACTCTCCGCTGTGCCCCGGGTCTCTTCCCCGTTTGGAAGCAGTTCCCCTTCCTGCCGCTCTTCGTTCTCTTCCATATTAACGCTGTTCCGGGAGTCAAGAGGAATATTCTTCTCCTCCCCTTCGGAATCGGATTGTTGATCGCGTCATGAATGACCCATTACGACTCAAATGAGTAAATTGGACGAAAACCGCCTCGGAACAATCGTGTGGGACCGACGGGGCAACATGTTGTCCACAACCAGAGGTATTCTCCCTAAGAAAGCTAAGCCCCGTGATGAACACGTGCACGCAATAGAGGCCGTGGCGGTCTGCATCACGTGGAAACATGCATTCTCTTTTTGTCAAAACAACGATACACGACAACGAAACAAAAGGCGAGACGACCAATGCGAATGGCGTCACCCCTTATAAACCGGCCGAGAAGGGTGACTCTGGCAATTGAGCACTGTGCTGACGACGATAAGCTTGCGGAGGTCCCATGTATCATGGCTCACTGGTACCGAGCACGACAAACAAACTTGCGGATCTCCCATCATGTATCACTCGTATCTTCACATCGAACTCTTCTCCCGGTTAGCTATCTGCTGGACACGACACGTCGCTTCTATCACCAATCACTCGAGCACACACCACGATATCAATTTAAGCCATGAAAAAATGAGCCGAGTAATACGGTGCTGTACAGAATTGCCAAGAACCGCGGCTCTCTCTGCAGAACTCCAAACATCGTACCTTCGGTGTTTTGCAATGGGAGCCCAGGCGGGAGGAAGGTTTTTAGTCAGCTTTACAGATTACCAGCGAAAATTGTGGGCGTGTTCAACAGTCAAACAATGTTGGCACCCTGTACCCCACTTGATATTCAAGTCGCAAATTGCCCTCGAGAAGGAACGACCTCTGCTGCTCCTCGAATTAAGCAATCTAATTGATGTTGGTACTGAATCTTGTACTAGCTTGCGAAAGTTTGCGATTTTTTGGCATTGGGTAAAGTGCTCAAGCTCAGATGTGGTTTGTACGCATAGGAATAAATCATCTTACATTTACATTTTTCACTGAAGTACTTCGTACACGGAAACGCGAAGATAGCGCGGACATGGCAAATGCGTCGAAAAGAAGCCGCCTGGTTTCCAACACAGCTTCTAAGGTCGTGTGGACGTACTAACATACTCGGCTTTAGTGCTGGTCAAGGCGCCCGCGGTTCTCAGCATGCTTTCGTACTCGTCGTCGGTAGTAGAGTGGGGCTTGGAACCACCAGTAGGCAGAGCCGCCGGCGGCTTCTCCTTCTTCTTCCCCCGCTCCTGCCGTTTCACACACCACGTCCACACCAAGCCAGTGGAAACCGCCCCGACAGCGAAGACGAGGAAGTAGCAAACCGTCGTCCAAAAGCTCGCCCCCCATGTTGTAAATGTATCAAAAAAGAACTGGACCCGCGTCACTTCAGCTGCGAGCTTTGCTTTCACGCCGTCGCCTCTCGTCCCTCCAACATGGTGCGCTGAGAAGTGGGCCTCCTCGTAGTCGCGCTTGCGGGGCTCGATGTCCTGGTATAAAAAGTCGTGTGCTGTTGCGAACGTGGCCTCTTCCTTGTCCTCGTGTGGTGTCGCTCGTTGTCCTTCGTGACCTCCCGGACTTGGTGGTGCCCCGACCTGCATCGCAACGTCTCCTTCTGCCCCGTAGGCCGCGACCGACGGGCCAGACAACTGGTCGCTCCAGAGGCCGGGGGAGGAGAATGAGGACATGTCTTCCGCTTCCGGTAGTTCGTTTTGCGCTCCGTCGGCCGCTACGAAATTTTTCCTCGTCTTCGTCTTGCTTCCAAGCGGGGATGGCTGCGGGTGCCCGGAAGACGGCACCAAGGGCACGGTCATGAGGCTCTTTCCGCTTTTCACTGGCGAAAGTACCACGACGCCAGCAGTTGGGCTCGCCGTCGTGTCTGTCGTAGGAGTACCTCCGGGGACGGCGGCGAGAGAAGGACTCGCGCAGGCGCTCGGTGCGTGGATTTTTTTCCCCGAGCCGCGGAGATGCGGCGTTTCGTTTGTAGCTGTTTTCACCTGTGTTTTTTTTTTGTAGCCATTTTCAGTTGTGCGCACGCCATCACTGTTTCCACAGCTGGCTTGTGCCCGAAGGTCACACTTTGTATCCATCAACATCCTCGCACTTCTACCGGTTGCAACGAATATTTTATTCGAATTTCCAACTTTCTTCTAGGCCCCCAGAGGCACCCTGTGATTGTCTCCGAGGAGCACTGTTTCAAAATTTGTTTTTTTGTCTGCGACGTATCGAAAACAAGAACAAATACTCGCCCGCCTGTCATCTGGTCCTGCAAGCGAAATTCGTCCACTTTGCTCGCCTTGTTCTCAAATCCCCGCGAGGCTGCCCCTCCTCCTGTACACCCTGCAGCCCCTCCCCGAGAGTGATTGCAGCCCCTTCCCCTGCCTGTTGCATGTAGCTGTCTCCCTTGGTTTGCTCATCTGCGGTGATGGTCAGTGTAGTCTCCGCGTGTTCTTCTTCCTCCAGCTGGAGAGAGGAGCGGGCCCGCGGGGCTCTGGTCTTTCTTCCTCCGGCGCTGGCCTTCTTTTTCGAGCTTTTTTCGCGTTCCTTCGGTTGTCGGGGACGCGGTTTTTCAAGACTGGCGAGACCGGCCCCCAATACTGCTGGGGCGCCGAGGATAGTAACACCAACTGCCAAATCTTGACCACTCGGAGCAAGACCACCACCAGTATCAGCACCACTCGCACCAGCATCAGTCACACCAGTATCAGCACCAGGAGTCGCTACTTGTTGTACCGGCGCCGCCGAAGCCTGGGAAATCGCTCGCGCCGACCGGCGCCCCTTGCGCAGGCAATGTGCTACTTCCACTCATATTTTCGGTGTAGTCGGTCGTCTTGGGAAATTCTTGAATCTCTTGGAGCGACAAAGACTTCTCATTTCCGTCAAGGGTATTTCCTGGGTGGTTGTCTAGCGTGTCCTCGCCGATCCACTCCAAATGCCCTGCGTTCGAATCTCCGTGGTGTATCTGCATCCCATTCAGAAGTTTGAAAAGGTTGTTCCCGTGCAGCTCCCACCCGTACATCCCCAGCGCACAGTTCTGCAGCCCTTGCGTGGTCAGTCCGTCGCCGTGCTTGTAGTCCTGGCACAGATTCTATCCAACAGAAAAAAGCGGGCAGGTCCAAAAATGCGAAAACAAACACACAGAAAAATCTGTCATGGGGGGGCCCATAGCATGCTGCTTCGGATACGCAGGACAGATTTTTTTTGTTTGCTTTGTCTTTGTTTATTTTTGCATTACAAACATGATCTGCCTGTATTTTTCTGTGGGATAGACTCAGCAGCTCGTGCATGGACACGGAATTGGGGTCGCCACCGGGATGATGGATCATCGCTGCGTGCAGAAACTTCTTGTCATCTTCGTACAGGCCATTGATGCCGTTATAGTCACTGTGTTGCACAGGATCAAACTTCCACACATCATCCGGTATATTCCCATAGTTTGGATCAGTGTAGTCCCCCTGCTGTTCCATCATTCCGTACTCTGCTTGTATGTAGCCAACCGGGTTACTGATGGAGGCCGGGTGGTGAAATTTACTTATATCGATGCTTTTGAAATCTCTCGCAGTCCCGTCATGGGCGTCCGGATTTTCTTCACCAAGCCCGATCCACGTCGCCGGGGTGCCTCCGGCGGCTTTCCACTCGTGCCACTCCACGTATCCGTTGCCATCTCCATAGTGTTTGTCAAATTCCGTCAAATCCTGCTGCGTGATATGTGTATCTGGAGTGCCACCTTGTGAATCGTGCAACTCGGCAACGCCGTCGAGAAAATTATCGATCCACTTCTGCTTGATGATTCGCCTCATTGCTTGTTTCCTCTTCTGCTTTTCTCGTTTCGTTGTCCTTTTCTTGTTCCTCTCTTGTCAGTGCTGCATTCGCACACCTTCGGTCGTCATCTCCTTTTCTGATGTGGCAACTTCGGTTGCCGTGACGAATAACCAACCTCGCCGCGTCGCTGGGCGGTGATGGTGCTTGTAGACTGCGGCGTGGTCGTTGTCCCGCGGCGACCACCAGTAAGAGCGGTCAACAACGGAAAGGCTGTAATAGAACAAGAAAAACACCGCTGGCGCGGCCAGCAGGAACGCGCGCAGCAGCGTCGTGCCCCGCTCTGGTGTGTTCGCCGGGCTCCTTGCGGTCGTGATTCTCCCCTGCTTCAAACGGTCCTCACGGCCCATGATTTTCCTCACCGCTTGTTTTCGGAACACCCGGTTTCGGGTTGGTCCTGCCGTGCTGGAAAAAGAATCACAATCATCTGCAGCACCGTGCAGCGTCAGTGCCTGCGAAAGACCGGAGAAAATCCAGGATGACGATAGCTGCCAGGAGCTCGAGTACAAGTTCGTCGAGCAGGAGTCGCAGCTCCCGCGGCCGGTTGTTCTCCTCCTTGGCGTGTACTTCATAGTTGCGGTCGTTGCTCAACAATATCTCGCCCAACCCCTATTGAACCAAGAGTAAAAAATCCTCACCGAGATCGAACAGAAGCGAGCACAGCTGCTGCGCGGTGCAGGTCTTCTACGTACAGATTCATTGGTCTAACCGGCACCGTGATTCCATGAGCAACATCACTCGACGCTCAATACTAGTAGCACGAGAGGTCCTTCGTCCATGCAATCGAAAACAAAGAACTGTCTCTATCTGTACTTATTCCCGCGATGCCTCTTTATTCCAGCGAGCAGAACTCTCGAGGAAAACTCCGCAGTCAAATTCGCGGACATGCGCCTTTCTTCACGCTGTAGAAACAAAACAAATGCCTGTGTACGACTAGCGAAGATAAAAGGCCAGCAATCATGCGAGTGCGCGGAAGCGCCATACCACAATCCCTCCCCGAATTTCAACGAACTAGCCCTAGCGTCATTTGATGCGCTATCCTACGATACGAATGAAAACGGCACAACGAGGCGGTGCAGGTCTCGAGGAGGCGATACACTTGATAGAAAAACGACCACACACGAAGCGAACACTACCTGCTGTGCAACGTGAACGTGGTCAGCCGCAACAACCCTCATTAGAAGGTCCATGTGAGAAAGCTGCTCATTTGCGTTTGCCTCTATGCTTCGCCAAAAGCAAAAATCTGAGCAAGCTCTGATACGCTCATGCGTTGATGATGTAGTATGTCCAAAATTGAATGACTGTAGTCCGAGCGGTGAAACTGAAACCAATTGGAGAATATAAGAATGTTCAGGGTCTGTAGAGCAAAGGATACAAAATCTAGAACATGCACTATGCTGGCACGAGCATCCGGCGTCTGCAGTTCAAAAACTTTTGTGAGAAAATTTCATTTTTTGAAACAGAGACGAATCTTGATGGGCACAACTTAAAAGTGAAACCAAAGAAACAAATTCTAGTGAAAAAACATTGGAAATTATGTAGACTTTTTTGTTTTACATGGTAAAAAGACTCACACCGTCTATACTTTCTTGGAAAGCGATCTTATCGGCGGTTAGCGGCATTCGGCACAAGACGCGTGTTGTGTCCGTTGCGGGCAGCGGCGTTCGGAAGTTTGTTCGTAATTGTAGCTGCAGAATATTGTGAATATTCACAGGATTGTGGATTTTGATTCTCAAGAACAAACATGCAAACTGGGCTTGATAAATTGAATTCGATAGTGGCCGTGGCCCACAGATAATTACTACACCATGCATGAGCATGTGTATCGATCCACCGTGTACAGCGGGCAAAGAAAAAATTGGTTTATGTCTATAATATACGCTTCTGAGCGGAGTGGGCGTCGTGCGCGTTTCCGGGTTTGGAGCTCAGGAGGGTGGGCATCTGGTGTTCCGCGCGGATGGCCTGCGCCACCTGCGGCGGGGTTTTGACCGTGTTCACGGTGGAAACGAAGTCGAAGTTTTCGTAGCGGATGCGGTCCATCGTGCGAGTGTGCATTGCAACTATGTCTGCGTCTGGAACACTGCAACTTGTGATGCAGCTGTGGCTGAAGTAGAAAGACAACCCTCTGTATTGCGTAGTCAGAAATCAACAAGCGCGCACTTTTTGTCTCCCCAAGAGCGCATTTCTCATGCAGAGACTAGGCATGGAGAGGCCTCCGCGCATCTTGTCAGGCTCTGCGTGCTTTCCAGAACTATTTGCAGGTCCACAAGCTGTATGATAAACGTCTACATTCTTCTTCCAGACCCAGACTACATATTTGCAGTTGATAGCGAGACAGGTTCTGCCAGTGCGGCAGTGGCGTCTCCTTGTGCTGCGGGAACTTACTGGTGTCCAGCGTCGAACTCACCTTCGGAATAATCGGCGCCGTCTGCTGGTAGAGGTTGCCGAACTGCAGGTTCTGGAAAAACTTGTGCTGCTTGATCTGCGCGAAGGCGAGCCGTTGCTGCACCGGTGTGACCAAACTGTTGAGAAGCTCAACCGCCGGGTCCTTCAGATAGCCGGCCTGTCGCCCCCGCTGGACCGCTTTGCCGAAGTAGTGCTGCCACTTTTGGATCTTGTAAATCACACGGGTCACCTGACGAACGAGACACATCATCGTCGATCGAAACTTCTTATTGTCATTCGACGCTACTAGGAAGTTACTGGATTGTAGTGAGCACACACTCACGTAAGCATAATTTCATCTCGGAAACCAGCAGCAGATAGATTTCAAAACAGCCACGCAGCCTCGATGAACCATTATGTAGAACAACAAGATCAAATCAAAACAGGCGAAGAGACTCGTACACGAAGTACCGCATCAGCCTTCTGGATCTGTGGCGGCTCTGCCTCGCCCACGCGTGGGTTGAACGGGGTAGAGCCCACCAGGCAATCATACATGACGACGCCAGCAGCCCAAAAGTCCACCGCCTTTGTGTAGGGTAATGCATTGTAATTTCGGCTTCCACTTCAGGGAGCATGCAGTTGTGTTGCGTGACTTGCAAATTTGGTTGTCTATGATGAAGCTAAAAACAGAAGAGCTGTGCATGAGTCACAGCAATTTAGGTTCTGAAGTGTATCCGTGCTACTCGTCATGAAGGGTACAAAACATCAGCGAGCCAACCTTCCGGAAACAAAGGCGAACATGACCAAAGTAGTTGTCCTGCAGCTCTTTTCCTGAACTATTGCCATATTTTGCAGCGGATAATGTTTCGCGATTCACAATTTCTGGTGCCATGTACTGTGGTGTTCCGACCCAACTGTTCAAGTGGCGCCGCTTGTCCTGCTCCAGCGAATGCAGGTACTCCCCAACCGTAACCTTCTCATCGTTGTCATCGTACATAACCTGGTAGGTACGTAGATAACATAATAATTGTGTGTACGATGATGCTCTGTTCATCCCAAAGCAAAACTTATCATCAGTCACACCCGCGTGGCGCTTGACTTTGTTTTTGATTCTGTGTTACTCCTATCTCAGGAACACTAGTGTGGTCCTTACATCACTACAGTCGTAGCACAAGGTCAAAGCAACAAGGTCACTATAATACGTGATGCGAGGGGAGCTGCTTCAAAAAATCCGCCGACTCTTTGTAATGATCGACCACCTCCTTGCAAAGTCCGAAGTCCAGCAATTTCAAGTGCCCTTGTCTCGAAAAGCAGATGTTGTCGGGCTTGATATCGCGGTGCACGAACCCCAGCTCGTGGATGAATCCCAGCGCCTCAATCAGCTCCGCAATGTAGAATCGTGTCTCTGCCTCCGACAAACGCTTTCTGTCACACAGCAAACTGATCAAATCACCCCCCTGTAGGTGATTTTTCGCTCACGGATCCATAATTCTCTTGAGACACTAAAAACAACAGTTCGAGTAGGACAACGCCAAACGATCACGGGAAAAACGTTTTCGTGTGTGCCAATCTGTATTTGGTAGATTCACACGATTTTGTTCAACGAGCCGCTGCTGTTGCGGGAAGCACAAAGATAACCAACGTATGTGCTCTCTTCTGGGGGAGGAGCGGACAGCATACGTCGAAAGCACGCCTATTAATTTGATGTCTCATCAAGTACCTGCAGAAACTCCATGATCATAAACAAGTGGTGATCGTCCGCAAAGCAGGCGTATAATTGCACGAAGTACTGGCCCCCGCTCCCGCCGAGTGCCACAAGACACTTGCGCTCCGCCATTAGGCGGGCCAGATCATTTTTCTTCGGGAAAGCCGTCTTCTGCATCTGTTTCATCGCGAACACTTCCTTGGACTGTTTGTGCTGGACCAGGCGCACCACACCGAACCCACCCTGTCCCAGAGTCTTCACCACGGAAAAATCATCCGTCCTCCAACCGCCGATTTCTGCCTGCAGTAGCCTGTGAAAAATTTTGATCGATGAATCGATGGGATCTAGCAGTAGCGCCACCGCAAACTAAAACCACCACGAAATTACCAATGTAAGGAAGTAAGTACATACAATGTAGTAGCATTCAGGAGGTACAATTGCGACGAAACAAGCGCTTCTACTTCTCTTCCTGTCGTCCCAGCTCCGCCTCGAATCTCCTTTTCTGATCGGAAGTCATTGGCTTTGCTAGACTTCTTGCCTCGATTTGTCGCTCTTGCCGCATTTTATGAAACCACGCGACGCGAGTGTAAATCAGTGCTGGCATAATGAATTATCATGACTACATGCACATGGCGGGTATCGGTAAAGGTTGGCACTAAAGATCGATGGAGAAGGACCACCCATCAGACACAAAATAACACCATCGATACACCGTGTTTGTCACGTTTCATACGCGTAGGCGGTGTCCCAGTGGTGCTCCACATGCGTATCGATAGCTTCCTTGAAAGCCTCCACATCTGCTGTGGTGTAGCCCCCCTTCTGCAACTTCGGCACCTGCACGTCCCGACTGAGGGCGTGTAACTTGCTGAGCTCCCGCAGCTGCGCCTCCTTGCGTGATACCTGCTGCGGATTTTGTTGCGCGTTCATGTTTGCCCGAGAGTTGAATCAGTCTTGATGGAATTCCGATACTTTTTAAGTAAATTTGGTCCCAACAGGCGATGATCATAGATTTCTTAATGCTTCTTGAATTTTTACGCGGCCTCTCACCCTATACTTAGTTGAAGCCACGTACTGATCTCATTTCGCACGTACACCGGCCGCCTTCTTGAGTTTTGCCTCTAGTGCAGCCCATTTTTTCTCGACTCCCTGGCCCTTTTGCGACGCTGGTCATCGTCCCTCATCAGACCCATTGTCACAAACAGATGAGATTTTTCAAGAACTATTTGAAATACTGCTGGAACCCACTAATATTTTCCATTGTGAACAAAAAAGCGCCGACTCGCAAAGCAGCGTCCAAGCACCATCGCCGTGCTTCATGTAGATGTGCTTTATGCCAACGGAGTGCTTTACGCCATGCGTCTCTCTCGCCTCCGCCTTCTGGTACATTTTAAGGATATCTAGGACAGCTTTCGCGCCCTCGCTGCTGGATACCAGGAACGGGCTTCTACTTAAAATGATTTTTTCATGGCAGGCTTGATTCAACAGCTTCTCCCTACAGAGAGAAACCTGAACTTCCGCACTGAGGAGTTTCCACAGTGCATCGACATCTCTGGCATGATGGACGATGTGGGCATTTACTACAATAAAAAATCGAAACGTAAAAAGAACCAAGGCGTCGTCGAGTATAGGATGCGGAAAAGGAAAATTTTGCAAATTCGTCTTTTGAGAGAACGAAAGGAACGCTTCAACATTGTCCGTGCCTAATTATCAGCTTCATTGTTCTTGACTTTTTCGCTCTTCCACGGAGCCCAGGGGTTGGTTGCGGGGAGACATTGTTTTGGACTCGGAAGTCCGGGCTTTCCGCGCGCTCGCGCCCGTGTCATCGGGCACCGACTTTTTGAAAGACGAGGTAGTCACGCTTTCGCGGCGGGCGAGACCCTGGATAAACTCGGAGATACGGGCGCCGCTCGCGTTGCCTGGCGAGGCGGCCGCCAACGGGTGGTGGGGCTCCAGCATGAAGTTCTGCCCACCTCCCGGAACGGACTTGCTGCTGGCCCGAGATTCCCCCTCCGTCGGGGAGTCCGCGTAGCCGGGACGCTCCTGCATCGGCACAAACTCGCGCCGCGTGCTCCCCACGTACAGCTGGCGGGGCCGCCCGATGCGCATCTGGTCCTCCTGGTGCATTTCCAGCCAGTGCGAGCACCACCCCACGCACCGCGCCATGGCGAACATGACCGTGAACATGGAGGTGGGGATACCGATGGCGCGGAGGATGATCCCCGAGTAGAAGTCCACGTTCGGGTACAGTTTCCTCTTCTTGAAGTACTCGTCCGATAGCGCGATCCGCTCCAGTTCCATCGCCAGTTCCAAGTGCGGGTCCAGCACGTCCAGGTCGTTCAGCACCTGGTGGCACAGCTTGTGCATCTGCTGCGCGCGGGGGTCGAAGTTCTTGTAGACGCGGTGTCCGAACCCCATCAGCCGGGTCTCCTTGCGCTTCACCTTCTCCAGGAAAGTGGGGATGTTCTCCTTGTGCCCGATCTCCTCAAACATCTTGATCACCGCCTCGTTGGCGCCGCCGTGCGCGGGGCCCCACAGACTCGCGATCCCCGCGGCCACGCACGCGTAGGGTTTTATCCTATGTAAAAACGTCCCCACCCCATAGTCAAGATGGGGAATCGGCTAGACAAATGCACAAGTTTCGGCTCTTTTGCATGACAGATTTGGACTCGTAGTGTAGTGCTGTTTGAGCTACCTGAGCAGCATCACAGATCTAGTACACCATGCTGATTGGAGCATGACGAATTCCAAAAGACGACTAGAAAATGCTTCTCATGGGGCTCCGCATGAGAAACATGCTCAGCATGCAGATTTGCATTACAACTATGGGATGGGGACATTTTTAAATGCGATAGGGTTGGCCTGGGAGCTACCGGCAATGCGCACGGTCGACGTGGAGGCGTTCTGCTCGTGGTCCGCGTGCAGGATCAAAAACACGTCTATCGCCTTGGCGTGAATGGGGTTCACCTTGTACTCCTCCAGCGGGGTGGCAAACATCATGTGCAAAAAGTTCTCCGCGAAACCCATCTTGGCCTTCATTTTGCATATAAAAGTTTTGATCATTGAAAAGCGCATCAGCAACACAATTTCTAGTTGGTGTACTTACTCGTGCTAGGGCAGATAAGTACAGAAAACGAGGACCACAACATGTGAATCCTGCCCGTCTCATTCTTTTAGTACATAAAGCACTACGGAACGACACCTCGACAAGTTACTTTTTGCGGAATTGTACAACGAACTTTCTACCTGCGGCCACACGGCCGGTTCCCCCAAGTGCGTTTTGTATGCCAGGGCCGCGAGCGTCGGAAACTTTGCTACCATCCGGATGGTGGCCAGCCATCGAAACTCGGGATCCGACTGGTCCAGTTCGCTAAAAAAAGCCGAGAGCGCACCGGTCACTGCTACCATGATCGCCATGGGGTGCGCAATCTGCATTGCAAATATGCCTGGGTCGGCAAGGATGCGAACTTGTAATGCAGCAAACTACTCAGGAGCATACCAAAAACAAAATGTGTGTTGCATAAGCTCCTACCCGTCATCTCCTGCTCGATTATTAATGGCGAATTTTCATTTTTCATGCAGGATAGGGCTTGGAAAGAATGCCCGAAACAAACCTGTAATGCTGCAGTGTGCGTTTCAGGTTTGTCAGCGTGAACCTGATGCAAAACCTGCATGACAAAAAAGCGCAATCTTCCCGACCCAGACACACTTGCATTTGATACGCATCCATTCGAAACGATTCGAACATACGCTTGAGCTTTTCATGCACGAGCAGATTGGCCTTGATCTCCTTCTGAAACTCTTTCAACTCGTTTCGGTTCGGCAGCTCCCCCGTCATCAACAAGAAAGCCACCTTGTGATTTATGTGCGGTACAAAATGAAGGGCTCTCTCTTGATGAAACAGCCTGAGCGATCCAGTGCGCCGTTGCCTATATGATTTTTGCCGACGAACGCGCACTAGGATAATTCGTCGGCGGGGTTTTTTTCTTCAAACGGACAAGAAAGTAGAAGTACAGTATGCGCGGCGACCAAGAGTAGAAAGTTATGAATACCTCGATGAAATTGGATTTGACGCACAGCTCCTCGATGGGAATGCCACGATAGCAACAAATTCCTTCATTGCCGTCGATGAAGGTGATGGACGACGAGCAGGAAGCGGTGCAGGAAAAACCGGGGTCGTAGGTGAAGGCGTTGGTTTTTGCGTACAGGTCTCGTATGTCCAGGAACATCTCCGTACCCTCAGTCCCCCTATACACTTTGATCGAGTGTTCCTTTCCATCCGGGAGCTTGAGGACCGCAACTTCCTGCTTCGCCTGGCCGTTTGCATCCGGCATCTTTTGTTCTCTTCGGAAGATTGAAGCGCAATCAAGAGGTAAAGAAATATCAATGTCTTCAATAGCAAATACTTCAGCAGTTAAAGACCCGTATCGTACATTCAAAAACTTCTAAGGCTCAAAACCGCTACCGAAGTCAATTAGGCAGCTTACTTTATAAAATATTTTGTCGTCCGTTCCAGAGGAAAAAGTCCAAAAAAAGTGACCGGTTTCTCACTGTCACTGTCCATCATAAATATATAGAAGAAAAGCGACGGACATATGTGGTCTTCCTGAGTAAGACGGAACAATCACCACAGTCTGGTCCGGTGTCGACTTCACATACGCCAAATTGAAGTGCCGTGCGTCGCTTGCTCGCCGCTCAGAAGAAACTGAAACTCGTTGAAGTGTGTCCTCGCGCGTAAGAACAGGAATATTTGCGCACGCACGCTTTCGTTTGTCATTTCACACCCCCGCTCAGATGGCACTTGTGCATGTATCCTTCTCCATGGCATAGTATCTCTTTTTCGTGTAATAATGTGGCGGGACCGAACACGGACGAGATCGTGTGTTTGTTCACAAGAGAAGATGATATTTCAGATACCATCCAGCTGCGGACAAGGCGAAATTGTTTCTATGCGAGATGATGGGGCGGCACTGATGTTACTGTATACCTGATGTTTTTTGTTCGCGTTCCGTTGCGGGGCTGCCGCGCAAGAAAGTTGGTACAATTTCAGACGTATAACCTGCGTCGAATTTGTGGCGTTCCTAATGGTTCTGATGTTTCGAAGCACTGCCTTGGGAGCCAGATAGTCAGTCTCGAAAGACTGCCTCAGCTCCAGTCAGATGGTTCTGCTACTCACTAGCCGGTTGAAGCGTAGTGGCAGCACTGCTCTAGGACGCTATCGAGCAGCATTGCGCTGCCTCAAATCATCCCAGGTCGTGTATCTGAATACGTAGTATCAGGCGTTGCGGCTGTACGTAAGCCGCAGGGTCTTGTACATAGGGCTGAAGATATGTTAACTGTGATGTTGGGGTTACGGATTCTGAAATATGTGTACAGAGGTGGATCATGTTGTAGCGCGTTGTTTAACAAAAATCCTAAATGCGGCCGAAATATGCGAAAAAATAGCGCTTTCCAAAAATTTTGTATAATGATACTTCTGATAGCGACTCACAACAATAAAATTCATTTGCAACTTTTCCTTCCTTCGGAACTGAGCAACTATGAGATATCTCGTCGCTGCTGAGCGCATCTGAAGATTAGTGCATCGCCTGTACGCAGCTATTGCTTTGTCCGGCGCCTGACATACCACATTAACGTAGTGGCGCTTGATATTTTGAATTGTAATCAACTGAATTAACCATTCTGACTCTGTGAAATTGTAAATCAAAAGTAAAAAAATAGAAAGTGCTTGTAATCCAACATAAAAAAAGTGTGTCTGCTTCTGCTTGTGATACTTTAGTGTAAACAACATGATAACATAAAAAAGTGATAAGCATAAAACTAAAAGTAACTGAATCTGTGCTTCAAAAAAAATGCTGATGAACCACCTCTACTTCTTCTTTTCGTGCCATGGGACTACATAGGTATCAAAGCCGTCGTGAAAGTGACTGCTCAACTGTGGCAAAAATCTGGTGTATTATACAATTCATCGATGCTACTGCGCAGCCAGAAATGACTGTGATAGCCTATTTAGTCCTCTTCGTCGAGCGCCTTGATGGAAGACAAGGAAATGTAAACACCCCAGAGCGCGCAGAAAAAAGCGAAGGTAGCCCACTTCGGCCCGGCCGGTCCGCCCAACTCACCGCCGTAGAGGTATCGTCGCAGCACGAGTGTCCCCAGGCACGCGAATGCGGTCAAAGTGAAAATCGTCACACTGTAACCGAGGGAGCCTGTAGTTTGTTTCTTTTGTAGATTGAGCCATAATTTCGTCATCCCAGCAGCATCATCAAAGCGCTAATGCTAGAGTGGAAGTGGCAAGAAAGTAGTGTTCGTGCACCCACTAGCGTTGTGGAATTCGAATTCGAATTCTCATCGCGTCGCGGAACAATGATCGGTGACCACACGACAATAAGAATAAACACCGTAGAAGCAATCATAAGTTTACCTGCAACAACGACAAAGCCGCCGTCTTTCAGGTCTGGGTTTGTCAGCAGTGACAGCTTCTTCTGCGCAATCTTCGCCTCCCACTCCGGTGTTCGTCCCTCCGCATTCCAGTAGAAAGCACCGATCATCCACGGCAGCCCCAATCCGAGGAATACCTGTGTGGCGCAAGGGCAATACGGGTGTGTAACTAATGGCACTTATTTTCGAAATGACAATGAGCCAATACAACCCCAATATTAAACGATGCATCATCACCAAATTTTGGCACCAAAGATTCATTATTTGAGCTTTCTTCTAACGTAACCTGTATAGTCGAACGAAGTCTGGCACAACCGCAACATGTGACTACAACAATCAAAACCCAAAGCAAAAACAAAAGCAAGCACAACTTTTCTGTGTCTAATACGTTGACGGAATTTGAGCCGGTGACGTTGCCGACGGAGGCGTCGGCGTACTCGTCCTGTTCCGCCGAGGTTTTTGAGGCGAACAAGTCGGGCAGCGAGGTTCCCAGGGCCACGAAGGTGATCGCGGTGACGGAGGCCGGGAGGCCCAGCACGCACCCGAGCAGCGCTATGGATTGCAAATATGTCTGGGTCTGGAAGGTTGCAACTTGTGATGCTGTTTTTGGATTCTAAAAAAACTTGTATTGCATGTCCAGCAAGAAAGGTCCAGTTTGTGCTACGCGGACAGGGCATTTCTGATGCGGAAGGCGCATCAGGAAGCCCTCTAAAGATCTGTGATGCTGGGTCATGCAATACAGGCACCAGGGGCCGTGAGAAATATGCATGACAAGTCTTGCATTCTTCCAGACCCAGACATTTTTACATTTGGTAAGCGCGGCCAGGTCGCCAATGATGGCGGTGAGCACGCTATCCTGAGTAAAAACATCCCCACCCCATAGTTGTCATGCAGATTTGCGATTACAGGAAGATTTGTAATGCGCATCTCCATGAGAGGCATTTCCAGTCGCGTTTTGGAATTTGTAATGCTGTAAACAGGATAAACAGATGGATTCGTGATGCGGTTGTCCTCGCTAACATGCACTACACTACGGACTGCACTTTCTCATGCGTGGCGTCCAAAACTTGTGGATTTGTCTTGCTAGGTTCCCAACTTGACTATGGGGTGGGGACGTTTTTATATATGATACACGCCGATCATGATCAGACTGCAGAAGAAGCAGACCCAGCCGTTGGCGTAGTCGGTGGGGGGGACGATGGCGAACAGCAGTTTCCAGAACACGGTGAGAATGTGGAAGACCCAGTCGCCGGCGCCGGCCTCCGCCTGCTCCTCGGGAGACCCGTTCACGTACAGGGCGGACACAAACTGGTCCCGGTAGTTCGCGTTGCCGATCGCCATCTTGTCCGCGTTCACCTTCAGAAACCCGGTGGCCTTGTCCACCAACTGCTTGCGTTCCTCGTTGGGAATGATCGAAATGGTGCAGATGCCCGACTCCTCGCCGCCGTCCGTGTCCGCGGAAAACGAAGCGCCACCCGTCGCCTCGGTCAAGATGACTCGAAACTTCTCCAGCGCCTCGTACCGACCCCGGGCCAGCACGCGCACAGATATCACTTTCTCCACTTCGCCCGGAAGAAACGTCAACTCGCCTGTTTTATTACAAAATAGAAAAAGATGATGAAAATATTTGGCTCATTTTGAAATCCTTCCAGATTCGACAAGGACTGTTTCCCGACCATCACGCCAAGGGGACGCGAGTGGCAGGAACAGCAGCTGCACGCATCCACGTTTGGGAGAAACAAGGCGCATAGATACATCTACAGATAGGATACATTTGTGTTTTGTCTTCACGGAAAATACTTATGCATAATTTCAAGCTTAGATCAAGGCTACCCATGCGGGTTCTATTGATTCGCAAATCCAAAAAATCCTAGTTTCGAGGGCATAAAGATGCTGTAGAAATAAATTCACATTCTCCTCGTACCTTCAATGTGTTCATAGTCGCGGTCCTTGGTCGCGCTATCTTCCTCCGTTGCGTATTTGCAGGTCACCGTACCGGTACTACCGCCGCGGCGCTGCACGAGGATCTTCTGGGTGCAGTCCTCTGTGCTTTCTTGTAGGTCCAACAATTCCTTCTCGAAGCAGAACACACCCGGCAGGTCGTCGTCGATAATCGTGATCTGTTCACAGTTGGTAAGGAAAAGGATATTTTTGCAGCTTTATTTCTTGGCTAGAGATACTATAGCTAAACTTCCGTGAATGAAATCCGATGGACTCACACAAAAGACATCATTCTGAAAATGGCTATGACGGTGTTGAGCAATAGATACTACTTTTTTAAGAACTTGTACCAAAAGTATAGTTGGGTACTATAAATCTCAAGTGTCTAGTTACCGTGGCGGTTTCCTCGAGTTTGGGGATCTCGACGGTAACACCGGGCGGCCCGCTGGCCTCAGACAGATCGACGTAAAACAGCTCGTCACCTTCGTAAATGTCGTCGTCAATGATCTCTACCGTGACCGTCTTCTCGGCCTCGCCCGGATTGAACGTCAGTGTGCCCTCAATGTGCACAAAGTCCTCGCCCGCCGTCGCCGTGCCATCCCGGGTGGCGTAGCGGATGCTCAACGTGCCCTCGGTGATGGTGCGCTTCACGGCCATGTTGATTTTTTGCCCGGATTCTAAAATGGCAAACGTCGTGCCCTCGAGAAACCTATCAAGTGTAAAAATGTCTGGGTCTGGAAGAATGCGCGACTTGTCATGCAGATTTTCCATGACCCATGAGGTCCGGAATGCAGGACCTAGCATGACAGATTCTGCGCGATCTCTCTCATGCCTATCCTGCATGAGAAACTCCCTCCCGACTTGGTCAAAACTGGACGACTTTTGGCAATCATGCAACACAGATTTTTGCATGCTTCAGATTTCGCATGACAAGTTGCATTCTTCCAGACCCAGACATTTTTACATTTGATAAAACCCGACCTCCATCACGTTCTGCTTGCCCTTGCGCTCCTTTCCCTCCGGCGAAATGGTGTTCGAACCGACGGAGCCCATAATGCTGCTCACGCCGGGGATCCGAATTTTCTTCGAGCCGGTACCCCGCCGGGTGGCTTCCACACGCCGCGCGGCTCGGCTGTGGGATTGGGTCTCGTAGGCCATAATCTGGGCCAGCTGCTCCTCGCTCAGCGGCGCGCCGCCGTGCTGCTTCTGAATCTTCGCCGTCAGCTCCGCGAGTTCCTCCTTGGTCAGATCGGAAGCTGAAATCACACTTGACGTGGTCGTCTTCTGGCAGAGAACACCGATATCCGCAAGGTAGGCTGTGAGGAGTCAGAGTATGAGAACGTGGTGAACTATGCACATCATGCGCAGGTTTTTATATTATCGAGTCTATCAGTATCAACAGGACAAGGATGTTGATAAGTATGTTCGTTTAGGAGCAGTCCTTTGTGCTCAGACCTCGGCTTTGGCTTTCATAGGGACTTGCTTCGTCTGAGCCCGGACCTTGAAATAAAGCTATTGCTACTCAACATTTATTTTTATATAGCCAAGAAACTTACACTAAAATTACACTATATCATATCAACTTCTATACCAATCAGGACTAAAACGGGGAAGTAAAGGAAGGAAATGACGCCCTCCGCCACGGTGACAATGTCCTCCGTGGTCCACTGCAGGATGACGAGGAGCCAGATGTAGGCCCAGACGGAACAGATCGCAGTGATGGCGAAGACGCCCAGGTCCTTGATTTTTCTGATTTCGCCACTGGGAATGGCGATCACGCACACCGCGATGATTACCAACAGATTAAAGGCCGCGGACCCCACAATGGTAGAGGGCCCGAGCGCTCCGGAGTGAAAATCTTCGCTGAAAAGCTCAATGCAGGAAAGCAAGATTTCGGGTGCGGAACTCCCGAGGGCCATCAGGGTAAGATTTGCCACAGTGTCGTTCCACACTTTGATTGTTGTTGTTCGTCCGCTTGCTGGATCCCTGATCGTCTTCTTCACTGAGGTCACCTTTTCAATCGCGCCCTGTAAAGTCGTGAGACATTGAAAAATACTAAAACAGTTCTTGGCCTCCTCACTAGTCGCTACCTTAGTGGAAAATCAATCGAATCGTGGTGGAGCAGGAAAATGAATCGTGTAGTCGCTTCTCATGGACGAGTACAAGCAACTGAAAGTTCTTGAAATAGTCCAGGCCCATGTAGACATACAACATTGAATATCACGCACAGCCGTAGGAAATACAATGTAGTGCAAGCTTCTTAGACAAAAAACTATTATACCATAAAGACGTCGGCGATGATAGCAACGCCCAAGAAGCACCAGAGCGTGCCGATGAGGTAGAGGAATTGACGAAGTCCCTTTGGCCAGTCGACGTTTTCGTCATCGCCAAACAGGGGGAGGAGAAGGCCGGAGCCGCCGGCCTCGCAAATTTCTGGCTCTTTTACCTTCACCATGGTAACTGTAACCGTAGCGGTTGTCAACTGCCGCTGGACGTGCTCGTTCACGTGCGCGGAAAGTTCTTGGGCGTGCGCGACCACCTGCCGCGACACTTCCGCCATGTGTTCGGCGACATGCTGGGTCGTGAGGTGCAAAGCACCTTCGGCGGCGTACGAGGTGCTCGAGCTCGCGGCGCCCGTGCCCACCAGCAGCTGGGCTGGTGCTCCTGCTGCGTAAAAATTCTCTCCCGCCATTGTTAGCAAGTACGCAGCGGAGAAAAAATAGCAAGTCTAATAAATCGTTCGGGGGTGAAAGTTAGTATGGTACAAGGAAGTGCCGTTCGCAATTTGAATTGAAAACGCGTTTTCCTACGCAAAATTTTCCTCAACCCTCGGAGTTGGTTTTCCACTGAACCGTAGTTCCTCACCGCACCAGAAGGGGAGGCTTTAATGTAAGAGTGTGCTGACGAGGACACCGCATGTTGGTTAAACTTCAAATGTAAAAAAACGTTAGATGGATGATAAATTGATGAAAGGAATGACCCAATTACAGCTCCTTGCAGTCGACTCGGGGGGAATCAGCCGCATACAAAAGCAAAGGGACTGTGTCGAAAGTAGTTCAAAGTGATGCATCCAAACGATTCGCAAGACTGTAGAAGTTCCAGTGCCGACGTTTATCTTGGCGTGGTTCCTTCGGTTGTATCTACTTTGTACGAAGAGCACGAATGTCAAAAGCGGAGTACGAATTGTTCAATTGGACGAACCGACGCTTTTTCATGTGTGCTACAGCCGACGCTTTTTCATCAATACGATAGTCCGTAGTACTTTACGATACTGTAATTTTACTTTCTCTTGACGAGCGGTGTCGCACGGTAGTGAAGATCTACTTACAGAAGACAACCGGAATGCACTTGTTGCACCAACCGACTTCTTACCAAATCTCTTTGTCGTAGTTCATTTGTGCTTTTCGCTTGATAGATTGTGTTCCGACAAAGTGGGACAGAGAATGTGAATTGATGAATGATGTTGTGCTATTAACCTCTACTTGTAGTTTGTTTGCAAGACGGCCTTTGGAGGCTGAAGCGATGCAGCGCCACAAACAGCTTGTCGTGTGGGCAATGCGAACTGTAGTCCTACGTGTGCTTCCAGGTAGGTAGGTAGGTTTACTCAACTACGGAGTTATAACATACATCGTGTAGTGCTCTTGTAGCCCAAAATGAGACATTTTCACAGTTTCGAAGTTAGCACAGGTGGATCGACATCCCTATGTTTGCCGCTTGGCGGTGGTGGGGTATGCATCAACTGTTCTACGAAAGAATGCACGAGCTTCTTGTATTCCGCTGGCGAGCTCGGCAAAATACAGCAGTGCGGTGCCGAGGAAAAAACGACCGCGGTCACCGGATTCACCGTACTGGGTACGCGCCCGGTTTCCACGTCATACAACCGAGAAGCGACGTACTTAACCCGTTCCCGCATGCAGGCGCGGATGAACCACGGCTCACACAACGTGTCCGCCTCGGAGAACACAAACTGCATGTTGCTCTGCGCGTTGCACAGCCGCGCGACGCCCCGCAGGAAGACTTTGTTGGTCGCCGACAAGTTCTTGCACTTGGTCTCGTTCGATGCTAAGGGCGTGGCGCTTTTGATGGTGATTTTTTCCTTGCTATCCGTGGTCTCCGCCATCACACTCTGCAGCCACTGTGGCAACCCGAAGGACATCACCCGCGCGAACACGCTCCACCGGAGCTCTCCCGGGGCACAGTCCATCCACACGGCCCTGGGAGCGGTTACCACCTTCAGTTCGTGCACCAGGGTGAGCATCAGGAACGTCCCGTTGTTGGAGAAGCAAAAGAACGCGCCCCGCGTCGGGTCCCGTGCATCTTCTATTACATTGGCCCCGTCGTCGTGGTCGGGAGAGGTCGTGGGTGGTGATGTTGAAAGCTCTCGCCGCACCACTTGAATCAGCTCCGTCGCGAACCGCCGCCGAAACCATGGCACCAGTAGCTCCTTCCCCCCGCATGACGTCAATTGAAAGGAAAAACCCCCCCTACCCATATCAAAACGAAGCTTCTGATTTTGGATTTGCGTACACAAATCAGATTTGTCTTGCTGGAGAGGACTGCAGGCCTATACTATGCCTGCGTAGGGAGGTTTTGGGCTAGGCGCTCAGCATGACAGGCGACTTGTCTTTAGGGCCAACAGAATCACAAACCGCCTGTAAAATGCGGCGGAGCCTGTGGGGTTGCGTCCTTGCAAGACAGAGACGATTTGTGGTCACAAATCAGCATTGCAAATTTTCTAAGATGTATCTTTTCGACATGGGGAGGGAAGATTTTTCCTTTTGATAACGTCTGTATCACGTTTACGGACTCCGGAAACAGCTCGGAGTACTTCGCGACCACGTCCGGCGTCGAAAATGCCCAGCCGAATACCCAAATCGTGTGCAAATGCTGCTTTTGCGTACTCGTTTTTTTACGCTCCCGAATATACACTGTCGGACCGCTTTTGGTTTTAACGGCCCGGAATCTCGAGAGAGGGGACCCAACATCTTCGGGATGCGCAGGGGGCATGATGAGGAGTGTGAGTGTTGTTATCAGAGTATAATCGTCGAGAGGGTTTTAAGTCTTTCGTGCCGGGTATAGTACAAATGCGAATGGATTACGTGTACCTGCCGACCGGGGAACTCAAGAGCAAGACTTCTATATCCAGTGAATATAATCGAACTGCTGCAGGCAAGGAAGTCATAACATGCCTCCGGACACCGAAGCGAAAGCGCGTCAGATTCTCATTGGTTCATCTCCTGGCAAACAAGTTTACGTCGTTGCAACTGATGACGGTAAACATGTGCAAGCCATATTTTACCGAGTTGGCACACACCAAAATGACCGATGGCAGAAGTGGATTAAGAAGTTCAAACCGATCCGTTTCTTTCTCTTCCATTCCCGCACGAATTTTATACACAAGCAACGGAAAAATTTCTACCGAAGCAGAGCAGTATCGACAGATGAAAAGCTGCAACCAGGACCTGCAACACGGAGAACAAGACCGCCTGCGTCCCAAAGCACCACACTTTGCGTTTTGGCGTAGCCGCGTTGTATCAATCTTTCGCTAATATGAGCCTGGGTTCAAAGAAAATGAAAATGAGCGTACGGATTAGTCGGGTGCCTCTCCGCATCCACTTTCTTTTTCTCTTCAACACCGTGAATATGCCAGGAGTCCTGATCATGCCAAAGACTGTCATGAAAACGCTTCGATATTCGTGGTATCCGTATCCAAATGACTTCTTGCACATAATGTAGCTTTCTGTGTCTTCTGCTGGGGTAAAAATCATCGCTCGGTATCAATTGAAAAAATGAAGTTGTAATTGTGCCTTCGTGCATCCTGCCGTGGTTTGTCTCGGTAACTATGAATGGTCAAAAGGTCAAGAGGTGCGCGAAAGATCTACTTTGTGTATAGGTCACGCAATAAATGCTTCGTTCGAAGTGCTTATATTCTCTTTTTGCTTGCCGAAATGAATTGTTTGTCGCTACTAGCATTATTTTGCTTCAACACGCACGGATTTTTTCCCTCCTTCTTGGTGCGGCAAAACTGAAATGCCTATCAAACAGCCGGCGCATCATTCAGAATTGCGTTGTCGATGATTCACGTAGCCCCGTTGAGCCCACAAATGGGTACTACGTAGAAGTCAAATCGACGTCAGGTGTCGCTTCTCCGGGCCCCCGAATCACATTTTACCGCTACGAGAAGGACCTTTCGCGTACTACACGAATTTCGACTAAGTACACATTATTTCTTGTTCTGCTGCACTTTCCGAACCGCTTCCGCCAGATCGTGCAGCATGGTCTTGGTTTCCTCCAGGTCCACGCATTCATCCGTCACACTTTTGCCGTACTCGAAGGGACAGGCGTTCACTTTTTGGTTTCCGGCCACCAGGTTGCTCTCGATCATGACGCCCAGAATTTGGTAAGCAGGAGTAGAATTTTTCTGTTCATCAGCGCTAGAAGTACAACCCGCACTGGCGGACTCCGCCAGTTGTTCGCAGATGTTCTTCAACACTTTGGACTGGTTCTTGTAGTTCTTGTTGCTGTTGCCGTGCGATGCGTCGATGACAACCTTCTTCGGCAGCAGATCCGACGCCTTTTTGCTGAGCGTGATCACCTCCTCCACGAACTTCTTCTCGTAGTTTGGGCCGGTGGCCTTGCCCCCGCGCAGAACCACGTGCGCATCCGGGTTGCCAGGCGTCCGGATGATGCTGTACTTGGTCGGGCTGTTGCAGCTGTCGTCTTCGGAGGTGGAACCGGAGGTGGTATTATTGTTGTTATTCCCCGTCCTCGAGTGGGACAACGGCTGCTGCTGCGACAAGAACTTCTCGGTCTGCAACTGGGAAATCGCGGACAGGCCGACCAGCTGGTAGTCCTTGCGTCCCGCCACCACCGCATCCACGGCCACCTGCACATCCCCGCTGGTGCCGTTCTTGAAGCCCATGGGACAGGGCAAATTTGACACCATCTCCCGGTGGATCTGCGACTCCGTGGTGCGCGCCCCGATGGCGCCCCAGGAGATCAGGTCGCACAGGTAGGGCGCCACCGTCGGGTCCAGGAACTCCGTCGCGCACGGCAGCTTGTACTTCGAGGCGATGTCGGCGAGCAGCTGGCGGCTCTGGCGCAGCCCCTTGGCGATGTCACAGCTGTTGTCCAGGTCGGGGTCATTCAAAAACCCCTTCCAACCGACCGTCGACCTTGGCTTCTCAAAGTACACCCGCATGATCAGCAGCAGTTCATTTTGGTACTTCAGCTGCTGCTGCGACAAAAACTGCGCGTACTCGTGCGCCACCTGTAAATCGTGGATGCTGCAGGGCCCGACGATGACGACGAGCCGCGGGTCGTTCACGTCGTGGAGAATAGCGCGGCACTGGGTCCGCGCGGCCTCGATCACGTTCTGCTTCACGTCCGCCGACACCCGGATCAGGTTGCACATCTCCAGCGGAGACGGCAACGTGCTGCTCGCCGCGACCCTTTTCTTCTTCTCTCCCGCAGGAACTACCGGCTGCCCGTCCTCCACCCGCGTTTTCTTGCTGGCGGCCTGCAGCTCCTCCGCCTTGTCCGAGCGGCCGCGTTTGTGCGACAGCGTTTCGACGTCCGACTTGTCGACGCCCGCCAGCAGGTTGATCGTGTTGTTGGAGGAGGAAGCCGTTGTCCCCGTCGTGCAGGACAAGAGCGGTTTCGGAACAGTAGTACAACCACCAGCACTGCCCGCCGCTCCGCCAAGCACGGCGCCCAGCACCAGACCGGGCTGCTGCGAGAAGATGTGCTGCTGGGCCGTATCAAATGTAAAAGTGTCTGGGTCTGGAAGAGTCATGCTGTTTCTGCATGACAAAGAAGGTCTGACATGGAAGCTCTAGCATCACAGGTTTCGAGAAGCTTCCGCAATGCCGAACCCGCATGACAAATCCCCCATTTTGGTGACAGAAAGTGGGCAGCTTTTGCTACCTATGCATGAGAGATTTTTGTGTGTTCTGAAATGCGCATCACAGGTTACATCCTTCCAGACCCAGACATTTTTGCATTTGATAGGCCGCGAGCGCGTGCAACGCCTGCGCGAGCATGCGGTCGTACCGCAGCACCGCGTATCAAATGCGAAAATGTCTGGGTCTGGAAGAATACAAACTTGTGATGCGCATCTCCGAACACAGAAAAATCTCTCATGTATAGGAAGCAAAAGTTGCCCACTTTCTCTCACCAAAATGGGGGATTTGTCATGCGGATTCGGCATTGCGGAAGCTTCTCGAAACCTGTGATGCTAAAGCTTCCATGCCAGACCTTTTGTGTCATGCAAAAACAGCATCACTCTTCCAGACCCAGACATTTTTACAATCCACACCGCGTCCGCCTCGATCTTGCCCTTGCTGTCGTCGGTGGCCACCTCGTACTCGTCGCTGCGGACGCCGCACACCTCCGCCACACCCTGGTCCAGCACGCGCGCAATCGCGTCTGCCGAGGTGCACAAAAGCACCGGCACGGCGCGCGCGATCTTCCCGCACAACTCGGCGTCCAGCCCCTGCAGTTTCGCGCGGTGCACCGGCAGCTGCTGGTCCGCCTCGACGTCCCCGTCCGCGAGCAAGGCTTTGTCAGCCAGGTCCTCCCCGCGCTGCCACCGCTCGAACAAAAACTCCTGCAGCAACTTGGCGGCGTCCATCTGCACCTGCTGCACCACCATGTAGGCCGCCGGCACCAGGTTGATCTCCTGCGCCAGCACCTCGATTTTGCTCAGGTTGGCCACCTCCACCTCCGGCACGTAGCAAGACTTGGTGGTCACAACCGTCGTGGCCTTGTTGGTTATTTTGCTCTGCACGAACTTGCACCGCGCAATCAGCTTGACAATGCGCAGGCGTTCGATGATCAGGTCGCAGACCACCTGGACCGCGGGGTCCACATTCGTGTCGCCCACCACACTTCCGATCGCGCTTCCGTTGCGCGAAAGCTTGCCGCTGACGTTGCTCGTCAGGCGGGGAATGCTGCTATCTTCCATTTGCGCGTCCTGGTCTTCATCGCCGGAAGCCCCCGGCTGTTCGTGCGACGTTGGGCCAAGCAACTTAGCCTGCGCACACAGTTCCAGCTCCGCTTTCAAAATTTGCTTGCCCTCGGCGGACTGGTGGGCGGGAAACCCGGAGGAGCACTTTTGCGACGCCAAGGCGGCGCTCGCCATCTCCTGGATCAAACGACTCGTCAGCAGAATCTCGTCCTTCCCGAGCTTCTTTTTACCCTTCTTCTTCACGAGCAGAAAGCGGACGGCGTTCTCCTTCCCAAAACCCTTCTCCGCACAACTCGCCTCCCCAACTACATTTTCTTCCGCCCGGGCGGAGTGCGCCTTGTGGCAGTCGTGCTGGAGGACTTTCAACCCGTAAATCTCGGCAGCACGAGTGCCGGCAATCGCCCCCGCGGTGGCGTCGTGCTCCTCGGAGATCCGCATGGCCGCTGCGGCGGTCGTCCAGGTGGCTTCCTGGAGCACGGGTTTCGCCCGCTTCGCACCAACATCTTCAGCCCCCTCGCCGCTCAGGGACTCCAGAAAGTCGCGGCAGTGCTCCAGCGCGTGGGCGTGCGACCGGATGATGCGGAGCTCCTTGGCGCTCGTGTTGCCCTCCTTGAAGAAATCCGGATGGACAAGCAAGTGGTGCTGCACCGGAAGCACCAGCGACACGGGAATCAGGACCAGCTTGTCGCAGTGCACCCGGACCACGGCTTCGCAGTTCTTGTGGGCGCCACCGCGGGTGGAGGCGATGGGAATCAGGGCGTAGTCGATGCTGCCCGTGCGCCCGCTGCCCCGCAGCAGCTTCTCAAACAAGTCGGCGTAGCCTGCGGGCGCGGACTCCGGCACCACGGCATCCTCAAACAGCTCCAGAATTGCGTCCTCCGTCGCCGAGCCCGGACAGCCCATGTAGCCCACGCGCACCTGCGCGCCGGAAGGGATCACAGCGTCCATGTTGGAAGTAAGAGGAACAAGCGAGAGAGAAATTTCTGTCTTGTTATCCGGGAGGGAGGAAAAGTGCGAAGACGAACCCTTCTTTTGTTTTTGTATCTACTTCCTTGCGGTTTACTGAGCTCAGTGCTTCTTCACCAGCTCTGTTCTTGATAGCTTCATCCAAAACCTATGTTGTTCAGTTTTATCTTTTTTCGTTGGCTGTCGCTACTGAGAACTTATGAAGCATTGCGTACGCGAAAAATGAGTTATTTGTGTGCAGAAAACCGACAAAGTGTGCAGCAAACAAAAAGTAGGGACACATCTCTTCCGAGCCACTTCTTTGCGACCGAGTCTCATTCGGAAGGGAGGAGGAGGAAAGGAGGGAAGTGCAATTCTCTGTAGGAGCGGATCTGTCTCTGAAGAAATTTTTCAATCGTGGATCTAGTCTGTATTGCATTCTTATTCGTGTGCTACGGGATGCAAGAAAGGAACAAAAAACACCCACCAGTGAAACAAAACAGACTGCACAGTGATGCATGCAACTCGAAGGAAAGGTTCGCGAGATGTGAAAAAAACAGCGTGAATGGGCCTCGGAGTTGGTGAGGCACGGTTTTGGCTGCGTCTGAACATGAGCGTAGACCTACATCTGAAGGACATCACTCTCGTTGTTTGTTTGCCATGTGGTTTTGCATGATTTAGTTTTACGTGACCGCTTTAGCACGTAGTGGCACTCGCTTGCTTGTGGCACTGCGCGCAAGTCTTTTTTCAGTACGCAGTGCACACGGGCGCTTGACCGTGTGTTGCAATCGAGCCGAAAAGCCCGCAAAGATTCTTCTCCGTAGTTGTCCCTTTTCGGCTTTGCTGCAACACAACTACCTAAAAAAAGTAGTAGATGTGATACAATTACAACAAAAACAAGCGAAAATAACACAAGTAGTATAGATACTTTTCTTGTTGTTTTTACTGGCAGATTGAATATTCACATGCACTGAGTCACAGCAGCTTGACGCGCTAGATTCCCCGAGTCATATCAATCAACGCTCTTTCGGGCCTGTCTGAGATTGCCACACATCAGCAGGTCAATCACACTGACTAGGAATGCCAATCACGCTAGGTCGCCAAAAAAGCAGAAGAGTAGCAAATAGATACTATCGCCGGGCCCGGACAAATCGGAGAGCGAGAGCTGCAGGACTGCTAAAATTCGATTTTGTACACTGCCGGGGAACGACAATTGGACACCGCAGGATAGATGACGCTGGGTAGATCGGTGAAAAGCCGGTCGTACCGGATCTCGTCGATTTTGACGTGACACACCCGCTCTTCCATGTCCAAAACAAAGCCCACTTTGCTTCCGTCGCCAAACGCGATCACCTTCTCGCTCGCGATCGCATGTTTCTGTACGTGAAGCGTGCCGTTCGCCGCAATACCTGCAAATCAAGAGGGTTGTGCTTGAAGATGTTGATAGCGTTTCCTCTCTGTATCCGGAGGCTCTCCTCTGGTTGTGCAAAACACTTTTTTAGACTAGTCAAAACCTTATGACAAAACTAGCTTGCTTGCATGCCCTTCGCTGACAAAGAGGAAGACAACGGCCGCGTTCTTACTATACGTTGGACACAGACAACTTTGATCTCTGGAGATGAATGAACAAAAACAACCCTTTGCTCGCGTCTTATGGCGCACGAGTTACTGTCTGACATATACAGCTACTGAATCCTGAGAGTAAGTCCTTTGCAAAAGCTTGTGAGAGCTTAGGCACTACAACAAGACCAAAAACCGCCCGTTTTGGCGGTGAACGACCAAGCGTAGGGAGTCACACAGTGTGAGTGAATTCGAGAAACTCACACAGTGTGAGTGAATGAACAAAAACAATCTTATTGTGCTACAAGTACTTACCCCAACTGCCCTGCGCTTTTCCAAGGGGGCACTGGAAGTGATTCCACGCATCGTCCACGAAGCCGAGGTAACTGTAGTCGGACGCCTTAAGCACCGTAACTTGCCATGCGTGCGTGCCTTTGTTGAAGCCCCGCGTCGCGCGAATGGCGGCGGCGTTGCCGATCTGCCGCGTGTCTGGGATCTGGCAAATCTGGCCGTCGTCCCCGAGCACGATGCTCGGGTGCGCGTAGCGTCGCGACCACCCGGGCACACTCTTCTTGGGGACCACTTGCTGCTCTTGGGGTATCACATTGAAAACAGCCCCTGCCCGACAACTTCCAGTCGGGATGTCAGGCTGCACTGCAATTACAGATAGATACGTGCTTCGTTCATGCAAGGATAAGGATCGTTGCTCCTGCAGCTGTAACCCGATCTTCTAGAAGAATGGTGGAGCTTTTCTCAACGGGATACGCGAGGAGGACGGCTGGTCCTCGGTATCCATGCGCGCGGGAACCGTCGCGCTGCCAACGCTAGCTCTGCCGTATGGTGCGGGCTGCAGCTGCTCCTGGGGGAGGGAGGCTTGGCTGCCCACCAGCGTGCGATCTTCGCCCCCGGTTGTGGTTCCGTCCGTGCCGTGCCCAGCGGAATTTTCCGAATTTTTGGACTGCGAGACCCCTCTCGGCCGGCGGTCGTCCGCCACAGGGATGTCCCGCATGAATTGGTCCTGCTGCTGCTGCTGCGGTGCACTGGGACTTGCAGCTGCGCCGGGGTTCATCTTCACGGGCACCTGGTCCTTCAAACCGAGGTACGACAGCAGATTCTCGAAGTGCTCCTTCTTGTCCACCGCGACGAGCGGAACCGCGGCAGGGCGCTCCGGTGTTTCAATCTTTTTGTCGCGGAGGTAGGTCAAAATCAAGTGGAAGCTCGCCGGGTCGAAGTCAAGGAAATAGTTGTTATGCTGGTCCCGTTCGATGGAGGACTCCCACCGCCCGGAGAACAGGTTTGCCAGGTAGCTCTGCGGGAACACCTGGGTCAGCGTGCTGCGCTTCATCGTGAAAATTTCACCGCCCGCGTTAATGGAAATCACGTCGTTCTCCCGTATGTTGCTCGCTGTCATGATCCGCTTCTCTTCCGCGAGGGCATTTTCGCGCGCTTGCAGGTCGCGGTACCGCTCTTCGAAATCGCGCTCCAGCACGGCCCGCTGCTCGCTAATTTCCCGGTAAAGCGCGTCTTCCTGTGCCTTGATATTCTTCTTCGCCTGCTCAAGCTCGAGGTAAAGCTCGGCGGAAAGCTGCGAAAACCGCTCGCCCGACATTATTTGTGGCTTATTTATATTTGCCTAGTACCACTTCAGAAGGGCCGTCAAACGTGTCTGCAGTCTAGTTAGGCAAAATCTAAATCGTCGATCTACATCCTTGCGATGGTAAATACAACACGCCTTGCGATCCCCCTGGATATTATGGGGCACAATTCAAAGAAGTAACCTCGTCGCGACGTCATCGAGCAGAGTTCAGAACATTCCGACCGTCGCCCAGGATAAGCGCAACAAATTGCAGGCGCTGTTTGCCCGGTCGCAGGGACATGGTGTTTGCACGGTTAGATCGAGGCTAGACCCAATTTACAAACGGGCACTGTATCAATTGGCGTCGCCGCCGCGACCTGCCGTCCCGAAGCGGGGGAGGCCGCGCACTGGGCCCGCGGAGCCCCGGCCAGATGGGAAAGCGGGCGCGGGGAAGGCGAGCCCCGCCGGCGCCCCCTGGGGCCCTTGCCGGCGGCAGGGGCGGCAGGCGACCCCGGGCGCCGGCAAGGATCCGCGCGACGGGCTAAGGGGCGGCGAGAAACAGGGCCGGCGCGCCCGCCAAAGTTTGCGGGAAATGCGCGCCGTGACTACTGCGGCGAAGCGCATGCCATCGGCGGAGACTAAGCGCGGCAGCAGGCTCAGCCGGCCCTGCCTGCTTAATAGGGCGCAGCGTGCCCCGTGCGTGCGCATATTGGTGCTCTAACTGCTCCAACGCCACTCATGGCGCGGGGGAATTACACGCGCGCAGCTTGCTTCGCCGCGTCGCAGCCTCTCCTCTACAGGAGTAGAGGAGTCGAGCGCCGAACGCTGCGCGTATGCGTCTCATTCCATTGAAAGACGAATCGCGTAGGTGGTCTACCTTCAGTGCGCCGGCGGCCGCCGCTCGGTTGCGAAGCGCGGCCTTCGCTCCGGCAGATCGGCCAGCCGCCCCATCGCGTTCCACCTACTACCCGGCCAAGCGGCGCAAGTCGACGCAGCGGCGCCGGCCGCCTAACCGTAGCGCCAGCACCTTTGCAAAGCCAAACCCTAAAAGGGCCAGACTTGCGCGAACCGGCGCAGGTGGTGGCCGTCTCGTCTTGTCCGATTTGTTTTGCTTGGCTGGCGTCCGCCGCGAGGTATACGAAAAACCGCCAGCCCCCGAACCCCCCGGCCTCTGTGAAGTGTATGCAACTTTCCGCAACAACATTCCGCACCACGCACAACGCGCATCGCGCGGACTCCTGGCGGCTTGGCCAGCCCTTCCCCCCCGGGGCAAGCCTGAAAGCCGGGGAAACTGGGGCCGCCCCCGCCCGGGCACCGTTTCCGACGTGTAGAAGGTTACCAAGAACGGAAGCGCCCCCGCGTCCGACTGCAATGGCCAAAGCACGAAGCCCAGCTCCCAGCACACCTCCGGAACCACCGAGCGCCGAAGAACGACCGGCCCGGCCGAACACGCCCGCCGAGACCGCGCTCGGCGGGTAGCCCGGGCTTGGCAGTATTGGGCCCGCCCGGCGCCGTGCCGCCGTATCTGGCTTGGCGCACCCACACGGGGGCCGCGTCCCGATCGCGCGGCGGCATAAACTTCCAACAACCCCCATGCGCCCGAAGCTGTCCGCCATCGTCTGCCGCGCCAGGGCCCGGCTTATTATGTTTTTTAGACGCCCGGGCCGGCTGCGCGGACCAAAAAAGGCAGCCGCCCCGGCTGCGCGGACAGGACAGAGAAGCCGCGCACGCCTTCCCCCCCTGCGCCGCGATTACGGCAGTCCAGCAGTCGCCGCTGAAGCAGATACCCTCCTCGCCAGAGTGGTGAACTTGATGCAACTTGGGCGCCAAAGCTTTGCCGTCCACAGCGGTCGCTGGCTTCCGCACCACTTTGGCCATTCGCGTGCGCTTAGGTAAACGCACACGCAACGCCTGCGCGCCATGGATTTCTCCGCTCTTGCGGCGATAGGCGCCGGCCTGGCAGCCGCGGCCACGATCACGCCGGCCCTCGCCATTAATGCTGGTGAGTGAGGCGCAAAAGCTGAGAAAAAGACGTCGAAAAGTTGCCACAAAGTGACTCACAGTGATCACAAGCGCGATGCTTTTATGTGAGGAGAACCGCTGAAAGCCCACGACGAGCGCATATCGAGCTACCGTCAATGCGGGCCAGTATCTGAGTATCTGTCAACTCTTGTTAGGTCTGGTCTGCTTTTTCACTTCGCAAGCATGCTGTGGCTGACACGCTACGCAAAAATTTGCTGTCGGCGACAAAGCCCAGCCGGATAAAAATGCAGCGCAAAACCACAATCATGGATAGTGTGGCGACATGAAAGTGGCACTACAAAGAACAATGTCCTCATCATCACTCACTGTCGTGTTTCGTGTGCTACTACCGTAGTGCTAGCCGTCGCAAGCAGTGGCGTAACCTGCGAAAGCAAACTGCTCAATCCGTCTCTGCCGGGTCCCAAAAACTTTAAGGCGCACTGCAGTTTCTCTTCGATGACGCGCGGACTCGCGGTCACTACCTGACCGCCCCTGTGTTTCTCCCCAGCTCCGGACAGTTCTAAAACGGATTGGCGGAAGACCGCAAGTACCTGCCCGTACTCTGGATTTTCGTTTTGCAGACCGGCGAAGAGCTCCGGTTGCATACCGCAGTTTCGGCCGACCGAAAGCATCTGTGCCCGGAAAACCGGCGTCGCAAACTGGTACATTTCAGCGAGGGAAATGTCGGCTTTCTGCAACGTGTCAACGAAGCACAGACTTGTCAGGTGCACCAAACTCTGCGTGACCGCGGTGATCTTGTCGTGCCGCTCTGGCGTGGTCTGCAACAAGCGGCAATCTTTGAACACGACGTTCTTGAGCCAGTCTAAGGCTCGAGCACCCCGATCATCGCCTCTTGGCTTCTGTGTGGTCGGTGCCTTCCCTGTTCTGCCGGCTGCTGCGTCGTGGTCACTCCTCGTCTGCGCTACTGACTGCATAGGCTTTGCGCTTTCCAACTTTTGTCGTTTCGCGCGCGGACTGCTTCCTCGTGGCTCTTTCTCCGTGCAGCTGCTGCTGCTCTTCGACTGGTCCACAAGTGATACCGAGAGGGGGTGATCATCTTGACACGCGAAACTTTTGCTGTTTGTCCCTGTAGTTTCTTCGTTCCCGTCGATTCGGACGGGACAAAGAACAAAATTCTGATCCCGCAGGGCGGTCGAAGGTCCGAACATGGGATGCCCACCTATCACGGTTTGTGCTTTCGTCTGCGCCATGGCGTTGCACGGCTGTACCTTCAGCGAGGTCAAATCCAGCAAGATTTGATCCTCGCGCACAAAAGGCGCGAGCCTTTCTATCGTCTTCACGGTTGCACTCAGCGGCACTGCAAATATGACCAGCTCCGCGCTTTCCAGCACGCGCCGGTTCTCCAGCGCTTGCTGGTGTTCGTCGACCCTTTTTGTGATTTTCCCGTCGCTCGAACTTGAGTTCGAAGAAGTCCAGCAGGTTTTTGTGCACTGCACTTCTGGCACGAATTCAGCAAACACTTTCGCGAATACCGCACCCATCCGCCCATCGCCTCCGATAATTCCAACGCTACCAACTGGAGCTTGACTGCCTCCAGTTGCAGCAATCATGTTTGCCATCTGATCTTCACACCGAACTAAGATGGATCTCCTGGCCAAAAAAAAATGATCGCGGCAATCTGTGTTTACACTGGTACTACTGTTTCAGATTCACTTGAGAGCCTGCTTTGTATCTATACTGAGATGGTCGGATCTTTTCGGAAAAAAAAAATTAGTGCAACCAGTAAACTGCTCACCTACTGAAGCATGATACAGTGCGGACCTTTTTTCTTTTTGTCGATGTCTACTTGTCTAGAAGCTACCTCTGGGCCTCGAGCCAAAGTCTTTCGAATTTGTTTTTTTCGCATTTTTTGATCATGCCAGGGGGCGAGTGTGTCCTCTTTTTCGCGCACTTTGCCGAAAAACCTTGTAGAATCCATGTCTTATTGCGCTTGCAGCGCGCTTGCGGCGTATTTCAGGAAAAGAAAAACCGTCTTATGTGTAGTATGAATCAAAATCTAAATCATCAAAAGTATTTACACCTATCTTCTGCGCTGTGAAATAAAGCCGAGAAAAACCATTGCAAAACCGATCTGTAGTTTTTGTGTACAGGTGAACTTATTTTTCAGACACACACTGTGGGCTCCTGCGTCATCAAGTATAAAATAACTAAGCCGGGTGCTACTTATCAAAAGTGACACAATCAGCACGGGCACTATAATCGCGGCACTGCTCTTCTATACTAGCCCGGTTCCGTGTCTATTCCGGCCGAGATAGACAGACGCAGGTTAGTGATCTTCTCAACGATGACTTCCGTGTGGGTGGCGATCTTCTTGGTGTTCAAGAACTCCAGCAGGCCGCAGGAGTCGATCATGGTCCGAAGATTGCGCTTGTGAATCGCCAACAGCGTCAACAGGGTGGCCAGGTTGATGAACATGTCCAGTAGCGTCGACGTACTGGGCGGGCCGCCGGGCGTCGCGGAGGAGGAGGACCACAGGCGACCCAGCGGCGTGTTGTTCAGCTCCAGGTCGTTGTAGACCTCGTAGATCTGGCGGAATTCGAGGCAGAGCCCCTCGAGGGTCCGGGACCCGACGGTGGCCTTGTTCTTCGACGAGTTCACGCACAGCTGCTTCAGGACGAAGTACAGCTTCGACTTCAGCGGCGCGACGACCTTGGCGGAGAACTGGAAGTCCTCCAGGGGCAGGTTCTGGTTGCTCGTTTCGAAGGGTTTCTGCCCCGACACGGCGTCGAACATGAACAGACAACAGTCCAAGATGCTCATGCCGAACACCTCCTGCATGTGTGCCCGGATGTCGTCGTCGTTGGCGAGCTGGCCCAGGATGGCGTTCAACGGGATCAGCAGCTTGTAGCTGCTGAACGGGGTCGCGTAGTGCGTCAGCAGCGTGTCCACGAGCTCGGGGAGCAGGGTTTGCTGCTTCAGAATCACCTCGCGGAGCTTCGCGGTGGTCGTCAGGTTCACCAGCAGCAGGAGCGTGTACTCCACGACGTGGTCGTCCTTCCGCCGGAAGAGGTTGTTCTCGAGCAAGAAGAGCACGGAGGACTGGTTTGCCTGCCCGCCGCCCCCTTCCGCGGACGTCGAGTTTTGTGTGTCCAGGTCGAAGATCAGCATGTTCTTGATGAAAGAAAACGCGTTCGAGAGGTTCACTAACGCGGCGGTGGCCAGGGCCTGTAGAAAGGTGTTGTCGGGGTCCTTCATGATGTCGATCAGCGACGGAACGATTTCCCGAAGAAAGGCCTGTGTCATGCGGAAGGTGCCGCTGTTGGCGGAGTGGTGCTGCTCCTCGTCGTCGCCCTCGTCCTTGTCCCCGCCGCCCGCCTCCGGCATCGCCAGCCCGCCGCCGCCCCCCTCGCCCGGTTGCTGCTCGTCGGCCGCAGCGAGCGCGCACGAATCGATGATCTGCCGACAGATGGTGGCCTTCAGCTGCAGCGAAATCATCCGGTGGCACAGCATCTTCTTCAGCAGCTCGGCGTAGTCCGCGTCGTTCTTCTGGCAGACTTCCTGGTACAGAAACAGAGACTCGACCAACACCTGCATCACGGTCTGGTTGAACGTGTACCCCTGCGGAATACTGCTGCCCATGCCGTCGCCGTCCCTGTTGTAACTTTTAATATATTCATTTTGGCTCCTACAAAGAAGTACGATTGATGTTTATTCGCGGAAGATCGAGCGACTGAAGCAGGAAAAGAAAGCCGCGTATAGCGAATGCAAAAACAAGATGAACTTTAACTTCTTCTACCGAGAATTGGATTTCTAAAAAGAAAATAAAAATAACAAAGGCGGAGGCCGCTCGGTCTATCAAAAAAGACAAAGAGTAGGTATATCTATACGAGGTTGTCACTGCGTCCATGTCTTTGAGCGGCATTAGCAGCGCGCCGGACTCTATCCAAGAAAAAAACACCATCACAATCACAGTTGGGAAGTTTCGCATCAGAAATTTGTTTCGCATAACAAATTTTTCTTGTATTGCAAAAACACAAAGGGAAATCGCCTATAACTCTTGACTGTGATGCAGTTTTGCGCATGACAAAAATTTTTGTATTGCAAAACTGTGCAAAAGTGATTGTGATGGTGTTTTTTTCTTGGATAGACTCGGAAAAGGGCTTCGCGTAGTTCCTTGGTCGGAGATGAAGCAGAAACTGGACGTATCCTAAGTGAAAACGTCCCCACCCCAGAGTTGTCATGCAGATTTGCATCCCAAAAAAGTTTCTCACGCGGAGCCTCATGAGAGCCATTTCCTAGTCTTGATTTTAAACTTGTGATGCTATGATCAGCATGATATCCTAGATCTGTGATGCTTCGGAACTAGCTAAACAGGACTACACTACGAGGACAAACTTGTAATGCAAGGCAACCATAGCTGGTTGATTTGTCTAGCAGATTTCCCATCTTGACTCTGGTATGGGGACACTTTTACTCAGGATAGGACGACGCGCAAAATCTTCCTCCTGGCGTCCGCCTGGAGGTGGCCGTTGATGCAGGAATCCACGAGGACTGCCAGGTTGAATTTCTCGGACCGGGCGCCGCAACAGTGGTTGATCTGGTAGCAGAAGTACTTGCTGACCCGCTCCAGCCACGCGTTGCGTCGCGCGTCGCCGGAACCAGAAGTCTGGTCGGCGGAGACCACCCCCGTGCGGAACCGCGCCATGCGGTACAAGTCCTGCGCAACGAAGAAGGGATCCTGCACCGTTGGGATGTGGTCCCCGATCTCCCGCAGCACCTCGGGATTCTTCAGCGCGTTCTCGTCGTTGAGCACCTTCAAGACACCCTTCAAGAACCGCTTCCCCTCCTCCTCCAGCGTGAGCACCACCGACCCCGTGCCCTCGTCCGCCGGGCCCCCGGTGCGGAAGGGCACGTACCCAGGCGCCAACTTGTAGCGGGTCAGCAGCCAGTGAAAGGCCTCCTCGCTGTACAAGAGCGCGTTCATCTTCGCCTGCACCACATCCCGGTAGATAAAGTCGGTCAGACTGGTCACCTGCGCCTCGCTCTCCTCCAGCAGCGCGTCGCTGGTCAGCTGGGTCATCAGCGGGGAAAACGAGTTCGCAGCCATGTGCACCCAGCTGCTCAGCGTCGTTTGGATCTCCTGCGGCTCCATCAGTCCGAACGGCTTCTCGTTGGTCAGTTTCATGTGTCGCAGGATGATAGCCACGTCCTGGGCGGTGTCCAGCAGCGGAGGTAAGAATTGCCGCCTGATCATGTCGTCCAGGCAGGAGTTTTGTTCTGTTCTCGCAGTTGTAAGAATAAGACAATTCTTATTCTTACAACTGCGAGAACAGAACACGACACATCGAAGAATTTCATTGACTTTTCCGCTGAGACCACTGACTCCTCTTACATGATTCGAAATCAATTTCATCCAGATGAACACTCAGCATTCTGTACCTCAAAAAGACAGCGGATATGTACTCGCCGGTGGATTTACACTCCAACTCCAGCTCCCAGCCGGTGAATTGTGCAATATCTTCGGAGAGGTCCATTTTTTTCAGGAACACCTGGCTCTTGAAGATTTGCCAGTGCCTGCCCCGCATGTTGGTAGAGCTGCCGCCTGCCGTGCTGGACGTGAGGAAGCTTTTGTAGTCCAGGGCGACCCACCGCACGTGCAGGTCCTTGTTGTGAAACGCCATCTCCATCAGACTTGCCTTGGGGTGCACAAAAACCTCGATGGTCACGCGCTGCAAGTCGTTGACGTACGTCGTGCGATTCCCATTCACACGGGAGTGCGTGAACGAGTCCGGGAGGTAGAAAAAGTAGTCCCCGAGCATCTCCTCGTGGAACCCGGCAAATGGGGCGACGAAGAGCTGTCGCCTCTTCGACGCCTTTCCCGCTCTCGCCTTCGGCCGCGGCTGCGCCGGCGTCTTCTGGTTGGAGTTGCTTTCGCTCTGCAGCTATCAAATGCAAAAGTGTCTGGGTCTGGAAGGTGGCAACTTGTCATGCTGTTTTTGGACTCCAAAAAAATTTGTATTGCGTGACCAGCAAGAAGGGCACAGTTTGTGCTACACGGACAAAGCATTTTTCATGCGGAAGGTGCGTCAGGAAGGGTTCTAAAAACCTGTGATGCTAGGTCATGCATTACAGGCGTCATGGGTCATGAGAAATATGCATGACAAATCTTGCATTCTTCCAGACCCAGACATATTTTCATTCCATAGCAGCACTGGTATGTGTGCACACTCGGCCAGCTCCGCCTTCACGTGGGGGAACGTGGCCACCTGCGCAATATGGGAGTGTCAGGATCGAAATCGACAAAGTCGAAAAATTTGTGATGCTAAAACAACCGCACCGACATTGCCATTGTCCAGCATAGCTGAGGAGGCAAGCCTCCACAGGCTCCGGAACGGCATAGGGTCAGAACCGCGAAAACATCGCGAGTATTTCTTCATCCCCGAAAACATCGCGAGTATTTCTTTATCGAAAAATTTGTGATGCGTAAAATGTAGGGCACGCGAGGCCTGTATTGGGGTGCAGGCAAATGAGACCGATTGTAAGCCTGCTTAGGGGTATGCAATGTGTTGCCAGAGTAGCATGACAGGAGCAGTCTGCTTTGCCCAAACAGCATGACAGACTGGATTTTGGTGGTCCCAAAATTTGTCATGCGCCACTTGGAAACTGAGGCTCCAACTGGCATCGATTTTGCGCATCACAAATTTTTCGATTTTGTCGATTTCGATTCTGACACTTCCATACGCAAACCGCCACATGTAGTCCGAGCACCAGGTGGTCTTCAGAAAGCTCAGCAAAATTGGGCGGTGCCCGGTCTGGAAGAAAATCCGGGTGGAATCCCATTCCGTTGGCCGATTCTCGTTTAACACGATGCACAAGTCCGTGAACGTGTTTACGTCCTTATCACAAGGGAAAATCCCCCCCCCCATATCAAGCGGAAGTCTCTGATGCTGGATTTGCGTATACGAATCCGGTTTGTCTTGCGGTAGAGGACTGCAGGCTCCTGCCAAGCCTGAGCAGAGAGGTTTTGGCCTAGGCGCTTAGCATGAGAAACGTCTATGCTGTAGGCCCAACAGCATCACAAATCGCCTCCATAAGGCGGCGGATTCTTTGGGTTTGCCTTCTTGCAAGACAGATGTGATTTGTGGCCTCAAATCCGCAACACAAATTTTTGGAAACATACCTTTTCGATATGGGGAGGGGGGATTTTTCCTCTCAATAGTCCTCGATCACCTGCTCCAGATGCGCGTAGTACAGCTGGCCGCCGGGGAGCACCGCGGACAGATCCTTCCGGATCAAGTGCAGGGCGTGCTTTCCCACCCCGAGGTAGTATCATGCCAAAAAGTGGTAACGTTAAAGGAATCTCTACAATGACTAGCGAAAGGTGAGAAAACCCATTATTTAATAGTATTCCGCAATAGAAACAAAGAACAGAAACGAAAAACAAAAACAAAGAATGGAAACGAGAAACGACAACAAACAATGGAAACAAAAAACGAAAACAAAGAATAAAAACGAAAAACGAAAACAAAGAATGAAAACAAAAAACGAAAACAAAGAATAGAAACGAAAAACAACAACAACGAAATGCTGACAAAGCGCCCAAGCTTCTAAGCGACGAAGCCTCGAAACGAAGGGGCCTCGAAACGCCGAAGCAGCGAAGCCTCGAAGCAACGAAGAAGCCTCGAAGAGCCGCGAAGCCTCGAAGAGCTGCAAAGCCTCGAAGGGCCGCGAAGCCTCGAAGAGCCGCAAAGCCTCGAAGAGCGGCGAAGCCGCGAAGCCTCGAAGGAAGCAGCGAAGCCTCGAAGGGAGCAGCGAAGCCGCGAAGGGAGCAGCGAAGCCGCGAGGGGAGCAGCGAAGCCGCGAGGGGAGCAGCGAAGCCTCGGAGGGGGCAGCGAAGCCTCGAAGGGAGCAACGAAGCCTCGAAGGAAGCCTCGAAGCAGCAAAGCCTCGAAGCAGCGAAGCCTCGAAGCAGCGAAGCCTCGAAGCAGCGAGGCCTCGAAGCAGCGAAGCCTCGAAGCGGCGAGGCCTCGAAGGGAGCAGCGAAGCAGCGACGCCTCGAAGCAGCGACGCCTCGAAGCCTCGAAGCGGCGAAGCTCGAAGCGCGCAGCGATCGAAGCCTCGAAGCGCGCCGCGAAGCCTCGAAGCGCGCAGCGAAGCCTCGAAGCACGCAGCGAAGCCTCGAAGCACGCAGCGAAGCCTCGAAGCACGCGGCGAAGCCTCGAAGCACGCAGCGAAGCCTCGAAGCACGCGGCGAAGCCTCGAAGCACGCGGCGAAGCCTCGAAGCACGCGGCGAAACCTCGAAGCACGCGGCGAAGCCTCGAAGCACACAGCGAAGCCTCGAAGCAGCGAAGCGTCGAAGCAGCAAAGCCCCGAAGCACCGCCTCAGGCCTCGAAGCAGCGCCTGAGGCCTCGAAGCAGCGCCTGAAGCCTCGAAGCGGCGTCTGAAGCCTCGAGGCAGCAGCGTGCGAAGCCTCGGGTCAGCAACGTGCGAAACCTCGAGGCAACAGCGTGAGAAACCTCGAGGCGGCAACGCGCGAAACCTCGAGGCAGCAGCGTGAGAAACCTCGAGGCAGCAGCGTGCGAGGCCCCGAAGCAGCAGCGCGCGACGCCTCGGGGCAGCAGCGTACGAAACCCCGAGGCAGCAACGTACGAAACCTCGAAGCAGCAACGAACGCACGAAGCCACGGCGCAACAACGTACGAAACAACGCGCGAAGCCCCGAAGCCGCGGGGCCCCGAAGCAGTAAAGCCTCGACGAAGCCGCGCCGGCCGGTGCCGGACCATGGCCAAGCCGAGCCGGTGCGTGCCTGCCGGACCATGGCCAAGCAAGGCGAGCCGGTGCCGGGCCATGAGCAGACCGAGCCGGTGCATGCCGGACCATGGATGGCAAGGCCGGGCCGGTGCGTGCCGGACCCTGGCAAGGCCAAGCCGGTGCCGGACCATGGCCGAGCCGAGCCGGACTATGCATGGCCAAGCCGAGCCGGTGCCGGACCATGCATGGCCAAGCCGAGCCGGTGGGTGCCGGACGATGCATGGCCAAGCCGAGCCGGTGCCGGAGCATGCATGGCCAAGCCGAGAAGGTGCCGGACCATGGCCGAGGCGAGCCGGTGCCGGGCCATTCAGCATGGCCAAGCCGAACCATGGCCAAGACCCGAAGCGAAGATAAAAGCCCCGAAGCAAAGAAGCCGCGAAGCGAAGAGAGATGCCCCGAAGCGAAGAGAGGCGCCCCGAAGCAAAGGAGCCCCGAGGCGAGGATAGAAGCGAAGATAGAAGCCTCGAAGCCGCAGCGAACGAAGTCTCGAAGCCGCGGCGAAGCCTCGAAGCCGTAGCGAGGCCTCGAAGCCGCAGCGACGCCCCGAAGCCGCAGCAAAGCCCCGAAGCCTCAGCGACGGCTCGAAGCCGCAGCGAAGCCTAGAAGCCGCAGCGAAGCCCCGAAGACGCAGCGAAGCCTCGAAGCCGCAGCGCAGGCCGCTCGAAGCCGCAACAAAACCTCGAAGCAACGCGGCCTCGAAGTAACAACGCCGCAGCGAAGCCGCAGCGGAGCCAGGTCGTGGCCGCGCCGGTGCCAGATCAGGGTCGGGGGGGCCGGTTCCAGGTCGTGGCGAAGCCTGCCGGTGCCAGGTCATGGCCAAGCCGGTGCCGGGCCAATGGCCTGCCAGCCAAGCCTACCAGCCAACGCCACGTCATTCATAATTGCCGAGCCGGTGCCAGATCTTGGCCAAGCCAATGCAAGGCCGTGGCCAAGCCGGTGCCAGATCCTTCCTGGCGAAGCCTGCCGGTGCCCGGTCGTGGCCAGGCCGGTCGGTGGCAGATCATGGCCAAACCAAGCCTGCCGATGGATGCGTGCCAGATCATACACGGCCAAGCCTAGCCGGCCGGTGCCAGATCGGGGCATGCAAAGCCCCCCCCCCGGCCGGTGCCCGGCAGATCATGACAAAGCCGGTGCCAGATCATGGGCGAGCCTGAGCCACCCAGATCATGGCGTGGCCAAGCCGACGCCAGGTCGTCCGTGTCCAAGCCTGCCGGTGCGTGCCAGATCATGGCCCGGGTCGCTGGCGCCAGGTCGCGCGCGGTCCGAACCGCCAGGCCAAACAAGCCTGCGTGCCGGCGCCAGGCCGTGGCCAAACCGGTGCCAGATCATGCCCTCGCCTGCCACCGTCTGCCACCCTGCCCGCCGGCGCCAGATCATGGCCAGGCCGGTTCCGAGTGATTCTGGTGGCCAGGCCCGCCGGTGCCGGAACATGGCCAGCCCGCTGCCAGATCACGCCCAAGCCGGTGCCAGGAAGCGGCAAGGCCGTTGCCAGATCATGGCCATGCCGGTGCCAGGTGGGTCGTTACCAAGCCGGCGCCATATCATCGCCGAACCGGTGCCAGACAGGTCGCGTCCAAGCGAGCCGGTGCCAGATCATGGCCAAGCCGGTGCCAAATCATGGCCACGCCGGTTCCAGGTCGTTGCCAGGCAAGCCGGTGCCGGGTCGCGGCCAAGGCGGTGCCAGGCAGATCATGGCCAAGCCGGCGCCAGATCACGCCGAAGCCGGCCCCGGGTCGTGGCCAAGCCAGTGCCAGGTCGTGGACAAGCCGGCGCCAGATCATGGCCAAGCCGGTGCCAGGTTGTAGCCGAGCCGGTGCCAGATCATACACGGCCAAGCCTGCCGGCCTTCCGGTGCCAGATCATGGCCAGGCCGGCCGGTGCCAGATCACAGCAAGGCCGGTGCTCGCCCATGCCCAAGCCGGTGCCAGGTCATGGCCAAGCCAAGCTGGTTCCGGGTCGTGGCTGAGCCGCAGCCGGTGCCAAATCATGGCCAGGCCAGCCACCAAGCCGGTGCCTGCCAGATCATGGCAAGGCCAAGCCCTTGCGCCAGATCATGGCCAAGCCGGTGCCGGATGGATCATGGCCAAGCCTGCCTGCCGGTGTCAGAGCATCGCCAAGCCGGTGCCAAATCACGGCGAAGGTAGGCGGTGCCAGATCATGGCCATGCCGGTGCCCGATCATGCCCAAGCCGGTGCCGGACCCTGGCCACGCCGGTTTCAGGCCCTGGCTAAGCCGGTGCCAGACCCTGGCCAAGCCGGTGCCCGATCATGCCCGCCCCCCGCCGCCAGATCGCGGCCCCGCCAGTGCCAGCATGCAAGATGGCGGCAAGGGCCAACCTGCCAGCCGCGCCGGTGCCGGATCGTGGCCATGCCGTTCTGGCGCTTTGAAAATAGCAGGCAGATGGGCCTGCCTGTGCTGAAGCGCCGACGACGATTTTCCACAGAGAAACGCTGAGGGCTATTATTCATCTAGCGGAATACTATTAAGTCTGCAGGCTACTGGACACGGGAAGCGGGATAAGGCTAGTTTGGCATGCAGGAATGCACGAGAACCAATGCCGAAATTTGTGTTGCATAGCATGCGTGGTAGCGAAAATTTTTTATGCATGACTGTAATGCCCCAAAACCGCTAACGTTAACGCTTTTTTGCTCGATAGATAGCACTTCTTCTTGATCGACGCGTTCTTTTTCTGCTCGTTTACCGTTACGTACTTGAGCTGGACCAGCTCCGCGAACCGTAGCTCCACGCCGCACACATGGCTCAGCGACGCCAAGGCGGCAGAGTTTGTCGTCATAGTAGCGTTCTGGTGTCTCCAGGCAGCTGCCTGCTCATCTCTCTTCGTTTCGCCATGAGTCTGAAATCGCCTACTTCCTGCGAAATTTTGTAAGGACCCGCACCGAGGACCTTGCCTCGCAAAGAAAGCTTTCTTGTGTGCAGTGGTATTGAAGTCCTTTTGGGGTCCAGTCGTAGGCAAAAACTGCAACGCTGTACGACTCTCTCTTTCATCAACTGCAGGTTGATTGGCTTTGGTCTTGTGAAACGCTGTCTCAGAGATGATACCGAATAGTCTAAAAACACTCTCTGAGTTTCTCGCTCCAGCAGTACATCTTGGGAAACGCTGGAAAGTGTTGAAGGACACTTCTGTCAGCTCATGCTATTTTCAGAAGAGTGCTCCTGCCATTGTCCCAACATGGGTCGCCGTCCGCCGTTTTCCTTTAATGGATTTCCATTCCTAAAAACTTTTTCCAAGTCCACAGATTTGCAGATACGCTATTTTGTTTTTCGAAACCTGTCACTTCTACTTTAAATCAAAAATCACTACTGGGAATATGAAACGCTATGCATTTGCTGCATGTTGATTTTATACTCATCGAAAGTAAAAAGCTGCAATGCTTTTGTCGCATCGCAGCGAAAAAGAAACAAGCAGAACAAGCTGCGTAGTACCAAACTTTACTTCTACATGCTGAATGACAGCTCGACGAAAACTGCATATCGTTTCCATTGTTCTATCTCTCGTGCGTAACAGATAGGGTTCAAAGCAACTCTCTCGTAGCTGACGCCATTAATATAATAACTCAATTCAAAAGTATACAGCCTATCAAGAAAAGTCATCTACAAGTACAACTCTGTTCTTCGTCAAGGAAATGAAACACCTCTCAGGCCGACGGCAGAAAGGCCAGGCCGTCCACGAAGATGGCATTCTCCTGAATCCAAGCGGGGAGGACGTGTAGCTTTTGCCGCGCGCACGTGAGAAAGACGAAGGCGCTACTCTCCTCCGCGACGGGCGCAGATGACAGGAGCTGCCTGCAAAGGAGCATGGCCCGTACGCTGGTGCTGTCGGTACCAATCACGTTTTTCAGCAAAAGTGCACGCCGGTTTCGTCGCCATGCCGGGACCTCAAACATAACTTCTGTCTCTGTTTCGACGACACCTGTACTGCCGCGCCGCTCCGCGGCACTAGACGTAGCGATCCGCATGAGCTGGTCGATCTGGTGGCTCTTCCTCGTGGACGTTCCAGTGCGCTGGGTCGACGGTGTCGTCCCCGCGCAAGAGGACAACAGCGAGCGCACGCGATTATCCAGTTCCCCCAGCTTTGCTGAGGTTTGAGCCGCGCCCTCCGTGGCCGCTCTCATTCCGCCGCCCGTGAGTCCTTCGCGAAACGTGACACAGTGAAGGTCTGTGCGGTTGGTCGTCGGGACCGCAGCACCAGTTGCGATCCTGAACAGCGATCGCAGACACTGCTCCACAAGCAGATTCTCCGATCCGTTCGCCGTCACAAACACCAGAAAGGGTATCCGCAAAGGTACCATAAATTTCTCACACAGAAACTCGATTCGGTTCGCCAAATGCTCGATCAGTTGCTTCGTCTCGGCCACGCTTTTCGAACTATTACTTGCGAAAGTGATCACCTTTCCGGGACAAACACTTCGCAGGTCGTTTTTTCTGCTTGCCGTAGCACCCTCGCCGCCGAATGCGCCAAAGAACACCGGGGAGGACTCATTCGCAGTGCCTGCCAGTTCGCTATAATTTGCACTACCGATATCATGGTGCAAGAAGAGCTGTACCTCCTTCGCAAACTCATCGACTTTTCCCTCACCTTTGTCGCTTTTACTTGTACTCGTATTGGTAGCGGGAAACTGGTGATCCTGCGCTGCACTAGTTGCTATTGGTGCGTTTGTCGTGTACCCTGCTCCTAGTCCGGAGCGCTGTGCCAAATGTTTGTTTGCAGCAAGGCAGCGCTGCAACAGCGGCCAGCTGCATTTGAAAGCCTCTCCTTTCGCAGCCTGCGCCTCTTCCAGTTTCCCACAAACGGCACGCGCAATCGGTGCCATGATTTCTCCGGACTCTGTCCAGAGCCGATAAATTATGCGCTTTTTCTCCGACACCGACGTCTCCAAAGACGTTCGGGTCCTGTGAAAGTTCTCGAGTAGGTCCAGAAACTTCTGGTGCTGCGAGCGCGCGTCGTGCGCTCCTTCGCCAGCACCTAGGGGCGCGGATGTAATAACGTAATCTTCCACAAAGGTTCGCAGGATCCGTCCCTCCCCGCGGTCCCGCTCTTCGAGGAGCCTCTGCAAGTCGCGCTGCAAGTCCTCCAAGGGTGTGGTGGCAGAGCTGCGCAAGTAGGAACGCGGCTCGTCGACTCGCAAGTCGCTGCCGTACGTCAAGTACTCGCACATGACATCAAAAGAGGCTAGACCTTGTTCCAGGTGGCCTGCCCTCCTCGTATTTTGTTGCAGATTTTTTTCCGCTCCACTTCTTCCTATGTCATGTGCTACTTCTGCGCTGCGGCTTGATTCTTTACTCGCCGATGCTGCGCCCTCCGAATGCGGTTGGGGAAGACTGCAGTCTAAAACGCAGAACACGTCCGATGAAGTGAGCGGCGCTTTGCCAAGACGACACAAAGCAGTCGCTTGATTCTGCGAAAGTACGACTACAACGTGTAGAGTTGTTGTGAGCGTTGCCAATTCCACCTGTAGCTGCTGCCACAGAAGCTCGAAGGGCAACAGGATTCTGTCAAAGTCGAATACCCGGATCACAATGAGCTCTTCCACGGCGGCGTGCACGTTTCCCTTTCGGTTTCGCGGGCTCTGGTGCTCTGCGCCCCCGCCGGCTGCAAACGCGGCCTGCACTCGGGACAAAATTTCCTGCACCACCACCACGACCTGCGCAGCATCGTAGATTGTTAAAAAACACACCTTCCGCCGCATTTGCAGAAAGCTGGTCGCTTGCAAAAACACGCTCCCAGGATCAACAACTAAGGGAAGCCGATGGCAGAAACGCGGCAACCCGGCGAAGCAAAGCGCAAGGGTTTCTAGAACATGCCCCGCGAACTTTCCTCGGCCGCCACCCAGGGCCGCACGATAGGCCCAGTGAAGCGGGTGGTCGTTTATTGTTCTGTGGACTGTTCTTGTTGTAGTTGTACCAGGACCAGATGCTGGGGTGGACTCCCTCGTCCCACTGGCACCACTTCTGTTCGTCGTGATATCCAGGCACTGCCGCAAAATGCACGTAGAAAAATTTTCCTCAATACTTGGATCACTCTGTGCCAACTCTTTCGAAATCGACTTCAGCACCTTTCGCGGATGTAGGCACGAGCGGCATTTTGCTTTGACTACCAACTGGATTTTTTCCCGACCCGCAACGTCCATCAGCGCCCCCTCGTACGCGAGGACGGCAGCTGTAACAATGGAATCCACCAGAAACTCGAAATTTTCCAGTGACTCGGCATGTGCAACTTCACAGCTGTCTTCAAGACGGCCATCAGTGCCCTGATCATGATCCAGCGAGTTGTGCGTTAGGTCATTCCTGGAAGCACTTTGACTTTTCCTGTGACCACCCACAAGGGACGACGAGGCATGATGATCTTCCTTGTCACCACGATTGTCGCGGGCCGAGTGACCACAACTGTCGTCGAGCAGTTGCAAAATCCGCTGCCACTCTGCAATTTGTATCTGCGTGGTCTGGAACTCTGCGTCGAGCCTCTCCCGCTTCGCCCGCACCTGCTCCACGATGGCTGCAAGTTTCTGCACGCGCTCCTCTGCCAGTTTCGCCAGTTCCATGGCCGTGTCGAGCTGTTTCTGCACTTTCTGCCTACTGCTCTCCACTTCCTTCAGCCGCTCGCGCTTCGGCTTCACGTGCTCCGCGACCACCGCGTACCGGTACATGGCACGGGTCCACATGCAGATGGCCTCGCAGGCCACGCTGGCCTTGCGAATCACCGCGGGCTCGAAGTCCTCGCGGTTGATGTAGCTCTCCAGCTTTTCCCGCGTTTTCGCGGGCAGCGGCGACTCGCGGTCGTACCCCATCAGGGAGTCCAGCAGCTTCTTCGGGTCGGTCAGCAGCTGCTTCTGCGCCGCCTCCCAGTAGTCCGCAACTACTTCTTTGGTGTTTCCCCCGTCGGTGGTGCGCTTCACCGGCGGGACCTGGAAGATGATGCAGAGTACCTCCATCGTCATCCGGACGCCACTCGGGGGGTTGAAGAACGCCCGCACCTCGCGCAAGTGGTCCGTCTTCAGCTTCGACAAGCAGCGGTTGGCTTCCTCCAGCGCGGGGAGCGCCTGGTTCAGTTCCTGCTGCGCCTCCTCCCGCATCTTGCTGATCTCGCTCAGCATCGCGTTCACGCTCTTTTCCGTGTCCGCGGCTGTCTGCTTGGCCTCCGCCGCCTTCTCGGTCTCGCGCTCCAGCTGCAGCTCCGTTTCCCCGCACCTCGTCTCCGTCTCTCGCAAAACTGGCTCGAGGTCTCGTTCGCAGCTGTTGCGACTCCTCCTCACGGCGTCCCGCAGCTCCCCTAGTTTCGCCGCCCGTGCCGCCTGCAGCGTTGCACTCGCGACGCGACGGCGATTTTGCTCCGCGTACAATGCGGTGAACATACGCACAAACTCGAAGTAGCACCTAGCCCGGTCGGGATGTTGTCGCTCGTCGGCGGCGTGGCCAGCCACGTCCGCTGTCATCTGACGGGTCTTTTCGTTGCCGAAGAAACTGTCTTGCACCTGGGAAAACAAATCGCAAAACTGCACCCAGAGAAACTTGTCGTCCGTGCTTTCGGTCGCCTGCAAGTCCCGGAGAATAAGCGTCTTCAAAGGTGGTTGTGCAACACCTCCTTCATCCTCACCTTTGGAGACTACCACCTGACCGCGCTGCAGATACTCCTCCAGAATCGCGCGCCTTGTTCTCGGATCCCTCAGGCCCGGGTCAAGGAAATCGCTGAAGCGCACGCAATTGTCAAAAATGCACGGAAAGCGACGCTCCTGCTCCGCCGGCTGCACAGTAGAAGAATCGAAGTCGGGGGATGAAGCCGTGGCTCCTGTTCGCGAAGCGACAATGATGCGCGTCTTCTTCTTTACTTTCTCCAACAAATCCCGAGCCAAATGCTCACGACATAGTACACCAGTCAGAGGCCCCGTCCTCTCGGTTCCGTTCTCCGCCGCCGTTGCACCCTTGCCAAGGGTGGAAGTAGTGCCAACTTGGAATTGCTCGTTCCGTGCGGCGATGCGAGCGTAAAGATCACCCGTAAGGTTGTGCTGGAAAGAACCAGAGGCGGAATCCTCGAAAGCAGCTCGCCCCAGCTCATCCGCAAGAACTCCTGAAATAAATGCCCTCCCCGCCGTTTCGCCGACGTTTTCTCGTCCCGAAAGCGCTGCACTTTGAGCAGCGGCATTCATCACCGGCGGCACGGGTTCGAAGAAAACAGCGGACAAAAGGGACAGGCATCGTTGCACCGCGGTGGAGTTTGCATCTACAACGGACATGTAAAGTACTGTCCCGGGGTGGTCGACATCGCTGTCCACCGAAGAGTCTTCGAGCAGAACGCGTACCTGTCGCGCAAACAGTGGCTTCAAGACGGTGTGCCAGAATTCTTTTTCGGTCGAGACGTAGTCCAGTCGGACGAAGTGAACGGATTGCTGATTGTGGAAAGCAGCGAGACGCGCGCAGAACTCCTTCCCGCTGTGATCCGGACCCGCAAGTTGCACGACCGGACCGTCCGCCCGACGCAGCGCGTTTGCGATCTCTCGCACAGAAAGCTCGAACTGCGGATGCAACACAAATTCCTGCCCCATACGAGCACTCCGCAAGGACGGCGCGGACGAGGAGTTTCCAGTAGATGTACCCTTCAATGCCGAAGCCGCTGGCGAAGACCCGGAGAGCCGCCGCCGCTCCCCAGCCCCAGCCTGCTGAGCTGCATGAAGATCCGCGTAGGACGTACAAAGGTTTTCTTCGATGAGGTCCAGAAAACTCATTCCCTCGCCCACAGAAGCTGACCGCGTGGTCGTGATCTCTGCTTGCAGAAGAGCAGACGCGGACGCACGCCAGGGCGCGACCGCGCGCCCTGAACTGTGTGCTGCGGATGTTGATGCCAAAAGCACGTTGCAGCAGCAAAGGCGAATCGGCGACTTGATTTGCTCGAGTAGGTCCGCGGTGTACAGGTCTTCAAGCCGCGGTGCCGCTGAGACCGCATTGGTACTCCCAACAGATTGTCGGCGAAGGGTTTGATGTGTGAGCAAAGTGGCAACCATAGAAGTTGTGGCAGATGAAACTCCTGTGGCTATCCCCTCATTCGACGTCTCTTGCACTTTGTGGCCCGACGATCCGCGCTTCCCGCGGTTGCCTCCACCGCGACAGGTTCGGAAATCGCTTAGACACGCCACCACCGTGGCTCGGTATGCACGGTGGCTAGAGTGGAAATCCTCCCTCTCTTCGTCCGTCATTTGAAACGACCGCAGTGCCTTTGAGACCTCCTGGGTGGACAGTTGCAGCGTCTGAGTGCCCCACTGACGCAATCGCTGTTCGAGTTTCGAGTGATCGTCCACGTCGACGTGATTGTTTCCGGAAGATGATGAATTGTGGCCGACCCACGTCCGGAAGTCCGCTGCAATAGCACGGAAAAAACTTTTCCCCCACCCACTGGACTCGACGATGGATGTAACGGCCTCTCTCTGCGAATCGCCGGCCCTCTCCTCCTTGCTCGTCGATGGCGTCGAACTTGTCTGATCTTCGATGCAGTCGCCTGCGTTAGCAGCAGATACTTGATTTTTACTTGTGCCTGCGTTGCCTTGCTCGTCTCGTGCGATCTGCTTCGCATCAATTTGGTCCGTCGCCTCAAGCACTTTGTCGACAACATTCATCTGCCACTCTTGGGCAGGCAACGCATCCTCGGACAACGTGGCTTTTAACAAGGGGAAGAATGATTGGAGCGCTGGCCGCAGGTTAGATTTCCCGGAACCCTTGTCGGTCAAAAGTAGAGTTGACAAGCAAAACTTTTGAAAATTCCTGAAAGCATTTGCTTGCAAATGACTCAAACTCTCTGCTGCGCCCGGCGAAAGCAACTTCATCTCGGGGCGGTCCAAGCCGTGTGGCGCGTCACGGTCACCTCCATGTTCCAATATTTTCGGTTCCACGTCTGGAATTACAGAAGGCCGAAACCTCTGCGTGCTGTCCTGAAAGTGCGCGATGGCCCGATCCGCCAAGGCGCCAAAAATTGTGGCCAAACGGTCAATCTTTTTCGTTTCAAGCGAGAACGGCAGCAAATGCCGAGCCAGGCGCGGGTTTTCTACCATATCAGAGACGACAGCTGATGTCGCCGCGACGCCGGAGCTGGCCTCTATTTCCCTGTTCCGGCTCCGGGATGTCAGCAGGGTAGCAGCACCAAAACGGGCTGCCTCCCCATGCTCCAGCACAAAACGCACGTCATCGTCTTCAGCGTTGATGTCGTCCACAAAGTAAACTGCAGGAGCACGCCCCTGCAAGCCGCTCGCAGCAAACATATGCGAATGCGGAGCCGCCCCGGACGTCAGTTGCCACTGTTCTCCTCCACACGCGAACTGGTCGATATCTTCTGCCGCTGCGGACCGTCTGCGCTGGAGCACGCGAACGGTTCGTGGTTCCAGGAGATTTTGCAACAAAAACGACGCCAGCAGCGTTTTTCCGCATCCTGCAGGCCCTGTCAGACACAGGCTCAGCATTCGGTCCCGAGTGGGATTCTGCCCGGTGGAAAGCACGCCGCTAACAGGGCTCCTCCGGAAGTCCTCCAAGAATCGCTCCTTCCACATCGCATTGCAGAGCGTTCGTTTCCTTGCAGCTCGCTGCAATTTTTCTAGGTACGCATTGGTGGTGGCGAAGCTCTTGGACATTGGCTCGGATGTACGTCGTGTTTCCGGATGATCCGCTATTTTACCCACGGAGCGCAGCAGTCCGACCCGCCGAAGCAAGTAATGCAGTCGCAGGAATGCGCCTTCGGCAGGCCTGTCCTGCTGCCTCTTCTGTACTCCTGCGGTCGCGGAGGCGGGTGAACGTGTCAAGCCTTTGCTTCTCCGGCCCGGGTCTCCTCCCTCTCGAAAAATGTCTCCGCAGCTGCCCGCCATCTGTTGCCAGAGAAACAAAGCACGAAAACTGTCGGGCGTGGGCACGAAGAGTTCGTGCGACCTCAGCAGGCGCCACCCGGTCGTGTCAGCACGATTTGTGAAGCGGTCCCTGAGACTCACCCAGGCCCCCAGTTCAAAGTCGAAGGCCTTCTCCCCATCCCAGATCTGATTCAGGCACACACCGGCAGCAATTGTGGCCTGCTCGACTAACACGATTCGCGATTTAAATTGGTCGTCCGCCACCTGGCTGGCAATGCTGCTTTTTACTGTACTGGTGCCAGTGTTGTTCGTAGTATACGGCATAATGTCCCAATGCAGCCTCGAAACCTGCACACGAATCTGGTCAACCCCGTGCCGCAACGTCAACCCGTAGTCAGATTCTCGGCAAGGTTGTGATGAGCCACGCCCCGAGTCGTGGTAGTGGCCGTGCATCTTCATGCTTGTTCCAGCTCTAAGCGCCGCGGCGTCGTTGGATAGTACACGGTTTTCAACATCGGGCAAAGTTGCATTATCGCGGCGACTTCTACCTGGCGCCTCGCTTCCATCGCGATTGTTTCCCCCACCGCCCAAAAGCTGCTCCAGGAATGCCTTTGCCCGCTGCCGGTTTTCGTCTTTTTGCTGTTCGAGCAACCGCCGCTCTTCCTTGTCGCGCTTTTCCCGGCGTTCTCGCTCTTCGCGCTCCCGCTGTTCTCGCTGCTTGAGAGTGGTGAACTTCCGCGCGCTTGCTTTCGGGTTCGGTCCCACGTCAGCAGTCGCGGGACCGGCGTGGTCACCGGCTGGTGTGTTTTGCGCATAATTCCCTGTGGTCTGCTGCTGTCCGAGTACTAAGGCGTCTGCGCGCAGGGCAGACGTCGCCTGGGCTTGCCGATCTAACTCCTTGTTGAAACTCTCCAACAAGGCCGGACTCGGTTGCCGAGCCAGGACGTTGCGCAACTCTTCGCGGACCGACTCCACCAGCAACTCTTTTCGCACCAGGTCCTCGCATACCGTCTTGCGCAGTGCGCGACGAAACCGCTCTTCTGAAGACCCGGTTACGACCAACACGGAATACAAAAAGCAGTCGCCAAAAAAGGTATCGAAGCGACGCAGCGCCTTCTCAGCGTCGGTAACTTTCTGCGTGCCCAAGATGGAGTTCAGTTCCACCGTGCCCCGCCCCTGGTAAGTCCACTGCGCTAACAGCGTCGCCGGCTCGAACGCATCCTTGTTTTTCTGCCCAGATGAAACAATCGGCAGCAGCTCCTGTAGGCGCTGGCGCGCATACGGCGTGTAGTACCTCGTCACGAAGGTGGCAAACACGGCTAGCACGCGCTTCACAAACTCTGCATTCTGTGAACAATTCGATTTCATCACTTCAGTGCTGCTGGCTCCAGCAAATGGTGCAGCAGTACTGTTCTCACGACAGTGGTGCACCTGGGCTAGAAGGAAGTCCCGGCAGCAGTTCTCGAACTTTTGCCCGATCCGCCTCATGGTTTCCAGGCACAACTCGAGGGAGCACTTCAGATTCTTTCTCTGCTGCGAAGATGTCGCTTGTCCAAGGTTTGGTCCGGCAGCAAAATTTCTGCCGCCGTCGGAAACCGCGGTCCTCTGCTTCGGCAGCGATTCCACCCCCAACGCTTGCCGTTCAACTTTCTGCGCCAGGACCACCTCCTTGTCCACCTCCGCGTAAAAAAAGAAGAGGTCGCGCGCTCTGCGGAATTGTAGCTCGTGCAGCAAAAAACGTCGACAAAGACACATGCACGCACTGCTCCCTGCTGGCAGGTCGCATGTGAAGGAACAAGGGGCTCTGCCGGAAGTTGGTTTAAATGCTGATCTGTTCTTTGATGGTGTCGGTGATACAATATTATCACCGTCAGTTGTTATACTGGCCGCGGCCCGTGGCACATTGACAATTGCGTCCCAGACCAACAATGCTGCATCTGCTTCCGCAGCCTTTACAGAGTCCAAGGCCAGCGCGTCCGGATGCGCGACACCAGACTCCCCCTCCTCTCCTGAACGAGCGCTCTCCCCCGCTGAGGTTTCGGAGCTCGCAAGGCTCGTGGCACTGCTCGTCAGGGACTCTCCTTCCTCTGCTTTAGTACTATCTCCAACGACGCCCGGCACGAAATCCTCGCGAAGCGGCACCGGTTCACACGTCGCGTTGGTTTCGGGAGGAACAGCCACGTTTTGCCCCGCCCTCGTCGCCACGCCATCCTGCTGCCCTTCCGGTTTCCCGTCCGGGGGCATCGCGTCACATTGCAGCAGCGCGCAACGACTCATAAAGAACGCGGGCGACAAGTGGCGCAAGTCCATCTGTTCGAAGAAGCAGCGCACGTGAGGCGCCTTCTGGAGCCGATACCCATTCGCCAGAGGAACCGCAAACCCGTCCAAAAACGGCACCAACAATTCCGTCACAAGAAAGTTGCAGAACACATCGAAAACTAGCCACTGATGCCGAGGGCCCCCTCCGGGTCTTTCCTCTTCGTATTCCGGACCGCCACCAGCACAGCTTGTTTTCACCGCGCTCGCCGTTTCTGATTGTTGCTGTTCCCCGCGCGGCGCAGAGACAGACTTCAGGTCGTTTTCAGAACCTGTCGCGAAATTTGCCAGCATCCCCGGCCGCCAATGCGTTCGAGGCTGGTCCCCGGCGACAGTCGGGCGTGAGGTGGCAAACTGAGTCGCGCTCGCGCCATCAAGGTCTGTGCCGTCGGAAGCCGACGACGAAGAGAGCGCTTCCGTCGGCTCGAAGCTTCCAAAGAGCAGCGCCTGCAGTAGCTCCTGCATCGAAGCACCGCTGTCCGGCCGAAAGCCTTTCTCGCGCTGCAGCAAGTAGTCGAGGTTCAAAACAGTCACTTCGGTCGGATGATAGAGCTTCTCAGGCGGTGACACAGAATCGGTCAAAGATACTGCTCTTTCCCCTTCCGCAGGTGCAAAAGCATCCCTTGATGAGTAGTTCTCGTCTTTCCTTCGGAGCTCCCCTCGAAACTGTGGATCAACCTTTGCCTGCTTGTTCTCTGGCGACGAGAGATCGTGAACCTTTCCGGGATCAAAATGCACATCTGTTTTGATTCCCTTCCCGGGGCCCCCAGTGACCGCCGTAAGCTTCTGGGACGCCGTTTCTTTCTGCGACATCGGTTTGACGTTTCTAGCTGAGTAAGGATTGGACAATTCGTTTTTGGATTTGTGAAACAAGAGAATGGAGTCTGAATCTGCCATGGAACTACTCTTTTCGCTTCTTAATCCTTCTTGCTGTTGAGGTATCCATGTGGTCCCCACTCCACTGAGAGCTGTCAGAGCCTTCGCGAGCGCGGTGTAGGTGGACGTCTTGCAGCTAAGCATTCCTGCACTACCCGCCAGCACGACGGTGGATTGTTCTTTTGGTCCGTGCGCTAGCAATTCGGCAAGGCGGAGAATCTGACCGCACAGCGTTTTCGTTGGGAAAAGTTGCATTTCCGGAAGCACGTCGCTCACCAGAACGAGCTGCACATCTCTCTGCCACCGGGCGCCTATCGCTTCGTCGCAGTACGTTCTCCACGTATCGCACGCGGTCAACATTTCCTCGAGGCCGGACAACGAGCCTGGCGCCGAGACAAGAGATTGCTGCTCCCGCGCAGAAGCAGCCGCTTTCGAGTCCTCAGCATTTTTCTGACCATGCCGAAACGTCGGAGAAGCGTCCAGAAAGCCCGGCGCTTCCTCCGCCGGTAAAAAATCGCCTAGGCCGGCGTCAAATCCCGCTTTCTCCTCGACGCTGTTGTGAAACGGGAGCGCTCTGTTGTGCTGGAGAACTTCTACGCCGACGAGTGCACGGGCTGCAGACCCCGCAGTGACCCCCGCTCCATCTTCGAGGAACGGGAAGGAAGCAAACGCGTCCTCGTCGTCCTCCTCTCCATGTAGAGGCGCGCTCCTGCGAGGACCGCCCTTGCGACTGACCTGCCCCGTTATACCATCGACCTCGAAGCATTCCGGAAAGAAGTCGGCGAGGAGATACTCATCCAGCTCTTCCAGCCGCTGCCCCCGGTCTGGCGTAACGCCCTCATGGTTCCTTTCGGGGCCCATCCCGCTTTTGATCTGCTGCTTATGGTCTGCGAGGAAGCCGGTCGCCCAGCCGAGAATCCCGTCCACAGCCAAATCGCAAAACAAACGCAGCAGCCGCTCATCTGGACGTCCAGGCTCTGCTCCACTTTCTGACGAAGTAACACCACGAGGACAACTTCCGTTCCAAGACGAAAAATCCGCGCTGAAAAACGTCTTGCGCAAAGCTGTCACCAATTTCAAAAAGAGAACCCGATTGCCGCCGTCATATCGTTGCTGGTAAGTTGCTTGGAAGAACCGCGCGACCCGTCGACAAACCGATTGCAAGAGCCCCACAGTGTGGGCAAAGTTCGGCGCACGATCCCCAGCGCGTGCCGCCGTTGCGATCAGCAATCTTGCCTCTAAAATCGGCACCAGGCCTGGCTGCAGGTAGGTCTCCCGGGCCTTGGTGACAAACGCGGACGCGCTCACCGATGAGGCTACGGAGTCCACGCCTCGCGAGTGTCCGCGAAACAGACTAAGGTCCGAGCGTCCCGACAGTTCCCGCGACAGGTCCGACCGGCCGGAAATTTGCCTTTCCGAGGAAAACTCGAACAACCCTGCGTCATCTCCAAACATGGGTGGCACGGCGAGCTGTCCGCTCTGGTCGGACCGTCCGGAAATGTTTCGTGATAACGACGCGGTCGGGTCGGGCACGCAGTCAGCCAAACCCCCGTGGCTGACGGCGTTTCCACTCGACTGGCGGCGGGAACCCGGCCCGAGCGCGACGCTGCTGCTCGACTGGCGGCGGGACGGCCCCAGGGGGCCTCCTCCTGACCCGCGCCGCGACAGGTTGGACTGCCGCCGCGACCGCGCAGTTTCAATATCCGCTACAAGTTCCGCGGGGTCTCCGCCGCATGACGCGGACGATGTTGTGCACAGCAAGAGGGGGCGGCGCAGAGGTAATTCGAGATCGCCCTCGTCCGACAAATCGCCTATGGTGACCAAATCGCCCCCGTCGTCCCGCGGGACCTTCCTCTCTTCGCGGAACAGCGTCAGCACGCACTTCCCGATGTCCTGCAAGGCCCCGATCTCCTCACTGAGCAGAAAGTGCGGCTTCGTAGCCGACCTCGCACTGGAGAACACCAGGAGGCCGACACAGCCGCTCGCTACGACGCCGCGAAGCCACTGCAGGAAGTCGACGTGCACAAGTGCGCAGTCCAGCACGGACAACGGCCGCCCGACTACGTCTTCCGCGAAGCTCTGCACGGTGCGCGAGTCCATGTTGTTCTCTACCAGCACGGCCGGGTTCCCCAAACCGCCACCCGCCTGTGCGACGGCCGTGTTGGAGGTGTTGTCCGCTACATCCACCGAAGCCGCGCTGAACGCCTTGGTCAGTGCCTCCGCGGCCTTCGCCACCCTCAGGAAGCACCGGTCCCGGAGCGGAAACACCGACAGCCGCAGATAGGATTCGTGCAACGGCTTCACAACGGGCTCGAAGCCGTAGTCCAAAACCGTTCCCATGCACCGAACCGTGATTTTCTCCCCTCCCCGTTCGAAGTAGTGTCGCACATGCCGCTCCCATGACGACCGGTTCACGGAGAGTTCGTCGCAGACGCTTACTTGGTGTCGCAGGAGCACGAGCAAAGGCTCGATGACATGCGCGAAACAAGTTTGGACCCGAAGTCGAGAACAACAGCTGAGGCTACCTTGTTCCTGCTTCGTTCCACTCTGTTGACCGCTGGCGGCGCCTGCGCCCGCGCGGCCCTGATCAATCTTGGCCTGGAGGACATCTACTACGCCATGTAGTTTAGTCTCTGCTGATGCAGCCTTCGGCGCAGCACCGGGAGCTTCTTGGTCGAAGAACGCCTCGTGTTTTAAGAACCTGATCAGTGCTTCACACTGCTTGTCTAAGTCGACAGCTGTATTCTTGAACAGCAGCGCCTGTTGATTATTTCCGTGATTTCCCGACGCTCCAGGTACTAGCGGCTCCGAACCCGCACTGGTGCGAAAATTCTGAAGTTCAACCTCAACGGCCTCCACAAATCGTAGCTCCTGCGCAAGGAAGACCGCCTGCGGCGGACACTTCATGTCGATTGCGCGACCACCTTTGCTTTCCTCCTCCGCGGCATCCAGGAGGAGTCTGGGCCGCGATACAGTGAACAAACTGCCGATGCCACCTTCGTCTCCCAGGGAAGTAAACGACGCGGCGATTGCATGGCGCACGCCACCAACAAACAACTCCTCGAGCATCAGCACGAAGCGGTCTGCGGTCATCATCGAAGCGCGTGCAGTTTGCTCCTTCACCGGGCCGAAGGTGAGAAACGGCGTCGCCGCCGAAGTTGTTGGACAGTGCAGCACTATGGTATCGTCCAGGGGTGGGTGGGAGACCGTGCTTCTGGCCGATGCGGCCGTGTGCTGTTGCCGGCGAAACTGCACGAAGATACTAGAAGCAGCCGACGAGTCCCCTTCTTTCTTCCTCCCTGAAGGTGCCGAATCCGAAAGAACAGAAGCTGCATTATTGTGCAGGTGCGGAAAAAGCGTTGGCACGAACTGGCCCCAAACGTGACGGTTTTTCCAGAAGGAGCTCCGGTCGCGCTTTGACGCAAGTCTGGTCAGGTGCAGCAGCTCTGCCTCCGCTAACCAAAACAACCGACCGCACCGGCATCGCGTTCTCTGCAGTGCTTTCCGCACCTGGTACTGCACGCCTTCCAGAACTTGCTGCGACTTCTGCAACCGCGCCAACAGGTCTGGCTCCGGAAAACTCACCCCTAGCAGCGCCGCCAGTGCGTTGGGGCTCTGCAGGGCCTGGTGCTTCAGCGAATGCCAAAACTCTGTTTCTTTCTCGAACTGTCGCTGCGCCTGCTGCAACACCCAGTCCTGCTCTTCCGCATCGAGCTCCGCTTGGCGCACGGCAGCTATCCTAGAGAAAAGCACACCCATAGTTACCAGAAAAACGGGAGCTTTTGTGTTGCTAAACTCATGGCATCAAAACCTCTGTACTGCGGAGACCCACAGAGAGGCAATGTTCCTCCCTGCAGAAAAATGGCAGTTCGTGATGCTGGGGTTGGCGACTAAAGAGGTACCAAAAAGAAATTCTGATGCTAGAGAAAAACCGAAGCGACCTAGTTTGTGACACTGAAAATAACCCCAACACAAGTCAATCACTTTTGAGAAGTGTACTTTTCTGTAGAATAGCAGCCGCTCCCCTCGCGCCCCCGCCTGCACTTGCCGCGTCCTCATTCACAGTTCCTGTACCACGATCCGCTTCGTCCAACCCTTCCGCGACCAGGTGATCGAAAACCGGCCCCAGATTGCGCCATAGCTCCTGCACCCGCAGCCAGGTTTGCACGCAGTGCAGCGCTCGCTTCAGGGCCCCGTCCCACGTCACAATTTCATCGCGATATGCCAAGTTGTACTCCTCGTTCGCGAGCAGCACGGACGTGCGCCCCACGTGCCGCTGCAGCAAAGCCTCGATCGTGCCGCCGTTCCGAAGGGTCCACGCGCGAAACCGGTTGCTGTTATCAAAATTGAAAACCTCGGCATCAGACCGCGGGCTGCCCGGTGCACTGGTACCCGGAAGCTCCTTGGAGCTTTTCTCCGCTGCTTCGAGCTCCTCTCCCGCTAGCACCTCGAGCTCCACGATCTTTCGCACCAAGCTTTTCTCCACCGCGGCAGCAATGTCGCCTTGCAGAGGACCCGGCCCCCCTGCAGTGCCGGTTCCGCTGCCCGCAGGCTGCAGAGGCACACCCTTTTGAAATTCCTCGTCTTGGCGTTTGAGCAGGCGCTCGGCTACCTTCCGCTTTAAAATGGCGGGAATGCTGGACGGCTTCACCTTTGCCCCCTGGAAAAAGTCTTGAAACAAGAGACACTCTTCCACCGCAGCAGCAGCGGCAAAAGGGCGAGAGCCAGTGCCCCCCCCGGCGGGCGACCCAGTCGCCAAACCTGTGTGAAGGTCGTGATTCCCTGTACTAGCGACCGTCGTAGCTGCTCCCTCAGCCGCCCCGCCTCCGCTCGGAGAAGGACAAAACGGCGCGTAACAGCCCCACTGAGCGAACATTTCGAACAATTCGAATTCCATGTCGCGTTCCTGGTCCGCACGGTAAGCGATCTGAATCACGGCGCGTTCCTTGGGAGAACCGAACAGCACTCCGCCCCTCTTGATTACAGACGATAGGGAGAAAAACTCTTCCACGTCGTTCGGATCCGTTTCCGCCCCTGTTGTAGTAACCGCGCAAAAACCTCTCGTGGAGAAAAAGCGATCCACTTCGGGGATGCCGGTCGCAGGGTTTCCACCCTCCTCATTCGCCTGTACTTGGTTCACTTCAGTGGAAAAAGTTTTTGAATCGGCGAGGTCGGACGGAATGTTTCGGCGGTAGGGGTGGATCCAGTGAGGAGTCGGCTCCAACAGCGACACTTCTCGCCAGTGTCGGTCCTTCATGCCCTTGCTTCGCAGCGCGCACAGGAGAGGCAGCGCCTGCTGGTACTGCAGCAACTCTGCTTCGACCGCCTCCGCTAGCGAAATAATCTCCAGCAGCTGCTCGTTCACAATCTCCCCGCGCTCCCGCGCCATCAGGGCTTTCATGCTCTCATCCCCCACCGACCCGCGTCGCTTGTTCGGGGGTAACACCTTTGCGGACGTCGTTGCATTTGCGCTCCCCGGCACGACCGCCTTTGCTACTTGCTTCATCGACGTCGAACTCGGAGCGGTAGAGCCAATCATGCCCCTGAAATCCTGGACACAACGCGCCACCTCGTCTACACCGCGATTGACAAACTCACAGACCTCGTCCGCGTCCAGTAAACCCAGAAAGCCATGCCTGGTAAAAAAAAGTTAGTTGCCGTGTTTGCACTGCATCTGAGAAGTTCCAAAAAACTACACAGCACCCTAGTGGACGTCCTGCGAAAGAAGCAGAAGAATCATCTCAAATCATACCACAGTCCGTGCTTCCGGTCGCGCCACTCGGACGCGACACTCCAGAAAATGCGGTAGGGCTGCCACTCTGCTACAATCTGCGAAAGTTTCGTGGACCGCTCTTCTTGGTTGTTGGCCTGCGGCACGAACCCCAGCAGCTTCTCGCGAACCTGCAATTTGCGCAACTCCTGCTGACTCTGCTCCAGCCGCTCGGTTACCAAAAATGCGTTTTTCGCAAGATCAGCCAAGTTCAGCTGCGGGTCATGAGACTCTGATGTTCCGGATGGGGTAATAAAAGAACTGCATGGCTTCGCGGCGCCAGCCACAGGACCCTCTTTCATCTCGGTCGCTGGCGCCCCTTTCAGCTTTTGCGCCGAGATCTTCCCAGGGCTGCTGCGACCCTGTGGTACTCCGCTGCCGATACTACTCTTCGGCGACCTGTCACCCTCCCCACCCGCCTTTCTCGACGACGGCTGCGCGGCGACGTCCACCGTGCCCAAGGCTAGCGGTTTGGTGGTGAAATTGGTGATCAGATCTTCCAGGTCGCCCAGCTCCTCCACGAACTGCTCGCCGTCTTTCTCCAGCTCCTCCAAAAACAGGCCCTCGCGCCGATCGATCTGCTTCATTTTGGTAAGCAGAATCTTCTCCGCACGCAAAACGTCCACGAACAGCCGAAACTCGTACTTGGACAGCGAGAGCTGCAAACACGACGCTCGTGTCACCTTCGGCAGCTGCAGGGGGGATGAAGAAGTTGCATTCTTACTGGCGTTCCGTTTGTTACCGCTCCGGGTAGTACTGTGCGGCTCCGTGAGCAAGGAGAACAGATAGCGGAACAGATCCAGACGCGGGGGCTCACGCTCATACACGATCCACTGCCTCAAACGAACCAGATCCTCGATCGAGGTTGGAAGTTGGTCCAACTTGTGATGGTAAGTGTCGTACGTTTGCAGAATTTGTCCTCCGGTGGCGTTGAACACGTCGAGAATCAGCTCCGTGTTCCGCCGGATGTACTGCGTGTACTTCGCAATTAGCGCATTCCGAATATCGTTCACAGAGACTGCAAGCAGGGGTCCAAAAACGCGAAGATGATTTGGTGCGGCAGAAGTCGTGGAGGTCGAAGTGATACGGTCGCACAACTGCTGCTCGCATAGGAACAAAGTGATGCGGTCCAGGCTCGCGGAAGCCTCCGCCCCCGACTTCTGCTGGCGATGCGCCGCATGAGGATGGTGCGACCTGGAGCTGCCGGCGTAGTTGCCCAGGTTCTGATACGGGGCTCTGCTCTGGTTCGCGGTTGTCCTCGAAGTAGTTGCGAAGGGTTCGCTATTTGACGGCAAGAATTTCGCGGCACGATCCAGCCGCTCCCGCAACAGCCTGATGTTTGCGGCATACTGCTCGGCCCGCTGATGCAACTGCTCTTCGCTCAGCCTCGGCGGGACGGAATGGAACGTGTCGGAATTCGCGTCATACAGGTGGATCCCCTGTAATTCCCTGGAAGGCTCTCCGGTAGAATTTTTCGGCGTGCTCGTAGAGGAAGATATTTGGCCGACGTCATTAGCATCATCTTCCCCTGTAATGTCATCCACATTTTTTTCTGCGATCGACGCCGAGCCCTGCTGTGCGGAAGAAATCTTCTTGGACGAGGATGCCGCTGCGTTGCTGCTTTTGCTCACGTCGATTTTCCGAGCCCTTTTTTGAGCGTCTTCCTTCTCCGCCAACGCTTTGTGATACAGAACCACCGAGAAACTTGGATCCACGTTCTCGCGGATGTGCTGGGTCAGAAACCCCAACAGTGCAGGCAGCAGTCTGCAGAGGTGCCTTTCCAGTCCGCCTCGCAATGCCTCCTTGCGCTCCACAACCCATTCTTCCTGTGCGCTGGTCACCGCCAGACATTTCGTTTTCTTCGCGTGCGCCTCCCGGGCACGACCTGGTCCCTCTGTGGTGCTGCGCGCTCTCGGTGGAACAAGCGATGTTGTGCCAGGCACCGAACCAGGTCCTCTGACACTTTTCCCCCCCGTCCTCGCGGTAATATCTTTGTTTGTCTCGTCCAACGCCACAGGAATCGCTTGCACCTGCTGAAACCCGAAATTGGGAATCTCGTCGCAAAGGAGGGCGAGAAGTTCGTCGACACTGTGAGAGTACCGAAAATTTTCTTCCTCAAGACAAAACACCACGTCGAGCCGCAGCAGCGCCGGTGCAGCAGAAGCGTGGTTCAAGATGAGTTGATGTACATCCGACGATATTAAATCCTGGCGCAGCAGCTGCCCTTCTTGGCCGGTCCCCTCGGACGCGAAGCTGCCTCCAGAGCGATTGGTCACTGTTTCGCACACCTGCAAAATCATGCCTGTGCTCTCGCAGTATGTGAACCTCGGTTCGAGCACACGAGAGCAGTCGCTTGTCCCTGCGGCGGGCATCGGGGCCGCTCTTTCGCCGCGCGGGGATGGTCGCAAGGGGCCCGCCCCGGCCGCCCGCGGATGGTTGTACAGCATATCGCAGTACCCGCGAAACGAGTCTGACACTAATTCGGATACTGCGTGTTCCATCTGAAATTGAAGTTGTCGCAACACTTTTCTTGCTTTCGAAAACTGGTACAGATCCTGCTTCTCGTGCGGCTGAAGCTGGCTTCCTTCCGACTGGCCCACCTTGCGCAAGTCGTTTCTCGGCACCCCCTCCATCGCACTGCTACCCGCAGGCGATGCGTAGGCTGCCCCCGCTGCGTGCGACGACGAGTCAACACTGTTCTTGGCGCACTTCGGATTCTTCCGCTGCGCTACTGCGTGTTGCTCGTGCTGCGGAAGCAGCTGAAACCAGCCCTTACCGATGCTGTCTTTACCCAGATGCTTGAGCACCAGTGCCTCGACGTCGGCGTGCCACACGTCGTGAAGATACTTCTTCGAGTCCACCGCGAAACTTCGCTGCCACGATTTGAACTGTTCGAGCCCGTGCACGGGCAGTGGCTGTCTCGGCACCTCCGACACGGAGATACAATCATTTTTGTCCTCCATCTGTACTAGCCCGCTCAGTCCTGAGGGCGGTGGAGTACTGGCATTTGTGCGGGGTGATCCGAGCACCAGCACCGGCCGAGAAAGCACGTCAAAGACCGCTAATGACCTGTTGCCCCGCGAGAAGTTGTGCAAGAACTCTTGCCGGAATTCCAAGAACAACCGCAGCACTTCCGGTCGGGTGAAAAGAATCCCGTTGCGCACTAATGTCTGCCGCAACAGCTTCTGGTCCGGGAAGGACTCGCGTAGCGCGCACCGAAACATCTCCCGCCGCAATAGATAACAGTCGCGCGCCAGGACCGAAAACGCACTGGCGCTTCGGAGCGAGGGGTGAAAGTAGAAACACGACGAGAAATAGGCGCCACTGCTATTTTTATAGTGGTCGAGGGCCTGACTCTTTGCTTTGCGTGCGAAGTTCTTGCGAACTTCATTTTCATCTCCTTCCTCCCACCCGTGCAGAGAGAGCGACATTTCGGGCAAAACTGTCAATGTTCGCGGAAAGTTTTTGACGACCTGCAGCGTCTCTACTGCTTCTTCTCCGCCATGTTGAACGGAATGATCCCGTGCGCCTTTTGTGCGCCCACTCCCCGCGGTCACGGGCCGCTGCACTGAAGCCGTCTCGTCGTCGCTCGAAACGTAAAAACTTTGATCGTCGAAGTCATGTCCGCTAACGCGAGGATGTAGATCATCTTCAAAAGATTCGCCCTCCTCGGCTTCGCCTCGCTCGTTGTGTCCCACGACCACGTCGACCATTTCCATTTCAGCCTGTTGTTGCGCCCAGCGCAGCGGCACCGAACGTGCCTCGGCGCGGCTGCGGAGACGAGCATAAGGATGATCAGAAACATCCGGCTCAATTCCAATGCAGCCTCGGTCCGCGTTAGAAGACCCAGTTGCTCCTGCCGCACGTGATAGCGTGCAGTGCAATGGAAACAAACCAACCGCATTGCTCTCTTCGCCCGTGGCCGCGAAGGAATTTGGCTTGTTTGATGGCATTTGTTTCTCTAGTACGAGCGCGTCCTTGGCGATCCGCGTAAACCAGTTCGCGATAGCAACGTCGGCAACGAAGTTGCTTTTTGCGTTCAACTCGGCACACCTTCTGCTCCAGGCAACCCCGACGAACATTGGCTCTATTATTCCATGGTTGGGCGCGGGCGATGACAGAAGCTCGTGGGCCACATCGGCGCGGCCGTCGTGTCCAGGTTCTTTTCCATCCTCAGCAGGCTGAGTGTTGTCACACGCGGGGGCGGTAGAAGACGCCGCGAGAGCCGCCACGCGCTTTTTCCGCTGGAAGGCCTGTAACTGGAGATGGCTCATGGCTCGCTCGAAAACGAGCGCCCTGTCATCATCCGCGGTCGCGACGCTGGGCATCTGGTCCAGAACCAAACTGTGAAGACACTGCCTTTCGACTTCGCCGCGCAGGCGAAAGGCGTGAAGCACCCGGTTCGCGTACAGAACGGGGCTTTCCCCGTACATGTGGACAAACAGCGGCGGAAGAAAGAACACCTGCCCGCGTTTCTGCAGCGCTGCGGGTTTGTCCCTTTCTTCCTCTGCAGGTGCCCCAGTGCCCGCTGGAAACAGCGAAAAAAAATGAACCTTGTACAAGCCGCGCTGGGCATCGAAACCACTCACTCCGGCAACCAGGTCTTCGTAATCCTGCCCGACATAGGTCCCCCGTTCCGGGTGGTAGGCACAAACCCGAAGCATTTTTTGCTGCACCCCGTGAAGCTCTGCTCGGGGCTCCGCGGGATTTTCATCGTCTCCGTCGTGCATTACGGAGAGCAGAACCGCGCCGCTCGAAGCTGTGTAATTTTGGCTCGCCGAGGTACCACCAGCTGATGCAGAATCGCGCATCGCTCCCTCACGGATCCATTCCTCCGGCGTGCGCTCCCAAAAATCCGTGCTGTCAAAAAGATGCAGTGGCAAGTGGTACAACGGCCCTTCCACCGCGTTTCCGGCTGGCCTTGCGCCATCGTTCGCAGTTTCGCACGTGGTCATCAGGGAATGCAGCGGGCTTTTCGGGCTCGGAACTACGTGTGCTGCCATTCCAGGTTCGGAGTAGGCAGCATGTAGGCGTAGCCGCACTGCCTCGGCGACGTCAATCTGCGCGAAGGCGTCTTGCTTTCTCTGCAACGCGACCTGCTTCGGTTCCCGTTCCCGTGCGTTCGCCGCGTCTGCTTTCTGCAATTTTGGCGGTACGATGTGGAAGTAGCACGAAACAAGTTTTCGAGCAAGCAACCGATCTGCTCGCCCCGGCGGACCATCTTCTGCTTGTCCCGCGTCAACCAATGTCCTGCGCACTCCTTTGCCGCGCCTGTCTACAACGCCGGCGTCTGCTTGCTCGCCCGTAAGCCCCGAATCCCACATCCCCTCCCGGGTCGAACGTGAATCGGCGACTGGGACTACGCGCGCATGCAAGTTGATGCCTGGTGGAAAAAACAATGGTGACCCTATCCTTTGTTCTTGTGGCGGATCAAGACCAGTTTTCCTCGCAGAAACCAGTCTCGCACCAGGACGCGTGCTCGGCCGTGTGGCGGTGCTGGGCCGGAGAGGTCCACCTTTCGGGGACGTGATAACCCGGAACTTGCCGGGGCTCGATTGCGGCCGCCCGGATGGCGGACTTCGGCTGCGAGGCACCACCTCGCTGCTCGCCACAGAGTTTCCCGCAACGTGGGGGCCGCGCCCTCTTTCCGCAACGCCATGGTCTCCTGAGACCCACCGTCCTTCCCGCGCTGCTGTCCACGGATTGGATTTTTTTACGTGGTCGGGCGCACTTATGATCGGAAGCTCCACGGTCGGGCATTGCCGTCGCTGTTCTTCCCGTGCGGCATCCGACAAGGAAAACTTGCTATCCTCGCGGACACCGCGCCCAGGTCGTTGCCCTCGTCCTTTGTGATCATCGAGACCCCGGCTTGGAGACAGCAGCATGATCTGAAATTTGACGAGGGTTACGCTGCAACGTCTTTCTCTCCATCGGAAGTCAGACTGTTTGATAGCAGCATATGCTACTTAATACCATCTGAAAGGGCAAGCCCTACGCATAAACCGACATGGACGCGAAAGTGAAACACGCGCATGTGCAATGCCACGATAACAAACATTCACCGCGAGGGGGGAAGGGCCTTTAGAACATGTTCCAGGGTTTTCAAACAAGTCTCAGAAGAACGAGATGAATGGCCCCGGTCCGGCGATCACGGCTGTTGCTCTATTTCACTGCATTCAAATACATTTGTGGAATCCTGTCGAATCTACACTCTCTCCCGAGATCATGGAATGGACCAACTAAACCTTGAAGTAAATCCGAATAAACGGAAAATGTTCACGAAGCTCGCCAACTGTCATCGCCACTGTGCACAAGTAACCCCTTTTGTTGCATCCCTTTGAGCTGCTTGACGAAACCGGCGCGCACACCTCCGCCCATCTGTGCCGTCTTGGGATCGTGCCCGAGCGCCAAGAGATAAATCACGCGAAGCCGAAGCGGGCCCTGCGCTTCACGCAGAACGCGGATGACAGCCTCATTTGGTGGATATTCGGGCTTCCGCTCTGCAGTAGAGTCCCGCAGATTCATCTTACTGATTGCATCCATTAGACTGTCGACATCATCCACCACGGGTTGCGGCTCTGGCACGCTTGGTGTCGGTGCTGCATGCTTTTTTACCTCTACTTCCTGATCACGACTTCCTCTCTGTGATCTGCTCTGGTCATCTACCCCCCTGTCTGCGGTGGGCTTTATCGCTGCTCCCGTCCTCTCTGTAGTAACCTGCTCCTTTGTAGTTAGGACCGATTCCGGCCGGTTCAGTGCCTCCTTCGCTACGGGTGCGCTCCGCTTTGGTTCCAGAGTCTGGATGTGGTGTAGTGCCTGCCGTGCTGCCGAATGCTCAGCTGTTTTCTTGAACGTGTACGTGTCGCCAAACAGCTCCACTGGTTCTTCAAGGTGGTCGAGACAACAAATGGCTGTAAAAGGTCCTTGATTATGCGGGCGGTGTACCCATCTATAGCGGGGCTCGTTTTTCCGGAGGGGGCGTCCAATGAACTTTGAATACGCCGTTTCCAGCGCCCCTTTGCAATTGCCCAAACCTTCAGGATCCGGGGCCGCTGATGCTTTTTTTGCAGTTTCGGTCCAATTTGAGCGGAAACGCGGAATCTCACCAACTCCATCTGCACCGAGATTCTCGTGCTTTGCCGCGTTGGCGCGTCGATTGACATTTTCGTAGGATCGGAACTCCCCCGCTGAAAGTCGCAGAGGCCCTCTTTTTTCTTTGTCGCCGTGAGCCATTGCTGCGGATAAATTTTGAAAGGCAGTCCCGAACCTGTCATTTAACGTCTTCAACGCCCGGATCTGCTCCCCGACGCATTCCTTGCGATGCTCCAGGTCTGAGATATCCATCTTTTACTGTCGTACGGGTACGGCGGTGCATAAGTAATCATATACTTAACCAAGCAACACCTGGCAATGAGTGGCGTAACTCGAAAACGATACGTTGTACATACAGATCCTTGGTTATCTGCAAAGAACAGAAAAATAAGCTGACTGAAAGTAAAAAGACCGCTTTTATGTGAGTCGCTCACTATGTTACGCTCAGGTACGAGCACACGACATGTAGGAAACTGCTGCAGGAGCAACCCATGCTTTCATTTGACCAATCGCGATCGCGCGACCTTTCAAGGGTATGGAGATCTTCAGCTCGCGCGTCTCACTGTAGATCATGAGCTTGCGCGTGGTGTGACATATTACCCGAGATCGCAGCGCACACATGGTCGATGAAGTGCGAAGTTAGCCGCTTTCTCGTGCTTACGCATTTCTTGGCAGCTATTTGTGTTATTCTTTCTTTTTAGTTGCTTCATTTCGTGTTTTGAAGTTTCTCTGGCTGCACAGCAACTTAGCATCGACGCGGGTGAAGCGGACACGACGTCACATCAAGTGCGCCAGTCCTCTTCCCCGATTTAAAAATGTTTTCAAAAAGTGTATGCCCTGTATCTATTAAATCTTGCACTTGTTGTTCGACGTATCTAGACAACTCAATATGCTGTGATTCCTATACCATGGTTTAACTTCAGGAGAACGACACAAACTACGTCACTCTCCTACCATTTCTCACGGTATTTTGTAAAAACAGAATACACATATTTAAATCCAGTATCAACATCGGATTTAGTCTGATTCCTATAATAAACTGATTCTGATTCCTGCTGATTGTCTATTCCACTGATATTTCTGACTGTAACCATTATTACGTGTCTCTTTGGTCGTCCGACTTGTCTTTTCTTTTCCATTGACCGCAATAGTTTTTGGTTAGTTTTGCTTTGTCTGATGATGATTCTAAATCGATTCCCCGATTTTTGTGATGTGTTCTATAAAACCTGTTGGATAGTTGTGAATTGATTACATAGGTGTTTTGAACGAGCTGGAACTAACTATCGAGTCACGACAAATAAAACTGATCGAAGCAGCTGCTTTCAGTGTGATTTTCTCCGTGACTCTTCACAGCGAAAATCAAAGCCATGATCACACTGAAAAATCTCTAACTACGCAGCGATACAAATGCTGATACAGCTTCGATACTGCCTTGTGACTTTTGTGTGTGAAACCTATACTCTTGACCTGTACAGAAAAACGTGCCTGCTTGAGCAATTCTCAACGGTGTGGGGTCTTTTCGTCGAATTGCTGGCTACTCCGAATCGCTCCGATGAATTAAGTTCTTCTGCTGTGTACCGTCGGTCTGATACTAGCTTCGTATTGTACAAAATGCCTCACGACTTGGTCACACAGCTTGCTCCTGTTCTACTTATGTGCTTGGTCTATCAACTGTAAAAATGTCTGGGTCTGGGAAGAATTGATGTTTGTCGTGCTTGTCTGGCATGACTCTTGAATCTGTCATGCACGTTACCCAGGAGCTCTGTCTTTCTGTGATGCAGAAACGCAGTTTGTCATGCAGAATAGGCAACACCTAGAAGCTCAGAAACTTGTCATGCTGAGCCAGCATTTGCGGCCTCGTCATGAGACGCCACCCAGCATCACAAGTTTCCAGACCCAGACATTTTTACATTTGATATGGTCGGAAGTAGAACAAAAGATAATTCTTGATCCACGATTTACTTGTCCATGCAGGCGGCGGAGTAGATGGCCATGCCGAAGGCACCCTTGTTGACCAAGTCCGCGACGTTGTAGACGATGTTGATGTATGCGTTGCAAATATCTCTGGGTCTGGAAACCTGTGCTGCTGCGTCGAATAGTGGCTGGGTGCTCTGTCATTATACACAGCCAAGCATGAGAAATAACTGCACTGCTTTTGCATGACAAGAGGAGGGCTTTCTTCTTGGACACGCATCACAAGCTTTTTCTCTAGGTCTAGCCATGCCAGACAGGTGCATGACAAAATTTGCATCCTTCCAGGCCCAGATACTATCTTTGCAGTTGATATGATGACGGACTGGGAGTGGTAGCCGTAGTAGAAGGCGGTGTTACCGGGGGTGCCCGGCGCGATCAGGTAGGTCACGTAGTAGCCAATCGGGTAGATGGACCAGCCGACGGACACAATCAGGCGCAGGGTGTTGAAAGCGGACTTCATGGCCACGTTGGTTGACTTTGCGCTGATCTGAGACGCCTCGCCCATGAACACCTGTTTTGGATTTTTTTCAAATAACACATCGAACGTCATTAGTTTGGAAAAAAAAATGCGGCTCTCGTGTTGGCACTGAGGTTAATGATACGCAGATTTCTTTTGCATGGCACCTCTTCAATACGTCGGAAATAAGAATTTCACAGATGTAGTACCTCGTAGATGATGTAGAGCCAGCACAGCATGCCCGGGACGAAGCCGCAGAGGACGGAGATGATGCCGGCCTCACCGAACCAGCCGAAGAGCAGCATGCCGACGGACGTGCCCAACAACTTCCAGAACAAGCTGGCGCTGACATCCATGACCGCGGCCAAGATCAGGTAGAATTCGACGATCTGTATTGAAGAATCCGGATACCAATACAACGAACCAAGCCTTTTTTACTTCAGCTAAAGGAGAGTGAACAAAATTTTGATTTTCACTTGATGTGCATTTCTGGTGCAGTACATTCCAGTCCTGTTTTTCTTTTTTTCTCCGGAATGAGACTGCATCGAAGAATAAAATAATTTCCCCAGAACCTGCAGAGGCACGGTGATCAACCAGTCCGTGTAGCGGTAGGCCGTGGGGGACTGCTGGGTCTTGGACCAGGTGTCCTTCATGTAGATGTAGTTCCAGAAAGCAACGCCGCACACCAGGGCCGCGACGCAGATGGATCGCTTCCACTCTGTTGTTTTTCAAAAAGTTTTTCCGATACTAGATTTAAATCCTGGGTTCTCGCGTACCGAGACCTTTACATCAAACCTCTCTCTTCTGTTGGGGCGTCTCGAGCAGTAGCCAAACATTTTAATTACATCGTCGATTGCATAAGCATCTAGAATGCCGAAATGCTCTCCAGAATGCACAAAAGGCTTTATATTGAAAACTAAAATCCCAAAGGGAAGTTTGAAAATAAGCACTGTAGCATAGCGAACTGAACTTGAAAATAAGCAAGGCTTTATACGCTTTGGGACTTCGTACATCTCGACGAGGAAGAAGACGGTGAAGGCGAGCATCGCGTTGCACGCAATCCAGAAGGTGGTGCCGACGACATCGTGGCTGCCCAACGCCTCGTTGTCAGCCAAGGCCTGGACGATCGGAATGCCCGTGCTGGACAGCGGGAACCCGTAGGGCAGGTATGCGCGCGAAACAGAAGAGCTGCACTCAAATAATGCAATAAAAATTCTGGTGCGCAATGCAACGCAATAACTATCCACAAAAAGCGTTCGTGATTTGTGGCGCGAGCCTCACGTAGAGTCGAGCGCGTTTTGCAGCAATACTGATTTCTTCTGCTTAGAAACACAATAAGCCTACCTGGCAGCTTATAAAACACGCAACAGCATACAACGTTTTTGCACTTTCGAATTTTTGCGCCGATGATGCAAAATTTTGATTCTCGCCTGCTTCGATCGCGTGGATACGTTGTAGGACAGGGGCTGTCCCGGGTACTTGTACGGGTAACCCTGGTCGATGAAGTGCGAGTCGTGCAACACCTGACAGTTGTGGCGGCGCGCCGATCATTATTCTTCTATCCTACACACGTGAAGCCTTTTTTCTCTTAAATTTAGTGCGACAAAAATCCAAACATACGTGATACTAAAATCATCAGTGAGCTCCGTAGTAGTACCTGAGCGGCGACCGGGGTCTCAAGGGCGCCGACGAGCTCCGATTTGGACACGCCCTCTTCCTGCAGGGCCTTGGTCATGCCCTGCTCGACGGCCTTCACCTGCTCGCTGTTCAAGCCTCCCTTGGCTGCGGAAAATATGGATTCTAAAACAGTGCTCGTGCGAAATCAAAAGCCTTGTATTGTGCAATGCTGAAGGTGGGAGCACGCGGAAACATACGAAAATTTTTTCCGTGTCGTAGCTGCACAATCAGCTTGATCTTTAAATGCGGGCCTCTTTGCATGTCTTGGTCTCTACTTACTCGCTCGAGGAATTTACTAAATTTCCTTCGCACAAACATTGTCCTTTCAACACGGAACAGTTTTTTTTTTTAGTTTGGTAGCAATCACCTGGGACTCTGACAATCCCGAGTCCTTGAACTCCTTCAGGAGGGTTGGCCCGGCCTCCTTTGCAAGTGTTTCCCGCGTAATCGTGTGCTCCAATTCCTGAAGTGTATATTGTGACGCAGAGTGCGGGGTAAAAAAAAACATGAGCATCAACAGCCAGAGAAAAAAGCGATCGTCAACTGGTTCTTGACCTTAGAATGTTTTAAATCAGCGAAGTGCACCACACGGCCATGAAAATAGTTCGGTGCGCATGCTCACATTTTCCCAAACCTGCATCTTACCGATCCGATGACTGGAAGTGCCTTTTCGACATAGGCATTGGTGATGTCCGACTTGTCCGCCTGGACAGCCGCCGCGAGGGCGATCAAGCTCTTCAATCCCATGCTTTTGATTTCTATAACACAATCACTTTTTTTCCTATTCTCTCCTTTCTTTCTCTCGGAGGTACACTGCTCCGTTCCTAAGTTTTCGTTTTCAAGAGAGAAATATCGACCCTGTGTGCGTTGCGGGACCTCTCAGACCTAAACACAAACTCTACGGGGGACTAAGTTCACTCTCACCTCCGGGGCGACTAAATTAAACTTGCGCTTCGCTTCTGTTCCTTACGAACAGACACGCACGGGCCCTGTATTTGTGTGAAATATCACCAGAGACGTGACATCGCAGACCTAAAAAATAACGGTGGGGTTCGAAGAGTACAGATTGATCGAATCTTACTTACAGCTCTTTACTTTCAACCGACAGGTTTCACAATCAATACTGAAGTCAGCTCGCCGCCCAAAAAGTCTAGGAGAAAGCAACACACGCTGTAAAGCTCCGAATTTATTCCGCGTTCTCGCATCATCGTCATCATCTATCCTGCGCGGGGTATTGCGCAGAGGGCGGAAAAGACATTTCAAAAAAAAACACATGAAAAAAAGAACCGATTCAACGTTGATGTGTACACACATGCCTGCATAAAACCGACTCTGGCGCATCACCAGTGTGAAGCGTCACCGCTTCGCAGTCTGTGATCAAAAACCGAGATAAAAAACGCGCGTGGGTCACCGAAATTTAAACACCTCAAACACAAATTTAGCTGCGGCCGTCATTGCCACATGCGAATGTGGTGGGTAGCGCGTCATGGTCATGAGCCAGGCCTGTGAGTCTTTATCTGCGAAATAAGATTTTCTGTAGCTGCGAAACAGGATTGTTCATCGCAAAAAAAAACACTCTATCTCAGAGTTGCACCAAAGACCCTTGATGCTAGATTCGTTCTTGGGTCGGCGCTGCTTTTCGTGCGCACGAGAAGCGAGGAGGGTCCTGTTCATCAGTTATCCTCGCAAAAATTTTCATCCGCCCTTGCATACATAAAGCCGGCAGGTGTGCTCGCTTCTAAAACGCGTACACATGCAACCAATTGTGTGCTCGCTTCTTCAGGCGAGCGAGTTACTTACTGTCAAACTCACTATCTATATTCCTGCTTGTAGGTAGCTAGCAACCAGTGTCTCAACCGGATGTCACCAAGATCGTACACATAAAACCAATACGCATTGCAAAAGAATCGTACTCGTAGTAATTGCATACCCTAACTGGCTCACGATTCTCCTCAACATCTGACTCCTGTCTGAGTTACCAGTCAAGGGTTACTCTGTCCAGACCTACCCCAAACCCCGCGCTCTTCGCTACAATCCGCACTCTCCTCCACAATCCTCCAGGTTTAAACCATCGCCCCTCTCCACTCCGCACTCCTGTAAAAGAAGAGCACCAAGGAGGTACCGGCAGCCGCGACGACGGCGGAGAGAGCGGTGGAGGTGGCACCGGATGACAGATTGGCAAAATGATCGCACATGTTGGTCGGCGTGGGGCACGCATTAGATACAATTCTGTAGCAAAAATTGTAAACGCTGCTCCCGCACGCGCCATTCACAGCAATTGCCGCCGTGTCGGCACAACCACTGCTGGTACCGGCGTCCATTTCGGTCATGCTACCATCATAACGCCATTTGACAGCGGGGCGGTTGTCGGTGATATCCAGGCAGCCCAACGCACCGCAGCTGTAAGTCACGGAGGGAAACGCGCAACTCCCGCCATCGCCGACGGTCATAACACCAACATTCCCGCTGGAGCCGTCCGCCCCCCCGGAGAAAACGGCGCAAAAAGGAGCCTTCCGCGGAACTCGTCAGGTCCTCGCGAGCCGGGGCCGTGCACCACGGCTGGTACACAAACAGCGGGTAGCGGCTCAGCAAACTGCAGACGCAGTACAGCACTAGGGAAACCGTAAAGATAAGTCCCTCCGGCGAGTGCTGGACTTGGCACACGGAGGACAAGGTTCCCCGCGTCAGGAAATCCCACGGGAACAACGGCTCTCCGGTGGAAAGATGCTTTGGCACAAACACCTGGCGAATCGGAAGCACTGTGCCGATTAACATGACTGCGTATCCGAACGTGAGCAGAAAAAAGCAGGTGATGCCGTTTACTCGGCTGTATCCGCGCTCCCGAACGGCCAGTTGGTAGATCCATCGGTTGCTCACTGCTCCGAATCCGCGCGCGTGGTCCAATCCGCCGGCCACCTTCTGTTCGGTCTGTTCCAACTTGACTTGCTGTTCGCGTAAAGAGTCCTTCAGTCCGTTCAATTCTTCCCGCAGGCTCTGGATAAGCACCCGAGGATCTTCTGGCTCATCCAGCATCTTCTCTGAGGCCGTTATCTCTACTAGCGCCTGTGGTTTGGCGGCCGATGGGTGAGCAAGAGTCCCACCTCCGTCATCCTCGATCGGTTCCGGAGACCACATCTCATCGTCGCGGGCTGCTGCACCACCCTTGATCTCGTACGCTTCAGCCTCCCACGTTTCGGCGGATTGCTCTGCCGTAGGTGTCAGCGTGAGCATCAGTGTTGAAGACGACGCCGGGCTGCGACCCTCCTCCGCCTGCTGCGCTTGCACGAACAGAGCGCCACCGGTCGACGAGAACGCCGTGCGTTCATGTGACAAGGACTGAGCAGCTCCCCCTGCTTCGCTTTCGGGCGGCGAGTGCATCCGGCCCTCCTGCGATCCGTGGTGTTGTTCTGCGACATCAGCAGTGGAAGCAGTAGTGTCACCTTCCGATGCTACCAGATTCTGGTTTCCGGGCTGCGTCAGCGCGCGTATAACCTGCACGCAGGGGAGAAGAAGAGCGGAGCGCGGCCATGTGCATTTCCACGCGGTGAGGAGGATCTTCCCTGACGTGGCGCGAGGGCCGCGTCGGCGGTCATCCTTCGCCGACGACCCACATGCGCGCGGTAGGGACTTCACACCTCTTCAAAGAATCTAAATATTTGCGAAGTGGTCCTTCAGAAAGTCGCGAAATCCGCCTACGCTCCTCGGGAGACCGTTCGCTCTTCTGGGGCGGTCTTCACTCCGCGCAAGACTCCGCGCAAACGTCGACCTTATTTCATTCTATGCTTGTCCTTGTCCTCTGTCCTCCTCTCGGCTCTCCGGCATGAACACCATGGCGATGCATTCTTCTTTTCCCACATTCTCGGGAGCAAATATCGCAAATCTTTGCCCCTTGTGGCGGATTCGCACGAGCCCGCGGAGGACGCCCGGCTCCGGAATGAAGTCCCGGTCTTCTGCGAGACACACACAATAAATCGTGGCGCCGCCCGCGGAGCAAAATTGGGTGCACCTCGCACTGCCCGAGTAAGAATGAAACGATCGTCGGAGAGTCCGGCGCGTGGCGGTGCAGCCGCCTTGTCCTACTCAACCAGGCGCGAGGGAATTACAAGCAAGTCGTGCGCGCTAATTGCAAGGTCGATTATCGCCCTCCGGCCTCGGCATCGCTCCTCCAGTCCACGACATCCCAAGGAGTCTGCGCGCCGGCGGGAGCAGCGCGGGCGCGCCTTCCGGCGGGCCCGGTTAGTGCAGAACCGTAGGTATCGGGGCCAGTCTTTTCCGCGGTCCTTTGCCGGGGCAGGAAGGAGCGGAATCGGCCACCGCGGCTCCCCACCCTTTCCTAGAAGGCGATGGGAGCCCACCCGTTCAAGAGGCCCGGTGCGGCTTGCCGGTGCCCCAGAAGGCCGGCCGCCGAAGGCGTTCGACACGCGCGCCATGCGGCCCCCGACTCAACCACTTGGCCCTAGGCACCATGCGCACAGGGGTCCGGAGGGTCCACGTCTGTGGGGGCATTGGTGTCAGAATGTGCGGCCGGCGGCGCACAGCATACCTGGGGACTGTTTATCTTAAAGCAATGCCCCCCCTGGAAAGCAAAGCACATGCGCGCCAAGGAAAGGGATGATGGTGAAGGGGGGGTTGGGGGCAGGGGGCAGCATTAGGAGAGATGGCGGAAGGAGGAGGCTTGGGGGTCCGTCATCCAAGTCGTCGCCCAAGTCTTGAGACTGGTTGTATAGTGTCTATAAATTACAGGAATCATGGACTTTTTTCATCTTCTTTATAAAATGCACCGCTGGACATCCAAGAAGTCTTGCCCTCGAATGAGTTATAAAAATCCTCAAAATTCTGGAAATTTTTTAAATCAGAAAAAAAAACCAGTAAAAGTGAAAGGCTATAATATTCCGGTAGGTTAGTGTTCGAATTCGATATTTTTATGACGTTTATTAAGCATAGAAAAGAGCCACGCTGGGGCTCTTTGTATTTTTCAAAATTTTTAAGATTTTTCAAAAGTTTACAATTTGAAAAAAATGCAAAACGTGGGTGGATAAGGACTGCACTTATGTCAGTTTGTAAGTTTTTCGATTATATGGTGGATCTTTGTGTCTATTTAAACTTTTAATGTTTGCAAATGTGTGGCTTTGGATTTTTTGAAAATTTTTTAAAAAAGGAAAAAATCAGTGCAGCAATCATCTAGAGATTTAATTCGGATTCTGTATGCAGAACATAAGCAATATTATGATTTTTGTGAGATCGTACTGTTTTGGATATCCATACTTATAAGATGTTCCCTATTTTTCAGAATTTTCAAAAGATTTAAAAATTGCGCATGATGTGAGTGCCACCATTATAATTGTATTTAGCTCCATAATTTCTTTGCTAATAAGTATAGAGTACATATATGATACCGAATAGAGACAGGGTTTGGTTTTTCCTTCAGTATTTGGAATCATGTTTAGAAATTTAAAAATTTGAGGAATTTTTTTTTAGATGGACCACCCCCAGAAAATCGGAAAAAAATTGCCAACCTTGAGCAGATTCTCTCTCGATCTTGGCAATTTGGTCTCTTGAGCCAATTTTTTAAAGAGCTCCAAAGTCCGGAAAACGCAAACCATTGCCATGCTCATAAACCTCCGCGATCGCGTCCGAGAGGCAGCGCCGTCCTGCCCAGGGTCCTGGACCCCATCCGCAGGGGGGGCTGTGCCGACTTAAGGAAGGGCGCGTCAAATACGCTGCCGAAAGCCCCACCGGACAAGGCGCATACTGCATCCGGCGACGCATGCTGCCCGGGGGAGCACCGCGTGCCGACCCGGAAAGGCCGAGCCAGGCAGGGCGCAGCAGGCCGGACTGGACGGGGCGCTGTACGGCGAACCGAGCAAGGTGCCACCGGTCGGGCTTGGCCGTACGCCCACCGAACGCGCCCCGTGGCCCCTGCCTGTTGCGCCGCCTTCCAAATCGCACGCTCCCGATCGGGGGGCACACGGGGCCGAGCCGCAAAGTGCGCCGCGCCCGGGTGCCGCGGTGGCATCATCCGTTCCCCCTCCGCCCGCCCCGTTCGTGGCCGCCGAAAGGGCTATCGGAGTCGCCGGAGGGGAAGGGGGGCCCCGGGAGGCTCGGGCGACCCCGCGCGGAAGGCCCCGGTCGCGGGACCAGGAAATGCCAGCGCCTGCGCGGGGAGGGTAGAATAGCGCGGCGGGCGAGCGGGAAGCAATAGAAGCGCGCTCCGTGCGGTGCGCGGGGTGCCATAGAGACGCGCCCCGGAGCAGCGGGGGCGGGGAATAGAAGCCCGCCCGGCCCGGTGCAACGCGCTCCAGAAGGCGGCGGTCTTTGCAAGCCGGCGCCGCTGCTGGACACTGTGTTTTTTCGGCGCTGAGCGACACCACGGGCTATGCCACTGCGGAGACCAAAAAAAAAACGCGCCCGAGCCGCGGATAGCCAGGGAAGTTGGGACATGTCTCGATCCATGGTGCCCAGGTACTCGCTTGACCACGAGCAGCAATCCAATCGCTTCGCAAAAAGGTTTGCATCCTGAGCACGAGACCCGTACTCATCGGAATCGAATCGAACTGGGAACAAATCGCTTCGCAATAAGATTTGTATGCTGAGCACGAGACCCGTACTTGTCGGAATCGAATCGAACCGGGAACAAATCGCTTCGCAATAAGATTTGTATGCTGAGCACGAGACTCGTACTCGTCGGAATCGAATCGAACTGGGAAAAAGCCGTGAAGGCTGAGCGTCCTCCTTAAGTTGCTCCATCGAACTGCTTTGGTCCGTAGCTCAGCAAGCACCCGCCCCCGCGTCCGATTTTCACACTCAGCAGAGGAATCGTGAATCGCACTTCCGTAGTAGTGCCGAGGCTTCGGGAACAGCCATTTAAATATACCGACACATTCTGAGAGAAGCAAAAGACCATGATGGCTCGTCTGCACAGCACCGCGGCGCAAAATCCTTGCCCGCACGCCTTCTCTCGAAGGGTAGCCCTTTTAACGTTTTTGCTCCGCGAACACATTTGCGCAGACAGCAAGCCACATCTTCGGGGAACCGTTGCTATAAGCGCAGAAAATCAAACGGCTACCGAAGGCCCCGACGCCGGCGCCTGGTTAGCGAAACAGGAAGCAGATGCGTTTCTCGACTTGAATGTACACTCTCCGCCCCGCGGGAGTTGCGATTCGGAGGGGGTCGCCTCGGAGTGGCCTTGTGCAGAGTGGGCTGCACCGGCGTATGTTCCAACAACGGGGTCGGTTGCGAAAGACTCGGCGAGTCTCGTTCAGATAGCAGAGGTTGTGCAGCCACAGCTCGAGTTGCGCACAGGCGGGGAAGATGAAGAGGCCACGCTGGCATCTCGGGTGAAGAGTACCGCTTCGGGCACCACCAAATTGGGGGGGCGAATCAAGGACGCGGCACTGTCCAAAGATCACGGACTTGCCATGCTGATCCAGCTTCTCGGCAATCCCGCCAGCCTCGTGAATAGCATGTTCCGCGGCAGCAAAGAACTAATGCTGTCGCAAATCGAGGAAAACGTTGGAAAAGTTGTCGGGGGGGGCGGAAGTCCGCACCTTGGGTGCGACCCTCGTGAAACAAATTTTGGCGACCGCGAGTATGGTGCTACGAATAGTGGTTACCAGTGCAGCCGGACCCTGGGGCGTGCTGGTGAACATGTTTCTTACCGACGTGCTTTTGCTGCAGCTAGGAAAAAGCATGAAGAGGTTTGCGGATCGCGACCGGTCCAAAAATGGTTACGACCTGCCCGGGCTTCTAGAGATTCGAATGGGTGAGTTTCCCCGTGCGCTAGCTACGTTTGCGAAGGCCTACCTGAATTCTGAAGCATTCGCGGGCACCATGCAGGAACTGCTGGACAAAGTGAAGGATCTCGCCTCCAACGCGATCGCGAACTCGAAGGATGCGGCGTTGCGGGCCGTGGGTCAGGCTGGCGCAAAATTGCAGGCCTTGCGCGCGAACGGCATAAATCTCTCCGGACCCACGGACGAAGAGAAGAAGGGCGCAGACGAAGGCGGCGGCAAGGACCGTCTTGCGCGAGCGCGCGGCTCCGCAGCTGGGGCAGCCGCGGCCTTCCGCGAGAAAGCTACGGGCGCTGTAGCGGCGGTGAAGAATGCGGACCGCGAGGCGCTGGCGCAAAGGGCGAAAGGTGCGGCCTCGACCGCGCTCGACTTGGGTGCGCAAGCCAAAGAAAAGCTGGCGAAGACAGTGGAGCAGCAGAAGAAGAAGATGAGCGATCCCGCGTACCAGAAGCAATGTTCCGACGAAGCAAAAGCGGTTCTCGGCAAGTTAGCGAGTGCCGCGGGCAGCGCAAAAGACCTGACCGCTGCTGCAATGACCGACTTCATGAAAAACATGCCACCCGACGCGATGTTGAATCAACTCAGCGGGGAGCGCCGAGCGAAGCTGCAGAAGCTATTGGCGAACGACGCGGAAACTGTGGACCAGGAGGAGAGTAAACGGAACACGCCGGCCGGGAAAGAGGAAGACGCCAGCCGATTGCAAGAAACGAAAACCTTCTTGGGGGAAAAGCTCGGGGCCATCGCAAGCAAGCTCCGGACTGCCTTACCTTCACCTGCCGATATCGTGCCGACGCTGGTTAGTACGGTGGAAAGCACCATCGCACAGCTCCAGCACTCCGCCATGAGCGGTCTCGGCTTTATGATCGTCGAGGCACCCGGGAAGGCTCTGACGCAAAAAATCATTGGCGACCTTGCATCTTTTCTCGCCGAGGTTCTCGGTGCGTTCCTTCGCATCACCTTCCCGATGCTTCCGCTGGCGACGCTGGTTGGCACCGCCGCACAGCCCATCCTGGCGGCCGGAATGGAAACGCGGACGCGGGAGCGGCCCCGAGAGCCCTGTGACCGCGTAAAATCAAGCGACGAGGAGATGATGGCAGCGGATCCCTGCCTCAATCTCGAAGGGCTGATCAACCGTCATTTCCGTCCGATAACGGGTATGGTAGTCCCCAACTTTTTGCTCCAGTTCGTGAAAGCCGAATCCGCGATGCTCGTCGAAAATCTCCAGTCCGTGGTGCTGAATGCCGTCGAAAAGCTCCAGACGAGTGCCAAGGTACGGGCCGCAGCGGGTCTGCGACCGGACCTAGATGTTGCGACCTGGGGCATCGCCACGACGCAAAGTTCTTGGTTGTGGGACAGCCTCGCCGGGATTTTCTCCCGGGTCTTTACACCAGAGCCGCCGGTGACGACGTTTCGGCAGTACGAGATGGTTGCGGGCGGGAAGCAGGCGGCGGAAAAGGACGTCGGCGGAATCAGTGACCAGTGCAGCGCAGACGTGGATTCGAAGGCGCAGCTGACGTTCGGCGAGCACGCCGGGCGCGGGCTCGTGAGCGTGCTCGAAAACACGTTCGCGGGAATGCCGGGGGAAGTCATCACGGACAATCTCGTTCGCACGGCCGCGAACCTGATCGCCACCATCGTGAGCTTCACCGCGGGGCCGCTCACCGCACTAATTCCGGGCGCTTCGCTTGCCGTCCAGAACATGGCGGCGAACCAGGTGCACAAGAGTTTCGCGGACTGGGTGGCTACGAAGCCGGGCGGCCTTGACATTGCGCATGAGGTGAACTACCTGTTTGTGAGCGAGTTCCTGCCGCTGCTCGCGAAGTTTCTGCAGGTGTACTGGCGCGACATCTTCAGCGCCATAAAAAAGAACTCTCCCCTCGCCTCGTTTACGTTCGGCGGTGGCAGCGTCGAAACAGCACCGCCCGAGGACACCGCAACAACGCCGGCACTATCTCTGGCAACGGCCACAGAGGAGCCGATTTCCGAGGCCGACCGAGAAGCGGTGTTTGGCGCCGAGGCCAGCAAAAATCTTCCTTCGGTGGAACAAATTCGGGATAAACAAAAGGACTACGACGAGGCCCAGAGCGAGACTCCACCGCACCGCTGGAAGGGACTGCTGGAGAAATTCGCGGGTCAGAAAATGCAGACGGCCTTCGCAAACCTCGGCACGGGTTTTCCGAAGCAGAAGGAAAGACAGTCTCCGCCGCGGACATCTTTTTTGCCGGTTTTTTGGGCAACAAAAACTGGAAAGAGAAGGTCGGCCGAACCTTCAGAAAAGCGGCAACAAGCGTGCTATCGGTTTTCGGAGATAAAAAGAGTGATTTCCCCCTAGAAGCGGCCGCTTGGGGATTGGATCCCGACGAAGAAGAGACGAGGAGGAACCTGCTCCAAAACGATAGCACGCTGGTAGCTCTGCCATGCAAAGTGAGCTACGATATTCTCCGGGCTAGATCGGCATCGAAAAACGGGGGCGTCTCGGTAGTACTAGAAGAGGATTTTGACGACGCGCCAACTTACGACTACACGACAGACGACGCAATCCACCGCGGGAGAAATAACTCCGCATACTTGAGAACTGTCGACGGAAAGTATTTCGCAGCGAGCCTACGACCGCCCGACGTCGAGCTGATCAAGCTTCGGGACGCCGGAAATGTGACCTACGCGGCAAACGCGGCGGAGTTAGTACGTCGGCACGGACAACTTCTCAAGGGACGGACGACCTGGATTTTCTCTTTGCCAGAAGCGGCGATAAAAGGCAGCTCAGCAATCGCACACGAGATTTACTCTGCAGCAGCTTTTGTTGCGGACAAAAAACCGAACTCAGCTGCGCCTGGACCCCGAATTCAAATCTCATCGAGCAGTAAAGTTTGGAACCAGAGGAGATGGGCTAGGAGCGTTCCGGTGACTACAAGCGTCGCCAAGCATAAGTACATCAACCCCTTCGCCTGGGATTCCGAAGAACCGATTGCGAACGACCTTTCCGAAGAAATCTTCGACATCTTCGAAGACGTCTACATTCTCGGGGAGGCGGATGTACAAGAGGGCGACCGAATCGGAACAAAACAAAGAAGGGAAGAAATCGTCGAGAAATTCACGGGCTTGCTAATCCGAGAGGGATTCCGAGAAGCCGTGGATCCGCAAGCGCTGGGGGACCCGATGGAGACCGAGGTTTTCCTAGCCTGAAGCGGGAGGACTTGTTGATCATGTTCCACGCGTCGACTTAAAAGCGAGAGCTTTTTTTTCTTTTCTTTCGCACCAATTAACTAACCCGAACTTCGAGACGAGCTTTTCGATCTGGAACCACAATTATTCGCCCTCCGATTAACAAAACGATCCGGATTTACGAGCTTCTATTTGACCTGCGAACTTGTACCAAGCACACGGAAGCACGAGATTTCTCTGCGCCGGGAAACGAGGATCCCGCGATCTTCACGAACTGGATCTATACGAGCTAGAGTTTCGAGCTGAACTTTCACGAACTGGAACTACACGAACTGAAACTACACGAGCGGGGGCCTCGAGCAGGATTTTCGGGCTGGACTACCCGGACCTTGAGATGAAATTCACGATCTGGAAAGACGATCACACACCTTCCGGATAACGAAACGGTACAGATTGGACCTTTTGTATCTGCTTTTCGAAGCGTTTTGTGCATGGCTTTTCGAAGCTCGCGAGGTATAGCTTTTCGAAGCTCGTAGCCACTCGGCTTTTTTCCCTTTTTTTCTGTATTGTCTTTCGAGACTCTGCTCTGCCTATCGGTGCTTTCGGTATTTTCAGGTAAAATCTATGTATCCGCGTTGGCCTTCGGGCTTCCACCGGACCATTCCCGCGAACGCGCGATGGACCGTGCCACAACCGATAGTGCGGACACATGGGGAAAAAGCCCCACGGTAGCAACGTCCCCGAGTAGTAGAAGCAGCACACTCGAACTCGCCTCCGGCAACAGTACAAAGGAAGTTACTAATGACATCGTGCTCTTGCAACCCACTTTTTTGGAGCTCGCATACAGCACGACTGAAAGTGCGAACTTAGGTCCGGCCGAGGATTCCAAAAGTACGCAAAAGAAGGATAAAAAAGAAAAACGTACGAAGACCCCGAAAAAAGATAAAAAAGTTTCAGTTCGTTCGGAGGAAGAAAAGAAAAGTACCACAAAGAGGAGCGGGGAAAAGGGAAACCAACAACCAGTCGTGACCGCGAGTGCGTCCTTGGTTGCCGAGTGGGTTCCGTTGCAAGAGACGCTAGACGAGATGCTTCTGGATACGCTTTCGCACGCACCTGCCGAGGCCTTGCGGGACCCAGTTATTCTGCAGATCGGAGCCTTGGTCGGTACGAAGGTTGGGGAAGTAACCGCGATGCTCACGCCCGGGACGCCGGCTGGTCTTTTCGCGGCGTTGGCGGGCAACTTCGGGACAGTGGCATTCTTGCGCGGAGAAAAGATCGCCGGACATCTCTCTGAGCTTATCACAAAAGTATTCCGCGAAGTTGCGCGCTGCATGCTGCAGTGGGTGAAAGGTTTTCTGATGAAGAAGGCCGGCAAGGCCGAAACAACCAAAGTGGACCCTTTTCGGCTTGATGGCTGCAAACTCAAATCGTCGAAGCAGCCGACTAGTGACGCTAGTACTACATAACAGTTCTTAGTGCTGCATTGATTTTTGACTGTGTAAGAATCAATTGATTTTTGACTCGCCTGAAGAAGCGAGCACACAATTGATTTTTGACTGTGTATGATTTTCCGCGAAGAGCAAGACGCTTCTTATGTACAGCAGCTTAAATTGCCTTGTATGATTGGTTGATCCCACTCAGATTTGAACTTACTGAAGTGCTTGCGCGAAAATTGGTGATACCGTTTTAGTGTATGAAAAAGGACTCTCGATAGAAAACCATTATCCTCCTGTCGCGGATTACGTTCCGTTTGTTCTGAATCTCAGCATGCAGTTTTTTTGTCTGTGAATTTGTGTCAAGTGATGTTGCTTCCTGCGAAAGGAAGGACAAGGGAGCGCGAGCTTTTTTCGAGAGATAGTACGTCTACGAGGGACTCGAGTTTCTCATCGCACCAGATGGCACGCGAGAGACTTGTGCAAAAAATGGCCCGTAGTTCGCTTAACTCATTGCTTGAGACTCCACCCATGAGAGACGCCCATGTCGAACTGCTTCATTCGAGAATTATTCTACGACATTTTTACAACTGCAAACAGGACCACAATCTTTTTTTCTTGATCTTTTCACACACCCCCCTCAAGTGACTGCCCAACGGGGTTTGCTAAGTATCATCGTGAAGCCATTTTAATTATTTTGCAGTGCTTCCCTGTTTCAACAAACACTGATTTTTCAAACTGACTCGCAGCAGAAGGGCTCGGATGTGTTGTGAGGCGTTGGTAGCGGATGGTCGAGAGTAATGCTCCGATCATGGAGACCGCTTTCGATCGCGGTCGGGCTCTTCGAGGGCACGGCTGCATTTCCTTCGCACAGGACGGGACCCCGTTCCTCGCCCGAAGACCCACATGAGAGCGTGCTCTCAAGCGGAGGGGCGTCCTCAAGTTTTTCCAGCATCGAAGCGGGACGAGCGCCACCGCTCGCGTCCGCACCCGGGGGGCTGCCTCGTGATGGCGAACAGAACCAAGCTCCTGGTCCCGCAGCTAATGCCAGAACAACCCACGACGTCACTACCAGTGCGTCTGCAGCATCAATAGTACCGGCGGCCCAGGCCGTGTCGTCGAGTTCGAGTCGCGCGCTTTCGCGACCTGCTTCAACGGGGATAACGCCCGCGGTGGAGAACAAGGACGTAGAATGGGAGACAGTGTATCTCAAGCGGACGCCAGACGCAGCGGGCCGGAGTCTACAAGGTTCCAATTCCGAGCAGGCCGCGCGCGTTTGGGTGATTCGAAACGCGGCACCGATGCCTGTTGGTAAGTACTACATCTCAACACGAGAGCGCGGTTTGAAATTCGTTTTCATTTCAAGTATGGCAAATTTTACTTTGATGATGAAGTTGAATTCGCTTGTTCATTACGCGAATTATACACCACGTACTTCATCAGGGTGGCGCGTATCCGAGTTCGCATTTTACGAGGACGAGGGATGCACGCGCGAGATCGAATTGCAGACCCTGCGAAATGGCCCGGTTGCGACGATGGGACAAACGGCCCCTCCGCGCTCCGATAACCCCGACTGCTCCTACACCGGAAGCCACGGACCAGCAAAAGCGACCGGTACGAAATTTTTCGTTGGAATTCACAGTTTTCGAATGATTGTAGTTCATCTGCGAACATTATTTGAATATCAATATATTTTCATAGTGACACGCTGCGCGGCACTTGCGCTCGATGTCAGTTTTACTCCATGCGGACCCATCTGGAGACAAAATTGATCAATCACCACAGACGGCTTCGAGAACACGTTTTGGATATCGCCCTGCTGTCCATGTGCCGAGCTAGAGGCGCATGTTGGAGCAGATTTTGGTACGCCGCAAGTGGTTATGTGTGCGCGAATCGTGCAGGCTAAGTACTACGCCTGCCCGTCAATAACACTTTCCAAAGAGGGCACAACCATCGGCGTGAAGGGAAATCTGTGGGTAAGTACTGTGAAGATTTTGCGTATGTTCAATGATGCGACTTTGATACTCTGTCTTCTTTCGCAGACGAAATGAGAGTCCTTCTGTCGGGTGTAGAGCTGCGAAACTAAGTACTTCCTTCATGCCTTAGTTTCTCCACGGCTTTTCATTCGTGATCACCATGTCTTCCACGGCTAGAGATGGTCCTTTGCAAATCAACAGGTTGACCTCGCAACGTGGAATGACCTGCTTCCGGGTGTGAGTATCGAGGTATCGGGTATCAACAGCGGACCGACTTCGATTACGTACGAACGGCACGACGGGAAGCAGTGCTACGGCTTCGCGTTTGGGCAGGAGTACACTGATTTGCAGTACGCCCGGAATGCGTGCGTGTCCAACCCGAACTGCGGTGCCGTCTACGAACAGTCTTGCTCCAATCTCGAATACGAAGTCACCATTACCAACCAAAACGACCTCGACTCCTTTAGTGGGGCAATGGTGGAGATCGTCACGCCACCCGAACGCCCCGGAGAAACCAGTCCCCCGCCGGAACGCAAGGTATAGCTAAGTTTATCATGATGCTTTGGGTGATGTGTGCTTCTGATAAGAGATTGCGCGATCGAGATCCGAATCTTGTTGTAACTACATGCAGTGTGGTCGACAGGACTCACAGTCAACGACCCAATAGAGTTCACTCGTTTAATGAATCAGGTTGGCATCCAGGCTGTAATTGGCACCACGGTATTGCTAAAGGACTCGAAGCCCATCTTCCCGACGCCGGTGCCAACACCCGCAACTTCGTGCAATGTAAAGCCGGCGACCTGCACAAGTGCCGTATGTTGTCTCTACGTTTATCCATACAAGATTCTGATGAGCGTAAAGCCCCAGTACGGCGCAATCCGAACGTGCGTACGAGGGTACCAACCCACACAATCCCTGGAGGGAAGCTGTTTGTGGGTGAAGGTCGGCGCTCTGCTGCAATTCACGGTACTTAACGTCTGCTTATCTTTTTCGCTGAACAGAGTTTCCGTCAAAACAAGAAACCGTCTGTGATTTTTGAGGCTACTTCTTACCACATTTGAAGACTTGCCAAGTTGTGCACATAGTGTTTCCCTCCTCCGGGGAAATATCAGCCGATAGCTGTTCATATTGTGCTTCGATTTTATTATTTCGCACGACGGCAAACCGCCTGCTCCTGCAGAATACAAAAAGTCTTCTTCCGGACGATCTTCACAGGCATTTAGCAACTTCGCTGCGGCGGACCAGTACATCCTGCCTCAAGGGGCAATCTACGCGGCGGAACCCGCCAAATGCGCCGAGATGTGTCTAGCGCACACGCAGTGCAACGCTTTTGCGTACACGATTCGCGAGAACGGCAACCCGCCTACCCTGATAAGTTGCCGCCTACTCAAGATGCCTCCGCGAGACCAGTTTACGCCCCCCATGGGCCTGATTCCACAGGACGGAGTGCTCGACGTGGTCGACTTTTATCATCGGCGGCCGGACCATATCCCGTAGAAAAAGACAGGCAGGGCATATTTGTATGTAGTGCGAAAATTGATAAATAACAGATGATTCTGTGATGGCCGAGCCCATAGAATGCTGCTCAGGAGATGCAGTGCGGTTTTTTCTTGTCGGTGTCTAGTTTTTTTTGCATTTACCAGAATGAACTGCCTGTCTTTTTCTGGGGGATAAAGCAAAACGCTACCATGTCTACGACGGAGGAAACGACGACGGTGCAGGCCGGCGCGATAAAGACCAGCAGCGCGCCTGGCCTCTACTGGCTATTCAGTCTCATATCCATGTACCTTGGTGCGAGTTTTTTTCTGCTACCTGGCTAGCAGAAGCAGAAAGGGCTTACTAGAGTCGTCTTTTGTTTGAAATGAATACAATTTTTTTTTGTGGCTCGGGTTTTGTTTCAAAGAAAGCACTGTGATATATCACACACCTCGTTACACTACGTGCAAATTTTTCCCAAGGCACTTCGTGCTCAAAATTTGCTGGCTCTTTCAGATGTTGCTGCTGTTTCCAATTTCCAATTTAGCAAACACGAAATTTCGAATAGTCACGGATTTTTGATTCCAAGAAATTCAAACTAACTCTTCCAATTTATCTTTTCTGGCTACAGGACTCTATTACAACACACGTACCTACCCTGGTAATGGTGTTAAAGACTTTTGCGAACTGTTTTTTTTTTTGAATTCAGAACTTTTTATGTAAAATGAACTGCAGAACTTGCTTCAGAAGGATGATTATTTTCCGGAACCTTTTCCTGGGCGATGGTGTCCAGTACTGCTTGGGTAAAGAAAAAAAAAAAACTGAATTCACCACAGAGCAAAAATTTAACACTAGTCCGTGGGCTGTGGCGTGCTGTTGTTCAAAAGAAAGCAGGTACGCTGGGAAGAGGGAAGCGTGCATCGTCGTGGAAGCGGGTCGTTGAACCTGGACGAGTGAACTACGTGTTGGTGGGCAGGAACGCAATTATACACAGCGTATATGCAGCTGAATTCCTTGAGAAAAATCACTGTCTACGGAGAGCACGCTGCGGCGAGTCTGAGAGATCTAGATGGGCCTTGAGGAGCTGATGTTCCAAAAGAAGTCTTGTCAGGGCGTTTGGAGTATCGAAAGCCATGAAGCGGCGCAAGCTGGTCGCGGGGGGTCTCTCCGCGACTCCAGTCGCAGTTGCGCCAGTCGCACGCCTGTTTCCGCTGCTTTTCGCAGCGGCGGATGCGGGGCGCGTGACGCTGCAGGACTTGATGCAAACGCGGCGCCGGCAATATCCGCCCGAGCCGCATACCGAGCCACGAGACGTATCCCGCCGCACTAGTCGAGACTCTGTTTCATCCGAACCACGACTGGCCAGAACACCGACTACTTCGACATCAAATGCGCACGCTCAAGAACGACCGCGCAAAAAGACAGATTCGATGGTGTTGCCTTCTGGGTCCACCGTGCGCGAGTTGATGCAGAGCGCAGCGCAGACTTTTTCGGAAGCTGTGCATACGGAGCGTCATGAGCACTCCAGCAAACCGTCGCAGCAAGAAGCGGAATATCAGTGGAAGCCACACCAGGAGACGCGGCGGGAGCGGGAACGGAAGCAGAGGGAGTCTACTGCGGGTGCGAATGCCGATGGGTCCGATGCGGTGGACCAGTTTTCCCCGTCCGTTGCCCCACCACGAAAGCTCTCGCCTGAAACTGCAACTACCGAGCCGGCTAGTGCGCAAATAAGTGCTTGGTCCGCGGCGCCCGCAATGCATGGGCAGTTTCATCGTATTCCGGGTGAGGATGGGGATGTGATTATCATTTGTAAAAACGTCCCCACCCCATAGTCAAGTTTGGAAATCTGCAAGACAAATCGACAAGCTTTGGCTGCTGCGCATGACAAGTTTGGCTTCGCAGTGTAGTCCTGGTCAGCTAGTTAAGCAGCATCACAAATCCATCTGCTCATCCCGTTTACAGCATTGCAAATTCCAAAACGCGATTGGAAATGCCTCTCATGGAGATGCGCATTACAAATCTTCCTGTGATCGCAAATCTGCATGACAACTATGGGGTGGGGACGTTTTTACAAATGATAGTGATCCAGACGCAGACGGGTGAGAAGCTGCGGTTGACCGTGTTGAAAGTGGCGAAAAATAATATGCGGAGAAGAACTACTGGTAGTGATGGTCGTGCGCCGGACCGGCAACTGAGTGGCGGGAGCAGCTCCGCAGAAGCGCAGCGGGTGTGGGCACTGCGCAACGGGATTCCGTTACCCAACCCCGAGTGCGCCAACTATCACACCGATCGCACTAAGTGTCGTTCCACGCCCGGGTGCACCTTCGAGAGCGAGGACCAGTACTTCACGCAATGTCTTCCCACCAGCTTGGGCTGGCGCGTCGCCGAAGTTGAATTCTATTCCAACGAAGGTTCGCTTGAAAGCGCTTTTAGAATCAAAAGAGCAACATGATCATCAAAGCGATAATTCCTGTTTTGTCATCAATTGCCGGCGAAGTGTTCGCTTTCCCGGTCAGCCTCCTGGTGTCCTGCTTGGTTTGATTTAGGCCCTTGAATAAAACATTTGCGCGGTTAATGCGGTGTCGAATGAAAACAGCAATTTTGTATATAAGTGAATTTACTCACATGCCGAAGCTTGTTTTAGCGAGACGCTGGTAAAAAATCTGCTCCAGCATCTTCACAGGTTGTACCGCGCTGCTGACACCCGTGAGCTTCAAGTCGGAGCCGGTGCAGGAGCGGCAGGAGTGCGAGGGGCTGGAAACGGACGAGCGTTCGGGGGGGAAGGGGAAGCCCACGGGCTACTGCAAGTGTCGGGAGACCACGGGCTCCAGCCGGGCGGGTGCCAACAAGGCGTTTGACGGGTTCACCAACACGGTCTGGGTGGCCCCCTGTTGCAACTGTGGGAAGCGCGAGGCCGCGCTCGGCGTGGACTTTGGGACGCCCGAAGTGGTTATCAAATGTACTTAAAAATGTCTGGGTCTGGAAGAATGCAACTTGTGATGCTGCGTTTGGATTCCAAAAAAATCTGTATTGCATGAGTACCAAAGGGAATGCAATTTTTGCTACGCTGAGAAGGCATTTGTCATGCGGAATAGGCATCAAGAAGCCTTCAAAAAATCTGTATTGCTAGGGTATGCATCGCAGACATCATGGCTCATGCAAAACGTGCATGACAAATCGCGCATTCTTCCAGACCCAGACATTTTTGCATTTGATAGTGGTGCAGTGCGTGCGGATCTGGCAGGTGGAAGGCTACTTCTCCCCGAACATCACGCTGGCGCGCGAGGGCACGTCCCAGGCCCGCGACAAGTCGCTGTGGTCCAACGTGTATCAAATGCAAATAAGTATGTCTGGGTCCTCTGGAAGAATGCAAAGTTTGGCACGCAGGTTTTCCATGACCTATGAGGTCCATGCCGAGCCTAGGATGACAGATTTTGCTCTCTATCATGCCGTTGCATCTGTGCATGCGAGACTGCCTGTCAAATTGGGCAAAATGGAACAGCTCTTGGTCACCATGCAGCACAGAGTTTTGCACGATTTCCAGACTTAGCATGACAGGTTGCATTCTTCCAGACCCAGACATAAGTATTTGCATATGCATAACGTGATCACGTGGGGCGAGATGGACGCCTCGGGGCTCCCGAAAAACGAGGAAAGCAGCGGGATACAAACCGCATTGAAGGACGCGATCAAGTTTTCCATCGTGCACAACACACACTGCCGCCGGTTCATCTTATCAAATGTAAAAATGTCTGGGTCTGGAAGATTGCCAGGTTTGTCATGCACATTTTGCATGACTCCTGATGTCTGTGATGCATGCCCTAGCATCACAGATTTTGTGAGGGCTTCCTGATGCCTATACCGCATGACAAATGCTCTTTCCGTGTAGCAAAACTTGGACTCTCTTTGCTGCTCACGCAATACAGATTTTTTTAAAATCCAAAATCAGCATGACAAGTTGGATTCTTCCAGACCCAGACATTTTTACATTTGATACATCTACGGGCCAATGTACACCGAGATGGAGCGCGCGCGTAACTACTGCATTTCCTATCACACAGAAAAAAGCTGGCAGGGCATATTTGTAATGCAAAAATAAATATACAGAAAGATCTGTCATGCGCGGCCTCATAGCATGCTATTTAGGACACGCAATGCAGATTTTTCTGTGTATTCATTTTTGCATTACAAATATGCCCTGTCAGCTTTTTTCTGTGGGATATTTCCGATCCGGTACTTATACTAGCACTAGCGAGCAAGATATATTGATCGAATTCGAAGGCAACATGTTGTTTGTGCCGCAGCATAAAAGCCCAATCTTTCGAAATTTTCTTAGAGTCGATGAGCGTAGAAGTTGCACCAAAACGCGTTCCACTACTACGTACAGCTCTGCGGCGCGGTGTACGAGTATTCCTGCTCCGAGTGGGAGTATACCGTGCAAATCACCTCGGCCGACGAACTGGACCAGTTGGCCACGGCACTCTCCCCGGCCCCGCGTCCGCACGAGCCCGCGAGTTCGGTGACGGGGACCACCACGGTCTCCACCCAACGGTTCTACCCGGTGGTGGACTATCCCAAGATCGTGAACAAGGTGCACCTGGTGCGGCACAGCCGGCTGCTGGCTCCGTTGAACAGCACCCGGCAGCTGGCCCGGCCCGACCCGAAGGCGGACCCCTTCCCGGCCTTTACCGCGGAACTGAGCGTGAAACCGGGGTACGGCAAGCTGCAGTTCTGCGCGGTAGACTATGTGTCCGACGTGTCCGACGAGGGCTCGTGTCTGCACCACAAAACGGGCGCCCTCCTGGAGTTTCGAACCTACACCAACCTGATGGCCGCGCCGGAAAAGTACCAGTACCGGCAATTGCACTGCGCCACGCCCACAGACGGCGGATGTTCGGCTTCCAAGTGCGCCGAGCAGTGTCTCCTCGCGGCACCGACGGTCTGCAGCGCGTTTCAGTACGTGGCGCGCCGCAACGGAGAACGCCAGACGCTGTGCCAGCTCGTATTTTTCGAATCGCTGTTTCGTAGCCTTCTTGTTTTCATGCAGCGGGCGATTTTTGCCACTAGCTGAACCAACGAGAGTCATTCTGATTTTTATTTACTTGTATCCCAGCAGAGTATCGCATTTTGCAAAGCGACAGTCGTGTGACGCGAGAGAAGCGGCGTGTGGGAATCATGCAGTGAGTAAAATCCTACCATGATATGTGCTACACTATTCTTCCTTTGGTGATGGTATCCACTATTGTGACAGTGCCGTAAGCACGCATACACTACGAAAAAAAAAACAGCTAACGCTGCCGCCCTACCCAGACTTCGCACCACCAGCAGGATTGTTGCGACTGGATGGCACGCTGGATGTGACGGATTTCTACTACCGGTATCTCAGCGTAAACGACACGGCAACAGTGGAGAAAGCCGGCGGAACATGGAGCAGCGGTGCGGAAGGCAGAAAAGGGCATCTCGTTTTATGGACATGGAGCGCGTTTGTCGTCAGTGTTGCCGTGATCTTTGCAAGCAGCACTTCTAATCTCTTCGTCTGCCTCTAAGTACTAGCTGAATACGACGTCATGGAGTACTTCTAGTGTCTCATGTCATTTTGTTAGCTGAGTGGTCTGAGTGAGTCTAAGTGCGTAAGTGAAGAACTTTTTTCAAAAGAGCTAGTAAGTAATGCTTATTTGCAAAAAATAAATATCGAATACTAGAAAACGAAAAAGAACGGAAGAAACCGATCATGAAAATATAGGTGACTGAAATTGCCAGGAAGCATTCGAATTGCAAATCGTCTAGCAAGATAGGAAGGAACGTTCCCTAGTGAGAAATTGTCAACCAATGCGGCGTGTGCTTGCATTGCGCAGCGATAGAAGGAAAGCAGGTTTGCTGCGCATCCATTGCAGCGAATGAGACTTCTGCAAATAAATCTTGCGAGCGCGCTTCCTAGATCTCTCTGTGCAAACTTGATAGACTCGTATGATCTTCCGGTCGTCACGTCAAGATGTGGAACAGAGATCAAAAGCGCACGATCTGGGTCGCAGAGATCAAAAGCACGCGGTCTGAAGTCTGAAAGAATGATCCCCGCGCAACCACACCGCTGAGATCTTGTTGACAAACAAACTGCATACACAATGTTCCCGCTGATCCAAATCTCACTTCGATCGAAAGCTGTCAAGACGCAAGCGCAACGGTCGTTGCGCAGAGTTGATGTAGGCGTTTTTACCATAAAGTTTCATGAAGCCTCGTCATCGTCTGGTAATATCACAGTAGCTTTTGCTTCATGCCCTACTTATCGACACAGGTTCTAGAAAATTATAGTGGTAAAGCGCCCTTTATTTTTGTGCATGCAATCGGAGCATATCCATAACCAACGTATGTGAAGTTTATTGAGACAAATAAATCGTTTATCTCTTCATCTGATGCTGAAACTCGTACAATAAGAAGCCGGCCTGCGGACGAACGTATAAGTGTCATCCCCGCATCAAGACGAAAGCTCTGTCGATGATGACGTCCTCAATCCTGCAACAGCAGCTGCTCCGGTTGCGCGAGGCGCACCCGACCACGTCTCGGTCGCTGAAGGCCGGCAAAAGCAAGGCGGCGTTCACCTTCCGGCAGAAGGACTTTACCTCGGCGCAGGAGCGGGCGGAGTACTTTTCGGAGATCAAGGAGCACTCGCTGGAAATCTTCCACGAGGTCCAGGCGCTCGATCCGGAGTTCGCGCAGTTTGAATCCCTGTTCCACCTGAATCAGAAGCAGCGCCAGTTTCTGACGCCCGAGGAGATCAAAAATCGGGATGGACTGGTGGAAAAGTTCCTCCTCCTGCTCTCCCCGTTCCTGGCCTCCTCCGAGGTCGCCGTGGTCCTGCTGGACCTGGTGGTGGACACGTTCGAGTGCTGCAGTTTCCACCTGGACGCCCTGCTGCAGTGCCTGTTGCCCTACCACGATCTGCACCAGTTCGCGCGGCTGTTGCAGGTGCTGGAAAACATCCCGTCGAACAGCCGGTGGCTCTTCCTGGCGGACCTGAAAAAAAACCAGTTTGGACTGAAGCGACAGGTGCTCGTCCACATGTGCCGGAAAGATGCCTCCTTGCTGCAGTTTCTGTGCGACAGCGTGCGGAAGTACGTCAAATGGTTCAAGCGAGTCCACCAACCCATGGTATACATAAACCACTTAGTCGGGGTCTCTAATTTCTTTTCCAATAAATGGCGGAAACTGTTGTACCCTGTAGTGTCCAATATTTCTAGGTTTTATCGCAAGACGGAATTAATTATTGCTTAGATGTGCGGCACAACAATTCATGAGCAATTCAGTAGGGAGCTTTGAGAAAGAAAAAAAAAAAGAAAAAATATTATAACAGGCCACTCTTCTCACCGCCGTGGCGCTCGAAATTTTCAACGAGGACTTTGCGCGCAACAATGCGAAGGCCGAGCGAGCGCTCCGCCCTTTGGCGCCTTTTCTCATCTTTGGTCTGCAGAGCCCGCACCTGGAGGACCTGTTCGGCTGCAGTCTGACAATCGCGTGTCATTTGCTGTGCACCCTCGCCCACGACCACGTCGTGAGCCCGGTGAAACTCGCGCTCACAGCAGCTCGTCACGTGCGAAATCACAGTACAGGAGAAGGAGATTTCCTTGACGGAAGCTTATCGGGAAGCAGCACGACGCAGCAAGTGCTGGCGTACGTCGAGTTGATTTTCTATCAGTTCTTTCACGCCGACCTGTTGACTGCGGCGGCAGACAAAGGCATGCGAAACGTCATGCTATTGTTTCCGGATGCGCTACTCCAGCAGTACTGTTCTGCAACGGGAAGCAGGAGCGCCATGGAGAATAGCCCCAGTACCTTGCTCCAGCTGTGGTGCCTGTGCCAGATGACAAGTTGTACGTCCTCTACTTCTACACCGTCCAGAGGCGGCGCGGCGCCCTTCCCCGCTGTCCAGAAGCTCTTGAAAACTGCCAACCACCTGGAGGTGCGTGCGCTGAGCAGCGCGATTTTCGTGCGTTTCTTCCAACTGGCTTGCGAAAATGAATCGACGCCGGCTTCGGAAGATAAAAACGGAGAGGCGGGACCGAGCCCCAAAGACATGCTGGTCCAGCAGTTGGCCGTTTTGCTGCGCCAGTGCAACCGGGCGCACCCGGTGACGGTAGGCCAGCAGATTACGCACGTGCTGCAAAAGCTACCCGCCGCCGGAGAGAGTCAAGTTTTGAAGTCGGTTTTCACGGAATTCGTCGGAGAAGCTTGTGAGCTCCTGGCCGTACAGGAAGCTGAAGGGGAACGGGAGCAGACGGCGAATAAGAAAAACACTGAGGAGAAGAAAGTTCCGGTCTTCCGAGCACTCAGCCACACGTCAGCAGCGATGCGCAAACTCGGGGTAGCTCGCGTCGTGTCCCAGGTGAAAGCGGCATTGTTGCGAACATCGGAGCTCTCGCCTGCAGAGAGGACGGGGAGCGTTCAAGACGGCGCTCCAAAGGGGAGCAAGCTGCGGTCACTGATTCTGTTGCTGGTCCAGCGACTCCACGACGAGGATCCAGCTGTTTTGGACGAGGTGCTCACGGGGGACAACACGTTTTGGGAATCTGTCTTTGCACAGAAAGTTCTGAACGCCGCCGAAACTGCAGCGGTTGCACGGGTCGCGTTGCTGCTGTTGCAAGCGGAATGTAGCACCGGCGTGCGGGAGAAAGACGCACTGTTTGCTCTCGCACCGGACAAGAGCAAGACGAAGGACGTGGGAGCGGGGGCGGTTGGCAGCGCGGACCGCTCTAAGGAGGAGGCGGGGAGGAACAAGCGGATCATCCAACTGGTATACCTGCTGTCGGGCGCTATGGACGAGGAAGGTTTTGAAGCGGCGGACTTCCGCGCGTTGCGTCTCCAGGTGAAGCCCTTGATTCTTTTGCTGCAGACCCGGGAACAAGCCGGCGGTGCCGAGCGGAAAAATCTTTCGGCGTTCAGTCCGCAGGAGCAACCTGCAACACTACTCGTCGCGCTGCGGGAACTGTTGCAGTTCAGCGAAGGGATCATGCAGCAACAGACGCAGGACACCGTGGGCCTGAGCGGAAGCCTGTTACCGCCGCTCCTCGGTATTCAAGCTATGGTCAAGAACTGCGTGTCGTGTTTGAAAGAGAACGACGAGAAATCGGCTGTCGAAGAACGACCGGAGGAGCTCTTGGACCTTTTGGAGCGTTGCGTCCTTTCCACCCAGTGCGGTGTCTTCCTGGAGGATCACAAAGCCATCGCGAAAGGCTTCTCGCAACTACTCAGCTACCTGGCGAACGACCACGCGGGCAAGAACTCGGAACACGTTCAGAAGATTGTCCTTCGTATCGCCTTGTCCTTTCCCAAGCGGTTCAAGACTTGTCTTGAGCAGATGGTGAAAAATGAAAGCAGCATGCAAGCGCGCAAGCACATCCATGCGTTCGCGTTCCGAGGTGGCGAGACCGCTCGGGTCCGGGCGCATGCCCTGCTTCTGCTGTCGCGCTTCGCCGAACAGGAAACAGCATATGCGCTCGAGACCATCGTCTCGCTGTTGCCGCTGCTCGGCGCAGAGTCCGCGGACGTGCGCCGGGCCGCCTTCCAGTATCTACGAGCAACGAGACAGGGCGGGAAAGTGACGACCTCGGAAACCGAACCCGAAGCCGCCGCCTTGTTCGGATACAACGTGCAGCACTGGACCGTGAACAAAACGTCTTTCGGCGTGACTTCGACGGAAAAAGAGCAGAAAAAATTAATCGACAAGCTCTTGGAGAACCAGACCGCGGTAGAGCAAGACCCGGCCTTCTTGGCGGAAACCGTGCGTGCCTTTCTGGAGGCCCGATCAAGTGGCGAAAAAAACACGACTTCTTCTCTTCCTTTGTCAATTGCCCTCCTGGCCACTGCGCTGGAGACGTCTCAGCGGGACGCCTTCCCGTGGACGAGTCTTCCGCGTGACGCGGTCCTCTCATCTTTCAAAGCCAAGTTCCATCCGATTGCGGTCGCGAAAGAGCAGACGGTAATCGCCGATCACAGTCGGACCGTTGCTATTCTTTGCGAGAAGTTGCTGCTGCGATCCACGGAGGCCATGACGGAGGGGGAGCGCGAGGGCCAGTCGCCCATGTCCGAGGCGATCACTTTTGTGGCAGAGCAAAATTGCACTTTCGCCCTTGATGTTGAAGAAGAAACGAAGATGAAACAGCAGGTCAACGCGGCGGAGAAGTTGTTGACGCCAGCTGGCGTTGCGGTGATCGCGGAAGCGTTGGGGCGGTTCGTGAAGGAGCCACGGTTCGACATTTTGCTGCACTGGAGCGTGCAGCTCGCGACCACCCAGAAGAGCACCTGCTCGGAGAAGATCCGTGACCGGGTTCAGTCCAGCTTTTTCGAAGCGCCGTGCCGGGTGAAAGATCTGCAGTCCGTGATTCTGCAGAGCTTACCACGGTATAAAAATGCGGGCAGCACGCAAGAACTGACACTGGCTGCGTCGTTGCTGCAAAGGAAAACCCAAGAGCTCTGCGCGGTTTGGAAAAAGGAGGAGGAGGCGATCGAGCAGCATTTGGAGGAGGTGTGCGATTTACTGCAAGGAGTTCTACCGGCGTTCCAAGAGCTGATCAACGAGAAGTCCGACCAGACGCCGGACCTAACGTCCAGCTTGTGCAACCTGCTTCTGTCCGTCCTGGAGCACGCGACGTTCGTGGGCGAAGAGTCCAATCAAGCGGGGCACCTGATGATGAAGCTGGATGGTGCCCAAGTAAACGCGTGTAACGCGCTGCAGGCTGTTGCAAAAAGCAGTGCGCAGAATTCTCTTCAGGCCAGCAGCGGCACTACAGGAGCGATGAATACAACGTCTTCGTCCACCAAGCAAACCCAGAACCAGCACCAGCGGGAAATCATCAAAGTGCAGCCGGTGTCGACCACCGTCTTCGTCCACAACCTCCGGGCGGGGACGACGCTGCGGAAGAATCGGTTGCAGTCGTTGAAGCAGTTCCTGAAGAACTTCACGCCCTGCACGGTGGACCCCTTTTTGCTGGCCGCCGCGGGCGCCACGCTGCGAAACTGCGTCGCCAAGCAGGGGCGGGCGGCCGGGATGTGCTTCCTGTACTACTTTTTCCAGTCGCTACGCCACGTGCCCAGTGCGTCCGTGGAGGAGATCGCTCGAGACGTGCTCGTGCACTACGCAAACCTCGCGGGGGAGATCGGCGCGGCTGTGGAGGAAACTGCGAACAGCGAAGACGAACTTTCCGAAGTAGACGCCCGCCGCGAGGAGACCACCACTCCCGACAACGATCCGCACGCCACGACCTTCGATCTTGCAGCGGTGCTGCTTCCGTGGCTCGCCGCCTACGGGCAGACCAACGGCGCCGAACGGGTGCGGCTCGCGACCCAGGTGTTGCACGACTTCCACTTCGCCCACGCGCAACAAAAGTCAGACACGACACCGGCCCTTGGGCAGTTGGCTGCGTTACTACGCGACGGGGTGGCGGAGGTTGGCCGTCTGCAGTACTACCAAACAGCGCTAAATTACGCCAGCACTTTGGCGAAGCAGAGCCGCCGGAAAAGTTCCGCGGACGAAGGTAGCTCGAGTGTGGACGGTGGAGACGAGGGGCGGGCGGCGCAAGGTGTTCTTGACAACTGGAAGAATAAACGCGATGCGACGGAGACGTTTTTCGAGTACCTGTTCCGCGAGGAGGGGAAGGATCGGGGCAGCAGCTTGCAGAACCTGCAGATCACGGCGCCGGAGTTGTGCGTGCAGCTGACCGCAAGGTACCTCGTTCAGCACCAGGAGTTGGGCACCGCCTCGGCCGAGAGCATCAACCGTCTGGTGGAGTCGGTCCTCCTTGCGGAGTCCTACTTGTCGACAAGCGGCGGAGGCAATGGTACAACAATTTCAGCAGCAGAAGCAGGAGTGAGTAATTATACCCCGGCTCCTGCGCCGGCGCACCAACAGCAGACCGGCGGGGGCGCCAACAAGAAGATGAAGTTGTTATCCCCCCCCGTGAACAAGCGGCGTGTGTTGCTGCTCCGCCCTACGCAAGACGTGCGCAAAGCGGTATTCGCAAACCTGATCCAGAGCTGCACGGACGCCACCGGCCTGTCAATGTTGCCGCTGTACCAGGCATTGGAGCACGTGCTGCGAAATATTGCCGTTTCCAGGTCGGGCAGCAAGACGGACCTGCTCTATGTAACCCTCACGGCGGTCCTGGAAACCATTCCAGAGATGACCTGGCGGTATGAAGCGGAAGAAGTGGAAGCAAGTACCGTGGTGCAAAATGCGGAGGACAAGAAGTCAACGACGGATGCTGAGCGGCAGAAGGGGAAGAAGAGGAAACTAGAGGAGGATGAGCAAGAAGCGGACCCGGATGTTGTAGAGTCGCTGAAAAGGATTGTTGCTCTTGTCGCACAAACGTGTTTGGCCAGCCCAGAAAATAATGAACAAGCTACCAGCAGCTGCACCGGAAATACGCCAGGTTCATCGCAGCGAAATCTTTTGTCGCGGAAGGCATTGCACGACAAGGCCTGGCAGCTGCTCACGAAGATCCACCAGAGCGCCCCGCTGTTTCTGGCGTCTGTCTGCAGTGCTGAACTGTTGCCGAAAATTCCGCAACAGCTACACACAGAAACAGGTGGCAAGGCTTTGATCCCGAGTAGAGACTTGCTGCTTTTCGTCGCTGGCGCTGCAAAACAGATTCCGCGTAAGTTGCTGCTGCCGTCCCTGAATGGGCTTGTGGCGCCTTTACTTAGCTGTTTGCGACAAAACTCCGAGAGGGTGGCAGGGAGTACTGTTGTTACAAGCGGCACCGCCACCTCTTCGGCACTGGACGTGGTGTGCCTGGCCCTGTCCAACTTCGCAGCCTCGTGCGGTAAATATCTGACGAATTTCTTTTCGCAGTTGTTGGAGATCTACTTGTCCGCGGAGAACCCTCAGCAATTTGACGCTCTGCTGAAAACCTGGCTGCAGTCGCTTCCGTTTCGGGCTCTCCTGCCGCTGTTTCGCGACCAGGTGCGGAACGCGAACAGCATGGAAACAGCACCGGGCGAAGCGACAACCGAGGCCGTGCGCAACTCGTGCAAACTGGCTTACCTGTTCCAGCACTTGATCGCAGAGACCAAGCCAGACGTCGTGGCTCCGTTCGCCACTGCGATCTTTGACGACGTCCTGGCTCCGCTCACGGACTTTTTCACGAGCTCTGCTGCCGGGGAGCGAAACTTGGAAATTACCGCGGGCATTTACGCGCAGTTTGCGCTGCGTCTGGAACTGAAGCAGTTGACCCCTTTCTGGGACGCGACACTGAAGACCGCGCGCAACGGCGCATCGGTGTTGATGGCAGACATTACCGAGGCACCAGCGGATGGGACCAGAACAGGAAGTGGAAAGCAGGTACTTAATGAATGATTCACCGCAGTAGAGTGTTGTAGTTTCTAACCATTGAAGATCGCGCGTTTTTTGTTGTTTTGGTATGCAAGAACGGTGTTGTGACAGTATATCATGTATGCAGCAAATTTTGTCACCACATCATACTATCGGCAATTGTCACCACAACAGGATGCGTCGAAAGCAAATGCCGTCGCGCGACGCCGCGCGGTAGCTGTGTTTGAGAGTTTACGGGCGCTGGTCCACGAAGCAAAGGACATTGTGGCGGTGCCATTCCTGCGCAAGGTTGCCAAGGACGTCGCTCACGTTTTGCGAGAGGCGAAGCCCAAGAGAGCGGATGCCGCGATTTCCCGGACCAAGAAGAACCCGAAACGCGCGAAAAACGCGGACCTGACGACGGACGGGGCTTCGTACGACAAGACGCTGGTGGTTTCAGCGCTGGAAGCCGTCAAGGTATGTCTGGAAGCGCCCGCGGAGCCTTCTTTTGGGACTGAATTACTGACCGAACTGGCGACTCCCCTGCTGGAGTGGTTTGACTTGCTGTGCACTAACCACGGACACACGTACAAGCGAGCAGGCGGAACGCGAACGCCGTGTGCCAGGCTGTATGAACTGCTGCAGGAACAACTGCAGCATCAAGAGGGGACGAGGAGTACAACGAGTTCTACTACGCCAAGTGCAATAAAAACGACAACATGCACGGAAATAATGAATGCATCTGCTAGATCGCAAGCTGAACTTCCGGTTGAGCTTCTACTTCAGCAGACCGTGGTCGCCTTGGTGCACCAGCTCGCGGACGAAACCGAACGCAAGCAGGTGCTGTTATCGCTGCTGCACAAGACCCAGGAACCGTCCGCTGGGGAGGCGGTGAAGGTGGCACTGCTGAAAACGGTGAAAGCGGTGTGGAAGAAGGAGAACTGCGGTGTCGTCACCTCGCTCTCCGACACCCTGCTGTTTGCGGTGGAGCTGCTGGAAGATGACTCGGAACTGGTGGAAAGACACACGAAGGAACTCCTCAAACTCGTGCAGACCATCACCGGCGAAGATGTGCAGGCCTTGCTGAAGGAAAAGAGGTGAAAAAGAAGGTGTAGACACGAGGAGAAATAACGGGAAGCATTAGCTCTTCCGATGATGAATTTGTGGTGACGAGTGTGGTGGATAAGAGTCGATGCAATTTTTACTAAGATCGACGCAGTAGATGGTACAATGTGGAAGGCGATTATTGGCTTCTTCCTTCTACCATGAAATGAGCAAGAAATAATGCAATTATGTCGCTCATGATAAGCTTACGCATCATCGTCCAGATTTTTATGATGTCAGTGAAGACCACTACATTCGCATTTCCAGTGCCTTTCAGTAGTTCGCATCAAACGGCATTTTTCCATTACGCGCGACTATCGTGAAGAATCTGATCGTTTCAGTGAGGTCACAAGTCGAAGATTAGGTTGACATCGCGATCGTGATAGCAGAGTCTCGTGAAGAGTGGATTTACTGAGTCGACACGGCAGCGAGCGAGGTGCAAGAGAAAAAATTTTTAGTCAGAGAGAACTGCGGTCTCGTCGGCTTTTCGCAGGACCTCATTGAAATCTAAAATACCCATTCAATGAATTTCTTACGTTGTCAATTCCCTTGTCCTAGACGCATTCTTGTACGTCCTCTGGCTACTAAGTATTGTCGCAGTTCTTGTCTTGTTGATCGATACTACACGCAGAGCTTTTTTGCAATTAATGCCCCTACGACGCGTTGTCTTTGTGTACATTACTTCTTTGTGTTTGTATTGAAAATGAAAAATGACTCGTTTTTGCTGGAGGTTCCAAAAATGCAACCGTCTACACGACGACCTCCGCGGCTTGCATAGTCTACTTCTACTTTGCCGTCGTGGGAAAAGCGGCAGTGCGTTTTTTCAAGAAGGTTTTTGATTGCAGAACTTTTTTTCCGTCTGGCGCGCATCGGGACGCAGACGTACCTCAAGAAGACGAAGAAGAAGATGCGATTCGGCGATTGGTACGCTGGAAAAGAAAAAGGAAAATAAAGAGCAACTCTTTGTGCTCGTGCAGGCCCAACGGCGGTGCGTTCGTTCCGGTCTCAGCTGCTCCTCGACGTGTAGCGTACTTGTTCGGGGGGACGATCCACAGTTCGTCGAGAAGAAGTCATGGAGGAACCAGACGACCAGCAGCAGGCGGAGGCCGTCGAGGCGGCCCGGGCCATGATGGAAGGCTCCGCAGACGGGCCTTTTGGGGCGAGCAGCTCGGCAGCTGCGTCTTCGCGTCCGAAAACGTATCGACAAAAACTCAAGCCCGATGGGACCAAGATGAGCTTGGCGGAGATCCGTGCGCAGGCTGATTTGGACGAGGCCGCCGAGGCAGCCGAAGAAGAAGCCGAATACCAGAAGGCGCTGGAGAAGGCCAAGAGCAAAAAAGACGACATCGCTGCCGCAAAGCGTATTTATTTACTTAATCTGTGGTTTGTATGAAAAACTATGTATTCGAAAATAGCCTTTGAAATGATCCATCGCACGTATGTGTATGAATAGGATAAGTACGTCGAGGACACAATCAATACGTCCATGACCTGTAGATGTGCTATCATTGTTTCGCCTCTGCCTGTTTTTCAATAGGGTCTTTTCGGTTGAAAAATACAGAGGCGCGAGAGGACGCGAACAAGCCCTTCGAGGATCCCAGCCGACTGAAAGCTCCTTCGCTGAAGGCAAGAATTGGCTTGAAGGTTGTTTCGCGGCGAAAGAAAGACCCTACGGGACCCGGTGCGTTTCTACCGGAAGCTGCAGCGCCACAAGCAAAAGCCGGACCTTCCGCGCTCTCCAGCAGCGCCGGCGCCCCACCCGCGCTGCGACGGTCAGATTCGATGCAGTCCGACCTTTCGGCCACGGGGGGAAGTGCGTCAACCGACCAGCGCCCGCGGCTCCAACGCAGCGCGAGTGGATTGAGTGTGAGCAGCAAACGCAGCTCTAGGTCAGACGGTGACTCAGATTCCGAAAGCTCTGAAAGCGGTGGCACGGTATAGAAATCGAGTTTCTGTCTTTCACTGTTTCTATAGTACTTTGACGGTCCTGCGCCTGGCTATCTCCAATTTCTTGGTGCAGTCAGCATCTTCTAACTACTATGTTGGTTGTTCCCACCAGTGAAGAAGGTGGCGCCCTGCGTTTTCGAATCTTTTTGTTTGCATGCTGAATTTGAAGACGAGAAAAAAAGTTTGCCCCTGAAATCGGAACAACGACAAATACAGAGCTCCGCAGACGAGGAGGCGCTACCGCTGCACATGCGAAAGACGGAAGGGGTGCGCGAGGGTCCCGCGCAAACCGCCGAGGAGTACCGCAAGGAGCACCTGGCCGGGATCGGCGATAAGAAGAGCGAGAGCAGCAGCGGCAGCGAGGACGAGGACAGCAGTTACGGAAGTTCCAGCGAAGAGGAGTCGTCCGAGGAGGATTTGGCCGCGAGCAGAAGACCGCAGAAGCAAGACATCCTTGACTGGCCACCCCCGGGGTTTCAGATGTTCCGCAAGTCCGTGATCAAGAACCTGGCTCAGATTTTCGGCGGGGTTTTCGTCGTGTACTACGGGCTGGTACTGTTCGGAATTATCTACTCGATCCTGTTGCAGGACACGAACTTCACGCTCATTAAGAAGCAGATCGCGGGGCACTTCGAGGGCAAGGCCTTCGAAAAGGTGCAGCTGCCCGTGCAGCACGGGCAGGCGCTGCTGAAGCAGGCCCGGACGTACCTGGACGTCACGCTGGAGGAGGACCTCGTGGAGTTCACCAACATGTTCCAAACCAAAGACACCCTCACCGCCGTGGTCTACATGCCGACCGGGCAGACGGGGCGCGTGCGCACCGTGAACGGCGCTGACCGGACCCGTCGTGTGCGCGTGGACTCGACGGAGGCCTTTCCGGTCCCGCTGTCGGAAGGCGCACTCAGCGTGCCCGAGCAAGTGTTCGCAAATTTCACGCAGGGCTGGCAGTGGGGCCAGGAGTGGAAGTGGTGGGCTAATATCGACGGCTTTCGCGGCCCCACCCCAGTCTACACGATCTTCGAAAACACCCAGCTCTTCGGCCTGCTCATGATGACAATCGACTTCGATGCGAGCACCATTAACGACGAACTGTTTGATGTGCTTGAAGGCTTCGACATGAATGTACTTATTTTTCCCGATTTATTTGTTCCACTATGATTTGTTTAAGCAGAGGAATCAGTAATCTTCTTCGCAATTACAGCAACAAGCCGAAAAATACATAGGTGAACAAACGCAGTTTCTTCACAGAAGGAAACAAACGAAGACTGGAAAAAAAAAACAGGCGGAAGACTTCCCGATCAATGTGCATGTGATCGTCGGCGAACGGGTACTTGCGAGCACCGGCACCGCCCCTTTGCCGCTGGGTAGCGCGGCGGTACCCGCGCCGAGCGACTGCACGTATAACGAGGATACGGCGGTGATCCGCATCTGCGTTGAGCAAACTGGGCACTGGTTTGGGACCACGTTCCTGTTTGCAATGCAGGTTTTGATGTCGCTCACGCTGCTAATTCCCTTCGGGCTGGCCGGGTACCTGATCCGCATCCGGCAACTGTGGGTGTCCGCGTCCCCGGACCTGCCGCACCGGTCCGAGGAGCAGCGCGAGGCCGCGATGAGCAAACTCGCCCAGCTCCAGAAGCTGAAGGAGCGACTGGGCGGCACCACGACGGATCTGAACGCCTCGACCACTTCCATTCCGGGCCTCGGCCAGAGCTCCACCAGCATCGCCAGCATGATGTCGGGCACAGGCAGTCGGGAGAATCAGATGGACCTCTCGCAGTCCTTCAAAATGGTGCTCGAGTCCGCGTCGCTAGGTAAAAAAAACCAATGGTGTTTTATATAGAGAGCTATACATTAACTATTAACTCGTAAATCTAAATGCTAGGATTGTTACGGCTTTGCGCTTTCTATCTCTCAGCAGTCCACCAAAGTGAAGTCCTTCAGTGCGTGTCGTTTTTTTGATATCTTCTTTCTCGTCCCTGCACCCACGAGTTGTAGCTTTTTCCTCGTGCAGGACCCGTGCGCGCAGGTATCATCGATCGTCCCCTAAGTAGGAGCGCATGAAGCGATCCTCGAAACAACTGCAGGTGACACTGGCCGGTACTCCGCTACGGGAGGTGTTGGCGGCAGTACGCTCGGGAGTGGCACGTCCAATTTTACCGAGAAGCTGCGGTCCCTGAATATTACCACTTTGAAGGAAGCCTTCCAGTTCGCTCTCGTCCTGGTCACTTTCACCGGCCGAATGCAAGCCGCCCGGTACGTCGAGAGCGACGACGCCGCGGAGAAGCAGCGCGGCCCCGTCATGCAGCGGATTCAGTCGGCCTACGACAAGATCCGGGTGTCTCTGTTCGGCGAACCCATCGACGAGAACATCCGTGCGCAGATCGAACAGGAGCGGGCGGACCGGCAACGGCAGGAGTTCAAGCGGTCGCAGTCGATGGTGGGCGAAGAGTCGGGCCCGAAGGCCTTTCGCCGCTCGGGCACCATGCTCACAACCTCGCAATCGAGTAAATCATCCTCACCAAGCGCATCCAGAACAAATTGATCTCGATAATAGAGGGATGGCGATCATGCTGGTATTTGCTTATACCGGCTGTATCCCGCGGCCCCATGCACCAAAAAAAGAAAAGCCATACGAATATAATCACAAACGCGGTCGTGACTAGTAGCAGTCTTTGCGACCACGTGCTCGAAAACGTCGAGAAGTGTTTGCGCTCCACGTGTTCACTACCATTCTCTGTTTGCTGTGCACCATAATGACGACGGCGTTGGACAGTTCATTCAGAGACACAGCAGAGCTGGTGCGGCAATGTCGTGTGAATGGATACTAAACAAAATTTGAGGAGACGAGTGTGTGGCACAACAAAGACAAACAGACGCGTCTAATTCATTCTGTGCCGCTGCTGTAGAAGGTGCCCTTTGCCTTTTCTATGTTTTATGAGTGGAATTATAGAGAGCAAATGAGGTGAGAATGTTCCATATTACAAGCTTCTGAGGGTAGGTTCTCGACACCTGCCAAGGGCAGACCGAAACGGAAACGCGATAGAGACATAGTTTCACCACTTTCTGTTTCTTTCTTGGTCCTCCCGGCTCAACGCAGCTGCCCGGAGCCCCAGAGGTGGGGGAGACGAAGAGAAAAGCCATGAGGGCTGGGCTTCTTTTTCCGTTGTTCGTGGGGCTCTGCTCGTTGCAGCATGTCGCTGTTTCGGCCGCCCCCGAGATTTTATCGAAGAGTATGATGACGTGCACAGCGTCACCGGGGGAGTTCTCCCAGCGGGATTGCAGCAAAGTCTTCGACTTTGCCGGCACCGTCGGCACACTGAGTTATTCCGACCCTTCGAGCACAGCAATCAAGACGAACGGCGCTACAGACGCTGCAAGCGGGGACCAGGACTTTTTTGAGGTCACTTTCAACCGTGGGGCGCTGTACTTGGACTATTTTAAGATCTGGCTCCCGACTACCGGGTTAGAGAGCGACGACGATCGGCTGCAAAAGCGGCAGCTATCCTGAGTCGAGACCTCCGCCCCACCTTCCGCTTACAGGCAAAATAGGAAGTACTCTGTGAGACAAATGCAAGAGTAGTTCCGAGAAATTTGCGTGGATGAAGACAGGTTCTTTGCTGGCTATAGCGCAGCGTAGCTGTAGTCTTGTTGCCTACTAGCTAGTCGAGCTGCACTAGGTAATATCCGCTCTCATGATTTCCAGATCAGCGCATGACACTACATGTCGGAAGTCGACTAAAAAGTGCCTCCCGTGCGGAGCCGCATTAGAGATCGATGTTCTGGGTTTGCGAATTATACGCAGGACAATTCTGGGGTGGGGGCTATGTATTAAGGATAGCAGCTGCAGTTTCTGATGGAAAACGACACGTACGTGCCCCTGGATACGCTCACGGCGAGCAATCCGGTGAGCACTGTGACTGCGGGCATACTGCCGGATATGATTGCGGGCAACGTCGTAGCAAAATGGAAGCTGTCGCTGTCGCTCCACGTCGTGTAGAGTTGCGGTGTATTGTAAGTGGTAATTTCGTGTCTTTCAAAGAAATGATAATGACCGCTGGTACAACAACCTCTTCGCTAGAGCCTTTCTTGTAGCTATCACATGGAATATCCAACAGGAGCCGTGTCGAATCGACGTGCTGCTCCTTTTTCATGGATTGCATTCCGGTTTTTGCATGCCTCTTGAGATTTGCTGTTTCGGTGCTGAGGTGAGTTAGATGTCTTGGCCGCGTGTGACACTTCTGAGCGTAGGCGTACTATCTTGGGGTACTATCTTGAAACTAAGACGACGTCGACGGGGCGGGATGACTTTTCGCACAGGGATACGACGGAGTCGAAAAAACTGGCACGGATGGCGTCAAAGCGGAGGATAAAGACGGCACTACTGTGACCGTTGAACAGTGGGTCAAGGGCTTCAAGATCGGGGGTGAGAGTCGAACGAAGATCATCGCAATCGGGGGCTTGCAACTTTTCGTGGACGTATTGGTTGATTCCTAGTATTGAGTCCTGTGGTTGAGGATGCGTTTGAGGTGTGTTCTTTAGCACCACCTTGCTAATTCTTTCGTGGTTGAAGTCATCTCGTCGCAGGTGGTAGTAATGCCAGCAAGTGTGTTGGAATATGCATTTATGATCATAATGTCTTTCTTCGATGCAAAGGCAAACGTTGAAGCTGCGTGTCCTAAAAATCAAAGAAATGCAATTTGTGCAAGAACGACAACACTTACAGTATGCGAAGACAAATCCTTCCGTGGTGGCTCTTTTGTCGCAAGCGCAGAAAATGACGACCCCCGAACTAAGCTGCAACACCACGTCGGGCGACACCGCAAACTGCGGCGTGGTTTTCAACAAGGACGATTCTACCAACACACAAACGGGAAACGGCACGGATTCCACGGTGTACACGACCTCCGGTGGCGGAAATGACTATTTCGACGTAACCTTCGACGACGGGGCTATCTGGTTAGAGAGTTTCAAGATTTGGCGCTCGGCGGGGACCGTATCAAAAGGAAAAATCCTCCCTTCCTGTATTGAAAACGCATCCGCCTGAAAATTTGTGGTGCAGATTGGTGACGACAAGCCCCTGTCTGTCTTGCAAGAATGCAAATCCAGAGCGTTCGCCGCATTATGCGGGCGGTTTGTGATGCTGTTGGGCTAACAGTGTCGACATTTGTCACGCTAGGGGCCTACGTCAAAACCTCGCGGCTCAGGCTTGGCATATGCCTGCAGTCCTGTACTGCAAGACAAATCAGATTTGTGCACGGAAATTAATTGAGCATCAGAAATTTTGTTTTGATATGGGGAGGGGGGATTTTTCACCACAAGAGACCGCGACGGATTCCTCGTTGCAGAACCGCACACTGCAACTCATCATCCCGGGCGATCCGAGCGACACCTACGAGGACTGCGATGCCTGCACGGCAGAAAATCCAATTCAGACGACCGCATTGGCCGGGAGGTTGCCGTTGAACATTGTGAACGCTCAGGATGACCTCGACGGTGCGGTAGATGCAGAGGGGACAGTGATAAATGTTTATCATACAGCAACTTGTGAAGTTCAGAGTCACAGAACTAGTAGGCTTTTCTCATGCAGTTGTTTCGAATGCGAATGATGCGCTGACTCAGGCAGAACTTATTTCGTAAGAGTTGTCACGGGTAGGCATTGATTTTTAGCGGTCTAGTCCTATGTGTCGCAGGCGGTTTTCATCACTCGTGGTGATGAGTTACTGCGTATCGTATGGTCAGCGGCTGTTGACTCAGGCCTTGGTAGTTTCACGGAACAGCTGCGGGAAGTATGTGAAGGGGATCCGCATCGGTGGCGACGACCCCACCATGAAAGTCGAGATTGGGGGATTGCAGCTTTTTCGCCGGGTACTTAAGCAATATTTTTTCTCAGGAGGCGGAGTTGATTGACTAAAGTAGATTACACCAATGGCATTGCTAATGCTCACACTGTGAATGAAGAGAAAGATGATGACCTGAGTCAGCATTCGATATTGTTTCAATTCGAAAACTACTTATTAATGCAACAACAGTACGACAAGGGACGGCCGTCGGATGCGGCCAAGCGCATTGAGCAAGCGAATCTCGTGGCGAGCTTTGTCCGGGCGGGGTTGAAGGCCTTGATGAACTGCAATACGAACTGCCCAGATGGCATGACCCAGATTAATGCGACGAGCGAAGAGGCCTTTTGCAGCAAGATGCAGGCTATGCATTGCAAATATGTCGTCCGGGTCTGGGAGAGTGCAGAAGTTTGATATGCAGATTTCGCATGGCCCAGAGAATCTGGCTCGGGAATGTGAGGCCTAACATGTTGACAAGTTTTGTGAGGGCTTCGCAGTGGCCAGTTCGCTTGGGAAATCCTCTCTCAAGGTGTCCAAAAGTGAACGGCTTTTCCAACTTTTGTACTTATGGTTATGACAGGCAGCACGGTGGAGCATCACAAATTTGCATTCTTCCAGACCCAGACACATTTGCATCCGATACAGGTGGGACTGGCCCAGGGCTTCATCGACAGCATGCGGTGAGCAAAAACGATAAAAAAAATGTCGTTGGAGACGTCCGCACTTCGTCTCCCCGCTGTCATGATAATTGATCGTGATCATTAATGTAGACAACGAACGTAATACCTTTACCTTTCGAAAAGTCATTTTTGTATATCCCTGGGAAAAACGGCAGCGCAGCGCTGGGAATTTTTTTACTGATCAAGTTTCTCTCTAGTATTTCTATTCTGGAAATTTTTCGTTTCGTAGAAACAAATGGAATGTAGAATTTATCAAGGATGAAGAAGGTACACACACATAATGACGCGGTCCGCCTGGGTTTTTATTCAATTCAAAAGGAAAAGAAAAAGCGAAAAGAGAGAGCACAGAACCGCACTCAATGGATATCGTGTCTGGCAATTCTGATTATCAAATAATCACGCAACAAACGCATCGCGCGAATGGCAACTTTGAGGCCCCCGCTAATCAATGGAATTTACTCACTTCGTGCTACGGGGCGAACGTGGAGCACGAATACACAAGCGCAAAGCCGATTCGGATTATCGTGTGTTTTGCTGTAATGGTGCCGATGAAAGAGCTAGACTAGTAGATCCTGTAGATCCAGCAACAGTACTTACAGCAAGACAAGAGACGAGTTTTTTTTATGAAAAACAAAGAGGAGAAAAAGACACACGGTCCAATTGCACAAGCGCAGTGTCGATCTAGCGAATTCATCTCGAGCCCATGTGAATGTGTCGTGTAGATCCTTATGAATATCGAAATCATACGGAATGGTCATGATGATCCAATTGATCTGTTGATAAGAAGAAGATCTAAATCCATCTGTACATCGTGCTCATAAAAAGTTGAGTAGTCTCTACATTTCTCGCAGGGAAAGATGAGATGTGAGTAAAGAATGGAAGGGCCACAGACATCAGTAATGATAGAAGGTTTGTCGACTCTCGTATGACTCACTCACAGTAGCAAGAACACGTGTGCGCGCCACTATTTGTGTGTCGTTGTGACGACTGTTATTTTTTTACGATGGAGGGTGGCCTCTGTTTCGCCGTCGATACGGATCCCTGTGGAAGGATAAGTACGAAGGTCGAGCGGAAAACCAGCAAGCCTTCATCTGCGTCTGTGACCACGTCGGACGTGGCTGCAAATCCAAATGTCCCGGCGGAAAGCCACGCGCGCGTGCGGGACGAGAAGGGGCGGCCGGGCGAGGTGGCGAGCAGCACGTCAACTACGCCCGAGCGGTACCCTTTTCTGGAAAGATTGCAGGTTGTGAAAAGCCAGCTGCTAGAGACACGGGCTCGACAGGATCGGTATTTTGCGACCTCCTGCCCAGAATTGGGCAGACCGTGCTTCGTTTGCGGGCAGATCGGACATACCAAGAAGGATTGCCCGAAGCGACACCGGAACAACGCATCAGAGTCCAAAGCAGGCGGGCAGAATAAGATGAAATTATGCAGCGAAGAGAACAAAACGGCGGCTGGCTGCACTAAAGTAGAACCAGCGCGAGTGCTCACGGAGGATCTACTTCCCGAGAAGAAGAGAAGACGGAAGAGTAATTCCGGTGCTGTTGTTCCAACAGCAGCAAAAGCACGACTCAGCAATCGCGCCGAGGGTCGATACCCAGCGCTCCTTCAGGACGACGGGTCGATGCCCATCGAGTTACCTGCCTCGCTTGGAAAGATGTGGGCGGCTTTGCGGGCCGCGGGCTCGACTCGTGGGCAACAAAATGAACCTGGTCTTGAACAAACAGACGAGGGAAATGCAGCGAGTAAGAAAAGTAGCAAGAAGAGAAAGAAGCACCACCGCGAAGACGCGTTGTACCGCGAGCTAGAACTGACACGAGATGAAAAAAAACAGCTGCTGACGATTCCAGTTGAGCTTGCAGGAGGTGACACCAAAATAAATGCGGCGCCATCAATACTAGAATCTCAGGCAACTGCACCACAAGACCGTTTTTCCCTAGAATTGTGGTCCGCTGCGGAGCGGACCGAGCTACTCTGCTCGGCTCCCTCTGATCACCCCGATTCAATGGCCGTGGATCCGCTGGAGCGGCGCTGCCTGGTTTGCGGCGACCTGGGACACGGACTGGGTCTGGAGAAATGCCCACGGGTGGCCGAGGAGCGGCGTCGCAAGTACGAAGAAACGCAAGCCTACTACCGAGCCATACGGGAGCGGGAGGCGGCGAACTCCACTTCGTGGGACCAAGAATCCTGGGACAATTGGTATTGGGACGATGCAGCGGGTGTGTGGAAAGAAAAATCAAACAACAAAGGGAACAATGCTGCGCGAAACGAAAAAAGCAGACAAGAAGAGCGACCACAATCTGTTTGGGAGGGTTGTTCCGGAGAACGAGCTTTTGGATCGGGATCTCGCAGAAGTTCGAAGAAGAGAGCGGGCTCGCCTCATGCCGATCAGGCAGATTTTGCTACGCACCGGCATCGGAATTCATCTTCCTCGATAGGAAATCAAGAAAAAAAAGCCTCTAGTCCCGCAAAATCAGGGAAAAAAAAGAAGTCTTCCAAAAAACAAAAAGCGGCATGAGGCATCTTTAGCGACATACTTGCGTAGTTCTTCGACAGGTTTTTACCAGCGACATGATTTTGCTATCAGATCTGGAATAATTTCGCAGGAATTGCAAGCAAGTGCCGGGGTAAGTATTTATTTTAGTCTGACCGACTCGGACACCTGTATGATAGAGCCCCCCACTCGAAAATGAAAAGCAATGGCTGTCGTTCGTCGCAAAAAGTTTCACGTGTTCCAATTTTCGTCCTGGTATAAACAGAATTTTCTTGGTAGTTCTAGTTGTGCATGATCATCACTGCAACCCACATCAGCAAGTTCAAAGACGAGAGAACGCGTTGGTTAAGCTTGTAGATGCTTGTGCTTTATTTGCTCGGAGTATCGTCATCGAAATACGTCACGTTGAAAATTGTGAGGCCCGACTTGGGGTCCTTTGCAGCCGTCTTTCTCGTTTACGTTTAGAACTGAACCCGACAGCACCTTGCTTCTCGAAAAAATAGTGCCGTTGAAAAAAACCCTGATACTGATTGCCGCACCATATTATCCCGATAGAAGTTACAACACGCGCTACGTAAAAAAATTGTTTCCCCTGATAACCAATGCGCTACGTGAAAATTCGTTTGCCGACAACCTCCCGAATTTGTAGAAACCCAGCCCCCTGGTAACGAAATTCATTTTTAGATAAGTACTAATTTGGAGCATCGGAAGTTCTCCAAGAGCAAGGCAGAGTTTACTTCTCAAGGGACGTTGGTTCGCGACTATCTCCTAAGCTACGTGGCAATTATTTGCTTCAATCTACACAATCATTCAATATACACAATCCAAAAAAAACTGCGCTCTAGACAGGCAGAGCGGTCTTTTTTTTTCCCCGGTAGGGAATGCGAGTTGAGAAGGTACGAAGCTCAAGACTACGAGGAAACGCCTGGAAAAACAAGTGGCTGTCAAAAAAAGTACTCCGTATCCAGTGGTAGACGAACACGTAGCCAACTACAAAGATGCCGGACGAAAAGGCTGCGGCCGATGCATTCAAGCCGGATGCTTGGGTGCACGACAAGGTGTACAACATCTTCGGCTTCCCGAAGGCCAAGAAGGACAAGGCCATGCAAGCATTGGATGACGACACCAAGACGGAGGTGAAGACGTTCTGTGACAAGGAGGAAATCAATTTCTTGGTCTTCTCCTCCGCGGCGGAGGGCGTGTGGACGGCGACTAGCGAGTTACCGGATATTACGAAGCTGAAGAAGAAGATCCTTTTCGTGCACAAAGTATACATTCATGTTGTACAGTTTGCGGGTGTACTAAGTTAGTGCATCATCGTCATTGATTTGGGCTCGTTGCATTTTTGCATCGATGTTGAGCGTGACAGAGAGCGAGAATCTTTCCCTCCAGTTTCGGAGACGGAAACCATAACCAAGCGATTGAAAAATTCTTCACAGTGCGGCTCTGGGAAAATCACCAAGGACAATCTGTACGACCGGGTGCTGTTCATGGAAGCCACGAAAGACCTGATGTCGATGTTGAACAACTACTGCCACCACATCTACCTGTCTACGCTTTCGAACCCGGCAAACCAGACGGGCTGGAGTGACCTGATCAGCAAAGACCTCATGGACAAGTACCACGTCTTTCTTGCGAACCTCCACGTCACGTGCGGTTTGATGATGGGAAAAACACTGCTCCCGCTGCCCCCGAAAGAGGCCACAAACGAACGTGCCTCCTCAACGAACAAGGATCGCGTGCACATCCTGGAGTCCGCTGTCATCACCTGGACGAAGCAAATCTCGCACGTGTTGAAGCAAGATCCGGAGGTGCTGCTGAAAACGGGGAACCCAGGACCACAGGTGGAACTGGAGTTCTGGCGCAACAAAGCGAGCAACCTGAACGTGATCTATGTAAGATAAAGTTGAAAAGTACAGGGCAACAAATTTCCTGATTTGTTGCCCCATACGGTAGAATATCTTCTCCCGCACCCGCAAAAGCAAATGAATGGCGCAGGACTTGTGTGGTCAGCTCGAAGTTTAATGTTGGGCCAAATGAATAAAGCAACAGGTGCATGGTCCAGTGTGATTAAATTCGTTGATGACTTCGCGGGTGCGGGTAATTTGTTCACTTGCATACTAATCATGCCCAGCTCCAGTCCGAACAGCTGAAGAAGGTGTTAAAGTTCCTGGAGCAGAACAAATCAACGTACACGCAGCCCTTCTCGAGACTGCAAAAGGAGGTCGAGCAGGCACGGGACGAGGCGATCGACAACGATCATTTCTTGAAAACGCTTGTCCCCTTCTTCGACGTTCTAACGAACGACGGCGCGGACTACGAGAAGCTGCCGAACTGTTTTGACGGGTTGCTGCACACTATCTTGCTCGTCTGGAAATACTCGAAGTACTACAACACCCCGGGGAGACTGGTCGTGTTGATCCGCGAGGTTTGCAACGTGATCATCAACCAATCGCTGAAGTACATTAACGGGCCGCAAATCTTCACCCTGATCCAAAACGAAGAAGCGAAAGAGGCAGTCGACAAATTGGAAAGGACCCTCGCGATCTGCACGGAGTTCAAGGATCGGTACGCCATGTACAAGGACATCGCGGAGCAGCAGCCGAACGGCGGGTGGAAGATCCAGTCCAACGCCTTGTTCGTGCGGTTGGACGCCTTCCGCGAGCGCTGCAGGGACATTTTGGATTTCACGAAGACGATCGTGCAATTTATCAAACTGGAGCGGATCGATATCGGCGGCACGAAGGGAAAGTTGCTCACGCAGGCGATTGTCAACATTTACGACGAGTTCCAGCGTGCGGTGGCGAAGTTTCAGTCAGTGGATTACGACATCATGGACATTGGTGAGATGCGGTTCGACGACGACTTTTTTGCCTTCCGCATGGCCATCCGGGAGTTGGACCGAAGAATGGCAACCGTGCTCGGGCTTGGGTTCGACGACCTGGACTCTGTCGCGGGTCGGGCGAAGCTCTTCGACGGATTTGAGGGCCTGCTGGAGCGGCCGATTTTGGAGGACGAACTCGAGAAAAAGTACACGGTGATGTTGACGACGGTGAAAGGAGATCTGAAGGTGTGCAAGACGCTTTTCAGCCAGAACAAGACGCAAATCGACCTCGTGTCCGACATCGCGCCGCTCTTCCTCAACTTTCCGCCGGTCGCCGGTGCCATCTACTGGGTTCGCGCGCTGAAGCAGAGGATCGACATGCCAATGAGCAAGTTGTTGGTTTTCAACAAGTTGGTCCGGGAGAAGCCGGAAGAGTACCGGGAGGTCGAGAAACTGTACAACCAGCTTTCCGAGCTCTTTGACGACTACGAAACGAAGAAGTACAAGGAGTGGAAAGCGACGCAGGTCGAGCCGACGAAGGAGAAGTTGAAGATGCGGCTGCTGCGGCGGATGGAAAAGACTGGGTTGCTGAAGGTGAACTTTGACCCGGCTCTGGTCAGGCTGCTACGGGAGACGCGGTACTTCCTCCTGTTTGGACTAGAAGTGCCTGACACCGCGTTGAACATCTTCTCGCGCGCGGACGTGTACCGCACCTGGTGCGGCCAGTTCGATATCGTGGTCGGAAAGTACAACGCGGTCTTAACCGAGCTACTACCGGTGGAAGAACCGCTGTTGGAGGACAAGATTGTCCGCATGGACAGTGCACTGAGCCCCGGCCTGACCGACCTGAGGTGGAAGTCGGAGGAAAAGATTCCGGCCCTGATAAAATCCGTCACCGACGTCGTGGGCGAGGTGAGCGACATTGTGGACGCGATCAAGGGAAATCTGAAGAAGATCTCCGCGATTATCGAGCAATGGTGCCAGTCACCGTTGTTGGAAAGAAAAGCGAAACCGATGGCGGTGGACGAGTTCGATTTGGCGCACAAGGCCAACGTCGGAACCCGGTTGCACATGATGGGCGAGGCGGGCAAGGAGATCCATAAGTTCCTGAAGGATTCCAACGAGGCACTGAAGGTGGCGAAGTCCAGCAACATCTGGAAGAACTATGTCGATTTCGTGAACAACATCATGATCGAGGGCTTCGTCTCGGTGATCGCGGTCTCTTTGCAGTACCTGTGCGAAATCTTGGACCCGCTGATTATTTCCCGGCACGACGTCCAGCCCCTGTTCGACATCAAAATCGAACTTGACCCGAGCAGCGGCGAGATCGTGTTCGACCCGCCATTTGCGCCCAAGGAAAAAGACGGCGTTGCGCTCCGGGGCACAATCAACGGCTGGCTCAAGGACTTCTTCGCCATGGCGGCGGTGACGATGCCGCGCTTGGATACGGGTACCGGGGATTATTTGAACGAGATGAAGGAACACTTTCAGATGCAATGCCTGTTGTCCCTTGTCTTTGAACTGATCGACAACACGGAGATGAAGTGCATCGATTACCGGCAGACGTTCATGCAGCACAGCTTTTTGTGGAAGGAGTCTTTGGAGGAGACCTTCGCCGACTTTTTGCTGGACGGCGCGAAGGACTTGGTGAACCCGGAAGTCGAGGACGGCATGGACTTTCACACTCTGATGGACACGGCCGGAATTGATATGGGTCCCAAGATCCCGCCCTTCGAGCGGTTCGATGAGCAGATCACGCGGTTCAAGCGTCTGAAAGAGGAAATTGCGGGGACCAAGACCCCCGTGGACATCCACTGGCTGCGGATCAATTCTCAGCCCGTGAAGATCAATTTGGTGCAGTACGTCGCAAAGTGGGAGGAGAAGTATTCGATGTACCTCCACAGCTACGTCGAGCAAAGAATCGTGCAGTTGATGGGTTTCATCAACAACGTGCAAAAGGGTTTGACCGAGATCTCGCCGGCGGACGACCCGGAAAATTCCAAACTTCTGTACCAGACCATGACGCACATCCGCGATGTAAAATTTTTGCAAGGCCCACTGAAAACACTCTTCGAACCCATCCGCCAGGGGTGCAACCTGTTGCGCAAGCACGGCGTCCCGGTTGCCGAGGAACACTTGATCGAGCTGGAGGCGGCGCCGGCCAGATGGGAGGAGGTGATTCGTGCCGCGTTCGACGAACGTGAGCGGATTTTGCCCTTGCAAAACGTCGAGATGCTGAAGATCCGTCACACCATTGATTCCTTTGGCTCCACCGTCGGCGACTTTCGTACCCAGTTCCGGGCGGAGTGCCCGTTCGACCACGGCCGGTTCTTGGATTTGCCGATTCCGGAGGAGCTGCAGGCGGAGATCGATGAGGCAGCCAACTCGCAGGACGCGCAAAAGTTGATTGACGCGTTTGAGTCGGAAGGCTACGACCGCGCTTACCAAACGCTAGATGACTATTACGTGAAGACGCACGAGATCCAGAAGACCGCGAAGGAGTACAATAACTTGGAGATTTTGTTCGACATCTCGGTGTCGAACTACAGAAGCCTGAAGGAGTCGCTGGACGATCTTGGCTTGTTGAAGAACTTGTGGGATACGATTTCTATGATAAAGACCACCTTCAAGGAGTGGAACACCACACTGTGGGATAAGATCAACACGGACGATTTGATGCAGCGAGTGAAAGAATTCCAGATGCAGATGAAGGTGATGCCGAAGGGTATGCGCACCTGGCCGCTGTACAACTGGCTCGTCGATCAGGTGAAGAACATGGCGACGGTGCTTCCCTTGATTAACGACCTGCGTTCCGACACCATGCGAGACAGGCACTGGACTATGATTATGGCGGTTACGGGTAAGCACTTCGAGAAGGGCCCGAACTTCTGCTTCCGCGACTTGCTCGTTTTGAACTTGCACCATTTCGCCGATGACGTGTCCGAAATCGTGGATCAGTCCGCAAAGGAGGCCAAGATTGACAAGAAGTTGACCATCATCCGTAACACGTGGAGCAAAATGGAGATGCGGTTCAACATGTCCAACCCGGATGTGCCGCTGTTGGAGGAGTTAGGCGAGACTGTCGAGATTTTGGAGGCCCACAGTTTGGAAATGGTCGGCATGACGTCCCAGGGTCGTTTCATCGAGTTCTGTCAAGCGGTGGTGGACGAGTGGTCCGCGAAATTGAGAACCATCGATGCTGTCGTGGACATCTGGCAAAAGGTGCAGCTGAATTGGTCGCGGTTGGAGCCCATTTTTATGCAGTCCGACGATATCCGATCGCAGCTGCCAGACGAGTCGAAAAGATTCGAGGCGGTCGATGGAAAATGGAAGGAGTTGATGTTAGACGCGTCCCAATCCACCATGCTGGTCGAGATCTGCTGCGCAGAGGGACGGCTGGATGCTCTGCGCGAGATCCACGACACAATCGAGACGTGCGAGAAGGCTCTGAACGATTACCTCGAACAGAAGAAGAAAGCGTTCCCGCGCTTCTACTTTGTGGCGAACCAGGCGCTGCTGGATATTCTCTCGAACGGTAACCGCCCCCTAAAGGTTGCAGCGTATTTGGGTGATGTATTCGACGCCACCAAGACCTTGGACTTTTCGAAGTCTCCCGATGACGGCAAGATCGGTTGCGGTATGGTCGCGAAGGATGGTGAGTATGTGGCGTTCCATGAAGATTTCACCCTTACCGGTGCTGTGGAGACGTACCTCTACAACCTGGAAGGTCATGTGAGATTAGTGTTGCGCGATCAGATGGAAGTTGCCCGCGGCACCGCGGAGAACTGGGAGATCGACAATCCCCGAGAATTCTGGCTGGAACCGTACTGCGCACAAATAGCGCTCCTGATCACGATGATGGTGTGGACCGAGGAGACCGGTCGCGCGTTTGAGGAGATCGAAGCGGGAAGTGAGACCGCGATGAAGGATTACAAACGCGTTTGCGACGACCGGATTGAGAAGTTTATTATTCGTGTGCAGACCGACTTGTCTCCCGAACTCCGCGTGAAGATCATCACTGTGATTACCATCGATGTGCACGGCCGGGATGTCGTCGAGGGCTTCGTAAACAAGAAGATCATGGACGCCGCGGCCTTCGCGTGGCAGTCGCAGTTGAAGTTCTACATGGGACCAAAACCGCAGAACCCGCCGAGTCTGGTCAGTCTCACTCCGGACGAGCTAAAGACGTGCTTTGTGAAGATCTGCGATTGGGTCACCGTCTACCTCTACGAGTACGTTGGAAACTGCGGTCGGTTGGTGATTACCCCACTGACGGATAGGTGCTACATCACGCTGTCGCAGGCCTTGAACTTGACTCTCGGCGGCGCGCCGGCCGGCCCGGCCGGAACCGGAAAGACCGAAACCACCAAAGATTTATGCCGCGCACTGGCTTTGCCGATCGTGGTGTTCAACTGCTCCGATCAGATGTCGTACTTGACGACTGCCAATATTTTTATGGGGCTGGCGCAGGTCGGTGCTTGGGGTTGTTTCGACGAGTTTAACCGGATCTCGATCGAAGTGTTGTCCGTGGTATCAACGCAATACAAAGCTATTCTCGATGCGATTCGTGAGAACGCGAAGACGTTTCTGTTCATGGACGAGGAGATCAAGCTGATCGCGACGATTGGTGCATTTATCACCATGAACCCGGGTTACGCGGGGCGGACGGAACTGCCGGAGAACCTGAAGGCGTTGTTCCGCTCCTGCGCCATGATCGTGCCAGACTTGACCTTCATCTGCGAGAACATGTTGATGAGTGAGGGATTCGTGATTGCCCGTCCGCTGTCGCGTAAATTCGTGACTTTGTATGGTCTGTCCGCGGCACTGCTGTCCAAGCAGATGCACTACGATTGGGGTCTGCGTGCGGTCAAATCGCTGCTGCGTCAGGCGGGGAAGCTCAAGCGGAAGGAACCCGATGCGGATGAAAACCCGGTGCTGTGCCGTGCGCTGCGTGACTTCAATACCCCGAAGATTACGACCATGGACATGCCGATCTTCCTGCGCTTGATCAAGGATCTGTTCACCGGCGTGTGGCCGGACCCCTTCGTGGATGTCGAGTTCACCAAGGTGTGCGCGGGCGTGATCAAGAAACGCGGTTTGCAAACGGACTCCTCCTTCGTCGTCAAGGTGGTCAGCCTGCTTGATATCCTGTTTGTGCGTCATTGCTGCTTCATTATTGGTCCCGGTGGCTGCTCCAAGACGGAGGTGTGGAAGTCGTTGATGGCTGCGGTCAAGGAAATCGGCCAGGAGGGTTTGTGGGAACAGATTAACCCGAAGGCGATCACGCACTCCGAGTTGTACGGCTCCATGTCGAAGACCAAGGAGTGGAAGGATGGTGCCATCGCGGTTGTGATGCGGAACATGAGCAAGGAGATGAACGGGTATAGAATTTTTCCAGATTACTTATTTTGATCATGGACATGATTTGAACAAAAATTTTGAATCATGCCAAACATGCTTTTTAGGCACGTTCCTTTTCAAGGGCAAACGATCATTCTGTTTGCAGAGGTGCTACAATTATCAAATGAGCAAACCCTTATCAGGTACAAACCAATCCATCAGCACCGCTGGGTCATCCTTGATGGCGACATTGATGCGGAGTGGATCGAGTCGATGAACACGGTGATGGATGACAACAAGGTGCTCACGCTGGTCTCCAACGAACGTATCGCGTTCGCGCCCACCATGCGAATGTTGCTCGAGATCGAGAACATGAAGCACGCGTCTCCCGCAACCGTCTCCCGTGGTGGTGTGCTGTTCATCAACGAGACCGATGTGGGCTGGAAGCCTTTTATGGAGTCGTGGCGTGAAAACCTAGATCAGGTTGCGCAGTCGACGTTTTACCTGTTGTTCGCGAATTACTTCGAGGCGAACATCGACTCCATCCGTAAAATGTTCGCGTTTTCGTGCCCGCTGCTCGACATGGGCTTCATCCAGTCCATCACGTGCATGATTGACGCTCTATTGAACAACAACTCAAAGGAAAATATGGAAGCTTTGAAGCAGATGTCTGTCGACGATCAGAAGCTTGTGTACGAGGCCTACTTCATCTACGCCATGAACTGGGCCATCGGCGCATCCGTCGCGGATGACAAAGTGACTAACTATCGTAAGGCCTGGGGCTCCTTCTACAAGGGCATCGCCAAGGTAAAGTACCCCGAGGCTGGGAATCCCGAAGACTACCGGTTCGACACGGTGAACAAGGAGTGGGTGCACTGGGAGAACTTTGTCAAGCCCTATGAGCCGATTCCGGGCATCGAAGTGATGTACCAGAACATCGTGGTGTCCGGCGTCGACATCGAGAAGTACAAGTACGTGCTCGACTTGCACATCAGCCGGTATAAACCAGTTTTGTACGTGGGTGTGCCCGGTACGGGGAAGACCACGATCGTCAAGGATTACTTGACAGAAGTGAAGATCCGCCGCGACGACATGATGTCCTCCACGATTTGCAACAACAGTTACACATCTTCCTACGCCTTCCAGTCGATTTTGGTCTCATCTTTGGACAAGCGGACAGGACGAACCTATGGTCCGCCGAGCAACAAAAAGTGTATCTTCTTCGTCGATGACTTGAACATGCCAGCGATGGACAAGTACGACACGCAATCCGGTGCCATGTTGCTGCTGCAAATGCTCTCCTACATGCAGATCTACGACCGTGATGATTTTTCCATCAAAAAGGACCTGCAGGATATTCAGTTCGTGTGCTGCATGAACCCCAAGGCCGGTTCTTTCATGATCAACGACAGGCTCCAGAGGCACTTCACCGTCGTGACGACCTTCCTACCCACCGCGGAGTCCATCAAGGGCGTTTACGGGCCGATTGTGGATACTCACTTTAAGCAGGGCTTCCCGAAAAACATTCAAGACCTTGGGCCAGTGCTGGTGCAGGCCACAGTTGATGTGCTGCAGAACATTTTGAATACCCCGTGCTTCTTGCCCTCTGCTGCTAAGTTCCACTACCAGTTCAACTTAAAGGATGCGGCCAACATCTTTCAGGGAATCGTATTCACGAACCCGGCCATGTTCAAAGATGGGCCGGCGAAGATGGCGCGCTGCTGGCTCCACGAAGCGAACCGGGTGTTCGGGGATCGACTTGTCTCGCACTCCGACGTTGCGGAGTTGCAGGCGATTCTGGAGAAAGTCCATGGAAAGCACATCGCCGCGATCGTCCCCAAGGACGAAATGTTCCAAGAGCCGTTGATCTGGACCACGTTCATGGCGGTGGCGGGCGGGAATGATAAGGTCTACTTGCCGATCAAGGACCTGGCGGCTCTACGCACGACGTTGGAAGACCAGCTGCGCCAGTACAATGAGGCCAACGCCGCCATGAACCTGGTGCTCTTCGAGGACGCCATGAAGCACATTTCCCGTATTTGTCGCATCATCGACTTCCCATGCGGCCACGCGCTTCTCGTCGGTGTCGGTGGTTCAGGTAAGCAGTCGCTCTCGTACCTGTCCTGCTTCATCATGCAAATCACTGTGGTTCGTATCTTGGTCAATCAATCCTACGGGATGGCGGAGTTGAAGCTCGACCTGCAGGAGTTCTACAAAAAAGCCGCGGTGAAACCCGGAACGCCGCACGCGTTTCTGATGACGGACGGCCAGATCGCGGATGAGCGGTTTCTGGTGTACTTGAACGACATGCTTGCCTCCGGTAACATTCCGGATCTGTTCACCCGCGAGGAGTACGACGCCCACCTGGGCGCGATCCGCAACCTCGCGAAGGCCGCCGGCGTACCGGACGACCGCGACGCACTGTTTCAATACTTCCTAGATCGGGTCAGGAAGAACCTGCACATGATTTTGTGCCATTCGCCTGTCGGTGACGACTTCCGAATTCGTGGGCGCAAATTTCCGGCCTTGATCTCGTGCATGGTAGTTGACGAGTTCATGGCGTGGCCGCGGGACGCATTGCAGGGTGTCGCTGCCCGGTTCTTAGAACCGATGATCGACAGTGGCAACTTTCCCACGGATGAGATGATGACCACGGTGTGTGATAACATGGCGGAGGTGCACTTGTCGATTGATGTGGCGAATCAGCGCTACCTTGCGCAGGAGCGTCGCTACAATTACACGACACCCAAGTCTTTTTTGGAGCTCATTTCTTTCTACATGGTCATGTTGAAAGACCGTCAGGCGAAGGTGACGGTCAATTTCGAGCGGTTGGAGAAAGGTCTGACTATTATGGAACAGGTGCAGGAGAAAGTCGAGGGTTTGAAAGAGGATCTAAAGGTGACTATGGTGCAAGTCGAGGAAAAAAAAACCGCCACTGATGCGCTGATCGCACAGGTCACCGAGGCCACGGATAAGGCAAACATCGAGAAAGCCGCAGCGAACGAAGAAGCTGAGAAGACGAACGCCCTGGCCGCGGACGCAGCGGCGGTGAAAGCGCAGGCGGATGGGGAATTGTCCGAGGCTATGCCCGCGATGGAGGCTGCCAAGGAAGCGGTGAACTGCCTGACCAAGCCGGCCATCCAGGAGTTGAAATCGCTCGGTAAGCCGCCGGTCGAGTGTATCGACGTGTGTGCAGCGTGCGCGTTTTTGCTGAAGAACGAGAAGAAGAAGCTCGACTGGAAGGGCGCGCAGAAGATGATGAACAATCCTGGTGCGTTTCTGGATGAGATCTTAGCGTTCGATGCCAACAACATTCCCGACGAGGTACTGAAGAATGTTGAGCCGGTGCTTGCGCAGCCGTTCTTCACCTACGACATCATGAAGGGGAAGTCCACCGCCGCGGCTTACTTGACCAACTGGGTGATCAACATTGTCGGGTACAATAAGATCTACAAGAAGGTGGCGCCGTTGATGGAGAAGGTCCGCATCGCAACGGAAACGAAAGAGAAGGCCGAAGCAAGTCTAGCGATTGTCATGGCGCGGGTTAAAGAAGTGGAAGAGAAAGTCGCAAGCTTGAACGAAACGTTGAGCAACGCCGTGTCCGAGAAAGAAGCGGTCGAGGCGCAAGCGGCGGCTTGTTTGGAGAAGCTTGGTCTGGCGGAACGCTTGGTGAACGGGTTGGCGGATGAGTACAAGCGTTGGACCAACACGGTGAAGGACTTGAAGGAGTTAGGCCTTCTGTTGATCGGCGATTGTTTACTCGCTTCCGAGTTTGTCGGTTACATTTCGCCATTTTCGTCCAATTTCCGTTTGGACCTGTGGAAGAACCAATGGATTCCCGATATCGAAGGGCGAAAGATCCCGATTTCGAAGGGGGTGGACCCGTTGAAGGTATCTGCTGCAAAAATTTGGAATTCAAAACTGACAGACTAGTTGGACGTCGTCCATGAGATGCAGAGGATCTGTCGTAGCACGCAGTAAAGTTGCGGTGCGCTATGCGCGAGTAAAGTAGAAACAAAATTTTTTGCATACGCCGCAATTTGTCCACACAGGTCTTGACCAACGAGGCCGAGATGGCTGGCTGGGCTAACGAGGGGCTCCCCGCTGATCGAGTTTCGCTGGAGAACGCCTCCGTGATCGTGTCTTGCGCCCGTTGGCCGTTGATGATCGATCCGCAGCTGCAGGGCGTGAAGTGGATTAAGCAGCGGTTCGGCGAGGACTTGACCACGATTCAACTGAGTCAGAACAACTGGCTGAACAAGGTGGTGTACACGATTTCTATGGGTCTCACCCTGCTGATCGAAGCCGTCGGGTCCGAAATCGACGCGATCCTCGAGCCGCTGCTCGGGCGTGCGGTCATCAAGCGCGGCCGCTCGCAGTTCATCATCAAGCTCGGTGGTGAAGAGGTCGAGTACGACCCGAAGTTCAAGCTGTTTTTGCAGTCCAAACTGGCCAACCCGCACTACCGCCCGGAGATCGCGGCCCAGTGTACCATCATCAACTTCATCGTAACGCCGTCCGGTCTCGAGGACCAGATTTTGGCTATTGTCGTCAACATCGAGAAGCCGGAGCTGGAACAAAAGAAACAGGAACTGGTCAGGAAGCAAAACGAATTCAAGGTGACCCTGTCCCAATTGGAGGACGACCTTCTCGCTCAGCTGTCCGCGGCGGATCCGGCCACGATTTTGGAAAACATGCCACTGATTGAAGGTCTGGAAGTGACGAAAGCCACCTCGGCCGAGATCAACGAGCAGGTACTTCAGTGTTTTTTTTTTGTGTGGTGGTCATTCTTTTTGCATTTACAAAAATCGCAAACCTCGCACACTCATGCATTGAGAGTCCGTTCCATAGCAAGTGTAAGTTACAATCAAACAGCTCTATTAAACACTAATCCTTCCACCTCTTCAATGAAATTATTTCAGGTGAAAATCGCGGTTGCGACCGAGATCAAGATCAATGAGTCCCGCGAAATGTACCGTCCGGCCGCGGCCGAGGGCTCCATGTTGTTCTTTTTGATCATCCAACTGTGCTTCGTCGAACACATGTACCAGTACAGTCTTGACGCGTTCCGTGGCTTCTTGGAAAAAGCAATTGACAAAGCGCCACAGGACGAGGATACCCGGGTCCGTGCGCTGCATTTGATCGACACCATCCGCATGGTCGTGTTCCGGTGGGTGAATCGAGGGCTCTTCGAGAGGCACAAGCTGATTTTCTGTGCGTTGTTGACCTTCCAATTGTTTCAGAAGGGTGCTCTGAATGAGGATTACAACGCCACCTACATGGACTTTTTGCTGAAGGGTCCTGTCAAGCCGGGCATCGAAAACCCAATTGCCGAATGGTTGCCGAACACTGCGTGGTTCGCTGTCAACAAGCTCGTGGACTTGGAGGGATTCGATTCTTTTGCGCAGAACATGGAGAAGGACGCCCCGAATCGGTTTCGCGAGTGGTGCAACGAGCTCGCGCCAGAAGATGTGAAGTTACCGCTGGACTGGAAAAAGCTCGAGCAGGTTCCGTTCCAGAAACTGCTCGTCTTGCGCTGCCTCCGTCCTGACCGGATGACGATTGCTCTGACCGAATGGATCGTGAACGCTTTGCCGAACGGAAAGGAGTACGTCTTCTGCGACGGGTCCAGCTCCTTTTTCACGGTGTTATCCAATTCCTTCGAGGATTCTACCAACACGGTACCGATCTTCTTCATTCTGTCCCAAGGTGCAGATCCGGTGAAGGAGGTCGAGGCGATGGGTCGCAAAATGATCGGCTTGCAGCCCAACGTGAACTACCACAATGTCGCGATGGGACAGGGGCAGGACGTGGTCGCCATGGCGAAGCTGGACATGGGCCACAAGGAGGGGCATTGGGTTATGTTGCAGAACGTGCACTTGATGCCGTCGTGGTGTAAAGTTCTGGAGAAGACCCTCGATAACATGGCCATCGAGGGTTCGCACCCGAATTTCCGCTTGTTCCTCTCCGCCGATCCGTCGAACGGTATTCCGCCGGGTATTCTCGAACGGTCCATCAAATTGACCAACGAACCGCCGCAGGGGCTGCAGGCGAATCTGCGTCGTGCGTTCGCGCTGTTCACGAAAGAGGACTTCGACGACCGTGACGCGAAGGTGAAGGCGATTCTGTTCGGTCTGTGCCACTTCCATGCGATCATGTTGGAGCGGAAGAAGTTCGGGCCCATGGGCTACAACATGATGTACCCGTTCTCGAACGGTGACTTGCGCGATTCCGCTTCTGTCCTGTACAACTACCTCGAGGGCTCCTCTTCCGCGAAAATCCCGTGGGATGATCTCCGCTACATCTTCGGCGAGATTATGTACGGTGGACATATCGTCGATGATTACGATCGGCGGCTGTGTGCAACGTACCTCGCCTACTTCATGCGCGACGACATTCTCGATGAGCTCCAACTTGTTCCCTACTGCGATAACAAGCTGGTCTGGTTCACCCCTGCGTCTGGTTCTCCGCACGAGAAGGTGGTGGAACACTTGGAAACCATGCCAGCAGAATCCCCGCTCTTCTACGGGATGCACCCGAACGCCGAGATCGGATTCCGCACGACGCAATGTAACCTCATGTTCGACACGCTGCAAAATCTCCGACCCAAAGAAGCTGCGGGTGATGGCGACGGAGCCACCGCCAGTCCGATGCAGATTGCGGAGCAGCTGTGCAATGAGATCTTCGAGGAGATCAAGGAGATCCGGTTCGCGGTGGAGGACACGAGCAAGGGTATGAGCGAGGAGGAGAAGGGTCCTTACCAGTTTGTTTTCCTGCATGAGTGTCAGAACATGAACAATTTGATCGGCGAGATGGTCCGTGGTTTGGGGGAACTGCAATTGGGTTTCAAGGGTGAGCTGCAGATGTCCGAACAGATGGAAGCGCTAGCGGATTCCTTGTTCAAGGAGAAGATCGCGCCGCGGTGGCAGAAACTCGGGTTCCCGACCACGCGCAACCTGGCGAATTGGCTGTCCAACTTGAAGGAACGTTGCGAGCAGCTGAACGACTGGATTGGCGACCCGCTCACGATTCCGAAGGTAGAGCGTGTTTGATATTTTTAACAGATAAGTAGTAGTTTGTGATGCATAATAAAGAACGTGCGGTAGAAACAACTCTTTTTTCTTTATGCAAGACTGTTTCTCTTTTCGATTTCTATACGACGCACATACTCACGCCAGGTCGTCGACATCGCGAAGTTCTTTAACCCGCGTTCATTCCTGACCGCGATCAAGCAGCTCTGCTGTCAGCAGCAGCAACTGGAGCTCGACAAACTGGACATGTTCACCGAAGTTACGAAGCGCGAGAAAGGTCAGATGGACGCCCATGCCCGTGACGGGTGCTACGTGTGTGGATTGTTCCTCGAGGGAGCACGATGGGACATCAATACGAATTCCATGGAAGAATCCAAGCCAAAGGAGATGTTCTGCAAGATGCCGGTCATCATCTGCAAGGCGGGATTGGCCTTGGATCGCGAAGAAAAGAATGTTTACATGTGCCCGACCTACTGCACGCCTGGCCGTCGGCCCGATTTCGTTTTCTTGGCTCAGTTGCGCACCAAGCAGCCGGGACAAAAGTGGATTTTGGGCGGAGTGGCGATGATTTTGGATATCGGTATTTCCATGTGAGGGTGAAAATTAGAAAAAACTAGCGGAATTGAATAACAATAAAACGAAAATTTACAACGCACAAAATAAGTGGCATTCCGATAGACAAGGAGTCCACATGCGCGACCGACTAGTAGTGCTACGTGGTATTAGGAAAAAACGGTTACTGACGACTGTGCTGGTTAAAAATTTGTTACACTAATTATTTGTGAAATCCTGAGGCTGCAGGCGGGCCATCGCCATCGGGAGAACTCACTGCACTACTACCTAATACCAGCGAGTCCGAGATACATTTGAGCTTTTATGTTTGTTTCCATTCTATTCTTATATTCGAAATCTATTACAATCAGAATTCTATTCTTATATTCGAGATCTATTACAATCTATTTTTTGTTGTATTAAGGGCCAAAAGTAAAGCTAATCTCGTTTCGTGGTTAGCCCTGCCACAAGAACTGCAACTTCATTGCCGTTTCGGCACGATCTATTCAGAATCGGAAGATATTTTTTATGTTGTATTTGATGTTCGCGCGAGTGCGAACCCAAAAAACCTATCGGAATTAGGTTTGGTAAAAGTATTTTTAAATATGCGGAAGCAGGGACATTCTCTACCACCTCGAAAAAAGTTTGTCCTTGCGCATGCAGCAGTCGTAGCAGTAGGATTTTCTTCCCTAGGTGGAGGCAGAATCTTACGCGAAAAATGCAATATCTTCTCCTTTTCGATGTATTGAAATTTATTTTACGCCGCTTGCCGACGGATGTAGGAGAACACGCGAATTACAGGTTGTGCACTCTTACGGATGTGCAAACGGAAGTAGGAGCTTGCTGCAGTCAGTGCGACGTTTGCTCTTACGCTTTGATCTAAGTACAGTAAAAATTGTTAATGGCTATATTTCTACATAATTATTTTATGCGGTGAATCAGACTTGCAGGTCTTAGAACTTAATTCTGCCCTTCTCCATCTGAGCGGGCAGCAGTTTTCAGAATCAGTTTCGCGCTAATTAAAAAGAGAAGGCTTGGCGACGTGATGGGTCGTTTTCTTCCTGTGTCGTTGTAGTGAAGCCTTTTCGAAAATTTCTTTTCTTGCTCAAGTTTCGTTATGAAAAAAAATTATCTTTGTACAGCTAAGTTTGATCTAAGTTTGATTGGAAGTTCAAGTTTCAACGACATTGTTTCAAATATATTATGGCGAGAAGTTTCTACTGCACAGCAACGTCTTTCAATGAACAATACTAGGTGTTTATTCTGTCGTGGTGCATTCCATCACAGAATGAAAGCTTGCATCGCCTGCTGCCCGTTGCTACAACTACGATGCGTTGGCTTTCTTGCCATCCCGAACCAGAAGAACCCATCGCCAGGGGTAATTTTCAGTAAAGATCAGAAATGATTCTTGCAGGTGTGCAATGAATGCAAAACTGAAACAAATATCAACCAACAGTCCGCGGTGTGCTTGGTAGCTTTGGAGTACCAGAGATGCGATCATGTTGCCATCCTCTATGTTCCTTCGTGCGAGAAAAGATCCTCCGTAGCCATTTTGGCTCAAGCCACTTTTCCGTAGCCATTTTGGCTCAAGTAGAAAGGATCTCATCTCAGTCGAGGAAAAATATTGCGATGCCACTTCAGTTTTTTGCCTGCTTATCTCGCACTTGGTTGTGTGTCTCGTTTTTTGGCTGGTCCGTCATAGCAGCTGCTGGGGAAACGGCACCAGCTGTGAACGATGGGAAAACGGTACCAGCTGCGAACGAGGTTAACAACACCACGACGGACGAGTCCGAACTAACGCTGCTACGCAATGTGGTGATCCCGGACCCGCACTATGGACACGTTAAATCGGTCGGGGCGTGCTACTACTGCTTCGACAAGTTGCGCAACAACATGGGTCTAGCGTCGACCGCAGACCAGCTGGACGAGGCTGATGCTGAAGACGACGACGACGACGACGACGTCAACACAAGAACGGAGAAAAGAGCGCCAGTCTTTGATGGTGCGACATCGCAGGAGTCAAACTCAAAGAGTGACGAGTCATCAAAAACCGCCTATCGCTACTCATCCAACGTGATGCGCTATGCGTTCAGCAAAAAACAACTTCTTCCCTTCTTCTACGGGCTTTCCACGGATCGGTGGACGCGGTACCGGCGTCGGCTGAACAAACTGCACTGTCCCCCGTACGTGCTGCAGGCGTTGCAGTTGTTTCGCAACACGACCGATTTCTTTCTAGATCTCGGCGGCGACTTGGGGGATTGCTCTGCGGCGGCCTTTTGGCGAAAACTCGTCAGGCGTGGCACGGTGAATGTGGACGGCAGGGTAGCCGCTGTGCGGGCTTGGAAAGCGACCGCTGGAGCGTTCGCAGGCACGGGAAGCAGCTTGCGGAGCTCGGGCCAGTCCACTGATGAGGTGCAACTACCCGTCTCGCTGCAGCCTTCACACCAAATCTGGAAGCGACCCTTATTTCAGTCTTCTACGCTAGAGCAGAAGATCTCGACCACAAGTTTGTCTCAACCAGACGTCGAGAGTCATGAAGATGAATCACGTGCCTTCTTTCAGAAGCGCGCAAGCGCGTGGAAGACCGGGTGGACCGCTGCTCGCGGAGCTGCCGAGACACCCGAGATGCATTCCGTCGCAAGTAGCGCTCAAGACGAAGACCGTTGGTGGAGCTATTCCGTGCGGGCCCGATCCTCGTCCTCTTCGGACGCGGACAACCTTCCTTTTCTCCTCGCGGGTGGTGCCTTTGTTCTGGGACCTGGCAGCGCCGTGGGAACGCTTCGCCGATTTCCCGAGTCTGGCGAGAGCTGCGGCGGGTTCACCGAGGCCTACTGTAAGGGCGACAACGCCTGCGGGGAGACGGCAAATCGTTTTGTAGGAACATGTCCTGTGGAGCGGTGGCAGGTTTGTAGTCGAGATGCTGGGGGAGGGGGACGAGGCAATAAAGCAACCACTGTCGATAGAAAAACACTCCTGGACGAAGATGACGACTGCATTGAGGTGGGTTCGGTCAAGAGTGTGGTTGACAAAGTGATGGTTGCCGCAGCAAGACTCGAACAACCAAACCCCAAGAGCATCGGCAGCAGCACTTCTTATTTCGGTTTGCGCGTGAAGCTAACCGGCTCGGACGTCTGGCCAGTGATCCGCGACATTCCGGACGAGTTTTTGAATTGCAAAGGCGCAAGTTCTTCTGATTCTCCTGCTGCTGGAAGTGCGAGGACATCTTCATCACAATTTTCATCTCACTCGTCGGCTGTATCGCAGCCCTGTATCCGATGGTTTTCTCTGGAGGATGTTTTCACGGTCTCCACCGCGGACGCGAAGCAGTTCATCCACAAGCTCTTTGTCCAGCACGACTTCGCTATGGTCCGCTTCCGGACGCAGCGCGAGAGCACGGTGATGAGCCTACCCTGTGTTCCGTTCCACGACTGGAAGCGGTGCAATGTGCGCGACGTGCTCGCGATCAATTGCGCGCCCGCGGCAGAGAATATCGTCGATAATGCACACGAAGAAGCAGCGGTGGCGGTGGACAAGAGCTGGCACCTGGCTGCCAGTCTTAGCAAGCTACTGAGCCCGGAGGAGCATGCAGCCACCAACCGAACGGCTCTGGAAAAACTGGTCTACCGGAAGAATATTCGTAGGAAACAAGGTCAAAAACCAGATGCCGCAAGTGCGTCGTTTACTCTCAATGAAGCAAAAGCAATTGCATTTACCAAACAGTGCCTTCAAAACTTTCCGCAGCTGAAAGCGTTACAAAAACTTGATCCCAGCGGTATCCGTAGCTACGTTTCGGAAATTTCGTCCAGCCCCAAAATGCCTTCAGTTTTAGGTTTCGCGGAGCACATCTTCGCAACTGTTCCGGCCGAAATATTTTTTGCAAGCAAGCCTCGCTCTCGGATCGATTTCGATCGCTGATCGATCCATGATCTTCAGAAGCCACAAAATCTTGTTCGTAGATGATTTTTTGTCGCAGACAGAGAGGCATGACCGAGACTGAGTGGCAGTGGCGCACAAAAAATTCATTTACCGACAGCTCGGGGCGTGCTGGTATTCTATTCACAAACTTGCATGACACCACCTGCAAGAAGTAGCAATAGCCTACTAAGCGAGCCGGAGCAATGGGCATGCCTTTGTTTGTGCCAGCTCGTAAGATCAGGGTTGAGGATCAGTGTTGTTGTTGTTGCGATTTTTGCGTTGATCAGCCGCGCAGGTCCCCTAAAGTGGGAAAAACCAAGATCCAAGCAGGTGATGATAGCGAGTCGGTCAAAAACAAAACCGCCAAGAGCCCTGCAAAAACTGCCCTCACTCACTCATCGGGTGGATGCGCCGCCGAGGTCCGCAGATACCTTAGTGAAAAAAAGAATAACACTGGTAATGGCTTAGTAAGAAAGAAAAAGATAGAAGTCGCAAAAACTACGTCTATTGTTTTTGTGCTAGAATAGCCGCCCCGCTGAACAACGGGAGACGGCCTGGCCGGTGAGTGAGTACGCCGTCAACTGCTCGCCGGGGCGCTGCGTGGAAAGGCAGCGCCGCCGCATGTCGAGCCGGGGAACTAGTTTGCTTTGGTCCTCCCTTTTATTTTTGAAGTTCCCCGCCATCTCAAATCCTCCTTAACTTGCCGCCTTACTCTTCATGGACATGGGGGAGGACATCAGCGCGTAGAACGGTTCGAACCAGGCTCGGGCTACAAGGCGACAGGTAAACCATCCCTACGCCCTCCGGTTGACCTTGACGAAGCTGACTACCAAACACTCTGCGGATTTCTATCAGCATCGCCGACACCTAGGGCCACGCCGCCGCGCACTCCGAGGGTAGATCAGACGGACCACAGAAGGGCGTTGCGAGGTGGCAACGACATCACTGAAGCGGGAGAGCGGAAGCAGGGTCTTCGTTCTACTGTGTGGCGTGCGTTATTTACTAGCCCTGTCTAGCTTGCTATACATGGTTCTCCTCCTCCTCCTCCTCTGTGAAACAAGATTTACCGACTAGCATTCGCAAGGCTTTTCAGTACAATCCCACTGGCTAAGTGTAAACCGGGGATGAAGCCTCCTTCCAAAGTAGACGTGCATGAACGTCGCGTCTGAATCGAAGAAGAAATGGAAGATGGGGGGTATTCGACGAATGCCATGGACACTCGCGGGGGTGGCTCTGCTGTCGGCATTGTCAGTGCGAAGCATAAGCTTGAAGTGGTTTTACACCACACGAAAAGCTTCGCGCACAAGCGAAGTCTCTGATGCAGTTACTACTACGGACACTGCAGAGCAATGCCCACTACCGCCGAATGCGCGGTGGTGCGACGTAAGACTGGTAAACGGAGTTTCATTTCCGAGTATGGAACTGGTGCAGCAAGCGGTCTTTTTTGGAGTTTTCGTTTCAAAATCAAAGCGTTGAGGCAAATATGTACACTTGGACGCGGAATGCGACGCCCCTGTCGTGCAATCGATATGGCTTAGACATCGACAGATCTACTCGTTCCTATGGAATTATGATATGTGAATGTTGTGAAGAGTGACTGTAATTGATTCAGATTCATCTGGCTCGTCGTGCGAAGGACTCGCTTAGAACAGTTCCTTGCATACTTGTGGCAGTCTACGCTAGCTCGGATATCGTCTCTAATAGTATCTGCCAAGTGGGATACTGGGAAGTGAGCGATTTTTCCGTCTTCGCGCCGCAATCTCGTAAAACCTCCTCGTCCACCCGTGTGACCGCGCTCGACATCGGTGCGAATATCGGGTACTATTCGCTCAGTCTGATTGCGAGCGGAATGTTCGATCAGGTGATCGCGTTCGAACCCATGGAAAGTAACTTGCAGCTGCTGAAAGCGTCCCTATGTCGAAGTCCAGAGCTCGCGCAGAAGATTAAGCTGCACCCTGTTGCACTCGGTAAGCGTGACGAAACTTGCCAGCTGTATTCGGATCCCACAAACGTTGGCGACGGCGTTCTGCACTGCGGCACGGATTCCTTTCAGGGGATACCTGGGATACCGGGGGGCGCAGGGTACGTGAAGCGCGGCAGCGCTTTCCAAGTCAAGACGTTAGACGAGCTGCTCACGGCGGACGCCCTGCTTCCTCCGCAGGGCCTCGCGGCAGGGGAGCATGAGCGCAGTCAGTCGTTGGCCTCCCCCGCCTCGTCCGCCCCGGGTCAGCACGTGGCGTTCGTGAAGATGGATGTGGAGGGGCACGAGTGCGAGGTGCTGCAGGGCGGGACGAAGCTGCTGTCGCAGGTGCACCCGGACAAGGTCGAGACAGAAGTGTGGCCGAAGATGTCCACCCCAGAGTGCCAGGCGGCGCAGTACCTGCACATGTACGAGGACGCGGACTACCAGCTTGCGCGCGAGCCACTTTGCGCGTCGCCGGACACAGCGGCTGCTTTCGCCGCCGGCACCACCCAGATTTCCAACTACTACGCCTGCAGTTCATCCGGTCCCGCTAAGCATGGATCTCGATCGACGCTGGGACTCTTGGAAGAAGACGACACCAAAATGTTGAGTCACAGTCACGTCGTCCGTCTGTTGTTTTCTCGTCGCGGATTGTAGTGTCCTTGTCGAATTATTCTTGGCCTTAATTTTTTTTTCCGACCCTGTCAGCATGATTTTCAGTCCCGGGATTTGCATTATCACTCGGAAGGGACAAGTTCATTGTTGGCCGCTTCTACTATAGCATTAAGCGTGGACAAGCTTTAGCTCTTCATGGAAGCTGCTTCCGCACTGCTGAAGTTCCGCAGCTGAGGAGCCGAGCCGATCAAGTATTAGCTCACGAGAAGCCCCAGCTGCACTCTGAAAGTTCAGGAACGTCACTCGCCTGACCCTGACCCGGATCTTCTCTGATTTTGTTCGGTCCGTGTTTGTGAGCTTGCGCAGCGTCTTTTGACTTTTGCAATTTTCTGCGTTTCGATAGGCGACGCTCGTGGCGTCGGTCGACATGATGAGAATCGATTGCGTTCCGTACTCGAAAAAGACGTGTGTTTGTCCTTTGTTGTTGTGCTCCTTTTGACTCGCGACACGCAGGCGCACTGTATCAATACTCAGAGGCGCCGTCGTTGATTACTTCTCATCTTCTTCGACTATCGGATCAAAGCTTTTTGTTTTCGGGAATGAGAGTGTTGAATAGTTATCTCCAGGGCTGAATAATTTTTGCAGCGTTGATGATCGGTTACAAAATAAAGCGAAGACAGATCATCTGTACCACTCCGAGGAAGAGTAAGAGATTTTGATTATTTAACTTGTGAGAATAAGAGCCTCGTCAGGTCCGTGTTGTAGCGGTGTGCAAGTGTGTGAACAAGAAGTGCAATTCAGCGATGATACTAGTGCACTTTGTCATGTTTACGCCTCCTGAGTAATGTTAGATATTTATCTTATACGGCAGATCGCCGTTAACTTTAAGTTTAACGGCGTGACTTCTCGTCATATAAGCGTATCGCATGATCTTTACGACATGGCATGCTATCCCCTGCTTTTGGCGTCAGGATGGTGCAAGCGCACCAACTCGGCATATCGCCCTGCGCGTGCCCGATGTGCCCGGGGCCTGTTTCGAGATAAAGAGTCGCAGTGGATGAAAAACTTAGAATTATGCTCGGGGAATAAATCGAAATCGACGGCCGAGAGCACGTTACTTAGGACAGTAAGTCACAGAAGGTCCGTCCGATAACAAAGATGCTACTACTTGGATATGATAATCTGAATTTGCTCCGAGAATGAAGAACACCACCTGTATGATTGTCACTTGAGCAAGCGTCCGGATCATATCGTGAGAACCTTATGGTAAAAATTATCCCGATGCTCGTCAACTGGCACAACCACCACCGTAATCATACTCAACGATCAAATCCCTTTGTCGCTAAACCGTTCTAGGTGGTGGTAGGTAGTATCGTCTAAGTGTGTCGTGTGTCGAAAAAAGTGAAAGAGAAATGGCTGAACCACGAGATGTCGGCGGCGATGACGCCGACTCGGCCGAGGGCGAAGTGTTGATACACTGGTGCGAACAGCTGCCCGAAGGCTAAAAAGGTGCACGCAGTGAGACTCTGTGCCAAGGAACTGTTCGCAGAGCGCGGGTTTGCACGCAAACTAACATCGAAGCACGACACGACATCTTGTGTTCATCATCACGACAAGAGCAGTAGAAGAGAAGAGCGCAAGCTTCTTCTTCTATTTTAGTAACAGCAGATCTGATACTATCCACACAACACCTACACCACGCGGACCTTCTCTTGCTGTTGACCACCGGAGTTGTAGTGATACACCGCGGAGAAGATAGAAAACTGTGCACTATTTCCCTCGTCCGTCGTGGTCGCTACGAAAGTTCTGTGGTTTTGCGCGTGTGGCTGCTTCGTTGTCGATCTTTTTCCAATCGACAGTCGATGCCACGTTCCTGGGCGGGGAAATGCACCGACGGCACGCCGACGGTGCGAGCATCGAGTCCTGGGCCAGTCTGTATCTTGTGGTAGAAGACAAAAATAACAAAGAAGAAAAAGAACAAGACAAGAAAGGGGTAGCAGAACAGGAGGTGGAAGCTCATTGCAGTAGGCGCACGAAAGACAGAAAGCAAGCAACGCAGCAGCCACCTCTTCTCTCGGTCGGCGACCTGCTGGAGGGGGTACGAGCGAAGTGCCAGGACCTCTGTGCCGAGCCGGTTGCTGTTGCGTTGTGGAACGAAAAGGAAGTCGAGGAAGTAGCGGCGGCAACTTCCCTTTTGCACGCGGTGCTTGCTATCCCACAGAAAAAGACAGGCAGGGCACATTTTTGATGCGAAAATCAATCCTTCTTTCTTACACCGAAAAATCTGTCATGGGCGACCTCTTTGCATGCCGTGTAGGACATGAAGCACAGACTTTTTTGCTTATTTATTTTTGCGTTTGCTTTGGGTTTCATTGTTCATTTATTTTCGCGTTACAAATATGCCCTGCCTGTCTTTTTCTGTGGGATGCTAGCAGATCATCGTCTTCGTTGTTCCGTGGCTTCGACCGGCACAGAATCCTTGTCACGCGAAGCAGAGAGGCCGCGGGGGCTTCATGGTTCTTTTCTCGACGACACTGTTCATCTCGTCAGAACGGTTATTTGTTTGAAGACCACACAAGAATTGCAGGAAAAGGTGGCCGGCGACGGGGTGAACGCGGCTGCAACGCGCGGTCTTTCGGGAGAAGCGCGACAAAATCTGTATTCGACGTCGACCACAGAGCAGCAGTTCGTAGATCCTAGCGTCGGCTTCTCGGTTCTAATTCAGCGACCGGGTCGAAGACAGAAGCGAATGGCCGTGAAGGTTGTTCGCGAGAACGAGCTCGCTGCGTCTCCGGGATCTGTTGCCGAGCCGGGCGCGGCCTCTTCACGCATGGAAGACAACCTTCAGCATCCTCCTGCTGCACCCCCAGTGTCGTTATGGAAGAAAAAAAACTTGTTGTGTGCGACGGCGAATTTGTATTCTTTTTGCGAAGCATGAGCACGCAGGCGCAGCTTCGCGAGGGTGCATGTGTGTTTGTTCGCATGGATATCTATGGACGTGGAGTCTCGGTCCGTGCATATTCAACCATATTAATCGCAATTTTTGTTTTTCTTTTTTATGATGCCGTGCGCTAGCGCAGAGTGCTGCCCTTGCGTGTGTTACTTACCAGTCGAATCCAAAGAGTGCCACAGCGGTGTACTAGTTTTTTTGTGCTGTGATAATTTTGGTTCGATCACTACAGCCACCACGGGGGCCCAACCACTGGGACCACCTCGAGTGGCGCCGGCGCCCCGCCAATTCATCTCCAGCACGACCCGCGCCAGCATCAGGCTGAGGCATCGTTGTCCCGCGGAGTTCCTCCCATCGGCGGGAGCGACAACCCGCATCACCCGCCACAGGTAGGGACGAACGGCGGTGGTATGCGCTTCAACGAGTGGGGCTTGTACGAGCGCGTGGAATTGCAACAGCTTGGCAACACGGTCGCGGAGCCGCACGGGCATTATGGACGAACACGGATAGAGGACACCGCCTATATAGACCAGCGGGGTGGGCAAGGACATCACCACCAACACCACCCACCCGCGCCGGATCACTGGCTGCCTGCTCATGACCATAACCACCAGGGCGTGGAACTTGTTTCGTCCAGCGGGTTACATACAGTATTCTGTTTCGATGTTGATGTTTTCGATTGGAGTCGTGTTTGGTTCCGTGGCTGCCCCCGTCTTTGTTCGCGGGTTCTCAATGCTGCAGTTCTTTCGCACAGAACTTCAGTTTTCGCTTCTGGTCATGGAAAAAATTCAGGCGCGTCTGTAGTGTATACTTATAAATATCGCACCGCTGCAGAAGTAGAAGTACGGTGAATTATGTGAATAAACTTTTTAAACAGCCACCCCCGCCTCCTCCGGAGGAGGAAGAGACACCACCGCCACCCCCACTGTGGGAGGAATACACACCCGAGAGCAAGTTCTTCGAGGACAACAAAATGCTCGGCGGAGTAGAACAACCGAGCGACCACGGTCGTGCGCTTGTGGAATCGCACGGCCACACGCAGCACCACCCAAGCGGCATGATCCCACAGCACTTGCAGTACGGGAAGGGTAGTGCCGTCCCTTCCTCGGCGCCGAGCGGGGGGAGGAGCCATGCTGGCCTGCCGCCACACCAATTGCGGGGCCCCGAGCACGGCGCTCCTCGACAACCACACCAAGTGGCGGCCGTAGATCACGCAGACGCGTCCGCTCGGCAGGAGCTTTTGCACCACCTTTCGGGTGAGCACTACTTTAATCACACAACGAATCACTGGGAACAGATGGACACGTATTACCAGAATCAGTCCAACGTGCCAGGGGGCGCGACTGCGTCTAGCTTTCAGGCAACCCAGAACTCGCAGAGCTTACCCGGTGGCGGAAGTGGGCCCCCGAATTTTCAGCCAATGGCTGCGCCCGCCTCCGAACTGTCTGTCGATGGGCGCGGCCAACATCTTGGCGGAATCCCGCAGCACCAAACGCACCAGCAGGCACCATTTCAAATGCGAAACAATTCCTATACGACTGCACCAACTAGCGGTGCCGGCGCAACCCATGGCGGCCCGGGTGGGCCCACTGCACCGCCACAACACATGCAACACCACTCTCAAAAGCAGATAGAGCACCACACGCAGCACCAGCGTCGGCATGGGACAGCTGCCTTTCCGGACCAGGGACATCACCCCTCGACCTCCTCTTCCTCGAGAGCAAGAAACCCACACCAGCATTCCGTGCATGAGCATCCGTCATCGCAGGCGCACCTGGGAACCACAGGTCCCCCACCCGGGGGAATGGGAACATCAGCACCGTCGAAGTCCTCGCATAGCAGTTTTCTAAATCCGACTACCTTTAGCAACCACTCGAACCACAGCGGCGCGCATTCGCAACATCCGCATTCATCCAGTATGATAAGTACTGCTGCACCAGCCACGACTACAGCCGCGTTGAGCGTGCCAACGGGGACGTCGAACGCCAGCGGTAGCAAAGGGCCAACAATACCTCTGGGCCAAGCCCTGATAAGGCCTTCGAACGTCCCGCCGCCACCTAAGTTTGCGCCGCCCGACCCTCCTACAAACTTTCCAATCCCACCCCGGATGAAACCTGTGATCGGACTGAGGACTGACCCGTCCTCTTCTACCGCGGAGCAGGAACACGGTACTAGTGCTACGACGTCAAGAGGGATGATGCACAGCGGTGCAAACAGTAATGCTGCCACCAGCATTGTGACCGCACAACATCACCCACCTAAGCTGCAACAGCCGGTCTTTGTTCCGGCCTCTTCCCTCCTGCCCGCGCACCTGCAACCACCTTCCGCGTCGCAGCAGCAACCGCGCGCCGATCCTTTGTCGACCAAAACGGTAGGAGCAACTACGCTGTTGAACAGCGAGGCGGTCGGGCCAACCTCGAGGGGTCCGACCCCGGAACCGGCGGGGAGTAAGCGATTTCAGATTCGGGATCCGCACACGGGTGCGGCGCTTGACATTCAGCGAACGTCGACCCCGACCGGATACCCGAACAAACTAGGCGAGAGCGGAACTGCAGGCCAGCCGCAACTGCCGCCACACCAGGGTCTGTATGGTCTTGGCACTGGCGGGACTACAACTACTGCCACGTCTTCCGCCACGGGTGCACCGGAGCAGCACGGCCCTCCCCCGGCTGCTGCAGCGGAGTCAGTTAGCGTAGTTGCTTCCAACTCTGCATCAAATCTGGGCCCCTTGAACAAGCAAATGCTGAATCACGCCGCCAAGGAGTTCACTCCCGGGTCCGTATTCACGCCCAACACGAGCGCGCTGTATTCCAGCTGGGACAGCGACCACACCGCCACTACCACGACGCATCTCCTGAAGAACGAGAAGTCGGTGCACGCGATTCGCGAGTTTACTCCGGGCGTGCCGTACGCACCCGCCCATCACGGCGGATCCGCCGACGGCTCAGCGCCGGCGGGGAATCACTTGTACCCGCAGCAGCACGCCGGGGGTGGAAATAATAAAGTTGACCACAGTAGTTGGCAGCAGCATTTCCGATTGTACAATTCCGTCGCGCCCGATAGCTTTACCACGCACCCTACCATGTTCGCGCGGCACGACGAATTCAAGTTGTGGCAGGGTCTGGCCGTACAGAACTCAAAGGGGAAACCCAAGAGCCATTTCGAGCTACGGCTGTTCGTCGAGAACGTCATACAGTGTGAGCGGCTCTGCGATGCCCACACGGGTGCGGTGCTTTCCTTTTTGCACGCAGCGCCGGTGTCGACCGCGCTGCATGAGATCGAGAACCGATTCGCGGTCGAATGGGGCGTGCTGGATCCGCTGCAAAACCCCAAGCCCCATGCTGAACACCCAGTTCTCGACGGGGCGGACATCGAAAACTCCTTCGGGGGTAGCGTACATCCGAGCGACGGCGCCGAATCGGGGGAAGTTGCAACTGCGTCCGCGACAGCACCCGGAGCCGGGTTGTCAGCCCGGTCGACGGGTGGACTCCTTGGGGAGCAACGAACACACGACATCGAAGCCTCACTGCTCTCAAGCGAAAGCGAGGACATCTCACGAAACGTTCCCGCATCCGCAGCATTTCGCCTCTCGAAGTTACTGAGGATACGCTCTCCCACACAAGGCATCGACCTCTTTGTGCCCACGTCGGTATTTTTGATCTTTCCTCGTCCACATGTGTTGGTTTTTAAAAGCTATGATTTGCGCAGAAACAGAATTCCTATATCGGAGATCCGAGGTTTAGACAACTCGCAGGCTGTGCCACAAGCTGATGCTGAGTAGTATCTATGCTTTTTGAAGAAATAGAAAAACTACTTCAGTGCAACGTACCCGAGATCCTAGATTTCGCCGTCTTCCCGTGTCGCTTGTTCGTCAACAGACCTGTAGTGGCTAAGTTCGCGATCCCGACACTGCCCGGCTCTACTACACCGCGCAACAAAACCCGACTCAAATTCGCGAGCAAATTTCAAATCGTTTGGGAGAAGCGATTCCCTGGAGAGATCGCGTGGCGACTGATGGACGCCCAGCAGCTGAATGTGTGCCATCCGCAGCCGCACGAAGCGGGTGCGCAGTTGCGGTGCCGCGTTTTGTTCGACGACTTGCTGGATAATATGAACAATACTCTACTAGACACGCCAGCAGCAGGATCGTCATCAGCAGCTGGCGACGCTGCGGGGGCTCTTGTTGATGAGCAGCACCTGAGCAATCTGAAGTCCGTTCCGATTGTTGAATCGGCAGAGCAGCTGCAGCACAGCGGAGGAGGTAGAACTCGAGAAATAAGTGGTACATCAACTATGACAGGCACCACAGCAGGGATGATCATACAACAGCACCCCGAGCAACAGTCCTCTCCTGCGGTTCTTCACCTGCCCGACGCAGCTGGTTCTTCGATAATGAGAATCAACGTGAGTGGAGGTGCAACATCTTCACTTGAGCCTGCTCCGTCGCAGCAGGTGCAGCTGCGGCACTCGGGGGAGGAGCTGGACCGCGGCAATTTTCTGGCGCAGATCACACTGGACGCAGTGATTGAGGAATCGGCGGAACCCTTCTGGAACCGCGACTGGATCGACGTGGACCAGCTGCAGCTGCAATGCAGGAAGCTTGCGACCACGACGGCGTCCAAGCAGAGCCTGTACTTCAGCCCACACTCGGAGGGCGAGGCCAGCGACCACGTGTTCCTCCCGACAGAGGAAGGAACAAACTCCAATGAAGATGAAGACGACGCGCAGGAGGACGAGGCGAGGTTGCCAACCAGCGCCGGACGAGTACTAGGGGAAGAACCACTTGGAGGGAACAAGCACGACAGGACGAGCAGTGGTAGCGCAGCCCTCGTCGCGCCGCTCACGGTGGCGGTCCATAACGATCCTTTCCGGGACAGAAGCGGTAGAAGCAGCCACCTGTTGAGCACACCAACAACAAACGAGCAGCCGCAGGTGATCACTCCGGAGACGCTGGTTGACCTGTCTGCCGTCAATGCGCCGCGCATTGAACAACCTCCAGGATCATCCGCTTGCGACCCGGCCGACAAAGCCGGGGCGGTAGACGCCAACGGTAGGCTTGTGAATCACCTGCCCGCCCAGCAGCAGAGGTCCCCGCTACTGAATGCCGCGTCTCTAACCGGGGCCCTGGAGGATGCAGACTGCGTGAACCTGGTGGACCCGCCGCAGCTGCTGCCAGGGGAGGAGGAAGTGAAGTCGTCAGCCTCGTCGGAGAGTACCGGTTCGTCCAACCTCACTACCGCGATGCCGCTGGAGCGCCGCGGCCCGGCCGGGGCCGCGCTGCACCCCTTTAGCCCGGCGTCTCGCCGACTGAGCGCGTCGGAGAACAATGTGCAATCGTGGAGCAGCAGCGGCTCGGCGCTGGCGGAAAACAGTGCTGGAAATCTGCTCGGTGCAGCGCATGGTGCTAGTACCACTCAGATCATGTTGACGCCTCGGTTAGCGGACCCCGCCCTTGCGGAGCCACAGACGAGTCAAGACCTTCGGAAGACGCATAGCCGGCACCACCGAATCTTTCCCACGATTTCGACGGACAACCCGCTGTTTCTCCGCAGCGCGTTGTATGGCTTATATCCGCCCGAATCTCCACCGCACCATCTGCGGGTGATGAGCTTTAACGTGCTCTGTCCCGAGTACGCCCTCAGCAACTTAGCAAGGGAGCGACTGTATATTGCATCTTGATAGAGTCAATTTGTCTCTCATCCTGATGGAGTCCTGGGATTCATCCTCTTTTGAGCCCTTTACTCAGTAACATCATCAACGTCACAGTCTTGTTTTTGGCGCTTTTTATCTGCTCTCGTCTGCGGTGTCCTAGGCAGTATCAGTAATCAAGAAGTGAAATTAGAATTATGCATTGGATTTTTACCCATCGATCTACCCGAATTAATAACAAAAAAACAGCTATGCCTCTTGTCCAGTGGAGTACCTGGAAACTGCCTATCGGTTACCGCACTGCCTGCTTGAGCTTCAGCAAGTAAATGCGGATTGCGTTTGTCTGCAAGAGGTGAGCGCGCACTGGTATGAGCAGGGAATAAAACCGCTGCTGGAAGCGGACTACATATGTTTTCACAAGTGCAAGGCTCACATCGAAAACCGGGCGTTTTTCGTCACAGAGGGTTGTGCCATTTTCTTTCGCCGGACGAGGTTTAAGGTGCTGCAAGCCAATCAGGTACAAAGTCACATTTTCTGTATGAGACTGCAATCGTTTTTGTCTTATACTTATGTCGTTTGTAGTGGTTGTGGTTGTACAAGCCGTTTTGTTTACTAGAACAACTCGCAAAGCTGAAGCCGCGAGTGTCTCATTGCCGCGTCTCAATTGTCAACACGGACTCTCGGCCAGCACGATTAGTTGTATCTATTTGGGAGAATAAAACGTACATCAGGTGTCATTGTCGCAGATATCCGTCAGAACAATTCCGAGCTCGCACACAGTCGGCATGTCCCCTAGGCTCTCTCTCAGTGAAAAGAAACGAACAACTTGCTCGTACGCTATGGCAAGTAGGCTAGGCACGCAGGTGCGAAAGATATCAAAAAGAAAATACGCGAGCGAGAGACACTTTCTCGGCATTTAATATGGTAAAACACGGAACCGCTTTCAGGGCGGTCGTGTGCTCGTTCGTCATTTCGCTTGCAGTTACTGAGAATCAATGGTAGGGCAGGGGAGCGCAAGTTTATTATGACTTGCTGGTGAGGAGAGGAGTTTTTTGTTCTGATAGCGGAGTTTGTACCAGCACGCAGATCTTGTGCGAAAGGTTGAAGAGTTGGATCAAGTGCGGTTGCCGGGAATGAAGCGGGTATCGGAAGTACTGCAGCGGGTCAACAGCGTCGCGCAAATCGTGCTGGTAAGAAGTAGAATCTTTTTGTTCAAAAATAGTATTTGAAAAAAATGCACTTGTACAGGTTTTGAAAATCATCTTGTTTTCCCATGGTTTTTCACTTAGGTTGTAGAAAGAAGCCAACATCACAACAAGTTCAAGTTGTTTTTCACCCGCTTTTGCAGCGCATCGCCATCGGCAACGATGCCCGAGTCTCGCAGCGTCACCGTGCTGATGCACGAGCTAGCAAGCTGAGGCGAAAATAAAGTATGTTTGTATAAAACTGTGAATCAGGTCGAGGACTTTGTGTCCAAGGAGCGGCTGGTAGTGGCGAACACGCACCTATTCTCACCGCCAGCAATGAAAAACATTCGCATGCTGCAGACGCTCACCGTTTTGAAGGAGGTCGAGGCCTTGATCGCAAAGAGTCAGGCGACCAGCCGGGTGACTCCCAGAACACTGGTAACTACAATACATGGTGGGCTTCATCGCCCTGCTTGGACATTTATTACGATGTGATTGTGATCACGGTAGAAAGCGATAGAAAGGTCCACTATGTCGCACTCGAAAATCCTTCCTCTTCGGCCTGTCGTTCTTGCAAACTGTAGTTTTAGCAGCGGAACAAGCGTGTCTAGTGCACAATTTTGTTTGACGAGGACGTGTTATATGTTCTGAAAAAAAGATTTGTGGCGATCTGAATGCTGATCCGTGGAGCGGTGTGTGGGAGCTGCTTCGCAAGAACTCCGTCCCACCAGAGCACGAAGATTGGTGGCCCTTCGACCCTCCTACGAAGGCGCCGTTCGTTATGGAAGCGTCAGGTTTGAAATCGTCAAAGTTGAAATAGTTTGTCATGCATAAAATGCAAGGCATGAAGTGCCTGTCTTGCCGGGATGGAAAGTGAAACAGATTGTGAGCCTATTTAGGGTTTGGGATAGAGCTGCTAAAGGAGCATGACAAAAGCAGTCTTCTGTGCCCAAACAGAATGAAAAATTGGATTCCGGTGCTCCGAAGATTTGTCATGCGCCGCCTGGAAATTGGGCTTCCAACTGGTATCCGTTTTATGCATGGCAAATTATTTCAACTTTGTCGATTTCAAACCTGACACTCCCATATTCGTCGCTGCAGCAGGTGCGGTTTCCGTGTCCAGACAGGAAGCAGCAGCGCAGACGAAGACGAAAGGCAGTGCGGGTGCGACCGGGAACGCTAAGCTGGCACCATCCGTTCCAGACACGGGCGCAGCAGACAAGGATAGCACTAGTACGGCAAAAAATACAACTTTATTAGCAGCGAATGCGCAGCAGCAGCTGAGCGGCGCAGCATCAGCATGCAACAGCAACGGCGGCGAGACAGATGCAAACAATACGACCACGACTGCGAGCACTTCCGGTAGCAAGCCGCCGCCTGGTATTGCGCTGCAGCATGGATTAGATCTTCGGGACGCTTACGAGCCACTTTATGCCTCGCACCAGTGGGCGACCTTCGGTTGCAACGACGCGGGGAGCAGTCGCATCATTGATTACATTTTTGCGTCCTCCACCTTGCAGCCGAGGCGTGTCAAGCAAACGTCACTGAAAAAAGACCTGCAAGGTCCGACCGGGCGGTACCCCAGCGATCATATCGCAATCGCGGTCGATTTCGACTACTTGCCCGCGAACGTCGCTCCTCCGCCTGCTAGGACATCAACACAAGCAGCAACGACTGGGGTCGTGTCGTGATCACGCTGTTGTGATAGATTGCACAACCCGGGGGCAATTCGTCATCGTATTGTCAACTTTGATATTAAAGATTATCAGTGAAGAAGATTCACCACCAGTTTTTGAATTTGTATTCAGCAATGGTAAAAAAGGTCCTATTCTTTTTGTTTTTCTCACACACACACACACAAGGAATTCGTTGTGGTCACCGCGATGTCGAGAGTCACAGCGAAAGTGCTCCGGTTCAGGGCAGAGTCACATCTTGTACTATCAGGTAAGACAGATTTCGATTTCATTCAGATTACAAGACAGCAACAGTATGGCCACGAGGCAAAGTGGTATTTTGGCTTACAGATATATCTATTGTAGTGTATGCGTATAATTATATATAAACGTCAGCAGGTGGCGAAAAAAAGCGCCACTGTCTCGGTGAATACGAGGCCGAAACAGATAAATGGATATACGTAACTAACATTCTTTTTTTGGCGGAAGATTACTTTCTATGTTCCCGAAGCCTGTGCTCGCAAAGAAAACGATGTAGCGACACACTTTATGTTTTGTATTGATTCGACTATCTTATCACATACTATACTCATTATGATTATCGAAGCAGACGCCAAAGAGCAACGACGACTTACTTGTCAGCGGTAAAAATAGTTCACAGATTATCACAGTATAAAAGCGAAAGCTTGAAAGCCACGTAAAAATTAGTTGATACACATCAGAAGTTCTAGTCACTTCGACTTGAGCAGGTTGTCTTTATTGTCCTAAATTGTCAACACATCGTTCAAATATAATCGTAGACTCGGAGATTAGGGGGGTGTAAGCCGTTTGGTCTCGAAAAAAAAAAAGATAACCAACTTCATCACCGACCAACGGCTTATCCTGGCCTAATTCGATCTTCACGTATTGATTAGCAGAGCCCATCACGAATGAATGGGTGTCGGTCGTTGATGTCTCTTTGAGGTGGAGCATCTTCACACCGAAATTGACTTGTTGTCTTTTAGCTACAATTTACACAAATTACACCTCGTTCGCACGACGGACGGACTCGTGCGAATAAGGTAAAGGCAAATGCTCTAGCAGGTTAGCACCAGATTGTCCTAGCGAATCAGATCTTATGGCAGCGCCAGCACGGCGTAATATGATCAAAAGCCATTACAAGAGTACCAGAAGCACAACGACACAACCTCGTCGGGTCCGTATTCGCTTCAAATTATCATGTCAGCACATTACTCAAGCAGCAGCGTGAACCACAACTTTTGACTCACTGATATAGCGAATGAGCAGTTCTTCACTGTTCCTTTCTCTGTACCTATTTGGTGCCTTAGATCTAGACGAAGGAGCGCTTGGAAACCACAGGAACAGCAATCTGACGACAGGACAACCTGACGTGAGCCGGCTCTTCCGCAATGGCAGCGTTGAACTTGTTCGCCTGTCTAGTTCCCGTCTTTTTTTTTCTCGTCGTTGAAGCTGGTATTTGGGAGCGGGAGCGATGGCGCAGATGGAAAGTGGTTCCGGCTTTTACTGCTCAAGCGTACTAACCATAAAATCATGCGCTTGCCCGGGCCTCCGTGCTGCATAATTTGCTTCAAAATGTCTATGTCAAGTTTGATTGGAGGAGGCGGCTGTCTGAGGCGTGCCAGCTGGGGTAATGAGCTTCGACTGTAGTGACTTGTCGCCGCATGATGGCGTTTTGATCGCTTGTTGTAAGTGGGTTTTTCCCCTTAAAGTAGGACGAACAGTAGATACTTACCTGTTCCATCGAAAACGGCGTCAGCGTGGACTCAAATCATACGACCATTGAAGAACATTTGCAAGATGAAGCGTTTCGGATCACCAGCCATTTTCTTGTGGTTGGTATCTTGCACCAGCCCTCTCAGCGCTTTTCAGTTGGCGAAGAATGGAGAGGGTGCCCAGAGCGAAGACATTTACGCTGCAACCCCCACTCTCGATGCAACCGAGCAAGAAGCAATTGTTGGCTCGGTACCTATCATGCGAAAGAGGAATTCAATTGGATGCTTTGCGTGAGCAGGGGCATCTGCATGCTCGTAATTGCTCTGTCAAACTCGCAACTTACTTATATTGAATTCATAACTACCTCGGTATTTGTCACAACCAATGTATGTGGCGAGTATTTGAATAAAGATAAACTGTATCAATCTCACGACAGCAAGCGTTGGACCTGAGTGGCATTGCTAATGCCTACCTCACGTCAAATGGAGACGCGCCATACGACGGCAACAGGAAAACGCTCCTGCAGGCGACATCTATGACGAACGTAGCTGTGATAGTCTCAACTGTATCTGTCAAAACATTAGGCATGTCTTTGTCCAGGTCGTGTAAGTGCACAGCAATTTTTTGCATACTTAGGATCCAGCATCGTGCGTCCTCTATCTCTGCATCTAGATCTAGGTGATGTGCCCGCATAGAAAAGAAATTTTTGAATGTTCATGTCGTTCTTGCATTAGGTACAGGTCCCTACAACTTTAGCGTACCTATTTTTCGCGTATCCCTCTATCGCTCCGTATCCGTACGTAAAGAAACGGAGGATATGCTTGCAGGCCTGAGGTTGTCACAGCTGCGCAAGCCATAGCCTTGGCGAAGCAGATCGAGGTCATGCTGCCCCGAATCACTGCCTGAGACAATCGCATAACTTCGGAAGATGAATTTAGTTTTTTGCAGGACCCGAACCAGCTGTACCAGGATGGGATTTCATCGGAAAGAATGTCATACAAAGGCGTAAAATTTCAACTTGTTTCCGTTTCGTTTCAACTCACAGCTCGCTGCATGTCTATTGCGAGGCCCTCAGCCAGGCGCCGGGACCGTGTCTGCTGAGGAAAGAGCAGCTATATTAACAGGGAAAAAGTGGAACTATGACATTGAAGTCATGTATAGTTGTCACACACTAGAAGAAGTCAATGTCAAGGGCGCAGCTATCGTGGCTTAGCACACGGAAAAGGGAAAAAATCCGCATGAAAGAAGCAAGAGCATTGTTTTTTTCGAAAAGCAACTGAATTTCTTGTCAAGCAAGGAGCGTTAGCAATTTGCGTGTTTTCAAATAACGGAAAAAAACCCACTGGGTCGCGATGCGCTTCCATACCGGAGGAAGAGCTGCTGGTGTACTCATGTTCACACACGACATTGTTTTTGGATATGGGTCGCGAAAAAGATGGCAGATCTTGTCAGTTCGCGCGGCATGATCCATTTTTTCTATGCCTGTCGGTCCACCCGAGTTTCGGACTCCTTCTGCAGCGCGGGACTCAGGCATGCTCTAGAAATAGTTGTCGTAGTCAGGTCGGGTTTGGGGTTTTTACTTATGTAGTGGCGTCGGTAGAGAAATATAATTTAAAGATCATTCTTGTAGAAACCTGTATATAGCACCGGGTTTAGGGTAAAGGCGTGTTCTCACGTCAGAGAGGCGACCACACTGCTCCTTCCTAGTCGTGTGCCAGGCTGCGTATTGAGCTTGCGTCGCAACTCGAAGCAGCACGATATCGGTTTCTTTCTTCTGGACGTCGACGTGCTGCACGTGAAAAACCAGATCGATTTTTCGCCCTTCTACCAGCAGCAGCGGCAGGGAATTGATATTGCTTCCTCGGGCCACAATTTCGGAAGAAGTACAACGCCCAGCCACGGGAAAAGAGATTCCGATGCTGGAAGTACTGGAGAAAGTTCCAAAAAGCCTTTGACGGATTTCGACGTCGCAATCGGAGTGTACACTCGCGACATAACGGTTCCGTACGAGCCCGACAGCTATGGCCGTTTTGAATCGGATTTGGGTCTTGAACGAGCCGAAGACCATGGCCCCCCAAGCAAGGCCGGTACTAGTCCAAGCGCACACTTCTACCACTCCGAGAAGAGACTCTTTGAGTTTCATCCAATGCTGGGGCCGAAGCGACCCGATGGCCCGAGCGACGACGATTGTCCGTGGCACACGAATCCAGTTTTCGATGACCAGGGCTACTTTCAGGAAGTCGTTGACGGCGAATATGTGGACTTGCGTTCCCTCACCGGCGGGGAGAAATCATAGGGGGCTCCTGAAAGGGAAATCTTTCAGCAACCGCGCAGTACGGCGATCGTGCCACGAGAAGTTTGTTTGCTGCGTCTCAACGGCGGCTACGCTTTTGTGAAAGCTACCGATGCGGGCTTTTTTTACCTGCGGGCCGTGGCAGAGCTGAGCGCCTACTTTGTGGAGGTGTCCGACGGAAGCGCGCGTGACATTGCGAAATCGACGCCCCCGTCCTCTGCGCGGGACCAGACCGAGTCGGATGCGAGGAGCAAGAAAGGCAAAGGTGTTGAAAACTCGACACCACAAACTACTGGGAAGGATGATTCTTCGATGGACTTGACGGCCCGGGTGGCCCGGCTGGAAGAGCGAGTCGCTGCGCTGACGCGGGAAAATGTAGCGTTGCGACAGGGTTCTTTACTCACTGACTCCACGACCATGAAAAGCGACCAACAGGGAGAAGCAAGCAACGTTGCTCTTGGGCGAGCGTCAGCAGGAGAAGTCGGCGACAAATTGAGACGCTGGATTGAGTATGCCAAACAGCGCTTTCCCCTCTTAAGTAAATTGTTCCGCGAGTTGGTCCTGGACCCCAAATACGGCCGATTGCTGAACAAAACTTTTCGCGGTCCTGACCAAGCTGCCTTTGTGCAGCTGGCTCTGCCGCCCACGACCTGCAATCCGACGACGTTTTCTGATGCTGGCGGTTTCGCACAAAACGACCGCATGGGATCATCCGGAACAAGTAAGCGAGGGAGGGTACTGCTCTCTCGACTAGTTTCCACGCTCGGTGTGGAGCAACATTGGGATCGCATGGCATCTCATCTCCTCCCGAAAGCGTCGCGTTCATTGACACGGAATATTGCGGGCTTTCATCGTGGGAAAGCGATCGTCTCCCCTTTCAAGCAGGCGAGCAGTCTTCCGCCTCTCCACACGTCGCTCCGAAATTGCGCACAAAACTCGTGCCGCTCCGTCAGGTGCTGCACTCAGACTCGCTAAATTTTTGCGGGAAAAGAACAACAAGCAAATAGCTGTACTATACCTGTTGCTCTATCGACCGGTACTCGTTTGGTCTCTACCGCAGCAATCAAAGAAGCAACTACTTCTCCTGCTAGGAGGTTGTATTTAGAACACAGATGGTGCGGTGGAACAGAATGAACCACTCGTTTATACTACAACGAGAACATCAGTAAGAACATCATGAATGCACAATTTATTCAGGACAGTCGCTTGTTGCTCAACATTTTTGCGCTTTGCAACTTTTGATTTGAAGATGCCAACTACACCAACATGTGGAAGCTTTCACATTTTTGCCGGTGATGATGAATACTTGATGAAGTACTGCGCTGACAATGACAAAAAATGACTTGAAGATGTGGAGGACCAGTGGACAATTATCTATTAACATTGACGAGTCGATTTGCTGAAAACGCAAATCAGCTGGACCTACAGTTTTGCGCACTAAGTATTTTTGCTCTTTTTTCGTTTGGGTCCATTCTTGGACCCTTCCCACGGCGGTATGAGGTCTATTGATTTCAGATGTTAACACCCCCCCTGGAGGGGGGGTGCTTCCTCATCCAGTTTTTCTTGCAGAAAAAGCTTGCTCTTTTCTTGTATAAAGTGTTGCCTTTTCAAAGATCGAAACAGCGCCGGCACCTTCGCCATACCACCGGCGGATTTAGCGTTTAGGGACACATCAACAAGAGAACTGGAAGACCATCGGACCAGCTAGCTGAAGAGCTGGGCTTTGATGTAGCGACTTTAAATGGCGATGATTTGAGAAATAGCGGCTCGCTTTTTTTCAAAACATCGCTGAATTTAATTCCTGAGCGGGTTATAAAGAGTATCGTACTCGTATAAATGCATTACAAATTTGCTCAGCATCAGAAATAAAATTAAAATTTGTAATGCGGATTTGGCTTCAGAAAAAAATTTGTAATGCATGACTGCAATTACTACGAGTACGATACTTTTGCACAGGATATTTGGCGCCACTTCAACGCCCCGAGCACCATCGACTACTTCTCGTTGGACGTGTATGCAAGAAAAAAACTGTGTAAGTGTAACTTTGTCTTGCAGATGTTGCAACACAGTTACACTTGTCATGCCGGATATGCATCAGAGGCTATTTTAGTACGTGTTTTAGCATACTAGCTACGCATGACAAGTTTTCTGTCATGGAAAACAGATCTGTGATGCTGTTCCTGGAAAAAAGTTACACTTACACAGTTTTTTTCTTCGATAACGTGGAGGGAGCGGAGAGTTTGGTGATGGAGAATTTTCCGTGGGACAAACTCCGTTTTCGGGTTTTGACCGTGGATTGCGCACAAAACTCGTGCCGCTCCGTCAGGTGCTGCACTCAGACTCGCTAAATTTTTGCGGGAAAAGAACAACAAGCAAATAGCTGTACTATACCTGTTGCTCTATCGACCGGTACTCGTTTGGTCTCTACCGCAGCAATCAAAGAAGCAACTACTTCTCCTGCTAGGAGGTTGTATTTAGAACACAGATGGTGCGGTGGAACAGAATGAACCACTCGTTTATACTACAACGAGAACATCAGTAAGAACATCATGAATGCACAATTTATTCAGGACAGTCGCTTGTTGCTCAACATTTTTGCGCTTTGCAACTTTTGATTTGAAGATGCCAACTACACCAACATGTGGAAGCTTTCACATTTTTGCCGGTGATGATGAATACTTGATGAAGTACTGCGCTGACAATGACAAAAAATGACTTGAAGATGTGGAGGACCAGTGGACAATTATCTATTAACATTGACGAGTCGATTTGCTGAAAACGCAAATCAGCTGGACCTACAGTTTTGCGCACTAAGTATTTTTGCTCTTTTTTCGTTTGGGTCCATTCTTGGACCCTTCCCACGGCGGTATGAGGTCTATTGATTTCAGATGTTAACACCCCCCCTGGAGGGGGGGTGCTTCCTCATCCAGTTTTTCTTGCAGAAAAAGCTTGCTCTTTTCTTGTATAAAGTGTTGCCTTTTCAAAGATCGAAACAGCGCCGGCACCTTCGCCATACCACCGGCGGATTTAGCGTTTAGGGACACATCAACAAGAGAACTGGAAGACCATCGGACCAGCTAGCTGAAGAGCTGGGCTTTGATGTAGCGACTTTAAATGGCGATGATTTGAGAAATAGCGGCTCGCTTTTTTTCAAAACATCGCTGAATTTAATTCCTGAGCGGGTTATAAAGAGTATCGTACTCGTATAAATGCATTACAAATTTGCTCAGCATCAGAAATAAAATTAAAATTTGTAATGCGGATTTGGCTTCAGAAAAAAATTTGTAATGCATGACTGCAATTACTACGAGTACGATACTTTTGCACAGGATATTTGGCGCCACTTCAACGCCCCGAGCACCATCGACTACTTCTCGTTGGACGTGTATGCAAGAAAAAAACTGTGTAAGTGTAACTTTGTCTTGCAGATGTTGCAACACAGTTACACTTGTCATGCCGGATATGCATCAGAGGCTATTTTAGTACGTGTTTTAGCATACTAGCTACGCATGACAAGTTTTCTGTCATGGAAAACAGATCTGTGATGCTGTTCCTGGAAAAAAGTTACACTTACACAGTTTTTTTCTTCGATAACGTGGAGGGAGCGGAGAGTTTGGTGATGGAGAATTTTCCGTGGGACAAACTCCGTTTTCGGGTTTTGACCGTGGATTGCGCACAAAACTCGTGCCGCTCCGTCAGGTGCTGCACTCAGACTCGCGGAATTGTCCTCAGCTGCGAAGCCGTTTTTTTCTTTCATTCGCGGAATTGTCCTTATTTCATCCTAGCGCGGCATGATCTCGTTACTCGTATCTCGCACAGGCTGCACTTCTGGGCAGCAACCTTCGGTCTCCCGCCTGTCTCGAGTCTTTTGCATATAGTGCGACAACTAAGTCTAGCCACCGTTTATTTGTTTTTGTGAGGACCCCCACGGTAGAAGACGTTTTTTTTGCATTACCACATCTGAAATACCGCAACCGCTTTAAGCAGGGCATCTTTGAATTCCGATGCGACGTCGGACTAGCTGGCTCTTCGTCCTCACACCTCAACGCCTCACGTGCTCCACGACTAGACGTGTAACATTCGCGTCGGCCGCAAAAGAAAGCAAGTGCCTGGTTTGATTCATCCGGGTGAGCCGCGCGTCTGTAAATAAAATCCTGCTCCTGAGCCTGAATCTGAGTCCGAGGACAGTAGGTGCAGCGGAGCTCCTGCGCCATCATCCAAAATGGGCTCTGCCTTCGGGGTGATTTCGGAGGAAACGCCAGCGTATGAGGTCCTCCAGCGGTTTATCGAAAAGAAAAATCCTTCTTCCCCATATCAAAAGGAGATTTCAGATGCTGCCTTTGCGTACACACATGAGGTCTGTCTTGCTGTGAGGAATCGCGCCCACATTCTTAGGAGCGCAAGGTTCATCTATCTGTTTAGCATTGGAAACGCCGGCCCGTTGACGAACCAGCATGACAAATCGCATCCATAATGCGGCGCATCCCTCAGCGCTTGTCTTCTTGCAAGACAAAAATGATTTGTGGCCACAAATCTGCATCACAACGGATGCCTTTTCAATACGGGGAGGGAGGATTTTTCCTCACAATACGGCTCGAGAACTACGAAATCCGGAGGTACGAGCCCCGCGTCGCGGTCCAGGTCGCGATGAACCACGCCAACGATAGCACGGCGTTCAAAACTATCAACTGTAAAAATGTCTGGGTCTGGAAGAATCCAACTTGTCATGCTGATTTTGGATTCTAAACAAATCTGTATTGCATGAGCAGCAAAGAGAGTCCAAGTTTTGCTACACGGAAAGAGCATTTGTCATGCGGTATAGGCATCAGGAAGCCCTCACAAAATCTGTGATGCTAGGGCATGCATCACAGACATGTGCCGCTCCGTCAGGTGCTGCACTCAATTTTTACGGTGGCATCAATGCAGACGTGCACTCTGTGCACCTGAAAGGCCGGCCTTGGTGGGGCACCGCACTGGACCCGGACCAACTGAGTCTTTGCTACTCGACTTTCATGGACGTGCACGATAAGCGGCTGCAATCGATGCAGAAGCAGTTGCAAGAGCACGACGAAGGGGGCATGAGCTTGGTGTATTTGGATGGGGCAGGTTTCTTGTCGGAGGGGAAGGAAATAAAGGTCACCGGGACTGTTGAGCAAAAGAGACTGCGCGACGCCGTCTTTGGGTCCCAGGAAGATACTTTTGAAAATCATCCTGGTTCGCTGCTGAACCTGTTTCGGAAGCAGGGCATGCGAGCGCTTTCCATCCTGCGAGGAATTGAATCGTCCCAGGAAGGAGTCGTGCCTTTGGCTCCTCGTCACCACGGTCGCGGGAGCACGTTTCGCGAAGCTTTAGTGAGTCGGGCGATGAATCGGGCCTGGGATACTTCAATTTTGGGCCCCGTGAGTACGAATGAGACACAGCAGCTCGCTGGCACGGTGAGGAAATTTTTCGAGGACCATGATTTGAGCAGCGTTCTCGACGGATCAAATGAACAAGAAGATCGCTTCCGCCAGCGTCTGTTGACTGCATTGAATTATCAGGCGGCTCGGCGCGAGCGCGTCGCGGCCCTAGCAACGACCCGTTCTTCCTTTCGGAAGACCGGAACACATTGGCCCGGCAGCGCCTCAGCAGTTGAGAAAGGTGAGCTGCCTTCTCGGAGAACCTGGTACGATAATGGTCGACTCTGGGAGATTGAGGAGTTGTTGCCGCACGACAATGCCCAGCGAAAAAATGAGAACTCTGCTGAGATTGCTGAAATTCACTCGGCATGGAGGGCGGACAATCAGCGTGCCGCCGATGGCGCACTCCATCCTAGCAGTAGGGAACTCATCCACGCCTGGTGCAGTAGTATCGCGAATCAGCTTGCGCAGTCTCGGCTACGCACCGTAGCGTGGAACTGGGAGAGCATTGCGCTCTGGTACTACTATCACCTCGTGGGTGGATTCAAGATGCTTGATGGAGAGCACGGCTGAACTTCAAGTGCTTCTCGACGATCTCCACGATACCGAGAAACAAGCAATTGCTGGTCAGGTGCCTATCTATCATACGACTACGAGTAAGGAGCTGGATGCTTCGCGTAAACAGGTGCACTTTTATGCTCGTATTTGCTGTGTCAAGTTCACAACTTGCTCATATTGAGCTCGCAGCTGCTTCGGTATTTCATCAACAACAGCGTGGCGAATGATTGTACCTAGTACGTAGTTTTTTTAGTAAGTATGTTGTAATGCAAAAACTTATATTTATCATTATCTTCCAGTTCCACTCGATATTAAAAGAGCCTTGCCCCCTTGGCATAGAGTCTCTGTCGGAAGAAAGAAACTCCTAGAGAACACACGAGCACTGCCCTGCTTCCAAGAAAACGGGAAAGGAAGCTGTGGGTTGTAGTATTTACACAGCTGAAAAGCACGACCCTAGACGTTGCAGTTATTGTAGTGCAAAAATTTATATTTTCATATATCTTCCATTCGACATTAAACCCTTGGCGTAGGGTTCACAAATTCTGCGTCGAAAGAAAGAAACTCGTACAGAACGCACAACCACTGCCCTGCTTCCAAGAAAACGGGAAAAGAGCCTGTGGGTTGTAGTTACACAGCTGACTAGTACGACCCTAGACGTTTGAACTAACAAATAAAAATAGCGGACACTGTACCTGTTAACGGCAACCTCATAGACGATATCTTTGATGTTGACACCCGTCACTGAGAAACCGTGCTAGAAGAACGCTCCCTACAAGAGGAGCACTGGAATAGCAGGCGGCTGTAGGTACGTCTACAAAGAAATACCAATGGGATCTTGATGCTTACACCTTGAGTGTTTTGTTGTTCGAAGCAACAACGGTGAGCAAAACCTAAACCTTGAATCGCGAATAAAACCGAGTTGTCAAATTAAACTGACATCTCCAGCGTCGCTGTTCTCGCTCGATTTCCGCCGCAAAGATGAAGACTTGTGATCACGCTGAAGGATCCGCCCTCTCTAAAAAACACGATGATCTACTTGGTTTTTTTCTGTGGGTTACTCGTCGGAAAAGGAGGGGTTTCGTGTTCGTCCTTCTTCCGGGTCCTGCTCCTGTGCACTTTTCGGATGAAAATCAGAGACGGAGTGATATTTAGTCGCCTTCGCCTCGCTAAACTATCGATCCAATCGTGCTACCGAGCAAGGACACCTGTCGTTTCGTCTGCTTCGAACTACAATCGATACGCGATGGCAGCCCGCCGCCTTCGTAGAATTTTTTTGCACTGTCATATAATCAATCTAGGCGTGTTTTGTCGAAGACGGTTCTCCGTACGTTCAGAGTCACTGCTAGCGGATTCGAAGCGACGGAGCACCACCTTTGTCGTCCTGATCCACGTCTGGCTCCACAGATTATTACAAGGCCGCAGCTTATGTCGCGTAGTGGGAGGGTGAACGAGTGGACAGGGGGGAAAGAAAAACGCCAGAGGCTGGGCAAGGGAAAAAATTTCTGATGCAGGCTGGGGCCAGGCATCTGCGCCGCTTCTTGCTGAAAGAACGAAGGCGGAGCGCCATGGCGCCCGTGGTTCCAGTCTCTGCGCGAGCGCGAGGACCCCACTCGCATGGGGCGCGCATTTGCGTGGCGCCGGCAAGCCTTAGGCCCAAGCAACAACGCAAAGCGCGGCAGCGGGCGGGCGCCAGTGGACGGGGGAGGGAAGCAGGGGAACAGCCCGCGCCATGCGAGGCGTTGGCGCGTGACGCCATGCCCGCGCGTTTGCGGCGTGGCCCGCTTGTGCTGCTTGCCTTTGTGCCCCGTTTGCCCCTGCGCGCCTTTGTGCCCCCCGCGCCCTTCCCCCGCGCGCAGCCTTGCAGAGCGGGGGCCCCTGTCGCGCGCGTGGATGGAGGCAGCACGGGAGCCGGGGCGGGGCATTCATTGGCTGCCCCCCAGGCGCAGGGGCCCACCACCCTCCCCCAGCACCCCCGGACAACAGCGGCGCCCCCCGCGTTAGCTCGCATGCAGTAATCTGTTCCGCCCCCGCCTGCTTCCCTCGCGCGCACCGTCCAAGACAGAGGCGGCGGACGGTGGCGCCCTCTGCCGGTCTCCTCGTGAGCAGAGAGAGGGAGGGCGCCGGGGGAGGGTGGTGGGCAGCTGCCCGCCTGCAAACCTGGCGCCGGGGCGCGGCTTTCCCTTCGCGAACAGAGGGAGGGCGCCGGGGGAGGGTGGTGGGCAGCTGCTCGCCTGGGGCTTGGCCGCCGGCGGCGCTCCCCGTGCCCCCCGCCTTCTTTGCGCCCCCCGCCCGTGCTTCCATCCCGCTATCCCCGTGCTTCCCGGTTCCCCGTGCTTCCCGCTTTCCCCGTGTTTCCCGCTTCCCCCGTTCTTCCCGCCTTTCCCGCGCCTCCCGCCTTTCTCGTGCTTCCCGTTTTTCCCGTGCTCCCCGCTTTCCCTACGCTTCCCGCTTTCCCTATGCTGCCCGCCCTCCCTATGCTTCCCGCTTTCCCCGTGGGTGCCTCCCGCTTTCCCCGTGCTTCCCGCTTCCCCCGTGCCCCCCGCTTTCCCCGTGCTTCCCGCTTCCGCCGTGCGTCCCGCTTCCGCCGTGCTTCCCGCTTTCCCCGCGCTTGCCGTTTTCCCCCTGCTCCCAGCGCTCCCCGTGCTTCCCGCTTCCCGCTTTCCCCGTGCTTCCCGCCTTCCCCGTGTTTCCCGCTTTCCCCGTGTTTCCCGCTTTCCCTGTGTTTCTCGCCTTCCCCGTGCTCCCCACCCGTTTTCCCCGTGCTTCCCGCTTTCCCCGCGGGTGCCGCTTGCTAGCTTTCCGCCCCGCCTTTCCGGTTCTTCCCGTTTTTCCCGTGCTTTTCGCCTTCCCCGTGCTCTTCACTCCCCCCATGCTCCCCGCCCTCTTCGCGGTCTTCGCTTTCAAAGCTGTGAAACCGGGGAGAAAGGCTCTCGGGAGTTTGTTGCAAAATATTTTCTCCTGATGAAAATATTTGTCGGGGATTGCAAAATTTTTTGGGTCGCGAAACATTTCGGACCGCAAAATTATATTTTGCGGCGCAAAATATTTGGACTTGCGAAATTTTTGGACTTGCGGAATTTTTGGACTTGCGAAATATTTTGAGTCGCAAAATATTTGAAGCTGCAAAATATTTGAAGTTGCAAAATATTTTGGGTTGAGAAATATTTTGGGTTGAGAAATATCCTGCGTTGCAAAATGTTTGGACTTGCGAAATACTTTGACCGCAAAATCTTTGAACCCACAGAATATTTGGAGTTGCAAAATATTTTGCGAGTTGCGGCGTGGCCGCTGGCCGTTTGCGATTTGGCCGTTGCTTGGCCGTTTGCGATTTGGCCGTTGGCCGTTTGCGATTTGGCCGTTGGCCGTTTGCGATTTGGCCGTTTGCGATTTGGCCGTTGGCCGTTTGCGATTTGGCCGTTGGCCGTTTGCGATTTGGCCGTTGGCCGTCTGCGATTTGGCCGTGTGCGATTTGGCTGCCTGTTGGCCGTGTGCGATTTGGCTGTTGGCCGTTTGCGATTTGGCCGCTGGCCGTTTGCGATTTGGCCGCTGGCCGTTTGCGATTTGGCCGTTGGCCGTTTGCGATTTGGCCGTTGGCCGTTTGCGATTTGGCCGCTGGCCGTTTGCGATTTGGCCGTTGGCCGTTGGCCGTTTGCGATTTGGCCGTTGGCCGTACGTTGGCCGTTGCCCGTTTGCGATTTGGCCGTTGGCCGTCTGCGATTTGGCCGGTTGCCGTTGGCTGTTGGACGGTGAGCGATTTCGCAAATCGCAACAGCTTTAAAAAGTTTGAAAAGTGTGAAAAACTCTTCGGCGTGGGCGATTTTCCTCCCTGTTGCAAAATTTTAACTGCCCCTGCTCAGCAATAGGAGTTACAAGGCTGCAGCTTATGTCGCGTAGTGGGAGGGTGAACGAGTGGACAGGGGGGAAAGAAAAACGCCAGAGGGTGGGCAAGGGAGAAAATTTTTGATGCAGGACGGGGCCAGGCATCTGCGCCGCTTCTTGCCGAACGAACGAAGGCGGAGCGCCATGGGGCGCCCGTGGTTCCCGTCGTTGCGCGAGCGCGAGGACCCCGCCCGCACTGGGCGCGCGTTTGCGTGGCGGCAAGCCTGAGGCCCAAGCAACAACGCAAAGCGCGGCAGCGGGCGGGCGCCATTGGACGGGGGAAGGAAGCAAGGGGACTAATAGTCCGCGCCATGCGAGGCGCTGGCACGCCCCTGTGTGCACCGCCCCTGCGCGCCTTGGTGCCCCCCCGCCCTTCTCCCGCACGCAGCCTTGCAGAGAAGGGACTCGCTGATGCCCCTGCCGCGCGCGTGGATGGAGGCCGGGCGCCGGGGCGGGGCAGCCATTGCCCCCCAGGCCCAGGGGCCCACCACCCTCCCCCAGCACCCCCGGACAACAACGGCGCCCCCCGCGTTAGCTCGCGCGAAATCTGCCCCGCCCCCGTCTGCTTCCCTCGCGCGCACCCTCCAAGACAGAGACGGCGGACGGTGGCGCCCTCTGCCGGCCTCCTCGTGAGCAGAGGCAGGCAGGGGGGGCGCCGGGGGAGGGTGGTGGGCAGCTGCTCGCCTGCAAGCCTGGTGCTTGCTGGGGCGCGGTTTCCCCTTCGCGAACAGAGGGAGGGCGCCGGGGGAGGGCGGTGGGCAGCTGCTCGCCTGGTGCTAGGCCGCCGGCGCCGTTTCCA